AAAAGGGGTTTTTTTCGTTCCATTTATTTATTTATTTATCGCAACCTGAAGGCGAAGACTGTCATATCTGCCGAGGATTTCGTCAACCGGAAGGACAGGTCAGAACTGTCGAGCGCAGATTTCGGTGATGTAGTTAGATATCATATTTATGATTATCTATTACATAATGGCGATATCGAGCTACATGGCGTACGTGAAATGAATCAGGTAGCGACATACGTGGATACCGAGCTGATGACAGCATACAAGAACAACATTGTGTTGCACTATGGCAGTTGCCTACAGAGGATTCTGGCCAAAATTGATTGATCATTCGCAGCCGCAAAAACACACTGCACAGTAGCAATGGGCAATGTGTCCAAGGCTGAGTTCAATAATGCATGTCAAGTGTGTATCTATACACCCACACAGAAGCTCCGCCAGCAGTTGCTCTAGACACCCGATCTCAGTGTCACCCACGATGCTTGCAATCTACAACAACTGCACCAGTCCTTAATGCTATTGCAATACAGATCGCAAAGACCGATATATGATGCCAAGGTAAATCACTTAAGCATCTGCGTGCATACATTCGCTATGCCAGCTTATCGAGAATGAGCAGCTTGGCAAGTCTCCCCCCAATGCTTGCCTCTGCGGACATCATGGATCCCAGGCCATGTGCGCTTAGACAAGCAAATAATCAAGCAGGTGTTTATTTCGAAAACACGCTGAGGAGGTTACCAAGATCAACGCAGCAAAGAGGGCAGCAACAGAGGCAAGGAAAGCAGCAGAAAAAAGCGAAAAATTGGCCAAGAAGGCTGCACGCGAAGCAGCGAAGATGCCATCGGATGCAACAGAGGCCACTGCAGCAACTGCAGTAGTAGCGGCTGATTCACTTGCTGCTGCATCGGCGGCAGCAGCAGACACTGTTGCAGCACTTAACAATGCATATGCACCAGCACCCCCAGTCTGTGCACACGACCCGGTCCAAGGGATCATACAATCCTGTGTGGGATGTGTGGGGCCGGGTCGCAGATCTAACATCGAAGCCATTTAAGGCGCATGGTGATAGAAAATTCCACGGAATGGCGACAACAGATGGTGTAACGATATGCATTTTGTTACAAGACAAGGTACCTAAGGCTGGTGCTGCAGGAGGCAATGCTGCGGGAGGCAATGCAAGGCGATGCGGGGAGGCGATGCTACAGGATGCTGTGGAGGCGATGCAGGCGATGTTGCAGATGATGCTGTGGAGCAGTCTATAGCTGACTGTCGCTATATCCACCAGATCCCACAGCCAGAGCTGCAGAATCTGAAAGGCCGCTGTGTATTCATCGATCCTAGGTCGGGGCGATTTGCTATACATGATGCACGAAAATAGCAGCAATGGGAAAGAGGGTGAGAGAATGCTCTACCTGCTACACATGGCAGCAGCACAATAAGGAGCTCAAGCTGCGCCACTATGACAGGATTCGTCGGGCTACAAAGGATCAAGTCCCAGAAGATGCTGTCCGCAGAGCAGAGGCAGAGCTTTCCAAGCACTGCTGCCGGACCCTTAGCCCAGCAAAATTCCGTGCCTACGTTACCGCCCGTGCATCTGTGCGGTGTGTCCTAGCACCATTTTATGCCAACACGATGACAGCGCGAAGGCTACTAGAGCAGCAGCCCACTAAGTCAAACAAGCAGCATCAGAGGCGCTGGAAGGCCCATCCAGGTGTCAGTACCAGTCCCAAGGTGTACCCGCTTCACCGCAAGCTGCGCCTTGATTCATTCATGAACCAGGCCCGTGCAGACCACAGGCTTGCCGCGAAAACTCCGGAGCAAGTTTCGGTCCAGATCCAGTGCTGATCATGGGCAATTGGAGTGCGCCGATGGCCCGACACCATGCGCCGATCCGTGGCAAGGGATGGCGCGACAAGTTCAAACACCATGGCTTTGAAGTCTATCTGATCGACGAATTCCGGACATCGTCGGTGTGCCCGTTCTGCTGCGATAAGTCACTGCAGACATTCCGGCATGTTCCCAATCCGCGGCCCTACCAGAGATCGAAGAACCCAACTGTGAAGTGCCATGGCCTTCTCCGCTGTACAAGCGAGTCATGTAAGCGGGCCATGGCACAATACAGGTGAGCCTATTCGTCTCGGCTCTTGAACCGCGATCTCGCAGCAGTTCTAAACTTCAGGCTCATTTTCCAGTCACTCTGTGATTCAGGCAGTATTCCTGAACGGTTCCGTCGCTTTACGGCCATTGCTGCCGATACTTCTGGCACCACCCCTGCAACAAAGAACCCGCGCAAGAGGCGTGCAGCAGCAGGCGATTCTGTTGCCAGCAGCAGCGAGCCAGCGCTGAAGCGCCTACGCTGAGCAGGCCATCAAGATGGGAGATGTCCATGATCGACATTGCACCAACAACCATCCGACACGTTCAAATGACCGGTTCGCCGTGATGCTCTTATCGACGTGTCAACCCATGCTGACTAGCAGCCGAGCTCGCATCGCGAGCAGAGTATTTCTAGTAAAATCGATATATTGGATATGAGTAGCTCTAGATGATGAGGGCGCGTAGGACGTCGCTCAGTGCGACAACGCCGACAGGCCTGGTATCGTCATCAACGACAATCAGACGCTGGACCTGTGTCTTGCGGATGGTGTCTAGGACCGAGTATAGCGTGTCGTTCTGCTTGCACGTATGCACACCAGGGTAGTCGTCTGGTCTCAGCGCCAGAGCCTCAGAAACCTGGGATGTCGAGCTCGTCGAGCAGGCCCTCACGAGCAAGCAGGATAATGTCAGACTCTGGCAAATACGTTGAGCACGATGCCTTCTTCGTCGAGGATCGGCACGACCGAGATGTTGTTGTCGACAAACATGCGGATAATATCAATGACGGGCGCGTCCATGGTTGCTGTGACCAGGTTGCCGTAGGTGCCGATTTCGAGATCGTACAGAGAATGCTGCTTTAATCCGCTTCTTGTCCTCGATGTTGACGGCCATAAAGTTCAGGATCCGGTAGATCGACAGCATCGACACGATGACGTCGCCGCCGGTATCCGTGTCCTCGTCGACCAGGGCCAGAGCTGAATAGTCTGTGGCTAGCAGGCGCCGCGACACCTCATAGAGCGTGTCCAGCGGATTGGCACACAGCGTGTTGGTTTGTCGCGACTTAAACCGCAGGAGGAGCTCCTTGTAGTTTTCCAGTTGTGTCTGGCCCAGGTCTTCGATCGCCTCGGTATACGAAAAGTTGGCATAGTAGTACTGAATCAGGTTCACCAGGTCGGTTGTTGTCAGCATGCCTGAGTAACACGAGTTTGTAGAATCCCACATTGGCGCCGACTCAATACCTAATTAATATGGACGCCGCGGTTTTAGCATTCACCCAGGAGCAGAGCTGCAAGCGTCAGCTGGGCAGCCGAAAAGTTCCCGCTTGTCCACCTGCCCAGCCATTCAATATCGCACGAGGAAATATCCGGGCGTGCATCGGATTTTTTTACAAGGCTTACCGTTCTGAACCAAGGTCGACAGGGCCTTGGTGACAAGCAGCTTAGTGTCAAGCACAATAAGGCGGAAGCTGACGGGAATCATGTCATACGCCGAGTGCTGCTTGAGGAAGAAGCTGGACTGCTGGGCCAGCTCGCGGCGCTTGAGCTCGGCGTTTCTGCTGTTGGTATTGCTGCTGGTATTGCTGCTGCCGCCTCCATCCATGCTGATGGCGCCGTCTGGTCATGCTGCTGTTGCTGTTGCCGGTCGCGCCTGGAATGTCCATTTGGGGGAGAGTCGGGCCGCTCTGCGTTGCAAATTGAAGGTAGAGGAAAATATAAAGTGGAGGCAAGAGTGCGACTCCTGTGAGCCATGCGGCCGCGGTGGGGGTAAAGTCGTCTGGTGCGTGATGTGCTGAGAACAGGCTTGCTCAGCCCGAGAAATTATCGAATCTTTTTCTGTGGGCGCCTGCCTTGGTTGCACATTTGCCTTTTCCGCGCTACTCGCTCATCTTCCCTTGTAAATTACTTTGTCCAGTTTTTCTAATACCGCGTAGCGAAGAGACAGACGAAATGTCGGCAACAGCAAGCACGAAGAACAGCGGCCTGGCGCTGGTGGCAAAGGGCGTGGCAGCCATCGCATACATTGTTATGCTGCATTCAGGGTACGCGGCGCGCGAATTCATTCTGTACAACAAGGCTATCGGGCGGGTCGACTACTCGCTGCCCATTGAGATCGTGGCCGAGTGCCTGGTGTCGCTGGCGGTCATGACGGTTGCGCTTGTGTTTGGCGTTGGCCTGCTGAAGCCCATCAGCTACGAGGCCGAGATGAGCCGGTACTCAGTCGATGGCGTTTACTCGCGACCCTCGTTCCACGTGTACAACCACCGCGGCCGCTACCTGCGCCCGGTCCAGAAGGCCTAGGGTAACAGTTCCTTTCTTAAAAATACATTGATGTGATGCGAAAGGACGGGACAGCGCTCCCCTAATGCTGCCAGATGATTCTGTGCGTACAGTAGTCGAAACAGGCAACATGCAGCATCATGCAATTCGGCTACCTGCGTTTATATATGTACATCAAGCAGAAATGGAGTCTTTTGAGAGCTCGTCGCGAGCCATTACTGGAATCGACGCTGTGTGCGACTTTTGTAAGCAATAGGAAGTAGCTCCTGGGTCTTTAGTGTCATGGAAAGCAGTGCGCTCAATTATACTGGTTTGAAGTAGTGGAGGTATACATACACTCGATCCTGCATGCCCGCAGACTGTACCCTGATGCGCTTTTCGAGGCTCGCTTTGCCTACGGGATCCCCGTCAAGGCAAGCCGACACCCAGAGCTGAACCAGTACATTAGCGAAGTAGTGGCAGCAGTCAGGACCGAGCTAGCCAAGGTAAGCAGAGCAGCAGAGCTGCGTACCAGCCGCCTTGCTTGGCTGCATGCATTAATGGCTATCTCATTTAGGGAGATGACGGCCTGGGGGACGTCATGGTCCGCATTGCCGATGCGCTTGACACCACGCTGGAGATGTTTGTTTTGGAGATTTCATCCGTTAGCATAGCGGCTGTCAGTAGCCAGGAGGTCGACTTCCGCGCAGCGCTGACCCGGCTCCAATTCGCTCGAAGAGGTGCAGCTTCCGAAAGGTATTCATTAGAGCAGTAGCCGTACACATTGCCCTACTGCCCAGTGCGGAAAGAGCAGTGTCGATTTCCAAAATATGCTGCCTGCTACTGACATAATGCAAACTACGAGAATGCTCGATGTTTTAGATGCAACGTTTCACGTTTATTACCGCACGCGGAGTGGGCGTCCGCCGTCACTGGACAAGGTACGTTGCTGTGTGGAGTGGAGGGGAGGGGATGAGCAGTTGAATGGCGCGACTAGTTTTTCGGGCCTGCATGATGACTCAAGCATACACAGTCATGTAGAACGCGTGGATCCGGGGCACAGGTGAGCAAGTGCCCCTGCCTGGTGTTACCAGCGAGCAGCGCCGTCTTGTTCCGCTGAGCTCGATCAGCAGCAGTGGGCTAAAGGTGAGTGAAGTGCAATCAACACCCCGTCTCGGGCAAATACCACATCCTTAGTCCGCACACATCCTAAGCAACTGGCCCTCTTCCGGCTTCGCACATGTAGGCACAGGCATTCGCCATGCTGGCAGGGCACAGGTAACGGCAGCTGCCAGAGGCTGCAGCGCTCAATGGCCAAGGAGTGCGACCGAGAAAAGGAGAAAAGAGACCGCAGAGGCCGCGTCAAGGGCAGGCGGACAGCAAGCAGACAAGAAGCGCCAGGCAGGCTCCTGAATGGCTCACCTCGCGGCGAACAATGGGCGACTGCATTGGGCTATTTGCGGCAGCAACCAGCGACAAATAAGCCAGTGTAAGCCTCGCATTATTTTTCTAGCGCATCTTTGTAGCCAGGCGTGATGAGTGACGGAAAGAAAGAAAAACGCAAAAAGTCGATGTATATCGTGGGCAGTTTGGCCGAAACCTCTTCTCCTCTGGCCACTTTCGTTTTATATTATTTTCTCTCTTTATTTCTCTTTTTCTGTCCTTTTTCATTTCTTTTTCATTCCTTTTATCGTTCTATTTCTTCCTCTTTTTTCCTCTCCTTTTTGTCTATTTCATTTTCCTCTTCATTTATTTATTCACGCAAATGATGGAAGGTCCGGCTACGACTCCTAGTGGAAACAACGCGGCCTATGTACGCTGCCCCCCAGGGCCAGGCACAGCAGGTGTCTCCGGCCAATGGTGGTGGTAGTGCTGCTGCTCCGTTCGCCGCCGCCGCCGCAGCCTCTGGCAAGAGCGCCGACGACCCGAACGCAAAGTCGCTCTATGTCGGCAACCTGGACCCGCGCGTCACGGAGCAGGTTCTGTTCGAGATCTTCTCGGCTGCCTTGCCCCGTCGTCGCCGTCAAAATCATCCCTGACAAGAGAGTAAGTCATCTTGGTAGCCCGGTGCTGTTCTGCTTGCCGTGAATTAATGGCGTACGGTAGCAATGGCGCTTCCCCTCCCCGCACAGCAATCTTGAGCATCATCTTTGTGTCTGCGTAACTTGCTTTCTACTCTGGAGCCCATGACGTGCTGCAACCAACTGGCTCATTCTGCCTCTTGACACACGCAGCGATCTGCACCGTGGCCCATGCACCTACTAATTGGCTGCTTCTGATTCAAGGGGAGGGGAAGCGGACAGACCGCAGATGGGCCCTGGGGTGGGGGGGGGTCTGGATGCTCACATGCTCTGCCTTTTCCGATCCTTGCCGCAGGCCCAAGCCGCCTGCCCGCATTCTGAGAAGTCCTGTTGATGATCGGCGTGCGCATTAATGAATGGCATCTTGGCTAACTATTTCTGTTTTATGCTTAGGGCCATGGCGGTCTCAGCTACGGGTTTGTCGAGTTTCGCGACGCACCAGGACGCCGAGGCCTCGCTGCAGGCGCTCAACGGTCGCCGCGTCTACGAATATGTAAGTGTCCGGTGAGAAAGCGGCGAGTGTAGACTGGATGACGGTGTAGCATGGTGGCTGCAACCGGACCATCAGACCTATTTGCTCAGCCGCGCCCTGCGGCCGTCCTCTTCTCCCCAGCAACTCCCCCGCCCGCTCATTCCCAACTGACCACGCCAAAATGGCATCCCATCGCCTTTGTGCTGCTGTAGGAGATTCGTGTTAACTGGGCGTTCACGGGTGGTGTGCAGATCCAGGAGGACACCAGCAACCACTTCCACATCTTTGTGGGTGACCTGAGCTCCGAGGTCAACGACCAGGTCCTGGCCAAAGGCCTTCAGCGCCTTTCCGTCCATGAGCGACGCGCGCGTCATGTGGGACATGACGTCGGGGAAGTCGCGCGGGTACGGATTCGTGGCCTTCCGCGACCGCAGCGACGCTGACAACGCGATCAGCTCGATGAACGGCGAATGGCTTGGCAGCCGGGCTATCCGCGTGAACTGGGCAAACCAGAAGGCCGCGCCCAAGTCCCGTGCCGAGCCGATGCACAGTGCCCAGCAGCCGCTGTCCTACGACGTGATCGTTGCGCAGACCGCACAGTACAACTCCACCGTGTATGTGGGCAACCTGACCAACTACACGACGCAGGAGCAGCTGCAGCCGCTGTTCCAGCCCTTTGGCTTTGTGATGGAATTCCGCATGCAGCCCGAGCGCGGCTTTGCCTTCATCAAGATGGACGCTCACTGAGAACGCCGCTATGGCGATCACGCAGCTCAACGGCACCATGCTGAACGGCCGCCCGATCAAGTGCTCGTGGGGCAAGGACAGGACCACCGATCCCAAGGCTGCCTTTGGCGCTGCTGCCGCAGCAAACCCGGCCTACTCGTACCCGTACGCGTACGGCTTGCCCCAGCAGCAATACGGCCTCCCTGGCGCCGCCGGTGCCCAGCAGCCGCCCCCACAGGCCAACAACCCGCAGGGCTGGAGCAACTTTGGCTACGAGCAATACGGCTATTACAACGCGGCCAGCTACCCGCAGCCTGGCCAGCTCATGCCCCAGGCCGCGATTGGCGTCCACGCCTCGGCCCCTGGATCCGTGCCCTCTGCCGCCCATGTCCACCAGGGCCACGAGGGAGCCTACTAAGGCAGAAGCCCAAACACCCTGCTTTCGCTGTTGACTGCTGCTGCTGCTCTGGCGGTGGACTCTCCATTTGTAATGGCCCGTCCCGTCTTACATTCACTACCGCTCCTCCTTCTCCCTAAACGTACCTTATAGCCGTTCTTTGGTCTTTATTTTGCGATTCATAACTTTCTACCACATCCTCCTCTCGCTTCCCGACTCCGCTTTCCCTCCCGAACCCCCCCCGCTACTATTCTCCCAATTATTTTTCGCTCTATCTTGTACCAATTTGCTTTTCAGCCCTTGCTCTCGCTTGCTCACTTCCTCAGCTGCTGCGTTTTTCTCACTTTTACTGCGTGTTCCTGCGTCCGTCTGGCTGATTTGTCCTGCAAGGGGGTGTCCCAATCATCGAATTAGCAATTTACGGCATATGCTGCCACTTTAGTGCCGCTAGTGTTTTCTCCAGAGAAACCGAGCTTAAATATATACAAAAATCCTGCTTTCGCAGAGGGACCGTTGATGTGATTTTCATTGGGGGACGGTGCTATGAGGCCGGGGGATATATGCAGTGGACATCCTCCCGTGCAGAAGTTCCAGGATATTCCCACATCTCTTTTGCAATGTCTTGCGCGGAGCCGAAATGCGGATCTTCGCGCATATCACCATTAGTATATATAGTGTATCGGCTGCAGATCAATTAGGGACCATTTCCCGATGATCTGCGGGGGAGGGGGAAGAGCGGACGATGGCGGAGGATACTGCAGTCTGCACAGTACGAAAACGACGTCGCGTTGTTGATTCCTGCACCTCACATCGCCCAGTCCCCCCACGCATGCCAGCTTGAAGGCTGGAGATAAGGTGGGAGTCGGTTTTAGCAGATGGGAACACGACCTCGGTGGTGAGCAGAGTGGAATTTTTCCCAAGCCTATCTATCGTCTTAGCTTCCTCGCATATCAGCCCTCCGAAAGGAAAAAGAGACGCAGCCGTGGATCCCTGGCTCCACCCAACTCATGGCGCTGCATGTATGTGGGGTAGGAGGACCGGGCGTTGACTGAGCCTGGCACCCAAGTGGGGGTTTTCTAGAGAAAACCAACACCAGACATGGGGGAGGACAGCAGATCAAAGGTGGCGTGCGATGTGCAGTGCCGTGGCCTGTCAATTTTTTTTGCAGCATTCGCTCCTCTACCTGCGCCATGCATTGATGGCAGCCATTTGCACAATCAGCGTGAAGCACCACTGACTACCCCACCCTGTTGCCAGCAGCAGGCTATTGTTCAGGTCCAGGAGCTATTCATAGACACCTGTCTCCATCGTATCGGAATGGCAAAAGAGGGCTGCGCTGTAGATTGCGCACGTCCTTGGCCCGGACAAGAAATCAGGGATGGGTACAAAGGGCCTATCATGTAATCGAGTACCAAATGGGGAAGGTATGCGGAGATATGGCATGCAGCCGGTGGCGGCGATGAGCAGCATATATTTTTAGCCTGCAAAGGATGGAGCAGCTCGTTTGCTCATCTCTCCCGCTCCAACCTCGCCTCCGAAGGAGATCTTGCATTTTTGCGCGCTCGGTTCCGCAATGAGCACGCTGTCTAAAATAAAACAAAGGGGCACTAGAGTGCACCATATTGTGATCCGCTGAGTACTTTGTGATGGTGGACGAGCAAAGGAAGCAAATCGCCGAGTCTCCTAATCTTGCGCATCCTCATGTCAGTGCGGAGTGCATTGGGCATTGACTTTGGGCGATAATGCAGGTATGGTGAATGTTGGAGGTTTTTTGCGGAGAAATCGTGTATGCATTTTCCCATGTCTGCGTATCTCTGGAGACGAGAGATACGATAATGGCTCAGATCCCGCCTCTGGAGAGCGCCAACCTTGGCACCCCCCCTTTCCCGTTGCTGGAAAGTGCTCGGTAGTGCCATAGGCTGAATGGGTGGGTTGGTAGGCCACAATGATAGGCGCGCCACTGCTTTTTTTTTATCTCTCGGCGTGTATGCATGGTCAAGTACCCCAGGCCTGTCCGCATTTGAAGCAGTCCCTAATCTCGATAGTGGGGCCCACGTATTTAAACCAGCTGGCATCCGCCGCATGTGCAGTCCTGTCGACTACTAATCACCTTATTCCATTTGAACCTCTGTCGAAATAACAAGCGACACTTTTCGTAACTTTACATTTCTGAAACCAACCCCCTCCTGTTTAGTTGCTTTTCCGAAACCAGCCGATTTTCAAATGGAGACCTACGCACCCCGACTCCTTATTGAGTACAACCAATTCCAGGTTGAAATTATTGTCAGCTGCGCGCAGCTACCCGCGGGCCGTGCTCTCGCCAAGGCGTTCGTCAAGCAGCCGCTGGACAACGTAACCAGCGCGATCGCGCTATTCGCGCGCTTCATTGAGTTCACCTCGACCCGCGACGCCGACATTGCTCTGGCGGCCTTCACGCACTTCAACAAGAAATTCTGCACCGACACCGACATCCACGTTGTGGTCGTTCAGGAGAATCTGGACTTTGAGCAGGCGCAGAATGTCCTGCGTGGCTACTTCTCTGTGGCCGGTATTCTGAAGGCGCGCAATGAGCCGCTGCCGACGGTCCCTGGGGCGCTGTTCTCTGCCACTGGTGTTAAGCGCATTGCGCAGTTTGGCGGGCAGACGGGCTCCAGGAACTACCTTGAGGAGGCCAGGTGGCTGCTGGATGTGTATCGGCCGCTGGTCGGCGATTTTGTGGCCAGGGTCTCTGGATTCCTGCAGCAGGAGGCTAAGGATGCCAATGTTGCTGAGGCGTATCCGGAGGGTCTTGATCTGCTGAGATGGCTGGCAGAGCCCGAAAAGACGCCGAGCAAGGCGTATCTGCTTTCGGCAGCAATCACTCTGCCGTTGGTTGGACTTATCCAGCTTCTGAATGTCCTGGTGCTGTTCAAGACGCTGCAGGTGGAGCCTGGCAAGCTTTCGACACTGTTTGACGGTAAGTCTGAATTTGAAAAAAAGGACTGCATTTTGTTTTGTGCCAGGATTTTGGTTTCTAACTGCTGTTTTTTTTTTTGCTGTTGTTTAATAGGCACGATTGGGCACAGCCAGGGCCTGGTAATTGCGGCGGCGGTGGCATCGGCGACCGACGAAGAGTCATTCTACAATGTGTCAGAGAAGGCCCTTGGAATTCTTCTGACGCTGGGCGCCCTGACGCAGCTGGACTACCCAGCGCCGGCGATCAAGCCGGAGCTCATCAAGGAGGCCATTGCAAACGAAGGCACGCCATCGCCTATGATCTCAGTGCAGGGTCTGAAGCACGCGACGGTGGAGCAGTTTGTCTCTGCGCACAATGCCCGGCAGACGTCCAAGTCGATGCACGTGCAGCTGTCGCTGGTGAACTCGTTTGACCGGTTCGTGGTGGTGGGCGAGACGCCGGCAGTGGTGCGGTTCGTGCGGTTCGTGCGTCCGCAGCTGGCGTCGGCCTCCGAGGACCAGTCAAATGTGGCGTTCTCGCAGCGCAAGCCCGTGGGCCGCCTCAGCTTCATCATATCGTCGGCGCCATTCCACTTCGTCTATAACCGGGCATCGCCGGCACGCCAGCTTGAGGTTGTGCAAAAGAAGGGCTGGACACTGGAGTCTGGGAACCTTCAGGTGCCCGTGCATGCCAGCAGCGACGGGCATGATGTGAGGGCGGAGACGGATCTGACAGGGTACCTTCTGGAGACGATTGCGTTTGAGGGGATTGACTGGCCAAAGGCGATGGCGGAGACTGGAGGAACGCACTTTGTGGATTTCAGTCCTGAGAGCCAGGCGTCGTTTGGCGGGATCTCGCAGCGCGGCCAGGAGGGCCGCGGCGTGACGGTGGTTGCCAAGTCGGAGCTGCTGCCGGGCACCAACCGGCGCCTGGGCAGCAACAGCGACCTGTACAAGCGCGCGATCACTGAGGTGGTGCAGCCGGAGGACTGGCAGAAGCAGTTCGGCCCGCGACTGGTGCGCACAAGACACGACGGGCAGCTGCATGTGGACTCCAAGATGAGCCGCGCATTGGGACGGCCGACGGTCATGGTTCCGGGAATGACGCCGACCACCACCAACGAGAAGCTGGTGGCAGCAGTGGCCACGGCTGGGTTCCATGTGGAGCTGGGCACGGGCACGGTGTATGAGTCGGCGGTGTTCCAGCGCAAGCTCGAGAACCTGACCGAGCTTCTGCCCAGCGGCCACGGGATCACAGCCAACCTGGTGTACGTCAACCCGGCGCTCTGGGACTACCAGTACCCGCAGCTTCTGCGGCTGCGGCGCTCGGGCTTCCCGATCTCGGGTCTGTGCGTCAGCGGCGGCACGCCGACCGTGGAGGATGGCGCTAAAATCATCAGCGACGTGAAGGCGGCCGGACTCCACCACGTGGCATTCAAGCCTGGCACCGCCGCGTTCATCCGCGATGTCGCCAGCATGGCGGGCGCCCACCCGGATTTCCCCGTCATTCTGCAGTGGACCGGCGGGCGTGCCGGCGGTCACCACTCCAACGAGGACTTCCACGAGCCGATCCTGGCCACATACGGGGCTGTGCGGTCGCACAAGAACATTGTTCTGATCGCCGGGTCCGGGTTCGGCGGCATCGACGACACGTTGCCGTATGTGACCGGTGACTGGAGTGTAAAGTTCGGGCGGCCCGCGATGCCGTTTGACGGAGTTTTGGTGGGCTCGCGGATAATGGTGGCGCGGGAAAGCGCGGCGGCAGATTCGGTCAAGGATCTGATTGTGGCGACGCCCGGCGTCAGCGACAGTGACTGGGAGAAGACGCTGCAGGGCCCGGCCGGCGGCATCGTCACGGGCCGCGCAGAGTTTGGTGAGATGATCCACTTTGTGGCGAACCGCATGGCGCTGTTTACGCGCCAGCTGCATGAGCGGGTTTTCTCGCTGCCCAAGGACAAGCAGCTCGAGGCACTGCGGGCGAACCGCGAGTATTTGATCGAGCACCTCAACAGCGACTGCATGAAGCCGTGGTTTGGACGCACCAGGGACGGCCGCAACGTCGATGTTGAGGAGATGACGTATGCGGAGGTGGCCGAGCGGCTGGTTGACCTTCTGTATGTCAAGCACCAGAGCAGGTGGATTGACCCGAGCTACGCCGTCTTGGTGACCGACTTTTTGCAGCGCATCGAGGACCGGTTCGCCACCTCCGAGGTGGTCTATGCGGTGCAGGCGGCGGGCGAGCTGACCAGCCCATACGAAACCGTTGCCAGCATCGAGCAGGCGTATCCGGACGCGCAGGCGCAGCTCCTGACGTCGGAGGATGTCAAGTTCTTTTTGGCGCTGTGCAAGCGGCCTGGACAGAAGCCGGTTGCGTTTGTGCCGGTGATCGATGAGGAGTTCGGCACGTGGCTGACCAAGGACTCGACATGGCAGGCGGAGGACCTGGAGGCGGTCGCGGGGCAGGACGCGCAGCGCGTGCTGATCCAGCAAGGCCCGGTGTCGGTGCGGTACTCGACCAAGGCCAACGAGCCGGTCAAGGACATCCTGGATGGCATCTACCAGGGCCACATTGCGCACATCCTCGAGCGCTACTACGCTGGCGACATCTCCAATGTGCCCGAGGTCGACTATCTCGGCACACCGCCCCAGCTGGCCGCACTGCCGGACTCGGTGTCGGTCAAGGCATCGGTGACCGAGCGCGTGTATAAGCTGGGCAACGAGCTGCCGGAGAACGAGCTGTGGCTCGCGGAGCTGGCCGGGCAGGAGAGCAGCTGGCTGAATGCGCTGCTGACGGCGCCGGTGGTGGTCCAGCAGAAGCAGTTTGCGGCCAATCTGGTGCGCGACATGTTCCGCGCGCGCGCCGGCCGCACCGTCACTGTGCGTTTGGTGGACGGTAAGCCAGCGAGCGTCAGCTTTGTATCGGCGCAGGGCACAGCAGAGCTCGAGGCCCAAATCAGCGGCCAGACGATCTCGGTGACGGTCTTCCATCCGAATGGCTCTGGGCGCTGCACCATCGCGCTGGCATTCACGTACCATCCCGATACGCCATTGGCGCCGATCCACGAGCTGGCAGGAGTGCGTGACGACCAGATCCGCAATGCCTTCCAGGCGCTGGTCAGCGAGTGGCTCAAGGACGAGCTGCTGCCAGGTCGGCGACATCTCCGAAGCCGACCGAGTTCCAGGCGAGCCGGGCGTTCACGGTGACGCAGGAGCATGTGGACAGGTTCTGCCGGATCGCCGGTAACAAGGAGCGCGCCTATAGCAACGGGTCGGCACCCATGGACGTGCTGTTCTTTGCGGCGTGGCCCGAGATCCTAGCGGTTCATGCTTTCGCGCGAAGCCTACGGCGGACTGCTGAACCTTCTGCATCTCTCCAACGCATTCACGCTGACCGACAAGGCGCAGCTGCGCATCGGCGATACTGTGCAGACGGCGATCCGCGCCGACTCGGTCACCAACACCGACCAGGGCAAGCTGATGAAGCTGCAGGCCACGCTGTATGTCGAGGGCAGAGAGGTGGCCCAGATTGCATCCGAGTTCCTGGCGCGCAACACTGTTATTGAAGCCGAGCTGGCGTTCAACAACCAGACCAGCTCGCGCCAGGTGCTGCTGAAGACGCGCGAGGACGTCGCAGGTGCTTGAGGCCAAGGAGTGGTTTGCCTATGTGGGCACTGAGCGTCTGGCGCCGGGTGCCCTGGTGGAGTTTTCGGTCAATTCCAGCTACCGCTACAAGTCTGTTGATGTGCTGGCAAGCGCCCAGGACCTCCTGGGACCGTTTCCCTGGCCGATGGCTCGGTGATTGGCACCATCGACTATGCCAGCGGCGAGAGCTTCGGCGACCCAGTCTCCGACTACATCAACACGCAGGGCTCCAGCACCTGACTCCAGCGTGCGGTTTGCGCACGACGGCCTGCCGATTCTCTCGGCTTTGCCCTGGCGGCAGAATCCTTGCCACGGCTCCTTTGGATAACTGGGAGTACTCGCACGTCTCGGGCGACTACAACCCGATCCACACCAACACGTATCTGGCCGACTACGCGCAGCTGCCCAACACCATCACCCACGGCATGTGGACGTCGGCGGCGACCCGGGCGCTGGTGGAGCGCCATGTGACCGATGGCCGGCCGGAGCGCATGCGCTCGTATAGCGTGCGGTTCGTCGGCATGGTGTATCCGGGCGACCGCCTGGAGACGCACGTGCGGCATGTGGGATTCCGCAGCGGCAATCTGCTGATTGAGGGCGAGACCAAGGGCCCGCGGGGCGTGGTGCTGGAGTTTGCAGCCGAGGTCACTCCCCTGCAGACCGCCTATGTGTTTACTGGCCAGGGCGCGCAGTTCGCCGGCATGGGCATGGATCTGTACGAGTCATCGCCAGCATGCCAAGAACGTGTGGGATTCGGCCGACCAGCATATGCGCACTACCTACGGCGTGTCGCTGCTGGATATTGTGCGTCACAACCCGACCGAGCTGACGGTCAAGTTTGGCGGCCGTCGCGGTGCTCAGATCCGCAATGCCTACCGGGCGCTGGTTGGCACCCGGCCGCTGTTCCCGGGCATCACCGAGCACTCGGCCAGCTTTACGCACCGGGCAGCCGGCGGTCTGCTCAATGCCACGCTGTTCACGCAGCCGCTGCAGACAGTCCTGTCGCTGGCGTACCTGGCCGACCTGCGCTCCAAGGCACTGGTGCCCTGAGAATGTGCTGTTCGCCGGTCCACTCGCTGGGCGAGTTCGGCGCTCTGGCTGCAGCCGGCCAGCTGGTCGGTGTTGAGGCTGCGGTGGACATTGCGCTGTTCCGCGGGCTGCTTCTGCCACGCATCGGTGGCACGCGACGAGCTCGGCCGCTCAAAGTACGCCATGGTGGCGGTCAACCCGTCGCGCATCGGCAACGGCTTCGACGAGCTGGCGCTGGAGCACCTCGTGGCCGAGCTGCGCGAGCGCGGCGGCCACCTGCTCGAGGTCATCAACTACAACGTGCAGGGGCTGCAGTACATTGTCACTGGCCATCTGGCGCAGCTCAATGCTCTGCGCCTGGCGCTGGACCATGTGTCGTCGGGGAAGACGCTGGCTGAGGCTGCGCAAACGGCGCTTTTGGCGGCTGATGACGCCGAGCTGCAGAACAGCCAGTTCACCACTGTGATCCAGGGCGTCGACGTGCCCTCGCACTCGAGCCAGCTGGCCGGCTCCGTCGACAGCTTCCGCCAGCTGCTGGCGGCCAAGATCCCGCAGGTAACCTACGGGCGCCTGTACAAGCAGTACATCCCCAATGTCACTGCCAGGCCGTTTGAGGTCTCGCAGAACTATTTCACTTTGGCTCGCGATGTCACTGATTCGCCGGTTCTGGCACTGGAGCTGGCGCGCTGGAACGACCAGGCCGGGGAGGAGGAGCTGGGACGGCTGGCAGCATGTGCTGGTGGTTGAGCTGCTTGCCTATCAGTTTGCAGTCGCCCGTGCGCTGGATTGAGACCCAGAATGTCCTGCTGAACGAGCTCAAGGCTGAGCGCATTGTGGAGGTCGGCCCCAGTGCCACTCTGGGCGATATGGCACGCCGCACGCTGCGTGTCAGCAACACTGACTTTGACGGCGCTATTCTGCATGTCGCCCAGCAGGTCCAGTGATGTGTACTATGCACATGACCCTGCATCCATTACACCGGCAGTTCCCGAGGAAGAGGAGCCTGCTGCTGCTCTGCCTGCTGCTGCTCCTGAACCTGTTGCTGCTCCTGTTGCCGCTCCGGCCCCCGTTGCCGCCCCCGCTCCTGTTGCTGCTCCGGCCCCCGTTGCTGCTCCAGTTGTCCAGTCCTGTGCCAAGTGGTCCAGTCTCGGAGGTCCCGATCCAGGCGCTGGAGGTAATCCAGGCAATCATCGCCTGCCAAGGTCAAGAAGCCTATCGCCGATATTTCGCCCACCCAGTGCATCAAGGACTTCTCTGGCGGCAAGTCTACTTTGCAGAACGAGATCACTGGCGATCTGCAGAAGGAGTTCGGCAGTGGTGTCCCTGACAAGGCTGAGGAACTGGCGCTTGCGTCGTTGGCCGCCTGGTATTTCTTCGTTCTCGGGCACGCTGGGCAAGCACGCAACCGCGCTGATTGCCAAGCTGTTCAGCAGCAAGATGCCTGGTGGTTTCGCGCAGTCCTAAGGTGCGCTCCCTGCTGGAGTCCTCCTATGGTCTTGGTCCCCAGCGTCCAGAACGCACTGCTGCTGCATGCCCTGACCCTGGAGCCCAGCGCGCGTTTGGGAAGCGAGTCGGAGGCTACTGCCTGGCTGGACACTGTTGCCAAGTCATACGCAGGCCATGCTGGCATCACTCTTGGAGCCGCTTCTGCTGCTGCTCCGGCTGCTGCCCCAGTTGCTGTCGCTGCAGTCCAGGTCGCCGCCCCTGCTGCTATCGGACCTATTGCTGACGTCCCATTGCAGGCACTGGATGTGATCCAGGCCCTGATCTCCGCCAAGGTCAAGAAGCCGGTCTCCGAGATTGCCAGCAGCCAGTGCATCAAGGACTTCTCCTGGCGGCAAGTCTACTTTGCAGAACGAGATCACCTGGCGATCTGCAGAAGGAATTCGGCAGTGGTGTCCCTGACAAGGCTGAGGAACTGGCGCTTGCATCGTTGGCCGCTGGTATTTCTTCGTTCTCGGGCACGCTGGGCAAGCACGCAACCGCGCTGATTGCCAAGCTGTTCAGCAGCAAGATGCCTGGTGGTTTCGCGCAGTCCAAGGTGCGCTCCCTGCTGGAGTCCTCCTATGGTCTTGGTCCCCAGCGTCCAGAACGCACTGCTGCTGCACGCCCTGACCCTGGAGCCCACAGCGCGTCTGGCCAGCGAGCCCGAGGCAACCGCCTGGCTGGACCAGGTCGCCCAGGCCTATGCCGCCAAGGCTGGCATTACACTGGGTGCTACCGCAGCTCCGGCTGCCATTGCGTCGGCCCCAGGTGGCCATTGCCAGTCCGGTCTCGGACCAGTCGCACCGCGACTACATCATCCAGCAGATCCATGTGATGGCGCGCCACGCCGGTATTGACCTGCGCGCAGGCGACCGCACGGCCGAGGCTGCTTTGCTGGAGTCCAAGGAGACGCAGGCGAAGCTGGACAGGCTTTCCAACGAGCTGGGCGACGATCTGCTGGAGGGCGTGCAGGGCAAGTTCGACCAGCGCAAGGCGCGCCATTTCGACTCGTTCTGGAACTGGGCGCGCCAGGACGCCCTGGCCTGGATCTACCATGTGGTGGCGACTGGCGACGCAAGCGTGGATGAGGAGCGGCTTCTGGCGCTGACCAACCGCGCCACGCCCTACCCTGCTGCAGCTGGTCAGTGCGACCGCTGGCGTGCTGGAGCGCGGAAACGCCAAGCAGGCGGCCGAGTTCGCCTGGTCATTGCACAAGGCCATTGCTGCCGCACTGGATGTCCCAGCCGGTCTACAAGGAGCTGACAAAGTCGACGCGCCCGCAGGTCGATGTTTCGGCCACCGGCAAGGTCACTTACCGCGAGGTGCCGCGCGAGGGCGAGCCGACCATCAACGAGTACGTCGAGCATATGCGCCAGGCTGTCGGCAACGAGGAGCCTTTTGTGTTCCTGAATAAGCAGGACCGGCTCAAGCTCTGGAACCTCGACCACACAAACACCTCTGTGTACTTTGACGTGCTGGCCGACATCGGCCGCTCTGGGCTCTCGTTTGCCGGCAAGACCGCGCTGGTTACCGGCTGCGGCCGGGGTCAATCGGCTCCGGCATCCTGCAGGGCCTGTTGGCGGGTGGTGCCAAGGTCATCGCCACCACGTCAAGCTACAACCGCCGCTCACTGCAGTTCTTCGAGGACCTGTATAGGCAGTTTGGTGCGCGCGGCTCGGAGCTGGTCGTGGTGCCGTACAACCAGGGATCGCTGCGGGACGTGCAGGCGCTGGTCCAGTACGTTTACAGCCCGCAGGGACTCGGCTGGGACCTTGACTACGCTGTGCCGTTCGCTGCCACGTCGGAAATCGGCAAGGACATCACCGGCATTGACTCCAAGTCTGAGCTCGCCCTGCGCATCATGCTGACTAACACGCTGCGGCTTCTGGGCGAGATCAAGCTGGCCAAGGTCGCCCACGGCCACACCTCCTCGCCGGTGCTGGCAATTGTGCCGATGTCGCCGAACCACGGTGTGTTTGGCGGCGACGGCTTGTACGGCGAATGCAAGGCCGGGCTCGAGACCCTGTTCAACCGCTGGAATATCGAGTCGTGGGCCGACTACATCTCGGTGGCCGGCGCTGTGATCGGGTGGACCCGCGGCACCAACATGATGGATGCCAATGACATGAACGCTTATGCAGCGGAGAAGTCCGGCATGCGCTCGTTCAGCACCAAGGAGATGGCCTTCAACATTCTCGGTCTGATGGCAGCTCCGATGGCGGCGCTGGCCGACACCACGCCGGTCTGGGCTGACTTCAACGGCGGCTTCCAGCTGTTTGTCGACTCGGGCAGCACTCTGGTGAACATCCGCAGTGCGCTGATCGACGAGAGCGCTGCGCGCAAGGCCATTGCTAGTGCGTCCCTGCACGACCACAATGTAGTGCACCAGCGCAGTGTTGAGAAGGTCGTCAAGAAGCAGCGCGCGCAGCCGCTGGCCAAGCACCGGTTCGAGAACCCGAAGGTCAAGGCGTATGAGCAGCTGGAGCACCTGCGCAAGCTCGAGGGCCTGGTCAACCTCGATACAGTCGTGGTTGCCACGGGCTACGGCGAGGTTGGTGCCTACGGCAATGCGGAGACGCGCTGGGAGATAGAGGCGCATGGCGAGTTCTCGCTGGAGGGCTGCATTGAATTGGCGTGGATCATGGGGCTGATCAAGCACTTTGACGGCGTCCTGCAGACCACCGGAGCGCACTACGTCGGCTGGGTGGACAGCACAACCGAGGAGCCCGTGCGCGACCGCGACATCAAGGCGCGCTACGAGGAGTACATTCTCGAGCACACCGGTATTCGCCTGATCGAGCCCGAGCTGCACTTGGGCTACGATCCGAACAAGAAGCCCATGCTGCACGAGGTGCAGATTGAGCACGACATGCCGCCCTTTGAGGCCAGCGCCGAGGAGGCCTTCAACTTCAAGAACGGCAACGAGGACAAGGTCGAGATCTGGGAGAACCCCGATTCCACCTGGTCGGTCAAGTTCTCCAAGGGCGCCATCATCCTGGTGCCCAAGGCGCTGCGCTTCGACCGCCTGGTCACCGCCCAGCTGCCCACGGGCTGGGACCCCAAGCGCTATGGCTTCCCGCAGGACCTAATCGACCAGCTCGACCCGACCACCCTGCACTCGGTGGTCGCCACCATCGAGGCTCTGCTGCGCTCCGGCATCACCGACCCGTACGAGCTCTACAAGTACTTCCATCTCTCGGATATCGGAAACACCATCGGCTCCAGTCTCGGTGGCGCCCGCGCCGTCTCCAGCGTCTTCATTGACCGCTTCACCGGCAAGGACATGAACAACGATGTGCTGCAGGAGACCATGATCAATGCGGTCGCCGGCTGGACCAACATGCTGCTGCTGTCGTCAGCTGGCCCCATCCAGCCCGTGGTCGCTGCCTGCGCTACCTCAGGTGGTCGCCATTGATGTGGCTGTCGAGACTATCCAGGCTGGCAAGGCCAAGGTCATGTTTGCTGGTGGCTACGACGACTTCTCCCCTGAGGGCAGCTACGAGTTCGCCCAGCTGGGCGCAACCAACAGCGCGGTGGATGATTTCGCCCAGGGCCGCACGCCCAAAGGAGATGTCGCGCCCGTGCACCACCACCCGCCACGGCTTTCGTCGAGGCCCAGGGCGCTGCTGTGGTCATGCTGATGTCAGCCTCGGCCGCCATTGAGGTCGGCGCACCCATCCACGGCATCATTGCCATGTCCGACACTGCCACCGACAAGCAGGGTCGCTCCATCCCGGCCCCCGGCCAGGGCATCCTGACCACCGTCAGCGAGCGCCCCACCGCCTTCCCCTCGCCCCTGCTGGACATTGACTACCGCCGCGCGCAGCTCACTGAGCGCCTGGCCGAAATCGCCCAGTGGGCGGCCCGCCAGGCAAAGCAAGTCGACCAGGAGCTGGCGCTGCGCCAAGCCCAGGATGCCCAGTTCGACTCTGCTCTGTTCGCCAAGGAGCGTGCGGCGTTTATTCGTGCCGAAGTGAGCCGCCTGCAGAACGACGCGCGGTCTACCTGGGGCAATGAGTTCTGGCGCCAAGACCAGTCGATTTCGCGCATGCGCGGTGCTCTGGCCATGTGGAACCTGACTGTCGATGACATTGGCGTGTCGTCATTCCACGGCACATCGACCAAGGCCAACGACAAGAACGAGTCTGAGGTCATTGACCAGCAGCTGCGCTACCTCGGCCGCACCCCTGGCCACGCAGTCCCCGCAGTCTGCCAGAAATGGCTGACCGGCCACCACAAGGGCGGCGCTGGCGGCGCCATGCTCAACGGCGTGCTGCAGACGCTGCGCACGGGCATTGTGCCGGGCAACCGCAACGCCGACAACATCGACACCGAGTTTGAAAAGTTCGACTACCTGTACTACCCGTCACGGTCGATCCAGACGCCTGGAGTCAAGGCTGGAACTATCACGTCGTTTGGCTTTGCCCAGGCCAGTGGCGAGCTGCTGGTTGTCCATCCGGACTACCTCTATGCAGTGCTCGGCAAGGATGAGCTGGATGTGTACCGGAGCAAGGTTGAGGAGCGCGAGAAGAAGACCTACCGCTACTGGCATGACTCGCTTGTCGGCACTAAGCCGTTTGTCCGTGTCAAGGATGCCGCGCCGTTCAGCGAGGAGATTGAGAAGCAGGTCTACACGGATTCTGGCGCCCGCGTGCACTACGATGCGGCCACCGGCAGCTACCGCTACTAAGTCTCTTTCCATCTCAGCCAGCTTCATCGTGTCCCCTACCCCCTGATGATATTGCAATATATTTCAAGTTCAAATCATATATTCTGCTATCGTGCGAGCAAATCCCGAGCGTCGGACATGCACATAAGCTCGATCCAGCTTACCCCTGACGAACAAGAATAGAGTTGGTCGGCATCTTGCGGAAAGCATTTAGGCTGCCAGAAATACAGAAAACGGAGGTTTCCCTCCCTATCACGGACCGCACTGTTGGAATTCGGCTGAACATCGGAGGGAATGCAAATGCGGACATGGTAGCGGCATACGGACCAGGTGATATTGAGAATGGCACGACAAAAAGGGAGAGCAAGGCTGAATTGTTTTGGTAAACGGATATTCCGCCTGCCATCACTTGGCATATGCGTGCGTGTAGGGAAATCCCTCCTCCGGCCATTTTTGGAAAAGGAACCAATATTGCCAGCACTCTGCGAAGGCCCTATACCAACACAACATAGAGAAATTTTTTCCTTGCTGCTGGCCCGTGTCACTGAGCCGGCTGATCTACACCTACAAAGCAGAATCCTTTGCCATGCAAGATGTATGCGATACATGGCAATTATGCACTGATATGCGCTGTAGGTCATGTGTTCCTTGGCCTGGTGGCCCTGCTAGGAGATAGATCGCCGCTGCCTTGTGCGTATCTTCGTCCTTCCCCCACAGAGAGCACAAGGGAACGATCTGGTCACGCTGTTTTCTTTTTCTTATTCTAGCGACCACAAGAATAGCCAGGTCCGCATTGGTAAATGCGCCAGCAAAAACACGACACGGCATCCAGCATAGTGTGCTGGGTTAGCAGGTGATGGATGGAAAAAGGACCTCCGCCATGTGTGGTGCAGTAGATGGGAGCGGAGCGGAGAGGCTTGCCGTAATTGCCAGTCCCCGGAGAAGCACTGGCACCGATTTCGTTTTTTCCAAAAGGAAAAAGTTCAGCCGGCAGTATATAACGGAACCCACATGTCGAGCATGGTGCGACAACTCAAAAAGAAAATCATTCACTGCTGTTATTTTTGTTTTCATTCTCCTTCACATCCCTTTCCTTTCTTACAAATTTTTTTTTTCGTGTTCATCTCTTCGCTTTGCCAATAAAAAAAATGAACTGCTGGATATGTGGGGTCTTTGTCGACACCCTCGACTCGTTCTACACCAGCCTAAAGACCGGCGACTGGAGGTTCGAGGTGTCCGGCGATGCACGCCAGTATGAGAAAGGCAAGTGGAAAAACAAGCAAGCCCTCCAAAACAGGAGGCTTTAGAGTTTCTTTGGCAGCTAATGGCCCACACCGGCATTGTAGATGTCGAGGCGTTCTCCTGTGGCGATAGCCGGATGTTTGCCGAGGGCTTCCGGGTGCTCAACATGTACAGCGGCGTCAGCCCCCGGGATGGTTGCTGCCTGGTGGACCGGCGATTCGACGTGGTGCGCACATTCGACTCGCTGTTCAAAAATACGCCCATCCGCATTGTCCAAGAAGCGTAAGTATTTTGGAAAGGCCCTACGGTGTGGATGTAGCATAGCGCACTAACATGGCCATTACATGTAGAAACCCCAACGAGGCCGAGGGCAGCCTGTTTTCGGGCGACATCCAGGGCATCATTGTGCATGAGGCCTGCCTGGACATCCTGACGGGCGAGCTGAACCGGCGGCGCGTGCCGTGGACGTACCGCGGAATCACAACTAACGCGTGCCTGCAGCCGACAGTCATGAATCTGGACTTTGCGGTGCCCGGGTTTGCCCAGCACGAGACCGATACAGTGGCGCAAAAGTTCAGCGAGTTCGGCTTCTACGATGCCAGCAATCTGTGGCTGCTCGCCAACCCCGCGACCCTGCCATCTGCCTGAGTCGCTCACTCCGTCCGACCGCTCCTACCTGGCCAGCATGCAGCTGCAGCACTCTGCTTTGCTGGCGCTACCCAGCGAGATCCTCAACAACATGATGCGCTTTCTGGACGAGGCGTCGCTCATCTCGCTCTTCTTTGCGTGCAAATTCATCGGCGCTGAACCCGGGTTCTGGCGCCGGATGTTTGTTGCGTCGTTCAAGCACGTGGCAGGCAGGCGACGCAGTGCCGGGCATGGACTGGCATGCGTACTACCGCCGGGCAACCCGGTTCCGGATGAACCTGCGAAATCGGGCGCGCATCACGGCTATTGTAAGACACAACATCCCAATGTTTGAGACGTGGAACCGCCGGTTGCGTCCCGATATCGAGCGAATTGCCAATGCCTTTCTGGCGGCCCGGCGCAGATGCGAGGAGGATTTCTACGATGTCCATGCGCCAATTCTGGCAGTATGAGCCTGGGGGATGGGTGCCAGGAATTTATTTTTGTACTTCGAGGAGCCGATCCACAAGACGATGACATCGATTCCCGCGTTTTTCCGAATACGAGGTGGGAGCTGGCTTCGCATTCTCTGATTTTTTCCTTTTCTCAACCTGTAGTTCTTCAATTTATAATTATACCACTTTTTTATTTCCCTGCATGGACCAATTAAACAGCTACCTGCTAGGGGTCATTGAGTCCAGTTACGAGAACCTGGCACACCTGGTGCCGTGCGGCTCGTTCCTGGGGCTGTTTGACGAGCGGCCAGTGAAGCGCACGCGTCTTAGCAGACCGCAATTGGGCGAGACCGGACACCGGGTGGCAATCGGCGGGACGTTTGAATTCGACGACAGCGAGTCTACCTGCACCGCTATCACACGGCTGGCCAAGGCAGCCATGACAGAGACCCCGCCGGTGGACGTCCTGCGGACAGTGGTGGACGGCGTGCGCAACATCCACGACGCCAGCGCGGTGCTGGACATTGGGTTCCGTGCGCTATTCGAGATATTCCAGCAGCGGCTCGAGTACCACTGCGCGAACCGATACAGTAACGTCAAGAATGGAGAGCGGCCTGGGGAGTTTTCCGAGAGCAGCGGCACGTTTGGCGAGGAGTATCTGATTTTGACCTCGCTGTTTGAGCTGCACCGGCCGCGCACGTGGGTGGCAGCGGTCCGGCTGGTATCGATGGTGACGAAGCTGGCAATCAAGATTATGTACGGCGGGACTACGCCAGGTGACCCACCCAGTCTGTCGGCAGGCACACACGCGGCGTCGCTGTCGGAGATCAGCGGGCAGAGCCTGCTGCCCGAGAAGGTGTGTCGCGAGATGATCCGGCTTGTGTGGCGGCTGCTGCTGGACAGCTCAGCAACGGAGCCGGCGACACGTAGCGTGCTAGGGTCGGCACGGCGCACGCGGTGGCAGATCCGGTTCGAGGCGACAATGGAGCTGTTCGACTGTTTTGTCGGGCGGTCGGAGCAGTGCCTGGGGCGGCCGCTGGTGTCCTACTACCTGATTGCACGCGAGCTGGACCCGGGAGCAGCCGTGGCTGAGTCGGGGATCCTGGCAGGCGAAATGCAGACCATCGTGGACCTGTGCTTCAGCCGGAAACGGCGGCTCGGCCGTATCCTGCTGCCGCCCGACGGCTCGTGGCCGCTTATCTCCCACGCGAGTCGCGCTCACACGGTCAAACATGTGTATGACCAACCCGGGTACGCACTGGTGCGCGACTCGCTGACATTCGAGGAGACTGAGCGCGGCCCATCAGCCAACAAGTACGTGGCCGACATGCTGTACCAGCGCGCGCCCACAGACGAGGTGTTTGCGGCTATCCGCAACCACCGGATCATGAAGAAGCGGGCGCTGGCAGCAGTGGACAGCGACAGCTATGTGCCGAACCGAGTGACACAGCAGGCGGACGGGTCATTCAGTGACAACGCCGAGGCAGAGCAGTCAGAAACAGCGCAGCTACTGCTGGACGCGCTGGCACAGCGCATCGAGCACATTGTTCGGTACATCCAGAGCCAGTGCGACTTTGAGACCCTGCTGAACGAGCGCAAGCTCAATGAAAACTCTGACGAGAGTATGATTGTGCCACGCAACGTGCAGTACTGGCAGTTAATGAACGAGGTAGCAGACCAGCTGTACTACTTTGTGCTGTTCGAGACAATTCCGTACAAGGCGGTGCACGAGCGGTTCTACAGCATGGTGTTCCCCAAGGACAGCGACATCCACCCGGGCAGCGAGACGCGGCGCGACAACTCGTACATCTGGCTGCTGCTGCAACTGTTCCACATCGAAAAGGTGTCGAACGGCGTGATCAAAGAGGACCTGGCGGGCGACGAGGACATGCTCGACCAGCTGCTGCAGATGTACAACGAGCGGCAGATTGTGTCCAAGGATGCGCTGTATCTGCGAGATCTGTCGCTGCAGGCAGCAATGTACCACCAGAATGCCAACATCCGCGACAATGCCGGTGTAAAGTTCCGGCATCCGCGGCTGGCAGTGGCAATGCCATTTGCGCCGGTTCTGTTCCGGCTGCAGAAGGAGTTCGCGCACGACTACAAGGAAGACAACTATGAGCTGCTAGATGGACGGTCAATCAGCAATGTGATGAAGGTGGCCACAGTCAGCCAGTTCCGGCAGTACGTGGTGCCGAACACACTGTACACATACCTAGTGCCGTCGCGCGAGGACATTGGACAGCTCCAGGGGCCCATGACAACGTATTTGAAAGGCGGCAACATCGGGTACCAGGTACTGGACTACATCAACGTGGGAGGCAAGCACCGCATGCTGCAGCTGGTGTACAAGATGATGCTGGCGCACGAGCAAGGCCCGCAATTCCAGTTTGGCACACAGCTACCGCAGGCACGCGATGACATCGTTTGTGTGTCGCCGCACATCGTTGACACAGTGTATCCGGCTGCTGTACAACGCACCATATTCGAAACGAGCTGATGATGAAGGAGGTGCTAGGAGAAGCTGCGGCGGTGCGACAAGGTCATGGCGCTAGGCACGACGCGGTTCTCGCCGGCCACCCTGCGGTGGCTATACACGGTCTACCAGCTGATGAACTGCCGGACTGCTGCGGTTCTTCAAGTACTATGCGCACGCGTCGCATCTGGTGCACCACCTGCGGCACTCGCTGGTGCATGTCACGCACCGGCAGCTGTATAGCTCGCTGGAGTGCTTTGCGCTGTGTCTGGTCAACCTGCAGCACGATGTGGAATTCCTGCAAGCACTGATGAACCCGGCGTACCACGGCGTCCCGCTAACGCCGCACCCAAGCGCGATTGGCGCGGCTCGCAGAATCGCATATTCGAAGCCCAAGGATGCGTGGTTCGAGTGTGCGATGCTGGCGCGCAACGCTGTCATGGTGATCTCCCGCATCGTCGTCATGCGTGGACTGGGCGACGTGCCCTGGCCTGTCGCTGACCGACTGCCTCGACAGCCTGTCGCCGGCACCGCAGTTCTGGGCGCCGTCAGTGCTGCGCTATCCTGCCGCGACCCGTACGTGCCTACTACGCGAATCACGCGCGCGCACCCAAGGGGGCCACACTGTTCCCGCCGCCGCCATCGATCCGCAAGCTTATTGAGTCGCACCCCGTTCATAAGGTGCTGCTGAGCGCGGCACCGAATCCGCAGGCCGAGAACGAGCTGCGACAGTTCTATGCGCAGCGCCAGCGCCAGCCAGTGTTCCTGTGCGTTCTGTGGGTGGTACTTGGAGCGCCTGGCCATGGCACAGGCTGGACGGACACCGGCGCTGCCGTCGCAGATGATGGCAATTGTGCGACGCGTGCTGCTGATGTTCCCGCTGTCGCAGATGTCAGCGTACACGTCAGCGCTGGTCGACTTCATTGTGGCCAGCGAGCTGGAACGCGGGCTGACAGCGCCGAGCGCGGCCACCAAGCGGCTGCTGGACGACTTCACGTTCACATTCCATCTGATCCACCACGAGCACGTGTTGTTTGCGCTGACGCGTGGCGAGCATGATCTGCGGCGCGACCCGCTGCGCATGGCGCTGACGCGGTTTCGTGCTGCTGGAGTCGCCGATGTTCTCGGAGCGCCTGAACGAGTGGCATCGCCTGGACTTCCGCGGCCGGTACTGGGCCGACCACGACCACGCGACCAAGCACGGGGCATTCATGGCCAAGTTCCCCGAGTACTTTGAGTACGAGGCACATCTGGTCAAGAGCAAGGTGCCGCTGGAGCCGCCGCCAGCGCTGAGCCTGCCGATCTACTACGAAAACATCATGGTGCGCCTGCTGCCGGTGCTGGAATTTGCGCTGGGTCGCCTGATCGAGGCCGAGGACAAGCTGCTGCTGCGCGATGTGCTGGACCGCATGGGCATTCTGTACCGCCTACACCAGGTGCCGCTGACCACGCTGATGGACACGCTGTTTATATACTTTGCTGCCCCCACGCTGCACGACGCCGCAGTGCTGCGCAGCCTGAATCTGTCGCTGCTGGATCTGACCCAGCAGAACTTCTCGTCCGAATTCGAGCAGTTTGTGCGCGGCGGATCAGTGCCGTCAGTAGGGCCGCCCGTACGTGGGCCGCATGATGGAGCGCATTGCCAAGGCCATCACGCGCCACCTGGAGAAGCCAGCCCAAGAACGACCTGCCCGAGATCCACTACCGCGAGATCCCGAACCCGATCCTGCTTGGTGCTGACCGAATGCGTAGTCGAGCTGCTGACGTGGTGGTGTCCTGCACTGCGCTGACGGGCCTGCCAGCACTGCACCGTCACCGATCGACCGAGTCCGGAGTTCCAGCGGGAGGAGCGGGCGCGGATGAAGCGGGCCGGCGCGTGGCCGCTTGGCGCAGGTGTGGTTTGACATGGTCCATGGATAGGGATGGTGAAAGGGAGAAGGAGCACAAGAGCACAAGTAGCGGTGCCGGCACCAGTCCCACCCACAGCACCTGGCGCCAGCTACATCCATAGCACCGGGTGTGCTGGTCAACGTCATGCCGGACGAGCTGATGGCGTTCCCGTACGTGCAGAAGCTGGCCGACATTGTGCTGACCGAGCCGCTGCTCAAGACCGTGTCGGGTCCAAAGCAGTATTTTTCGTTTGTGGATTTCTCGCGCGACAGCTTCCGTGCGTCGGCCCAGAGCAACACTGCCTTTGCCGCCACGCCCGTGTTCAACTCGTTTGAGCTGAACCGCAACCGCAACATGGCCAATGCCCCCAACACGTACCTGACGCTGCTGCACAGCATCCTGCACTACGGTGGTATCGGCACCTTTGGCACGCTTGCTAGCACTATCCACTGGGCTGGCGGCCGGTGGCCAGCTGTGCACCGACACCCAGCTGCTGTATCTGTGCGCAACCATCGGCCCCATCCTGTACCGCCTCGTCGACCACGATGCGCTATATGTGCAGATCCTGGGCGACCTTGTGGCCATCATGGCCCAGGTGTGTCCGAGGCTCACGGCCCTGGATCATCAACACTTCCACAGGAGGCCATCGAGCAGGTCATGGACTTCTTCTGCTTTGTCAAGGACCAGTTCGACCCTGGCCGTGCTGCCTGGCGCCGCATTGCCCCGCACATCTCTGCCCTGCCCTCGCTTCCTGCGCTACCAGCTGCAGGGAATCGTCGACCAGCAGTAAGCCACCCTTTCTATATACTCGCTTTGTTACATACTTGATTTGAAGGCATTCCCCATTGCCGCCTGATAATTGCAAAGGGTCCATTGATACCGAGAAAGAAAGCAGAGAAAAACAACAGTCTTATTAGAGCGACGCCCTCTTCCTGTGCAGCAGCTCGTTGGTCTTGGCCGCCGCCTGGAACTCCTTGACGAGGTTGCTAATTTGCTTGAACTTGGGGTCCTTGGAGTCGAAACGTCAGCTGGAACAGCACCGACTCCGAGCTGACGACGTGCGCGCCTGCATGCGCCATACGGGCCAGGGCAATGTCGATTTCCGGTCGCGTTCATCGACGACACGCCATCTGCCACGACATGCACATCGTAGTCGTTATCAAGCAGCTCCAGGCACGTCTGCATCACGCACACATGCGACTCGATTCCATATAGCACCACGCTCCTGGTGTCCAGCTCGCGCAGCTTCTGCGCAACAGCCTCCGTCACCATCGAGAACTTGGTCTTGGCATCTACCAGGGACGCGTGTGAGATGTCGATTTCTGGCGCCGTATGGCCCAGGCCCTTCGGGTACTGCTCGGTGACAATCAGCGGGACCTCGAGGATCTGGGATCGCCTTGGACAGCTTCTGTGCGACCTGCACCACTGAGGCGAAGGCGTGGATGCCGGGGCGGAACTTCTCTTGGATGTCGCAGAGGAAGAACGCCGTGGTTTTGGCGTTCAGCCGGCCGAGGTTGCGCGAGACGGTGCGGGTAGTAGTGGCAGCCATTGTTCAGTGTGAGAATAAAGGAAAGTCGTTTTATCTCTGGAAAGAAAGATGTGCAGTGACGAGCTGGCAGGAGGCGTGTGAGCTTTGTACATGTAGGTGGATTTCCGTGCACAGGAAAGCACGTCAGCTGCGGCGAATTTCAGATCAGCTCCGCGATTGCTTGATCAGCCAGGCTTCTGCCAGAGGACCGATCGGCAATTCCGGAAAACCCGCCAACAACCCGGCCCACCCAGCCCCGATTTGGCAACAGGCAAAAACACTAGGCAAGCAGTCCCTCAAGAGCTGCCGCACAACGCCTTGCCAGACTGGTGCCACCCACAAAAAACTCCACCTCAGCTCCCCTCTCCATCCACTCCTTGTCTTTCGCTAAGCACATCTACACCATGGCTGGATTCTTCTCAGGCCTCCTCGGCCGCGCGCCGGCCGCCGAAACCCCGGACACCACCGACTACGACACCACACCGTGCTTCCGCGCGCCCGCATCCCTAACCGGCCTCGACACACTGCCCGCGCCAACGTCCACAGAGCAAACTGCGCTGGACAACATCAAGTCCCAGCGCACCGCGCTTCTGGCCGATCTTCCGGAGGAGCCGTCCGACGGGCGGGCGCGCTTCAACGCAGAGAAATGGCTGGACGAGCAGCGCATGCTCATGTATGTGCGCGCCAACAAGGGCAATGGCGAGCTGGCAGCAAAGAAGCTGCGGGCGACGCTCGAGTGGCGGTGCACGTACCGGCCGCACGCTATCACGCCCGAGGACATGGAGCTCGAGGGGTCTGTCGGCAAGCAGTACCTGAACGGGTTCGATAACCAGGGGCACCCGATCCTGTACATGTTCCCCCACCGCCAAAACACCAAGGACGCAAATGAGCAGCTGCGCTGGGTTGTATTCACCATGGAGCAGGCGATCCGCGCCATGCCCGACAAGGTCACCAAGATCTCAATCGTCATTGACGTCTCGAAATACTCCATGTCCCAGTCCGTGCCGCTGTCGACCGCTAGGGAGTTTCTGAATATCCTGGAGGGGCATTATCCGGAGCGTCTGTACAAGGCGTTTGTGCTGAGCCCGCCCACGCTGTTCGTGATGTTCTACCACATCGTTGCGCCCTTTATTGACCCTGTCACAAAGTCGAAAATTGCCTTTGTCAATGTCAACGGCAAGAAGCAGGTGGACGGGAAAGATGGCCCGTGGGTCAACATTGACGAGTTCGTTGATAAATCCCGGCTTCAGCGAGAGGCAGGCGGCGAGTGGGACTTCAAGTTTGACCGCGAGCACTACTGGCCCGTGCTGGTCAAGGAGTACGAGGAGTTTGTTGCAGCAGAGACAAAAGCGTAGTGGCCGAGTTCCTGGTATGATCCACCTGCTATTAATTTCAACTTCCTGGTCACTCTGGGAGGAAAAAGCGTTAACCCAACAAGAAACAAAAACCAACTCGCATACATTTTCTCCTCTGTAAGAAAACTTTTTTTTTTTTTCCAATTTCTTACAATTCACCAATGTTTGGCGCAGGCTTCGACAACTCCTATGAGGACGAGCTATACAGAGACAACGTCGATGAATCGAGCAGGTAAGGCTAGCAGCAGTCTCACACCCTCGCTTATACAGCCTCCTATCGTGATTACTGATCCCTCTGCCTGTAGCTCGTCAGACATCGACAGCGATACCGAGGAAAAGATCTTGAGCCACCTGTACTACCAAAGCGAGGCAAAGGCAACTGCTGCAGCTCCCGCACCAACCACCGCTAGTACCAACGGTCAAACAGCAGCAATCCCTGCCTCTGCCACCGCCAATACTAGCAGCCAGGCAGCAGCAGATCACGACAACGACGACGACAGCGACGACGACGCCGAGGAAAGCAAATACCAAGCTCATGCCAACGGCTCCAAAAAGAAAAAGCCAGCTGCCAATGGCTCGTCAAGCGACATAGTGCAGCTGGCAGTGACCGCAGTGCCGGCATTCCGCTCAGCGACCAACTCTGACAGCGACAGCGACATGGACGAATCGCCGGCGAAATCCACCCTGGCGTTCAACACCGAGGATGAAACCGTCGACAATTACCTGGACAGCGTTTCGGCGACCGGACAGGCAACGCCGCACGAGTCTGCACCGGCCGGCGAACCGATGGAGCGTAAGCTGATCCAGGTCGCCACGCTGCTGCGCCTCGACGAATCCAATGCCGAGCCCGCCGCCGCCGCCGCCGCCGCCGCCAAGAGCACCGCAGACGACAGCTTTGACTACCTCGACGAGGCCGAGTTCCAGGGCAGAAACCGCTACTTCCTTGAGGAGGAGGAAATCATCTGCCGCAAATGCCACAAGCCCGGACACATTGCCAAGGACTGCACCACCATCACCTGCATGGTCTGCGGCAAGGAAGGACACCTGTCAAAGGACTGTACCCTGTCTGGTGCTGTCTGCCACCGGTGCAATATGCGCGGCCATATTGCTGCCGACTGCCCGCTAAAGTCCGGCGGCCAGGGCTCCAGGTACTCGTGCCACAGATGCTACTCGCAGAACCACCATTCGGAAGAGTGCCCGACCATCTGGCGCCGCTACACGTACGCGTACCCGCCTCTGAAGAAGTACAACTCGGTCACGCCCTTTTGCTACAACTGCGCGCTGAAGGGCCACTTTGGCGACGACTGCAGTCGCCCGAGATGCAGAGGCGCCAGCTCATTCTGGAACGACACCGCGTTCAATGCAGGCAACTGCCCAGGCGCGTGCCCCACCCCACCGCGCAAAAGCTCGAGCCACACCTCGCACTCAAACCGCAGCGAGCGCCGTAGCTACAACAGCCACAGCAGCAACTACAGCAGCAGGCAGTCGTATCGCAGCGATCGTGACCGTGACCGTGATCGCGACTACAGTCGGAGCTATGGCGGCAGCAACAGCAGCGGCAGTCATAAGCGCTGGGATGGGCACCGCGTATCGAAGCCCTCTGGCAGCCAGCGCCAGTCGTCTGGCCCTGGCGGCCCATTCAGGCGTCCGCACCGCGACAACGACAGCTCATCGGGCCGCAGACGCCGGAGAAATTACTGAATACATATGTTTACGTGTCTGAGGCACCCCTTCCTTTTAGCGCATACATACATGTATATACACCACAAAACCATGTCCACGCATACATGCTGCGCATCAGCAAATGTAGAAATGAGGATAGAAACTCGAACAAAGAGACTTGTTTTCGAAATTTTTGTAAACCCTGTCCAAAATGTAGAATTGTAGGAATGAGGTTTGCCAAAAGATTTGCAAATAGAATGCGCACAAACTCCACACCTTAACGGTTGGACTTGGCAACACGCTCAAGCTCGTCCTTCTTCTTGATGGCGTACGAGTTGGACGAACCCTTGGCAGCGTTGATGAGCTCATCGGCGAGGCACTCAGCGATGGTCTTGACGTTGCGGAACGAAGCCTCGCGGGTACCGGTGGTCAGCAGCGAGATCGACTGGTTGACACGGCGCAGGGGCGACACATCGACGGCCTGGCGACGGACGGTACCGCCGGAGCCAATGCGGGTCGAGTCCTCACGCGGGCCGGTGTTGATGATGGCATCAACGAGGACCTGGATCGGGTTCTGGTCGGTGAGCAGGTTGATGATCTCGAACGCGTGCTTGACGATGCGGACGGCCATCAGCTTCTTACCGTTGTTGCGGCCGTGCATCATGAGCGAGTTGGTCAGACGCTCGACGATGGGGCACTGGGCCTTGCGGAACTTGCGCGCGGCGTAACGGCCGGCGGTGTGGGGCAGGTACACAGGGTTGCGGATCTGCAGGTAGTCGGTCAGGGAGATATCCTTGATCTCGACATCCTCGAAAGTCCACTTGTTGAACAGGCGGATGCCAGGGGTCTCAGAGCGAGCTTCGGCGGGAAGAACAGAGGCCATTTTTACTATCCTCGTATACTACAAAAAGCGGAGACAATTGCCCACCAGCAGCAAATTGGCAGATGCGCGTGCACAACAAAAGTTAGTTCTCTGCTCTAAATACAACGTTCACTGATGGCGGACCCGTCTTCAGGCTGCAGGGCCATGCTATTGACCGCATTCCGCGCCAAGGGCAGGGGCCGCTTCTGTCGACTAGCAGCGCTGGTGGAAATGGTGCGCACTCCAGCATGGGCCGGCCGCAAATGACAAATTCCGCGCATTCAAAATTAGAGGGATTCACGCTGCCCGGAAAAATGAGCATCCTCACGGCCCGCACCACGCCCACGCTGCGCCATCTTCCACCATGGATGCGAGTATCTCTGCCGCTGCCGTATCCATCGCCCGACTCTTTGACGCGATATAAAAATTTCACATACCTCAGGTTTGCGAGTGATCAAAAGGTGGAACGGCCAGCCTCGCCGCGTTTCTGGTCAGTTTAGCTGCAGGCGCGCTGGTTTCCTTGCCCAAGCTAATCACAGCCAAGCTCCAACCCGCCAATCAATCACGAGTGATCTGATCTGCTAAATCCCTGCCCCGCGAGTTCTTAATTTGCTGGTCGACCTTGCCAGGTTTCGCCAGCTTGGACCCTTCATCTCTTTGCCAATTTCGCACAACACCCTCTGTTTTTGAATGTCCTTTGCATTGCGCAACAGCCTAAATTCGCTCCGCCGCCTACACGCAACCGCCGCCATGTCTACCGTTTCAAAGAAGCCGATCGTGATCTATGGCCCCTCGGGCACTGGCAAGAGCACCCTGCTCAAGCGCCTGTTCGCTGACTACCCGTCTGGACTTTGGCTTCAGCGTGTCCAACACCACCCGCCAGCCGCGCACCGGCGAGGTCGACGGCAAGGACTACCATTTCCTGACCCGCGAGCAGTTCATTGCTGCTGTCAACAACAACGAGTTCATCGAGCACGCCGAGTTCTCGGGCAATATGTACGGCACCACGATCCAGTCAGTCAAGGATGTCGCCACCTCTGGCAAGACGTGCATCCTGGATATTGATACGCAGGGCGTGGCCCTGGTGAAGAAGACCGATATGGGATGCTCGTTTCATTTTTGTTGCGCCGCCCAGCGAGGACGAGCTGGAGCGCCGGCTGCGTGGGCGTGGCACTGACGACGAGAGCAGCATTCAGAAGCGCCTGGCCACTGCCAAGAAGGAGCTCGAGTTCGCCAAGCAGCCCAATGCGTACGACGTCAAGATTGTCAACGAGGATGTCGAGAAGGCGTACAAGGAGCTGGTCGATTTCATCTTTGAGAAGAACTAGAGTAGAGAAAGAAAAGGTTATGCCTGCATGATGTATAAATTTTTTCGGTATCTAACTGTCGTAGTGAATGCGGTTCCATCCATTCGGCCTGCTGCTGTCCTTGACCAGTTCGACTGTCGGCCAGTAGTGTGTGTTGAGCTTGACACTGATAACCGAGGGGATCTTGTCTAGGCCAACAATGCGCACACATACAAACGAGCTCTTTGCCGTCGACAGCTTGCGCACAGCATCCGACAAAGGCGTCTAGATCCGGCGTCTCCATGTCCTCGACATGTGTGACAAACGAGGTCGGTGCCATCCCAGCAGTGTATGCTGGCGATCCATATGCGTTATACGAAACGTATGTGCGCGACGGCAATTGGCGGCACTGCTGACGCACGGCAGTGTGCGGCTCGTGCAAAATTGCGCCAGACCACTGGAGGATGCGCCGAGTATCCGTACGCATCCTCGCCGTCGGTCTCTGCAACTACCTCCACTACCTGTTTGTGTCTCAGAACCTGTAATGTGAGGCTCGGGGCACTGAATGCTCGATCAAAATCAGCAAACTGTGTCGCGACTTTGCCGTCTACTGTCAGCACCACATCCAAAGGATTCAGCACATCGCTACAGCGACTGCCGCACACAATGCGGCTGATCATCAGCAACTGGCGATGATGAGGGCTGACATCCTCAATCCGGCCAATCCAGCTCCGGTCCAGTCCCAGATGGCGGGCCTCGACCAGCGATATCGTCGACAGCTCAACGCCCAGCGTTCGCAACTTGGGGTGTTCGTCTCGACGCAGAGGCTCGAGGACAGGCAGGATCTTGCACACATCCAGACCGTAGAAATACTCATTGTTTGTTCCCTCATCATCCATATCGTCAATGTACGATACCCACATACCGCTGACGACGCCATCCATGTCGGTAAGCACGCCTGTGTTGTATTTTTGCGCTGCCCGGGTATCGAGCTTGAACCAGTCGGCATTGATGGAGCGGAACCGCGGCGGCGAGTGTTTCGTGATGGTCATCGGCCCCACCGTCGACACCATAGCACGAATCGATGCTAGACCCTTGCCGTCGTTGTACGCATGGAGCATCAGCTGGTCCCCTTCGCTGTTGCCCTTGGTGGCTAGCTGTGCTGTGCGGACAGGCGTCTTTCCCAATAGTTCTGGGATCGTACTGTGCAATAGCAAAATTCAGCGTTCGGATGCAGGTACTTTACCGTCGCGGGGATGGTCACCGATTCAGCTACAGTCAACGACAGATCGCCGAGCTCAAACGGCACGATGCTCCGGCTGATCGCCACCAGCCCACGCGTCAGCATCGACGATCAGTCCGGTTCCCGTCCTGCGACATACTGGGAATGCATTGATCATCCATGGCATGTAAAAGTGGACCTGAATCAGCGACGGAATGATAGTCTGCACAGTTGGGATTAGCCGATGTGGCAAATCGCGCTGTTTGCTGCTCGACCTGGCACACTTCGCTAGGCGGATCAACTGTCTCGCATTCCCACACGCCCGTGTCATCGCTGCGGGTGTATATGTTCATATCCGTCCAATGGCCGCTCGTTCTCAACAATGTGCACGTACTCTTCGTGAATGTCATTCAGCGAGTAGTACACAACAGGCACGCGTGTGCGGTCAGGGATCCGGCGTATGACCTGGATAAAGTCGTCGAGTGTGGGTGTTTCATGGCCATCGACAGATCTTATAACCACACCCTCGCCTGCATCCTCCAGCGGCAGCATGCCCCACACCTGCGCGACAAATACACCGGTGGCCTGCACGCAGTAGTACCTGGCGAGTTGGTAGGAGAGATTGTGCAGGACAGCACCACCCATCTCGACAAAGCGGTCAGGCGTGATGCTGTTGACATCCTGCACCTCAATCATATGCTCGACTCTGTCGCCGTCACGCTCAATGACCGTCCTGACTTGCTTGCCAATGCTGTTGTCCAGAATTTCATCCAGATCGGCAAACTTTGTCACAATCCGCTCGTTGATACTGACCAGCACGTCGCCAGTGACCAGGCCGGCTATGTCACCGGGTCCCTCGGGCAATACTGTCTCCGCGACCTAGCATACCAATCTCGCTTGGGTCATGCTCGCGTATCTGCTTCTCGGTTTCAAGCGACAGCCCAATGCGTCGCACGTAATCAAATGGCTCGTACATGAAACTGCACCTGTATATCGCCACGATCTACAGGTTTGCCCGCCTGCACCAGCTCCAGTGCGCGCTTGACCCGATCAAGCGGCAAAAAGAAGTCAGTGGCCCCCTCGTTCCGCCCAGCTGCTTGCAAGGCGATTGCGCTGCCATGAATATCAATAACAGGGCTGCCCGAACTGCCGCCGCTCGAACTGGCAGCAGCCTGCAGATAGAAGGTATTGAAGTCGTTATACGTCATTGGGCCAAAGTCGGGTGCATTACGGTCGATACGAGATATCTGGCCAGCCAGGATGGAGAGCTCCTCGCCGGCATCATTTCCAATGATACGGATCTCTGTTCCCAACTTGGCCCTGCTCGGATCTAAGGGCAGCTCGTGTACGTCGTAGTACTTTACATCACTAGGTGAATATTTGAGAAACCCAAAGTCGTGAATCGGATCGCGGTAAATGGTGTGCACATTGACCTGCTCCCGGTTCTGGAATACCGCCTCGCCAACAAACGGACCCGCGCAGGCCACATGACGATTAGTCAGAATAATGCCGCGCTCCTTGTCGACGACGAATCCAGATGCCTCGGATGCCACGGCGCTGGTAGTGTCAAAGGCCACTGTCTGACAGAACCGGATGGTGACGATTGCATTGACTGCACTCTCGGCCACCAACTGCCAGTGCGAAGTGTGCGGCAGAGCCTGCTCAGGGCAAGTCCTGCATAAGCTGCTGCTGCAGCAGCTGGTACTCCCGCAAGAGATTGGGAATCTGGAGACCCCGCAGTCCCTTGCTTCTGTCGACAGCGCCAAGGTCCAGCGACCGGTGCCGCCCAATGCGCGGGGTCTTCATCAGCTGAGCAAACAGCGACCGCTTGGAGCCCAACTCGCTGTCAGCTGTAGCATTCTCGGGCGGGCGCGCCTGCCTCAGCGGCACCGGCGTGTGGGTCTGGAACCTACTGTCGTCGTCCATTGCTGCGAATTGACACTGGTAGGGCTACAGAAAAGAGCTAGTATGAATAATCTGTGGCAAAAAGTAATATCTTTATAATACGATCGGGCAAAGAATGAAGAAAAATGCGTGGAAGCCAGAGAGGAGGACAGGCGGCGGTGCGAATATTTTTCTTCTGGTGGCAGGTGGCCCCAGACATGCGGGGTGTGACGTCGCTCGCTTAATCGCCAGACCACATGACCAGATTGCAGTTTACTCGCCACATACGGACCACTTGGGATTGGTGCTAAAGGATCAGCCTAGAACAGAATTGTGCAGCCTGGTGTGGAAAGGGCGACATAAAATTGAAGGACAGAAAGGAGGGGAGAAAAGAGTTGAAGGAAAAAGTTGATGAGGGCTTCTGAGAATTCTACAAATGCAGGCTGGCATCACAGGCAGTGCTTACAGCCGCTTCTTCTTGTTGATGCTGCTGATGCTGCTGCCCTTCTTTGCAGCGACAGTGGTGGCCGGCACATCGACAGGCACCTTGTATTCGAGACGACCCGAGCGATGGGCCTTGTAGGTACGCACCAGCCGCGCCTGGGGGCCAAGCATCGGCGACGTGATAAAGTTGTAGATGACGCCGAACCACGATGTGTGGGCGTACAGCGGATCGTAGAACTCGTGGGCGATCTCGCGCAGCTTGACGATGCGGGTCCAAGGGATCTGTGGGAAGTCGTGGTGCTCGTTGTGCAGGCCAATGTTCAGGTACAGAATATTGCCCGAGCCGTAGTATGAATACGTCTCCTGGCCGTCACGGAAGATGTAGTGCTCCTGGATGAAATGGGCGGCCCCGGGGTGCAGGCCATAGCCAAAATACACCGACACCAGCAGGTACATGAGCGAGCGCAGCGACATGAAGCGGGCAATGGCGATGTCGGCGCAGATAGTGAAGGCCCAGTTTATCAGCTCCCAGCGCTGCGGCTGCTTCTTCAGAGCCAGGCCGCGCACAAGATACATGACGCTGTAGCACATCACCCACAGAGTCTTGAGCATCGGGTTGTTGTGGATCAGCGGGATCTCGGCGTCCAACGGCAGGTCGGGGTCCATGCCCTCGACACCCTGGAACTGGTGGTGCTCGAGGTGGTACCGGCGGAACGACTGCGAAATAGGTACGACCATGGGCAGGTTGATCATGAGTCCGGTAGCGCGATTGAGGACTGGGTTCTTGAAGATCAGGTTGTGGCCGGCCTCGTGGATGATGACGCCAAATAATGCAGAGACCGTTCCGCCAAGCAAGTAGGCCACAGCCAGCACAATGGCCCAATGCAGGTCGGTCCACACGCAGCCGATCATGTAGGCCGCGAGGAGCTGGATCGAAACGGCGCCAAACCCAATGACGGCTGTCAGCGGCTCGTTGCCATAGAGCGACCGTACCTCGGGGTGCTTGGCCAGGATCGCCTTCTGTCGCTTGCGGTGCGGCTCGTCAAAGTCGTCACGGGCGAATTCTCTTACATCAGGTTTTGTTGACCGCCGCCAGTTGCCGTTGTAGAGCGGGTGCCGGGGATCGTACTGGACGATATCGGGTGTGACAGTTTCTTGATTGCGAGGCGGCATCCTGAGAATGTGCTAGAGGGTATCAGTCGGTGTCTGGTCTGTATGGCGAGCAGAGGGCGGTACCCTGTTCGATGTGCTGGTGCGAAGGAAAATAGAGGGAAATGGACCAGCGGCGTTGTGTACTAAAAGACTGCAGCGAACGGTGGCATGAAAGGGGGGAGTAGAGAGAAGCAGGTTTTAGTAAGAAGAGAAGGATAGAGACAACGGAAATGGATTGCCCGACCCGAAAGCTATTTTAGTCTGGTTGGCTGCTACTGCGAAGAGGGTACCACTATTTTTTTTTCTGGCAGCACAACAATAATAGAGCATGGCTGGTCGGCGCATCACCACCAAGCAAGAGACATTTTCCAACTGCCCAACGTGAGTCAAGCCACGGCCACTGGGAAGAGAGGATGGCCTTGGTGCGACGACGAAGCGGCACATTCTCATGGGTGGAGAATGAATATCCCTAGTTTGCAGGAGGCGCTCACTCACCTTTGTGTTCTTTCCTTGAGACGACTTTCTGTGACTGGAGCGAACGGAGCGAACAGGAGCGAATGCGTGTGTTAATCGGGCCGTTGGGGGGATGAGTGGGTCGGGGTTTCTGGCGAGGAGATGCGTGGAGTCGGAGAGGCGGAGAGGTATCCAGCGAGGATAGAGAAGAAAATACAATACTATGCGAACTTTGTTAAAATTGGCTGTCTTCAGCAGACAAACGAGACCTGCTGGCTTTTAAGTGGAATTGTATTTTTCATTCGAGGACCGGTTTTGCATGCAGCCCAAAGATAGCAGATAGTCATGGAGAATGAGGATGGCCGATGAGCACCACTGCGCATGCTCTTCGATGTTTGTTTCATTACGGATCTACAGTTTGTGCTTGCCCCGAGATGTGCTCGCCAATGCCAGGCAGCGCTCCCGCCTAACGCATGAATTCTGTGAAAGAACCAGAGGGATTGCACGTCCTCCCGAATGGGGCTGGTTGGGTTAGGCCAGAGCAAAGAACAAAACATGTGATGAGACCACAGCAGTCGCCTGCACGGCCCGATGGGCCGACTCTATTGCCAGAGAGCAGGGGAGCTTATGCGCCTGCCCAATACGAGTCCACCAAGATGCAGCACCCCTTTTATCCGACCGTCCTGGCCTCCCAGTGCTGGGCGATTGCGGCCGATCCCTTGCCCCTCCGTCCCACGCTGGGCAGTCCAATCGGCCACTTGTCAGATAATAGCCCGGGTGGCGGCTATTTCGCCGTGCGCTCTGCCCAACCTCATCTATTTTTCGCGCAGACGGTTCTGGCAGTCCGAACATCACTTTTTCTTGGCGCCAGAACAGGCAGCTTTCTCGCAAGTGAGCCGGGTGCCTCGAGAATTCGCTAGTTCTATACACCCTCATTTATTGTGAAAATCCCAGTTTCGCTTTTTCGCTACTTCAGCTGGTTGCCAGCATGTTTGTCGCTGTGAATCGATTTGAGATTAGACCGCGCTCGGCCATATAGAAGGGCGAGACATGCGAGGCCATTTCTTGGCAGCGGCCCCCTGTACACCCCTTGTGGCCGCCCACGCCCCACCGGAGATCATTTCCACGGACCTCTTCTCTCCTTCCCCGAACCATGTAGCTCCATGGTCGCACGGATTTCCTCCAAAGGGGGAGGAACACCGACCTCTACCAGCTGAACTCTGCATCGGCATGGTCAGGAGGCGGCAGTCCCAAGTAGTCCTTGTGAGACTGGATTGTTCGCAGGAAAAACGGCACCGACTGGCTGCCCGCCGGGTCCTCGCACTCCGTCGTGTTCTGGGCCACATAGATGTCGCCGTCGTTATTCATGATCCAGAGCTCGTGTCCATGGTGGCAATAGTCGAGCAAGGATTTGTGGCGGGACAGCCACAACTGGATCGGCGACGCCGGTTACACGGAACGTGATGCCACCGAGAATCCGGTTATAGTAGTGTGCAAATGCTGCATCGCCGACGCGCGGCTGCCCGAACGTCCAGACACGCAGCCGCTGGCGCAGCCCGCTAATCTGCCGCACAAGGTCCAGCGCGCACAGCGCGGCTTCAGCTACATTTTAAAAATCCGCCTGCGGAAAAATCAGAAACGGCAATCTAATAGCAGTCAGGGTGCTGAGTAGAAGAGTGGATGCAGATGTGGTTGGCTATCAACTTGCTTACCTCCCCCTTTTGAGTGCCCAGTGACCACCACCATGTAATCGGGAAACTCGTCCATCAGAACCTCCAAGTGCTGCTTGACGGGGCCGATCATCCCACGGACGGACTCGAGAAACCCGCTGTGCACATTCATGCTTTCGCCTTCTATGTAGGGCAAAGTGAAGAATGCCATGTCCATCAGCAGCGCCCGGTACCGGTGCGTGCCAGCCCAGGAGACGACAATTTCGCGGTCCTGGTGGTGCAGCGCAACAAACCCATCGCTGAGCGGAAAGTCAATGTGCCACGTAACATTCAGCATTACTGTGCGCACGTCAGGGCTGTTGCACGCTATGCCGCAGGATGCCCAGCCCTCATCAAAGTCCACGAACGATGTGGCTGCTGTTGAATACCGCATGTACTTGCGTACCAGGCTGTGGACGTGCTGCACATCGCTAGCGTGGTATACCGTGCCTGGGGTGAGCATTGGGTCCCGGTAGGCGTCGCACATGCTTGACGTCAGCATGCAGACAAGCAGCAAGAACAGCCGTGCCAGGGCGCCCGAACCTGAAGTCAGCTCGTTAGACATTTGTTACAGATAAAAGCAGCTAGAGATGCAAAAGGCAGCCCTAGTACTGTGCTAAAGGGCGACTTCCTTGCGACCCCCCTAAAGTAGGCGTCACTGCGCTTACATGCACGCCACGTGCCACCTGTCCATATATACACGATCAATATAGCGATTTGAGTCAGATAAAGAGATATCCGGATTTTATTGAAACACACGCTTGTCACGACAAGAGACAGGTCCAACCACTGCAGTGAGTGAGTTTACTGCTCAAGGATCTCGCGGAGACGGCGGATGGCCGAGCGAGCGGTCGTGGCGGCGGTGGTCGAGACAGTCCAGGCTCCACCGGCGGTGACCTTGCGGCAACCGTTGCACTTCCAGATACCGACAGCAGTGCGCTTGACGCTGTCCTTACCGCAGAAGGTGCAAGTATAACGGGCGTGCTGGGTGATTTCCATCTTCTTGACCTGCTTACGCAGAGAAGCACCGTAGCGGGTGCCGTACTTTCCGGTGATTCCGACCTTCTTAGTGCGCTTAGCCTAAGTGAGAGAAAGGTAGCAAATGCGAAATGGGGGATTCGCCAATTTAGAAATGGATGTGTTTGTGATTGCCAGTTCCACAGATTCCGGCAGTTGTCGCAGTGTATCCATCGCCTCTGGCTCTGCATTCATTTCTGCGTATCCAACGTCTGCCGCGCTCCCTCGCAAATCCGGCGACAGCGCATCAAATTGTCGTATCGTACCATTGCAAATGTTTGATCAACTGGTGGGTTGTGAAGAGAAGGTATCTCGGCCGCACGCAGCGGGCACAGAAGTGTAAGACCAAAACCTCCAAGCCCAGAGTGCTGATTCGAAGACAGCACTCTCTTAATAGAGTGATCGATCTATTGTGATCACCAATCAGATCAGTGGATCTTCATTGGTACATGGCTTCTGGCGCAATATACAGCAAGAGCGCTGTCGCCATGTCACGCAAAGTCGCATGCATCATTTCTCATACACAGGGTCATAATGAGCAACAGCGCGGCAAATATCGCACTGCACTCATATTTGCTGTCTTGCAGTGACCGCTACACCATCCCTGTCTGCCCACTCCAAGACACAACGATCGACAAATGCCCCCTATGTCAACAATTTATTTGTATCTCTGTTGCAGACGGCCAGTGTTTGCATTTCTAAAATATGACAGATGTTTAAGATGTGCTGCGTCCATTTTCAAGAAAAAGAAAACCAGGTACTAATACAACGAGGGTGAGGACTAAGCAAGATACTAGTTGGGCTAAAGTGATAGAGGGGCAGGGAGGATAAGAGGTATGTAGGGAGGGAGAGGCGGAAGGGGCGGGAGAGGCATATATCAAAGAAACGCCTGTTTTGAAAAGTAATAGGGAGTAAGGTGTCTGGAAAGGAGAGGCATATTAAGCGGGGGAGGGGTAGAATGGGAGAGGGTGGTAAGTTGGAGTTGGCAGGCGGCAAATAATTTAAACCGGGATGTGTATTTCGATTTGTTTTTGTCGGGCTGTTCACCATGGGCGCCATTTCTCGGGCGACGAAGCCTTGCTACCGACCGACGGCGACGGCTCGCGGTGCTGTGGAGTGATAGTGCCTTCGGCAGACTGGACGCGAGCAAGCACTGAGCCCAGGCTTGGCAGCGGCTCCGGTGCTCTGGGCACCGGCATGCCGCCATCGACGCTCCGACTGCGGCTGGATGGGGTTGAGGATGGATGCCAGGCGCGTGCGACGGTTCTCGGGATGCTCGCGCACGGTCTGGGAGGCACCCGCTGACGACAGCGGCGGTGAAAAGTGCCGCTGAAGCGAGGGAATGGGGCTCGGCGACTGCATGCTCCCACGCCGCCCGATGGTGGTCGGTGTTGTGGGCGACGGGATGTAAGGGGTGGGCACCTGGTGGCTCGTTACGACGGGTGGTGGCAGTCGCGGCGGCTGACGCTGCTGCTTGAGCTCTTTCTGCTGCGATGTCAGCGTCGGAGGCGGCATCTGCACACGTGCAGCCTGGACTGACGGCGGCGGCGGCGGCAGGGCCAAGTGGATGGACTGTGCTGGCTGCACCTGGGCCTGCTGGCGGAGATGCTGGAGACTGTGCATGGAATGGCGGTGGTGGTGCGGTGGCGGCATCGACTGGGGTGGCGATGCGCGCATGGTCGGTGGATGCAGCTGGACGTGGGTGTGGATTGAGTGCCGCTGGAAATGATGCGTCTGGTGTGGTGGTGGCTGCTGCTGGTGCTGCTGGGAAAATGTCTGGGAGTATAGTGCCGGTGGGGTCAGCATTGCACTTCCACCGCTGCCAGTAACAGGTGACGTAGTCTGGGAAGCGGTGCCTCCAGGGAATGGCGACGTGTGGGCAGTGGCAGGCACGGAGTGGTGGGGATGGAATTGGTGGGGGTGCGAGACGCCAATGGGCGAGCCCATGCCCGGCGGCGCCGGCGGCATATGGCTGTATCGGAACGGTGACTCGGGCGGAGAGCCCCCCGACAGGCTGATGGCGCTGATAGGCCGCTCAAGGCCGTGGACGCTGGCTGACATCTGGCTAATACCCGAAATGGCAGCAGGCTGTGCGGTTGACGTGTTTGGCGAGTGTGTGCGGCGACGCATCTCGGCACGCTCCTTTGTCTTCTGGCGCTGGTTCTGGAACCAGATCTGGACGTTGCGGGGTGTCATTAGCAGGCTATTGGCGAGGCGGAAGCGCAGGTCACTTGATGGGTATTGTGTGCGTTCCCAGACACGGAACAGTACGCGCAACTGGTAGGGTGTGAGTGTGGTGCGCGTGCGCCGGCGTGTGGGCTCGGCAGGCCGGCGTAGTGCTGTCGGCTGCCCCGCTGGAACGGGCACTGCCTGCCAGCTGCATCATGGCTGTTGGCCGAGCTGTTGGGCGATGGCGTGCTGTTGCCTGGCTGCCTCGCCTGGAGCTGCTGTTGCTGCTGCTGCTGCCAGAGCGCAGCCGGCGAGATGGGGAACTGGCCGTCGTAATTGGGTACCAGGCAGTAGGGAGCCGGCAGCCCGCTGATGTTCTCGCTCTCGAGGATCTGCTGTAATTCTTGGTCGGAAATATCCGTCGTCTCTCGCGAATAAGGACTCCGGTGCATTGGCGCATTGACGTTGGCGCGACGAGAGGACCTCGCTGGTGGGCTCTGGCTGGTAGCGAGAGGATGCTTTGAAATGGACGATGCGCGTGCGGGGGGAAGAGAGGAAACAAGACTAGAGTGGATGTGAAATAGCCGCGCCGGAGGACTGATGAAGAGAGCTGAAGTCAGCAGCGACGGCGATGCGGTTGGCCCGGGACCCAGTGCCTGAGGGGGAGAAAAAGAATGCGGCAGCGGTGCAGAAGGTGGCTGATCTTGTACTTTGGCGTACATGAGCCAAGCGGGTGAGCCCTTTTGATGAAGGAGGGGTGGAATGAACGGAAGTTGGGTGGGGGGTGCAAGTGGGCCGCAAATGAAAAATATCTCAAACAAGCGTGCTAATTCCCAATACTCAAAACAGGCAGGAAAAATAAATGAAAGTGCTGGTTTGTTGTGATGTTGTTGCTGCTGTCGCTGTAGCTGCTGGTGCTGGTGCTGCTGCCAAGTTCAAGCAATGGCGGCTAGTGCGGGAATGCGTGTGGAGATGTGTACGTAAAAAAAATAAATGAATGGGATGCTGTGGGCCTTTGTGTTGCCAGCCAGAGTGGCTACTAGGAAGCGAGCGTTACTAAGGCTGAAATGTTGTGAGGATTGCTTCAATGATCGATTATCACTACAGGGAGAAGACGAGAAAGGCTTAGAAAACGACATGAGGATTCTGTGGAACCAGCGAGTGTTTATGTTTTCTTTTCGCTGCTTGTCAGAGCAAAACGGAAGCGCAATAATGGCGGTTACGTTTCAATTAGGGCAGGCGCTGCGCAATGAATGAAATGCACACAATTGAATGTAATAAAACCGCGGTGAAATAGGCAACAGAGCGTGCGCGGACATATGATGCTGCACGTACTCTTGGCAGACGACCGGGCCAGCCATCCATGAACCCAGCTGCATTCTAATTCAGCGGCCTGAGCAAGGGACAGCGGCAGCGGCAGCGGCAGCAATGGGCTCAATTGCGCACATCGTGCCCAAAACAAAGTTTTTACATGCACTGCAAATGAAGGGGGAAGGGAAACAAATGAGGCTTATTAACAAGCACTCTAATCTTCCTCCCCAAGACACAATCCAGACCTGTGGGTGCGCGCTGGCGGCAAGGCAGACCAGGCTGGTGAGCACGAGCCCGATATTTACCTGATTTGGTTTTAGCGAGGATGCTGCACCGCTGTAGCGCTAGAACTGCCGAGAGCTGGGGGTTTGGAAGGCTAAATATTTTAGAAACGCGTGGTATGCAGGTGCGAGTAACGATGGGCTTTTATCCATCCAAATTAAGCAGCGTGTGGGAGAAAATGAACGGAAACGGAGCAAATAAAGGTCTGCGCAAGTGCGTGAGTGGAGATAATGAGGAAATCGTCGTCTAATAGTCTTAGGAGTTCGCCAGGAACATATATGGTTATTCGAGCGGGCCGTCGTCAAGAGAGCCCTCAGGGTGAAATAATAAAATGGCGTGTGCGGGTCTACTGCACAGGAGAGAAGCCAGAAGGTAGAAAAGTAAGAAAGAAAAGAAAAGGTGTAATCTTTTAGTTGTAAATTCAGGATGAGTCTACATAACACCAGTTTATTCTGTAGCGCCGCCAGCAACTGTATTTAAATGAGTCTGTGCGGCAGGCGACTGGTTGCGCGGGGGAGGCCAGCGTGCATGGAGCTGAAAAACACCCAGAATCGGTGTTAGCAAAGGCAGTTTTTCCATTAGCTCTGGCGTTTCTGTATACACTGCGAAAAACGAAAATAAACCTTTTCCCTCATGCTTATTGCCTTGAGAGCAACATTTCGCGGTGTCGCTTTTGGCAAGTCTACCCACCCTTCTCGGGGAGAGGGATCACCATCCTCCGGTGTGCACATCTAAATTTTTCATCGCTCCTCCCTGCCTACCTGGGGTGGCCGCACCCCCTCCCCGACCCTCCCCCTGTCTGCTCTTGGAAACGTGTCAACAAATCTTCGGGTATGACTACCCTGCTGCTACCGCCGTTTCTGCGATGCCACGTACACTGCCACAACCAACTTTACGTGAATGCCAGTTAATATCGTCCCTTTTCGGCGCCCATGTCTTACTAACATGTCAACACCACATTGATGTATGCCTCACTTGGCGGCTGAATAGCGCCTGGTGGCAGATCTATTGCATCTCTCCCTTGGTCAGAACCTTGCGTGTGGCTGGAATTCGCCCATTATGCCCCAACTTCAGCATGCTAGCCTGCGGGGTGTGCTGCTACGTAGCAAAATGAATCGCTTGTTTGGCTCTGCGAATCCCCACTAGCAGCCATTTGCGGTGCTTGTAGTTCCTCGGTCCCTCTAATGTACGGTCTGCATACACCGACAGCAGCTGAGCGGCTACAGTATTTACGCAGGATGCATATTCAATGAACGTAGAGGCACCAGAATGGGCTCCAATTTATTCTTTCATATTCACGCCTTGCCAGCAACTGCAAACGAACGCCCTGCTGCACTGGCTGCTGTGTCTTAACACACTGAGAAGACAACAAACACGGGTTTGCAGCTTGCAGGTGAAAAGGCGCGAGATCCTATCAGACGACACCTTTGCGGCATTACCGCTGCCAAACCTTTTTTGTGCATGCCTGGATGTGCTTCCACCAGTATATTTCGGGCACATTGATCTTCATCCTTCGCGAGCTGTCAACGAACACCCACTTCTTGCACACTGGACAGAGTCCTTGTTTACGGCAACGGCCCCGCTGATCTTGCGACGTGCGCCTAGCCTCTGGCTTCGGGTATGCTCTCCCGGAGAGCGACGAGATGCCGTGGAAGTAATTCAGATGGTACCTACTCGTGGGGCCGCCCAACCGAAACACACAGTTCGCAACAGTATGCGGTAAATGTGGTTAATAGCGCCTTGCGATAAATAGCAGGTCTTTTTATAGATCAAGCTTCTCTATCCTCCTCCTTATTCGCCGCGCCAATTTTTGCAAGACCGCAAAATCGGATGTGCCATTACATGCCATGACGGATCGTGTGCACTCCACTTACCAGTAGGCGCTGCACTTTAGCCGTTTCCACCCGATCTTGCCTTCCCTGTAGCACATTGGACAGAGTCCTTCTTTCTCCTTGCCAATGCCACGGATCCAGCACGGTGTGTACAGGTCGTCTGGTCCCCGAGTTTCGTTGCGCTCGCACTGGGAAAAATCAATACAGGCGCTGAAGCTACTGTCATCGCTGTTAGTGGCATCCCTACCATTGCCGTTGCTGAATGCGTCCCTGCCGCCACCGTAGATACCGTGCAGCTCCCCACCCATCGGCGCACCGCCCATCAGCGCACTCCTTTCAGCATCATATGCTTCGGCATACTGATTTCTGTCAAAGCTGCTGTCGAAATTTGCACTATCACATTCACGACCTATCTCCCCGCCTTGATGATCATGGAAATCGTCGGCCTCTGAGTCTTCATCAATATACATTGGATAGCTTTGGTCACTCTCGCCCTCAATGCCCACTGAGGCATCCGTTGCTGACCATAGAGCTCCGCCGGTTGGCGAAGTGTCGTGTAATCAGTAGCCTCGAGATCCTTGGGTGCAATTGTACATAGATCCTCGAAATTCAGGCCCGTCAAACCAGAGTATGTCTCTTGCCATGGCTCCGAGGCTGCCAGAGCTGCTGCTCACGCTGGTAATGGCGCTGGAGTCCAGCCAGTCCCCTGATCTAGAGGCAGTAGCACTGGGCACATAATGAGTTGCACCAGTGTCAGAGGTGGATGGCTGATCCAACAGTGCCGTGGCAGGTGCAGCAGCGCTCAGTCCCAGGTCTCCAATAATGAGCCCTATGAAGTGGTGGAAGCGCAATTTTAGAACAAGAATCCACATGTATGTTGTTTGGATGAGGATCGGCCTACTGGTGTTTACGTCATGGCGGCAAATCTGAAAATAATTTTGCGCATTGATCGACATAGGATCTAAAAATAACTGCGCGTTCTGGCTGCTGGCCCTCCATCCCTGCCTCCTTCCCATTGTGTAAATATGAGCAGTGGTTTCTCACACAGACACAATGAACAGCCAAGCTGAGACTGCGGTCCAATCCCGGTCCACGTAACATCGCGCAATTGCAAATAAAACACATCTTGGCCATTGCCTCCGCAATGGTCGAGCAGTGAGAGGTATTCTGGCTGGGATTGTTGCTGCTGTTGCTATTGCTGTTGCTGTCGTGGATGCCTTTTGGGGGAGGGACAGGGAGCTGACCGCTGGCAGATGATCAGGCCGCTCATATTAACCAAGGAGGGGTTTGCAAGCCAGTCTCTGTCTGTAAAAGCGTTTGTCTACCTCGGCTGCCTGTCACACTACGTTGTTGGCACCACGAGTGGTGGATGAACAGCTCCAACCACGGATCTGCACAGACGATTACCAGCCAATTGCTCAATGACCGGAGTTCTTACCGTAACAGTCTAGCGGGTCCAACCAGCCCTGGAGCCCAGCGTCCTGTGCCTCTGTATCAGCCGACAGGCTGTCATCAATGAGCGTCGTAAAATCTGCTATCACTCTTGATGTCATTGGCAATTGGGGCTCTACAGCCAGTGACGATTGTCTTTGCAGCAAAGGAGGTTTGCAAAAAAAAGTTTATCAGTAAAAATTGTTGTTTTGAAGCGGGCTTCCTGCAGTGCATATACGATTAACACTGCACATATTTCGTCTAGGAGAGCAGGTGCTCGTGCATATCTGTTGTGACAATGGATTTTTCTGGGACAACAACAAAGTACAAATTATCGAAATGTCTTTGGCAATTGGATTTCAATAGAGCAGCGTATTTGACACCTCTGATAATCCCTTATAGTTGGAAAACGACCCATTTTGTTGCTGTGCTCAAGATAGTATGCTGTCTATTTGGACCGATCGTCCTGATTCAGCCGTCGGTCTCTGCTCACCCCATGTCCCCAAAAATACATAGCACAAACGGCCGCCGCTACTGCAGCTACCCCAACGTACCCGCCAGTGAACATGTAGCAAGATTTAATCACGGCGGCGAAATACACAGTGCTTATTCTACCCGATGCAAACGAACACAGCAGCATATGCATGTATATGTATGAGGTCATTGCTGCATATTGATATCTGGTCGAGCTGAGGATCCCCACTCATGTAATACATCATCCCAAACCAAGAAATAGTATTTGAATGACAGCAATTTGCAAAGATGCACTTACCAGTAAGCGAGATGGTGTCCGTTTATTCGTCGATGGCCACAGCCTATTAACAGAATGACCCTTCCTTCGGCGGGCGCTTGACACCCTTTTATTGTCGGGATCGACGACCAGTAGCGAAGATACAGGTCTTAATGAGCGCGCGATTTGCACCACTGGAACAGAGGGCGAGTTTTTTTTTCTGAATCCGCGTCATGGGCGAGAGCAATAGCCTGCAAGCCGTCATTTGTTTCCACAGTGCGCAATACCATTCATGTTCCGAACTACTTGTTCGCGTATTCGCTTTTAGGCTCGCTAGGCCATTCCTTTGGCCTGCTGAAAACCAGTTTTATTTTCAGTTTGGCGAACCTTCTGCAGAGAAATTTTTGCTCTTGCCAAAACAAACGAAACCCACCACTGTGAACATGTACCCAGGGATGCATTGCAGGCTCTGTTTGGGTAGATTCGTCGCTTATCGCAGGGGCGTGCCTGGAGCTAAACAGTCCACCCTGTATGGTTTGGGCAGAGACTTGCACTCCGGCTCGCAATTGGAAAGCATATTTATTTAGCTCAATTCGGATGCATCAGTTCCGTTGACACCAGCTCAGAAACTATTAGCCAGACCCAAATTTCCATGCATGTGAGCATGCTATCCGAGGGCGCATACTATTAATGACCCTGAGCGCGGTGCACAAGCAGCGCTATATGATATTTGGGTTGTGAACGTCGATCTGGGTTGCACTAGCATATAAACATTGCGTGAATCGTCATCTCCTCGGGCTCCCATATATTGAGCATCGCAATATCCACGACAACCTCTGTCTGAGGACAGCCCGAATAATCTCCACCGGGTCAACACTGCGCATATAGGTTTGTTGCTATTATCATTATTTTTAAAGCATCCATTTTAAACTCCTTTGGCCAAACTCGGAATAATTGGGGATGGGTCGTGCAAACAAGTCGGCATTGGGCAGCAGCAAAAGCAACAGTAGCAGCAGCGGTACCAGCAAGAAGAGTAAAAGGTCTGCTGCAAGCGACTCACGCCCAGGTGCTGCAAAGCCAAGATCCGCCGCTGCCACCATTGAATGGCCGGCGGTGAAGCCAAAAAAGGGGCTGCAGCTGGCCGAGCTTGTATCCGGCCATATATTCTTGATCAGAAATCTCCTCAGCAAGCAAGAATGCGACGCATTCATTCGCCTTGCGGATGATCTTTGCGTGCCAACACCGGGGGTCCCCAAGCGCGGCGAAGCATTCCGCAACAATGCCAGGTGGAGCGGGATTGACACTCAGTTTGCCCAGGCGCTGTGGACTGACTCAGGAATGGGCAGGCTGCTTGGAGGCTGGACCCACCCGGATGGCAGAGAGCCAGTTGGCCTGCTCGAAAACATCCGTCTGTACCGGTATGGCCCAGGGCAGCGGTTTGGCAAACACTATGATGATTATTTTTTTGACCCGAAGGGCCGACGCACAGAGTATACGCTGCTGATATACCTCAATGCTGTTGATGATGAGCGATTCGGGGCTGAGAAAGGCGGGCGCTCCTCAGGCGGTGAAACCGTGTTCTATGCCGGAAGGATGCAACCGGTATCTGTCAAGCCTGAAATGGGGCTGGCTCTTTTACACAAACACGGCGCTGACTGTCTTCAGCACGAGGCTCTCGAGATTCAGAACAGCTACAAGTATGTTCTGAGGTCAGATCTTGTTTTCGACAGAGCTGGGAACGAGTGAAAGCATATGGATTCAATAAAACTTGCTAATAGGGAAAGTGTAGTTCCAATGGCCAAGGAAAAAGCAGCAGGCGGTAGATGTAGTGACAGGATGGTACATGCTGTCAGAGCGGGTACCTACTGACATTGGGATGCTATGGACCTGTCTGAGCAGTCAGCCATCCATGCATTCTCCTGTGCATTGCTGTGTCGAGTGAAGCGATATACACAGAGACGCTGCCGGTTCCTGGTGGAATAGATCAGATCCTGGCAAATGTGCATTTTGATGTCTGAGCCGGGGCGGTGATGACGTCGAGGTCTGTTGATTGTGACCAATGCGTGTGGCGCCATCACCAAACACGCCCCACTTGTCTCCCCCCTTCCTCTCTTTCGCGAGAATGCTATCAATTGCTATTTTTCTCAATTATTCATTCACCTCAATTTCAATAACAAAGCTTGTACAACAATGTCTCGTAACAGACAGCGCACGGTAGGACGGTCGCTTTCGCACGGCCCAGGCAGCCGCACCGGCTCTGAAGCAAGCAACGAGAACGAAGCCTCCGGGCAGCTACTGCCCATCAACCAAAACACACAGCTGGTGCCGTACTCGGAATGGCGCGTTATCTTATACAACCGGACGTCTGGCCAGGTGGTGCTCTATAACCGCGAGAGCGAGGAGGTCGAGGTAAAGCCGGTGGTTAACCAAGGCCTGGTGTTCCCGTACGGTGATCCAGTTCAGCAGCCGTTGACGCTTCCTGTTAGCCAGGAAATGGCTATTGCCAGCAGACCTCGAAATAGAACGCTTGACCCGCATGCCTCACCGCATGTTTGCCCGATGTGTTTCCGGCCGATAGCGCAAGGAAGCAGCCGTCTACTTGGGCCACATATCGATGAGCACATTGAGGATGCGGGAGGGGCATCAAATGCCACTGTCGATCGTGACTACTTCCAGCTCTTGGATCGGTCTCTCAGGCTGCAGAAGTCTCGGTACGTGCTGGCAGACCGGAGCGACACTCGTTCCAGCACGCCACGACCACCAGACAGCGTTGACGACAATATCGACCCTGGCCGTATGGATGTGAGCGACGTCGGCTCTCCTCTGGCTGCTATGGATGGTGAGGCTAGTGATGCAACGCCAATAGTGCCTTCATCAGCCACAATGGATGGCGACAGTGATAATGATGATGGGCCTAGTGTCTCGGCCAACTCGTTCAACCAGGGATATTATGATCGATTCTTTTCGGAGCAGAAAAAGCTAGGCAAAGGGCTGCGTGGCTCAGTATTTTCGTGCCAGCATATCCTCGACAACGTGTATCTTGGACACTATGCTGTCAAAAAGGTACCTGTGGGCAACAACCACAAGTGGCTGCAGCGCATGCTGCGAGAAGTGAAACTCCTCGAGAGTCTGCGGCATCCGAATGTGGTCGAGTACAAGCACTCGTGGCTCGAGATGCACCAACTGACCAGCTTCGGCCCCAAGGTTCCATGTCTGTTCATCCTGATGGAGTACGCGAATGGCGGCAATCTGCAAGAGTACATGGAGCCGAAGCAGCCAGGACATGATACAGGAGACCCATCGGCGTCACTGAGAAAGCAGCTTCTCGACATGCGTCGCAAGCGGCGTCTTAGCCGTGTCAAGACCATGCCAGAGCAGCCGACTGAGGATTCGCTGAATGCCGATGGTGGACCGCACATGCTATCGATCGAGCAGATCTGGTCGTTCTTTGCCGACATTTGCAATGGACTTGCGCACCTGCATCAGCTGCAAATCATCCACCGCGACCTGAAGCACATGAATCTTTTGCTTCACTGGAGCGACCCGGCAAACAAGGGTGCTACCGGCGAGATGCCCCGTATTATGCTGACTGATTTCGGCGAGTGCGAGGTCCTGTCGCACATCGAGAAACGCAATCGCACCGGTGCTACAGGCACGCTCGAATTTATGGCGCCAGAGCTGCTCGAAGTTGACGCGACTGGACGGTACCTGGACAGCTACTCGACCAAATCGGATATGTGGTCGTTGGGTATGGTGCTATATTATCTGTGCTACACGCAGCTGCCGTTCTCGAACATTGAGGATTTGGATATTCTGCGCCGAGATGTGCTGGCTTTGCGACATGTAGATTTTTCGCAGATCCGTCGCCAGCACAATGTGCCTGAGATTCCCTCAGAACTGCGTGTACTGATGCAGTCCCTGCTCAACCACGACGAGAACAAGCGGCCGGATGTCACCGACATCCAGCAGAAAGTTAACGAGCGCAGAAACTTTTGGTGCAGCCGCAAGCAGGATGAGCCCAGATTCGAAATCCACGAGTCCGAACCAGCAAGCAGCCGGGGTGACACACCAGGGTTTGCTACTCCCCGGCGCTACAGCGAGGCAGATACGCGCCGAGGGGCAGAGTACGTTGACGCACCATACGCGCAGTTCGAGTCATCGTCGTCAGTAACAGCACCCAGGCGCCAACCTGCCGTCAACAGATCGCCCAAGCCATCAAACACTGGCTTGGAGTTAGTCAAGGCGTCAAATGGCGGGTACCTTGTCGTTCCATCAGGTGTATCCACCCCACGAGAAGGTGTGCGGAGACGGCATAGTGTCGGTGTTCAGGAGCATTCGCGAGAGCTCACTCGGGCATTGTCGGGTCTGCAGATTCAGACAAGGCAAGAAGCATCAGCAGAGGCAAAAGATACTGCAGCCTGTACTGCTCCGGCACCTGGAAGCAAGCGGCCATTGGAAAAGCACAGCAGCGATGCTGAGGGTGGTGCTCCCACTAAGCGGCGCCGTGCCGAGCAAAGCTGGTCGGATGTGGTGTTTGGTGTCAAGACCGCTGTCATGTTGCTCAAGGTGTACGTCTTGCATGTGGTGGCTTCTGCTGACAATGCTGCTGCGCGAACCGACGTGCCGTACATCGTGGCCCTCACCCTGGTAATTTCGGCATTCGACATTCGCTCCGAGTCGCTGCAGCTGTCGCTTGTTCTGCTGGCCGCCAACATCGGGCTGGCATACTTTTGGATGCAGCTGCATTTCTGAGAGCGAGAGTGCAAGGTACTTCATATGTTGTCCTTCATAGAGAGGAAATTAGAAAAGTAGAACCTAGTTGGAAAAGATCGATCGCCTCTAGTGCTGGATGCCGCCCTCCTCGAGGCTCTTGGGAGCACTACTGCTGGAGACGCGCGGGTCAGTGCTGCTGTCTTCATCGTGGATGTCCTTGGTCACAGGTGCTTCGCCGTGGTGCGCCATGCCTTGGGTCCCGGTGAGATGGAAGTACAGCTTCATCAGCGCCAGGATAATGTCCAGCAGGATCACAATCAGATATGTGATAGACGCAACATAGTCGAACTCATGGTCGAATGCCAGGCTGAGAGTGCTGAACATGCCACCGCTGATATCAAGCATCAGGAAGAAGTTGCTCATCTCGACCGACTTCTCCTGGATGCACACGTAGAACTCGGGAAAGAACCCAACGGCGATGAAGACAGCCGGCAGAACACCAAGGAAGGTGACCACGCGGTCCTCGTGCTTGGCAATTGCGTGTTCCTCGCCCTTCCAGATTCCGACGTGCAGGCCCGCGTATAGAGCGCACAGAACAGCACTGGCAGACAGAATCTTGGTCATGCTCCACTTGTACCGGTACCAGTAAACCTGGAGGATGTTGAGCAGCGTGAAGAGCGCAAACAGCTGCGGCTGGATGATAAGTCCAAAGTAGAGCTTGTCGGCGACTGCGTATGCGCCGTACAGCATGTTTCCGATATACCAGAGGTAGAGCATCACAATGGAGACGCCCTCGGTGGACTTACGCTTGTAGTTTTGCCAGGCTAAACATTACAAAGATGTGTATAGTTACGTACCCGCAGTGGCCACGATACAGGCGTCAGTAGAGTTGAGCGCAGTGAACGGGAAGGCTACAGAGGAAGTAGGAAATGAGCTCTTCACTTATAACAAACAGGCTCCGGTCTGCAGGGGCTTCCAAATGGCAAGCACCAGCAGCTGGACCAGAGGTGCAGATTGCATGAGATTCGATACGTTGCCTTGTGGTGCAAGCTGGAAGCTCCAGAATACCAAACCAAGCCATGCACAGGTCTCCTTAGCAGCCTTGTTGTATCCCATCGTTGAGTGAGCGCGCTTTTTCTTTCAAAGATAGAAAAGTACGAAAATGTGTAAAGCGAAACCTCAGGAAGAGCAGACTGAAAAGCAGCTGGTGCAGTTGCAATTTATGCGCTTTCTTTCTTCACTAGAAGGTCACCCACCGACAAGCCCCCAACCGTGGACTCCGAAACTGCCATCTCAGTGGTTTGACTACTAAATGGTTTGTGATAGGATGCAGCAGGGGCGATCCGCGCAGCGCATCCTTTGATGACTGGCATGAAGACCGAGGACGGGGGAGTTGAGTCACGGACATGGACGCTCTTGGGCTGCTGCCCAGACATTCGGCGTTCGAAAACTCTTGCTACGCTGGTGGCTTACATGCCACAGCGCATCCAGGCAAGCTGGGGGTGGACAATCGGCTTTGGTACAATGTTATTCACAGTGAAAAATTGTTTTGAGGAAAGGTGGCAGAGCAGAGCGGCTCAGTCCATATGGCGGTTGGTCACCTTGCTGTTGAACATCTGGTCAAACTCAATTGAGGCCGCGAGCCGGCGCTCGATCTCCATGTTGTTGACTGAGGCCGCGCCCAGATCGGTGTCGATGTCGAACTCGCCGTCGATCACTGAGGCCAGAGCCTCGTTATACTTCTCCGGGTGCAGATTGTCGAGCACCTCGTGCGGGGCAGGCATCTTGTTGTAGTCGTTTGTGCGATGGCTAACGGGTGGGACGTAGGCACGAGCAAACACCAGGCTACCGCCACGGGCAGCAGCGGGGCTGATGAGGTACTGCAGGCGCAGGCGGGTTTGAGGATACAGATAATGTCTGAACATTGTGGATTGTTGGAAGGTGGAGGTGTTTATTCTGTTAGGAGCAGGTTGTGAGAAAAACGAGCGAAGAATATGCTCTGCTCCAACGACAGCATCCGTGCCGCCTTTTAAGCCTGTTCAGAGAACGTGGCCCTAACCTGACCGCTGGCGGCAGCTGACCCGGGCATTGTCTAATATTTACGCCAGAGTAGCATGCTGTGAAACTTTTGCAGCGAATGGGCACGAGCACACATGTGCAATCGGATGTTTCTAGCACGAAAACTAGTGTGCCAATAAACAATGTTGCATCTGTCATGCAGCAACAAACGGGTATCGAATAGGGGTGCGGTATATGCCAGGAGATGGTCGCTGGACGACTACTGTTTGTTCATGTACTCTGTTTGATATAGCAATGTATTAATTGCACAATGTCCAATATTAGGTAATACCAATATGGTGACGCTATGTTTTCCAGGTGTTTACAAATGCACGATTGTCATTACTGTCCGATCCTTACACTCCATGTGAAAACTGCAGCATACCACTCGTCATTACTGCAAGCTTTTTAGAGCGGATGGCAGACATCTAGCTGCTGATACTGGATTGTCTGTAATGTTCATTTCAAACATGCATATGCACAATACTGCACATCTATTGCTGGCATGTCCGAATTTGCGGATCTCGTTAGGACGTTGAATTCGTTTTGACATTTGAAAATGTACTAAATTATATGTCATGCTAGTCAAGTATTCAACGAATAGGGAGGTTTTTGCTACTTTGTATCATTTTCCATGCTAAGAGAAAGCATTGGCATGCCATCGGTCAGAGCGCAATGGCGAGTGCATGGGGCTGCTATCTCAATCGAGTTGGCTCCTGAAACGGTAGTGATACACTCATGAATTTATAGCCTAAGCGCTTGACACTAAAAAATTAATGCATTGCCAGGGTCCCTGAGGCTGTCTTGGATCTCAGTTCACCTATCGTTTTTACCAACGAAACAGGCAGTTGTGTTGATCGGCCGATCTAATACTGCACCCGCAGCTGATCACAGCACTGCAGCTTTGGCGCCCGCTCGTTGGTCCACGTTCTGCGGATTGACAGCCAACGAACGAAGAGTTAGAAACGGACTGTGGAGAGAGGCAACGTATAAATGAAATGCTGTTTGCAAGTTGGGGTCTCGCCAAGCTCTCCTCTGTCTTTCTTCAACAGCGCTCTGCCTCTACAAACTTTGTGCCCTTTTCTTTGGCCAGCCTCAGTTGATAGTTCTCCTACTCTATTTGTATATTACCTCCTTTCCGCTCGTATTCTCTACTATCCTTTATTTTCCAGAATGAAGTGCGGCTTACTTGCAGGCACAGCGACGTTGCTGCTGCTCACACTCACAGGTTCGGCATCGGGCGAGCTGACAACAACGCAGGAGTATCTGGAGGAGGCCAACAACCTGCTGTTGCATGGCAAGTACCGTGAGGCTATCAGCCATTACGACGCAGCCATTGCCAAGGACCCGCAGAACTACCTGACGTACTTTAAGCGCGCAACCACGTATCTGACGATTAACAAGCATTCATCGGCGCTCAAGGACTTTTCGCGTGCCATTGAGATCAAGCCCGACTTTGACCAGGCGTATCTGCAGCGGGCCAAGGTGTATCTGCGCGAGGGTGACCTGGACGGCGCCGACAGCGACATTGCCAAAGTGACAACAGGCAACGCCAAGATTTTCGAAAAGTCAAAGGAATTGGTAAGTGGAGGAGCAGTTTTGTGGGCGTGGCGGGGTGGCTCACACTCCAGGCTCTCTGTCTCACTATTTATCAGTGTCTCCACACTGGCACGAAGCAAACTAAAATGTGGATGTTTCCCTCGAGGAAATTGTAGAAAGACAAGATTGCGCTGGCTCGCGACATGGCGAATGTATCTTCAAAAGCGCTTGCGGAGAAGAAGTACAGCGAGTGCATCGACTCGGCGTCCAAGGTCATCCGTGTCTCGCCGTTGCACACATCAATCCTCAAGACAAGGGCTGCTTGCCGCATGGCCAGCGGAGATCTGGAGGGTGCCAGCGCCGATCTTGGCCGGCTGGTGCGCATCCATCCCGGGGACCTGAAGACGCAGGCAAAGTTGGCCGATCTTCACTACCTTGCGCTGAACGAATCTGAGCGTGGGATGGAGCACGTGCGTGGGTGCCTAAAGTCGGATCCGGACAATAAGATGTGCCAGACGGTGTTCAAGCGGTTGCGTGCGCTCGGACGCAAGGTCGAGAAGCTGGAGAGCGACAAGGCAAAGGGCAAGTGGAATGCGTGCAATCGAGGAGTGGCGCCAGCCAACGGCAAGCCTGGACTGCTGGACGATGTGGACCAGATGTACGCACAGTTCGTCATCGATGCTGAAATCCCGGCCACTGTTCCGGCCAAGCTTGCCACATACCTGGCTGGCATTGCATGCGAGGGATACACGCACACAAAGAAGTGGGACCATGCGATGAAGCACTGCGACCGTGTTCTGGAGGCCGAGCCTGGAAATGCTGATGCGTTGGGCAACAAGTTTGAGGCGCTGTTGGAGACCGACGAGGTCGACCAGGCGCAGGTTGTGTTTGCGTCGCTTGAGCAGGCCAACGGGGGCGGTCCCGATCACCAGCGGCGCATGCACGAGCGGCGCATGCGGCTGGAGCAGAAGAAGCGCATGGCTGCGCGCAAGGACTACTACAAGATCTTGGATGTGCCGCGCGATGCTTCGCAACGGGACATTAAGAAGGCGTTCCGCAAGCTGGCGCACCAGTGGCACCCGGACCGTTACCGCGGCGACCTGCCCAAGGACAAGGTTGAGGAGAAGATGGCCGAGATCAACATGGCGTATGAGGTGCTGTCAGATGAGGAGACGCGGACCCGCTACGACCAGGGTGAGGATCCCAACGACCCGACCGGTGGCCACGGTGGTCCAGGCGGCTTTGGCGGCGCCAATCCGTTCATGTTCCAGCACGGCGGTCCGGGTGGTGGTAAGCCCATGTTCTTCCAGCAAGGCGGCAGCGGCCAGCATTTTGCGTTCAACTTTGGCGGCCCTGGCGGCGGCTTCCCCTTCTAGACTCTTTGGACCTGTTTTTGTACTTCGAATGAAACTCCAGTCTTGGACTGCAGCAGGGGCCGTTGCTCGTGGCACCATATCGACGCCAGCCATTGTTTGGATGTATTGCATTTGCAGTGCAGTAGGCACAGCAGCAACAATGTTTGGAGGTCGCACAGTCCTCCCGTCTGCCACATCTGCAAGCACAAAGCAGTTCCACGCCTCGCGGCCATTGTCATCTTCGGGCGGTCTGGACAGCATCGGCACAGATCCACGGATTTGTCCAGTGCTGGCCAGCCTCGGGCCAAGCTGCTGCATGACAGGTGCCAGCCGGTTTCTGTTTACTGGAAAGACCCAGGTGGTGGTGTCTCTGGTATCCGGTTTCCAAGATGCCCGCAAAACGTGCATGCAAGAACAACTCCCCCGAAGCAAGAGGCAATGCAAGCGAGAACAATGGCGAATTCTGTCTCAAAGAGCATTAAACTTTTCGGCGATTGTTCACGGCGATGAATGAGTGTTTTGCTGGGTTGGGCCTGTCTTGCCAATGTCTGGACTGCCAGGCTCTCTTTTTCGTCCTTGCCTCTACTTCTAATACTCTGCTTTTTGTGTCTTTTTTCTAGCTTTGATCGTTCGCTACTATCACTATAGTAGTCCACACCCTATCTGGCACCAGCCTACTCTAAAGCACTCGTAAGTACACTGGCACCCTGATGGCATAATGATCGTGGGATGACATATGGTGAATGCGTCTGGTCTCCCGCTCAACGTCCAAACACAGGGCACGCCGTGGTTAATGCGCATACATGGTGTACCATGCCTGGACAAGAGGGCAACTGGTGTGAGCTGCCACTGCGATCCCTCTCCCTGCCAGGCTCTCTTTGTCGCCCCTTTTTGCAGCATGTGTCCAGGGCCCAGCCCTTCCCATGTGGTGGTCATCGGGACCCGCGTGTCATTCTGCTGGTCTCTGGAGTTGCCGGAATCCTTGCACTACTATCCCACCCATCCCTCTTGCCCTCGATCGGCGCTCCGTGCCCTTGCGTGTCACCACTGCATTAGTCTGGCACTAGAGGTAAACATGAGGCGCGATCGTCAAACGAGAACGAAGCGCAATAAGAAGCGGATGCCTTTTTTGCATGATTTGTTGCTGTAGTTGAGATGCGCCCTGCGGCTGCAAATCAGCTCGACCTTTGGGATCTACCCCATCCCAACCAGCCTTGCAAGCCGGCGCTTCATGTGGTAGTGCACTAATTTCCTGCCATTGAGCCCTTTTGTGGAACGCGGGCGCGAAAGATGCGCGTGGGAGGGGTGTCGTGTACCGGCGGTTTGTTTGCGTGTGTTTTTTTATTTAGCTAATGGCCTTGTAGAGCTTGCGAGCAGAAGCTGGTGCCTCCGAGATATCCGGCTCGCATCTCCCCCGCCTTCAATATATGGTGGGAGCGATATCTGGGGAAGATGTTAGGCCACTCGGCCATCCTTTGTAATGACACGCGCGGGTGGCTCAGCGCTTTTTTTGTAACACAGCTCGTCACAATTTTTTGTCTGTAGAGCCTCAACTTTTTTTACTATTATTGCGCCTTGGGGCTCTTCTTTTCCTCTCTTGTTGCATTTCTCCTTCACACCACCCAATCTTTTCATAGCACTTTCTCATTCGCATATTTTCATCGAAACTGACCAAAACAAAGCCCTGACTCTAGTCTGCTAGGTAAACCCGCAACGGCTATATTTTCATCTCTGGAAAAAGCATGGCCAGGGAACTTGCGGCCCTTGCAAACAGGGCCAACGCTGTGATGGCCAGCGATATGAGCAGCTGCGGAGGTGGTGGAGCCGAGAGCCTCTCAAGCGGGTTCAACAGTGGCGACATCGTGCTTGGCCACGGCGCTGCACTGTCTCACAAGCGGTCACTGGAGAATGCAGAGAACATCCCGCCGTCGTTTGACCTTGACGCTGCCGCCGCCGCAGCCGTCCATGGTGGCGCAGGCTCGAGAAAACAAAAGCCAGCACTTTTGGGCATGGCCGCGCAGCAAATGTCCCAGAACAAGTATCGGCGCACCATGGCACTTGCCGGCAAATCTCCCAGAGGTTCCAAGCGGATGCCTGCCAACCCTCGCCGAGTTGCTCAAAAAGTCGATATCTCTTTTCTGCGCAGCGCACAGCAGCAAGCTCAACGGAAGCAGCAGCAGCAGCAGCAGCAGCCAAAATATGCACTGCCTCCGCCGCTCGGCAGCTTCAGCAGCGACAACTACCCACAGGCTGGTGGCACGCTGCGCTCACGGATAGTCCATGTTGTCGCCGACAACAACAACGGCAGTAACATTGTGATAAGGGCAGGGAGCCATACCAGCAACAACGTGCGGCTTCGGCGTCTGCCCAAGCGTAACCTGAAGCCGCTTGATTTCTCTGGACTGCACCGTGCAAGCAATGCAACCTCATCCCAGCCGTCTACTGCCGAGACCGCCTCCTCTACTGCCGAGACCGCCTCCTCTACTGCCACGGGTCAGGTGGGCAACGACGGTCATATGTCGCTGCCGGTCTCGCCTGTGGAGTCGTCGCCAATTGCGATCTCGCCCCTGGATCGCGCTGGCTTCCGGAGCTCGTCGCCTGCCTACGAGCTGTTCAAGGGTGTTGCGTGTAGCACCGGTGAGTCTATGCACCCAACCCCTCCGAGCACTGGGCCACGGGTCCCTGGCACAGCCTTCTCTGGCATCCTGGCGTCAGCCTACCAGCGTGCGTCGTCCAAGCGCTCAGCAAAGCGTGCCCTCAACTTTGACTCGTCGGTCGCGGCAGAGATTGGAGGCCTGCTCGACTATGACCCCGTACTGGGGCCGCGCTGCCCGGTCATCGGTGACCCTCGCGGGATTTTTAGCCTACAAAGAAACGGGTTGGACCAGCTCCACCGCGAGCAGGTCGAGCGCACTGAGTCCCGGTTCTCGGATATGGCTCGCACGGTCCGTAAGGCGCAGGCGGCGTTTGAAGCGGCGGTGTCTGAGCAAAAGACCACGAGCGGGCGCGGACGCCCTGCATCCAAACGCACGGCAGCAAAGTCGTCGTCTTCCCATGACAACAGCGGTGCAGCGGCGGCCAAGGCGCCCCGGCCTATCTCCGAGTGCAAGTACTGTGGCAAGCAGTACAAGTATCACTCGAAGCTCGCCTCTCACGAGCAGCACTGCTCGTCGCGGCTCGAGGCGCTGCTTTATTCGGCCGACGAGAATGAGCAGCACATCATCCACTGTGTGTGTGGACCGCGCCATGACCGGCCTGTGGGCGCCCGCGATGACCTGCCTATGGTGCAGTGCGACCACTGCAGTCTCTGGCTGCACATTGAGTGCGTGGGCATTGACGAGGAGAATCTTCCTGACGAGTTCTTCTGCCCGCGGTGCGAGGACGGCATGAACCACAGAGCAGCGATGCTTGGCAGGGAGACGACGCCAGAGCACCAGGTTGGGCTGGGCAGCGAGGGCAACATCATGTCGCCGCAGTCGCACAGACTTGCGACTCTTCTGGCCGGCGTGCCCGATGATGGGTCTGAGACGGAGGATGAGCCAATTGTGCAACGCATGCGCGGCAAGCGTGCAGCGGGGCGCAACAGCAAGGTCCCCACGGGGCGTGATACCAGCAGCGAGGTCACCATGTCAATTTCGGATGTCTCAGAGGCTACCCGGTTCCACCGCCAGGGCAGCGTAGGCAAGCGCAGGGACTTGGCCAGCGTTGCACCACGTCTGGCGCAGAGCGAGACCAACATTTCGCCCATGGTGACTCCTGCTCGCCGCAATGTGCGCGGGCGTCCCCGCGGCTCCAAGGCCAGGGGTGCCGGCGGCAACGGCAATGAGCAGGTTGTGCACACCGACGTCCTTTCGTCAGACTTCCTGGGGCTGCCTCTGCCCGAGTCGATCTACAGCCTGAAGCCGCCTCAGGGCACGGCTGGTGTGGGAGCGCCGCTGTCAATTGCCCCTGAGCTATGCTCGCGGCAGCAGCAGCAGCAGCAGCAGCAGATGGACGACATCTCGCGGTTCCTGTCTGACCCGCCCCCGCAGTGGTCGCTGGCGCAGCTTTCCAACATGCTGAGTGGGGCGGATGCAGGCACCGCAGCGGCAGCCGACATGATTGGCAGCAGCGCGGCGGCCGATTTTGTCGGGCAGGCGCTGGTGGACATGGGACTTGGAACGCTGGATGAGGTGTCAGCGGCCCTTGTGTCGGGGGTGGCCAGCAGCTCGCTTGCTGCCGGCGTGTCAGCGGCAGCCGGTGGCAATGCGTCGCACCAGGCAGGGGCGATGAGCCTCACTGCTACCCCACTGAGCGAGCTTGTGGACCTGCCGATGGACAATGACTTTTCGGCGCTGCTGGAGTCGATTGCCAGTGCCAATCCGGGCGGCGACGGCGATCCGTACTCGTCGCTTGACGGCGATGCCGGATTCGGCGGGCTGTTTGGCGATGACGCTCTCCTGGGCCTCAGCAATGCTCCCGCAACTGGTACTGCGGCGCCGGTGCCTCTTGCGACAAGCAACGCCCGCGGCGGCCGCACTTTGATTGGCACCAGCAGGGCGGCTAGCGGCACCCGCGAGATCGACCACGGCTCATCGTCGACCATTACAATTATGCATGACGACAGCAGCGTGCTGGGCAGCGCCGACGCGCCAAAGGAAGCAGCTGGGGTTGCGCCGCAGGGCCGTCCTCCGGTTGCGCGCCCGCCGCCGGGTCTGGCGGGGACGACGGGCAGCCGGAAGAGCACGTATGGCAGCACCAAGGCGGGCAACGCTGCCAGCAGCCGGCTGAGCGGTGACACTGCCGTGGGCAAGCCAGCAGCCGCTGCTGGTAACAGCAGACCTCAGCTGGACAAGCTTCTTTCGGGCTCGCAGGACAGTCTGGCGATGGCACTGAGCCTGCCGTCGAACCCGCCCTCGGGCACCGGGCTGACGGATCTTGATGTGAGCCAGCTGCTTGCAGACTCGACTGTGACAGGCGCGCTGCAGCAGAACCAGCCGCTGCTTGACTGGCAGGTCGGCGTGGATGCGCTGGAGAAGGAGCTGGAGGGCCTGATCGACTTTGACATCTGAACTATTTTTCTGCTTTATTTTGTAGCCACCCCTCTTTTTTTTTTTCTGTATGTGTCGTAAATGCTTTTAAATGCAGCAGCCCCAAGGGGCTAAATCCCCTCCAAGGTAACAGAAGTGCCGTGTGGGCGGTACCAGGCGCTTTGGTGCAGCGGACTGGGCGTGGCGGGTGTGATTCTGGGTTCAGCGATTGGGGACCAAGTGTGAAAATTTTTTTTCACAGGGTGGGATTTGGTGAGCGAAAATCTCCGTCCAGCCGGCTGTCGCTCGTGCATGGACAGCCGGTGCAGGCGGTGGGTATAAATAGAGGGCGAGCACATCGGCCTGGGCGCAATCGCCCTTTTGCTCTGCAGAATAGTACTTTTTTTCCAACCATTTTTCACTATACAATGTCGTTTACGATTGAGCAGGTCAAGGCGCTTGTTGCCGAGTACCCGGATTTCCCAGAGAAGGGCATTCTGTTCCGGGACATCTTCCCCATTTTCCACCATCCGGCAGCGGTGGAGTGCCTGGTGGAGCACTTTGTGGAGCGGATCCGGTCGCTGGACAAGCGCGCGGACGTGATTGTCGGATTGGATGCGCGCGGGTTCCTGTTCGGCCCGCTGATTGCGCTGAAGCTGAATGTGCCGTTTGTGCCTGTGCGCAAGCAGGGCAAGCTGCCGGGCAACGTGGTCAGCGCGACGTACGTGAAGGAGTACGGGCCGGATGTGTTCGACATGCAGGCCGACTCGATCAAGAAGGGCCAGAACGTGGTTATTGTCGATGACCTGCTGGCGACCGGCGGCAGCTGCAAGGGCGCTGAGGACCTGGTTGCGAAGCTGCAGGGCAACGTCATTCTGAATGCCTTTGTGATCAAGCTTGTTGGTCTGGAGGGCGACAAGAAGCTGCGGGCGCCGACCTATGCTCTTATCGAGTGCTAGAGCAATACACGGAGTTTTCTTTATTTCGTTTTCATGAACCATAGTGTGTCTGGATGCACATACACAGCCTAGTTTTTTTTTTTTTTTTTTTTTTTTGAGGATCCTGGTGGAAGGGAGAGAGGACGAGGGAAAGGAACAGGTTCAGCAGCGATAAACACATTTTCGTATACACATGGCGGCATTTCAATCCAGCAGCACGCTCGTGCGGCCCGACTACATGTACAAGTTCCGCGCAGCGACAGCCAAGCCGGTGATTGCGGAGGTTCTGCGGGCAGAGCTAGGCGACAAAAAGTACGAGGCCGAGGACATGGCGGAGCTGACAAAGACGGTGGGCGAGCAGATCAACACGCGGCTGAGCAAGGAGTCCGGGATGGAGCGGTACAAATTCGTCAGCAATGTCAGCATCTTCCAGAACACCGGGCAGGGCGCGCGCATGGGGTCGAGCGCGCTGTGGGATAAGGAGTCGGACTGCGTTGTGCAGGAGACCTTTGCCAGCGAGTCGCTGAGGTGCGTGGCAGTGGTGTTTGCGGTGTTTGTGTATTGACAGGCGGGCGATGTATGCTGAGCTAAAGCTGCAGGCCACAGCATAGTTCAAAGGGCTGTCCAGAGTTTTTTTTTTTAAAAGGGAAAATTTTTTTATTTCACTGCTGCTGCATTTCACACTCTTTTTTTTGGCTGGTTTAGCGTTCATTTAATTCGGCGTGCGCTGCGTTTTCTTGGACCTTGTTCTAGACGCTGCACGTTAGTAGTTTGACCAAAAAAAGAAGGGCTTGTTAACCACGACAAACCAAGGGGAGGGAATAAAAACGCGGGCCTACAAATGCAGAGTCAGGAAGCGACGGATTGGCAGTTCACGCGCGAGGACCTGGGACGCACCCCGTCGGTGGGCAGCGGGTGGACGGTGGAGCGGGAGGAGCTGGACCGCGCAAAGGCCTGCACGCTGATATACTCGGCAGCGCGCAAGCTGAAGCTCCCGCAGGTAACCTCAGCGACGGCGTGCGTGTTCCTGCACCGGTTCTTCATGCGGCACTCGCTGCGCGACTACCACCACTACAACATCGCAGCGACATGCCTGTTCTTCGCGTGCAAGTCTGAGGAGACGCTGCGCAAGCTGGACGACTTCATTCCAATCATCGTCCACTACGCGTCCAAGGGCCTGCGCACGGCGGCGCCGGGCACGGCCGAATTCGACAAATGGCGGGCGGTCATTCTGCGCACCGAAATCAGCCTGCTGCAGGCCCTGTGCTTTGACATGGTGGTGGGGCATCCGCACGTGCAGCTTGCGGCGCTGGCCGAGGAGCTGAGGCTCGGGAGGCGCGTGAGCCAGATGGCGTGGAGCTTCATCGGCGACTGCCTCCGGCTGCCCGTGTGCGTGGTGCATGCGCCGCGCGCCATTGCCTGTGCCGCCGTGTCGCTGGCCAACCGGGTCAATGCCGTGGCCGATGACGCATGGCTGGACCGCGTGGACGTGGGCCGCGCCGAGGTCGCCGAGATTGTGCAGTGGGTGCTGGAGTTTTATTCCCGCGAGGCCCAGTCGCGCCTGGCTGGCGCCAGTGCTGAGCATGCTGTCGAGGTGTCGCCGACGCCTGCGTCTTCGCCGGGCTCCAGCATGTCGCCGATGAACTGACAACAAAACCACCACCCTTGTATTTTAGACATAAAAGACCCTTTTGGACAAACGCCCCTATGTGCGGCGCATGTTGCTCATCAGCTTGCGCAGGTTGTTGTTGATTTTGGTGCGTGTGGCTGTTGCGTTGGCGGCCAGCGACGCGAGCACCGGAGAGTTGGATGTGTCGTCGTCGGGCTCGCTTGGGCTGCTGCTTGCCGACATACCGGCCGGCATACCGGTGATTCCCAGCGGATCGGGGCTCTGCCTGACTGCTGGTTCCTTCGGGGCTGGCTCCTTCGGGGTTGGCTCCTTCGGGGCTGGCTCGTTGGGCTTTGGCTTCTCCTTGTCCACCACCAAGCGCCTGCTCAGCGTCCGGAAGTACATCGGCTGGTCAGCCGGGCGGATGCCTTTCAACCCCAGGATCTGCTGGAACACATCTCTGGGCGCACTGGCATACAGCAGCAGGAACCTATCGACCAGCGCATCGGGCGGATCGGGCGGCGCCAGAATGGCCTTCAGCAGCGCCTCAATACGGCCCATGCCTGTGGCCACGATCTTGGCATACGCCGGCGGCGGGCTTTTCCCAGGCATAGCGGCCAGCGCAGCCTTCAGCGCCTGGGCATCCAGCAGGAGCTGCTCGGCGCCCTCCTCCGACACCACCCGGGCGCTATGGATTGCCGCCAGGTACCGCTGCGTAATGCGCGCGGCCAGCTTGTCGCAGAACGTCCGAAAGTACCGCATGCTGCTGAGCGCCCGCTGCGATGCCTGCGCGGCTGCCTCCAGGGCTGATGCCACCAGAAGCACGTGCGACGACTGGTCGCCCACTGCCCGCACGCTGCCCCACGACACCTGCGACAGCTGCGCCAGCCCTGGCTCGCACATGGCCTCGGCGCCATCCACCAGCGCCCGCACCCCTGCATTGGCAGCACCTAGCAATGCCTCGCGGCTCTTGCTGAACGACACCTGCGGTCGCAGGGGCTCGGAAATCCGCTCTACCAGCTTCTGCTCCAGCTGCGCAGCCGCCGACGCGCAGTAATCAGCCGTGTTGATGATCAGACAGGCGTGGCCCAGGTCTGCCAGTGCCGAGTCCGCCGAAATCCGCGGCAGCCGCTGCTCCAGAACGTCGCGCGCATACTCCCCCAGGTACTTGTCGAACACGCGCGCCAGATCCAGCATCGCCGCTCCGGTCGTCAGCGCCGCGCACTGCCGCAGCGACTCGCGGTACTGGTACAGAATGTCTGTGCTCGACGCCAACACACTCAGCGCTGCGTCGTCGTCGGCCGCCAGCGGCTCGCCCTGCACGCGTCGCACCAGTGCCGCGTATTTGGCCGACTCGCTCTCAATGTACACCGACATGTACGGCTCGAAGGCACACGAGATTGCCCCCACAAACGTCTCCGAGGGCTCGTTGAACCGCTTATCGCACTGCGCCTCAAACGCCAGCGTGTCGCCCAGCGCTTGCAGCAGATGCCCTACCTCCAGCGGTGCATGCGTGGCCATGATCTCCGCCAGCTGGTCGCGCGTGGCTGTGGCAAAGGCTCGCGTCACGTGCTCGTCCACCCGCCACGCCGCCGGAAACACCCCGGCGTGTGCGTCGCCGTAGTTGCGCAGAATCCGCCGCAGCCACGCATACCGCCTGGCCACATGCTCCAGCTGCGCCACGTCATCCTGAACCATGAACAGCGCCGCATACGCCCGCATCTGCACTGCGCTGTAGAACTCACTGATCCGCCCGCCCGCGCCCAGCGCATCCGCGCACACGCACGCATCGTGCATCTCCTGCGCATCGCCCACCAGCACGCCCTGCATGTCAAACCCCTTCTCCACCACCCCGCACACCTCTGCCTCCAGCTGCATCTGCAGAGCCATCGCCGCATCGCCCAGCTGCGCAACTCTCGCCACACGCTCATACCCAGCCAGCGCCTCGCGCAGCCCGTTGACCGCCAGGACCGCCTGCGCCGCCTCCTTGTACCTCTGCTGCTTGGCCAGCACCCGCAGATGCTCCACCGAGGCCACCAGCATCTGCAGCCGCTTCATTGTGGTCATGGCCGCCGTCAGGTTGCGCTTTGCAAAGTCCAGCGCGCGGATATCCTGCGTGATGTCCTGGACCGTGCGCTCGGACTCGCGCGCCTTGGCCTTCATGGCTGAGATCCGCTCGTACAGCAATGCGATGCCCGCTGTGGTCGCTGCTACGTCGGGCGGCCGGCCCTGTGCCGACTGCTGCCGAAGGAGGTGCCGGATGTCTTGCGTGGTGGTTGCATGCCGGTGTCGCACATTGGCGACTGCGATGTCTACGCCTTCCAGCGACGCCTCCGAGCCGAACAGCCGGTCGACGTACGCTGCCGGCGCAAAATCCACGCTGTCGAGATGTCCCGCCCCTGATCTGCCACTGCCCTTTGTCTTTGAGTCTGTGCGAGTCATCCAAAAAAGTGATTTTTTATTTTTGCCTTTTCTATCCTCCCCATGCCATCCTCGCTCCTTGACTTCCAAACCCAGCGCCAGCCAACTATGGCTCCCCCATCCCTCACCAGTGTCCTACGTTGCAGACTACTGCCTAGTACTATTCTGCCCGCTCTCGAAAATACCCGCTGTCTTGTACTACGCGTAGATTCTGCTACATCTGCCTGTTTACGGTCGCCTCTAAGCTCCACCCCTCGTACCGGGCCCCTGCCAAGGCAGGCACATGCTCGGGAATGCAGTGGCCATGTAGAGGCGCGACAAGAGATTCCGCGTGGGTTTACAGAGATATATAGAAGGAATGCAAGAAAAGGGTGCCTATTTAAGGAAGGAGATAATACTAAGTAACCGGCCTACTTTGCTTTAGTACGGAGGATACGCCTGCTGCTGGTACTGCTGCTGTCCGCCCTGCTGTCCGTACCCGCCGTACTGCGAATTTGTGTTGTACTGCGAGTTGGTGTTGGCAAACGACACTCCAGCCGGCCCCACAGTGTTGGCCGCCTGCCCAGCATACGGCGCAAACTCGTCGTCCTCGTTCAGCAGCTCCTTGACCTCCCACACATTGCCCTTGCCGCCAACGCTGAACTCCAGGTCCTCCTTGGTGATCGAGTCCCAGTACTTGTAAATCATCATCACCGACAGCAGCGTACAGATCGTGCCAAAGAACACTCCGTCCACGTAGTGCTTGATCGCATCGCAGATCTTGTTGCTCAGGAATATCTGGATGCACTGCCCGATGATAAAGAACACCACCGCAAAGCAGATGTTTCCCAGCGGCCAGTACTCGTCCAGCGTGTTCACCACCAGGATAATCTGCAGAATCACGTACACGAACAGGCAGAACGGGTTGAAGATAAAGTGCACGATGAACAGCCCGATCGGGTGCGCCGGCGTAAACGACGCAATGCCCTTGAACGTCGCAATCGAGATAAAGTACATCACTCCGAAAATCACCAGCGACGTCAGCCGGAACGACCACAGCGACACCGCCGTTCCGTCCTCAGCCCACTGGAACCCAATGAACCCGTTCAGCATCAGGCACCAGCACATCGCGCTCGTCAGTCCAAGATACCCCGCCACAAAGTACTACATCCAATACGCCAAATAAGCGAAAAAAAAAAAATTAGTAAGTGTTTTTGTTTTCGTCCCAGAGAATGTCCATAGTCTTTCCCCTCTAGTCTCCATTGTGCGCCTTGCGTCAGAGGCCAGCCCGCGATATTCCCACCACCACTCCCCAGCCTCCCTTTTCCCCGAGAGCCCCTCGCTCTCCACACGCACACGCACACGGCAGAGGGCAGATGCATCCGCTGGGCTGCCTTGCCCAGACCCCTCCCAGGAGGTCAGACCTTCCCTCATTGTGTGCCTTTGTGACAACCACAAAGAGAATGCTACGACAAACCCACTCCAAGGCCATGAATCAAACACAAATTCGAAGCAGCCTTGTGTGTGCCGTGTGCTCTGTTGGGGCGGCTTTCTCGTATTGGCCGTGCGCACTCTCACCACTGCCAACCATCCCACACGCATGTCTCCTCATTATTCTCTCCCCTCCCATCCCCTCCCGAAAAAGGGGAGACAAAGGAATGAATAGACCAAGAGGAAACAAAAGAGCGGGTAGTAGGCAATAAAAGCACCGACCGAGAATGATAGACCCACACCCAAAGAGAAAAAAAGAGCACACCAACGAAAACCAGAGGATCGACAAACAACGAGAAGACCGTCTGACAGCAGTGTGGTGTGTGTATCTCAATCAAAACGACCACAGCCTGCAGTAAGAACTCAAAAAAGGAGGGAGGGAGGGCGAGCCAGATAGACATCCCCCCACCTCCCAAGAGAGAGCAGACTCATCCCAAAAAACAAAAAACAAAACCGCCTCTCGGGTACTTACCGGATACACTGGAGACGCAATCGGAATGATGCCCGAGATCGTGATAAAGTCCAGCACCGTCATCAGGAAGTACAGGTAGAAGAACAGCACCATCTCCTTGCGCCCGACCGCCGTGTACTTGGAGCGCACATGGAAGATCATAATCACTGTCATGAACAGCGCAATGATGTCGATAATAAGCGACGCCGCCTGGAAGATGAGCGCGCTGCTCACCTCAATGTTACGCGCGTAGCAACTGGGCTCAAACCCAATCTGGTTTGCCCCCAGCAGCGGGCACGCTGCCATCTGCACCGTGTGGCAGATCTGGTCGTAGTAGCCGAACTTGTACATGGCCCTTGTGTTGTGTCTATAAACGAATGCCGAGTCTGGGTCGTTGTTTTCCCCCGTGTAGAAGCGCGTAGACTCTAGTTATTTCGCAGCCCAGCCGAGAAAAAGAATGGAAACGGGTGCACAGGCGTGAAAGGAAAAAAGCGGTGGAGCCCGGTTTGCAGGGAAGAAGAAGGTCAGAAACGAAGCTTGCTGTTGCGTCGCTTTATGCAAAAATGAAGCGCTCGCTTAAAAAGGCCTGCCCGCAACAACCGACGCTTATGTCTGTGGAGGTGTGTAATAGGAAGAGGAAAAGAAAGCGGTCCGGTACTATTCCTTCGGGGAGAAAAAGCCAATTGGAAATACCAAGAAACGAACAGAGGTAGAGAAGAAAAAAAAAGTCCAGGAATTGCTGAAGGAGAAGAGGAAGACGAAGCAGCCCGACAGGCTTTTAAAAAATAAAGCGACCAGCCGTTGGAAGAAGCCTGATTTGGTCCAATAGTGCCTGTGCTAAATTTAGAAAGTTTTGGCGGCATGCTGTGGGCCGGCTTCAAAGGCTGTCCCAACAAGAAATCTTTTAGGGCTCTCACTGGCTGAGCGCTGTTTTCTACTCTCATTCGACCATCCTGAGAAGAGCGCTCGCCTGTGACGGTGACTGGTGCGAGTCGCTGAAATAAATTGCTGCGTATCCCCCTGGTGTTTTCGACGCTGAAATGAAAGCGGTGTGATGCCACAGGCAAGGCAACTGCGCCATCATCTCAATGTGAACCATGAAGGGGAGCAGCAATAGTCGCTGCCACCCTAATTTCGTCGTTCACGTCATGATCGGCCAGCACATCTACATGCTGACACATCTCTCCCCGAGCCGCCGTGCTCTCCACTCCTCAATCACTTCACCTCCGCATCCTATCCGGCTTTGTCACGGAACGGCCATTTCGTACTTGCTTACGTGCTCAAGCCCCAGCATCCATGACACCTCATACACTTGTCTGTTGACATCCCACCACGCAACATTTTCAATGCCGAAAATGTGCATCTGCTACTATTCGATTCGGTCTCTCCACACACAGGATCTCAGCCATACTGGCTTGATATCTGACATATTCCCCCGCACATCCAAAGCTCAAACACTGGGTTCCTGGGCCGGACTGCAAACCTGCAACGTTCCAAACAGATATGCTACAGGTCCCTCCCTCCCTCTCCCATCCTTCACCTTGCCGCTTTTCATATCCTTGCACGACTTGTCGATTTCTGACACCCCCTTGTTTGACCACATTTGCACCTATTTTTACATCCACCTTGACACCCACGTCGATTGCCAACCCAAATCTATTTTTTGCGCAAACTGCGATTCCCACTGTGGTATGTCGAAATCAAGTAAAAATGCAGGCCGGTATGCGTCGTCATCGCAGCCAGACACCAACAACCCACACAGATCGACGAGTGCTCGGCACATTAGCGGTACCAGAACAATGCCAGCGCAGCTGTCTGCCAAGGACAGCGAAATCCGCAGCACATATTCGAAATCGCAAATCAACCAAGCAACCCTGGTCACCTCTGTGCGCAGAAGCCCCGAAAGCAGGCGAACACTGCTGCGCGCATGTATGAGGAACGATCTGGGGACATTTCTCTCGCAGCTACGCTCTCTGAGTGAGCAAACAACCGCCAACGTACGGGCGTCAAACCAGATCACACCGCTGATTATTGCGTGTCGCTACAACTCCACCAGCATCGTTGGCTGGATCTGCCAGAACGACAAAGCAGCGCTTGAATGCCAGGGTAGGAAACATTGGAGATGCCTGATAGTGGCACTAAAAAGTGCAGCAGAACATTCAGCCTAATACTCGCTTTTTCTTTGTTTGAAAGCGTTTAGATGCCCGGGGCGATACTGCGTTGCATCACGCGACAGCCAGTGGCTACAGAGAATGTACCTCGACACTATTGAGGTCAGGCGTGTCACCAACCTGTCGCAACAAGGAGGGTGTGGCTCCAGTGCATCTCGCCGCATACCACGGCCACATAGATATTCTTGAAGTGCTTCTGAGTCACGACAAACTAGCACACGAGGCCCGTGACGACACCGGCAAGACGCCGCTGATGCTGGCATCGTTCCGCGGCCGGAGACGAGTAGTCGTGCTGCTTCTGGCCAGGCGAGCACACGTCAACGTCCAAGACAAGGTAGGTACTATACCAGTACACGCATGTCGCTGTGCCTTCAGCAAGCCACTAAACCAACCCTATTTGTGTAGTCAGGATGGACATCGCTCATGTACGCTGCCTTTACTGGCCGCATCGCCATCTGCCGAGAGCTCTTGGAGCATGCTTCAATCCGGATCCTCACTGAGTACAAGCAGGGAAAGACCGCGGCAGACCTGGCCCGCGATGCCGGCTACTACGAGGTTGCTGATGTGCTTGAAAACAAAGAAGTTGTAATCTGCACCCCAAGCCTCCCTGACGGCCACTACATGCCGAAGCTCCGGCCCACCTCACAGTCCACAATCAGCACCCAGGGAGCACCCAGCACGAAGGCGCCACTATCTGGATGGCTGCCAGCTACCCAGTCCAGCACCCAGTCCGTCAAGCACGCGGTTGCCATGTACCCGACCGCCCAGCCACCACTAGCCCCCATGCATAGAACAGCGGTGCCTCTGAGGTCACTGAGGATTCCGCCACGACAAAAGACTGTCGGCAACCAGCCACTACTGCCAGTGCTGAGCGAAGCAGCAGAGCATCCAGCAGTGGAAACAGGCACGCCAGCCCGGCCACAGGCTGAGGTGGCTTCGGCGAAATATACGGGAGCCCGAATCCAAGCCACTGTCCACAGACCGCCGCCAGTACATAAGCCGGATGTCTCCAAAGCCCCAGCAGTGCATCAGGAAACGCCTATGCCTCAGCGCCCGCAGCTTTCGGCAATAGATGTTTCTGCGTCACAGCGCGCAGCGCCGCCTGTGCGCAATAGCTCAATTCTCACCGAGGTTCCGAGGCGGCCGCCGCCTTCAATACTGTCTAACCAGAATCGGGCACCGGCCGCAGTATCCTTGCTGGCCGGCAGCACGAATGGTCTCAACATCGTGGTCCCGAAGCTGCAGCAGCCAGATCCATCATCCAAACGTAGAGGGACGGTTACAGTGCGCAATACCCCTGCTCCGCAACTTTTGCCTTCAGTAGGCTCTCACCTGGACCAGGTGCCAGCAGCAGTGGCTACAGTGGCTGGTAATAGTGTTGCCAGTGGCAGTCTGGTTCCAAAGGTGCAGAAGCCAGCTTCACCGCCTAGGCAGAGTACTGCTATTGCATCGCAAATTCCGTCAGTCCAGCACTGCACCATTGCACCACAGCCGCTGAGGCGCAAATCGCGCTACCGAAGCTTGCCCAGGTTAACGCTGCATCCGCTTCAAAGGACACCACATATGAGATTCCAGCAGCAGACAAATGTTCAGCCGCCGTCAGAGCAGAGGAGCACTGTCGGTGTCCTTGAGCGCATAAACCCCAGCCCGCACCATGCATCTGCTGCATCAACTACCGGTGTTCAACCCAGCAGCTCTCATGCACCATATGTGCAGATACCGATATCCAGGCCGCTTGCGACTGTCTGTTCGGTCTCGTCTGAACAGCCCCTGATACCTATCCGTCAGATGTCTGTTAGCGGCAGTAGGAACAACCTGGCACGGCCACCGACAAGTAGCCACGAAGTGAGATCCAATCTACGTCAGAGCATGCGGTCGCTGGTAATTCAGCAACAGCAACAGCAACAGCAACAGCAACAGCAACAGCAACAGCAACAGCAACAACAGAGACAACAGCAACAACACGATCATCAGTCAGACCAACAGTCCATGCATGATGTTCGTCATGGTGATCACCACCCTTCAGTTCATAGTCGGGCTCCAGTGCCAAAGCCGGCATATCCCCTCGCTCAAAATAGCTCACGGAAATCTGTCCGCGTACCCGAGCTGGCTCATCGCCCCGGGGGCAGCCCAGACCATCTGTCGGTAGCACATGTAGCCAACGAGCAGTCCTACGGACAGCCGGGTGTCACGTCGGCGCTCAACACACCAATCGACTACGGGGACCAGCATTTCGCCGCGTATTGTGACGCCCAGATCCAAACGAGTCCGTTGCATTCTGTACCACCTCCAGCATCCCCTGAGTCAGCTTGTCCTCAGTCTAGAACCAGTACCCCAGTGCCTACGCCTGGGATCCAGGTGGTCGACTCTGCTCGCATGTCGCCACTATATACGCCTATTGGCAGTACCGGCGAACGAATGTCTCCAGCGCAGCAGGCAGCTAGCCACCTCCATAGCATCGAGCACACACCTCAGCAGCATGCGTTTGCAAACAGTCTTAAGAAGCCTAGTATGCCGGCCTGCCCAGCATCATTTAGCCGCCCTAGCAACCACCTGCAGGATGCGTCGAGACACAGTACCCAATTGCCACCACAGCTGCAAGTGCCCACTGCAAGTGCCCTGCACACACCGATCACAGACAGGCAACCGCATGGGCTCAGCGAAAAACATGAGCCAGCTGCTGCCAGAGAAGGGTGGTCGCGACAAAGCAGTCCACAGGGTTGTGGCGACAGGAGCCTATCTGACAAAATCAAAGACAGCATCTCCCGCGCCTCGCTGAAGTTCCTCGACTACCGTACCGGACAAGCGCTGAGGCGTGAGTCGCGACAGACGGATAAGCTATGCATGCCTGCTGACGTTGCATCGACACCCAGAGTTTCTGGCGATGCAGATCAGCCAGCCAGCAACATTCCTTCCTCAGTGGGACCTAGCAGCCAGCCTCCAAAGCCTACAGGCGTAGAGCTTCTGAAAACCTCTCGCCCAACAAGCACCGGTACACATAGATGGCGCAAGATCGCCACGCCCAACACCCAGCCGCTGATAGCACACGATCCATATAACCGCTACCATGACAGTGCTTGGTTCGGCCCGTACTGGCGCATGTTTGCACGCATCCTGACATTCTGGATGCCCAATTTTGTGCTGAACAAGCTGCTGCGCAAGGAAACGCCCGAGAAGCGGCAGGCGTGGCGCGAGAAAATCGCGCTATGCTTCCTGATCCTGTTCATCACCTTCGTCACGGCCTTGTTCTCGTTCGGTCTCTCCTTCCTGTTCTGTCATCCGGTCGAGCAGATCTCGTTGCAGATGCTGTCAGAGAACCATTCCATGAATTCAACTGAGAAATGGACTGTGGTCCGCGGGCGTATCTATGACGTCTCCGACAAGGACGACATGCAGCATCTGCACCTGGCGCACGAGGCAGTTGGTCATGACGCCAGCAGCCAGTTTGCTCCGTTCCATGACGAGGCAAAGCACTGTCACAACTGGCCGCCAGGCGAATCCGAGACGCACTGTATAAGCCTGTTTGGCAACAACCCTCTGTGCACGGCAGCTGAGTCCGTCCTCGAGAGGCTGAAGCGTCTGCAGACAGACAAGTGGGTTGTGTACCAGTGGGAAGATATCCTGCAAGGCAACAACTCTGAGAAGCTGTTCGTCTACAACGAGTTTGTCTACTCGCTCAAGACATACTTTGCCAACATCGAGATGAACCGGTCTAACCACACCTACTATGAGTACTTTGGTCCAGACCTGACTGAACCCCTGCACCGGATCATCGGTACCGATGCATCTATCTTTTTGTCTCGTAGCGCCGAGCTCCAGGGGCTGATTCCATGTCTGGACACGCAGTTCCGTCTGGGCCGCATCGAGGGTAGTACGATCGGGTGCGTGATATCATCGGCGATTATGATTTCGGTCACTGTCATCCTCAACGCAATCATTCTGATAAAGCTCATATGCGCTGTCGTGTTCGACTGGGCGTTCTCGCTACAGCTGACCAAGGTCGCCAGGCACTTCACAAAGAGCTCGCACACGCGTGTCCCGCATGTCTTGATCACCATCACCTGCTACAACGAGGACGAGGAGACACTGCGACGCACTCTAGACTCCATTGCGCAGACTAACTATGCCAACAACCGCAAGCTGGCATTTATCGTCGCCGACGGTGAAGTGTCGTGCGCTGGAGACCATCGCACCACGTCAGAGATCTTGCGCGGCCTGATCACAAAAATTCCGACTGAAAAGCCCACACGCCCGCTGCCGTATATTGCTATCGGCGAAGGCCCTCGCGAGTTCAATGCCGCCGAGGTCATTCCTGGTGTATACAAGAGCGCCAATGGTGCCAGCACTCCGTGCATACTGGTGCTGAAGGTCGGCACAAAACTCGAGCGCCGCACCGATTCGCCCAAAGCCGGGAACCGCGGCAAGCGCGACTCGCAGCTGATCATCCTGCAGTGGCTCAAGAACGTGTTGATGAACAACCATCTGACACCGCTCGAGTTTGAGCTTTGTCGGTATGCGTCGCAGCTAGCACGTTTGAATCCAGACCAGTTCGAGTACCTAATGATGGTTGACGCTGACACGCAGATTGACGTCGAGTGCATTGCCCGTCTTGTGGCTGCCATGGAGCGCGATGCAGGGATCATGGGGCTGTGCGGTGAGACCAGGATCGCCAACAAGACGGCATCGTGGGTGACGCGGATCCAGGTCTACGAGTACTACATCTCACACCACCTCAGCAAGGCGTTTGAATCCCTGTGGGGCGGCGTGACCTGTCTGCCAGGATGCTGCTCAATGTACCGCATCTTTAGCCGCAAGGCCGCTGCAGGCTCCGTTGTGCCACTGCTAGTGTCACCAGAAGTACTCTGTGCATACAGCAGTACGGACACCCACACCCTGCACCAAAAAAATCTGCTATTGCTGGGTGAGGACCGCTACCTGACAACAGTGCTGCTGCGCGCGTTCCCGAAGCGCAAGATGATGTATGTGCCGCGTGCGATCTGCCGTACCACAGTGCCGGACAAGTTCTCAGTCCTGATCTCGCAGCGCCGCCGGTGGATTAACTCAACCATCCACAATCTGCTAGAGCTGATTCTGGTCACAGACCTGTGCGGCACTTTCTGCTGCTCAATGCAGTTTCTGGTGCTGATGGACCTGCTGGGAAACGTGGTTCTTCCATCATCAGTGGTGTTCCTCTACTACCTGATCATCGCCGAATGCCTGGGCCACCCAGTCGCGCTACCACTGATGCTGATGGCACTAACGTTCCTGCTGCAGGGTATCATGATTCTGATAACCACCCAGCGCGTTGTCTACATATACTGGATGCTCATCTATATATTGGCTATCCCGATATGGAATTTTGTTATGCCCCTGTATGCATTCTGGCGGTTTGACGACTTTTCATGGGGCAAGACACGCATGTGCGGGCCAGAGGCTGATCGGACTACATTTATTACCGAGGAAGAGCGGCTGGCGCTGGAGCCCATCCCGCTCAGGCGCTGGAAGGACTGGATGCGCGACAACCTTCATCGGCTCAACCAGGATATTCCTGAGATAAAGAGCAATGTCCCGACGCCTGAGGCTCCATTCACCAACATCATCCCTATACCTTCGGAAGACGGGAACGAGGTGTTTACCAGCTCCGACAATAGCAAGCCGGTGGATTCTGATCGGCCGGTGAAACAAGTACCAGCACCAGCCAGGAAAGTGCTGACCAGAAAGCAGTCGGCAGACCCGCACTCGTATGCCGGAATATACGATCAGTTGGCGGCGGCTGATGTCTCTTTGTCAAAATCGCCACAGAATGCTCGTACCTAGGTCCCCGCACCGACCAGGCATGTAGATCTCAGATAGCGAGGTGTCTTTGGAGACTGGTGATGCCACTCGAGTAAACGATGTAGATGCTTCACTAATTTTACATTTGGAACGGCAAAAGTTTGAAATAACGAAGGATTGAGCAAAATGACAGTCACAGCCCAGTCCCAGGCAGCCCTGCAACGAATCATGCGCTGCAGAACCCTTATCTTATACCAGAAACCGACATGAGCCAAAGCGCATGGTGGACAGCAGCGGGAAAATACTGGGAACATCGCTCTTTTTCTCTTGTCGATCCTGGCGAGTGAGTGCCGCCTTATCCCCTTCAATGCCCAGGGCCAATTTAATCGCGCTTCTCGTCCTCCTCGGCGCGCTTGGCAGCCTGGAGGGCACGGATCTTGCCTTGGGTGTTGAAGTAGGTGCCGAAAGTGAAGGCAACCGAGTTGAAGAAGGGCACCCAGACAAGAGGGGGCAGGAACTTGGCTGCGAAGAGCTGGACGCAGGGGAACACAACCCACGAAACCTTCATCATGCCCAGCAGGCGCGTGCGCACGACGTTGATGACGTTCTCGATGTTGCGCTCGCCAGCAATGATGGTGTTGGCAGCCAGGAACACCGAGTTCAGAATCGGCGAGATAATCAGGTTCTGGGCCAGGATGGTGAGCAGGGTGTTGAGCTTGTTCTTGGGGCGGTTAGCGAAGACCTTGTTCAGGATCTCGTACAGGAAGTGGTTCAGCGGACCGCTGATGAACAGGCCGTAGAGCGAAAACTGGAGCACACGCTTGTTGACGATGTGCTCGATCAGGCTCTTGCTCACAGGGCGTCCCTCGATCGCAGCGCGCTTCTCCGAGGCCTTCTCAGCCGCACGCACACCCGAGGTGCGCTGCGCAATCTCCTCCTGCAAAAAGTTCAGGGTCGCAGTCGTGCACGCCTTGGTGACCAGGGGGTGGGCGGCGAGGGTGGTGAGGTACGCGGTGAGCAGGGTCACGGCAATGTTCTGGCTAGCGGGCTTCGAAACGGCGGCCATTGTAGACTAGTGCAGGAGTATCTTTGAGAAAAGAGATGGAGGGAATGGGGACTGGGTAGAAAAGGAAAGAAACAAAAGGGATGTCCAAAATGGTGCTTCCTTGCTTGTCGCCAAGGGCGGCCCGGCATTATTTATATGTCCGGCCGACTGTCGCCGAAGCTTCGGGCTCTGCTGCTGGGCGGAGCGAATTTATTCGCGAGGAGGAAATCTGCGAGCGACCAAACAGCACAGGAACTGCATGTAATTTCTCTCCCGTTTGTTCGTGCGGGGCTGCAGTGCGTGCAGAGCCAGCAGCGATCCCTGGACTGCCCAGCGCGCCAGCTAGCCAGCCAGCAGGACACGGCCATTGAATGGGGGCTCCGGCAGATGTCCAGGGAGCCTACACATCGTCATTGGCACCAATCGGGAAGCCATTTGGATGTAGTCGTGAATCAGCCACTCTGCTGGTGCATCAGCACTGTCTACTGGAGAGCACGGTGCGATTCAGTGGGAATTGAACGCTGATTGAAAAGGCGCACTGACTGGCACTTGTCGGCAGGGGCATCCTCACCCTGTGCACCGAGCGGGGGCAATAGAGCACATGTCGCGCCCTTGCCGCCATGCAGACACACACCTTTCTTGCTCCCGTCGGCTTGCCTCGACAGCATGCCTGTGCACTAGGCCCAGCGCCAAAGAAGTGCTACAGCCAATTGCGCAGGCAAATCCTTTTTATTTCCTTCTTCGAAGCGCGCCGGGTCCTATTTGGCACCCATCCCGGAGAAGCGTAAACCTCCGCGATGCGATACAGTATTTGGGAAGACAGAAATGCCAAAATTCGCCGCCGCCGTCGAAATATTGTTCGTCTGCAGACTCGGAAAAAAACGACGTCACGCTCCCACTCTCTACTTCCTGATACGGCTCGGGCGTCTCAGGCACAGAGCGCGTACTTGCTAGATCGATCACGGTCCGTTGATCTACTGGCTTGCCAAGAGTTCCGCGTGCTGCCTCAATTTCTGGGCTTTCGTCATCTGTTCAGCGTGCATTGTATCTCTCGCTCACCACCACCCTCTTATTTCCAAAGCGTGCTTTTTATTTTCCTACATTTGCCTACATAGAATGCTGGACTTTTTGTTCGGGAAGCGCAAGACGCCTCAGGAGATGCTGCGACAGAACCTGCGCGCCCTGAATCGCGCGCAGCGAGAGTTGGACCGCGAGCGCACGAAAATGGAGCAGCAAGAAAAGAAGCTCATTGCCGACATTAAGAAGGCGGCCAAGGCAGGACAAATGGTAAGAGGCCCCGACTTTGTAGGCAAAGCCGTCAGACAGAGGCACACGGTCTAATAATCGTACACCTGCACACTGTAGAACGCCTGCAAGGTCATGGCAAAGGACCTAGTGCGCACGCGGCGGTACGTGCAAAAATTCTACAAGATGCGCACATCGCTGCAGGGCGTGGCATTGCGGATACAGACAATGAGCTCGAACCAGCAGATGTCGACAGCGATGCGCGGCGCGACCAAGGCTATGAAGTCGATGAACACATCGATGAACCTGCCTGGCATGCAGAAGGTGCTGATGGAGTTTGAGAAGGAGTCAGAGATGATGGACATGAAGGAGGATTTGATGAACGACGCCATTGATGATGCCATGGAAGACGATATCGAGGACGATGAGGAGGAATCGGACCAGATCGTCCAGCAGGTGCTCGATGAGATTGGTCTGCAGCTCAACGACTCGCTGGGTGCTGCCCCACAGACTGTTACCGAGCAGTCAGCAGTTGCTGAAGGCGCAGCTGATGCGATGGATGATGATGCTGCGCTGCAAGCCCGGCTTGACAGCCTGCGCAAAGAGTAACGCTGTTTTCATACCCCTCTCCTTTTCAATTATTTCTTACGTGGCCGCCTCTGCTCCTCATATGCAACAGCCATGGGGGATTTCGCTGTCACCACCCCTGCGAGATACTAATACCATACTCATATAAACTTAAGTGCCATGATACATGGGGATGAGGTGCTTTCATCCATATACTTGCATATACTACGAGACATGAGGTTGTATGATTTGCAATACCAATACACCGTATACTCTCTGCTACCGGATGCTAGCGGCGTGCAGAAACTGCTCATACCTCACTCACTGCTGGCTCGACATGAGCAAGAGCCGGCCCATCTTACAAACCGGCAGTTGCCAACCTGAGGATTAATGAGCTGATGATCATTTCACAGTGGAAATCCTGCTGCACATCCTTCGTGCACGGGTCTCAGCATCCGCAGGCTCAGGATACCTGATTGTTCGACATGACCCGGGGATGCCAATGCATATACCCGTGTTAGGGCTCAAGCAAATGGCCTGTCTCAAGACACTGCAGCTACAAGAGGACTTGCAAAGAGACGAGGCAATGGACGGCAGCAAACGGGTGAAAGGAGGATGCTGTTTACGAATCTGTTCAGTTGAGCCTCACAGCGAGTATGTGTGACTCGTTCTATGAATCCTTAAAAATAGTATTTCCTCTTTTGGCCGATGGATTCAGATCCTAAGGTGGCAGATATATCTGAAACCACTGGTATAATCGAACATAGAACCACATATTAAAGCGCTATGCATCCTAGCTTCTTCAGACTTTGTAAGGCCAGTAATTTAATGAACGAATCACTCGACTTTTACATCCTCAGCTCTTGAACCGCGATCTCGCAGCGGTTCTAAACTTCAGGCTCATTTTCCAGCCACTGTGATTCAGGCGATGTTCCTGAACGGTTCCGCCGTTCTACGGCCATTGTTGCCAATGCTTCTGGCACCACCCCTGCAACAAAGAATCCGCGCAAGAGGCGTGCAGTAGCAGGCCACCAAGGTGGGAGATGTCCATGATCGGCATTGCACCAACAACCATCCGACACGTTCAAATGACCGGTTCGCCGTGATGCTCTTATCGATGTGTCAACCCATGCTGACTAGCAGCCGAGCTCGCATCGCGAGCAGAGTATTTCTAGTATAGATTGTGATTCCATATGCAGCATATTATTCAAGATCAAACAAATTGTTACTTTGTAGACAGGATGCACACAAATTGCTATCTGCTGCCTTTGATACTGCCGAGATCTGATACCAGTGTCGAGTGGTAGCATCGCTGGTTCCCTTCTGTTCATATTTCCGCATGTACCTGCTCGGTGAGAGTCAATGTTCAAATGCAAAGGTGTCTTAATGTGACGGTAGAGCATCATTTGAAAGCCTTTCGACACAGTGCGTAGCGCATTTTAGACTATTAAGTAGTATGAAGATGATGTATAGCATCATGGATATATATTCTATTTTTGTAAAAACATGTAGGTAACGTAGAGCCCTTTTCCTTCACTCTTCCATAGCATCGTCATCAGAGCCCGATTCCGACTCCGATTCCGAATCCTCCCCCTCTGCAGCAACACCACCAGCCGCGTGCGACTGCTGCACTGCGCTGTTAGCGCCGCCCTGGGCATCCCGGGCATCCCGCTCGTCGCGCAGCTTATCGACAGTGGTAAAGTTGCCGGTCAGGCATTCGGCAAAGATGCTGCAGATGCTGCGTGCGACTTCGATGGCGCTGTTGTCCTCCAGTGTGATGTTGAAGTCCTCGCTCATGATGTCTAGCAGGAGGTCCTCGAGGTCGCTGGGCTCGGGCTTCTTCTTCTTTTTGACTAGGTCGTCAAAGTGATTCACGATCTCGTCTACCATGTCCTCACGCTTGGTCTGGGAGTTGCGGCCACCCCAGCCGTTCTTCACCGCCAGCTCTAGCGCGGTCCATCTGGCAAAGATATGGTCGACGCCCTCGATAAACGCCTCCTTGTTCGGGTGAATTGCCGGCTGTGCCATGGTTACTGAAAACGAAAATATACTGATGTGGGAAACAGTATGTGCCAAATAGCGATCAGTCCGTAAAAAAATTTGCAGGCTCAAAATTTATTTAGTGTTTCTCAGTGAGCCAGCTGGCTAATAGTATGGAGCATGCTGGCTCTCAGGCAGTTTTGTCCACGGTTTCTGTGGCATGCTCATACATGATCACGGTCTTGTCGTCACCCCTCGTGGAAATAGTGGTACGGAGCTTCTCGTACGCACCATCCTTGGTCATGCCCTTGGCTAGCAGCGACGACGATTTCTTGGCCAGGCGCTCGAGAGTAACAAAGAGAACGAACGACGAGAGGGTGTTCTCGCGCAAGCTCTCGTGTTCTTGGCGCAGCGCAGTACCAGTCAACTTCTTACCAACCAGCTTGGTCACCGCCTCAGCGACGCTGTCCAGCCTCAGTAGCAGCGAACTCGGCGACAGGACCAGCAGCTCTTTGACAATCAGACGCGTTGTGCCTAGGATATCGGCCTCGTCATCGATACCGCGCGCAACCACAGCCGCAGTCTCATCGGGAGTAACTTCGTCGGGGATGTTGCGGACCAGCATATACACGCACTGGAAGGCGATCTTGCGGGCATCCAGGCCATCGTCAACACGCTTCTTGAACGGGCCCATGGTGATGATGCGGATCAGGCTCTCATCAACCTCGGTCTGCTTGTACAGGGCAGGCTCAAAGCCCTTCACCAGGCCGCTTAGCTGCGATGGCTTGTTCTGGGCCACCGAGTAGAGCAGCAGCAGCGTGAGCCGGCGAATGCTTGATGTCCGCGTGGCCCAGATTCTTGAGAACCTCAGGCAGGACGCTCCTGATGTACGTATCGCGCTGGGAGACCGGCAGTCTTGTCCGACAGAATGACACGGAAGGCAGTGATGGAGGCGATGGCGGCCACAGCGTTGGGGCTGCCAGTACTGGTTGCGATCTGCGGCAGGTACTTCTCTGGGTAGACCAGACCAAAGATGGCCAGTGACTGAGGAATCAAATCCGGCACAGTTTCCTGAGCGCCCAGAACAAACTGCAACAGACACTGCCACACAGAGTCGATGGTAGCGCTGTCGGTACTGGTGCGCACGATGACATCAGTTGCGGTCTTGACAGCCTGGATCCGGCTGCCCTGGTATTTCGCATCGGATGCGACAGCAGAGGTAAAAAGATCGCCAAAGACGTCTGGGTACTTGCCAACGTAGTTGCCCAGGGCCAGCGCCGCCTCGGTGCGCACGTCCTCGTGCGAAGAGCCCAGGTGCACGTCCAGCTGCTTGATCAGCTCATTGTCTGCTGGGAGAGTCCCATGGGTAGCAGCGATTCCAAGGGTACGCAGGGCCAGCATCAGGTTGGCCACCTCAGCGTCGGTCGAGGACGAAGGTCTGCACAATTTCGGCCAGGTGGTCGCTGGACCAGGCTACCCCCTGTGCCCTGAATAGTCCGCTGTACAGCGCATAGAGGCACTTGCTGGTGCTGCTCAGTGAGTTCTCGGGGTACGTGAACTGGGTCGAGGTGCTGTTTTGGTAGCTGCGCAGCGCCGCACATTCGCTGTAGGTCGAGCTCCAGCTGCGGAACAGACTGGCTCTCCATCCCTCAACGACCGCGGGATAATGTCTGCCAACGGTCTCAAACAGGCCGCACAGCTCAGTAGTGGTCTGTGGGTCATGGACTGCCGACGATGAGAGCGTCTTGTTTATGACGCCAATCGACCTCTGCACTTCGTCTTCACTGGCCAGGGGCATAATGATGGTCAGCAAGGCCAAGGAGACTGGGGGAGTAGCCGTGGCATGTCGGCCGACAACACCCAGGACCTCGTCCAGCGCGCCATTGGGGTTGCCAGCGAGACCCGCGTCGCCATAGTTAGCCAGGCTCTTGACCAGCTCGAGTCCAGCCGTCAGCGACTTGATATCGCCCAGCTTCAGTAACTCGCCTGCCGTGCTAAGCAGAGAAGCCGCAGAGTCAACAACCACCTGCTTCGGAACATGCGTCGGCTGTGCAACAGCCATTGGCCAGCGCCCGGATGGAAGTGGCCGCCAGGGCACTGCTCTTGTCCCGCGCTGCCAGCGTGGCCAGGCACAGCCCCAGCACATCAGAGCCGATGAGGTCACCAAAGCACTTGACTGCCGTACTGGCAAACTCGATGGCGCCGGTGCGTACGGCCTGGTCGTTGGAGTAGACAAGACTGAGCACATCACGAGCCGACTGCCGGACCCATCCAACCGCTGACGAGATGTCCGTGCCATGCTCATCAGCCGAGGCTCTCAGTGCAATGACAAGCTTCTTGGCAACAGTAAGGCTGGTTGACGGAACCTGGAACACGGTACTGGCAAAGTTTTTGGAGACCAGCGCGCTAACTGCAGCGATGAACCGGAAAAGCTCGGGTGTGATCTGGTGGCGCTCAAAGAGCTGGCTCAGCAGCTCCAGCACGTCGAGTTTCAGGTTGGCGTTGACCAGGCGGGTCGATGCCGACTGCAGAATGCCGAACGACTCGCTAGCGCTGAGCGTGTCCGCCACCTGCTTTGGTGATGTCCTCCAGCGAGCTGTCCAGCACCGACGGGCTGATGCCGACGAGGCGCGCAAGGATAGCAAACGCCAGCTGCTTGGTCTCGGTCGACTTGGGGTGCGTCTTGATCGTGGCCAGCAACGTCGACACAACCTGCTGTGCCTGCTGCTCGACGGCCTCGACCAGTCCGTTCTCGACATCCATGCCCTGCTCGTCGTGGGGCTTGATAACCTTTTTGATCACGTCTAGCAGAATTGCATAGGTAACAAGCACCTCGCTGCGCACCACATCCTCGCGCTCCTTGAACCGCTTGATCAGGCTATCGCCGACCTTTGACAGCAGCTTGTTGGCGTCAGTCAGGTTGCTCTGCTCCAGGGCTGCCAGGAGCTTGACAGCACCAAGACGTACGCTCCACGAATCGTCCTCATCGTCTTCGTAGATGCCGTCGTCAAAATCGTCTTCGAACTCGTCTTCGAACTCGTCGTCCTCGTCGGCATCGTCGTCCTCGTCGGCATCATAGTTGTAATTGGGGTCGAAGCTGATGGCAGTGATTCCTGCAGTGTAGATGCGGTCCAGCTTGCTGCCAATGAGCTCAGGGCTGTGGCTCACTGCCGTCTCGAGGGCCATCAGGGACGTGACGCGGCGCTCGCCCTCGGCCGAGTCGACGATGCTCAGCTCGCGCTCCAGAATCTGGCTCAACAGATGCGCGATGCGCAGCGGCTTCTGGCGGGCAATGGTGACCAGGACACGCAGGTAGTTGCTTGCCTCGACGTCGTTATTGCTGGTGCTGTAGCGCTGCATAATGAACTGGAGAGCTTCGTCAGAGTACTGGTCGGGCACGTGGATGATGAACTTGCCCAGGGCCACAATGGCACGCTTGCGGACAGACACCATGTCGCTCTCGAGCATCCCGAGTAGCACATCCTGCACTTTCGATGCCAGGTTGGCGTTGGTGCCCAGCCCCTCGCCAGCGCGGACCAGGATAGTCGACACCGTATCGACCAAATCAACCTTGACTTCCGACGACAGCTCGTCCTTGTGTTTTGTCAGCACCGTGCATACGGGCTCTGACATCTGTGCAATGGCCTCGTTGTCGTCAATGGTGTCAGGCAGCCGGTTGAGCACTGAGCGCAGCGTCGCGCTGAGTGTGGTCCGGCGGTCGGCCAGCTTCTTGTCGCCAATGTTGTCGCAGATTTTGGTCACCGTGGCGTTCATAATCTCCGTGCTAATGAACTTGAACAGCACGCCCAGGCACTCCATTGCGTTGTTCTGCACCTGGCTCTGGTTGTCCGACAGCGCGTTCGTCAGCGCCGCTGCCAGTACCTTGCCGTCATCCCTGGGCAGGCTCTCGGTTGTGTCCTTGAGTGTGTTGCTCACGTCGCTGATAGCCATGATGCGGATATCAAAGTCGCGGTCTTTCATCTACCGCAGGAGCGTGTGCCCTGGTTAGTCTATGCGGTTGGATACTGCGTGTGGCTGCTATGCGTATGTCACTTACCCGCTCGATGATTTGCTGCACGTTGTGTATGGCCATTTTCACTGAAATTGAAGCTGGGAAATAGCAAATGCAAGCTCGGGTGTAGAAACAACCTCCAGCAGCTCCGCTGGCCTCTCCAAGTTGTCACTTTTCCAGCTGCCGCCTCCCTGCTGCTGCGGGTGCAGACACGATGACGACGCAGTTTGATATGATTTGATCTGTGTCGTGTGATCACGTCGATAGCGCGTTCTAGATATCGATTTCAGCCAGGCGAACGGGACATGCCCACGAGCGGGCTCGTGAGGCCTGCGTCCAACGGCAATCCGGTTGGTGGGCGATAACAGCTGCTCCGACAGGCTGCCCAAATAGCTTTTCCCCGAAATCGCTAATTCTCCTAGAGCGTGGCCATTCCCCTACCCTTCGCTTCTACAAGCCAGCCTGCTTTCGCTCCATCTTTTGTTCTCTATCTTTCTTTCCTCTCTCTGTCAACACATACACTCGACCGACCATGTTCCGTCTCTTCGCCAACTCCTCCAAGAGCGCTGTCCGCACTGCTGCCAAGGTAAGTTTCTGCGAATCTGCGGAAGGTGTTTTTCTTTTTGAAATCCGGGACGTAATCAGGTTGGGCCAGCAGCGGCGTTGAGGCACTAGCGACTAACCACCACCCTCCGTTCCTGCCAGCACTGTAGAACCAGCAGGTGCGCAACCTCAGCATCCACGAGTACATGTCGGCCAACCTTCTGGACGGCGCCGGCATCAAGGTCCCCAAGGGTCTTGTCGCCACCACCCCGGAGGAGGCCTACGAGGCTGCCAAGAAGCTCGGTAAGTAGTAGGATAGCACCGCAGGCGGGGCGGGCTGGACACGGACTGGCAAACACTTGAGCCTGCCTGGCCCGTTCACTCCCGAAAGCACCGACCGAGCCCGTGCGAACATTTCGCTGGCTCAGCAGTCACAAACAAAAAAAACGTGTCCGCTTCTACAGAGCGCTGAAAGAAAATTATTGGGGACACGACACGAGAAAAAAACTTCGCAAGGCAGCAGATCTACTAAACTAGGAGTTGCCTATTTTAGGTACCTCTGACCTTGTCATCAAGGCCCAGGTCCTGGACTGGCGGTCGCGGTAAGGGATCCTTCGACAGCGGTCTGAAGGGCGGTGTCAAGACCATCTACAGCCCCGAGGAGGCCCGCAAGCTGGCTCAGCAGATGATCGGCCACAAGATCTTCACGAAGCAGACCGGCGCCCACGGCAAGCCGTGCAACAAGGTGTTCATTGTCGAGCGCAAGTACGTGCGCCGTGAGTACTACTTTGCGATCCTGATGGACCGTGCGACTCAGGGCCCTGTTATCGTCGCCAGCTCTGAGGGTGGTGTTGACATCGAGACTGTTGCCGCCGAGAACCCCGATGCTATCATCAAGCTGCCCGTCGACATCAAGACCGGTCTGTCGGCCGAGGCTGCCCAGGGTCTGGCTGAGAAGCTGGGCTTTGTGGGTCAGGCGCGCGACGAGGCCACCGATGCCTTCCAGAAGCTGTACAAGCTGTTCATCGCCTAAGGACGCCACCCAGATCGAGATCAACCCGCTGGTCGAGACCTCCGACAACCAGGTCATGTGCATGGACGCCAAGTTTGGCTTCGACGACAACGCCAGCTTCCGCCAGAAGGACGTGTTTGGTCTGCGCGACCCGACCCAGGAGGACCCGCGTGAGGTTCAGGCCGAGAAGTGGGATCTGAACTACATTGGTCCTTGACGGCCGCATTGGCTGCCTGGTCAACGGTGCCGGTCTGGCCATGTCGACTATGGACATCATCAAGCTGCACGGCGGCGAGCCTGCCAACTTCTTGGACGTCGGTGGTTCGGCCACCACTAAGCAGATCTCGGAGGCATTCAAGATCATCAGCTCTGACGCCGGTGTCTCGGCTGCTCTGGTCAACATTTTCGGTGGAATCATGCGCTGCGACGTGGTTGCCCAGGGTATCATTGATGCTGTTAAGGAGCTTGATCTGAAGATCCCGCTGGTCGTCCGTCTGCAGGGCACCAACGTCGACGAGGGCAAGAAGCTCATCAACGAGTCGGGCATCTCGATCTTCCCGTGCGACGACCTGGACAAGGCAGCCGAGCTCGTTGTCAAGCTCAGCGACATCACCAGCCTGGCCCAGAAGACCGGCGTCCACGCCAAGCTGTCCCTGGCCTAAGCGCTGTTAGAGGAAGCCTCAGTTACAAGCCCTTCTCCATGATCAACACGCTACTCTCTTTACTTTGACAATTACACATAGTTTAAATCTCTGGGCTGGCACTCGATCCATGAAGTAATGTACCAACCATATGCATGAAGACATGGTGTCCAACATGCGATGAAGCCACTTGCTGAGCAGTGCGGTTTTAGCCTCAGTCAGTAGAGGCTCTGCATAGGTGCCTGCCACTCCAGGAGTGGCTATTCCACTTGCCACTGCTGATTCAGAGGAGCTGCGATCCATGCTGGAGCGGGATGCCAAACTGCCACTTGTGGAATTATATGGAGGTTTTGTTATGTTCTGTTGGAATGAAAATAATATGAAGAAGGGACCGCATGGTAGCATTGTCGTTTCTTTTTCTTCCGTTTTGTTTTATTTTTGGTGTGTGCCGGATGGGGACAGCCATGGTATCGAGCTGAGCTTGCACTGCTGGTCAACGCGATTCCCCCACCAGTCGATCTTGAGCCCGTTCTGCGCCAGGACCATGAACTGGAAAATAGCCAGAGATAGGCCAGGCCTGAATCCAGTCCTGCCGATAGCGTAAAGTTGTACCGCCTCCACCACGAGTTCGCATATGTGTAGATCCAGAAATTGAAGATGAATCCAAACAGGAACCACATGGGGAAGTCGACTGGCGGCATAGGCGGCAGACCCACGATCCCCGATAGGATGACTGGGATGTAGACGTGCTTGAGCCATGTCGAATTCGGAAACTGCCGCTGCAAAAAGTAGACAGGGATGGGCAACACCAGTCCGAATAGGAATCCCCATAGCAGCGGGCTATATGGCGACCCCTCGCCAAAGACGCGCATTGGGCCGATCAGATTCCAGATAATCGACGCGCTATACACCAGGTTGGTGGAGCGACACACCCACGGGTATCCGTCAGTGCGGCACATGTGCGGGATGTGGTCGATGAGCGAGAAGAACAAGTATGTCTGTATCACAACGCTGATGACAATGCCGACAACCTGGTACAGCAGCACTTGGCGCGGCGGGATCTTCATGTAGTGTCCGAGCTTCATATCCTGCGCATACGACAGTGCCTGCGCCAGGCTGCCGTGGCCGTAGAGCTTCAGCACCGAGTATCCGGTCGGAATGCCTTGCAGGACAATGCCTGACAGCAGCTCGGCCACTAGACTCAGACCCGGCTGCCGGTTGGACACGGCCTGGATGATTCCGACCGGAATAATCAGGAATGATGGCGAATGGCGAACGACAGCAGATACCCCCACCACGGCACGCCAATATGGCCGCCCACGCCGACAGCAATGCCGCCTGCGCAGCTGACAACAAGCATGACAACATACCACCACACCTTGACTGGCGGGTACCGGGCAATGAGCTTGCCGTGTATGTCGTCATGCTTGGAGTTCTTTGTCTCACGCACGCGCTCCAGGATCTCGCGGCCATTGTAAATAGCAATATGTACCAGAATGGACATCAGTGCCGCGAAGCCAATCCCGTAGACCCACGCAAACTCGAGCGACATGCGGAGCGGGCTGTAGCTGCTGTACGCCTTGGCATCAAACACCCCATTATGCATGACACGCGAGATATTGTAGACTGATCCATTGGTGGTAAACACGCTGGCGCTGTACAGCGGCAGGGACGCGGCACCCCAGGTATTGCGGAAATAGGCGATTGGCAGTGCGACCCAGAACACGAGCACAAAACCGATAAACAGATTGCACGCTGCCCAGAAGGGCGTGGCAATGGGGCTGCTCAGAAACGCATTGGAGAAGACGCTCCAGTCGAGCGAGAACGATAAAACTCCGAGCCCCTGCTTGCCGTCGCCAATGAGGTTGATGAGGTGGTTGTTGGGCGCGACCAAACACAGCACGGAGATGGTCGACAGTACTTGGACGAGGTATCCGGGGACAAAAAACCAAACAAAGCTGCCGACAAAGCACATCCAGAAGAACCGCGTGCGGCTGACTCCAGTTAACGAGGGCTTCCACCACGGCAGAGCCACAGTTGCAGCTGCCTGCTGTCCTATTGCCGTCGCTGCACTGGCACTATCATCACGCTCGTGAAACGTGCGGAACAGAGACGCATTAATCAACGACGACGGCCAAATCATCGACGCCGGAAGTACCAAGAGTGTGCGGGACAGGCCAGCCAACGAGTATGCAAACAGCTGGCCCGAGAGCAGCAGCACCAGCGAAATCCAGAGCGAGAACGACGAGTCATAGTACAGGCGCAGCACAGCGAAAATATCGACTGTCAGCGCCATGAAGGCACTCGAGTTTGACATGAGAGAGATCAGCACATGCTCCTTGATAGTGAAGGGGCCTGGGTTCATTGTCCATTGCCAGCCAAAGACGTTCCATGTCCGGATGGGCAAGAACCAAGCCATGCCTATGCCCAGCGGATAGCACAGGAGCTGGACGATCAGCAGGTTGAGGGCAATTGGATTATCGCGCTCCCAGTAGAACTGGTTGACAAACGAGATCAGTCCGACAAAGAACACGCCAAGCACTATGGAGCGGAAGGTCATTGAGGGCAGTGCTGGGATCATCGGTGTTGCTAACCGCTGTGCGGACTACCTCAAATGGACTGTTTTCGCCTGTCTCGTCGCCGTCGATAACCTTGCCGCTGTCGCCACCCTTCTCACTGATCCCAGGCAGGCGACTGTCTAGTACTGCGCCGTTGGTGGTACTGGCCCGTCTGTGCTCCTCCGATGATGCAGTGGAGGACGTGGTCTCAGAATAATCAAAGCCGTGCGCTGTCGAGATCCTATTGCTGCGGTGGTGGGACGAGGCGTCTGTGTCCGCTTCTAAAATAATCCCGCAGTGCTCTGCTTTGGCAGCTGCCGCCGGCGTTGGGGGATTGCCTGCTGCTGCTTTTGCTGCTGGATGCTGCTGCTGATGCTAATTCTGGGCATGTCAGGGTGGCCAGACATTGGAGTGGCGATTTCCCGCATTGGGCTTTGAGGTTGCATCGGCTGAGTGTGCGATTGAGGAGGACAAGGCTGGACGTGACCTGCTGAAGCGTGGCCATAGTGCTCTGCTTCGGGCTTGCTGTCCATTGATGATCGGCCGCAATGGGAATGCGCGCGGAGGATGGTTGGAAGCTGTGTGTGTGACAACAGTTACAAATACGGGCAGTGACTTATGCTATATTGCGGGATGATTCTGTTTAGAGCCAGTTGTGCTTCTAGTATAGCTTATTAAACCACACTCTTTCTCTGATCAGGCTAACACCTTTTTAGCCTGTATATGGTGGGGAGAGGTTGCAAGAGGCTTCCGAGTGCAGTAGGACGCAGTGGATGCAGCGTGTGCAGATTTCGAGTATCGGACTCCGGGTGGGAGAAGGGTGGGTCTTCCTTTGGCTGTCTTGATGCGACAGCACAGATGAGGGGGAATACAGTTACGCACTACTGCTGTTGGTGGTTGGATGCTGGATGGTGATTGCCGACAAGCACTGTGCAACGCGAAAAAGAACAGATTACCAGAAAAATGCTAGCCCAATAGATGGGTGTAACAGTTGGGCAATGCCAGGGAAGGGTGCAAAATGAAGGGGAAATGGAATGAAGAGATAATTCGTGCGTGGGTTGAGGTGGCCGGCCAGTCGTGCAAATGGGGCTCTATTTTAGTGAAATGGCACACGTAGTCGAGCACTTGCATATATGGCCCTCTAGGGTATGAGACTTTCTTCGAGGGGGCGGCATGTGCCAACGATGTGGGCATATGTGGGCGTGTATAGAGTTTGATTTCGGCAATGTACGATGCACGGTTCAATAGGGACAACGTGATCTTCAGTTTGAATGAAATGTAGAGCAGTAGCTGGCATGGTGGCAAATGTTTCTAGCTTTCCGCCACCAAAGGAACAGAAATGCGTCTGTGCTTGTGACTAGCAACATAAATCCACGGACGAGGCAGTAGGCACTTACCAGGGGACTCGAGCCAAAGCAGAAAGGCAGCGACAGCTGATTTAATGTGTGTATTTGCTGTGTCGTGTTTGACGTTTACTATTTATAATATATACAAGTCAAAAGAATGTCAACAGTAATTGCATTCGCGCTAATCAAGAAACAATAGTGCTGGCTTTGCTGTTTTATATTAGGAACTATTTGATAGACATGCTGGCAAGTGGGGCACTGGGCCTGCGCAAGTGTATATATTGCGAGCAGCACAACAACCTCTTCTCCATGTTGGGGAAGGTGGAGACATGCGGCGCAGGCAAGCATTTTCTTTCATAGAACGAGTAGCATGCTGCTCAACAGGATGGAATGTACAAAATATGTGTCAATGGCGGTAGGGATAAATGGGGTTAATAGTGGCAAATGTGATTTAGATGTCATTCAGTGGCGACCATACAGTAACGCAACCACCAAAGTATATGCTGATGGTTGAACTTTTGCAAACGGATATTATGAGTGATTGGGCTGAATGCATAGTGTGCTGCGGGGAGGGGTTGCTAAGCTTGTGCTGGTGGGCTAGTAGTTTACTCTACATATGTAGTGTACAAGAGATGCGCGCGGATAGCAGCAGGTATCCATTTTCTCAATCCTAGTTGCTGCATTGGAAAGCTGGATGCAAAGAAATATCTAGATTTCAATAATAAAGGTTGGCTACATGTGCACACATGTGTATATGCGTGCATGTGGGCATGTGGGCAGACATCAAAGAAACCTAGATTTGCAGATTTAATGCCATGGATGATTTAGATGGCTGGCGCGGAGCCGAACAGCTCGGGGTTCTTGAGCGATGCCTTCTCGAGCTGGGCATACATCCTGAGGTCTACAAAGGGGCAATTTAGCAGGAGCATTATTCTGCAAAGAGCCACTATGAACAGCAAATAATGCAGCGAGGCAGATACATACCAAAGTTGCTTGAAAGGTCGACGGTGGTGAATGCGCTCACAGTGCCATCGCCCTGGACCTTGCCGACGATCTCAGTAAACTCGGAGTTGACAGTGCACTCCTATACAAGAGAATAAAGGAGGTGTGCGTGTGTGCTTTTTAGCAAAAGAGCAGAGGATTCGCAAGAGGTTCTATTTGCTGTTTGGCTTGACAATGATCGGAATGCATGGGTCGAATCTGCAGAAAAATGAGCGACAGCGCATAGTTGTTTCCGACTCGGCGGCACAGTGAGCCCCACGAGCTGCGAGGATAATGGCCACGAGCGCCGGGTGGGCGCGCACTCTATGTCCCATGTGGCTTTCCTGCCTTGTCCTGGCGGTCCTTTTTGGGGAGTGGAGGGTAGAGATAGCGCGCGCCACGCAGGCGCGCAGGCGTAAGCAAGGAGGGAGAGGGGAAGGGGATGGCAGAGAAACCACATGAGGGGTTTGTATTTTGCGTATTTTGGGCGGCGAGACAAGAAAGCCCACGGCAGACATTCAAACCGCATCAATGTGGAATAGTCAAGAGACAAGCATCGTCCACACAATTGCTTGGGAGCGGCGTAGTTGCGGACAAGTCGCGAGCAGGCGGCGGATAAAAATTGCTAATATATGCAACCAGCCAAAAGCAGTTCCAACATAATGAGGGACGTGGTGCCTCCCCGTATCCCTCCATAGACATTGGTGAATGGAAGGGGGCGAAGTTGGGAACGGCTCATGATTTACCGCCACAGCGTGCATTGCGACAAAGGGAGTAAAACAACCCACCCTGTTCTCTTTCGCAGACACGGCAATCTCCCGCCAAGAAGCGAGACACATCGTGGAAAGGGAGAAAGGCGCTTACTGCGCTTCGGGTATCAGCAATACACACCAGGCCAGCAATAATGCGGGCATGCGCAAAAGTAACATTAATGCCTCTCCCCCTTCCTTTTGTACCATTGTAATAATTCAATAGCAGAAGGACGGCAGTGTGGTCCTATTCGCATTTGGGCATACAAATAGGAAAATCCAGCATGCATTCTACTACAGGCCACCACCACGATTCTGAGGTATTCTCGGATTCGGTTGCAGCTCAGCGACATACAAAGTGGGCATGCATGCCGAATGTCTCACAGGAAACATCAGGGCTGGCTTCCCCTCCCCGCGCTTCCGCCCAGAGCGCAGCAGTAAGGAGGGGGAAGGGCGTTGTTGCATGATGCTCAACTTACCGGTGTCAGATGCACAGTGAGCGTGCCGCTGTCGGATGTCTCAAGCACAAGCGAGCTTCCCTGCGACTACAAGATATTTTTAGAGGCCGAAAATGAAGATGGCTTATGAGCAACACCTGGGCGAATAGTAAACCCGAGCTGTGTGGTATCTGTTCACGACGGCATAGTGAAACGTTGGATAATGGCTAAATTGATACTGCTGGGAATGTTGCGTGTCGCTGCGGTTCAGAGAACCTTGAAGGCTAACTCTTATTTCGCGGGACGTGTGGGCCCCCCGCCACCACGAAAACAGAAAACATACAATTGCCAGCGGTGTTTGGGAAACACAAGAAAACAGGGCGTCTATTGATTACTCCCTGGCGTCCCTTGGCCCGTCCCTCCTCCCTCGCGCAGCTCTCTGATGCATGTGGCAGCCATTCAATTCCACAACTGCCCACGTATATGAGCCGCAATATACATCAATAGCAGGCGGCAACACCGTGGTTATGATGGAGCACCAGAGGGCGGGCGGGTGGGGCATGGCATTCTTGGCATAGGTGCATAATTTGCAAGCCAGGATGGGCTTACAAAGGAGCGGCCCACTAAGCAAAGGGGCGGCTAGAAAAAAGTAGCATCTAAAAACAGGCTGGGGAGGCGACTCGGCTGTATCATGCCTCGCATTCAATTTTTTCGCACACACAAAAATGGCGCCTCTGCAATACATGAGGCAACGAGGGCAGAGCAGGAGTGAGGACGAAAACGCAGTTGGGAAAATCACAGAACACATGAGAGACGCTGGCCCCAGCTCACAGTGGGCGCTGATGCGCCGTGTGTGCATGTGTGGGCCACGTATCCACCCGACTCGCAGTCGCAATTATTAGCTCGCAAATGTACGCAGCTAGTAGCACTCCCGCCATTGCACTATTATTATTTTCCAGTCTGCAATAACTTTACCTTGACAACTCGTCCAGTAAGGCGCACCGTTGTGTTGGTATACTGACCGAGCATACCGGCATTGACACGGGGGGTAGGCTTATCCATGGTGTTTTCGCTAGTAAAGTGCTGCTGCTGCTACTACCAGAGGTAAAAAGAATGGTATCGAATTGGTGGAGATCTTGGCACTTTACCCGCCAGAAAAAGCGATATTAATTTTTGGCGCCAACCGCGCTGGCTGCGCACATATGGTTCTCGATCAAGGCTGAATTTTCAGATCTGGGCTGGGAGAAAAAACAAGCTCTGTCCCCCTCCCCGCCTATCAGCCAGCGAAGCTGTGCACTGCTGTGAAAATCCGCCGAGAGACGAACGAGAAGGGGAGATGGGGGAATGGTGGGTGTGTCACCCGGGCGCTGTACCACCCCCCGATTGTTGCACAGGCTTGGAATAATTCCAACGCTTGTCAAAACACAAAAAAAAATTCCGCCACCAACCCCAGGACTCCCGGGCTCGCAACCCCCCCTGCGGGTGTCAACTGCCGATAAAATTTTTCCTTTCTGCGTGTCAGTTAAAGAAATTATTTATAGCGCTGGATTCTTGGCCCTCCGACCGGCAGCCAGGCCCTATTTCCCTTGTCGCTGTTCTTAAAGGTCTCCTCGCTTTTCTCCCAGCTTTCATTTCTCGCATCTTTCTTTTAAACTTGGCTCTGTAACTATATTTTTATCCAAGCTCCTGTAAAACCTCGCTCCTCCTTTTCTCACTTCTTCTCCACACACTGTACGAAATTGCATAGTCTTTCAACTCACACATAATCTCCACGCGCAACCGCCGTATTTCTTTTTCAGGCCCAGCTCGCGCAATATCCATACCATTCCTTCCCCCTTTTCCGTGTATTTTCTGGTGCGCGGACTGGCTGACATACTGACGGGTTCGAGATTTCAGCATCATTTTTGAACACTTTGTGGAGAAGTGGTTTTTGATTCATCTCCAAAATTAGGCTCTGGCTCTATATTTTTCTCACACGCGCGCTCAGATATCGCCAAATATCTTGGCCGTTTCCGCCTTGTGTCTCTTTTCCATCACCTCGCTTTTTCCAGCTTTTTTCTCGCCACAATGGATATGTCCTCGGTCAACACTGAGCAGCTCGCATACATTGCCACACGGACGTTCAGCAAGCTCTGGATGTTCCGGGGCGCTAAGGAGTCGCTGCAGACATTCCACACGTTCTGCTCGGAGCTGCTGCGCTCGACGCAGATTGCGGTGCCCATTGTGGTGCTGACGCTGCTGTATGTGCACAAGTTCAAGCAGCGCTACCCGGTGCTGATTTGCGGGCCAGGCAGCGAGTACCGGGTGTTTGTGGTGGCCCTGATGCTGGCCAGCAAGTACCTTGAGGACAACACGTTCACGACGCAGACATGGTCCGAGGTGTCGAACCTGCCGGCCAAGGAGCTGACGATCATGCAGCGCGAGTTCCTGGTCGCGCTGGAGCACCGGCTGCACGTGCCGGAGACCGAGTACAACGCCTGGATCACCCAGCTCCAGACCATCGTGTTTGCCGCGCCCAACATGACTCAGTACCGCATGGCCATTTCGCCGCCGGTCCAGCACAAGCCGCTTGTGATTCCGGCAATCTCGACGCCCTCGTACCCGTCAACTGGCCTGTACTCGCCCACAGGCGACATGCAGGTCGTGCCGTCGCCCACATCGGCCTGCAGCGCCAGCAGCACAGCGCTTATCCACGAAATGCCGTGCCAGCTGCCGTCGCCGCCGCCCGCCAAGCGCATGCGCATGTCAGTGCCCGCGGCTGCAAACGGCTACCGCATCGCTGTCAGTGCGCCGCGCTCGGTGGCTGTGCCCGCTGCTGTCAGCAATGTGGGCGTGATGCCTCACGGCGATTTCACATTCAGCGTCCCGGCACAGATGGCGGGCCAGACTGTGATGGCTTCCCAAAACATGCTGTTCAGTCAAGGTGCCCAGAGCCACGCTGTTGCTCACAATGGCCGGCCCATCAGGATCGGCAATGTTGGTCTTGAGCCCAAGGCGTTTGTCAACAACGGGTTCATGCAGCAGCAGACGATCCGCGCCCAGCAGGCTGCTGCCGCCGCCGCTGCATTCGCCGCGCAGTACAACCCAATGTACTACGGCGTGCCTGGCTTTGGCTATGGCATGGCCCCAGCTACTGCCGCCGCTCCCACCGCCTTCCCCATCTACAACTAGAGCGGGTGGCCCGGGCAGCAGAGGCAACAAAAACTACCCCCTAACGAAACTGTAACATTATTTCTCTTCCCGTTGTGTATACACTCTTTCATGGCTCTGTGTGTAAAAAAAGAATACAATCCTCGCATTTTGACACCTTCTTTGTCCTAGCCAATTTGGAAATGCCTCAGCACAGAAACACCGGCGATCTGCAGGCCTCTGAGAGTGAGAGAATGCGGCATAAGGGCGACAGAGCCAATCCTGGGCTGGATGTGTGATAGACCGGTAGCCGGCTCGCCAAATCAGGACATGGGTGAACTTGCTCTATGCGTGAGGGCGGGGCGAATGAGACACGGCCAGACCTTCAGGCAACCGTGGCGTGGGCAGAATGTACATCCTCCGCCTGGCCCGCCTGGCGGCAGGCCCACGAGAGCAATTTGCAAATCAATACTCGCATTTAGACAGCGCCGTGGTGGGGCATCTGGTTACTTTATTTCCGACCAAAGATGCGCTTGGGGGTGATCCCACGCAAAAGCCTTCGCTCATACCACCACCTCGTGTGGGGCTGGCCAGCGCATGAAAGCGGCAGCACATCGCCCTGTTGCGGGCTAGAGGCACTTTGCGAGGTCTCCTCAGGCCACATCGCGCGGGACATGCGCTTGGCCTTTTTGCCCATGGCCCCAGATCTGTACAGCTGGCCTCGGAGATGCAGCTTGCCTTTTGGCCAGGAAATCTGTTATTGCAGATCCTGCCAACAAATTCTGCCTCCCCACCCCTACACATAGCCGGTCTAGACGGCAAAAGCAAACAGAGGTCATTATGTGTCGCTCCCTCATGATTGCCGACTATTGTTTTGCGCACTATATACGAGACATCATGTCACACAATACGCACATTATTTGATTCGCAATTCTGATACTACAGCCGCTCCCTTTGGCGCTCGGCGTGTTCGGCAGACTCATTCCCGCAACAACAATTATGCAATCGCATGCAGCCTAAACCCCTCTTTTGCGCCGATCCTTCTCTTTGCGCCTTTGCGCCTTTGCGAAGCAACACTGGGCTTCGCAGCACTAGAGAAAGAACACGGAAGACGCCCAGCGGCTATTCGCAGTTCTACACGTGATACGCCAAGCAGATCACCAGTCCCAAAAGCCAGTTTTGAATTCGCATTGTTCCAGCTATTCTGGGCGATGCAGCTGCGAGATTGGGGGATTTGGCGGTAATGCGGCTTATGTGAGTGCAAATCCTGCTTTTCAACGTCCGCAGATTTGCTAATTGTTCCCAAGTGCAATGCGGGCAAACGGGTCCGTCGCCCGGCTGCTCACCTGCAACCGCTGCTGGCAGCCAAGCGGACGAATCGCCGCTGCTCGCCATCTGGGAGAGACATTCCCGTGACCACGCGCCTGCATTACCATTTGGAAGTGCTTGGTTGCACTCAGGGAGGCACTCGCTCAGGTGGTGGTGACGATGACATTACTCGGCGACATATCTTGTGTGCATGTCTGTTGGGGGAGGCGTGGTCACCAGTTGCAGAACTGCGTGTCATTCAACGGGGGTGGTGTCACCTGCACCATGGCCAGGCAAACAAGCCGCTTTATCTTTGGAACACGGATGATTTCCGAACCCCAGAGCGATTTACCCTTCCTCGAGCGTGAACGCCGCCTCAGAATGAGAAACCCGAGCTGCGGACGATGGGTGGGCTGTGGTTTGCCAGTGCCATCGACAATGGTGATGGTCAGTTGCGATGACCCACGTCCGAGGGGCTCTGCACCAGCGGCGCCTATTCTATTACCGGAAGTCTGGGCTATTTTTGCTGGGAGCCAATGCCGCAGCTGCCACACTCAATTCGCTGGCCCGGACCCGGAGCTACCTCAGTGATCCCCTCGGCTGCGAGCTACTTCATAGTGATGTCGTGCTCCACTACTGCCTTCCCCAACCAGCTGTGACAGAATTGTCCAGAGAACCACCATCGGGCTTGGCATGGATCCGCTCAATGAGAGCAGCCATGGCAGCACGCACCGGCAGAACTCGGCCCCGGAATCAGTAAATCTACAACCCATGATTGATCTCCGCTGATGTGATTCGACGATCACGGTAGTTGATGAAAAAATCGTGAGGTGGCAGCTGAAACAAAAAAGGTCGACCTTTCAGACCAAACATTTGCCATACTTTTTTTTTTTTTTTTTTCGCAGCTCTTGCAAACCTGAATTTTTAGCATTTCTCCCAATGGAAACACCCAGCTCTTTCACGCCCAAGGTGCTCGATCCGACAAAAGCCAGCAGCAATGGCGACCTGGAGGCGTCAAAGAAGCCGGACGACAGCAAAAACAGCGACTCGATCCTGCACGACTGCACACCGCCACCGCTCAAGCGGCGCCGGACCAGCAGCCATGTGCTTCCCGCCATCATCGGCACCAACGTACAGCAGAAACACCCGGAGCCAATGCGGATAGACGAAGAGGTGCCTAAATGGCAGCGAGTGACTGAGGACGTATTCAGCGCCGTGGTGTCCATCCGGTTCAGCCAGCCGATGAACTTTGACACCGAGCCTGCATTGACCTCAGAGGCCACCGGGTTCATTGTAGATGCACAGCGCGGTATCATCTTGACCAACCGCCATGTGGTGGGTGCGGGACCGTTCGTCGGCGAGGCGATCATGTACGACCACGAGGAAGTCGAGGTTAAGGCCATCTACCGCGACCCAATCCACGACTTTGGGCTTCTGCAGTTCGATCCGTCGCAGGTCAAGTACATGAAGCTGAGGGAGATCCCGCTCTCGCCAGAGCGCGCGCGCGTTGGAATCGATATCCGTGTGATTGGCAATGACGCAGGCGAGAAGCTGTCGATTTTGGCTGGATCCATTTCACGCGTGGATCGCAACACGCCCGAGTACGGTGAGCTGACGTACAACGACTTTAACACCTTCTATCTCCAAGCCGCATCCAGCCTCAGCGGCGGCAGTTCGGGCAGTCCTGTTATCGATGTTCACGGCCATGCTGTTGCCCTGCAGGCCGGTGGTCGTTGCGAAGAGGCGACAAACTTCTTTTTGCCTCTGGATCGCGTCAAGCGCGCCTTGGAGCTGGTGCAGCAGGGCCAGGATGTCGTGCGTGGCACTATGCAGACCCGCTTCCTGTACAATCCGTTTGACGAGGTCCGCCGTCTGGGCCTGAGCCGCGAGACCGAGGCCATGGTACGCCAAGAACGTCCTGATGGAATTGGCATGCTGACTGTAGCCACCGTCCTACCCGAGGGTCCCGGCAGCGTTGCTGGTCTGGAGGAAGGCGATGTGCTGGTCAGCATCAACGGCGACATTGTCACACATTTTGTCGACCTAGAGCGCCTGATGGACGATAACATCGGCAAGCTGCTGCGGCTAGTCGTGGACCGCGGAGGCGTGGCCAAAGAGATCGTGGTCGAGGTGCAGGACCTGCACTCCATCACTCCATCGCGCTTTGTCACTATCGGCGGCTCGATTGTCAACAACCTGTCGTACCAGCTGGCATGCTCCTATAATGTGCCTGTGCGCGGCGTGTATCTGTCATCTCCCGGCAACCTGTTCTCAATCAGCAGCTCCGACGAGGGCACCGTCCTGTCCAGCATCGATAATCGCCCAATCAAATCTATCGACGAGTTCATCGACGTCGTCAAATCGATCCCTGACTGCGAGTTCGTTCCGGTTTCGTTCTACAGCATCGAGGATGTCCACACGATGCACGGCGCGATGATACAGATGTCGCACCATTGGGGCAGTATGCGGCTCTATACACGCAACGACAAGACCGGGCTGTGGGACTTTACAAGCTTCAAGGATTTCCCCAAGCCTACTCCCATCGAGCCCGTCAGCGTTCCACTTCCCAGTGCTAGACAACGACAATGCAGGCAAGGCAGCGATCCTGGCCAACTCGATGGTTCGTGTCTACTACCATATGCCAGTGCGCATGGATGGGTCGCGTGCCCGGCGGTGTCGCAGCTACGGTGTGGTGGTCGATGCAGAGCGCGGCCTGGTCGTGGTCAGCCGCCGCACGGTGCCAATCAACCTCGGCGATATGTACATCTCAATTGCTGAGTCTGCGATCATCCCTGCCAAGGTGCGGTTCTTGCATCCAAGCCACAACTTCGCCATCGTGCAATACGACCCGAGCCACATTGGCGACACGGATATCCGCGCCATCCCTATGTGCCTTAAGCCGTTGAAGCAGGGCGACTCCACCCGCTTGATTTCATACAGCCGCTATGGAAATCCAGTGTGCATCAACACCGTCGTCAGCGACTCGATCCCAATCGTCATCTCACCCAGCACCTTCCCCTGCTGGCGCTCAATCAACGCCGAGGTCATCACTCTCGAAAGTCCGCTCACTCTCGACCACCCGTCGGGCGTCTTGGCCAACGAGGATGGAGAAGTGCAGGCACTGTGGATTGCATACCTGTCGTTTGACGCCGAAGGTAAGGACCGTGAGATTTTCGCGGGCCTGCCTGTCAAGACCATTCTGCCAGCGCTCCACCGCCTGCAGCAGGGCCAGGAGCCGCAACTGCGTAGCCTCAACATTGAGGTTGGCCCAATCAACGTCGCCCAGGCGCGCAAGTCGGGACTCAGCGACAAGTGGATGCAGGAGCTCCAGCACAGCGGGCTTAACCGCGGCAGCCTGTTCTGGGTCAAGAGCGTCGAGACGGGATCCAATGCTATGGGGGTGCTCAACGACCTCGACATCATCATCACAATCAACGGCAAGCTGATGACCCGACTCGAGGACCTCGATGCCCAGTACACGCACGACGAGCTGACCATGGTTGTGCTGCGCAACAAGAAGGAGATGGAGCTCAAGGTCAGGACCACAGAGTGTGGGCAGGGCACCAGCCGCCTGGTGTTTTGGGCTGGCGCCACTCTGCAGGCCCCACACAAGGCCGCGCTGCAGCAGTCGCGCAAGGTGCCTTCGGGGGTGTACACGACGGCGAGGTCCGCTGGCTCGCCTGCATACATGTATGGGCTGTCCCCGACAATGTGGATCACTCACGTTAATGGGCAACTGACGCCTGACCTGGACTCGTTCATTGCAGCTGTCCGAGCGTGCTCCGACAACACGTATGTGCGCATTAAAGTCATGACTTTTGACATGGTGCCGATGGTGCTCAGTATCAAAACGTGCTACCACTACTGGCCCACGTCTGTGCTCACACTGGACCCCACTGCTGAAAGCGGGTGGCGCAGCGACAAGGACGACGAGTGAGCTGGGCCCTTCCAAAATAGATACATTTTCTGGAACCACTAAAAAATAACATGCACCCCTGCCCTGGCCTTGGCTTGGACAAACGCTCAGAACATTGGTAATGCCACACATGCATGCTGTTTCCCATTGTCTCTGCTTCTTTTTTTTTTTTGACAACTCAGAAACCGACGCAGCGATTTGCACAGACTGGGCACCATTCTCGCTGTTCCAGAATGGATGGGGCTCACGTGTCGCTTGGCTCGCATGCTTTGTCCATCGCTCTCAGCAAGAACACTATGGCTGACGGCGTGTTTTGGAACCTGCCTTGCTTTAGTCCTTTCACAGCGGTGTCCTTTGCATCTACTGTTCTGCCAATTGCCGTCTCCAGGTCTGGCAATCTCCTGAGGTCTTGCAACACACTGGTTTGTCTTGTGCGTCAATCATACTCCATGTGTATCTGGAAACGATCCTCAGGTACGCAATGTATTTCAGCGAATGGACCCCACATACTATTATGGCGATTCGCACTTGATTTCTGTTTATTGCAGTGCAATGTGAGCCTACACTGATTTTTGCTAGCCTGCCCTTGCTCGTTCATTGGCATTGGTAAATCCCCCACCAGGGCAGCGGAAATTGAGCAACCACTGGGCACCTTGGTATCTATTGCTTTTTGGCGTGTCCTGTGAAGGACCTCTCTGTTCCAACTCACATCCTTTGAATACGCACTATCAGCCACTAGCCAGCACAACTGTGAACAAGCCCACCAAACGTTTAACCTGCCACACATGTCCGCCGAAAGCATCACCCGCGTAATCCTAAACAACTACGTTCCAGACGGCACCCCCAATCCTTCGGACTTTCGAATCGAAACAGTGCCTGCACCAACCGCTGACATGCTCAGGGACAGTGAGCTGCTGGTGCGCCCGCTGTACCTGTCGTGCGATCCGTATATGCGCAACCGCATCAATGGTCGTGATGGGTATTATATTGATGGCTTAAAAGCTGCGGCTCCTATTGCTGGCCTTGGGCTTGGCGTTGTTGAGGCTTCAACAAGCAGCGGATTTGCGCCTGGCGATTTCGTAACTGGTGGATTTTTCGACTGGGCACAAAAGGCAATTGTGCCTGCAGCAGGATTCAGCAAAGTCAGCGAAACCGACAGAGTGTCGTTGGTGGATTATGTTGGTGTGCTCGGTATGCCGTCGTTCGCTGCTTATGTTGGTCTAGTAACGCTAGGAAAGCCAAAGAAGGGTGAAACCTTGCTGGTCTCATCTGCTGCAGGAGCTGTTGGCCAAATGGTGGTGCAGCTGGCAAAAATCCGTGGGCTACGTGTTGTTGGTGTTGCTGGCTCCGACAAGAAGGTTGAGTTCGTCAAGAGCCTTGGGGCCGATGCTGCCTTCAACTACAAGACGTGTGGTAACTTTGAGCAAGCGATTCGCCAGGCTGCACCAGAGGGAGTCGATATCTACTTTGACAATGTTGGCGGGGAGTTCCTGGACGCTGCCTTGATGAACATGCGTCCGTATGGACGTGTTGCTGCCTGTGGTCAAGCATCTCAGTACAATGTTACGGCCAACGAAACGTACAGGATGGACAACTTTTTACAGGTGATAAATCGAAAGCTGAACGTAACTGGCTATGTAATCACTGACCACTACCCAACACCATCGTTCGCAGAGTTTTTGGCAGAGGTCTCAGATCTGCACTCAAGCGGAAAGGCTTACATACAAGGTTGATGAGGTTATTGGGCTTGAGAACGGACCGACAGCATTGATCGATGTATTTGTTGGAAATAACTTTGGAAAGCGAATCATAAGAGTCTAGAGCATGTTTCGATTAGGTGCAATACATAGTTGAGGCGATTATTTTCCTACCCGCGTCATATTTTCACCATACATATCTATCGTGCAGTAAATAAAATGATATGTGTCGGGATTGGCGACCATCAGCACAACCCCTAACGTGAGTGTTCCAGACACCGAGCCAGGCACCTGACAATGGGCGTTCGGCGGCATGATGCGCACAATGGGCCTTCAGATTCGAACCCCTGAGGTGCTGTGGTGTTTAAAAGATGCATCTCACTTTCAAAACTGTCTCCGCGCTGCATTTTATACCTGCGCCATATGTCAATTTTTTGTAGCTCTAACTCATCTTTGACACCATAAAGCAGCCAGCACACATGAAATCTCATAGTTTTATTTCTCTCCTTTTCCTCTAAATAAAATACATCAGCAGGCTGCTTTCAAACTCTTACCAAACTGCGCACATCCGCATATAATCATCGTAACAGCATAGCTGGAAGCAAAGCGCGCCATCGTATGGAAAAATGAGGGTTAAAATCACATATGCGGCGCCCGAGGAAATCATCACCTTCCTTGTTGTCAAGCAGACAGAAATGGTCGAAGATGTTCGGCGGATGGCTTGCCAAGTGGCTGTTTGAGGAATTAAAAAGAAGATTGTGCCCGAGCGCATTATACTGGCTTACCGTGAAAAGCAGGTAGATACCCATTAAAACATTTCCAAGCCAGACCACCCGCCACCTTGCTTGCAGCAGCCATGAAAATTTAGGGTTTGGTGGTGGTCTCAAGCGGTGTATAGGTCGGTAGTATAAAGCAGAATGCACTTTGGTGGGATATCTATTGTGGTATCCTGTGCTTCTCTCCCTTTCCTAGGACACTGACAAATGTCAGCTTGGACTTTTTAGCTTGCAGACAGCAAGGAACTATTCGACTATGGCGTGGCTCACGGTGACACGTTTATCGCGTTCGTTGAGCATCAAGGCTGATGAGCTAGTTCAGAACAACAGCATGGGCGAGGACATGATGGAGGGCGAGAATATGTCTGGCAAGTCGACATACATCGGCCAAGATACCGTCGACTGACCCAGACAAAGAGGTCAGATGGCGGCATGGCGCGTGTAAATACATACAAAAAGTGCGCTATCGTTGACAGCGACTACGCTGGGCCGATTCCAGGTGTCCATGTTGGCCAGTCGTGGCAGGTTCCGCATCCATGTATCGGAGGCTGGAGTCCACCGACCTACAATTGCTGGTATCGCTGGCAAGTCATCGACGCCAGCTGTCTCGATTGTACTGGCAGCCGGTTATCCAGAGGACGAAGACTACGGCGATGAGTTCATATATACTAGATCCGGCGGCTACACGGACAAGTCAACAGTCCAAATCTCTGACCAGGAGTTGACCCGCCAGAACATGTCTCTGGCACGCGCGTGTGACGGCACCGATCAACGCCGAAGTTGGCGCCGAGGCAATCGACTGGCGCAAGAGCTCACCGATCCGCGTGTGTCGCGGCTACAAAGCTGCGAAGAGGCATACGGAATTCGGACCTAAGATGGGAGTGCGCTACGACGGCATATACAAAATTTACAAGTACAGGAAAGAGAGGGGACACAGCGGCATGTATGTCTGGCGGTTCTGGTTCCACCGAGACGACCCAGAACCGTCGCCCTGGACACTGGAAGGCCAGCTGCGGACCAAGGGAGCTCGGGCTTATTATGTACGACCCCGATGGCGCTGATGCCGATGGCCGGTGCCATACACTGCGCAAATCCACCGAGTCATTAGTGCGCATTCTACCAAATGCCGTGTTGCGTGAGCTTATACGTCTCGATGCTGCGAATGACCGCATCTGGACTGAGATTCTGAATGGCACGTACTATGGGGAGCTGGAGTTCCTGGAAGAGGTAGCTAAGAACATGTTCGTTTGTGCTGTGTGTCAGGAGCTTGTGCAGATGCCAGTCACTACGCCTTGTGGCCACAACGCGTGCGCCAAGTGCCTGTGCTCGTTGCTCTGCCATAGCACTAAGTGCCCTGTGTGCTGCACCAGCATCAAAGAGATGAGTGATAAGGACAGGATCATGTACAGTGTGAATCAGAACCTGGTCAACGTCCTCATGGCTCTAATACCCTCGTATGGACAGGGCTGGGCCACCAAGCCTGCGATTACGAGGGTGCAGCGCGCACGCAGGACTGGTCTGCCGATTGTGAATTAGTAAAAGAGGACTTGATATTGGTTACTACGGAAACCAAGCAAGTGCACCCGCTCACTGCGTTGTCAGACATCCAGCCTGATGGCGGCATGTCAGTTGACTCGTCATGAACTAACAGGATTCGTCCATAAACGTAACCGCCGGATGTATTGGCATAAGGACTGACGCTGAGAATGGTGGCAGCTCGCTGCTCAGGTTCTGCTGTTGCAGTGTCTACACACATAGCAAATCCTCAAAAGGACAACGGAGCGGTGCATGCAGTTTATCTTTTGTTGCTGTAGTTTTGAAATCCATTTCATACTGCTAAATACCATTAAAAACATTTGCTTTTTACGCATGTCAGCATTAAGTGAGCTGCAATATATCTGCGAAATACTATATTGAGCAATCGAAAAAAGAAAGAAAAAAAACTTGACACCGAAGCCTAATGGCCAGAATCGTTTGTAGCATCGCCAAATGGGTCGCAAGACGTTCAACAAAACGCAGTAAAGGCCATTTGGAACATGGTTGCCTTTGATAAATTCTTTGTCCGAGTACATTGTTCCATTGATGGACAGACAGGGATTCTTCTTGTCCAGGACCTACTCATGGTACGCGGCGCATACCCAATATAGCTGTCGGAAAAGATAGCCGATAGTCCAAGCGACTAGAGTCGATCAATGTTGCGGTACCTAGGTGTGGCGGGAGCATCATGAAGTAAATAAATGCAAAGGGCTTTTTGGGACTGGCACCAAATGTTGTCAGGCCATCGTAAGTGTTGACACTCGTGCACACGCTGCCAGCAAATCCCCTCGGATCGTCGATAAAAGCAGCAAGCTTGGCGAAATCACCGTTGAATCCAGCATATGGAATGACATAATGCCTCTTGTCCCTGCCAGCTCCATTCTAAGAGAGAGCTATGCTGGTGAAGCCACCATAGAATCAGTGCTTCGACTCCTTCAGTACATACAGTGCAACGATGGTAGTTTCAGCCTTGCGCTGCTCACCAGGTTCGCTCGAGCTAGTCGTCTGGAGGTCAGTGGAAAACAGTTGGGAAGACTTGCTGCTGGCGGTGATCGCAGCCGAATTCAGTGGCCTAATGTGAGGCTTGAAGACAAATGTGCCATTAGGGTACTGGGGAGAGGATGAGTTGGCGGAAGAGTTGGCAAGCTAAATACGTGCAGTCCGCTTGACATCGTAATTGTAAATCATGAAAGTATGGCGCACCTAGCAAATGGATCTAGGGAAGCTGGCACCAGAGATATCTCTTAGCAGACCAGTATCGGTATTGTTTAAGATAATCGATGACAGGAATAATTGGGCGCGCGCGGTAATGGGTGCATACACATCAGCTAGGCTGCTACCACTCCGATACGGATGGATAGTCAGGTTAGTCCTTCTTGTCCCTCATAGACTTGGCTGTAGTGGCAACGGATGCTGCGAATCTGGTCTGGGGCGTGCCTGGACTAAAAAGGGCAACAACACCAGTAATATACGGCCCAGCCATCGATGTATCCGACATGAAAATGTAGCCGCCGCTTTTGACAGGGTATGTAGAGTAAATGTTGCCACCAGGGGCTGATACAACGGGCCCGATACCAAAGGTCATGTGAAGGGCCATGGGAACTGAATGCAGAACATTTGATCGCAAGTTTGCTTAGGTTGTCCGGAGTATATGCCAGTATGTGCAAAGAGAGTGAGATAGAATGCTGTTGGTGAGACGTAATGCAGGCGCAAGCGTATCTTGTGATATAGGGAAGCGCTGAGCGTTGGTCTTTGGATGCTCATATGATTGTAGTGGCGGTAACGGGCAAGAAACTGACAGCCTTCCAGAATCAGCGAGATGCAAAAGTCTGCTATCTATTTTAGGGCTGTCGTTAGTCAGGACATCCTCGGGAGATCAAGATCTTGTTATTTGGATGGCCAAAGGTACAATCATAATCTAGAAAGAATTCTATTGGCCGGTTCCTCAACCTCCTCTCTGGATCTATACATTCATTGCCGTCATTTCCGCTCTTCAAAATCAGTGTCGAACGATGGAAGCTGGATCAAGCACCATGTACCTACGTAATTACATGCAATATGTGGTATCCTGGGCACATAGCAGCTGCATATGTCTTCTGGGAAGTGGCCCTAATAGCCCACAAGCTGCCTCCTATTGGCACGGCTAATGGCCTGGCCCCACATGGCTGGCGATCTCACTACCTCGCACTGAAGCAGATTGGATTGCCCAAAAAATATGTTTACAAGCAAGACTCCAAGCCCCTGTCCGTGCTGGCGGTGTCTTCTAAATCCCGTCGGATCCTAGCCCACCTTTTTGCTCCCCCATCCTCCGGGCTTACCTTCCATTTTGAAACCTGGTGACACAGGCTGGCGAAAGTCAATTAGTGTGCGGATTGCTCAGACAGGCTCCAGGCCTTTTTTGTTGTCCCCGGAGCCGTGTGGCGAAACGGATGAAAGCTGGAGACACGGATGACGGACGGAGATGACGGTGCTGCTTACAAATACAGGCTAGCAGCATTTTTCTGCTCTAAATCGTGTGCATTGGACTGGATCCGACCAGCCTAGATCCAGTGCATATAAATTCACAGGAGACTACTGATTCAGGACGGGCTTTCTGAACTTTAGCACCCCATAGAAATCCTTTTTCTGTACTTTTTGAACCCCTTCAAGAACCCCTTCAAGAACCCCTTCCATTATCAATGTCGACTGTCACTCGTGTTACTCTTGTCCAGAACGTCCCGACTGGCGCGCCGATGCTCAACGACTTCAAGGTCGAGACCGCCCCTGCGCCGGTGGAGGCCAGCCTGAATGCCAACGAGCTGATCATCCGGCCGCTGTATCTGTCGTGCGATCCGTACATGCGCGGGCGGCTGACAGGATCGGGCGACCGCTACGTGGACTAGCTTCGAGGCTGGCAAGCCCATTGATGGCCTGGGCGTGGGCATCGTCGAGGCATCGACCAGTGACAAATACAGGCAAGGGCGACGTGGTCACCGGCGGCATGTTCAAGTGGGAGAGCAAATTTGTTGTGCCTGCGACGGGCTATATTAAAGTCCCTGTGGCGCCAGGCGACTCAGGAGGCATCGTACGTGAACCTGATCGGCGCGCTGGGTATGCCTGGGTTCACCGGCTATGTGGGCCTGGTGACACTGTGCCAGCCCAAGAAGGGCGAAACCGTGCTGGTGTCTGCTGCGTCGGGCGCTGTGGGCCAGATCGTCGTCCAACTGGCTAAGGCCCGTGGTCTGCGCGTGGTGGCTACTGCCGGCTCCGACGACAAGGTCGAGTACGTCAAGAGCCTGGGAGCTGACGTTGCCTTCAACTACAAGACGTGCGGCAGCTTCGCCAAGGCAATCCGCCAGGCAGCGCCCGAGGGCGTGGATATCTTCTTCGACAACGTCGGTGGCGAGTTCCTGGATGCGACACTTAACTGCATGAAGCCCTTCGGCCGCATTGCCGAGTGCGGTATGATCTCGCAGTATAATGCCACTTCCGAGACCGCCTACCACATCCGCAACCTGTCGCAGATGATCAACAAGAAGCTGACCATGTACGGCTACATCGTCAGCGACTACTACGCCAAGCCTGCGTACAAGGATTTTATCAGCGAGGTATCGGACCATGCTCAAGTCTGGTCAGATTCAGTACAAGATCGACTGAGGTCGCCGGGCTCGAGAACGCGCCTCAAGCCCTGCTTGATCTGTTTGAGGGCTCCAACTTTGGCAAGCGTGTCATTAAGGTTGCCTCGCGCGGTCAGAAGCTGTAAAAACACACCCATTTCTTTCGTAGCAATACCATTTCTAGTACCATTGAATTTGCATTCTACTCTGTATCCATCGGGGCACTGCCGTCCAGACTTGTGCCAGCTATCGGCGCTCTCCAGCGAGCTTGTGTCGACTGGTGCCTGGAACTTTGCCTGTACAAAAATGCGCTCTGAGTCTAGGTTTTTTTTGACATTGACCAGCTTCTTGACCATGTAGTCGTTGGCCAGCTCACTCAGCCCGCCGTGCTCAACAAACAGCTCACGCAGCCGCTCCGTCGAGAAATAGTACGACAGTGTGCCGTCCTGCCGCACATACAGGTTGTCCTCGAGCTTGTGGCCCGTCTTGAACCGCAGCTGCGCCAGATCATAGAGCCCATAGTCACGGAACAGAACACGACCGCCGGGCTTCAGCACCTCGAGAATGTTCAACACTGCTGCCGCCTGCTTCTCGGGTGGCAGCGCCGAGAACACAAAGATCGCAGATATAATGTCAACCGAGTGCGGCGGGATTGTGTCTGCAAGCCTGTCCTTTGTGATATCGCAGACAAATGCCTTGCACCGCTCCTCGTTGTAATTCTCATTCGCCTGCACGAAGCCCACTGCGCGCTCAGAGAAATCGCACGCATAAACATACACGTCCGGGTTACGGTCCAGGATGGGCCACACAAAGTTTCCTACGCCGCATCCAATCTCCAGCAGAACCGGCTTTTGCTCCGAAAACACATGGCCTGGCCGCAGCTCCTCGAACTCGCGGTCCGTCCAGTGCCGGTCCTTGAAAAAATTTGTTGTGTTGCGCTTGTAGAACAGGTCCCAGTTCCGGCTCGCCTCTTTCTTGTATTTGTTCTGCCAGAAATCGGGCACAGTGCTGGTGTCCTTCTCCAAAATCGCCTTGGCGTTGTCGACAAAGGTCTGGTCCATGAGAAATATGAGCGAAAATATGAGAGAAAATATGATAGAGAAAGCGAAGCTAAAGCGCAAAGAGCCTGTTGGCGAGATCCCAGTCAGACCACAGAAAAAGTGTGGTCCAAATCAGATCAGACAACCGATGATCCATTACCAGATGTTTGGAAGGATCAGCTGCTTGCAGTCCAACTGCCAAGAGTCTGCTGCTTGCAAATGCTGCTGCCACTGGGGACTGGCTATATAGTGCCATGCTGGATTCTTGCGTAGGGTATATTGGAAGTAAATAGTGTCAGTATCTGGCTGGGTCTCTCGCATACAACTACATACCCTTCAATGATAATACGCTGCTATTTAGGGCTACTGGAGAGTAATCATTGCTTTTTGCGAATGCACATACTGGGGATGTGGTGTTCATAATTAGTCCGACAGACGCTTTTGGTCATTGTCACAAGCTACACACCACGCACCGACTACCCTCAATTGGAGACAGCTACACTGCCAACAAATCAATGCAAGCACATTTATTGAAAGGTAATGTGCGTAGATATGAACAGAGTGTGTTGGCAGCCCGTTGCCATGCTCACAGGCATCTTTTTCCTTCAGCAGATGACCAGTATCCGCATGCATGGTGTGCAAAAGGGTCCATCTGCCCCTAGATTTTGTCAGTGGCTGGGTGTATCGGAGTGCTGAGGGTGGTTCTTTTTGCACACAATCATGCGTAGGGAGCCTTCTGGTGAAGGAGGGGAAGCAGCCCCATCCCAAATCAGCTGCATGCACGGCGGATGCACCTTTGCTTAAATTCAAAATTGTCCTGGGCAAGCACCACCATTCTTGTCAAGGGAAGAAAGAGCTGCTCTACGGCATGACAGTTGCTTGCGCCTGGATGTATGAAAAGCGCAACCGGAGCTGTGCTCACACTAGCGTATAACATGCGCCGCCGGCAACACCTATCTGTCAACCTTATTGCAGCCACAACCCTTTTGACCTCTGACAGCCGCAGCCTGCACTAGTTTGGGGTTTCCCAGCAAGCCTGAATGGACACGTCACCAAAGTCTCCCACAACTCGAAGGATGAAAACCATGCCACACAAGCACAGGGAGGCTTTGTCGATTCATGCTCCTTTCCTTGACATCCCTGGCCAGCAGCCAGTATTTGTAAAAATGACAAGGCGGCTTGGCTGAGAATGTCGTGCGGATTTCAAGGCAGCCGACGAGCAGTGTTCCTGGGCAGTGCTTGGGCAACGAACCCGTTTGATTAAAGTTTCGGCAAAAGTACAAAACTAGAGTAGGCACAGGGAAGCTGGTAACAAAATTTTCTGGCATACGGGGCACCGAGAGTGAGGGCATGTATATACCCTTTCCCATTTTCACAGCGCTGCAACGAGCCAGACACTGATAGGTGCCCGCTTTCAACACCACATGGAAAAGGCTGCCGGAATGGCTACCGGAATGGCTACAGTTGTGCAATTGGGGCTAGTAGGGTGTGGTTTATAAATGGTTTTTGAACACCAAATGCCCGCCTACTCCTATCTCCTGCTACCGCCACCTTTGGCATGGTAACCATCCAGAAAAGGCAGCAGGAAGCCTCGCCCCTTCCCATGATATTTAAGGGACTGCAGCCACACCATTACAGATCGCTTTTTCTCAAGTCCTATTTTTCTTCCACTGCTGGCATTTACTTCACCATGTTAACACCTGCGCAAACACACGCAACCCCCGCCTATGAAGGTCCCCATGGAGCTCTTCTGGATCATCGCCAGGATCGCCATACCAGATGAAATGCCATCGACTAATAACAGGTATGGCCTCGCGTATGTCCGTCAATTCGCCGACCTATCTCCAGAGTGCAGAGCCACGGTTCCTCATTCCCTGGCCAATGCGGTGACTGTAGAGCGCATACTGTCTCAGCGCCTGTCGGCAGAGAAACCACTGCAGAGTCCGCTGGGTCTCGAACATCAGCGACGTCATCACGCTAGGACGCACTAAGAAGGTTCGACACGCTGTGCATTATGATGACGAAAAAGCCATGCGAGTGCAAGCCCCAGCTCAGCAAGATGCTCCGGCTCTTTAGTAGGTCAGGGTCATGCATGGAGCGGTATCCGGCACCTGCGCTTTATTGGCCTTGGATTTCATCCACAGGGGCAATGACGCTGACTACAACCCTGCGACTGATGCCGTTGCTGAGAGAGATCTCAGGCGCTTCATCGCCCGCTTTCCAATGCTGACGTCGATACGCTACGACCCCGACTTTGTTTGCGAAGAAGGTCATGGGCATAGGCGTATGAGCATGGCTTAAGTCTGTATCCGTTCTACACAAGGCTATTCGAACGCAACCAGCACCAAATGACCGCAGTCCAACTTAAATACCCAATACTGCCAACCCAGTTCCCGATTGCTATGATGCAGATAACGTCGGTCGTTTTAAATGATGAGTACAACCTATTCCATGGCGCAGTTCCGCTGTTCTACGCCCCTGCCATACGTCGTCTGGTGCTGGTCGGTATGGGCAACGCCTTCCCGTCAAAACTGCTTTGCGTCTGCTGGGAGTACCAAGATTGAGTTCAGCTCTCTTGCGTACCTAGAAGTCCGTGGCAGTTTTAGCAGGGACCGCAGTATCACGCAAGACCCCACCGGCGGATTTGACTTGTCGTTCCCGAAACTAACATGTGCAGAGATCTATGACACAGAGTCCAGCCGCAGCGATTTCTACTCGATCCTGCGCAATGCTCCCCTCCTTGAGCAGCTGTCGATTGTAGAGGAGCTAAGGGATCTACAATATGTGAATCCGCAGGTTGTAGCACGGGTCAGAGCTCTGGTGATGACTGGATACTCTCTGTCTCGTGAACACGTTGAGCTCCCTCGCAGGGTAATTACGCAGTTCTATGAGATGATGGACAACGTATGTGTGGCCAATTTGTATGGCAACCCATTTCCGCTTCCAAGCACAGGCCAGCTATCCAACATCCGAAGACTGACTATCGAGCTAGCAAGATCAGACCTGCACTGCCTTCCCCGACTCATCCAACAGCTCCCAAGGATGTGGTATCTTGATGTTACCTTCAAACATAATCGTCTTGGGGAAGCAGGAATACACTTGGGAACCCGAGGATGAAACGACCAGCTACTGACCACGCTGTGGTGGATGCACAGGTAGCCAATACTGGGGAGTTGGATGTCGCCTTGGCGACAATGGCTATCAGCGACACAGGATGGACTTGAAAGTCAATAGAGAGACTGAGGTGGATACGACGCCTATCGTCAACGCCACTCCAGACAGTCAAGATCGCAGATGTCGGTGACGAGGCCTGCGAGGTAGCCTGCACCCTGATCAGACGCATCCTATCGCTGGGAAAGATGCGAATATACCTCGGATTTTACAGCAGGGTCAATGCAGCCAAGCTAGAAGTAGATAGCAAGTGCCACATCGACGAGTACAATGTCAAATAAGCCATTGTTTTCTAGTCAATTGTAAATATATGCTCTTGCTCCTTATGCTACTTCATACCAAATACAAATGGCATGAAATGAACTTTGAGGCGAGAGAGAAAGGTGTATGGTGTTGCACTGTTATTTCTGCCCTCATCCTAGTGATATCATGTCACTTTTTTGTGCACATTAAACACAACAAGCTGGTTCTCTGCTTCCCATTTCAAACAATGCAGCCCACCTGACAGATCCCGGGAATGGACAAGCTTTCTTAAGAAAATGCAGCGCTCACCTGGGTGCGACAGCTGAATTCTGTGTCAACAATGCTCTTGATGGGGTGGATGGCAAAGACAAAAACAAAGGGTGCAAATCATATAGCTGTTTGAAGCGGACTGCATTATGTGAAGAGACATCTATGATTTCTTTTTAGTGGAACAAGAAATGTTCAAGCATGAAGGACATGCGGTTGTTCGGGTCGCTATTTAACTTCAAAGTGGTGCCATAGCCAATGCTAATTTTTAAGATATCTAAAATCTATCGTGCCATCTGCAGTATTTATTTTCCAGCCCATGTTTCTCCAGAGTTCAGCACAACACAGGCTTGTCCCTAATGGCAATGGGAGGGTTTCAGTTGGGTTCATTCCAGATGGTGGCGGCAGCAAGGTTTGTCAGAGAGAATAAGCTTAACATGCGTCCTACCCTTTAACCGAGTTAACCAACTGGAAAAGCTAGCAAGTATAAATGGGCCAAGTCATGAAAAGAGGAGGGGAGGAAAAAGCCATTGTAGACACTATCCTGTAGTAAAATACATGTACAGAAACAGCAATTTTTGTGGGTCAAATGGTGGAAATAAGTTGCTGTTATCTAGAGGTTCATGCACTGTTACCAACATACGCTTCATGTTCTGCACACCGCTACAATGGCAAAAGCAAGCCAAATAAATGATTATCCCTGGATACTGCTTATGAGTTGTGTCCGCTGGTGCAAAGTCAGTAGTAATTTATTGCACATAATTGTAATTTCAATTGTACCACTTTCACTGATAAAAAGACAGATGTATAATATACATAGCAAAAAGCCACCATTATGTCCACTATGTGCCTGCACGAATACTGTGTGACACGGTTATGCACGATAGACTATACTGTTGCAATTGTTATACATGATTGGGAAAGATACGAAACCCTAGGTGACTCTGGCACAAGTCCAGTATCGCGACTACCATTGTGCACTTCCAAACAACTGTGTACCGATATTAAGTAGATCAGCAAGAAGCAAGTGATAAACCCATCATAGCTTTAGGGCTAGATTGTGCTTTCAGAATCAAAGAATAACTACTCATACAGTCTGGTGTTTGTGCTGGTAGCAGCTATGGAGATATTGGGGCAGCTATCGGCGCCACGTGGAATGGTCCGGGTCCTGCTCGGCAGCGACACAATACAGGTTGGAGGATATGTTGAATGGTCTGGCTTCGTTGAGTGTGCAGGGTAATTGCATATCCTGTCTGGAACATATAGAATATGCAGCAGTGGACTTCCGACAGCCGGGCTGTCGATGAGGACCCAACAAATTCTGACCCGAACAGGCAACATGCCGCTGCTTTCAGAGGACCAAGATCCATAGGTCCACAAGTCCATAGGTCCATAGGTCCATAGGTCCACAGTCACAGGTCCACAGTCCAAGAAGGCGGCCATGGGATTCAGCAGCAGTCTCTGGAAAAGCGATGAGGCATGCAGTGATGTTGTTGGGCGAGATAAATTGTTAGAGTTGTTGATGTTCCTGTTGATTGAAAGCCAGTGGCAGCATGGGATCAGCCAAGCATGGCGAAGAAAAACAGCCGATGATTACAAACATATTCATGCATGTGATCCAGCATTAAATGGATAGGTTCTAGGCATCGTACTGTTTCATTAACAGATCTCGCATGTGGTTTGCAATATTTGTGCTCAAAGGGAAATATAGGCAGGACATCCTACTGCTCCAGACCCCCATTCCCAGCGCATAGCTCCACGCACTGGACAGTCCTGGAGTGTTTAGCATAGCGGAAGTAAACACTTTCCTGCTCCCCCTACGCATGCCAGTGGGCCTAGTCGCCAAATGGATTCCCTTTTCAAGCTCCCTTTCTCTTCTTCGTCTATTATTTTTTTGAATTTGATTATTTTCAACAACCACCATTTAAACCGAACACCAAGCATTCATACTACAGCAATTTCAGGCATACAGCCATGGTCGTACCTCCAGAAAGAACAGCAAGGAAAACGCATTGCGGTGATCGGCTCAGGCTTGGCGGGGCTGACGGCAGCGCACTTTCTGGCAGAGCAGTGGGCACACGGTAACGCTGTTTGAAAAGAGCAGCACGATTGGCATGGATGCAGGGTCGCTGACGGTGGGCAGTGTGCGCGTAGACGTGCCGTTCCGCGTATTCAACCCAGACTACTACCCGTATCTGTACGCAATGTACCAGCACCTGGGGATTGGATTCGCGGCAGCGGACTACTCGCTGGCATTCACGCGCAACGGGTCGGCATTGTGGTCGTACACGAACCTGGGGGTGCGGGACTTCCAGGTGCCGATTCCGGACTCGCTCGGGAGCTCGGCGGAGTGGGCGCAGTTGCTGTATCTGTGCGCGCGTACGCTGAAGCAGCCGGAGATGCTGTATGCAGGCAGTGATCTGGATAAGATCGGGATTGGCGCGTACCTGGAGCGGGAGGGGTATTCGCAGCGGTTCGTGGAGCTGGAGTTTGTGCCGTTCCTGGCCAGTCTGTTTACATGCTCGCTCAGTGCGGCGGCAGCGTACCCGGCCAACACGGTGCTGCACTTCACGGCCCGTGCGGTGTTTGGTGCGCGGCTGCGCAAGGCTCAGCATGGTGTGCAGGAGGTGTGCGAGCGGCTGACGCAGACAGTTAGTCATGTGCGATGCAATGCATGTGTGGAGAGCGTCTTGGCCAAGGGCGACCGCGTGGAGGTGCATGTGGATGGCAAGGCGGAGGAGTTCGACTGTGCGGTGATTGCGACTCCGGCAGATACGGCCGCGCGGCTGCTCGGCGGGTCGGGGGTGGGGGAGGCACTCCGGGCAGTGCAGTACGAGGATGCAGTGGTGGTGACGCATGGCGACGACTCAGTGATGCCCCGGGAGCGGGCGAGCTGGCGCGGGGTCAACATCGGCACGGTGCAGGGCCAGGCGCAGGCCATGGCCAGCCACTGGATCAACTACGTCGAGCGCACGTCCACCGGCCGGGGACTGCCGCACGCGACGTTCCAGACGGTCAATCCGCTGGTGCCCCTGGACGAGTCGCTGGTGCTGAGCTCCACGACCTTCCACCGCTCGCTGGTGACCGTGCAGTCGCAGGCGCAAATCAACGCCATCCACTGCGCCCAGGGCCAGGGCAACGTCTGGCTGGTGGGCACGTATGCGGCGCCCGGGGTGCCGCTGCTCGAGGGATGCGTGCGGTCAGCTGTGGATGTGGTCAGGGCCATTGGCAGCCTGCCGTTTGCCGCGCCCCGGATGATGCGCAAGGACAAGTCCACGCTGTATGAGGTTGGGCTGGCCAAGGGCTGTGTGCGCGGCGAGCTGGTTGAGGCGTACTTTGAGCAGCCGCTCTCTGGCTCGTTCGAGTTTACGGGTGTCGCCTGGGCGCTGTTCTACGTGGCCCTGCCCATCATGCTTGCGGTATCCTCGGTCGTGGACGTTGCAACCAGGACGCTGCTGGGCGACCGCCTGGGCCGCAGACTGCAGACTATGCTGGTGGCGATGCTGGTGGGCGCTGTGATTGTTGTGGAGCTAGCTTACAGGCACACGTCACGTGTATTCAAACAACAATAAAGAATGTCTAGACGTTCAGCGAGCAAATTGACAGTCCGCGCAGCTGGCCCATGACGGTCTCGATGCGCTGGTTGAGCTGCGCATCGTCGTCCTGGCCGGTCTGCGGCGGCACGAACCGCGCGACCTGGTCGAGCTGGTTCTTCGAGTCGCTGAAGAACTGCAGCTGCGCCTTGACAAACGCCTCGAATGACGGGTCAATGACATACACACGCGCATTGATCAGCTTCGGGATCTCGGTGATCAGTGCGCGGTTCAGCTGCTCATACGTCTGCTCCGCATACGCCAGGTCCTGCTCTGCGCGCTCAATCGCCGCGGGGTCGCCCTTGGTCTGCTCCTTGGACAGCACGCTCTTGGCCTTCTCGACGTCCTGCAGCCGGTGGTTGCGCTTGGTGAACGCCTTGTCGAACTCGGGCAGGAACCCGCAGTACCGCGCCAGTGGGTCCAGCACCGTGTGCGCGTAGACTTCGTCAAACTGCACGCGCGCAGTCTCGTCAATCTCCGTTGTCGCCTGCCGGTAGGCCGCCTGGTACTCGCGCGGGCGCTGCACGTCCAGCAGGAACGCAGACAGGTTCTCGGCCAGCTTCTTCTGCGCGCTGGTCATCTCGATGATGCTGATGTTGTAGTCCTTGGCGTCTTGCAGCAGCCGTATTGCCTTGCGCTCCAGTGACCGGAAACGCTGCTCCTGCTCATTGTACTCGGGGTCGGCTGACATCCGCGCGTTGCCCATGCGCAGGCCTGTGCCCGCACGGGACATGGACTTTTTCATGTTGTCCCTACACCGGAAATAGGTCTTAGCGCGCAGGCAGTCCACCATGTGTGGTCCGACTCGTGCCCTGGGACTTTGGGAGCGTCAACTTACCACTTGCTCATTGTTGCTGTCAAGGAGGTTGGATGTCAATTACTCAAAGTCTGGTACTAATAGTGGTGCGGAAAATACAGGGCGCAAAAGTTCGAGTTTGCGGAAGAAAAAGAGGCTCCAGCCTCAAGTCTCCTGCCAGGACTAGGCCAGCTGACTCGAGCCTTGCACCCCCAGCCTCTCCCATCTGCACGCGCGCAGAAAAAAGGCTCACCTGGCCCACAAAGAGTCAATAGACACCTGGATTTTTTTCCTCTATAAACAGCCTTTTAGTCTCTTTGGGCCTCGTATTCTTTCTCCTCAATTCGCCTTTCTTGCTTCCCCCTTCCTCACCTTTTTATACACTATGAATTTCCTTGGCATTTGGGCTCTCCGCGGAATGGGCACGCGCGGGGCGCGCCGCGGCATGGACTCGATCGCCATCAACCCGCACGCCACCGACAGCCCGCGCTCGGGCGGCTCCATGCAGTACCAGCTGCGCCAGTACGCCGAGTCGACGCTGGGCAAGGGCTCCCTGAAGGAGGCGGTGATAAAGCCCGAGGGCGAGGACCTGAACGAATGGATAGCCTGCCATATTGTGGACTTTTACAACCACGTGAACATGCTGTACATGGCGGTCTCGCACCACTGCACCGACGAGACGTGCCCGAAGATGAGCGCTGGCGAAAAGTACACGTACCTGTGGAAGGACAACGGCCAGTACCGCGAGTCCTCGCAGGTCCCGGCGCAGCTGTATGTCAAGCTGCTGATGCAGTGGGTTGATGCGCAGCTGGACGACCCGCGGCTGTTCCCGGTCGAGCTGGGCCAGCCCTTCCCACATAACTTCCAGTCCGAGGTCGCCCCCAATATCATGAAGCGCATGCTGCGCGTCTACGCCCACTTGTACTGGCACCACTACCCGCAGATGCGCCAGGTTGGCCTTGCCACCATGATGAACACGTCCTTCAACCACTTTATTCTGTTTGTCACAAAATACGACCTGGTCAAGAGCGAAGAGCTGCAGCCCGTCAAGGACGTCATCAAAAACCTGGCCTGAGCATTTCTTTTCCTTCTCCCTCAACAAGGCATCCACCCTGCAATATATTTTTGTTCAACTTGTCACTATTACGCTCCCCTCCTCTTGCCTACTATTGCTTGTATGACAAACAGCTTGCTTTCCAGAACGCCAGCAGCCTTGGGCTGTGCAGTAACGCGGAAACAACCGAGCCGCTTGTGTGCGCAGTCTGAGATGTGCGCGCCTTGAGTCCCGCGGGCCTTGTTCATACGCCAGCTGCCTTACCTCAGCAGCGTCCCAATCCATACTTGCACATCGCTCCATGTATGCTGAGGCAGTGCCGTGGGTACACCCAACACTGGACCCTTTCTTTCGACACTCCCAAAGCACGTCGTGGCTGCCCGTGTCACTGATGCATGTCTACACCCGACATTTTATAAACTGGCCCCTCGTGGGTATATATTTTGAACGTTGAAAAGAAATAAATAAGACGATAACGCCGCTTTACATCTTGTCAAGGTAGCGGTCGAGGGCGGGAACCTCGGGAGCGAGACCCTTGCGCTTACGGATGGCGGTGGTGACCTCGTTGACCTTACCAGGCTCGTTGCACACACCGTTCATCAGCTGCCAGTGATCGAACACCGACTGGGGGAAGGCCTGGCCACCAGTGTTGGAGCGCAGGTCAGCGGTGAAGCCGAACGACTCCGAGACAGGCAGGTAGGCCTTGATGTTGTACAGCGGAGTACCCGGGCGCTGGACCTCCTCGAAGACGTGACCACGGCGGCGGTTGAGCACACCGTAGATACCGCCCATAGCGTTCTCGGGGCACTGGATCTCGACCAGGTAGATGGGCTCCTGGAGACCCGGCTGGGCAACGAGGGCCGAGGCGTAGACGACACGGCGGGCAGTGGGGATGATCTGGCCTCCACCACGGTGGATGGTATCGGCGTGAAGGGCGACATCCATGATGTTGAAGCGGCAGCCACGCATGGGCTCCTCGGCGCAAGGACCCTCCTTGGCGGCCCACTGGAAGGCAGCAACGCACGAGTCCTTGATCTCGTTGAGGTACTGGACTCCCTTGGTGGCGTCGACCATGGTGTTGGGGCCGTTGGTGTCGGGACCGAAGCACCAGATCTTGCGGGCGTCAGTGACATCCCACTCGAACTGGTCAGCCAGGGTGCGGGCACGCTCCTTGGCATCATCGCGGGGGCCGATCTTGCCGTCCTCAATCAGGCGCGACAGCTCCTCGTCCATGGGCACGGCGCGCATGAAGATACGGTTGTGCTTGTTGGGCGACTTGGACAGAGCAGTGATCGACGACTCGCTCTGGACGGTCTCACGGTAGCCGACCACCGGGTCACCGGTCTTGATGGGGACCTGGGCGTGGTCCTCCTCGAGATCCTTGAAGGCAAATCTCGAGATGGAGCTCACCGGCACCGGCAACAATGTGCTCACCAGACTCCGAGGTGTAGCACAGGACGCAAGGGTCAGACTTGGACAGACGCTTGAGACCCTCAACGAGCTTGGGCAGATCGTTGGCGTTCTTGACCTCGACGGCAACCTGCACGACAGGCGACACCGAGAACTTCATGACCTTCATGTTGTGGGCAGTCTCCGAGGTGGTCAGGGTACCCGACTTGAGCAGGTACTGGTCGACACCGACGAGACCCAGAATGTTACCGGCAGGGCAGTCCTCAATGGGCTCGATGTAGCGACCCATCATGAGAATGGTGCGCTGGATGTTCTTGATGAACAGATCGTCCTTCTTGCCAGGCTCGTAGTTGGGGCCCTGGATGCGGACCTTCATGCCCGAGCGGACGGTTCCCGAGAACACACGGCCGAAGGCGTAGAAGCGGCCCTTGTCGGAGGTGGGCACCATCTTCGAGACGTACAGCATGAGCGGGGCGTTCGGGTCGCAGTTCTTGATACCGATAGCGCACTCGTCGTCCTCAGGACCCTCGTACAGACCGTTGACACGGTAGGCCTGGGCAGTCACAGGCGACGGCAGGTGGATACAGATCATGTCCATGAGCGCGTCGGCGGCGGGCAGGAACTTGCGCATGACAACCTTGAGCAGGGGCTTGCCCTCCAGAGCCTTCTCGTCGGCCTTGAGGGGGATCTCGAGCTTCTCGATCATCTTGGCGGTCTCCTCCTTGCGGACGTTCATGATGGCGTCGAACAGGCGGTAGATGGGGTCCAGGACGAACATGTTGAAGGCACGGTCAAGGTTCTTGCCCGACTTGTCCGAGGTCTTGTGCGACCACTTCTTGGTCTTCGGGTTGAAGTAGTTCTCGCCCCAGAGCTTGCTCATGAGCTTGTTCTTCTCAACACCGAACTTCTTCGAGTAGCGCATGGCGAACTGCATCAGGTTGAAGGCCCAGCCGTGGAGACCCGAGCCGAAGGCAACGGTACCGCGGTCGGGGTAGACCATGAGGTCACCCATGTCGGGGATCTGGTAGGTGGCGATCGAGACGTTGACGTTCTCGACGACACGCTGGAAGGTCTGGTACAGGTCCTCCTGGGGGAGCTGGAGCTCGAGCAGGGCGCGATCGACCTTGTTGATGATAACGACGGGCTTGATCTTCTCAGTCAGAGCCTGGCGCAGCACAGTCTCGGTCTGGACGGACACACCCGAGACGGTATCGACGACAACGAGAGCACCGTCGGTGACACGGAGAGCAGCAGTGACCTCAGACGAGAAATCAACGTGCCCCGGCGAATCGATAAGGTTGATCAGGAAACCGTTACCGTCGGTCTTCTGCTTGACGTCGGCCATGTGCTCGTCGTCGAGCTCGAAGTACATCGAGATAGCAGTCGACTTGATGGTAATGCAACGGTCCTGCTCGTCCTGGCGGGTATCGGTGAAACGGGTCTCACCAGCCTTGGCCGACGAGATAATACCGGCCTTGGACACCAGCGAGTCGGTAAGGGTGGACTTGCCGTGGTCGAACGTGAGCGATAACGGACATGTTACGCACGTTGGTGACCTTGTCCATAAGGGCACGAATCTACAGTGGCCGGAATGCCGTGGTGCCGAGGCCAGTTAGTGCAATGGTTCTGACGGCCTGAGCCAAAGTCCAGAAAGGCTGCTGACAAATATTCGCTGCCGCAGCACGCAAAAAGCTGCGGCCCGCGCTCGGATCGAGATGCACTCATCCCCCGCCATAAGCGCCGCAACCCGCGGGTTTTTGCAATTTGGCTGAATCAGGGGTCCCGGCTCTGGCACTGAATCTGCTGCTTCCACAGCAGCGCCAAAAACTTGCAGGGCAGGACAGGGCAGCTTGGCTATATACTGGTACGTACCTGGTCTACGGTGAAGTTAACCATTTTTGTCTCTAATGTTCCGTAATGGCTATTCGAAATTCAAGAGAAAAATAGGGGGAAACAAGTTGGAGGAGGAAGAGAAAAGTGTTCGCGATGCGCTGGGCGGCGGGCGAAATACGACCACGCCTTAGCTTTTGAGCGGGACCTGGGGGGCTAGAATCCGGGAGGCTGGGGTCGGCAGTGAAAATTTTTTCACCGCCATGTGCCTGCGATGATTGGCCAGGCCTGGAGAGTAGTGCTCAAATCAAAGAATTACCCAAAGAATGCGGCTGCCCCCAACCTGATGATGATCTCAAGATTGCAGCCAGGCAGTACGGCCTGGGTGCTGCTGGAGCACAACGGCCCGCAGCGCAGCTCCCACTGCTCCGCCAGCATCGCAGTGTGCAACAGCAAAAACTTTTGCTGCTCTGCAAATGTGTTTGTGTGTGTGTGTGTGGTGTGCTGCCCCGCTTGTCTCATGCCAATGCACAATGCAGCTGGCACTCTTGCGCTTGGGCAGACATGTCTTACTCAGCGCCCAAGCCCAGAGGAAAAACGAAGGCTTGCATTGTTCATGCCCAGCAGGCTGTGCCTCTTGGCAGACAGCAGCGCACCTGTTTTTGCTGTTGCTCAGTTTCGCACCAGAAAGCGCCGCCGAACAAACGCAGCAGCAATCCGGCCAATTGAGCTTTTCGGTAATTCCGAGAACTCGCCTGCTCACGTCACAAATCCTGATTAGAAGCATCACGTGCATGGCGGTTCCGTGCTGCATGGTCCTGGTTGGCCACAGGCCGCATCGCTGCCACCTTGGCCAGGAAACCGGTGAACAGAAAGTCGGGCCCGTAAATGCTCCTGGCCAGCACCGCACACGCACACAAGCCCTGCTTCCCTACGAGAAAAAACACACCCTCTGGCAACTAAAAGGCATGGCGGGGACACCGCGCACTCTTCCTTTTCTCCTCTCCTCTTTATTTTTGGCTATAGCCTCATACTGTTACTACCACTATTCGCATTACCCCCAAATGACCACCGCACCACTGCCGCAGACGGCCACCAAAGGCTCCGTGCTCAACTTCTCCCTGACGCCGTCAGAAATCGGGCAGCTTGTTGACACGCTGATTGCGCGCGGCAAGAAGATCCAGGACGATGTGGCAGCGCAAACCAACCCGACATTCGCGAGCGTCATCGTGCCGCTGGCCATGCGCGAGAACAACCAGGGCGCCGACTACTCGGTGGCCACGTTCCTGCAGAACGTCAGCACCGACAAGGACATCCGCGATGCCAGCACGGCGGCCGAGGAAAAGCTCGATGTAAGTGTTCCTTATCTCATCAGCTGGCGTCAGAGATATCTTTTTTTGTTGTGCGGGGCGCGCCATTTCCTGGCGATGAAAAGCAGTTGTTGCTGGGGCCTCGCTGGGCAACGGAATCCAGTACTGTGCCTGGGCCGTGAATCCCCTCACTATCCATGGCGGGCAATAGCGCCCACGACGTGGCAAATGTTGTTGTTGTTGTGCTGGAAAGCCACCCTCCATCCAAACGATCCTGTTGACTGGTTTTCTATCCAGATCGTCCTTGGGGATTGGCGTGAAGATTCTGCCATGAACTTTCCCACGTCGCTGCCCGGTCTTTCCATGTTGCTATCTCTTCCCAGAGCGGAGGGCCGTGGGTACTTCGGCCCGCCTTTCGGGGATTCCAGACAGGGACCACACGGCCAACAGCTGGGATGCTTAGCCCGGAGCGGACGGGCTCTTCAAATGCAGGCAGAACCCCGATCGGCATGATTGCATATATTTCACATTCCCGTTTCAATTATCCCCAAATAGGCTTTCGAGATCGAGTCGTTGATGCGCGAGGACGTGTACAAGGTGGTACGCGCCGTGTTCGACAACAAGGAGGAGATGGCCAAGCTGGACGCCGAGGACCTGCGGCTAGTGACCAAGATCGAAATGCAGTACCGCCGCAACGGACTTGCGCTGCCCAAGGAGCAGCGTGGCCGGCTGGGTGATATCAAGAAGCGGCTGTCGGAGCTCGGCATCAAGTTCAGCCGTAACGTCAACGAGGGCGACGGACGCGAGACATTCACGCGCGAGGAGCTGGAGGGTCTGCCAGCCGACTTCTTTGTGGACCGGCCGACCGAGGTCGTCGACGGGGTGACAAAGTACGTGGTCACGACAAAGTACCCAGATCTGTTCCCGGCGCTGCGGCTGGCCAAGCGCGAGGAGACCCGCAAGCGCCTGTCGGTGGCCGAGGGCCAGCGGTGCCCTGAGAACATTGACCTGCTGCAGGAGGCCGTGGGCCTGCGTCTGGAGGCGGCCAGGATGCTCGGCTACAGCACCCACGCCGAGTACGTGCTCGAGGAGCACATGGCCAAGACGCCCAAGGAGGTGCTTGACTTTGAACACGACCTGCGCGAGCGCCTGACGGTGCTGGGACTGAAGGAGGTCGAAGAGATTGAGGAGCTGAAGCGCGCTGACAAGAGGGCGGTTGGCGAGGAGTACACGGGCCTGTTCTCGTGGGACTTCCGCTACTACACCAACCTGGTCAAGGAGCGCAAGCACAACATCAGCGACGAGGAGGTCAAGCAGTACTTCCCCATGAAGGAGGTTACCCGCGGCATCCTGGACATCTACCAGCGCATGCTCAGCCTGCGGTTCGTCAAGGTCGAGAACCCGCCTGTGTGGCACGAGGACGTCGACATGTACGAGGTGTGGGAAGCCACCGAGGACAAGTTCGTCGGCCACTTCTACCTGGACCTGTACCCGCGCGAGGGCAAGTACAACCACGCCGCTGTGTGGCCGATCCGCGCCGGCTACACCAAGCCCGACGGCTCGCGCGAGTATCCTGTTGCTGCCATGGTGGCCAACTTCCCCAAGCCCGTCGGCACGACGCCGGCGCTGCTCAAGCACGATGACGCGACGACGCTGCTGCACGAGCTGGGCCACGTCTTCCACGGCATCTGCTCGATCACAAAGTGGGCCCGGTTCCACGGCACCAGCACCGAGACTGACTTCGTTGAGGCTCCCTCGCAGATGCTCGAGAACTGGTGCTGGGAGCCGTCGGTTCTGGCCCAGTTTGCCGTGCATTACAAGACCGGCGAGCCTATCCCCGACGAGCTGGTCAAGCGCCTGGTGGCTGCCAAGAACGAGAGTGCTGGCCTATTCAACCTCCGTCAGGTGTTCTTTGGTCTGTACGACATGGCCATCCACAACACCGAGGACGGCAAGGTCGACGTCAAGAACCTGTACACGTCGCTGCGCGAGGAAATCGGCCTGTTCAAGAACGGCGATATTGATACCTGGGGATCGGCGACCTTTGGCCATATGATGGGCGGCTACGACTCGGGCTACTACGGATACCTGTGGTCCGAGGTCTTCAGTGCCGACATGTTTGCCTCGCGCTTCCAGAAGGAGGGCGTTGCCAACGCCAGCACCGGCATGGACTACCGCCGCGAGATCCTGCTGCCTGGCGGCAGCCGCGACGCGTCGGTCAGCCTCGAGAAGTTCCTGGGCCGCAAGCCAAACAACAAGGCCTTCCTCAAGAGCATCGGACTTGAGGCTTAAAAACATCACATTCATTTCTTTTCTAACATTGCCATTGCTCAAGCTTACGTATGCACTGTGGCACCATCTGCAGTAGGCGGTGGCCGTGCAGGTGGGAAAAGAACAAAGTCACGAGGCCGCAGTGGAGGAGGGGATGCAGTGGACATGCAGTGGGTGCCCAGCAGCCTGTGGGCGCCGAGCCAGCAGCCTACAGTCCCTCTTGCTCTGATGGGCACCAGAAAAGTCTTGGCAAACAAGCGCCACTGCATTTAAGCATCCTTTCTTCCGCTCTACACCCTATTTTCTCCAAACATCACCTACTTTATTTCTCACCATGTCTGACGAAAAGCAGCGTATGAAAATCATCGTAAACTCGGATGGCAGCGTCCCCGAGGACATCGAGACGGGTCTTCTCAGCGAGCAGCCGGTTCGCCGCCAGCCGTGCCGTGGAAAGAAGGTCCTGAAGCGCCTTGCCATCTTCCTGGTCGCTTTCTTCACCTTGCGCCTGGTCCTGTTCCATGCTGTGCACCACAACAACGGCCAGCTGATGCGCTCGGTGTTTGGCAACGAGCGGGTCGATAGATGGATGGCAAAACACCCGTGCCATGGCGGCGAGCAGTGGGGAAAGACGGAGGGCGGGGGCTGGGTCGATGTGTACTACTCGAATGGACAGGTATACGACGGCCACCCTCACCACCACCCTCATGGCCTCCGCACATCCACATGCCATGATGACGAGCACCACCATCACCACCCCCATCACAAGCCTGGAGATGAGCCCGGTTTCCCCTACCAGCGTATTACCAGGCCGTGGAAGCAGCCTACCAAGCAGATCGAGGAGACTGTTGCGCACGATTCTTGAGCAGATTAACAAGAGCGTGCGTCCCGCCTTCCAGATGATGGCCAACAGCCGCATCAACCACACTGCTCTGGCCGCTCTATCGCGTGGCGAGCTTGCGGCTACTGACATCGATTCCCTATTCCGCGTCAACCACAACGATATCTGCGTGCCTATTGTGCCTGTTGAGGGCCTTGAAACCTTCACCTTCGACCCTACCAAGTTTACCAAGATCTCCCAGGTTGTCCGCGGCAGCATCGGTTCGTCTGTCCGCATCGTGAGCACTTCTGCCTCCGAGGCCACGTTCTCAGTGCGCGCTCTGGCGTCCGACCCCAGGATTGCTGAGCAGATCTCCCTCAAGCAGACCACCGACGAGGAGGGCAACATTTCGTTTGTCCTCGAGGGCCCCAAGATCCTGCGCCAGGGCGAGTGTGCGTACGCCGATATCGTGCTCTCCCTGCCATCGACCCTGACCAGCCTCGACCTCCTGCGTACCGGCTTCGTCTACGGCCAGTTCGACCTCGACAGCAAGCTGGCGCGCGCTATTGACTTTGGCAAGTTCGAGGTCAACTCTGTTACCGGCAAGCTCCAGATCCCACCGATCCATGGTGAGGACCTGGCGATCAACACGGTGACAAGCGATGTGAACGGCCACTACTTTGTGCGTAACAGCATCAACATCCACACCGTCAGTGCCGTCATCGACGTTGGCGTCAATGTTGCCAAGGCCCCCAAGTCCACCATTGTCACTGAGACTGTCAGTGGCACCATCAACACCCGTGTCTCGGGCGGATTCGACGGGTCCTTCCTGGCCCGCAACATTGTTGGTGGCCGCGTTTCTGTCGAGGATGCCAGCGATGGCACCAACCGCCTGCACTTTGTCAAGGACCACGGCAACTACAAGTCCGGCACCTTTGGACCTGCCGACAGCACCCAGGCGGGTGAGTCTGTGCTGCGTGCCAACGCCATCAGCGGCGAGATTTACATCGAGTTCAACTAGGTTTCCCATGTCTATTTCGAAATGCCCACAAACTTGCTCCACACTACTGCGATCCAATGAGGCTATCAATGTCCTGCATTATCCGCCGGTTCGGCGTGTTCTTGGACGACTTCCACATGATTGTGTACTTTTTCAGTGGCATTGGCACAGCCTTCTCCTGCTTCATCCGCTCCCACGCGGATTCCTTAACATCCCATGTGCGGATCTTGGTCGACGACGGCCTCAGATCCCTGATTTGCAGCCTGGTGGTCTTTGTATTGAGCCCAAAGAACCCAGGTGTCTCAAACACCAGCTCCGAGTCGCTTGTCACCCCTCTTGCTAGCAGCGCCTGGACCTTGCTGTCGCTGCCTGCCTTCGCTGCGTGCTTCTGGCCCGTCGATATGATGCTGTCGAACTTTGGCAGCCCGTGCTTATCAAGCTGGATCCCCTGTACGCGCTTGGCCGGCAACAGTGTCACCCGAATCACAAACGGAGAGAACAGCTTGCTCACGGCAAACGTCGATAGTAGACTGACCGATGTGGCCATCACCAATGTGGATGTGCTGAGATCGTCGTCCTGCAGCTGGCCCTGGGACTGCGCGTACATAACGCCGCCGGTTACGGAGCAGGCGAGGAGAGAGCCGCCAAGCGACATCGCCTTGAGCATGCGAATCGCGCGCGCGGGGATTGCTTCAAAAATCACGCGGCTGGCGGTGGCGTCGGATGTGAATCGACAGGCCGATAGTCTATGGGTGCTGTGCCCGGACGCTGCGATATGGCGGGCTGCTGGACGAAACATTGGATGTAAGGAGAAAAAGGACGGGATCAAGTGGGCCGGATGAGTTTGCGTAGATCCAACGCAGCCAACACCCCACTCGCGTCTGGACTCCTGGGAGTGATCTTATAAGGTTGTGGTTTCCCGGCGGATCATGATCCAAAATGCTCACCAATACTGCTGCTGCTGGGGATAGTGCAAAACGGCAGTTATATGCTGGTATATATACGTTAGGTGTTAGCAAAATCATTGGACTTGAACAGCTCAGCAAACAGCCCGCCCTTGGCCAGAAGATTTGCAGGCGTGTCGAACTCGGCGACACTACCATGATCCATGACGATGATGCGGTCGCTGCTCATGACGGTTTCAAGGCGATGCGCGATGGTCAGGATCGTACAGCCGGCAAACTCCTTGTGGATGACGTCGTGGATAGTTTTGTCTGTCTTGAGGTCAACGTCTGCCGTCGCCTCGTCAAGAACCAGGATCTTGCGTTTGCGCATCAGCGCACGGGCCAGACTGAAAAGCTGCCGCTGTCCTGAGGTCAGTGTGCTACCGCCAACCCAGCTAGATAGGCCCCAGCTACCCAGAGTTGGCTCACTTTTGACAAGAGACCTCCTCTCAAGGCAGAGCCACAAGAACATGCGCATCAACCAGCCAGACTTGCGTCGCTTCTCTCTCTGACACTTCGACTCCCCAATGTACCAGTCGCTGTCATCGTCGATTTTTCTTGCCTTGTCGTGCATATTCTCTGAGTTGATCACGCCGACCATATCTGCCTTGATAAGCGCTGCCCACATGTCCTCAATCGAAAACTGCTTCAGCGGGTCAAGGTTTGCCCTGACAGAACCATCGAAGAGAGTGGCATCTTGCGGGATAATTGTAATATTCGGACGCAGACTGTCAGCACGCAGAGTTGCGATGTCGACGCCGTCAATCAGAATCGACCCGCCTTCACCTTCAACTAGCCGGAACAATGCACGTGTCAGCGACGATTTGCCTGCACCAGTGCGGCCCACAATGCCAATGCGCTCGCCGCTCTTGATCGTGAACGAGACGCTCTTTAGTACCAGGGCCTGATCCGGGATGTAGCGCATGCTGTAGTTGCGGAATTCGATCTCGCCGCGCGTGGGCCAGTCTGCTGGCGGCTGCACACCATCCATCCTCCATGCCTTGTCGGACTGTATGCTGACGAATGTGCGCACCTTATCTACGCTGTCGAGCAAGAAGATCAGACGTTTGCGAAGAGATACCAAATTTGACATATTTGATGTCATTCTGCTGACTAGCGACTGAAACGCCTCGAGCTCGCCCGACGATAGCTTGTAGTCAGTGAACTGCGACTGAGCAACCATTACGGATGTGACAGCAGCACTTGTAACGATGTCAACGATACTATCGATCGTACCCGACAAGGAGCCTAAAGAACTGCTTGGCCGACCGAGACGGACACCCTCGTCAACATTGCCTGCATAAAGCCCTGTGAAGTGCTCTTCAACACCATGTATGCGAATCGTCCTGGTACTATCGGTAAGGATGCCCTTGACCCATGATTGTCCGATCCTAAAGGTTTTCCTGACACTGCTCAATGACCTGTTTGCAGGGTCAACCAGCTTGGCAGTATAGCTCATCACGAAGCCCATCGCAGGGGCAATAAGCAGGAGCAGAGGTGCCTTGTAGCTGATCCGGTAGATTGACAGCGCGACCCTCAGGAGTGTTGAAATGCTTGACTGGGCCAATGAAGGAATAATCCGCATGATATCATATTTGCATGTCTGAAGCACAGAGTTGATTTCGTGAACGCTGGTGCTGTCGAATAGCGACATCGGTGCATAAACCAGACTGTGGGCAAACACGCGGATGATACGGTCTGACACATAGCTGCTGACCAGTCCATTTCTAAGCCTCCATTCCAATGCATGGACAGCATGCGTAATAGAGACCGAAATCACCTGCACCCAGAGATATGTGTTGATAGCCTTTGAGTCAACAGACTTGCTGTTCTCATTCAACGCATCGAGCTTGTACCCCTCCGCAATATGGTCGACAATCGGGTGAAACACAGCCGAAAAGAGAAGCAGCGCAAGGACAGGCAGCCCAAGGATATCCACGACATACTTCAAGTTCCCCCAGTTGATATTCTTCCTCGTGTCGTCAGTTTTGGCAGGCTGCGTGTCTTGAGCATTGTCTGTCACCAAAGGCGCGCTGCCATTGCTGGTCAGCGTGGTCGCTGAGTTCACAGACATAGCGTCATCCTCAGACTCAGGTTTCTGATCTGGCTCCGACTGCTCTGCAATTGTGTGCACTCTTGGGTGCTCCTGGATCTCTACGGTGATCTGACCCTTATCGACAGTGATGTTCTTGTTGGCAAACGCATCCAAGTGGTTAGAGTTCATCGACACCACACGTAACTTGTTGCCGAGCAACCCAGTGTTTAGCAGGACATGGTCCAGCAGATGGCGCTTGACTTGTGCATCAACAGCAGAGAGCGGATCGTCCAGGATGTATATATCAGCCCGAGTATACACTGCACGAGCAAGCGCCAGCCGAGCCTTCTGTCCACCTGAAATATTGATGCCGCGCTCGCCAATTAGCGTCATGTCGCGATCCGGCCACTGCTCGATGTCCTCCATTAACGCGCAGGCCTTCATGACACGCCAGTAAAACGCTTCGTCAAAGTCATGGCCAAACAGGACGTTGTCACGCAGCGTGCTGTTCATGATGTACGGTGACTGCTCCAGATACCCAATCCTGCCATAAGCCGATCCAGTTCCGGATCGCATCCTCACTTCTCCGCACATCGCATGCAGCAGGGATGTCTTGCCAGATGCGACACTGCCCTTGACTGACACAAGCTCACCGCTGCCGATTTTGAGCGATACGCGCTCCAGCACGTTCTTCTCCTTCACTGTAGACTCAAGTGACTGGTACGTGAATGTGCAATCCTTCATCTCGATTGACGGGCCTACCGTTGAAGTCGCTGGATGTACCAGAACACCGTCTGTGGGCCCGATCCTTAGGTACCCTTCCATCCGGATGTTTGTAGTAATCGCCTCAGACAATGATCTGAGCCCGGATATAACGCTTGCGGCATTAGCCTTGGTCTGTGAAATCTGGTCGGCGATCTGCAGCAACTCAACACTGGACAGCGTCCTGCCGCTCTGAATATGCAGCTGCACAGTGAAGAAAACTGCCAGTTGACTCGAAATACCTTGCAGAATGTCGTTAATGTTGGCAATCACTCCCAGAACCAAAAATACCGCACGACGATACCTCTTAGGGATTGCACTGCTGTCTAGCCTATCTGTGTCTCTGTTGGTAGCGAGAGCCGGGTCAAGATACCTCTGTTCCCAGCTGTTGAATTTGATGATCTTGATGTTCCTATAGATCTCGGTAGAGTCCAACTTTTCAGCCCACTTCTCATGGTATGGGCGACCACACCACTGCTGGAGCTGCCCAATTGCCCAGGTCACCGAAGACAGGACAGTGATAACAGCAATGGGGATGAATGAAATGCAGCCGATTGTCCGGTAGGTCAGCCAGAGAGTAAATGCAGCCGTCGCTAGAGAGGATACCCTGGAGAGACTGCTGCGGAGACATCGGAAGATCCTATTCACCAAATAGTTCATGCGCCCGCCTCTTGGCACTTGATTGCCAGCTGATAGAAGCGGCAGACGGACAAGTTCTAATTCCATCGCCCTTGACACTCGCTGTTCTTCTTCTGACAGCAGCTCGCTGATGCGGCCAGACTGTGAGTTGATCAGCTGTAGCACCAGACTGGCAAATATATACAGATATGTCTGGTACCATGCGTGGCCTGACGGATTTTCAGCACACTGGAGTACCTTTGCGAACATGACTGACTGCATGACATGAGAAATACGGGATAGCGACTGCACAGCGAGGAGTGGGAGGTAGGGACGCCACATCATCCGGACGATGGCTCGAAAGATGAAGAGTGTCTCGTCCTGGTCGTATTTGAACTCTTGGTGTGCTGTCTGTAGGCGGAGCCGCTCGGGCAAGGCCCAAAAGTCGTCGATAGTAAGCTCACGAATGTGCCCAAGCCGACTCAAAGCAATCTCCTTGGTGTAAAGCGCACTGCGAACCACACTATGCAGATCGTGCCAGCCCTGTGCATCGAGGTCAGCAGCAAGCAGACACAGGTGCAGCAGGAATCCGGTTGCTTGCAGGGAAAGAGGAGTGCCACTGGCTTGAAAGAGGGCTTGAAGTCCAACGAGGTTGACGAGCCTGAACCCGAGCTGGCCATCAATGTAGCGTGCTAGCGCTGGCAGCATTGCAACAGACACCTGATGAATCGCCCCAAACCAGCCAGGAATAGCCTGTACTGCCACAACAACGAGCAGCGCATGGACGCACAGGGCTAGAGGCGAATCGAGGTGGTGCTTGCGATGAGGGGCATCTCGGGCCCACAAACCCCCTAGAGTTCCTAGCGCATAGAGGTGAACAGCAAGAGGCAAGTGTTCCTTAAGTGAAGGCATCTTCAAAAGAATATAAGAAAAAATAGAGATGGGGAGAGACGATGTGAACGTTAGATGCCAAGTTTGCACGAGCGGATTGTATCCCTGCGCGCAGCTCCTCCTGGGGGATATGCACGACATGTATCCCAGGTCAGAGTGTCTCACACTCGGATTCTCTGTAACCTCATTGGTGTTGGAAATAGGGTTGTCAAAAGTTGGCAACGTCACCATTTTTGAAATCTGGAAAGGCCGCAGCAACCTCTTTCTATTGCAACTTTATGGCATGGTTTTCTCAGAGGCTTTGTGAATGAGTAGTTGGGAGTCTCTCCGTACTGAATGGGTGTGCTATCTAACAAAGATGATCGTGCTGCTACTGGATAGCAGCGCCTCCCCTGTATGTGGCGAGATGGCCGTACACAACCCTAATTGACAAAAAAAGGAGGTACTCCTGAGAAAACCAGGTGCATAAATGCCCAAGAACTTACTCACCTGTACTTCCACAGAAAAGCGCTTGCACCATTGCCTCTTGGGTCCCTGCCAATACTCTTGGCTGCTACCATCCTCTTCACTGATAGCACTATTTGGGACCCTATACCATGCAGGTCCTGGATAAAGCCCATTGACGAGAGTAGATCGGCTTCGTAAGCAGTGGCTCCAGATGGCTAATATATTCAGGTCGCCGAGACGTTGCTATTTTTGTACCCTGTCCATGGATTCAACAAGCTACTACTAGAAGCATGGTGTCGCTAGTTCATATTCCAACTAGCCACCATGTTGGCGCAACACCACACATAGTGTGCCGATGCTACGCGTTCCAGGTCGCACTGGTTTATAGAGCATATTTTCAACCCTCGCTGTCTGATTTCATTGTGTAATCTGGATTTAGGAATACCCTGCAAAACACTGGTTTTTCCAAAAATTGCGACTCCTGCTTTCCTTGTCTTGTCACGCCGCTCCTCTCGCTCAAAGGTCATTACACATTCAAAATGGGCACAGCAACCGCAGCGTACAACGACATTACTCGCAGGAACCTCCTGCTGGTCGCTGACACGATCCGGGAGCAGATAGCTGACGCCAAGTTCATTGCGATCGATACAGAGTTCACTGGGCTGTCTATTAGCAATGCCTCGCCGGTCTTTGGCTTCAACACCCAAGAGTGGGTGACGCGCGCTACGCAGATGGAAGACAAGTACAAGGCCATGTCCAATGTTGCCAAGTCGCATGCGCTGGTCTCGCTCGGCATGAGCGTGTTCTCCAAGCGCCACAGCAAGCCTGGGAGCTTCAACGTCAACAACTACAACTTCACTGTCCAGCAGCAGAACTCGCACCTGATCAGCGCCAACAGCGTTGCCTTCCTGGCCCAGAACGGGTTTGATCTGAACAGGCAGGCATCTGAGGGGATCCGGTTCTATGCTGGTCCCAACCCGATGCCGCCTGTGACCAGGAACGAGCTGGCCAACAGAGAAGGCCTGGCTATGCGCGAGATCTTTTTGGACATTATTCGCTCCAAAGTGCCGCTGGTCATTCACAACGGGCTGTTCGATCTGGTGTATGTCTACCAGGCATTTGTTGGACCGTTGCCCGACTCGTACAATGCATTTGCCTACGATCTGTCCGAGATGTTCCCTGGAGGCATCTTTGACACAAAGTACATCTCGGAGATGGTGGAACCCGGAAGCGCCTCATTCCTCGCATACACATTCCACAAAAACGAGCGGATCCAGAAGCGGCGCTTGGAGACCGACGAGCCTGCGGTTCAGGCCAAGCTCAAGAGCCCGCTAAAGTACCAGGAGCCGGCCGAGCCCACTTATCCGGCTCTGCCGGAAGCCGAGAAGGACATAGAGTACTGCCTGAACTTTGCACTGCACGGCCACTGCCGGTTCAGGAACAAGTGCCCCAAGTCGCATGACATCAACTTCATCCTGGACTGCCAGGAGCGCGAAGAGGCGAAGAAGAAGGCGAAGGAGTCGGGAGGCGAAGGGCCGGAGAGCAGCGCCAATGGTGATGACAGCAAGAAGCGCAAGCGCGGTGCTGGTGACGAAGGTAGCGCTGACTCCTCAGATTCGGACAGCAAAAAGGCGCACAAGGCGCGCAAGCACTCGGAAGAGGCCGCCAGCAAGCCCAGCAGCAGTGACAACGAGAACATGTACCACACAGCCGCCTACGACGCATACATGACGGGCTACATCTTCGCCTCGCACCAGATCCGCCTTGGCGAGGGAATTGGGGAATACATGAACAAGGTCTATCTGATGGGTCGTCCCGACCAGCCGCTCCTCATCAAGCCCAGCCTGTTTGCCAGCAACTCGCTGACCTACGTCCAGACCAAACCGATCCTCGAAAGGAAGGAGGCGCCGGCCAAGGCGAGGCCACAGCCCAAATCGAAGGCGTCCAAGGATCGGGTTCAGAAATAAATCATGCTAAATCACCATCAAGCAGTTAACTCACCGGATCAGAAAAAAAACACTGTCTGGTGCGATGCGTCTGGGATCGTTTTGAAAATTTTTATTGCTGGACGGCGACTTTTCTCGCCCTTCCTCTCCAAGTACAGCCCTGTTGTTAGCTATTTTATTTCTTCCTCTCGCTTTCTCCCCCTCTCCTTTTTGTATCTACACGACTTTAAAGACTTGAAAAGGGAAAAAGAAAATGCTCGTTCTCTACGAAACCGCTGCTGGTTACGCGCTGTTCAAGCTGCTGGACGACAGCAAGCTCGCGAAGGCTGACGATCTGTACAAGGACTTTGCCACGCCCGAGTCGGCAAACAAGTCAGTGAAGCTGCATGCCTTCCACAAGTTTGAGAACACTGTGGATGCCCTGTCGGCCGTCACTGCCCTGGTTGAGGGCAAGATCTCGAAGAACCTGAAGGGCTTCCTCACGACCGATGTGAGCGAGAAGGAGTGGAAGAAGGAGAAGCTGGCTGTCGCCGACTCGAAGCTGGGTAGCGCTATCTCGAAGAAGCTTGGCATCAATGTCGTTGCTGACTCGTCGGTCAACGAGCTGTACCGTGGCATTCGCAACCAGATCGAGTCGCTGCTGACCAGCGTCTCAGCCGCAGACATGGCCGCCATGGAGCTGGGTCTGTCGCACTCGCTGTCGCGCTATAAGCTCAAGTTCTCGCCGGACAAGGTTGATACCATGATTGTGCAGGCCATCTCGCTGCTGGACGACCTGGACAAGGAGCTCAACACATACGCGATGCGCGTCAAGGAGTGGTATGGCTGGCACTTCCCCGAGATGGGCAAGATCGTCACCGACAACCTCGCCTACGCCAAGGTCATCAAGACCGCCGGCTTCCGCTCCAACATCGGCGAGACCGACCTTGCCGAGATCCTGCCCGAGGAGATTGAGGCTGAGATCAAGGAGGCTGCCGAGATCTCGATGGGTACGGAGATCAGCGACGAGGATCTGCTCAACATCACCGCTCTCTGCGACCAGGTCATCTCGATCACCGAGTACCGGACGCAGCTGTACGAGTACCTGAAGAACCGCATGTTCGCCATTGCGCCCAACCTCACTGCCCTTGTCGGCGAGCTCGTTGGCGCCCGCCTCATTGCCCACGCTGGCTCGCTCATGACTCTGGCCAAGTACCCGGCCTCGACCATCCAGATCCTTGGTGCCGAGAAGGCGCTGTTCCGTGCCCTCAAGACCAAGCACGATACTCCCAAGTACGGTCTCATCTACCACGCGTCGCTTGTCGGCCAGGCTGGCCCCAAGGTCAAGGGCAAGATCGCCCGTATCACAGCCACCAAGGCCTCGATCTCCGTGCGTGTCGACGCTCTCGGCGAGACCGACACCGCCGAGGTTGGAATTGACAGCCGCGTCAAGGTCGAGAACCGCCTGCGCCAGCTCGAGGGTCGCTTCGCCGCCAAGGCTGCCCGTGCCGACCGCGCATCGGGTGCCGACAACGGCAGGCAGCAGAAGAAGTTTGAGCGCAAGGAGGCTGCCTCGTACAACACAGCTGTCGATGCTGTCATGACCTCGACCGACGAGACCAAGGACAAGAAGAAGCGCAAGTCGGAGGAGTCGGACGCTGAATCGGATGCCGAGGAGGACAAGAAGGAGCACAAGAAGTCCAAGAAGGAGAAGAAGGACAAGAAGGAAAAGAAGGACAAGAAAGAAAAGAAAGACAAGAAGGACAAGAAAGAAAAGAAGGACAAGAAGCACAAGAAGGACTAAACCCTAGCTCCGCTTTCTCGTCTATATACCTCAAATACATCCCAAAAATCGAACATGCACCACCATCATCATTGCCACTAGTCGGCACATGAAGGGCTGCATTTGATGGGGCGGTGTTATGTAGTACTGTCGCACCTGTGTTCCAATTGACTAGCAAACTAACGAAGGTTTTACCGCTCGTCAGGCTTTCCGGGCAGAATGCCGAGATCGAGAGCCTTGAACTCCTCCATGGCAAGCGAATCGAACATCACGTCAAAGATGATCAGTGCCCACTCGAAGAAGGCGTACGTCGTGTAGGCACCAGCGATCTTGTGGACCTTGTGATTGATGAAGAAGTAGATCATTGGCGGGATCGAGCCAAAGAACGCGAATGCCACCCACTTGCGACGCGACTTGTTGGCCACCAGCGCCTTAACATTGTGCGTGAACGGCGACTTGTCGCACAGCTGAACCAGCAGCGCCATATACGGAATAGTAAGGATCATGTACGAGATCATCATGACATCGTGGATATCGTGGTCGTCGCCAGAGGTCACATACACCCAACCACCACAGGTGCACGTCCGCACGAAGCCAACCCAGAACAGAGCCTTGGCACGCTTCGGTGCCGCCCGCACCGTCAGAATATACCAGAACAGGTGCAGGAACAGGCGCGGTGGACACGTCAGGGCAATCAGGATCTGGAACACGTTGCGGCCAGGGTACCGGTCGCCAATTGTCGCCGACACCGATGGGAACCATTCGTCCGGGTATCCGTAGTGCTCGTTCTGCACAATCTTGTAGTAGTGCAGCTTCCAGCCGATGACCAGCGCACTCAGGAACGCTGCCGCCGCACACACTGTGTGCAGGAATGGGATCCACCAGCCGGTAACCTACAGGGCCGCAACGGGGGATTGAGTTGCTGTGGTGCCAACAAACAATGGATGGAGAGCCTGCCGAGGGACGTTCAGAGCCCCGGCTGCTGCTGCCGCTACTGGCTTCTGCTATTTACCTTGTTCAGGGCGCCGCCTGCTGTCAGGTGGAACTCGCGCGTGAGGCCGTTCGGTGACTCGTGTCTCGTAGAGCCCAGCATTTGCAGCCTTGTTCAGAAATTTGTCCGAGGATTTGAGAAGAAAATAGGCAGTGTGTTGAAAGATGAAAGATGAAAGATGAAAGATGAAAGAGGGAGGAGACCGCGTGCGTGATATAGCGACCGCTTCGCGCCCACGCCGCTACCTGGGCTGTTGCGGCTTTGTTTGGGGAACGCGGGCAAGGGATGGCTCGCACTTTTCCGCACCTGATTTTCTCCTGGCAAAGCCGAAGCAAGCGCCGGCCAGACACGGGCCGCCGTCCCATTGCAGGGAAGAGGCACGGCCACGGCCTGGTGGGCCAACGACAGCCCGGGCCAGCTGTCACAGGCCGGCTGGAGAGAGCCGAACAGCTCAGCAGAAAGGCAAACCGGAGCACCAGGCGCCTCAGAGCTGGCAGCCCCAAACGCTGCGCTTTGCAAGGAAAGCCAAAAAAAAACCAGAAGCAATTCCATAAGATCTGTTTGGGCGCGAATCGGTGCCGTCAGCAGCGCTTGGGGGCTGCGATCGGCCACAAAACCTCTGATAACACGAACACACTTTTTAGTCAGGTCGGCTCCCCTTGTCTCCCCCTCGGCTCCTTGGAGCCTGGAGGCGGCATTCTATGGCTGCCGAGCGTTACAGGTGTGTGAGAGCGATGTGGCATCTTTGTGGCCTGTGCTTCCACTCTCCGTTTTGGAGAGCCTGCGCGTGGACGCGTGCCAACGCCCCTCAGAGTAGGGCGGCCCCTGCAGCCGTCAAAGCCAGTCCGACGGAGCCGCCCTTAGTGTTGGAGCTAACACTTCCATATGCCGATTTATATATGCAGTGACGCAATAGCGCAGTCAAGCGGAATTTTGTTCTACGACTGCCACCTCCAACCCCCTCACTGCCGAGTGTCAGGGACAGCAGAGCCCGGAGAATGCTCGCTGATTCGAGGCCATCACTCTAGCGCGGGGGAGACACGAGCAGTAAATATGACACCCGGATATTGCGATGGCCCTAATGGCTTGCATCTTCTGACACAACCACCCGGCGTACCGCCTAGTAGACTTTTGCACTCTCGTTTTTGTGAGACCGCCACCTTTGTGCTTTGCATTTGCTCATGCGCATTTATATAGCTCAAATGCTGCTATTATTAACACGCCTTTACGACATCGGTGCTCTCCTCAAAGAAATGTTTAAGATGCCTAGAGTGTGCCTGTTTCTTGATGTTCTCCCGGACACTCCGCGACGACTAGCTCCTTTTATTTCTCACACCTGCTGCTGTGCAACCATGCCCGCTGGCCCTCTGTATCTGACAACCATTAGATAGAGCGCACACATCGGCATTATTTTTCTTTCGAACCTTCCATTTCAACCCTATATCCAACATACAATGCAATCACCACGAGGCACACATCCGAGGCTAAAGTTCAAAATCACACGACTGCACATGGTGCAGGCATCGGTTATCCTGATCGTCGTGATGATGTCCTGGGGCAAGCGCATGGGCTCGTCGCTGCTCTCGCCGCTCAAAAGCACATTGAAGAAGGAGCTCCACATCAACAATACCCAGTGGTCATCTGTGATCTCGATGGTCTGGACAGTCAGCTCAATAACACCCTTCATCGCTGGCCTCGTTGTCGACTCTCTCGGTGCACCCCTCGCCGGGGCTCTCTCTGTTTTCCTGATCCTCGCCGGCAACGGCGTGTGCGCAATCGCTGTTGCCACGCATCGCCTCAATATCTTTCTGTTGGGCCGCGCAATATACAGCGTTGGCGGTGGTGCTGTCCTGCTTGTCGGCGAGGTCATTATGCTCAAATGGTTCAAAGGCCGCGCACTGCCGATTGCTTATGGCGTCTCGTCAACTATCAGCAGTATCATGTCGTTTTCGGGCCCAGCCACTGTCACCGCTATCTTGACAAACCATGCCAAGACCGCAATCCCCTTTTGGATCGCAACCGGACTATCCGCGTTTGGTCTGCTATGCGTCGGATTCTATGCGCTCATCCACTACTCGAAGTTCGCAAAGGAGGCTAGCACCAGGGAGTCCAGCGAAGGAATTCCGCAGATTACCTGCTCGTCGGAATCGCAGGATGGCATGATAGTGCAGGAGAAAGACGAGTTTTCGCCGAAGCCACACCCTACTGTCGCTGTGCTGCATCCAGCCAGGGCTGCACAGCTATTGCCATTTAACGACTCCGAGTCAGACATCCCACCACCCAGCATGTCGGAATCGCAGAAGCACGGGTTGCTTGGTCGCTGGTGGCAGCGCACTAAAGAGCTATTTTTAGGGCTATCGGCGCTACCCGAGTCATACTGGCATATGCTTTTGTGTGTATCGATCCAGGGCACGCTGTTCATCCCGCTCCACGAGATCGTGCCGGAGATGATGGAGACCGAGTGGGGATACACCAAGGCCAAGGCAAGCAAACTGTTCGTATACTTGCACGTTATACCTATCGTACTGCATGTTATCACCGGCGTGGTCATCAACCGCTACGGCCACCGCATCAACATATTCTGCCTTGGTTCGGTGCTGGTGTTCATGGCAGCCATATTCATCCGCTTCATCCGCAAGGTTCCGATTATCCTGTCGCTCATACTGATGAACATTAGCGGGTCGCTGGTCCCGGCGTCGATATTCTCGCTAATGAATATTGTTATCGACAACGGCGAGATAGCGGGTGCAGCTCTGGGACTAATCCGGTCAGCCGAGTTTGCCAGCGTCACGCTGATGGAGATGCTCGACGGACTGCTGCAGGACGCCGACCACAACCGGTACGATACAGTGCTGATTGGGCTGGTTGTATTCGCCGCATTCCTGCTTGTTGTCGCTGTAGCCAGCGTGTGCCACGACTACCTGAAGAACAGCGGTCTACTCAATTCGGCGGATCCTTACGACAAGTCAGGGAGGCGCAAGTCAGTTCAGCAGCACCTTCATGGCCAAAGTAGCAGCTCTGACCTGGACGAAAAGCCAGAGATCAGTGAATCCGACTCGCACACACAGGCATCGTCGATGGCAGCCGACAAGCCAGCGGTGATTCCCAAGCGGCGGTTCTTATACATGGGCACCATCATCGTCCTCCTGCTTGTGGCATGGACCCTGTTCATCTACTCGCTAGCCAGGATATAGGCATATCTTTACCTATATCTTACCTATATATAAGATTTTATAGTCCAAAAAGTGTCCGACCGTCCGCTAGAAATTATTTAATTGGTTAAAAAAAAACAAATTTTTAGTTTAACAATGGGTGTATATGCACGTGTTTTGTTAAATATGCATGTGTGACCTGTTAAACAATCATACAATACCTTACTATACCTGTCAAGTGTCATGATAACGACAAGAAAACCTGGTATATATATATAAACTTTCTTTTTGTAAACACTCATACTCTCTCTCTCTCTCTCTCTCTAAATATTTTTGTGGTTTACTGTGACTTTGTTTTACTGAGATATATACTTATATACTCCTCATTTATTCCTTCATTTAAAAGCAATAACGATGGTATTCTATTCTAATAGTAGTAGTACGAATAATGCCTCGGTTTCTGATCGTCGTCGGATTGCTGATCGTGCACGACGCCAACGTCAGAGGGCTTTGAGTGCTCAGGGGGACCGCTCCCATGAACTTGAACAGGAAAGATTACGAAGTCGGAGACGACGGGCAATGCAGAGCAATGAGAGCCGCAATGCTGCTAACAGACGGCGTTCTTCTCAGCGACAGGCTCAGCGTGCTTCTCAACGACAGATTCAGCGTACTGCATCAGGTGCACATCTGCCGCTTGCATTGCAGGTATCTGGTGCACACACGTTACCTCTCCGACTTGGAAGAATGGATGTGCAGTGCACCAGTTGTAGTGCCTTGCTATGGACTGCCGAACGAATCCAGCAGTCCTCTATGACACGTCCAATTTTTCAGATCTGCTGTGCACGTGGAGCTGTAGTGCTTCCAGCTCTGCAACCGCCACCAGGAATACTACTTCGACTATTGACTGGCACTAGCACTGAAGCGCGGCAATTCCAGCGAAATATCCGAATGTATAATTCGGTACTTTCCTTTACCTCAACAGGTGGAGTAGTTAATGGCGAAGTTAGCAGGCATCATGGTGGTAAGTACCAATATTCTATGTTTTATGTTCTATGTTCTATGTTTTATGTTTTATGTTCTACGTTCTATATTCTACATTCTACGTTCTACGTTCTACGTTCTACGTTCTACGTTCTACGTTCTACGTTCTACGTTCTACGTTCTACGTTCTACGTTCTACGTTCTATGTTCTACGATTGTTTTATGAATAGCTATATAATTGTTGGAATCATCTCCTCTCATCTCAAATCTCAAATCTCAAATCATATCATCATCATATCATAGGTGTCTCTAACTTTCGAGTTCGTGGTCAGATGTACCATAGAATTGGATCACTACTTCCAGTATATGGCAACGAGCAGCCACAGTATGCACAGCTGTATATTTACGACACTGCCAATGAGCTTGCAAATCGAATGACTGCAATTCCTGGACTTGATGAGAATACTCTGTCTCTCCTCCAGCAGATGCTCCATTCAGTCAATCCGTATGCTGCTCGCTTCCATCAGGTTGCTGAAATTGTCCAGCAGAATCCATCCCCTGAGCTATGCATAGCAATTACAGCAGGTCGCAATAACGATTCGCGTCGCTACAACTTACCAACAGCGGATGAAGTAGCTGCAATTATACCCGATGGCCAATCTACGAACAATGGCCGTGATATCATCCTATGGACAACTAATGGTACACTACAGCGGATTTCAGAGCTACATGTTGCCTATGCTGCACTGCACTATGTGCTTCTATTCCCACGTGGGGAGGATGGCTGGCATCCTGACATTCCTATTTCAGGTCATTGGCATACACGCCAAGACAGTATCCAAGCCCAGGATAACGTCTCAGAGATTTCAGAGAATGGTGTTAGAGATGAAGCACTCTCTGGAACCCATCGCCAAAGCCGTGTAACTCAGATGGCCTTTTATGCCTACCGGCTTCAGTTTCGTGGTGAGGCAGCTCCAATCCTCCACCTAAGTAGGAGGTTATTCCAGCAGTATATTGTCGATGCATATTCCACTATTGAGAGCAACCGCCTACGATGGTATGCAAGAAACCAAGACAATATTCGTGCTGAAATGTACCAAGGTATGTATTAGTTTCAATCATATATAAAATATAGTAAGAAATGATGCTGTTGTTGTTGTTGTTGTTGTTGTTGTTGTTGTTGGTTAATGCACATTTAGTATGAATTATTATAATAGTAAGAAACTGCTGCTAACTTTAATCAAATATATTTATCTATATATAGGCCTTCAAGATGCTGTCCAGCTATCTGAAGCCGATATGGTTGGTGCTAACCTTGGTCGTAGAGTGATATTGCCATCCTCATATACTGCTGGTCCCCGCCATATGTATCAGCTCTATCAAGATGCAATGGCTATTGTGAGGACATTCGGCCCCCCTGACCTATTTATTACCTTCACCTGCAACCCCCGTTGGCAGGAGGTATAGGCCGAATTACTCCCTGGACAATCTGCTGCTGATCGCCCAGATCTAACAGTTCGTGTCTTCAATATCAAGCTGAAGGAACTGATTAAAGATCTAACAAAGAGGCATATTTTTGGTCAGGTCGCTGGTCATATTTACACTGTTGAGTTTCAGAAGCGAGGGTTGCCTCATGCACATATTCTGCTTATTCTAGACAGTGAGTCAAAGCACTGAATTATCACAGAAATCGACCGAGTGGTATGTGCTGAGCTTCCTAATGAACAGCAGAATATGCAGCTCTTTAGAGTTATTGCCACCTCAATGATGCATGGGCCATGCGGGCCACTAAACCCACAGGCACCATGTGTAAGAGAAGGCAACTGCACAAAGCGCTACCCAAGATTCTTTTCAGAGGCCACACAAATCACCAATAATGGCTACCTGATTTATCGACGGCGTGAGGATGGGCAGTTTGCTTCTATAAGAGGAATGCAGCTTGATAACCGATGGGTTATACCTTATAACCCTTATCTAGCTGCAAAGTATGAGGCACATATTAATGTTGAGGTGTGCTCCTCAATCACTGCTGTCAAGTACCTTTTCAAATATGTGTACAAGGGCCATGATCGTGCAGCTCTCCATATAACAAGGGCAAGGACAACTGATACAACAAATACTGCAGTTGAGAATGAGATCCAGAGCTATGTTGATGGCCGCTATATCTCTACTTCTGAGGCAATCTGGCGAATTTTTGCATTCCGCCTACATGAGGAGAAGCCTGATATTCAACGACTTCAAGTCCATTTACCAGGGGAGCAAATGGTTCTCTTTCATGATGGTGAGCTTATTTCTGAAGTTGTTAACCAGCAGCACCTTGCACATACTACACTCACACAGTGGTTTGCTTATAATGCTGCCCACCCAGAGGCCCGTGCATATACATATGCTGAATACCCACAGCATTTTGTCTGGAATCACCAACAGCGTGTCTGGAAGCCAAGGCAGAGAGGCAGTACAATTGGGCGTATCTACTTTGTTTCTCCTAGAGCTGGAGAACGATTCTACCTCCGAATGCTACTCAATGTAGTTCATGGTGCAATATCATTTGAAAATCTCAGGACTATCAATGGTGTTGTTTATCGAACATTTAGAGAAGCCTGTATAGCACTTAGCCTGCTTGAAGATAACCACAAATGGGCTAGGTGCTTAGATGAAGCTGCACAAGTCCAGATTGGTTACCAACTCCGATATTTATTTGCCACTATTCTTGCTCAAGAAAACCCAGTAAACCCATATGCACTGTGGATACAGCACCAGACAAGCCTAATTGATGACCTATTATATAGAGCCCTCATGCATACAGCTAATCAGGAAGCTGCTGAGCAATCTGCTATTAACAGTGCCCTTAGGGAGATTAACTCTATTCTTCTCCACTCTGGGCGCTCACTTAGTGACTACCCTGGCATGCCAGTTCCAATACCAGAACATGCAAATAGTGATAGTACTGAAAACTATTTAATTAGTGAGCAGCTATCATTTAATCAATCTGAGCTTGCTGATTGCACTGAACAGATGCTTCGTATGGCTAATACTGAGCAGTTAGCAGCCTATAATACCATTATGTCTGCTGTAGAAGGGCTAGCTAATACTACAGCAACATTTTTCTTCCTTGATGGCCCTGGAGGAAGTGGCAAAACATTCCTGTATAAGCTTCTCCTTGCCCATATTCGGAGCCAAGGCCATATTGCCTTAGCAACTGCCTCCTCTGGCATTGCTGCTATGCTTCTCTCTGGTGGTCGAACTGCTCACTCTACATTTAAGATACCACTAATTGTAGATAGTACCTCAACATGCAATATCTCCCTTGGCACTAACTTGGCATCATTGCTCCAGGCCACAAGGTTGATTATTTGGGATGAGGCACCAATGATGCATCAGCATACATTTGAGGCCCTTGATCGCACACTGCGAGATATAATGTGCTCTGCTGATCCAGCCCTTAAGCATCAGCCTTTTGGAGGTAAGGTAGTAGTAGCTGGTGGTGATTTCCACCAAATTCTCCCAGTCATTCCAAAGGGAAATAGAGCTCAAACTGTTGATGCAGCTCTTTGCTGATCTCCATTATGGAGTCAAGCACAAATTCTACACCTTACTACCAATATGCGACTCCAACTTAGGGCTGGTGCCCAGGATTGTACAGCTATCCAATTTGCTGACTGGCTACTTCAAGTTGGGGAAGGAAGGTTACCTAGTGATGAATATGACCAAATTCAATTACCTGTGGGTACTGTAATACCCTCAGATAATGTTGAGCTATTGATCAATGCAATTTATACTAATTTAGTATATCAATATAATCAAGCCAACTATATGGTCAATCGTAGCATCCTATCACCAACTAATGCCTCAGTGAATGATCTAAATAACAAGATCATTGACCATCTACCAGGCACTATCATTAACTACTATAGTGCTGACTCAATTGCAGATACTGATGGTGCAACTACAGAGACCCAGCAGCTGTTCCCAGTTGAATTTCTTAATTCACTAGATGTTGGTGGAACCCTACCACCCCATCACCTCCGCCTCAAAGTAGGGGCACCAATCATACTCCTACGTAACCTGGATTCTGCCCATGGTCTATGTAATGGCACACGACTTATATGCCATAGATTACAGCCCCATGTGATTGATGCTGAAATTATAACTGGTGCTGCTTATGGTACCAGGGTATTTATACCCCGAATGGTATTAACAACTAAGCACCAGCAATTACCATTTGTTCTACGCCGATGCCAGTTCCCAATCCGCCTTGCCTTCTCAATGACTATAAATAAGGCCCAAGGTCAAACAATGGAACGAGTTGGGCTTTATCTTCCATCACCCATCTTTACTCATGGCCAACTCTATGTGGCACTTTCTCGCATACAATCATTTAGTAATCTCAAGATAATGTTAGGGTCAGCTACACATTATCCTGATAGTGAACCTAAGACTAAAAACATAGTCTATAAGGAGATATTTTCTTAGTTTAATTTTATCTTTATATTAAATATATTTTTATTAGCTAATAATAATTTCTACCATATACTATTATTAGTATTAAAATTATTAAATATTTTATATTAAAACCTATTATATTCAAAAACAAATTTGTATTTATGTATTCAGCCCGCTGCAGGCGCTAGCAGTCTCCACCGAAATGTGTGACAAACAGCGTTTGGCACACATAGAGGTGCGCTTGCATCGCAAGCATGAGACTGCTAGTCTTTACCTATATATAAGATTTTATAGTCCAAAAAGTGTCCGACCGTCCGCTAGAGCGTTTTTGGATGGTTGGAAGGATTCACGCAGTTTCGAGTCTCACAGCGAGTATGCGTGACTCGCTCTGTGAACACCTAAAAATAATATCCTCTCCTTTGGCCGATGGATTCAGATCCTGAGGTGACAAATATATGCCTTAAAAGCACTTGTAAAATCGAACTCGGAACCACATATCAAAGCGCCATTTGCCTTCGCCCCTTCATTTTGTAGGCCCAGCAACCCAATAAATGAATCACTCAACTTCTTTATCCTCGGTGCTCACGCTTGGAACTGTTGGCTTGCTGGCCAGCACATATCCTATATATAAATGGGTCCCTCTTGCGCTATCTGCCTTTTCTAATCCCTCGCCCCCTCTACATATTCTGACTTCCCTACAAGCCCCCTTTTACATTCTGTTATTTAATATTCGTGGCTGCCAACTATGACATACCCTGATGCAGGGCTTGATTCGGTGATGCGCATCAGCAACTACTCGATGGATACGTCTGACTACGCAAGAGTCACCTGCCGTGAAGCTCTTTAGCAGATTCTCTGCCACATTATCGACTGTCTAAACCTTACCGACTAGCCGAGCTCGCATCGCAGACACGACAAGTCTAGCATTCAAGATTGGGTATGTATAAATTAGTTTAGCTGACGAGGGTAGTACCGGAACCTAGTATTCATCTCGTCCGAGGCATTGTTGGGCCGCCTAGCAACAGAACTGTTGCTGCTGTACAAGGCGTTGTGTATGTCATACCGTCTCGCGTTTCTGTGGGCAGAGCCTTCCTCAGACCGCACAGATAGCGATATGGCTCCACGCGACCTGCTGAACAGCGACGTTTCGTGCAGCGAACTCTGTCTCCGAAACTGGCGTGACCGGTTGCTAATATAGCTGCTACTGTTGTTGGTGCTCTGCGGGTAAGGCGGCGGCAACTCTGTCTGCGGTTGGTACTCGGGCAAAATATCGTAGCTGTCATCCGCCCAGATCGCCAAATGACACGTGCCGGTCGGCGCTGGGCAGGTGGAGCGGGCGATGCCTGTGGTACACGCTGTTGTTAAAATCTGACACAGTTCTTTCGCCCACATGGCGTGCGCTGGCCATATCGGGGTTTGATGAAAATATATGGCTGGCAAAGGCCGAGAGTGCAGTATTCGATATATTGCCTATGAGGTCCCTGGGGTAGTCGTCGTGGCCATCAGACTCGTCAAATATGAAGCTGAGGTTTGCTGCATCAACGGCACCAGAAACCACAGCGCTAGGGCCTCCATCTTCACGTTCGTCAACGTCCATTCTGGAGGGACAGCCGGCGATTGCAAAGCCATCTTCATTCAGGCACTCTTCAATCGAGTTCAGGAGGTGCGTGCTGGACGATGCCAGGTAGGCAGGTTGAGAGCTTGATGAGGATGGCTGCATCCGCAGGCCGTCGTTGTTGGGCAGACGGCGCACGCTATGACTATTATCACTATAGACCAGGTGGGGCTGCGGACAAGACTGAGGCACAGGTGTACTGCTAGTGTAAGGAGAGCGATAATGGTAGTCATCGGTCCTGTCTAGAGTACCGTCGCTCAGCGAGTCATACATATTGCTGTAGTCAATGAAGGGTTGCTCTTGGTGCGTTAACCTGGGACCCAGCATGTCAGTGGCGTCAGTAGCACCATTGGTGTTCAGGTCAATCTGTGGCTCGGTAGTAGCACTGTAGCCAACGCTATCCGCTGCAATATGGCTACTGTTGCGGCTAGCAGGGGCACTGGCAGGTTTGCGCTGATCGTCTCCCTGCGGCTGTGGGGCCCTCTGCTGCGATTTGGTGCTGCGGGTGCGCCGCAAAACTCCCGCACTTGAGGTAAAATCGACGTCTACAATTTGTAATAGACAATGCCGTATGTATGATGAATGGGTGATGTTTCTCCGCTGCCGTATGTGTCCCCTTCCCTCCAATAGTCATGGTGCGACACTCCGGCATTTAGTGCCTTTCCAATTAACACAATGCATGCGGTGCATATGCATAGGCGGTGCAAAACAAGGCAGACAGGGTGGGGGAGGAACAAAGATGACAAGTGTGATACACCAAAGCTCCAGTGCACTCTTGCCTACCCGGCAACTAGCGAATTCTGCACCTACCGTGCATGTTGGATGCAACTGACTTGCCCTTGCTAAAGATTCCGAGACGCCCTGGCTGGGAGTGCTGACCCGCTGCTGTTGCTGCAGCTGTTGCTACAGCAGAGCCTGGTGCCAAAGAGACACTTGGGAGAGCGTGGATTGTCGCCAAATGCAAGCCCGCAGCACTGGCGCCCAGTGATTCCTGCTGGCTGTTTTGCAACGGCTCTTCTGCCCCGCCGCTCTCTACCTGCTGCTGGCTGCTGGCCCCACGCAAACCCCTCCGTGATCTCCGTCTCGTAGACCCCCTGCAACTGCGCTGCTGTGCAGGACCTGCCAGAATGCTGGTACGCATATCCTCGCGATTATCGGCCACGCTGCCCAGAGGCCTGGACTGCTCGCATGCCTCGTCGTCAGCCAAAAGCAGTACCGGCAGGCTCTCCTGTGTCAGAGTATGCTGGCTCTTGAGATACTTTAGGACAGCCGACCAGCTTGCCTTTCTCCATTCTCCGACTGCCGCCCGTCTGCTGCTGGTGCTGCAGCCTCAGCGACGGCGATGGTGACGACATCCTCGCCAGATTGTCCAGCCCCACAGCCATGCGGTATATGCTGCCCTGGTCTCCCTCCTCGATCCATAAGCCGTATGTGCTCGCCCAGAGCCTGCTCGGTCAGCGGGGGCATGGTTGAATTATAAAGGGGCGATATTAGGCTATAATGTTGTAATGGAAAAAAGCCGAAAAGGGGGCAAAGTTGTACAATGGGAGAGGAGAAAAAGGGGAGCAACGAAGACAAGAAGCGAGGCGCCTGTGGATTTCCAAGGACTGGCGAGGTGTATTTATCAGCGGGTGCCTCTGCACCTGTGACCAGACACACACTTTATATAGCTCTGGACACGTATGGCACCAGTAGCAGAGTCTCTGTTGAATTGTCGCACTACGAGAAATTGAGCAGAGGAGCGAACAATCGCCGAGGCTTGGCGAACGAGGCGCCGATCGGCAACAGTGGAAGTGGCTAAGCCGGAGATGTGCGCTGCGGACGCCGACTCATAGCTTGACAATGACCTTTCCAAAGTTTTTGCCCTGGAACTGGTCCATTAGCGCGGGAGCTGCGCTCTCCAGGCCATTGCGGACGTCCATCTTGAGCTGGATCTTTCCCTGCTCAGCGAGCTCCGACACCTCGGCGATGAAGTCAGTCTCTACCTGCGAGCCGCTCAGCAGCGCATAGAACAGCGTGTTGATGGTGATGTTCTTCGTCACGAGCAAATCTAGGTTCTTGACACCATAGACCTTGCTACGGTCCAGGCCGTTGGTGGACATGGTGCCGCACAGCACCACACGGGCACCAAAGTTGAGGTTCAGCAGAACAGCATCGAGGAACTCGCCGCCGACGTTGTCAAAGTAGACGTCAACGCCCTCGGGCGCCGCCTCCTTGATTGCCTTGTCAAAGTCACCGCACGTTTTATAGTTGATGACAGCGTCAGCGCCCAGACTTTTGACATACTCGAACCTTTTTCGTCAGAACCGGCAACGCCAACAACGCGCGCACCGCGAGCCTTTGCCAGCTGGACCACGATCTGGCCCACGGCGCCCGACGCAGCAGACACCAGCAGAGTCTCGCCCTGCTTGGTCTTGCCAAAGTGCGCAACACCAATATAGGCTGTGAAACGAAGTCATGCCATGGATACCTAGATAAGTGGAGGGCGGCACGTCGTTGCTGGGCATCTTGTCCAGCGCCTTCTCATCGACAACCGTGTAGTCGGCCCAGCGGAACTGGTCGCTGCGCACAATATCGCCCGGCTGGAACCTGTCGCTCTTTGACGCAGTGACCACGCCGACACCGATGCTATACACAGCCTCACCGAGCTCATACCGGTAGATTGACGGGTTGCTCTCGGCAGCAAAGAAACGCAGGTGCGGGTCGATGGACAGCGAGTCAACCTTGATTAGCACCTGTCCCGGGGCCAGCGACTCAGCGGTGGGCACGGGCTGGCTGCTGTCGACGCTGTAGTACGACGTCGAGAAGTCGTTGTCGGGAATGTACTTGTTGAGAATAACGCGGCTGTTGGTTTGGGCAGACATGGCGTAAAAGATATTGCTGATGGTATGTTTTGAGGTGAAGCATGCAGCAGCCACGCCCACCCCTGCTGATACCTTTATATACCCAGCCTATGTGGCACTACGACGACTGCGAGTCGAAGCTGCCGGTGAAAGCGCGATCACCGAGTGCTCCGACAATTTCGTCACAGCCCAGCTGACGAATCACCGCCCGCTTACGACAAGGCCCCCCTAAGCACGGTGCCGCAGCACGGGTACAAAAAGTCCTTGCTGTCGGCCCTTTTCCCACACAATCTGATCGGCACTTGGCTTCTCATGTCCTTTTTCCTGCTTTGTCAGCACCTAGCCTCACTAACATAAGGGACCCCTATGGCATCGCGCTTTGCCTCTGCAGCAGGCCAACGGCTCCGAGATGGGACTCCACATTACATGCTTCTACGCAATTCCGGCGGCCTGCTTGACCCACACAATCTTCGACTACTGTGGAGAAATCTCGCCGTCAATGGGTCCGTCGATGCTGCCGACGCTGAGCATGATGGGCGATTTGCTCATGGTCGAACGCCTGCCGGGTTGGCGCAGCCGGCTCAAGGTCGGCGACCTGGTCACGTTCTACTCACCCATCAGCCCCGAGCGCCGCGCTGTCAAGCGGCTGCTTGGCTTTGAGGGCGACACTGTGTGCGTGGACCCAACCAAGGACACGCTGTCGTATGTACAGATTCCAAAGGGCCATGTGTGGCTGCAGGGAGACAACTATTCGAACTCGACCGATTCGCGCGTGTATGGCCCGATTCCATTGGCGCTACTGCGCGGCCGCGTGCTGGCCCGGGTATACCCGTCACCACGGTTCCTGACTGATGGCGCCGAGATCATCCCTGGCCGGTTTGTTGAATAGAAAACGCAATACACTTTCATTCATTAGCATTGACTACAAGTAAAACAAAGGATAAGGTAATACACCAGGCAATGTTTGCTGTGATAACGTATATCAGTCAAACTGCGAAATAAACACATTGCATGCCCATATCCCTCGAGCTGAGGTAGCACGTCGCAGCTCAGGAGTTGTAGAATTCAGCAAACACTACTTCTACATTGGCAAAGTGCGTTGCCAAGGAGCCGATTCTGGTATCGTTTAACGTCTTTGGAATCAGAATGCCATCATCGTGCAGAGGACAGTTGGGAAGAATGAGCTTGAGCAGAGAGGGCACTCGGGCAATGGTACCAATCAATGGAATGAAGGCCGGGCTGTACTCGTCCGTGTGCGGCGGCCGCTTGTCGTCGTCAATAACAAGCGTCTGCAAAGATGTGCTGATTGGGGCTGGCCACTGGCAGCGGACATGGTGCCATATAGACCGCAGATTCACCTGGTTGTAGCCCTGGCTGTCTTCGTGCGCCTTTGCAGTGAGTGTGTACCTCATGTTTAAGGACACGAGATATGGTAGCTGGTGCAGCAGTGCCTGGAGATTTTCGTTCGGAATTGTAAAGCTCAGTACAAGCGAACGGATGTCTCTGCAGCCAAACTGGAGGGACCTCAGGGTCTGAAGTGAGGGAAGCGCAACATGGAGTTTTTGTATACTAGACACCGGGGCAAGTAGCCTGGACTCCACAGCCACCCTACTGGGCAGCATTCCTCTCTGGTCCCACTCTGCAGTCACCGAGTATAAATTAGGGTAGCAGCTCACGTCAAGCTTGTTTATGAACTTTGTATCCCCCACGAGATGTAGCGTCTCCAGCGGCGCATCCCTGAACATCCAGTGCAGGTCAGGATGGTAGCTGCAGAGTGTTCTTATAGTGAGGTTTGTTAGTCTAGGAAAGCTGCACTGCAGTCCCGCCGTCTTGTAATCTGGCAGGATTGTGCCGTTAGAATGCTCGCCAAAGCCGACCACTAGCGCATCCAGCTGCGAAAATACGACCACACCATCACCAGCGGCGCGCTGCAGGACATGCAAGAAAACATCATGCGAGGTGTTGTTAAGCTCCAGGGAAACTAGCCTTTTAGCATCGAATGTAGGCAGCCAGTGAACACCAACGCGGCGGGAACAGTCAACAGCTAAGGTTTTCAATGAAGGGAGTACAAGGTTCGAGACATCGCACATCGGCGCGGTACCGAGGTCAAGAACAGTAAACATCTCAGCACGGATACCAAGAATCCGATTCAGTATTACCATGCCAGGCAGATTAACATGTTCTATATCCACCGAAAGCATGTGGATGTTTGGTGCATGTGTCAGAACATAAGAGATGGCCGGTCCAAGACCACTGGTATATGGCCGTGCGCTCAGGGCTCTGTTGGACAGAATTTCCAAGCTAGTTACTGAATCCCAGTTTCGCTCTCCAAACCCCTTCAGGCGACATAAACGAGTCTACACGAAACACGAAGCCGCCGTCATCCTCGTAGTAGATGACCACTGTGTGCGGATATGCATAATGCGGAATGATATCAAGATTGCTGGTGTAGTAGTAGTGGCAGAGATGGTTCAGCGGGTCGGCCATGTGGCAAGATTTCCGCAGCGTCTTGCCACCGGACGACTGCTTTCCAGCATAGACATGGACCTCACTGTACAACAATGGCAGCACCAGCGTTCTCCACTTGCGACACACCCATGCCAATATGTAGAGCTTCTTTGTGCAGTAAGGGTCCAGAATGCCTGCAGACTCAGGCCAACGGGCACACCCGTAGTGGTGTAGGATTGTTTCGAAGATATGCGGGATATAGAAGACAGAATGCATGCTAAGGGAAGTAAAAGCGTAAAATAGCTGGAGAGAGAGAGAGGGAGAACAAAGACGAGTTGGAATGCGTCCCGCTCTCAGTGAGGCTTTTTAAAGGAGCCAAACCATGAGTCAAAGGCAGCAGCACAATATTCACCCGGGCAAGCTTGAGAAATATGATTTGGGAGTGATGATGTGCGTTTATTGCTGACAAGGGAAGTTGATGCGTGGCACGAAACATTTATGAACTGAATCATGGCATAGAGTATTGATATCTAAAACTGAGCTTGGGGTGTTTAGGTCCTCTCCTAAGCCATTTTTCTTGCTCTGGAATTCTGCCAGTCTGACTTTTGCCAATTCGATCATTTCTGGCGAGCCTTCCATCAATACATGGGCACTTGTCAGAGACCCTGACCACATGGTGGCTCTGCAGGCTCTGGCGGCCGGACACATAGAATAGCCAAGGTCTGGCCATGGGTTGCTGGTAGAACGGGGTGAGGGCTTTGGGGTCGCCATGGGGCTCAATGACGATTTCTTGCAGTGGCGTGTCGGCGTGGTTCCAAATGACAGCGAGCAGGCGGATGGGATGGACGGCAGGTGAGGGACGGACTTCTCTGTACGTCTGCACAACGCAGGCCGCAGCCCGGATCTCAGGGGATTCGGTTTGGCTAGGTCCGGGTAGTGGTATGATGTATGTTTCAATCGTAGTTGTAAAAGTGGTAGTGGGGAGAAAAACTGGCACAGGCATATGTCCCTGTGCAAGACGTTTATATAGGATGCAAGACAAGCAACAGGTTTTTTTTGGCTCTGCAACGAGTCCATCCTAGCCAGGTTAAACTCATGCACATTCCACCAACACATTTACTTGCATATGTTCAGCGGCGGTAGTAATGGCGCTTGAAGCGGAAATGAAGCTGCAACACACCGCGGTCAAAGGTGTTGCGGAAGCCGCGCTTGCGGTTCAGCTCCCACTCGCGGTTGACGATCCGGAACGCCACGTCTTCGTAGGGCGGGCCAGCGACGAATCTGATAATGGCAGTGTCTTCATTCTCGGGGTCCTTCTCGACGCGGTACGTCGGCGCACTGGCCTTGTCGAGCAGGTCCGGGTAGAACAGATTGAACTTGTAGCCCTGCACGACCTTGGGCGGCGGGTTGTCGGTGTCGTAGTGCGTCTGGTTGTACTTGTTCCACTCATACCCAGTGTGCACGCGGTTGTAATACCGGGGCTTGCGCGGCCGGTGCTTGTCCTGCCACGAATACGCGCGTGTCGGTAGCTGCGCTTCGACGCTGAAACACAGCCTCGTCCGGATCCTGACTCTGGCTCAGCACCGCCTCCAGCGCATCCGCCGAGTCCGCTGCGGGCTCCTCGTTTGCCTGCTCCTCTTCAGGCCCCTGCTCGTCCAGGATCCGCCGCTGCAGGTCCTTCAGCTGCTGGCGCTTCCGGTCCTCCACCGCGCGGCCCTCGGCCCTGTCGATGCGCTGCAGTCGCCGCGCCAATACGTCCGCGTGCATCTGCGCAAGCTGCCGGCGTGACCGCTGCTCCGCCAGCAGCACACGCACGCGCTCCCAGTAGTCCACGTCCACAGCGCCTGCCTGGCCCGATAGTTTGGCTGTGACGTCACTGGCCAGCTGCTCCAGCTCTCCCGCCGATTTCCCATCCAGCATCTGGCGGATCTCGCGCTCCACCACGGCGTCCCTGTGCTCGCGCAGCTCGCCCATACGCGCATTGACCACACTATCCAGGCACTGCCAGAACTCAGCGCAGCGCTGGTCGGTCTCAAGCTGCAAAAACGCCATGACATCGTCCTTTAGCTCCTCGCATTCGTGGGCTCCCAAGCCATCGACCATGCGGCCGGGCTCGGTGACATCCACGCGCAGCCTGCCCAGCATTACAGCCTCGTCATCCAGAAGGTCATCGTAGGCCAGGCGCAAATTCACAGCCAAATGGTCAATGGGTCGGGCGCGGCGGTTCTTGACACGCAGTTCGGCGCGGGTTTTTGCCTGTTTCAAGTGGAAGCTTTCCTTCGCTGCGCTCCCAGTCGCCGAGCTTCTCCTGCTCCATCTCCCGCCGCTTCCTTGCCATCTCCTGGTCGCGCTGCTGCTTCTCGATTTCGCGCAATTCACGCCGCTTGCGCAGTTGGGCTAATTCGTGCTCGGCCTCTTTCCGTCTTTGAAGGTCGCGCGAGCGCCGCTCTTGCTTGCTGAGCCCCAGCTTTGCGCCCTGCTCTTCTTTTTTCTTCCACACGAATTTTTTGCCTAGCGCCGTGTCCAGTGTAGCCGCTTCGCTGGTGCCATGTGGGCTGCGTGGAAGGCGAGCGTGAGGAATGCCGCGATCTATGGTGTCGCCGGGACGACTTGTGACGGTCTTTGCTGTCATCTCTGTCTCGCCGGGACGATTTGTGGCGGTCCTTGCTTTCGTCTTTGTCTCGCCGGGACGATTTGTAGCGGTCTCTGCTTTCACTCCGGTCCCGAGGCATTTTCGTTGTCGTGGTTAGTGGTCTGGTATTAAATGAAATCGTGGGAGATATTAAAGACGCCCAGCACAAAAACAAAAGCTCTCCCGAGCAGACACTATGCTGATCGCAGGGGGCTTATGGGGGCTACTGGATCCTGGAGCTGGCAGTCTCGTTGCGCACCTGCTTCAAGAACTGGATAGCATCGGTCCCGCCGGTCCCGCGCACCACTCCATCATCGTCGACAGTGCGTGCCAGACCCTGTGCCACCGCCTTCTTCGCCGGTCCGGGCACCGGATGGTTAGTCTGCGGGATACATGGTCGGGTCGGCCGGCAACGAGTCGCCGCCCAGCCTGCCGCCTGCCGGGCACCCATTCAGCTTGGCTGACAAAGGGATGAACTTGCTGGAGACTGGCGCAGCCACCGGCACCGTAGGCATGGCTGGACCGCGCTTGGCCTGGGCAATAATGTACCGGGTCACAATCATGATGTGGGTGTCGCGGAATGCGCGCATCAGGTCCACGCAGCGGTTGTAGGCGAGCCGGAGGACTGCGCGCTGGTCGTTGGGTTGCTCGGCCAGAAGGGCATCGGAGCATGTGAGCAAGACGTATTCGCGGATCATGCAGGTGGCTGCCAGGTCTTCGAGGAACCGCCGGTGCCCGCCCGGCATGTAATCGCGCATACGCACCAAGTACGAGTTGGCTGGCGGCGGCTGCTCAATGCCCGATTTGGCCAGGCGCTCGCGTGCCGCACGCACCGACCCCTGCATGCCCTTTTCGCCGGTTGGGTAGTGCTTAATGCCCAGTGCTATGTCGAATGCCTGCAGGAGCGGCGTCTGCGCGGCCGACCCGCCTGCGTACTTGCGGAACCGCCGCAGCAACGACTGCCAGTTGTCCAGCGAGAACGTGTCGGTGTCGTCGACTCCCTCATACAGCACGCCATAGGGAAGCCCCGCCTCCGCCATGTTCTCCCAGCCCGCCAAGAACTCGCGGATCTTCCAGTAAAACACATATGGGTCGCACCTTTCGTACATGCGCGCCAGCAGCTCGTGCGCTTCATGCAGTGACTGCGCGATGCCGTCCAGAGCCGACAGTCACCCGCGCCACATCGTCCGTCTCCACCCCCGCAATGCCGTCTAGGATTGCGTTGATGCCGCGCGCGCCCTTGGCCTCAATCGCTGTGGTCACAAGGTAGAACCACGACTCGTCCAGCGACCCAGAGAACGTATACAGTGGTTCCCAGATTGCCGATGTCCATCATGTCCTCGGCGTCTTCGTCCAGCGGCTGCCAGTTCCAGTGGCACACCGCCGCGCAGCAAATAACTGGGTTCATCCCTAGAATATCCGCCACCGCCACCCACGGAATCGAGATTGATGCTGGCAGAAACTACACACACAAGAGCTGTCTCAGTGACTCGGCCCCTTTTTCACATACCTTGGGCCAGATTCACAAAACCGCATGCAATGCTGCATGAAAGCTTCCATGTGGCCGGGCGGAGTTTACACTCCAAGATAATACGCTGCCCATGCTTATCAGCAAAAGAAAAAAGCACGCCACACAGCGCAGATAGCAGCACAACCACCCTGAATTGCTAAACCCCCACCGGACTTACCTCTGAGGCGCCCTCGGATGCCGCTCCGTTCCGGCCCCACACATATGCGTGCGCCATGAACCCCAGGATTGTGAATGCCCGCTGGTACTCGGCCGTCGTCGACAGCTTATCAATATCCAGCACCGGCATCTACAAGAGAAATCCCCGCTGCTTCACCATTAGTGGTCAGGTGCAAGAATATTGGGGAGGTTGGTAGAATAGGCCACTGTGACTGGGCCCCAACTGGGGTACCACTGCTTACCTTGCGGACCAGCGGCCGGATGCGGTTTGCCAGTATGTGCTGGTTGAACTTGTCCATGATCTTCTCCCACGGCTCGTAGTACGCGTCCGCCAGTCGCGTCAGCGGCGCATGTGTCGGCAGGAACCCGTTGGTCGGGCTGATATCGTAGTCCTCGAGCTTCAGCGACGAGTACATGGTTGCTTTGCTGTTACTATAGTTGGGCATGATTGTGTGATTATGAGCGCGCGCCTGGAAAATGTCACAAGTCTTGTAAAAAAGAAAAACACAGCAGCTGGTGAAAATATGCTTGCTGCTTCTGCGAAACTAGAACCAAGAATTCAGGACAAAAGGTGATCAAGCAGTACTAAAACAGAAAAATTGCGGAGAGGAGAGAGAGGAGAGAGATGAAAGAGGCCCCTGGTAGGTTATTTCTCCTCCCCAAACTCCCGGGCTTTTATACTCGCACCCATCTGGAACAAGAAGATCAAATAAATGCCTCGCAAGCCAAAAACACAAATTCCCCGCCCGCATATTCGCCCAGCTCGCAACAATCACAGTCGGACAGAACGGCGCTCTTGGCAAGGGACAGCTAATAAGTGGCCTCCACTGGAGACAGCGGGTGTGTCGTTTTGTGCTCCCATGGGCGCATGACTCTGAGAAAAAAGCCACCGTCCTGTTCACCTTGCTGTTTGTTGTGCTAGAGTCAATAACCTGGGCATCACTAATTGGATGCAAGGAATGCGCTTTTGCATTTCAGAAGGAAGGCAGGGACGCAGATGGGGGAGGGATGCCGAGATGTTGCGCAACATATATGTATCAACAGACCCTCCTATTGAAGAGTGATGTCAATATAGCTGGCAATGGCAGTTACCTTGACGAAGTGTTCTTGTGGTATACAGTAGCCGGTTCAGGCAAATAGAAGCTGCTAAAATAAGCGGTGTTTTGAAGGGAGTGGAGGGTGTGCGTGACAGGCCGTCTTGAGTTGATATGGAGCTGCTAGCTGTCGCTTTTCTCCTTCATTTTATACTCTGCAAAATGCCAACACTTTGCGAAAATATTGCTATATTTCGGTAGGTGACAGTGTATCATGGTCAGCCACTGGACCTGCAACCCCCACTCCCTGAGAACTTTTTCCAAATGATGTTTTCTGTTGGGCACGTTAAATGTATGTTGAAAATCCCTCTAGAAATTTGCAAAGCAGGCGAGGAACGCGGAATACATTTGAAACTAATGCCGTTCTGAATGACCCGCAGTACCCATCCCACATGTCCGACAAAGGCACAGGCCAGCACCGCCGCAATGCCGCCACATAAAAAAACCCACAGAGAGAATACATTGTTTAAAAACAGGCAATTAATAAGAGGATGTGTGTGACAAGGCGAGGAGGAAAAAAGAACAGCTGGCGAAAGGAGGAACTCTAAAAATGTAGCAAGAAAAAAAGGAAGCTCAGAGGATCAGGCACGAGGGGCCCTTTCGCTTCTGCTTCTGCACCGGCCGCGTGCTGGTATTGCGGAACACAGTCACGCCGGGCTTCTCCTCGACCGCCGGCGGCTCCGACACCCCCATGCCGCGGGCGCCCAGATGGCCCGTGCCGATTATGGCGCCGGCGCCGACAATCTTGATGTCCTCCTTGTTGTACCGCTTCTTGGAGCGGTTGTGGGCCAGTCCCTCGCGTACATCCCCGTTGCTCAGTCCGGGCCGCATCTTGGGCGGCACCGGCGTGCCCTGGCGGCTGGCGTCGCGCCTGATGCTCAATGAGCTGCGCAAGCCATTGACCGCAGTCTCCGAGGGGTTCATCACAGGTTTGTTGAAGTGGCGGATCCGCCGCACGCACTGCACAAACGCGTCGTTTACGTTAATGTCCAGCTTCGCGCTGGTCTCGTAGAATCCGGCCTGGATCCGCGACGCCAGCCGGTGGCCCTCGATCATCTCCACACGCCGCATATCGTACAGGTCCGACTTGTTCCCCACCAGGACTATCGGCACCACATCCATGTCCTTGACGCGCTTCACGTGCTTCGCTAATGCCTCGGCCTCCGTCAGCGATGACCGCGATGTGATGCTGTACACAATTATGAACCCGTGCCCTGAGCGCATGTACTGCTCGCGCATGGCCACGTATTCTTCCTGCCCGGCCGTGTCCAGCACGTCGAGAACGTAGTCGTAGCCATCAACATTCGCCAGCTTGCGGTACGAGTCCTCGATCGTCGGGTCGTAGTCGTCGCTGAACCCGCCGTTGATAAATCGTGTCGTCAACATCGACTTGCCGACCGCTACATGAAGTGATCCGGGTTATAGGGGATCCCGGGACGTGTGAGTTCCGCATGCACGTAAATGCGAAATGTGGGCAGATGCGGGAAAACTGAACCATGATTTCTGCTTGGCTCTCGCCTCCCAAGCACACGTTCTCGCGCGCAGAACACAAGACAAGGAAAGAAAAGGCAGAAACCCGAAAAGGCGCACAATTCTTACTGCGCTTGCCACAATCGCACAAATAAGAAAGGAAGGAAAATGGGCTAGACGCTTGGGTAAAAGAGCGAACAAGGTGACTGAGAAAACAAATAACCCGCCACAGCGCTCTCATTGACGATGTCCCGCCCTGTGCGTCATGTGTACTTACATCCGGCGCCGAGCATGACTATCTGGTATTCGGGCGCATAGTTGTGAGCCATGGCGAAAACGAGCAAGAAGGAGTGTTGGTACTGGTGTTCCGCCGACAAGAAATAACGAATGCTGGCTGAGCCGGTATGCTGAGAGGACAGTGGTGTTTTTGTAACTGTCGGTATATGCAGGCTTCAAGTATCACAGGAAAGGCCAGAATAGCGGCGTCAGGCAATGCGCAGTGTCGACTGTACAGGATAGGATGGAGAAGCAAAATCGGTCCAAAGCGAAAAACGCAAGAGGTGAAAGAGTGGGAAGCGCAGAAGAAAAAAGGTTTTTTTTGCCCTCGAGCGAGAAACGCAAAAAGTCGAAAATCCTTCATTTTTTTTGCTGACGATTGTTGTTGGTTTTAAAGCTCACCGCTGCTTTTCCTTTTCAAAAAAGCAAATGAACCTCCCCACTTTTTCATCGCAGCCTTCCGGAAAGGCAAAAAAGACCTGGCCCTTTGGCATTCTGACAAAGAACTTCAGCGCAAGTCATACAAAGCAGGTTTACAGCAGGTGCTGCTCACGCTCCGCCAAGGTCCCCGTATTATGATTTTATTCCCACTTCAGGGGCCAGCATCTGCGAACTAGGGGGTCCATGTATAGTGCCCCCCGTGTCGCTAGCGTACGTGCTTCCCTGCCAAGACATAGAAAAGGTTATTAAGCCGCCTGGTGTTCAGGCAGCATTGCCTTTAGAAACAACACAAATATAAACATGCCCGAAGCTCTGGAAAGCATGCTATTAATAGAATCCTGCAATACCTGCTGGAGGACATCCTGGATTTTGTTTTTTTACTAATCGATCGACCCAGACTCTGAAAACTAAACAAAAATAGCAGCTCGCCAAGGGTATACACGTGCTGAGATCCGGATAGGCAAGCACACGGCTCGATCTCCAACCTCCACATACGGACAAATGGCTGGCAGCGCCTAGATGCTATGTACAGGTCTCCCACGGCTGCACTCTTCCGGTCCCCGTCCCTTGAATGTGGGGAGACATCTATATTGACGAGGGACCCAGCGCAGGTGTGCCTCCACCGCATGCCAACAAATGACCGGTTCGCGGTGATGCTCTTATCGAGGTGTCAACCCATGCTGACTAGCAGCCGAGCTCGCATCGCGAGCAGAGCAATTCTAGTAGTTGATATTATAGCATGATAGAGCATAAACATAGCATACTTTTAAAATAAGGAGTCTAGTGCGGCGGGATCTTGGAGCCATCCAGGACCTGCAGATTCGGGAACAGCGCAATCGCAGTGGCCCAGTACTGCTCGCGGCGCTGGATGACGTGGGCGCGGCCCATGCGACGCAGCTGGTCGACATACTGCACATCGCTCTTCTGCCACACAGCCTCGACAAAGCCAGGCGGAGCAGCCGATACACTAGCCGTCGTGTTGCTGCGCGGACGCATCGAGCGCTGGCTCTCATCGCGCAGCTCCGGTGTGGGGGCAAACACACTAGCCATAGGCGATGGCTCGGGTGCGTCCATCGGCGCATAAAGCTCCTCGGTGGCCGCATTGAATCGCAGATCGAGCACCCGCAAGCGACGCAGGCGCGCCAGCGACCCCACCAGCGCACAGGCACCGCGCGCCTGCATCTCCGCCAGCGAGTCACCCAGCGGCGGAAACTCCTCCAGTCCGTCAGAGTTGTACTGGGGTATGGGGCGCACGCCAATTCCGGGCGCCCGCAGAACCTCCAGGCCACTGAGCTGCACAACAGGCGAGAGATCCGACAGCATCGGATTATAGCCCACGTCCAGATGCTGCAAGGCCGGCAGAGCGGCGCCCAGATTCGCAGGCAGACGCTGCAGGTCTGCGTTGCTAATCACTAGCTGGCGCAGGTGAGGCAGCAAAGGCAGAGTGGGTGGCAGCTCCAGGCGCGTGTCCGGCAGGTACAGGTTGCGCAGGTTGCGCAGGCAGGCGAAATCCACGGCCAGCGCGGGCTGCGTGACGTAGCCGCGCAGCGACAGATTCGTTAGCGTCGGCCATGTCTGCGGGCCGCTGGCCAGCGCTCCCACCAGCTGCTTGGCGTAGCACGTGTCCATGTACAGCGTGCGCAGCCGCGGGAACTTGGCCTGCCACGCACGCGCATCCACAATGCCGGCGCTCGGACGCAGCACGCGCGGGTTCTCCGAGAGCCGCAGCTCGCGCACATGCGACGGAGCACCGCGCAGCTCAATACTCTCCAGATCGTTGCGGTCGACGTTGAGCGCCCGCAGGCACGTGAACTCGCTAATACGTGCTGGCAGCACGCGCAGGCGGTTATTGCTGAGGTCCAGCGATGCCAGCCGCGGGGTCTGCGCCGGGTCCAGGTCCAACTCGGCAATCGCATTATCGCGCAATGTCAGCTGCTCGAGCCGCCGGCACCCAACCAGCCCGCGCATCGAGCTGATACGCGCGCGGCTCACCACCAGTCGCCGCAGATGCCTTAGGTCCGAGAATACGGCAATGTCGGCGATCTCGTTGCTGCTGGCGTCCAGGAATTCCAGATGCGGCAGCTCGCGCGCAAACGAGAACCGCGACTGTTCGGCCGAGCCGAAGGTCAGCCAGTTCGCCGACACCGTCAGATGCACCAGCCCCATCGGTAGTCCAACCAGGCTCTGCAGCTTATTGTTGTCCAGCACCATGGTTTCGATGTTGGTTGGCAGCTGCGGCAGTGCCTTGATCGTCCGGATCCCGACGCCGCTCAATGCCACGGCTGTCGCCGATGCGCCTTCCGGCGCCGGCACCAGCTTGCTGACAACCGTTCCCATGCCGTCGTCACGCAGCGTCGCAGTACCGTAGGCTGAGTCGGCTCGCTCCGGCTGCTTGCGCTCGCTCATCTCGTGCACGGGCCGCGGGTCGTTGGTGGGCGAGGGTTGGGCGGAGATCACATGCGTCCCCTTGGACAGGGTCGACCGCGCCGACCCTGGCATGATGGTATCGCCGCGGCGGATCTCGGCTTGCTGCACCTCGTTAATGTTGACCCACCCAGCGTCGCGGTCCAGAACCATGTCGCCGACTCGGTTCGGCAATGGCATGCGCGGGTCGGGCCGGATCAACCGCACATTGCTGCCATCGCTGCCTTTGCGAGCGCTGCCGGGCGCCGTACTGGGCACGGAGCTCGGCCGGCTGATGCCCATGGCCACTTGGCTCAGAGCCTTATGGTGGCCCGGCGGCCTAGCTGCACGTGCGGGCTGCATGGGCGCCTCGTTTGTGTATGTGTAGGCGCGTGGCCGCCCGACCAGAAGCTCCGGTGCCGCCGATGCGCGGCCCGGCACGTGACTGCCCCCAGCCAGCGCCGCGGTCATATGGGGCGACGCCCGCATCATCGCCTCGTGCCGCAACGACACGCCTGCCGACTGCGGGGCCACACCCTCCTGCATATCGTACATAGACATTGGCCGATGTGTGCTGGGCGGTAATGGCGCCGGGAACTGCTCGGCGCTGCCTGCCCGCGAGAATGCAGACTCGCCACGTATGCTGCTGGGCGGCGATGCAATGTGGTTGGGCGGCGAGACCGGCGTCACCATCTGCTGCTCGCCTGTCTCCGGATTGCTGCCGTTCAGCAACAGCAGCTGCAATGTTTTGCCGTTCTCCTCTACTGCTGCCCCGCCGCCGCCGCCGTTCCACAGCATCCCGGCTATTGATGCCGTGTTGTTCGTTGAGCTGCCTTGGTTCGATGATGGCGCCCGCTGGAACATCCGCTCGAGCGCTAGCGGACTGAACATGTGGTTGAGTTCTGCCGCTGGTATCTGCAGTCGCGCAGCCATGTTGGTAGCCGCTGGTCCGCCTGCTGGCCCGTTGATGATGAATGTACCGTCGTTGCCATTGGAGTACCCAACCGTCGACATGCCGCCTCGTGTGGAGTCCATATTAAAAAAATCTCAATGCGTGTGCGTGCTTTTTTGGTTCGAGCGAAAAGATAAAACCGGGCAAGAGCCTGGAAGCTGCAGAAGGGAAGAGGAGAAGGCGTTTTAGAATGAAGAGAAAAGTAAAGGGATGCGCGGGCTTGGGAAAAGGGGAGAGAAGGGACTAGCTGTGAAATAATAGCAGAACGCTTTTCTTGTCCTGAATTCGCAACGGAAAAATGAAAAGAAGAAAAAAAGGTTAAAGAAAACGAAGCTGTGACACCACCAGGGAGTAACGATGCCGTCAAGTAGCTTTCGCGGGCACTATTTTCCAGTACTATTATTTTCCAGCCCAGGTTCCTGAACGACCCGCTGATAGATTGCCGTGTGATTGGGACCACGTTTCTCAGGTTTCTCTTTGCTCCTTTGTGGCCTTGGATGGTGGTGGTGGAAGCGCTTAATGCAAAGATGGTGGCCGTTTTGCTGCCAGCTCAAATCTGCACAGGCTTTCTTTGATGTACGGTTCCAATTTCTGATTACACGCCCAAACCTCAAAACAAATCTGGGTATCGCCTATTCCCTCTTTAATGAACAGCACGAGTAAAGAAATAGGGCTTGTTATTTTAGAAGAAAAACAGTGAAGCGAATAATTTAAGATTTTCTAATCCTCCCCTTGTGTCCAGCGCGCAGTCCTTTTTATACATCGCCCAGCCGCATATCTCTGACAATTGCTAGACATCATGCGTGCTCGCTGCAAGACTCTTCGGAATAGTGCTGATATTGAACGAAAAAGATAATGCTCCTAAAATGTCCTGAGAAGCATCCCCGCACATCTCTCAGATATAAGCTAGCTCCGGATGTATTCTTAGACGCGCTATACAGCCCAGCTGACGTTTTTTGGGGCTAGCTCTATTTGTCCATCACCCCCCCCCGCCAGAAGGGCTAGAGCTTTGGAGCATAATACCTTGCACCCGCCTGTTTCCGCATTTGGGCTGTTATCGGTTGCAATCGGTTCCAGACTGCGGACCGGACGGCAGACCGCACCGTGCACGATAGAGAAGCGAGCACAAGCTACAGCTCCCGCGGCTCCTGTTTCTGGGACGCATTCCCGCATTGAGCAGCATGCAGCCAACGGAAGTCTAATTGGAAATCGCCCCCTCGGCTTCTGGCCGCCACCAAATTGCCCCAAATGCTACAAATGCTACTTTCCGGGCCATTTTCTCTTGAGCGCGTGTCTGGCGAGCAGGCGACAATGCTCTGGTAACAATGGCTGCCTCCACTGCAGAAAGGGGGCATCTGCTTTGTTTTCCGAGCTGCGGCCTCGCGTGCATTGGTCGCCCCCGGCTACCGCATGCGCAGACATGCTTGCTGCTGCACTTCTTGTCGTTATTCTGCTGCATATAGAGCCGACCGCGCCAAATATAGTCTTGCAAAATGTGGCAGAGGTGGGAAATATTATTCTGCCTGGACTAAGCATTGCCTCACAAAGCGCTCCATTGTCGTGGTGGGAATGTATACGTGTTTGCTGTTTATATCACCACGTTTCTGACCGTTATTTTTAGTCCCCGTATTTTGGTAATAACCAGCGCATTTCGGTCACTGCAGACAGCATCCAGACGGCCATACCTGGGTTTGCGAAGGCGCGTGATAGCGAAGGTGCAGCCAGTAGATATTGTAAGCACCAGAGGCGCAAAGGGCCGGCTATGCTGCTTGCAAAGGCCAAAGGCTGCGCAATTCGCTGCAAAAACCGCCAATACACATCCAAGTCCGAGACGCCAGTGACATGTAACTCTCACCCAATGCTGATCCTCTGATCGCCAGTCTAATCAGTCTGCAGTGACAAACTCTAGCCAGCTTGTTTACACTTGCCTCTCTTCTGCCACCTTATCCCCCCAATTCACAGCTTTAATTACACCTGTTCTTCCGCACATGAGAGGCACAATACACGTCGACACTGAAGAGCAGCGCAAGGATACGTTTCTGCGGCGCGGGCGGTACCGCTGGCCGTACATGAAGTACTCCACCTACCTCGCACAGCCCGACACGCTAGCATCGGCCGGGTTCTCGTTCCAGCCGGCTAAGGACGCGCCTGACAACACACAGTGCTTTGACTGCGGCTTCGAGCTGGTCGGCTGGGAGGCCACCGACGACCCGTTTGCCGAGCACATCGCGCACCGGCCAGACTGCACCTACGCGCAACTGCACTGCCCGCCGCGGGTCTCGTTAGCAGGACGGCAAAATCGACTGGATCGGGTGGCCACTGGACCGCGACGAGAAGCTGACGAAGAAGGCGAGCCCAGATGGAGTGGGCGAAGATGCATAAGCTGAAGGCCGACGTTGCTATGCGGAAGGCGACGTTTACGCGCGGAGTGTGGCCGCACCAGGGAAAGAAGGCGTGGACATTGACGCCGCAGAAGCTGGCCGAGGCGGGCTTTTATTTCACGCCGGTGAAGGCTGGCGACGATACCGCGTCGTGTGTGTTTTGCGGGTATGCCTTGGGCGACTGGGAGCCGGATGACGACCCAGTGGCAGAGCACCGGAAGCGCGCTGCCGACTGCTTGTTCTTCCGGCTGGAGGCCGGGCCTGAGGCTGATGTAGCGATGCAGGAAGAGGAGGTGCTGCAGGCAGAGGACGAGGTGGTGGTTAAGCTGGAGCCGGGCGTCAGGAACACAAATAAGCGGTCGTCGGAGGCTGTGGTCGTTAGTGATAGCGAGGCCGAGCATAGCGATGCCGAGCATAGCGATGCTGCGTCAGTCGATTCGAAGCGCCCGAGGGTTGAGAAGCCAGCGGAACAGGCGGGTATGACCCACGATGGTTCGAGCGAGGGCGAGGGCAGTGGTGAAAGTGAAGATGTTGCTGAGGCAGAAGACATTACCGAAACAGAAGACATTGCCGAAACAGAAGACATCGCTGAAGTTGAAGACATCGCTGAAGTCCAGGACACCACTGAGGCTAGAGATATGAATGACGCCAACCAGCAGGAGGATAATCCTGACACTGTATCTGAGCTTGACTACTACGAGCGACAGAGTGACCAGGAGCAGCAGGCCCAGCTTGGTGAACCGATACTGATGGGCAGTGCTGAGAATACCCAGGCGACAGCAGTGGGCGATGACGCGCCGCAGTACAGTGCGCGGACGGGGACGGTGGCTGACCACGAGCTGCTTGGCGACACCCAGCAGTCAACGCAGATCGATGAGCAGCAATATGCAGCAGGCGACCCGGAACTGCCCGAGGCTGACATGGAAAAGGCGGCTGATGATGGCGAGTGGGAGCTATCTGAGAGCGAGGAGAGCTTGACTGTGGAGGAGTTTATTCGCAAGTGCTGTCGGCAGCGCGTGTCGGCGCTGGAGGCCTCGGCTGCGCAGATGGTGAGCGCGTTTATGCAAAAGGCCGAGGATACGCGCGAGCAAATTAGCAGCATGACCTGGTAGAGCAATTTCCACGAACTGTGTAGAATACATTTCACCCTGTTGGTGCGACGGTCAACATTCTGGAAGCGTCCAATATGCGCATGAACAAGGATATCCCCACTTCGCACCGGATGGTGAGGAGATAGTGGGCTATCTGCCGTATCGGGGAGGTGCGAAGGCGTCGTTGGGTCCATGACTGTTGCGGCCCTGGGCAGGCATTTGTTTAGTCGCCCTTTGTCCTGACTGTATGTGTAACCCAAGCAATGCCCGCAGGCACGCCTTTCAGCCTCCTGCTTTTTGTTTACTCCGTGATTGCGATAGCGACTACGCAATGGGTGCAGTCTATTCTACATCGCAAGCACCCTTGGGCCAGCCCGACCCCCGCTGAAGCGTGTTCGACACAGGCTTCTGGGAAGCCCTGGGGGTGTAATCTGGACTGCGGCTTTACTACAGGATCCGCAGAGTAGCCCCGGCAAGCCCGGTAGAAATGCACATGGCCAATCGTCATCATGACCAGCGCGCGGCTAGCTGCCCTTAATGCCCACCCGAGAACAATGAAGTGGTTGCGAAGAGGCAAAAGCCGGAGATTTTGTGGGCGATGATTGGCTCGTGACCAATGGTGCTAGTGCGGTGCAAGCTTGTGGAAAAATGCAATGGAGCAGCACAAACCCTTGCTCCTCTCTTCTCCAGTGTCCTCTGCTTTATTTTTGTATCTCAGCGCCTGTCCTTGCTCTATTCCAGGCATTCTGCCACCCCCTTTCTCTTTGCAACGCAATATTGTTATCTCGCAAGTGCTCTAGCCAGATAGAGCAATAGTATATACGAACCACGACATACCTCACGACGGCCATTAGTGCAGAACCCCGCGTACTAGCCACCCGGAGCATTCTATCGCCTCTGCACCTATATACCGAGGGAGAACCGCACACAATGACCAGCACAACGCCACCACCGCTCGGATCCTACACCGTCATAGCCTACGACGATGACTCAAGTAAGTGCTCAGCTTGAATGGCCGTAAACAGGGCCACGGGTCTTCATGCAGTGCATACTGCGTGTGAAATAGCCCACTCTTGCTCAAACCGCCAGCACAGTCACCCTGTGCAGAATGCTGGGTGATCTCGGCTCCATTTCAGCACCAGACCTGTTTTCATGTCCTTGCGAGAATCTCGCGCCCGCTCGACTTCTCCCTCCTCTATTTTGTCGCTTGGGTGCTGATCGCACTTTGCAGAAAGGAGAATCGCTGCCGACACGTTTTCTTGCAACACTGGAGCTCGGGGATCTGGCGCAAGTAAAGGAATATGCTTCCATGGGATGCCTTGCCGTTCCCCCCAGTGGGCCTGCATTCAGTGTCTGGAGGAGACGCTCGCTGGAGTTTCCAGTCTGGCAATAAATCATTACGGAAAATGGCCGTGGGCCGTGCGCACGTCGTGCCACCCACCCAGCGACACCGCCGGGCGCTGGCCATAGGCGGACATTATTAGCACCGTCCGGCGGTCAGTCCTAAATAGGGAACTGCCACCATCTGAACCACGCCCATTTACCGGCCACAGTGGAAATCTAACAACACTGCTTTTTCTGTTTTTAGAGGAGGTCGAGGCGCACATGGAGCTCATGGATCTGGCAATCCAGCAGGCCAGCCTGGCGCAGCCCATCGAAACCGCCTTCAGCGTCGGCTGCCTGCTGATCAACGGCTCACACATCATCTCCACGGGCTACTCGCGCGAATTGCCCGGCAACCAGCACGCCGCGCAATGCGCGATTACCAAGTCCAAAACTTCCTCGCAGGCCCACCTGGTCGCGGGCGCAACACTGTACACGACCATGGAGCCGTGCTCGGCGAGGCTGTCGGGGAACACACCGTGCTCAACCCACATCATTAATGCTGGTATCAAGAAAGTCGTCATTGGCGTCAAGGAGCCGTCGACGTTCTCTAACTGCCAGGGTGTGGTACGGCTGCGCGAAGCCGGCATTGATGTCGTGCACTTGAAGGTGCTCGAGGAAGACTGTCTACGGCCCAACATCCATCTGCTTAGGTAGCTTTGTCCTGTTTGAAAAATATTTGTACGAGCACGCATTTCGCTAGTATTGCTAACCAGCTGCGATATTGAAAATACATTCTTGTTATCAGTTGCTTGTGTTCCACTGCCTGCGCAGCTGGGTCTCCAGATCCTGGTACCGCCGCCGGTGGTAGCTGTCCATGCTCTTCAGTCTCTCCAAAATGTCCATGCACTCTCGCTTCTCTTCCCCGGTAACTGCCTGCGCATCCAGCATATCCAGCGCAACAAACGCATCGACCAGCTCGATCAGCGGCCGCTTGCTCTCCTCCAGCTCTAGAAGCTCCCGAATTGCCGCGATCTTGTCCCGCAGCAGCCTATTCCGGTCTCCATCGCTCTCCTGGATATCCAGCAGCCACTCATGGTACAGCCACGCGTTCTGGTCTTCGGGATCCGTGTAGATTGCATTCATAATCATGCTCATCTCCGTTGCAAGCACACCCTCCCTGTCTTCGCTTCTCTCAAGCTCTGCCGGCAACAGCTTGCTGCGGTTATGCCATGCCGAGCGGTTTGCGCAGTCCCTGTTGATCTGGTCAGTCGTGAACACAAATTCGTTGTGGTCCACGGTGCTCGGGTCCGCTCCAGACTTTTTCATCATCGAGACCACATACCGGCGGTAATCCCAGCCATGGTAATTGCGTGCATCCAGCGCAAGCAGCTTGGCGACCAACCCCAACTCAAGCTCCCAATTGGGCTTGGGCAGCTCTGTGAGCGCCCACACGCGCTGGTTCCACATCCAGTAGCTCTTGATATTGCTCTTGATGAGCTCCAGCAAGAACTGAAGCTCGCCTTCCAGCATCGTCTGGCGGGTGCCGAGGTCCGTCCATTCAGGCAGGTGTGTGAAAATGTCGCGCCGGTAGTTCCATATTGTATGCAGCTCGGTGTTGTCCTTCAGCAGGCGGGTGGTCAGGTCGAGGGTCTCATGCGTGAAGACACTGGCTGCCTTGCTGCTAAAGACATTGTTGTTTAGAGCGCAGTAGCTGGCAACCTTCTGGCGGCTTTCCTCTTCCTCGGAAGCGGTTGGCTTCTTTGCTTTTTCGCGGCGGCGGACCGTGCATGGCTATTAAATTAAACCCGGAATTTGAAATGGGAGTAGAGGCAAGGAGTGCTGGCATGGCTGGATGACGAGTGGCCTGTGGCGGTGTTCAGCAGGGCTTGATGAGCCGAGCCGTGCATATCGTCGCTTCCCTCGAGCTGGACCGGACTTGTCCCAGGATCGGACCCTTTCCAGCCCATCACCGCCCGACGCAGTAGGAAGGGAGTCTTTGAGGTCCGGCTTCCCTAATAGGGGCGATCTCAACCGGTGTCGCCGTGAAAGGAGCGCGCCTGACCAGGCCTGTCTCGGGATCGGGTGTTGAAAAGCACATGTGCCGGCAGACGGAGAAAAAAAAAGCTGCTTGGTTGATGCCACCGCTGCGACAAAGGGACGCCATATTTAAATCTCGACTCGCCTGGGCCGCAGGAGATAGCAGAAACACACCTCTCCTTCACTCCACCCCACACACTTTTACAAAAAATGGTCTCTGTCGCAATCCTCGGTGCCGCTGGAGGCATCGGCCAGCCGCTGTCGCTGCTGCTCAAGATGAACCCACACGTGACGCGGCTCAACCTCTACGACCTCGTCAACGTGCCGGGCGTTGCCGCCGACATATCGCACATCAACACAAACTCCACGGTCTCGAGCCACCTGGACAAGCAGAACCTAGGCGCAGCACTCACAGGCGTCGACATAGTCATTATCCCGGCCGGCGTGCCGCGCAAGCCTGGAATGACTCGCGACGACCTGTTTAACATCAACGCCGGGATTGTGCGCACGCTGGCCGAGGCCATCGCCGACTACTGCCCGACGGCGATCGTCGGCGTGATCTCCAACCCGGTCAACTCCACTGTACCCATTGCTGCCGAGGTTCTCAAGGCCCGCGGCGTCTACAATCCCAAGCGCCTGTTCGGTGTCACTTCACTGGACGTGGTTCGGGCCTCGCGCTTCGTCCGCGACATCCGGCCGACCGTCGACGCTTCCGCCCTGCGCATCCCCGTGGTGGGCGGCCACTCGGGCACCACAATCGTCCCGCTTCTGTCGCTGGCTGAGCCCCGCGTCGATCTCTCGCAGACTGAGATCGAGGAGCTGACGCACCGGAATCCAGTTTGGCGGCGACGAGGTCGTGCAGGCCAAGGCTGGCGCGGGCTCCGCTACCCTGTCGATGGCGTATGCTGCAGCACGTTTCACCGACTCGGTTATTCGCGCAATCAACGGCGAGGATGTCGTCGAGCCGGCCTTTGTCTCACTGGACGCGGATCCCCACGGAGCAGAGAATATCCGCGCGCTTGGCGCCGGCAGCCTCGAGTACTTTGCGGTGCCCGTGCAGCTCGGCAAGGAGGGCGTCCAGCGCATTGTGCCGGTTCCCAGCGTGACGCCGTTCGAGCGCAAGGCCATTGGCGTTGCTTCGGCCGAGCTCCAGAAGAACATTTCAAAGGGCGTCTCGTTCACGCAGAAGGCAAAGATCTAAAACAGCATGTACTTTTTCCCGTCGCCCAAATATATTCGATAGATGGACATTCAGTCTACTCCCTGTGAATTCGATCCAGAACTGCTTGCATCCTCTGCTGTCGCGCTGAGCGGCCCGACGCGGAATTGCAGGACACACACACCCTTGTAGCTGACATGGTGTCGACACACAGGGCATCTGGTGGACAGCCGCACCGATGCCAATGCGCAGCCCTCGCAGAATACATGTCCGCACGGCTTCAGATACACAGCTGGATCCGGCTTATCCAGGCAGATCGAGCACTTGAACAGCGCCCGCGTTTTCTCTCCCGGCTGGCCCCTGATCCAATGTCACTAGGCTTTCCTTCTCGGACTGGCTCTTGGAACCGGCTCTGGGTCTGTTTGCGCTTCTGGCCAGTCACCGGCTCTTCCTCCTCGTCGTCCTCGCCTTCCTCGTCCTCTTCACCAAAGGTCAGACAAGACCTCTGGCTCAGAGTCTGAATCTATAACTACCGGCTCCAGCTGGTTTGCCGGCGCCTGTGGTGCTGCTGGTTCTGGCCGAGACGGCATGAACCCTAGCGAAGCAAGGCTAGGCAACGGTTCAGGCTGCTCGTTGCTCTCTGTTGCCGTGTGCTCAGAATATACCGGCAATGTACGCATGGGTGGCAGCTCTGGTCTCTGAGTCTCCTCTGTACTGAGCGGTTCTAAAGCAGCCTGTGGTACTGAATTTCCTGTATGATATGCGGTCGTAGGTGTCATCTGCGTATTCGCCATCGTTGGTGATTCCAAACCAGCCCATCACCGGATACGGGTACCGCTGTGGGTTCGGCGGACTTGGCGATGTCAATGATGCGCCATGCTCACCCTCTGTCTGGCCACCAAGCACATCGTCAGGAAATTCGCTGTTCGTGCTATCCGACTCCTCGGAGTCGTGTCTGTAATACTCTCTCAGCTCCTGCTCGTCCCCGATTATGTCATCGCTATTCATGTCGCTGGCGAAGTCCATTTCGCTGTCCAATTCCTGCTGTTGCTGCTCGAGGAGTCGCTCAAATGTTTCGTTGCCAGGGGGTGCTTGTGCTTGTGGAGGAAGCGAGGTTAGGAGAGAAGGATTGTGCGGTGCCGAAATTACTTCAGGCGGTCGGTTTTCTACCACAGGTTTGATCGGAAAATGAATGATTGTGATTTTCAGAAACACGCCCGAGTTCCTTCAGTTATTGCTGCGTGGCCCCGCCTTTTCATTATGGAGGGTATATGTGCCTACTTGTAGTATCGCTTGGACTTGTCATCTCTGTATCTGTATGTCTCTATAAGCGCATGTGAATCCAGAGCTAGAATGTTGGAATATGGCAAGGCCGGATTCGCGAGGTGCCATTCATTTTAACGGCCAAGGAAACATTATGGCTGCAGCTTCATTCGCTCAGTTTTGGCAGTTGTGGCTAGGTTTAGTATCGTTCTCGCGCTGGCAGTTTCCACAAGTAGTCAGTGCTGTTCCATGAATGCCAATTTGTATATCTTGGATACCTATGATCATGATGATCTGATATGTTACTAGAAATACTCTGCTCGCGATGCGAGCTCGGCTGCTAGTCAGCATGGGTTGACACGTCGATAAAAGCATCACGGTGAACCGGTCATTTGAACGTGTCGGATGGTTGTTGGTGCAATGTTGATCATGGACATCTCCCACCTTGGTGGTCTGCTCAGCGCAGGCGCTTCAGCGCTGGTTCGCTACTGCTGGCAACAGAATCGCCTGCTGCTGCACGCCTCTTGCGCGGCCTCTTTGTTGCAGGGGTGGTGCCAGAAGCATTAGCAACAATGGCCGTAAAGCGACGGAACCGTTCAGGAATACTGCCTGAATCACAGAGTGACTGGAAAACGAGTCTGAAGTTTAGAACTGCTGCGAGATCGCGGTTCAAGAACCGAGACGAATAGTCCCGCCTGTATTGTGCCATGGCCCGCTTGCGTGACTCGCTTGTACAGCGGAGAAGGCCATGGCACTTCACAGTTGGGTTCTTCGATCTCTGGTAGGGCTGCAGGTTGGGAACATACCGGAATGTCTGCTGCCGCCGCCGATGTACCTGCAAGTGAATCGGCTGCTACTACTGCAGTTGCTGCAGTGGCCTCTGTTTCATCTGATGGCATCTTCGCTGCTTCGCGTGCAGCCTTCTTGGCCAATTTTTCGCCCTTTTCTGCTGCTTTCCTTGCCTCTGTTGCTGCCTTCTTTGCTGCATTGATCTTGGTAACCTCCTCGCGTGTTTTCGAAATAAACACCTGCTTGATTATTTGCTTGTCTAAGCGCACATGGCCTGGGATCCATGATGTCCGCAGAGGCAAGCATTGGGGGAGACTTGCCAAGCTGCTCATTCTCAATAAGCTGGCATTGGCGGAGCTTCTGTGCAGGTGTATAAATATACACTTGACATGCGTTATTTAACTCAGCCTTGGACACATTGCCCATTGTACTGTGCAGTGTGTTTTTGCAGCTGCAAATATCAATCAATTTGGCCAGAATCCGCTGTAGGCAAGTGCCATAGTGCAACATAATGTTGTTCTTGTATGCTGTTAGCAGCTCAGTGTCAATTTATGTCGCTACTTGATTCATTTGGCGTATGCCATCTAGCTCGATATCGCCATTATGTAATAGATAATCATAAATATGATATCTAACTACATCACCGAAATCTGCGCTCGACAGTTCTGACTTGTCCTTCCGGTTAATGTAATCATCGGCAGATATGGCCGTCTTCGCCTTCAGGTTGCGATAAATGAATAAATAAATTGAACGAAAGATTCCCTTTTTCACAAATATTGCAGGGTCAAAAGCATCATCATCAGCTAGTTGATGGAGTAATATCCATCGTGCAAGCATGTATGTATGCTCTTTGATGATATTGACGCTGTGTACAAATTGCTCTAGGCGGGGCAACATAGAATCACGGAAGCCAATACCACCAAGTGATGTCTTTATGACAGTAGTGCTGCGGGTAATATTCATTTGAGAAATTCGGTAGGCAAGTAAGAAGAGAAATGATGCTGTTCAGTTTTGCTGTATTGCGTATGCATAGCATTAAGAACTTTTTATTAAAAATTATCTGGCTTGCATGGTTCATGGGGCCCTTAGCACTGATACAGTCTCTTGAATCAGTCTATACAGACTGGGTCCATTGTGGCCCAAATACTATAATGTATATGTGTTCATAAGACAAATTAATTTATAAAATAAACCCATAAATATCGCATGACCGCTAGAAGAGCTATATGGCCTCATTCAATAGATGCTCATAGATAAATATCCTAAGAGTGTTGCGCAGCTGGTGATGACCACCATGATGACACCATGGAAGTTATCAGGTCGACCGACAATGAGAGTAGCTCTTGTGCTGAACCAATGGAGATATCCGGTGGAGACCTGTTGTTGACATTCAGGCAACCCTATGCCCTTCGCCACCATGTGCAGATCCAAATCCCCACCTATATAAACATTGTGGGCCAGAACGGCTCCATCCTCCCTTTTTCTCCTCAGTAAATTTCCAGTCATATTCATTCCATGAAGCTCATAACTACTGGACTCTCTGAAGGTTAACACCTGAGACCACTATAATAACAACTTGTCACCCTAGTTTCCCTGATGAGGTCAGATGCCGCACAGGATCAAAAAGGAGTTTACGGAACAAGTCATCCAAACTTGTGTTGAAGCTTAAGAGTTATATATCTATCCAATTAATAAGGTTCTAGCCGGTGGTCGGACACCTTTTAGACTATAAAATCTTTTATATAGGTAAAGATAATACTACTTTTCGCTAATAGGCCAGAAATGTTGAAGATAATAATTTGTAATATTACTACCAAAAAATCTGACTACTATGAATCAAGAGGTCAATAAGTGTTGTGTCGGTCGACTATGTAGGGGGTTTTAAAAGGTATATTTAATACTGAAGAAAAGAGAGAAAAGGGAATAGACGAGTTGCGCAGGGGAGTTTTTAATACTGCCATCTGTGCAACTTATCAGAGGCTAGACTCTACCTCCATATCGTAGGCTGTAGCGGGGCTCTCGTTGGCGCCTGGATTTCTGTCACTTGATTCGGCTGACATGTCGATGTCAGGGACAGCCGCATCGGGCGCGCAACATAAGAAGCTATCTCTCCACATTATATAGTTGATCCTTACAGTAGACAGCACATTCAGACATATCAAAGACGCTTCCTTCCTATCTTTGGCATTACCCTTTGGGATCATGTGCTCATCAGCATATAGGAAACTAGATGAAATAAAGCAGAATAGTGGACTGAAGAGAAAAGGGGAGACTGGCTGGACTTTCATGATGCTTTTGTAGTAGATATTTTTGCGTGTTGGCATGGAAGTGGATTGGGGTTCCAATGCCAACAGTGTGAATGAAATTGCCTAAAGTTAGTAAAGATAAAAACTTTGGCAATTGAATGCAAAAGTAGAATGCAGCGAAGACGGATCAGAAAACTGCAAGCTCTCAACGCTGTGACAGCACACCGAGTGACATGGTATGACAAGTGAAATACGCTCTGGAATGGCAGTGGCAATAGCAGCTGGATTGTATGCATGCGTGTTAAAATAAACAATGGTGCAGCCTCCACAACTGGCCAAAATGAGATTCTATAATACCCCTTTTGGCTCTGTGGCAGTCATTATGCGACGAATAGGGCAAGTTGGCTGTTAGATAGTGGTAAAGCATTATCAACTCCACCTGATGGCTGAGTCACAGTGACTAATTTGACTCCGCAAATACCAAATATAGCCCTGCACTAAGGACGAGATAGTATATTGAAGATTTTCTGTGGCTAGAAGTCAACGACAAATTCGGCTGAAAAAGAAGAGCACAGAAGAAACCGGTGGCATTAGCATGCAGAATCTTTGGGCTTGCATCCTGTTAGAGAGCTTGTGGTAGAGTATAAGACAAGTAAGCCTCAGAGCGCCGGATGCAAATCAAATTCGCTTCTCGCTACCATCGCTTTTCGCCCAGTTAGCAGTACTATCAGCTCTTCTAGCTAATATATTCCGATCATGCTCACCTTTCATACCAGCCAGATAGCACATTCGTGTTTTCTCTGACATTTTGCAATGTGCCGTTGCTGAGGTCACTGTGAAAGCCATATGCGGTGGTGGCCAACGCAGTGAGCTGCATTTACTGCCGGACAAAGTGCTGGGGGCCACGCACTGCAGCTCCAGTTCTATTTCTGGTGGGGCCATCGCCGCAGCTCGGAACAAAAATACCATTGTTTCGTATGGAGCTGCAGTGCATGAGGCCGTCTCTATTGCCATATATGCACATGTGCAGCGCATGCGATAGGAGGAGGCGAACAGTGAAAAATCAGGGCATGTCTCCGTCTAAGCCGCCGGGAGCTAAAATGATGGCGGGCGAGTAAAATCTCAGCGAAACAGCAGCTCCACTTCCCTATAAAACGGGCACGTCTCCTGCTGAAGCCAAAAAAGACTCCTCGTCTTCGCAAAAAACTCCTCTCCTCACAAACTCGATACTTCTGATACCATTAATACTACTAATACGCTGGATGGAACTGCTACAACCACATCCTGACCCTGCGGGCGAGTAAGCCACCTGGTGCCAGTTGCCGACGAGTCGGGGGTCGTTGCCTGAATAGGTGACGTTCACCGGTGGGGTGGACTGGCCAGTGTGTGCTGGTAACAAGCCGTCTTCAAGGCACATATACTACGCTATATCTGTTGTCAACAAGCCTCTGCACCATCGCCTGTTGCATAGCATGCAACTAGTAGCGACCACCATCTACTCCAGAACATCTAATAGCCGTCTAAAACCAATACTGCGAGAACCACTTTCAACTGTTAAACCACAAAATCGCTAGCCTTGGCTCTCCAGGGCACAGTTTGTAAATATAGTTTTCTAAAGCTTTTGATACGTGTGCTTTTTGATCTCAGAGGATATGCATGGTAGAAAGCACATGGCATTGCGCTGACAGGTGGGTGCGTGGGTTGAAGTAAGAGTGGTAGCATGCTTTATTTCAGGTTTGAGGTGTGGAATTGGAAAGAAGGAAATCGAAGCCAATAAAGTGCACAAGGTAAAGGCGTGCCTCTGTTGTTGGTCATAGTGGCAATGTACCGGCTGTATGCGGACCACCATCGTTTGCCACCACCACACAGCTGTTGGCAGCGTGGCCTCTGTTCGTCGCCGCTGCCAATTGTATGCCAATGCTCATATGGGCGTCAACACTGCTGGTCGAGGGCGCACCAATATCAGTGCCTGGTATGACCACGAGTCTCGCATATGACACATGTGGTGTTGCTGATGGCTGCACATCCAGAAACATGCGCGTGTCAAAGAAAAAAAAGCAATTCTATTCGACATAGACCATATAGAGCGCTCTGACGACTATGAGAATACCGTGTCACCGTACTTGTTCGCAGACTTGTGCGATGCTTCCTCAAAGTCCTCTCGAGACCGGGGGAAGTCGTCGCTGGTCAGGGCACCACTGCCAAAGCTGTGTGACTCACTGCTGCTTGCGCTGCCGTCGTCCCGGTACGCTGGGCTGCGGTTATCGTTCATTTTGTCCCACGCGTCCACAAACTCGTAGGCAGTGTTCCTCGATCCGCGAGCTTGCTGCTGCGAGTTGCCGCTTGGCTGCTGCTTGCGCAGGCGTTCCCAGGCGTCATCATGGGGACTGTTTGCCTTGCGGATCGAGTCCCATGCCGACTGGTTGTTGTTGCTGGCGGCAACAGCACCGCTGACATTGTATACAGGCTGCTCAGTGTCGTTGTTCTGAGGAGCATCGTCAAACTTGTAGTAAAACGAGTCATCGCCCTGGGTCTGTGCGCGCTCTTCCGGGGTCAGCGATGGCGGCAGCCCGCGCAGATCAATTGTGTGCTGCGCTGGCTTGGTCTGGCCGAGCTCTGGGTGGTCTGGATCCACGCCCCGGCTGCGCAGAATCTCACGAGTAATGTCCGACATCGCTGCTGCAATGTGCGGGTACTTGTGCTCGTTAGACAGCTCCTTCAGGTTGGTGACTGACGCATATGTGTTGCCGAGGCCGAACAGGAACGATCCGTTGAAGAGGATCATGAAGCCGCGCATTCCAAGCGACTTGTTGCGCCTGGACAGCAGGTAGCCGATGCCTACACCAACCGCACCGCCTGCGATACTCAGCAGCCGCTGGCGAGTCTGCGCCTTGGCTAGTGCCTGCTGCTCGGCCTCTGACAGCCGTGCCTTCTCGGCCTGCCGGACAATGACGTCGAGTGGGCTGGGCATTTGAAAAGCTGTTGAAGCAGTGATTTAGGTGAATTGCAGAGCAGAGCGCGGAAGAGGAGGCAAAAGAGAGATTGTGGTTATCGCCGAGCCTGCTGCCCAACCGGAGCGCGGAAAGGCGCTGGGTTCATCAGCGCTGCAATCGTCACTCTTCAGCTCCACTCTCCCGTTTTTATACCCCCTTTTCTCTCCTCATCGCGAGAATGGCCGATTTGCGGGTGGACAATGAGAGCCTGTATGGCTCGTCGGTGTACCGCGGCGGGCATTTCGCCGATGACACCGACCTGCCCGAGTACGTGCAGCTGTGCAAGCGCCTGTTTCCGACGCTGGCTGGCTCAGCCGCCGACCTTGACGCAGCCGACCCCGAGGAAGAGGAGGACACGGCGCGGTACTTCAAATACCTGACCGGGCTGCCACTGCCCTCGCTGAAGATGGAGCCGACCCTGGTGCAGAGCGACCTGCAGCGGATTTCAAATGAGCTGACGGCACTGCTGCTGAACGAGACAGCGACCCCGACAAGCAGCCGCCAAGGGTCCAGCCAAGCCCGGTGTTCGTCCGCTGCCAGCTGCTGTGGACAGTGCACAGGATGCAGAGGGCGGGCACATCTTCAAGGTCGTGCTAGGCACACACCAGCAGGCAGCGGCGACTGTCGATGGGCTGTCGCAGTCGCTGGCACAGGCACAGGAGATTCTCCCGCGACTAGAGCAGGCGTGCGAGGCGTTTACAGCGTCGATGGCCGAGCTGGACCGCAAGTCCAAGGTGGTGCAGAGCGTGCTGGACAAGCAGGACCTGGTTTCGCGCATCGTCGAGCTGCCGCGCGTCATGCAGATGTGTGTTGCAGGCGGGTACTACGAGGAGGCAGTCGAGATCGCCGAGCACGTCCGCGCCACTGGCGACCGCCTGGTGCAGGATATCAGCGAGGACATACAGACGCTGCCTGGGTCCAAGGTCGAGTCGCACCTGACGCCGGCCAGCAAGAGCCAGCTGGTGCAGTTTGTGAGCACGATCCAGAAGCAGGTGCGCACAGAGTTCGAGGGCATGGTGCTGCTGCTGTGTCGCGAACTCGGATACACACATACGCCGGCATTGGCATCAGCACTCGGCATGTCCCGGTCCGGCACCCAGAGAGACGACGATGGGGGCACTGCTGGAGCGCAAAAGTCGCCTGTGCTGGGCGACAGTGGCACCAGCGGCTACGAGCGGTCGATGAGGCGGCTGTCATCGGTGGCCAAGATCGTGGCGATTCTGCGCAGCATCGGCATGTTCAGCGAGAGCGAGCTGCGGCTGCTGTTCCTGCGGGCGCGGTGGCAGGCGTGGAACCAGACGGCCGACCAGCTGAGCGGAATGGCTCCCCAGCTGACACCGGCGGGCACTCGCGACGTGTCTGTCAGCTCGTTCGACCAGGCATTTGGGCAGTCGTCGTTTGCTGGCAGCCCACCGGCTCGGGCGCGGCGTGGATCGGGCAAGGATCTGTCTGCGAGCGAGACCACAGCGTACCTGACAAAGCTCATCGATGCCTTCTGCTCGTGGCTGGCCGAAGTCGACATGCAGTACCGGACGCTGTTTGCCTCAAAGAGCCCGGTAGCGCAGGCTGGAGGGCGGACCCACGACCAGTTCGTTGATCTGGCAGTCCACAGCATGCAGCAGTTTCTGCCGTCGGTGCTGCCGCTGCTCGAGCTGCTTGAGGATGCGTCGGCTATTGCTCGGCTGGAGACGCTGGTTGTCGCGCACGGGCGCACGCTGGCACGCAGCGGGATCGATTTCCTGACGCCGTGCCTGATGGAGGTGCTGCACGAGCGGGCGTTTGCCAGCGTGGTGGTGGGGATCGAGGAGGCAGTCGCTGGGGTGTGCCAGACTCTGTCTGCTCTGGCCAAGGGCAGCGCGGAGTCGCGGTGGGACCAGATTGCAACCTCGACCCGGCCGCCCCTTGGGCACGCGGACACTTTGGATCTGAAGGAGGGCTCGGACGCATCGCAGTTCTTAGGCCAGTTCCGTGTTTCGCCGGTCGGACTGCTGCAGTTCCCGCTGCTGGCCAAGCTGCTGCACGCCTTCCGCGATGCACTCCATGCGCTGCGCATCCTGGTCATGACCGGCGACGGATCAGATGCCAGGGGGAGCCAGGAGCCAAACGAGGCCGTGGTGCTGCTGAGCATGGTGGCGACGGTGTTTGAGAGCGAGCTGATCCGCGTGTCCCAGGCTGTCTCGGAGCTGTGTGCATCTGTCGTTGGCTCGGACCACGGCGGTTCCGAGACCGAGAGCCGCAGGCAGGCAGCCAGGGATCTGTGCGTCGCATTTGTGTTTGGGCTGGCACGCAATGTGTCGGAGACATTCGAGGAGGTGTCGACGCTCAACGACGCGGTGGCCAGCCTCGGCTTCGGCGGAGCAGACTCGGCAGTCACGCTCTACTCGCCGGCTATCTATGCGCCGCTCACCAGGCACATGGAGTGGCCCGCGAGCACTTGATCTGTGCTGGCTGTTCGCTGCGAGCCACTAGATTGCGGATTGCAGCCGGTTCCCACGGTTTCGGGGCATAGGTGGCCTGCGACTTGAGCCTCTGCCGCCGGTCTGCAGATAGCGCCTTTCTCTTTTCTGCGTTTGTATTTTTCTCAATTGTCTACGTTTCGCCAATAAGCCATGACCGTCTCGCAGTTGCTTCGCAGTTCGTCCCGCCTGGGCGCCAGCACTATCCACAAGGTATGCGTGCGCCAGCGGTCGTGCCCGCCTCTCCCTTATCTCTGCTCTGCTCCTTACTAACTGTCTCTCGATTCGTGTATCTACGTAGCGCATGATGTCCAGCTCGGTCAACAGCATCAAAAACGTGTGCGTGGTCGGCGCTGGCCAGATGGGAATCGGCATCGGCCTTGTCGCCGCGCGCGTCGCCAAGCTCAACGTGCAGTTCGTCGACAGCAGCCCGGCGCAGCTCGAGAAGGGACTGGCGATTCCTGGACAAGCTGCTGGTCAAGGACATCGGCAAGGGCAAGTGCACGGAGGACGAGCGCTCCGAGGTCAAGGCGCGCATCAGCTCGGTCCGGCAGCATCCAGGAGATGAGCCACGCCGACTTTGTGGTCGAGGCAGTGTCGGAGAACCCGCAGCTCAAGCACACGATCTTCTCAGCAGCTGTCGGAGCGGCTGCCCGAGGACACGATCCTGGCCACCAACACGTCGTCGATCAGCATCACCAAGATTGCGTCGGCAGCCAAGCGGCCCGACAACGTCATTGGCATGCACTTCATGAACCCGGTACCGGTGATGAAGCTGGTCGAGATCATCCCCGGCCTGCAGACATCGCAGGCGACGCTCGACACGACGCTGGCGCTGGCCCACAAGATGGGCAAGACCACGACCATGTCGCAGGACGTGCCTGGCTTCATCGCCAACCGCCTGCTGATGCCGTACATCAACGAGGCCATGATTGCGCTGCAGGAGGGCATTGCGTCCAAGGAGGACATTGACACGACGATGAAGCTGGGCACCAACAACCCGATGGGACCGCTGACCCTGGCCGACTTTATCGGGCTGGACACGTGCCTGGCCATCATGAAGGTGCTGCACAACGAGCTGGGCGACTCAAAGTACCGCCCGGCGGTGCTGCTGCAAAAGTACGTCGACGCGGGCTGGCTCGGCGTCAAGAGCGGCAAGGGCATCTACGACTACCCGGCCAAGAAGTAGGCGTGCCGGTCTCCCATTTCATTTAGATTTCGGATCCAATGTAGCTCTTATCTGTGCTCAAAAGCACGAAGCACCAAATGCCGTGCTCTGTATACCATCACCTGCACCATGACTCTGTCGCCGCTCGCCTCGAAACCGCTGTCGCTGTATGTGCACTGGCCGTACTGCTCCTTTCCTCTGCAGGTTCTGTGCGTTCTCCAAGGCCAGGACGCCGGCGCAAGGCGTGGACCACGACCGTGTCACCAATGCGCTGCTGAAGGGAGCTGCGGACCAGCCTGGGACCGCACAAGGGCCGGACCATCAGCAGCCTGTACTTTGGCGGAGGCACACCATCGCTGTCGAGACCGGGCGACGTTGCGCGGATCATCGAGGAGGCTGACCGCACCACGCGTCTGAGTCCCGACGCCGAGATCACGCTGGAGTCGAATCCGACCTCGGCCGAGGTTGCAAAGATGCGCGAGTTCAGGCAGGCCGGCATCACCCGGTACTCGATCGGGATCCAGACCCTGGACGACCGGTCCTTGGCAAAGATGGGCCGGCTGCACACGGGCGCTGAGGGGCTGGCTGCAGTGGACAGGGCAAAGGCGCTGTTTCCTGGCGGAGTCAGCTTTGACATGATCTTCGGCTTCGAGGGCCAGACCGTGGAGCAGTGGAGGAAGGAGCTGGGCACGGCGACTGGGGCATGCCGACCAGCCACATCTCGATCTACCAGCTGACGGTGGAGCCGGGCACCCCGCTGCATCGCGACCGCGCTGCGCAGCGCGTGCGGCTGCCGGGCAGCGACACCCAGGCGCAGCTGTACGAGGCAGCGGTTGAGCTGTGCAGCGGCCACGGCTTCAGGCACTACGAGGTGTCCAACTATGCCAGGTCTGCTGCTGCCGAGAGCAAGCACAACAAGAGCTACTGGCGGTGCCACGACTGGATCGGAGTCGGTCCAAGCGCGCACTCGCGGTTCGTGGATCCAGCCAGCGGCAAGCGGGTCGGGACCGTGCGCATCCCTGACACTGCGCGGTGGATGGGCAGGTGCGAGGAGGTGGGCCACGGCACAGCCAAGATCGAGGTCGTCGAGGAGGACCAGGTGAGGCAGGAGGCGGTGGTGTTTGGCCTGCGCATGGCTGCTGGCATCGCCGACTCGCGATTCCGCCAGCTGTCGGGCGGGCTTTTGCTGCGGGAGTATCTGCGCATGGATGCTGTGCACGCGCTGGCCGCCCAGGGATACCTGTGGCTGGCCGAGGAGACCAGGCGGCATGCGGGTAGCGCCCACCGAGGCCGGGCTCGCTGTCATCGACAGCATCCTGCTGGACATCCTGCCGTAGAGCGCAGCGTGGGCGATTCGTCGCCTTCTGCGATGCGCGGCACGTGATTGCGCCTGCGCCCACATATGAACGAGTCAGCCAGCTTTCACATGCATTTGGCGCCAGTCTGCAGCAGCGCAGCAGCGCGCTTTCAAGAGGCGGGCGAACTAATGAGAGCATCGCTGCTCCCCAGACCTGGGCTCTGGACGCCCGCCGCTCCTCCTCCAGCTGCTTGAGGTGCGGGATAGCCTTCCGCGTCTGGGCGGAGTGCCTGGGACTCGGGCCAGCTGACCACGCAGCGCGCGAAGTGCGGCAGGTGCGCTCTGCGACCGAAGAAGCAGTCCCCTTCCCAGGCTCTCCTCCCGTTACTTCTCGCTCCAGCACTTTCCAGCCTTCTTTTTTTTTTTTCTTCCTTCTCGAATTCCAGGCGCTGCCTTGCCACTTTTGCGGGCAGCATAGACTCCATACCACCTAATAGCAGCACACTCTAGCGATGCCAGCCCGGACAGGCGACCTGTACGTCGGAACGGCGGTGAGGCAGGTGCACGACGCATTGCTACGGCTGGTGCAGAGCACGCAGCAGCGCCAGCTCGAGTTCCTGACGCGTGCGGTGCTGCTGTACGCCAGGCACCAGACAAAGATCCGGCGATCGATCATGGTTGTCATCTGCATCGGCATTCTGGATCGGCTGCGCCGGATATCCAAGGATGATGACGTCGGAGCGCCAGCAGAAGACAAATGCCAGCAGCCAGCAGCAGCAGCCAGCAGCCAGCAACAGCAGCACGGACCAGAGGCAGCAGCGCGTAGGGAAATCCAGCAGCGCGCAGCTTGACAAGCAGTTCTTTGACAACATGAAGCGGCTGGTGGCCATCGTGATTCCTGGCCTGGCGACGCGCGAGTTCGCCATGCTGATGACCCACAGCTGCCTGCTGGTGTTCCGCACGTTCCTGTCGGTTGTGGTGGCAGCGCTGGACGGGCAGATTGTGAGCTCGCTGGTCCGGCTCAACGGCAGGGAGTTCTTGATGGGGATCGTCAGGTGGATGGCCATTGCGGTGCCGGCCACGCTGACCAACAGCCTGCTGAACTACCTGCAGACGATGCTGGCCATCCGGTTCCGCCAGAACCTGACCGAGCATGTGCACGCAAAGTACCTGTCCAGGAACACATACTACGCCGTGGGCAATCTGGACGACCGCATCAAGAACGCCGACCAGCTCATTGCCGTCGACATCATGAAGTTCTCCAACTCGCTGGCCGAGCTGATACTCGAACCTGGCCAAGCCCACGCTGGATGCATTTGTGTACAACATCCAGCTAGGCCAAGAGCCTGGGTCTGGAGTCTCTGTTTGGCATCATGGTCGTCATCCAGCTGTCGATGGGCATGCTGCGGTACCTGACGCCGCCGTTTGGCCGGCTGGTTGCCCAGGAGCAGAAGCTGGAGGGCGAGTTCTACTTCACCCACTCGCGGCTTATCGAGCACGCCGAGGAGGTTGCGCTGTACCGCGGCCACGACGCCGAGAAGCAGACTATCAACCGGCGGTACCTGCGGCTGGTGCGGCACATCAACCAGATCTTCCGCCTCAACGTGTTCTACGGCATGCTCGAGGACTTTATCGTCAAGTACTTCTGGGGTGCTGCTGGGCTGGTTGCGTGTGCAGGCGCCGGTGTTTGCCGAGCGGCTGCCTGGGGTGCAGAAGGCAGTGGCTACGTCGGTCGGCAGCGTGGCCAGTGCTGGCGGCAGCGCCAGCAGCAGCCTGGGCAACCGCACCAGAGACTTTGTCACCAACCGCCGCCTGCTGCTGAGCGGCTCGGATGCGCTGGGCCGCATGATGTACTCGTACAAGGAGATTGTCGAGATGGCCGGGTATGCCGAGCGCGTCACCGACCTGCTCACCGTGCTGGACGATGTCAGCGAGGGCAAGTACGTCAAGACGCGGGTTGGGAAGTCGGCCGAGAAGAGCGCCAGCAACGACGCGGAGGCCGACGTTGTCAACCAGCGCGGGCAGCAGGTCGAGAGCACAGACGACGTCGAGTTCATCGACGTGCCGATTGTGTCGCCCAACGGCGACGTGCTGGTGCGCCGGCTCAACTTCCATGTCACGCCGGGCCGCCACCTGCTGATCGTCGGTCCGAACGGGTGCGGCAAGTCGTCGATGTTCCGCATCCTGGGCGGGCTCTGGCCAGTGTACGGCGGCACTGTGCGCAAGCCCAGCATGAGCCAGATCTTCTACATCCCGCAGCGGCCGTATCTGCCGATCGGCACTCTGCGCGACCAGATCATCTACCCGGACTGCGCTGCCGACATGGAGCAGAAGGGCGTCAGCGATGCCGACCTGCTGTCCATCCTCAATGTGGTGCAGCTGGGCCACATTGTCGAGCGCGAGGGCGGCTGGGACTCGGTCAAGGTGTGGAGAGACGCGCTGTCTGGCGGCGACAAGCAGCGCATTGCCATGGCGCGCCTGTTCTACCACCGCCCGCGGTACGCCATCATGGACGAGTGCACCAGCGCGGTGAGCATGGACATCGAGAAGATCATGTACACGCACGCGACCAGCCTGGGAATCACGCTGCTGACTGTCTCCCACCGCCAGTCGCTGTGGCAGTACCACAACTACATCCTGCAGTACGATGGCCAGGGCGGGTACATGTTCTCCAAGCTGGATCCGCAGCGCCGCATCGAGCTGCTTGAGGAGAAGCAGCAGATCGAGCAGGAGCTGGCCTCAATCCAGGACCTGGAGACCCGCCTGCACGACCTCGAGATGCAGGTTGCTGCGTACTAGGCCCAGCAGCAGTAGTCTTTGCACCATGATGGCTTGTTACCTAATATACATGTGAAATGTATTTGATATATGCGCTGGGTATGTCTTGTCGAAACAGACCGCTTGCAGCTCAGCTCGGCTATGCAGGTACCTCCGCCAATGAAGAACCTGATCGTTTGATCTGTGAAATCAGCACCAGCCACTTGCACCTCATAAATCCCAAGTCACTGCTCCTGCCTCCTTGCCAGCCCAGCCGTACTTTACTTTCGGATTATCCCTACGTCTTTTCTATTTTTCTTCGCAACAAATAGCCATGAGCTACGTCGAATTCGGAACCCTCGTCGCACAGCGCACCATCTCAGTCTGCAGCTTCGCGCACCAGCACATGTACCCGCTCTGCTGGGATCTGGTCCAAAGCACGAGCGAGCAGTGGTCTCCGCTCAAGACAATCGTGAGTGTCGTTGGTGCCACCTCGCTGACATACCTGCTGGAGGCGATTTTTGTATACTGTGGTCTGCGGCTGGGAGTGTTCACTGTGCGGTTGTTCAGCAACACGCTCTACCGGATTCTGCGGTTCGCCTTGACTGTGGTTTTGGTGTCGGCACTGGTGCTTTTCGGAATCTATTACTACTTTACTTCTACGCCTACGGGGCAGGAGCTGCTGGTGGCGAAGAGCCGCGGGTTCTTTGTCGACCAGGCTATGGAGCTGGCGAGTCGGCTGCAGCCGATGTTTGAGGCCCAGCGGACGGCGAGTGCTGTGCCGGGACTGAACAACCCGTTCTAAAATGCTGGAGGCAGGTGTCAGTGAAGGCGAATGGTGCGTGACGCAGGCCGAGCTGGGACTCGGGCGGGAACGAGGTGGTGCTGAGCGAAGGAAGGGCGTGGGCGATGTTGGGCGAGCGTGCAAGGAACTGTGCAGCAGTTTGGGCATCCTGGTAACCAGAAAAGTGGTTGCCGATGATCATCAGGTTGGCGAGCGTTGCGGAGTTGGCGCCTAGGAGGTTGTCGTAGAGGAACTGCTCGCAGTGCGGCATATAGAATAGCGTCTTTGCTGTAGCCTTGCGCTTTGCTTCCTAGTAGTTTTCCCAGTAGTTTTTCCCAATTGTTAATAACAGCGGCATACAAGTGCGACAAAAGCCAGGCGTATACTGTACCTCATTTGTTTCAATCACGTTCACACCAAAGTGCTGGTAGGTGTGGATGTCGGCAGGCGAGGTTGCTGGATCGAATGCCAGCATCTTCGCGTCAAAGCGGGTGTTCAGAATAAGGATGAGAGCAAGCTGCCATTGCGAGACCTGGTTCGCCAGAGACCCAATTCCATAGCAAACGACTTCTTCGGGACCAAAGTCTTTGACAGCGGTGATGAGCTCGGATAGAGGAATCCAGGAACTTGCTGCTGTTCAGTGTAGCTCGCTTATCGATGATATCTTCGACTTGTTCCTGCGCAGTGGCGGCAGTGTCCTTCTCTTTTGTCAGGAGCACTGCTTTGCGAATACAGCCCCTTGGTGGAGGGCACGCCGTTGTCCTTGGCAGGCTCCAGTTTCCTGAGCGCAGCCGGCGGGACGCCTGAATCCCCTCTGTTTCCGCTTCGATGTGACCAGCGTGAACCCGTCGTCGTTGTCTGCAGCACACATGATGTGGGTATCGATGAAATATCGAAATTTTCCGTATTTTGAGGATGGGCTTTATGAAATAAGGTGAAAGATGGAGGCATAAATAACAAAATGGGATTCTAGTAGGGGCAGGCGCTACTTGCTCTTGCTGCCAACGGCAACGCCTGGAATCATGGTATGCTGGAGCCGCGGCACTGGATGGATGACATCGCCGACAAGTAGCGAGCGCAATAGACCCCACGACAAGTAGTTTGCACTGAACTGCACCCAGATCTGGTAGTACTGGAAGAAAATCGCCGTGAAGGGCACCGGGATCGAGCGCATCTCAATCACCGTCACGTCCAGGCGGCCTCTGGCGGCGAGTCGGAATTGGGTCGCGCGAAATGTGTACAGGCGAGCCTGGCAGCTTCCAGTTAGGGCTCGACGAAGCGACGCACATACTTGGAGTCAATGACTGTAGGCAACGCCGCCCGGGAACAGGAGCGGATCGCGGATACGCTGGATGATGTAGAAGATCGGGAAATGGTTGACGATGCTAAGCAGGATCTCCAGGAGGCCCTGCCCCATGATGACGACGACGCGGCGCATGGCAAAGGTCAGGTAGTAGACAAGCACGGTGGGGAAGAGGTAGATGAGCAGGGTGAATAGAATGGTGCCGATCAGCAGCTGGTCGAGATCGTAGTCGCAGCTGTCTATGCGATTGCGCAGCACGTTGTGCTTGCGGCCGCGGAACAGGTTGAACAGCGAATAGAGCATGAGCAGCTGCCAGTGGAAGATGCGTGTAGCAATCATATAGAACCAATATGTGTGTAGTGTTGTCAGTGCCATGGTGTCGGAGAGAATCACCAGCTGCATGGAGAAGCCGACGACAAAGCCGGCCCACGATGCACACACAACCACAGTCTTGACGTACTGCATCAGCGGCTGGAAAGTAATGGTCCAGAAGTGGATCAGCCACAGGAACAGCTCGGCGAGGAAGTGATCGAGTCCCTTGTTGAGTTTGAGGCCGGCGGGCGCACCATCCAACCAAAAAATCATCTTCTCAAGCGATACCACGGTGTACAGCTTTCAGGTTCTCCTCTATGTAGTTTGCAACTGGCGCAGCGTAAAACAAAAGCACAGTGCCCAGGATGCAACCAAGCGCAATGTCGACAGCGATAACCCAGATGCTGTTCCAGATGCTGACGTGCTGGGCGTTGTTGTGCACATGGCGCGGCTGGCGCGCCTGCTCGGTCAGGTACGCCAGACGTCGCAGCACTAGATCCAATTGCTGGCCAACGGCCGACATCTCTCCGCATCTTGAAGCCGCCGACGGGCGTGTCCAGCAGCCGCAGGATGAACGCGGAGAGCGCCAAGAACAGATTGCATAGATCGCTGGTGAATCCGCTCGAAATGGCCTTGTCGTCTTGCTGGTGGCTGGCGCGGCGCTTGGCGGCATCGGAGTCGTGCATGTACATATACAGCTGGGTGGTTGTGTTGATGTAGTCGAGCGTTGTCTGCAGCGGCGAATGGATGTGGGGCTGTGTAGCAGTCAGATCGAGGTTCAGCGGCGATGCCTTGTAAAAGTGCATGGGTTTCTGTGGGTTCTGCTCATACAGCGTGACGATGACACGGCACGGATGCAGCTGGCCGAGGATGTAGGATCGAGCGGAATGCAACCTGCGAGCGCGACGTGAAGGCCGAGACCCACACAGGTGCTCAGGTCACGCGCATCGGGTTCGCACAGACCCTCGTTTTCACGGCTCAGGTACCCAACGATCTTGGGCTTCTTCAGCGGCTCCTCGGAGGCCAGCTCCTGGTGGTACGCCTCCATATCGGCAGTGACCTGGCAGGCATTGGCAAACGACGCCTTGGTGGCCACCACCAACTCCGTTGACGCCCAAGTCCCAGCCGACAAGGTACCCACTCTCCTTGATGTCCTTGGAGAGGTGCTTTGGCCAGAATATTTTGACTGTGTCCATGATTTAGAAGCTGCCGCGACGCTTCAGGTGCTCGCGCGCAGAGGTGCGGAATGCGTATCCGGGGATTGTTCTTTGCCTCCCAGTCGGCTACCTTCGCGAACGGGTAGAGCAGCAGTGCGAGCGCGGTCAGTGTTAGCAGGATGCCGAGTATGACTAGCAGGAGCGGCGAGAGCTGGGTGAGCCGGAGCGAGACGATTTCCTTAATCTGGTCCCAGTTGAGCGGGTTGAAATGTCGCGTTAGGTATCCGATAGCGAAGGCAATGAGGACCAAGCGGACTTGGTCAACGAGCATTTGAATGCGAGCAGCGGGAAAATGGGCAGGAAATGTAAAGGGTTTAGAGCGCAACAAAGCAAGACGCGTGCAATGAATGAATGATCGCATTTTCTTTCCTGCTGCCAACGTGTTTTGACTCTATAATCATAAACTTGCACAAATTGAAAATGGACGATTTGTTCGGCTCCGATGTAAGCGACAGTGAGACCAAGGGCAACCCGCGCTCGCCTGCACGCGGCAGCTCGCCTGCAGCGACAGAGACGCCGGGCAATGTAGCCGACGACCTGTTTGGCAGCGACACCGAGGAGCCTGTGGCACCAAGGCCCGAGAAGGCCGACGGCGACGCGTTAGAAGATCTGTTTGGCAGCGACGAGGAGGCAGAGCAGACAGGCGACAGACACACAGACAGAGATGACGACGATGCGCGCAGCACACACAGCATGCGCAGCGTCGACGATGACAAATACATTCGGCAGAAAGTCAAAGTGCTGGGGGCCAAGATCCCGGTGCTGCCGATGCCGCGGGCGTCTGACGACCGCTTTGTGATTGCACGGACACCAAATATCTTGCAGTTTGAGTCGACACCGTTCTCGGCGGACGCGTACGAGGATGTGATTGCTGACGAGCACAGGGAGGCCGAGCGGTCAGGATTCCGAACCAAGGTGTCGGCTGAACTGGCCTCGGCTGTCGACGGCGTCATCTCCAACACTGTGCGGTGGCGTATCGGCAAGAACGGGAAGCACGAGAGCAATACGCGGCTGGTGCGGTGGTCCGATGGATCGATGACGGTGATGGTCGGCGGCAGTGTGCCCGAGTCATACAATGTGTCTGCGGACAGCCTGGCTGCGGAGCAGCAGTACATCGCCGCGCAGCACCTGTCTGCCGGCCTGATGATGAGCCACGCGAAGCTGACAGACAAATGGTCGCTGCGGCCGTCGCGCCAGTCGGTAAAGGCTCGCCATGCGGTCTCACATCTGCTGCCCCGCCTCAAGACTGCAGGATCGGCGGCACACAAGCCCGGTGGAACCCGGTTTATGGTCGCCGAGGAGGACCCGGAGCTTATCGCCAAGCGCGAGGAGATGGAGGAGGAAAAGCGCGAGCGGCTGCGTCGCAAGGAGGAGAAGCTGCGCGAGCGCAAGGAGGCCAGGGACCAGCGCAACGCGCCTGTGCAGGACAACGCGTACTCGGACGACGAGCACGGATATGGATACGGGTCTGACGAGCAGGATGTCGACGTTGAGCGCTCTGCACGTGACTCGAGCCGCGCTGGCCGCGCCCCCGCATACAACGCCGCGCCCTTTGCCCGTCGCGCCCGCAACTCGTACATTGACGAGGAGGAGGACGACGACGGCTTTGTCGTCGACGATGACGCCGAGCTGGAGGTCGGCCCGCACGACGAGTTCGACGAGGAGGAGGAGGAGGAGGAGGAGTATGCGCGCCGACTCAACGACGCCAAGCGCACACACGGCGACGACGACGATGCCAGCACCCACCATGCTGGGCGCAGCGCCAAGTCGCGCCGCCTGATGGACTCCGACGATGACGATGACGACTTCTAGCGTGCAGGAGCCGAGCCGCGGCGGGACCGGAGTCGAGTCGAAAAATTTTCCCTACAGTTTCGCGATTCTGGGCCGACCCCGGCCAAGATTATTTTTTCGCACCGCACTGCTCAGATTAAAAGTGCCTGGCGCGCCGGCGCTGGGGATGGTTTCCTTCTCTCTTTTTCCCGAAACAACTTTTTCAACAAGTTACTCTTTGCTCTAAAGAAAGGAAAAGCCATGTCTGCCAGCCTTGTTCTCCGTGGAACCCTTGTCGGTGCGTATCAGCAGTAGTCGTGATTTGGAGCGCAGACTCCGGAATTGGGAGAAGGCGTTGGATTGCGAATCGGGACATTCAACTAATCGGGCTTGCTGCTGTTATTTAGGTCACGCCGGTGCCGTCACCGCTCTCGCCACCTCGGCCGAGAACCCCGACCTCCTGGTCTCCGCCTCGCGCGACAAGACCCTGTTCGTCTGGAACCTGACCCGCGACGACACCAACTACGGTGTTGCCAAGCGCTCGCTCCACGGCCACAACCACTTTGTCGAGGACGTCGTTATCTCGTCGGACGGCCAGTACGCTCTGTCGGCCTCGTGGGATAAGACCCTGCGCCTGTGGGACCTGAACACCGGTGTCACCACCCGCCGCTTCGTTGGCCACACCAAGGATGTCCTCTCGGTTTCGTTCTCGCCGGACAACCGCCAGATCATCTCGGCCTCGCGCGACAAGACCATCAAGGTCTGGAACACCCTTGGTGAGTGCAAGTACGACATCACCGATGAGGGCCACTCCGACTGGGTCTCGTGCGTCCGCTTCTCGCCCAACCCCAACAACCCCCTGATCGTCTCGTCGGGCTGGGACAAGGCTGTCAAGGTATGTATCAGCAACCGCCTCTGCAGCCACTGCAGCAATGGTGCTGCTGCCCATGATGTTTTCTATATTTGCTACTTCAGAGGCAGACGGCCGATGAGACAAACAACACCAAACTTTACTGAGGCAGCACCCACATCAGCCTCCCTTTTGGCTGATGTGTGCTCTCCTCTTTTTGCCTGGGATCGCACTTTTGGCACTGGATGCTAACCGCAACCGCTCTGTTCCAACATGCTTTTAGGTCTGGGATCTGACCAAGTTCAAGCTGCGCACCAACCACTACGGCCACACCGGCTACGTCAACACCGTCACTGTCTCGCCTGACGGTTCGCTGTGCGCCTCGGGTGGCAAGGACGGCGTCACCATGCTGTGGGACCTCAACGACGGCAAGCACCTGTACTCGCTGGAGGCCGGCGACATCATCAACGCCCTGGTCTTCTCGCCCAACCGCTACTGGCTGTGCGCTGCCACCAGCTCGTGCATCAAGGTCTGGGACCTCGAGTCCAAGTCCTCGGTCTGCGAGCTCCGCCCCGACTTCGTCGGTGTCGGCAAGAAGTCGAACGACCCCGAGTGCATCTCGCTCGCCTGGTCCGCTGACGGCAACGTCCTGTTCGCCGGTTACACCGATAACATCATCCGTGTCTGGCAGGTCACCAACAGCCTCTAAATGCAAGAAGGCTGGACAAACAAGCCGTGTGCGCGTTTGAATCCGATGTTCGGCTGGTAATGTTCTTTCCCGAATGTGCAGCCCGAATAAAGTAAGAGCGTGCTCCTGGCTTGTTTTCTAAGGTTACAAGTGGAATAACTCTCCTACTTGTCTATTTTCGTAGCTTTCGTTCTGTTTTTTGCAAATGACGACTCGAGCTCTGAAGTTTAGCCTTACAACAATGAGTGCTGGTCTGCGGAGAGATGCCAACGCCGTTTTGCACGCTGCGCTGTGCGGGTTTCAGAGCAGCGAGTCTGCGGCTATTGCGTGTACGTGGGGTCTGAGATATGCGTATCTACCGCCTCTTTGGGAAGTAGGGTGGCCAGCCATTTGCCCTCCGTGAAGCAGAGACGCCTTTCCCCCTTAACCATGCGGCTGTGGCAGTGTGCAATGCACATTGCGCGCTAATGACTGCCGCATTGAGGATCCCTCTGCCCATGTCCAACCTTTCTCAAGCCTGGCTGCTCTTGCTGTTTGTGTGGAGATGTGAACCCTACACAATAAAGTGACACGTACCCTCGTGGCCATCCAGGGTGTTATGATGGTGTGCGGGGAATGTCAATATGTGGTGTTGGCTGGCTACAAGAAACATCTTCACGACATGGGTGCTGGGCCTTGACTTCTTGTCTGAGCGAGCCCGTCTTTCTTTTCTCCCTCGGCAAGCACGCTGTCTCTTCACATTATTGCATATCCTTCTTCTCACTATTCGCATTTGTAGTTTGCTGTATAGGAAGGCCGATTTCTGTGCAACATTTCATATCTGCATATTTTCATAATACTAGATTCTTCATATCTACATTTTATTTTGCTTACTACATGCGGTGCAAGGCTATAGTGGGCGTACTGGCCGCACTTCTTCTGCTGCTGGTAGTCAGCGGTGCGAAAGGCGATTCAGAGTCCAAGGGGCTGATTCTGGCCGATGCCTCATCCCATTCCACGGGCTCTTCGCATGGCAAGGGCGACAGCGACAGCAAGGGCTCCTCACAGGGAAAGAAACCCACCAAGACGACCAAGTCGGATGGTGACGACGATGGCGACTCCAAGAGCAAGAAGGGCGGGCGGAAACGGCCGACCAAGACGCGCAAGGTAGAGGAAGAAGAAGACGACAGCGAGAGCGATGCCGAGCGTGCCTATCTGAAGCGCGTCAAGGCCGACAAGGACGCGGGCAGAATGCCCGGGCGCATGAAGATGTTGGTACCGCCACGCACAGTGCACACGCCCTTGTTTGAGCTGGACTCTGTGGTCGAGCTGCAGTGGGAGTACGACAACAATGTGATCGAGGTTCCCGAGAAGCTGATGATCTCGGTGCAGATGCCACGCGACCCGCACGCCGATCCGCGCCTCAAGCCAGTCATCTATGACATTGCAGTCAACGTCACCGGCGACAGGAAGAAATTTTACTGGGACACAAAGAACGACGTGCCGGACGGCGTCGGCATGAGGGAGGGGTCGGGGTACACGATGTACTTTTATGATGGCGAGATCGGGTTCCGGATGAGCGATGTGGTGCCGGCCGGCTACTTGATAAAGTATGCGATGCCATTTGCGTTCTTCATCTCCAGGTACGACCGCACCAACGATGGCGTGCCGAAAAACTACAATCCGAATGCTGCCACGCACCTGGCGCCTGCTGTGGCCTGGTCGCTGCTGGTGGTGATGGTGGCCACGTTTGCGGTCCGCTGAGCTTGATGCAGCCGGCATTTCAGGACCCTATCTTTACGGAGCGGAGGAGGCACGGCGTCTCTCGCGCCTGTGGTCCTCCTGAGTCTATGTTCCATCACTATTCATCGACATTATTTCTTTGTCAGAGGGAGAAATAGAATTGCATTTTGCCTTTTTGTCTCAACTCCATCCGGGCGTGGGCGCTGCGTGTCCCCAGAAGGGAGTTCAGAAGCCCCGGCTGGTGCCTGCATCCCAGGATGCGGAGGGGGAGGAGGTGCAGGGAGCAGTGTGGAGCACTGCCAGAAATCCACGCAGCAGGCTCGGCCACAGCGCATGGCTCCCCGCTCTGCAGGTTTAGCAAAAAATTATAATCCGGTGCTTGTGGCAGGTGACTTCAGACGCTGAAAGTAGGTAAATACCTCGGCGTCGCAAGTGGTGTGGTGGTGGGGGCTGTTTTTTTTTTTTTTTCAGAGCCGCAACAAGCAGCGACAGCTTTTTTCTTGCCGCTGCATCTCTGCTCTTGCCCCTCTCGTTCGCTGTTTTTCTCGTACATTCTTCAGCTCTCGTTTATTCTCCTTTTGGTCCAAAACACCGTTCATTGTTACTCTGTCGCTCTACTTGCGCGCACTTTTTGCAATTCCATATTTTCGTCACTCTTTCATAAAAGCAACCTGCCAAGAATGAGCAAGCTGTGCTTCGCAGCACGCCAGGGCATAGCCGTGCTAGTGGCCATGCTGCTGGCTGTGTCGAATATACTGCAGGTCCAGGCGTCGGTCGTGGTGGTGGTAAGTGGGGAGGCTGAGTCATAATAAGCGGCTCATCGTTGGTTCTGTTGCGATGTGCTAAGCCTGTGTTTCCTTGGTTGTGTAGTCGACAAACGTCACCTTCGAGGTAAGAGATCCGCAGAACAAGCACACTTCTCGGGTGTCACTCATTTTTAGCTGGCCACTCAGCCGGGTCTTCTGCTCCCCTTTTGGAGTGTGGAAGGCCCGGCGGATGGCCCAGACGAGCATCCTTTGGCGAGCATGCATATGGATTGCCGTGCAAAAGCCTATAGTTTTTGTGCTTAAACATGCCCTTATTTGGGGTTGGTGTAGGATCGGTCAGCCATGTTTGGATCGCACCTGGGCGACGACGGCCTGGTCGGACGGCTGGTGATCGTCGAGGATATCGAGCCAGGCAACGTGGACGGGTGCCGCCCGCTGGTGCACCGGCTGGACACGGACCATGCGTGGGTAGCACTGGTGGAGCGCGGCAGCTGCGGCTTTGTCGAGAAAGTGCGCAACATGCAGGCATCGGGTGCCGCGGCGGTGCTTGTCGGCGACCCATGGTACGATCTGCCCGTGACAATGTACGCCTCAGGTAAAGTATCATCAGGGAACAATGGCGGCGCGAAAGCTTTTTTTCTGAGGCATTATGCTAAACACTGGCTCCGAGTGTAGGTGACACGTCAGATGTGCATATTCCGTCATCGTTTATTGCGCGCAGCGAATACAACGGACTGCGCGATGCTGCAGCCATGTCGGACGGGCCGCTTATGATCAAGCTGATGCGCAACGAGTACTACGAGCTGCCGTTCCTCGATGTGCTGTTCATTACGATTCTGTCGCCGATGCTGATGATGGGGTTCATCTACATTTTGTACCGGCTGCGTCTGCGGCAGCACCGGCTGCGCGACCTGGCTCCGACAGACGTGGTCAACGGGCTGCCGACCAAGACGTTCTACCACTCAAAGTACCGTGAGGGCGAGCCCGAGGAATGCGCGATCTGCCTGGACGACTTTGACGACGAAGATGAGCTCCGTATTCTGCCGTGCCGGCATCAGTATCACGTTAAATGCATCGACCGGTGGCTGACGACTCGCAAGAAGTTCTGTCCCATCTGCAAGCAGAACGTATGCCCGTCAACGGAGCATACGCCGCTGCTGTCGCCGCGCCTGCGGTCGATCGTGTGAACAGCCTGCTGTGCGAGCGAACCGCCCCTGTGCCTCGAACAAAAACGCTGCCACTGCCTTCACCAGCCTTTTATATACTCCTTCTCTGTATCTTAGTCTCTGAATCGCTTCTCAATTATATGCCAAAGGAAACCGAGGGCCGGCATAGTGGTAGGGGGCGGGTGTGGTATGTCATGCCACTAGTCGTCACATGCTCTTGCCATGGCCCGCGGCTGTGTTCATTATTGCCAAAACATGGTGGATTTGTGTGTAATGAAGTGTGAAAATTACAGGGAGAAGGAGGGAGTGGGAATGCAAGGGTGAGCGGTGTTGTCAAACAGCATCTGGCCGCGGCAGAACCGGGATGAGCGGGTTGTTGTTATGCGACAACTTGCCCACATAGTTGCCATGTCCTCCCGACAGACTGTTCGCGGCCTGCTGCAGCAGCACCTGCACCCTCTGCTTCATCACAAACGCCTCGTTGTGCTTCCTCAAAATATCCTGCGGTCGCCGTATTCCATTCTGCTCCCCGCCATCCACTGGTCGCAGCGGTGGGCTAAATGGGCCTGGCACCTGCTCGCCCGTCGTGCTCACCTCTGGCCGCGTCACTGCCGGCGCCCCGTACATAACTCGCCAGGTTGCGCTGTCTACGGGCGTGGAGCCTGTCGGCTTGACTGCCACCAGGCCGGGCGGCTTGTGCATGCTGCCGTGGTCGCCGCGCCCACCACGGCCACGGCCACCGCGGTTGAAGCCGCCATGGTCATTATGCCCGCCACGGCTGAAGCCGCTGTGGTCGCTATGCCCGCCACGATTGAGGTTGCCATGGTCGCTGTGTCCGCCACGCCCGCGGCCCCGCCCGCCTCGTCCATTGCCTCGTGGCGTGTAGTTGTTGCGTCCGGTGCTGGGGTGCTGACCGCTGCTGCTGCCGCGTGTGTTCATCGTGTGCCCAAAGCGGGTGTTGTCGATAGTCAATTGCTCACGTGATTGATTCAATGATTAAACACCCGTCCTGCTGGTGATTTTGAGCGTGGGCTGATCAAGGGTGGAGAGTGCAGAAAATTGGGTGCTTGATTCAGGCTTCAGATTTGGTTTGTGTGCTGTTGTGGAAGGAGTTTTTCGCAATTCTTCGCCCACCCTCGCTGGCCACAAACACCGCTCTTTTAGCCCCACCACGAGCCAGTGCTGGGAGTCAAAATTATGGCAATCCATTTGCGTCGAACTGGCTGAAAAAAAGACTCTACATGTAACTCTCGGCTGTGCCTAGCTGAGCGGGGTCACCGGCTTGTAGTATATTGTGGTCAGGTACTTGCCGCGGTAGCGCGAGGTGCTGGAAACGGCCATGACATTGTCCTTGATGGAGCAGGCGTACAGGTGGTTGAGCACGACGTGGTTGGGCACGGGCAGGACATTCGGGTCGTCGCGGCGGATCTCGGAGCTGTTGAGCAGCACCTGGTTAAGGTGGGGTGGCAGCAGCGGCGGCTCGTTGCGGCGGCTGGCAGACGCGTCGCGGGCCAGCTTAGCCAAGTCGGGAATAGCCGAGCCGTACTCGCCAGGCGGTGAGTTTGACATAGCGGAGGGGTCAAGACCCTCGACGTTGTCTTCCTTCTCGATCTCTGCCTCCTCAATGACATCCTCAACCTTGAAGAAGTTGACGAGGTTGCCGTCATCGTCGGGCGCAATGACAAAGCGGCTGGAGCACCGCCATTTGCCGTCGACGATGAACTTCATGCAGTGCGTGCCCACGGGCAGGTCGACCACCACGCCGTGCATGCCGTCGTTCTCATGCAGCTTGATCTTGTACTGCCAGTCGATGAACGACCCCGACACATACACGTTGCTGCCGGGCTCGGCCCACCGGATAAGCGTCGGCACTGCCTTGCGCTGCTCGCCGTCATCGGCGCCTAGCACGATGGGCTCGCCGTCCTGAGCAATGCCAGGCACGGGCGATTTTCCGGCCACGCCCGGAGCCGCCTTGCGTGCTGCCATCATCTGCGCTAGCCCGCCCTGGTTCGGCAGCGTCTGCGGGATCGTCTCGGGAATAACCATGTGCATGGCGCGACCAGCACCGCCCTCATATCTGTTCATAGCTGCCTGGTTGAGCAGCGCCGAGTCGGGCAGCGGCGAGCCAACTACAGGCGACAGCATGTCCACGGGGCCGACTGCTGGCGGGTGGAGCGTGGAGGGCCGGTTGGCATTCCGTACCGGCACAGTTTGGATGCTAGGCACTGCGGCGGATGTTGTTACCGTGGGCTTCGAGCGCCGGGAGAGGCGGCGGGAGATACCGCCCTGGGCAGTGTCGCTGCTGGCTGTGCCGTGGTGGGTGCTGTGCCGTGGGTTGCCTGCGTGTCCGGCTGGTGTGCCCTCAACTGACTGTGTGTTTCCCATGGAGCAAGGCGTGTGTGGGTAAGAGGATAGAGAGCGACTTGGAGAAAGAAAAATAAAGTGTAACTCGAAGTGAATGGGGGAAATGTAGAGGCAAAGTGGGCAAAAGATTTCGTAGTGCGAATGCTGTACAAAACCACCTGTTTTTTTTTTTTTTTTCATGCTGCTGCCAGGCGGTTTTTTGCGTCACACGTGCGACTGTGGCCCGCTCTCGCGTCATCCGCCAATTTTCTTGTCTCTGCTTGCACATATTTTGCGTTTCTCATTTCTGACCCCTCCTATTCCACTTACGCCAAATGCTGTCATACTCATTCCCACACGGTGGCCACCTGCAGGACACCAGCCCGCCACCGTCACCGCCGGTCGAGCGGCACCCATCCAACGACGACTGGACGACGACAATAGTGGCCATCATGATCATGTGCTCTATAGCCTTCATAGGACTCGGCATCCTGGTCAAGAAGAGCTTCCAGCTGGTGCCCACAGGCGTCATGGCGCTGCGCGAGCTGGTCGACGCACGCCCGACGGGGTATCATGAGCTTGACAGTGAAGAGTTGCAGGCGGAAGAGGACGCGAGGCTGGAGCTGCTCAGCGATGACGACGAGGACACTAGCGACGCGCATGTGCTGCATATCCGTAGCCCAAGCGATGGCAATGAGCGCGAGTAATGCGTGCTGGCCAGCGGTCAGTCAGCCAGCGGGTAGTACTTCTGAACCACCCCTGTTTTTCGATTGTATTTTTCAAAGATTTTAAAGTGTAGCAACTGCAAAATAACCTGGCACCACACCGCCAACGTAACGCTAAACACCTACCACTGACGGGGTGGTGATACCATGCATATATGGCAGGGTTAGTATCCATGTTGGCCAGCATCCCGTCATCGACATGTGCAACATATCCACAAGTCGATACAAGGCCATCATATCAGGGCAGATGCCTAGTATGAGGCCAGGGCTTGCCGCGTGGAGGCAAGCAGATTGTTCACAAAACCGAAACTAGGAGGGGTAGAATTGAAAGGCGTTAACTACATCAAGAGCAAAAAGGCGAGAACGAAAAAGCACATTGGCGACTTGGCTATGCCGGCTCGTTCAGTCCAGACGCACATAGTTTGCCGGGAACTGGCCGCTCCTGCCGTTGCAGGTACCCTCCCACCAGTCATTCTGGCTCTCGGTTTTCTTGGTGACATTGATCAGGTCACCCTTGGTGAACGACAGATCGTCAGCCTGCTCGCCGGCGAAATCATACATGGCCACAGCGCGCATGTTGTTGTTCGTCGCTGCCCGTGCGGGAGGCGGCGGCGGCGGGCCACGCTGTGCCTTGACATCGCCGACCGGTGCAGCTTGGTAGCTGCTGGCACCGCCATACGTGCTACCACCAGCATTCTTGTCTTCAGCACCATAGCCCGCCGACCCGTATCCCGAGGCACCGTATCCCGACGCGCTGCCGTAGTTGCTGGCGCCACCGAAACCAGCGCCGTAGCCGGGCGGGGCAGGATTGCTGTCCTGCGAAGACTGTGTCAGGCTCCGGTTGAGGTACGACTGGTTGCTGCCGGCTGCTGGGCCAGCACCGACAGGCGGGGTCGGCGCGCCATAGGGGCCTGATGCGCTGCCGTATGAGGGAGACGCCGAGGCACCATAGTTGGCTGTGCCGCCGTAGGGACCTGGTGTGGTTTCCGTGAAGGTGGCAGCCGGCGATCCCTCCAGGGCTCCAGACTTGGCCGCGGCCTTGAGATCCAGAGCGCGGTACAGAACATCGGCCTGCGGGGGCGGCGGGACCGAGCCATCCAATAGCGCCCCAGCACGTACGGGGCGGCCGTACAGCTTGGCGTTGGCGTCCTTGCGCTCCAGGATCACCGAACCCTCAAGCGAAACGCCGGCGAACAGACCCTTGGACTTTGAGTACGAGAACACAGGCGCAACATTGCGGATGGCGCCAGACGCCTCGGCGCTGCGGCCGATGGGACCAGCACTCACTGACAGGTTTCCACCGAGTGTGACATTTCCGCCGTGAGTGAAGGCCTTGACCGCAGAGGGCGTGTTAAGAATCATGACAAAGTCGGTCATTTCTGCGCCGATCTGCCCTCCGACACCCGCGCCGGCTGTGCCGATTGCAGAGGGTGCGGACCATCCTACAGCGTGCCAAGAAGTGTAATGGAGACACAGGGTTGCCAAACTTGGCTGTTAGTCTTGTGAAATTGGTCAAGGGCATTGGGTGTGACAGATGCCACAGGCTGGGTGGAGAGCCGCAGCGCTTGCATTATCGCTGGGTTTCGCATAGGGCTTATGGCAGAATAGCGTTTCGACTGCACTTACTTCCATCAGGCAACCTACAAGGAACACGGTAATGGAGAGAAAAGGAGAAACAGAAAAATAGCAATTAGCAGCAGTAGCTCGGACAATGGTAGGTAGTGGTGCTAAATGAGTTGGCTTTGACCCTTCCCCACACGCCCACACCCCCTTCTCGTCTCGGCAGTGAGTGCCAAGGGGTTGCGAAAACAGTGAACACTCATATATATAGCCATGTACCAAGCGCCAATGCTTACCGAGCAACAACCAAGCCCGAGCCAAGACGTCCTGACCAGATGAAGCCGGCCTTGATGACGGTCATGAAGGCGATACCCTTGGCGTTCGCCAGGATGTTGGGCGGGATGAACTTGTCGACGCCGCTGCCGACGTCCATGAACGAGTTCAGGATTTTCGCCGCCTTGATGCACTCCTTGTCGAGGCTCTGCGGCAACGGAATTCTGGACATTGTTGCTTTGAATTTAAGATTGGTAATCTATGTAAGTTTGAAGAACAGGAGAGGAAAGAAAGATAGAGAAAAGAAAGCGGCGGAAAAGAAGAGTTGGTGGCCTGGTGGATAGCGCAGTGGTTTTATTTCCAAAAGAGCGTGCGGAAAAAGCCGTTCCCTGCAAATTCGCGTCAAGCTGGGCAGTCCTCGGCATCCCCCAACCCCGGATTAGTGTCCCTGAAACTTTCCTCATCTTTTTAGAGCGATGCCAAGACTTCGCCTGTGGGCGTCTTTCTGCCAAGGAAAGTAGCCAACCAAAGATGTGCCGCCGCACAAGGCTAACGGCCTGGCGAGCAACTGGCTACCGCCACCGCCAAGTCTGGCACGAGGGGAGCATGCTGCGTATGCTCGCATGAGTCGCGGGCGGCTATCCAGAGGCCAATCCTACCCATGCTACTTCCATTTCCCACATCTTTTCTTTTAATCGCGTAGCATTGTCTTGCGTCTGCTGCTGAGCCCAGCTTTCCGCCAAGACTTTGGTGGGACTGGACCAGCTGACAAACCAGGTGACTGCGCAATATGTTGTGGTGGCCGCTGGTGGCTATAGGGCGTCAGGCGCAGCACCCATTCACCATGGCACTACAACTAGCAGGTGGACACCAAAAAAATTACATTTGAAGGACATCAAAGAGAGTGGTGGTTGACAAGGAAGCAACAGGGCCTAAAAACAGAGATGAAAATGGAAGGGGGACTAGTTTACAATAAGCTGCAGAGGGAAGGGGGGAGGGACGGCCTACAGCGCAGCCGGGGATAGCATCGGCAGGGAGCTGTTAAGAAAGTCATCTGCACCCGCCGTGCAAGGCGTGGTCGGCTCCTCGTCGGCCGCCGGCAGGTCGCTAGGGTTCATCAAGCTCAGAGTCAGTTTGTCAACGTACTTGACGCCGGTCGGCTCAGCACCCAATTCTGCATCCTCATCCGCCAGGCGCACCAGGCGCCTCGCCTTCCCCTTGCGCAGTACCCGGGTACTGCCGACAGCATCCATCACGCCGCGCCATGCGCGGTTGTCAGCGACCACAAACATTTGGCCACCTGGTTGCCGCAGTACCAGGCGGCGGCACTTGAGCGCAACCAGCGGGAATCCAGCCGAGAAAAATTTTGTCAGAATGCGCTCGCGCGCCTGTGCAAACACAAGATTGCGCGGCATCGCCAAGACGACCGCGTTCTGCGAGTCCAGGACAACTTTGACATGCACCATGGAGTTGCCGATCAGCGTCGACATTGTGCCCATTGCGCTGCTGGTCGAGAACTGCGATATCCTCAGCGCCGCACTCAGGTCCACGCTGCCCAAGCCCTGATGTCCTTCAGCGGTTGGCGAGACGGGGGCCGAGGCAATGGAGGACTCGCTGTCCTCGCTGGTATGCGGCCGGCTGCTGCTGTTGGACCGCCGCAGGAGCATCGAGATCGATCGCTTCAGGAACCCGCCCTGGCCATCGATGCGTGCCGATGCGCTGCCAATGCTGCGCTGCCGTGTGAGCTTCCCTATGCTACCGTCCGCGATTGGCTGCGACTTCATGAGTTCGTGCGCCTTCGGTGCTGCCGTATCCATATGATACGGTGTGAATTGCCTCTTGCTCCTCACTGGCAGAATTTGCTGTCGCTGCCGCCTCCTCAGTGGGCAGTTCTGGGATGGGCTGCGCAACAAACATACTCGCCGAAAATGGCATGCCGAGGAGTTCATCCGGCGATGGCAGTGTGCTGCGCGACTTGGCCATACTGACGTCGAGGCGTGGCAGGAGATTGCCTGGGAACGCCTTGAGCTTCTGATCCGACGACAGACGCTTCATGTCTTCGTCGCGCAGCTTGCTGGCCCGCGTCTTCAGCAGAGTCGGCGACGCCGGCGAAGGCGGCTGCGGAAGGGCATGCGCTGGGCGCGCATCTATATCGATTGTCATCCGGTTACCCTTGTATGTGGGCATATTTGAATCCAGTGCAGGAGAAGGGTGGGGAGTCGAAAATTGGGCAATCGACGGGGTCAGGGAGGACCGGGTGCTTTTAAATCCCTGGCCTACAAGCTGAGCAAAAGCACAGAATGGTTGGGATGTAAGTATTCTAATGCCTCCATTCGCCCTGTGGTGGAAATTTGCCTTTCTTGTGCGCCCAGCCCAAGAACACAGGAAGGGAAATGATCATCAGAGGCCCAAAAAGAAAAACACATATGGCTGGAGCAAATGGCAATTCCTGTCATCCACAGTCCACGGTACGTCCCCAATTTTTTTCTCGGCTCTCTCAGTGCACCGAGCGGGGCAGAAACAGGCACTGCAGCGTCTTTGCTGGCCCTGGTTGTAGCCAGTGCTGCTTGGGAGAGCACCAGCGAGACCTGGTGCTTGTGGCTCCTCGCAAGGCGCCATACAGGCGATAGCGAATCGCTGCGCCCTGCCTTTGCCTCGGTGCGAGGGCGAGGATGTCGGACAAGAGCACAAATGAAACAGGACTTGTCAGGAATTTTGAGAATGTGCAACGGACAGATTAATGCACTTTTTTTGTTTACATGGGCGAGAAATTGCCCGCACAGACAACACATCTGGTGGACATGTGTATGACCCAGGATGGCGTGTCCGCGGAGCAGTCATGGGCAGGAGATGGCGGTATTACCACTAAATCACATGAGCAAGGAATTTTCCTCCACCAAGGACATGCCAACATCGAGGCTGGATCGAGGACATCACACCGGGCCGTAGATAGCAAGGCCAAGCCTAGGCAGTAAGCGGCAATAGGGCATTTCTTTGTACCAGCCACTACGGCCGAAACATGTCGACACCTTGGCAAACATAGCCTTTGCTAGCCAAGACAGTTCGGGGAAAGAGCGATTGCCCACTTTGAGGACCGGACTACCATTAAAGTGTCACAGTCGCCGATCCTATCTAGAAACCGCGTGCAGGAACAAAAAACAAAAACACGACGCTGCTTTCCGACTAGCTGACAAAGATGTCGACAATGGGCGTGGTCCCACTGTGGAATAAGGTACAAAGCCCCTCATCCCCGCACACACATGCATGTGTAGGAACGCATCGGCGTGCATTGTGAGAACCAGCATGCAACTAATTGCGTAAGCGCTGGAGCGGCGTTTGAAAATAAACAAGCGGCTTCACACATGCAGGATATTTCGCTCCCATAGTCCAGTCCCAGTGTCCGTAGGAATTAAACAGATACTTGCCTTGGATGTCACAGTCCTTGTATATCGATCCGGCACATTCGTCATACAGACGCGCAATTTCAGCCATGGTCATTGTGGACCGGGACGTCAGGCTGCATGCCGTCATGCTCCAGGGACAGGTCTGGCGAACTGCCACCTGCGTCGGAGCCCACCGCAGTGCTAGCACTCGTGACAGCCGAGTCACTGAGAATCGCAAACACGTCGCCGAATGAGGCGCCTGAATCCCGCAGGCTCTTGTCGAACGAAGTCGACATCTCGGTGGCCGTCTGCGAACGCGTAATGTAGATGCTGCCGGTCGACATGGTCGTTAATTCTTTTTCGGTATATTTCAGAAGTGCAATGGAAACGAGGAGTACATGGATGCGAGGGAAACAGGGAAGTGAAAAGGCAAACGTTAGAGATGGGGATGAAGGGAGGATGAGAATGTTTGTAAGGGAGTGCGGATGGGCGAGTGAAGAGAGATGAAGGCGGATGGGGAAGTGAGGGGTGCTAGAAGGGAACGAGAGGGAAAGGCCAAGAAAGAGGTGGGGCAGCAGGAGAGCAGCTGGGCTTCTGGTTTTTCTGAGGTCTGCTTGGTTTCCTATTTTGCGAACGTTTTCGCTTATGAAAAAAGGCTTTCCAGCCCACAGGCTCGTTTTGCGGACCGTGGTGCTACGTTCATTTTTGCGGTCGATCCCTCGAGGACGAAGCGTGGACCTCCCCAAGACTCAAGCTCGTCAACTCCCCAATTGCTACTGCCCATCACCTTTGTTGGCTCTTGCGCGGTACTGCGCCAGCGGCCATTGTGCCAAAACCTGAATCGAATAGTCGGTCCCGTCCCAGGTCTCCTGCCAAGCTGTCCTGCCAGTCCGGGTTTGGATTAAATCGCGGGGAGATCGGATTACCGCCCTGTCACATGCCGCCTGTATCTCTCACTCGCTCTCTTGGCGCGCACCATCTGCCTTTCGGGCACAGTGACAGCAGCCTCCGGGGCCGCACGCTTTGCTGGCAGTTCGCACTTTGCTCCTGTCCGAAAGCTAAAAAGCACCGTTTCTTTTCCAACATTCCAGCACAAGAAGAGCCCAATGTTGCAAGGCACGTGGAATTTCGTAAAGCGGCACCAGCGCAAGTTTATTGTGACCGGCAGGCGTTGCCGGCGGCCTGTACTACACCACCAAGCTGCTGACACAGAAGCTGTACGATATGCAGCTCACGTCGGCGCGGGACCGCACGGCCAAGGAAGGCATCCGCCGCCGCTTCGACCAGAACCAGCGCGATTGCCTGTTCACAATCATGAGCCTCCTGCCCGAGCTCAGCGAGCAGGTTCTGCGCGAAGTCGACGTCGAGCGGTTAATCGCAGAGCTGCGCGCAATCCCAGAAGGCGCCGACGCCTGAGAGCAACGTGTGGTCGGGCGAACAGAACAAGGAGGCCGAGGCAGACGAGAGAAAGGGCAGCGAGACGAACGGTATCGTGGTGGACAGTGAGCAGTCCCAGGAGGAGACGGAGAAGCCGGTTGAGGAGGCGCCGCGGAGAAGCAAGGTAGCGATCTGGGAGGACATCAAGGTGCAGAGCTTCTCGCGCACGCTCATTGCCATCTACGCCGAGTCGCTTCTAACGCTGATGGTGCATATCCAGCTGAACATGGTCGGCCGCAGCACATACCTGGACTCGGTTGTGGGCAAGTTCACCGGCACCGAGGATGATGTTGCCCTGGAGGGTAAATACCAGTCCAAAATCGCGCTGGCTGACGAGCAGAACTTTTTGATGGTTAGCTGGTGGTTCCTGAACCGTGGCTGGCGCCAGCTGATGGCGCAGATCGCGCTGGCCGTCGACCAGTCCATCAGCCAGCTGTCGCTGAAGGAGCGGGTCACCCACCGCGAGCTGTCGGCGCTGTTCTCTGACATTCATGCGAAAATTCGCGCCAACGGCCTTCGAGCAGACGCTGGCAGGCCTGCTGCTGCCCACTGAGAACGCCGAGATCCAGGACTACCTGGCATCGAACCGCCTCGATGCCAAGCAGGTGTACACTCCCGTCTTTGTGCGCTTGATCGACCAGATGCGCGACATCATCGAAAGCACAGACTTTTCGTATGTTCTGGGCAGTTGTGTCGACAGACTCACCGTGCAGCTGCTGGAGTCGCTGCAGGAAAGCTTCCCGGAGCCCGTACCCCTGCCTAACGTCAGCCGGCCCCTGCCGCCGACTGTCGAGGGCGAGACTGCACCAGATCTCGATGATGTCGTCAAGGAGTTTGAGGAGTTCTCGCCACCGCCCGAAAGCCGCGTGGTCATCGTCCAGCTGCTGCCCAGGATTGCCCGCGAGGGCCACCAGATCCTAAACGGCGTGCCGAACCAGTACCTGGAGAATGTCAGCGCCTCGCGCGAGATCCAGGCGCTGTCTGCTGCGGTGTACACAGCCGAGGACGCTGTGTTCTAGCGCAAAAAGTAGTATTCGAGTGTCCCTAATTCAATAATCTTGTTTCAGCCGTGTCTGCTTGGGGTGCGAAGTAGCTGTGCATTCAGAAACAATGTGCGCTGTACAAGTCCGAATCTATTGAAGCACCGGCACTCTGCTTTCAGCAGATTACGTTGTGCAAAGCCCGGCGGGTTGAGCGACTCTTTCGTTGTTGGCCGCTTTCGTTGCCACCCTTTCATCAGATTCGGAGCACCATCCACCGAGCTTCCAACCGAAGATCCAACCAGACGGCAGCAGCAGGACAACAGCAGCCTTTGCTGTGCGCGCCAGCGACAATCTGATATAAAACAGGCGCCGTCCAGCCAACCAGCGGGTGCCGTTGGTTGCGAAATGGTTGAGCAGCAAAGCCGTTATCTGTTTGAAAACAAGAACCGCAGAGTGTTCCAAGCAGCAAGCTAGGTTCCAAAAGAGGCATTTTAGCGCGGACTTTCCTTGGGCGCTCATTCAGCCAAACCGGATAGTGCCTCACGTGATTTTATTCGTAGGGATATAAAACAGGTTGGATATTGCGCTTTTTCAGCGAGCCAGTCAAGCAAAATTTTTAGTAAGCAGGTCACGAAAAATCATTCCTCCATTCTTCCTCCCCACCGCCCTCTCTGCACTGCGTGATACTCTCTGCATATAAAAGCTTCCCCCTTTCCCCCTACCTCGCAAAAATGTTTCTGCGCACACTCGTTACCCCTAGCTGTAGTTCCAACACGCACCTCTGCCTTCCGCCTCCTCTCTACACACATTAACTCGGGCAATTCGCTCTTCCCAGCTGACACAAACATTCTCTGCCTCTCGCACAAGTGCACCCACCCGCAGCACCCACACTGCCAACCCGCAACACCCCGCAATTCCAGACCCGCTTCCTCGCGCCTCGCAGCCAACACGGCCAAACACCAACACATTCGCCGTCAATTAAGCAACAACCAATGACTATCCAGGACCACACCCTTCTGCGCCAGCTCAACGCCTGACAGGAAGTCCTGCACGAGCAAGCTGCACCCCAAGACTGCCGACCCGCAGGCTGCCGACCCGCAGGCTGCCGACAAGAGCTTCTATCGGCGCGAGCTGCCTGACGAGCTGATCTCGTTCACATCGAACACCGGCCGCAAACTGTTCAAGGAAAGCCTGAACAAGGGCTACGCCGAAGGCTACTTCAACCTGGCGGGCAACTTTACCGTGCAGTCCGAGCCTGCCTACTGCGGGCCGAGCTCCCTGGCCATGGTTCTCAACGCGCTCGAAGTCGACCCGGGCCGCACCTGGAAGGGTGATCTGGCGCTGGTACAGCGACGAGCTGCTTGAGTCGTGCCGGACCGAGACCGAGCTCAAGACCAGCGGAATCACATTCGACCAGTTCATCTGTCTGGCGCGGTCGCACGCCCAGGTTATCGCCAAGCGTGGAAATGAGGTGTCGCGCGAGGAGTTCCTCCGGGACATCAAGTATGTGACGCAGCGCGACGACATGTTCATGGTGCTGTCGTTTTCGCGCAAGGTATTGGGCCAGACTGGCGATGGTCACTTTTCACCCATCGGTGCCTACCATCCGGAAACCAACCAGGCGCTTGTGCTTGATAGCGCCCGCTACAAATATCCGTGCTGGTTTGCTGATGTTGATAAGCTGTATGACTCGCTGCAGCCCGCTGACATTGAGACTGGGCGCCCACGCGGGTATTTCCTGATTTCGCGCATCGGCCACGCGGATATGCTGGCAGACCAGGCACAGCTCGCTCCACAGTCGGCCAAGATCCAGTCGGACGTCGTTGACCTCCCTGAGCGGCCACTCGACGTGTTCCCGACCAAGCTGTCGTGCGGAAAGGGCTCGAGCTGCTGCTCAACTGGCGCCAAATAGATATAAAAAAAACTCTACCTTTTGTACAGACTCTCATACACCTGATCTACCTGAAGTATCGGATTCGTTGGTCCCTGATAGCCCTACTGGTGAACGGGTGCTTTGTGAATGTAGATGCAGTCGCCATCATTGCATATTGCCTGCTACGTTGCCGCTACCACGTATTTGGCAATTTGTCACCGCATGAATATATTAGATAACAAGCCATCATGGTGCAAAGACTACTGCTGCTGGGCCTAGTACGCAGCAACCTGCATCTCGAGGTCGTGCAGGCGGGTCTCCAGGTCCTGGATTGAGGCCAGCTCCTGCTCGATCTGCTGCTTCTCCTCAAGCAGCTCGATGCGGCGCTGCGGATCCAGCTTGGAGAACATGTACCCGCCCTGGCCATCGTACTGCAGGTATGTAGTTGTGGTACTGCCACAGCGACTGGCGGTGGGAGACAGTCAGCAGCGTGATTCCCAGGCTGGTCGCGTGCGTGTACATGATCTTCTCGATGTCCATGCTCACCGCGCTGGTGCACTCGTCCATGATGGCGTACCGCGGGCGGTGGTAGAACAGGCGCGCCATGGCAATGCGCTGCTTGTCGCCGCCAGACAGCGCGTCTCTCCACACCTTGACCGAGTCCCAGCCGCCCTCGCGCTCGACAATGTGGCCCAGCTGCACCACATTGAGGATGGACAGCAGGTCGGCATCGCTGACGCCCTTCTGCTCCATGTCGGCAGCGCAGTCCGGGTAGATGATCTGGTCGCGCAGGGTGCCGATCGGCAGATACGGCCGCTGCGGGATGTAGAAGATCTGGCTCATGCTGGGCTTGCGCACAGTGCCGCCGTACACTGGCCAGAGCCCGCCCAGGATGCGGAACATCGACGACTTGCCGCACCCGTTCGGACCGACGATCAGCAGGTGGCGGCCCGGCGTGACATGGAAGTTGAGCCGGCGCACCAGCACGTCGCCGTTGGGCGACACAATCGGCACGTCGATGAACTCGACGTCGTCTGTGCTCTCGACCTGCTGCCCACGCTGGTTGACAACGTCAGGCCTCCGCGTCGTTGCTGGCGCTCTTCTCGGCCGACTTCCCAACCCGCGTCTTGACGTACTTGCCCTCGCTGACATCGTCCAGCACGGTGAGCAGGTCGGTGACGCGCTCGGCATACCCGGCCATCTCGACAATCTCCTTGTACGAGTACATCATGCGGCCCAGCGCATCCGAGCCGCTCAGCAGCAGGCGGCGGTTGGTGACAAAGTCCTCTGGTGCGGTTGCCCAGGCTGCTGCTGGCGCTGCCGCCAGCACTGGCCACGCTGCCGACCGACGTAGCCACTGCCTTCTGCACCGCCAGGCAGCCGCTCGGCAAACACCGGCGCCGCACACGCAACCAGCCCAGCAGCACCCCAGAAGTACTTGACGATAAAGTCCTCGAGCATGCCGTAGAACACATTGAGGCGGAAGATCTGGTTGATGTGCCGCACCAGCCGCAGGTACCGCCGGTTGATAGTCTGCTTCTCGGCGTCGTGGCCGCGGTACAGCGCAACCTCCTCGGCGTGCTCGATAAGCCGCGAGTGGGTGAAGTAGAACTCGCCCTCCAGCCTCTGCTCCTGGGCGAACCAGCCGGCCAAACGGCGGCGTCAGGTACCGCAGCATGCCCATCGACAGCTGGATGACGACCATGATGCCAAACAGAGACTCCAGACCCAGGCTCTTGGCCAGCTGGATGTTGTACACAAATGCATCCAGCGTGGGCTTGGCCAGGTTCGAGTACAGCTCGGCCAGCGAGTTGGAGAACTTCATGATGTCGACGGCAATGAGCTGGTCGGCGTTCTTGATGCGGTCGTCCAGGATTGCCCACGGCGTAGTATGTGTTCCTGGACAGGTACTTTGCGTGCACATGCTCGGTCAGGTTCTGGCGGAACCGGATGGCCAGCATCGTCTGCAGGTAGTTCAGCAGGCTGTTGGTCAGCGTGGCCGGCACCGCAATGGCCATCCACCTGACGATCCCCATCAAGAACTCCCTGCCGTTGAGCCGGACCAGCGAGCTCACAATCTGCCCGTCCAGCGCTGCCACCACAACCGACAGGAACGTGCGGAACACCAGCAGGCAGCTGTGGGTCATCAGCATGGCGAACTCGCGCGTCGCCAGGCCAGGAATCACGATGGCCACCAGCCGCTTCATGTTGTCAAAGAACTGCTTGTCAAGCTGCGCGCTGCTGGGATTTCCCTACGCGCTGCTGCCTCTGGTCCGTGCTGCTGTTGCTGCTGCTGCTGCTGCTGTTGCTGCTGGCATTCGTCTTCTGCTGGCGCTCCGACGTCATCATCCTGGATATCCGGCGCAGCCGATCCAGAATGCCGATGCAGATGACAACCATGATCGATCGCCGGATCTTTGTCTGGTGCCTGGCGTACAGCAGCACTGCGCGCGTCAGGAACTCGAGCTGGCGCTGCTGCGTGCTCTGCACCAGCCGTAGCAATGCGTCGTGCACCTGCCTCACCGCCGTCCCGACGTACAGGTCGCCTGTCCGGGCTGGCATCGCTAGAGTGTGCTGCTATTAGGTGGTATGGAGTCTATGCTGCCCGCAAAAGTGGCAAGGCAGCGTCTGGAATTCGAGAAGGAAGAAAAAAAAAAGGAAGGCTGGAAAGCGCTGGAGCGAGAAGTAACGGGAGGAGAGCCTGGGAAGGGGACTGCTTCTTCGGTCGCAGAGCGCACCTGCCGCACTTGCGCGCTGCGTGGTCAGCTGGCCCGAGTCCCAGGCACTCCGCCCAGACGCGGAAGGCTATCCCGCACCTCAAGCAGCTGCAGCAGCGCGCTTTCAAGAGGCGGGCGTCCAGAGCCCAGTCTGGGGAGCAGCGATGCTCTCATTAGTCTGCCCGCCTCTTGAAAGCGCGCTGCTGCGCTGCTGCGACTGGCGCCAAATGCATGTGAAAGCTGGCTGACTCGTTCATATGTGGGCGCAGGCGCAATCACGTGCCGCGCATCGCAGAAGGCGACAATCGCCCACGCTGCGCTCTACGGCAGGATGTCCAGCAGGATGCTGTCGATGACAGCGAGCCCGGCCTCGGTGGGCGCTACCCGCATGCCACTGGTCTCCTCGGCCAGCCACAGGTATCCCTGGGCGGCCAGCGCGTGCACAGCATCCATGCGCAGATACTCCCGCAGCAAAAGCCCGCCCGACAGCTGGCGGAATGCGCGAGTCGGCGATGCCAGCAGCCATGCGCAGGCCAAACACCACCGCCTCCTGCCTCACCTGGTCCTCCTCGACGACCTCGATCTTGGCTGTGCCGTGGCCCACCTCCTCGCACCTGCCCATCCACCGCGCAGTGTCAGGGATGCGCACGGTCCCGACCCGCCTGCCGCTGGCTGGATCCACGAACCGCGAGTGCGCGCTTGGACCGACTCCGATCCAGTCGTGGCACCGCCAGTAGCTCTTGTTGTGCTTGCTCTCGGCAGCAGCAGACCTGGCATAGTTGGACACCTCGTAGTGCCTGAAGCCGTGGCCGCTGCACAGCTCAACCGCTGCCTCGTACAGCTGCGCCTGGGTGTCGCTGCCCGGCAGCCGCACGCGCTGCGCAGCGCGGTCGCGGTGCAGCGGGGTGCCCGGCTCCACCGTCAGCTGGTAGATCGAGATGTGGTGGTCGGCATGCCCCAGTGCCGTGCCCAGCTCCTTCCTCCACTGCTCCACGGTCTGGCCCTCGAAGCCGAAGATCATGTCAAAGCTGACTCCGCCAGGAAACAGCGCCTTTGCCCTGTCCACTGCAGCCAGCCCCTCAGCGCCCGTGTGCAGCCGGCCCATCTTTGCCAAGGACCGGTCGTCCAGGGTCTGGATCCCGATCGAGTACCGGGTGATGCCGGCCTGCCTGAACTCGCGCATCTTTGCAACCTCGGCCGAGGTCGGATTCGACTCCAGCGTGATCTCGGCGTCGGGACTCAGACGCGTGGTGCGGTCAGCCTCCTCGATGATCCGCGCAACGTCGCCCGGTCTCGACAGCGATGGTGTGCCTCCGCCAAAGTACAGGCTGCTGATGGTCCGGCCCTTGTGCGGTCCCAGGCTGGTCCGCAGCTCCCTCAGCAGCGCATTGGTGACACGGTCGTGGTCCACGCCTTGCGCCGGCGTCCTGGCCTTGGAGAACGCACAGAACCTGCAGAGGAAAGGAGCAGTACGGCCAGTGCACGTACAGCGACAGCGGTTTCGAGGCGAGCGGCGACAGAGTCATGGTGCAGGTGATGGTATACAGAGCACGGCATTTGGTGCTTCGCTGCTTTTGAGCACAGATAAGAGCTACATTGGATCCGAAATCTAAATGAAATGGGAGACCGGCACGCCTACTTCTTGGCCGGGTAGTCGTAGATGCCCTTGCCGCTCTTGACGCCGAGCCAGCCCGCGTCGACGTACTTTTGCAGCAGCACCGCCGGGCGGTACTTTGAGTCGCCCAGCTCGTTGTGCAGCACCTTCATGATGGCCAGGCACGTGTCCAGCCCGAATAAAGTCGGCCAGGGTCAGCGGTCCCATCGGGTTGTTGGTGCCCAGCTTCATCGTCGTGTCAATGTCCTCCTTGGACGCAATGCCCTCCTGCAGCGCAATCATGGCCTCGTTGATGTACGGCATCAGCAGGCGGTTGGCAATGAAGCCAGGCACGTCCTGCGACATGGTCGTGGTCTTGCCCATCTTGTGGGCCAGCGCCAGCGTCGTGTCGAGCGTCGCCTGCGATGTCTGCAGGCCCGGGGATGATCTCGACCAGCTTCATCACCGGCACCGGGTTCATGAAGTGCATGCCGATGACGTTGTCGGGCCGCTTGGCTGCCGACGCAATCTTGGTGATGCTGATCGACGACGTGTTGGTGGCCAGGATCGTGTCCTCGGGCAGCCGCTCCGACAGCTGCGAGAAGATCGTGTGCTTGAGCTGCGGGTTCTCCGACACTGCCTCGACCACAAAGTCGGCGTGGCTCATCTCCTGGATGCTGCCGGCCGAGCTGATGCGCGCCTTGACCTCGGAGCGCTCGTCCTCCGTGCACTTGCCCTTGCCGATGTCCTTGACCAGCAGCTTGTCCAGGAAACGCCAGTCCCTTCTCGAGCTGCGCCGGGCTGCTGTCGACGAACTGCACGTTGAGCTTGGCGACGCGCGCGGCGACAAGGCCGATGCCGATTCCCATCTGGCCAGCGCCGACCACGCACACGTTTTTGATGCTGTTGACCGAGCTGGACATCATGCGCTACGTAGATACACGAATCGAGAGACAGTTAGTAAGGGAGCAGAGCAGAGATAAGGGAGAGGCGGGCACGGACCGCTGGCGCACGCATACCTTGTGGATAGTGCTGGCGCCCAGGCGGGACGAACTGCGAAGCAACTGCGAGACGGTCATGGCTTATTGGCGAAACGTAGACAATTGAGAAAAATACAAACGCAGAAAAGAGAAAGGCGCTATCTGCAGACCGGCGGCAGAGGCTCAAGTCGCAGGCCACCTATGCCCCGAAACCGTGGGAACCGGCTGCAATCCGCAATCTAGTGGCTCGCAGCGAACAGCCAGCACAGATCAAGTGCTCGCGGGCCGCCCCATGTGCCCGGTGAGCGGCGCATAGATAGCCGGCGAGTAGAGCGTGACCGCCGAGTCTGCCCCGCCGAAGCCGAGGCTGGCCACTGCGTCGTTGAGCGTCGACACCTCCTCGAATGTCTCCGACACATTGCGTGCCAGCCCAAACACAAATGCGACGCACAGATCCCTGGCTGCCTGCCTGCGGCTCTCGGTCTCGGAACCGCCGTGGTCCGAGCCAACGACAGATGCACACAGCTCCGAGACAGCCTGGGACACGCGGATCAGCTCGCTCTCAAACACCGTCGCCACCATGCTCAGCAGCACCACGGCCTCGTTTGGCTCCTGGCTGCCCCCTGGCATCTGATCCGTCGCCGGTCATGACCAGGATGCGCAGCGCATGGAGTGCGTCGCGGAAGGCGTGCAGCAGCTTGGCCAGCAGCGGGAACTGCAGCAGTCCAACCGGCGAAACACGGAACTGGCCCAAGAACTGCGATGCGTCCGAGCCCTCCTTCAGATCCAAAGTGTCCGCGTGCCCAAGGGGCGGCCGGGTCGAGGTTGCAACCTGGTCCCACCGCGACTCCGCGCTGCCCTTGGCCAGAGCAGACAGAGTCTGGCACACCCCAGCGACTGCCTCCTCGATCCCCGCCACCACGCTGGCAAACGCCCGCTCGTGCAGCACCTCCATCAGGCACGGCGTCAGGAAATCGATCCCGCTGCGTGCCAGCGTGCGCCCGTGCGCGACAACCAGCGTCTCCAGCCGAGCAATAGCCGACGCATCCTCAAGCAGCTCGAGCAGCGGCAGCACCGACGGCAGAAACTGCTGCATGCTGTGGACTGCCAGATCAACGAACTGGTCGTGGGTCCGCCCTCCAGCCTGCGCTACCGGGCTCTTTGAGGCAAACAGCGTCCGGTACTGCATGTCGACTTCGGCCAGCCACGAGCAGAAGGCATCGATGAGCTTTGTCAGGTACGCTGTGGTCTCGCTCGCAGACAGATCCTTGCCCGATCCACGCCGCGCCCGAGCCGGCGGGCTGCCAGCAAACGACGACTGCCCAAATGCCTGGTCGAACGAGCTGACAGACACGTCGCGAGTGCCCGCCGGTGTCAGCTGGGGAGCCATTCCGCTCAGCTGGTCGGCCGTCTGGTTCCACGCCTGCCACCGCGCCCGCAGGAACAGCAGCCGCAGCTCGCTCTCGCTGAACATGCCGATGCTGCGCAGAATCGCCACGATCTTGGCCACCGATGACAGCCGCCTCATCGACCGCTCGTAGCCGCTGGTGCCACTGTCGCCCAGCACAGGCGACTTTTGCGCTCCAGCAGTGCCCCCATCGTCGTCTCTCTGGGTGCCGGACCGGGACATGCCGAGTGCTGATGCCAATGCCGGCGTATGTGTGTATCCGAGTTCGCGACACAGCAGCAGCACCATGCCCTCGAACTCTGTGCGCACCTGCTTCTGGATTGTGCTCACAAACTGCACCAGCTGGCTCTTGCTGGCCGGCGTCAGGTGCGACTCGACCTTGGACCCAGGCAGCGTCTGTATGTCCTCGCTGATATCCTGCACCAGGCGGTCGCCAGTGACGCGGACGTGCTCGGCGATCTCGACTGCCTCCTCGTAGTACCCGCCCTGCAACACACATCTGCATGACGCGCGGCAGCTCGACGATGCGCGAAACCAGGTCCTGCTTGTCCAGCACGCTCTGCACCACCTTGGACTTGCGGTCCAGCTCGGCCATCGACGCTGTAAACGCCTCGCACGCCTGCTCTAGTCCCGGGAGAATCTCCTGTGCCTGTGCCAGCGACTGCGACAGCCCATCGACAGTCGCCGCTGCCTGCTGGTGTGTGCCTAGCACGACCTTGAAGATGTGCCCGCCCTCTGCCTCCTGTACACTGTCCACAGCAGCTGGCAGCGGACGAACACCGGGCTTGGCTGGACCCTTGGCGGCTGCTTGTCGGGGTCGCCTGTCTCGTTCAGCAGCAGTGCCGTCAGCTCATTTGAAATCCGCTGCAGGTCGCTCTGCACCAGGGTCGGCTCCATCTTCAGCGAGGGCAGTGGCAGCCCGGTCAGGTATTTGAAGTACCGCGCCGTGTCCTCCTCTTCCTCGGGGTCGGCTGCGTCAAGGTCCGGCGGCCGAAGCCAGCCAGCGTCGGAAACAGGCGCTTGCACAGCTGCACGTACTCGGGCAGGTCGGTCGTCATCGGCGAAATGCCCGCCGCGGTACACCGACGAGCCATACAGGCTCTCATTGTCCACTCGCAAATCGGCCATTCTCGCGATGAGGAGAGAAAAGGGGGTATAAAAACGGGAGTGTGGAGCTGAAGAGTGACGATTGCAGCGCTGATGAACCCAGCGCCTTTCCGCGCTCCGGTTGGGCAGCAGGCTCGGCGATAACCACAATCTCTCTTTTGCCTCCTCTTCCGCGCTCTGCTCTGCAATTCACCTAAATCACTGCTTCAACAGCTTTTCAAATGCCCAGCCCACTCGACGTCATTGTCCGGCAGGCCGAGAAGGCACGGCTGTCAGAGGCCGAGCAGCAGGCACTAGCCAAGGCGCAGACTCGCCAGCGGCTGCTGAGTATCGCAGGCGGTGCGGTTGGTGTAGGCATCGGCTACCTGCTGTCCAGGCGCAACAAGTCGCTTGGAATGCGCGGCTTCATGATCCTCTTCAACGGATCGTTCCTGTTCGGCCTCGGCAACACATATGCGTCAGGTCACCAACCTGAAGGAGCTGTCTAACGAGCACAAGTACCCGCACATTGCAGCAGCGATGTCGGACATTACTCGTGAGATTCTGCGCAGCCGGGGCGTGGATCCAGACCACCCAGAGCTTCGGCCAGACCAAGCCGGCGCAGCACACAATTGATCTGCGCGGGCTGCCGCCATCGCTGACCCCGGAAGAGCGCGCACAGACCCAGGAGCGATGACTCGTTTTACTACAAATTTGACGACGCTTCCTCAGAACAACGACGCTGAGCAGCCTGTATACAATGTCAGCGGTGCTGTTGCCGCCAGCAACAACAACCAGTCGGCATGGGACTCGATCCGCAAGGCAAACAGTCCGCCATGATGACGCCTGGGAACGCCTGCGCAAGCAGCAGCCAAGCGGCAACTCGCAGCAGCAAGCTCGCGGATCGAGGAACACTGCCTACGAGTTTGTGGACGCGTGGGACAAAATGAACGATAACCGCAGCCCAGCGTACCGGGACGACGGCAGCGCAAGCAGCAGTGAGTCACACAGCTTTGGCGGTGGTGCCCTGACCAGCGACGACTTCCCCCGGTCTCGAGAGGACTTTGAGGAAGCATCGCACAAGTCTGCGAACAAGTACGGTGACACAGGTATTCTCATAGTCGTCAGAGCGCTCTATATGGTCTACTGTTGAATAGAATTGCTTCTTTTTTCTTTGACACGCGCATGTTTCTGGATGTGCAGCCATCAGCAACACCACATGTGTCATATGCGAGACTCGTGGTCATACCAGGCACTGATATTGGTGCGCCCTCGACCAGCAGTGTTGACGCCCATATGAGCATTGGCATACAATTGGCAGCGGCGACGAACAGAGGCCACGCTGCCAACAGCCGTGTGGCGGTGGCCAACGATGGTGGTCCGCATACAGCCGATACATTGCCACTATGACCAACAGCAGAGGCACGCCTTTACCTCGTGTACTTTATTGACTTCGATGTCCTTCTTCCCAATTCCACACCTCAAACCTGAAATAAAGCATGCTACCACTCTTACTTCAACCGCACGCACCCACCTGTCAGGGCAATGCCATGTGCTTTCTACCATGCATATCCTTCTGAGATCAAAAAGCACACGTATCAAAAGCTTTAGAAAATTATATTTACAAACTGTGCCCTGGAGAGCCAAGGCTAGTGATTCTGTGGTTTAACAGTTGAAAGTGGTTCTCGCAGCATTGGTTTTAGACGGCTATTAGATGTTCTGGAGTAGATGGTGGTCGCTACTAGTTGCATGCTATGCAACAGGCGATGGTGCAGAGGCTTGTTGACAACAGATATAGCGTAGTATATGTGCCTTGAAGACGGCTTGTTACCAGCACACACTGGCCAGTCCACCCCACCGGTGAACGTCACCTATTCAGGCAACGACCCCCGACTCGTCGGCAACTGGCACCAGGTGGCTTTACTCGCCCACAGGGTCAGGATGTGGTTGTAGCAGTTCCATCCAGCGTATTAGCAGTATTAATGGTATCAGAAGTATCGAGTTGTGGAGGAGTTTTTTTGCGAAGATGAGGAGTCTTTTTGGCTTCAGCAGGAGACGTGCCCGTTTTATAGGGAAGTGGAGCTGCTGTTTCGCTGAGATTTTACTCGCCCGCCATCATTTTAGCTCCCGGCGGCTTAGGCGGAGACATGCCCTGATTTTTCACTGTTCGCCTCCTCCTATCGCATGCGCTGCACATGTGCATATATGGCAATAGAGACGGCCTCATGCACTGCAGCTCCATACGAACAATGGTATTTTTGTTCCGAGCTGCGGCGATGGCCCCACCAGAAATAGAACTGGAGCTGCAGTGCGTGGCCCCCAGCACTTTGTCCGGCAGTAAATGCAGCTCACCGCGTTGGCCACCACCGCATATGGCTTTCACAGTGAGCTCAGCAACGGCACATTGCAAAATGTCAGAGAAAACACAAATGTGCTATCTGGTGAACATAGGAATAACCAGCTGGCCGACAGAATTTGGTGGATGATAGGCGAGCATGGAACGCACACAATGCCCTCTACCTTTTACAACTCCATGTGGTTCCTTCACCTTCCTCCAAAGATTGGAATCTAAGGAGGAGCAAACGAGCATGGATTTAGACTAATTTTCTCAGCTGTATATCTAGCACATCAGAATACCACGACACCGAGCCAAGACACTTGTCATTTAAAAGTCAGCCCCATGCAAGCAACACTTCATTGCAACTACTGTCCAGATACTCAACAATTATCATAGGCAGTTTTATTCAGCTTTACAGTTGGACAGAAAACTCTAGGCTGCTGTCTGTAGTGCTGTCAACTTTGGTTTCTACGCTATGTCTGCGGGATCGTGGTTTATGTATTTGGAACGCTTGCAAGCCGCGTGTGCTTCTAGTGCAACATGCCCAGCAATGTTGATAGCATTGGCTGTATAACAAAGCACTTGACGCAAATAAGGAATCCTCTGCTCAGTTGTCCAAAAGCTGAACAGATGCTGTGCATTAAATATTATGAGCTTCTATACGTGGTATGTGTTCGGTGCAACAGGCAGCATCTGCTGCTGGTATCTCCTAGGTCAATACTAGTTTTGAATGGCTCTCGGTTTTGTGAATTGCCGCCTGTTCAGCAGAGTGTATCCCTTATAAAGAATGAAACTAGAAAAGTGAAAACAACGGCGTAGTGATGTAGACTCTACTTACGTGCAATGAGGGGCTCACATTGATGTTGGCGCTTGACAATATGCTGATGTTAACATTCACCATAGACATACAAGGCATTACACGCATATTATTCTGAAACAAAAATGAAAAGCGGGCTGTTCGCAATAATGATTACACAAGTTGACAGCAAAAACATTGCACGTATTCATTCATCGATATGGCGCCTCTTGGTCGGTCCCTGGGCTCCTGAATCTGGGCTGGCTTGCATCTGCTGGGCTCCTTGTCCACTACATAGTATAAAAATAGAGCAGAGAATTAGCATAGAACACTGCCATGATATGTCGACACGCAACACCGGAGGGCAGTACACGTACTTGTCACTCCGCACTTGCCTCGCTGGTGAAAATCCGTTGATATCCAAGAACGACTTCTGCTGGCTGGTTGTGCTACTAGTGTATGACGATGAACGCTGCTGCGGAATGCCAGCTGCTGCTTGAGGCCCTGCCCCAGGATGTGCTGGCGGAAAGTTCAAGTTGCGTGCTGCGCTTGACTGATTGGCGTTTGGCGCAGCAATGCGTGAAAATGAAGCGCCAGTGCCGTTATTGCGCGCACCGTCTCCACTGTTCGTCATGTTAGTAGTGGCTGGGGATGACTGAGGGGTGTTTCCATGACTGCCACTTGATGCCCGACGCGCTGGCGTATGCATCTGCTGGGGACGATACTGGGCTGGCGCACGGATCTGGCGCTGCGGCTGAGACGGGACAGGCGACTTGTCGGCGACGGCAAAAGACGGGCTCTCAGGAATGATCGGGCGGTTGGACTCTAGCTCTCCCACAAAGTCGTCCATTCCAGACAGGATATCATCCATATCAAAGTCGATGTCGTCGATATCATTGTTCGCTGCTGCTACAGTCTGATAGTTAAATTAGTATGGAACGGCAAATATCAAAGGTTGGGCTTTTGAGCGCCGCTCAGTATCGCATACCTGCTGCGCTGTTGCTTGGGGCGTTGGGTACGCCTGAGCTGGGGTTCTGCGCTGCACCCGGCTGGAGCGTGCCAGCTCCTGCTGTCGCACCAGGCCAGTGCCAGATGAAGCTGGTGTAGACTCATTGCTATGCGACGACGGTGTGCCCCTCGGGTTCACACCCAAAGCATCCTTTGCCAAACCGCCTTCCAGGTCGCTGTACCGAAACAGGGCATCGCCCAAGGGCTTCCCTCTCGCCTGCTTTGCAATTTGCGTCACGTTCCTCAAGTAGTCTTTATCGTACACACAATTTCCCAGCACATTGCCAAACTGCCTCATGGCGCGCTTGAGCCCATCTGTGACAGCCTCCTTTTTGACCTTTTCAAACGCCATGGCCTTGGACTTGACATTCTCAATCATGCCATAGCCGATGTCTTCCTTGTATGTGCCATCCTTCAGAGAGATTCGCATGGTGCAGCTTACACCAACGCTGAAGTGGCCATTCTCTGGGTTTATATCCATGAAGTCCACGGTCATGTTCAGCATCTTTGAGTTCCAGCCGTTGAACCCAAAGACCTCGTTGGCGATGCTGATGACGCGCCAACCCTCAATATATGACAGACGAACGTTGCCTGCACCGCGGCGGGTGCTGATATGTTCAGGTCCCAGCTTCTTGCTTAGGGATATCTGTATCCTGTTGAACTCCTCTGGTGTGTACTGCCCACACATTCTGTTCTCGTCGGCTACGGATGATGGGGCGTTGTACTGCGCCATGACGAAGAAAGGTTGCTGGTATAGCAAAGAGGAAAAAAAGCAAAATGGTTGAAAGATGAAAAGCGATGTCTGTGCTGACTGGCTGGAAAACTACCCAAGACTCGACCGCGCATTTTTTATAGCTGGCCATTTTGCGCAGCCACCAGAACGCGAGCGCGAATGAACAGAATTGTGGTTTTCCCAGAATTGGATCAGGCAATCACCGATGATCAGCCTGGGGATCAAAAAGCGGTCTCGTTAGCTGGGTGTAGCGGCTATCTTTTTTCTCGCCTGCCCGATCGTAAGCAGGCGCTTCTCTGTTCGAATTTCCTGTCACCAATTTCGACTTTTTGTCCGTATTGAAATTACTCTTTGAAAATGCACGGCGGCGTACGTAGAAAGCTGAACATGCACTCTGCGCTGCGGCGCCAGGTGCTGCGCAATTTGACGACGGATCTAATTAAGTACGGGCGGCTGGAGACGACAATGCCGCGGGCCAAGGAGCTCCGGCGGCTTGCCGACAAGATGATCACGCTGGGCAAGCGCGGCAGCGAGCACGACCGGCACCAGATCGAGGCGTATCTGTACCAGCCGAAGGCGGTGGTTCCGCTGTTAATGGACACATATGCGAAGCGGTTCGCCGACCGCCCGGGCGGCTTTACGCGCGTGATCCCGATCGGCAACCGCAAGGGCGACCATGCGCCGATGGCGGTGATTGAGATTCTGAACCCCGACGAGCCGCACAAGGAGGTGTCGTTCAGCTACCTGATCCGGTCTTTGGCGACAATGCAGCTGAAGGAGGAGACGAAGATTGTCGACAAGGCGCTGAAGCCGGCCAAGGCGGAGGAAGGCACGTATGCCGATAAGCGGGCGTTCAAGCGGGCGCTGGGCGAGCAGGTTTCGAAGGAGAGGTTTGCGCGCAAGCTGGAGAAGATGATGCGGAATGCAAAGCTGTCGCCACAGCAGGTTCAGGAGTACGTGGATGCCGACGCCGAGCATGCGAAGAAGCTGATGGACCGGCAAGCTGGCAAGAAGATCCACCGCCTTGTGAAGGAGACGTGGCCCGAGAACACTCCGGCCATGGAGTAGACATAGGAAAGCTGCAAGGTACATGTTCCCCCCTTTCAATACATCATATTTATCGGTACCATGTATCTATGTCGCGTAATGGAGGCAATAGTATATTGGAGATAACTAAACAAGTTAAGCAGCGAGCTTGGCGATAACCTTAGCGAACTCCTCGCCCTGGGTGACAGCAATCTCAAGCTCGAGCTCGGACGGCTGGCGCGAGCCATCACCATTAGCAACGGTGCCGGCGCCCCACGGCGAGCCACCGACGACCTCGGTGTTGATGTGCAGGTTCGGGTTCTTGTATCCCAGCGGCACGTAAATGATGCCGTGGTGGGCAAAGTTGGGCAGGAACGTCATGGCCGTGGTCTCCTGGCCACCATGCTGCGAGGCAGTGGAGAAGAAGAAGCCTCCGGCCTTGCCCTGCAGGGCGCCCTTGGCCCACAGCTGGCCGGTCGAGTCGAAGAACGACTTGATCTGGGCGGCCGCGGTACCGTAGCGCGTCGGGATACCGAACAGGAAGCCGTCAGCCTCGGCCAGCTTCGCGGCGGTGATCACCGGGTGGTCGGCCTTGGGCGGAGCGCCCATCTTGCCCAGAATCTCGTCAGAGAGCGTCTCAGCAACCTGGTAGATCTCGGTGGTGACCAGGCCGGTGTTATCGAGACCCTGCTTGATGGACTCGCTGAGCTTGCGGACGTGGCCGTAGGTCGAGTAGTAGATGATGAAAACCTTGGGGAGAGCCATTTCAAGTTTGGAGACTAAAGATGTGGTATTGAGTTTGTGTGACAAAGGAAGTGGAGTGATGCTGGGAGGTGGTCCCGTTTAAATACTTGTTTCCAGGCAGGCTCGGATGAGGGTGAGGGATGCGAAGTAGGGCGACATGCACATCTGCAATGTCGACATCTGCCAAAGCCCCCCTTGTGAACAATTAGTCAGTGGCAGGCAGGGAATTATTAAGCGGGCGAAGCGAGATTACTAACAGGCAATCGGTGTATAGTGTGCATATACTCGGCCAATCCCGTGTATCCTCGCTAATTTTCTCGCCAGGGCATGCCATTTTCCAACCCACCTCGGCCCTCAGTCCCACACGTGTGGTTTCAAGTTAGCATATCGCAGGGCAGTGTGTATTTTCAATCGTAGCACTTTTGTTTACCAAATCTTGAGCCAGTCCAGGGACGATTTGTCCTTGGTGGCTTTGCCTTCCTGGTGCTGCGGCGGCTTGGACGAGAAAATCGAGATCCTGCGCTTGACCGACGCCCGGAACCCATGCCTCCTGCGGTTCTGCTTCGGCACCAATGCCTGCTCGACCTCCTGCGTGGTGATGTTGACGCAGGGGTTTTTGGCTGGATCGGTCTCCTTCACCCAGCTCGTCGGATGGTCCAGGCCCATGGTTACCCACGGGTGCTTCTTGATCTCCTCGATCGTGATCCGCGTGCGGAAGTCTTTGTCAAGCAGCCTCGTCAGCAGATCGCGCAGATGCGGGTCCACGGGCGGCAGGGCAATGCGTTTGTGCTGCGGCTCTGGCGGCGAGCCATCCTCGCTGGCGGCAGCACCGAACGACAGAGGCTCACCGCCAAAGCTGTCGTAGCTCTCGGCCTGCTCGACCTCGAGGAACTCTGGGAACTCGATCTGCTTGCGCGGGATGATGTTGAACAGCTCAAACTCCGTCGTCGCCCTGAACGGCACGCGGCCGTAAATCAGGCAGTACAGCGTGACGCCCATGGCCCAGATATCGATCGCCGACGTAATGACATTCGCTGGCAGCGGGTCGTCGACACCGCTCATGTCACCAGGGCTCACTGGCGCATCCGCAGGCACGTCATCGGCGCGGAGCGAGTGCGTGTGCGAGCTGCTGGCGCTTTCAGGCCGCGACGCAACCGAAGAGCGCGACGAAAACGGGCGCGTGAGCAGCGACGCAATCGTCGACTGCCGCTTCATCCGCGGCGACCGCGGCGAGTCGGAGGAAATGCCCGGAGCTGGTGTGCTGCTGGGCTTGGCAGCGCTGCTATCGTCAATGCATGAGGCTGGGCGCACGTACTCGTCGTCGTTCTTGGAGATAGACCCGGCCTCCGACGGCTGCGTAGAGGAGCTGCGCTGGACGGCAGTGCCGGGGGTGGGCGCGGTGACCGAGCGGTCGCGCGAGGTGAGGCGGTCGCGGGCGTGGCGGCGCGCACGGTCCTCTTTCAGAACTCGAGTCAGCTCTTCGGCGGTGCAGCAGAGCTCGGGGGCAAAGAAAGCAGGCGTGCCAGCAGTCTTGGCCAGCTCACGCTCCTCCTCTTCCTCGCTGTACTCGACCTTGATGTCGCCAAGCGTACCCTTGGGCTCCTCCTCCCCTTCTTCCTCCTCTGCCACCTTCTTGGGTGAGCTCAGCCTACTTGTCTCGGGGACCTTGGCATCCCCATCCTCCTCCTGCGCCCTGGGCTTGCTGGCGCCAAACACGATGCCGTCTTCAGAATCGGATCCGCTATCGAGGCTGCCGCCAAACTGGCCCTCGCCCTCAGCAAACTCCTCGCCATAGTCGCTCTCGCTGTCTGACGATGTGAAGAACTCGTCAGAGTCGGACGAATCAAACGGATCATACACATTCGAGTCCCTCGACGACAGCTCAGGCGGAAGCTTGTAGACGGGCGACGGCATCGCGGGCGCCTTCTGTGGAGGCGGGGCCTGTGCATTGCCAAACTCGTCAGTCATGCCCATGGTCGACTTGTGCCGGATCGACTGGCTGAACGGCCGCTGCTGCCGCGGCTGGCGACCACGGCGACTCCGCACATCTGCCATGCGCTCGCGGCTCAGGAGACTGCCACTGATACTGCTGGCGCCGCTGCTGCTGGCGCCATCGGAAATCAGGCCCTTGCCACGGAACGCAGCCGACCCTTTGCGGTGAAGGACTGAGCCGCTAGGCAGGACAAGCGACGAGCTCATCTGCGGCTGGGAGGCGAAGCGGTGCAGCATGATGCCTTGGAACGCAGCGGTGCCGCCGAGGGGACGCAGCGGCGAGGCTGCCTTGCCAACTGAGTTGTAGACCCGCGATCCAGAGTCGCGTGCCTTGTCTGCAGCGGTGGTGACAGTCACCGACGGGACGGTCGAGCTGGATGGCGGCTGTTCGGCAACAGTCTCAAGCTTGCTCGGCACCCCCTTTGCGCTGTCCTGCTTCAAATTGTTTTTGCTCATGCGGCGGCTCAAAAACGACACGCCAAAATCCGAGATCTTGACCTTGCCCTGCTTGTTGCACAGCAGGTTCTGTGGCTTCAGGTCGCGGTGCAGAATACCGACGTAGTGCAGATACTCGACGCCCAGCAGCAAGTCGCGGAACACCGAGCGGGCCTTGTCGGGCGACATGACAGGCAGGTTATCTGGGTCCCGCCACACAATCTCGCCGCCATCCATGTACTCGATGACAAGGTAGATGCGGCGCGCATGTGCATCGTCAATGACCTCGCGCAGCCGCACAACATTCGGGTGGTTGCACTTTTTCAGAATTGCAATCTCGCGCTTCACCTTCTCCATCTTGTCAATGTCGATGCGCAGGTATCCATGCGACGAGCGGTTGCGCTTGTGCTTGCCATCGGTTGCATACGGCGCTGGTCGCTGCTGCACGCGGGCGGCGTTGGGACGCAGTCGCTTGTCGCGCGACTCCTTGTCGATGATCTTGATCGCATAGTACTCGCCGGTCACGGTGTCAAATGCCAGCTTCACCTTGCCGTGCGTACCGCGACCCAGCTCGCGGATGATCATGTACTGGTTGATCATTTTGCGGCCCGTGTGCGGATCGTAGTCGACTGCCATGTGATGCGTCTCATGCACTGCTCCTCCGTCATCGTCTGCAGGCCCGTCAGCCTGCGACTCGGCTGCAATGTTGGCGCTGGTCGTGTGCTCGGGCGGCGCCGAGTCAGAGTGTAGCCGGCTCTGGCGCTTGCTGGCTGCTGCGCTAAGCTCCTCCTCGGACTCCTCCCGTAGCGGCTCAAACGCCCCACTCACCGAGGTGCCTGCCAGACTGCGGGCCGGAGTCTCGGACGTGGTCGGCGACGGCGACATGGTCAAGCTCAGACCAGTGCGTGTCGAATCAGGCGTATTGGCGCCCGACGACACACCAAACTCGGACATGTCGACGCCTGCATGCAGGTTCTTTGACGACCCCGACAGCGCCGGATTGTAGATCATGACTGCCGTAGCTGATGGCCGGCGGCCGGCGGCAAAGTCGCGACTGGTGGTGTTGACCCTGGACAGCACATGTGGGGCCGGCTGGATCTCGTGCTTGGAGCCCGTGTTGGATCGTTGCCGCGTTGACACCAGGAACGTCATCGGTGTGCCATTGTGCATACTGTCGGCCATTGCCTGCGAGACCGGCGAACTGGCCGATGCTGTCGGGCTGACTGAATCGAGCATGATGCCCGAGGCTAGCTTCGGGAAGAATTCATGCGACGGCTTTGGCCGGAGGGTTAGTCCCTTGTGGTTGAACTTTGCGCTCGTCGGCGTGCCGTACCCCGACATCCGCGGCGATTTGCTGGCCAGCCCGCTGCTTACGCGCACTGACGACTGGCTGCGAGCTGCATTTGGTAGCGGGTTGAGGTGTGGCACCGACGAGGACCGCTGCGATCTATCGCGTACCAGAAGCACGTCCGTGTGCTGCGACACTGCTTGCTCGTCGATCACGCTGCCGGCTATCGATCCCCGCGCGCCACTGTTGCGGATGCTGCTGCTCTTCCAGACCGCGGACCGATTCAGAGCGTCGCTCGAGTCCGACCGCTTGAACCCGTGGCTACTGTACTGCAAGCTCGAGCTGCCTGCTCCGCCAATAGTAAATGCGGGCGACGATTCTTTGCGGATGATTGCACGACGATTGCCAGCCTTGCTACTGCTGCCGCTGCTGCTACTACTGCCGCTACCAAAAATTGGGTTGGCCAGCTTTGAGCCCAGCAGCGAGCCACGTCGCCGCCAGCTCAGCTTGCCGTCATCGGTGCGTAGTGAGATGTTGTTTTCGGGGCTCAGCGAGTACCGCTCAAGCATAGTGGGTTCCGAATCGTGGAAAATATGGCTGGTGCGGTTGGGGCTTGGTCGGCCTGTCTTGTATTTGCTAAATGCGTTGGCCAGCGGACTGAACGACGTGCTGCTGTCTGTTTGTTGAGACAAATGCCTCTGCCGTTGCTGCAGCTGCAGCTGCAGCTGTTCTTCAGCCGCTATGTTTGCGCCCGCGTCAGGACGGATGCGAGAGTCGGTCGATCCCTTCGGTGCCGCTGTAGCGACGGGCTGATCGTTGGGCTTCAAAGAGCTTTGTGCTGGACCGCTGTCTGCAGTGCCGGCAGTAGCCTGTGCATTTTCATTAATTCCGTTGCTGCTGATTAGACCGATTGCAGTAGTTGGCCGACTCGCTGACGGGCTCGGAATCTGCGACACCCCGTACTCGTCTGCCTCGGCTATGGCTGCTGGTGACGGCACCCCAAGGTTACCGGTACTGAGCTTGGACGCTGCTGACGACGGCTCATCTTCTTCGGCCAGCTCACCCAAATCAATGCTGGTGCGGTCGCTGCTGGATCTGCCGAGTAGCCCGCGCAACGAGCTTTTCAGGTGCTTTGACCGACTGCTGCCACTGCTGTTGTTGGCGTTTTCCTTGTGCCTGCTTAGCGAAAGTGATAGCCTTCCCATTTATCGGTATGGTTCTGTGGAGCCGTGGAGAAGAGTGTGTGCACTGGCAGTCTGGGAGGCGATTGTTGCCTATCGAGCCTTTGTCCAAATGAAAAGGAGGGTGCGTGACAAACGGGGGCTGTGTGCATACAACCGCACAGGATGGGCAGGTCGAAAGAAGAGCGTTGGTTTGTGAAATGAAATGGAATGGAATGGAATTAGAAGTGAAACGTAGCGTATGTACACAAAAATACTGAGGAAGCAGAAAAAGGGGGTCGACCAGTGCGATAAAAAAGCTTGTACCTCGCTGTCGGCACAAAAGTGAGGAAAAACAGTCGTTGAGTCCAAAATAAAGGGGGGTGCGGTGGGTCAAAGAGGAGGTGGCAGGAGCGCGCAGGTGTGTATGCGAATGGGAAAGGGAAGAGAGGGGGCCAAGAACCTCCGCCTTTGATGCTTTGTCCTTAGCAAGCGACTTCTTTTAGGGTTCACGGCCATTCTCCTCTGCGCGCAAAGGGCCCGTGTGCCACTCTTGCCCGCTGGGATGCCAGCGCGGCACTGCTGTTTTCCTCGCCCCCTCTGCGCCATTCTCCAGAATATTTTTCTACGGGCGCGCCTGTGCCGCTGCTACAAAGGAGCGTGTTTGAGCGCTGACGGGGGATCTTCTGCCTCTTCCTGGTTGGGCTCCTGGCAGATCAACAATTTTTCGTTGCATTCTTCACACACATCAGGTGGGATTTTCGGGCTCCTTTCGCTCAGGCATGCCAGAGCATCCACTGCGACAAGAGGGCAGCGGCAGCGACAGCAGCAAGCAGTGCGTTGCGAGATCCGCTAGTGAGCCACATTGGCCTTGTCCTGGCGCATGCAGAGCCAGATCCGTATATATCCCCGTTAATTAGGCGAGCTAATACCTGTAAATGACCCTCATTTTCCACCTGCATCGCGCCTCGAAGCAATAGACCCTCAGCAAGGCTGAGAGCCGAGCCACCCTGCCCCTTCGGACGGGCCCGTTAGGGCTTTTTGCAGAGCCGTGGGCGGTCCGGGATCTGAGTGTGGTGATTCCCTCCGGTAATTAGTGTTGTCGGTCCATCCCACGATCCTGGCCGGGGCATGCGCTTGCTTCTAAAATCAACGCAGATGCTGGTGTGTCCGTGCACGCATACGGTCCCGGCCCGCAGCTGTTATCTTGATGAGGTTGCAGTTGTACAGCCCCAGGACTGCAGCAGGCCTGTGTGTTTACCCAGTGGGCCGGCGTGGGCCGAAATCCGCCAGTCTGCTACGTCCCAGCCCCATTTTTCCCAGGCATCAGCTGCCAGTGGTGCGTCGTCATCGCGCAAATCTCGCACTACCCCCTTTTCTCGTACAGTAGGCCTCAGCCCCCTTTCTCCTTCACTTCGCACTCATTTTTTTGCTTCTCTATCCATTCCCGAATCCTACCATGTCGAACCTTCCCAAGGCTTACCTCCAGCGCCAGGCCGAGCAGCTCGTGGACTTTGTCAACAAGTCGCCCAGTCCCTTCCATGCCGTCGACGTGTGCCGCACCTGGCTCAAGGGTGCCCAGTTCACGGAGCTCAAGGAGAAGCAGAGCTGGGACGGCGCCATCAAGCCCAACGGCAAGTACTTCTTTACGCGCAACGGCTCCTCGATCGTTGCTTTTGCCGTCGGCGGCAAGTTTGTAAGTAATTTGTGCCAGCACTTCTGCGCATTCCGTCCCCAGTGCCATTCAGTACTGCTAACCCTCTGCCTGCTTTCTTTTTAGACTCCCGGCAACGGCGTCTCGGTCGTCGCTGCCCACACCGACAGCCCTTGCTTTAAGGTAAGCCTTTTCCTTTCTCACAGCCATGTGTGCCTCCAGTCTAGAGATGGTGCTCAGCTGTCGGGTCACGCTCCGCAGAATGATACAATGCCATCATGCATTCTAATCCCTTGTGCTCTGTAGCTGAAGCCCGTGTCGAAGAAGACCAGCAATGGCTATCTCCAGGTCGGCGTGCAGATCTACGGTGGCGGCCTCTGGTAAGTCAAATCGCAATAGTTCTAGTCCATTGTAGCAACAGCAGAGTCGAGCTAGGTACCCAATGGCAAGACTCGGCTGCAATGCATCTGGACGATAATGGACGGATTTGCATAGCGATATATGGAGACAGCAATGGCAGCATGTAGCTGACTTCTCTCCTTATTAGGCACACCTGGTTTGACCGCGATCTGAGCATTGCAGGGCCGTGTCATGGTCCGTGACAACAACGGCGGATACGCAAACCGTCTGGTGTCAGTCGCCGATCCGATTCTGCGCATCCCGTCGCTCGCCATCCACATGGATCGGTCGGCCAACGATACCTTCACGTTCAACAAGGAGACGCATCTGACGCCCGTCCTGGCGACTGTCTCGAAGGCGCTGAACGGTCAGGAGGAGTCCTCTGACGCCAAGGTTGACCACCATCCCGGTCCTGCTGCAGCGCCTTGCCAAGGAACTCGACATTGAGGTCGACCAGATCACCGACTTTGAACTGTGCCTTTACGACACGCAGCCGGCAGCCATCGGCGGTATCTGCAACGAGTTCATCCACTCTGCGCGCCTCGACAACCTGAACTCGTCCTACTGCGCGGTCGAGGGCCTGATCAACAGCCTCAGCAGCGAGCACGCGCTGGACAACGACTCGCATGTGCGGATGATTGCGCTGTTCGACAACGAGGAGGTCGGCTCGACCTCAGCGTACGGCGCCAACTCTGCGCTGATCGAGGCTGCGCTGCGGCGGATCCAGACCGGCGGCTCACCCACCGCCTTCGAGCAGAGCATGGCCAACAGCTTCATGATCTCGTCTGACGTCACGCACGCGGTGCATCCGAACTACAGCGAGAAGCACGAGGCGAACCACCGCCCAATGCTGCAGAAGGGCCCGTCGATCAAGTACAATGCCAACCAGCGGTACGCGACCACAGGCCGTGACCTCGGCTATCCTGAAGGAGATTGCGAAGGCGCCATGATATCCCGAATGCAGGAGTTCTTGGTCCGCAACGACTCGCCGTGCGGATCCACGATTGGCCCGATGCTGAGCGCTCAGCTGGGTCTGCGCACGGTGGATATTGGCAACCCGCTACTGAGCATGCACAGCATCCGTGAAGTCTGCGGTGCTGATGACGTTGGCATGTCTGTGAAGCTGTTTGAGCACTTCTTTGGCGAGTTTGCTGCTCTTGATGCCCAGGTCAACGTCGACTAAACAGTGGTTGGTTTTGTCTTCGGTCTCTCTAATTAGCCTTTGAGTACAATGCTAGCTACCCTGTTGTGTCCAGTTGTCTCTTGTGCACAGAAACTTGCATCACGATATAATCCTCAGTATAGGATGCTCCTCTATCAGCAGCACTCTTGTCATCCCATTCGCATCCCGGTATATAATATTGGCTTGATGCACATGTACGGAATTGTTGGTACATATAGCGTTTCACGCACGTTATCATTGCTTCAACCACTATGCAGAAACCCTTTGGTCCCTATCGTTTTAGATATTGCTACAACACATAGTGCATGGTATATATTAAGCAGCACGCACGGCTATGCATAATGAAATCAGACGCAGACCCCGATTCTACAAGCCAGGAACGTAGTTCACAATGCCTGAATCGACAGCTCTTGGCCTTCGGTGACAGCGTGCGCCAACAGATTCGCCGCAAGTTCCTGGATCCCGTCAACGCCCTCAAACACACTCTCGCCAATTGTCATACGCGTACATGCAGCCACAAAACCAAAGAAAGTCGGCGAATTGTCGCCGTCCAGAAGCACGACCACATCATCCACCTCGGAAAGCACAACGTGCAGACACTTGGCGTGCTCGCAAAACACCTCAGTGCGCCGTGCAGACTACATTAGGCGATGCCACATTTCCACCAGATGCGCTGGTCCAGCAACTCATGCTCATCCAAGAATGTTAGCACCAGGGCGCGCACAAAGCGTGGCATGGAGTTCACTATCCGAGCAGTATCCGTGTCGGTGTGAGTGACCACCAGTGATGCAATCAACACAAGCAGACTGCGCTGGCCGCCCAGAGCCCGCTTCTCGCCGGCACTAAACGCTGCACGTAGTCGTTTCATGACAGCGAGCAAGGAACTTTTCAAAGTCGCCAAGGCTTTTCATGATGTGGCTCCATGTGAGGTCGGACACCTGGATCAGCATCGTCACGAGCTCCAGTAGTCCGATCAGTCCATCCATCGGAAATATCGGCGACAAGAGCCGTCCAATCGAGCACAGATCGAAGCCTTGCCATGTTGGGTTGTCAAGTGTCGGCTTAGGCGCAATGGAAAGCAGCCGGACCTGCAGCTGGCATAGCGAGGCAATCGCAGCACCGCGGCTATTCTGCTTTCGAGCGGCAGAGTCCTGGACAAGGGAATGCAGCGCAGTGCCGATGGTAGACGAGAGCTGGGCTCATGCGCTGGCAGCCGATGGCTGCTGCAGCATCATGCATCGGCGAGTCAGAGTCTTCATGATCTTCAGCCTCAATGACCGCGGTATCCAACAGCCACGCTGCTGTGAACTCGTGCATGGTATCAATAGAGCGCAGCAGGAGCTGGCAGAGGGAGCTAAGCTGTGCGCAATTCTCCGCCTGTTCCATCTCGCACAGCAGATCGCATGTCAATGTATGGAATGCTGCGACAGATTCAGCAGTCAGATCGCGCACCGCTTGCGATAGGCATATAGATAGGCTGATCATCTGTCCAAGGCCAGCGTTTGGCAATGCCGAGATGCTGTTGAGAATCTCAAGCAGGGCCGAATTGGCTAGCTGGCTTTTGAACGCTGGCCATGGATCCCGAAACGACTGCAGTGGACTGCGTCTCCCTTTACACTCGACTCGGCTGCAGCAGGCAGTACCGGCGGCAGGATGCCCATTCTTGCTGGTAGGACGCCTGCTTTCTGGCCACCGTGCGGCATCGACGAGAAGTCCTCGACACTCGGGTATATGCTGCTGCTCGATCCGCTGGCTGCCCTGGCGGAGTAGTGGACAATGACTTTGCCGACGGCGTCTTTGGTCATTGCTGCAGCCTGCGCCTCTTGCTGCTGGAAGAATATCTCTGTCTTTAGCCGCTCGATTTCGCCTTCGAAATCTCTCCGTGTCTTGGCCTGCTCGGCGCTGACATTTGCAATCTGGTTTGCCAGCTGCTCCTGCAGATGCGTGTTTTCGACCTTCTGTCCGCGCCAGATTCTCGCGTACGATCTTGACCTCGCCTTCTTTGGTGTACAGCTGCGATTTCAGCTGCTCTGCTTCGGCTTGTATTCCGACGATTCTCTTCACGCAGCCGCTCAAGATCCTCCATTATCCGCACCATCTCTGGGTCCATCCTCTGCCTGGCTGTCACCAGCTGCAACAGCCGACGGCTGTGAGTGATGTGCACTGGATCGTAGCGGGGGCGGCCGCTGCCACGGTCTCTGGTGATTATTCCCTGTCGACAGGCGTGGCTGCGGTGGATGCTGACTCGAAATCGGCAAACTCGGGTGCGCTGGGATGTGCTGTGCCAGTCGCGAGTACAGGTTGACTTTGCTCTTCATATGCTGCGGCAGCTGTGTGCTCGATACAAGATCGGACTCCTGTTGGTATCCTGGTTGCTGAGACTGCTGAGTGGCCACAAAGGTGGGGGATGTGCGGGTGTTTGATGTGCTACTGCCCGGCTGGCCGTAGCCAGGCGCACCTTTCCTGGCTCCGGCCGACGACAGCAGCCCTGCATTGGTCGAAAAAGCAGTAGCCACAGCAGCGCCTTGGATTCGCTGTTGTTGGTGTGGTTGGTGCTGACCGGGCGGCGTGTGCAGGTACCATGCGTGCATTCCGCGACTCGAGGTCAGCCGACACTGGGCCGTTTCCGTACCGACTGCTTTGGAGCGGCGCCCTGTCGGTAAATTCCTGCGACAGCGACTCGCGGCCAGGCATGTCAAACTGCTGCGTCGCATAAAACTGCTCCTCTGATTCCTCCACCTGGCGCATAGTCTGCGAGTCCAGCACAATATCATCCAGATCATCCCAGCCGTCGTCCATGCCGTCGTTGTCGTCGTCAAACTCTCGAAGCGCTGTTTGCGATGTGCGGCACAGCCTGCCTAGTGTGGTTGAATCCCGTCGATCCAGGAGTGACACTGTGCGGTGATGTTTGTTTGCAAAGCTGCGGTTGTCGGTGTGGCGTTGTGTGTTGCTTCTGAGGGGTTGTTGCTTCCTGCTGCGCACTTCTCCGCGGTGTAGCAGGCTGCTGCTTGCCAGACCTTGGCGTGCGTGGGGCTCTGTGGATGGGCGAGCTGCTGTCTCTTTCTGTCTCGTCGCTGATAAATTGCATGAGCGCGATGTTGCGGGACGAGGTCAACAGGGGAGTGTTATCTTGCGTGTCAGAAACGTCCGCCATGTCGTCGCCCATTGCATTCTACACGGCGTCTGTGCCAAATACAAGAGATACTGAGAGAGCAGACTGCTATAGAGCTGCGCTGCTTGTTCCGGTGCCCAAAAAGGAATAGAAGGTATGGAGGTTACTGAGGAGGCGAAGAGTAGAGAAGAGCGAACCACGGCAAAAGTGCGGGCGCTTGGGGGCTGAACCGCTTTTTGGTGGTGCCATCCACGCGTTTGCTGTTTTTTTTCCTGGTGGCCAGATTGAATCAGCGCCAGCCGCTTGATGCCGGTGGTTGGCTTGCGATGATTGCGCCTAAACTCGTGTGGGTGGTGCTGGCCACGCAGCTCTCGTCTCCAAAAAAACAGCGTGCCCTCTATTTCTCTCCACTATATTTTCTTTTGAACAATGCGCTTCTTCAATTCGCTGGTGCTGCTGGTGCAGAGGTACGGGACGCACCTATGTGACTGGGATACATCGACAAAGACGAGGCTCGGGCTGTAGAGGAATGTGCATCTGCGACTAATCGGCAACGCTTTCTATGCCATTTTTTACTTTTCTTTCTGTAGCGTTCTCATGCTGGCTGTCCGCCGTGCTCGGCAGTGAAAAGACATATCGGGTACGCGGCACAGTGCTGGCCAACGACGTTCTTGCTGGTAAGTAGTCGGTGGACACCTCAGCATGGGAGATACAGCGCAAACCCCTTGCTCCTTTCTTGACTTGACTCAGCCTAATGGTTTCGATCTGTCTGGCATCTTAGATGTGAGTGGGCTTGCAACCAGTGCGCGCGTGGTTGTTAACGGCGGGGAGAACATCGGGATTCATCCAGAGCGACGGCACGTTCGCAGTGGACAACGTCAAGCTTGGTGACTCGATGCTTGAGATCAACAGCGCAGACTATGCGTTCCCGAAGGTTCACCTGCGCATCTTGCTGAAGGAGGATGGCCGCGCCTCAATTGCTGCCCGCTATGTGCAGGTGGGCTCGGAGTGGTCCGAGGACACGCCGGTTCTGGCGTACCCTCTGCGCATTGCTGCTGCCGACAAGTTCGATTTCTTCACGCCGCGCCAAGGGTTCAGCCTCATCTCCATGTTCTCAAACCCGTACATGATGATGGTCGGTGCCTCGCTCGCCGCAGTGTTTATCCTGCCGCGTCCTCCAGGCACAGCTGGACCCTGAGGCGCTGAAAGGAGATGCAAGGCCAAAAGAACTAATTAGATCTGCGTTTTTCTCCTGCATCCAGACACAACCAATACATTGTCCGTCGCTGCTGTCACTTGGTGTCTCCACGCAAACACGTATGCACTCACACACCCCGTGCATCATGCAGATGGCCAGAGGCGCCAAAGGCGGAAGGTGAATGAGTCCCACTGCTGATCCCTCCATTGCCCAATTCTACTGAGGTCATGCAGGCAACGCTATTGCGCAGGTTGGTCCGCCATGTCGACGGCACCGGCCAGGACTGCCAATGCCTCTCCTCTTTTACCCCCTTATTGCACAACCACCACGCACTTTCAAGCCTCTCCTTGGTCACTACTACCAGCAGCCCAATCTATCTACCAGTCGCCATGCAATATCCGCCGACGTCCCATGTACCTGTGGATGAGACCCAGGTCTCAGCGTTCCTAGCCAAGAATCCCACATACGACGGACGAGGCACGCTAGTAGCTGTCGTTGACTCTGGCATCGACCCGCTGGCACATGGGCTGCAGGTAACCAGTGAGGGGAAGCGCAAGGTTGTCGACTACATCGACTGCTCTGGGGCTGGTGACGTTGTTATGAGCGAGCCCATGAAATCTTCTGATGGCACTCTGCCGGGAACCACTGGCCGCACGCTGAGGCTGAACCCTGAATGGTCGAACCCGACCGGCGACTGGCGCATTGGGATGAAGCGCATGTTCGATATCACCCCTGTCGACGTTCGGGCGGACCTGATGCGTGTGCGGAAAACCGATGTTTGAGCGTGATTTGATGCGTCTGGCGAACGATGTGATGGCCAAGCTGGATAGTGTTGAGGGCTGCGGCGATTCCAGGGAGCTAAAGCATGCAAAAGGATGTGCTGGAATACCCTTGGGAAGCAGTATCGTGACTGCGGGCCGGTGTTCGACTGCGTTGTGTTCCACGATGGCGACCAGTGGCGTGCTGCAGTTGACACATCTGAGACCGGCGACTTGAGCGAGGCAGAGGCGGTAGGCGCTTATAAACTGACCGGGCAGATCGGGATGCTCAGTCGCCGTTTCTTGGTGGCCTACACGCTGAACTTTTACGACGATGGCCAGATTCTAAGCATTGTCACCTGCCACAACGACCATGGAACTATTGCTGCAGGCATCCTGGCTGCGTATGACCCTAGTGACGCGCGGAACAACGGCGTTGCTCCAGGCGCCCAGTTGGTCTCAATCAACATTGTAGACAACCGACTGGATAAGAACATCCCTGTGCTTTCGTCGCCTCTTGCCTTGAACGCGCTGGTCAACTACAATGTTGACCTTGCAACTACAAACCTTATAAGCCACATTTGCGAGCCCAATGTTGGCCACAACGGTCGATATAGTCAGCAGGGCAGATTATCCAAAAGCTCCGGTGCATTTTCGTCTCTGCTGTCGGCAACAGCGGCCCTGCACTTTCCACGGTTATGTCGGCAGGAGGAACCATGGACTGGGTTATTGGTGTTGGTGCGTACTACAGCCCAGAGCAGATCAAGGATCCAGTTTGCGATATGTGACGATGCTAACGAGGCTGCATTCAACTTCAGCTCGAGAGGTCCAGCAGCAGATGGTTCGCGCGGCGTCGACATTTACGCTCCAGGCAGTACCATCCCTAGCTGCCAATCATTCACACGCACATGCAATGGTGTTGCTGAGGGCACCAGCCAGGCAGCACCGAACTTGTGTGGCTGCCTGTCCCTTCTAGTTTCGGCGTGGAAGCAGGAGACCGGCGGCGGTTCCGGTCAGAAGATAGGCATGTTCCGCATCCGGAAACGCGATTTTGGCCACGGCTCGACAGTTTGGCGACGATTTAGGCGTCGGGCTGATTCAGACCGCCGATGCCTGGGAGTTTCTGAAGAAAAATTCTGCGCAACCAAGTGAGGATGTGGACTTCCAGATCCGTATTAGTGAGCTCAATGATGCCCACGGCATATATCTGCGCAACCTGGATGACTCTGCTACGCCGCGCGCGCTGTCGGTGTCTATTCAAGCCATCCACATAGAGAGCCTGTTGGCCGATCCAGAAGTTGACAAGGACGAGGCGTATGCAGAGAAAGCGTCGAAACGGGCGTACGATTTTGATATGAAGGTGGATGATATCGGCGACTGAAAAGTGGATCAAAGTTCCCGGATGCAGTTTATGTCAGCAGCGGTTCTGCCATATTCGACACCAGCATCAATGCAGTCAGACTCCAGGCAGGGCGGCTGCACACAGCTGAGATCCAGGGGTTTGATGCACAGAATGTGGAGCGGGGACCAGTCTTCTCGATTCCAGTTGTTGTGACGAAGCCGCTCACAGTTGGTCCATCTGCGCGCATACAATTCAATGGCCTACATTTCAAGCCAGAAGAGATTGTACGCAGGTTTATCGCCGTGCCCCAAGGCGCAACCAGAGCAACTATCACCATGTGCTCGCCGAACAAATCGACACATGGGGCAGCGCCAGCAATGTTTATGCTCAACTGCGTCCAAGTGCTGCCAATGCGCCAATTCACATCCTTTCATCTGAACACATATGATTCTGTCGGCCATGCATCGTTCGCCATGTCGAGCGATTCGGCTGAGCAGCTCTACAGGCATAAAATGCAAGTTCGTGGTAGCGAAACACTCGAAGTATGCATTTCACCACACTGGGTAAACCATGATGCGTACGACCTGGATGTCAGCGTGGAATTTCAAGGGTTGGTCGTTGCTGGTGCCATGACAGAGATGCCCTATGCGTTCAGGAACTCGCCAGGTATTACGCTAAGCGGGGATGTGCCAGTAAACCGCGTTGATCTCCAGTCGCTGGTTCGCACAGAGGACAGTATAACCCCTGCATGCTATCTTGAAAAACTGCAGCGATTCTACAGGCCAACTAAGGCGTCCATCTCTGTGCTCCGCTCAGAACGCGACATGTGCCTAGCGACAAGGTGCCCGTACTACCAGCTGGCTCTCGAGTATGCAGTATCGACTACCCGAGACAACATCAACGCTCATATTGTTGTCACTGGCTTTGGTGCTAAGTCTGATGACTTTTGGGCACAGGGCCTCCAGCTGCTGGCATTTGACGCCAGGAAACGCTGCATTCTGAGACATACTGGCTCACCAGAGAGAGTCTGTTTGCCACGCAAGGGCGACTACACCCTCCGCGTACAGATCCGGCACCACAATGCCAAGGAGCTGGAGGCACTGAGACACCTACAGTTGACGGTCGTATTCGCATTGAGACAGTACACTTCGATTCAAATCCGTCCATCGGTTGAAGCTGTATTTGACCGCAAGTATATTGCGCGGTATACCAGAGCTACCATTCCGAAAGGCAAACAGCTGCCACTTATTCTTCGATACAGTATCGTTCAAACCACCTGCGGAGGCGCAAGCCAGGCGATATTCTGGTTGGATATATTATACCCAAGAGAGGAGCAGATTGCTTAGCCCTCAGCTACACAGGTGCCGCAGCGGGCGACGACCAAGGATAGGGTTGCATCGCAGTCGCCTATGATAGTGGCAAGAACGGAGTGGCAGTAGCATGTCTATTGCAGATAAGGGAGCACAGGGAGCTGGCGGAGGCAATGACCCGTTTACGGATTGAGTGGGTCAAGAAGGTCACGGGATGAGGACGTGCGCCAGCGACTGATAGATGAGCTGCTTTCTGAGTCCTCAGGAATCAGGTGACCTCAAGCCTGTATGCGTGTGTTGACAATTCAGCTGGAGCTGCTTGATACCCGGCGCCGTACTCTTCCGCTCGATGCGACATCCGGGATTTCTACGCTCTCTGCAGCCAAGATAATCCATGTTTCAGAAAGGATCATTGCACTTGTTGACACGAGCAGACTAGGCCATCGACACTGAGCACTAAGCTGCCAGGAGGCGCCGACACCGAGGACGAGGCAAAGGATCCAAGCTTGATGCAGCGAAATCAAGGGATATGCTGGTCGGCGCACTGATGTCAAAGTGCCGGGCACTAGCGTTCCAGGTGTCAGCAGACAGGCCAGCCGCATGCGCTTGCTGATTATGAATCTGCGGTCGTGCAGCTTGCCAAGTGGTCAGACAACGGCAGCGACCTGGCTCTAGGATATTGAGTATTTACTAGCAGCCGTTATTCCTTTGCACATGGGCAAGGCAGGAGTACGCACATGCGCTGGTGGCTCTCAACAGGTGGACCGAGAAGGCGCCGATGACACACACCAATGCAGCCGACTGGAGCACTGTCTCGGCGCTGCAGATTCGGCTCCTGGATAAACTCCGGTGGCCACTGTGGGTAGACAACTTCAAGAATCGCTTGGCTGAAGGAATTTCCCGGCTCATTCATACCGGTTCTAGGCGCGATTGTCGTCATGCGTGACGCAATACATTTGATCATATGCAACAGCAACACATCGTGTGCCTGCTTCATGATCAGCGTGATGGCCATCACATACGTGCATGGGATGGAGTGTGCCAGTTTTGCACAGCACATAAAGTCAACACACACCACCATGCCCTGGCACAGGTATAGCAAGGTCCTTTTCCCCTCACAACTTTATAAAACTTGCAGTTTATACCATCTACACCGTGAATTAACGATACGACAATGCATAAAATTGGTGGCGGGATTCTTAACGTGCCTCATACTTGCGCATACTGCAGTGCAATGTATTGGACGTGGGTGGAGGTTAGACACCATGTGCTTACTGAATGCGAAATATACAAGCACGAATCGGCCCTGCTTGGCTGACATGTCGTCATTGTGGCAGAGGGCGCGCAGTGGCTGGGATTTTGAAGGAAAGGGGCCAAGGGTAAAAAAGAATTGCAAAGGGCAGAGGTAGGGGTGATGGCGAAAGGGTAACATTTACGTGCCATTCGCGAATCAAGGGTGGCAGGCGGAAAGTATAAAACAGAAGCATACCTGCTACCATGCCTTCCTACCCCTCTTCACCTGTTGCCCCACTGATATCTTTATTCACCCATCTTCCCTTGGCCCGCACCCCTGAAATACTCTGTTGGCCCACCCACCATGCCTCCCAGCTTTGAGTACTATGGCAGATACGAGTGCCCGAACTGTTTTGCCGAGTTTTCTACCATCACTGAGATGAACGTCCACAAGTACTACACGTGCAAGAGCAGAACCATCAACCTGGACTGGTAGCGAGGGTGCATGCTATCTGGCCTGTAGATGGCATTGGCCTTTTGTCCTATACACAACACCACTACACGTTTATATCATACTTCCATATGTATAGTTTTCGTTATAAATAAAAAGACCATGGCAGCATTCAGTGCTCTTAGTCCTCAGTGCCAAAGTAGCGGTCGCCAAAGTCGCCAAGGCCCGGAAGAATGTACTTGCGGTGGTCCATGCCCTCATCGACCTCAGCAGAGATGATCTGCAGACCAGGGAACTTCTCCAGCATGTGCAGGGCGCCCTCGGGCGAGCAGATCAGGTTGATAAACAGGATGCGGTCCTCTTTGACGCCGGCCTCCTTCAGGACCTCGGCGCACTTGATTGCTGAGCCACCAGTAGCCAGCATCGGATCGAGCAGCAGCACCCAGCGGTCCGCAATATCCTTGGGCAGCTTCGAGTAGTACAGGGTCGGGGTGGCGGTGCGTTCGTCGCGCTGGATCAGCACCTTGCCGATGCGCACGCTGGTGCACACATCGCGCAGGCCCTGCTCCATGGACTCGCCCGCACGCATAATCGACACTCCGCAGATGCGGCCCTGGAAAGACACGCCCTTGAAGGGCACGCCCATGGGTGTGGTCACCTCCTTCTCGACCACAGGGAGGTAGTTCAGGCCCTCCTCGACCAGCAGCCGGATGACACGGTCGGAGTAGAACACAAAGTCGCTGCGCTTGGTGTTTTTGTCGCGGATGATCGTCATTAGCGCCTTGAGCTGGTGCGTCTGCGGGAGCAGGTGGAACCGCGGGTGCTCGGCGACCTGGGCAGCGAGAGAAGACATTATTACTTTACAAAAGGGGGGAATGGAAGGAGCTCAATTACTGGAACCGAAAAACCAACACGCGCACAAAACAACCAGAATGATGTGCAAGTAGAAAAAAAAGGAGGCGCAAAGAAAGACGAAGAGCAGAAGAGAGGCGTGGGTCTGGCCGCATGTCTTTTATAGCCCCCAGCATGGCGCTTGAGCTGGGTGCAGCCGGCTTGCAAGGACAGATCCCCACACGTCGAACTGTGCCCCTAAACTGCATTCGGTCGTGTGCTACCTTCCGAATGCAGCGCGGGGAATATCTGACTGCCTGGTCGTATTTCCAAAGCAGGCATGCATCACACAATATAGGCAATTTATAGCTCGGCCGGTTGGGTAACGAAATCAATTAGAAGCTTGCGAGCGCCATCGTCATGCCACAGGGTCCAGCTCCAGGCTATCAGACCCGCTGGACGTCATCCGGGCCAGCACAGCGTGCTCCTGCTCGAGCGTCGACGCGCGATACTTGAGACGGCACAGCGGCACATTGGTCTTGTGGACCTCTGTCTGACCGGTTTCCAGATAGTCGCGGCCAATCCAGTGGCGCTTGACCTCGGCCTCGAACCCGCTCTGCAGCACAGGAGTTCATGGCCAGCTCACACATGTCGACGCTGTTGAACTTCCAGATCTGCGCGGCAATCGAGTACTCCTCAATCAGCGGCTCCTTGGTGAAGTGGAACTGCAGCGGGTCGTCGGTCGACAGGGCCACATTGAGTCCGCGCTGGAAGTACGTGTTGAAGGGACTGCGCTCGTACACGAGGAACAGGGCGTTGTTCGACAGCGGCGACATGGCCAGGCCGATCTGCTGCATGTAGTACAGATACTGCAGGGCAGGGACCTTGCGCAGCAGGATGCCGTGGTTGATTGCCTGGGCAGTGAGGAACGCGGCCGACAGGTGCTCGGTGTCGCCGGCCTCGCCAGCGTGCGGGCGGAACACGAAGGTGTTGAAGCCGCGGCGCATTCGCCACTGGTTCAGCGAGCACAGGTTGGCCATGGTGAAGTAGCAGTAGTACGTGTATGGCGGGTTGGACTCCGAGTCCCAGACACACGGCAGCGGGTACTTTTTGTGCATGCGGCGCTCGGGCTTGGACTCGTCGTCGACGGTGTCGAATCCAACAACGCGCTGCAAAAAGACGTGCAGCTTGGGGTGCGAGCTCGGGTCCTTGGTGACCTCGAACAGGGGCTGGAAGATGTTGCGGAGCACCTGCTCAAAGTTCTCGACCTGGCCACCCGCCTTGTAGACATTGTACAGGCGCGGGGTCTGGATCAGCCAGCGCACGTTGTTTGAGAACAGCTTGTGGTCGACGACCCATGCCGCCAGCTTGTCCCACTCGTCGATAGAGCGGCCATAGATCGAGATGCGGTACTCGGCCATCTGGTACTTGCTCTGCTCAAGATCAGACATGACCTCCTTGGTGATCTGCGCAAAGTATTCGCCGTCGATAAAGTTGTCAGTCTTCATGAAGATCTCACGCAGACGCGACTCTCCCAATCGGATTGTACTTCAAGTTGAACTTGTCGAAGCGATGGTAGGCGCCATTGTGCGCGTGCATGTCCAGGGTGTCGATCGACAGGTCGTACGCAGTCAGATTGAGCGACTCAAACACCTGGCGCAGCGTCAGCGTCTGGACCGTCACGCACAATGACGGGGCGGTCCGGCTCGGTCTTGAGCTTGTACTTGATGAAGCGCAGCAGGTGCTTCTGGTTCATGGCACTGGCCAGATGCACGTGTCCGTCGACCTTGCGCACGTTGTACAGGTCACGGTGCGGCACCATCTTGGACTGCATGGTCTCCTCACGCTCATTCAGCAGCACATACAGCTGCCAGCGCGCGTCCAGATAGCGCAGGCGGCGGAAGGCCCAGGTCTTGATGGGGCCGTCAGAGATCGTGTCGAGCACAAAATCCAAATCCATATAGTACTCCTTGATCGACGGCACCTTAGTGAACGGCTCCCGGCCCTCGTCTTTGGCCTTTTGGGTTTCAAACACCGCAAACACGCCCGACTCGACCATCTCAAACACGCAGTCGTCGGCCTGCGGGATCTTGCACTTGCTCATGTCGAACTCCTCCTGGACATCCGTGGCAGGCTCGTTAAAGTTGCGCCAAGCGGGTGGAGGTGGTTTCGGGTAGATCTTCCATCCAGGCTTGTTGATTGGATTATCGGCCTCGTGCTGGCAGCTTATGTCCATGTACTTGTCGCGCAGCGCCATGCACTTGGCCAGCGCATCGCCGATCCGTCTGAGCTCCTGCGGGCCCTCTGCCATGCCAGCCAGCTCGGTTGCCTCATCAGTGATGTGTGTGCGGATCATCATGTTGCGGATCTCTTTCTCGAGCCGATGGCTAACAACGGAGTCATCCAGGAGCTTCTCTGAGAACGCCTCATCCTCGTCGCACGTCAGCGTGCTCATGTTGCGCTTTCCGGGATCAAGCGTAAATGCCGGCATATTGCGTGCCTCGACCAAAGATGGGCCGGAGCGCGGCGAGAGCTGCGTCAGGATCGCGTCGGCATGGGCCTGGCCGAGCTTCTGCGACATCAGGATCGATCGAGGCGTCGAGGGCATGAGGCCGGCGGGTGTAATCGAGGGCTCGAGGGTTTGGTGTGCTGGCAGAGGCGATCCGGCTCCGTTGGCCGAGGCCGCGCCGCTGCGGGGCCGCTCAAACATGGCACTGACAAATGCCTTGTCGGCCTCGTACTTGCTCTTGCTGAGGGTACGCATCGTCACATACGGGTGCGTGGTGGAGCTGGACTCGGGGAAATCGTCGTCGTCGAAGGAGCGGCGCATGCTGGTCTCGGAGCTGGAGTCAGCCGAATCGACAGATGGGTCGTCAGTAGTCGTCATCCAGTGGAAAATTTTCTGCGTGGTGCGGGGATTGTTTGCTTGAGCTGGTACAGGTTGTGCAGGTTGTTGTCTTATCGCTGGTGCTGAAGAAGGAAAGGGAGCTTTATTAAAAGGAGAAGTGCAAGCGCGAGAGAGGGCGTCATCATGCCCTTTATATAGCTGGCTGATGGGAGAGTAGCCCGTTCTAAAACTGCCACAAAAGGAAAGTCGACATTCGCAGTTGCAGCACTATTTGCTAATATGTGAAATATTCCTCGTCAAGTGACCGCATGCTTGGCTGCCGCAGCACAGCAGGCATCGCATTTGGCTAGCCATCAACCGAGGCTAAGCCGCAAGCCATTCATCGTTTTCTCACTGCTGTATGCGGCTGAGCAACTGTCGCTTTCTAGCCCGAGTCCATACCGCAGCCCAGAAACCCGCAAAAAAGAGACAGGGCTGCGGCCACAGAGCAGTATGTTGCCTCCGTGAGAAAAGCGCACATGTTATAGCCATCAATAACGGGAGATGTGGGTAGTAGGGGGTGGCAGTGGCACGGGCAAGAAAGAGAGCCACAGTGTATGCAGGACTGGCAGCGGCGAAAATAGAGCGTGCATTCTACCCGATGCCCAGCCGTGCATGCCGCTCTGGTTTTCCACAAGAATACCGACGCCTGGCGCCCCCAAATAATCATGCAGAGATCGTCCATCGCTCTGCCTCGCGAGGTATTGCGCTGGTCATCTGGCCCGTCATGTGATTCTCGGGTCGTCACAGCCCCCAGGTACCGTGAAGGGGTCGCTGCGTATTGGGTCCAGCAGCGGAGGCAGCGGGTCCTCATGGCTGTGGATCTCACAGGTCTAGCCATCGGTCTGCGACGTAGCACAGACATCTGGAATGACGCAATATGTCGTCCGTCCCATTATGCCTATGGCATGATTAGTGCAGCCAAATGTGGATATAGCGTGCGTGTCTCTCAATGGGCCACTTGACGAAGTCCCGCGCCCTTTCTTCTTCCATATTTCATTACGCACATACGGATTGACCCAGCCTAAGCATGTCATCATCAGCAGAAAACGGATACGACGACCTGGTGCTCAAGGCAGGCACCGACATGGGCACGCTCTTCGACGGCTTCTTTGGCAGCATCGAAGGCCTGCGTGCCGGCCAGCCCTCAGATAAGGGCGTCAACGAGACGAATTGCAGGAATCTCAGCACAGCTCTGGGCGCCGCGCATTGACCGGCACGAGGACGAAGACCAGGTTGTGCTGCGCGCGCACTTGCCGAATGTGCCACACAACCATATCCGCATCGACCGGTCAACGCCGGGCCGGCTGAAGATCTTTGGTGAGTACAATAGCCAGACGGTGCGTGAGCATGGAGTTGGATCGGGTCACCGAGAAGAGGCTGGGCCAGTTCGAGAAGGACGTGCCGCTGCCACCGGCGGCCAACGTCGAGCAGATCACGGCTGTCTTTGAGGGGCCTGTGCTAGTCATCACGATTCCCCAAGTAGCCATAGGGGGGTTCCATAGACATTTGGATGTTGATAGTAAGATTTATAGTGTGGACAATTTAGAGGTTAGGGAGACGGGCAGCTGGCAGAGGCGGCCAGCAGCTTGTTTGCGCGGTCGCGGGCAATCTCGACCATGTCGGACAGGCCAGTGAGCAGCTCGGTGGTGCGGTCGCCATGGGCAATGCGCTCCTCGACGATCGGGAACAGGCTCTCCTTCTTGCGGCCGTTGACGAAGATGACAAACCGGAACCCGTATTTGTCCTCGTACCTCTTGTTCAGCTCGGCCCACTTGGCCAGGATCTCGTCCTCGTTGGACGCCCGCTGGCCCTGCTCGATCTTCGACAGCGCCGACAGGTTGGTGGCCTTCTCGCCAATACGCGGGTGGGCGTTGATGACCTCCAGGAGCTCCTCCGGCGTCAGCTTCTTGATCTCTGCACCGGCCGTGTCCAGGAGCTGGTCGTAGCTGGCAAACGGGCGCTGGTCGTAGATGCGCTTGGTCAGGACCGCCGTGGGCTCAAACAGGAGCGAGATCACCGAGGTGAACTTTTCCAGAGTGAGCCTGTTGGTCTCGGCGATGGTCGGGATGGTGGGAAGGCCAGACATTGTGTGATGTGTACAGAATAAAGTTGGATGAGAAGAAAAAAAACGAAAAAGAGAAAGCAAGGGCAGAGAAGCGGACGGCGGCGGAAGGAGAGAGCAGCCACTTGCGCTTTTAAAGGCCAGTCCCGAGCAATCTCGAAGACGACGCAGCTGTTATCTTCCGAGCTACCTAATGTGCCGCGTAGAATGGTCGTGCACCCGTAGTCCTGAGGACATTAGCTGCCAGAAAATGCCCCGCTATTTGGAGCCTCTGAGGAGAGACGCAAAACTGCGGGGAATTACTGGCCCTAATTACAACAGCGGCCGATCTGGTGATATGGCAAGCCAGATTATATCTGCCTGGGATCAGGATCACTGGCTTTTCAAGCAAGCAAGGAAAAAAAAACGAGGTGTGCTCAAAGGTTAGTGCGCTGGTCGGGTCCCGCGCTCTTCTCTCCCTTCCGCTTAGCAGCTTTCCCCCGACACATACACATTTATCCTACACAGCATGGCAGACGACGACGGCTTCATTCCTGAACTTTGCCACGACCGAGACATCTGCGCCCGTGGTGCGTACCACCAAGGCCAAGAACGGCGGGCGGTGGAAGGACCGGCTACACGAGCGGCGCGTGAAGAAGCACCAGGCAACCAAGGAGCAAAAGAAGCTCAAGCAGTCCAAGGCAGGCTCGGATCCCAGCCAATACCAGCAGCACAGGCAAGAGCAAAAGACGCAGCAGGACGATGAAGTGACCCGGCTGCTGGACGAGATCAGCGGGCACCATCCCAGCAAACAGAAGCAGAAGGCCAGCAGCGCAGCAGGAAGCTCGGGGCCTACACCTCTGACTGGCCAGGCAGGCAAGCAGATTCGTGTCGTCGCTGTTCACAAAGAACCCAGAGATCCCGGTGCTGCCGAGCAATGCAGGGCAGGACAAATCGGTGTCGAGCAATGCAGTGGTGGACACGTCGACGTTCGAGGGACTGGGACTCGACTCTGATGTTGTAAAGTTCCTGCACACAAAGCTGGAGATCTCGAAGCCAACAGCGATCCAGCAGAACGCACTGCCGATCGCTGATTGGCAAGGAGGTCGTGGGCGGGTCTGGATGAGACGTTTGATGTGGAGCGGGACGGGCAGATTGAGCACGACGCGTTCATCCAGGCGGCGACTGGATCCGGTAAGACGCTGGCGTACCTGCTGCCCATCATCCACCGGCTTCTGACAGCCAGCACGATGCCGACAAAGGGCGCGTATCCGTCGCGCGAGCTGGGGACATTTGCCATTGTCCTGACGCCGACGCGCGAGCTGGCGCAGCAGGTGTACGAGACAATCCAGACGCTGGTGAATATGCCGCTGGACAAGAGCACGGGGATGCGGGCGCACTGGATGGTGCCTGGAATTGTAGTCGGTGGCGAGAAGAAGCAGTCGGAGAAGGGGCGGCTGCGCAAGGGCGTGACGATCTTGGCATGCACCCCAGGGGCGTCTCCTGGACCATCTAGGAGAACACCAAGGCGTTCATGGTGGACAATCTGCGGTGGCTGGTGCTCGACGAGGCCGATCGCCTGCTGGAGCTCGGATTCGAGGAGACGCTGAGCAAGATCCTTGCGCTGCTGGACGAGAAGCTCAAGTTCCGTGTGCCTGTGCTGGGCCGGGCCACCATGGTCAACTCGCCGTTTCTGCCCAAGCGCCGCATCAACGTGCTGTGCTCGGCCACGCTGCAGGACAACGTCAAGCGGCTGGCGACGCAGTCGCTGAATAACCCGCGGTTCATCAGCGCCACCAAGGTGCATGAGAATGCGGACCAGGCGGCTGAGGAGGCCCAGGGCCACCGCGGTAAGCAGGGCGCCAGCAGCGCCGACGACGAGGATCTGCTGGACAGCGAGGGGCGGATCAAGTTCACAGTACCCGACCAGCTCGTGCAGCGGGCGGTGATCGTGCCGGCTAAGCTGCGGCTGGTCACGCTGGTGGCCCAGATCAAGAACACGTTCCGGCGGCAGCCCAGCAGCAAGCTGATCGTGTTCTTGTCGTGCAAAGACGCAGTCGACTTCATGTACTTTTTGATGGCGCATGGCGGGCGGCAGGCCGAGGCTGAGGACGACCAAGACGACGTCACCAAGGATCTGTTTTCTGACGCAATGCGGGACTCGGACGACGAGGACTCGGACGAGGCAAAGAAGCAGAGGGAGAAGAAGGCGCTCGACAAGGCGGGCCCGCGGCTCAAGGACGACGAGATTGTGCTGGACTCGACCGTGTTCCCTGGCGCCAAGCTGTTCCGCCTGCACGGAAGCATGCTGCAGAAGCGCCGTACCGAGACATTCCTGGCGTTCTCCAAGAGCACGCAGGCGTCGATTCTCTTCACCACCGATGTTGCTGCGCGCGGCCTCGATCTGCCCAACGTCAACTCCATTATCCAGTTCGACCCGCCCTCGGATGTGTCCTCGTATCTGCATCGCGTGGGCCGCACTGCGCGTCTCGGCCGTGTGGGCGAGGCCATCCTGTTTCCTGCTGCCCAGCGAGTCCGGCTACATCCAGCTGCTGCAAGACAAGGGCCTGCGGCCGCAGGACGAGAGCATGGAGAGCGTGCTGAAGCTGACGGCGAAATACGAGGGCGTGAAGAAGGCCAGCGAGTGGCAGCTGCGGGCAGGCGAGATCCAGGCGATGCTGGAGCGGTTCACGCTGGGCAACATGGCGGCGGCGGGACTCGCCAAGCAGGCGTACCTGTCGTCGATCCGAGCGTATGCGACGCACATTTCGGCCGAGCGCAGCATCTTCCATGTCAAGTTCCTGCACTTTGGCCATCTGGCCAAGGCGTTTGCGCTGAGAGAGACGCCCAAGGAGGTGGCGTCCGGCAAGGGCAACAACCAGCGCGCGGTCGAGGCCAAGGAGAAGAAGGAGCATGAGGTGGCGGTCAAGAAGCGCCCGCTGTTCAAGCGCGGCAACGACATCAGCGAGTTTGCGGTCGGCGACATCAGCGCGTACTACGGTCCCAGGGTCAAGCGGTCCAAGGACTGACTTTTAGATCAGCCTGGCGCGTGATGCAACGTCAGTACGGGATTGGGGGATGGGCAGCTGGCCTGGCCGTTAAATTGGCCGGGGCATTCTCTGCTGGTTCCCTCGCCTCTTGCTCGTTTTTTTTTCCTCATTGCTTTCGTCTTTTCCTTCATCAAGAAATAGCGTATTACCTTCTACACCATGCCTGTTCAAAAGTTCACCAACGCTGCCGGTGCGCTGGAGCGCGTCGTTCTCTCTGGCCCCGAGGGCTCCTCCTGCGAGGTGTACCTGTTTGGCGCCACCGTGACGTCCTGGAAGTCGCAGGGCAAGGAGCGGCTGTACGTCAGCTCTCTGGCCAAGCTGGACGGCACCAAGGCGGTGCGCGGCGGCATCCCCCTGGTGTTTCCGCAGTTCGGCCCCGGAGCACTGCCGCAGCACGGGTTTGCGCGCAACACGACGTGGGAGCTGGTCGACAGCAATGACCACGGGGCCAGCGCGGTGGCGCGGTTCCGGCTCACCGACTCTGAGCAGACGCGCCTTAGCAAGTGGCCGTACAAGTTCTCGATCATCTACACTGTGGATCTGACCGCGACGACCTTGTCGACGATCCTGCAGTTTGCCAACACGGATGAGAAGCCGTTCGAGTTCACGTCGCTTCTGCACACGTACTTTGGCGTGCCGCACATCAGCGATGCTGTGGTCGAGGGGCTCAAGGGCGTGGAGTATGCAGACAAGGTCCTGGGCACCGAGAGCGTGGAGGAGCGCGACCTGGTCTCCATTGACAGGAACGAGGACCGCGTGTACAGGGATGTGCCGGGCGATGTGTGTGTCCGGTATGGGGGCGATGCGGTACGGCTGAAGCGGTTCAATTTCAAGGACATTGTGCTCTGGAACCCGTGGGCCGAGCTGGCCAAGGGCATGGGCGACTTTGCTGATGCCGAGTACGTCAACATGGTGTGCGTGGAGGCCGGCACGGTGGCCAGCGCAATCAAGCTGGCGCCCGGAGAGACTGCGTCGTATGGGCAGCTGCTGACGGTGGAGAGCGTGTCCAAGCTGTAGAGAACAAACAACAAATATATGATCTGACAATCTAAGACTGGGTGGGGGGCGAGATGCGGACAAGTGTGTGCCCAGAGCTCCTAGTGCGGAAAAAAGACCAGCTTTGGGCTCATGCTTCTAGACGGGCAGGTTCCCTGTTGTGTACCAGCTTGTGCAAGCTCCTTTTACTTTCTGTTCTCTACAATTCACGCATTCCCTGTTACTTGCTATTTCCTTTCGTTCAGACTAGCTCCACCATTCGTTTTTCTTTTTGAGCGCATGGTAGTTGGCGAGCACCCTGGGCCCGTGGTTAGCGCTGAATCCCTCGACCAATACACAATAGACATAATGCCCTCGACGCAGACACAAAAAGCCAGCGAGCAGCTTCCGGGCGGGCGTAGCTTGCGGCGGCAAATACGACGGTTTGTGCAGCACCACCTGGCACTACTGGTGGTATTCGGGGTGACGCTGACACTGGGCGGGCTGACAGCGCACTCGTACTTCCAGGGCCAGGTGGACAGCGGCTCGTGCCAAATGAGCTGGAGCCGGCCGCGGTTCGTGCTACAGACCGAGTTTGACAAGGGGTGGACGCGGTTCGCGGACAAGTACCAGCTGCATTTGTACCGCGAGGGCGGTTTCGACGTGCACGACGAGCCGTACCGGATCCCGGTTCTGTTTGTGCCGGGGAACGCCGGCAGCCACAAGCAGGTGCGGTCGATATCGTCGGCGGCGGCGGCGGCGTTTGTGGAGCTGGCGGGAAAGGACCCGGAGGTGGTGGAGCGGGGGCAGATCGGGTTTGATTTCTTCACGGTCGGGCTGAACGAGGAGTTCACCGCCCTGCACGGGTACTCGATCCTGGAGCAGGCTGATTTCATCAACGACGCAATCCGGTTTATTCTGTCGCGGTACGCGGAGACGAGGGCAAAACACCAGGTTGCAAGTGCGGACACCGAGTTTGCGCTGCCCACTTCGGTCATTGTGGTGGGCCATTCGATGGGCGGGGTGGTGGCCCGCACGGCGTTTACGCTGGCGAACCACATTGTGGGGTCGGTGCAGGCGATATTCACGCTGTCGACGCCGCACAACAACCCGACGGCGTCGCTCGAGTACTACGTCGACAAGGTGTACATGGGCGTGAACAGCTTCTGGCGCCACGGCTTCCACAACGGCACATTGGACAACGTCAGCCTAGTGTCGATTGCCGGCGGCAACCGGGACGGCATGATCAACTCCGACTATGCGTACGTGGGGGACCTGGCGCCCGCACGCAATGCGCTCAGCGTGCTGTCGTCGGGGATCAACGATGTCTGGCTGAGCGTCGACCACCAGTCGATTCTGTGGTGCGGGCAGATGGCGATAAAGTTTGCGCGCATGCTGACCATGATCATGGACGCACGGCGGCCCGAGCAGATTCTGCCGCTGGATGAGCGCATGCAGCTGATGCGGCGCGAGCTGTACTCGGGACTCGAGGAGAACTTTGAGAATGTCGAAAATACGGAGGTGCGCAAGACCACGCACGACGACTACCGGTATGTAAAGACATACGATGGTGCTATTTTGCTGACATCGGCCGATGTGCTGTTGATGGCAAGCCATGGCAGCTCGCCAAAGAAAACTGTCGGGCTGCATCTGCTGCCGCTGGACATGGAGCTCGGGCCGTCGGCGACGATCCAGGTGGCATATGAGCCGGATTTCCTGGGCAGCACGCTGGGGGAGCCGGTGCTGCTGGGGTGCAGCAGGAAGAGCACAGATGTCGCTGAAGACGTGCAGTGCCAGACCATTCCAGTGGCCCGGACAGTGACACTGCCCATGCGTACGCAGGACGAGGATGCAGATGCGCCGGTGATGGCCCTAAAGTACCTGGAGGCCGCAGCCCGCCACATGGACGGATTCGATTACTTGGGGCTGGAGCTCCCAGCCAAGGCCGGACCAAGCGGATACCTGCGCGCATCGATCGCGCACTCAGTGCCTCGGATCACCGCCCGCCCCAGCTACATGCAGCTGCTGATGCCATACACAGTGAAGGCGCCAGGCAAGGGCGGGGAGCTCAACACACGCACGCGGATCAAGCTGCACGTGCCCGAGGATCCGTTCTTTGTGTTCTCGGCCCAGCTCGCCATGGTGCCAAATGCTGGGCCGGGCCCAGCGCGCACAAAGTACCCGCGGTTCGAACCGATCGTGCGGCAGTCGGACAGCCGCAGGTTTGAGAGCAAGTTCTGGACGAACCGCGCCTCGTTCGATCTGGCGATCCACGGGCGCGGCGCATACCTGCCAGCCGACGAGCTGGTGGATGTGGGCGATCTGGGCGCGGCGCCGTGGGACGGACTGGACATTGACGTGTGGGCGGACCCCGACTACTACGCGGGGCTGTCGCTGACGCTGCAGATCAACTGGTACTCGTCGCTGAACCGCCTGGTGAAGCGCTACGACATGGCATTGCTGGCGCTGTCGTTTGTGTGGGCGAGTCTTGTGCTGCTGCACCAGCTGCATGCGTGGAGCATGGAGCAGCAGGGGGCGCAGACGCGGTTCCCCAGCAGCCTGGCGGCCATCGAGCGGCTGGTGCGGAACGGGACAGCAGCCGGGCTGGTGATCGCCGGGCTGGTCTCGCCGCTGGTGCAGCAGGCGGTGGCCCATGCGATGCAGGACACATGGCGGCCGTCGACGGTTGCGTGGTGGAACTAACCTGTTTATGGGCGTGCGCGGCTCCTGGGTGGACGCTCAGCCTGGTGCCTGCGCTACTGGTGGTGGCCTCGCTAGGGGCTCGTGGCGCTGGAGGCCCTCGCGCTGGCGCTGGTCTGCAATACGGCGGCGTGGGTGGCGGCGGTGACGCGGCGGGAGAGCACGCGTATGCACTGGGCGCGGCACGAGGTATTGCTGACGATTGCCGCCGATCGCGCGAAACCGACGCTGCCGGTGCGGCCCCTGGTGGCCACCGTCGGCTTCGTGGTGCTTGTGTGCACCTTTGTGCCATACCAGTTTGCGTTTCTGGTGATCTACATGGCGCAGCTGATCACCGCCGTGCGCACGCTGGTCCATGCGCGGCTGGCGTCGCCGGGCGGGGCGCCTGTGTACGCCGACGCGCATAGCAGCGCGGACGGTGCTGGATGACCGGGCGCAGTACCAGCTGGCGCTGCTGCTGTTCTGGACCAGCAGCCTGCCGTACTGCGCGCCCGAGCTGATGGTGTGGGTGCGGAACCTCAGCGTGCTGTGGCTCGAGGATGCCCCGTCCGACCACAACCTGGCCAGCATGGCCGGGTACTTTGCCCTGCGCTTGCTGGCCGCCCACCACGTCGTGCCGCGCCTGCCGCCTGGGCATCTGAGGCGTGTCACGTGTCTGATCTTTGCTGTGGCTGCTGCCGTGGCCTGGCTGTGGAGCATCCGCCGCCCGTATATTCTGTATGACATTGGAAACGCCATCTCCTGCATGGCTGGCGCTGGTGCAGTTTGCCGACTTCCCGCTGCGCCTGGTGTCGCAGCACATCCAGGCCCCGGCCGCTGCCGACAAGCCTTCCTCGTTCAGTGAAGAGCTGAGCCGCAAGCTCCGATAGAGATATCCTTTTTTTATTATCACCTGTGGCCATTAATAAACATCCTTTTATGCTAGAGTGCCGGGCCTGGGGTCTTGACGCACGACGCACCCTCCGACACAATGTCCAGCAGCTTGTAGTGCGTATCGATGCCGCCGTCGGGCTGGCTCGCAAACACCTTGCGGATCTTGTCGGCGATCTGGTCAAAGTTGTCCACTGCCAGCGCCAGAATCGTGGGGCCCGCTCCGCTCAGGCAGATGCCCAGCAGCCCCGGCGTGTTGTCCGGGTTGAGTGTCGCCAGGATCTCGGGCAGCCCCGGAATCAGGTGCTTGCGGTACGGCTGGTGCACCTTGTCCTCCATTGCGCGGTAGATCAGCCACGGGTCCGGCGTCTCGCGTCCCAGCGCTGTCGTCAGTACCGCCAGCCGCTGCAGATTGAACACCACATCCTTGATTTCATACGAGCCCGGCAGCGCCGCCCGCGCCTTGGACGTCGCCAATTCGAACTGCGGGATAATCGTCACCGCCTTGATCTTCGACGAGCACCCGAGCTGCACGTAATGCCCGATGTTGGCTGGCGGCAGCTTGATCTCGCTGTTCTGCCGCTGCGCCTCCAGTTCGCGCTGGCGCTGCTGGCTCGCGTCGCCCTCGCTCTCGGGGATATTGCCCGACCGGTCGACCTCGATCAGATAGCTCGCCACAAACCCGCCCACCAGCGCCGCCGCCACATTGTCCGGATGGTGCTCGATCATCAGGCAGTAGTCCAGCATCCGCTGCTTTGTCAGCTGCAGCTCGCCCACTGCGTCCGCCAGCAGCACGCCGGCCACCACCGCCGCTCCCGACGAGCCCAGCCCGCGGCCCAGCGGAATCCGGTTATTCACCACTACGTGAGTTGGGTGCGGGAAGTCGCGAGCGCCGTGGCAGGACAGGACGTACAGGGCCGTGCGCGTAATCAGGTTCTTTGTCGGATCCAGCGAGAGCCCCGACGAGTTCTCGCCCTCGTACGAGATCGTGATGTTGCTGGAACGAACTCCGCCTGCGTCGCTTGGACCGTAGCGCGGACCGTCAGGTACAGCGACAGGGAGAGCCCCATTACGTCGAACCCGGGCCCGATGTTGGCCGAGGTTGCAGGCACGTTGATATCAAAAGTGACGCTCATGCTTTTCTAGATCGAGAATTGCCGGTTGGAAAAAAGAGTGCAGAAGAAAAGAGTGGGGGAGGATAAAAAACACAAGGGTTCAAAGCAGTTGCGCCTGTCTCTTCTGTCCGTCTGTGGGGCGAGGAGGACGGGCGTCTATTTATACTAGTCCGTGGCTCAGTTCATTCTGCCATCTGAGAAGAAATAAGCGCACAAAGAATCGATTAACCGAGAAGGCGCGTTTATTGAGTCACGTCAGCTTGCGGCCCGATTTGCTAGACCAAGCCCGCTCCTTTCCCTCCCCTTATCTCAGTTACCTCTTCTCACATCCTTCACTGCATGCTACCGCGACGTATATCTCAGCTGGCGCAACCGCTGCGCTCACCAGCTCCACACGTCCTCCACACCCCTCCATTCCACAGGCTCTCTGCGCGCCGCCTTTTGCGTAATAGGCGACGAAATTCTCAACGGCAAAGTCCACGACTCAAATTCACATTACTTTGCCCGCAAATGCTTTAACCTTGGCGTCGCCCTGGACAAAATCGACGTCGTCCCGGACCAGCACACGTCGATCGCCAACACCCTGAAGCGCCTGGCGCACTCACACGACTTTGTTTTCACCTCCGGCGGCATTCGGCCCGACCCACGACGACATTACCTATGAGGCCATCGCCATGGCCTTTGCCCAGCCGCTGGCATACCACAAGGAGACGCTGGAGAGAATGCATAAGGATCATGAAGCTGCGCCAAACCCATGTGACGCTGCCTGATCCGAACGGCTCGCTTGCAGGAAGTGGCCAGCGCAAGGATGGCGCTGTTTCCTCAACAGGCCACGGTCGAGTATCCGTGCGACAAGTACTGGGTGCCAGGTGGTGCAGATCCGCAATGTGCATGTGTTTCCGGGCATTCCGCGTCTCTTTGAAGAGCTACTTGATGCCTACCTGCCGACCCTGGTGGCGCGCATGTCGAATACGCCTGTGCGGCCATTTATGCGGGCATTGGTGGGAACCCAGCTGCGGGAGTCGCAGATTGCGCCAGTACTCGAGGAGATGCAGAAGAAATACGAGACAATGGGTGTCAAGCTCGGGTCGTACCCGAATTGGACCCCCGTACCGACTGAAGGTGCTGCTCGCCAGCCGCTGGTCGTGCTGTCGGCTGTTGGTAGTGATCGAGGAATCGTCGAGCAGTGCCGGCGAGAGCTGATAGAGCAGCTCGAGGGCTTTGATGTTGAGCAGTCCAACTTAGGATATCTTTTTTGTGGATTATATTCATTGCGTCTTTGGATAGCGCTGCTAGGAATCAGAATGGCATGAAACCAGATGAGATCGAAGGTATCGAGGGTAAAACTGAACGGTATCCAGAATTCAGAACCTAGTTTAATTGCTATGTAAACTGTGTCTTTTCATTTGTCAACCGAGATAGACACGCAATCGGGTTGTAGCGCTCATACATGTCAAATCACACTTGTACAAGCACACCTAGCTGGTGAGCACTTGTATTGGCCAAGTGTCACAAGCGAAAATATTGGTGTGGTATTTCGCTGCTCGATTTCAAAATATGCCACCCTGCAGTCTTATGCTAACGCCATTGACTGCTATGTCGAGGATGTCAAGACCATGGCTGAGTAGTGCATTTATCTCAAACCACCTTGCCATGACACATGGTGTTGACCATTTAACTGTGTTCATTGACTTGACTACTGTTGACAAACCAGATGTCTATATTTAAAACTATGTGCATCGCCATCAAATGGGCCCACACTTTACGAACAACCACATGATGACTGTTAAATATGCAATATTAGGGTGATTTCGGTAATAAGCATAAAATAAATTTTGTGTGGTATTATGAGGGCTGGCATTAGGCCGGCCAACATCGCCCTGCACCACCATGCTCAATACCGATTACACACCTAAAAGGGTCCCCAAGCGCCTGGCAGCCCACCTTTTTCTCTTCAGCTGATTCTACACGTATTTCCCTCCATATATGCCGATAATTCACTCATTTGTCTGAATTGCTAGCAGATCCAGACAAAATATCGTGGGCAACAGAACATTCGCATAGCTCATGTCCATACGATCGGATTGATGTTCAGTCGACTATTACGCCATGGTCACTGACATGGAATTCAGCCAGGGTACGGTCAAAATGTGTCCCAGCATCACTACCCCCTACATAGCTGAATAGCCTGATATGGTCAACTCACGGCCGTACTGCTTCACCAGGAACCTAGTATACATATCTCGGAACAGACATGCAAGGATGGTGCCTAATATGTCCTACCTAAAACCACTATCTGGTACATTTCGATAGTGGGACGCCGTCGTTTGCAACGACTATTTTCGACCGTCGGTGCCAACAACGTATCATACTCCACTGTCCTCCGCCCAGCAGACATCCCACGGTATAGTTGTGTGGATGATAGCTCTGTCATGGAGCATGTTCGGCAAAATGAGTCTCTTAATAGCGCTGCCGAGCATCAGTTTACAACAGGCTACTTCTGAGTCTTGTCAGTGGATCTCAACTGCTATTGCGCCAATGTATGCTACACAAGTACTGACCTGATATAAAGCCATAGCCATAATTGTCTGTACCTGTAATAATACAGGTACATCCACACACTGCCGATGACTCGGTATGGAGCAGTCCGAATTCGGTGCAAGTACACCCACGTTCTAGACACATGTATTGTACCATCATGTTTGGTCTATAAATCTCCGCCCCCAAAGGCATCTAATTTTCGTTATTATCTATGCATGAACCTGTCTGTTGGGCTATGGAACTGTCGAGGAATATGCTTTGTAGAAATTTGATATTGGTGGTGTCAGTAGTAAACACCTTCATCCCCAATAACCGTCTTTAAATTGCGCTCCAACTAGCCTGTGCGCAGCATCAACGAGCCAGGGCCAGTTTTGGAAATTACTTAAAATAGGTCATCTGAAAAATTCCCCGCGCCTAAGAGTGGTTTTGGCTCTATAGCTTGAAAGGAGGATCCTGGCGCCGCGTCACCATTCCTGCGATGTATAAAAGGGCTCTCTCATCCCTGGAGCAAAACAAACACCTCACCATTCATCTTTTCATCAACACTCCCAACACACCTATTACGATGTCGTCCTACTTCACCATTGCTAAGGATTCTGCCAGCAGTGCCTCTTACGTCTACACCGGCAAACTCCAGCCCACTGATTCCGTTGACAGCCTAACCAGCCCGGCCTATAAGGTTCGAATACACCCGCGATACTGTTGTCCTGACAACATACTCTTCGGACGGCGAGCAAATATCAACTGCCGCGATCAACTGCAACGCAATCCCGGTCTGCTGCTATCTTTGACAAGAATGACGAGCACGACGCGGCCCGCCGGTTCGGAAGCATGGCGTGGAAGTTTACAAACGCCAGTGGGCAAAAATACAAGTGGCACATCACTCATCAAGGAAGGACATGGGTGCTGCGCCAGGGGCACTCCAATGACTGTCGCCACATACACAAATCAGGGGCCGTTTTCTGAGATCCAGGGTATGCTAGCAGTGGAGGCAAGCAGTCGGCAGCGATTTCCTCAAGCTTATCCTCATCAGTTGGGGACTGAACCCGCAAGACTCTTGATGACGAACGCTCCAAGGACGATCCCTAAGCTTATCTCCACCCGCTACCCACACAAGGGCGGCGAGTGGATGGCTGATGGCTTCTACAGTGCTACTAACCGCGGCGGTCTTGATTTCGCAGGCATCGCCAGTGGCTGGCGGGTTCTAGGACTGGTATCCAACTTGGCATAGCTACGCTCTTGACTATCCACCTCTCGTAAATAATAGTTTGGCAATTTGATATTTGCTATTGCCATATCATAGTCTAGGGCTGATTTAGCGAGCTAAACCTCTTCATATCCTTGTGCCGCCCTCAATCGATGATTCCTCTGTTGGGAATTCGCTAACACATGGAGAATGGCAATCATAAACGAATACAACAAATGTGTGTTTTCTACACTACGGATTGTGGCTAACTCACTTGCCTGCTGTGTGGGTTGACTCAGCTGAACAGGTAACCTTCTTTTATCATTCTGATATATTGGCCATCTAGAACTTATAGCATTGCCCACCAGACGACACCAGCGCTGGCCGATGGCCATGTCAGCCGATCTAGCAGATGCCAAAGCAACCCAAGTAGTGGCAGCATTGGGCAGTTCCTGAGCGGCGGCAACTTTCTGCCTGGTGGCCATAGCGGTGGCACATGTGTATCCACAAGGGTCCTCATCTGCTTGGCTGTAGCAGAGGGCACACATGCTCAAGGTCTAGAGCACAAGGTGGAAGATGTAGGGTGATAAAAAGCAACGGAGACAAGGGATATATTGATGTGGTGAACGCTAAACAAAGAGGAAAGGAATGGGAGTGGGTGTAAAGGTCTTGTACCATCGCTCCGGTGGCAGAGCCAAAAAAGGTGAAACAAGGAAAAGAAGCAACAGAATGAAAATATTTGTAGTTTGCGGTAATCGGATCTTAGGATTCTAACATCTGCACCTCTTAGGGATGATAATCTGGAATCATTTGCTGAAACATTGCTTGCTATTGCTCGCAGAGGCATCGACCTAATATTTCCAATGTCATTCGTGGTCTTTTGTACACGAGGGGGTTTTGCATACATAGTGGACTATACATTCAAGGAGGAGAGCATGGAAAGCAAGGTCTGGCAACTTGCTGACAATGACCAAGCTACCAAAGATAAATTAGCCTATATTCTCGTAGTTGCGTAGTGTTGACGTTCGGTGCATCGACCTTGCACAGAGCAAGCAGAGGATCAATAGGTGGGGTGTGGTTCAACTAAGCAGTATACAGCGGCAGCTCCATGGTACTAGCAGAAACATATACGTTCTGTAGATGTGCGGATGAGCACTAATATGTGTAGAAACTAGCAAAGGAACTGTGGATCATCCGGGACTTGAAAGTGATGGATAGCCAGATCCGATGCCGCTAGTTGTTTGGTCATTATACCCCTGAAAGATCCTGCATTGGAACTCTGTCCATTTTTGAGACAGCCCCTCCAGTCACTATGGATTGTGCTCAACAAACTCTTTGCGTGCATAGTATATGCCAAAATTGCACTACCCATGCTGGTGTGTGATCGGATATCCAGCTGTATATCGAGTCTTCTGTAATAGAGTAGCAAAATGGCAGGTACCCCACGCTGGTCAGCATTTAGATACCATGGGCGCTGAATGGAGGTAGGTTTCCAAGAACGGCAAAGGGCATGGCTCGGGGACGGGCCAGCAGAAATGTAGATTCGGCCTGAATTTGCCCTCCTTGCATGGCGGAGTTCCAGATTGCTTTTGGCACATGGTCTAGCGCACAAGATCACTGGGCGGGAGGGCAGCATCGGCCATAGAGGCGCCTGTGCAGAGAATCAAGCGCCTGCGCATTCAGCCCATTGGTTTTCCGATAAGAGAGCACAGGAAAAAGACCCACTACAGTGCCGGTGCAGCAATCAGTTGGCATGGCCATATAGAGCGCAGAGAGCCAAGGATGCACTCTCAAGCCAGCCCATAGACAACTACTAGAATCGATATGAACAATGATCTATGAATACCGATCTGCTCTCTCGGGTCAGAATGTCAGCCTTGACTGAAGATTTGTTACTGCTCACTCAGCCCCTATAGACCAGTTGAATCGTAGTTACAAGACTGGGACTGACAACGTATTCTGCCAAAGCGTTCACAGTTACGAAAGACACGGTGTAGTCTGCTCAGCCCACTGCTTAGCCTTCAGGTGCTTTTGGCGTGCAATGCATAGACAGACACAATCCAGAACACACGGCTGGTATGTACATGATTTAATCGAGCTGTATTGTACGTCCAATTTTTGTGGTAGCTGTTGCATTGAAAACGACATGGTCTCAGATTATTTGCCCAGCACCTGCTTGCCCAAGCGGGCCAGGTGGAAGTTGACGGACGACCGAGCCTTCCCTGGCGCCTTCTACAGAGAACATACATTTTAGTAGCCGATGAAAAGCGGGTGCACAGAGCATTGGAGCTGTATTTGCTACGTACCGCCTTTTGCATGCATGAGATCAGGTTCTTTGCTACCTCGGCGCACCGGGCATCATCAATGGACGTGGACGCCCAGCAGGTCACCAGCGAGGACATTTCGACGGCGCACGGCGAGATACCCTTGATCTTCTTGGGCTTGACCCGGAGCTTCGGCACATTGACACCCGACATTGCTGTGTGATGTGGAATTGAGAAAGGAAAAAAGAAATGACGCTGGCAAGAGGGAAAAAGGGAAAATTCGAATTGCAAGTACACTTAGCGTACTCAAAAACGGAGGCGGATCACACCGAGATAACTGGCAATCAAGGAATCACACCTGCGATCTAGAGCTCCAGTAATTTCGCAGCAAAAAAAAAAGTGAAATTTTCAGCCAGCCCAAGGCTTTGCTCGTCTTTATTCCCCTTTAGTCTGTCAAATTACCCTACATATTAGCAATGTCGAAGAGAGAAGTGGTGCAGTTCGAGGGCCACAAGTTTCATGAAGCAGCGCCTGGTGTTCTCAGTTCTGAGCCAGCGGCCGGTGCGCATTGACCGGATCCGCTCGGACGACGAGAACCCAGGGCTGCGGGACTTTGAGATGTCGCTTCTGCGGCTGCTGGAGCGGGTGACGAACGGGTCGCGGATCGTGGTTTCGCACACGGGTACGTCGGTGCTATTCCAGCCGGGAATGATCCAGGGAGGCAAGGTGGAGCTGGAGTGCCCGGTGAGCCGGGCGGTCGGATACTATCTTGAGGTGCTGGTGGCCCTGGCGCCGTTCGGCAAGGAGCAGCTGACGGCGACGCTGCGCGGCATCACAATGAACAACACGGACCTGAGCGTGGACACGATCCGTACGGCGACGCTGGTGAACTACCGGCACTTTGGGCTGTCAGAGGGCGTGGAGCTGAAGATCACGAAGCGCGGAGCACCGCCGCGGGGCGGTGGAGAGGTGCGGTTCATGTGCCCGGTGGTGCGGCAGGTGCAGCCGCTGATGTTTGTGGATGCGGGACGGGTGAAGCGGATCCGCGGTATTGCGTATGCGGCGCGCGTGTCGCCGCAGACGGCAAACCGGATGGTGGAGTCGGCGCGCGGCGAGCTGAATCGATTCATCCCAGACATTTACATTTACACGGACGTGTATAAGGGCGCCGAGTCGGGGCTGTCGCCGGGTTTCGGCGTGTCGCTGGTGGCCGAGTCAACCACAGGTGCGCTGCTGACCGCCGAGCTGTGTGCGAATGCGGGTGATGCGCCGGAGGACATTGGGCGGGATGCGGCCCGCATGCTGCTGACAGAGATCTGCCGCGGTGGGTGCTTTGACGCATCGCACCAGTGGCTGGCACTGCTGCTGATGGTGCTGGGACCTGAGCATGCGTGCAAGACGCGTATTGGCAAGCTGACGCCGTTCTCGATCCAGTATCTGCGCGATCCTGCGTGAGTTCTTCAACGTCAAGTTCAAGATCAAGCCGGATCCCGAGACTGAGACTGTGCTGATGACGTGCTTGGGCACTGGGTACATCAACGTCGGCAAGAAGACAACATAAAGCTTTAAATATAGCCATTGACTATCACAAAGAAGAAGAATGTGTCTGTTCAGAGCGGCTGGGTCAGCGAGTGCTCGCCACGCTCGCGCACAGCCACGGCCTGGCCGACGTGGATGGTCTGGCCAACGGTGGTGGGGGCGGCCTGCATGCCAAAGCACACCTGCGATGGCTTGCCGGGGTCGGAGCAGCGGAACTTGCGCAGCGACTTCATCGGCTCGCGGTCCTTGCTCATGGCGCCTGTGGCCAGGATCGACATTCGGCATAGTGCAGCGGGGCGTTCTGGAGGCAACGCACATTTGCCACGACTCGCCCGACTCGGAGCTGAACTCAATCAGCGTCCACGACTCCTCGTCGTAGGCGGCGCCAGCGCTATTGTCAAGCACGACATTGGGGCGGAAGTTTGCCTGGGAGAGCGGGCGCGGCACGTTCTTGTTGACGTGAGCCAGCGAGGGCTGCGTGGTGATGTGGAACGGGAAGACGTCGGCAAAACTCGACTGCGGCGGCAGCGGGCAGATGTCCTGGCTGGGCACATAGCGCGACACCATACGCGTTGCGTCGGGGTCCTTGTAGACGAGCCGCACGGGCTTGCCGATGAAGGCCGACAGCCAGGCGCGCGCGCTATCGCCGCAGCAGCGCCCGATCACGTCGTCGTACCAGACGCGCACTGCGAATTGCTCGCCCAGGTCGCCTGCCTGCGGGTGCAGCGGCACTGCAAGCACATCGGCCATGGAGTCGGCCGAGAGCACCAGCCGGTTGCCCGGCTCGTCAATGGCTACTTTGATCAGCGCCATGTGCGGCTCCTGCCGCTGCGTGACGAAGCGCCCGGTCTTTTCGTAGAGGAGCATCCACAGCCGGTCGTACTTGAGGCCGGTCGCCGTTACTTGCGCGGCTGCAACTGCCACGCCGCCGCAGGACTTTACTGGGTAGACGTGCAGTGCGGAGACCTTCCAGGCGGCGTCGGGCGGTGAAACAAGAGTCATTGTAAAGGCTAGTTATGTATCTGGAACAATTCGGGCTGGAACCCACCCATGGCTCTGGCTGATGCGTGCCTCGCCCTGGCACTGCATATATGGGAGCCAGCTGCATGCCGACACACCCCGTGAGTAGCAGAAGCAGTATGCCAGCGTGCCAAGGCCCTCTGGGCGGAATCAGCGTGTGGGCGGTGTAGTGTGATTCGCCCGCCTATAAAAAGACATGCGGGCTGGTCAGTGGAGACTTTGAGCTAGCCTTTTTCTCCACTTGCTTCACTCTCTTCGCATTTCTCCTCTTCTAATTACCATTTATTATTCGAGCTGCACCTTTTTCTTGTACAGACATCTCTAATTATTTAACGGTGGTTTTTGTGGGAATTCGGCTTAAAGGACACGCTTTGGAAAACATCTCTCTTTCTTGAAAATGTAAGTCCTCGAATCGCAGTGCCCTCACGCCCATATGCTATTGCTAAACCCATTCCTGAAACAAAAAACTTTTTGCTCCTAGGTCGTCGTACAACAACAACAACAACGGTGGGTACAACAGCAACCCGTATGCATATCCGTCAGAGAACAACCCCACCAGCGGCGGCAACAAGGGGCAGGAAGTGCAGCGCCAGGTCGATGAGGTCGTGGGCATCATGCAGGAGAACATCAACAAGGTGATGGAGCGCGAGGAGCGCCTTGACACCCTGCAGAACAAGACCGAGCAGCTGAACGAGGGCGCGAGGCAGTTCCGCCGCGGTGCGACCGACGTGCGCAAGAAGATGTGGTGGCGCGACATGAAGCTTAAGATCATCATCGCCGTCATCATTATCATTCTTATCGTGGTCATTGTCGGTAAGTAGCTCTTGATACATGCTGTGCGTGACAGCAGCAGAGCAGCCAGGCATGGCCTAGACCCGCCTGGCCTTGTGCTCCTGCTTAATTGCATGCATGCATGAAAGTGTCTGGGGTCTAGAGGAGCACATCTGATGTACTAATTATTGCCTTGCATATATTACCTGTAGTTCCCTGTCGTTATGTCAAAGAACAAGTAAAAAATGGTTCTCGTTTTGGGCACCCGCACGTATCGATCTCGCTCTCATGGGACACACCCTGTCTTGTGAATGAGAATGCACAGGTTTTTGTGTTGTTCAGCAGGGAGAGACCGTTTAGTGCCGGCTGTTTCTTTCTGGCCCAAGGATTGGTACTTTGTTGTCTAGTTTTTCCTTCGTTTCTTGTTTTTTTCGACCCCGTTTCTTTCTCTTCTTCAATATACCTTTGTCACATCCCATTGCCTCCCCATGCCGCACGCTACATGGGCTACGACGGCTGGAGCCCCAGGGCTCCATGTGGGCATCGGTGAGCAGCTGATTTGATTCCCCCGTCCCCTAGTTGATCGCTGGCAACGTTTTTGTCATGGCCAAGCGTTCCCTCGCTTCCACAAACACCAGCTCGATTTTCTTGCTGCTCTTTGGCACAGCTTTTCTCTAATACTTTTTGCGTTGCTTCCAACTATTATCTATGCTGACGATATTCCTCAACACTCCTGTCCCCTTTTAGCCTAAAGAAAGCTCGTATTGTTCATCTTCACTTTTTCTCTATTTGTCGCGTTCTCACAAACTCCCTATTTTGTTATATTATTTACGTCGCAGATAGCTGTTGCGGGTATTGTAGTATTTTTACGCTCCTTCCCCCGCTCTCAAACACACCACATATTGTCCAACGCTACTCCGACTTGGCACGCACATATGCAGACAATGTCGCTACAGAGCAACGGCAGCGCGACTATAGCCACGAACGGAGACCTGAAGCGGGCACACTCTGAAGAGCAGGACGATCATGTCAGAGAAGCGCCAGCGGACAGAAGACCCGGAGGAGCCCAAAGACAGCAGCATCGAGGAGCTGGCGAGTATAGAGTGCAGCGGGCAAATGTACTACATTGGCGACCACGTAGTCGTCAGCGACTCGGCAAAAGGAGGCCAGCGCGCCCCCGACAATCGCGCAGATCCATGGGATCCAGAAGCACACAGTGACGGGGGTGGTAACCCTGCATATTGTGCTGTTCTCATACCCCCACGAGATTGTGCACCCGCCATCGGTACAGTTCTTCCAGAACACGGTTCTGAAATCGACGCGCGAGGTGCAGGTGCCAGTGGCCCAGGTAGTGCGCCCGTGCTTTGTGGTGCCATCCAGCGATGCTGTGCGCGGCCACCCAGGGAGTACGACGAGCGGCCAGCATGGCCCGCTGTATGTGTGCGACTGCAAGTATATCGACAAAGGGTGCTTTCATCATGAAGGTGAAGAACCGCAACCGCCAGTACTGGCCGCACGCAATGACCGAGGAGCGGAAGCAGGCGCTGAGCGACATTATTGAGTGGGCGGGCGGGCCGCGGGAGCTGGAGAAACTCGGCAGTGGCCTGGAGGACTCCGGTGTGTCGCCGCGCACGCGTCGGTCGACGCGCCAGACATCAGCAGCCAGCACACCCACCACGCAGCCGCCCAGCACGCCGCTGATGTCGTACCCGATGGCGACCCGCCCGCTAGCCAACACCCAGGCGTTTGTGACCGGGCGCCAGTATGAGCCCGTCGATGCTGATGCAGTACCAGCAGATGATGCAGATGCGCCCAAACGCCATGTTTGTGCCTGGCTACCATGCCCACCACCGCGCAGTACATGCAGGCTGCGCAAATAGCCGCACCCGCGCCTACTCCAGTGCCCGTGACCCTGCCGAAAGCGCCGCGGCCGCCCGCCAAAGAACAAGCAGCTGATCCTGCAGCGTGAGCGCGAGGCCGCAGCCGCCGCAGCTGCTGCCGCCGCCGGTCACCCGCCGGTGCAGCCCAGCCCGCGCGTATCGGCACGCCGGCAGTCAGCCTACGGAAATGCCGGTCGTCCGCCGCCATCGGGACTGGGCTCGCCACAGACCATCATGATGGGCCACCGCTCGAGCATCGGCCATGTGTCGCAGGCCGTCGTTTAGCAGCCCACAGATTGTCGGTGCCCGGAACCAGCCGGCAGTTGTGAGCATGCCGGGCCAGCGCCCGCAGCTGCCCACCGCCCCGAGCCGCCCGCAGCCGCAGCCGCAGAAGACTGCGCCGCTAGCCCACATTGACCCCTCCACGATTCCACAGTTGCCGCCGGATCTGGTCAGTCTGTTTCCTACCAGCGACGGCATGATTCGGTGGTTCGCCACCGCGCCTGTGTGCAGAGTCAAGGCGCAGCCTACCGTGCATTCGGAGCAGTATCTGCAATGGAAGAACAGCAACAATAGCTACTGTGTCGTCTCAATGTTATCGCGTAGAATGCTGTTTGTTCCATTGTGCTGCCGGAGATTAAAAAATAGTCTGAGAGCCGTCTATATTGTGCGGTAGAAAGCCTAATGCACTGCATGTTTGTAATTTTTTGTTTTGCCACACAATCGCCCTACATTCCATTATGCTGTGGCGAGTCGCCCGTCGAGCGAGCAGTATAAAAGGACTGCGGGACCGCAGAGGTCTACCCAAACGCCATTACGCCCCTCCCCTTCCTTTTGATACCGACCAATCTCCCTCGCACCTAATACTCCACCACTCGTCCGCCCTAATGACCTCCTCATTCCTCCTAACGACCTCTACGCAATACAGCCAGCCCACATTCCTTCCAAGCTGCGCACATCCCCTCTACGTCCTTCTACCGCCCCCGACCAATTTCTTACGACTACCTAGGGCTGGCTTGCACCAACATAACGACCCACTTCCCAAGCTATGACGACCACTCCTCATGCCCACCCTTCTTTATTATCGCGTTAATAAACCTTTTCTTCCACTTGAATCTGTGGATATTTATATGTATCGCATATGCTGTTGAAGCAAATGACAATGAGAGTTAAACGTTCTTTAACGTCGGCTTGAGTGCGTTTACCGTCTCGATGGCAATAAAGCCAAAGCTCGACATGGATTCAGGATTAACTCCGCTCAGCTTGCCCTTACTTTGGATGATACCGCCCACACGGTCATTAGGCGCCACCTGCAATCATTCCAACGTCATCAGCACCAGCAAACCTGCTCTTGTCTCCAATGCGCCCAAAGATCTTGATCGCCTTTGCTGACCAGCTGTTCTCGTACCCAAACTCGGTGTCATTGTCGTACATATCGCGCAGCGGCGCGTTGTATTCACGCTCCCGCTCTGCAGCCTGTGCGTCAGCAGGATTGGGGAGCCCCTTCACTCCAGTTGTTCTCCCATCCCGCTCCTGGCCTGGCGCCAGAGGGCACCACCTTGATCGGGTCGCTGACGATCCACGTTACTTTAATATCACATCCCGTAAAAACGCTCTCTGTGAACTTGTCCTCGCGAGTGAGAGCGAGAATGAAGGACCCTTGGTGGTGAGTGGCCTTGCGCATCTCCTCCGCCATCCACTTGCTCATCGAAGTCCAGACCCGGAAGGTGCAGCATGGTAGTGTGCCCAAAGGTTACTGTCTGCTTACTTTTTGACGGCAGGTATCTCGGACCTGCCTTGCGCATGTCCGCAATGATATTAGAGGCCGCTTCTATGGCATTGTCAAAGGTGATGCAGTCTGTCAGGGTGATAACTTGGCGGCCGAAATCAAACATCACCGTCGTCATTCGCTCTGTTTCCAGGTTCACCACCGATGCCACCAGACGGCCAAGCTCCAGCAGCGACAGGTCAAAGAAGCGCACGCGCTCGTTCGGCTCCATGTCGTACTTGGACGCACACAGCTTGAAGATCCACTGGAACTGCTCCAATATGGTGCCGCGGAAATACGACTCATATAGGATCTTGCGTGCAGCCGGCGGCCGGCACACCATGCCGTATCGGCGCGACTCGATTGCGCCCAAGCTGCTGGCGCTGGCTGCGTACTCGGGAACCATAAAATGCAGATCACGACGTGACCCAGGTTTCATTTCCAAGCCGTGGTACATCATGAAGACCGCACGCTTAATGCGCAGCATCTCGGAGTACAGCTCGCCGGAATCAGTCGATATCACCTCCTTGTTTTTGCCAACGCGAACCTTCTTCAGAGCGTCGTCACTGATACCTGCGCGCAGAATCGTATTGTCAAGGCACTGTTCTACGAATATCGAGTGCAAGCGGGAAATGCGCGTGCTGCGCTCCAGAATCTGCTCGTTGATACAGATTTGCACCTTGTCAACCTTGTGGAATTCTGTGTCTGCATACACTCTTGGGTCGCGCTCAATATAGTTGCTCAACCGTGTCAGTGTCGAGACAACATCCACTGGGTAGTTGTCGAGGCCTTTGGAAATCCGCTGCAGGTCGTCAAGTGTGATATCGAGGGAGGGGTGCACGGCCAATGCGATGTTGTCGATGTCATTAAAGTCAGGGAGTGTGGTGATAACGCACTGCTGTGTCGCCTCGGCAATCTGGCGCATTTTGTTCGGATTCGACGATGAAACGACCGTCATAAACTGCAAGTACCGGCTCAGCTCGCGGATATCAAAGACCACGTCATTACTCGGCTTGTCAACAATCTTTTCGTAGTCATCGATGAAAAACACCGCCGTAATCCACTTTTTATCGCAGTACGCGCGGATACGCTTCAGCAGATCGTGCATCTTCACCTTCAGGTTCGTCTGCGCCATCTCGGTTTCCTTGTACCACTGGGTTATTGCATCCAAAACAGGCTGGTGGTCGATAAACCTGCAAGCCATGTGCTCGACAACTGATACAAACTGCTCGTTGGATCCCGGCTGCACAATAAGGTCGCCAGCATCGTCGATGTAGATGACCACGACGTTTTGCCGGCCCGCCAACTGGGCAGCAGCCCCAAGCATCAGGTGGCTTTTGCCCAGTCCCGACGGGCCAGAGATAAAGAGCGGCTCAATCGCCTCGAGCATGTCCATCTTGATGCTTGTGTCCTGGCTGGGCGCGTTCAAGGGGTCATGCGGAGCCTGGTCGATAAAGCACACTTGCTGGGTAAACTCGGGAGGGGCCCTGCTGATCTTCTGGCTTCCGTACTCTGTGATACCGTCAAACTTTGGCGGATACAAGCCCTTGGACCTGCCATGGGTGACAATCCACTCTGTGATGAGATTCATGAGTCCAGGTCGCACAGCAAGGTTGATCATGTAGGTGTTGGCCACCTCGACCGAGTCCGGCATCTGGCCAGGGACCTCGATTGCACCAATGTAGCGGACAAACCTCGTAGCAATGCCATGTGTAAAGTCTGGCACAGCGATAGCCACCTGCTGGCTAAGAAGTGTATGAAGCTCGGCGACTGCGGTATTTAGGGATTGAGCAATCGACCGGTCGTATTTATACATCGAGTCTAAGCTGTTACTGTCCGATATCTGCGTTTCCCATCCAATGGCAGGGCTCCTGTCTGTGGCGCGCGCACCTCTTGCCGTCAAAAGCTCCGTAGACCTATGGGTCGGTGGAATGGGCAAGCTACTGCCGTGCTGTGCTGGGCTATTAGTTGGTGACGTTGGCGGTTGTTGGCCCTGACCGCCTGATTTTTTACTGTCAGGCTTCTTCCGTTGACCAGAAAACATTAGGCAAGCGTCAAAAATGCTATAGTGACCACGTTGAGTTCCCTGGCGACAGATGGGACACCAACAAAGGTTTGAAGATACACAAGAGTATATAAAGGAGGGGAGCAGAAAGTAAGAGTATGAAAATTGAGAGGAAAACGGGGCTGCCGAGACAACTTGTCAAAAAGGCTGGCCTGCACACATTGACAAGATGCTGCATGAGGAATGGCCAATCACAACATGATTGGTTGCCTCGCACATCACAGCTGCAGTGGACATGCAGGCATGAATACTCTTCCTGTTGGATACCCACCAAACCCCTTCCCATGCCATGCTTGATGTGCACATACCTTGATGTAGTTGAGTAATGTGTGCAAATGCGGGCTAATTGCTATATGCAGCTAGGACCGACCAGACCGTGCTAGTTTGTAAGAGAGGAAAATGATGGCTAAAAGGACAAAAGTGAAAGAGAAGAAAAGTAGGGTGCGTTACCAGTCGCCTACGGTAGTCCCCATTTATAGACAGCCAGCCTCTGGAATCAAGAGGCAGAAACATCAAGGCTCGCTTGAAATGCATTGTGGTTTCCATCACCAAACACAACTCATATCTAACACTCGTACTACCGACTTGACGCCTGGTCTTTGGGTACCCCAGTCTATTTGACACCGATCCAGCGAAAAGCCCCCAATCACTTCACAAATCTGTGGTACCCACAGCGGCGACATGCAGACTGTCAACACCTAGCTTCAATATCTGACTAGTGAGTTTCGATCTGATCAGGAGCCATTGTCTGCACCACTATTGTTTTTCAGATTCACGCTTCACACTTAGCAGAGCTCAGAGACTACTGATTATCAAATGGCTTGTGCTTGTCATCCACAATATTTCGGACTCTAGCATACTTGGACACAAGTGTAGCACATTGTGCTTGCTGTGCCTCATAAACAGCTGCTTTCCAGTGCATCACCACTGTAGATGTTCTCTTTAGCTGGACTGCACAGGCTTGCCCTATGCAGTTAGGAATATCCATATACACGTGCTAATGGATCCTCTCGGAGAGCAGAATCTAGTAAGCTGTATTGACAGGTCTGTAGATAGCAGCTAAAAAAAAAAAGCATGCACCATTATGTTGGGCAAAAGGTGGATTCCAAACGTTGCCCCACCGCGGAGGGGTTTCTGCAGCTGTCAACTTTCCGCCATATGTTTCCGCCATGTCCCTCTACCGGTGATCCGCGCTCTGTGGTTCTGCATCCCCCCCCCACAGTTCCATGCTGCAGTAATCGAAATTGAATACAACACTAAAAGGAGCGGTCGGGCGCAGTGGAAAAGAGACAGGTGCGCATACGCCGTCTCACAGCTGTGCACCCCCCATCCCTTCCTACGTGCGGGCAGGGAATGTCATGGGTTTACTGACACCATGGCTGACCTTCTCTTCCTGCGACCGCTCACGATGCGTGACATAATAAATTGCCAATTACTGATACCGCACTTTGAAGTGGTGGATGGCACCCTGATTTGTCTGACATTCCTCTTATTGCCCTTTGATGATTATTGCCCTCTCTGTATAGAGCCCACCACTGTAGTGGATTCCAGGACATTGATGGCCGGCGAATTTTAGAGTGGAGCTACTCTGAAGCTCTGGTATAAAAGCCAGTCTCGACGGTGTGAGCCCATCCTGCTCCCTTTCCTCTCAATTTTGCATCCATAGCATCTACTCAACACCAACCGGACTTCCGATGGTCATGATCCAAGTAGCTAGCTCCGCTATTCTGGATGCCTTCCAGCAAAATCAGATCCTCTTGCATCTTCCACCCGCCATGCAGGGCCGATCCAGGGACAAGCCTCCATCTCTCATGGGATTGTCGATTCTTCGGCCAAGGCTCGGAAAACCTCGGCTAAGTGGCTGCGAACCCCAACTACACGCAGTTTCAGTGCAATCAGGCTCGACCGTCCGCCCAGCTACAAGCGTGGTTCATGGCCAGCTATCAATGATGTTGCGCATGGTCTGCCTTCGCCCTCATCATATCCAGGTATCGACCAGCTCCCCAGCTACGGCGACTCGCTAAAGCTGGGTGTGGTAGCTGCTCTAGCTGGAGCAGAGGAAGAGAGGAGCCCCATGAGTATCCTGCATGAGTCAACACTGGTGCGTCTGGCACTGGGGTTTGGGCGAGGGATACGTACTATGCATCGAGATATCGCCAACGAATATTCTGTTGCTGGCTCTCTATTTACTGAACAGCACCTAAGTGGGAGCTATGAGGGGATAACCTTCTGCAATACCGCTTTCCAGGCCAGGAAGTCTACACCTCGCCTGTTGTCAGCCAGTGGCAACTTGGTGCACCTGCGATCGAAAAGCCATCAATTCACCCTTACGGATACCAATATCCATGTGTGCGTAGAGCAAGTGTTCCAGGTCGCTTGCGTAGCCATCGGTGGAATCTAACCGGCAATCGCTCCCATCTCTCTGTCTCATCTCAAATGTAGATGTTAAAATATATAGCAGCAATTGTCAGGCAGATATGCACTGGCGAGCAATATTGGGCGGTATATACGTGTAGCAACGAAAGACACTGGCCAGTGCATTCAGACAGCAAGCAATAGGCTCAAGACACTTTGTAGTTTGTGTTGTGGGGGGTTCTGACGAGGATAGGCGTAGCTGCTAAGCAAGACACGAGTAGTAAAGGGCCTCTGCGGCGTGCCGCACCATGGTCTGGCCACTTGTTTTCCAAATAACATCACTCTGCGTTTTGTAATGATTGTGTAAAAAAAACTCAGAATGGGGGCCAATTGCGTCAGTACTGGCACACCGCTGTTTGCACATGTCTACTCAACGCCGATTCGGCAGTCCCTGACTGGACTTTTATCAGCCTTGATCGCCTTGCGGCTGAATGGGTCCAGCTCACAGTGCGGCGGATGGAGTTTTATTTTTCTCCCAGTGCGTGGTACAGAAAAGGCCCAGTGGCCAAAGAAATGAAATGGAAAGGGACAAAGTTGGGTCGACATCGTCCCCAAGATACGACATGTATTGATCCCAACGCTGTGACATTGTCGCAAGGTTGGGCTCTGGTGGAGGGCCAACTGGGTTTCTCCACAGTAGTACCTGGATAGCCTCTATTCTTGGCTTCGCGTATGAATCATACCTTGTATGTGTACCCTGGCGGCGATACTGAGTCTGCGGACCTCGCCTGCTGGCATCAGCTATCTGTGAGAGGGCGCGGATGTCAAACGTATGCATAGTCAATGATAGTCCGTGTGCTGGGTTTGTCAGCGTGCTGAGTTTGTCAGCGTGCGGCACCTCATATCCCCCCAATGTTTACCAGTATTTTGGCGGACTACCTGGTCGATATCTGTGCTGCGGGTTTCCGCAAGCACCTTGCATGCTATCTTTCCATATCAGCGCGCACCTTGCCCAGTCCCCCAGCGCTACCTCCCCCTCATGGATATCTCGGAGCTACAAGTGGAATTGCGCAGGCTCCTTCCCCTTGAACTCGTAAGGCATATTCTTCGTCGGCATTAAAGTTGATAGCAGCTAGCCAGAAGCGCTGTCATATATCTGCGGTTGACCGCCAATGGGGTGTGGATTGTCTTCCGAGCACTTGAGCCACGACCAAATCAGAGCATGGTTCCTGAGGCTGCCTGGTGTGCGATCCACGGGCTCTCCACCCCGTGGTCCGCGCTGGGCCTCATCGGATTGTTCCATTGGCCATGGGTTGCTAAGAAAAAGGCGTCACTGTGCTGGGAGAGAGCAGCCTAGCCCAGTGGAAAAGTGGATCTGCAAGAGTAAGCGAGCACTTCTTGCCATTCATGGTGAGCAGCATGGACGCACTCGCACAGCACCAACGACGAACATTCCTCCCCTGCATCGCCAGCCGAGAATGGATAGAGTTATAAATTGCCAGTCCCCAACCAGTTCCTGTATTATGTGCACTCCACACTGGGTTGACCAAAATATCTCAGCTTTATCGTCACTGTCTCATTCGGGCTCAGCGCACTGTTCCCCCGGCCAATTTCCTCGCTGGAATTCAGGACAGTATTGCCAAAAATCACATATAAACCAGTATCTCCCTCCCGGTCACGCCTTTGCCCCGATTTTCAGCCCTCCATCTCTCATTTCGCTTCTGCTCCGCAGGCCCTACCATTCCTTTCGATGTATCTTTCACAACAGATAGTCGAGACCACGGCTCACAGCGCTAATGCTGTCGTTCTGGATACGGTTCAGCGCAACCTGGTGCTTGCACAGCTGGCAGCCCAGCGGTCTCTCACCACACAGGAGCAGTTTGAGCTCACACCCGAGTCGCTCGAGGCAGGCCTCATCGAGACCGGCTCCCACGCGAACCGGCCGACGCTGGCCGAACGCCTGCGCAAGTCGATTTCGCGGGCGCGCGACGCCCTGATGCTCCGGCAGCCGCCTGGCTACTGCCGTGGCGCCTGGTCGATCATCAACGACATCCCGTACCCTCCGCCGCCGCCGTACGCCGGAAACAGCCGGCCGCCATCCTACGATGATGCGATGGAGATTGGGGTGATTGCCTCGCCGATGCGCGTCGCCGAGCAGCGCAGCCATGGGGGTGTCAGGCGGACGACGTCGACGCCGGGGCTGACTTCTCTGGCGCAAGGCGAGCAGGGCTTGCTGATCGACAGTGCAGGCGAAAATGACTTTTTGCCGGCTGGGCCGCTGCCTGGCGAGGAGCTGCTCCCGGAATACCCCGGCGCCGGCGAGCACGTCTGCTCGTCGGAGGTTGTTAGCCAGTGGCAGCTGGGGGAGCGTGCAATCGAGAAGCCCCCCATTCACCCGCGCGGGTACCGGTACCCGGCAGCACGCAGGGCGTCCGAGCCGGGTGTGCCGCAGAGCTCAGTGCCTGCACGCACCACCGATCATTTGGGTTCGCGCAGCCTTGGGTGGACTCTGTTCAGCAGCTCATCCCATCGCCCCTCGACGTCGTCGTAGAAGCGCATTCTCTCTCCCGTTTCCACCCGTCCGTTTCCCACATTCGCACTCTTGTACACCATGTCTCTTCTGTCTATAGTTCACTTTCGCAATCCATATCTCGCTGATTACACTCCGCAGCAGTGCTCAGCCTCAATCACACAATCGCAATGCTCCCTGCGCAATTCTGGCGAGCTCTAGCGGAACATATTGTATTAAAAAAACCAGTTGCGAGGTTGGCATCAATCAAAGCATCACGCAAGCAATGGTTCATTCCGGGCGCGCTGAGCTTCGACCTCCTCCTCTTCCTCCTCCTTCCTCCTCCGCTGCTCCTTGTGCTTGCTCAGGCAGGGCATGACTGGGCACGTGCGGCATCTCGAGCCGGAGCCTATCAGCCTCCTGCCGCTCCAGCTCCTCGAGCTCAGCCAGAACTGCGTCTTCGTCCTCGGCAGTCATGTGAGCCTGAAGCGCCTTCCGAAACCTCGTTCTGATAAGCAATTGCCTCTGCCGTGTCGTCGGCCAGCCGCTCGACATCCTCTATGCGCATCTCGTTGTTGAGCTGGGTCAGCACCTTGTTTCCCTGCTCCAGCCCAAACATGACGTCCTTTTGCACCAGCGAGAACTCTATTGTCTCGCTCAGCTGCTGCAGGTTGAACAGCTGGTCGTCGGTCTTCTTTATCATCTGCTCCTGGAACTTGCGTCGCCGGAGTGCCAGCAATGCGCGCTTTTTGTCACCCTTCAAGAGCAGCTCGCGGGCAATTGCGTCTTCGCGATCGAATATCACCTGGACCTAGCCGATTCACCCACACAGCAAACGTGCTAAGGGCGTTTAGTCTGGTGCTTCTACAGGGGCTCTGCTGGAGAGGGATTGCAGCAACTTGCCTTTTTCTGGTACTGCCGAAGCTTGTCCCGCTGCACTTTCATGTCCAGGATAGCCTTGTCATGCGCTGTAATCTTCTGTTTGCTCTGCCCTGCGCCCATTGTTGTATCAAGAAGTGTAGACCAGTGCTTGTCAGCGCGCAAAAATGCCGAAAATGCGTGACCTCACTGCAAAAGCATGTGCAGGATCTGTATATGTGTATTTGTACTTGGCCAGCACTTGTGGGCCGACAAGATACCCGGCATGTGGAGCATATGTGTAAAAAAGAAGGCTACTTCTTGGCCAGCAAAGCACGGCCCACGCGCGAACCAGTGGGGCGGCCCAGCTCATTGGAGATCCACTGGCCAATGCCCGCCAGCTTGTGCAGATCCACGCCGGTCCGGAAGCCCAAGCCCCTCAAGCAGATACACGACGTCCTCGGTGGCCACATTGCCCGTGGCGCCCTTGGCATACGGGCACCCGCCAAGACCCGCAACCGACGAGTCCACGACCCGGATCCCTGCCTCCAGCGACGCATAGATATTGGCCAGCGCCTGGCCGTACGTGTCGTGGCAGTGGATCGCCAGCTTCTCGACCGGCACCGTCTTGGACACGGCCTCGATCATCGCGCGGATCTCGCTTGGCCGCCCCACGCCGATCGTGTCGCCCAGCGAAATCTCGTAGCACCCGAGCGCCGCCAGACGTCCGGCGACGTCGGCAACTGCCTGCGGGTCGATCTTGCCCTCGTACGGGCACCCAACCACACAGGACACATACCCACGCACCCGCAGGCCCGCCTGCTGCGCCCGTGCTGCGACATCCTCAAACCTCCTGGATGCTCTCGGCAATCGAGCAGTTGATGTTCTTTTGGCTGAACGACTCGGACGCCGCGCCGAAAATCGCCACCTCCTCGGCACCCGCTGCAATTGCTGCCTCCAGACCCTTGGTGTTGGGCGTCAGCACTGGGTACGACACATTGGGACTGCGTGTAATGCCTGCCATGACCTGCTTGGCGTCGCCCATCTGCGGCACCCACTTTGGCGACACAAACGAGGTCGCCTCGACGACCGGGAGCCCGGCGTCTGTCAGCTGGTTGATCAGCGAGATCTTGACTGCTGCTGGGATCAGCGTCTTCTCGTTCTGCAGGCCGTCGCGAGGACCGACCTCGACGATCTTGACAAACGGCCGCGAGGCATCGGCAGACGGCAATGTCTTTGCCTTGGACACCCGGCGGGTTGTGCTGAAGGCGCGCGGGAGGCGGAAGCGCAGCGACGAGCGCAGGGAAAAGGTGCTCAGCGGGTTGAGGAACATCGTGTGAGTGAAAAATCGAGTGTGGGAAAAAAGATAAGCAGAGACAAGAAAGACCCAGGCGACGCTCACCTGCGAATGCGGAAGGCGGTCTCATTTATAATCATTTACAACAGACTGCGGCGCCATTCATCACGCGCACAAACTTATCTATAGCCAGCGAATTAGCAAGGCAAGTAGATCTAGCATATCATGGATATCATTCAGCTGCTGGATGTGCTGGAGAGGCCAAGTGCCGATCATCAATCCCATTCTGATGCGGTGCCAGTCTGGGTATCTCCACATGTCGATGTGTCTATTTAGCGCTGGCTGACAACTGAGTAGTGACCACGCTACACATACCAGTGCTACCTGCATATACACATGTTACCCCCTGTCTCAGTAGTGCATTGCTGAGTGCCCAAACCTTTGCTGTTTCCCCACACATGAAAGTCATTTTGTGGTGTCCAGACCATGCTGGCTGGATATTCAGCTACCGGTGGATTGATCCACCAGCATCGTGGTCGGCAATATGCAACCAGCTGCCTCCGGTTTTGGGGGATGCGCGGTGGGTAGTTTGCAGGTGGCGGGTCTAGAGGCCGGTGCGGCCTGTTACCTAAGCGCCAGATGTGCGCTAGCAGCTCGCCATGGCGGATCAGTCATATTTATATTGCTGGCCGGGTTGCCCGTCAAACATCAGGTGAGGTGGAGAGGGCTAGGGCTGTGCAACCACGGCTACCGCTAGACTGGCCACAGGCAGCCAAGCGGAATAAAACGCACCTCTTAGCCTACTCCACCGCCAAAATCCTTTCCCTTTTTCCTCGTCAATACTGAACATACTTTTACCTCTTTCTTAAAAGCTACCTTACCCTGTCGTTTACATCCAAACAATCCTATATCCCACCAATGGCCTCGGATTCAACCGACCACGAAAAACTGCTGGGTGCCTCGGAGCAGCAGCACCGGCGGGCCGATATAGAGAGCAGTGAGGCGGGGCAGAGGCGTGCCCAGCTTCTTCGGCAGAAGCGGATCGAGCGCGTAGTGCAATACGTGTTTGGTGGCATATTCCTCCTTCTCGTCATCATCATCACCACGTACGCAGTGTCCAACACCATCATTGGATGCGCTGATCCTGTCGAAGAGCAGCAGGACGCAGCGCGGCTGATGGACTACAATGAGCTTGACTGCCGGACCACCGGGTGCAACAGGAACTTTGAGTGTGTCCTGCTGGACGCGGAGTTTGAGTGCGCCAACCCGCCGTGCAAAAAGTCCATCTACCAGTGCGTTCCGGCAGCCATGTTTGAGGACTCTGATAAGGTGGTGTCTATCCAGGCTGCACCGCCAATGATTAAGCGGGCTATGCCTGTTCAGACAGCCCAGCTGCAGGCTGACTTATTGAGCCTGGCTGCTGTCGACGAGCTCGAGGGCGACATGCCGCCAGCCTTGGCAAAGTGCATCGAGAACCACGATGGACGGAGTATCTGGCGGATCGAGGGCGACGCGTGCAACACCTGCCGCTGCACTGACTCGGGCAGGGTCACCTGCACCCGCAAGCTGTGCAACCCGAACAACCTGCTGTTCGAGTCGCTGATGAGCAAGGCGGAGAGCAACGAGCTGGCTAGCCCACAGTCGACAGCGCCGGCAGTCAAAAAGGCTGCTCCTGTAGTGGAGGCGGCGGGTTCCAAGGGCCCAGATCGTGTGAACCGTGCCGCACGCACTCGGACGACCATCATGATTCCTGTTGTCACACTTGCCGACGAGGAAGGTGAGCTCGCAACACTGTTCACATCGGTTGCCGTGGATATCCAGAGCTGAGTCTCACTTTGCGTCTATTTCTGCCAAGTGACCCTCGTAGCTTATAGCCTGTTTAATGTATACTCCTGTTCTAAATCTGGGTGTGCTTCGTGTGCACTGACAAAGCAGAGCCGTATCTGCGAGTCGGGCTGAGGCAGTGTCTGCGATCAAAATTACTCAGATCAATGACTGCGCATTTGGGAAAACCGTGCCTTTTTTCGCCAGCTCCCGCCTGCGTGCTGCGCCGCCTCTTTCTGTTCGCTGCTGTTTCTGAATTCTGTACTCTTGCTCTTTTCCATTCTGCAATTACGTCTCGCCAAGGAAATGTGCATTTGACAATGGCAGGATATGACGACTACGACTGCACCATCGACGACCTCGATGACAGCATATTCCGTGACATAATGCCCGAGGACCTGGAGTCTGACACCGAATGTAGCACCTCGTTGGGTCGGGCAGGAGGTGGTAGCCCCCTGGTGTCGTCGTTCAACAGCAAGCCAGGGAACACCGGCAGAACCAGCCATACCAGTAGCGCTTATTCAACAAGCACACTGCGGCCAACGTTCAGACCGTTGCAACCAGAGGCAAAGGGTCCGCCAAAGACCATTGACCTCAATCGATTCATATTCAACAGCAGTGGCACTGCCAGTAGCAACGGCAGCTCTGGGGTACAGCCAGCTCGCCAGCAGTTCCAGGCGAACAGGAAAAGCGATGCACCCAAGATAAGCAATGGGTGGATGTCGGGTAATGCACAGCACAAGCTCGCCACGAAGGCAACTACTGCGCCTGTGTCTGGGCAGAGGACTATTATATCGATGTTTAGCACCAAGAGCAAATTGCTAGCTAAACCGGCTAATCAGCAGCAGCACCAGCATCAGAAGCAGCAGAATCCAGCGCTTGCCTCTAACATGAGCAGGCCTGCAGCAAACCCTCTAGGCAACGGTGACATTATTGACCTGGATGATCTTGATTTAGACCTGGATGCGCTCTATGGTGATGGCTTGGACTCGGATCTGGATGAAACGCCAGCACAACAGCATAGCCCCCCGCCACGGTCCACTACAGCAGCAACAACGACGTCGCGAGCGCTGCCATTTGTTCTGAAATCTGCTGGCCAAGCATTGCCACTGTCGCGGATTAGCGGCGACAATTCACTGGTTGAGGAAACCCATCGCATGGACCTCAAGGCTATGGAGACATATATATACCCGCTTCTTGGCGGGCAGCCGGCGCGTGCATACCAGCAGGGTGCTATCCGGCGGTGTTTGTTTCAGAATACGCTGGTTGCGCTGCCGACCGGCATGGGCAAGACGCTTATTGCTGTGGTCGTGATGGCAAACTTTGCCCGGTGGTTTCCAGACTCCATGACAGTGTTTCTGGCACCTACCAAGCCGCTGGTTACGCAGCAGATGCACGCTTGCGACGGCATGATCCATGCAATTCTCAAGCGCACCGGTGTCCCGGCATCAACAATCGAGTCACTGCAGGACCAGTCGAATTGGGTAGTGCAGATGAACGGCAGCGTATCGACAGAGTCCCGGTCAGCACTCTGGAAGGGCGCGCGCTTTGTGTTTGCCACACCACAGATCCTGCAGAATGACCTAAAGTCCGGCACGCTCGATGGCGACACTGCGCGCAGGATCTCGCTTGTGGTGATCGATGAGGCCCATCGTGCCACAGGCAAGTATGCCTATGGTGAGTCCATCTCGCTCCTGCGCGAGGTGTACTTTGGCAACCAGATACAGGCGGTCCCACTAGCTGCACCGTTTCGTGTGATGGCGCTTACAGCCACACCTGGCTCAAAGATCAATGCAGTACAGGAGGTCATCCATCGCCTGTTCATCTCCCACATTTTCCTGCGCACTGAGGAGTCGATGGACGTGGCGCCGTATTTGCACGGGCGACGGATCGAGGAGATGGTTATTCCAATGCCACCATGGCTGCTAGCTGCGCGAGAATGCCTGGGCAATGTGATGAAGCGCAGCATCAACATCCTGTGCCATGTCTGCGGTGCTATGCAGAATCCAGGCGACCCGCTTCGAGTCGCATCATTTGCAATCCGCACCGAGCGCGACCGATTTATGCAGCGCCCGTATGGTGGAGGCGCGTCAGGAATGGACAAGGGGCGGATATTGAGTGAGTTTACGGTAGCGATGATGCTGGCGTCTGCCATCCAGCTGCTGTCGGAGCACGGGCTGCGACCAGCATGGGCATCGCTGAGGGAATGCAATCTAGAGGTTATGCGTGCTCGACAGAAGATCGGGCAGACGTCTCGCGCAAAGGCTGACTGTGTTGACAGCGTCGAATGGGCAACTATGATGCGTGAGTTTGGGCAGCTGGTCGACGCCCTAGACAATAGACCCGCAGGAACCAACAACCGCAGCCTCGGCGTAAAACCTGCTCAGAGTAATGGCCAGCAGCGCACAGATGTTGTGTCAAACTTCTTCAGTGTGTCGAACACTGCGCCTGGCGGTTCTGGGAGACCGGGACAAAGCATCGCATCGCTGACGAAGCCTGGGTTTCTTGGTCACCCAAAGCTGGAGCGTCTGCTACAGGTGGTCCGGGACCATTTCTCCAAGACCCAAGCGAGTGGGAGCCTGAGCGCATCAACACGGATCATTGTGTTTTCCCAGTACCGCGGATCGGTTAACGAGATTGTTGGTGTTCTGAGCCGACTCAAGCCACAGGTATCCTGCGAGCCTTTCATCGGCCAGAGCAGGTCGTCTACAAGCTCAGCGCCAGCCGGTGGGTCGCGTGGACGTGGACGCGGTGGTGGTGGCTGGGGATGGCGGGGCCGCGGCCGCGGCGGTAGTAGCGGTGGGGGGTTTAGTCGTGGTGTGCCAGCTGACAGCGAAGATACCGATCCGGACCATGACATTCCGCCAGAGCTGCTTGGTGAGCAGGGTTCGCGGGGACAGACGCAGAAAGAGCAGCTTGCTGTGCTAGACCGATTCCGCAAGGGCCAAACCAACGTCATCGTTGCTACATGTGTCGGCGAAGAGGGCTTGGATATCGGTGAGGTTGATCTGATTATCAACTACGATGCCCCTGGGTCGCCGGTCCGCCTGCTGCAGCGGATTGGACGCACAGGGCGAGCGCGGCGAGGCACTGTGATATTGTTCCTTGCCAAGGACACTCGAGAAGAAAACACATATAAGAAAGCGCAGCGAGAGTACAAGAGTGTGCAGCAGAAAATCTCGACAGGGAAGGGGCTCATGCTGCGTGCCGAGATCAGTCCACCAATGGTCCCGCCTGGCTTGCCAACTGGCCCGCCGGCCTGCAAGGAGATTGATGTGTCAAAGGCGGATATTGCCCTGGCAGCATCAGAAATGGACCATGGATCCAAGAGCAGGACAAGGCGAGCCAAACCGACTGCGAGCTCCAAGGCTAAGCGCAAGCGGCAGGGCATTGGTGCTGGCGTGGATTTAGACGAGATGGCCGAGTTCGTCTGGCTTACAAACAAGTACCACGTCGATTTGGCTCATGGCCATGGTGGATCTGGCGGCTTCATCTCAGCTGCATCGGTTTCGAGCGGTACCAGACAGGCTATCACTCCTGGCTCTGAGAAAGGCACTGTGTCTAACATCCTGGACCGAGGTGCAGCGTGGCAGGCGCAAGCGTCGCCGTCGTGCTCGGTCGCGCATACGCAGAGGTCCGAGGTGTACTGGAGGGTAATGGCCGGTATTGAGCACGCCCGCTTCAGCCACGACTTGGGTGATCAGGGTGACCAGAGTCAGCCTGGATCATCACAGAGCAGGTTCAAGATGCCTGGCATCACTCTCACCGTGCAGGATGCGGGTCGACCTTTTGTCAATGAGCCCCTGAAGGCCATCCAACGCGAGACAAAACGCGTAGCAGCACATCGACCAGCGCTCAAGCCAAAGCCAAAGCCAAAGAAGCCAAAGCTGGCTCTGAACAAGAGCGACATGTCTGATTTTGAGAGTGCGATCAGCCTGATCTCTGATGATGACGACAATGGCACTAAGGGAGACAGCGACGAAGAGCTTGAGGATATCGACAGTATTCTGAGCAAGGCAGCGGCTGCACCAAGGGAGTCCAGGAGTGCTGACATGTTCAGGCCTCCGCCATTGCCACCACAGACTGCGCGCAGGGCATCCCCCGAACCAGGGCCATCAAAGAATGCTGCAAACGATGTCATGGTGATTGACTCTTCGCCGCTGGAAAACGACTTTCTGCACAAGCTAGCCGATCAGAAGTGTCCCAGTCCGCCATTGCGGCGCTCTGCAGAGGTAACTCCTGCGCGTCCAGCAGCCAAAAAGCCAGCCAGTGTGCGTAGCTCGGTCAGACACAAGGCGGCAATACCTGCATCCGGACCGGCAGCAAGCGCTAAGCGCCGACGGGAGAGCAGTGCAGGCACTGAAACCCAGACATCGCAGCGAAACCTGAGTGAGACTTTGGACAAACTGGCAAAGAGCGGAAAGGCAAAGCGGGCATTCGACTGGTCTATGTCGTTTCATGCTAAGCTGGTTGGCGATGCGAAGACAGCGGGAGTTGATCTGGCACTAAACGACCCAGCAGGTCTAGACGACCCACAGCTGCCTGTGCATTGTGACTTGCCGCTGGAGTCGCCATTTGGGAATATCGGTATGCCGGGTGCCTTTGACAAGCTCTATGACGAGAACCAGCCGCACTTGACTCCCGAGGATCCCGTGGCAGAGCCCGAAGATCAGTCGCGGCAACTGTGTGCGGCCAGTGACAGCGGTAGCAGATCTGGTTTGTCGGCCAGCGATCACACTAGCCACACTGGCAGCTCGCCTCCGACCCAGCCTATTCCAGAGAGTCCGCCAGCACTGGCTGCCCAGAGGAGTGTCGACGAGTTCGATACAGCATTGATGGACATGTCCATGAATCTGAGTACGCTTGACAACCTGATGCAAAGCGCCCAGCTCATGGTTCCAGCAACACCGAACGAGGAGCCTGTGCTCTTGGTTGCAGAATCGGGTCATGGGCCGGATGATTTAAAAAGCAATTCAGCGCTCAGCGCAGATATATTGGACGGTATCGACATGGGTGTGCTGGACATCGATATGGATGCAGCAGAGATTCTTGCTGTCTCTTCCGATGACGACTATGGCAGTGCGGAGGATAGGCACAGAGCCAATGTGGCGGCATCGCTCCAGGCAGCCAAGCCCGCCCCGCCCTCTTCGCCGCAATCGATGCCGCGCCGGTCTGCTCGTCCTCAAGTCCACAGGCAAAGCCCAAGCCCAAGTCCGATGGCAGAAGCAGCAGCTGGATTGCCACAACACATGGCGATGCCGGCATCATCATCGCCAGTGCGTGGACCCGGACGGCGGCGACTTATTCGCGGTAGGGCTGCGGCGCACAGAGAAGACTCACCAGAGTGTAATCGGCCGTCCCTGCCGCTGCTGTCTACGGCTGCTCAAGGCGACACGGTGACGCCAGTCCAGACAAGACGCGAGAAGAGGCATGAGCGGGGAAGGCTTAAACGACCGCCGCAAGCACCGAAGAAGCTTGCTTGGAACCAGTTTATTGACAACGAGGTCGAGGTCGGAGACAGTGAGAGCGGCGATGACGGGCCAAGGCGCAAGGTTGTTATCAGCGAAGATGAAGAAGATAGTCGCGAGAATCTCGACCAGGACCTGTCCAGCTTTATTGTCGACGACGAGGACGTCGAGTACGATACGCCGCGAAAGAGCCGCAGTGGTGTATCTGCAGCACGGTCGGCTGTGGATGACCTGAGCCCGGACCACAGCAATGGCATGGATTTTTACCGCCGAGCCATGCATAGTCAGGGCACACCTGTGTCGGAGCTCATGCGGCAGTTGGCTGAGCGCGAAAAGAAGCGGCGGTGGGTCGATGACACTCCGGTGCGAAAGAACACCCGACCGCTGATGCTAGTCAGAGGCGACGATGATAGCGATGTCCACTCGGTTGCTGGATACACTGACGATGAGGACGAGGACGAGGACGGCCAAGGCAGCTCAGATTTCGAGCGAGCTGAGGATCTTTTCACGCAGCATAGATAAGGCACTGTTTTGGATGAGAACCATTGCCCTATAAATGGTATGTTTGTTTTTGTCCTCATTGCGTGTAACGGCTGTGTCCGCAGGTCATTTCGGATGCTGGGATCCGCAAGGAAAAGAACTGCAGTATGTATGTGCGAATGTGCGAATGTGCTTTCCCTAGAGTGAGAGCGCAGGTTGGATCACAATGAACTGTGAACGTAGTGTAGAGACACGTAGCGACTCTAGGGATATTGCGCTCACAGTGCCACGGTTGTCAGAAATCGGCGCGCTGCTACTACATCCGATTTGCGCATGATGCCTACACATGCTGCCTGCATATTGCTGTAGGTGGTCGAATAACAAACAAGAGCAGGGGACCCGGGTCCATTACTGCATGCGTTCTCAGAGAGGATCCATCCGTAGTCAAAGCAACCTTGGTACGAAAATAGGTCCGGCAATAGAGCAGGTTATGTGTATTTGCACGGTCGCTTCCAAAGTGTATTCCAGCTTAGAAACTGGCGCGACATCCGTGCTTCCAAAGAGATGTGCTCCGGTACCATGTATGTGCGCATTGCTGGCAACACCTGATGCAAACAACCTGCACACTCATTCTTTCCTATTGCGCTCGGAGTAGAGTGGGTCAGCGCACTACCATGTATAGCACTGGGCAAATCGGGAAACTGTCGAGCACGTAGCAAATTACGTGCTGTAGCGGGGGATCCACGGGTCCGTCCCAGAACGGCAGTGCCTAACCTCCCTCAAATAGTGCAGAGCAGCAATTCTGGGGACAGGGTATTGCCGAGGGACCCAGCAGTGGGGCAGCGCCTGAGCTCGGCCATTTTGACAATTTTGGCCCAGGAACTGCAGCTGCTTCGTTCTTGGTAGGCTGTGGTTTGATTCGGATATCGCGATTCCCGCTGGTCCCACTGTGAAGAATGGGCTTTGGGTCGACTTGCAAACGAAGGGCCACAGTGGGCGCTTCCCGCTAGCATTTTTGTCTGCAAAAGCGCATGCAGCGGAACATAGGTTTGCAGCGTTGGACATTGGTTGGAAACCCGCATTGCTGCTCAGTATATGTGCCCAGGCTCCAATGACCGACTGCCTAGCCTCAAGGTGGCGAATACGCTATGGTTCTGTGCATCAATCCTACATATCGCTGCAGCAAGCAGCACAGACCCTCGCTGGAAATGCAGCCCGTCGCACCGCTTTCCCATTCGCCACAGCGACTCCGCGGATATTATGTGCTGCAGGCAGCAGAAACCTACTTTTAATGTGGTCCCGCCTGCGACAGTCATGGGAACCCGGCGCAAACGCATGCACAACGACGGTACTGCCATCGATTGCAATCGATGCGGGAGCGATTTGCTTTGTAAGAGCAGGATTTGCCGCGCGAATTATTTATCATTCTCGCCGGTACCGATTGCACCAATCGCTGGCGGATGCCGTATATGGAAACTTTTCGTCACGGCTGGCCCAAGAGAAAGAATAGGGCAAACGCAGCGGATAGTGGATTGGCATGGGTTTGCTGCCGCATCATTTGCCAGTGCGTCTGCAGTTGGGAGCGCAGGGAAGCCAGAGGCGCCTCTGGCAGAGGCGGCGGTGTCCACCCAGCTTGAACGAAAAAGGGATGGGCCATGGTCGACAATGCTGTGGATGTAGGATGTTTAATGTGCGGTTTCATAGGCGCTAGTCAATCGCTGGAGGGCGCTGCAGCTCTGGCTTTGACAGTGGTGGCGAGGATGCAATTCGCTGTTCGCTATCCCAAGCTACATGGCTGGTTCAGCATCGCAAGAGTGCCAGCCAGAGTGCTCAGAGTCCAGTGGCTGCATTACAGAAATCGCGAATGCTGCAGAGCAGGGATTGGAACAGGTGCTGGCGAGTGCAAAGGATTTGCTGACGTGGCCAGGCAGCGGCTGTTCCAGGGCTGTACTCGGACGATAGCCGCAGCCTCGCAGCCCTATCTGAACATACAACCTGTGTTCACGCTGGCCAGCAGACTGCCAAAGCTTTCAGGAACACTGGATTCGCCCAGAGCGCCGGCAATTGTGCGGTGGCAGATGGCCACAAATGGCCATGGCGGAATAAAAAATGTTCCACATGCCTACCATGGATTTGGCCATGTCCGAGCGCCTGCCCGCCCTCTGTCCCAGCCCTTTAAAACCCCAGGCGGGCCGCCAGGACCACCGTTGGCCTCCACCTCTCCACCTCCACACTTTTGCAAACTCTCGAACGCTCTCCCAGCCTCGCCTCCCCGCTTCGCACGCTAAATCGCTTTTGTGAGCTGGTCCCAGCCTCAGCGACAACGCTCTAAACGCGCTGATCCCATCCACCTTCCTAATCGATAAAGATAGCTCCTTCTCCTTGGCCCTCAGCTGCCGTCGCAACCCGAACAGCGCCAGATTTTGTTTTTATTTGTTCCTTTTTATTCCCAGGAGGTGCTAGGTCTGAACAATCCCCCCATCGCTGGCTTCCTTCTGCTCCAAGCAGCGAATTCTCCCTCCCACCCGCCGAGCGGTAGGATTCGTCTCCCTTTTAATACACGCGTCCCGCAGGCGCCTTGCGCATCCTCGGCCTGTCCGTGTTCTTGACGTGACTCTTTTTCTCTCCTTACCTTTTTGCCATTATTGTACTGTGCGTATTACACCACCCCACCTCTTTCCCCCACCTGTCCGATTTCTCTGCGCTTTATTACTACGCCATCTCTGCATTATCTGCGATCCCGATATACGATCCCCTCCCCAGTACCGCTACCACCGCCACCATCACCGCCTGTGTAAGTAGTATATGCGTCCATGCGCTCATCTTGCGCCGGAAGCATAAAATGGGGAGCATATGAAAACCAGTCCGCGCCGACTGTTCCTCCCACCAGTCACCAGCAGTGTGAGCGCCAAAACCCAGTTTCATCCTACTTGCATCCCTGTCTTTGTTTGCTCTAGTGCAACAGCTATGGACCATACTGGCTTTTCGGCGGCTTTTCTTTCTCCTCACCCGTCCCTCTACACACGGATTTCCGGCTCACTGGTCACCGAACAATATTTGCCGTCAATGCTGGGCTTCGCAAACTGCGCTGTTCATAGTTGTTGATTTGCCGGGGGCTGCTCGACACATTCTCCCTTCTGTTTTTGCACTCTCGTCTGCCCACTTGATGCTCCATCCTCCCCACACTACCCGAAGGAAAATGGATGTGTAATTTGCGTGGCAGGTGCGGTGTAGATTGGCACTGGCCAACAGACCACGTCGCTCACTTTGGGCTCCTCTCTAAAGATAATCCACGCAGTCGGATCGAAGTTGAAGTGATGCTGTCCGTCCTTGCTTGCCCCAGCTACGGCGAACTCATTTTGGGCGCAGTACTGGCTATTGCAGCCGATCCCAGTCACGGCCCTCTAGGGCTGAAGAGCAGGGAACCGCGCTAAACGCAATAGGACGGTATGTCGGCACTGTAATTGGGCCACCTGTGCCAAACAACATGGATTCGCAATTCTGCACCATCTGCTCATCCTCCTCCCCGGCCCCTATTTTGTTTACAGGTTCGGCACATTATTGGGCTGCAAAAGCAAAATAGCTTGGAGTGTCCACTAAGCCAGCCGCTGCTCCTATTCTGGTTTGCGGTGCCATGTGCCCCCTTGCAAAACCCGCCTGCCTTCTTGGTTGCTCGCTATGCTGTAGACTTACGCTAGCGCTTTGTCTTCTGCGCCCAGAGTTTCAGCTGCTCCGCCCGACCACCCCTTGTATATATCTCCCCAGGGCTGCCCATCCCTCCAGCTGGCATCTTCTGCCGACTTTAATTTCCACTTTTTCTCTTGTTACATCGGCGGCTCTAAAACATTCACCGCACATAATTATTAGTCATCTCCCTCTCCTCACCCCGCATTTATAAACTGTACGCATATTCCTAAACCACAGCCATGTCGGACGATGTAGGATTCTACAACACGCTCCAGGTCCTCGAGCTAAGATCTCGCAAAAAGAGACTGAGCAGCACATTTATGGAGATGTCTAACCAAAATCAAATTACGCTCTTCAAGTTGTCGACGTCTTCGGGCAACGACATGGAGCACCCAGTACGCCCTAACGACCGGTTCTCGGGCGTGGTGGTTCTCCAGCTCTCGCGCCCCGTGTATGCGTCGCAGGTGACACTCGAGTTCACCGGAACAGAGCGTCGGATGTCGGCGCTCAAGGGCCTGTCAAAGTTCATAAAGACACAGCTATTTTCGATAACAGTGACAGTATGGAAGCCGACACATGACGGACCCAGCCCTTCGTCGGTGCTCTCCGACGGCATCCACGTTTTCAACTTCACCTGCCAGATGCCAAACGTCAACTACCCCCAGTCAATCGAGCGCCAAGAGTACGACTATCGGTACACGCTGCGCGCGCTCGTCAAGGTACCGCTGGATCAGCGGTCGGAATACAGCATTGCTGTGGTCGAGAAGGACGTGCATTGCGCCCCGCTGATTACACAGTCGCTGAACCTGGAGACGCTCAGTATCATGGAGACGCTCTACTTTGAGAAGAAGGGCAAGAAGGGCAAGGCTGCGGTTGAGCTGCGCGCAGGCATCACCGGCCACCAGATCCTCCCTGGATCCAAGGTGAAGATTGACATGTCAATCAAGGAGCTGTCGAGCACGAACTGGACCAAGGTCGTCGCTCGGCTGATGGAGCGCACCAACTGTCGCGAGGGCACCAAGAGCACGTTCTCGCAGCCGCACTGGTCGGCCGATCGCGAGCTGGCACACACAGAGCTGGTGCGGTCATCCGTGTACAACTTTTTCCTCAACGACGAGCTGACCGGCGCGGATAGCTCAGGTAAGCAGCTTTGGGGGTGAGCACCATGGGAACATTTGTCCTCCAGCTGACGCCAGCGCCTAGAGGCAACTGCTGCACATGCAGTGCATCCTGGATTCCCCTCTCCACAGAGGAGGCAAAGACTGTGGGAGAGCACGGCGTATGCACCGTCTCGCATCTGAAAGAAGCCAAAAAAAATCAACCAGATATATGCCTTCTTCTGCTTTCATCGATGTGCGATGGTGGTCAAGGATTGGTTGCACTGCCAATTTACGAGCGTCAGAGGGATTATTGAATGTGGGCAATCCATGTTCCTCATGTGCGCATGCATATTCGGATAGGGAGCTATTTGCTGTATTGCTGGAAATCGCCGTGCCCCTTCACTAGCTAATTACAAGCATGTCCTGGTCCCTTCAATTGTAGAATCGACAACGAAGAACGGAAGCACCGTGACAAACGAGACGATGTACTTCTCCATTCCCTTGATGGCGTGCAGTCCGCTTGGCAGCGACCACCTCGAGTTCACGCATTACATCCGGCTGGAGATTGTGCTGCCCAACTGGCGCTCCAGCGACCGCGCAGTGTACACCGAGTTCCCAGTCAAGCTGCTGACCTGCGACCCACAGTCGGCGGTTTCCATGCTGAACCGGCAGATGTCGATGCTTCAGCTCGAGCGGAGCAATAGCACCGATGCCCAGTCGTTTGTCAGCACCCCGCAGTCACCGACGCTGAACAGGGCGCCGAGCATTACCTCGTTCCAGGGCTCACGCAACGGACTCGCTGGGTCGCTTCCAGTTGCTTACTACGAGGTACATCCGGTGCAGCGGCCGTACCCGGTGCTGTCGATGCTCAAGCAGAGCAACTATTCTGGACCTGGAGATGTCCCCAGCGACCTTGTTTCTGTCAGCAAGGCCTCAGGAAAGCCCTCGACCAGCCGGAGCCTCAAGCACTCGACAATGGGCAGCTCGCACAAGTCTGAGTACAGCTTTGATGGCCGGTCGATGCATTCGTCAATGCAGTCGTCAATGAGCACAGCAGAAGACCCTGCTGAAGAGCGGTACCGGGCGCGGCCATTGCCGCCACCACCACCATCGATGCTGCAGATGCCGTCGCAGTCGTCGGTGATGCAGGTGTCGACATCGCCGCCGCCGCTGCCTGATACCCCAATGCCAACCAGCAACAACTACTCGCCAACCACAGTGGTCACACCAGTGTCTGCACGTTACCCCGAGTTTACACAGCAGAAGCTGCCGCCCCTGCCACCGCAGTCGCCGACACACAGCGCATACCAGGGCGGGCTGATCCCGTCGCCATACAGCTCAGCACACACGTCTACCAACAGTGCTGGGGCATATGAGGGCAACCTGATGCTGCAGCCTGTGCCGAGCAAGGCTAGCTCAGGAGGAGGAGGGGTCATAAAGGACCTCATTTCGGCACCATTCAATGTGGTGAAGCACGACACTGGGTTGATTCCGCTGCCGCAGCAGCCAGCTGTCTCGCTGCCGGTCCCGCCTGGCGACGTCCTGAGCGGGGGATTCGGGTTCCCGACATTTAGCAAGTCGAAAAAGCCGCAGCTGCAGCGTCCGCATACGTCAGCACAGATGACTATGGCTGCTGCCTCGCCGCCGCCAGACCTTCCGGGAGATGACTTTGACAGCGATGATGACGCCGGGTACTTCAAGTCATCAATGGCCCGGCGGTCTAGTGAGCGTGAGCGTGCTAATGAGCGCGGTCTGTTCAGGCTGCGCAAGAACTCATCAATCAAGGTGTCGCGGTGAAGAAAAACGAAAATGGCTCGTGTGTTTAAAAAGCGAAAAATGGTTACCACAAAGTCGCATACCCGGTTCTCAAAACATCTGTATTTTCTGTTTACATCTCAGTGTCTTGTTTCTATTAAAATCCTGCCAAAAGCTTTATCATGCTATGACAAACATGTGTGTGCGCCCTATCCACTTGTATGCAAACGGTGGGCGGCCAGCCACTTGGCTGTTGGGCTTACCAGCTGAGCTCAATACGCAGATGGAGTAGAAGGCAGCTCTAACTATTGAGAGCCGAGCTATAGCTAGAGACAGGCATGATTGCCCTAGCCTAGCCTGAAGAACCACACCACCTACAGATGCGATTGTTGTTCAGAATAGCTGCCCCGTGAAGCCTGCCACCACTGGAATAAAGATGGAGATGCTTAATAGTACAGCTGCCTGCTGAGCGAAGGAGGCAATGGGAATATATACTTTGCAGACTCAGTTTGAAGATAACAGAGTAAGACAGATGTATCCTCAAAAACACCTCACCGCACATCGCCACACTCTATTTAGCTCGATGGCTATCCACTTTAATAAGCCTTCCCTCGCATCAAGAACCAGCGGGTATTAGCATTTCGTTTTTAGTTGTCTTCTATAGGTTCAAGATCAAGGGACAGCGTATTCAACGAGACTACCACACTCATCTCGGGAGCTAGATTATCAGAGTGGAGAATGGATATTCATGTATGCCTCTGCCTGGAGACACGGCATCAGCGGATGAAGGACACACTCTTGCTCGACTGCGTTGTGAACGTGTAGATGGATAAAAACAAGCAGCACAGGGCTGAAGGACTGTTCACAGGCGTGTATAGTTGGAATGGAGAGCGTGGTGCATGGAGTAAGACACACAAGTATGACTTGAGGAGCAAAGAGAAGAGGCTGTTGCCAGCATGTGCCCAAATATGCATGTGGCCGACCTGCTGTGGTGGCATCGAGGTGCGCTGCCGCTTCACTGCCAATAGCGCCAAATGTCCTGTCTTGCCAGTAGAACTCGGGCCATTTGAGGCAGATTGTTGATCCCGAGAGCGGCTGAGTGTTCCGAGGATCAACATGGGCGTTGGGTCTAGCTGGCACGCCCAACGGCTTTTCCAGACCATGGCCAGCAGCTACTAGCTATTTTCCATTAGGGGACGGTTTATGAAACAAACAAAACAAAAACAGAACAACATGGAGCAGGGCAGTAGATGAACAAGAAGCAGAGGGGAGGGAACTAGTGTGGCAGACGTAAGGGAGAAATGCAATCGTTAATGGAATGGGTTATCAGCGCAATGAATGCAGCGACTCGTACAAGTCAAAGTTGAGCTCGGCGGCCTCACTCAGAATGGCAGCGTCCGAGCCGTAATCGGAGTCGGCCCACAGCGGCATCGGAGAGTGCCTGCGGTGCTCCTTGCTGCGCCAGGTGGGGATATACACGCCCTCGTCGTCCTTGCTTGGCGGCAGCTCGCCGCTGGGCGGCTGGGAGGGGTATTTGGACGGGCGGTTTGTTGCGGATTCGCCCTCCGAGTCGCTGCTGGGGTTGGATTCACGGCGGATGGTGTCGAACAGGGCGGCATTAAGCATCAGGTTCTCGGCAAAGCCCGAGTAGCGCTGCTCGGGGGTGATCCAGGTGGCCGATGCGCGGAACTCGAAGGGCAGGCTAGGCGGAACCGGCGGCGGCACGGCGGGGTTGGCAGGGATGAAGCTGAGGGGTCGTGGGGCAGCGGGTGGGGGATTGGATTCGGCAGCAGAATCTGACGGCCGCATGTAGGAGTCGAGCTCCATGTCGGCGTAGTCAAACAGGGCGCTGGTTGGCGACTGTGGGGGCTGCGGGGGCGTGTTTTCGGCACGCATATTGTGCTGTGCCTTGGGGACTCTGCGCAGGCGCGAGTCGGGGTCGGGGCTCAGGGTCAGGTCGCTGAGGCTGGTGCCCTCGACAGGCTCGATGCTAGTGAATTCGCTCACCAGCGGCTGTGGCGGCTGTGGCGGATCGGCCGCCTGGTCGTCATTCTTTGTGGCCAGCGACAGGTGCCCGAGGCTTTGCTGCAGTTCGTCAATACCGGCGGTGCTGTCTGCCAACGAGTGCCGCGAGGCAGCAGAGTCCTCTTCGTGAAGCGTCGATAGGCGGGCGGTGGAGGGCGCTGGGGTGGCAATCGCACTTGAATCCTGGCTGGCGCGGGTCTCTACTCTGATGATCGGCACATCGAATTGCTCGGCGCCGTCCAGGCTGTTTGGCCGGCTCGACTGTGGTGGCTGCTGCGATGTGCTGTTGGCGCGCTTGCGGCTGCGGGACAACGACCGCCTGATGATCGAGCTGACTGATTCCTTCGCGGTGGTGCTGGCGGTCTGAGTGGTCTGTGGCGGCGGTCTGTGCTGGGCAGCTAGCAGCTGGTCGAATCTCTGCGGGGGCAAGCACTTGCGCAGGGAGGGCTGTGAGATAGCAGCAGTGCATTGGCTGACTGGACATGTGACCGCAGTGGCAGCTGCCTGCAGAGCGTGCTTGACGTGCGATTGCACGCAGCTGAAGCACAGCGTGTGGGTGGCAGCGCAATGCACGGTCCAGTCGGCGCCTTCGTGTCGCTCGCACACCAGACACATTATCACGTCCTCCTCCGACGAGTCCGATATATCTGATGTGGCTAGTGATTTGCGCTGGGCGTTGGCGGGCGGTGGGCGCTCTCCCTCATCCTCGGAGGGCTCGCCGTCGGTGATACTCATGGCTCTGGAGAGCGGCGACTTTGCCAGGGTGCTGGCGCTGGGGCGTCCAGGCACCAGCGTGCGGTGGCGGATGCTGAGCGGATCCCGCGGGGTGAGGCGGCGGCGTGCGTGTTCCCGCTGGATGATTTTGCCCAGGGCCTCGTCGTCGTTGGCCCGGGAGACCGAAGTGATGGCGCGGCTGCCGAGGACAGTGAACGAGGGCGGCTGGCGGCGGTTGGCTCTCATCCTGCGAACTCTGAGGAGAAACGAGCGGGCGTGGTAGCAGATGGTGCGGCGTTGCGGATGGTTGGCAGTGGAAGCGGAAGACAAAGAGTACATGCTGTGGTGCAGCGAGCTGCTGCCATCGATGAAAATGCCAGGCCCCAGCATGCTGTTTTGGGAGCCCGTCGGTGCGCGTTGCCGCGGGATCGACGCTGCAGCCTCCAGGGGCTGTTCTGCCGCCAGGCCCTGCTGCGACCCCATTGTCGACTGCGTGTAGCCGCGCCGCCGCCGCTTGGCCTCCCGGACCACGTCGGGCGAACCGATCGTGCTCCGGCTCGGCCGCCCTGGCGGTGACGAGGGTGCGGCGAGTACGCTGCCCCTGTTGCTGTGTCGCCGGGTGCCGCCCAGCGAGAACAGCTTGCGCTGTGGCTGCTGGGTGCTTGCTGGGTGCTGCAGCTGTCGACCCGTCATGGCCGTCGATATGTGCTGCGATGCCGCCAGCGCGTTGGCTAGCGGCTCGCCGGATGTGCGGCGGTTGTAGACCTTGACCCAGCTTGCCTCATGCAGCCCGCTGTCGACCCACCGGAATGTCTTTGAGGAGAAGAGCTGTGAATGCGCCTCCTGCTGCCGCCGTACGTAGTCATACATGACGGGCCGATTCTTAAAAGATAATGGAAAAAAAAAACTGTGGAACCTCTTTTTGGGGGACCTGTATCCAAAACGGCGGGAGATTAAAAAGCCAATAGCTGGTATCAAGAGGTGAACTCCAGGAGCTGAAGGTTGCCGCGGCCGGGTTAAATAAAAACAAAAGTGAGGGGATCTGCGGAAGCAAGAAGGCCGGCCACTGCTGAAGAGCTGAAGCAGACGCCTCTAACCGCTGCGTCAGGCGGTATTCAACCGCCCTCGAGCTGCAACTCTGCGCTTGTCGCTGTGGACCCGACGAGGAAGTCTTTTTCTGCGTGCTTGCTTTCCCGTCCCTCCCCACCTTTTACCATTGTTGGCACCCAAGAACAAGCGCGAGGCGAAAAAAAAAAAAAAACGGGGGGGTCACGTCGCCAATTATCTGAAAAAGCGACGCATTTCTTTCTCTTTCCAGATTCTAAATGCAAGCGCTTTTCATATTGAAGCGACGGGGCGACGAAAGCGATAGGTAAACACCTGTCCCATGTGTCCCGGAATCTGGCACGCATACAATCAAAAGGGCGTCCGGCGTGTAGCTGGGCATACAAAAGAGCCGCCCTTCTTTAGGAAACCGCTTCTCGCTTCCCCGTCGCCGAGGCTAAAAATGAGCTGTCGTTCTGGGTGCTGCTGCGTTATTTTTAGAGTCGCTGGTCCGTGTAACAAGATCGACTGTGTATGCGTGCTTTTGAGTGCCCGCTCCTGTTTCGCTTTTCCGAGTAAGGCGCTATGCACTCAGTCTGGCTATGCCCTCTGTTTTGAACCTCACTATAGCTGGCACGCCGGGTCTACTGCTCCTTCTGTATATGTACATCCCAGCAGGTGCCCTTCTGTGGCGCCCTCATGACTGCTACTGCGCATTTCGCTTAATCTACCTGTGTGTTCCTGTCAGATATTGCTCCGGCCGCTTGCCGCAAAGTGCAGCATCTGGGAATTGCCAGCGCTGGATAATGGGCCGCCGTCCCTGTCGCCGGCTTCCACACTGCCTTCTCGATGAACCACTGCATATTGTCCGCGCCGCCCGCCTCCTCTCTTTATCCATCTTTCTCTAAATTGTGCCTCTGTCGGGAATTGCGTCCTCTATTGTCACTATGAAGCTTGTTTTTTTCTCTTTCTCAGAGGCGCCGGGTTCTGTTTCCGCCGATTGGGTTGGGGGAGTAGGCGGATCGTTTTATTAGTGCAAGGGCATGCTGGAAAGACATGCATGTTACTCGCCATGGGTTATAGACTTCTGCAGGCAGGCAATCCGCTGCCAGTAGAACATGCATGGATGGCATTGCGCAGTAATAGCACCTTGGGTCCCAGCAAACATGGGCGCGCCGCCTGGTAGTGGCAATTGCGGTCGCTGCTACGTGAGGGTCAAACCATGCAGATCGCAGCGCATGGTTCTACTCGCCTGCTGCATACAAGGCTTCTGCCTGTCCCTAAATCGCTCGATTTTCTATTGCATTTTTCATGCCGGCCGCGGCGCATCATGCGGGACCTCCTCAGCTGCCTGCTCCCCCTCTTCCTGCGCCTTTTTTCCTCGCCCGGTCACTTGCACCTTCTTCCGTGTCCGCATATTCGACCTTCTTTGTCTCCTTTCTGTATCCTAGTGCATTGCTATCTACATAGTGCCTTCCCTGTTACTTTTTTCTGTATTTCCTCTCCCCCAACCAAGTTCGCCGGCTGCACCAGTAATCCTCCACACTCCCCCACACCTGGGCTTTTTTTTTTATAATGACGAGCGAGAAGCAGCTACTTCGCCGCGTAAACTCGGCACACACCGGACAATCGAGCTCGCCAGTTGACACCACGCACAATGTGTTTCTGCACCTCCGACTGGAGCCCTTTCTCTCCTCGTCGCTGCTCGACCTAATAGACATACTGGCTTACCCAATATCCATATCGCCCAGTGTCCCCAGCACCCCGCCGCCGCTCTACGAGCCCCCGCCGCCATCATACCCAGCCGGTGAGTCGTGGCTGGCCCCGCTGTCCGACGAGCAATCACCCGCGTATGACAGCACGAATGATGTGCAGATGACCCCTGGTGATGTGGTCGTTGAGGAGCAGCTGCAGAACGAGTTGGCACTGAATTTGCTCATGTATGAGGTTTTAGCCCACCAGTCCGACGAGTCCACGCCCCCAGGGAATGGATCCTCTGCGCAGCAGCAGCCAAGCAGTGGCAATCTGCACCCTGCTGTTTGATTGCCTGCTGACATGCCAAAGCAGGGGAGGAGGACAAGAAATGCGCAAGCTCCCCTGCTGGAACATTATCCCTCCCTCAATCCCCCCGCCCCACCAATGTCACATGCAATCGGCGGTACATTAACCCCGCCACTTTGGCTCTCTCTGCCTTCACATTCCTCCCATGTTCCATATACCACCAAGCCCACTTGTAAATTCTCAATACACATATGCTGCCTTTTGTTTGTAGCTTCAACAACAGGAATGCCTCTATCCCCCTGATATGAGAAAATGGGATGTGCTGATGCCGGTTCTGGGCCTCGCTGCCGATCAAACACATCCGGCATTTGCCGATCATTTTTAGAGTATGTGTAATAGTCGGAATAGTCTTGAAGGGGTAGAAAGTGTAGAAAGAGGGCTCTTAGATGATAGAGTCGATCTGGCCGATGGCCCAGTACAGCAGCGAGGGGCTCAGGCCAGGGTACTGCAGGTGGTTGATGATGCTCAGCTGGATCGGCAGCAGGCTGTTCTGGCACTGATCGTTCTCCAGCGACTCGCCACCACAGAACTGCGCATCCTTGCTCCGACCCGAGTACCACACCTCCTGGGTATGGTGCTCAAAGTTCATCCACCGGGTGGGGACCTGCGGGACCATATCTCCACGGTTGACGACACGGAAGATCGGAATGTTCTGCGACGACAGCCAGTGCGCAAAGGCAGGGTTGCCGACACGCGGCTCGCCGTACGTATACAGCTCCATCTTGCTCTTCCACTCGGGGAACGAAATAAGCAGGTCGGCCGTGGCCACAGCAGCAATGGCTCCACCAAGGGAATGCCCAGTAACAACAATCTTGTAGTCCGGGTACTTGGCAGTAAGCTCCTTGAGGGTCTTCTTGATGCCGTCGGCTGCGGCCGTGTATCCGAACAGGAATCCGTTGTGGACCTTGGAGCCCTCGATGCTCTTGGGCCAGGACACAGGCAGGAAGCTAAAGTCCTGGATCCAGTCCATCAGGATCGTGCTGCCGCGGAAACTGACGATGATCTCTTTGCTCTGGCTCCGGTGAGCCACGTACCCGTAGCTGGCCGGCAGAGTGACATCCCAGTGGTAGTCGACCTCGGTTCCCAGCGTGTCGGGCGACCAGCAGTTGACAAGGCACGTCCAGCGCTTTCCGCTAACCTTGTACGCAGCACCAGCGTATCTTGCATACTTGACAAGGTTATCGCTGGTCGTTGTGCTGACCTGGTATCCAGCCGAGTTGTATGGCGATGTGTATGCGGGAGCTGACTCATTGTGGCTGGCGAGCTCGTGCTGGACAGCGCTCAGGACTGCGTCGGCCTTGCTCGAGTCAAAGAGCGCGTAGGGAGATGCGTCGTCACGGCCAAAAAGCTGCGTGCCAATTGGCGTGCCCGAGACAAAAGTAGCGGCCAGGGAGGCGGCAAGAAGAAGAGCCTTGATCGCCATTGATGAGTCTAGTAGTGTGCTTGGCGGGGAGGGGTTCCTGGAATACAGAAGTTTGTGGAGAGGTTCTTGACCGAAATATGGCCGGCTAATTAGACAAGAAATGTGCTTGATATCTTGAAGAGCAGCGCTGTAATGATGATAATATTTGCTACTGCTGAATATCAGGGGAGTGTTGAATCTGTACTGGATGATTACCAGCCCTCGACCATGCCGCAATGCCCAGTATTATATATGTATCGTTCCTTGACTACTCTCGGCAAGGAAATTCCGAGTTCCTCGCATCGTCCTCCGGCCAAAACAATCACGGGCATGTCTACAGCAGATTTCCACCAGAGCAGACGCATTGCGTGACGTCCTTTGTGCGTCTTCCGCGAATACAAGCAAGGGTAGTCGTACTACGGGAGCACAGATCGACTATTTTTTCATTCTTAAAGACATCCAGGAACCTGCTGCCAAACAACCGCTGCTGCTTTCCTAAATTGCGCTTTCAAGAGTGGAGTGAAAGCAGACGCAAAGTTCATCCATATGATCTTCGCGAAGCGGTGTTACTACCCCCTGACACAGGCTGCAATGTCCGCAGCCTAGCTGGTCACAGACGGCTCCAGCATGTGAAGTGCCACCTTGATTACACTATCTTTTTGAAGCGAGCATTAAAAACGGCGTGCTTCATGAAAGGGGCAACATGCCATGTCCCCATTTTGCTGGCCATTTTCGTTCTGGATGTCCATTCGATCGGGATCTGCGGCTCTTGAGCTGTCCTCAATATGCGCATTTTCACATGAGCGCATGGAGTCAACAACGCTAGCACTCTGTACTACCCTGAAACCCCGGCCAATTCTTCTTCAGGACTAAAGTCGCCTCCCCCTTAGCCGATCGCCTCTAGGGGATGCGCCGCGTTGATGCAGCGGTGCAAATGATCTGTGACCCGGGTCCAGCCAGCGCAGTGTCGATTGGCTTGGCATAGTCCGAACCACCATGCTTGCAACCCCACTTCAATACACATTTGGGTATAGCCTGTTGGATATGCTCTCGCACAAGGGATGGGCCATTGCGGAGTTTTGGTATTTTTATCCGCATCAGAAGATCATTCAACATTGTAACTGACATCCCTCTCCATTTGCATGCATGTACTACATTTGCATCAGCACCATCCTTCTAGAAGACATGATTTGCTAGCTGTACTTCAATCCAGGATAGCCATAGTGTGCGTTGATGTTTACTGTGAGGCTGCCGCCGCCATTGCTGCATGTGTCAGACTGCTCGGTCGAAAGGCAGAACTGGTGCCGGCCGTCATGGATCCAGTCCTCGATGTTATGATGGACGTAGCCAAAGTACGATGGCGGCAGATGCGGCACAACATCATCCTCATAGACAACGCGATACACAGGGACAGACAGGCCCTCGATAGCCTTTGCAAAAGCACCGTTGCCTACCCGGGGCGCACCATACGTGTACATGCTCAGCCGCGGCACAAGCTGGGGTGCCGTAGTAGCGAGGTCAAGCAATGCGAGGGCAGCCCGAGCACCACCCAGTGAGTGCCCAACCAGGGCGACCGAGTAGCTTGGGTACGCATCCGCCAGCCGCAAAACAGCATTGAGCATGCCTGTGCGTGCTGCGCTGTATCCACTTAGGAACCCACTGTGCACCTGGGAGCCCTCAACGCTTTTTGGCCACTCTTCCTGTGATGTCTGCAGGTTCTGAACCCACTGCTCAGGACTGTGGGTTCCTTGGAACGACACAACGAGGACGCCTTTGTCAGGATTTCTTGCAATGTAGCCAGCGCTTGGCGGACTCCCCACATTCCAACTGTATTCTACTACTGTTTGTTCGGTTCCCGGGTATTCGCAGGCGTACTTGCAGTCCCATTTATCGGAAACCGTGTACGCTGCACCAGAATATGCTGCAAAAAGCCCCAATACGGCAGTGTCGACGGGTGCTTCAGACATAGCCATTGAGCGGGCTGAGTTTGCGCCGGCGAGTGTCTGCACGAGCCCAACACCTGTTCCGCCGACGATCGTGGCAAGGTCTGCCAGCACATTCCGTTTATCAACATTGGCTGGACGAGCATCGGCTGAGCAAAGCAGCTGCAGTACACACAAAAGATTGGAAAGTGCCTTCATTAACGGTCGAAGTAAGCAGTGAGAAGAATGTGTAGCCAAGACGGAAGTTAAAGCAAACCAGGAAGAGACATGGTCCATTAAAGCAAACCAGGGAGAATGATGGCTGCTTGGCAAGCTGGGATAGCGAAAACAAAAGCGTTGCTTGTTCAAGGCGTGGCTTCTACTGCCCCTCCCTCAAACACTGCACATTGCATATTTTCGATAGTAGAAGCCACGCGGAAACCACCTGCCGACAATGGGACCAGATGGCCTGCGGTCCATGCAAAGCATCTAAGCAGTCAATCCACCAACTGCACACCACAAGCATGTGCGGCTGACATGGCATCCATATATGCAATAATTTAAAACCAGCACTGCCTATGCGGCCCCATCCAGAATTGGATCCTGCACAATCGTGGTCCAGTTGGTCCGATGGCAGTCCTCGGGCATCCACAGCTGCAAAAGCCGGTCTGGGACTGGCAATTCCTCTGAGCACAGTGACTTTGGCAGCAGTGTCTGGATGACCTGGTATGCAAACTCCGGCTTCCGATCATTCAGATCTCCTGGTCGTCTGGGCTTGACAAAGTCAAACAGGCTGTCAGGACTCCGCTGATGGCGCATTTCCAGGTCGCCTTCCCTGCGGAAGATCAGCAGCGTGACTTTGGACCGACGGAAGTAGTCCGACGGCAGCGCGGCAATTTGGTTGTTTGTGTTCTGCCGGACCCAGCAAAAGTTTTCCACGTATTTGAGGCCCCACTCGTGTTCGGCCATCTCGCACATGTCCGGCAACAGCTCCTTTTCGCACCATGTAAACAGGAAGGCGCCCGGGACCAGTAGCTTGCCAACTGGAATGGCCTTCAGCTTGGAGACGTCAAAGTACCCAGGCTTCGAGGGCTCGTCGGGGAGCAGTAGCGGTGGATCCATGTAGACGCACTGGAATGTCTGGCTGAATTTCGAAAAGTCATAGTCCAGGGTGGTTGACGTGTGGATGAACCGGGACCACTTTGGCTCTGTTTTTGGGATAATGATGCCTGAGATAACATGCTTTGGCGTTGACTCCTCACTGTCATTGATCGTGCGCACATGCTTCACCCATGAGCGGGGGATCGGGTTGGGTGGAATCCGCACATATGTTGGCATGCTCGGATCAACAGCGTTGACCTTGCGACTGACAAAAAACGTGTGCCCGTGGCGGTCCTGGATCCGCACCTGCATGTATTTGTACCGCTGGATGATCTGGTCGCTCTTGCTCAGCTTGGAGCCGGGTGCTCTGTGCTCGCGTCTCTGGTACCGACGGCGCCTCGGCACAACGCCGAATTCGTTGTCAAGCTCGTCATCGTCAATGTTGAGCGCAACATAGTCTTCCTCTTCCTCCCACTCGGCCGGAACCCCGCCAGCCTCGGCCTCCCACAGCTCCAGGTCGTCCATTACTTCCAAATCGAAATCATCAAGCATGGCACCGCGCACAGTGAAGGCGCTGGTGCGCTTGAAAATCTCCTCGAGCTGCTCCGCAGTCATTCCCCCGTCCTCCTCAGAATCATGGCCCTCCTGGTTTGCTGCTATGCCTTGGTGTGCTGCTGTCTCTGTATGCGCTTCTGTAGTTTCTGTGGATTCGTCGGGTGTCTGTGCCGCACCAGCCTCAGTGGAGGGGCCGGGTGTGCCAGGTATGGAGCTGCTACCGGAAGCCTCAGCAACAGCCTTCTTCTTTGCCGAAAACTCTCGTTCAATTCGCTCGAGCTCCTCAAACTTTTTCATGATCGCGTCAACCGACTCATCGTCCTCGACATACCCAACATAGTATTCATTGCTACAGGAGACTGCAATTAGAATTGTTGAGTTGGGACGCAAGTGGCCATAGCAATTCAGCCCAGCGAAAGATAGCTTACCTGACCTTGGCCTTCGGGCGGCGCCTGCAACGCGTTTCAACCATTATCTCGATGTGTGTGGACTAGTAGACAAAGTGTAGCAGACAACTATCGCAGCTGATTTCGTGAAGCGGAGCAGAGGACAACGCCGAGTGCCTTGGTTGGGGCCGATTATGGGCCAACACTCGTATGCGATTGCTTGGCATGCTCTCAATAGCTACTAGTGCTTGTCTCTGGAAATAAAAGCCAGCACCGATCTCTATGTAACATACACAATAGTGGAGCATGCCTGCCGCTGCCTCTCTTGCAACATTTATTGGAATACAGCATTTTAATTAAGATATCGTAATACGGTTCCTTTGTAAGATATCATCTGTCGAGCACTCAGACGCTAATGGAGCTGACCAAGGAGCAGATAGCTTAATTAGAGCGAGCTATTCACCACGAGCAGTGCAGGCGGCACAACCCAGCGAGTCAAATAAGTACGCTGTGGTGCTAGAGCCAATCTGGACCAAACGATTCGGGCAACAGCTTCGACAGGCTTGACCGGACGAACGTACCGTCGGGCCGCACCAGCAGCATCTCAAGATCATTGCAGAACTCACGGAGGAACTGGCGGCACACCCCACAGGGCACAATCGGCGTGTCGACAACATCACTACAGTCATACCGAGACCATTAGTACCGTACGGAACTGGCTGTTGGACAGCATGCGCGTGCACGTGTGTACTTACGAGGAAATTGCAATTGTGTCAAACGCCCTGAACCCAGCAGCCTATACATTGGCTTGCAAACAAATTAATTGAGATCTGCAGCGTCATGCATAAACAAGCAAAAGAAGGTCGTTGGTCTCTCAAGACTTACCACTGCCGTTGACATGGCCACGCGCTCAGCACACACGGTCGGCGCTACAGACGCAAATGGGAGTTAGAGTAGTGCGCGGCCGGCACCAGGGAGCCTCGGAATGAATTTGAATGGTACTTACTGAACGCAGCGTTCTCGATGTTGCAGCCGGTGAAAACCTCACCTGAGGTAGTCCTTAGCGCAGCACCGACCCGGAACTTTGAATACGGGCTGTACGACCGCTCACGCGCTATACATATGGTTAGCTTAGCATGCGAATCGTTTGAACAAGTGCACTCCTTCACAACATATACTGCTCTATCTTACCCCTCAAGCATGCGTCAATGAGGGCAGCGGTCCTATCGTCCTGGGCGGTCTCAAATGGCATAGTGTACAGGTCGGGTTGTATTTGCAAAGAGAAAAATAGCTGTAGAAAATAGAAGAGCGGGGAAAGGGAAAGGGAAGCCTTTCTCAGAAGCAGTTGGAGCTCCCGAGGGTCTTTTATAGGCAGGGTGTAGACGGTGAGGTGATGCAAAGATGCGAATGCACGCTTGCTCCTGCGGCACGCGGGGGGTCTGGTATGATTTGCAGGTGCGACCAACCTATGTAGTCGTCCTTGGCTCGCACATCGGCAGCAAAAGATGGCCTGAGGAGTGAGGGGTTTAGAATGCACTGCAGAGCCAGCAGCGCCTAGACTCAGAACTCGCTGAGCTGGTTTGCAGCCGAGCCGAGCCGCAGTTTTTTTGTTGGTGATGCCGCAGCACGCCATGAACTGCGGCCCATAAATTCCACTGCTTATAACCTCCGCCGGCCTTGCCTCTCTCTCACCATTCAAGCGACTTCTAATCAGCATATTACTCTCTTACAACTTTTGATACAATGCCAGTAGTTCCGCCCGTAAAGCTGGCCCAGCTGCAGAAGAACGTGCAAAACATTCGGAATGTGTGCGTTCTAGCGCATGTGGATCATGGCAAAACGACGCTCAGCGATGCACTGCTGGCCACCAACGGCATCATATCCAACAAAATGGCAGGAAAAATCAGATACCTGGACAGCCGCGAGGATGAGCAGGAGCGCGGCATCACGATGGAGAGCAGTGGCATCAGCCTCTACTACAAGCTGCTGCGAAAGCCCTCGGAGGAGGCTGCTGAGGAGATGGAGTCGGAGGAATATCTGATCAACTTGATTGACTCGCCGGGGCATGTCGATTTCGCGTCCGAGGTTGCATCAGCAGCACGGCTCTCGGACGGTGCGCTGGTGCTGGTTGATGTGGTGGAAGGTGTGTGCACACAGACTGTCAGCGTCCTGCGGCAGGCATGGGTAGAGAACGTGCATCCAGTCCTGTTCCTGAACAAGATCGACCGGCTGATCGTCGAGTGGCAGATGACCCCAGCCGAGGCATACGTGCACATGCAGCAGCTGATTGAGCAGGTCAATGCTGTGCTGGCTGGTTTCTGGGAAGGTGACCGGCTGGCCGAGGACTCGCGCAAGCTGGAGGAGGCCAAGGAGAAGTGGCGCGAGACGCACGGCGACGACGCGCCTATGATCGATTGGTATCTGGAAGAAAAGGACGACTCACACATCTACTTTTCGCCCGAGCAAGGCAACGTGCTGTTCGGCTCGGCCATCGACGGATGGGCGTTCCGCGTCAACCATTTTGCCCAGATCTTCGCCACCAAGCTCGGTATTCCGTCGGCAGCCAAACTCCAGCCGCTCATGTGGGGCGATTTCTTCATTGACCCAAAGAACCGGCGACGCGTGCTCACGCACAAGCAGTTCTCGAAGCTATACGGCCCAGGAAAGGCAGCAGCAGCTACGCCGCTGTTTGTGCAGCTATGTCTGACGCCAATTTGGCAGGTCTACGAGAGTGCTGTGATGGAGCCGAACCAGGAGAAGATCGACAAGGTCATTGGCGCACTGGACGTCAAGGTGCTCCCGCGCGACCGCCGCAGCAAGGACCGCCGCGTGCTTCTGACAGCCATTATGCAGGGCTGGCTGCCGCTGGCCCAGGCCTGCATGGTGGCCATTGTCGAGCAGCTGCCGTCCCCGGCCAGTGCCCAGCCCGTCCGTCTGCCGCCACTGCTGCACGGTGAGGCCAAGTCCGCGAGGTCCTCGTCAAGCAGCGAGCAGGAGGCGAAGCCCAAGAACCCTGTGGAGCGCGCCTTGTATGAGTGTGCAGCAGGATCCAAGGATGAGCCACTGCCACTCGTTGCCTACATTGGGAAGATTGTCTCAGTGCCACGCATGACGTTGCCAGAGTTCAATGTCGGCACATCGCAGCGCGATCGCATGACGATGTCGGCCGATGAGATGCGTGCTAGGGGCAGAGATGCAATTCGCCGCGAGCTCGCCTTGAACCGTGCGTCCACTGGTACGCCGCTGTCTGCGCTGTCGGGTGCAATGACTCCAGCCAGTGGTGCTGAGACACCGATTGTCGATAGTCAGCCGCAGGCAGTGTCGATTGATTCGCTCACCGAGGCGGTGAAGGACAGGCTTGAAATCTCCAGCGATGCTGCTGCAAACGAAGACAACGACGACGACGACGACGACGACGACGAGGAGAACGCTGACCCGGATGCTAAGGAAGAGGAAGTGCTGGTCGGGTTTGGTCGCATCTACAGCGGCACCCTGCGCGTCGGCGACACTGTCTGGGCGATGCAGCCCAAATACGATGCCAAAAAGGCTAATGCCCAGAACCACGTCAAGCAAATCACTGTGCGTGCCCTGTACATGATGATGGGCCGCGAATTCGTTTCCCTTCCCGAGGTGCCTGCTGGCAACGTCTTTGGTATCCGCGGTCTTGCTGGGGCCATCCTGAAGAGCGGCACCCTGGCCAGCGACCCCAAACTATGTCCGAACCTGGCTGCCATGCACACCGAGACCCATCCCATTGTGCGTGTCGCCCTTGAGCCGGTCAACCCCCAGGACATGGGCAAGCTGGCACACGGCCTAGAGCTGCTCAACCTGGCCGACCCTTGTGTCCAGGTCATTCTGCAGGCCACCGGCGAGCGCGTTCTGGTGACGGCAGGTGAACTGCATCTGGAGCGATGCTTGAAGGACTTGCGTGAGCGGTTTGCACAGTGCGAGATCCACGTATCTGAGCCAATTGTCCCGTTCAAGGAAGGTATTGTTAGACAGCCGGCCCAGCCCGGTGTCGTGCTGGGGGAAATGGGTGCCAGCGGTCAGTCGCTCGCCATTATCTCAAACACCTCGAATACCACCGACGACGATGACGAATATGGCAAGCCTGCTGAGGGTGTGCCGCGCGGACAGGTGTCGCTGACCACCTCTAATGGTCTGATCACCATCAAGCTGCAGGTCGAACCTCTGCCGCCCAAGGTTGTCCGGTTCCTTATGCGCCACGAGTCCGACATCCAGCGTGTTGTCAGCCTCTCCTCGTCTTCCCAGCGCAACAAGCGCCTGACTGCCGCCGCCGATGTGCTAGCCCAGGAGCTCGAGGAGGCAGAAGCTGCGCTGGCTGCTGGAGCAGAAAACGCCAGCGATGACGAGGGTGGTGAGACCCCTCTGCCCAAACCGTCCAGGGCCTCGGAGCTCGGTCCGTGGCTGCAAGCCCGTCTGCGCTCGTGCTTCCAGAAGAGCAAGGGCTGGGAACCGCAGCGGGTGGACCATATCACTAGCAGCGGGATCCGATCGTTTGGGTCCAAGAAAACCGGCCCTAACATGCTGATCTACGATAGGTCCGTTCTGGATCAGTCGAGCCAGGCTGCTGCCAGCTGGTTCAACCCGCAGATCAAGCGCGCAACCGCAAACTCGTCCATGACCGGTACGCCTATGCTCTCGGGTGGCGAAGACAGCAGTGACGATGATGACGACGAGGAAGGTGCATCGCGAGAGGGTGCACCGCAGCAGTCAACTTACACCATCCGCGACTTTGAAGAGTCGATTAACACCGGATTCCAGCTCGCTACCCGCTCTGGCCCCCTGTGCTTTGAGCCCATGGTTGGTGCCGCCGTCACCATCAAGGAGTTCTCCACAAACACTGATATCGACGCCAAGTCCTCCAGCAGCAGCAGCAGCCTCTCGGGCCAAATCATCTCGTTGGTCAAGGATGCTATCAAATCTGGCTTCCTCAGCTGGTCGCCGCGTCTCAACCTTGCTATGTATACCTGCGATATCCAGGCAACCTCCGAGGTCCTCGGGAAAGTGTACGGCGTCATTGCGCGCCGCCGTGGCCGCATCCTGTCCGAGGAGATGCGGGAGGGCACGCCCTACTTCACAATCAAGGCAGCCATCCCCATCGTCGAATCGTTTGGGTTCGCCGATGAGATCCGCAAGCGTACATCGGGCGCGGCCATCCCGCTTCTAATCTTCCGTGGGTTCGAGCCCTTGGACATTGATCCGTTCTGGGTGCCAACCACAGAAGAGGAGCTGGAGGACCTGGGCGAGAAGGCCGAGAGAGAGAACTTGGCCAAAAAGTACATGGACAAGGTGCGCAAGCGCAAGGGTCTGTTTGTTGAGCGCAAGATCATTGAGCATGCTGAGAAGCAGCGTACGCTCAAGAAGTAAGAATCTCGGATATCGGTTACAATACACTGTAGAGTTCACATGGATGGTTTTGAATGCTTCCATATATGAATACATGTCATTCGATCTGCACCCAGCATCTGAAAGTTCGACTGTGCACTGTCTCGATGGAACGCCGATTGGGGCATGCCCATAGCTAGAGATTTCTCGTGAAGGCATCGACGTTGAACGCGAATTCAAAAAACGAGCACCCAGCTGTTAGTGCAGCGGCCCGTTATGCAGAGAGCGAACGACATCGGACGGTCAAGACATGCATTTTGCTTCATGCGCAATCGGCATTGGTCTCCGCCAAAAACGGCCAAACAGTCCTGCAGCTCCGCACACTCGACGATCTCGCGGCCGTTGCTTCGCAAATGAGCCGTCGCTTGCGGAAGGTGTCAAGCGCGCTAGGCCCGTCTCAGCGTTGCGACCAGATTTCACATGCGCCGCGCAGCTGAGGAGCTGCCAAATCAATAGCGCTTCTATCTCCTGTCAAACCTGGAGGATGTGCACATTGGACTTCTGTGCTACCTTCCGCTAATACCACAGGATTGCTGGCGAGCGGGTGCTCACAGAATGGGGGAATCCGCTTGCGTGCTCATTGGGGAGCTGTGCACAGCAATGCTCTCGCCACAAAGAGGATGACGTGCACTTGAAAAAGGTAGTCGTTGGATGGCGATGCCTTATGCAAATCGCAGCCATTTCGGCCACTATCGTACATGTCACCTTCTCCTGTCTGAGCCCTCACTTTCATCAGCGACCAAGGCGAGCCTGGGCCATTAGTGGGCTGTCCGAACCCTGGAAGGGACGGGGACAGATTCACTGGATATAAATGTACCACCACGGAACCAGCGTCTCTGAGAAAGTTCATCCTCACACCGCTATCTTCACTTCTACCAGGATGTTCAAGACCGCACTACTTTTATCGGCGCTTGCTATCAGCTCCAACGCCCTTCCGGCGCCAGCATCATCCCTGCAAGCACGCTCCATTGGCTCGAAAATCGCCGGCATTGTCAACGTGCTTGGCAACTTCACCATCGACAACCCGCCTCCCTTTGCCGCTGACTACGTATCCAACAACTCGCAAACCGGCACCATGTCTGATTACGATCTCTCTCGCTACGCAACCTATGCTGGAGCTGCCTACAAAGTCAACAGCACATCGTGGACATGCCATCTGAACTGCGAGCAGGCATGCACAGAGGGCACAGTCGTTGACCTGCACTGGAGTGTTCGCACGCCTGCGAGCACCGGCTTTATTGCGCATAATCCAAACTCCAAGGAGATTTTTGTTGTCTATCGCGGCAGCTACACCCTGGAAGACTGGCTTGAGGACTTTACGTTCATCCAGGTCCCCTCCCCAATCCCTGTGCCGGGCTCGCTCATGCACACTGGATTCCTCACCGCCTACCGGGCTAATCACCGCCAGGTCAAAGATACCTTGGAGAAACTTCTGGCAACGTATCCAGACTACACACTCATCGTTTCCGGCCACTCTCTTGGTGGCGGGGAGGCAGCCGTGGCAGCTACAGACTTTGCAATCACCAAGCCAGCATGGATCCCGCGCATGAAGCTGATTACGTTCGGTCAGCCGCGTGTCGGCAACATTGTCCATGCAAAGTGGCTGTCGCAGCAAAAGTTCCCTATTTTCCGTGTCGTCAACCGAGGAGACCCGGTACCACATGTGCCCACCATCGCCATGAACTATTACCATGAGGCACAGCAGGTCTGGTATGATCTGAGCGGCAAGGTGAACTTTTGCGGAAGGGATGGAGATAGTAGCACATGCTCCGATAGTGTGCCGCTGAGCAAGTGGTCCTGGAACCAGCATAACGAGTATCCAGGACTTTACTTTGAGCCACTGCACTAGCTGTCATATTTTTGATACCACTTTTTACTGCTTGCCTAGCCTTTATTACATATACACTGCCCTTGCACACCACATTGAGCTATGACTATATTTGCAGCCGACCCACGTTCAATAGTGTGCTAGGCTGATGGTGAAGGTCATATGGTTTACGGCCCGATTTCAATGCGCCAGAGGGGTGACCGCACATTGACAGCCACACCCATGATCATACACGCAGCTGACACGACTATTGCCGTGCAAACGAAGCTGCATGTACCGCTACTGCAAATAGGTTTGTGGTCCGTTGCCGATCAGGGATGCACCACTTAGCCGCAGCCATGTCACAATGGCAAAGTTGTCCACCGGCCATTTATTTTCGTCGGCGTCCCTATACAATTGTCGATGCACAAGAAAAGTACACCTTGCTCGTTGGGTGCCACATCGGCTAGCTTATTCTTGTCGGGAGGCTGTATTTTCGAAATTCTGGGCCACAGGTCTTGTGCAGTACGGCACCTTTCTGTGACCTGGACAATAGTATATCCCTCAGCACTTTGTTGCCTCAATAAAACAAAGCGTTTGCGGGTTTCAGTTTTCTCGTCTGCAGTGGTACACATTGGCTTAGAAGCACGCATCTTTGAAAAAAGGCTGTGGATTGGAGGATTCCTCAGACGAATATAAAAGCGGATAGCATTCCATGGAGGCTCGAGCGCGCTTTTCTGCATATAACATTACTTTTCACCTTATAACTCGGCTCACCCCTTTCCTTTTGACACAGAAATGATTGTAGGTCGGCACCCTGAGTATACACGAAATTCTTAGCACAATTGGTGTTTCAGCTATTAATACAAAAGCCATGCTTGTAGCAACCCCGAACTGCATATATACTCGGACTAGTGATTATGCCTATGGTTGCACCAAGTCTTGCATTACCCACTCCACATTCACACACATACACAGCCATTGCCAAGCGCTCCAACATTATCGATTCTCTCATTTCGATATTGGTGATTGTTCTTGGTTTTGGAGGCAAATTGGTCAGCAGCGGCGTCGATATCAACACCAGACCACAAGTGACGATGCCGGATACGGGCAAAGGTAGACCAATCCGGAACAACCTTGATATCGAAGCTACAATAGTACATTACGCAGGGTAAGCATGTCTATTTGTCACATCGAATTGAGGGACAGATAGTAGACCAGGAGCACAGTATATTCGGAACAGGCTCTTGTATGAGCAAGATTGAATGTCATTTGGTCGCTTAACCACTTGCCAGCCGCCTTTTATAGGTATGCTGAAGGGCCTTACGAGTTGACCGGAAAGTCATGGAGCTGCCAGACATGCCAGAAGCCAGAATTCCAAGGAACTATCGTCGATGTCTACTGGGAGAACGCCATTAACGGCAGCACCGGGTATATCGCTCACAATCCAAAAGAGAAGCTTATCGTCATCTCGTTCCGTGGTTCTAAGGAGCTGAGCGATTGGAGAGATTCACTCAATATTGACCTGGTTCCATGGCCTGCAAGCATCCCTGGGTCTCAGGTAATGGCAGGTGTTCATGAAGGATACGCGTCACTCGAACCTCGGATCATTCCTTATGTTGCTAGCCTCGCGGAGCGGTATCCTGACTATGCAATACTCGCTACTGGGCATTCATTAGGTGGGTCCCGTGCATCATTGTGCGCACTGGATCTCAGCATCCAGCATCCACAACTAGTGAGCAGACTACGCTTATACACGTATGGAATTCCAAAGCTAGGCAACTCTGAGTTTGCTAATGCAATCAACAGGCTTGAGATTCCAGCCTATCGTGCCGTGAACCGAGGTGACATTGCGGCACATTTACCTCCAGACAACCCAGAATACGTACACTTTGGCACAGAAGTGTGGTTTCAGGATGGGAACGTCACACTATGTTATCTGGACCGCCGTGGCCAGTGTTCAGACACATTATCAATATTTGAATTGAGTATATATGATCATTCGAGCTACCCAGGGATGTAGTTTATTTCATGTACAAATGATATAGTTTAGTAGCATTGAGTAGCACTTCCGTTCACACACTATCTCTGGCGTAGACAGTGCAGAGTGCAAAAGCTGTAGCATTGGTACTAGTTACTGAAAGACAGGAAATTCTCAGTCAAGGCATCTACATGTACATATTCCTGTTTGACGCAATAGCCACATCCTGGCCAGCATCGGTTTCAATGGGTAGCACAGTGGTGTTCCTCAATAAGTTCAAACGCTCATTTCGAGGTGGCCCGCTCTCAAGGATAACAAGTTTTCTAGTACTGTCTTGGGAGCCCATGCAGATTGTGTGCGATATCTTTACCTATATATAAGATTTTATAGTCCAAAAAGTGTCCGACCATCTGCTAGAAATTATTTAATTTGTAAAAAAATATAACTCTTAAGCTTCAACACGGGCTTGAGTGACTTGCTCTGTAAACTCCCTTTGATCTTGTGCGGCATCTGACCTCATCGGTGAAACCAGGGTGACAAGTTGTTATTGTAGTGGTCACAGGTTTCCACTAGATATCTCCATTGGTTCGGCGCAAGAGCTGCTCTCATTGTCGGTCGGCCTGATAACTTCCATGGCGTCATCATGGTGGTCATCACCGGCTGCGCAACACTCTTAGGATGTTTATTTATGAGCATCTATTGAATAAGGCCATATAGCTCTTCTAGCGGTCATGCAATATTTATACACCTGCACAGAAGCTCTGCCAGGCAGTTGCCTCTAGGCACCCTGATCTCAGTGTGCTCACCCCACCGATGCTTGCAATCTACAACAAGCTGGCACCAGTCCTTAATGCCTATGATGCCAAGTACAGATTCGCCAAAGACAGCCGGTACTATGATGCCAAGGTAAATCCACTTCAGCATCTGCGTGCATATATTCGCCTATGCCAGCTTATTGAGAATGAGCAGCTTGGCAAGTCTCCTCCCCAATGCTTGCCTCTGCGGACATCCTGGATCCCAGGCCATGTGCGCTTAGACAAGCAAATAATCAAGCAGGTGTTTATTTCGAAAACACGCGAGCAGGTTACCAAGATCAGCGAGGCAAAGAGGGCAGCAACAGAGGCAAGGAAAGCAGCAGAAAAGGGCGAAAAATTGGCCAAGAAGGCTGCACGCGAAGCAGCGAAGATGCCATCGGATGCAACAGAGGCCACTGCAGCAACTGCAGCAGTAGCGGCTGATTCACTTGCTGCTGCATCGGCAGCAGCAGCAGACACTGTTGCAGCACTTAACAATGCATATGCACCAGCACCCTCAGTCTGTGCACAGGAACCGGTCCAAGGGATCACACAATCTGTGTGGGATGTGTGGGGCCGGGTCGCAGATCTAACATCAAAGCCATTTAAGGCGCATGGTGATAGAAAATTCCACGGAATGGCAACAACAGATGGTGTAACGATATCCATTTTGCTACAAGACAAGATATTCAAGGCTGATGGTGCAGTAGATGCTGATGGTGCAGGAGGCGATGCTGCGGGAGGCGATGCTGCGGGAGGCAATTCTGTGGGAGGCGATGCTGTGGGAGGCGATGCTACAGGCGATGTTGCAGGAGGTGGTGCTGTGGGAGGCAATACTATAGCTGACTGTCACTATATCCACCAAATCCCACAGCCAGAGCTGCAGAATCTGAAAGGCCGCTGTGTATTCATCAATCCAGGTAGGGGTGATTTATTATACTTGATGCACGAAAATAGCAGCAATGGGAAAGAGTGTGAAAAAATGCTCTACCGCTACACACGGCAACAGCGCAATAAGAAGCTCAAGCTGCGCCACTATGACAGGATTCGTTGGGATACAAAGGATCAAGTCCCAGAAGATGCTGTCCGCAGAGCAGAGGCAGAGCTTTCCAAGCACTGCTGCCGGACCCTTAGCCCAGCAAAATTCCGTGCCTACGTTGCTGCCCGTGCATCTGTGCGGTGTGTCCTAGCACCGTTTTATGCCAGCACGATGACAGCGCGAAGGTTACCAGAGCAGCAGCCCACTGAGTCAGACAAGCAGCACCAGAGGCGCTGGAAGGCCCATCCAGGTGCCAGTACCAGTCCCAAGGTGTACCCGCTTCACCGCAAGCTGCGCCTTGATTCATTCATGAACCAGGCCCGTGCAGACCACAGGCTTGCCGCAAAACTCCGGAGCAAGTTCGGTCCAGATCCAGTGCTGATCATGGGCAATTGGAGTGCGCCGATGGCCCGACACCATGCGCCGATTCGTGGCAAGGGATGGCGCGACAAGTTCAAGCACCATAGCTTTGAAGTCTATCTGATCGACGAATTCCGGACATCGTTGATGTGCCCGTTCTGCTGCGAAAAGTCGCTGCAGACATTCCGGCATGTTCCCAACCCGCGGCCCTACCAGAGATCGAAGAACCCAACTGTGAAGTGCCATGGCCTTCTCCGCTGTACAAGCGAGTCATGTAAGCAGGCCATGGCACAATACAGGCGAGCCTATTCGTCTCGGCTCTTGAACCGCGATCTCGCAGCAGCTCTAAACTTCAGGCTCATTTTCCAGTCACTCTGTGATTCAGGCAGTATTCCTGAACGGTTCCGTCGCTTTACGGTCATTGTTGCCGATGCTTCTGGCACCACCCCTGAAACAAAGAACCCGCACAAGAGGCGTGCAGCAGCAGGCGGTTCTGCTGCCAGCAGCAGCGAGCCAGCGCTGAAGCGCCTGCACTGAGCAGGCCATCAAGATGGGAGATGTCCATGGTCGACATTGCACCAACAACCATCTGACACCTTCCAATGATCGGTTCGCCGTGATGCCCTTATCGACACGTCAACCCATGCTGACTAGCAGCCGAGCTCGCATCGCGAGCAGAGCAATTCTAGTAATAGTACTTTTTTCGCTGGGTGAGCAGCATTGTATCCTAAAGCCCTTTGTTGCCATGATAAAAATAGTCAAATAATGTAAGGCTGCCTGGTCTGCAACTGTAAACATTGGTTTGGAGGCGTGCATCTTTGGTAGGCAGACTGCTCGTTTGAAGGTTCCTTTCCAATGAATAAATAAGCAGACGGTGTGGTCCTGATTGCTCCTCCACACTGTTTTGCAAGCTCTTTCACCTTACCACCACGTCAATCCTCTGCCTGCTGATAAACATACTAATGGTAAGCTAACAGATAGGGCCAGTTGCTGTTTTGTGTGCAGTAGTGATGTAAGAGCTACATATTGAATCCACTTCCTCTTGTAGCATACTCTAACCACGCTGTTGTTTGGGCTTTTCTTCCATGCACTGATGGCATTGTGTCTGGCACGACCTGGGTCCCACCCTCATATTGATGTGTCAATAGCAAAGCGCGATAACCCACTTACTTCTCTTTTATCGGTGCTGTCAGGTGCGCTTGGGGTTGGAGGCAACAATTCGGAATTGGACTCGGAAACGCCTAATCCTCAAGGAAGCGGTAGGCCCCGGGCGAACGCAGCATTGGAAAGAACACTGACGCACTATGCTGGGTATGTGTATTTTACAACGATTGGTATCTGAAGATTGTGGCGAGCAGAGTCTTGGAATATATGTTCTTGCATTGCATGTCTCTGCCAAACAACAACAGTATAGCTCTGACTCCCTGTCCACTGTTTATAAACTATATGTAGATACGCTGAAGCGACCTATGAACTGACCGGAAAGCCATGGAGCTGCCAGACATGCCAGAAGCCAGAATTCCAAGGAACTATCGTCGATGTCTACTGGGAGAACGCCATTAACGGCAGCACCGGGTATATCGCTCACAATCCAAAAGAGAAGCTTATCGTCATCTCGTTCCGTGGTTCTAAGGAGCTGAGCGATTGGAGAGATTCACTCAATATTGACCTGGTTCCATGGCCTGCAAGCATCCCTGGGTCTCAGGTAATGGCAGGTGTTCATGAAGGGTACGCGTCACTCGAACCTCGGATCATTCCCTATGTTGCTAGCCTCGCGGAGCGGTATCCTGACTATGCAATACTCGCTACTGGGCATTCATTAGGCGGGGCCCGCGCATCATTGTGCGCACTGGATCTCAGCATCCAGCATCCACAACTAGTGAGCAGACTACGCTTATACACGTATGGAATTCCAAAGCTAGGCAACTCTGAGTTTGCTAATGCAATCAGCAGGCTTGGGATTCCCGCTTATCGTGCCGTGAACCGAGGTGATTTGGCTCCACACCTTCCAATCGGTTTGTCAGATTATGTGCACTTTGGCACAGAGGCTTGGATTAGAGACAGTGGCGTTACGGTTTGTAATGGGCCTACGAGTGGCCAGTGTTCAGACACCCTGCCGCCACTCAGCCTCAACCTGGTCGACCACTCTAGTTACCCTGGCATGGTGTAACAGCATAGAAAGGTGCTTTTACCTACGGTATATTTCCGCTCTGTTGTGCGCCCAGCGGTAACGATACCCGAAACAACACCATAGACACACACGGCGATATCAACGTGAACGCTGACAAGGAACTCTCTGGCGGCCACCTCACGCAGAACCACTTGGGTACGCCGCAGTTTTGAGGAGCAGCACCAACAGTGCCCAGCAGCTTTTTCCCTTGATTTTACATTTTTATTCCATCACCTTTACTTTTTCTACACAGGCTCACTTTCCAAGGCTCCAGATACAGAGTAATATTGACAGATACATGGGGGAGACAAAGTGAAAGAGAACGATGGAAGGGGGAAGGGTGAGCAAAGCTAGGCACGAACTAAAGGAGGAATGACTATGGCGCTATGTTGACATGTTGGAGTTAGTAGCCAAAGCCGTTGGCTTGACTGTCGAGCTGCTGAAGCGGAGAGCCGCCAGCGGAGGACTGCGTGTTCGAAAGTTGAACAGGCGCTGCATAGCCGATATGGCCAGGGAATGAGAATGCTGGTGTGCCGTGGCCCACGTAGAACGCTGTGTGATGCATGGTTTCGCTGCCTATGGCCGGTGCGCTATGGTGGCCTGCAGAGAAGTCGCTACGGGAGCCAAAGCTGAATTCGTGAGCCCCAAAATGGGTTGAGAGGTCCGACGACGAGCCAGCTGATGTGTGCATCGCAATATGCGCCAAACCAGTAGGCATCATCTGTTGGGCTGGGAGGTGGTGTGGGTGCTGGGCCGGCGCCTGAGCCGGCATGGAGAGACCATAGTCCACTGGGACGCTACGAGAATACGGAGCTGGTCGCTCCCCGGTTACCGACCGCATAGTGCGGCCGCCGGCAGCTCTACCAGAGACAGCCCTTGATTTCCGACTGACAGACTTAGAGTCCTCCGAGCGCACCCGATTCCTATGGGGCAGTGGCGGCGGCAGCGACTGGTGGTGGCCGTAGTTGCTGGCGATCTGCGACTGCTGCTGCGACTCACGCTCAGCCAGACGCATCCGCTTGGCCTTCAGCTCTGCTGACTTGCGGACGATGCGCTCAAGCAGGTCCGGGCGGCCAGGCTTGAAAAACTCGTGCTCAAATATCACCGTCCGCTTTTCGTTGATGTGACGGAGGCGGCGCTGGTCAGTGATTCGCTTGAACTTGTAGTCGTTGAAGTTCTTCTGCAGTGAATCGACCTGCGATGCAGCCATACCCCGGCTCTGCAGCTCTGTGAGTAGCGCCCTGAAGTCAGTAATAACAACCCGGTCTTTATCGTCCCAGCGGATGAAGTGGCCGTACAGCACAGACTCAATTATTCTACAATAGATATGGTGCAGGATGAAACCAAGGGAGGTTGACAATACGTGCTGGTTAGTAAAATTTATGGACAAGCAAAAAGGGACAGGTGCAAATCAGGCATGCATGTGCAGTTCCTGCCAAGCAGTAGCAGATATGCCCTTGTCGATGTGCGTGTGGCCGGTTGGTGGGATAGGAGAGGCCACATAAAGCATGGTACATACGCAATGGGATGTTGGTCGGCTGCTGCTTGGCACCTTGAAGCTAGTGCAGCTAGTGGAAAACGTCTTGATAGAGTAGGGTGTGGGCAGAGTCGATGGCTGCATATCTGCCTGTTTCTTCAGGCAGGGCCATGGCAAGCATATATAACAATCAATAACTAGACAACGCTTTTTTCTGAGCCTGAAATGTGCACAATGACGACACAGCCGTCTGGACAAAAGGGCACTCGACAAGAGTGCCCGCACGACAAGAGAGGCTCTCTGCAACAATGGGCAGCACACAAGAGAAGGCATTGGTCAAGGATATGAAGGGGAAGATACATGTCGGAGGCGACACTGTCGACAAAGCGATAGAGGCATACAGATAGTCAGGGAGTGAATGCAGCTCCACAATCGCACCACAAGGCGGGCAGTGGGGTCGACATTGGGGCAAGAAAAATACCGCGCAGTCATACGGGGTAGGATCTCAACGCTATGAGGAGCAGGTTAGCCCAGAGGCAGAAGAGCACACAGGCAGACAAGCAATTTCCAAAGCCAGCCGAGGAATACGCAGATGCATGTGTACAGTCCATGGTAAACTGATAGACGGGCAAAAATAGAAGCAAACCATTGGCGGGAAAAGACTGTGCGCAAGAGACCGCTATGTCTCCTGGACAAATCGATTCAGCGCCTGCGCAAGTGATACATGGGGCAGTATGAAAGGCACAAGTATGACATGGGCACTGCGCAGTGCCTCTTTACAATATGCAAGGAAAGGCAAAGGGCCATACCTGTGAAGGAGTACCGGGAAGGACGCGTTCTCTGTCCTCACTCCATGAATGGTTTGACGCGCTGCTGCTGCCGCTGCCGCTGCTGCTGGGTCAGTGGCAGCGGTAGGAAACGCCTGAGTCGCTATTCCCAGACGCTCCTTCTGCTTTCCGCTACGGGCAGTGGTATTCCGGTAGTTATCGCTACTCCTACCTATTTGCTGGAGCGCTAGTTCGCTGGAGCTTGCATACATCTCCTGCTGCTGAATCTGATGCTGCTGCCTCTGAATGTAGGTGCTGTTGTACTGCGGCGGTGTTGGCTGCTGCGGGTACCAATATGCGTGCTGCTGGTAGTCCTTGCTGATAGAGCTGAGGGAGGCATCAGCAGTGGCAAAAGAGAACGGGGCGTTAGAGGCCGGTGCAGAGAGCACTGGCATAGACATCACCGGCCCAATGGACGGGATGGCGTGCATGCTCTGAAGAGCCGCAGCACCTGCAGCGGGTGCAAGACTGATCGGAGACACGCTGTTTTGCTTGACCAACACGCTGTTGATAGAACGGGGCGATGCGTTGCCACTGGCTAGTATGCCCATCTGCGACATGCCCGCCGAGTTTGCAATGGGGAACATCTCGGGCGTAAACAGCAGCGCGTTGTCGCTGCCGCTGACATGCATGGACATGGCCATCGGGGTCGCGATGGCCGCAGTGGTGACTAGCGGGGTGTGGAGCTGTGTCGCATATGTCAGGGTCGGCGTGCCCTGCGAGTTTAAGGGCGAGCAGAGCGAGTTATCGAGTGCAACGCTCGTTGCCATGTCTAGCACGCTAGGCTGTCTGACGAAGGGAGCGGATGTGGCCCAGGTGGACGCAGCACCAATGGTATGCTCAGTGCTGGAGACGCTGGCTACGGAATCGCTCTGGGCGTTGCCAGGCAAGGGCTCGCAGTTGGGCGGCACTATGTCGTGGGCCTTGAGCATGTTGTCGATGGGGTTGGGCTTGCTTCCGGGTTTCTGCGGAGTCTCTATTGGGCAGAAGCAGGAAATTCGGGGGGAGGGGGATTAGGACCAAGTGTGAAGGGGAGAAAGCGGCAATGCAGCAGATGCATTGCAGTAGCAGCAGGAAAATCTGCGGTTCGCAAAAGCCGCAGCGAAAAACACAGGGCAAAGGGGAGCTAAGAGCTTTTCGGTGGGTGGCGGGCAGAGGCAGCCTGTGTGCAGGAAATCCCAAGAGCAGAAAATTTTTCTGCCGTAAGATTGAGTGGGCATGGGAGGGGGCTGAGGGTATGTGCTCAGCTTGCGAGCAGCCGAGACTAGCAGCTGCAACCCACCGGGAAGTGGCCGCAGTCACCCACTGAGCCTGACTGCTCCTATTCAGCATGTAGCATTTGCCAGGACTCAAGCACTGCCCCCAAAGGAAGGCCAACACCATAGCAGGATTAACTGTATCGTACTTACCCTCGCGAGGATCCCAAGGTGGGTTCTCTTCTGGCTTGGCGAAACCCATTGTGCCTGGAGATGTCGTTTTCAGAGCGGAAACCACTATGACGGTGAACCGGGACGTTCTGCCTGAGTGCCGAACGAAGGATTATTGTAAAGAACGAGCGTGCGGTCTGAACGAGAGCAAAGAGGAAAACGAGATAAAACAAAGGCAAGCGAGGTATCGGTTGAGACAAAAATGCGCTATCGAAGGACGCAAATCCTCGGATATGAGTGCTTCACGACGTGGATATAGGCTAGTGCCAAGGAAAAATAATCGAGAATAAAGCTGGTACCAAGACAGCACGCTTCGCGTGTAGGCGTGTCGGAAAAAGTGATGGAGCAGGCAGCGCTTGAAAAAGGGCCTCAGCTGGGTTGAGGGCTGTATCTACAGGACCGCTCGGCGGACAGGTGTTAGTGCATCGTGCCACTTTTATTTCCTCATGAATTAGGAAACCAGAGCAGACAACAGGCATATAAGAACACACCCCAGGTTGTGCGCTAATTAAAAAAGGCGCCTAGGATACACTTGGGAGCTACTAGCGGATGAAGGGTGCTCGAATAAGAAATCGACATACCTTTATTACGGTTGTACTGTTGCACAAAGGGCCGGGGAAGGTCAGCCGTCGGCAATGGATGTGTGTTGAACAAGAAAAGGATGAATAAACAGCTACCAAGAATCGGTGTAGAAAGTTATACACAGGATATAGCACTAATGGCGTCTTTCCTGAACGAGGAAACAAAATAGAAGAAGAACTAGGCGGTGGCTAGGGAGAAGGTAAAGCGAACTCGGGAAGACAAGACAGGGAAAAGATGCAAACTTTAATAGGCGTTGCAAACAGAGCTCAGCCTGAGTGAATCGGGGGAGGTTCAGAACATACCGCTGCACCCCAGCCGAACCCGCCCTTTGCTGGAATAAAAAATCCCTAGGTTTGCCACCCGTGGCCGCAAAAAAAGGAACATCAGCACACCTCTTTGCATATAGCAATGCAAGCGCTGCGACGTTCGCCATTTTGACGTGCAATATTTTTCGTCCGCCCTTTCCCTGCAGCTCTACCAAGCGATGAAAACAGCGCCCACCAAACAAAGGCCGGCTTTTTGGGGGTAGGTAAGTGCCCATCACAACCTACCCTCCCCTGCCTCCCCTCCAGCCTGTGTTGCCCACCCCCCAGCCAGCGCCCACAGCTGCACACGGTCTTTTTGTATCTGCTCTTTGCAGCCTTATTCACACATTCCGTTGGAAAGACGGCACATTTGCCATATATCCCCAGTAGCATACGTGTTCCATGTTTTGCTTCCCGCACTGCCGCCCCGTGCTCTCTTTGACTAATGAGTTCGTGGGTTGCACCTGTGCAGCAGTGCTACACATCGGACTTGGGCTACCGCATCGTCTGTAGCTCCAGTGTGTTTGCTAAACATGAATAGCTGAAGACGAACAGGTGTATTATATAAAATCATAGGGAGCTGGGGGGTGGGCGCATCTACAGAATAATGAGTATACAATCATCCCTGTTTTGCAATGGTGGCGCACATGATTTCATCTTCTGCCATTGCCAGCAAAGTGGTGCTCGGTCGATGCTGTCCGGAAACGGCCAGGCCTCTGCGATAAATGGCATAATGCGTATGCCTTATCCGCCCAGCGGGAGTGACCTGCTCGATGGCCTGCACCACATGCATACTCCAGTGACAGCCCCTGCAATGTACTGTGCAATCATTTGCTGCTGCCACGAGTAACTGGGCTATGAGCTAGCAGCCTCTGCTGCCACTTTCCTCTCTCATTGTTACCGTATGCCAAGCCAGCCTTGGGCACAGACGGTCCTCCCCACCTCATATGAGCAGCCAATTGGGCACGCGGCTTTATTGTTTACCTTTATCCTCCTGTGGCATTTGGGGAGGGTGCGGTGACTGTATCTAATTTATCACGTCGCGTTGACATACAAATTCAACCATGGTCTAGAGATAATTGGGCTGGGTCTGCGGCTCCCTAAATGCCACCCTCCCCTTTGTTGCTCGCCGGTCTTAAGCTAGCAATTAAACCGACCGCAACAAACATGCTAGGCACATGCCAATGTTTTATGAAGCAGCTCTCCCCCTTCCCCCTATCAATAAAGAAATGCCCCCACCCACCCGCGGCTGTGCGTTTAGCAAAGGAGAGGGTTCTTAATATGTGTGGCGTGAATGTGGTCTGCGCTTCCAGTGCCGGTTTCGTTGTTTTGCTGTTCCAGCTGCAGCTGACGAGGCAGTTGTTCAATTCCCCTGCCACTCGTTTCTTGATGCAAATTGTGTAGAGGGGCAAGGAATAGTGCACCGCCAACACAGCCCCCTCCTCCCTCGCACCCTCTGCCCTATTGCAGAATGGCTCAGGACCGTGGCGTGGTCTGTGAGTCGAGCGTGGCAAATCCGATAGATTACAGAGGAGTTACCTTCTATCTCGCCTTGGTACTTGTCGGTTAAGCACAGGTCCTTGTCGGGCAACATAGGCGCGTGAGTGGATGCTCTGTGGACCCGGCCCCCCTTCTGGCTGCCAATCTCACCAGCGAGCTCAAGACTTTAATAATTCCAGGCGCACCACCGCCGGCATGAACACAAACTCCAGACAGCGGTCCGGCCGCACCAACCCCCACCTATTCACAGCAAAATGCCAGGCCATGAAGCCGAGCCTTGGGCTATCCAAAGCGGCGTCCAGATTATTACCAGGTACGAATAAGTTTCCTTTAATGGAAGGCGGCTCGACGTGGGGAGGGCGTGGCAATCCAGGCTCCAGCCGACAGATTGCCCATCAGTTCATTTCAAGCACGCGCAGGATTTGTTTTCCTTTGCACCCAATTCTACTTGACAAACATAGCCGGGCTAGCGCTGTTGTTCGCCAGAACCCTAGGCTAGGGCGGCCAATAAGCCTGAAACCTGCGGGCCAGTGCCATGGCCAGTCCTGCCGATACCCCTCCGGACTCCGCTTTTTTATTTCGCCTTAATGTGGATCCCAGACTGTTCGCTGTTCGCATTTCTCGCTCATGCAGCCTGCTGCAAGACAGTCGGCGCTTTTGCTTGATTTCGCTGCAAACAGCGCAGAATGTCTGAGGAGTATGGTTGGCGATCTACCCGAGCACGCCTGTTACATTCACAGTTCCTGTGGGACCGTCCAAACACTGCATTGCAATTTTACACCGGACACACTCTCCATGGACTGCACCCCCAAAATACAGTGTGCATGTGAAGGACAGCTACCAATCGGGGTCGGTGCCAGATACATATAGTGCGCTTATGCTCATATGCCAAGCATCCAGTGAGAACAGCGGTCCCAGCGCACTGCTTTCGTTTCTGTGAGGCATATGCGCTCTGGTCACTTGCTGTCTCGACTACAGATGTGGCGGGCCATTTGTTGTCACGCATGCACACTGACACAAATCGGAAACTGCCACAGCCCAACATACGCTACCGACACATCATCGGATATTAGAAAAGGACATGTAGCCTTAACGGCATATCCCAGCCAAAGGAGGTTTATGAACAATACGCTGGTGGGCTCCTTTCTGGCATGCATCTGCAAAGGAGCCCATCAATAAAGCAATACCCTTTGTGGATTAATGGCCAGCCCATGGGAACAGTTGTCAATATTATTTTTGTCCTGGCTGCATGCGTACATATATGAGAAGCTGGTAACAATAGATTGCTGGTCCCCAACTGATTATTGAGCTCAGTACGGCCCTTTTTCAGGGTAGGCAGAAAGTATTCCATGAAGGGATGTGTTTATTGTCGCCACGTCAATTGCAGAGACCACTCTTGGTCAGCTCTGCCTATCCATCTGCCTCATCGTCACTGTCGATGTTTGGTAGGTGAAGGCCAAGCTGCCCCAGCAGCGTGCCCGCAGGACCTGGCAACCCCTGCTGGGACCTAAACGACTCGACAATGTTCTGCACCAGATTCAGGTCAATATCGACATCTGCTAGATGCTCGGCCGTCACCCATCATCAACAGTGCGTTTCACAAACGACTTGCCAATCCTTGGTCTCAGACAGCTCATCGTCCATGGCCCTGCATGATCTCGGAAAGCGGTTCCTTTGCACGCCCAGCATCAGACAAGGCTTTGTTCAAAGTGCTATTGGGAGTTTGCTGGGAGCTGCCTTCACAATGATCCTTTCTAGGTACCTCTGCTTCGGTATCTGGGGTGACAACAGAGGAGCGGCGATTTCCTTTTGCGTCCGCTAATTCCGTGCTGTCGGGATCGGTTGCACCTAAAATGCTTGTGTATCAGTAGCCATGTATCGAAGAATCGGCTCCTCTCTCCTTTTGCTTGCAAGCGAGCTTGGCCCACCTGCTTGTTGCAGGAACAAAGAGAATCCTGAATACCGAGTGCATGGTCAATGTCAAAGACACCATGAATCCCCCTGAGCAGGCCAAGTATTGTGCAGGTGTCACTGCCCTTTGCGCCAAAGACAAAAACAGAACTTACCAATCGCCTCCATCAGCGCACCCAGGATGCCGCTGGCATCCAGCTCGACCTCGTCGTCGCTGTCCTCAATGTATTCGTCGGCAGGAGTATCCCTACAAATGTCAGGAAAATCTGTCAGAAAGGGGTTCGAGGCCGCTGAAGCTAATCCTGTGACATTGTTTTTGGTTCTGTACCCCTGCAGTGCCCCTCAGCTATCACCAACAGACTTACCCGAATATATCTGCACCCTCAATCTCCGCGTCTGTCACCAGAAACGACTCAAACTTCTCCAGCGCTTCCTGCAGTGCCCGTACTGACTCTGCCTCGGCCAGTGACTCCGCGTCATCCTACGCTCGAGAGCAAATAATGGACATGGGTTTAATGGGTGCATGACATCCACCGACCGCCTCTTGAATAAACAGGCAACACGAAAAAAAATCATTTGCGGAGCAGCCAAAGGAGGCGCGAAAAAAGGTACAATAGGGCAAAAATTGGACACCAAAACACCCTATGCGGGAGTGCATTCGTGAACCGTTCGCAGTTGACTAAGATAGGATTGGCTGGGCAGCTTTGCTGTCTGTCACCAGGACACGATAAGGGCAAAGAGGGGGTTTTGCGGGACAGGCTGGCCGATGGGAGCGGCAAGCATGGGGCTCACATCGTGCGCATAACAACAGGGGTGATGACTTCCGGGTTCGACTCTTCCTTTTTCAAGGGTCCAGGGGACCCCTCAAATGGATCCTCCATGATAAACAGTATATGAATAGGGATTCTCAATATACTCGCACTGGCCTCCCTCGGCAGCGCTCTTCTCGTCTCCCCTGCCCCTAAACAGGTGTGCAGAACAAGTCAACAAGGGAACAAGGGGAGTGTCGAAAAATTTGCTTGATTTGAGGGAGGTCAATTTTATCGTCGGCCCTGTGGTGTGGGCATGTGTCCCAAGCTGGTCAGCCCCGGATGGTCCCCGTGTTGTCATGGGTATGACAGAACACGGCCAGATGTTGGCCAAGGTGCACACTCTTTGACAAGAGCACACCACACATACACAAAGGTGCGGGCAATAACCCCCAGGCAATTATTCTTGGGTTCACCCGCCAATACGATTAACATCCACCATCATCACCACCGTGGCAGGTAACGTAGACAGAAGAAAAATGCATGGAAAAGTGCCATGGGGAATATGCAAGCTGGGCGTAGTGCTGCATCAATCAGGTAGCTACAATGATGAGCGCAAAACTGGTGCTGCCTGGCCAGGTGAAGAAGCATTTTCCAGGTCCCGAGCCGAAAAAACTGTGCACCATAGAATAGACACGCCACTCACCACAGTCAGCCAATGACAAAGACGGAAACCCGATCGCGGGAACGGCTTTGTGTTTTTGGGGGACAGGGGATGGACATATGCATGGTGTGCATGTCTACATTACCTGCTTCAGCGGGTCCTCTCGCAGAATGCTTTCAGCCTTGCTCATAATCGCATCAAGCTGCTCCGGGCGCAATGTCAGCCAAGAATCATCGTCTTCCTCGTCAGCTGCGGCAGCAGTACTCGGGTCCCACTCAGAATTCTCCAACGCCCTTGCGCATGACTGCGTGGCCTCGGCAGTCAGCCAACCTGATGATGCTGCGTTTGCATCGGTCCTGAGCCTACACGGTACCGTGGTGATTTTAGGGCACTAAACTATTGCCAAGATCGGTTGGCAATGTCTGCCCCGGGTTCTCGGGCCATTTGTCCAGAGGCGGCGATTTACACAGAGGACAGCAATACGCTAACGAGCCTGTTACCTTTCCTTCTCGGAGACATGCCAGAGTGCACTGCTGACCAGCCGCGCGTACGCAGGAGTGCCGATCGATGTTTTTTGCCATGTAGCCGTGAGACCTGAGTCTAGCCAGGAAGGCAGCAGCCGGTGGATCCTACATGATGGTCCTATCAATTCGTGCTGCAGCGTGGCTCGTCTCACATGCGCATGTCTGCCTTGATTATAGGCGGCACTGAAGACGGGAAAGACCAGACAGAACCATACTGCATTCGCCGTCGCTCTAGGGGAGGAGAATCCTAGCGCATACTTACATCCTGGGTAAGCTCCACAGCTGCGCCTGCGCTGGCATCCTAGCGAGCTCCGCATTTAGTATCTCGAACCCACACGCCTACATTACAAAGAGCCATCCATTAAGCACACTGGCCAAACAGAATATTCAGAGAGGACGTAATCCCATGCAGATTGGCAAGACGCAGCTTGCAAGGACATAATTTCCTGCACATACAAGGCATCAAAAAGAGCGAACCGGCCTAAATAAGGACAGTGCGCACACTACCTGCACATCAGGGATATGCTCCTTATTGCCAAGCTCTGCATATACGAGAACAACTCCAACCAGCAATCATGCGGAGAAATGGTAGAGCTCGCAGGAGGACTTACAATCTTCATCCCCATCACACACGCCTTGTAATCGGGGCTTTCCGGCTTCGGCAGCTGGTAGTCAACATCGATGCTCTGGCTCGCTAGTTTTGCGTACTGGATGCGGTTAAACGCAACGGTGGTCATTACAGAGGGCTCGGCCGGAAAATGCCTCATACGCTTTGCCAGCTTGGTTTGAGTGGGATCGCGCGCGTAAAAGAGCGCGGTGGCCGCTGCAATCAGCTGTGGCCGCTGAGAAAGCGCCTTTGCCACCTTTACAGGCACTCTGCAGCGGCTGCGGTGGACGCTCTGCTTGAGTTTCTCAGGGTACCTAAATGGCAGCAGTCAGAAAGAGCCACGTCTTCAACATAATTATGAGCAAAGGCAGCTTTCTCATGCAAAATGCAATGCGACTGGTTCTGCTTGTCCCCAAAAGGGGATTCGCAATATGGAAAGCGAGCAACAAACAAGTACTTACTCGTCGAGCCGAGCAAATGCCTCCTTCTCTGCAGCCTGCTGCGGCAAGCGTGCGGGTGCCTGGATCACCAACCGACTGCAAAGCAAGCTCAAGCGAAATGTTCTCGGTGCCCGATACATCCAGGGGAACAATATGCAGGTGGCCGTTGTAGATAAACACCTACACTGGGCATACGGCAAATATTAGGTGGGCAACGGCTTATTTTTCTTTAGATGCAACGAAATGTGCACAAGACAGACACCATGCAGCCCAGGTGGCGAGCTGGCCACAGCAGGCTTTTGCTTACTCTGTTTGCACTGTTTTCCGGAGTGAGCCAAAGCGGAATCTGCATTGCTGCCTCGGCGAGCAGAAATTCTCCGTCAGCATCGCGAACGCTACATTGCAGCAACAGCGGCCACGTCGAATTGATTAGACCGATGGCGAATGAAGCCCAACAAACCCCCATGCATTGTCCAGTGTTCTCTCACTCGCTTCCGTCTCATAGTCGACAGCGGCCGGATATACTTACGACACAATAATATCAGGGAACTGCTTAGTGGCCTCGCGCAGCACCCAGACGGCGAGCCACTCGTCATCAACTGCATCGTCGTGCATCATCCACCCCGAGATGCGAGGGACTATAATACGCCAGAACACAGGTGGTTTTAGTACTGCATCTTTGCTTGGTGCCCTGCTGCTGGTGCTGGGGGGAGCAAATACCTGCCTTTGTTGCTGCTACGACGCGCCCGTAGCTTGCCAGTGTTGCTAAATATGCGCAGTGGGTCACGGTTCCAGATGAAACCAGCCGTGCGCTCAGCAATGAAAGCAAACAGCCTAGCCTCCCAATCCAGCAGAACCTGCGGATCAGTGACCAGTTGCCACCCCTTAGCACCGGTGCCGACGTAGATATCGCACTCGAAATAGTCGATGCTCGACTGGGCTCTGAATATGTCGTCGTCCATGAGGTTGTGAGTCGCAGGAATAATAGGAAGCGTGGTCCGGATCCCAGTGTCGGCCAACCAGAACCAAGGCGAACTGGCCATCAACCCCGCCATGGAACTAATATGGTTGATCCGAAAATTGCTGATCAGCCTGGCGGGCTGCTAAAGGCTGCAAAACTTCATACAGCTTGCTTATCGTTGGCAAGCAGCACGAATTTCCTCAATCACTCTCCGTTCCACCACGAATTCGATTTCCACCCTCAATTAAAGAAACAAAATGTTCGGTCTCGCGGGTCGTTTTCGCAGCAAGGCGCTGCCGCTGACGGTACATATCGTGCTGATCTCCCATATATGCTGCGTGCACAGCAGATATGGATGAAGGAGTGTGCCGTGGATCGGACAAAAGCCAACAGCGCCTTGGCCAGCATGGAGGTAGCCAACATCATGGGCAGAGCATCAAACAGACTAAACCGCACCCTGTGTGAGAATCTATGAACTTTGTAGCAGCGCATTCTCAAGGCAAAGCTGCACCAGCCGGCACTCCTGCCATACCAGCCGGAGAAGGGTCTGGCGCCGTTCCTGTCCGCACAGTCCGTGGATTTCCTTTACAACATGCGCCAGTGCGAGCTGGTGAACAATGTGAACCGGCTGACAGAGGGTACTGACTTTGAAGGCAAGGACCTGTACAAGGTGATTTTCGATGCAGCGATCGATCCGGCGCAGACGGCGCTGCTGAACAACGCGTCGCAGGCGTGGAACAACGACTTTTTCCTGCAGTCACTTATCGATGAGCCGCAGACTCCGCGCGAGGATGTCAAGCGGCAGATTGCCGAGCAGTTTGGGTCGTTCGAGCGGTTCAAGGAGTCGTTCACGAGCAGCGCGCTGGCGCTGTTTGGCAATGGCTGGACGTGGCTGGTAATCAACGAGAGCGGGCAGCTGGCGGTCATGAACACGTACAATGGCGGATCTCCGCTGACGGCAGTGCCGGGCAGCCGGGATGTCAAAGTCAAGGGCATTTCGTACTCGCAGGTGATGCGCAACCGGGGCAAGCGCCCGTTCGTCAGGCTGACACCCGTGCTTGGACTCAGCATGTGGCAGGAGGCGTACCTGCCAGACTACGGGCTCGACCGCGAGACGTATGTGTCGCGCTTCTGGGACGTGATCAACTGGAACGTGGTCCACGAGCGGCTGCTAAACACACGCAGCGGATCGCAAATGCCGCGCTAGAGCAGAACAAAAAAAAAATACAAAACCGTCCACCAGCCTACAGCATGTGATCAACAAATTAAACATGCAGGATCTGATTAGTGTGTCGCGTTGTTGACGATTACCAGGCTGGAGCGTTGTGCTGAAGCGTTTTCTTTACACCTCCCTTACCCCGGTTTTTTTACATTTACTCTTTAACGAATCGGCATAATGAATCCAAGACGGCGCACACTGAATTTTACCGGCAACGGCGAGGGACCTACCGGCATCCCTGCTCCGTCCGGCCTCCGCCCGCCACGCGTGTCCATGGCACCGACATCGACGCTCAGCCAGGGCTTACAGCCATCTCTCCTGCACACGGCTCGCAGAGCCGATGGAGTAGGGCTCTTGGGGACATCGACACCAGCGCGCGGAATATTTGGTGCTAACCCCCCTCTGTCGCAGCTGCGCAGCAACAACCCAGCACGCCTAGGTGCTCAGACCCCGGCAACAAACCGCGTAAACCGACGCACAAGCGTTCTCCAGAGCACGCGGCGCATGACAATGATTGCGGCGCCATCGGTAATCATGCGCAACGGCGGGGGAGTCAAGGATCCACGGCCGGTGAAGGACCGGTCGTTCCAGTCAAAGGCACAGCAGACGATCATGCTCTACCTGTCGACACACGCGTACCCGGGCTTGCTGACACCCAAGACTTTGGTGGCACCGACGGTGAAGGATTTCCAGACGAATCTTCAAGTTCCTGTACATGAAGCTGGATCCAAAGTACAAGTACGGGAAAAGTTTGAGGACGATGCGCTGCAGATTCTGCGCGGAGTCAAGTACCCGTACGTTGGGGAATATCAGCAAGTCGCAGCTGTTTTCTGCTGGCTCGATGTCAGCATGGCCGATACTCCTGGCCATGCTGCTATGGCTGGTCGAGTTGATTGAGTGTGTCGACATGATGGAGCAGCGGGAAGAAAGCATGGTTGACGATGGGGCTAAGGAGTCGAAGCCAATTTATCGACCGGGTGTTCTTTGACTATCTTGCGCAGGCGTATCCGGTATGGCTGGATTCGGGCGATGAACCAGCAGAGCTCGAGCAGTCACTAGGCAGCCCAGTTTGAGCTGAAGAACGAGCACCTAACGCAGGAAGCAAAGGACGTCGAAGACCAGCTCCAGATTGCGCGGGCTGAGCTGAAGGCACTGAGAGAGAGTGAATCGCCGCTACGGCAGCTCGAGCGCAGGCGCGTGGAGCAGATCGGGGACGTAAGCCGGTTCGAGAAATATATCCGCAAGCTAGAGAGCTTGAACAAGAAGATAATGGACTTCGGTGGCGAGAAACACAGAGAAGCTGGAGGCATCGCAGGTCGAGAAGCTGGCGCTCGAAAAGGAGATTGCAGAGGTCAGGCTGACTGTCGACGCGCAGCAAATCAGCACCGAGGATGTTGACCGCATGACTGCCGAGCGCAACCAGCTGCAAAGCGTCATGGATGGCGTCCAGGAGAAGATCAGGGAGGCATCTGATGACGTGAACGACAAGGGGATGCGGCTGCAGCGCGTGCTAGATACTGTCGATGAGCATGTGCAGGACTATGCGGCCAAGGCCTATCGGGCTTGGGTTTATCGGCAGCTCGCGCAAGCACGGTGACGAGGACTCCGCTGGGTGGTGCGGAGATCGAGCTTGCTGTCGACAAGAATGCCAACGACAAGAGCAAGGTGACATCTGTGGATCTCCGGCACACCAGTTCGGCCGGCACTGCAGCGTGCGTGCGATACCCTCACAAGTCAGTGGCACGCAACAGAGACGGCTGTGATCAGGCTACGCGAAGAGAGGGACCAGCTGGCGGATTTGCGGATGGAACTGGAGGTGCGGGTAGAGGAGATGGACAAGCAGGTAGCACGGCACAACACCGAGTATCAGGAGCTGCGCAGGATAAACATGATGGAGACGCAGACGTCAGCGAAGCAGATTGAGCAGCTTGAGGGCCGGATTCAGAGTCTCCAGAGCGATATCTCGAAGGGCCAGCTGCAGTCGGAGGCAGCGATCAGCCATGCTGAGGCCGAGCGCAACAGCGTGCTGCTGGGGTGCCGGATGCGCAGGAACGAGATTGACGAGGACGTGGTAGCGACGTTGGAAAACGCCGCGCAGATGAAGAAGCACACTGAGGAGAAGCTGAAGGAGCTGCTACAGCTAGTGATCGAGGAGCAGGAGGCGAGCTAGCGGCCGAACAAGCCGGGTATTTCTATGTTCCTTTGTGTGTGAATGGATTTGCTGGTTCTGAATGTGGCCACGGTGTAGTGCGGCCTTTATGCGTGTGGTTGCTGGTATGTCGACAGCAGCGATGCCCGGCCAGCGATCTACAATTAAAGTTGACACTGTAAACCGAAAAATAGCACCATTGGCAGCTCTGCTTGGGTGCCAAGAGAGGGAAAGCCGCTATGTGAACGAATCTCATCTGCTTGTTTTCTCTCGTCTTTTTTCTTGTCAGTTTCCAGAACCCCTTTGCATAAGCATATCTAGCTGTCAATGGATTTTGGGCTTTACAAAGAGGACAGTGCACCGCTGTCATGGAGCAACGTGGGCATAGCGGCACTGATGCTGGTTATTACTGTGGCCATCTCGCGGGTCCTGCGCCTGAATCTCGAGAAGCAGATTGTAGTGGCAGCGGCACGGTGCGTGGCACAGCTCACGGTGCTCGGTCTGATTCTGAAGAGCGTGTTCAGCTCGAGCAGCGCGCTCTACGTACTCGGTCTGGCCGGTAAGTCTGTGACGCACGGACACTACAGATACGCTTTTGATTGCTAATTGCGAGCATTAAACCATCTAGCGCTGCTGGGCGGGCTTGCGGCGGTGGAGGTGACGCAGTGGCGGGCGAAGCGCGTTGTGCGCGGGATGCTGCCGATTGCCTTTGTGTGTATATTCGGCAGCTCGATGCTGGTGGCGCTGCTGGGCGGCATGTATGCAATGAACTTTGACCCACCGTACGTGGCCAGCAAGTTCATTCCGATTCTGGGCATGCTGCTGGGGAACACCATGGTGGGCGTTGCGCTGGGCATGGAGTCAGTGCTGGGGGCGCTGGACACGAAGCGGGACATGGTCGAAACGATGCTGTGCTTTGGCGCGTCGCGGTGGGAGGTCGTCCGGCCGCTGGTTGTGGAGGCTACGCGCAGCGCGATGATCCCAACGATCACCATGGTCAGGTAAAGCCCATCTAGATGGAGATTAGATGGAGACAAGCGCCACTATTGCTGATGCATGCCATTTTATGTCGGTAGTATCACTGGGCTTATTTCGATTCCTGGGATGATGAGCGGGCAGATTCTGGGTGGCGCGGACGTGCTGGATGCAGCCAGGTACCAGCAGGTGATCATGTTTATGATAGCAGCGAGCACATCGCTTGGGGTGGTTCTGGCAACGATCGCGATTGCCTACATAGTCGTGGATGCCGAACCCAAGCTGCGCACCGAGAAGGTGGGTTTGGTTGCGCAGGCGGCAAAGCCGAGTGGCGGTGCTGTGCGTGTTTCAATGAGCCAGCGGCACCCGAAGAAGCAGTTCAAGCCGTGGGTGCGGACGTAAAGCCAGCTTCTTTTCCCTTGGATGTGTGGTGCATGCCGCTTCTCCCCACCTGCATGAGAAAAACGGCAGGCGTGGATCAAAGCCCGATTGTTAGCGAGCGAGCAGGCGGGTGCTAGAAATAGTGACACAGCAGAGGGGGTTGTGCTTTTCGGTGCTTTTGCCAAGAGGCACAAAAAAGAGGGCTGCGTTGCGCTACTAGTAAACAAGAGCCCGCGCTGCGAGACGGCTCGCTTCTCTTCTTGCTCCCCGCATTTTCTCACTCTTTTGCAAGGCTAATCTACAGCATTCTCGATTTCCAATACAACCCCACCAGGATTTTTTCTCCTTGGTCACTTCAAACTTCTCTTCTTAACTGTCAGCGTTAACCCAACGCAATTTTCTCCATCTACTATTAACCGGTCTTTTTCTCTGCATTATAACGCTATATTCTCTTTCACGCTCTGATGATGTTGTACCCGCTGCATGCAGTGGTCGGCTGGCTCTGGTCACTGCGCTGGTACGTTCCCTTGGATGACCCGATGACCCTGCATATTCTCGGCGGCAAAGATCCGACCGAGCCCGAGCAGCAGCTTTCTTGGCAGAACGTCGGGATTGCAGCCACACTTCTCGGCTTCAATGTGCTTTTGTCTCTGTGGCTGGGTCTGGGTCTGAGCACTAGCCTGATTGTGGCGGCAGTGCGCTGTGTGGTGCAGCTGACGGTGCTAGGCATGGTTCTGAAGCAGATATTCCTGACGCAGAACCCGGTGTATATTTTCGGGATGACGCTAGTGCTGGGTGTGCTGGCGGCGTTCGAGGTCACATATTGGCGGTCAAAGCGGCGGTTCCCGTGGATGTTCCACGGGACGCTGGCGGCGATCATGGGCAGCGCCTTGATGGTTGCGCTGTTCGGCAACGCATACTCGCTGAACATGAGTCCAGCGTACACGGCGACCAAGTTCATCCCGACGATCGGCATGCTGTTCGGTAACTGCATGATCGGAGTATCGATTGGCATGGGGTCGGTGATGGACTCGCTGGACACGCATCGGGACCGGGTCGAGGCGATGCTGTGCTACGGGGCGACGCGGTGGGAGGTTACGCAGCCAGTGGTCGTGGAGGCGCTGCGGACAGCACTGCTGCCGACAATAACGAACATGAGCATTACGGGCCTGATCTCGATCCCTGGGGTGATGACCGGGTGGATCCTGGGTGGAGCCGATGTGCTGCAGGCGGCACGGTACCAGCAGATCATCCTGTTTATGATCAGCGCATCGACGGCCAGCAGCACGCTGTTTGCGGTGGTGTTTTGCGCGTTCACGCTGGTTGACGGGTCGCCGAAACTGCGGCTCGACCGGCTCATATTTAGGAAGATCAAGGCGGAGAGCAGCGAGTCGGGCAGCGTGTCGCGGGCGTCGTCGCGGGCAGCCTTGCGCCGTGCCGGGTGCCGACCAAAGTCTGAGCTGTACCTGTCGCGCAGTCCAAGCCGGGTGTCAGCGGCTGCATCTGAGGTTGACACGCTTAAAACTGAGGAGTCGGTACTTAGCGTACCTGGTGCCACCGACAAAGCCCAGCGAACCGCGGCGCAGGCGGTCAAAGAGAGTTAGAAGGGGCGAATCCAGCAGTAATGCGGCCAGCGCGCCACTGTTAATCGACGTGCAGAGTGAAGGGAGCCCTGAGCCGGTGGATATTGAGGATACTGTCCGGCATATGCGGCAAGGCAGCTGCACGGCAGACATAGACGCGATGGTCAAGTGGTGCGCGTGCTGCCCGCTGCGCAAGCAGAACGGCAAGCAGGTTGTGTGCTATGACTTTGCGTGCGATATGACCGATATTGTGATTCCGCATCCGCCGGGCTTTGAGTGCGTGCTGCCGCAGTCATTGACAGGCGACAGCAGCATTGTGGCATGTCCTAGAGCCAAGCACGGACGGACCAGCAAGCGGCTTGGCAACCGGAAGAGCCGCACAAAACCCTAGCCCGCACGCGAACAATAAAAGTGCAGGCTGGGCATCACACCACCCAGGCTGCATATCGGCTGTGTGGACCGCTTGGGGAAGCTGCGTTGGACCGCTTCCCAAACCGGGGCGTGGTCGATCAATCCCTCCAGCTCGCAGTGCCATGGAAAATCTGCTCGTCGACAGTCTCACAAGGAGCAAAAAGCAGCTGTGGTTGTAGTTTGGGCAGTGGGGGAGGTTGAGCGGGCGTTGAGGGACACAGCGACGAAAAATCCGACCCGATGGCCAAGCACTGGTGCTACACTGAGCAGACAGCGAAATTTTTTCTTTCTTTTAGCTCTACGATTCTATTACATTTCTTCCTCTATTTCCGCCCCCTCTCCCTCAAAACCTCTATTTCGACCTTCCCCTCCTCTACCTGTCTCCCCTTTACCCCCTCCGCTATATTTTGCAGCCACCATATATTTCCGCCCGCGACCCAGCACCACTATATTCCGCACACAGGTCACCCCCTACCTTTCAAGCAAAATATACACGTTTCACGCTTTGAGCAGTAGCAGACTTTCTTTGAGAGAAAGCACACAGCAGGTAGGGTATACGCCACGGCATGGTGGGACGGCCCGCACTGAGTGCATATGCTACACATGCTACACATGCCAGTGTGGAGGAGGCCTTGAAGCAGAATGGCGAGTTTATTTTTATCCGCCTTTCTCCTGCGTCAAATTCACATCAGCCATTGTTGTGAGGGTGATGAGAAAACAAAGCGCGTGTTTGTGCGCAACCTCGACCAATTTCAGCCCAAGCACCATCGTTTTCTCTTTTTTTGCTCTATTCGATTTCGAATTTACTGCTCGCATTTTGAAAATTCAACTCGGGCTTTCCAGTTTACTAACGCAGCCCCCCTCTCTATTTTCCCTTTTACCCAACCTTGGGCCACGGGGCAATCTATAATAGACACCCAGTTCGAAAACAGGGACACTTTTAGCAGCCAAAGGTTTTTCTCTTCACCTTCCGCACTACACTAGGCTTCCCTTTCATCCCCCTTCACATACTATAATGACAGACAGCAAACTGCAGCGGAAGCGCAACACGGCAGCAGACAGCGAAATCGCAGGGGACAGCTTGCACGTAGACACGCGTCCCAGCCTGCTGGACACTGCGACGTCGTTGATTTCGCCAGAGAATAGACGGCCACAGCTCAACCTGGCGTACTCGAGCAGCGCCAGCTCATTTTTCACGAACCACAACAACAGCAACACACCAGCAGTGGCAGCGCAGCCGCGGCACCTGGAACGCGGACTGCTGCAAGGGCAGCGGTCGTTTGAGGAGACGGTTGACCGGAACAACGGTGACAACGTCGCTGCTGGACCCGCATCCAGCGATCATCCCACCGCCGGGGTCGCGGCTGGCGTTTGCGGGGTCGGGGTCGCGGACAACAACGAATATGTTCCGGCCGCTACCAACAGGTGGACGACATGCTGACGCGCAAGGCGCAGGCGCCGCTGTGCCTATTCAACTACTGGCAGTACCTGGCGGAGGTGGAAGGCGGAGCGCAGGAGCTGCAGTTCTGGCTGGCGCTGGCAAGCTACGAGGAGCTGTGCCGGTCGTATGCAGGCACGCTGCCACCGGTGCCGCTGAACGTGTATTCGCCGAACAGCCGGCAGGCGGCGGGTAACGCGCGGCGGATCAGTCTGGTTGAGGCCAGCGCACGGATCCTGGCGATGGCGCCGAGCGAGGCGAGTAGGCAGGAGCTGACGGCCAGCAACCGGATCAGCTCGGCGGTCAGCAACCTGGACAAAGACACGCAGCAGCTGGACAGCTATCTGGCGAGCCTGTCGCACCAGACCGCAGTGGCAGGTGCGCAGACCGCGTGTACGCAGCACGAGATCTGCCGGTCGGACCATGGGCAGTATGCCGGAGGCCACCGCCAGGTGGAAGCGGGCTGGCACCAAGGGCTTTTTCCGACCGGCTGTTCTCGGGCGATGCGCAGGCGGTGGATGCAGCGGAGCGGGTGAGCGGCGACAATACCGAGTTGCCGCTGCTGGCGCCGTCGCAGAGCGAGACCAAGGAGGGCGTGGCAACGCAGGCGGAGATCCGGCGAGCGGCCGAGCGCCTGTTCTTCCAGTTTGTGCAGTCGGGGGCGCCGTGCGAGCTGACTGCTGAGTGCCCAGATGCGCGACGAGATTGCGGTGCGGAATTGAGCGCGAGCGGCGGATCGACCCGGAGCTGTTTGCCCCGGTGAAGCGTCACGTGTACGAGGTGATGCGGCACTGAGTCGTACCCGCGGTTCCTGCGCGAACGCATTTACCACAACACGACGCGGGCGACGGCGGCACCACGCATAGCGCTGGGGCTGGCGCTGATTTTCATTGCGCTGACATTCCAGTTTTCGCTGATCTTCCTGGACGTGACGCCCAAGGGCTGGCGGTGGCTGCCCATTGCGTGCCTGTGGCCGGGCTTTGTGCTTGGGTTTGCTGGAGTGTCGCGCATCGACCCGGTGCTGGCGCTGGACTGGCAGGTTCGAGCCGGTGGCCTGGCGGTTCGAGCCGGTGCGCGACCGGCACATCAAGGACTCGCACCTGAAAAAGGCGTCGGTGCAGCTAGCGGTCACAGCCCTGATCGCTGTGGTCATCACGCTGGTGCTGTTCCTGGTGCCCGGCCACCACCTCTAGACACAACTCTGCTCGTGATACTATGTAATGTGAATCCTCTTTTTCTTGCGTATTCTCTCGCCTCATGTATTTAAAGGTCCCAAGATGGTCTATGTTTCCCTGGCAATGGCCAGTGCGAGCTCTGCCGCCCTCAGCCGCGCCTGCTCCGGATCGCTTATCTGTGCAATCTCGTCCTTTGCCTCGCGTATCCTGGCCAGCATGGCTGCCATTTCATCGCCATCCTGCATACCATCGGCAAAGAACTCTCTGCTCAGGTCTGCCACGCGCCGTGTATCGACCTGGCTGGCAATGCGCTCAAACTGGTCCCACTCGCCGCCTGCCCGCTCGTCCTCCGGCCGTGGGCCGCCAGCGACTGCCGGCTCGGCTTCGTCAACAGGTGTGGGGTCGGCTGCGCGCGTGCTTTTCATCTGCATGGTGGCCCACTCGTTGGTCTCGAGTGCCTCGCGGACACGGGTGACTGGGTCGTCGACCAGATCCACCCACTCCCAGCCATTGGCAGTGCACCACCGGAACCACCGGTCCTTGTCGTCCTCGCAGCCGGGCCGACGGACGGCCACGCACAGCAGAATACTGGGCATCTGGTGTTTAGCGAACCCGGCCCACGGCAGAATATCGAGGAATGTCTGCGGCTGGGCTGGGTCGAACACAAACACCACGCCATCAGTGACCTCGCCCAGGTGCATGTGCAGCTCACGCATGCTCTCCTCGAGGGGGATTTCAGAGCTGTCGCTTGACGGGTCGGCTAGCCAGGACTGCATGAACTGCTGATGTGCGGGTGGGAGTGGTTCGGTGTGGTCGAGCCAGAGCTCGACGGGCGCGGTGAAGTACTTTGTGTTGATGGTCCATGCAACCTGTGCGATGGTGCCGCTCTGGTCGGCATTGAGCGCCGGCCGCGACACAACCTCGTTGACTAGGCCTGCAGTGTTCACGGAGGCGCGGCTCAGCACCAGGATCTTGTTCTTGGCAGCAGCGTCGGCCATGGATGCAGAAAATCAGGTAGTGTGGAAAAAAGCTGTTTTTCGCTCACATACCACCAGCCAACTCAGTCAATACACGCAGGCTGCGCTAGGATCCTTTTTGTGGGTGCAGGAGACCCACGCTGGCTAGCAAAAAGGAGCAATTGAATATCTTTGGTAAAATGTAGATATAACGATTTAGCCCGTGTGCTCCAGAATGGTGGTCACGAGCTTGCCGTTCTGGACCGTGGTCTGGTACTGCTCGGGGATGGGCTGCTCGACAAAGTCGTCGTCCTCGGGGTTCTCGGTCTCCCAGGGGAACGAGATGTTGACCTCCGACACCTTGGCAGTGGTGATCTGCGTCTGGTCGCGCGCTGCCTCTGACAGATACACGTGGGCGCCGTCGGTACGGTCAATGAGGATGGTTGGCACCGTCTCCACTGCTTGTATCTGCACCGACCGGCAGTTGACCACCTCGCACGACGCCATCAGTGCGTCAAACACCACACCCACCTTGACACACGAGTCGATGGCGATGCTGTTCATCTTGTTCTTGACCTGCACCGTCGTGCCCGTGCAGTTGTAGATGTATACCGTCTGCTTCATATCCGTCGCCTCGATCGTGACCTGCTCTGCCCCAAAGTTCTCCACAATCCACTTGCTACCCTGCAGCTCCTTGCGCGCCGGGCCCTTGGGCTTTGCTGCCTTGGCTGCCGCCGCTGCCGGGGCAGGCTTCGCCTTATCAAGCACTGTGCCGCTGCCGCGCAGCGCTGGGTTCTTGTGCGTCATCTCGCTCTTGTCCACCTTGCGCAGCCCGCTCGTCACGCCCTCACCCTTGCTGAGTTCTGCAAACAGTGCCCCGCGGCTCTGCTGCGCTCCACTAGTGTTCCCCTGCACATCGCTGAAGTCAGACACGACCGGGGGAGGAGGCGGTGGTGGTGGTGGGCCGCCTGCTGCCGGTGCTGGTGCTGGTGCAGCAGCCGGAGCAGCAACCTCACCCGAGAGCGCCTGGATAGCTCCCTCAGGATCGCCACCCTTGGGCGCCCACGCCACGCCGGTCGTGTGGAACTGCTTGACGTATACCGCCAGCTCACGCAGCAGGCTCAGGAACGCCCGCACCCACTTGGCATGCACCTCGTCCTTGTCGCGCCACTCCTTCAGCACGCGATTCGCATAGAACTGCGCCGAGTCCTTCATGTCGTTGATATATGGCACTGGCGTCGGCTCCACCGCCACCCACCCGAACGCCGCAATGCCCTCGGCCACCGTCGACAGGTGGTTGAACAGCCCCGACGCCCGGTTCTGGTCCTTCATTGCGATCGCCTCCGTCATCGCCGCCTGCTGCGGCCCAAGCAGCGACGACAGCTGCTCCATTGCCGGCTTACGCGTCTGCACTGCAACCCGGACAAAGTTGCGTTGCGCCGACACCAGCCGCTGCACCGCTGCCGCCTGCGTGCCGACCACGTCGCCGATCTGCGACGAGTATGCCACGTACTCCTCCGCCAGGGACACAATCACACTGTCGTACTCGCGCACTGCCGGGTGGTCCGACCCTGCATCTGCAGACAGCCCACCGGAATTGCCGCTGCCCGCCGCCTTGGCCTGTGAGGCACGTCCTGCAGACATCTCCTCCAGACGGGCTGTCGCCCGCTCGAGCCGCTTCAGCAGCACTGACAAGTCATTAGCATTCGCCATCTTTAAAGTGAGAATAATCTGTTGAATAGAGATACAATTACTCGACAGATAGAAAAGGCTGTCGGGGCTCGCCTAGCTCTGAGCTTTCGTACCTAGATTTCTGTTCTGGGCACGCGCCTGAGGCACAGGTCCCTCATCCGAAAAATCAAAGCCAAGTCCCAAGGTAAATCTCTTGCTGCACAGCCAAGAGAGCGGAAGAACCCGGCCGCTCACGCGTTTATTGAACGAACCTCCCAATTCTGTCTCATAATGGCCTGCCAAGGACGCTGCCGAGCTCAATCCAGCCGCTCTTCCACCACCCCATGGTAGTGCTCCATCAGATGCTCCGAAAATCGACTCTTGGCGTGGTACACTGCACCGCAGTGCTCGCACACAAAATTTGCCGCTGCACCATGGAGTAGCACCAGAGAGTCCATATGTGGCTGGAATGGCATATCTAGGGTTGCCGAGTGAACTGTATATGAAAAAAACCAATATTGTCAAATACAGCCTGTTGCTTTATGCCTTGCTGCCCTAGCTCAGCTTATGTGCTAGAGTATTGCTACAAAATTTAATTAGCGCAATCTTTACCTTATATAAAGATTTTATAGTCCAAAAAGTGTCCAGACCGTCCAGCTAGAACCTATTTGAATTGGAATAAAAAAAATACAACTCTTAAGCTTCAACACGGGTTTGAGTGACTTGCTCTGTAAACTCCTTTTTGATCTTGCGCGGCATCTGACCTCATCGGTGAAACCAGGGGCGACAAGTTGTTATTGTAGTAGTCACAGGTCTCCACTAGGATATCTCCATTGGTTCAGTGCAAGAGCTGCTCTCATTGTCGGTCGGCCTGATAACCTCCATGGCGTCATCATGGTGGTCATCACCAGCTGCGCAACACTCTAGGATATTTATTTATGAGCATCTATTGAATAAGGCCATATAGCTCTTCTAGCGGTTATGCAATATTTGTGGGTTTATTTTATAAATTAATTTGTCTTATGAACATGCAGTAAGCGGTAGTATTTGGGTCCACAATACGGACCCAGTCTGTATAGACTGATTCAAGAGACTGTATCAGTGCTAAGGGCCCCAAGAACCATGCAAGCCAGATCATTTTTAATAAAAAGTTCTTAATGCTATGCATACGCAATAAAGCAAAACTGAACAGCATCATTTCTCTTCTTACTTGCCTATTGAATTTCTCAAATGAATATTACCCGCAGCGCTACTGATCATAAAGACATCACTTGGTGGTATTGGCTTCCGTGATTCTATGTTGCCCCGCCTAGAGCAATTTGTACACAGCGTCAATATCATCAAAGAGCATACATACATGCTTGCACGATGGATACTTACTCCATCAACTAGCTGACGATGATGCCTTTGACCCTGCAATACTTGTGAAAAAAGGGATTATTTCGTTTCATTTATTTATTCATTTATCGCAACCTGAAGGCGAAGACTGTCATATCTGCCGAGGATTTCGTCAACCGGAAGGATAGGTCAGAACTGTCGAGCGCAGATTTCGGTGATGTAGTTAGATATCATATTTATGATTATCTATTGCATAATGGCGATATCGAGCTACATGGCATACGTGAAATGAATCAGGTAACGACATACGTTGGCATACCGAGCTGATGACAGCATACAAGAACAACATTGTGTTGCACTATGGCACTTGCCTACAGCGGATTCTGGCCAAATTGATTGATATTCGCAGCCGCAAAAACACCACTGCACAGTACAATGGGCAATGTGTCCAAGGCTGAGTTCAATAATGCATGTCAAGTGTGTATCTATACACCCTGCACAGAAGCTCCGCCAGGCAGTTGCCTCTAGGACACCCTGATCTCAGTGTGCTCACCCCACCGATGCTTGCAATCTACAACAAGCTGGCACCAGTCCTTAATGCCTATGGTGCCAAGTACAGATTCGCCAAAGACAGCCGATACTATGATGCCAAGGTAAATCCACTTAAGCATCTGCGTGCATACATTCGCCTATGCCAGCTTATCGAGAATGAGCAGCTTGGCAAGTCTCCTCCCCAATGCTTGCCTCTGCGGACATCATGGATCCCAGGCCATGTGCGCTTGGACAGCCAAATAATCAAGCAGGTGTTTATTTCGAAAACACGCGAGCAGGTTACCAAGATCAACGCAGCAAAGAGAGCAGCAACAGAGGCAAGGAAAGCAGCAGAAAAGGGCGAAAAATTGGCCAAGAAGGCTGCACGCGAAGCAGCGAAGATGCCATCGGATGCAACAGAGGCCACTGCAGCAACTGCAGCAGTAGCGGCTGATTCACTTGCTGCTGCATCGGCAGCAGCAGCAGACACTGTTGCAGCACTTAACAATGCATATGCATCAGCACCCCCAGTCTGTGCACACGACCCGGTCCAAGGGATCACACAACCTGTGTGGGATGTGTGGGGCCGGGTCGCAGATCTAACATCAAAGCCATTTAAGGCGCATGGTGATAGAAAATTCCACGGAATGGCGACAACAGATGGTGTAACGATATGCATTCTGTTACAAGACAAGATATCCAAGGCTGATGGTGCAGTAGATGCTGATGGTGCAGGAGGCGATGCTGCGGGAGGCGATGCTGCGGGAGGCAATTCTGTGGGAGGCGATGCTACAGGCGATGCTACAGGCGATGCTACAGGCGATGTTGCAGGAGGTGATGCTGTGGGAGGCAGTACTATAGCTGACTGTCGCTATATCCACCAGATCCCACAGCCAGAGCTGCAGAATCTGAAAGGCCGCTGTGTATTCATCGATCCAGGTCGGGGCAATTTGCTATACATGATGCACGAAAATAGCAGCAATGGAAAAGAGGGTGAAAAAATGCTCTACCGCTACACACGACAGCAGCGCAATAAGGAGCTCAAGCTGCGCCACTACAACAGGATTCATCAAGCTACAAAGGATCAAGTCCCAGAAGATGCTGTCCGCAGAGCAGAGGCAGAGCTTTCCAAGCACTGCTGCCGGACCCTTAGCCCAGCAAAATTCCGTGCCTACGTTGCTGCCCGTGCATCTGTGCGGTGTATCCTAGCACCGTTTTATGCCAGCACGATGACAGCGCGAAGGTTACCAGAGCAGCAGCCCACTAAGTCAAACAAGCAGCACCAAAGGCGCTGGAAGGCCCATCCAGGTGTCAGTACCAGTCCCAAGGTGTACCCGCTTCACCGCAAGCTGCGCCTTGATTCATTCATGAACCAGGCCCGTGCAGACCACAGGCTTGCCGCAAAACTCCGGAGCAAGTTCGGTCCAGATCCAGTGCTGATCATGGGCAACTGGAGTGCGCCGATGGCCCGGCACCATGCGCCGATTCGTGGCAAGGGATGGCGCGACAAGTTCAAGAACCATGGCTTTGAAGTCTATCTGATCGACGAATTCCGGACATCGTCGATGTGCCCGTTCTGCTGCGAAAAGTCGCTGCAGACATTCCGGTGTGTTCCCAACCCGCGGCCCTACCAGAGATCGAAGAACCCAACTGTGAAGTGCCATGGCCTTCTCCGCTGTACAAGCGAGTCATGTAAGCGGGCCATGGCACAATACAGGCGAGCCTATTCGTCTCGGCTCTTGAACCGCGATCTCGCAGCAGTTCTAAACTTCAGACTCATTTTCCAGTCACTCTGTGGTTCAGGCAGTATTCCTGAACGGTTCCATCGCTTTACGGCCATTGCTGCTGATGCTTCTGGCACCACCCTGGCAACAAAGAGGTCGCGCAAGAGGCGTGCAGCAGCAGCAGGCGATTCTGCTGCTAGCAGCAGCGAGCCAGCGCTGAAGCGCCTACGCAGAGCAGGCCATCAAGACAGGAGATGTCCATGATCGACATTGCACCAACAACCATCCGACACGTTCAAATGACCGGTTCGCCGTGATGCCCTTATCGACGTGTTAACCCATGCTGACTAGCAGCCGAGCTCGCATCGCGAGCAGAGTATTTCTAGTAAGATTCTATAATCCAAAAAGTGTCCGACCGTCCGCTAGAACCTTTTTGAATTGGTTAAAAATAAAACTCTTAAGCTTCAACATGGGTTTGAGTGACTTGCTCTGTAAACTCCTTTTGATCTTAAGAGTTTTATTTCTAACCAATTCAAAAGGTTCTAGCTGACGGTCGGACACTTTTTGGACTATAAAATCTTATATATAGGGAAAGATAAAGATAAAGATAAAGATATGTTGCCAGACCCAAAAATATCTATACTCAGCCGCATTCTCACGCTGCCGCGACACTAACTGCTTGCTGACGACGGCGTAGATCGCCAATTTGCTGCTCGATACCCTCTACCTTGCTGCCGAGCGGGGGCGGCACGAACAAGCTCGCCTGCCCGTCCACTGCCAGCTTTTCGTCATCGCTCAGCTCATCCTCAGCCTTTACCTTTGCCTTCTCATCACTGGTCACCTCCACCAGCACCTGCCTCTGCGCCTTCCTTCCAGCCTGCTTCTTGTAAACATCCAGCGTGATCCCCGCAAATACGATTCCAGCAGCAGCCCACTGCCATCCGTTGAGTGGGTGCCCGTAGTAGAACACCGAGAACAGGATTGTCAAGAACTTGCGTGTCACCGTGACTGTTACCAGAGTCAGCGAGCCAAACTTGGCCAGCGTGTAGAAGATGAAGCACTGGCCCAGCGCCCCGCACACGGCGAACATGCCAATGTCGACAGTCGCACGCGGGTGCTGCTGCAGGAACGCCACGGCACTGCCCAGCTCCGGGTTGAACGGGTTCATCAGCCACAGCGCCATCAAAATGCTGCAGCACAGATTCATCAGGCACATCATGTGCTGGCCCGTCACCTCCTTGTCGTCTGCAAAGATATGGTCCTGCGTCGAGTTGACGAGCCCGTCGATTGCCAGGTTGATGAACACCAAAAACAGCCCGTACAAGCTGTTCTCTGTCGCCTTCGCACTGCCCTTGCTGCTGCTTTTGAACAGCATGAACGCCGATACGCCCATTGTGATCATCGCCACCACCGCGTACTTGTGTGCAGGATACTTGCGCTTGTACAACACAACGTTCATCATCATCACCGGCACTAGCTTGCACGTCTTTGCTAGCGTCATTGTCGGATAGTTGATGTACCGCAGTGCCATGTACCCGAACGGCGACGCCACTGATGCCATGAATGCAACCTGGAAGAATCGGAGCCACCGCCGCCGCGACATGTCAAGCATGGCCTTCCGCTGCACAACACGCAAATATATAAATCCAACAAGACTGCCCGTCATCGCCTGGATGAGGTTGAGCACGATCGTATACTGGAACTTTTGCGCGTCGGCACCGTATGTCTGTGTGGTGACTCGCTCCTGCATCGCCGACCATGTCAGGAAGCATGTATATATGCCGCCCACACAAATGAGAAAGTCGAGCATTTGACTAGGTATGCGCTGAAGTGTAGAGGTACAAGTAAAAGTATGCAAATTGAGGCGGGAAAGGAGGGGCGAGAGTGTCTCTGGGATTATTGCACCTATTTCTTCAGCCTGTTAAAAGTCGCAAACCTGATGTCAATCGCCTATTGGTCTGTCACGAACCGAGGCTGGCCAGACCGAGCCGAGACAACAGCCCGCCCAAACACCAGTAATTGGCACGCAGACATGCAGTGAAGATTTTGTGGAGAGTGCTAGACATAAAATAAATTGCAACCAACGTATGTCACGACAGACCAGGTCAAAACGAAAGGCAAAAAGACGTGCCCTCACTGAGAATTGAACTCAGGACCTTCTGTTTACGAGACAGACGCTCTGCCGCTGAGCCATAAGGGCTGATCCAACTACTAGATCAAACTCGAGGGATCTGATTTTTGAAATAATGACAATAAGAGAGCATTATATTCTGTACGGAAAGGATCCAGAGTCCAAAATGCTAGAAAAGAGCCTTAAGATAAGTGAACACCATGTCACAAATATTGTCAAATAAGATATAAACAACTGCAATTTGACAATAGTAAGCTAAATATTAATTATATCAGTATATGTGGTATCTATCATCAAACTTTATAGAAAAATATATGGCATATATATTATCTGCTCTATACAATGTTGGAGATCATTCTTAGACCAGTAAACTATTCTAAAATATAATTTATTTCCTTTTATATTTACCAAATTATATTCAAGTTTATAACTAATTGTTATTATTATTTAAAGCTATTATTTATAGATATATTATTCATCAATATGAACTTACCTTGGGAATCATCAAATCAAAAAATATATGCAATATGAGTCATACCAGAATTTGGTACTGTGGGTCATAGTCTCTATGTAATATCTGCTAAAACTAGCCAGTGATTCTCAGCACCTGAGCCAAGTTGAATGACTAAACAGTTTTTACCTGGCCATCCATCATACAATCCCCTCCAACTCTTCTTCCTTCAACTATTATTTTCTATCTGTTTGGTTTTATACTGATAGTTTCAGCTGAGCCAGATGCAAGCTGCACATGGGTTTGACAATGAGGCATATGACCGTGATCCCCGCCGACACACGTATGAGAAAGGTAACTCTGATCGCGCATGTGACAGTAACTCATTCATAAACATGACAGGTAAAAACCACTGTCATTTAACAGGGAACATAGCAGATTATAAGCAGGATAGGACAAAGGCTATCTTTATTTCAACCAGTGCAGATGAAGCGTTTAAATAAAAAGCAATGCATGCGGACGTGTTCTTCAGGTATCAGAGGGCCATTGCGTCCCAGGCGGCAGCAGATACTGTCGAGAACACCAGGTTCACATGCTTGCGCTCATACTCATACAGGCCATCTCTGTGCCGTGATCGCGAGATGGCCCTAACGTGTTTCAGGCGCATACCATCTGCGCACATATCATCGCGCACAAACAGCAGCTCCAGAATCCCATGGAACGTGAATGGGTTCAGCAGCAGCATGCGGGCGTGGAACTCAGAGTCGTCAGGGTCAACAACAAGTAGGCTGCCAGGAAGAGCCTCGACTCGTGCACGTTCGGGCCGTACAGGACTTACTGAATGCGGAACAGCAGCAGAGCTGATGCTCTGTTTGGAGCTATGCACAGCCTGGTGGTCGACAGCATCCCCGATGGCTGGTGACACGCCGAGCGACGAGACCGACGCGCTATTGCGGCTTGCACCGTGCGAGCGACGCATGCGCAGTGGTGGGTTGGCTGACTGTTCGTGCAAGTACGCCATGCGGCGATGCACACCAACATTGGCTGACGGTGGTGCGGCTGACGATATGACTGGAGCCTCTGCAGTGTCGGGGGATTCAGCAGGGAGCTCGGCCACCAGCGACCATTGATACGTGGGCGCTGTGATCGTGCGGGCGTGCTGGGGACAGAACCATGGGCTACCAGCAATTCTCAAATGGATATACGAGCTGAGAATCTTTTGGAATGCCGGATCCATCAGGATTTTGCGCGCTGGACGACGGCTCAACGGTGACAAGAGCCGGAGAACCTGGTCAATATTGTCTGACGACTGGCCGCGCAGAATCCGCCCATAGGCATCGATGGCGGCTGTAGGGCACACAGGATTGGATGGCAGTGAGCGACGTAGCATAGTGGTCTCGTGCGGCTCAATCGTCGAATGGCGGCTCAGGGGTTCTCCAGCAGCATCGCTGATGGGAGTTGCTGGTGGCGTTGCGTTCAGGCTCAGTGTTGAGATCGCGCGGAGTTCCAAATGACTGCATGTGCAAGTTGGGTGCGAGGGGCTGGTGCGACGCCGGGTTGGTTTATGCATGTCACTGTCAGATTTCTGTGTGGCACCTGCCTCGCTGGGCACCGACTGCATCGACGACATAACCAGAGTTGGTTCAAAGTACAGCCGCCGCAAACGCATCTGCAATGCCTCGATGATGCGACGCGTAGGGAGGTCCAGGTCCAGTAGCTGCCGGATATCTGGATCACACTCGGCGACATCAACCCAGCCTTGGCGCTCGAGGAAGACGATCAACTCACGCAAACTATGCGGATCGAGCGATCCTGGCAGATCGGCCATACGCAGATGGTGGTATATGCGGTACCAGTTGAGGTCGCGATGGTAGTCGCTAAACGTGTGACGAACAAGTCGCCCCGCAGAGGCACGCACCCAGCTCAGGATATCCGGGTCTTCGCGGTCGTACTCGTCTGGGTCTACGGTCGATGACTCCATGACAATGTCTGGTTGTGTGGCCCCACACTTGCCCCTTGCTCTCCCAGTCACGCATGTCCGCTGACAGTACACTAGCAATGCGATGCAAGGAGCAAAGTTGTCTGCCATTTCTAACAGCCTCCTGGCATTTGTCGCAGGTACGACCCGCAGTTCTGCCCAGCAGCGGCAGTAGGTCACTGTGATCGCTCACAGGCGGCTCATTCAGGGGCCCTAGCGAGCCATTGCGACCGCGCACAGCCTCATCCTTCAAGCTTGACAGGCCAACAGTGGTATCTGGGTCCATATCAACGATGATGTAGAAGGTCAAATGCGCATTGTCGGATTGCACAACATCAGCAGATGCGTCAGAGTCGCCTGAAAGCTGTAGGTCAATGGTGTTGCCACTTGACAGCGAGTGCATCCACTGTTGCAGCGGCGTCTGCCGCAGTCCAGACACAAATGCAGATGCTTCGTGAGCAGCGCTGTCTAGTGGGCTGGTGCACGTGTCGTCCTCGAGCCTGCTTGATGTTGGTGGCCGAGATTGACGGTGGCCGGCCCTCACCAAGCCGGGTGGTCTGCGTAAGCTGGCCTGCAGGGCGAATGGTCTGGATAAACACATCATCGATGTGGTCAACCAGCATATTGTCACCGGCCTTTTTGGTGCGGTGCTTCTTCCGTTCCTCCTTTTCACCATCGCCAGCTGCATGCTTGTGGTGCCTGTGCTTCTTATGTCGATGGTGGTGGTGGTGGTGATGCCGGTGGTGTGGTTTGGTTGCCAGTGCACCCAGGTCGACTTGCGACTTGCGCTGTCGTTCCTTGCTCTGTTGAGCTGCAGCCTCGCTCTCCTTCCGACAGCAGTCGCAGTCAGGCGTCATTGCCATCAGGGCAACACGCACAAACGAGTCGTTCTGGCGCAAATGCACTTTACTGTCCGCATACTCGTGCAGAGTAAAGTCCAATGACTTGGCAGCAATGCTGTTGGCATCTGGTGTGTGTAACCCGTGTGTGCTAGGTACGATGCTGGAGGTGAGCGCCAGAGATGACTGTGGAGGCTTAGGCGACGGCGGAGGGACTGTCGGATTGGACGAGAACTGCACACTCAGGTGCGACTGATGGTGCTTTCGGGCCATGGTGTGCCCTGCCCATGTGTTCCAGGTATTGCGACCCAACTGCGTAAGAGGCAGCTAGCGGTGGTGCGGCTCGGCGCTGCTCAGCTGGTTGGCGCTCGTCATTGTGCAGGGACATGATGCTTGATCCTCTGCGGTGGTGCGTGGTGAGTGTTTCTCCGGCGCGTGATAGATCTGCCGACTTCTTGCGGCGCCGCGGAATATAGAACGCAGGCTCAGGTGCGGATGCCGCAATATTGATGCCCTTGGCCACACCCAGGTGCTGGTGGTGGAGCGAGCTCAGCGGGCGACTACCTAATCCCAGCGACGACCCAAACTGTGGCGAAAGCCCCATATGCCCGCTCATCTGCAATGGATCGCCCAGCGCATTTCCGTACTGAGATTCTTGCAGCTGGGCCTGCACACCTTCGTACAGCCGGTAGCAGCCTGCGAACAGAGACGCATTATCATCCTGCGAACCAGCATCCTCAGGCTGGCTATTGTGACGGTCAATCAGGGGCCTTGTACCAGCGGTGTAGTAGTGGTAGCGCTCCGAGTGGTCCAAGAAGTACTCAAACACATCACGGATGCGTGACGGCAAACTGCGTGCGTACCAGGCGGCGCGACGAAAAGCGTGTGCTGTAGTATCGTTGCTGCGCCAGCGCATTGAAAAACCGCATCAGATCGACATGAACGTGCAGCGACTGGGCTACAGTCCGCTTGATATCGCGCTTCAGCCGAGCATTCCACTTGCGCCCATCAATGCCCATCTGGCTGGCTATCCTTTGCGTACTCGTCAGTCTCTGAATCGCTGCTATCTGATATGTGGCTTGCTGGTCGACTCATCATCATCATCGTCGTCGTCTTCGTCATCACCAGCATCACTAGCAGGCAGGTCGTCTGCTGCAAGGGGCTTGAGGAGAGATGCTACATAGCGCAGCTGGAAGTCATACACAAAGCTCTTTGCGTGCAGCAGCTTTTTGAACTTTGACAGCTCGAGCGTGAATCGCTTGATCGATTGCGGATTGACCGACGACTTGACGTAGCCAGGCACAGCCGATCGCCATTCAGAAGTGAATCGGCTCAATGCGTGCATGCGGATGGATAGCATGGCTGGGTACACGCCGAACATCGGTGACAAGATTCGATCGTTCAGTGTTGGCAAACAGGTAGGCCCGTGGCACTTGGATATATGGCAGCTTGGCAGACTGCTTCAGGCTAGCCTGCTGCGTAAACCGTTGGATCTGCTCGGCTGAATACCCAAGAGAGCTGAGCGCATCCTTCCATGAGTACTGCTCTTCGAACCGCTTCGTGACAACATACCCCGTGCTGCACAGATAGTCGATATACGAATCTGCCAGGTTCTGCAAAAGCGCCGATATGACACACAGCAGTCGCAGGAAGCCACGGACATCAAGGGTGTTTGGCTTCAGAGCACTGGTCAGCGGCAAGGGTGCACAGACAAAGTGCAGCAGCCGGGCGTTTTCCATGATCATCTTGATGTCCTCCTAACGAGACCTCTGCAGGCGGCGGCTTCTCCTTTGATGCACTCTCGCCCTGCTCCGGCTCTTCGGTCTTTTCGTCCATGGTGTACGTCCCCGGCCGCCTTGCGACCATCTGCCGAAGACTCGTGAGTGTCAACAGTCATTGAGCCCAGCGACATCATAGCTGGCGGGTACCCGATGTGCGAGTACGCTAGGCTGTTGATTGCTGCATGACGGCGCCAGCGCTCAGCAATGCGCATCAGCTCGTCGTAGCGAATCACTTGGGCAACGCGTACCTGGTAGGCGCGGATAAACCGTGAGCCCATTCGGAACAGCGCATCAGGATGATGCGTGTCTACGTAGGGCTGTCGTGTAGTCAATGAACGTCAGCTTGCGCGCCCACCGCAAATGCTCTGGCTGCAGATGGCGCAAAGTGAGCTCCATCTTCATGTCGTTCTCAGTCATGCCGCTGACAGGTGGGTTGGCCATGATCATGGCGAGCTCAGCCGACCCCTCCTCGATGCCAACTAGCTGCATGTACTCGGGTGACATGTACCTTTCCAGGTTAAAGTAGTGCACCTGGTCGTCGCACGACAGCTGCGTCTCAAGTGCAAACTTATTGATAATGTCGCGCGTCACGTTCCGATCAAGCCATGAGCTGACGACCCCGCTGTTGAGAGCTGTCATGTCGTAGCCAGGGAAGACACCGACCATATGCGACGCAATCATACCCAGCAGCTGCTTGCGACGACTCTCGCGCTCCAGTCCGCTGGCGGATCTGGTCACACACTGCCTGCCAGAGCACCTGCGAGACATTGTAAGCCGACCATTTCGAGCTCGCCGCCCACCAGCCATATTGCCAGCCAGGTAATGGTTGACTGCCGGAAGCAATCTTACCGCGCACTAAGGTAGTGCGGGACCTGGACCAGCACTGATCTGTGGTGGATCAGGATCAGCGATTGGTTTGTACTCGGACGGCGGCGGCAGCTTTCTGTTCACGCCCGAGCTGCCATGTCGAGCCGTTGCTAACGACATACGGCTGCCCCGACCGCCGCGGCCTGCTGGCTGCTGCTGCTGCTGCGTGGACCATCCCTGTGTTCCTGGAGCATAGTTTGGCGTGCCGCGTGCACTGCTACCAACGCCGCTGTTGGGCCTGGCTGCCGCTGATCCGCGCTGCGGCCGCCTAGCCGGCTTGTTGCAGATTAGAAACCGACACACTGTGCGACTTTGTCGATCGTGACGTATATGCGGCTGCTTGCTCCTGCTTCTGAAGATTAATGATATCGGCTACTGCCAGCTTGCTCATGATGCAGAATGACTGGCGCGTGCCCTTCAGCGCCTTGGGGCAGCCCAGAAATGTCATAGACAAGCTCGGTCTTGTCGCGCATTCCGCGGCGTCGGAATGAGAACGCTGGGAACAGCGATGTCGGCAGATCAACGATTGGCTGATCTGGGTCGGTCAGAATCAGAGGGTTCTCGAGCAGCCGGAACAGCTCAGGCTTCATGGCACCGCACATTGTCGCCAGCACGCCGCGCAGCTCTTCGGCAAACCACTGCTGAGATGGCTGTAACCCTGGGAAGCTTCTGGCGGTGGTAGAGCACAGACTTTACCGAGTCCTCACGGCCCCAGTACTGGGCCATCTGCCGTGCCACCTCCATTGCGCGCACCTGCTGCTTGGACGCTTCTGTAAATGTACAGGGCGCTTTGGGTAGGCATGCATCGCGTGTATGAAGCAGTGCTGTGTGAGACTGGCCCAATGGCTTGGTGATCGTCAGTCACAGCCTGCTCGATCTGCGCATAGACCGTGGCTGGCCGCTGGGCGTTGATATGCGAGCTTGAGTGGTCCAGTGCTACCGTCGGGTCGGGCAGACTCATCAGCGGTGTCGCATGGGATGCCCAGCTGCTTGAAAGCACTGGATAAAGGATCTGTTCAGATACATAGTCGCCGAGCGCAGTCCAGTACACGCGCGAAATGTACGTGAGCAAACGGTCCAGGCGGATGGTGGCCCTGGTCCACACTGTCACCATAAACACCGGCTCGTTCTTGAACTCGATTGACCTGCTCCTTCATCAGATTCGTTCATGTTGGCTGATTTAGCTGGATCCAGCTTCAGGTGCCCGCGTGCCCGCTCAAACTGTCGCAGGTACTCCCCTAAACAACCTTGTCAGCTCTTCAATCGGCAGAGTGTCTGGTCCTGTCTGCTCGGCATCGCTGCCGGTGTCGCTGGCAGAGCTGCACGATGAACTCGGCGGGGTGCTATCGTTGGTGCGCGACCCAGACCGAGACTGTGCCAAGGGCGAGGGCGTGTGCGACGGGCGACGCTGAGCAAACCGGTGGTGGTGAACCAGGAGCTCAGGCGATGACTGGCTCTCCAGCGTGTCACTCATCAGTGGCACCTGCTGCGCCCCTTCGAGGCTGAGGTGGCTAGTAGAGCGCTGATGCAGCTGACGACGTCTGGCTCACACTTCTGCTTGCCGCCTGCTTGTCCGGATGTAGAGACGTTCTCCAGTCCCAGCCCCTGCTGGCTTCGCTGGTTCGTGACCACCAGCTGGTCTCTCAGTCTGCCTGATGCCGTGTGATGGCGACCGGTCACGGTTCAGCGGCAAAACTTGGACTACCGCGACACCCGATCCGATATCGGCCTTCTCGGGCGCAGGCTGGTGATAGCTTTTGGCGTTGAAGTTGTACATAAACATCATCTCACCAAGCTTCATGTTCCAGGGGGGCTCTCCATCGTCCTCCCACCCATCCATGACACGGACAAGGTCATCCCGCAGTACATCCTGGCACATGACTACCGTACTCGATCTCCTCAATCGATTCGCCCGGATAGTGCCTCTGCCGCAGGTGCTTATATGTGTGGCGTACTGCACCAAGCGCAATCTGTGACGGCGAGAATGGCTGCATTAGATCACCCAGTCGCCTGGCGGAAATGTGCGATGAGGTTGCGGATATCGTGCACAAACTGTGGCAACGGCAGGTAGACGATCGTGGGCTCGGGGTTGCAGTGCGGCATCAGAATCCCGACATCCTGACTGTTTAAGGGCACACGGCGAACCAAAGAGTCGGAGATGGACGGCATAGTCACCAATGCCGTGATTAGCTCGCCGATCTGCTGAATAAGGCTGCGTCGTCATCTCCTCACGCGGAGGCTCCACTCCGTAGATGCGCAAAACAATGCAGGGCATTCCGACCTTTCTTTGGCCCATCGACATCGGCGGCACCTGCCTCGCCAGGCTCCATCTGCCCTCTTGTCCTCATGTGGAGACTGCGGCGGCTGGGGCTTCACTGGACTGGTATCACCAGCTACGGTCGCCACTGACCGGTTCGTCCTGTGACTCCGTACGAACCGTGCTTGTGCCAGGCATAGTCGGTGACCGCGACAAGGCCGGCGGCATTAGCGGAGACGAGCTCGATACATTGCTGGGCGCCGGGATCGAGTTTCGGCCACGCTGGCCTTGAAGATTTGTCAAAGAGGACAACATGAACCGACTGCCGGTTGGCGAGCCCGGGACGGCCGATGGCGGCGCGGTCTCAGGCATATTGCGCCGACTGCCTCGGGTAAATATCGAGTCTGGACCCAGTACCACGCCGCGGTGAGCCGGCATAGAACGCCGTATTGCTGGATCCTGCTGGCGTCGCAGCCTCCGTCCGTGTCACAAGACTGGAAAGCGCTGCCTGACGACGTCGACTGATGCACTATATTGACTGTAGGCACTAGCGGCGATCGTTTGCGCAGACCAGCTGCTGCTTGCGTGCTGGCATTCAGTCCAGGTATCGGCAAACGTGCATGCATTGGCCTGGCCATAGGGCGTGAACGCCGATGGATCTGGTGACGTTGTAGCAACGGTGTGAGCCCCACTGCCTGGTAGAGCCTCGGCTGCATATACCTGGACTCGCCGAATCGCTGGTTGACTGGCCGAGCTCTGCAACTGCTGACTCAGGCAGCGCCAATTCGGCTGATCCCGGCTCTACCGTCGCATCCAGCAGAGTGCCGTCAGTATCACTAAGTATGCCTTCATCCAGACTGGCATAAAAGATCGACTGCCCATCGCGCACAAAGAACATGCTCTCCCGATTATCGATGCGGTTGTTGACCATGCCAGCAGAGATGACGGTCTGGATTGCAACTTTGGCACGAGTCCGATACTGGAGCGGGAACGTGGCCATGTATTGCTCGTCACACACGTAGTGGTCTGGGTTGTTTGGAATGAGCGGCTTGAACAGCGGACGCGATGTCGTATGGGCCACCGGCACTCAAGGCCTCAGGAGCAAGCTGCGGATGGCCGGATGTGGCTACAGATGCGGAGACTGCTGTAGCCGCTGTAGCCTGCTGCCGACATTGCTGCAGATATTGGCTGCGTGCCGGTAGCCACTGGCATGTCTGACTGCGACTCCAGCAGAACAGCCTGGCCTGCCTTCTTTTCTCTGCGCGATTTGTGGTCGGGCACAACCAGCATGCTCGGGCACAAGTGGGTTTCTGCCATCTCCTCCAGCAGTAGCCGCGTGTTTGCAGCCTGCAGCGCGATCCGTAGCAGCTGGCGAGTGGCAGCCAAGACATTATCGGCTGACTCGCCGGTAATCACCGAGTAGTTGTGCGTCAGGATCTGCACGCCATCGAGCTCCGGCGTGGGCTTGATCAGGAACCACGACGGAATGGCATCTGACAGAACCGACGCAGGCTCGGCAGGCTGCGCTGGCGGCTCGTTTGACCCGCATGCGCTCGCGTGCCTTGAGCCGGTCCGATCGACTGCGTATGTCGCGCATGTACACAAACCCGCCCAGCTCATGCAGCTTGCCGATGGGATAATGGCTCTGCGAGCCATGGTCCTTTAGCAGCTCGCGGATCACCAGATCCATCGCATGCCGCCGCTTCTGCATGTCATGCGGTGGGATCAGGAACTCAAGGTTGTTGCGGTTCTGCGCAAACTCAAGGTTGTCTGCGGGGACTTCGTCGTCGCCCGTAGTCGCAATTGTGTGCCAGACCTGGTTCAAGAGCGGCACAGTCACGGGGCTGATATCACGCAGCGCATACAGCGTCTCCTGGGCAAAGAACCGCACAATTTTGCCGTGGCATCCGCGCACCCGGTCCATCTGGTCTTCGGGCAGATTGTCTAGCGCGGTGAACTGTGCGTTGATGCTGTCCTTAGCACGTGACGCCGAAGGTGCTGCTACTGATCCCTTGGAGATCGAGTGCACGGCGCCCGAGAACAGCGACGACGGCGACATGGTCTTTGCAAACAGGTTAGAGTATCTGCTGCTGATCTCCAATGCGTCAGGCTTGGGTGGCAGGATCTTGGTGGGCTCTTCGGCTGGCTGCTTCTCACTGTCCTGTCTGCCCACCTCTTTGGGCAGGTACCAGCAGTTGATGTGTAGGATGACGCGGACGTCCATCGACGGCTCGAAATGGTCAGTAGGCGGTCGCCACGAGATACCTGCGTGTTCACACAGCTTGTCGAGCGACGATGGAAGCGTGTGAACGGGCTGGTTAAGGCGTCTTGTGTGGTTGTTGTCGCCATCAGTGACCTCGACTGAGTATTGGAAGTTGATCAGCAGCGGGTTGCGCGCCAGCTGCAAAAACACCTGCAGATCCAACTTGCGCTCTGCTGACGGCCTGCAGAAGTAGTACATTCCATGCTCTGGGTCCACGTCAAACGGCAGGGGCGTGAATGACTGCGCGATCAGATCACTGAACTTTTGCTGCAGGCTCGGGTGTCCCTGCGTGCGACTCTCGCTGGTCCTGCTCAGCCGTGCCACATCCTGGCTGTGAAGGAATGCAGTGATGTCGACGTCGATCGACCGCTTGCGCCAAAGCGACGACTGCTGCACAGCCAGCACATCTGCCGGCGCCACGGTGCGACCCAGCATCAACGCCAGATACACGGTCTGCATATATGCCTCCGAGTACATCTTTTCCAGCTTCAGGATCTCTGCCTGCGCGTGCTCTGTGAACGCAATCGGCACATCCTCTTGGCCAATGAACCCAGTATAGCTCTGCCCTCGCATGCGAGTGTCGGGGCAGTCGATGCTGAACGGCCGCAGGTTGAGGTTTGAGCGCTGTACTGGTCCCTTGCGCACATCGCGGGCGCGCACGTGCCGGTGCATTTCTGTGCTCTCCATGCTGCACTCGATTGCAAGTGTGTAGGCGTGGAGCTCGTTGACAGCCGAGAAATCGGTTGCACTATCAGACGACTCGTCGCCCCTGATCGACTTGTTCAGTGCTGGCGTAAACACGGGTGCCGCAGCAGGCTCTGACCCAGACCGTCGGTGCTTGACGAACGGCACTTCAGGCTTGTCCGCAGCCTTTTCTTCGCCATCGCTGCTGCATCTGCTGCCGGTGCTCCTCTCGCATGCTTGCTTCTTTCCTTTTGTCTTGGCCTTGCGCGACTCTTGGTTCTCAGGCACCGACAGCAGAATGTTGGGCAGCATGATCATGATGAACGACGACTTGTTGGGCAGCCGCACCACATACCATTTGTCCATGTACAGGTGTGTATCGAGCGCATTGGCCACGCCCGTTGCCTGACGGATCTCTGGGTTGTACTTGTTGAGCTCATCCATGATGTTCTTGCAGAAGAACAGGTTGGTGAACCGCTCGGCATTGACACTGACTGCATCGCAGTGGTCAAACAGCGCGATCTCGAGGAACAGCCGGTAGGCGACGATGGTGAACTCGCCGGTAGTCAGCCAGCGTGCCGACAGCTCGTTAAAGTAGATGCCCTTGGGTGCTGCCGTCATCTCGTCCAGCACAAACGGATTGTACTCGTTCTGCCTGTACTTGAGGATATGCGGGTCATACTTGTCGGGCGAGTCAGAGAACAGCGTCAGCATGAAGCGCTCCAGCAGGATCGCACGCCGCGGCTGTTGGGACGGAGGACCATGCCTCAGCACAATCTTCCCTGCTCGCGCCAACGTGCGAGCCTCCTCCTCCGAATGTGTCTGGAAGTACTCAGGTCCCTTGATGACCTGGACGATCTTGCCATCGTCATCCTTGATCTCCACGGTGATGTTCTCGTGTGGGTCTGGCTCAGGCGTATCGTCGACTGACGCATCATCCAGCACAATCCCTTTGCCGTCAGCACCGCGGCTCCACACCGACGATTCGGGCGTCACCATTGGGAGTCGCAGCAAGCGCAGTGCGAAGCGACTCGACTGGATCACCGCCATGGTCGAGAACATGTTCATGCGCTTGCTGTGGAACTCGGCAATATCGGGAACCTTGAGCTGGAAGCACCGCTCAGGCTGCAGGATCTGCTGGAACGTGCCTAGAGGCGCCAGCATGCGGAAGTCGTCTTCAAAGACTGTTCGGATGAACCGAGATGTGTAGGGCTCAAACCATGTGCGCGCTGTCACCGACGACTGCTTCATGTCCACAATCACCTGGTAGTGGCAGGCAATCAACACTGGCTCACCGTCGACTCCTTGGTGCTCGCGGTAGTATGTGATGCAGCTATCGTACTCGGACTCGTTGGGCCCTGATGGCAGCCCAGTGCTGGTGCCTGAGGCATTGATGACTGTAAAGTCCTGGTCAATGCGGTTGAAGCCAATCGCAGACGCCAGTCGGTGCAGCGCCTGCCTCACCAGCTCGCTGTCAGACCCTTCGCCACTCAGGTCGTTCTTGTTGCCCTCGCGCGCAAGGTAGATCCACCGCCATTCGACCAGATAAGCGTGCAGGTTCCCGATATCTCGAGTCGACAGAAGGTTGGGCGCTATAGACTCCACCACATCGTCGTTCATCGGCAGCAGGTGGAACGGCCTAGTAGCACGGACCACCGACTCGGGCATACCGTTGGCATACGGCGGCATGAACGTCTCGGTGAACGTTGGCAAGCAGTCCATGATTATTTTGCGCGACTCCACATTGCCGTTGAAGATGTTGAATGACACACGCAAGACCCAGTCAGTGACCATCCGCCACCGCACGATGGCAAACACGGGGCTGGCCAGCGACAGCCGGTACTTGTCGCGCAAGAACACAATTGACACATCCTTGTCCTTCAGCAGTGCCCAGGTGCCAGAGTTGCAGACGTGGGCCCGGAAGTCGCGCAGGATCTGCCGCCCGCGCTTGGACGCCTCCTTGAAGTTGACGCCGTATATGTGGGGAGAGATTAGGTCAGGCTCAATGAAAAGCGATGTGATATACTCGAACCCACACAGCGGCGTGATCGACTCGCTGGTTTTGTACATCTGCCGCATGACTTCGTACACCTGCTGGTGCTGCTGTGTCCAGTCCTTGAACTCCATAAACACGCTAAGGTCGACACCATCAGTGATCACTCGTGTGCCCGACGACCACTTCTCCTTGGTCAGGCGCGGCATTGCGTACTGCGGCGGGGGATGGATTGGCGGCGCCATCGGCACAATCGTCGGACTCGCCTGGATGGGCACAGTCGGCAGGCTCTTGACCAGCGAGTGGCTCTGAGCGCCGGTGGTGCTGCTTGATATGGCGATCGAGGACGGGCCGTATATCTGCCGCAGCTTCATGTCCTTGTCGTGGATCGATTTCAGGAATTCGATCAGCATGTTGGCCTTTGCATAGATCTCACCCTTGCGCGACCCATCCTGGCCATGTCGCAGAAACGCAACTCTGAACAGGCTATACGACCGAATCATAATATCAACCATGTTTGGGCTGCGCTGTCCACGATCGTCAATCGACACGGGGATGTCATTGTCGTCGTCATCATCACCGTCGTCATCATCATCACCAAAGCCCAGCGACGACTGTGTGTCGCTGCTGCCATCATCTCCATTGGCAGCAGCAGTCTCGGTCACTGGATACAGGCTGGGCGGCTTGCCCGCTACTGGGTCGCTGGCAGTCTGACCAATTTTGTGCGTGTTCGTGATGCGGTAGATGATGGTGATGTTGGGATGCCACACCAGCTCCATCTTGACGTTGATGCGCTCAGCTGCGCCGTTGCGATTCAGCCTGCCCACCTGCACGCTCTTGACCACAAATCCCTCATGAACACGGGCCTCAATCAGCAGGTTCATGCACACCGGGATGTTGTAGTCCGTATACCTCACTGTCACTGTGTCGACGACTGGTGGCCTACTATCGTATGTCCACGGGAAATCGCTGTCGGCACCTCTTGATGTCTGGCGTACCGAATCATTGTTGACAAGACGTTCGCGCGGCATGTCTGAAATGCGCCTGGCCCCGCACTGTGTCATATCGTACCTGTGCCGCGCCGATGCCCTGGCAAGCCGAGACTCTCCAATAAGCATGATCTCGTGGTAGAAATTGGCACGCTTGGGAACCACTACACTTGGGCAGTCGCTGGCGTAAATGAAGTGACCGTTGAGCGAAGCGGCCAGGAACAGCAGCATTTCGCTGTCACCCGCAAACCCCAGAGTCGCCTCAGGTGTGAACCCTCCCTGTGAGCCGACCTGCACAATTGTACACTGCGTGTTGCGGCGACTCAGCGAGCTCGCTACTTCCTGTATCTTGGACACCGAGAAGTTTGACTTTGTAACACCGTCGGTGATGTAGACGAAGGCAGGTGCACAAACTTCGGGCATTACCTTCAAAAAGTAATCGGCGATTTGGAGCACATGCAGGATAGGCGCGTCCGGATCGTATGTGAATGAGTGTGTGTCGCCGGGGCTCAAGTCGTGCGGTTCCTCAGCTGTCTGGGTGCCGCGGCGGTTGGGGCTACTGGTGCGCGGCTGGTTGACACGCGTGCTATGTGGGCTGAATACGCTCTGCAGGTCGAGCGGGATGGGTGGCGGCGGCGGCGGAAAGCTGCTCAGCTTGTCCTGCAGCTCGCACTCGTAGTTGTACAGAAAATTGCGAATGGTCTTTATGAACTCGGCCACATTGTTGCGCGTCACCATGTGCGCGTGTATAAGCGTGCGGCAGAACGGCAGCTTCTTTGTATCCTTCTCGACCGGATACGATCCTGGTGGTCGCGGACAGTAGCCGATAACGCTGGCACAAATTCTGGGTTCAACCTAGGAGTTTGGCGAGAAGGCGTCAGTACAAAACAGCTGCGCATAGCCCGCTTCAATGTCACCAGCAAATCTGCACCTACCGTGTAGTCTGGAAGCCCAAGCGACGATCGCACAACAAAGGGCTGAACCATGCCCATGACGCTCTTTTCAATAGTCTCGAGCCCAACCTCGACATGGGCGTTGTTGGTGTTTGGGTCCAGCGAATACATGCTCTGGCTGATATCCAGCACAAAAACGACGTTGTACTGGTGGTTGAGAATCCAAAAGATAGTCTCGTCGGTGAACCGGAACTTGCGGTCCAGACTGTTGTTCAGTAACGCGATACCTGTTGGCAGCAGGCTGCTCGACAGCCGATCCAGTCGGTGCGGTACGCCCCAATGGTGCCCATGGCGCAAGCTACTAGCACCGGTTGTTACTCCGCTGTTCCCACCTGCGCTGGTCGCACCACTGGTTCCTATGCCAGTGCTGAATTCATCTGTAATAATGTCGACAACTTCGAACCGCGGGTTTTTGAGTTCCTCCAGGCTCAGCGGTGTTTGCAGGGTTTCAAGTAGCCAGAGCGATTGGTCGACACGGCGAGAGTACGTGGCGTCTTTAGCCATCAAAACCACACCGTGGGCCACAGTTGCGCGCTCCGTTGGTGGCTCGTCATGCGGGCGAATTTGTTGCTGCTGTTGTTGCTGCTGCTGCTGCTGTTGCTGTCCTTGAGAAAGCGGCGGCGGCGGCGGCTTGCTGCTGTTGCCCATGGCTGCCGTGTTGCTGTGAATTCGGTGTGAATGTGTGTGTGCTTTGAAAGAATATGGAATGTGAGTTCGAAAATAAAGCAGAGGAAAATGACAGGTTTCAAAGTACAAAGAGTTCAGAATCGATGGTGTGTGATGATGATGCCTCTAGCAAGTCCAAGCAAAGTGCATTCGCAGCCCGCCCGATCTGATCACGCCTGTGGATCGGGATCAAGGACATGATGTGTTGGTGGCGCCTGGATACAAGAGCATGATCATAGCGGTAACGCCGCAAGCTGCGGATGCGTGAGAGCATTTTGGCTGTCATATTTGTAAGCAGGATGCGGCTTTGTCCGGCCCGCTTGCCCTCACCCGGACAATTCCACTTGCTCAGGAGCGCCGGGCTGCATCATGCACCCGAAGACAAGATTGTGTCAACTTTGACTGCTGCTGAGACTGGCAGCACCAGGTGTGCGATAACGGCACTGTCACTGTGCCAGAAACGGAGATGCCACCAGTGCTCGGAACATGGCAGATCCGCGGCAGGCTCAAGGCTGATGTCGCCATCTATGCTGGCGATGATACCATTGCATGGTCATCTGCTATCGGACATCCTGAACCCCCTTTGGACCTCTAGCGTTTTCTACGTGCCCAGTTGACTTTCCTTTTTTCCCTGCCAAATGTGATCGCCAGTGCTCAGATGTGCGCTTGACAAATATACGCGACGATTTTGTATGGTGCGCATGTCGCCCCGGATGGCGACATCTGCAATTAACGTCGCAGAGCGCCTGCATGGTCGCCCCCTCCTCCTCCTCGCTGCAGACTTGTCCCAGGAGCCCATCCAGCCCTAGTACGAGGCTTGTGGCACATCCTCTTGGGATCTCGTTACTTCTGGTGACCCTGCAAAAAACGGTGCTAGTGGCCAGGAGAGACAGTAAACAATGGCCGCGCACTGCCATGGCTGCATTCAAGGGGTCCCTGATGCGGTGGTGATGGTGGTCGTGGGCGACGAGAGAAACATCGGTTGAGAATCCTAGAGTGTGCCGCGGCAATTTGGCTGCCCTATCAGCGGACCAGTTAGCCAGCTGCGCTAATCATTTATTCCCTCACTCTTTTTCTCTGTTACTTTGCTGGGGGAACTTATTTGTCAGCGGGTCAATGTGGGTTTCTTTTTTGGCCTGCTCGTGTTGCTTGCGAGGTTTATAAGTGGCAGGGCCCTTCTCCCTCCTCCGGCTGCGCTAGCCTCGACTCTAGTAATTCCCAATTCCTCCTGCTTTTTTCTGCGCTTCTGAAAGAACCTGGGCTCTCTGCTGCTTTTCTCCCTGTAAATTTATCTAGAACTCTATTTATTCCATCTTTTCGAGCCCTTCGCATCCCACGCTTCTTAATACACAATGGGTCTTCTTTCGCTCGGCACTCCGCTTCCCTGGGATCAGGCCAAGAAACTGGCGCATGAGGTGCGCAAGCACGGAATCGAGCAGTTCCTCCACATTTGGCGCAACATGAAGGACCGCCAGAAGGACCGCCTGCTGTGGGGCGACGAGGTAAGTCTTTTTTGCCATCGCAGAAATTGGGCTTCTCAGAAACAGCAAAAGGCACTGGAACTGAATTGCTCGCGCTAGGTCGAGTACATGATGGTCTCGCTGGATCACACAAACCGTCGTGCGCGGCTCTCACAGCGCGCCCACGAGGTTCTGGCGCTCCTGCAGGTTGATGAGACTGAGCAGCTTGAGCGGGCCAAGCGCACAGGCGAAAAGCCCGACCTCGAGGCGCTGTGGCGGCCAGAGTTTGGTCGCTACATGATCGAAGGTATGTAGCAAAGGACACCAGTTTTCTGTTGCTCAGAGAAGATCGTTATCTTTTTTCGTGGCTCGGGTGGGAGGGGAGATTGGCCTGCGATAACTGCCAAGCACGATATTGACCGCGCCCAGGGTAAAAACTGCACACGGCCAGTATCAGACACCCCTCCCCATTCCTCAATGGCCCGCCTTCCAGACGCGATAGGCTGCCATTGCCCCGAGATGCAGTTCTCAGGAGATGCGTGCTTTTAATTTAAGCATGGTTCTGGCCAATGCCTGCCTGTGGCGATGGTGTTATCGGCCGTGCCACTTTGTTGCACTTGCTGCAGCCGTACAGCGTGCCCTAATGAGACGTGGATGAATGCCGCTCTCGCGGGTCAAGCTGGTCAGGCGGCCGGCACCGATGATCACACAGCGCCAGCCCGCACTCCCTGTCGCAAATGGAAGCGAGACATGGTGTCGGGGAGGACTCATCTGCGCCATGGGACTCAAGTCTTTTGCAATTCACAACCCCATGTAGGAACTCCGGGTCAGCCGTACCGCTCGACAGTCAACGACCTGGTCAACGTCGAGGCAAGCATGAAGAGAAGGTCGGTATTGTTTATTCCCTGGTTATTGCTGCTTGTTGGGGGGTTTGGACGATGTGCAACCACTAACAAGGAGGGATCGCGCCGAGCGGACCGCCTCCAGACAAACCCCGTATCTCTTTTTGGGGGAGCTGGAGGGACATAGGTCTGGGATTGGCTCGGTCCACCAAGCCCACTGGTGAGCCAGGCCACCGACGAGATCTGGGAAATCGGCGGGGGTGCAAAACTGTCCAGCTTGCCACTGGGAATGCCTTTCACACTACGGAGAAACCTGCGCGATCTCTATGCGTCTTTGTACCCGATGGAACTCTGCAGCCAAGGTCTGACACGCCTGCGGATAAGTTCAGAACTAGTGCACTAATATCCTCCCCTCTCAACTCACCGATGTAGACGCGAGATTGCCCAGCTACCATTGAAAGGACCATGAAGGTGCTGCTAACCATTACCAGCTATCCGGTGCTTGGTAGCGGCGATTTCCTGGAGCCACCCCACAAGGCAAACGGCACCTTCTCGCGCAGCTTGTTCCTGCCGGATGAGGTTATCAACCCGCACCCGCGCTTCCGCACTCTAGCCGCAAACATCCGCGAGCGCCGTGGCGCCAAGGTCGCCATCAACATGCCGATTTTCCACGACGTCAACACGCCGAAGCCATTCATCGATCCGACCATCCCGTACGAGCGCGACGTGTTCCCGGGCGATAAGGAGGCCAAGGAGGGCGCTGCTCTGCCTGACCACATCTACATGGACGCCATGGGCTTCGGCATGGGCTGCTGTTGTCTGCAGATCACCATGCAGGCACCTAATGTCAACCAGGCCCGTCGCTTGTATGACCAGCTGGCGGTTGTTGGTGCGGTGATGATGACGCTGTCAGCATCATCTCCGATTTTCCGTGGCTACCTGGCCGACGTGGACTGCCGATGGAATACTATTGCGGCAGCGGTTGATGATCGGACGCCGCGAAGAGCGCGGCGAGATACCGCTGGCCAAGGACCGGTTCGTCATCCCCAAGTCACGCTATGGCACCATCGACACATTCCTTGGCTCCGATGATGGGCACTTCAAGTCCGAGTACAACGACCTGGAGCTGGTCTATGACCGCGAGATCTACGCGTATCTGCTCACCCAAGGCATTGATGATCTGCTGGCCCGGCACATTGCCCATCTGTTCATCCGCGACCCGTTGGTGATCTTTGAGGAGCTGCTGCACCAGGACGATTCGGTCTCAGCCGACCACTTTGAGAACATTCAGTCGACGAACTGGCAGAACGTGCGGTTCAAGCCGCCGCCACCTAATTCGCCGATTGGCTGGCGTGTCGAGTTCCGCCCGCTCGAGATTCAGCTCACTGACTACGAGAACGCTGCGTTCTCTGTGTTTATGATCCTCCTTGCTCGTGCCTTGCTTGCATACGACATCAACCTCTACATTCCTGTGACCCGCATGGACATTAACATGCAGCGTGCGCACAACCGGGACGCTGTGCTGAACGAAAAGTTCTTCTTCCGTCGCAATGTGCTTGCCACGGGGGAGCCAGAGAGTGCACAGGATGCCGACGAGATTGCTGAGATGTCCGCTAACGAGATCCTCAACGGGTCAGACTCGTTTGTTGGACTCGTTCCGATTGTGCTCATGTACCTCGATACTGTCACGCTTGATGCCCAGGTCAAGAGCAAAATCCAGGAGTATGTTGCGTTTATCCAGGGCCGCGCCAATGGCTCGATCATGACCGGTGCAACCTGGATCCGCAATTTCGTCCGGACCCATCCCGAGTACAAGTTTGACTCGGTTGTGTCGCCAGAGGTCAACTACGATCTGATGGTTGCCCTCAACGAGATCGTCGACGGGCCGGCGCTCTGCCCCTGAGCTCCTCGGGGCGGCAGGTGCTGCTTCGGTTGCCTCCGATGTTTCTCACTGAACCTCTGCCTAATGGTACATTACATTACCGTCTTACATATTTTCGAATATACACCCAAATCACTTGTTATTTTGCACATCTCACGCATTGGTTGTCAAATTATACACGTTAAGGCATGTCGTGGAGAGGCACATCAAAATTAAACGTATACGACCAGTTGCAGGGCCCAGCTCATTCCAATGCTTTGTACGCAAACCATAGCAGTATTATTATTTGCAACTTTTGTCTTTTGTGTCTGCTACAAGCTGCGAAAGCATGCTGCAGCTATTGGCAAGAAGCTTCTGCGGACTGTCATATTCAACCGCTCTCCCTCTGTCAATCACTAGGACCCTGTCGCTATCAAGCACGGTGCTCAGACGATGGGCAATTGTCAAAACGGTGCAACTCTTGAATTCTTTGCGGATCGTCTGTTGAATAGCAGTGTCGGTGGATGCGTCGATCGCCGAAGTTGCTTCGTCAAGAACCAAGATCTTGGTTCGCCTTAAAAGTGCGCGTGCGAAGCAGATGAGCTGGCGCTGGCCGACACTGAAGTTTTCGCCCCCCTGGGTGACAACAGACTCTAGGCGTTCATTCTTGGAGCGAATAAATTCGCCCATGTGCGAGTTATCTAGTGCACGCCATATTTCACCGTCGGAGTAGCTGCCAAATGGGTCCAGGTTTTCGCGCACAGTACCAGAAAACATCACTGGATCTTGTGGGATGATGGACACACGGCTGCGAACGTCATGCAGCGGGCATTTGGATATATCTTGGCCATCAAGCAAGATCTGCCCAGAGTCAGGCTCGATGATGCGGAGCAGGGCCAAGGCGAGCGACGACTTTCCAGCTCCTGTTCGTCCGACAATGCCAACCTTTTGGCTTGGAAGGACCTTGAACGACAGATCATTGAGCACAGGATCCTAGGTCTTTGCGGTACCTGGTGGAGTAGTTGCGGAATTCGATGTCACCTGTCTCAGGCCAACATGGTGGGCCCGAATGGCCACTGGCGGCTACTTGCTCCTCACTTTCCAGGAATGAATAGTCTCGAAGTCGTTCGACAGATACCATCGACATCTCCAACAATGCAGAACTCCGAAGGCAGATGTTGACCATCCCAAGCATTGACATGGCATATGTCAAAGTCAAGCTGGCAAATCCGCTATCGATGCGGCCCGAAAAGTGCTGTATCCCGACAAGCATGAATGCAACAAAGAGCAGAATAGCCACACATATAGAGTCAAGACGGAAGATCAGCCATCGATCGGCACATTCATAGGTCCACAATGCCGCCATGTACCTTTCGATTTTTGCCTCGGAGCTAACCTCGAACCGTCTCTCCTGCGAATACGCCCTAATCGAAACTGCACCATGCACAGCTTCCTCGATGCCGGTGATAATCGTATCACGCGATTTGTTTATGAGGCGCCGGACATCCCGGGTGGCTGGTATAGACCGCTTCTGGATAGAGACAAACAGGTATACCAGCGGAGGAAGGAACAGCAGCGAAAATAAGGAGGTCATGGATATCAGGATGATCGAAACTGCAATCCCGATACCCGACTGAACCCAGATATCAACGCATCCAGGAATTACAATATCCACCTTTGCTAGATCGCTACCGAACAGTCCTAATATCCGGCCGGTCGGAATAGAATCCAGGAGCGAGATGGGTACCTGGAAGATGCTGTGAAGGATTTGGGAGTGAATGCGTCTTGAGCCATCTGATGCACAGACGAGCCAGAGCAGAACCAAAGTCACCATACTGGAAACTCCTGAACCAGCACCGATTGCTGCATATATCAAAAGGTGGTAGAGCGAGTTTACTGGTTGGCTTGGCTGCTTGTTCTCCTCGTTAGTATGAGCCCAGTGTGCCAACCAAAAACTGCCGCCCATCACCAAGAGCATAGTAGCAATGACTGACAGCAAAAGCCACGCAACATTTTGCGCTCCACATGCCCGAACATAGTGTCGAAACACATCCACGCCAACTTGGCCGAAATGCTCCACATCGTCCTTGATAATGACATGTTCACCAGTAGCACTTGTATGAATGCCACGATTGTTGTCAACCCAGGTACTGTTGCGTTCAGCTCGGCCAATGGTGCATTGCCTGCCTACGACGTTTGCTTCAGCAACCATAGATGTACGCTCGGCTACAGCAGGCACCCAAATACCAGTCTCTGCGGCTGGTGTGGTCGATGAATGCATGGTGCACACACCATCATCCTTAACTCCTTGCATGAACCGAAGCACCTCTCTGGGGAAAATTAGTGGTTTGCGTGAAGGTACCATATGTCACCAAACGGCCGTCTTGCAGCAGCAGCACTCGATCAACGCCACGAAGGTCCTGCAGATTGTTGGTGGCAAGGATGCGGGCCCGGTTCCTAAGAAGACCCGTGGGGCCCAGCACATGGCTGAATATGTGCTTGCCAACCTGGACATCGACAGCAGAAAGAGGGTCGTCAAGCAGATATATGTCAGCACGCGCATATACTGCTCGAGCAAGGGCAACGCGAGCCTTTTGTCCGCCGGACAAGTTGAACCCCTTCTCGCCAATCTCGGTCATATCACCGCCAGACATCGTCACAAGATCAGCACGCAGCGCACACGCATCGATGACCCTGTCGTAGAACTCCTGCTCGAGTTTGTTGCCAAACAAAATATTGTTTCTGAGCGTGGTGTTGACGATCCACGGCTGCTGCGGCACAAAAGCGACTGACCCACACAGAGTCGCTGAGCCAGCAGTCTTGACCAGGTCCCCCAATAATGCCGAGATAATCGATGACTTTCCTGAACCGACTTTGCCGATGACAGCAACTAGCTCCTCGCGACGGCATTCAAAACTAATGTCCTCCAGGGCCGTTCCCTCGCACGCATTCCATTTGAACGAGGCGCCGGATACATCTACCAAAACATCGTTTGCTGAAGCTGATTCCCTATATCTATCGTACTCCAAGCGGCTGATGGCTTCAGGGTCGCGATCAGGACACATGAGGAAGGCGTTCAGTCGATCGTAAGACCTGGAGGCAGTGACGAATGATGACAGAGCCCGTGGCCACCCCGACACAGGCTCCTGGAGCAAAAAGAACAGAGAGAGAGAGACAAAGATCAGCTGCGACGTAAGCGGGCCGTGGCTCTCACACCCAAATATCATGTACGCACCAAAGGTGCCGAGTGTAACAACAATCGATGTCAGCCCGCCTGTAAAGGCAATCAGAACCTTCGATACGCCCATCTTCCGCACTGCTGCCAGCTCCTCATTGTTGCGAATGCCTTCGATCTTTGCCATAAATGCGCGCTCCCATGCATATAGCTTTACTGCCTTGAAATTCCCGATCGCCTCGCTGACCATCCGCATCCGTTTGTCGCGGAAGCGCAGGAACTGCTTTGTGCTGGTACCGATCGCACCTGGCTAGGCGGAAGCCCAGAACGGCATCAGCTACAAGCAGCACCACCCCGACCAGACTGCTCCATCCGATAGTTTTATATAGCATATGCATGAGTATGATAGCCTGGCAGCGGATATACCCACAGCTCATGCGCATGTCGGACAAATGAGGAAAACTGCTCAATGTCGACACTTATATAGGCCACTATCTGGCCAGTAGAAGTGTTTGGCCTTGGTCTCGTTTGACATCCGAAGCACCTTTCGGTACACAAGCGCCGACAGTGTCTTGATAAACTGAAGCCATGGGTGCACGGTATATTCCCAGTACGTCTGAGACAAGACTGTTTTGCCCATTCCTGGTACTGCCATACACACACAGAGCACCAGTCCGTACTCGACCGAACGATCCTCCGGAGTGCCTGGTCGCCTGGAAATATTGTATCATCACCTTGAGCACAATGGGCTGCATGGCGCGGCACACATAAGTCAGGAGCAGACATACACCAGAGATGGCAAAAGCGGTGGTATGCCCCTTGCACAAGATCCCAAGCAAAGACAGTGGCTGTTTGCGGAGCTCCTTGTTCAGGCTGCTGAGAACCATGGATGGCATGGTCTGTCTCTGAATCCAAGCTTGGTGTCTGGAACAAATTGTCTGCAATTCTGCTCTGCTTTCGGTGACAGTCATCGATCACCGGACGTCGCCCAGGAGAAGGAGATCCTCGAATAGATGTGTGCATTCCCATATATATACGGCCCACCGTCATCGTTCAGCAGCAGAAGCGGATTATCGGGTGCAGCCCTGAGCTCAAGGCAGAACACTGCAAGCGCTGACAGCAAGTAAAATATCCGTGATACCAGAAGTGCGAGGTGATCGACACTTGCTTCATGTCTCAGCAAACACAGTGAGAGAACTATCGACGCAGGCCAGTACAAGAGTAAGAAATCGGAAGGATATATGCTACGAGTATGCTGTATGTAGTGAAGGAGTAGTGACGCTACAGATGCGCAGGCTTGGGCAATAGGAGCCAAGCAGGCCAAGTGGATTCAACTGTGTGATGCGTGACCATTCGTAGATATCGACCAGGGAGAGAAAAGTAGCTAGGGTTACTAGGATACACTTTGCTTGTGTAGCCAGTAAAGGGGGTTGGAACGAGCGGTCGACAGGAGGTTCGCCTAGCAACCCGCACTGCATGGACTCCAAGAACCATGGCCGCGATGGCTCCAAACCCAAAAAGACACGGCGCTTACCCAGCTGTCCATAGAAGAGTGCAATAAAAGCTGTTACAGAAATGCAGTGAAGGAAAGGGCGTGTTGTTGTGATTTCAAACTATACGGAAGGTAATCGGATGTCGTTCATACTTGCTTTGCAACTCAGGGCAGTCGAGAGGTTTGTGTTGCATTTATAGAGTAGGCGTTGTGGTGGTGATCGTGAATCTGCAGGATCGCTGAAATTTGCTGATCTGTCGATGAACAGGTAGCCTGCGGAGGGTTGCCTTGAGGTACTGGTGTGTCTGTTGTGGATATCGAGAGTGGTCACTCGCTACTAAAGTATATTAAACCCAGGTACTGCGCGATGGTGATGCACGGTGCTAAGGGTATATTCCAAAGGGTCTGCTTAATCTGTATCTACCAGACTTATGGCCCTCGCGATGCAAGCTCGGCTAGTCAGTATGGTTTAGACAGTCAATAAGTGTGGCAGGAAATCTACCGCAGGGCTTCATGGTCTGAGGCCGATAGCAACTACCCGGAAAGTTCAAGAAAGCTCTTGTTGAGGGCTTGTTTTGGGGGCTTGATCGGCACAGGCCACGCTACTTTGGCTCGTCATTGCTGGCAGCAGCTGGGCACTTCTTAGCTTGCTTGACTTGCTTGCAGTCTGGGTGACAGCAGACCCATCGGGGGCAGGGTCGGTAGCAAAACCTTGCAAGAGTATTGCCTGTCTGGCACAGCAGGAGGTATGTGCCCAAGAGAACTCAATGCAGCCAGCCTGTAGGTATGGCATAGCTGACGTTTATCGCGGAAGGCTGCAGAACAAAAGTGGGGCTTCATCCCACTGCCCAAGGCAGGTGGTTCTTGCATAGTCAGACGTATCCATCGAGTGGTTGCCGATGCACATTCATCGGGTCGAGCCCCGCACTGAGGTATGGCATGGCTGGCAGCTACGAGGATTAAATAACGGAATCTAAAGGAGGGGTTTGTAGGGATATCGGAATGTGTGGAAGGAAGCTGAAGTATTAGAAAAGGCAGATGGACGCAGGAAGGGCTGCTTTTATATGTAGGATATGTGTTGGCCAGCAAACCAATGATTCCTTTTTTGAGCACTCTCATAAAACAATGAGACCGACTGCGGGTCGGTGTAGACAGCCTGTTATCATCCCCACCTGACTTAAGCCCATGGTTCCAAGTCCGAGTGCCGAGGATGTGGAGGTGGAGTGGTTTGTTTATTACATTACTGCATCTACAAAATGCGAACTGACATGAATGGTACTTTGATAGAACCAAGGTTCTAGGGCCTGATGTTTCGAGTGCTTTGAAGACATATATTTGTCGCCTCAGGATCTGAACCCATCGACCAAAAGATAGTACTGTTAAGAGTTTACAGGGCGAGCCACGCATACTCGCTGTGAGGCTCCAAAAGAGCGTGGATGTTTTCAACTAACTAAAAAGGTTCTAGCGGATGGTCGAGCATTTTTGGAATATTAAATCTTCTATGAAGGATAGAGATTTTGGCATTATTCGCTCCCATAGCAATTTCACGCTTTACTGAGCAGCACCAATACAACGAGAAGGCAATGTGTTTATTCGATGGGCATACTACCTCTGGGATGGTGCGCAGAGATACCAAAAAATGGCTCCGTAAGAGCAATCAGCGATGCCACATAAGGAGCCAGCTTTACAGTGACCACTTAGAGCAGCATCAACCACACCAGCCACCTTAGACATGCATTGGCCCTAGCGCCCAAGAGACCGCTTATTTCAAGCTCTTCGTCTGCTCGCTTCCATCGACAGCTTCTTTGTGCACTCCGTAAGACATCTGCCAGGGCGTGGCACATAACCTACCCCAACCTGACACTCAGCCCTACACTGACGCTCTTCATACGGCAGTGGTTCCCTAGTTTCGCCAAGCTACCAAATTTTTTGTGTTTTCACACCCAACAATAACACGGCTCGCTCTACCCCGCTCTCCCTGCACACCAGCACCATCGGAGGGCTATTACGAGGAAGGCCGAAGCAAAGAAAAGACACCTAGCGAGTTCCCTGCAGCTCTGCCACCCCTACAGGCAATCGCAAAGCTGGCTCGAGCCTTCGCATAACTCCAGGCTACTCTCACGCCTGCGCCATCCTAATCGCACGGAAGGGGTTCAGTAATTAAAAATGCGCAGATCGCTGAACCGCCAAATCGCCCTTCCAGCTCGGCTTCGCACGCCTTCTAGAGCAGCGCCGAAACCGGGCGGTATCATGCCCTTTTGCTCTACAAAATTCTGTTATCCGCGCTTTCCAGCCAGCACTTTTAGTCGCGCTTTACAAACCCCGCCTGCAGGCCTTTCAGTACGCTATTTCCACTCATCACAGATACTCTCTATAAACGCACCGCTATCAAGCATGGCTGAAGAAAAGACCGCATCACCGACCACTGGCGTCCGTCTGGACGGCAAGGCCATCTCGGAGTAAGTTCCCTGATATGCGACTACTGCATAGACTGTTCCTTTTCCAGCCCCGCTCTTTAGCCACTGATGACCAACACGCATTTGTTTGTACCGCTAGGGCTGTCCGTTTGGAGCTCAAGGAAGAGGTTGCGGCATTCAAGAAGCAGCACCCGACGTTCAAGCCCAAGCTGATGGCAATTCAGGTCGGCGCCCGCAGCGACTCGAGCGTGTACATTCGACAAAAGTCCAAGGCGTGCAACGAGGTGAGTATTCAGCAAGCCATGCAGCCCTGATCCGGGGCCTCCTGCTGGTTTGCAGCAGAGCACCCAGCGGAGCACCTAGTGGAGCACCTAGTGGAGCACCCCGCGGAACTGAAGGGGGGATAGAGAATGCGCCAATATGCACACGACAATATTGCATGCACATCCCTGGCAGCCACCCCCTTATCCACCTGGTGGACAGACACGAAAGCAATCCAGCCACCAATTGTCCACTGACGGCAGCTTGTTTTGTAGATCGGCATTGACTTTGAGCACGTCCAGCTCGACGAGAATATCCAGCAGGCAGAGCTGGATGCCCGCCTGGACCAGGTCAACAACGACCCATCGGTACACGGGATTATTGTGCAGCTGCCGGTGCCCGACCACCTCAACACCAAGCATATTGTGCATTCGATCCTTCCCGAGAAGGACGTCGACGGATTCCATGCTGAGAACATCGGGCACCTGTCGAAGCGGGCCACTGAACCGCACTTTTACTCATGCACGCCGCTCGGCTGCATTGAAATCCTGGAGCGGTACAATGTGGAGATCGCTGGCAAGAACGCAGTCGTGGTTGGCCGCAGCGACATCGTTGGCTCGCCAATTTCCATGATGCTGACTAACCTGAATGCCACAGTGACGCTGTGCCACAGCCGCACCGACGACATCGAGAGCAAGGTGCGGGGCGCCGATATTTTGGTTGTGGCCATTGGCAAAGCCGAATTTGTCAAGGCCGACTGGATCAAGCCTGGAGCCGTTGTGGTTGATGTTGGCATGAACGCCAAGGACGATGCAACCAAGAAGGCCGGATACCGGTGGGTCGGCGATGTCGAAGCCTCGGCCATCGAGCGCGCGTCGTATATGACCCCTGTGCCTGGCGGCGTCGGCCCCATGACGGTAGCCATGCTGCTGCGCAACGTAGTCACCAGCGCCAAGCGGTACTTTGAGGAGACATCGAAGGTCAAGATTGTGCCGAGCGCGCTGACGTTGCTGGATCCTGTCCCTAGCGATATTGCGATTGCCAGCGCCCAGAAGCCGAAGCTGATCGCACAGGTCGCCAGCGAGCTGAACCTGGCGCATGCCGAGTTCGAGCCGTACGGAAAGCACACGGCCAAGGTCACTCTCGACGTCATTGACCGCCTCAAGGATAACAGCAACGGGCGCTACATTGTAGTCACCGGTATCAGCCCGACTCCCCTTGGCGAGGGCAAGTCTACAGTCACCATTGGCCTGTCGCAGGCGCTGTACGCCCATCGCAACAAGCCAACATTTGCGTGTGTACGCCAGCCGTCGCAGGGACCCACCTTTGGCATCAAGGGCGGTGCTGCTGGCGGCGGCTACTCGCAGGTGACTCCGATGACGTCGATGAACCTGCATCTGACCTGGCGACATCCATGCCATCACCGCTGCTAACAACCTGGTGGCAGCTGCCGTTGACGCGCGCTTCTTCCACGAGAACACGCAGACTGACACGCAGCTGTTCAACCGCCTGTGCCCAAAGAAAAAGGGTGTGCGCAAATTTGCTGATATCATGAACCGGCGCCTACAGAAACTGGGCATCGACAAGGCCACCCCCGAGGAGCTGACACCCGAGGAGATCTCCAAGTTTGTTCGTCTCGATATCGACAAGGACAACATCATGTGGCGCCGCGTCATGGATACCAACGACCGGTTCCTGCGCGAGATCACCATCGGCGAGGCGGCCACCGAGCGCGGCATGTCGCGCCACACTGGCTTTGACATCACCGTCGCCAGCGAGATCATGGCTGTACTTGCGCTGGCCACATCGCTGGGTGACATGCGCGAGCGTCTGGGCCGTATGGTGGTGGCCATGAGCAAGCAGGGCGAGCCGGTCACGTGCGACGACATTGGCATCACCGGCGCTCTAGCTGTGCTGATGAAGGACGCGATCAACCCGACCCTGATGCAGACGCTGGAGGGCTCGCCCGTGTTTGTCCACGCTGGACCCTTCGCCAACATTGCCCATGGCAACTCGTCGATTGTCGCCGACCGCATTGCGCTGAAGCTGGTTGGCGTGCCTGCTGGCGAGCTCGTGACCCCCGAGAACTCTGGGTATGTTGTCACCGAGGCCGGCTTTGGCGCCGACATTGGATTCGAGAAGTTTGTCAACATCAAGTGCCGTGCCTCGGGGCTGGTCCCGGATGCTGCTGTCATTGTGGCCACTGTGCGTGCACTCAAGATGCACGGCGGAGGCCCTGCGGTGGTTCCTGGCAAGCCGCTGGCTGACGAGTACACGCAGGAGAACCTCGACCTGCTCGAGAAGGGATTTGCCAACCTGCGCCGGCCACATTGAAAACGTGGGCAAGGTTGGAATCCCGGCTATCGTCGCTATCAACGCCTTCTCGACCGACACACCGGCAGAGCTTGCGCTTGTCCGCAAGCTGGCGCTTGAGGCTGGCGCGTACGATGCGATCCCCGCCCACCTGTGGGCTAAGGGCGGTGCTGGAGCCGTGGATCTGGCCGATGCCGTCATCAAGTGCTGCGACAGACAAGAGGAGAGCCAGTTCAAGTTCCTGTACGATGTGGAGCTGTCCGATCAAGGACAAGATCGAAACTATCGCCCGGGAATTCTATCGCGCTGGGTCGGTCAGCTTTAGCGAGCAGGCCGAGAAGAAGCTGGCCGAGTTTGCCAGGAACGGCTGGGACAAGATGCCTGTGTGCATGGCCAAGACCCAGTACAGCTTCTCGGCCAATCCCGAGCTCAAGTGCGCGCCCGAGGGCTTCGATCTGCCTATTCGCGATATCCGTGCCAGCCTGGGTGCCGGCTTCGTCTACCCGCTGTGCGGTGCTATGCAGACGCTCCCGGGTCTGCCCACGCGCCCGTGCTTCTACGACATTGACGTCGACCCCGAGACCGGCGACATCAAGGGCCTGTTCTAAGCACCTTCATAGGTTTTTATTCGACTTGGTTTAAAAAGAGCTGCCAACTACTTCTGTATACCCGTACCGCTCCGGATGAACCGCTCTGCTGCTGTTTTGTCGAGCTGCATTGGCCGCTTCTCTGCCTGCGCAGTGCCCTTGGCGGCATCAATCTTGGCCATGTGCCGCTGGATTCGCTGCAGCTCCTTCATCACCGGGTGTTCCTTCGGCGGCACGCCGTTGGCCTTCATGTATATCCAGAACAGGGTCTCAATCGAGTATGCGACCAGGGCCGATAGCTCGCACCGCTGTAGCGCCGTCAGCTTTGGCAGCAGCTCGGCCATTCCGTGGCCCAGAATCGGCTGCAGCGAAGCCTCGACCCTGGCCAGCTCAGCCGACAGCTTGTCGACCGACTTTTGTACTTTAGCGTCTGACATTCTCGAATATGTATACGTGCGAGCGTGGGGGAATTGAGGTCGGAATATAATACAGAATTTGGGCGTCCAAGAGTGCAATGGGAGGTTTAGAAAGGAAAAAAGTTTTGGAAAAAATATACACTCAACGCAGAAAGATGATCCATTGATTTCACCACACTGGCCAGGGCCACGCTGTAGGGCCAAGAGCCTGTATCATGGCTGGCAGCAGGCCATCGCTGCGCACGCATCCACGCCCCTGTGCCGCAATTTCCAGAGACTGCTGAAGCACCGTGGCGGGATGTGCTGGATCGCTTGCCAAGAGGCCCACGGGAGCCGCTACTGCGCTGCACAGCAGCAAGAACGAAAGCTGAAACAGCTCCAAACAGACAAAGAAAGAATATGTGGGAATTTATTTGGACAGGAGGATAAGAAGGAAAGCTATAGAGCTCAAATCTACGAGCGCTCGCCACGCAGACGGCGTGCAAGCTGCAGATCCTTGGGCTGGATAGTCACGCGGCGGCCATGGATAGCAGCCAGGTTGGTGTCCTCAAACAGCGACACCAGGTACGCCTCGGCAGCCTCCTGCAGAGCAGCAATGGCCGACGACTGGAAGCGCAGGTCGGTCTTGAAGTCCTGCGCAATCTCGCGGACCAGGCGCTGGAACGGCAACTTGCGGATAAGCAGCTCAGTCGACTTCTGGTACCGACGGATCTCGCGCAGGGCGACGGTTCCGGGCTTGTAGCGGTGGGGCTTCTTGACGCCGCCGGTGACGCCGGGGGCGGACTTGCGGGCGGCCTTGGTGGCCAGCTGCTTGCGAGGGGCCTTGCCTCCCGTAGACTTGCGGGCGGTCTGCTTGGTACGGGCCATACTTTTAATAAATAGAAAGAGTGTAGGAAAATATAATAGTATGAAAAATACGCAAGGTGATGGAAAGTGGAAAGAGAAAAAAGGTCCATGTCCTTGAGCGAGCGGGGAGCTGCTACCCCCGAAAATGGCCACAGCCTTCGCGACATCTTTGGCGCCAGAAAAATTCGCAAAAAATGGCTGGCGCAGCCTTGTCAATGGCCGAAGGACATGGGCCTGTGATATATCGTGGGTTGCGACCCAGCCAATGGATTGCCGTATTCCAGCAGCCGCAATGATGCGTGACCCGCCTATTCACACATTCCGCACCGCAGTGAGGATGGAGCTGGTTGTCAGTTTTTCTCTCACTTGTGCCGTCAGCTGACTGCATGTATTCTGCTGTTCAATACATAACATGCACATATTAGAAAAAAAAAAAGGATTGCCCGGCTTGTGCGCGGGCGCAGTACGGAAATGTTGGGCATTGACGTACCGGCGGCATCGCCTGCTGTGGCAGCAGTGGGCGCGGGTTGGCGGCGGCCAATTCCCTCCCCCTTCCCTACGCCCGGAAAGCCATGTTACTAACCCCTCCAGCCGCAGTAATCTGCCCACAAAAGCAATGCACTGTGTCCGCTTTTCCCAGCCATATTTCCGTGGCTCCTCCACCACAACTGCTAATAGTTGGTCGGCAGCACCCGTCCTACTTTCTTTTCATTTGGCGCTATATCGGTGGAGGGGCGAAAGATACTAGCGGAGTTTAGGGCGTTACCGGATGCCGTGTAACCCGTTGCTGTTCGGGCTGGCCCATTAATGCTATTTGCCGAATACGCCCTGAAAAAGTATTGGGACACTCGGCGATAGCATTCAATCGCCGTGCGCGTAGACACGGCGCGGCGTATTTCTCCAAATGGAAGCCTCACGCAATGGTGGTGTAAAGGATATGGAATGATGTATGTGGTTCGGGAGTAAGCTGCTATACGGGTTTTGTTTGCCACCATTGCATTTGACAAAACACGTCCATGCAGCTGCCAAATATACACATACGCCACACAAGAAAATTGGGAATGCGCTAAACTGTCACTTCCCTGTTTGCATGCATGTTTAGATGTGCATATGTGCGCTATGCTGGGCTTCACGCCAGGCTACCTTGTAGAACAAAAACTGCTTAAATACGTTTGCTGTTGACTCGTCCACCTTGATATCTGCCAGCTGCACTGCTCTCTTGCATACTTTGCTCTCGCATACTCTACTCTCTTGTCTCATTCTTTCTTTCTTGAAATAATATGCGTTCACCGATTCTCGCATTTGTTGTCGTTGCAGCTATCGCCGCAGTGTCGTCGGCAGCACCGCTTTCGAGTAAAGCAACAAACAGTGCGGACAAGGGATTCCCGTATGGACAGACTACTCCGTACCCTGATCGCGACTGGCCTGTCAACGTCCTGTAAAAAAAATGGCACTGGGTGCCCTGACTTTCCGTTTTTCTCTAATAGCCGTTCAATAAAAGACATATTACTTCATCGTGCCCTTTCAGCTGCTACTGGCCTGAGGGGAAATGGATGTTGGCGGAAGGCGTTCATGTAAGCCTTCCTATTGATGCTCGGTCCTTTGTCGCCAGTGATCAGTGCAGCCTTGCAACCTCCGCATGTTGGTGCTGCTTGCCAGACATGGCGCCTCGGCGGCAATGCAGCAGCTTTGAGCGAGCCGCTACTACTGCGAGCCACGGCTCGGGCACCAGAATCGACATCGAGCCAACGTCATCTAGTTGCTGGGGTTGCTGCTTTTATTCCACTTCCATTATTTCTCGCTTTAACCGCAGTCAATTTTCCGCCGTTGTTATTGCAAATTTCAAAGGAATGGTGGTTACAACTACAGTGCGTCCCGCCGGAGTCGAGCGGTTCCTCCAACTCGAGGCTCCTCACGTGGAAAACTTTGAGCTTGTCAATGAAGCGGGCGAAACGCCGCAGGACCTGTTTGACAAGGCCATGATTCTTGTTATTGGTGCTGGTGGCCTTGGCTGCGAGATCCTCAAGAACCTGGCGATGACGGGGTTCCGCAACATCCACGTAATCGACATGGACACAATCGACGTCAGCAACCTGAACCGCCAATTCCTATTCCGGCAGAACGACGTTGGCCGGCCCAAGGCAGAGGTGGCAGCCGAGTTTATCAAGCGGCGGTCGCCAAACGTCAGCATTACGCCGCACCGCGCCAAGATCCAGGACATGCCAGAGGAGTTTTACATGCAGTTCACCCAGGTAATTTGCGGTCTGGACTCAATCGAGGCAAGGCGGTGGATCAACGCGTACCTGCACAGCCTGGTGGACTCGCATGGGTTCGAGGGGTTCAAGCCGATGATTGATGGCGGCACTGAGGGGTTTAAGGGTAATGCCAGAGTTGTTTTGCCGTCAATTAGTGCGTGCTTCGAGTGTGGGCTGAGCTTGCACGGCGCCAAGACGACGTATCCGATCTGCACCATTGCCAATACGCCGCGACTACCCGAGCACTGCATCGAATGGGCGTCGGTGCTCGAGTGGCCCAGGGTGTTTCCAGACAAGAAGCTGGATGGGGACAACCCAGAGCACATCACATGGCTGGTCGATCGGGCGTCGGAGCGAGCCAACAAGTTTAACATCTCGGGAATCACGTACTCGCTGACACAGGGCGTGGTGAAGAACATCATTCCGGCAATTGCGTCGACCAACGCGATTATTGCGGCGGCGTGCACGAACGAGGCGCTGAAGCTGGTGACGATGTGCAACCCGATGACTGACCAACTACATGTTTTATTCAGGCGACATTGGCATCCACTCGCACACGTTTGAGCTTGAAAAGTCGCCCGACTGCCTGGTGTGCGGCAACCAGCAAGCAGTCGGTGCAGGTGGCTAAGGATCGCAACGCTGGAGGAGCTGATTGAGCAGCTCAAGGAGGACTCGGTGCTGCGCCTGAAGGCACCGACGCTGACGTTTGGCACGGCCAGCCTCTACTTCCAGAATCCGCCAGCACTGGAGGAGGAGACCAGACCGAATCTGGCCAAGAAGGTAGCAGAACCTGGTGCCGGACCAGTCAACATTGACAGTCACAGATCCGACGCTGCCAACCAGCCTCGAAGTCACTGTCGGTTTTGCATAAGGTGCGGTCGCCATAATTATGTCGAAAGGGCGAAATTTCGCTATGTAGCAGGCTATATGTGCGCATATGGTTTGTTGGGCAATATATCAATTTTTACGGCCTATTTCTTTCTCGATGGATATCACGCTTGAACGGCCGCCATTTACAGTCGGAGGCATTGCATACACGAGCAGCAACAAGTGGGTGGTTGGGACATGCATGCGCGTATTTGTCATCATGCCCGAGCTTACATTTGAGGGCGAGGTGCCCAAGCAGCGCGAGATGACGGTAGGGATTGAGGCTGAGCAAAACATTGAGGGATTCAGTATGCTCACTGCATGCCCAGGGCTCGCCGCTGACTGGAGACACGCTGGTGCTGCTGGCCAGCGACTCATCGATCCGCGTGTTCATGGCGCCTGGGAACCAGAGTGCGCTGGAGTGGGATGAGGTTGCCCGGCATGGGTTTGGATATGGGGACCGGCATGCTTGTTCGGTAGCAGCGACGTCAGTTACCTGGCAGGGCAGTGCGGTGCCGGTGGTAGCCGTAGGGACGATGGGCGGCAGTGGTGTCGCTGGCTGTTATCCAGGCAGCAGAGCCGGGGGCATTGGAGGTAGCTATGAAGCTCGAATTTGCGAGTGGCCAGGATCTGATCAGCAGCATGGCATGGGCAGAGGACACAGCCGAGGATTCCTGCGTGCTGGTGACCTGCTCTGCGGATGGAACCGCAGTGCTGTGGCGGGTCTCGAGGGACTTGTCGAGTACCACGCGTCTGTGTGTGTTGGGGAGCGCTGATATGCGGCAGTTCACAGTGTGCCAGGCAGCGCCCGATACGATTGTGCTATGCAAAGCTCGGCACGGCTTTCGTGGTGGATGTGCACAATCCCACGGCGCCTGCTGTAGTGCGTCTGGGTGTGAGCGATTCAGTCACGAGCTGTGCGGTGGACAAGCAGCGTGGCCGCATATACATTGGGTCGCTTGATTTCAGCATCTTTGTTCTTGAGAAGACTGGCGCTGGGTGGGTGCGGAGCTTGTCCGAGGAGACCCAGCTGAGAGGCGGCCTCCGGAGGACTGTGGAGGACTCGTTCACAACGCCGTTTGTCATGGCACGTTTGCAACTGCGTGGATTGCACATGTCGCCTTGCGGCCGCAGGCTGATGTTTGTGGCAGATGACCAGACGAACTGGAGCATTGGGTCGGATGGACAGGGGGTGACGAGAATCCACTTGCACCAGTTTGACGACTGGACGGACGCAGCGGCGGAGCTGGCGCTCAAGGAGGCGGTCGGGCAGGACGACGTGTGGGCGGTGGTGTGGGACCTGTTCAGCGGGCTGTCGGAGGCGCGCGTGATGGGCCTTGTGCAAGCATTGCTGGATGTGTCTGGCTCGCATGGGCAGCAGCTGTATATGCTCAATATGATCGGGGCAAAGTGCAAGGCAGGTTAAAACAGCAGCCAAAAAGGCACGAAAGAAAAAACGTGACAGCCCACTGCACTTACTCGGCGTTTGCACTATTTTGTAGGGCGAGCAGGCGACCCAGCTGCTGAGGGGCGCACGAGGCGACGCGCTGGACACTCATGTGCAGGCGCTGTTCTCGTACATCCAGGACACGCTAGAGGCGGGATTTGTGCTGGAAGGTATGTTCTCCTTGTGTCAATAGGGTGGTGCACCATGCATGTTATTGTGCGCTTGCAATAGGGGGTTTCTCACTCACACACACTTGTGTCTCTGTAGACGGGGATAATGAGTACCTGAAACACGTCAGCTGGGCAGTTCACGAACCAGTGTTTTCAGACATTGTTGGCGACTTGCCTGACGTGCTGTGCAGGACAGAAAATGATGCCGAGGCGCAACAGTGCCCAATCTGCCACAGCGGTAATGTATCAGTGACATGGGTGTGGGATTGGCGCGGATGCCGGGCGTGATGACACTAAGCATATATTTGCTGCTGTAGATATGCAATTGCACTCGAAGCAGGTGGCTGTGTGCACCAACAAGCACATCTTTGGTAAGTGTGGGAGTCACAAACACCGGGGGATGTGGGATGACGCAAGTAGAGTATCCTTATAAACTGGGTTTGCAACTGTAGATGTGTGCTCCGTGACATTGGCGGTGCTCAGAGAGCCGAGATCAGAGCAGTGCCAGACGTGCAGAGCCAAGCGGCTGCATGTCTCGGGCAATGCGGGGATTGGTGGGCAGGGTGCTGGGCGAATTCCCTGCGTGCCCCTTCTGCCGAGGCAAGTTTTTGGTCTGTGCTCTGACAGAGCGTGCTCAGCGTGGCAAGTCTGCAGAGTGCGAGGCGCGCTTTGTTTCTCCGCCCCCATCCGGCGCTTCCCCAGCGCTCAGCGGGTGGTGAGAGAGACTCGACGGGATCTGCAGGCAACAAAAGGGTGGCGAGACAGAGGGGGCGAGGCGCATTGGGTTCTGTCTGGCTTTGTGACAGGCAAATAAAGGGAACGCAGCAGCGTCTGCTATGAAGCGAACAAGTGTGAGCCCTCGGAACGAGGGCAAAGGAGAGAGGCCAAGTGCATCACATGACCTTTAAATAAATGGCGGCCAGTCAGGACCAAAAGCAGATAATGCACAGCTCGCATTTATGCCGCCGGACGGCTCTAAAGGACAACGCAGCAGGGGAGGCGAGAAAAAAGCAGCATAAATTGACGGCTTTTGTCTTTCTTGTCAAGTATAAAAGCGGTTGCCCCGGAGGAGCCGTGATTTCGCCTCTCGCCTCTCGCCTCTCTACCCCTGTTTAATTTAAAACTACCCCCATCACCGCATTTTTACACTCTTTGAAAAAAATGTGCGCCGGACACAGCACCAGACCTGCCAACCCCCGCTGGACTTGCTTCCGCAATGCCAACGACGGACACTTTGCGTGTGCAGACTGCGGGTGGGAGGGCACATCGATCGATGCGTTTGTCGAGCACCGCGACATGCACTACCCGGGGTACTACATGTAGACCCCCTGCCGCGCAATCCACAGGCCAGCCCGTCTCTATATCAATTAGTGCCCGTGTTTAAACTCTTTTCAATGTACAAACTCAAATAGCATCTCACTACAGCCCTCCTCTGGTGCCGTCCATGCGTTGTATGTATCCGCTTGGCATATGCGTGCTGGGAGGGAGGGCTGATGGATCTGAATAAGGAAAAACAGTGGTGATCTGGCCACGCACCCACGCCGCACCGGCCAAGAGAGAACCTTATATTCGCTATCCGAAAGAAGAAGGCAGCCCGGCGCAGCCTGTGAAACTGGCATCAGCGCTGACCTCCATTCTCGGAAGCACCTGAATCCGCCGGTGCACATGGGATTGGCAGCACGAACCAAGCCTGTCTGGGGCCGTCGAAAAGTCAGCTCTGGGCGCGTGAAAGCCCAAAGGGCGGTGATTCCGCTCACATGCTCTCGACGGGCAGCAATGGGTTTCACATGCTTGGCTACTAATTAATGCTAGCTGCGCCCGTGCTTCTACGCTAGAGCGGGGGAATAGAGGATGTGAGGGAAAGTCAACTTGCCAATGGAGCTCTGCATCCTTTCTTTCATATGACAAGGCCAGCAGGCGTATTTAAAGAGGCGTCCAGCCCATGCCACACTTGCCAGCAGCACAAATCCCTTTCTCTTCACTTGTACTCTCTAATCCCTCTCTACTCGCTATTTGAGGAGCGAACGACGCTACTATCACCACCACCACACCCTTGTTCCACAGGCCTGATACCATAGATTAGAAAAGAATGGCTTCCACAGATACCACGAGCGCAGTCCCGGTTGTCGCAAAGTAAGTCGTCCCCACGCCACCACTCACAGCGCTATTCTTTATGAGACCACTGGACCAGTTTTACTCAGCAATTCAACATTTGCACTAGCCCTATGGAGAGCATTGCCGAGGAGCGCAAGAACCCGTCGTTCCCGGTGCGGGACCTGACGTACTGGATTGACGGCGGCAAGCGCACAACGGAGCTCAAGGAGCGCGTCATGCTCGAGCTGGAGCGCGATCCGCTGTGGCGGGTCAGTGACCACCCGAACCTGACTCTGGCCGAGACGCGCGAGCGGGCAATGAAGAAGGTGCGGCGGCTGGCAGACCTGGCCACGACCCGGCCGCTGGAGGAGACGATGGTCCGCTTGGGCGTCATCAGCGTTGTGGACCCGGGCTTCTGGACGCGGTTCGGCGTGCACTTTGGGCTGTTCTTTGGCGCGCTGCAGGGCCAGGCGACGCCGTCGCAGCTGGCGTATTGGATGGACAAGGGGGCGCTGTCGATGCAGGGCATCACCGGGTGCTTTGGCATGACGGAGCTGGGCCACGGCTCGAACGTCGCTGGGCTCGAGACGACGGCGACGCTGGACGAGAGCACCGACGAGTTCATCATCCACTCGCCGACGCTGACGGCCACAAAGTGGTGGATCGGCGGAGCAGCGCACACAGGCCTCGCACTGCGCGGTGTATGCGCAGCTGATCGTCAAGGGCAAGCGGTACGGCACCAAGACGTTTGTGGTGCAGCTGCGCGACACGCAGACGTTTGAGCTGATGCCCGGCGTCAACATTGGCGATCTCGGCAAGAAGATGGGTCGTGACCAGATCGACAACGGATGGATCCGGTTCACGTACGTGCGCATCCCGCGGTCGCACATGCTGATGAAGCACACCAAGGTCACCAAGGCCGGTGATGTCATCGACCCGCCGCTGGCGCAGCTGGCCTATGGAGCGCTGATTCCAGGGCCGTGTCTCGATGGTCAGCGACTCGGCCAACGTGGCCAAGCGCGCGCTGACCATCGCCACGCGCTACGCGGCGGTGCGGCGGCAGTTCAGCGACGGAACTCCCGGCAAGGCCGAGACGAAGCTGCTCGACTACCCGATCCACCAGCACCGGCTGCTGCCGTTGATGGCTCAGACGTTCGCCATGATCTTCACTGCACGCGAGATCACGGCCAACTACGAGGCGCTGATGGCGCAGCTCAACGGGCTGGGCGACGCCAAGGGCGCTGAGGTCGACGAGGCCATCAAGAACCTGAAGGAGACCCATGCCACCAGCGCTGGGCTCAAGGCATTCTGCACGTGGATGTGTCTCAACATCATTGACCAGTGCCGCCAGAGCCTGGGCGGCCACGGCTACTCGGCTTACACGGGCCTGTCGCAGGCATACGCCGACTTTCACTGTGCACTGCACGTGGGAGGGCGACAACACCATTCTGACGCTGCAGTGCGGCCGCTACCTGGTCTCCACTGCCATCGAGGCCCGCAACGGCCAGCCGCTGCCAGCGAACCTCAGCTACCTGAAGGACGCCATTGCGCCCAATGGCAAGGCTGCCCGCCGCACGTGCAAGGGCTCCAAGCCTGACGAGGTTGCGTCGCTGGAGGCCCTCAAGGAGGCATGGAGCAGCGTGTCGGCCAACGCCATCCTCAACGCCGTGCGCGACTTCGAGGAGGGCGTGGCCAAGGGCCTGAGCAAGGACAACGCCTATGAGTACTCGTCGGCGTCGCGTCTGCACGCTGCCCGCATGCACACCTACACCTTCCTGCTGCACCGGTTCGCCGCTCAGGTCGAGCAGAGCCCTGCCCAGGCTGCGCCCCGTGCTGCTGCTGCTGGCGCGCCTGTTCGGTGCCCACTCGGCGGTCCAGTTCAGCGGCGAGTTCCTGCAGGCCGGCTACTACTCGGGCGAGCAGGTCGAGTCCCTCAAGGCCTTTGTCAACCACGCGTGCTCCGAGGTGCGCAAGGACGCCGTGCCGCTGACCGATGCCTTCAACTACACCGACTACGTCGTCAACTCGCCGCTGGGCCGCTTCGACGGCAACGTCTACGAGAAGTACTTTGAGCTTGGTCACCAGCCTCAACCCGACCAAGCCCATCCCGTACTTTGACTCGCTCATCAAGCCCCTGCTTGAGCGCACCCAGACCTTTGAGACCGGGCCCGAGCTCGAGATTGACCAGGAGGAGTAGGCCTAACTTTTACTTGCTTTTTTTTTGCTGTTTTAACTATTACTTGTGACGTAGATGCTGAATCATCTACATTCTATGTGTCCCTGATGGCCAGACCATGCGGGGCTCGACCGCCGTCCCCCCACATGTTGTCACGACAGTGCCCGCCAAGTCTATGCATCTGGGGACCAGACTGGGACCAGCGCAACCGGTTGGGCATCGCCCTTGACTGTGCGAGGGCTGAGGCTGCAATTCAGCGCCTGTTCTGGCTGGCCAGTCAGGTCACAGGTTTGTCCTAGAGTTTGCTAGCGATGATCCACCCGAGAGTCTGATTAATGCCTCTCTTCGAGAGAGCGATCCAAAAATAGACTTGTCCCTTTCGCCAGCAGCAGCCAGCAGCCAGCAACAGCAGCAACAGCAGTCATTGTCTCACACGTCTTGCCTCACACTGCACCCCCTCTTCTCCACACTCCTGCTACTTTCGCTTCTCTATCTCTTTCCTGTCCTCTTCACTTGTTCACGCCCGCTTTTTTATCTTAATTTAACGACTTATTATTTGCATTCCCCCCCTCATGTTTGCACGTTTGCTTCTCGGTGTCCTGGCGTCTGTCACAGGCTCGCTTGGCCACTCGCTCGGCATGACTCTGCAGAAACGCGCCCACCTGCGCCTGGAGGCACTCGGCAGTAACTCAAAGACATGGCGCGACAGCGAGTGGCAAGCCGGGCTGGCCCTGTACTTGTTCAGCTCCACTGTACCGCCAACACTGGCACTTAGTATCCTTCCTGTCTTTGTCGCTGCGCCCCTGGCTGCTGTCGGGCTGGTGGCCAACGCTGTTTTTGCGCGGTACATTTTGTCCAGCACCTTTGCGCGGACCGACGCCTTCGGCACGTTGCTGGTGGCCCTCGGAAGCAGCAGCGTGGCGGTGTTTGGTGCCATTGACGAGCCACCCCTTTCGCTAGCCGAACTAATGAAGCTGTACAGACGCAAAGCCTATGCTGTGTTCTTCGCCGGGATATACTGTGGCTGTCTTGGCGCTGATTCTAGCCGAGCTGCTCTGGAGGCACAGGTACGACAGGCTGGTGAGGAGAACAGGTGGTGCGCAGTATCAGAGCCATGGGTCCGCACGCTGATCGCGGGGGCAGCCAGGGTTCCCCTAGGTACTGTGGGCGCTACTGCGACCAGGTTTACGGCTGGTGAGGGAACACCGCTGCTGGCTGACTCTCTGTCGTCGTATTCATCCGTGTACGCATCATCAACAGACTCGCTAGCCACTGCGGTAGGCACCCGTCGCCCGACACCCCGCCCAGCCGATACAGAGCCTGCGCTTCCACCAACGCCGACACAGCCCCCAGCGACAGGCACCCTGCCGCCGGCCTCGCTGGTCATCACAGACTCGTCGGCCTCTGCAGATAGCATGTTCCGCAGCCACTTCTCGCAGGCCAGCGGCATTCTGGCGCAGGAGGCTAAGGTTAGCCGGGCCGCCCAGCTAGCCAAGTACATCTCGGGGTTCCTCTCAGCAATAATATCAGGGCCTCATCTGCAGCCAGACCCTGCTGCTGGCCAAATCCGGGATTGGCTTGCTCGTTCTGACTGTGCGCGGCAACATGCAGTTCAATGACCCACTAGCTGTGGCCATTGTCGTTGGTCTGGTGGCCACCGCCCTAGCCAACCTCTACTACATCCAGCGCGCTCTGCGTCTATGCAGCACGCTGACTGTTGTGCCGCTCACCTACTGCAGTAGCTCACTGATGGCCCTAGTCAGCTCGCTCGTGTACTTTTGACCAGATCAAGCTGCTCAGCACCCTCCAGATTGCCATGATCTCAATCGGCATCGTGTTGCTGGCAGTAGGCGTCATGTTCCTGTCGTCAAAGACCGAGGACCAAGAGGGCCCGCTGCATCTGCCGCCTGAAGATCCTGACGATGTCATCTAGAAATTTATGGTGTTAATGCCTTTTAGTCCAATGTGTAAAAAAAATCCAGCTCAGCTATGCCGTTCGTTTCATGCTGGTGCTGTATGCTGCTACAACTGAGTGTGTGGTCCATGTATGTTCACAAGCTTCTGCTTGGAAACACCGGGCAAACCCCATGCCTGAACATCCCCATTTAGTAGCGCAATGTCCCACATGACCCCCTGACGCTCCGCTTGTGCCAGCAAGCCAACACGAGCGTGGATGGCGCGGATTTTGTGGGGGCTCCCACACAAGCATATACCAGTAGCCTGTAGAGATATTCACATGATGATGCGTTCGATCTACACAGCACGGATATGCTACTGGCATAGAGGACACTGGTCTGGGAGTGGTGGAGGCAACTATCGCCGCCGGCGCCGCCCAGGACCATGGCGAACAGATGCCACCATATGCATAGCTACGCACAGTCATATGAATGACGTTGGTAGCAGTATTTCAGGCCAGAACACAGACCCTGTCCAGTCCTTGTGCGCAGACCGCCAGCTAAGCCGTCTTGGCAGCCACCAGTCTACTTTGATGCGGCGAAGGAGTGGTTCCGTTCTGTGGAGAAGGGTCCTGGTAGATATGCGGCTGCTCGTGTCCGTCACACCTCCAATATTTGCACTAAACTTTCCAGTTGGTGGGGAGGATTGTAGGTGTATGGATGGCAATCTGCTAGGAACGAAAAAAAGGCGGCACAGGACACAAAGGGGGATTCTTTGGGTGTGTCTATCCTGAGGGACTCGTATATTCTACTCTTGCAATGGCCTCTGCGAAGGCCATTCTCGACGATCTCACGCGGTATAAATAAAGACGCAGCAGCACATACCCGGCATCCCCCATTCTCTGAGCGAGATTCTCCCAGCAGCAACTACTCCATCCACAACACCTATTCAACTGCCTACTTTATTATCCATGCTCCAAGCAAGCAGTGCCTCAGGCTGCCCTATGATGCATAGTCGCTCGACTAGCATGCAGTCCCAGCCACTTTACACCATCGTTGTCGAGCAGGGCAAGAACCCCGACAGGGATGGCTTCATCGTCGCGACTACCACCACCGACACAGATCTGACCCAGTTCAGCGCCGAAATAGCAAAGCGCATGTCAACCGACATCTCTGTCCACCCCTCTGCCATAGAACTCGTCGATGCCGATAGCAACGCTGTCAAGACCATCGAGCAGCTAGCGCAATCGCGCGTTGTATTTCTTACCACACCACTTGACGTCCGAGAAGCACCTATGGTCCCAGGCTACCCTCTGGTGGGCATCCTGCCGCATTTCATCAACGGCATCCGCCCGGCGCTCGAGAGATTCTACGCCGATCACGGCGACACATTCGTCGGCCATGGGTTCTTTCTGCGCGGGTACATGACGCGCAACTACGAGATTGCCAACCTTTTCATGACCGACGACGAGCATTTTGACAAGAACATGGAGTACCCATTCGTGGAAGGCAAGTTCATTGGCGGCGAAGGGCTGCTGACGTCGCGGTCCGAGAGCAAGGAGTGGCAGATTTCGCACCGCATGCTGATGCCCGCGTTTTCTGCCAGCGCCATGAAGTTGTATTCGCACCAGATGGTCGGCGTGGTCGAGGATGCATGCTCGTTCTTGTCACGCAATGTAGGCAAGTCGCTCGATATGGTTGATGTTGCGTACAACATGACGTTCCAGATCATTACCCGCGTTGGATTCAGCTACGATCTCCATATTTTTGACGATTCAGACGGATCCAAGCATCCGTTCGTCGATGCCATGACGTACTGCGTGTCGCAGGCGACACTGCGTGGGCTGCGCTCGCCGCTGTGGAGGCGCCTGCCGATTCCCTCAAACTACAAGTTTGACCAGTGCGTCAAGCTGATGCGCGACACCCTTAAGGAGGTGATTGAGGACCGCAAGCAGTCTCCTGACGCAACCAACATGAAGAAGGACCTGCTGGGCGTTATGCTCAATGCCCGGGTCCCTGATGAGAGCGGCGAGCTGGTGGGGCTGCCCGAGGAAGTTGTCCTTGACCAATCCGTCACGTTCATTTTTGCTGGAACTGAAACCACGGCCAGCACCGTAGCGTGGTCGCTGTACCTGCTGGACAAGCACCCGCGTATTCAGCGGCGTCTGCTACAGGAGCTGGCGGATAACGGCATCACCCCGGATGTGCCGCCCACAGTCAAGCAGGTCAGCCAGCTAAAGTTCCTGGCGCAGGTCCTGAAGGAGACGCTGCGTCTCTATCCGCCTCTGTGGTTTGTGCAAAAGTCGTGCAAAAAGGACTGCATTTTGCCTGGCGGTTACCGTATCAGGAAGGGATATACGGCGTACGTCGACTTCTGGGCGATGCAGCGGAACCCCAATGTCTTTGACGACCCGCTCAAATTCAACCCAGACCGATTCAGCGAAGACAACAGCAAGAACATCCCGCATGGTGCCTGGACGCCGTTTTCGGCAGGCTTGCGCAGCTGCCTCGGAATGCAGTTTGCTCTCATGGAGATGCGGATTGCGCTGGCCCGTCTGCTGTCCAAGTTTGAGTTCCGGACAGTCAGTGGCAAGGAAGTGTTCCACGACCAGTTCAACGCGATTGCGCGCCCCATGGGGCTGGACATGGAGATCCATGCGCGCACAGACTTCCCCATGCCCCGCGAGTCTGATGCTGTCGAAACCGACTTTGCTGCCAGCTCGGAGGATCTGGTTGATCTTGGAAAGACGGCTCCGTCTGGGCCGCTTGTTGTGAGTCCGGACGATCTCCCGCGCACGCTCATCGTGTACGGATCCAACATGGGCACCAGCGAGGACTACTCGCGGCAGATGGCGGAGCAGCTCAAGCGTATGGGTTATGTGGACTTGGCCGTCATGCCGCTCAACAAGTGGGAGCTCAGTGCTGCTAGATCTGTCGACGGCAAGCGCACGCTGGTCATTGTGATTACAAGCACATACAACGGGATTCCGCCTGATAATGCGGCAGGCTTTGCTAAGAAACTTGATGCCGAGACAGATCCTGGGTTGCTCAAGGACGTCGATTTTGTGCTGTTTGGTTGCGGCAACTCGCTGTGGCACACATTCCTTCGGTTCCCGCGGCATGTGTTTGACCGACTGAACGAGCTTGGCGCACGCCCCCTGACAGATTTTTACTATGGCGACTCGAATGACGACCTGGATGAAGATTATCTGCAGTGGTCGCTGCAGGTGGGCGCGCTCATTGCCTCACGGTACGGGTCGGGTATTGATACGTATCTCAGCGCAGTGACTGGCAAGGCGCTTCCATTTGTTTTCAAGTCTGCTGGCACCACCAGAGCAGAGCCGCTTCGACTTGCAGCGGAGAACGCAGCCATCAAGATCAACCAGGAGCTGCAGGACGTCAAAAGAAGTGGTCGCAGCACACGCCATATCGAGATCACTCTGGATGACTCTACCGGTGTTTCGTACAAGACCGGCGATCATCTCAATATCTACCCGGTCAACACGCTAGGTGTTGTGCGCGAAGTTGCCGCGATCATGGGGCTCAATCTGGATATGGAATTTGAGCTGGAGCAGGTCTCTGATGCTTCACGGTTTGTCCGCTCTGCAGCAGCAGCCATCAAGGGCTGTGTGTGCACTGTCAGCGATGTCCTTCAGTATGTCTGTGACTGGAAGGAAGCGCCTTCGCGAGAACTCGCTAATGCTTTAAGCGAATCCTCTGGCGACGATGCAGCCTACGAGGCACTGCGCAAGGCAGCGGATGATGTCAACACGCTGGGCAAACAGTCGGCTGGCTGGAGCGCGTTTACAGCACAGAATCGCACTGTTCTGGATGTGCTGCGCACGTATGCGCCGCTCATGTCCCAAGTTCCATTTGCAACGCTACTGCACTTTGTGTCGGCCATGGCGCCTCGTCGCTACTCGATTGCCAGCTGCCAAGGTGTTGTTGGCAATGAGGTTCATATTTCAGCTGCCATCGTCAACGATGCCGTCAATGGGCGCTCCTACGGTGGCCTGGCAACCGAGTATCTGGCATCGTTGGAGCCGGGTGCTCGTGTATCGGTGTCACATCTCCCAGCGCAAGAAGTCTTCCACCTCCCACTCTCATCAGATGTGCCTGTGATGTTTGTTGGTGCCGGTACTGGAATTGCCCCGTTCCGTGGATTCTTGCAGGAGATGAAACTTGCTGGCATTGGCGGTGCTACGATGTACTTTGGCTGCCGCAGTCCCGAGTACGACTACCTATACAAGGACGAGCTCGAGCAGTATGTCCAAGATGGCACGCTGTCCAAACTGCAAACGGCATTCTCGCGTGTTGGCGATGAGCGCAGGTATGTGCAGCACCACATTTCGGCAGATGGGGCTAGGATCTGGTGGCATCTGCAGAATGGCGGCCGCATCTACGTCTGCGGATCGGCTGACAAACTGGCCAAAGATCTGACGGTTACTATGACCCGTATCTTTGAAGAACATGGCGGGCTATCTCACGATGAGGCGAGCAAGTGTCTGTCGGACATGATCTCGGATGGTCGCTACGCTCAGGATATCTGGTAACAGGTCAAGACGGATAGTTAATTAATGTATTCATCCAAATCTTGAGACAGTGTGAAGGCGAGATCATTGTCATTGGCATGTAGAGAAGCAGCAAATGCATGCGTGGGATCCGATGCTTGCGGTATATCGTGTGGATATGGAGCTGGCTCTAGTCAACAAGCCAGCTTCAGGCGAGCCGTGGCAAGGCGAGCCGAGAGGACCACTAAGCGGGGAGGCGAGCTGGAGGATTATCACAGTAAAATTCGATGTGGGAGTGTTTGGGCAGTGGATCTCGGAGGTTGCGGAGGGTTTCAATCGATATCAGGACAATCTCACGCGATCCGATAACGGAACGGCGCCAGGAAGAACCGACATGCGGGGATTTTTGGTGTAGGAAGCTCGATCGGAAAGTAACGCTAGAGCAGTTTAGCAGTTTAGCAGTTATCCGGAGAGGGGCTGTTGGAGTAGGGGCAGGGGCAGTGGATAACACGGAGGGAGAAGCGGACCAAGCCACAGGAGGCGGTGTTTCTCTTCTTCAGACAGCACTCACTATACTCCAAGACACTATTACACCAAGCACAGGATGGCTAGCGGCGACGTTTGCGATTTCAAGACAGGCGGGGCGGGCGGAGCACCGGCTCATGGACACTCGCATGAGCACTCGCACGACCACAGCCAGGCAGCCAAGGACCATGGGCACACCCACGATGTGTTGGACCACCCGGGGCGGTATGACGAGCGGCCGCCGTACAACCGCACGGGGCGGGACTGGGGTGAGCGGGCGTTCACGGTGGGCATCGGCGGGCCGGTGGGCAGCGGCAAGACGGCGCTGATGCTGCAGCTGTGCCGGGCTTTGCGCGACAAGTACAATGTGGCATGCGTGACCAACGACATCTTCACACGGGAGGATGCCGAGTTCCTGACCAAGAACGGCGCGCTGGCGGCCGAGCGCATCGTGGCTGTGGAGACCGGCGGGTGCCCGCACGCGGCGGTGCGTGAGGACATCACGGCCAATCTGCATGCGCTGGAGACGCTGCAGGCGCGGTTCGGCACCGAGCTGCTGCTGATCGAGTCGGGCGGCGACAACCTGGCGGCCAACTTTAGCCGCGAGCTGGCCGACTACACCATCTATGTCATTGATGTTAGCGGCGGCGACAAGGTGCCACGCAAGGGCGGGCCGGGCATCACGCAGAGCGACCTGCTGGTGATCAACAAGACTGATCTGGCTGAGGCGGTGGGCGCCGACCTGGGCGTCATGCAGCGTGACGCTGACCACATCCGCGACGGCGGCCCAGTCACCATGGCGGTGGTCAAGCACGGCAAGAACGTCGATGAGATTGTCCAGCACGTTCTGGGGTCGTGGCAGGACTGCGTTCCTGGTGCCAAAATCAAGGCGTAAATGGTCGGTCAGCGCTGCCAGGTCTAGCTGACCCAGAGATGTCCAGCCATCGTCACCGCCACCATCATCTGACTCGTCAACATTCCCACTCACCCAGGCTCTCTTCACTATTTAAATTCTATTCACTTGAATTCCTGGCCCAATGTACATTGGAATCATCGGTACGTTTCGGTGGAGCTGGCCTTGCGCGCCACCAGCACATGGCATTCTTATCAACACCTCTGGCCTGCTGGACCTGTAGGCTCGAAGGCAAGCGGCAAGGAGGAAGTGGCACAGTACCTGGTCAGCCAGCACCAGTTCACGCGCCTGTATTTGCGGCCTGGTGCACCGGCATTGACGACCACCAGCACCGACGAGTCGCAAACCGAGTTCCAGTCAGCCAAGGACATGCTGAGCTTCACCACACCACGCTGGCGGACCCGATTTGTGACGACGGATGTCACGGACCCAGTTGACCTGTACCTGCTGCTCAAGCGGCCATTCTTCATGGTGGTGGGCATTGACGCACCGCTGGGGCTTCGGTACAGGCGGTACACCGAGCGGTAAGTGTTTGTTGGTGGTGGCAGGCAGATAGCAAAGCACAGCAGGGGAAGCTAAAGCTAAAGCTACAAGGCAGGTCATGCGTCTGTAGATCGATGCGGCAGGCAGACCCTGTGATGTCGCTGGACGAGTTCGTTGCGCTGGACGACAGCCTCATGTATGCAACGCCGCGGGGACCGGCTGCCACCCCGTCGCCCGGGCCGCTGGAGGTGCGGGACGAGGAGAAGATGCCCAAGCAGCTGATGTCGCCGATTCTGCGCAGCGCCGACCCGTCGCAGGAGCTCAGCCTGAAGCGCATGCTGGCGAGCGCCAACGTATCAGTCACCAACACGTTCAGCAGCGTGAGTGAGCTGCATGAGTACTTGGACAAGCTGGACCTGCTGAACAGCGAGCGGCTGCGGCCGTCGTGGGACACGTACTTTATGCTACTGTCGGAGCTGGCGTCGCATCGGGCCAACTGCATGAAGCGCAAGGTGGGGTGCATTCTGGTCAAAGACACCCAGATCATCGCCACCGGCTACAACGGCACTCCCAAGGGCATCACCAACTGCAACGAGGGCGGGTGCCCGCGCTGCAACGCCGGCACGCCGTGTGGGGTGTCGCTGGATCACTGCCTGTGTATCCACGCCGAGGAGAATGCTCTGCTGGAGGCTGGCCGAGGCCGTGTGCGCAACGCCCAGGGCGTGGTGCTATACTGCAACACGTGCCCGTGCCTGGGCTGCGCAAAGAAGATCGTGCAGGTCGGCGTCGGGACCGTGGTCTACTCCAAGGGCTACGGAATGGACGCCCTGACCCTGAAGCTGTTCAAGGAGGCTGGCATCGAAGTGCGCCAGCACACGCCGCCGACGCTCAGCATGGAGATCGGGTCGCCGTAGGACTCAGCTTTTTCACCAATACACATATTTTATACACAGCTGGGAGTGGTCTGAATTCGCTTTCTATACATCGCCGAACCGGCACCGGATTATCGCCTCCGGCTTCAGGCGCTGCCGGCACCAGTCAACCACGCTCTCGTCCACGCGGCTGCACTGGACGAAGCTGAGTTCGGTTAGCGTGAACACGCACCCCAGCCCGTTGGAGCCCTCCACAACCGCACGGATGCCGGCCTGCGTAATCCGCCAGCACAGATCGAGCGACAGCCGCGACAGCCGCCGCAGATGGTCTCCAATCGCTGACAGCGCTGCATCCTCGATGCGCAGCCCCGAAAGATCCAGTTCCTCCAGATCCACGCATCCCCGTACCAGCTCAATCACCCCGCTGGTGGTGCACTCCATGCACCCGCTGACGTTCAGATCCCGCAACCCACTGCACTGTTGTGCCAGTGCCCGGAGCCCGTCATCGCCTACGCGCAGCGAGTCGTGGATGTCCAGCACCTGCAGTCCCGCGCACTGCCGCGCTAGCGCTGCGACAAACTCGTCGGTGACTGTGTCGTTTTCGCCGCAGAGCGCCAGCCGCGCGAGCTGGGGAACCCCAGTCGCAAACATTAGCAGGCTGCGCCCCTCTAGCCCCGCTTCCCGCCGCGCCCCTGCTGCCATGCCAAAGTCGATATCTCGCATGCCCACATCGCGCAGCTCCGTCTTTGCTCTCTGCCCCATCGCCAGCGCCCCTAGCCCCAGAACCGTTGTCCGTGTCAGCGACACGTCGATGTGCTGCAGCGTACCGCCGAATGCCGCGGTGATCCGCCGCACGCTCCGGTCATCAATCTGCGGGCAGCATCTGAGGGTTAGCGACTGCAGCCCCGGGAGTGTCCTGCGCTGCTGATCCGCCGCTGCTTCGTGGCAGAACCGTATCCCCGCTGCGCCTACCACCGGAAAGGCGTCGCAGGTTATGTACCGGCAATGACTCAGGTCCAGCTGCCGGAGCCGTGGCGAGCTGAGCCACAGGCTCTGGACCGCATAGTCTGCAATGTCCGTGGTGCTCAGCGCCACAACCTCCAGGTGCGCTCCAATCTTTGGAATCAGTGCTCCTAGCACCGCGTTGCTTATGCGGTTGCTTGCCCGCACCTCCAGGTGTCTGATGTTGGTGCATCCAAATACCGCCAGCGTCTGCAGCCCGTCATCCGACAGAAGCGGTGCGAAAAACAGCGCTATCCGAGCCAGCGCCGGCCCGGCCCGCCGCGCCAGTACCTTCAGGTGCTGGTCCTGCAGCAGTTGCATTTTCACCGTTGTTTCCTCTCGCTCTGAGCCATCTGCGTTGGTCTTCTGCACGCCCACGTGGTGGAAGCCCATGTCAATGTTCTTCCACAGCACCGCCCAGCCATCCAGCGCATAGTACCACCTCCTCGACACCAGCATGCATTCTGCAAGCTCGTGTATGCTAAGGTGCCGGAAGATCGCAATGCTAATGTCATTCGGCAGCCGCTCGACCGGATCCATGTATAGTGCGTGTATTTTTGGGAGTGATGTATGAGAATGGCGCCTTCTCTGGTCCTGGCCGCCCCTGGGCCACTCCCGAGCCAATTATGTCTGCGTCATCTGCGGACCCCGACCGTATGGGAGCAGCTAATCGGTGAATGCGGCTGATCGAAGCGTTGAGTCAAAACACGTCTGTGGAGTTCCGAGGGAAAGTGGCCCATCTCTTATAGCACGGCCGTTAATCGGACCCCTCCATTCGCAGGCCACCGAACAGCGTTGCAGTTCTGGGCTCTTGCTCGGCCGACGCTGGCCATCCCCATATCGAGCAATGAGACCCCATCCTACGAAATATGCTTTTTTGTTCGCTGCAAAACTACCGCAACATCCCCTCTTTCTGGCTTGCGTGTCAGATACGCTCATATGCCGCTTGTCTCCTGGTTTTGTGTGGGCAATATCTGCCCGGTAGGTGCCGCTGGGGCGGGCAGGCGTGCCGATGGGGAGGGATTCGGGCTTGCAGACGAATGCACTGATATGCATGTCGATCCATCCCACTCATGCATCGGGCCACTTTGGCCTGATGTCGTCCTTTCGCATGGAAGCGTCGGACAGGTTTCCTCTGTGCCAAAGTGCTTTCAGAACCGGTCCAGGTCACGGGGCCCACGGTCTCGCTGCCCTTCCAGCTTTCCCACACCCACTGCTGACACTAGCGTTGATGTTCTGGCTGCCTTTGCGTGACGTTCGAGACTTGCCGCTCACAAAGGAGTTGCTTTTTGGTCCTGCAATAAAAGCTCATTTCCTTTGCATGGCATTCGCGCTCCTGGCAGCAGAAACAGGGCGCGAGCTCTGGTGATCACAATAACAAATACTGTCGCCTTTCTGGCCATCCGCTGATCTTGTACCACACGCTTCAATAAACCTGCTCTTTGCACACCAGCGCCGAGGCTGGCACCAGCATATCAGGAATGGCTCCCAGAATTGCAATATTTACTGAACGCCCAGGAACCGCGCTGCTACAGGCCAGTATAAATAGACCCAGCGCGCTGATCTGGGGGGTACGCAAAAACACCAACGCAGGTCCAACATCGCTTCCCGCCCTTTTGCCAAAACATCTCGCTCGACGTGCGCTGGGTGGGCGACCAGCAGCCTGCGTCTGTGTCTTTGGGATATCATCACATCGCTCCTCCCAGAGCGACCTGCCGCCCCAAAAACAGAGTTGCGTGCCAGAACTATCTTGTTCTGCGGCTTGCACAATATCCAAAAGCAATACATTGCAGGTATTGAAAGGAATTCCTCGCTCACAGTGTTATAAATAGCCAGTTTGCTGGTGAAGTGAGGCAGTCTGGGACCGCTGCCCGCTTTGTTTGCGGGCTTTGTTTGTAGCTTCCAGCAGATGGGTGATCGCAACAATTGTTTGTAGCGATGCTAGCCGTCTTGGCGATTGTCTGCTGTGTTGGGACCTTTCTCCGAGCTAATAATCGCACTGTGCATCAATGGACCGTACATTGACCTACCTGCACACGCAGTTGCACTGCTTGTTATATGTACCAGTCAGCAGCTGATGTGGAGCCGTCTGCCAATGATCCATATCGCCGACGCCCAACCGTCGCACGTTTCGCCTAGAAATCCATGACATCAAGCAATCCCGTCTCGGTCAGGGCAGACGAAATCCGAGAATTGCCCCCCAAAAGAGATGGGCGAGAGTGGACTGCGGGCGCAGAGAGCGCCTGCAATTTCGCAGGTCGATAAGGGGGAGGCAGCAGCAGTGATTTGCAATGAGGGGCCGCCATACAGGCCGCAAACCTGAGCCAATGAGGACCGCAACGGCGCTGCGGTGGAAATGTGTCGCAGCTTTTAGAAATCGATGATCGCCGGCTATATAGCAAAAAAACAAGCTGGTGCGACATCAGTCCACTGAGGACCGCTTCTTCATAGCACACGCTGTGCCCAGCGGCACGTCTGGTGGGGAGCAGAAAAAATAGATTCCTTTCCGGAGCCAAAGGCCACGCAAGAAAGAGGAGGTGTCGTCTACATTGGGCTGTCAGGAAGGGCGGGTGGGAGCATTCTGCATGTCTCGTCGCCAGCCAGCCCGCCAGCCCGCCCACAGTCATGCAGGCTAGGTAGTCATGCGCAGCACAGCAAAAGCGCTGGTTCAACACTCGGGCGGTCCGCCTCGGGCCGTTCACATGGCAGCAGTCCCGGCAGCCTTCAGGCGATGGGCCAGGCGCGATTGTCGATGACCACACTGCGCTGGGCGGCAGCCTTGGCTCGCGGAATACGCAAAAGGAATCACAACAAAACGAACTTATTTTTAGAGAGCGAGCGGCACGGCAAATGGGCGAGTATGGAGGGACGGCGAGGGGGTCATCGACCCACACATGCACGGGCGATCGCCCAATCGCTTCGCATTTGTTGCGCTCTTTCACATTGCGCTCCCTTTGGCCGCGCATTCCATGCCAATAGAGCGCAATAGGAGGATGGGATAGGCGGTGGGAGCAGTCTGTGATGGACGCGCGGCTGCATATCCCAGCCCAGTGTTTGGCCAGCCTATTGCAGTGTGAATGGTGACAATATAAAAACATCGGTCCTCACAGGCAGGCTGGAAAAGTCTCATTATCGTTTCCCCCACCTGCTTCAACGACTTTTTCTCATATAAATTAGACCGCATCCTCCTGGACCGCTTGCTGCAAAGGTAGAAATACAATTTTTCTTTACTTCCTCTTCTCTTCGCTCTCTACCCTCCCAACTCTCCCTTCTAACACCCGCTACTCACCTTTCCGCCCCCTTTTGCGTTGCTTCTACAGTACTTAGGCCCGGCGCATAATAACGTAGAATACGGCTAACAAATAACCACATCTTTGTACCACCCCCACACAAAAGACACATAACGACAAAAATGAAGTTCAACCAGGCTCTCATGGCTCTTGCCACCTTCGGTAGCGCTGCTCTTGCCGCCCCGATGAAGCGCAACGAGTATGTTGTCAACACCAACATCTACTCGGCTGTCCCTCCCCCCTACTCGGCTGCCCCGGTCACCACTGAGGCTCCCTCGACTGCTGCCCCTGGCTACAGCACCACCGAGGCCCCGGTCTCCACCGAGGTTCCCTCGACCGCTGCCCCTGGCTACAGCACCGAGGCTCCGGCCACCACCTCGGTCCCTGTCCCGACCACCGCGGCTCCTGGCTACAGCACCGCTCCGGCCGAGACCACCCCGGCTCCTGGCTACAGCACCGCCCCTGCTGAGACCACCCCCGCCCCTGGCTACAGCACCGCTCCGGCCGAGACCACCCCCGCTCCTGGCTACAGCACTGCTGAGCAGTCGTCGGTCGAGTCCGAGGTCACCACCGCCCCTGGCTACAGCACCGCTGAGGAGTCGTCGGCTGAGGAGTCGACCTGCGAGGAGTCCTCCGCCGCTGAGACCACCCCCGCCCCTGGCTACAGCACCGTCGAGTCCGAGGTCACCACCGCCCCGGCTCCGACCACCCCGGCCCCTGGCTACAGCACTGCCCCCGCTGAGACCACCCCGGCTCCTGGCTACACCACCACCGCGGTTGTCCCCACCGAGGTTGCGACCACCCCCGCCCCTGGCTACAGCACCGCCGAGGAGTACGAGTACTGCTGCGAGGAGGTCACCGTCACCGTGACTGCTCCGGGCAACCAGGTCCCGGGTGCCACCGTCACCGTGACCGTCACCGCTCCGGGCAACCAGGTGCCGGGCGCCACCGTCACCGTTACCAAGGATGTCACTGAGACCGTCACCGCCCCGTGCGGTTATGAGACCACCCCGGCTCCTGGCTACAGCACCGTCGAGTCTGAGGTGACCACCGCCCCGGCTCCGACCACCCCGGCCCCTGGCTACACCACCGTCCCCGCCGAGACCACCCCTGCTCCGGGCTACACCACCGTCCCCGCTGAGACGACCCCCGCCCCGGCTCCGACCACCCCGGCCCCTGGCTACACCACCGTCCCCGCCGAGACCACCCCTGCTCCGGGCTACACCACCGTCCCCGCTGAGACGACCCCCGCCCCGGGCTACAGCACCGTCGAGTCTGAGGTGACCACTGCCCCGGCTCCGTCCACCCCGGCCCCTGGCTACACTACCGTCCCCGCTGAGACCCTCCCCTACTGCGATGAGGAGACCACCCCTGCTCCCCAGGAGACCACCTCCTACTGCGAGGAGGAGACCACCCCTGCTCCGGGCTACACCACCGTCCCTGCTGAGACCACCCCCGCCCCTGGCTACAGCACCGTTGAGTCTGAGGTGACCACTGCCCCGACTCCGACCACCCCGGCTCCTGGCTACACCACCGTCCCTGCCGAGACCACCTGCGAGGAGACCACCCCCGCTCCGGGCTACAGCACCGTTGAGTCCGAGGTGACCACTGCCTACGAGACCACCCCGGCTCCTGGCTACACTACCGTCCCGGCCGAGACCACCTGCGAGGAGACCACCCCCGCTCCGGGCTACAGCACCGTTGAGTCTGAGGTGACCACTGCCTACGAGACCACCCCGGCTCCTGGCTACACTACCGTCCCGGCCGAGACCACCCCTGCTCCGGGCTACACCACCGTCCCTGCTGAGACCACCTGCGAGGAGACCACCCCCGCTCCTTCGTCGGTCGAGTCCGAGGTGACCACTGCCTACGAGACCACCCCGGCCCCTGGCTATACCACCGTCCCGGCTGAGACCACCCCTGCCCCTGGCTACAGCACCGTCGAGTCCGAGGTGACCACTGCCTACGAGACCACCCCCGCTCCGGGCTACAGCACCACCGAGGAGGCGTCGTCGGCTGTTGAGACCACCTGCACTGAGGGCCAGTCCTCGGTTGAGTCTGAGGTTACCACCGCCTACGAGACCACCCCCGCTCCGGGCTACAGCACCGTCGAGTCCGAGGTGACCACTGCCTACGAGACCACCCCCGCTCCGGGCTACAGCACCACCGAGGAGGCGTCGTCGGCTGCCGAGACCACCTGCACTGAGGGCCAGTCCTCGGTTGAGTCTGAGGTTACCACCGCCTACGAGACCACCCCCGCTCCGGGCTACAGCACTGTTGAGTCCGAGGTGACCACCGCCTACGAGACCACCTCCGCTGAGGAGTCGTCGGCTGCTGAGACCACCTGCACTGAGGGCCAGTCGTCGGTCGAGTCCGAGGTCACCACCGCCTACGAGACCACCTCTGCTCCGGGCTACACCACCACCGAGGAGGCGTCGTCGGCTGCCGAGACCACCTGCACTGAGGGCCAGTCCTCGGTTGAGTCTGAGGTTACCACCGCCTACGAGACCACCTCTGCTCCGGGCTACAGCACCGTCGAGTCCGAGGTGACCACCGCCTACGAGACCACCCCCGCTGAGGAGTCGTCGGCTGCTTACGAGACCACCACCGAGGAGGCGTCGTCGGCTGCTGAGACCACCTGCACTGAGGGCAAGTCGTCGGTTGAGTCCGAGGTGACCACCGCCGAGGAGTCGTCGACTGCTTACGAGACCACCACTGCTCCGGGCTACACCACCACCGAGGAGGCGTCGTCGGCTGCCGAGACCACCTGCACTGAGGGCAAGTCGTCGTCGGTCGAGTCCGAGGTGACCACCGCTGAGGAGTCGTCGGCTGCTTACGAGACCACCACCGTTGAGGAGACCACTGCCGAGCAGACCACTCCCGCTCCGGGCTACTCCACCGCTGAGGAGACCACCACTGTTGAGGAGACCACCGCCGAGCAGACCACTCCCGCTCCGGGCTACAGCACCGCTGAGGAGACTACCACCGTTGAGGAGACCACTGCCGAGCAGACCACCCCCGCTCCTGGCTACTCCACCGCTGAGGAGACCACCGTTGAGGAGACCACTGCTGAGCAGACCACCCCCGCTCCTGGCTACAGCACCGCTGCCCCGTCGTCGGTTGAGTCCGAGGTGACCACCGCCTACGAGACTACCCCCCCCGCTCCGGGCTACTCCGCCGTCCCTGTCAACAGCCCGTACTACTAAGTAGTGCACTAGAGCTCAGTGCTGACTCGGTCGTTTAATCCTGTTCTGATGGTTCAAACTTTTGTCATTTTTTCCTTTTCCTTTTTCTCTTCTAGTTAATGATTTCAAGCCCAATACAAAAAACATAACATTTAGCCCGTGTCGTGTTGGCAGGCATTGCCTAGACGAGTATCCCGAAATGCATAGGGCGCTTCAGGCGGCAGCTGCTCTGCCAGACCGATCTGCGGGGCTGGAGACCGCGTCGGCTGCCACAGCCTGCTCGGATTGGTTTTCCTGTTGGCCATACTTCGCGGCTGCGTCGGGTTGTGGGTATCTGCTTGCCGTGTTTCTTTTGCCTCCCTTTCTTGCATTCTTTGCCAACACCGCTGCCCTGCTATTTTCTGTATTGCTAGACTACTGAGATAATCGTGTGCTTTTAATGGCCGCACCTGTACACAGCACCTTTGCCTTGTTCATGTGTGCAGCGCTCAACGCATTTCCTGCACTGGGCGACGAGCTGTATGCAACAAACGACTGCTCAAAAGTAGACACGAGGGAGCTGAAGAGTGCTGTCGCAGCACTGGCCGGCCAGAACAGCGAGGCGTTTGGTGACCGCGACAGCCGACAGGAGGTGGCTGTTCTGGCGCGGTGGGCCGGCCAAGCAGCTGTTGAGTCTGAGCAGTCGACTGTGTTCCAGCAGCTGGCGGCGCGGATGCCCCTGGCCACACGGCTGCTGATGGCTGGACTCGACATAGGATCAACACATGCCGCGAGCGATTATTGTGCAGCGCTAAAGGAAGGCTGGCTGATGAGCGACACTCGGAAACTGTGTGCGCCCAGCGTTGTTCTTTCCAGCGGACGGCGAATCCCGGTTCATGCGTTGTGCAGGGACGGCATGGTGGACTTTGGATCCTGCATAGATGTCCAGAGCGCGCGTATGAAGCAGGCAAAGATCGAGGCCGCCCAGGCGCGTGTGCGGACGATGGGGTCGGTGGTGGGTGGGATTCGTCGAGAGAACGATACGGCCGGGTGCAAGGACATTGCGGACTCGCTTCACATGCTCAGGCGCTGGATAGAGTCGCCAGCGATGGGGGAGCTTGCGGAGAGCGGGGTCGACACTCGGCACGATGCAGTTACCAGTGCCCTGGCGAAAATGGATGCATGGCAGGGTATCCTCGACACAGTTGAGGCGCGGGAGCAGAGCGCCAGAGAGACTTTGGATGCGCTGCAGCGGCCGGCGTTGTATGTGCTGCGGGCATTTCTGCTGGAGGACACAATGGTCCAGGCCGACAGCCCGACACGGTTCTCGGTGGTTCGGCGCTATGGCAAGGCAGCCGGCAGCAGCAACTACTCGGTTCTGAATGCCGATGGCGTGTGTGTGCCGGTGCGCGCGTCGGACTTGCGCGGGGTGGTCGTCGAGTGCATGTGGGTGTGTTGCGGCGTTGACGCAGAGTGCGGAGCAGACTTGGAGAACGGCGGAATCAACGTGGTGGTGGCGGATCCTGACGACGAGATCTGCTGCAAGGTGTGCGCTGGCCACGAGTCGCTGGGCTACGACAAGATCGTGATCTGCGACAGCTGCGACTATGCGTTCCATCAGCTGTGCCATGCGCCGGTGGTCATGGAGCATGAGCTGGCCCACGACACATGGTACTGCAGCGACTGCGCACAGGCCATCAAGACGAGCAGAGGCGCGAAGCGGCCGCGCCTGGAGTAGCGCATGGCTGACGGATGATGTATTTGTTGTTTTGGTGGTAGAAAAGAAATAAAAGGGGGCTGGGCTTACTTTTCGGCCTGAGAGATGACCTCGGCCTTGGACGCGTAGTCGGGCGCCGCAACAGTAGCCTCAACGGGCTCGCGGTAGGCAATGGGCTTGGCTGAGTAGTCCGCAAACAGCATGGCGCAGAGCTTCTCGATGGCATAGGCGCCGACAAAGTCAACCACCATGATCATGCAGACAGTGTCGCGGAACGACGACGGCATGGGCACCAGCTTCAAGTACTCGTTAAAGTCAGGGATGGTCTCGGTCGCGCACACCACAGCAATGCTGGCCACGCCGACCAGGCCGCGGTACAGAACCTTGTTGTCCTTCAGCGACTCGCGGAACGGGTGGCCCTGGTAGTTGATGGCAAAGGTCGACACCTGCTGCGACAGAGAGATCAGATACATGGCGGTGTTGAGCAGGCTGGGCTCAAACTCGCCCTCAACGTCGACCTCGCCAGGCGGCTCGTACTTGCGCACTTGCAGCGTCAGGTAGACCAAGGCGCCGACATGCACAGCGAACTGGCCAAGCACGGTCAGCAGCATGTAGAGGTTCAGGATGTTGGCGGTAGGGCGCTCGCGCGACAGCTTCTCGAGAGGCGACGACTTGGAGATGCACAGGAAGCACACAGACATCAGGGCGCCCATGATAGTCGCCTGCCAGTCGCCAAATTTGATGCCCTCGAGGTACAGCACGCTCATGCTGTACGCCGAGATGAGACACGTCAGACCCAGGATCTTGTACATCTGCGTGGTCGCCACCAGCGTACTGCGGCCCTGGCGCACAATGTTGCAGATGGCGTTGATGCTGCCCAGCTTGGACGTGAAGGGGGCAGCAACCGAGGCATCGCCAAACTTGAGCACAGGCACATCGTCCTCCATGGTGTCCATCTGCATCAGCCATTCGTTCATCTTTGCGTGCAGCTGCTCGGCCTGCGGGTTGGCGCTTGTGCGCTGCTGGGCGGTGTCGCGCTCAATCTCCTGTGCCTTCTTGGCAGCCTCGCTGCGCTTCTTGTCCTCCTCGATCCAGCTCTTGGGCACCGATCCTCCGGCAGCAAGAATGCGGCGGCGCTCCTCCTGCTGCTCCTTCTCGCGCTCCTTCTCCTTGGCTGCCAGCTTGTCCATGTGCGCCTTGAGCATGGGCGGCGGGATGGGCGGCGGCTGCTTGAAGCGCATCGCGATCTTGCACTGCGCGTCGTAGGCCTGCTTCAGGCGGTTGATCTGCTGGCGCTCGGCAATGGCCTGCAGGTCCTCGGCGTTTCCGTTCAGCAGGGCAACCCCGACGTGGGCCTGCTTCAGCGCGCCGACATCGTTGGTTCCGTCACCGCACATGAGCGTGATGTAGTCCGCCAGCTTGTACTCTGTCAGAATGAACTCCTTCTGCGACGGGCTGACGCGGGCGTAGATCCACGCGTGGTGCATCAGGTACGACTTCCACAGACCAGTCGCCCCAAGCACCTCGAGCGCGGCTCCGGTCAGGCACAGGTCCCAGCCGTCCATGGCCCGCTGCATGCGCTCAGAATCCGAGAGGTCAATGTCGAACTGGACTGACTCGTCAATGGACGTGCACGTAACCACACGGCTGGCCGGGTCCTCGACCTCGGACGCATGCGGGGCATCAAACACCAGGACGCCGCGGTCGACAATGCCGACCTCGCGAGCGACATGCGACGCAGTCAGGGGGCTGTCGCCAGTGATCATAACACAGCGATGGGACGATTCGTTGAGCATCTTGATTGCCTCGGCCGAGTCGGGCTTGAGCGGGCAGCTGAAGACCAGGAAGCCCTGGAACTCGAGCTGCGACTCGATCTCGTCACGGGCCAGGTCGTTGGTCTCCTGCTCCGAGTACGCGGCATCGCGCGGCATCCACTTGCAGCCCAGCGTCAGAACACGTCCACCACGGCGGCTGAATGCCTTGTAGGTGTCGTCGTACCAGGACGGCACCGAGCGCAGCATGCCGCGCAGCGTCTCGGGCGCACCCTTAACCGCCACAAAGTAGTTGTGCTTGGCCTTGCTCACGTTCGATCCAAGGCCCGTGACCTGGCTCAGCGTCGCGCTGCGCTTGAGCGCTGACGAGAACGCAAACCGCCGAGCAACCGTGATCTTGATCTTGTCCGAGCTGATTCCGAGCTTCTGCGCAAAGTCAACCTTGCTGTTGGACTCGGCCACAATGATGTCGCTGGTGACCAGCTTGAAGCCAACCGCGTCGAGCTGCGTGCGCTCCATCGGGTCGCCGACCAGCTCGCCGTCCTCAAGCTGCACCAGGGCGTGGGCGCTGGCCAGGGTCAGTGTCGCGTCGCGGCCCAGTGTCTTGGCGTCACCCAGCGACGACGGGTCGGGGGATCCAGGCGAACCAGCAACACCTTCGACCACCAGATCCTCGCCGGTCAGAGTGCCAGTCTTGTCAAAGCAGCAGATATCGATCTTTCCGGCGTGAGGGATGCGGAATGGCTCGGTACAGAAAATGGCAAAGCGGGACAGCGCCATCAGCGACGAGTTGACCGCCATCGACAGCTCCATGGGCAGCTCGGGCGGAACCACCGAGGTGATGATCAGCACACAGTCAAGCAGAACCTTGGACTTTGAGCGCCGCGTGTCCTTGGTGCCTTCGACCCAGACGTACGCCGAGGCCATGATGGCGAAGATGAGCAGGAAGCAGATGAACAGATACGACTCCTTGTTGTCGGCAGAGACACGGTCGGTGCTGTGCACCATGGTGCGGACCAGCTCGCCCTGGGCTGTGCCAAAGCCTGTGCGCAGGACGTAGCACGCGCAGCCGCCGTCGGGGGTGGCGATCTTGCTGGCTGCTGCCGGCGAGTCGACCTGCAGAACCTTGGTACCGCCAAACAGCATGCTGGCCTTGTCGGCCCCCTCCATGTCCAGCAGATCGGTGGCAGGGCGCAGCTGGATCGACTCCTTGAGCTGCGGCGTAGACTCGCCCGACAGCATAGCCTCGTTGACAATGCACGAGCCCTCGAGCAGAATCACGTCGCACGGCACACCGCTGTCCTCGGCCGAGCGCACCACGGAGATGATATCGCCAGGGCACAGGTCTTCGGTGGTGACCTCGGTCCACTTGCCGCTGCGCAGGACCTGGATCTTGTACGGATGCATCGACAGCGACCGGAACTCGCGCAGCGTGCGCAGGCGCTGGAACACCAGGGTCGACTCGAACACGACCAGCATCACCAGCGTGAAGATCGAGTAGTACCAGTACTCGTCCATGCACCACAGGCCGACGCAGAACAGCTGGAACACAAAGAACGGCGCCACCGCGTGCTCCTTGAACAGCTCGACAAAGGTCGGGATCGGGATCAGGAACTTGTTGGCGCCGTATGTCTCCAGCGCCTCCTTGATGGCCAGCTCGCCCGAGAGCCCGACCGACTTTTGCAGCTCGCCCAGGGGCGGCTTGCTGTCAGACGGGTACGTGACCGGGCTGAAAATCCGCTTGTTCTCGTCGTAAATGTACTTTAGCGCCTGGAACAGGAACGACAGCTGCGGGCGGGTCTCGTCATGTACGTTGATGCCGAAATCCATGGCGCACATAGCGCTCTTGCCCAGATGCTTCGCTGCAATCACCTTGACCAGCTCGGCCTCGTACGGGTCCTTGACGCGCTGGCAGGTGAGCCTTGCGCGCATATCGATGCTCCACTGACACATCAGAAACACCAATGCCTGCGCCATGATCACGAGCATCAGCGACAGGAACGTAAACTCCTGCGAACCGAGGTATTCCTCGTACCGCATCGTGTAAATGTATAGCCACGCCGGGTACACAAATGTGAATGGCCAGATGTATGCATGCTGGAACAGCGGCAGTCGCCGGTGCAGCGTCGCCGCCACAATGCCCTTGTCCAGCACAAGCTTGTCTTGCGGTGGTGATCTATGCAGAATTCAGAACTGGCTGTCATTAGCAATTTCGTCGGGCGGTCGTGCGCCTGTGTTTGTCTCCACAGGAGCTCTGCATGCTGGCCACGTCCCATGCACTGAAACTTACGACGACATCAGTAATAGCTGCTCAAATGAGAAGTCAGAACTGGCAAGATAAATAATATTCTGGGGGGAAAACGAAGAGAAAGAGAAAGCGCAACACAGCGAGCGCGGCGGTGTACTAGGCGGATTCGCCCATCAGGCGAGATTTTACTTTTTGTTCTAAACGTTTCGATCGTCCAGCCGTCCCGAGGCCATTTGATGAAAACGAGGCGGAGGAACCGTCTGGCCTGCCTGTGCATGCTACGTGTCAATATGCTCCGGGCCCTACTGACGGGATCCACCTCTGAATCATCCACCTGGGCGGTTATGCTGGCCGTGCCCTGTCGTGCGCCAAATCGGCTGTAGTGCGCGCGGTACGTCGGCCGGACCCAATCGCAGCATTACACAGTGGTGCATGTCACGATCTGCCTTTCCGAACCACGTCAACACATTGCGGCCCATCCTTGCAGTCTGGCGGTCTCGAAATAGCTCCTGCCGTCACCACTTCCCCATCATTCTCAAAAGTCGGCGGTATAAAAGGCTGCTACCGGACGACGCGCAGCCTGCTGGTTCCTTGCTTCTGTATACTTTCCTTTTCTCTCCCCTCAGCCAACTCAACAAACCTCAGTTTTTTCCTCAGCAATGTCTGCCTGGTCCGACCGCGAATTCCCCGACACCATCTGTCTCTTCGACGTCGACGGTACCCTGACCCCGGCCCGCGGCGTAAGTACTGGCGGTCCACAGTAGCTCCACTCCACGGCGCCTGCTATGAATAACCGACTCCCCCACGCACTAACGCGCATATCCTTTCTATGACTAGGTCATCAGTCCCTCGATGAAGCAGACTCTGGCTGACACCCGCAAAAAGTGCGTGATCGGCTTCGTTGGCGGCTCCGACTTTGTCAAGCAGCAGGAGCAGCTGGGCGAGAACGCCCTCGACATGTTCGACTTCTGCTTCTCGGAGAACGGCCTGACTGCATACCGCCAGGGCAAGGAGCTCCCGGGCAACAGCTTCCTGAAGTTCTTGGGCGAGGACCGCTACGCCAGGCTGGTCAACTTCTGCCTGCGCTACATCGCCGATCTGGAGCTGCCGCAGAAGCGCGGTACGTTTGTCGAGTTCCGCAATGGCATGGTCAACATCTCACCCATCGGCCGCAGCTGCACACGCGAGGAGCGCAACAACTACGAAAAGTTCGATCTGGAGCACAAGATCCGCGAAAAGTTCGTTGAGGCTCTCGAGAAGGAGTTCCCCGACTACGGCCTCAAGTACTCGATCGGCGGACAGATCTCGTTCGACGTGTTCCCCATTGGCTGGGACAAGACCTACTGCCTGCGTCACATCAAGGACGAGGGATTCAAGACCATCCACTTCTTTGGCGACAAGTCGTTCAAGGGTGGCAACGACTACGAGATCTACACTCACCCTGATGTCGCTGGCCACGCCGTCAACAGCCCCGTTGACACCGAGGCTATCCTCAAGGACCTCTTCAAGCTCTAAGCGCAGCGCATTCTCTCTCCACACATAATGAGCGCAAAATTCTATTGGTACAGGTTGAATAAATAGTGGTCATTGCCCCGACAGCATGCGGAACAGGTCCTCCGTCCCTGGATCGGCCACATCATCCACGTACACGCGGCTTTCCTCGCCACTGCCTTGTTGCGTGTGCCTCTTCTTTGACGGGCCCCGGTCCACATGCTCCTCGTCAGCGTCTCGCTTTTGCGTCTGTCTTCGCTTCTCTGCCGGGGTAGCAACCCGTTTCCGGTACCGCGTCTGCTCGGTGATGGTCACTGATGGCGGTATCCGGTCACCGCCGGCGTTCGGGGAGGATCCAAAAATATCGTCAAACACATTGAACTGCGCTGTCGCTGATTCGGTTTGGCTAGTGTTACCCGAGTCTGGCACGTACGGCGGTGAGCCAGCAGAGTACGTTGGCGACTGAGACGATGCCGACGACAGATATGACGGAGAGTACGATGCCACCTGGTAGGGTGGCGAATGTGAGGGCGAGCCGGACGGCGTGAGCTGCCGTAGATATGGCGGGGAACTGGCGGCTGGCGGAGAGTTTTGGCGGCGTGCACTGCTATTGCTGCTTGCGCCAGACATGGCAGTAGACCGGGTTGCCCGTGCGCTTGGCCGGGCAGCAGCAGGTCTATTTCTCGAGCATGGTGCTGCAGCAGTACCGGAAAGCCCTGGCCTGCCAATGCTCTGTCTGCCAGCATAGCCGTAGCCGCTGCCGCCGAGGCTGGTGCTCGTGCTGCTAGGCCAGCGATCAATGGGGCTGTGCATCCTCGACATGTGCACCTTGGTCTCTCGTCTTGCTCGCTGCAGCACCGACAGGTCGCCAGCCCTCGCCACCCGCCTATCTCGGCCTGCCTCGACCACCGGCAGCTTTGTCATCCTGACCCTCCGCTGCTTCTTTGCCTGCTCGATCTCCGCGACCTTGGTTCTGACGCGCTGCGCGATATCCTTGGCCCTTTCCTCGTCCTGCGCTTTCATGCGGGCATACAGATCCCGCCAGCAGTGCACGGGCTCGGCACGCCCCTTTTCGATATCCTCGGGCAATGCACGCAGCTCTTTAAAGGTCCGCAGGCAGTGCGCCATCCACAGAGGCTGGTTGTCGTCGACAATGTGCGGGTTAAAGTGTTCAATCATCGTCAGCTGCTCCGGCGTGCACACGGCCAGCACGTCGGCGACAAGAAACTGTGGCACAATTCCGAGCCGGCGTATCCCTAATTGAAACATGAGTCGGGTTTAATGGTGGCGGTCTTTGCAATTGGCATCAATCGCCACGCCTGCAGTTTGCATATATGTACGTACTGTCAACCTTGGCCATCAGCGCGCGCTTGCACAATTCCTTCAGCGACAGCACCCTGGGCTTGCCGCTGGTCCGGCTGCGTTCCATGTGCGTATGATATACTGTTGCTGCTGGCGAAGTGGCAGTGTGAAGCGGTTTGCATATAGCGTCGACGGGGCTGAGAGGTGAGGTAAAAAGGTCCTCGAGTGCATGCAGCAGCTTGCTGGTACAAGTAACGGAAAAAGGGAGGAGCGAGTGAAACCAAGCAGAAGCGAAAGAGAAAAAGGGTGTGGAGAAACAAAAAGGGGAAAGAAGGGGGGAATGGCCCGCGTGAGGCTCTGCCTTTATACCCGACAGGCTTGCCCGCCATCACCCTTCGTCAAGTCGCTGCCGCCATATGTGCAACGAGTAATGGGCAAAGTATGGATTGGGATTAAGAGCTCTTTTTACTTTTGTTTTCTACTTTCTGAGGAAAGCGACCGCGGGCTTGCCGTGGCTGCGCGCAATCGCCTCCAGCGGGTCTGACCGCGGCACCCGGCGGCCACCGTGCTTCTCTTTGGAAAAGCGCTTGACCGACTTGGGCACCTCCTGCGTCAGGCTCTCCAACAGCGACATGCGGCTGGCAGGCGCCGACGCAACTACTCGGATACCCGACACGAACCGCTCGCCCTTGCGAGCCGGCTCAGGGGCACGCTTCTTGCTGCCATGCTTGCGCTTCTTGCGAGGTGCGTCGTCCGACAGGCGTGTGTGTTGGCCAGACTCCTTGGCAAAGTCGGCCAGCAGCGACGCGTCGAGCTTCTGGCCTGCCGCAGCGCGCTTGGGCGGTGCGCTGGCATCGGTGCGCTTGGGTTCGGTGGCAGTCAGGCGCAGCTGGGCCGGGATTTCGTGGGGCAGCACCAGTGCCGGCTTGTTCAGCGACTCCCGGACCGCCTCGATAGCCGTGGCGACAGTGTCGGTCACAGCAGCCGACGCTGCATGCTTGCGATGGCGCCGGCGGTGCTTCTTCTTGGGCTTCTGCTGGTCAGTCTCATCTTGGTCAGCCTCATCTTGCTGGTCAGCATCCTCCTGGGCCTCTTCTACCTTGGCTGCCAGCGGCTTCTTGGTAGAGACGACCTCTGGGGCGTCGTCGTCGTCGTCGTCGTCGCTTTCGTCATCGGCTGCAGCCAGAGGCTGCTTGGCTGGCGCCACGTCGGGTGCTTCGTCGTTGTCACTCTCAGCATCCGAATCAAATTTCTTGTGTGTGGCCTTTGGCACACTCTCGGTCGCATCGGGCGCATCCGAAAAGTGCGGGTCCTCAACATCGCTCAGGTCCGAGATGTCCTCATCGGCCTTGCTCTCCAGCTGCTTCAGCTTCTTCTCCGGGCTCTCTGGCGCCGTGTGGAAGCTGCCCTCGTCAACTGAATTGCCATCGGCTGACGCAGCTCTGTCCAGAACCGCAGCAGCTGCCGCCAGCTTGCTGGTGATGCCAGACAGGTCCGGATGCGGCGGTGGAAGTGCCGCTGCTGGCGCGTCTTGCATTTGGGGCGTGGCCAGATCCTCGTTCATTTCCACATCACCGTCGCCTGCAGAGTCCTCGTTAGCTGTCTGCTTCCGTGACTGGCGCGGAGCCCGGCGTGTGCGCGGGGACGACACCTGCACGGCTTCTGAAGCAGATGTGTCAGCTGACGGCTTGGCTGCGCTCTTCTTTGCCGGCGTGCGCGAGGTCGACCGGGTAGTCCGGCGTGTGGGCGTCGTCGGGGTGTCGTCGGATGCCTCAACCGATGTGTTGCTTGCTGTCCGCCGTGCCGATGCCCGTCGGCCGCGCCTGCTTGTCGGCGTCTCGTCGGCAGCTTCAGCATCGTCCGTGCTCTTCTTCGCTGCAGCGGATCGGGTGCTGCGCCGCGTGGGCGTGGTGGTCGCTGCCTCATCTGCATCATCAGACCGAAGCTTGGCGCGCTTCTGCAGCTGCTCCGTGGGCGATGCAAACTCGGCCGTGGTGTCCGACTCCATGCTGGCGCCTGACCGGTCGCGCGAGCGCAGCCGGTGCGAGATGGGTGATGCCCGGGATGATGCCGCCTCGCCTGTCTGCGCAGGCGGTGTCGCAGGTACAGCGCTCTCTGGTGCGGATCCTCGTGTGGTGACCATGCCTTTCTATGTCTGGAGCTGTTGGATTCAAATAACTGGTAATTGTGTCAATACTGAGGGGCTGAAGTGGGTTGTTGAGCGCAAGAGGCGGACAGACAGCCAACAGCGCCAGCAGAGATTTTTTCCAAATTCAAAAAATGCGTGGCCTTGATCACCTCCGCAATCACACCAAGAGATCAATGACTGGATTAAATGAAAAACGACAAAGTGTTGCTAAGAGATTTTCTGAGACAAAGTATACATGCTTTTGTCGCCCGGCTGTCGGCCGCGCCGGCGGTACTTTGCGCTGCCCTCGACGGCCTTCATGGCCACGCTCAGCCGGGCAACCAATGCCCTGACCTGGTCCACCGGGCCATCACCAGCGACGCGCCGCAGCGCCCGTGCTGTCTTGGTCCCGGCTGCAAGCCAGCTGGCAACAACTGCCAGCCCGCGCGGCGCCTTGCTAACGCGTGCTTGCTGGGGATGGTCCAAAACCCCACGCGCAATTTGCGACGCCTGGTGCCGACTGATCCACCCCCCACTTTGGCACAGGGTCCACCACAAGGCGCAAAAGATCGTCCAGACCGCCTGTGGGCTGCTCGTTGCCGACGCCGAGACAATCGCCTGCACTGCCGTGTCCACTACCTGCTGCCGCCAGCTCGTCGATGAACTGGTTGAGGAGCATGTCCCCGGCTGCTTGCGACCCAAACTCACCGAAAACTGCAAAGGCATCCGCTGCTGAGAATCGGGCTTCACACAGTAAATGTGCGACGTGCCCGACTGTTCGAGTACTGCCGACTCGGACAAGCCCTTGCTGGTGAGTGTTGTGGTGCGAGCAACGCCAGGGAACAGCTCCGTGGCTGCTGTGGTGGACTCAGAGGTGCTAGTGTTGGTGCTCGGAATCGACGACAGAGCAGTGCCCAGCGAGGGCGACTGCGACGACGATGTCGCGCTCATGGCGACTGTGGCTGAGGAGGGGGTACGTGAGATGATGCTGTTTGAGAGATCGGCGCTGGTAAGAGAAAAAGGGGCTTCGCCGGGCGACAGGCCAAGCTGGGCCAGCGGTTGGTTGAGCGGCGATGCTGCCATAGGCGTGGGCAGGCTGCTCCACATGCCCGGCGTTGCTGCTTGCGAGATGGCTGCTGCCGCCGCCGGAGTCGATGCTCCAGCAGCAACGGGTGCTGCACCGCCCAGAATCAGGCTCTGAAGCGACTGCAGCTGCTGCGCCAGCGAGTCAAGCTTGCTCGATAGCTCGAGGTTGCTCGTCTCGGCCTTTGTCAGCCGCTGCTCGAGCTCGGCGTTCTTGGCCTGCAGCTCGGCGTTCTCGTTCTCGAGCGACTCGACATGCTGGCGCTTCTTCTCGCGAGACAGCTGTGCCGCCGCACGGTTGCGCAGAACACGGGCCCGCTTACGGGCTTCCTGCATTGCCGGGTCCTGCGGCGTCTTGCCTGAGGGCCGGCCAGGCCGAGGCGGCGGCAGGTCGTTGAGGTCGATCTCGGCCCCTGATGTGAGCACGACCATCGAGTGCTTGCGCTTGCCCGCGCTGCTCTTACCAACGCCAACAGCACCACTGCCAATGCCGGAGCCCTCGCCTGCCTTGTTTGGGGAAACACAGGTGTTAGACATTTTGAGTGAAAGCCGGTGGTGGGGTGTGGAAGCGGTGGTGTTGCGTGGTGGGTTGTGCTAAAGGGTCACGACAAAATTGCAAAGGAAAATAAGAGTGTGGAAATAGGGGATAAGGGAGGAGAAAGTGTTGGCTGCAGCGGCTAGTTGCTCATCAAGTGTTGGGAATGCGTGCGCTTTGTGGTTGGCTGGGCTGTAGGAGGCGGGAATCGCGCAATTTATTTATGCAAAAATGCCCAGCTGCCCGCCACGGCTGCTCTTGGCAAAGCACGATCGTGTCAACAACCTCCAGCAACATGTATTTTTTTTTGCGGGCACACAACATCGTCCCTGTCCACACAGAGCGGCCCACATCCCTCGGCGCCTATTTTTGGGCAGTACATGTCCACAACATCAGACCACGGCACTACGAGCGTTTGGTGCGGATCACCTCAGACCGCAGCAGCAATTTCGAACCGTCGCTGTCGACATCGCCTGCACATTTATCGATTGATCAAGGCTCTGTCAGAGCGGACAGAAAATCACATTCGCAGCACAGTGATAGTAGTAGAATTTATTGCGAGGATCACAAGCTGGGGAGGCTGCATTCGCAGTCTTCACAGTTCCAGGGCATTCTCAGACATTGTGAAACACCTCCAGAAAGCCCATGCTGCCTAAAAGCGCGCTGGCCATTGGGAGGTGAAGTAGCACTACGCCCGGGCTTAGTTGCCGCCGCGCAGGCGGAGCACCAGGTGCAGAGTCGACTCCTTCTGGATGTTGTAGTCCGAGAGGGTGCGGCCGTCCTCGAGCTGCTTGCCGGCGAAGATGAGGCGCTGCTGGTCAGGCGGGATGCCCTCCTTGTCCTGAATCTTCTGCTTGACGTTGTCGATGGTGTCCGACGACTCCACCTCGAGGGTGATAGTCTTGCCGGTGAGGGTCTTCACGAAAATCTGCATACCACCGCGCAGGCGAAGCACCAAGTGCAGAGTCGACTCCTTCTGGATGTTGTAGTCCGAGAGGGTGCGGCCGTCCTCGAGCTGCTTGCCGGCGAAGATGAGGCGCTGCTGGTCAGGCGGGATGCCCTCCTTGTCCTGAATCTTCTGCTTGACGTTGTCGATGGTGTCCGACGACTCCACCTCGAGGGTGATGGTCTTGCCGGTGAGGGTCTTCACGAAAATCTGCATACCACCGCGCAGGCGAAGCACCAAGTGCAGAGTCGACTCCTTCTGGATGTTGTAGTCCGAGAGGGTGCGGCCGTCCTCGAGCTGCTTGCCGGCGAAGATGAGGCGCTGCTGGTCAGGCGGGATGCCCTCCTTGTCCTGAATCTTCTGCTTGACGTTGTCGATGGTGTCCGACGACTCCACCTCGAGGGTGATAGTCTTGCCGGTGAGGGTCTTCACAAAAATCTGCATGGTACAGAGCAAGCGAGAAAAGAGCTACTGGGGTGTTGGTGTGGTTTAAAGGTGATATTCTTGGGAGAAAAATAAAGCGGTAGAGATGAAGAAAGGCGGCGCAGCGGCTTAGGCGGAAAGGCACTTTATAAATGATTCCGGCATGGTCATGTGGCCCAGTGCTGACGCGTATAGTGTGGAAATAGCGGTGTCCGCAGTTGCATTCTTCGCAAATGTACATCACATGCATGCAATTCCATTTGCTGGCCGGTCGTGATGAGAAATCGAGACCCCGCTTTCCACTATATGCGCCCCATCCGCAGTTGACTAGGCAACCTTTCTAGACTCGGAAGTGATGGCAGGCCTTCAAGACTCCTCTGTCAGTATTTGAGGCGTTTTACCTTGCGGAAGCAGCCGCTCCAGTATATAAAATGTTATGTGCGGACGTGACAGCTATTTACTTTGACTTCTGCCGAAATACTGCTTAGTGCCATGTACTGAAGTTTGTCCCTGGTGCATCTGTATTCATGTGGTTCAAAATAGAACACTGTTCTTTCTTGGTGCTTACTAGAAAAGGTATGTGCAAAATGGTCATATGCTGGGCAGCAAAATTGAGTCACAAAAAGATATTCAACTTTATGTTACTATATCTTGATCATCAGATGTGCTAAATATTTGTACTCAGCTTATATTCAATAGGGCTTATTATGCTTATTGAATATGTAGGGATTTTGAAAGTTATATTTAATACTGAAGAAAAGAGAGAAAAGGGAATAGACAAGTTGTGCAGGGGAGTTTTCAATATAGCTATCTATGCAACTTATTAGGGGTTAGACTCTACCTCTATATAGTAGGCTATAGTAGAGCTCTTATTGGAGCCTAGATTGCTATCACCTAATTTCACTAATATGCCAATATCAGGGATAGCTATAGGAGGCCATTCACAAATATAAAAGTTTAAAGTAACTAAATATCTATTATCAGAATAACTAATTAACAAATAAGAAATCAATTACAAGCAATAGATAAATATTTTAAAATACAGAATGTTTACTAGTGGCCAAAAAGATTCTAGCAACTAGATTAAGGAGGTTATTCAGAGCTAGTTATCTGCACAACAACTATTTATACATGTTGAAATTATTAGCAATTTCAGTGAAATAAAAATTTCACCCAAACTACTATCGGTATCTTGGAAAAGTTTCAGTGAACATAATTTCAACCAGAAAGAAAAACTTTGCATAGTAGGGGTTAATTATCATTGGGCAACAAAAGTCAATATCTCAATAGATGTGGCTAAGCAACCATAAGGAAATTATGTTCACTGAAACTTTTCTAAGATGCCGATGGCGGTTTGGGTGAAATGGCAAAAAATATTTGTATTTTTAAAATCAATTATATACACAAAAACATTCTGGACACAATAACTAATAATAACTATGAAAAAAATAATTAGTAGTAAAAAATAGTTTTGAAAACGATTATACAAATAACTATCTAACAAAATTGTAATTTACTAATATTTACAAGTCCAGGAATGACCCCCTTCCAAAGTGAACTGAGAGTGTTGCTAACAAGAGTGTTGTCAGAAAGAAGAAATATGCCTGATGTTGCTGATACTAGGTATACTGCTAGAGGTATAGAGCAACTTGGATTTGAGCATTATTCTGAAATATTTGTTGACTCATTCATTGTTGAGGTTGTTGTTGAGAAATGCAGTGAATCAGATATAAAGGTAAAGCAGAAGTCAGCTAGTGTTAGATTGCATAAAGTATTTGGAGAAGGTTTTGGTTATAAGTATGTTAGAAGCAAGATTAGTGAACAATATGGACCAGTTGCTATTTACAAAGTATCTACCCCAAACATTGCAATAGCTAGTTCTTTGTTAACAGTGAAGTTTGCTACTATGGCTGATCACAAAATATATCTACAGAATTATGACATCACAATGGATTGTATAAATATCTCATCTAGAAATATTATCTATAAATACCTTTTAGAAAGAGGAGTTGAAAAGAAAGATGTTGTAGATGATTTACGCAAGTCTGGCTCTAACTGTATTAGCTGGTTTACAAAGAAAGGAGATGTTAAAGTTAAGAATAAAATTTACAACAAGTTTATTCAGCTTCTTGAGAGTGGTGAAGTTCGTAATCCTCTTAGTTCAAAACTTTCAGAATTTGTTATGCCAACTTTGCACAACTTTGGAGAAACATTGTATGCTTGTAGAAACTCTGGTTTGACTAGGATAGAACTAACTGTACATTCTTCTCAGATGCAAACTGTTGAATGGAACAGTAACTTGCTTCTTAACACAGTTCAGTTCATGAATGGATGCAGAACATTTGCAACTTCTTATGAAAAGCAGTGGATGGCACTTGTTGATAAGGTTAGTAGTTGTTATACAGTTTGTATTTATGTGAGACAACAGCATACTCTAGCATATTGTCATTGGTTTAACTCAATCACATCAAAAAAGCAAGGGATTATTAAGAAACTAAACAAGAATGATGATCCAATGGTAGTTGTTGCTAATCTTTCATTCAACAATAGACCTACACTTTATCAAATATATGACTCAATTGAGAGTGGTCTTGAAACAGAAAAAGTTCTTAGAAGAGTTGATGAGAATATAACTATTGTTCCAAGTCAGAGAAACTCCTTCTGGTCAACTTATCCTACAACTAAGCAGTATCATACTTTTGAAGAGATGGGATTAGTTAACTACAAAGGAATGCATATTGGTTGGATAGATAGCAAACAAGCAAAGAGCAAAATATGTCTATCAGAAATGTCAGAGGTTGAATATTCTGTAGATGAGGAAAACATCAATGCACTAACAACAGCAATAGACAATATCACACTAGATGAAACTAGACATATATTTATCAAAGAGAATACAGATCTGAAGCCTTCATTGTATAGAGTTGCTTACAATGTTCTTCAGTTAGGTGATGAATTTACAGTTACTTATTATGCACTCCATACTTTCAGAGGACATTCCTACTTCTATATTGATATTCATATTAAAGGGAGAGATAAACAGCCAACTCTTATCAGGACACCAGCAGATAGTTCAATTGGAAAAGCAATTTCTCAACAGTTAGGAGAAACAAAGCTACAAAGCTACTTAAGAGTTATAAGTGTGGGATATAGAACAATCACAGTTGAATAGCAGCCATTTTAAAACATAGAATAAGCAACCATTCTCTCCATATCTCTATGGAAAGTTAGACATACATCATATACATGTTCAACCCTTACTTCACAATCAGTAGCAATATGTTGGATCCAATTACGCACTTATGTTGCTAGGTCATCACTCATATCAAAGTCATGAATAAGTAGCAGAGTAAGCATATCTCTTTCTTCCTCACACATCTCAACTAAATGTTGCTTGAAGAAGTTCTGGAATGATCCCATTTTCTAAAATTGATAAAAGTTGAAATTTTAATTTATGACTACCTCACACTAATGGACAATCAATTACAAGAATTAAGAGAGAAGGAGTGGAATGTGCTCTACACAACAAAGTGGAGATTTCTTGATGAAGACTGGTTAGTGCATAAACAGCAGAAGTATTATAGGAGTGAAGCTCATGAAGTAAAAGAAATAAAGCTTATTAAAGATACACTTGTTAAGCAACTTGGAATGATTCCTGTGTTCTTCTTCCTAAATGTGCTATTTGGTGGAAAGCAGTATCCATGTCCATACAGAAATGCTGAGAAAGGACTCTTAATTTTGTACCAGTTAGTTGCTGGGCTATCAATCAATGAGATGGAGAGGTTTATTCCTAAGAGCAGCTACCAAGTTATTCATAACATGTTCTATCTCTCAGAGTTAAGTGAGTTGAATAAGAAGCTTTCACACTACTTGCACACAATGTTCTCTACTCCAGAACTAAGAGTGATCTCAGCAAAGATTCAGAATCCAACAAACTTTAAGCATATTACTCTTATGATAGGAGGTCATTCACAAATAAGAAAGTTTAAAGAAACTTAATATCTTATATCAGAATAACCAAGTATTAATAACAAATCAATTACTAGCAGTTAAAAAATAATTTAAAAATCAGAATATTTAGTGATGGCCAAAAAGATTTTAACAACTAGATTAACTAATAAACAAAAATATAAGAACAGACGCTTCTCCGAAACCCCCTTCGGCATCCTGAAAAATTTCAGTTGATTTCTTGTGACTCAGCCTGTATCTCAGTAGAAGCATATTAATTGTGTAGCAACTGAAATTTTTCAGGATGCTGAAGGGGGTTTTGGAGAAGCTCAAAAAAAACAAAAGAACAAAAAGTTTTATAAGTTCTAATTATTTTTTACTTAGTTTAGTGATTGTGAATGACCTCCTAGTGATTGTGAATAACCTCCAAATACTGCCATTTTAAAACATCATGTTCTAGTCATCAAGTCATTATCATCCTATTTATAACTATTTTTCTAATACTAAGCAATCATATATATCATCAATTTTAGAAAGAATCAAATTATGCCATTTTAAAAAATCATAATAAATTCATCAAGTTGTTAGAATCCCATCTGTAATTAATAGATATGCACCAAGCAATCATATATGTCATCAATTTTAGAAAGCATCAAACTGTGCTATTTTAAAACATCAAATATACAAGTCACATAAGAATATGCTTAATACAGTAAATGTTCTTAGAAGAGTTGATGATAATATATCTATTGTTCTAAATCTGAGAAATTACTTCTGGTCTATATATCCTATATCTAAGCAATATCACACTTTTGACAAGATGTGATTAGTTTACTATTAAGAGATGCATATTAGTTAGATAGACAGAATATACTCAAATAAGCAAATAATATGATTTGTCTATAAGAAATGTCTGAGGTGTAGTTTCTATAGGTGAACAAAAGATCAATGCACTAACAACAGTGATTGAAGATGCCATACTAGATGAAATAAGGGCAATATTTATATAAGAATCTAGATCTTAAGCCTTTAGTAAAGAGTTGCTCATATTGTTCTCTATTTCAGTAATGGTTTTGTAGTTACATAATGGAGATCAGTCAGAAATAGTTAGCTATTTAATAATTATTAATATTTTTATTGTTTTCTTGGTCAGATGCCAAATATGGTGCTTCTACGAAACCCCCTTCGGCATCCTGAAAAATTTCAGTTGATACACAATTAATATGCTTCTACTGAGATAGAGGCTGCGTCCCGAGAAATCAACTGAAATTTTTCAGGATGCCGAAGGGGGTTTCGTAGAAGCACCATATTTGGCATCTTTGTTTATTTGTTAATTTAGTTGCTAGAATCTTTTTGGCCATTGCTAAACATTCTGTATTTTAAAATATTTATCTACTGCTAGTAATTGATTTATTATTTATTAATTGGTTATTCTGATAATAGATATTTAGTTTCTTTAAACTTTTATATTTATGAATGGCCTCCAATATGCACTCTGTATATTCAGAGGACATTCCTACTACTATTTAGATATTCATATTAATAGGAGAGATATACAGCTAACTCATATTTAGATACCAGATGATAGTTCTTTTGGAAAAGCAATTACTCTATAGAAAGGAATAATACACTAACAAATATATCTAAGAGTTGTAAGTGAGGGCTACAGAATGGTCACAGTTATATAACTACCATTTTAAAACATATTATATACTACCATCCACTCCTTATATCTATGGGAATTTTGACACACTTCATATATATGTTCAACCTTTATCTCATAAAAAGTTCCACTAAGTTGGATCCAATTATGCACTTGGAATGCTAAGCCAGCACTCATGTTAAAGTCATGGATAAGCACTAAAGTTAGCATATCTCTTTCTTCAGTACTCAGATCAGCTATATGTTTCTTAAGGAAGTTATAGAATGATGGCATTTTCTAAAATTGATAATGAACCAGAGTTATGTATCTTATCTTACTACCCATGAATAATCAATTATAAGAATTACAAGAGAAGGAGTAGAATGTGCATTAGATAATAAAGTTTTAAAAGTTCTAACTATCTTTTACTAAATTTAGCAGTTGTGAATACCCTCCATATTGAACAATATTGATAAGAACTATCTATTTTAAAATCAAGTAGCTAGCATCATATCTGTTGTTACCCCATATCTACAAAGCAGTCATAGTTGTCATCAATTTTAGATTGTAGAAATCTACTTTGTAGTTCAACCATTGATGCTTCAAACTCAACCTTTTGAGGTAAAGTATATGTTGGTTCCATTTGTGTTGATCTTTCATTGTGTGATTCAGGATAGTCAAAGTTTGTCATAACCCAGAGAGTATGATGATGTTCTACTTGCACATCACTATTTGCTAGTATTTTCTTCATATTATATAATACACAGCACAGTTTCATTTGCACATTGTAAACATTCTTATTCTTTACTCGAACAATCTCCTTATTTGACAACCTTTTGAATGTTGTTCCTAGTTCTCCAAATGTGTTTTCTACCATAGAACGGAATGATCCAAGATGGGAATTATACTCTACTTCTGCTTCTAGTAAGTTTACCCCTCTCTGCTTTCTAATTGGTAAACAAAAGTTATGCATTCCAAAGTCCTCCTGCTCTTCTTCTTCTGTCATCTCTTGAAGAACACTCTGTGGATAGCCACCATCAAGCACAATACAATCTATAGGGGATATCCTCTTTAATAATCCCATGTTTTTAATCATTCTTGAATCTGGATTATCTCTACAGTCTTCTGTTGGTGAAACAAGTAGAACCATTCCATTTATATCAATGCAAACTTGTGTACGATATCCTGATTTCTTCAACTTAAAGGAATAAAGTCCTGGTTTGTATGCACCATTGTGTAGAGCTCTTGAGTCATGGCCATCTAACATTAGTGTTACATGTTTAAACCCATGAGGATTCTGCATCTTTGCTGCAAGTAGTCGTAGCTCTGGAGTAGAAAACATTGTTTGCAGATAGAATATTAGCTTATTCAAATCTTGCATTTCAGAAATGTAGAACATATTATGAATAACTTGATAGCTGCTTCTTGGAAGGAATCTTTCCATTTCATTGATTGACAATCCTTCTACAAGTTGGTATAAGATAAGCAATCCTTTTTCTATACTTCTGTAAGGACATGGATAATGAGTGCAGCCAAACAAAACATTCAGAAAGAAGAAAACAGGAATCATCCCTAGATGTTTAAGAAGTGTATCTTTTATAAGTTTGATTTCTCTTACTTCACGAACTTCACTTCTGTGATATTTTGTATGCTTAAGAACTACCCAGTCATCATTCAGAAATTTCCACTTATTTGTGTAGAGCTTATGATATTCCTTTTCTCTGAGTTCTTGTAATTGATGATTCATCTGTGCAATGTACTAATAAATTTAAAAGTTGTCATTTATTATAATGGGCCCATTCTATAAGTTCTTCAACACTCAACTTTCTGAGCTAGATGAGGAAGAGAGAGAAAAGCTAGTCCAACTACTTAGCAGAAATTTCAATATGAGCAGAAAATTAACAGTGTATATCAGAGCATGGATTAAGAATGTTTCAGAAGATAGGGGTGTTAGTATTAAGTATGTGTTTGATGTATGCAACTACAGTTGTGCAGATATGGAAGTAATGGTTGCCAACTGCCCATTTTAAAACTAGATCCTCTCAGTAAGGATAATACGATTTTGAATTCTAGTTACTTTAAGCACCACTTCTTGATTTGGTTGGCCAATAACAGAAGCAATACATTCACCAAATAGACTACTTGCCAGTACTTTGATAAGTGTATGAGTGCTACTAACTATTTCATTGTGAATCATAGAAATATCTAGATAGTAGAAAGGTAATCCTCTAAAAGTATATAGGAAGTAATAACTAACTAAGAACTCATCACCAACATGAAGTATGTTGTAAGCAACTTTATATCTAGCTGGCTTGAGATCAGTATTTTCTCTTAAATATGTAGGTTCTAGATCATCAAGTTCAATATTGCTAATATCTGCAAGAAGGTCATCTATTCCTAAACCATCAGTATTATCACTAACAATTGAGAGAGTTGAAAGCCTAACTTTCTCTCTTGCTTGCTGAGCTGCTAACAAATCAATATGTATTCCACGATAGTTAATAAGTCCCATTTCAGCAAATGTATGTTGTTGTCTTTCTCTTGAAGCAACTGGCCAGAAGGAGTTTCTCTGACTAGGAACAATAGTGATGTTTGTACTATCTCTTCTTAGAACAACTTCAGATTCAAGAGGACCACTACTAGTAGCATATGTAAGAAGAACAGTTGGGTGTCCATTGAATGTAAGATTAGAAACAACAGTCATCATATCCTCATTCTTTTTCAACTTTTTAGCTATTCCTTGTTTCTTCTTAGTTGTTTTATTGAACCAATGGCAGTAACCAAGAGAATGTTCTTTATGGAAGTAAATACACAACATATGTTTGTTATGAATCTGATCAACTAGTGCCATCCATTGCTTTTCATAAGATGTTGCAAATGTCCTGCAGTTATGAAGAAACTCAAGAGTATTAACAATTAAGTTTGTGTTCCATTCTACTTCCTTCAACTCAGGAGAGTGAACAGTAAGCTCAAGTCTCATTAATCCTTCATTCCTACAAGCAACAAGTGTTTCACCAAACTGTTGAGAAGTTGGCATCACTAGCTCTGATAGCTTAGAAGTAAGTTGATTGCGAACTTCACCACTTTCTAAGAGTTGAACAAATTTATTATACAACTTGTTCCTTATTCTTATCTCATCTTCTTCAGTAAACCAGCTAATACAGTTTGCTCCAACTTTATTTTCATCATCAAGAATATCTTTGCTACTAATTCCATTATCAAGTAGAAATTCCTTAACAATAGCTCTAGAAGAAATATTTAGACAATCCATTGTAATATCATAGTTTTGAAGAAATACATGTTCTTGATGCATCCTAAGAAAGATATCAGTTAGTGCAGGATCAGCTATTGCAACATTTGGAGCAGATACTTTATACACAGAGACATTACCATTTGTCACACTTGTGCTGCATCTTATGTATTTAAAACTATAACCATCACCAAATACTCTATGCAATCTATCAAAAGGAGTAATATTGTGAAGTTGATCCATTAGAGTATATGAGTCAGGAATCTCAACAACACATGAATCCATAAAGATATCAGATTGCTGAACAAATCCTTGCTGTTCAATGCCATTACTAGTATGGAGGTCATTCAGAGATAGTTATCTGCACAGCAATTATTTGTGCATATTGAAACTATTGGCAATTTCAGTGAAATAAAAATTTCACCCAAACCGCCATCGGCATCTTGGAAAAGTTTCAGTGAACATAATTTCAACCAGAAAGAAAAACTTTGCATATTTGGGGTTAATTATCATTGGGCAATAAAAGTCAATATCTCAATAGATGTGGCTAAGCAACCACAAGGAAATTATGTTCACTGAAACTTTTCCAAGATGCCGATGGCAGTTTGGGTGAAATGGCAAAAAAAATATTTGTATTTTTAAAATCAATTATAAGCACAGAAACATTCTGGACACAATAATTAATATTAACCATGATAAAAATAGTTAGTAGCAAAAAACTGTTCTGAAAACGATTAATCAAATATCTAACTAAGTAAATTGCAAATATCTAAAATTTACAAGTCCAGGAATGACCCCCTATATCTTGCATAAGATATATCAGGCATATTATCTCTATTCTTCAACTCAAGTCCCAAAAGGGAGTTAAGATGTACTCTTAAGGAGGCCATTCACAAATAAGAAAGTTTAAAGAAACTTAATGGAGGTCATTCACAATCACTAAACTAAGTAAAAAATAATTAGAAGTTGTAAAACTTTTTGTTCTTCTGTTTTTTTTTGAACTTCTCCGAAACCCCCTTGGCATCCTGAAAAATTTCAGTTGATTTCTTGTGACCCAGCCTGTATCTCAGTAGAAGCATATTAATTGTGTATCAACTGAAATTTTTCAGGATGACGAAGGGGGTTTCGGAGAAGTTCAAAAAAAACAAAAGAACAAAAAGTTTTACAACTTCAAATTATTTTTTACTTAGTTTAGTGATTGTGAATGACCTCCAGAATATAACTATTGTTCCAAGTAAGAGAAACTCCTTCTGGTCAACTTATCCTACAACTAAGCAGTATCATACTTTTGAAGAGATGGGATTAGTTAACTACAAAGGAATGCATATTGGTTGGATAGATAGCAAGCAAGCAAAGAGCAAAATATGTCTATCAGAAATGTCAGAGGTTGAATATTCTGCAGATGAGCAAAATATCAATCCACTAATAACTGCAATTGAAGGCATCACACTAGATGAAACTAGACATATATTTATCAAAAAGAATACAGATCTGAAACCATCATTGTATAGAGTTGCTTACAATGTTCTTCAGTTAGGTAATGAATTTACAGTTACACATTATGCACTCTATACTTTCAGAGGACATTCATACTTCTATGTTGATATTCATATTAAAGGGAGAGATAAACAGCCAACTCTTATCAGGACACCAGCTGACAGTTCTATTGGAAAAGCAATTTCTTAACAGTTAGGAGAAAGAAAGCAACAAACATATCTGAGAGTTATAAGTGTGGGATATAGAACAATCACAGTTGAATAGCAGCCATTTTAAAACATAACATAAGCAACCATTCTCTCCATATCTCTATGGAAAGTTTGACAAACATCATACACATGTTCAACCCTTACCTCATAATCAGTAGCAATATGTTGGATCCAATTACGCACTTGTATTGCTAGGTCATCACTCATATCAAAGTCATGAATAAGTAGCAGAGTAAGCATATCTCTTTCTTCCTCACACATCTCAGCTAAATGTTGCTTGAAGAAGTTCTGGAATGATCCCATTTTCTAAAATTGATAAAAGTTGAAATTTTTATTTATGACTACCTCACACAGATGGACAATCAATTACAAGAATTAAGAGAGAAGGAGTGGAATGTGCTCTACACAACAAAGTGGAGATTTCTTGATGAAGATTGGTTAGTACATAAACAACAGAAGTACTATAGGAGTGAAGCTCATGAAGTGAAAGAAATAAAGCTCATCAAAGATACACTTGTGAAGCAACTTGGAATGATCCCTGTGTTCTTCTTCCTAAATGTTCTATTTGGTGGAAAGCAGTATCCATGCCCTTATAGAAATGTTGAGAAAGGACTCTTAATTTTGTACCAGTTAGTTGCTGGGCTATCAATCAATGAGATGGAGAGGTTTATTCCTAAGAGTAGCTACCAAGTGATTCATAATATGTTCTATATCTCAGAGTTAAGTGAGTTGAATAAGAAGCTTTCACACTACTTGCACACAATGTTCTCCACTCCAGAACTAAGAGTGATCTCAGCAAAGATTCAGAATCCTAAAGGGTTTAAGCATATTACTCTTATGTTAGATGGATATGACTCACGAGCACTACATAATGGTGCTTACAAACCAAATCATTATTCCTTCAAGTTGAAGAAGTCAGGATATAGAACACAAGTTTGCATTGATTTGAATGGAATGGTTGTCCTTGTTTCACCAACTGAGGAATGTAGAAACCACCCAGACTCTAAGATGATTAAGAACATGTCACTATTGAAATATATCTCTCCAGTAGATTGTGTTGTGTTAGATGGTGGCTATCCTCAAAGTATTCTGGAGGAGTTAACAGAAGCAGAAGAGAATGAGAATTTTGGAATGCATAACTTTTGCTTACCAGTTAGAAAGCCAAGAGGAACCAACTTAAGTGAAGCAGAGTTAGAATATAATAGCAAACTTGGGTCATTTAGATCAATGGTTGAGAGCACATTTGGAGAACTAGGTAACACATTTAAGAGACTTTCAAATAGAGAAGTTGTGAGAATTAGAAATACAACTGTGTACAATGTGCAGTTTAAACTCTGTTGCTTACTCTACAATATGAAGAAGATCCTAGCAGCTAGTAAAGTTCCTGTTGAACATCACCACACACTTTGGGTTCTATCTAACTTTGACTACCCAAGCAACAACCAGGAGAGATCAACACATGCTGAAGTTGGAAGTAGTTTACCACAAAAAGTAGAGTTAGAAGCTTCAATGAGTGAACTACAAGATAGGCTGATTCAAGCTAAAATTGATGAGTCAATGAACTTTTATGTTGATATGTCATATGTAACTTTTAAAATAGGAATTTTTTACAAACTTTACTCAATGATAGAAATATCTTCAATAAGGGGGTTATGCAGAGATACTTATCTGCCCATTAACTATTTATGCATGCTGGAACTATTGGCAATTTCAGTGAAATAAAAATTTCACCCAAACCGCCATCAGCATCTTAGAAAAGTTTCAGTGGAGATCAGTCAGAAATGGTTAGCTATTTAATAATTATTAATATTTTTATTGTTTTCTTGTTCAGATGCCAAATATGGTGCTTCTACGAAACCCCCTTCGGCATCCTGAAAAATTTCAGTTGATACACAATTAATATGCTTCTACTGAGATACAGGCTGCATCCCGAGAAATCAACTGAAATTTTTCAGGATGCCGAAGGGGGTTTCGTAGAAGCACCATATTTGGCATCTTTGTTTGTTTGTTAATCTAGTTGCTAGAATCTTTTTGGCCATTGCTAAACATTCTGTTTTTTAAAATATTTATCTACTGTTAGTAATTGATTTCTTATTTGTTAATTGGTTATTCTGTTAACAGATATTTAGTTTCTTTAAACTTTTATATTTATGAATGGCCTCCTTAAGAGTACATCTTAACTCCCTTTTGGGACTTGAGTTGAAGAATAGAGATAATATGCCTGATATATCTGATGCAAGATATACTAGTAATGGCATTGAACAGCAAGGATTTATTCAGCATTCTGATATCTTTATGGATTCATGTGTTGTTGAGATACCTGAATCATATGCTCTTATAGATCAGATTAACAATATTACTCCTTTTGATAGATTGCATAGAGTTTTTGGTGATGGATACAGATTTAAGTATATGAAGTGCATGGTAAGTGTGAGAAATGGTAAAGTCTCTGTTTACAAAGTATCTGCTCCAAATGTTGCAATAGCTGATCCTGCACTAACTGATATCTTTCTTAGGATGCATCAGGAACATGTATTTCTTCTAAACTATGATATTACAATGGATTGTCTAAACATATCTTCTAGGGCTGTGATTAAGGAATTTCTTCTTGATAACTGGAATCAGTAGCAATGATATTCTTGATGATGAAGATAAAGTTGGAGCAAACTGTATTAGCTGGTTTACTGATGAAGATGAAATAAGAATTAGGAACAAGTTGTACAATAAATTTGTTCAACTTCTAGAAAGTGGTGAGGTTCGCAATCAACTTACTTCTAAGCTATCAGAGCTAGTAATGCCAACTTCTCAGCAATTTGGTGAAACACTTGTTGCTTGTAGGAATGAAGGATTAATGAGGCTTGAGCTTACTGTTCACTCTCCTGAGTTGAAAGAAGTAGAATGGAACACAAACTTAATTGCTAGTACACTGGAGTTTCTTAGTGATTGTAGGACATTTGCAACATCTTATGAAAAGCAATGGATGGCACTAGTTGATCAGATTCATAACAAACATACATTGTGTATTTACTTTCATAAAGAACATGCTCTTGCTTACTGCCATTGGTTCAATAGGATAACTAAGAAGAAACAAGGAATAGCTAAAAAGTTGAAAGAGAATGAAGATATGATGACTGTTGTTTCTAATCTTACATTTAATGGGACACCCAACTCTTCTTCTTACATATGCTACCAGTAGTGGTCCTCTTGAATCTGAAGTTGTTCTGAGAAGAGATATCACAAACATCACTATTGTTCCTAGTCAGAAAAATTCTTTCTGGCCTGTTGTTTCAAGAGAAAGGCAACAACACACATTTGCTGAAATGGGACTTGTTAACTATCGTGGAATGCATATTGATTGGTTAACAGCTCAGCAAGCAAGAGAGAAAGTTTGTCTCTCAACTCTCTCAAGTATTAGTGAGGATACCGATGACCTAGGAATAGATAATCTTATTGCTGATATTAGCAACATTGAACTTGATGATCTAGAACCCACATATATAAGAGAAAATACTGATCTTAGGCCAGCTAGATATAAAGTTGCTTATAACATACTTCATGTTGGAGATGAGTTCCTAGTTAGTCATTATTTCTTATATACTTTTAGAGGGTTGCTATTCTATTATCTAGATATCTATATGATTCACAATGAAGTAGTTAGCAGTACTCACACTCATATCAAAATACAAGCAAGTAGTCCATTTGGAGAATATATTGCTTCTATTATTGGTGAACCAAGTCAAGAAGTGGTACTTAAAGTAACTAGAATTCATAATCGTATTATCCATACTGAGAGGATCTAGTTTTAAAATGGGCAGTTAGCAACCATTACCTCCATATCTGCACAACTGTAGTTGCATACATCAAACACATGCTTAATACTAACACCCCTATCTTCTGAAACATTCCTGATCCAAGCTCTGATATATACTGTTAATTTTCTGCTCATATTGAAATTTTTGCTAAGTAGTTGGACTAGCTTTTCTCTCTCTTCCTCATCTAGCTCAGCAAGTCGAGTGTTGAAGAATTTGTAGAATGGGCCCATTGCAATAAATGACAACTTTTAAATTTATGAGTGCCTCACAATGATGAATCATCAATTACAAGAACTCAGAGAAAAGGAGTATCACAAACTGTACACAAACAAATGGAAGTTTCTGAATGATGACTGGGTAATTCTAAAACATACAAAATATCACAGAAGTGAAGTTCGTGAAGTAAGAGAAATTAAACTAATAAAGGACACACTTCTTAAACATCTAGGGATGATTCCTGTTTTCTTCTTTCTGAATGTTTTGTTTGGTTGCACTCATTATCCATGTCCTTATAGAAGTGTAGAGAAAGGACTGCTCATCATATACCAACTTGTAGAAGGATTGTCTATCAATGAAATGGAAAGATTCATTCCTAGGAGTAGCTATCAAGCTATTCACAATATGTTCTATATTTCTGAAATGAAAGATTTGAATAAGAAGCTAACATACTATCTGCAAACAATGTTTTCAACTCCAGAACTACGAGTCTTTGCAGCAAAGATACAGAATCCTCAAGGGTTTAAACATGTAACACTAATGTTAGATGGCCATGACTCCAGAGCACTACACAATGGAGCATATAAACCAGATCTCTATTCATTCAAATTGAAAAAATCAGGATATCGCACACAACTATGCATTGATGTGAATGGAATGGTTCTACTTGTTTCACCAACTGAAGACTGTAGAGATCACCCAGACTCAAGAATGATTAAGAACATGGGGTTGCTGAAGAATATATCACCTATTGATTGCATTGTGCTTGATGGTGGCTATCCACAAAGTATTTTGGAAGAGATGACTGAGGAAGAAGAGCAGGATACTTTTGGACTGCATAACTTTTGTTTACCAGTAAGAAAGCAGAGAGGAACAGGCTTATCAGAAACAGAAGCTGAATACAATTCCCATCTTGGATCATTCCGTTCAATGGTAGAAAATACATTTGGAGAACTAGGCAATACATTCAAAAGGCTGTCAAACAGGGAGATTGTTAGAGTAAAGAATAGGAATGTTTACAATGTGCAAATGAAGTTATGCTGCTTACTCTATAATATGAAGAAGATACTAGCAAACAGTGATGTACATATTGATCATCATCACTCACTCTGGGTTATGAGCAACTTTGATTACCCTGATACACATGATAAGTCAACACAAGTAGAACCAATACATACTTTGCCCCAAAAAGCAGAGTTAGAAGCATCTATTGTTGAAATTCAAAATCGATTCCTTCAATCTAAAATTGATGATACATATGATTGCTTGGTGCATATTGATTAATTACAGATGGAGTATTAATGACTTGATGACTTGAATTTGATGTTTTAAAATGGCACAGTTTGATTCTTTCTAAAAATGATTCTATATATATTTGCTTGGTGCATATCTATTAATTACAGATGGGATTCTAACAACTTGATGAATTTATTATGATTTTTTAAAATGGCATAGTTTGATTCTTTTTAAAATTGATGATATATATGATTACTTGGTATTAGATAAATAGTTATAAATAGGATGATAACGACTTGATGACTTGAACATGATGTTTTAAAATGGAACCTTTTGATTAAATCTAATTCTATAAGGAGATCAGTCAGAAATGGTTAGCTATTTAATAATTATTAATATTTTTATTGTTTTCTTGTTCAGATGCCAAATATGGTGCTTCTACGAAACCCCCTTCGGCATCCTGAAAAATTTCAGTTGATACACAATTAATATGCTTCTACTGAGATACAGGCTGCGTCCCGAGAAATCAACTGAAATTTTTCAGGATGCCGAAGGGGGTTTCGTAGAAGCACCATATTTGGCATCTTTGTTTGTTTGTTAATCTAGTTGCTAGAATCTTTTTGGCCATTGCTAAACATTCTGTTTTTTAAAATATTTATCTACTGTTAGTAATTGATTTCTTATTTGTTAATTGGTTATTCTGTTAACAGATATTTAGTTTCTTTAAACTTTTATATTTATGAATGGCCTCCAGTGAACATAATTTCCTTGTGGTTGCTTAGCCACATCTATTGAGATATTGACTTTTGTTGCCCAATGATAATTAACCCCTAATATGCAAAATTTTTCTTTCTGGTTGAAATTATGTTCACTGAAACTTTTCCAAGATGCCGATGGCGGTTTGGGTGAAATGGCAAAAAAAATATTTGTATTTTTAAAATCAATTCTACACATAAAAACATTATGGACACAATAATTAATATTACCCATGATAATAATAATTTGTAGTAAATAACTGTTCTGAAAACGATTATTTATACATCTAACTAACAAAATTGTAATTTACTAAAATTTACAAGTCCAAGAATGACCCCCAGAATTGATTAAATAAAAGCTAGTGACAATATTCTTTACCAGGAGTTGGTAAAATGTCAGAAGTATCTGCTAATATTTAGTAGTAGGTTGGATGGTATAGGGCTCTTTGGATGCACTATTAGCTGTTGGTATTACTAGTACTATGATTGTTCCAGTTATGCTGAGGTTCTGCTGGTTATTGGCTATGTATTAGAGGGGTAGGGTATCTATGTTTCCCTGGTTCTGGAAGTAGGTTTTGTGTCTGCAGGTTGCCATAGGGTATGCCAGTTTTCGAGCCACTTCTTTCTAGTAGAGAATATCCTCAATGACATCTACTATGCCCTTAGCTGGGTCAATGTTGCATGGTAGGGGTAAACCATGAACCACATATATGCACCTAATGCTCTGGGCTGTGACAAATATTGCTGCATCTTCTGCCATCAAATAGAGGTTGTTGGCAAGGCATGCAAAGTCACTGAGGGGAAAACTATCTGGTTGATGTGAGGCATATAGGAGATCAGTTAGAAATTGTTAACTATTTAATAATTTTATTATTTTTATTATTTTCTTATTCAGATGCCAAATATGGTGCTTCTACAAAACCCCCATCAGCATCCTGAAAAATTTCAGTTGATTTCTTATGACCCAGCCTCTATCTCAGTAGAAGCATATTAATTGTATATTATCTGAAATTTTTCAGGATGCTGATGGGGGTTTTGTAGAAGTGCCCTTTCTTGCATTTTTGTTTATTAGGTAATCTAGCAGCTAATATCTTTCTAGCTATTACTAAATATTTTGTTTTTTAAAATATTTTTCAGCAGCTAGTAATTGATTTATAATTTGTTAACTGGTTATTCTAATATAAGATATTAAGTTTCTTTAAACTTTCTTATTTGTGAATGCCCTCCTATAGCTAGCTAGTGGATACAAAATTCTGGAGTTTCGAAGGAGCAGTCTTGGTTTCTTACTGTGGTAGCTAGCAGGTGATAGTGATCTTAGTCTTCTAGTAGCAATGTGTAGACAGGGAGGGTAGCTACAGGGACTGAAGATAGCATATCTTCATCAAAGGAGAAATCAGAGCTAAGTGGTGATAGTGTAGTGCCAGGAGGTATACCCATAGTGGCTAGGGTGTGTTCAAGTTGTTGAATGCAGATTTGGATATCAGACATTGTGAAAAATTAATTAGAGATAATAGGGTGGCCATTAATGAAAATTTGGTGATTTTTGCTGAAAATTGAAAGGTAAGGAGCTCATCCATAGAGGTACTAGCTCCCTTTTTATATGTGACAGATGATACTTAGAAGCTCATCCTCCACGTTTCATTTATGATTTCATCTAAAATTTTATTTTAAATTTCTATCTTAATTTCGGTCTTTAATACAGAAAGGTTCCCAACCAGCAGTCACTGCTGTGATGACTAATCATATTCAATGAACGTCGTCCTGAGAGATTATTTATGATTTTCGATGATTTTAATTTTTGTTTCTCAATTTTGCCGCTCAGTGTATCTGCTTCTGCAATTCCCCATATGTGTCATAGCGATTCGTCTCCTGTCCACTATGACTTTCATTCTCCTTTCTCTCTTGTTCATTGTTTCTATCACGCCCTTTCGAACTGACTATAAAATGGCCACTTCAGATGGTGCTGTTGTTGGAAAAAAACATCAACTTTTTACTCCTTTATGATATGGCCAAGCATGATACCAATGCTCAATGTTGGTATTGATGCATAAAGTTGCAAAATGGGAAATCCTAATTCCCGTGGTGACATAAAAGCACCATATCAGCTGAATAGAGCGTGAGAATATTTGCACAAAAGTGACGCACAGCGCAGAGCAAAAATTGGCAATGTAAAAGTGGTATTGCGTAATTGGTGAATGTTTGAGAGAGTGAAGAGATTGGACACCAGACACTACACAGGCTCTAGGAAGCGCCTGCACAGCTTACTTGGAGACGCCGTTGAAGATGAGCAGGTTCGGAGACTGGTCGCCAATCTCCTTCAGGACACCGCGAGTCGACAGGCTGCGGATCTTGGACTTGAGCTCTTCGCCAGTCAGCGGGGCATCCTCAAGCGACAGCAGGTAAGCAGCAAGGCCAGCAACGTGGGGGCTGGCCATCGAGGTACCGGAGATAGTGTTGGTGGCGTACTTGCTGCCAATCCAGATGGACTGGATGTTGAGACCGGGGCCAAAGACGTCGACGCACTTGCCGTAGTTGGAGAACCATGCGCGGTCATCGCTGACCGACGAGGCACCGACAGTGATAGCGTTGGGCGAGCTGGCGGGCGAGTACTGGCAGGCATCCCGGTTGTCGTTTCCGGCAGCAACGGCGTAGTGGACGCCAGCACGAACAGCAGCATCAACAGCGAGGTTGAGGGCACGGCTGAGGCCACCGCCCAGACTCATGTTGGCGACACTGCCCTTGTGGGTCTTTCCGGCCCTCTTGGCACTGGCCAGCTCCTTGCGGTGCTCAGTAACGGTGAACTCGACGCCCTTGACGACATCAGACATGGAGCCAGAGCCGTTGGTGCCGAGGACCTTGACTGCAACAACATTGGCCTTCTTGGCGACACCGAAGCGCTTGCCGGCGATGGTGCCTGCGACGTGCGAGCCGTGGCCGTTGCCGTCTTTGTCGATATCGTTCAGCGGAATAGTCTTGCCCCAGCGGGCACGGCCCTCCAGGTCAACGTGGTCGATGTTGACACCGGTGTCGACGACGTAGACAGTCACGCCTTCGCCAGCCTTCCCGTCGTAATCGTATTTGCCATAGGTGCCAAAGGTGAGCTGCTCGCGGTGCGAGATGCGCGACAGTCCCCAGGGGGCGTTCGTCTGGTGCGCAACGTCGGAGGCATAGACCATCGAGTCCTTCTCGACGTAAGCAACGTCAGGCGACTTGCGGATGCGCTCGAGGATCTCCGGCTGGAAGCGGCCAGAGTAGCCAACGATGGCGTCCTCATAGACGTGGTTAATCTTGTTGACCTCGTGGTTGGACGGAGAGAGTGCGTTGGCGGCCTGGATATCGCTGGTCAGCCAGGTGAAGTGGCTCTGGAACGCCTGCTTGCTCGGGGCGACATCGTCCTTGAAAACGACAATGTAGCTGTCGGGGATGACCTCGGACTCATAGCTGGCCAGAAGGGGCGCGGAGCTGTCGACAGTTAGGCCCAGGGGGTTGGCGGTGGCGAGCACGGCAACGACGGCAACCGTGAAGTACTTGAGAAGCATTGGCGGCTAGTGTTTAATACAATAAGGGGGTGCTGGTGGTGGTGCTGCAGGCGGCGTAGCGGCTTCTATAAAAATATATAAAGTACAAGAATAGGGAGCTTGGGCTGGGTGGTGCTGGTGGTTAGAATTCAATAGAGAAAAGGCTTGAAGAGGAAAATGTAAAGGAGAGGGGAGCGTCCAAGCGACCTTGGGCCGCAGAAATATATAGCGTCAGCAGTGCATCAAAGCCGGAAAACGCGGTGGGTCAGGTGGGCAATGGCGATTGCGCAATTAATGTTTTGCGTCACGTGCGCTGCGCATCGGGGACTGGACGGTGGTGATTGGGCAGTGATTCGGTTTGATTTATTAGAACAGCTTCTTGCCCGCAGCTTTGATCTGCTCCATGAAGACAAACATCAGGATGGTGTGCGGCCCCAGGCGCAGGTAGTGGGCCAGGAAGCCCTTGTACAGCGACATGACGCCCTCGGTGGACACGGTCTTGTAGAAGCACTGCAGTGGGTTGCGGTACAGCGCGCCCTGGCCGCCCTCGGCAGCCTTCTGGTTGTACATGCGCGTGCTGACGACGTCGAAGGGGTTCATCACCATGCACACAAAGAACCCGGTCACCATGCTGGCCAAAAAGTGCGTAGCCACGCTATCGCCATCGAGCCCGCGGTGCGCCAGGCGCTTTGCAATGGAGCTCTTGCACTGGTCATACGTGGCGAGCTGAACCGACGAGCCAGCGCCGGCGCGCATCATGGCAGCGTCCATGCCGCGATACAGGCCACGCAGACCGCCCTCGCGCCAGATGCGGCGGAGGCCATCGATCGAGCTGGAGTAGTTGTGCTGGAACCCAACCGCCGCGAACTTGCTCTGCGACTGCATCCGGGTCTTGATCAGGAAGAACGGCGAGCCGAGCGCTGCCCCGGCCATGCCGCACAGGCCGCCCGCAGCGACATTCAGCGGAATGTTCGGCCGAGCCGGGTCGACGGGTCCGCCAGTCACGGCGCTGTACAGCACACGCTTGGTCGGCTCGTACATGCCGAGCCGGGTGCCATTGAGCATGATCTGGTACATGTAGCCAGGCCCAAGTCCCTTCTGCAGGCCGCGCAGGCCCTCGTGCTTGCCGATAGTCCAGAAGGCCTGGGCAACGTTCGTGTAGACCTTTGGTGTGTTGGGTGCAGCCTTGGCCAGCTCGCCCTGGAGCTGTAGCCGCGTCTTGACAACCTAAAAATCAAATTACACGCGGACAATCGGGGTGTGAGATGGGATGCGAGATAAGGTGCCAGGATGCGCTAGGTCATCGGGCTGCGCTGGCCCGGGATTAGTCAGCCCCGCGTCCTTACCTCGAACGGGTTGGTGAAAGTGACGGCTCCGCACGACGCCAGGCTGCCGGCGAGCCAGCTGAACAGAATGGTCTGGTGGAACGGAGCTACTGTGACTGCTGCTGCGGCGGCGGCGGCGGCAGTGGTCGCTACTGCTGCTGTTGCATGGGTGGCCTGCGCGACTGTAGCCTCAACGGCATTGATGGACGGAGTCTTTTCCATTGGCATGAACGAGTCCCAGGACGCAGTGTGGATAGAGCAGGGCTGTTGGGAAGGATGTGGACTTTAAAATAAAATAATTAAGCGATGGGAGAAGGAAAAGAGGTGAAGAAGAGAAATCAGGAGGGCGCAGGCAGGCAGCTGCTGCTTCGTTGTGGCAGTCACCGGGGAGAAGGATGCACGCGAGGCACGCACAGCCCCACAGTGCACGGGCAGCGCCGATGGCCAGGAGCCTGGGAGGAACTAGGAGATCGCCGGGCGGAAGTGGGCGGATGGTTCCCTTAACGGGCAGCGAATAAATAAACTGGTGGGAAAAATGTGACGGCTTTTTTTCAGAACTCGAGGAACAGCTCGGCGTACGGATCAGGAGTGGCCATGTCGCCGTACTTTTCTGCGGTCTCGGGATACTTGTCAAAGTTGCTGGTGTCGCCGTCGACCTTCTGCGGCGGAATCAGCGGCGCCGGGATCTCGCGCGCGGCGAGCCGCGTCCAGTCGACCTCGGCGAACCACCGGTGCTCCTTGATGTCCAGCGACCCGCGGTGCAGGTTGCCGAGCCGGCGCGACAGATCGGCGGTCAGCAGGCGGCTCACCAGGTCACGTGCCACGGGGTCGAACTGCGACGGCCACTGGATGCGGCCGGCAAGGATCTTTTCGTACAGGCGGTAGTGGTCCTCGTCGTAGAACGGCGGATATCCGGCGATCATCTCGAAGATCAGGATGCCCAGCGCCCACCAGTCGACGCTCTTGCCGTAGCCCTTGGCCTGGATCACCTCCGGCGCCAGGTAGTCGGGCGTGCCGCACAGCGTCCATGTGCGGTCCACCACCTTTTTGGCAAAGCCCATGTCGGTCAGCTTGACGTGGCCGCGGCCGTCCAGCAGGATGTTCTCGGGCTTGGTGTCACGCCACACAATGTCACGCGCATGCAGATACTCCAGCGCCAGCAGCACCTCGGCCGCATAGAACTTGGCCACGGGCGGCGGGAAGCGGTGGTACCGCCGCAGATACGTGAACAGCTCGCCGCCCACCACATACTCCATGAAGAAGTACAGGTTGACGTTGTCCTGGCACGTGCCCAGCATGTGGACGATGAATGGGCACGCGCACTCGGCCAGGATACGCCGCTCGCTGTTGACGTGCTCCACCTGCTTGGCCCGCACAACGTGGCTCTTCTTCAGCACCTTCATCGCGTAGTGCTTGCCCGAGCCGCGGTGCTGCACCAGCCGCACGCGCCCAAACGAGCCCGTCCCCACCGTGCGGAACACGTCAAAGTCGTCGAGCCGCACGTGCGTGTCCTCGTAGCTGCGTCCTGCTGCCCCGCCGCCCAGCGCTAGCGCCAGCTGCTGCTGGTGGTGAAGGTGGTGGTGCTGCTGGTAGTGGTGCTGCTGCTGCTGTTGCTGCTGCTGTTGCTGCTGCTGCTGCTCACGCGTCGCTGCCAGCGCGTCTGCCGAGAACGACGCTGCCCGCACTGCCACGCTGGTTGTGCTGGGCGCTACCCCGGCCGGTGCATTTGACGGCACCACGTGCTTCTGCGTCTGGCCCATCGGCTGCCCGCCAGCATTGGACGGCACCGAGTGGAAGATGTCTGGGTGCTGTGCTGGTGCGGCCGGGTGCGTCAGCACCGCGTGCCCTGGCACTGTGTACATGTATCCGGTTTTGTCCATCCCGCTTGTGCTGTTGGCGCTGCTGTTGCTGGCGCTGCTGCTGCTGCTCTCGATCTTGCTCTTTGTCTTTTGCAGTATCTTGTTTATGAACGCCATTTCAACGAAAGGGTCTGCCAATTTGTGCAATATAATACGAAGTCTAACCAGAGGCGACTGACAATAATGAAAGGAGAGAGTGGACAGTGGAGGGGAGGCTTGCCTTCGGGGTGTCGCAGACTCTTTTTAGGCCGAGTAAAATGCGAATAAAGCGAATCGGTTCCAGACACAGAAAGTCGTGCCAGAATCTGCGATAATTGCCCGCAAGGGGTTAGGGTGCGCGCCCGCGCTGTCCTGCGAGTAATTGAGAGCGGGCGATCGCTCATATACAACTCGCACTGTGAGTGGGTGTGTCTTACAAGGGACGCAGGGATGCGGATAGAGCCCAATCGCCTGTGACGACGAGCGGCGACTCCGTTGCCCCCTTGCATAAGCAGCTGGCTCGCCGAGGGGGCTTCAATCCGGCCTGGCGGCGAGGAGCCCACTCCATCGCCCAGCCCCTGCATTGAATGCCGCCGCCTGCTGGCCACTTCCCACCACACGTCCATTGCCTGGAGTCAGCAGCTTCTGGCCAGACATGCATGGGCGGTTGCTGCAGCGTAGCTGTGGGTGAAGGTTGCGCTGGTACTAGCTCATGTTAATCTATATCAAACTGCCCTATGTCGCCCTCAAACATCTGCTCCAGTTTCCGCCGCTCGCGCTCCACCGGCGTTGCTCCACCCGCATACCACCGCGCAACCGAGCCCGTAAACACCGGCGACACAATATCAATCACGCTCGCATGCCGCTGCAGCTGCCGCTTCAGATCCGCCAGGCACACGGGCACGGCGACCACGATTCTGCACTCGCTGTGGCAGTGACGTAAATGCATGATTGCCTCGCGCATTGTGTCGCCCGCCTCGCATCCGTCATCCACCACAACCAGCGTCCGCCCGTCCAGCTCGTCGCGGCCAGGCACGTCCAGGTGGAACGCCGCCTGCTCCCGCAGCAGCCCCTGGTCGGCCTCCTTGACTATCCGAAGCAGCTCCTCCTGCGCCATCCCCACGCTCTGCGCAATTGCATTGTCGATGCGCGCGCTGCCGTCGCCTGCCACGCTGCCCAGCGACAGCCGCGGCATCTGCGGCCACGGAATCGCCTTGACCATGTAGTAGTAGTGGGGAATCCCTAGCGTCTCGGCCACCACCGACCCGATTATCGCTCCCCCGCGGCTCACCGACAAGACAACCGCTGTGCGGTCCCGTGAGTACTCGCCCAGGTTGTTCGCCAGCTGCTCGCCGGCGTGGATGCGGTCTGCGAATACTGCGCGCCTGGACCGCGGCGCAATGGGCTCCGACCGTATCCGTGATTCCGGCTCAACGGTGCTGCTTAGCCCAGCCATTACAGTACCAAAAGGAAGAGAAAAATGCTGTTATAGCCGTAAATACTGCAGTAAAAAAAAGTGGCGAGTGGAGGAAAGATTGGTGCCCAGTGTGGCGCCATTCGGCCTTCCAGCTCGCTGTTTCGCCTCCCTGTCCTTGGGCCTCGCGTCTCCAACAACCCCTGAATCGGCTAGCTGAGTCACTCGCAGCAGACGCACGCCCATCGATAAGTCCCCCTCACCTGCCTCCATGCAAGCAGCGGCCACACACTCCCTTGGGCACACATCCCCAAATGCCTGCCACGTCTATTTGAGCTTAGTTCCATTGCACACCATATCCCTAAACACGGTACGACGCATCCTCCCTTATCTGCGGCAGATAGAGGTAGAAAGCCACCATGGCAAAGACAAACAGCGCCAGCGCCATATACTCGTACGTGAGGTTCTCCGGCTTGCTCTTCATCTTGACCACCAGATCGCGCTTGGTCCTGTCGACAATCTTCTTGACCTCCTCGTACATGGGGATGCCCTCGTGGTTCTTCCGCTCGAGCTGCACCAGATACATGTAGAACACGTGCCGCACAGACTCGATGTCCGCTGACTTGGAAATCAGCCACAGCGCCTCGCCCTTGCGGATCTTGACGTTCTCGTCCAGCACACGCGCGTTGTCGTAGCACAGCGTCAGCGTGGCAATGGCCATGACCTGCGGGATCGCACAGAACTTGAACACGCTCGGCTCGTGGATGCTCTCCAGGTACTGCATGCAGTCGGGGATGTGCGCCAGGGCATTGACGCACATCTCGTTGAGCGCCTCCATGCCGCGCCCGCGGTTCCGCTTGGCGATAATCTCGTCCGTGTCGCTGGCGTACCGCTTCCAGATCTCCGCGGGCCAGAAGCACCGCCCGTCAAGCACGTCCTCGTTGATGTCACGCGTGATGTTTGTCTTTTGCAAAAACAGGCCCATCGAGTTGGCCAGGTCCAGGTTCTCGCCCACAGACTTGTCCTCGAGCCCGGACGCCGCAAACAGCCGGCTCAGCCCATGCCCCACCAGCCCAGCAACGTAGTGGCAGTACAGGTTGTAGTCATCCAGCGACACCACGCGCCGCACCGTGAACTCGGCCATGCCTGCGCCCATCTTCTTTGTGATATCCGCAATCACGTCCTGGTACTCGGTCGGCAGCCGCATGAACTCGCGGATGACAACGTCGAACTCGACCAGCAGCTGCGCATCCTTCTCGTCGGGCCCCGAATCCTCAAACGTCCAGCCCTCGACGTAAATCAGCTCATGGAACTTCTCCAGCAGGTTGCGCTTCTTTGCGCCCGGGATCGTCATGTCGTCCTCTACACGGCACAAAAAACAAATCCAGAACCAGTGTTAGCGCCCTGTCTATTGCGTGCAGATCACAACACCCGGCCGCTCTCGGAACTTACCGATGGTGTCCAGCCCACGCAGCACCAGGTAGAAGAGGCAAATGCCGTCGCGCAGCCTCGGATTCAGCTCCTGAATTACCGCCGCGAACGAGCGCGAGGTCATCTCCAGAAAGTCGTAGCACCGCTTCATGTCGCCTGACACTTGCAGCTTCACCGTCTTCTCGTCAGGCGGGGCGTGCCGCATCACATACCAGAAAGCCGCCCACAGCTCAGTGGGGTGAAGAGCCCAGTCAAGAAACGCCATCTCTTTGTTGGAAATAAATTTGCTGGTAAATTATAGTGCGTACAAAAAAATACAGAGACGAAAAAGCTGGTGGGACAGCCAGCGCAGGTAACGGCAGACTGCTTTCCTTGAAAATCAAAAATCCATTGATCTGCGCTTGGCAGATCGGTCTATGTCTCGTATGTGCCTTCACCACAGACACAGACACAGACACTGCGCTGCACCAGCCTGTGGGTTGGTACTTGGAGCAGTGGCAGAGGCGGATACCCGCACATTACCCGCTGCCCTGGGTGCTGGTCACTGCAGGCATCCGCCGCATGGCGGTTTCCTCACCACTGTCCCCTTTTCCAGTCCCCAAGTGCGATCGGATCCGATAGGCCATTCATGACAGCAGGATCGTTTGCTGGTCGTAAGCATCTGGCAGTACGTGAACATACGAGATGGACATCACACTCCCTCATCATTATAGATGACAATTCAAATAGAAACGAGCGGAAATGGTTGCTTGGCGCCCCACATCACTGCAATCCCACGAACATGCGACAAAGGGTGCTCATCACAACCGCTTCCCCTACATCCCCCTGCTGATTTCACATAAAGATTGTATTTTCAAACAGACAGGAAAGTGAGATAGAGGAAAAAAGGAAAAACATAAAAAAAGGAATTTAGAACTTTGTGCCATCCAGATAGCCAACGATGGTATCGGGCGGCTTAGCATCAATCGTGATGACCTGCGGGACGATGATGACCGCCAGGAAGAGGACAAAGAGGATGATGAACAGGATGCCGTATCCGATAGCCGTGCGGCGGCGCTGCTTGCGCTGCTTGAGCGAGTAGATGGGCGGGCGGATCTGCCGCGACGGGCGGAGCCAGAACAGCATCGCCGAGTGCCACTTGTCGACCCACGGAATCAGTGTGAACACCGACAGGAAGAACTGCGTGACCAGGCCAGTGAACACGTCAGCGGCAAAGATCGAGCACTCGATGACCTTGCAGAGCCACTCGCGCATCGTGAGCGTGAACGCCCAGCCGCCCATGCCCTTGCCATACCACCGTCCAGTCCACCACGCGACGTTGGTCTCGTCCTCACCAAACTCGCGCGACAGAAGCAGGTGCTGCAGGATCGCAAAGATCGCAATCTCGACATACACGACACAAATCATGCCCAGAATTGCATGGTTCATGATCCAGTCGTCAAGCCACCACAGCAGGAAGAAGATGGCAACGTACACAATGACCGTGATCGTGTGCACGACGCCAGCAATGACCTTGCCGAACTGCGGCAGGCACATGGCGCAGCACGGCCCAAACCCAATCGACACAAAGAAGAACGCAATGGTGATGACCATGTTGATGATGATGGGTGCAAGCGACAGGATGAGGATGCGAATCAGCGTCGACCTGGGGATATCCATTTTGCCCTCATCGATATCCTTCCTGTTTGAGGTGCTGTGGATGTACGTGTACCCAACCAGCATGATGATGGCCATGATCAGCGGAAGCAGGATCTCGGCAAAGATGATGTTGGCCGTGTGCGCACGCGAGATATGGCCAGTCGTCGGGGTCCGCTCACCAAGACGCTTGCGCTTGTAGCCAGTGATACGGATACGGGTCAGGCGCACATGCGCGATCCACGAGTTCGGGTTCGCCGAGCTGTTGCCAGCGCCGAGCCAGCGCAGCCAGTCGCGGAAGTCGATGATGAAGTCGGTCAGGACAAACTGGTGCGGGTTATACAGGAACGGCGTGATGATCATGGCCGCAATCGACACCCAGAAATAGATGATGGGCCAGCGCCAATACGCCGCCGAGAAGAACGTCAGAAGCATCATCAGGCGAATTCCAAAGTAGATCGACGAGTCTGTGAACCGCGAGTAGAGCGTAGCGAACGGCAGGCGCGAGGTCGCGAAGCCACGGCCAGTACCGATATACCGCGCACCACCATACGACAGGTTGGTCATCAGCGAGCTAAAGTACACCAGCGTAACCTCGACTTCGTACAGCGGCGACAGCGACATGAACTGCTTGCCCAGACGCGAAATGGCCCGGCTAAAGCCCTGCTCCGTCAGCATCTGCAGGAACAGAGGCAGGAACGCAATCAGCAGCACAAGAAGAATAGCCAGCGTGGTTCTGTTGATCCAGTCACCAATGGGCTGCAGCAGGAAACATCCTGTTGGTTCGAGGCTATTTGCATATTCCGGTACGTTCATGTCGACCTTGTTGCAGGTGTCCACCGTCACACTCATGGCCGCAATGAACATGATGCAGATCATGAACAGCTGCACCGACGACATAATCATGATGTTGTTGATGTGGAAGCCCGGGTGCGCGTAGAAGAATGTCAGGAAGCGGTCCAGCGGCAGCTGGCAGCCGAGCCAGTAGTACTCGCGCGACAGCATCTGCTCACCCATACCAGTGCCGATCTTGGTGATGAAGTTGAGCGTCGAGCAGAACCCGAGATCACGGCCCTTACCGCACTGGAAGTATTCGGTGTGCTTGATGCGTCCACCGCGCGTGAACGAGTTCATACCGGCATAGATATCCTCGTTGAGGTGCAGACCCTTCTGCGCCTTCGAGATGCCTCCGCGCGTGGTCATGAAGATGAAGTTGACGAAATCCGGGTGGCCATAATGCAGACGCGCGCCAATCTCAGCCATGATGCGCTGAGTGAGCGTACCGAACGTCGCCTCCTTGCCGGCAGCGACGTCTCCAAGAATACCGACGTTCTCCGAGAAAATGTACTCGCGCGCACCGACAATGGCAACGGGTGGCTTCTGCGGCTCGGCGGCAGGCGAGTAGGGCGACACGGTGGGCGGGTTGTACTCCTCAAACTCACCAAGCATGTTGCGGATCTTGACGCACTCCTCCAGGTAGTTGTCCTGGTTGGCATCAATGAGCTGCAGGTACTCGCCACGGGTGAACACAATCGCGTGGTTCTGGTTGTCAGACTTTCCGTCACCGAGAATCGGGTTGCCCGGCAGCTGGATGCGGTAGTACGGCTTGCGGCGGCCGTCAGCACCGACCTCAGAGTGCCCGTCAATCAGGCACGAGTAGATGCGCGGCAGCTCGCCCTCCTCGACAGCGGGGACCTCCTCGAGATACGCAATCTGCAGGTCGGGGTAGGTGCGCAGCAAAAAGTCGGATGCCTCGCGCTCGTCCTTGTTGAACTTCAGGTACCGCTGCATGGCCACAACAAACTTGAACTTGCGGCGAGCCATGCGCTCGAGCTCCTGCTCCAGGCGCTCAGAGCCGTTGCCGCCAAACAGGTGGACCATCTCGGGGTTCTCGACACGGTACAGCAGCTTGATCGCCTTGGCGTAGTTCATGAAGCCGGAGATGGTGCGGTACAGCGTCTGGGAACGCAGCGACGCCCAGATACGCGTGCGCAGGGTGAACTCGGGCGCAGCGCTCTTGAAGCCGATGGTGTAGAACGGAAGGTCGTCGGTCTTGGTCTTCACCTCCGCCTTGTCGGCATCCTGGGCAAACGCCTGGCCGTATGCCGAGGCCTGGCCAAAGTTGGACGAGTTCTCCTCGGCAAGGATCTTGGTGTCCTTGACAAAGTTGTCCCACTCGTCCGAGTGCAGCGCCTTCAGATACTCGAGAACTGTGACGCGGGTGTACTGGTCGCTCTCGCGGATAATCTCGCGCAGCGACATCAGGATCTTCTCCGAGTAGTGCGGGGTCAGAACAGTGAACGTGGGCATGTTCTCGACAGGCACCGGCTCGGGCAGAACCGACGACAGCGACTGCGCAAAGAACGTGATGCGACGCTCGGCCTCCGAGTGCGACGGGTAGAACTCCTGCTCAAAGGCAGCATCGTCCTGCGAAACAAAGAACGTGGGCGGCTTCAGGGTGCGCTTGCCGTCGTCCTCGCTGGTGACCTGCTGGTACAGCAGCTTCTGCACGTGGTCGACCGACAGCAGGTGCTCGCGGTACATCGAGATCACCACTGCGTTCCAGATCTGCGAGCACAGCACCTTGGGCTTGTACTTGACCTCCATGTCGGCCGTGGCCAGGATCTTGGCGTAGATGCGCTTGGGCAGACGGCCAAAGACGTTGCGCCAGGGTGTCCAGATCGACACACCGAGGTAGAACGAGCGGCCAACCGAGAACACGGTGTTCCACACGACATACCACAGATAGGTATCGAGGAAGAACAGCACCAGATCGAGGAGCAGCATGAACCCGAGCGTGATGTAGTGCTGGTTGACACACAGCTGCGAGTTAAAGAAGCGCTCAACGCAGCTGTTCTCGTCTGGGAAGTAGCGGTAGAGCCAGCGGAACGGATCCTTGAACGACAGGGCCAGGAAGAAGTACGACTCGATGTACTTGCAGAGGAAGATGGCTCCCCACAGGCACAGCGAGATGGCGCGCGGCGCGACCTTGAGCGGCGGGAAGTTGCCGGCAAAGGTGCGGTTGATCAGGCCGCGGCCGTTGCGGTTCTTCTTGCGCTGCTTGAACATCAGCGCAGGCGGCATCAGCGACAGGAAGATCGTGAAGGCAACCGAGTAGCAGAACTGCACGATGGCCACTGCACGAGCAACACGCCAGGTCGACAGGACGGAGGCATCCACATCTGTCTGCGTTCTAGGGTCATTTTCCTGCATTGGCGCCTGGAGATCGAGTCCTTCCAGGTCAAAATTCGGGTCGTCACCCTTGCCCCAGATCCAGAACGTCGGCGCAATGTCAGCAGCAAGAATGATGACCAGGATGAGCATGCGCAGCCACAGCTGGCGCTGGGTGGACTTGTTCAGCGGCACAAAGAACATCTCGGCGACAGTGCCCATGATCGCAAGGAACGGCGCGAGCGCACCGCCGCAGGCCATCAGCGTGTAGCGCTTGGCGTCCTGGTTCGGGAGCGGTACTTTGGCGCCTTGGGGGTTGGCCTTGCTGAAGGTCGGGTCGTGCCACTCAAAGTACGGGTCGTACAAAAAGTTGGCGACGTAGATGATGTAGTACCAGTACACAGTGATGTGCATGATCCACACGCGCGAGAAGTTGGTCATAAAGTGCCACATGGTGCGGCGCTCCTTGAACGTCTTGCGGAACGACTTTTTCCAGCTGACGTCGGCCAGACGGTTCCAGCGCTCGTGCGGAGCCACGTCCATCAGCAGCGACTTGTCCTCGAACTTGATCCACCGCAGGCTCTCGGGGGTCCAGAACAGCTCGTTGACATCGTCGTAGCCAATAGTCTTGGCGTGGTCGCGCTCGCGCTTCAGGTACTTGCCGTTGACGACCTCGTAGCCTTCATCGCGCAAAAAGTTGTACAGCGGGCACACGACGTTGCACAGGTACTGGCCCTCGGGCACCGGCTCGACGCGCTGCTGGGCCTCGGGCGACTTGACATAGTCCTCGGCAACCTTGAACAGGAAGCACAGCAGCTCGGGAGTGTAGCGCAGGTTTCCAGCCTCACCCCACAGCAGCATCCACAGCGCAATCTGGCGGGCGCGCTCGTACTGCGACATGGCGTTCATCTGCGCACGCCACTTCTCCATGAAGGCGGCGGGCGTGTCCTTTTTGGGATCGTCGCCCTCCTCCTCCAGCAGCTCCTGCTGCTGCTTCGGGTCAATCTGCTCACGCACTGGCGGCGTGTCGTGGTCCAGCTGGGCCGAAAAGTACCAGCGGCGGTAGTTGGCGTGGTCGCCGCCAATGTAGTCCGAGTGCAGCATCAGCAGCGCCATGGTCGGGCTCATGCGCGACGCACGCGAGTCGAGCATGGTCATCATCGCATCGTACATGTTGCGCATGTTGTCCTGCTGGAAGCCGAGCTTGGCGGTCAGGTCGCGGAAGATGTCCTCGACCTCCTCCTTGGACAGCGGGATCTGGTTGGGGTCGCTCCAGGCCGGGTACGGCACGTCGGCGTTGAGGAACGCGTCGTTGTTCTGGAAGTCCATAAAGCCGCCCTGCCCGTTGGAGACCCAGGACGCGCTGCGGGAGAACGATGTGACAGACCCCGTGGGCCGGTACGACTTTTTGTTCTCAATCATGTGGATCAGCGACTCTGTCGATGGCGCGTACGAGGCGTAGCGGTCATCGGCGGCGCCCGGCCCAGAGCCGTTGCTGCGGTACGCGCCAAAGATGTCGACGTCGTTCGAGCCGTGCGAGGCGGGCGTGCGCACAATCGACGAGCGAACCGAGAAGTCGCTGACGCTCTCGACATCCGAGTCGCGGTTCTTGCCGTTGCGGCGGCGGCGCGGGGGCAGCTCGCCCATCATGGGGCCCTGGGCCATCGGCCCGTCCGGGCTCAGCAGGCTGGGACCGCCGTCCTGGCCGCTGCCGCCAGTGTTGCTCATGTAGATTTGATCCGAGTAATCTGCCGGCTCCTGTGACGCGTAGTACGACACGTCAAACGACTCGGGACGACCGTAGTCGTCGTATCCGGCATCGCCGTACGGGTCTTGCTCCTGCTGGTCGTGGCGGCCCAGATACTGCGTGGGCGGCACGTTGTCATATGGTCCTCCCTGCTGTTGGCGGCCGCTACCGCTGCCGCCGTTGTAGTTGTTGGCCATTTAAAAAGGAGATAATCTAGAATTAGGAGTATGGATAGTGTAGTTAGCGCAAGGTTCAAGGGACTCGAGTGGTTCAAGAGATTCAAGAGGTTCAAGAGGTTCCAAAGGCTCAGCAAGGAAGAGATGAAGGCCCGCTGCTGCTGCTGCTGCTGCTTTGACAAGATTGGACATGCTCTGTTTGTCAGGTCGGATCCGGCTGCCACCCCATGAGGTAAATGCAAGCGCACCTGCCCTGTGAGCTGCTGCGTGCCGGCAACGCAGGACAAAGGGAGCTGCTCTGCTGGTGATTATTTCATTTAGCAGAGCAGAGTGCTGGTGCGGGGAAAACAAGAATGGGTGGGCGGATCTGCACGGCTAGAGCGTGCTTAATTGCATACAATGGACCCGCCTTTTTACCTTCTTTCCAGCAACGAAGAGTGAACGCAGCTGACAGAGTGGTTTGCTGCCTGAGCAAAGGGAAAAGGTTATAGACAAAATGTAAGATACAAAAGTCGAGCTTGTACAGACGGAGGAGGAATACAAAAAACGCAAGAGCTTCTCTCTACGAGGGCGGGAGAAGGACGGAGCAGTAGCTGCTGCTGCCTTTATATGAAAAAGCGGCGGACACACTCGGGGCACAGATGGTGACCCAAACAGAGCTGTGCGCTCCACAAGAAAGCACGTAGCACAAAACAGCGACCCAGCCAGAAATAGGCGGACAAGTGGTAACGTTGCGCTGGCAGCGCAGATTTCGCCACCCGCGCTGCTCCCGCCCGCTCTCCTGCACACAGCCCTCCCGCCCGTCGCTTCCCGCTCATCGCCAAATGTTTTGGTCGACGACCGAAATAGAAGCAACAATTAACGGCACGGAATTACTAGCTGAACGGGGGGCTCGCGCAGTCTCTGGCTGATGCTGAAGCTTTGCCAAAACAATGGCGAGCGAGAAAGCGCTGGGCAGAATTGCTGCGTTTTGTTGATATCGTTGTTGTGCTTGGCTCTGCGCTCTACTGCTTCTGTTTCCGGTTCAGAATGGGCCGGTCAGATACTTACTCGTAAGCCGATAAAAATGTTGTCGTAACCCTGCCGACGACGTTATGCGGAAGCTTTTGTCTGTTTGGTTCTGGGTGGGGAAGAGATGATCGTGCGTAGAGATAGCAGCGGCTGGCGCTGCAGTATGTATGTGCTCTGGGCTATCGATGGGCGAAAGAGAGTATGAGTGTGTGCCTGCAAGCGGGGCAGGGGCAACACCAGTGTTTGGGGCGTTTCGACAAGCTAACTGGTTCTGTTGAAACGGCCTCCCTAGGGTCCGAGAGCAGACAACGATGAGATGAAGAGGCACGAAGAGGCGTGTAGAGGGGAAATGAGAGGGGTAGAGGTGGCAGAGGATGAAGAGGATGGAGAGGGAAGAGAAGAAGGGCTGAGCCTGTAAAGGCTGCGATAAAAATAATCCAAAGACCGCCGCCCTGGCTGGGACATGCAGCCTGCAACTGGGAATGTTGAGACCGCGCTGGTGATTGGTCTGGCACGGAGATTCCTATTCTATTTTTGGTTGGGCCGACATCAGCAGCAAGCTGGAGGAGGGCCTTGTCTAGCATGTGCGCAAACAACACCCGGCCTGAGTGGGGCGACCTGCCTTGACAGAGCCCTCGGCACCGCACGCAACAGCAGGTCTCCTCGGTCGCTTTAGCTCAAGCGCAGCTCTCTTTTTTGGGGCTGCCGACTGAGTGACTGAGAGTTTGGCAACACAAAGTGGTTTTGTTGTTGTGCCAGCAGGCGGAGCCAGATGATCGGCGCCCAGCACAATCGTGATTGGGCGCATCCACTATGAACTCGCACAATGCGCGGGCGGGAAGCGGTCCCCACACCCCGTGATTGGCCTGCCAGCGGTCGTGCAGAATGCAACAACAGCAGCAGCAGCGAGCAATAGCATAGCCCGAGTCTGATGCGGGCCAGCAGCGCCCGCGCGGCCGCTGGGCGCTGGCGGGGCGCTTGGACGGGAGGTGGTGGCCACCCGCCTCCTGCTGCCACTCAGGCTGCCGCCAGCGTGCGGAGAATGCGCCCTTGCCCAACCCAAACTGGCGGTGTTCCAGAACACCGGCCGCCATCTCCCCCAACCGCTGGGACAGGCTGGTGGTTGCCGACGCATTCGGCACCGACAAGCGCCGTCTGCAGCCCTATGTATCGGGAGTGGTGACATAGATGGTGATGGTGATGGTGATGATGTTGCTATGTTGCAAGCACATATGGGGCAACCCCTGCGGCCGCTGCCAGAGACCACATGCGTGTGTGCGGGCCAAACCACGCTGCGAGTAGGGAGCAGTCTGCTGTTGGCTCTGTCAGGCCGCTGATTGCTTCTCCCAGTGACAGCTGCACGCAGCAGACCGCTTCTCCCAGTCTGCAGCAGGAAAACTCTTGGCGCCAGCTGCTATTTGTGGACTCCGCGGGCAGCAGTTTGTCTGCAGCAGGAGAATCGGGGGCGAGGGGCGTGCATTTCCGACTTGCCTGGTAGGGCCACCGCCAACTGCTTTTACACTGTAAACACAGGCCAAGCCAAAGAAACACCAGCACCCTTGGGCCGGTACAAAAGCTGGGCCGCGTCTGGATTGTTCTCTTCTCTTCCTTCTTGACATAAAACGACAACAGCTCTTACTCACGACTGCACATCCCCCTCCCTGCCTCTTTTCCTCCCGCTTTCTAATCCCCTTTAACCATCGACCTTTTTCTATCAGGAAAGCGCCGACCTTCCATCAAACCCCAGCTTTTTTGTGCTCTTTCCCGTTCCTCTCTTCCGCGAATCCACAAAGCAACGATGCGGTTCTCTGTGCCGTCTGTCGCGGTCCTCGGCAGCACCCTGCTCGCCTGCAGCGCACTGGCAATCAACCCGCTGGTCATCAAGGGAGCCAAGTGGTTCGACAGCAAAACCGGCGAGCAGTTCTTTGCCAAGGGCGTCGACTACCAGCCCGACATTATCGAGACATCGCAGACCCGCGACCCGCTTGCAAGCAAAGACGCGTGTGACCGCGACCTGCCGTTCCTGAAGGACCTGGGTGTCAACGCCATCCGCGTCTACCAGACCGAGCCGTACAACAACCACGACTACTGCATGAAGGCGCTGGCCGACGCCGGCATCTACGTGATGCTCGACCTGAGCACGCCCACCAAGACCATCAACCGCGACTCGCCCGCCTACGACGCAGACTTGCTCGGCTACTACTATCAGAAGGTCGATGCATTTGGCGGCTACGACAATGTGATGGGATTCCTGGCCGGCAACGAGGTGGCCAATGCCCCCAACAACACCGACTCGGCGGCCTACGTCAAGGCGGCACTGCGCGACGTCAGAGCGTATATTAAGAAGAAGGGGCTCTCGATCCCCGTCGGATACGCAACCAACGACGATGCGGATATCCGCTGGCAGCAGCAGACCTACTTTGACTGCAACAGCAAGGACGAGCAGGCCGAGTTCTACGGTCTGAACATCTACTCGTGGTGCGGCGAGGACAGCAGCTACACCATCTCGGGCTACGACATCGTCGTCAAAAACTTCACCAACTGGGACGTGCCTGTGATGCTGACCGAGTACGGTTGCAACACCATCCGCCCACGCACCTTCCCGGAGATTGCTGCGATTTACGGCTCCAACATGACTGGGGTGTTCTCGGGCGGCTTTGTCTACGAGTATGTCGAGGAGGACAACAAGTACGGCCTCGTCACCGTCAGCGGCACCAAGGGCACAAAGACCCAGGACTATGACAACTTCAAAAAGGCCCTCAAGGCAACCAGCCCCAAGGGTGTCACCATGAGCAGCTACTCAAGCAGCGCCAAGTTGCAGAGCTGCCCGTCAGTCGGCATGAGCAACAGCTGGATGGCGAGCTCGACCCTGCCGCCCACCCCCAACAACGCGACCTGCGCATGCATGATGAAGACGCTGTCGTGCGTGTCCAAGGACACTTCGGCACCCACCGACTTGGACAAACTAACCACCTGGAGTTCCACTGTCGGCGATATCTTCAGCTACGTGTGTGCCTCAATTGACTGCTCGGCCATCAACGGCAACGGCACCACTGGCAAGTACGGTAACTATGCTGGCTGCGACACCATCCAGCGCGTGTCATGGGCGCTCAACGCGTACTACCAGTCAGATAACAAGAAGTCGACCTCGTGCAATTTCGATGGCTTTGCAAAGGTTGTCACCCCGTCGTCGTCGAGCGACTCAAAGTGTGCCAACTCGACTGATGACTCGTCGTCTGGCTCATCATCAAGCGGAAACAGCAGCAGTGGCAGCAAGAGCAACAGCAAGAGTTCGGATGCAGTCAACAACTTTTCGTCATTCACTGCTCTGACAACAGTCGCCATCGTTGCGGTAGCTGCCATTTCCTTCTAGCTGACTCGTTTCTGAAATTTAGCACTCAATATTTCTCTCTTTTCCCTGTTTACACACCAGCCATATTGCCATTAGGTTAAACCCGTATGCTATTTAGGCGAGGAATACTGGAACAAGAATAACAAATGTAAGAGCAACGCGATCTACCATGCAGGCAAGATGCTTGCAAGATGTAAATGTAGACAAATTTCGCAACATTATTTAGACGAGCCAACATACTGATGGTCTCTTGTTTCGCTACTCGGCTATACTCCAAGCAGGAGTATACTCATAAAACCAACACCCGGCACCAGCCCGTCTAGTCGACTGGCCAGTGGCTCTCGCGGCTGACACGAAAAGCAAAACTGGCATAGAGCATTTACTATAGCGTGATGACCTCGACGAATCTTTCAGGGGCTGTAAAAGCATCGAACCTGTGAACAATGCTTCAACCAATCTAAGTATTAGTGATCTGTCTACATATAAATCAACCACAGCTCATATGCACACATGCTGCTGCGCTCCTTTCTCTCCTGCAGTTTTCACATTTAATATATTTTCCCAAGTAAAAAGCACAACTCGTTTGATAACGCTCATAAGCATAGAGATGGTTTGCGAAGGCAGTATATTGCACCTATGTTCCGAGCAAATGTTGCTTGAAGTATCCAGTGTCGGCCTTCCTGCCAGTCAGACGACTGCGCTACATGACATCTATCTGCATGAGTTTTCACTCAATTCAAAACTCACATACCTGCCAAGATTCGAACCTAAGCCCCTCAAGCCAGCGATGGTAATTAGCTCCCTCGATAGGCGCTGTGTTCCTAAACTCACAGGATTTAGGAACCCATGGATAAAATCCCTAGGCCACAATGGCCATCCATGCTGTTCCAGGCGACTAACTCCACTACTTGGACAGCCACCTGCCCTTTTCACCTGGTGATTCCTCCTTCTTTCTCTCTTTTAGCATATTTCATAGATTCAATATACATCGCAGAAGGGTGCCTAGAGAGCAAACGTGTTCCAGACAGTTGCAGGAGGCTATCCATCCATGCGTATTGTACCCGAGACACAGTGCTAGGACACGGGTAGATTTGATGTGCCATTTTACTAGTGGTTGTAGAGAATCTGAGGGGACCCACAGCTACACCCGCGTGTGCTAAGCTAGATAGTGCAGCCACTATACCCTTGCATACGCGCTGCCGTGGATTTACGAGTGAGAGTCAGCTGTGTAGCACCTAGCAAGGGATAGTGGATTCACTACTCCTGGTAGGTGATATTGAAATTACATTGCATTGGTAGAGAGATACCCGACATAGCTGCCTGTTCTGATGATACATCACATACCAAATAAGCCAGAGATATATTTATTCGACTTCTATCCTTGTTTCGGTGGATTTAATATTTTTATTTGCTACTAGAACTACTCTGCTCACAGTGCGAGCTCGGCTGCTAGTCAGCATGGGTTGACACGTCGATAAGAGCATCATGGCGAACCGGTCATTTGAACGTGTCGGATGGTTGTTGGTGCAATGGCGATCATGGACATCTCCTCTCTTGATGGCCTACTCAGCGCAGGCGCTTCAGCGCTGGTTCGCTGCTGGTGGCAGCAGAATCGCCTGCTGCTGCACGGCTCTTGCGCGGCCTCTTTGTTGCAGGGGTGGTGCCAGAAGCATCGGCAGCAATGGCCGTAGAACGATGGAACCGTTCAGGAATACTGCCTGAATCACAGAGTGACTGGAAAATGAGTCTGAAGTTTATAACTGCTGCGAGGTCGCGGTTCAAGAGCCGAGACGAATAGGCCCGCCTGTATTGTGCCATGGCCCGCTTACATGACTCGCTTGTACAGCGGAGAAGGCCATGGCACTTCACAGTTGGGTTCTTCGATCTCTGGTAGGGCCGCGGGTTGGGAACATGCCGGAATGTCTGCAGCGACTTTTCGCAGCAGAACGGGCACATCGACGATGTCCGGAATTCGTCGATCAGATAGACTTCAAAGCCATGGTGCTTGAACTTGTCGCGCCATCCCTTGCCACGAATCGGCGCATGGTGTCGGGCCATCGGCGCACTCCAATTGCCCATGATCAGCACTGGATCTGGACCGAACTTGCTCCGGAGTTTTGCGGCAAGCCTGTGGTCTGCACGGGCCTGGTTCATGAATGAATCAAGGCGCAGCTTGCGGTGAAGCGGGTGCACCTTGGGACTGGTACTGACACCCGGATGGGCCTTCCAGCGCCTCTGGTGCTGCTTGTTTGACTTAGTGGGCTGCTGCTCTGATAACCTTCGCGCTGTCATCGTGTTGGCATAAAACGGTGCTAGGACACACCGCACAGATGCACGGGCAGCAACGTAGGCACGGAATTTTGCTGGGCTAAGGGTCCGGCAGCAGTGCTTGGAAAGCTCTGCCTCTGCTCTGCGGACAGCATCTTCTGGGACTTGATCCTTTGTATCCCAACGAATCCTGTCATAGTGGCGCAGCTTGAGCTCCTTATTGCGTTGCTGCCGTGTGTAGCGGTAGAGCATTTTTTTCACCCTCTTTCCCATTGCTGCTATTTTCGTGCATCATATACAGTAAATCGTCCCGACCTGGATCGATGAATACAGTGGCCTTTCAGATTCTGCTGCTCTGGCTGTGGGATTTGGTACATATAGCAACAGTCAGCTGTAGCATCGCCTCCCGCAGCATCAGCATCTACTGCAGCATCAGCCCTGGATACCATGTCTTGTAGCAAAATGCATATCACTATACTATCTGTTGTTGCCATTCTGTGGAATTTTCTATCACCATATGCCTTAAATGGCATTGATGTTAGACCTGCAACCCAGCCTTACATATCCCACATAGATTGTGTGATCCCTTGAACTGGGTCATGTGCACAGACTGGGGGTGCTGGTGCATATGCATTGTTAAGTGCTGCAACAGTGTCTGCTGCTACGGCTGATGCAGCAGCAAGTGAATTAGCTGCTACTGCTATAGTTATTTCAGTGGCCTCTATTGCATCTGCTGACATATTAGTGGTCATTCTTAGACTTGCAAGTTTTATATTTGAATAATTGTTTTCAAAATAGATATTTACTACTAGACAAAATAAACATAGAAATTTTATTTATTATGTTTAGATTATTTATATATATATAAATATTTTCTGAGGTTACTTTGAAATTCTAAAGTACTAAATAGTTATTTATTTTATCTAAAAATTTTAATTCTTAAGCCAAATATGGTGCTTTACTAAAACCACTATCAGTATCCTAAAAAATCTTAGTTGATATATAATTAGTATGCTTCTACTAATATTTAGGCAGAGTTATATGAAATTACCTCTAATTTTCAGGATACTAATAGGGTTTTAGAGAAGCACTATATTTTGTATCTTATATTTCTTAGTTCTAGTTATTTTAGTAGAGGCTATTCACAGATAAGAAAGTTTAAAGAAACTAATAGTCTTTTATTAGAATTACCTATTAATAAATTTTAATTCATTTACTAGTACCTACAAAATATTTTAAAAACTAGATTATTTAGTAACATCTAAAATGATATTAGCAACTAAAATAAAAATAAATAAAAATACCAATAGGGGTTTTATAGAAGTGCTATAACCATAAAGGAATAATAAGTTTTAAAGGTTCTAAATATCTTTTACCTAGTTTAGTAACTATAAATAACCTCTATAATATAGGTACTCTGTATTGCATTGTATTGTTACTCTAAGAATATCTATAGACAGTTTTCAAAATATCATATAGATAATCTGAGTCTGAGGTGACAGTTTACAATAGCAGCTCACTAATATTCAAGTATATACCCCTTTGCTGCGCACTCTGTCAACGCAAGTACATAGTAGTCTATATAGTGATTCATTTGAGGCAAGAGGTCGATGAAGTCAACCACAGCCGCAGCATTCCGCAGCCTTGGCATATTTTTCCTCTCGGAGTCTACACCAAATTATGATTGTGGGAAACCGAGATGTGAATCACGAGATACTCGTGTTGAGTAAACCGCGGCTCGCGGGTGCCCAAAAATGCTCTGACTCACTAGGGGGGCAGGATGTTTAAAAATTTTTATTTAAGACGGTCTGCAAAGCACGCCTGCATTTTTCCTCTCCACGTTTCAAATCACATACTTCTTGTTCTTGCAATTCGGGGATTTAAATACGAGTAAATAACCATGGCTGACAACGCTGCTGCCGCTGCTACCCACGTCGACCCGGTCACCGGCGAGAAGGTGTCAAAGTCCGAGCTCAAGCGCCGCATCAAGCTGCGCGAGAAGGAGGCCAAGAAGGCCGAGAAGGCCGCTGCCGCCCCCAAGGCTGCCAAGGCCGAGAAGACCGACAAGAGCGCCGAGGATGGCGAGGAGGAGCTGAACCCGAACCAGTACTTTGAGATCCGCAGCAAGGCCATCGAGAAGATGCGTGCTGAGGGCCCGTATCCGTACCCGCACAAGTTCCACGTCACCATGTCGGTTCCTGCATTCATCGAGAAGTACAGCACGCTGAAGGCGGGCGAGATCCTGACTGACGTCGAGGTCAGGCTTGCTGGGCGCATCCACAACAAGCGCGCGTCGGGAGCCAAGCTGCGCTTCTACGACCTGCACTCTGAGGAGAAGCGCGTGCAGGTGATGGCGTCGGCGGGCGACTCTGAGCGCGATTTCGCCACTGTTCACGATGTGCTGCGCCGTGGTGACATCGTCGGTGTGCGTGGATATCCTGGCGTGTCGAAGCGCGGCGAGCTGTCGATTTTCCCGCGCGACATCACGCTGCTGGCGCCGTGCCTGCGCACACTGCCCAAGGAGCACTATGGCCTGCGCGACCAGGAGACGCGCTACCGCCAGCGGTACCTGGATCTGATCATGAACCCGTCGGTGCGCAACAAGTTTGTGTCGCGCGCCAAGATCGTCAACTACGTGCGCCGGTTCCTGGACAACCTGGGCTTCCTGGAGGTCGAGACGCCGATGATGAACATGATTGCTGGTGGCGCCACCGCCAAGCCGTTCATCACCCACCACAACGACCTGAAGCTGGACATGTTCATGCGTGTCGCGCCCGAGCTGTACCTGAAGATGCTCGTCGTTGGTGGTCTGGACCGGGTGTACGAGATTGGCCGCCAGTTCCGCAACGAGTCGATTGATCTGACGCACAACCCCGAGTTCACCACGTGCGAGTTCTACATGGCATACGCCGACGTCAACGACCTGATGGAGATCACCGAGACCATGGTCTCGGGCATGGTCAAGTACATGTTCGGTGACTACAAGGTCGAGTACCACAAGGACGGCCAGGACAAGCCGCCTCTCGTCATTGACTTCTCGCCGCCGTTCCGCCGCGTTGACATGATTGGCGGTCTCGAGGAGGCCCTCAACGTCAAGTTCCCGCCTGCCTCCGAGCTGCACACTGCCGAGACCAACCAGTTCCTCAGCGATCTGTGCAAGAAGCACGATGTGGAGTGCTCGGCGCCGCGCACCAACGCGCGTCTGCTCGACAAGCTGGTCGGCGACTTCCTTGAGGTCCAGGCCACCGAGAAGCCGCTGTTCATCACCAACCACCCGCAGATGATGTCGCCGCTGGCCAAGTACCACCGCTCCATCGAGGGCCTGTGCGAGCGCTTTGAGCTGTTCGTTGCCACCAAGGAGGTGTGCAATGCCTACACCGAGCTCAACGACCCCAAGGTCCAGCGCGAGCGCTTCGCCCAGCAGGCCGACGACAAGGCTGCCGGCGACGACGAGGCCCAGCTCATCGACGAGAACTTCTGCACGTCGCTCGAGTACGGCCTGCCGCCCACTGGCGGATGGGGCATGGGCATTGAGCGCCTGTGCATGTTCCTGACCGACTCGCAGAACATCAAGGAGGTCATCTGCTTCCCGGCCATGAAGCCCGAGGAGACCACCGCCAAGCCTGCTGATCAGGAGTAAACCAAAAATCCAAACCGAGCCAAACGGTCCAGCCAATAAAATCCTGAGCCATACAACTTTACTTGCACGTGACTCAGCGAGCCGAGCTGGCTGCTGCCCGAGCTGGAAGGAAAATTTTTCTTGCCGCACCACTCTGCAGCACCTATTTGAGGACTGCACGCCCAGCGCTGCTCGTGGCTCAACCTCTTTTCCGCTTCTCATTCACGGTAATTAGAAATCTCGCAGATTTAAAATGAAGTTCTCCGGTACGTACCAGCATGCATCGGCGCCTCGGTCGGTCGCGTTGTGCCTTTGAGTAGATCCTGTATGACTCCGTCCCTGCCGTATCGCACCCGCTACGCAGGATAAGCATGACCCCTCTGCTAGGCATTCACTTGCCTCGGCGCACCCTCGCTTTCCGGCACACCAGCTGCCAGACCGCGAGGATGCGTCGTCACTGCACGCCTGGCCCGGCCCTCTCTCGTTTGGCTGCCTTGGCGTGTCAGCTTAAAGCTGAACGATTCCCGAACTCCCCTCAGCGGGTATATTAAACCAAGTAAGTAAGTCTATCTCTGTAGCTGACGTTTCTTCCTCCTCCCGCAAGTCGCGCAAGGCCCACTTCTCGGCCCCGTCGCACATCCGCCGCCGCCTGATGTCGGCTGGTCTGTCGAAGGACCTGCGCAAGAAGTACGAGGTTCGCTCGATCCCCGTGCGCCGCGGTGACGAGGTCATTGTGACCCGTGGCCAGTACAAGGGCCGTGAGGGCAAGGTCACCGCCGTGTACCGCAAGAAGTGGGTCATCCACATTGAGCGCCTCGTCCGCGAGAAGGTCAACGGTGCCTCGGTCCCCATCCCCGTCCACCCCTCGAACGTCTCGGTCACCGCCCTGAAGATCACCAAGGACCGTGAGGAGATCCTGGCCCGCAAGGCCGCCGCTGGCAAGGCCCGTGCTGAGCGCCGCGCCTAAGTAGCCCTTTGTTGAGCCCTTTTCTGTATGTATTTCGCAAGCTATTACATTGTAATAAACAGTTGAAATGCAATTACCCGATGTGGTGGTGCGTAATGTGGTCGAGCATAGCCTCCTTGAGCAGAGCCTGCGGGCGCTTGGCCAGGTGCGCAGTGTCGTAGAAGAGCTTGGACTCCGGGTTGGTCAGCACAGCTGCGCCGTCGTCCGGCGACACCGAAATACACGGCGTCTGGACATCTGGGTCGATGCCGCATGTGGCACAGTCCTCTGAGATGCGCTTCTGGAAGCCGTATGTGTCAAACACAGAGAGCCTGTAGCCCTCGCCCAGCTTCTTGTTCAGCGCCTTGATGCCGTCAGCCACAGCTGCATTGAACTCGCGCGTGTCCCTCTTTGACTTTTCCACTACTTCCGGGTCGTTGCGCTGGAGCACCGCCGGGTAGTCCTCGCGCGGGCGCACATTCATCACCACGATATGCCTGGCTTTCTCGCATATTGCCTCCACGATTTCCAGCAGCCTGTCAGCGAGCTCTTGCATCGTATACGGATTCCCAACAACGCGTGTCACGGAGCTGCCGATGAGTGCGTTCAAGTCGTTCGACCCGACCTGCACAAACACCAGGTCACCGCTGCTTAGATCCGCCATCCTCGCAGCCTGTGTTGCAACCGATGGAATCTGGATATCCACGCCACCCATGGTGAAGGTCGAGTCGGCCATCTCCGAATCAATGGTTGCGCGGCCATATGCATCATTGAAGCTGGGGATATCCAGACAACGCACAAGCTGGTCAGCCCAAATAAGGTCGCTGCAATAGCGCCCTTGGTGGTAGACCATGGGATCCGGGTACACGCCGTTGGTCAGACGCAGGAGGTTGCCGGTGTCGGCATTGGAGTCGCCAAGAAACACAAATCTCTGAAACTTTGCAAAGGGCATGGGCACGGAGGTAACAAGTAGCACGATGCGGGCTGTTTTTTGCGCGCGCAGCGGACATAGTAATCCCTGTCCACTGCACATGCGCATGCGTTATGGATACCACATGTTGCCGTTTTCTCTTTTTCCAGAAAGCGACGCTATCATTGCAGACGATGGCCATCCATGCAGTCCTCAAGACTCCTATGGAGCCTCCGTCCCCAAGCAGCTAATCCCAATCGCGCCAGGTGTCAGCGTCTGTATTCTGCGCCCCTAAAAATAGGAGCTGCTCATTTCCAAGTACACATCAAAAACATTGCGTGTATGGAAATGGGCAGCATGCAAACATCGATCCGCACACGCGCAAATGGGTTCCTGCACGCAGTGCGACACAGCGACAAATAGGCAGTCCGTTTCTGTGACTGGGGGAGCTGTGCAAGGCAGATCCTACCACCTACTGTTGCACTGGATGTCTAGCATCCAGGAACTCCATCATAGCGAGTCTGGCAAATTCGTGCGATGTGTTTGGCTGGCGCACGTACATTGCCGGGGAGTCAATCAGCTGCGCATGATTTGCTCTCAGCCTGTCGGTGAGAAAAAAGGGGCTACGACGGCAGGAAAGATAGTGATGACAGCACGGGGATCGTCCCCTTGAATGATGAAAGAGAAAAACCGCACAGCCAGGTTTCTATTTTCGTTGTGCCCCTTGGGATGCCTGCGAGCTGCATCGCCCAGTTGATTTTTATGTCTCCTGGGGAAAAGAGGGACTGAACACTGGAGACGCTGGACTCTGAAATAGAAATCTCTGCCTTTCTTCCTCCATCTCTTGCCGAGTTTTAATTTTTCCACTCTTACATCTCTAGGCTCCTGCCATTTCCCGCGCCCTTTGCATCAGCGTGACTCGATTGTCGCGACCTTTAAACTGCACCCCGTCTTTACGCAAACGTCTCTAGGGCAAAGCCACTCGTAGGAGGGGAAATAGCTGGGGATAAAAGATTTCGCTCTGGGGTTTCCCTTTTGTTTTCCTGGGACACGGTAGAGCATAAAGGGCAGCAGGGCTTCTCAGAACCGCTTCTTTCTTCTTTTTCCACCACCTTCGCTCTTCTAGCCTTCCCTCTCTCCAGTACTGCACACAGCCACACATCAATGTTCACATAGCCTTCTCGTACATAGGGTGACACATAGACATGGATGACCTATTGAGAGAAGCAACAGAAGCAAGCAACAGCGCGACCCCCGCGCTCTTCTCGCAGACAGAAAATACCGGGCTCTTGGTGCTCAACGGGATCAGCATACTCTGCAGCCTGTTCGTAGTCGGGTTCATCCACATGTATCGGCAAACAATCTCGGTGGTGGCCGCGACACGGCTGCGTGGTCGGCGCAAAAGCATTATGCGGCCGCGCGGCACCCAGGCGGCGATGTACCTGTCACTGCCCGCGTCCCTGAGGCTGCTGTTCGTGGCCTCGATTATAGACGTGCTGTACAGCTGCTTCCGGATATACAACCTATCGATCATGATGCCTGGGTTCAGCGGCGACCACCAGGCACACTGCAAGGCGTCGATGGCCGGAATGACGTTTTTCAACCTAATGTCGGTCTTTGTCAGGGCGCTGCTCAGCGTGCATCTGCAGCTGGTTATCCTCAGCAACGTGCAGCGCGTAATGGCCTACGAGCGGCATTTCCTGGCAGTCGCTGGCTGCGTTTCGGCGATGATGGCCGTGGTGCCCGTAATCACAGGCAACTACGTGTGGCTGGATTTCGACCCGACATTAGGCTCGGGGCACTGCGGGTACTTTCAGTTCAAGCTGGGCAAGAAGGCAATGGGCTGGAACGAGGCAGTTGCACGGCAGGCGGTGCAGAAGGGGCTGGCTATTATGTGGGCGACCAACTTTGCGTGGATGACGCTGACCGTATTCTACGGAGTCTTTGTGATTGTATCGGTGGTTATCCGGCTGCTGCACCAGCGCAACATGCTGGAACCGCGTCACGCTCAACCGCTCGATTGTTGTGATGCGGCCGCAGGGCCGGCGCGAGTTCTGGTCGATGGCGACAAAGGTAGTGCGGCGCATCCTGCAATTCCCGCTAATGGTGGTTGTCTGCCACGTGCTCGAGGTCGTCTACGGCATGGGGATGCTATCGACAGCACTCAAGTTAATGAACGACGGGGTGCTGAGCAACGACAACCCGGAGAAAAACCACGGGCTGACAAAGCTCTACCTGGCCGCGCAGATCATGCTTGGCATGGAAGGCATCATCACGCTGTTTTTCCTGCCGCTCGAGCCGCCTATCCGCCTCATGCTACGCAGCGAGTATCTGCGGCGCAAAAAGACCGTTCACCAGGGAATCGGCAGGTGCCGCAACACGTACCGAAACGCAACGATGCGCAAAAAGCCCGTCCCGTGCCCCGTCTGCGACGATGACAAGAACACCGCCGCACAGAGCCTGCCGCCTCCGCCGCCCGTTTCCCTGGCGCCCTCGGTCAGCTCCCAGGTCCCGCTGACCGAGATGCCGCAGGTGGGCTCACCAACGCCCACGCTGCGGCCGGTTAGGCGCGCGCCGACCATCGACAGCCTCCAGTGGGACGTGGTGTTCGTGGGGGGCACGCATGACCTGGAGGATGACGTGGCCAGCAACATTCTAGCTCTGCGCAATGATGGACTGCCTGCGCAACAGTGGTTTGTGCCCATCAGGGCAAATACCGAGGAGCCATTGGCGCACGCTCGCAGCAGCCGCACGCTGCTGTCAGAAGACAGGGATGCTTGACGCCTGCCTGCTCCCCTCCCCAAAAACGCATGGCGGGTGACCACGATGGAATCGATTGTGGCCAGATCGCAGGCACGATAAGGCATGTCGAGGATGCATCCCCCAACAGCAACACCATGTATATCATGTATTTTTACTACTTATAAATAACACCGTCCAGAATTCCTATGCGCGGCAGCGCCAATTCTCTGCCGGCTTCGGTGTGTGCGCGTTGCTCCAGGTTTGGCCGCAGAGAGCCTTATTTTGTGGAGCATGTGACAGAGTCATTGTCACCTGTCCTACACATTGTACGTGACCAACCATTTATTTTCTTCGCACTCAGAAACCCCTCTTGCAATTGTCGGCTCCCGCCCCTCCCTTCTCTGCCCCTTGCTCGGCACTTGGAGCGGCCAGGTCACATTATGCTGGTTTTCTCGACACGCTGCCGTGTGGGAATACGCGCTTCTGACTTTGCGCGGGTGTCTGCGTATGTCATTCTTGCATCCGTCCTTTTCTGTCGAATGTGACTTTAGACATTCTCCTGCGTCAGAAAAAAAAGTTGCCATGTGCAGTGGGTCGGCACTTTCCTGCGACCACCGAATATCCCGCAAAAACAGAGGGGATCCACGTATTGGCGACCCACACAATAAGGACGTGCGCCCCCCGGAAATAACACTCCAATTGCGAGTGCATATATTGCTAAGTCTCTGCCAGATGATATAGGATCAGCAGGGGGAAGGGCAGGTTAGGAAGCAGCCATGTTTTTGTGACAGAGCGCCGCTTGGCCCGGTCGCAAGAATAGCACTCAGCGCTGGATGGGCGGTGGGTGGAAATACGAATTCTTCTGATTGACCAGCTCCCAACCATATGCATCGACATTGCATAAATTGCACGTTTTTTTAAGAGCCCAGAGATAAGCGGCGACTGTGAAAACAAACGGCAATTGAGTGAGAACAGCCAGGCCTCTTCGCCCTTGAATAAGCACAATAAGCGCAATGTGCATCCCAACCTCCCCGCCCACCTGCTGCACACGTACGCTCCACAACAGGAAAAGGGCTGCAAAGGGTGAGAGCCGGGGGCCAGTGCTTCCCTCTTTACAACGGCCTGGGACAATCGGCAACATGAGCATGTCACGTCCCAACCTGCCCAGAAAAAGAGTGGCGGCCAAAGAACGAACATACACATGTATATGCGCCCGCCGTCTCACCCGACTCCACCCTCCCCCTTGAATGTCTCTGCCTGGGTGTGTGAGAAAAAATTTTTATTTTCATGGCGGCCACACACCTTTTCCTCCTCATGTATAAAACGGCGCCAGGCCGAAAGTATTCTTTTCTCGCATGCTGGTGCTCCCTTTTTTTAAAAACACCCTCTGTCGCTCGTTTTTTCTCGCCTGTCGTTATAGTAAGGCCCCTGTTGCGCACACTCCTTTTCCTTTTCCTTTTTCGGCCTGGCTCCAGCACAAACAGCTTTTCTACATCTTCACGACCCATTCAAAAGCAGAGGCTCCATATATACACTCTGTTGGAGTAAGCGCTACACATGCATCGAGTATCTCTGCCCAGCATCCACGAGATAACGTACGGGCTCCCGGCGACATCACCGGCGCCGGCGCCACCAGCACCACCACAGCAGTACGAGCACGCGTACGTGCCGCAGTACCAATACCCGCCGCCGCCGCACGCGGCGCCTCCATACAAGGAAGAGGAGGTGGTGGCGGGCGAGTACGGGATTCCCGGAATCATCAACAACTACGACCAGCGGTCGGCCACCAGCGTCCACATAGTGTCGCCGTTCCACCAGCCGGCCAGCCAAGGCTCGCTGCCCACGCCGCCCCTCAACACAATGCGGCCGACCACACGCTCCCCGCCGACGGCGGCCGAGACGGCGGCGGCGGTGGCAGCAGCCCGGTCGTCGGTCAATGTGGAATTGTCGCTGGCAGATTTGGACGAGGACGACGTGGACGACGAGCGCATGACAACAGCCAAGATTCGCACTATCCACAAGCTGGCAGAGAGGCGGCGGCGCAAGGAAATGAAGAACCTGTTTGACGCGCTCAGGAAAACGCTGCCGGTGGATAGGAGCGTAAGGCTCAGCAAGTGGGAGGTGCTGAAGAAGGCCATTGAGGTCATTGGCGCACAGGACCAAGAAATCCGGGTCCTGCGTGCCCACGTCCACGCGCACCAGCGCGCCGTCCTCGACCGCTGACCCCCACCCAAGCAACAACACAAACCTTTAATTGTACCTTTGTTTCCTTCTTCCTTCCTTTTGTATGTCTGCCATTATATTGGCCAATCCAACCTGTCTGTGCACAATACATCTACCACCAAAGCCAACATGTACCCCGTATTTTGGTTGTCGAATGATACATTATAAGCCGTTGAGAATCCCAGAGAAGCGTCTTCGCAAAGAATGACCAGGCACGACGAACAGTGGCAAAGGGAGGGCGCTGGTCTGGTAGCATTTGCCGACTGTGGCTCAGTTCACTTGCCAGCGCCCTCTGCCAGCGCAACCCGCTGTTTGAGAGCCTCCAATCGCTCGACAGCCATACTCAATCCATTCTCATGTCGCTTCCGCATCGTCTGGAATGTCAGCACGGCTGCCTGCGATGCATGTCCCGTCTGCTCTTCGCTGTGGTTCATCAGCTGGGCCAGCCGCTCCTGCAGCTCATCGACCTGCTCAGCGACTCCGCCGGGCCCGGCCACTGCCCCCAATACACCGCCGATGTCGCGTGAAAGCGCCTGCTCGGACCGCGTCAATGTCGGCTGGTAGTGGGCAACCAGCAGCCGCAGCAGCTGGTCAACGCGCACCGGCGAGCTTCGAGCTGTTATCCTGGATTCCCGCAAGCCGCTTCCGCGACTCACCAAGTTGCTTAAAGTGGTTCGCGAAGCCTGCCGAGATCTCGCGCAGCTTGTCGCACTGGCGGCGGTGCTCCTGCACCTGCAGCTCGACCCGCGCCTCCATCTTCTGGTGCTCGTGGGCGACCTCGCCCAGGTGGCCGCGCAGCTGCCCGACTATGGTGCCTAGCTGCGACAACTTGACCTCGTTGACTGTCTCTGCGTCCCCGGGCTCGTTCAATACCAGTCGCGGCGCCTGGAACGCAAGGTCAGAGTCGCTTGGTGCCGAGTACACGGGCAGCGGGAGTCCGCGGCACGTACTGCACGTTCTCGTCACCCAGCACCAGCACACCTGTCTCCTCGTCGATGTCATCGTGTGCTGAGTTGTCACCAGGATTGTCGTCATTGGTATACTCTGGCAACATGATAGCTGCTGGCCACCAAGCTTGCTGGGCGCAACTATGGCAATGATCGAGTAGGCCAGGTAGGGATCGTCGACCACCACGCCACCAACCTACGGGCAGCGCGGCCTGGCTCGGTGCTTGCATTCGTCTGCACAACACACAGCACGCTGCGCTGCATCAGTGCACTGCCGGCTTTGCCGCCGCTCAGCAGAGCCAGCAGCTGCCCCAGTGCTTTGTTCTTCTCCTGCTCGGTGCCTGTACCCATGGCAGTGCCAAGCAGAGCCACCCATTTGCGCGTGTCAATGCGATGGACGCCCTGTGCATGCATGGCAAACAGCGAGCAAGGGCACAGGGGATCTGGCAATAAGCGACACGGCTCCAACGGGGCGCAGCTCCTCCTCGGCACTGTCGCTGTCGCTCAGCTCGCCCCCCCGCGCAAGCGGTGCAACTGCCAGGTCTACGCTGGCAAGGGTCGCCAGTACAGGCAGCGTGAACTCGGTCCCCTGCATCGGCTGCCGCCACCGCGCCATCACCGGCTCCAGGTCGGCAAACAGCTCCACATGCGAGTCGCAGTAGCTGATCGCCACCACACCCACGTCTCCGGTATCCAGATACACGACGTCGCTGGCATCCTCGGCCTCGGTATCCAGGATGCTCGAGCTTGCGTCAGAGTCATACGCCTAGCTCCGCCACCGGCGATGGCTCCGGCTGGTATAGATACGGGCCCTGCCCAACAGCCGGTCTGAGCCATGCGTCAGGCAAGCGCCACATTCATCAGCGCCTTGCCGGGCTCCAATTCCAGGACGTTCACCAGCCACTCCTTCGCATCCCGCGCTGCTACAAGCTCGACTGGCGAGCACACCTTGCCGCGCGACTCATACTCCTCCGCCTGCCACTCGCGGATATCCATCTCGGCGATATCCAGCAGCTGCTCCAGCCACGGCCGCTCCAGCATGCACGCGCGCGGCAGGACCGGACACAGGCTGAACAGCTGGCCCGTATTCATCAGGACATACAGCGTCGCCCGCGCCCACCCGCCCACCCCACCGCCCATACTCAGCCCCACTGCCCGTCCGACCGAAAATCCATTGCTGACGCCAGCCACACTGCCCAGCGAGATCGTCTGCTCTGCCACTGTGACGTCCTGCCAGCACATCAAACACCTTTGACCACGCCACTGCTCAGCAGCACCACCAGATGCGAGTCCGACGATGACATCGAATGCCACAGCGCATCGGCCACGCGCGCGCCGCGCCCCTCGCCGGCCTGTGCGCCCTGCCGGCCTATTGCCGTGCCGCCAATAATCTTGGACGCGCAGCTCACACACGCTCCGTCGAATTCGTCGCTGGGCTTGTCCATTCGGGCTGCAGCAAATGCCCCCTTGACACCCGCCCGGTTGGGGGACTCTGGTCCTGGCAGCGTCACCACCGCCACCTGCCGCCGTCCGACCACCGCCAGCAGCTTCCCGCTCTTATTGCACACCAGCCGCCGGATCTCAAACCCCAGCGCCGATCCCAGAACCCGGTACCAGGGCACGTGCTGGATCGCGTCCTGCTGGCTTGTAGCTTTGTAGTCGGACTGCGTTTCGTCAATGCTGCTCGCAACCCCCAGCCGCGTGCTCTCAAACTGCACGTATGCGTCCTTGCACGCCTTTAGACTTATCCAGCGCACCTCGCTGCCTACTGCTACAAACAGGTCTGTGCCGCGAATCACCGCTCGCTGCGTATTGCTAATCTCCTTGCTCCCCTGGCTGCGCCTCCCCGGTGCCCACGTTTGGCGGCGGGGTTGTGAACACAGGGTGCTGTGCCAAAAGCTGTAGCCATTCATCGACAACTAAGTAAACAGCGCGAATGAGCAATAGAAACGCTGATTTCGTGCGGTGCTTGTCAAACAAGATACCTCCAAACACGCTCTCTCAAAATGCACCCTGGTGTCTTACCCATGCTGTGAAGTGTGTCCTGGCGAATCGCGGTTTATGAATGACTGGAATAAATTGAAAAAAGAGTGAAGTTGAGAACAAGTCTCGCGGGCAAACTGCGAAGTTGCAAACTACAGCCAGATTTTTCGGACCTGATCAATCACTGTCCTGATCACAACGCCGCAGCACCGCTATTCCGACTCAGACGCTAAACAGCGGACTGGCGACTACTACATTTGCTGGCTAGGTGACATCAACATATATAGTTTTTTGTTTGAGAAGAGAACATAATATAAGAGACTATAAACCATTACTCGGAGGTAAGAAACAAGAAAAGGAAATAAAAAACGCGTTAAGAAGATAGAATTTTGAGAGGAAAGGGTCTTTTGGAAGGGGAAGGGCGAGTAAAGGGAGGAGAGGGAAAGAGCTGCTTTGAGCGGAAAAGGAGGAAGGGAGGAGGGTGGTGATAGAGTAAGAGTAGAGGGGGGATAGTCGGGGGTTCAGAGGGAAGGGCGGGTGAGCGGGCTGGACTTTTACTGGCCAGAGAGCGTGGTGGGAGGGGAGGAGAGGAGATACGCTTGGAAGCGACTAAAGTACACGACGTCTATCATAGGGCAAAAGAAATGGAAAGAGGAGATTGGAAGAGAATAATGGAAAAAGTAGAAACATCGAATGTGCAAAAAGAGGGAGGTGTGGGGAGAGGGTATGCCGGTGATGCGATGTATGCGATGTGATGCGGGTGGTCCATGATGAATAGGCGATATGTGGAACAAGAGATGCTGGTGGTGGGAGAGAGTACGTGCTACAAGGAAGCGCGGGCAATGTGGGAAGTGGTGTGGGGGTCGAACACAGAAGGCGGTGCCAAGTGGAGGTAGGCAACATGCAGTCTGCTACCACAGCCGGCCTTTCTCTCTAGCCCTTCAACCACCAGACAGAGCTCAGTAGAGCGCCAAAAAGAAAAAGGTTGAGCTTGCCCAAGAAAAGAATGATGTGAATGACCACCTTACAGAGTGGTGGCTTCAGGGTCAACCGCGCACAAAGCAGCGGGATCGATCGTGCTGGTCTTGGACGGGCACTGCCAGCCAGCCAAGTCCTGACCCAGAACGCTCATCAGGGAAGTCGGGTCGCGTAGCATCTCGTCGTACAGAGCCAGAAAGCCCTGGTTTCCATGTCCGTCCACGTGCGGGCCAATAGCTCCGCTTGCGCCGCTGCCGGCCGAAGGGCCAGACACATGCGCCAGGGCCTCAGGAGCAGCAACCGGGGTTGTGGTCGAGGGTGCCGAGATCCCAGCAAACATTGCCCAGTCAACGGGCGATCCGGCAACGCTGCTGTCGGCCCCCATGGCCATCGCCTGTCCGCTAGCGTGGTGGCTGCTGTCGTTAGGAAGCATCGGGAGGTTGAGCTCGCCCTGCTGCTGCCGCATGTTGGCTAGCGCCTGGTGCATGCTCTCGGGACCGTGCCATGAGATCCGCGACTGCATGTGTGCACGGCGGGCGCCGTAGAGCGACTCACCGCCCTGCTCGGCGAACAGGCCGGCGTTGTCGATGCTGACGGTATCGTTGCTGTTGAATGTGGGCATCATCGTCGAGATGTACGGGCCACTCGTCGCAGCGGCAGCAGCGGCAGCCATGGTGGCTGGGACAGAGGCCAGATCTACGCCAGACATGGGCACCGAGCACTGAGGCGGCTGCATGTGGAAGCTGAAAGGCGTGGTAGCACCGCTGTTGAACGCTGAGTTGACGCTAACAGCCGACATCGGCGTGGCACAGGCAACTGCCGGCGAGGCCAGATACGGCGACGACAGCGTGGCAAATCCTCCCTGTGCATGGGCAAAGCCATGGTGGTGCTGGGACAGACCAGCCATGCCTGCCACATTGGTCAGGGCTGGCGGAACAGTTGCAACCTGCAGTGCGCTGTGCATATTGCCCGCGGGCGCACCAGCAACCGACGAGGGAAGACCCCCCAACCGGCTCTGCGAGCTCGCGACACGCATCTTCTTGATCGGGCTGCCACCAACCGGAATGCTTTGAGCAGGTGACACAGGACCGCCAACGGAGCCCATCGTGCCGGCAGTAGCGGCGGCGGCGGCGGCAGCAGCGGCGGCAACAACAGACCCAGCAGCAGCTCCGCTCATGGTGTGGTTCCTGCCAAGCTGTCTGTGCTCCTTTGGTGGCACGCTGTGCGAGCGCTTCAAGGTTCCAGAAGCAGTGGAGGATTTCTGGACCTTTCCAGCCCGCACAGTCCTCTTGTCAGTCGCGGACCGTCTCATTGGTGCGGGGTGGCTTGCATTAAGCTCTCCGATCACAGCGCTCGAGGTCTTCCCAGTCTTTGTCCGGCCGTTCGGTGCTACACCCTCGTCATCGTTCATAGCCGCGTCCTCGGCCGACTCGTTGCTCTCCTCTGTGATGCCAGTGATTGAGTTGTTCATCGCGGCGGCGGCGGCGGCGGCAGCAGCAGCAGCAGCAGCCAGCGCAGCACGTCCCGAGCGGGTGCGGTTGGGCTTGAAGTGGCCTCCCGACAAGCACGCCTCGTACCCCGGTGTGAAGGTCCAGAAGGAGCCCTTGCCAGGGTGCGACTCGTCGCGCTTGACCTTCATGAAGCCCTTGTTCAGCGACAGGTTGTGGCGGATAGAGTTCTACGCAAGAATAGGAGGCACATTTAGCCCAAATGCTATAAATACACACAGGCCATGACATAATTCCCACCCATGTGCCGTGACGCAAGCAGGGGAGGGACAAGCTAACTGAGATGGCAGATAAAGGAGGGCAAATCCCGGCCGGGGCAATCAGGAACATCCCTCTTCAAATGCCGCAATTTCTGCCTGCACGCACCCTCTGCTTGGCGTTCACAAACAGGCGCAGCAGGAGGAGGAGCAGGAGGAGCAGGAGCCGAGGGAGCGAACGGAGGATGGTGGGGGATTTCATGTGTGCCATGCATCGCGGCCAACCTCGTACCTCATCCTCATTCCACCTTCACAATCACCTTCACGGTTCGCATGCGCCAGCAAAAAAGATCCCCACGAGCTAGGCAGAGACGAGGGAAAAATTTTCCACAATAGGAAGCCAAGCGAGCTGCGCGAAGCAAACGCCAATCGCGGGCAGCGGGAAAAGAGCGAGTCGGGATTGGGTGGTTGGGCTGGGATATGGAATGCGGCTGCCCTCAGTTTGGGCCCAGCTCGGGGCGCTGCTGCATGTCTTTTTCGCTCTCTTTGCAAAGAGCGGATGGGGATTTGCAAAAAAAAGAACAGAAAATGCGCTGCACAAGGGAGCGCACTGCTGGCAGCAGAAAGAGGGGAAACGAGGGGAGAAAAGAGAATAGCCAAGCGTGCGCTGCTAGCAGCTGTCTTACCTGCCAGTTCTGGCGCGACCGGTAGTAGGGGAAGTGCTCCTGAATCCACTCGTAGATTCCGTTGAGAGTCCGGCGCTGCATCGGCGCGTCCTTCAGCGACTGTGCAATGAGTGACGCATACGAAAAGTCGGGCTTCTCCGCACTCGGCGCGCCGCCCGAGGTAGCAGTAGCTGCCGGCGCAGTTGTATGTGCAGCTGCCGCAGTAGCCGGCGCAGCCGCCATGCCCACATCGGCAGTGGTCTGCTGGCTCACTGGCCCGCTCGAGCCCACCGGGGTCACAGACTGCGGCGTCTGGTATCCTGCAGCAATGGACATGCCGGCGAAATCCATGGTCGTCGGCGAGAACGAGCGTGTCGGGTACATGTTCTTCAGGTATCCGAGAGGCCCTGCAACAGCGGCGTTGGCCATGTCCATGGCGGTTTGTGTGACAGCGGCGTCCAGCTGGGATGGCGCCAGGCCAAATGTGGTCATCGGCGGCGTAGCCATCTGGATATCGCTGCCGCCACTGCCAATGACAGGCATAAATGCCTGTTGCCGCTGCTGATGCTGCTGTGCGAGGAGCACGGGCGACTGCTGTTGCGAGTGGTTAGGGGTGGTGTACTCTGTGTTCATGGTATACTCTGTGTTCATGTTGAAAGGGGTGGGTGATAGAGGTCGTGGAAAGCGTGCGTATGTGATGCCAAGGAATGGTTATAAAAGGATGTGAAGGGAAGGGGGAGGTAGAAGAGCGAAAAGGAGGTGCGAGGGAAATAGAGTGGGTCGGAAAAATGCTAAAAAAAAACGTTAAAAGGTGAGGGAGGAAGAGGGAGGGGTTAAATCCAAACTGTCGGCATCAACTGACTGCAGGCGGGTGTTTCTGCTCGTGGGCAAGATACAGGATAAAGGAACTGATTCCGTCGGTCTGGGATTAAAATGGCTCAAATGGAAAATATTTGAGCAGGGGGACGTCGGATATAGTAGGAGGGAACAGGGGGCGGTTTGTTTGAGAGCGTGATAATGTGAGGTTCTTCGTGAGGTTAATTGGCGGTCTGTTTATTTGCTCTGCGCGAAAGGGGGGCTGTGGAAATTGGAGGATGTTCTCTAGCTGGGTTGGGCGAAACGGGGGAGGTATTGGGCGAAAAGGTTGAGGAAAGGGGGAAGAGTAGGGGAGGGAAAGTTAATCGGAATAGGAGGAAAGGGAGAGGGGGGAGGGGAGAGCGCTAGAAGAGTGAAAAGTGCAGAGTAAAAAGCCAAAGGTGTCGAAAATGAAATGGATAAGAGATGAGGGAGAGAGAAGAAGAAAGACACTTGTAAGGAAAGTAGGCTAGCGATGTCCATCAGAGCCCATTTTGAAGTTTGGGGGGTTCGGCCAGGTTCGGCCAGGTTGAGCAACTACAAATTCCATGGACTACAAGGTCTGCATGTGGCGGAGAAGTGAAACTTTTTTTTTTTTTTTCGTCGCACTCGCTGGTGCTACTAGTCAATTAGCGAAACGGGTGGCGTCCTTCTACGACCCAGCCCTCCTCCAGCCGTCCCCCGTCGGCGAGGCGGCGAGATGGGCAGATCCAGCTCTGAGATCTGTCTTGACGGGAAGGGAGTCGCGCTAGCAAGGTGCAGCTGCCCGGACACGCTGCCTGCACTGGTGGTCTGTCCCTATTCGGTCCCAGCAGACATTAGTCGGCCCGGCATACCAGCAATATATTGCAGGATTTCGTGCAGGCATTCCGCCGTCCCTGCTCGGCGGGCGGCGAGTCAGTCGACATGCGTCCCACACTCTCAGATCCAAAGGCAGAACTCGCCAACGAGAGGCGCCACCGCTGTCCGCCCCACTTTTGCTCCAGGCCATTATTCTGCGTCCTGTTGCGCTTTCACGCCGGGCCTTTGGGCTAAATTATCGGTGGTTTCCTGCTTGCTTCCGGTTTGTCCATGGCGCTTTGCTGCCTTGCTCCCATGGCGCCTGTCCTGTCGGCTGTCCTGCCGCCCGTCCCTTTTTGCACTTGTCTGCTGCCAGGCACTTGGGGGGTGGTGCGTAGACTGCGACCCGACCTGGTATGCCCGGTTCTGGATATCGGAGACCAGCCGGCCAGCTGGCCTTTGTAAATATAGAACCATCCGAGCCTTTCTCAGTAGCCTTTGGCCCGCATGAAACGGACCCATGGTCCTACTGATTGGTCTGAATGTGGGCCGCGGCAGATCAGACCATTACAAAAAGAGCAGTCTGTGATATTCCAAACCATGCTGGCTCCTGCAAGCTCTGACCTCGCCGATTTCCATTTCTCTTTTGGCATAATGCATGGGCATTTGCAGAATAGCTGTGCGATCGCCGGCTACTTCAGCTCTTTGAGGTGCTGGCGCGGAACTCAGGAGCAGCATAGGCCGAAGACCTGCTCTTGTGAATGGGGCTACCAGCCCAACGCCTAGACGATGTCCGGTCTGCAAGGCAATCGCCAGACTCTAGGCACTTGCCAGACTCTAGGCACTCGCTTGTTTCCTCCCTCAGCCATGGGCATGCCATGCGCAACATACGCCGAGCAGATCCCCACCCCTTGCTCAAGAAACAAAGGAATTTAACCAGCCTGTGGCAGACAAAGGACGTGCTGCACCTGGAGCGGCACCTGCGTGCATTCTTCCGGTGCGGACGGATGTGCAGCTCAAAGGCTGGCGTCTCGCCCATGGAACACGCCAAACGATCAGCAGTAGCGCCATGCCGAACTTGGGACCATTACTGCCACCGTGCGCCATCGGCTACGGTCCAGCACGCTCGACCACACAAGCGACACAAAAAACGACGTGGCACAATCCGGTCGTTCCCACCTCTCCCCCCGCATTTCAGCGTGGGGTAGAATGGCTTGCCGAGACTCGCTCACCATGCGCGTGCTGCCGGTGCATGGCTGGTTACTGCTTGCTGTGGTTACAGTTCGATCCTGTTACTTTGCTGCATTTCGATCTCCTTTCACGCACGCACACGTCGCACGCGCAACGCCGTTATACCAGCAGACTACGTCTATTCCTGCGTTTTTGGCAGATATTTACTTTTTAGCTTACGATAACCGCTGGCCAGAAGCCGAGTGGGCGCTCGTGCAGCTCACATGGTGGTGTGGAATGTGGAAGATTACATGATATGTCCAATTGTGCAAGCGCTGGCCGTGCCCAAGCCGCCCGGCAAGCCCAATTGACCTGCTTGTCTCCCCAGCACAAGGCCCACCAAGTGTCTCACAGGCTCTTCATTTCCAGCAGCAGAAAGCACGGTCAGGAAAGGCGCCATGTGCACAAGACACTGGCTGTCCTCGCAGAATTGGACAATTCTGGCCCTCCATTGCATTATGTCCATGGGCATAATCTTCCCGCCTTCCAGCTCCACAATCGCGGACATTTTCCGACAGAACTGGACAATCAGAACTTTGACAATCTGCAGCAGACAATTCCCGGCGTGGCCCAAGGCTGCTAAAAACACCCCCTTTGTGCCTGCAGCTTTGTCCCGTCTAAGGTTGCCCATGTTTGTTTGTGCCTCGCTGGGCATGTACTGGGTCCTTTCCTAATCTGGCTCGCAATGTCGCACCTACATCCCGCACTGGACTCCCTTTCCAAGCTTGTCCTGTCCGAGCTCGGGCTCCCAGGCCCGGCAGATATACGTCGGCCCATTGTCCAATCGCCATGTCCACCACGATTTGCACATGTAGCTGCGTTTGTCTTTGGCCACACTCGCTTTCTGTACATGCACATCCTCCCCCACCATCCGGTACGTCGTCCTAGTCCGCACATGTGCAGATCATTCCGAGAAGCACTGCACATCTCTCCCGAATGGAAGAAGGTTGAAACAAGTTTATATAGAACGGAAATGCATCTCTCACTTGCGGCGCGTCCCGCTTGTCCTTCTTCGAGTTGCCCTTGATGCTGACCCCGCCCTTCTTCATGGACTTGGGGTTCAGCGGCACATATGCATACGGATCGACATTTCCGCGCTTGACATCGCCCTTGGCCTTCTTCGAGCGGAACTCCCTGCCCACAGCAGCACCCGCGTTGGTCTTGCTGCGCTTGCCCATCGGCGTCTTCGCAGCCTCCTCATCGCCGCTCTCCATCTCAACGTCGTCATTCTCGTCGCCAGCCTTGCGCTTGTGGAACTTGATCTTGCCACTGGCCGTGCGCGTGAATCCGTCCTTGGACGTAATCGACTGCAGGTAGTAGTCCTCGCCCTGCGCCTCGTCAGGGTTGGCTGCCGCCGCAGCAGCCGCCGCCTCCTTGAGCTTGGCCAGGTCCTCGGGGTCCTCAAACACAAACTTGCCGCCTTCCATCTTCGGCGCAGCGCGCTCGCGCTTCTGCTTGCCAGCCGGGTTGGTGAATGCAAAGTGCGTGAAGGCTGTGCGGTCGAGGAAGTCGAGCGGTCCCTCGGCGTCCTCGCGGATCCACGCACCGCCCTTGTTCTTCTGGCGCGACTCAGCAGCGTTGGCATCGCGGATCTGCTGCTTGCGGCTCAGGTTGCTCTGGCGCTTAGCCTTCTGCGCCGGCTCGTCGTCCGAGTCGTCCAGCTCGCTCTCGCTACCGTACAGCGCATCTTCATACGCATTACCGAACGACTTCTTGGCCGGCTCGCTGGCAGTCGCAGTCGCAGTCGCAGCAGCCGCCGCCGAGACGTCGCCGGTGTCAGCAGTTTGTGTGCCCGGCTCCTTGGCGCGCTTGGCACGCACCTGGCGCTTGCGCATGTTGGCGATCAGCTTCTTGTGCTCCTCAGGCGTGACCCGGTCGACAGCATCGAGGCCGACGCGGCGCACAAGGCGATCGAGAATATGGCGGCACTTGAGGCGCATCTGGTTCTTGTACTCGTGTGACCACTTCAGAATGCTCTGCACAATCTCCTCCAGATGCTGTTCCAGCAGGTCCTTGGGCAGGATCACTGAGGCGACCTTGACAAAGCCCAGCGATGACTTTGCAATTTCGCGGTTGTTGTGCGTCACAAACATCAGGACCGTGCCCAGGATCTCGAGCACAAAGCTGGTCTGCAGCTGCGAGTGGAACTCGAACAAGGCGCGCGAGAGGGCTGCGATCGTGGCGCTGATCATATGCGGAGTCTGTGCCGCCAGGCCGGCTGCGATCATCTTGAAGAACTCCTCAGTGGAGGCCTGCTGCGTCTCGCCCTCGCTGCCCATGGCTGCCATGCTGATCACGCCGCCCTGCGACATGCGGCGGCCCATGGCCAGCAGCGTGTCAAAGGCAATGATGCGCTACGCGTTCGTTAACCTCCTTGGTGCCCAGGATAGCCTCCGACAGGAGCGCCGGGATAAAGTGCAGCTGGTCGTTGTTCAGACCATCAGCGAGCACCGACACCAGCGCCAGACGGTCACGGCGCGACGCCATGGCCACCGACTCGGCCGATTCGATCAGCGCCGGAATCAGTGCATCGGACATGATCGACTCGACAGTCTGCCGGGCAGCCGACCCCTGCTCCTGGCTCGCCAGCTTATAGACGGCCTTGTACCCCTTCTTCTGCAGCACGGTGTCCTCGGCCTGCTTGAGCAGCAGGAACGACGCCTGCACCAGCATCTGCGTGCGCTCAGCGTCCAAGTACGGCGCCATGACAATGGCCAGGTCCATCATTGTGTGCGCTGTTGGAGGTGGGTGTGCCTCCAGGTAGCGCTCGGTCAGTTCGCTAGCAGCAGGCGGCTTGTGGGTCTTCAGCGCCTCGTCCAGCATCGAGCACACCTTGACAAAGGTCGCGTTGACCTCAGCCGGAGTGATGATCGACAGGAACGCAACAATTGTCTCGACCAGATAGCCGCGGCTGGCGCCCGGCGACAGAGCAAAGACATTGAACAGCTGAGACAGGTAGTCTGGTGCAAACTGGGCCAGATGCTGCTCTGCAGCCAGTGCCTGCTGCTTGGTCAGCGGAGCATTGGCAACGTCGGCGTCAGAGTGTGCGAGGCCGTGCACAGCAGATACAAGCGTCTGCAGGGCACCACAGATGGCTGGGCGGACCTCTACCGACTCAAACATCTCGGAAGCAAGGCGCGCAGCAAAATCCACAGAGAACGACTGCACCACGTCGCTGGGCACATTGCAGAAGCCGCCCAGCAGACCCCACACCTGCTGTGACAGAGCGCCAAATACCTTCGACTCGATCTCGCGGCCCTGCGAGCTGAACCGCAGCGACTGGGCCGCCAGATCGTCGGCCAGTGGCAGCATGTTCTGCACAAAGTAGGCCAGGGGTGCATCGCGGATATGGCTCTTCATCAGCGGCAGCAGCCAGGCGCGGCCGGCAGGTCCGGAGCGCTGGTCGGCCGTCAGGTTCAGCGGGAGAACCTGCAGGAAAGCCGCAGGGCCAATGGCACGCACAGCAGCACCCAAGACAGCGTCGGCCTCGCTCTTGAGCTCAAACTCGGGCTCCATGCGCATGTTCGAGATCTCCAGCAGAATGCTGTCCATAACCGGGTGCGCGACGGACCCGAGCCTCTGGAACAGCGCCGCGAGCAGCAAAAACATCAGCGTCCACGACTCGCGGTAGCGGTAAGACACGCCTGATGACAGAATCTTGACGATCCGCTCAACCTCTGGCGACTCAAGCATGCTGTCCGGAATGCACTCGCGCAGCAGCGCCCAAATGCACTGCGTCGCAGCTTCGCGCGTGCTGGGCTTGCCAAGCTCGATGTCGGGAAGGATCAGGTCAATGAGCTCGGGCAGCGACTGGAAGCACACGATGGGGCTGATCTGTGCGTAGGAGATGTATCCCTTCTGCACGATCTTGAGCCACGCGTCGCTGACCAGCGCATCGCCAATGTTCGGCTTGATGTCAATGACCTCGGCCAGCAGGTCGCGGAACTGATCCTCGTCCAGAGCAGCCGCAGCGCTCGAGAATGCCGACTCCAGCGCCTGGAACGATAGAGTGGTGATGAAGGGCGTGTTGAGCTTGGGCAGCTGCATCAGCACTGAGCACAGCTCACGGAACTCCTCCGCCGGCCAGGCCAGATCAACTGCCTTGACAAGCTGCAGCGTGTGCATCGCCGCCTGCGTGTCGGCCTTGGCGTTCCCCAGGGTGGTGAGCACAAACTTCGCCACAGTGTGAGCAGCAGGGTGCACGGTGGCTGGGGGTGGCACATGCGCCAGCAGCTTCACCACAGCTTCCTGAGCACGCTTGCGGATCTTGGGCTTGCTGTCAGTGGCCAGTGCCAGCAGCGACTGGAACGAGCCAAGCGCAATCGGCTGACCCCACGACCCGGCGTCCTGAGCTGTCAGCACCGACTCCAGGCACGAGATCACGGCCCGCAGCAGTGCGACATCGGCAGAGCCCAGGTCCAGAGACTGCGACAGGACAGCCATCATCGTCGTAAACTTGGCCCGCAGCGTGTTGTGTGACACATGTGGCAGAATGATGCTGAGCAAGTAGATGATTGCGCTGGACAGGCCCTTGGACGATGTGCCAGCCTGCTGCTCCAGCAGCGTCAGTAGGGCCGCGAAGTAACTTGCGGGCTCCATCGGCGCCTTCCGCTCTTTTAATGTTTCCTCGACCGCCAACAGCGTTGCCGCATGCTACATAAAAACTTCCAAGTTTAGAAACCGCACTATATTCACCACCGCGCACACACCGACAGCGACTGTTTACGCATACCTGCTGCTGGTGTGGGGCCTTCGAGTTGATTTGGTTGCGCAGCTTCTTGAGCTGCAGTTCGAGTCCGCTATCCATGATCCGTTGTCTGGGTCTCAGTTAAACTCTCCGTCTAGCGTATGTGTGTGGTATATTTTGTTGCGCTACAAGTCCGGGATGCTGCGTTGATATCCCAGGATAGTGTGTGCAGAAAATGGAGAAGGCAAGCAATAGGAAAGGTGTGGAGAGAAAAGGCAAGTGCGAGGTGTGCAGAGAAAGCAGCCAGGCGCACTGTGCGAACTCGGCCCTGCTCTGGCCAAGGAAAAAAAGCTCGTATTTTTTTTTGCACAGATCGTAGCAGCGAAAAATAGCCATTATCAAGGGATCAATCACCGGATCAAAAAGTCTGGTTGCTTTTTTTTCTTTTCGTTGCTCTGGCATACACATCGCCTGGCTGGCAGCCATCAGGCATTTTGTTTTTTCGCTTTGAACTTGCTGTGTCTCCCGTTATCCCAACTCTCTATATATCTACACACTGTTCACAACCATGCCGGCGAAGGGAACTGCTGCCAGCGCCAAGCCGCAGAAGCGCAAGAGATCCAACACTAAGGTGGTCGCCGCCAAGGCCGACAAGGTCGTGGCCGAGACCCCGTCCAAGACCGAGGAGGTTGAGGACAGCAGCGACAGCGTGGAGGAAGATGAGGATGAGCCCGTTGCTGAGGCTTCTGATAGTGAAGAGGAGGAGGAGGAAGAGGAGGACAAGCCTGAGGCAAAGAAGGTCAAGGCAGCCGCTGGCGAGAAGGAGCTTGACTACTCGTTCACCTCTGTGCCTCTGTCCGATCAGACCCAGAATGCGATCAAGGAGATGGGCTTCACCAACATGACTGAGGTGCAGGCGCGGACGATCCCGCCGCTGCTGGCTGGACGCGACGTGCTTGGTGCCGCCAAGACCGGCTCTGGCAAGACTCTGTCGTTCCTGATCCCCGCAGTCGAGCTCCTGCTGAAGCTCAAGTTCAAGCCGCGCAACGGCACTGGTGCTATCATCATCACGCCGACGCGTGAGCTGGCGCTTCAGATTTTTGGTGTGGCCCGCGACCTGATGCGGTTCCACTCGCAGACTTTTGGTATTGTGATCGGCGGCGCTAACCGCAAAGCCGAGGCGGACAAGCTCACCAAGGGTGTCAACCTGCTGATTGCCACGCCTGGCCGCCTGCTCGACCACCTGCAGAACACCAAGGGCTTTATCTTCAAGAATCTGAAGACGCTGGTGATCGACGAGGCTGACCGGATCCTGGAAAACGGTTTTGAGGACGAGATGAAGGCCATTGTCAAGATCCTGCCCAAGGAGGAGCGGCAGTCGATGCTGTTCTCGGCCACCCAGACAACAAAGGTTGAGGATCTGGCCCGCATCTCGCTCAACAAGCGCCCATTCTACATCAACGTCGACGAGGGCAAGGAGAAGGCCACTGCCGAGGGTCTCGAGCAGGGCTACGTGTTGTGCGAGTCTGACAAGCGTTTCCTGCTGCTGTTCACGTTCCTCAAGCGCAACCTGAAGAAGAAGGTCATTGTGTTCTTCTCGTCGTGCAATTCGGTAAAGTACCACGCGGAGCTGCTCAACTACATTGATGTGCCAGTCCTCGACCTGCACGGCAAGCAGAAGCAGCAGAAGCGCACCAACACCTTCTTCGAGTTCATCAACGCCGACAAGGGCATCCTGCTGTGCACAGACGTTGCTGCCCGTGGCCTCGATATCCCTGCCGTCGACTGGATCATCCAGTATGACCCGCCAGATGACCCCCGCGACTATATCCACCGCGTCGGCCGTACAGCGCGCGCTGGCGGAAAGGGCAAGTCGCTGATGTTCTTGCTGCCCAGCGAGCTTGGCTTCCTGCGCTACCTCAAGCAGGCTAAGGTGCCACTGAACGAGTACCAGTTCCCGCCCAGCAAGATCGCCAACGTCCAGGCCCAGCTCGAGAAGCTGATCCAGAAGAACTACTACTTGAACAAATCAGCCCGCGACGGCTACCGCTCGTACCTGCAGGCCTACGCATCGTACCAGCTCAAGAACATTTTCAATGTCAATGAGCTCGACCTGCCAAAGGTCGGCCGCGCATTCGGCTTCACCGTGCCGCCCAACGTCAACATTAGCATTGGCGAGAGCCGGAAAACCGACAAGAGGAAGCGCAAGTCGTTTGTTGTCAAAAAGTAAGCCCTCACCGCCAGGGTATTTCTTTGCTCATATCCACTTACCATGCAATAGAAAAACGTTCAAAACATTTACTGCGCAACGACAGCAGCGCGTGCTGAGGGACATGGATGTATGTTTATTCATTTCGCCTAGGCCTGGGAATGAACTACTAAATGTAATGTAACATCGTGATAAACGGGTTGTTTACTTGGAGCCCGCCTTGTCGCCATACTTCATGGCAGCATAGTGGACAACCGCAGGCGACACATATCCCGGAATCCGGTTGAATCCTTCAATGATATCGTGCACCTGCGAGTGGAGCTGCGCTGCATACGTTGCGTTAAGGTTGTTTTTCTGGCACCACCAGTCGGGCAGCGGCTGGACCGCCGGGATCAGGCGCTCCTCCTTGGACAGCTTCGACAGATCGACCTTGGGGACGTGCAGCAGGTCGAACACATCGTTCGTGACATTCTCGGCAATCTCACCGACTGCCTCAAGCGTCTTGGTCAAGCCCTGTGGCAGAACCGACACGACGTTGCCGACGCCCTCCAAGAGATGCGCAACCAGGCCATCGGAGCCCAGAAGACCATTTACCAGACCACCAAGGCCGAGGATGTCCTGAGATGGGGCCGCAGCTGGAGCAGGAGTCTGGCCAGTGTATTCACGGGCAGAGAGACCAGCGGCGTAGGCAAGGCGACGGAAAAGACGACCATTGCGATTGTGTCGGTGGCCACCAAAGTTCATTGCACCCAGGGGCGTTCCACCAAGGCTGCTGGCAAGCGCGTTTTGCACAAAATCTTGCACTCCACGGCTACCTCCACGCATGGGCTGGCCCGGGTTGGCTGTGGCGGCAGGTTGAGGAGTAGCAGACTGAGGAGCATCACCATTGAATTGCCTTCCTGGAGTCAGCGGTTGCTGCTGGGGCACAGGACCAACAGGACCAGCAGGACCAACAGGCCCGTTGAAACCAGTGGGACCGTTGGGACCAGTAGGACCGCTCATGGGGCCAAGAGCAGCCGGGCCACCAGTAACCTGCTGGTTGGCCTGAGGACCGCCTTGCGGCTGCTGCTGCTGCTGCTGAGCTTGGCGGTCGACTTCCTGCATCAGCCGCTTCGTTGCGGCGCCCGAACCTGAGTCAACATAGACATAGCACAAGGCAGCACTGCGCGGATCTAGGACATCGCGCACACGCACATTCGGGTAGCCGGGTAGCACCTCGTCGGCCGAGACCGGCGGGTCCTGATAGTTCGAGTTGTCATACATGGCAAACCGCGTCTCGGGATTCATTAGCTGCCAGTCGTACCACAGCTTGTCGACCATCCCGTGGTGCAGGAAGAAGAACGGGTCGTTGGGCGCAAACATGGTCGACATATCGCCAGAGATTCCCAGATGCACGGCGCCATGACAGCCGTTCTCAATACCGCTCGACAGCGCGCCGTACTGTGAAACCGTGTTTTGCATACTCAGCAGTGCCTCTGGTGGCCAGAACGGCGAGATCTGGTCGCCATTATTGAACCTGCGCGCCAGACAGTGAGGGGTCGACACGCGCATCTGCCAGTTGGCCAGTGGCCCGCTCTGCACGCAGCTGTTTGGCCCACTGCCATTGCCGCCGAGGAATGAGTCGGTGAACAGCGCACTCGCTGCCGGGTTGCTGGCATCCAAAGACCAGTCCCAGTACGGGACAGGGACGCCCGGGTCAACACGCTGCAGAGCGTTTGCAAAATCGTTCATGAAGTGCCGGTGGAACACCAGGAACCGCGGGTGTCCATGGATTGTATCTGCATTCTCCACATGTATACTCGACAGGCGGTCCAGCTCACCGTTTTCACGCAGTTGGTTGACTGCACGCAGGTACCGCGCCCGGTCTTGGGCCGACAAGGAGCGAATCTCGGGTCCGCTGCATCGGGTTCGCGCACTGGCTATAGGCGAGGCCGGCAATGGCCGCCATGGCTGACATGAAGCTCAGCTTGACCATCGTATGGCTGAGTTCCGAAGATAGCGATAGAATAGATGGAAGATTGTTTGGGATGTGGAAGATAAAGTTGCCTTTCCTACTCTACGACCAGCGAGATGTATGAAATAAGAAGGATGAGAACCAGCTTCTTTGATGCAAGGGGAAAGGGGAGAGTTGCTGGGGATGTGTCGTGAATGGCAGGGGTATTCCGTCCGATTATATGAAAATACGAGCGAGGGCAGAAACGAGGGACTGGGTGCCCAAGATGTCAGACCGATAGGAGCCAAATAGAGGGGCTGTCGTTACGATGGTAGGGCGGGTGGGCTATTCTGTGCTGGTGTCAACAAGAGCAACAGGATGCACAATGCAAGCCAAATGTGAGGATGAAGAAAGGCAATGTGCTTTCTGGGCGTGAAAAATAGAGCGAAACGAATGCGTATTCGGAGCAAAAATAGAGTGCACAAACCGAGCTGCCTGGGATAATGCTTGCGCAACGCCAAACGCGTAACTCTTGTCAGAATCCTAGACCAAAAAAAACTGTTATGCTTGTTTTGTCCGTTCGTCTTGCTCGCGTCAGTTTGAAAGAGAGAAATGACCCGAGAAGAAAACTGAATAGAAACTGAGGTGTCGGAATAAAAGAGGGAGGAGGGGCGAAGGAGGGAGAAGATGGGTGGAGAAAACGATAATGGCTACTAATGGAGGGAGAAAGGAGAGACTGAAAGAGCCCACCAATATGGAATGAGATGTCTACGGCGAAAGATGTTTTGCATTGAGGCCGTATTTTGAGAGACCGCGCTGCGCCAGGCTAGTTAATAAAGCATTCTCTCTGGGCTCAGCTTTTTTTAGATGCTAGTAGCAGGCGGTCCCTCGATTCCCCCGGTCCCTCTGCCATATGCCGCCGCCATATTTTGAGCCCACGATGGAACGAATCGCGCCGGGCTGCTAGTGGTTATTGCGCTGCTTTTCATCCATATTCCGCCGCTTATTCCCGCCGACAACATGGGCTGGTGCGTAACAAATGTTCGTTTTTTGTGTCCCCTGCTGGACAATCATCCTCCCTCAAATGCACTATATTCACTATATTGTGCTGATGGTGAATAAATTGATATTCAAGCCACCCGGACCGTTCAGAGGGGGTTTCCTCTCTTCCTGTGTAGCGGGCTGCGATTATGCACGGAAGCGTCTTGTGCGAGGCTGCAGAGACGCTCGTATTCTTGCTGCTTGCAGAGACTTTAGGTAAATATCCCACCCTGTGCACTATGAAGACAAAGGCATAGTGTGCCACATGTACACAGTGACTGCCGTGCTATATACGAGTTGGATTTGTCGCCTATTTATAGCTCACATTAAACCCGTTAATTTATGCCAATGTTTTCCTAGGCGGCGCTCCAGCACAGCCCATATGGGAGCCCGCAGTCTGGAAAGCCGAAGGTTCCCGGGTCAGAAAAAAAACGCATACTGCTGTGGACGAAGCATACACATCAGCCACCGCCTCCTAGGGCTTGTGCCGCGCTCCCTCCCCATTCGGGGTGCCAGTCAATGCTCGCTCCTAGTCTAGCAGCTGCGCTATTGTTTTTCCGAGAATTCTGCCAACTAACAAGCGTCTGAGTCCTGCACAGAATGGTCAATAGCCTCGCAAGCACCGGCAGCCATATTGGCCGAGAAAGGGACTCCAAACTGCCGCTTGTCTCACAGCCGACACACCCTGCCACATCTACCAGCATTCAGATATTGCCGCTGGTGGCAATTTAATATCTGGGTTCGGCAGCGCGCTTCGCGGGATTTTATCAGGCGAATAGCTAGAGTACAAGTGGCTGACACACTGTGACTGCTGCCAAGAGTACGCATGGGCCATGATTTCCGGGTGTGCAGATGTCATTCTCCACGTCGCACCTGTTGGTAGATAAATGTAGAACAAGTGATTTCTGGACGCCCCTTTGCCCAAGCGCACTTTCATTCGAGGATCCATAGCCAACACCACTGTGAATGGAGCTGCAGGACGCATTTGATGCATTATCTGCCTGGACTCCTGTGGTAGGATCCCGCTCTAGTTAATACTGGTATGTGCGTGTTTGTCATACATCTTATTTCACCACTATGACCGCTTGGGCATCAATAGCATGGTGCGGATCGAGGATATCTAAACACCGCATACATGAGCCGATCATATGGCAGGCCAATAGACATCCAGCAGAACAATAAACGAAGTCTAGTTCTGCACGTGCTACAAGAGTACCACATGGCTATGTGCTACGGATATCAGTGATAAAAGTTTTAAGCTGCGGGTTTTATAATCTTGGACCACTACTGAGCGGGCTAGGTTACATGGAAAAGCAAGCTGAGCAAAAGAGACCGCCCGGATGGCCATGTCTACCAGCCGAATATGAGATCCAAGGCAGTCTGAAATACTCCGTTTCGCGGCTTTGGCGGGGGCGGCTGCCTGACCACAGATGCACTGGCCACATGTGCCAGCCTTCTCGGAGCTACTTCGAGTCCGTTCATAATGGATGCCATCCGCGCGGCTCTCCGAGCACGAGGCGTCTGCATCTGCAGTCGCTGAGTTAGTGATAGCGACCCCTCATCGGTGCTGTTGGGAGGCAGCGCATCGTCTTCAAAGGGCAGCTGGCGGTCTGGGTACAGCTTCATGAACAAGTGATCCACGCACTCTGCATTCGCCCAGTCAATGCGCACTTTACGCTTGGGTCCCACACGCAGCTTTCCCTCGCAGTCGGCTAGCGAAACCACGCGCTGAGCCTGCCATGGCTCCGAGTATAGCAGCGCTAGCGTGCTGGTCTTGCCCTGCGGCACCACCGTGAATGACATGATCCGGCCATACTCGCGGAACGAGTTGTAAACGCCGTACTCGGTGTTATTGGGCAGGTCAAGCACCATCACCGACCGAATCGTGAGGTTATCGTACAGCTGCTCGTTGGTAACTGGTCCGTCAGCACTAGGCGCCTCGGCAATCTCTGGCTCTTCGCGCCCCGTGCTCTTCGCTGCAGGTGCCTCATCCTTGTGCCGTGCCAGCGCCTTGACCTTGGCCTGCGCGGTGCCACTCCAGTCCACATCATCAAGCATTATTACTGGCGGCGCATCTTCCGGCGGCGCCGCTTCCTTTGCGCTGTCTTTGCGAGACTTGTAGGCGCCAGAGAGCATGTCGTTGGATCCGAATCCGCTGAGCCGGCGTGTCGAGCGCGGCGAAATCATCGTGGGCTGCGGCGCAGGGGTCGACCCGCTGCTAGCAAGGGCAGTAGGCTGACTCGTTCCAAGTCCGCCAAAGAACGAGCCTGGTCTGGGCAGCGACCCCAGGCTCGCTGGCGAACGAGCCTGGCTGAGCAGGCGACTTTGACACCTGGGCATTGCCCATCAAGAACGAAGGCAAAACATTGTTTGCCAGATGCGGAGATCCAGGACCCGGCGACTTTGGCCGCGCAAACGGAATCGCGTTAATGCTGTCGCCCAGATGTCCACTGCCGGGCACTGGCTCCTTTGGCCACGCGCCAACGCCGCTGCCGCCCAGCAGCCTGTGCTCGGACGGCGTAGCCAAGCCAGCGCGCGAGTTCGCCAGCATCTGGTACTGCGAAGGTCTGCGGACCGTGCCTGCCATGGGGTTGTGCCGCGATAATGTGTGCGAGCGCGCGGCCGGGATGGCTCCGCGATCGTTGCGCGGTGTAAACGGGTTGTACGAAGGAAGCGCGTCGTAGCTGCTGCTGTTTCTCATGGCTGTGTTGAAGATTGCAGTGACGTGGCTCTTGGGCCGGGTCGGCGTGATGAGCTCTGTCCGTTTACGCGTGCTCCGGGGAGCAGGAAAGCGCACCCTACTGCCCACCTGCTCAGGCTTTGCTTGCGACATTGTGCTAAATCGGAGAATACCGACTGGAATGTGTGCGGAACGACAAGATTTAAACAGAGGGTGTAATGTAGAATGTTGGAAAAATGAAGAACAGCAACAAGAAAAATGGGGAAGAGAGGGCTACGGGGTTCAGGCGTCAATAAGCGAGCGCAACGCTTGCTTTGGAAAAATGGCCTAGAAAAAAAGAAGGCTGATTTAATCACAATCACAGTGGTTGGTTCTGATCGGTGGTGGCTGCCTTGGTGCTGTTCAGGGCCCTAATGAAGGCCCTGCGCTCCTCGTTCATCTGCCGCACAACGCGGGAGACCAGGACGTGCATCCGGGCAGCCTCCTGGACGTCGAGCCCGCGCTTGCTGAGCCAGTTCTCAGGCGCCGGCTCTGGGGCCTCGAGGTCCTCAGCATCCTCGTGTGCGGCGAACAGCTCATTGTCGGGGTCGGTGTCATTGGAGAACTCGAAGCTGTTGCGTACAGATGCACGGAACTCCACTGCCCTGCTGCGGGCGTTATCTGGCGGCGGCGCGACATCGTCATACATATAGCAGTATCCGGGCGCCGTGGTAACCAGTGTGGTTCCAATGGTGTCTCCGTAGAAGGGCAGCGGGGAGTTGACGGTGAGCGGCTGATGCGAGCTGTCGAATCCATCGACGCGGCGCAGGCGGCTGGGATTCTTGGACTGCCACTCAGCCCAGATCTTGTCCACCATGGCATGGTGCAAAAAGAACAGCACGTCGACAGGTGCCCACATGGTCTCAAAGTCGCCGCCGAGGCCCAGGTGGATAATACCGTGGGCGCCGTTCTCAATGCGAGAGCGGAACTCGGCGTGCGACTGCGACGATGCCATGACATCGCGGACAGCACGCATCGGCCAGAATGAACCCGGGGTGGTGCCGTAGCGGAACTTGCGCACCAGACAGCCGCGCGACGGATAGTTGCGGCCCCAGCGGCCCTCAACGCCCTCCATCACGCAGTTGTCACCAGGACGGCCGGTGCCGCCAAAAAATTCCTTGGCTCAGCACCGGATCGGCCAGCGGGTTCTGCCAGTGCGTACCCCAGTTCCAGTACGGCAGCACGATGCCTGGGTCGATCTGCTGCATCAGCATCTCGAAATGCCTGATGAACCGCCGGTGCCAGCCGAAGAAGTTTTCGTTGCCGTGGATCTGCCGTGAGATGTGATCGTGCATGCTGCCAAATCCGTCCAGCCATCCACGTCGGTGCATCTCACGGGCCGGCTTCAAAGAATCGTTCGAGACTCGCCGGGGCTCATCTTTGTGATGTCCCGCCGCACTGCAACCTGCGTACACGTTGTCAAGAGTCGCGGGACAGGGAACACTGATCGCGCTACAGCATTAGTCACAAGAATAACAACAATAATATAAAGACACTTTAGCATATTGACAGTATCATCTAATGTCGTGCAATGAGCTACGCGTTAAACAAGATAAATGGATAATCGAGGGCAAACAGCAAAGGGGATTTTTCTAATGGGAACCAGAAGGTGGACGTTTAAAGGATAGGAGAACGATCGAGGGACAATGGTAGGAAACAGGTATGCGTAACGGGGGAGAGAAGTGTGCTAGGTGTGTGTGAAACACGGATGGGGTTGTGAGGGAAGCATGCACATGTAGTCGTTTTTGCGAGGAAAAACGCCCAGCAAGCACTGGCTGACTAGCTATGAGTAGGAAATTGTCTTACACATGGCCCTCAGTCCATGGGCATCGGGAAGGGCAAAGCAGCGGGCGTCTGTTTTGGGCAAGCTGCACCTGTCCTGAAATCAACATGAAATTGTTCTTTGGAGATAGACCTTTGTGCCATATGGCCAATATGTGTGCTCCCCCGCATGTTTCTAGACAGGGGGCTGGGTACACAGAGCGCTCGTATGTCTCTTATCCCGCCCCACAGAGCTGTTATCGCGGTACCCCTCAATTCTATCTGCAGAAGCGTCGAAATGTTCTATCCCGTATAGTCGAGTCGGGAGAATAAGTGTCTACGTCAGTCGTGAGTGTGGGGTAAGCGACTGAGCAACAAAGGCGATACTCAATGTGGGCCAGATGCCAGCCAAATGCGGGGCAGAGGGGGTGGCGATATAGGCCAAAGGTCGACTGCAGAACCAGGGCCATATGGCAGCAATTTCAGATGTGGCCAGGTGTGGATTTCAGGCAGCAGGCTAGTTTCACTTGTGTAAAACACGACACCTGGACTGTGCACGTCCATATTCTCAGCTTTGTTTATCTTTCCAAGCCCTATTTGGAGAAATGTCCCGTTGCAAAGAGAGCGAAGATACAGCGTATATTCAGGAAAAAGAGAGTACAAATTGCAGACACTACGGGAAGGACGGAAGGGGACAGATTTAGAAATATTCGTAGAAGGCAAACGACATGCGAGATGCTTACCGATCCTGTAAAGACTAACACTAAAAATAAACACACGAGGGGCGGAAAAAGAAGAGGGACGTGTAAAGGGGGCATTCTGGAGGTAGAAAGGGGAAGAGGAGTGTGTTCATTAATCATGGACAAGGTACGGAGACAGATAGCTGGCCTTGTTGAGCGAGTCAACAAAGCTCTTCGCATCAGCCTCGAGCTTGGCGACTTCCTCAGTGCACGCACCCTGCATCTTCAGCCAGTCGGGCGTCAGCTTGGGCGGCGCGGGCATCTTTCCGCGGTGGCTCTCGCACGCCTGCTTGCTATGGAACGGCTTCTCGCCATCGGCAGCCATGGGCTTGAGCGGCGACAAAGTGGTCAGCTCGTTCTCCAGCGGATGCGAGTTGCCAGCTGCGAACTTGGGGAAGAACTTGCCGACGACCTCCTTGGGCAGCTGCTTCACCAGCTGCTGCGCGTAGTCGCGCTGGCCGCACTTTTGCGCCGAGCGCTTGCGCAGATTGCCGTTGGAAGAGAGCTTGTTGGCGTCGCCGCTGGCCTGCCTGGATGGTGTCGTAGGTGTAGCAGGACTTGCCGAAGCCCAGACGCATGACGCTGTAGATGGGCTCGTTGTAGCTTGGGCATCTGGTCGGTCGGGCTGACGGGCTTCTTGTCGCCGTCGACGCCTGTGTACATGAACGTGCGCTCGCCAGGGCTGACTGCCTGCCACTGGGCGTACAGGCGGTCGATGTTGGAGTGGTGGATCCAGAACACGGGGTCAACCGGCGAATACATGGTGCTCATAGCGCCGTTGATGGCCAGATGCACCGCGCCGTGCAGCGAGTTCTCGATCTTATTGCGCAGGTCGGCGTAGTCCGTGGTGGTCTGCAGCAGGCTGGTCATGTACTCGGGCGAGTACCACGAGTTAATTGCGCCATTGCCGCCATTGAACTTGCGCATCAGGCAGGTCGTCGTTGACAGCTTATATGACCACGAGCCAGCAATGCCGCTGGTCACGCACTCGGACCCGGCATCTCCGTCCTTGCCGAAATAGTCGTCGCCCAGCACGCTGCTTGCGGCTGGCTGCTGGTAGTCCACCAGGGCGTTCCAGTAGGGTATGGCGACCGAGGGGTTGTAGCGCTGCAGAATTTGCTCGTAGTCGGCTATGAAGCGGCGGTGGAATACCAGGAACTTCGCGTTGCCGTGGATGGGGCCGGCCACCTGGTCATGCATCCAGCCGAACCAGTCGTTCCAGCCCTGCTCCTGCGCCTGGTTCACCGCCGTCCGGTACGCCTGCCACTCGCTGGTCGACAGCGAGCGGATCTCCTTGCGCACAGGCGTCGATGCACATTTCTCCAGCGACTCGGCGCCAGCGGGAGTCGATGTCTGGCCGTTTACAGCGGCAATTGCCAGAGTGAAGGCAGCTAATAAGGCCAGTAAACTTCATAATTCAGTGGTCGGTTAGTGTGGGGGAAGTATATATATCGGGAGAGGGTATATCGTAAAGTGATAGCAACGGCTAGCGTGCTATAGAACCAACAAAAGTATATGTGCGTGTTGGATAAAAAATGAAAGCGTAGAGAAAGAGGAGACAAGAGAGATGTGAAACGGATGTAGCTACCGAGGGGCTTCCAGCGCTGGCTCCGACGCCCTTTTTGTTCGCTCGCATCCGACGTGGACATGCAGCTCTATGCTTTGTCTCCCCTATTTAGTTTCGGGATGTGGTCTATTTTTACACAAACGGAATGAAAACCTTTAACCTATTTACAGGCTTTTTTCTCTCACTTGGGAGCGGGCAAGGAGGATTTGGGCAGAAACTATACTTGGCGGAAGCCCGTATAGAAGGGGAGGGCTCAAAGAAGGATTTGCAACTGCTTTTCCTCGATTGAGCCCACCACGCGACGGTCCGGACTTCAGAAAACGGAACTGAGGGTTCTTCTCGCGCTATTTCTGTCACAGCCTTCTTTCGCAAATGAAGAGGCGAGGCCCGCAAATGCCAAGACACAGGGAGGCGACCAGGGGAGGAAGGGAGACAAGCGCCTCACGTATACGTCATTTCCATTCTTTATCGCTGAGGCGGATCCCTTGAGCAGGCCATTGATGCCGATGGCAAAAAGCAACAATGTGCACCAGCCCTTGACACGCCATAGCTCCCCCAAGCCAGTGGGCTCCGTAGAGTGGGCCCACGAAAAAGGGCGCAAAAAGAAAAAAAAACAAGCAGCCTGCAGCCAGCTTCATCCCTCGTTTCCGTGCAGCCTGGAAACTGCTATGAGCAGCCCGAGATGTAGGAGCACAGCAGTTGGCTCGGATTACATCATCGATCGACGCCAGCATGTTTATTTTTTTTCGCACCAATTATAGTCAGTCGGATTGGATTCAGAAGCTGCTTGTGAAAAAACAAAAAATACACTGGCCGTTCATCCAAGACGCAGCTTGCCTGCCAGCTGGACGGGAGACGATTAGCTAGGCCGATCGCTGCCTTTTATTCTTCACAAATGGGCGAACCGAGCGCTCTTTCTTTTTCAGATCATTCGTGGTGTTTGTATTGGCAATGTGCACTGGCTGTGTTCAAGCAACCGCATGGTGGTAAATCCGCATGCGCCAGCATGCGTTCTGTATATATTTGCTGCTCTGTATGTGGTTGTCGGTCTGTATGTGTTTGTGAAAGCGAGAAGTCGGGCGCAGGAATGGGGAAGGAGAGGCGTAGCCGAAATCCGGTTGGAGGCCGCATCCCTATCGCCATGCACATGTAGCGTCCTACAAAGCACAGACAGGAGCCGCACCAGTTCAGCTACCCTTGCGGCACATTGAATGCTCACTAGTGGAGAACAGAGCCATATAGGTGAGTGCAAATCGCGATATGGAGGGGATATTTCATACAAAGATTTAGGTACCAAGTTCTACTGCGCCAATAGCTTGCGCACATCGTTGGCGGCCTGCTCCAGGTAGTAGGCGAGGTGGTCAGAGTTGAGGCCAAACTCGTTGCGCATGCAGGCAATGTGCATCATCAGGCTGTCGCGCTTGATGTTGTACGCAATGCCGTAGCCCTTGGGCGACACCTCGCTCCACCCGTAGCTGGCAAAGCCCTCGCTGGAAATCTGCGACGTCGACAGGTACCAGTGCGACGAGTAGGCGTAGGCGGGGTCCTCGAAGATGTCGGGCTTCTCCTCGCCCGGCTGCACCAGCATGCGCAGGCCCAGCAGATGGCGGTCGACGCCTCTGCCCTCAATGGCCTCGCGCGTCAGCTGCGTGTGCTTGGCAGCGGCCTTGCGGAACAGCTCGACGCACTCGGCGCGCGAGGCATTGGCGGCCATGGCGCGGCACCAGGCAGCGCTCTCATTCGAAACCGACCGGCAGGTCTCGGTGCGGCCATGCAGGAACTTGCGCGTCATGCTGGACTCGTACGTGGGCCGCACACAGCCGTGGAGGCGGCTGTATGCGAGCTGGATCACCATCTGCACGAAGGCGTCCGGCGAGCACTTCAGGGTCTTGATCAGCTCCTTGCCGTACGCATTGTAGTTCAGCACTGAGATGTGCTGCTTGGCAATTCCCGTGTCGAAGAACTCACCCGCACGCTTCACAGCTGCTACGACTTTGGGTGGGGTCTGGAATTCCAGCCGAGAGAAGCCCAGGTCGGTGCGAGCGGGCTGAGGGCACTCGTGCTCATAGCCAATGACAAAGTCAGACAGCCGCAGCGTCGGCGTGCCGTCCATCATCGAGTGCTCACCGCATATGCCCGCGCGCGCATTGTCGGTAACAATAAACTGCACGGGCTTGTCGAACCAGCGGCTGCGTCCGTCGCCGTGCCAGACCGCGTGGCTCAGTTCCTCACGCGTCACCGGCTGCGCCTTATCCAGGGCAATGACGAACGCCGACGACTCGATGGCATCCAGCACCTGGGCGTTCCCAGCCACATTAAGCAAGAGCTGGCGGTTATCTGCCCACGCGTCGCGGTTATCCGCAGTCAGCACGCCCACGGGCACTGCAGTCTGGCTATCGGCAAGCTCGATGATGCGCTCAAAGATCTCGACAAACTCGGCCGTGCTCAGGGGCATGCCCAGCTGCGTAATTGGCACCGAGAAGAACTGGTTGCTGCGGATCACAGTGATGGTTTCGTTGGCTGCATAGTCGACGGTGCGGCAAAAGTCCGAGGGCTTGTGCGGGATCCGGCAGGCATTGAACATGTACTTGTAGCTGTGGCTGCATAGCGGCGAGGTCTTTTGCATTTCAGGCGCCAAGCTGCCGTCGACAAGCTGCGCACGGAACGCCAGCGCCGCAACCGCCACATGCGCTGCCCGCTGGCTCGCTGTCGAGCACTCTGGGTCGTCGTTGTACGAGTAGTGGTAGCTGACGTAGGGAATCACTGGATCGCGGTAGCCCATGTAGCTCAGGTCGTTCCACCACTCCTCGAGCCAGTTTGCACGTCCCGGCTCGGCCGCGCGCTCCACGAGCCGCTGCTGCAATTCCTGGCCCTGGGTCGACTTTGCAAACTCCTCGGCCACCTGCTTGCTCTCCAGGAACTTGTCGCGCGGCAGGACCGCCTCCAGAGACTCGATGTATTTTTGCACGGTGCTGGGGAGGTCTGGCACCGGCAGCTTCGGCAGCGTGGCCTGGAAGTCAAACAGCCGGCCGTGTTCGTGCTCCTGGTTGCGTGTGCTGGTAGGCATGGCGATCGGTGACGTTGCTGTGTTTGCTGTGTATCGCTTTTTCAGGTCGGCAATCCGAAGCTACAGTGTGTGATGCGGGATAAAGATATTGGCTACGTGTATAAGCAAGGGGAGAGCTGGACAAGATGAGGAGGAGAATGAAGACCGAAAACAACTCATGGGCTTCATTTTATGTGCGCTGTTGATAAGAGCGCAGTACAGCTAGCCCGTTGATTTACCGACGTGGGAAATTCACGTGCCTTGCTTATTGGAGTCCGCCGGATCCGGCGTGACGGCAAGATAACCAGCTTGAGCATTTGGCGGAGAAATAAAGTACGGATATACAAAAATGGCCAGATATTGCGGGTGCGGTATGTAGAAAAAGAAACGATATGTGATGAATGGAAAATATGGATGCTGAAGCTGGGAGAGAGAGAAAGAGAAGGAGAGTCACAGCGGCGCACGCCATTCTTATATGTCGCCAAGTGGAGCACAATGGGCATCAAGGTGATGGCGCATTTTGGCATTTCAAATGGCCTGGGGAGGGATAGTGTCGCCACCCATTGCTAGCAGCGTCTCTAGCGCGCTGCAATAAAGAGGCGCATTCACTTTATTCAGCTCGATACGCGGTTAACTGAGCTTCTACAGGATGCACGGCCATTTGACACAGCAGCTTCAGCTCACGTGTGCTGTGCATGTCAGCCACAGACAAGTGCCTCCGGGGGGGGCATTAATGCTCCGGGGAGGCAGCGAGAAAGCCCTTGCCCTCGCACACATAGAGTCACGTTTCTTCGAATGGGGAGACTCTTTCCAATTCGGATATAACCCGAAACGAGGCAAGCAGAAGATGGATTTATGTTTATCCTCTCTGCTCACAAGACACACTTTTTCCCACACACGTCACTGTCAGAGATAGCAAAGGAAAATTGGCTAGGATTGTACACAACGACTGGAGAGATATAGAAAACGGGGGATTTAGAGCTTGGGCTTGGCAGCGGCCTCCTTGAGCTTGTGGGCAAGCACGACATTGCGCATCTCGGCAGCAGCCTCCTTCATGTAGTGGGCCAGGTGGTCCGAGTTGAGCCCGTGCTCGTTCTTCATGGCAGCAATGTGGAAGATGACGCTGTCCTTGCGGATGGTGTAGGCCACGCCGTAGCCGTCAGGCACGACCTCGCTAAAGCCCCAGCCCTCAAAGTGCTCGCTCGACAGCTGCGACGTCGACAGGTGCCAGTGCGACGTCCGCGCATAGGCCGGGTCCTGGAAGATGGCGGGCTTCTCCTCGCCCGGCTTCAGCACAAGCCGCAGGCCCAGCAGGTGGCGGTCAACACCCTTGCCCTCGGAGCAGCCCTTGGCGTAGGCTCCGTGGGCCTTGATGGCAGCCTGCAGGGCCTTGAACTTGTCCCCGACCGACGCGGCCGGGTCCTCGAACAGCTTGCAGAACGCAGCGCTCTCGTTGGACACCGAGCGGCAGGTCTCGGTGCGGCCGTGGGCGAACTTGCGTGTGGCCGCAGCCTCGTAGGTGGCCCGGCAGACGCCGTTCAGCTTGTAGTAGCCGAGCTGGATCATCATCTGCGCAAAGCCGTCGGGCGAGAAGCCCAGCTTCTTGATCTCGTCCTTGCCAAAGCCCTCGTACTGCAGCACCTTCAGCTGGTGGTCGCCCACGGTCTTGTCGAACCGCGCAGCGGCCTCCTCGATGGCACGGACCACATTGGGCGGCGTGACAAAGACCAGCGGCTCGGCTGCTGGCAGATCGGGCCGGACCGCCGAGCTTCCCAGATCCACCTTGTTGTTGAGGGTCTGGTCCAGAATGTAGTCGCTGAGGCGGCACGTCGGAGTGCCGTCCATGCTCGAGTGCTCGGCCAGCGAGCCAGCCTTGCCGTTATCGCACACAATGAACTGCAGCGACTTGTCGAACCAGCGGTTGCGGCCGTTGCCGTGCCAGTACACGCGGTGGTACTCCTCGCGGGTCACAGGACGCGAGTCATCCAGGCACACGGTGAACGCCGAGCTCTGCAGCGTCTCCAGCGTCTGCGCGTTCTTGGGCGACGCAGCCAGCAGCAGCTTGTAGTTGTCGGCCCACAGATCGCGGTTGTCCGCAGTCAGCACACCCACCGGCACCGCAGCCGAGCTGTCGGCCTGCTCGACGATCCTGTCGAGCTGCGACTCGATCTCAGCAGCCGACAGCAGCTGGCCGTCGTGGATGAGCTGCAGCGCAAAGAACTGGTTGTTGCGGACCACAGTGATGTGCGTGTTAGCCGCCAGGTCAAACACAGCCTCGACGTCCGACGGCCGCACCGGCACGCGCGTCGCGTTGAACATGTAGTTGTAGCTGTGGCTGCAGAACGGCGTGTCGCGCGCCATCTCCGGCGCCAGCGTCCGCGACTCCACCTGCGCGCGGAACTGCCACGCCGCACGCACTATCGCTGCCGCGCGCTGCGTCGCCTTGCGCCGGAGCTTGTCGTCCTTGTACGCGTAAAAGTACGACACATACGGTGTCACCGGGTCGCGGTACCCCATGTAGCTCAGGTCGTTCCACCACTCCTCGAGCCAGTTGACGCGTCCCGGCTCGGCCGCGCGCGCCTCGAGCCGCCGCTGCAGCTCCTGGCCCTGCGCCGACTTTGCAAACTCCTCGACTGTCTTGGTCGTGTGCGCCAGCTCCTCCTTGGACAGCAGCGGCTCCACCGTCTTCAGGTACTTTGGCAGGGTCTCCGACAGCTTCGGCACCGGCAGCTTCGGCAGCTGCGACTGGTACTTGAACAGCTCGCCGGGCGTTTGGTCCACGGACTTGATCAGTTCGGCGTTGGAGAGGCGCATGGCAGTCGAGTTGGAGCGGGTAAGCAGACGGGAGGTCGAGGTGATCTAAAGGGATACGGAAAATTGGCATGGCTTTTAGTTGGCGGTGGTGACACAGGCTCGCCTTATAAACGTATCCTCCGCCCGGCCTTTCACATGCGCTGCTTGTGAACATGCCGGCGGCTCCACTGGCAGAACCGAATGCCACGCCCGGCTTCTCGATAGCTGCTTACCTTGTTGAGCGGACGGGATGCAGACGAGGGCTTCAGAAGCGAAACAGCCTTGAGCATTGCTGAATGTGTAGAGCTGAGAAGAAAAGTTGTGTAAGAGTCGGTAGCAACGAAACCGGAGGATGTAGAAGCTCTTATCTAGGATGCTGCTTCACGAGGACACGTCTGTCTATTTAAGCGAGAGTGGGAGACGGAGGTTTAGCAAGGTCCGCGCTCGAGGTTATTATCTGTCAGTGGTGGCGATCCTGGGGACGGAGAGTAACGAAAAAGAAAACCCAGGCGTGTGAAGCGACGAGAGGTTAACGGAATTAAAGAGACGAGGGTGTGCGCGAAAACTTTCCTAGTACGACGATAATTTTCCTTGCCTTCACGCTTCGGCCCGGCGGGCGTTTTAAAAACGCCGCAGGCAGTTTAATACCACCCAGCCATGGATTTTTTTGCGCCGCACATGCTCCCCGCCCCTCCTTAGAGATAAGCGGCTTTCTGCCTACCGACCAGTGCCAGTGCTGCACGACATGTGAGCAGCATGGTTTGCGCTGCGCCATATCAGGCTCCCCAGCCCCGCCGGCGCAAAACAAAAAGCGTCAAGAGATAAGAAAAAAAAAACAGGGACACATGTTGCTGGATAATTAGCCTCGCTTGATGTGCCTGCACATGCAGCCGGGCACAAACATACATGCCCGCATATTTTTCGCAGAGATAACGTATATCTCCGAACACATAGAGATAGCCTGATATAATCCTCGTTCATTTTTTGTTGGAGATTGTAATTTTTTTGGTTTTGCGTTGTCACAGGCGGAATGTGTCCGCCGGCTGCTTGCGCGCATGCAGGAACGGCAGGTTGAATCCGCTCATCAGCAGCCGCCCGCTCGGGTTGCGCACGGCCGAGGTCTTGAAGTTGACCGTGAATCCCGTGACCAGCGGGAACTGGTCATAGACCATCTCCATCTCGGGGAACAGCCCGATCACCGAGCTATCGAATCCGACCGAGAAGTTGCCATGGCCATCGCCCGCGTCCATCTTCAGCCCATTGTACTCCTTCATGCGCGGCAGCACCAGCTCCACCAGCTTGTCGACAAACTCGTACATGCGGTCGCCGGTCAGATCAACCTTGGCCGCAATCGGCATGCCCTTGCGCAGCTTCCAGCTCGCCCCGTCATTCGATGCCTTGATGATCTCCGCGCGCTGCCCCGTGATCGTCTGCAGCGCCATCAGCGCCGACAGCAGGTGGTGCTTGTTCTGCAGCGCCTCGCGGCACCGAATATGCACCGTCACCTTCTCCAGGTGCGGCGCGTTGTGCGCCGTCGGCTCCGGCTCCTTGGCCTTCTTCACCCGCTGCTTGTGCGACCGCACCGGGTTCGGCGGCGTTCCCGACGGGCCGTTTGCCGCCTTCTCCTGCCGCGCTACCTCCGCCACCTGCTGCCGCGCGCGGACTGTCGGCGGGACGTAGCTGAGGATCGTGAGATCGTCGCGCAGCGTGTTGTGGTAGAACTGGCTCAGTCGCGACTGGTACGTGCGCACGTTGCTGGTGCTGAATGCCCGCACGCCTGCCGACGACCGCGCTGTGTGCCGAGTGACCGCTCCAAACATTTTATAAGCTCGATTCGCTGCAATGGGTACAATGTCCAAGGAGTAGAGAGAAATTCAGGGAATTGAGGTACCAACGAGCTTGATCTTTTTGCTTAGCGCAAACGGCTATCTTTTTGCGTCCCAGCCCCCGATTACATCTCATGATCGCGATCACTGCCCTTTACCCAATGGCTGTTCACACGGCGAATTGTTGTGGGCCTAAAGCGCTGCACGCGTTGGCCGCATTTTTACCTTCGTTTTGAACTCGTATTTGGCCTGCCCATTTCTCTCACACCTTGCGTCGCATTCCTTATTTACTTATTCATACTTTTTTTTTACGCGCTGGGTTTAAAAAATAGTCGACAGGTTCTCTTGCCAGCGCAGCTCAGGGCCAAACCAGTTTTTTTTTATTGCGCTCGGCCACCGTGTCTCCAATTCGACTCTCCAATTAATATTTTCCATTTCGCGAGAGTATCCCACCATACCCCTCCTGGCCACGTTTTTGCCAAGGATACCGGCTCAGAAATACATACCATGGCGACACCCGACCATTGCCCGCATACCGCGCGCATAGCATCCGGCACACTAGACCTCAGCATAGACTGGGATAGGCGCAGCTACCAGATCGCACACCGCCTACAAGCCCGCAACGCATGGCCTGCATATCTAACATCAGCCGAGCTTCCATGGCTCACCAAAGCCCTGGAGTCGCCAGAGAACTGGGCAAAGTTCATTTCGCCGCGCGCCGAGCAATGGCAGGCCAGCGCGCCGCCACCGCCAATTTTTGATATTTCTGGGACCAAGACACCGCCAGAAGCCATTAGCGGGTCGCCCATGCCCGCCAGGTCGCGGCGACCAAGCGACATGGCCGGCGGCAAACGGAATGCGCCAACAGACGGTGTTGCACGGGAGTCCGACGATGCCCGGATCGGAAAGCGGCCACGCACCAGCACGCTGAATTCACTGGAGCTCGATGACGAGATGATGTCGGTATTGTCCGAGAGCGATATTGATCTGGTGGTATGGACGAATGACGCTTCGGTGGCATCGAATGGCATGTCGCCGGTGTCCGCAGACGACAGTAATACGCGACGAGCATCGCCGGGTGCTGCTGTGCAGATCAAGGACTGCGCAGCGGCTGAGAGCTCGCTTGTTTGTGCCATGGCAGCGTTCCACACGCGCGCGGCGATCTACGAGCAGTATGTGGCGGCACTGTGCAATGACCAGTGCGGGCTGTGTAAAGATGCGGCTGACATGCGGAGAGAGATCGAAGAAGTCGAGGAAGCGCTTGCGCCGAAGGCTGCACCGGAGGAGACTGTCTCAGAGCCGTCAGCACGGGTGCCGTCGCTTATGGAGATGAAGGCCCCGGTCAAGCTCGTAGCGCGTAGCCTCGATGAAGATGAAGACTATGACGATGAGGAAGACGAGGAAGATGAGGAAGAGGAGAATGTGAAGGTGAAAGAGGAGGCAGCACCACTACTGGTCAAAAAGGAGGAGCCAGAGCAAGCTCCAGCCGATGCACCAGTAGCAGTAGCACCAGCAGCATCACCATCACTGTCATTAGACGAGAAACAAGCGCCTGCAGACACTGGCCCACTGCGTCCAGTCCAGATTTCCACCCGCGCAGTGATCCGCACGCTCGATGAGCAAGACGAGGCAGTGGCCGAGCAGGCACGGCTCGAGAGTAACCGGCGCGCAGTCGCAGAGGTGCAGGAGCAGCGCGCAGCCGAGCCAAAGGACATGCTGGTGAACCAGATCGGATCGCTGTACCACATGAAGAACCTGGCGCAGTTTATCGACAACCACCGCGACAGCGTCAGCATGTCGACACGGGAGCTCACGCATCTGCTGTCGGAAGTGCGGCCCAAGCGGTCCAAATGGGCCAGCGACCGGCGGGTGGGCCAGGAGCAGCTGTACAATGCGCTGGAGCAGGTCCTGCAGGACCTGAAGACCATGGGCGCGGCATCGGCGCCGTTCCTGACGCAGGTCAAGCGACGTGACGCGCCCGACTACTACGAAGTCATCGAGAATCCCATGGATCTGAGCACCATGGCCAAAAAGCTACGCGCGCTGCACTACAACAGCAAGGACGAGTTCTGGACCGACGTGCAGCAGATCCGCGACAACTGCTATACGTACAACACGGAGCCCGGGAACGTCTACCGCCGCAATGCCGACGCAATGCTGAAGAAGGCTAAGAATCTGATGGAGTCGGTGCCCAACATTGTCGTGCGCGAGCGCGACGGGTCGGCGGCAGTGGCGGAAGATTTTGCCACAGAGTTCGGCGACGAGAGCGGCGACGAGTCGCAGGGCGCACGCACTGTCTACGGGCAGCGCGAGGGATCGATCCTTGCCGACGAAGGCACGCCGGCGCCCGGCAACTCTGGTGACCCGCACAACACTAGCATGGCCTCGGTTGGCGACGATTCCGCGTCTGCATCGGTGCCGCCCACTGTCCCCCAGCCGGTCCAGCCGGCTCAACCGGTCCAGTCGGCCCTGGTGCAGAGTCTGCTGCGTGCTACCGCCAACGGCACTTTGGCGCGCGACGCTGTCGCCTGCCTCACCGAAGGCATTGACGTGCCGCTGGGCGAGAAGGTCTGGCGCGCCCGCGCCCGCAAGCGCCTGCTCGAGCACGCGCGGCAGACCGACGACGACCGGCAGCGGGCGCTCAGCGACCGACGCGCGCCAATCCGCTCGGCCCAGAAAATGTCCGCGTTCGATCTGGGCGCACATGAGACCCACGAGGTGCTGTCGGAGCAGGACCTGGAGCTGATCGAGCAGCCTGGTGACATCTCCGAGCTCTTGACCGTGCTCCCACAGGCGTCCGGCACCGCCGGCGCCGCAGCTGCCAGGAAGCACAACGAGGCACTGGATGAAAAGCGCGCAGCGTGGCAGCAGCGCGCCGATGAGCTCGACCGGCACGCGTACGAGTTTGTCTGTGAGAGCGAGGTCGCTGCTGGGCTCCCCGCCAGCGAGCCGCTGGTGGAGCAGGTGAAGAAGGACGGCGTCGTGCGGTGGCTTGACGAGGACAGCGAGCTGACGGTTGCCGAGCAGTTTGCCGACATGCCAGCCGAGTCGGCACTTTTGGCTGCGGCCACCGCCGAGCGGCCGTCGCTGGAGGCATATGCGGCCGGCCGCATCCCTGGCAGCCGCATGTGGAGGGGCATGGCCGACAACATCGACCAGCTGCGTCGCATCCGCGAGGTCAACAACAAGATCTGGGCAGCCAAGCTCAACGTGCCCGTGGCCTTTCTGGCCGCCCAGGGCCATGCATCTGCCAGCAAGGGCGCTATGGATGGTCGGTCCGACGATGCTGCCACCATTCCCACTCGTGACCTGTACGCCGACCTGGCCGCCCATCCCGACCCGCCTGCCGCATTCCGCCTGGACGCCAGTGGATCGCGGCGGATGCTTGAGCGCGTCATCGCACTGGTCCTGGCCCACACGGGCTTCGAGACCATCTCCGCCGACGTCATGGCGTGTCTCTCCGACTTCATCATCGACTACATGCGCAACCTGGGCCGTACCCTCCGCACGTACTCGGACAAGTACTCGCGGTCCATGAGCGCCGAAGCCATCCTCGCCCATACGCTCTACGAGAACGGCTCCGAGGACCTGGTCGAGCTCGAGTACTTTGTGCGGGCCGACACTGAGCGCACTGGCGTCAAGCTGGGCGACATCTACAAGAACATCACCAAGGCATATCGCGATGTCATGTCCGAGAGCCGCCCGGACTCGGCCCTCGACGACTCGGCTCTCGACGGCGCCTTCCTCACCGGTGCAGTTGGCGGGCTTGGCGAAATGGGCGACGACTTCTTTGGCTTCAAGGCCCTTGGGCTCGACAAGGAGCTCGGCATTGAGAATCTCGCCATTCCCCAGCGCCTCTGGAGCGGCCGCGCCAAGACCACCAACGGCGAGGAGGCCCCATCCAACCCCGACGATGCGCTGCCGTTCCCGCCACCGGCGCCCTGGCCACCCATCACCAGTCCCACGAGACAGATCGCTCTGATCCAGCCCTTCCTGTGCGAAAAGCTCAAAGCCAAGAACGGTGTCTGCCCGCCAGGCTTCGAGCATCTCCTGGACGAGAAGCCCGAGGAGGGTGCCGCTGGTAAGGACGCGCCCACGATACCCGACGCCTGGGAGCCCATTCCTGAGGACGACGACCTGCCGCCAAAGACCCGGTATGGCGCCGCGCGGCCCAAGGTGCCGGCACCCAATTACCTGACCCACCCGCGCACCCACATGCACGTGGGATCGGGGAAGCCCGCAGCGCCCGCCAGTCGCTCAGCCAAAAAGAAGCCAGCCAAGACCACAGCCAGCAAGACCACAGCCGGCAAAACGACGGCCAGCAAGACGACGGCCAGCAAGACCACTGCCGGGGGCAAGTCGACCAAGTCGAGCGAGTCAAAGAAAAAGAAATAGAAGGATACATGCATCCTTTTTTCTTCGCCGAACGGACCTATGATGCAATAGCTGTAGCGGTGAATGTGCATGCACACTGGCGATGCTCTCTGGCTGTAGTCTTACAAATTAATATCTATTTTGGGCACATCCTTCATCCTCTTGCCATGTGTCACAGGCAGACGTGGATTGGCAGCAAGTACAGTGCCGGTTGTACAGTGGAAACCCCACCCAGTGTATGGTGCTGGAGGGGCGAGGGGATGACTGAAGGGAATTCCATTCCCAGGCCATGCCGCTCCAGCCTCCACCGATCCCCTCTCTCGATCAACTGGATTGGTAAGCCACTTCCAAAATGTTCCGTGACTACTGCAACCCCACCTGCCAGACGCAGTAGTGAGCAAGGTGCCTTCAAATGGGCAGGGACCCGGGTCGACCACAGTCAGCCCACTGGCAAGAGGTACAAAAGCCTCTCATCCCAGCCCTGGAAAGGCACCACTTTTCATCTCTTCACTCAAACCGCTCCGTTTTTTTTGCAAGCTCTTTATTGCCAACTACTCACATGTACACGCTTTCGCCGGGCTCCCGCGCATCGCTGGTTTCGCGCGACTCGTCGATCACGCTGTGCACGTACCGCCAGGATGAGCTGCGCGCTCATCCTGAGGTGCTCCGCATCATTATGCAGTATCCGCAGATCCGGGGCGCCCGCCCCGCCTCGCTGCCCAGACACGCGGTCCCGCAGCCACGCAGTCTACGCCAGCCACAGCTGAGCCAGCCACAGCCCCAGCCCCAGCAGAGAGCTCCCGACCGCATGGTGCTGCTCCGGAGGCTGCGCAGTAAACTGATTCGGACCAAGCCCACGGGACCGCGCCAGGCAACCGAGATCTAAGTCCGCCTTGTGCATAGAGCCATACACCATCTGTACTGTCTCCCAACCACCCCCTTTGTTCCTCCCAATTTGCATAGCCTGTCAAAAAAGAACGTATGTCTGATAACATAATACATTGAAACGAGACATGGAAAAATAGGTTTTTAAGAAAGAAGGAAAAAGAACACGGGTTGGGATGAGCGTTTGGGAGGGGAGCAGAAGAGAGCTTTGCAAAATTATTTACAGCCACGGATGATTCTGATGCTGCGCAGCATGCGGCGGCAGCACCTGGTACGGCTGCTGCATATGGTGATGGTGGTGGTGCATGTACTGCTGCGGGATAGGCGGCATTGGCTGCTGCTGCTGTTGCGACTGCTGCTGCGACTGCTGCTGCTGCGTGGCAATGATCGGCGGCTGCGGCGACATTGTCGGCGGGTTGGTGCGGCGGCGGCGCTGGATATTGACAATCTGGTCCGGGTAGTCCCGGTGGAACATGGCGTGCGAGAACATCCACCACAGCTTGCCATCCGTGTCGGGGATCTTGCGCCGCTGGTCCGTCAGCCGGTTGAAGCGGTAGTCGTTCAGATTCTTCTCGACCGAATGGTAGTTTTGCGCGCGCAGACCTGCCGCCTGCAACGCCGCCAGCAGCTTCTCCGAGGACGAGAACTTGAACGCCGTGCCGTCCTCGGTCCACCGGATCCATGACTCGTTCTTCGGCTCCTCGATAATCCTACATGTGCATGAAAATTAGATATGAGTGGGGTGAGCGGAGGTGGGAACTAACCAAAAGCGGGCGTGGCCCACTTGCCTCGTTCATGCATTTTGGCCAGATGCATGGCAGAGGAGCATGCCGCTTTTTTCCCACTGGGCTATTGCAGTGGGACTAACGTACCTGTGCAGAAGAATAGGGAACAGCGGGGTATCACTCGTCCGCTGCCGCTGCGTGAACGTAAACGACCGGTCGCGGATGTTGGCATTGCCCAGCACGTGCGGCAGCCCGCCGCTCTGCTGGTGGTGCGGGCTGTCGGTGCTCTGCGAGCGGCGCCGAGCCATCCGCGAGTCGTCCAGGGTCGCTGGGAAGCTGCGCACTGCGCCTGGCGTAACCGACGGCATGCTGTCGGGCGTCAGCGTCGTGGCAGCGCTGGCCGGCGAGCCCGCCATAGTGGTCGCGCTGTGGTACGTGTGGAACCGCTGGTGCGCCTGCATCGGCGGCAGCGTGTTGGCCGGCCGCGAGCCGCCGTGCGACGAGATGTTCAGCGCGGGGGGCACCGAGAACGTGCTTGTCGAGCCGCTCGATGCGCTGGAGCTCGCCGAGTGGACCCCATGGTTGATTATTGGCCGCAGCGGCGTGTGCTCGGGGCTGAGCGGCGTGTGCTCTGGGCTGGCCAGCTCCATCAGGCCCTGCATGCCCGTCAGCTCGTCTTCGCGGTACTGCGTGCGCGCTGGAACCGTAATCGCCTGCCGGTGGTTGTCCTGTGGCGCCAGCAGCGCACTGACCGGCACTGAGCTCGACGGCTCCTCCTCCATAATCACGTCGGCTGACACGTCGTGCGACGGCTGCGACGTTGACGACGTCAAAAACTGGATGCTCGTGCGATAGTCCGTGCCGCCACCGCTGTGCGGTGTCTGTGTGGCCACTGGCGACTCAGCGCCATACATGCTGCTACTGTTTCCAGCGGGGCTGCTGCGCGTGTGATCAGAGTTGCTCTACAAACACAAACAATGCTTAGTTTACTGGTAAGTGACGGTGAGAGGGAGGTAAAAAAGGACAATGCTGGGCTTGTTCGTGAAGGGAGCCATTCATTATGCGCTACTGGGCTGCCTCACCCATGTGTCCATGGGGAGGATTCGCCCTTTCTTCTTTTTTTTTTTCTGCTGCCGCTGCTGCACACGCACTTGTCAAAGGATTGATTGAGAAGCGCGCTGCACTCGGGTACCCGGGCACATGTCCACTGCGCACATATTCAAAGTACAAAAAAACAGAGGTGGGCGTGCGCATCCCCTTTTCGCAGCCCTCCGTTGACAAATGGCACACAAAAGGACGTGCCACCTCCACACACACGACACATATCCAGGATGCTGTCTACATACCATTATTAGTTATAATTTACTTCCCAGGCCTTTTTTACAGAGCGGGGAGGGGCAATGTGGAAACTCAAGTGCCGTTGCGTAGGATAGCGCTAATGGTGTCTGCTGGTGCAAGATAATGAACCGGGCTTCTTTTTAGGCTCCGAGAAGGTTTCCTTAAAGGTATGAGAAAAAGGGCTAAGCCAAGGGTGAAGGAGGGAGAAAGGAGGGGTCGGGTTAGAAAACGGAAAGAGGGGAAAAAGGAGAACAAGGAATCTTGTTGGCGGTTCTTTCAGTTGGAAAGCGACGCGAACAAACAAAGGATATAAAAAACGTAACAGGAAGAGAAAGGGAATCAAGGTTGAAGCAAACGAAAGAAAAATCCCGCCTTTTTGCAATGGACGCAGGGCGGTTGCGGCTGGGAGAGCAAAACAGGAACTGGGGAGCAGTGAGGAGTTACACAGTCGAGGACGACAGAAATAGGTCGGGGCTGGCTTACTCCAGAGAAAGGATGCACGCCAGTTAGTGGAGCGAAAATGAAAAAGAATAATTATTTGGAGTGTCAGAGACGAGAGAGAGATGGGAACGAGAACAAGTTCAGAAGCCCAAGCCAGCCATTTTGCCGCTCGAGCTCGGCGGGAGGGGGTCATTACGCTTACAAGGGCGATTTCCCGGCAGCTGACTGCCACCTAGATGTCCTTTGCGGCACTGGCATTCGGAAGGACTGGAGATCACGGGGTCCTGGTAGGCGTGTTCAGAGGGCTGCGACGCCCGCTGCTAAATTCGCTTCTGGAGGATAATGCCTGCTCGAGGGGCGGGCATTCGCCGCCTGCGGGCCCTCCCTGTCGCAGCCCAGGAACAAGCAGACCCCATTCTACAGCATGCATGGCTGCCGCTGCCCAAGCTCATTCTCCGGCGATGCCCCCTTGTCTCCGCGACCAAGAACCGCGAACTTCTCGATTCTCACAGTGCAATGTGCTGGAGAATATCTGAAACTGGACTCAATTAACCTCGCTGCCGATTGGATCCGCCGCTCCCCGAGCACTGCTTGTGCTCCTCGCATGCAGAGCGAAATTGCCTTTGTCGATCTCCAATCCATGCTGCGAAATGTGTCTTTTCCCATATACAAATTTCTGGCACGGGGATGACAAAGGATACTAAAACCTCACTAAGTAGATTGCAGATCTGGTAATACGAATAGACGTGCTACTGCTACTGCCCCTGCTCCTTCCTGGACTTGAGCTGGCCAAACAGGTCGCGCTGCATGCGCTCGCGGCTCCTGGCCTCGCTCAGATCTGCTGCCGACCGCAGCCCGTTGACAATGTCATGCGTCTTGCCGAAATACACCTCCTGCAGCGCATTGCGCATCTTGAACTCCATGTCCTCCACCATCCGCCCGATGTTGACGATGTGTGCGCTCTGATCCTCCACCGCCAGCTCGCGCTCGTCCTGCCGCGTCAGCGACCCCGACAGGTTGATCTCGTTCTGCCGGTCGCCGCGCGTCCCGCTCGCGACAGTGTACAGCATCACCGTGCTCGTCAGCTTGTACTGCGCCTGGCGCCCCTTCTCCAGGACCTCGATCACGTGGATCGAGTCCCACGAGCCCTTGGCACGCACGGTCCCGTCGTTCACCTTCTTGATCAGCACCACCCCCGCAAACGAGTCGTCCATGTCCCACAGGTACACCGACGACACCCCGCCCTCGTAGTACAGCTCCCTGTACGTGGCAAACGCGTCGTTGGCCGCCACCTCCAGGCGCCGCAGGCGCTCCGAGGGCGTGCTGCCGTCCTCCAGCGGCGGGTCGTACGTGTTGCTCCACGGCGACCGGTACGAGTCCCCGTCGCGGTTATAGTCGCACACAAGGTACTCCTTGCCTGCCGCCGTGTCCTGCCGGATCCGCAGCGGCTGGTCCACCGACGAGAGCAGCTCCTCGGTCAGCTCTGGCAGCACCTCCATCAGCGTCACCAGGTTCTCCTCGACGTTCTGCGGCGGCAGCCGGCGCATCAGGTCCAGCGCGCAGTCCATCTGCTGCTCATTTTCGTCGTAATCGGCCATTGGGGCAAGTGAATGAAATGGATGTATGATTATAAAAAAGAATGCTAGAGAACTGTGCCAAGTGGAGCAGCAGAGATTTCTGGAAGTCGTTCCTGCTGCCAAGCCGCCCCACCTGTGTTGTTTATCTGCTCGCTCCGCCGGTTTGTTTTCTGTTTTCGCCATCTCTCCTCCGCTTTCACTAACCAGTCTCTATTATGCTGAACCCAAAGACCACCCACCGCGAGTTTTTTGGCGTCCCCGGCTCGCTGGCCGTGATGACTGGCACCACCGCCGTCCTGTACGTCTGGTACTTCTCCTGCAACGAGCACAACGGCTGCCAGCTGCCCATGTCTGCCAGCCAGTGGTCCCACATTCTCGCCAGCGCGGCCAACTACCGCGCATACCTGAGCCTGGAAGCCCTGACGTACTACACTATGTGGTGGCTGTGGCTTGCCTTACTGTACTTCATCATGCCTGGAATCACCCTGAAGGGCATCAAGCTGCGCGACGGCACGCAGCTGGCCTACCCGATGAACGGCCTGCGCAGCTTCTTCTTCACTGCGGCCGTCTGGGCCTTTGTCTACAAGAAGATCGGAACCGCGCCGTTCCTGTGGATCGCCGACCACTACTTCCAGCTGGTCGCCTCTGCCTGGATCTTCTCGACCCTGCAGGCCCTGTTCGTCTACCTGTACTCGTTCCGTGCGCCCTCGGTAGAAACCCCAGGAAAAGACATTGTGATGCTGGCGCACGCCGGCAACTCGGGCAACCCCATCTACGACTTTTTCATTGGGCGCGAGCTCAACCCGCGCATCGGATCCTTCGACTTCAAGTTCTTCAACGAGCTGCGCCCTGGGATCATGGGCTGGGTGCTGCTCAATACCAGCTTCGCCATCAAGCAGCACACTGTCTATGGCAGCGTCTCCAACTCGATGTGGCTCGCCATTGTCCCCCAGATCGCCTACTGCATCGACACTCTTGTGTTTGAAGACAAGGTGCTGACCACAATGGATATCACCACCGACGGCTTCGGCTGGATGCTGTCGTTTGGTGATCTGACCTGGGTTCCCAGCATGTATTCGCTGCAGGCCCGCTACCTGGCCTTCCACCCCGTCCACCACTCCACATGGTTCACCGTGTTTGTTGCCGTGTTTGGGCTCGCCTCGTTCCTCGTGTTCCGTCTCAGCAACAGCGAGAAGAACGCCTTCCGCACCAACCCGAACGATCCGGCTCTGAAACACCTCAAGTACATCACCACGGAGAGCGGCAGCAAGCTGCTGGTCAGCGGATGGTGGGGCATGGCCCGCCACATCAACTATACCGGTGACTGGATGTTTGGGCTGGCGCAGTGCATGGCAACCGGCTTTGACACCCCCATGACTTACTTCTTCTCGGCCTACTTTTTGGTTCTGCTCCTGCACCGCAACTACCGCGACGAGTGCAAATGCCGTGACAAGTACAAGAAGGACTGGATTCGGTACTGCGAGCTTGTGCCCTATCTGTTTATCCCGTTTGTCATCTAGTCACCACAAATACACATGGCTATAGCCATCCCTCGCTATAGATGCTATATGAGCAGCTGTAGATGAGACCATAAAACCGCACCGTCAGAATGTTTATCAGGATTAGTGGCAACCCCGATACATCCTGTGCATCAGGGGGAGACATATCCAAGTATACCACGCGTTTCATGGCATGTCCAATACCGTTTACAGCTATATCCAAGTCTGCATTCGCGCCATGAATCTGGAATACGCATACCCATTGCTTGAATCTCTGAATGGGGGTGCGTGCTATCTATCCACGCTTTACATGAAGCCACAGGCTCGTTCCTGTCGTACAGTTAGCAATGCCAGCCACTACTGCATATAATAATGGATATACAATATACAGACTGAAAAGTGATTGTGACTGCAGTGCATAAAACAAGGCCATGCGGCGAATGCACCGCACCCATGAAAATACTGGCAGATCGATATTACCGTAGATATGTTGACCAAATATCGAGAGCAATGATCACAATAATGGAGCAAAAACATGGAAAAAGCCGTGAGGGAAGAAAAGCAAAGAAAAGGAACCCCCAGTGTATTGTGCATGCGCGCTGAGAGCAGCTACTGATACACAGCATCCGAGCCCATTTGAGTGACAAAGGAGTTTTACCTGCCCACCCACCATACAGTTCTCTCCGACATTTCTTCCTTCAACTATCTTTTCACCTCTGTGGGTGATTTTATATTGCAATGAACTCGGTTGAGCCAAGTGAGAATTGCTCACAGGCTGCTATGAGGTATGGAACTATTATTTCAGCTGGTGTATACACAAGAAAGACAGATCTGATCGCGGATGTAATTTGAGTTCAAATCTGTGTGTAGCAGGTAAATATCAATAGCAGTTTAAAAGATGTCTCTATTTGTAAGCAGAATGAGACAAAATCCATTTACAGCTCAACTAGCCGCAGGTAAAGTATTTCAAAGAAAAGTAAGGTATGCGAGCGTGTTCCTATCAGAATTAGATTTTCCTCATTTCATTGTTCTATTTTCTCTTTATATTTTGCTACCCAGTCCAATACTGGACTGGATTCTTTTTGTCTTCTTTCTATATTTTTCTACTTGCTTAGTGCCTTTCCGCACTCTCTCACATTTTAACCAATATATCCATCTTCGGGTGTTCCAGCCCACTCTATAATTTTATTTCTATCGCTTGTAACCTTCTGACAGTTCCTTAGGTATCAGAGGGCCAGAGCCCCAGGTGGCGGTGTCACTAAATAGCGATAGTGACAGGCCGGGTAGGGGCGGCGGGGATGCTGTTGCTGTATATGGTTCCAAGTGCGAAAGGGGAGAGGTGATGTTGGCGAGTGTAGTGTAGAGAGTGGTAGTGGTTCTATGCACGTCAGCACCAGCTGCTGCCAGCTTGTAAACCAGCCTGTGGCAGCCGGTGGAGGCATTGAAAATTTCAGTCAAGGCCTGGAAGACTACATGCAGTGCCTCCAACCTGCGTGGCAATGCAGTCATTGCGGGAGTAACAAGGTGAAAACGCTGGATCACCTTCATGTGCATCTTGCTGTCTGCAGCCGCTATGCCGCCTAAGGTCTCCCCCTGCATTGAGCAGAGGTAGGTGTTTAAAGCCATCACGCTGGCAGCCTGATTGACCACCTCAATTACATCGACAATTTGGCAGTATATGAGTTGGTATTGTTTATGCGTATGCGTGTGTGCTGGAGTATCACCGTGTACAAGTGCAGGTACAACTGCGAGATTCTTACTTTTGGTGCCTGTATTGGATACGTTCGTTTGAAATACTACTCGTGGGAACTACAGGGGAAAGAGAATGGGAGGAGGCCAACCTGCGAATGCGCAAGCTTTTACACTTGGACTTTTTGTCACTGCTGGGATCTCAATGCGCACTAATTTTCCTCTGGAGATCAAGAACTCGCGCCATATTTTTGTCTATTTCCTTGCGTGCATGGGTGATAGAGGGCTCTATTCGTTGCAAATTACTCATATCAACAGATGATGCCATAGGGGAAATCGAAAAAAAGAGACATGGAGCGAATTTTCTCGGCATTAGGTGGCTACCACCGGTAGTCAGCTATTCTGTTGTTCCCTGGCTGTGGGATAACGATGGCGAGGTAAGCAAAACATACTTGCTGAATGGTCTGTGGAGAGGGGCAGAGAGGCGTAAAAGGGTCCCAGGCTTATGCAGCACAGGTCTATATCCGAATATGGATATGGAACAGTAACTGCAGCGATGGCTGCAAGGTGAGTCTGGTAACTTTCATCTTTAGGAATTTAACCGAATTTCATAAAAACATCTTCATTTGAAATCATTGCATCTCAAGTATGTCACTGGGGAAGTATTTTATAATGGAGGAGCTTTGCCAGCTCACACACTTATTTCCGATGTGACATTGCTCAAGAAAAAGCCTTAGGAAACCGATTGATGGCAGTGGAGACTGCCCAGAGCAATACAGCTGTGGGTGTTTTGTGGGAATTAGCCTTCAGCTTACTCTCAGGCATACCCTGCCTTCGTCTTGTACCGGTTAGCGAGGCTTTCGCAGAAAATACCTTTTGCAGTAGCTACACAGCCTTTCATATCATCCCGTGAATACTGCAACTCGCTACACATCTGATGAGTTTGCTGATGCACAGAAGATTGTAGGACAGGCTGCATACCGCCCTTTTATAAACAGGTTCTTGAAGAAGAGTACGTTATTACAGGTTTTTTACTCAACTTGCTATTGCGGTATAAGTCAATTGGAGCCGTGCTGTAGCTTTGCACATTTATTATTCAGCTGCACTCGATTTGAATTCCAACATAAGCAAACCGCTGCCAATATCAGCTGACATACAGAGCTGGCCCTGCGTCGTTGCTGAACCAGATCGATATACTACTCTATTCGCTTCTGCTGTAATCTAGTTCCAAAGTTGTAGCCCTTTGGTATTGAAGATACCATGTCTCGCAGAATGTGATGTTTGCCATTAGCGCCTTAGCTTATGCCTTCATCTCTGATCTACTACACACCTGAAAACACGTATAGTCCCGTTGTTCTGGTTGCAACAATAGGATGTCCAAATTTATTCGCACATGACATGAGTAATAGTGTGCTTCCTAAAACACTAGTGGCCAGACGTGTGAAGGTGGCGAGCAATGTAAACTACCCTCTCCTTTTCTCTTCTCATTTATTCTCTTCTTTTGTCACTGCCTCATCACTTTGATATCATGATTTTTAAGAGTATCGCACCACCTGTTGAAATTCCTACAGTCGATATCCCGACTTACTTCCTGTCGGCCGCCAAGGCCAACGGTGCCAAGCTCGACACAAAAGCGTTTATCGATATCGGTGCCCAAGCGACGCTGACATACGGCCAACTCGATTACATGCATAACAGGATTGCCTCAGGGCTGGTGAATGATTTTGGCATCAGCAAAGGCGACATTGTCATGATATTCGCCACAAACTGCATACTCTACGCACCGACGTACTATGGGATTCTGGCTGCTGGCGCAGTGTGCTGCACGGCAAGTAGTGCGTTCAATGCTTCCGAGCTTGCGTATCAGCTAAACGACTGCAAGGCAAAGGTTGTTTTTACCACCAAGCAGCAGTGGCTGGTCATTAGCCAGGCCATGGATCAAGGGCTAGTTGATATCCAACCCCACAACATCATTGTATACGGAGAATCGCTACCGGGTTACTTGTACAGAAGCTTCCGCAGCGTACTTTCAGACAAGCCGTACAGGCGCCTGAGTATTAAAACGAAAGATGAAGCAGCCAGCACGCCGGCATTGATTGTCTACTCGTCGGGCACCACTGGTCAGCCAAAGGGCGTTGTGCTGAGCCACCTCAATATGGTCAGTGGTAGCACTAGTCTGAACAGCTTGGCTGCGTTCCTGGCTCTCAAGAGTGGGATCAAGCCAGGCAGTGCGGTGCAGCGCTATCTCGTCATTTCTCCGTATGCGCATATTTTTGGACTCGCTACATTTCTGCACAATCATGTTGCGAATGCCAAGACGCAGTATATTCTGCCTCAATACAGCATCGACGCATTCTTACAGGCAATTGCCCGTTTCAAGATCCAAGCCACGACTGTCGTTCCCAGCATCCTCACGCAGATTGTAAAGCACCCGAATTTGAGCAAATATGATCTATCATCGCTTCAGTATATGGCATGTGGTGCTGCCAGCGTAACCAAGGACACCCTAGAGGGTGTATCTAGACTTCTTCCAGCCAGCCCTTCCCAAGGATACGGCTTGACGGAGGTTTGTGGCGGATTCACCCTCATGTCGTCTTATTTGCCAATCGCTGGCTCGGTTGGTTTCCATGCCCCGAACTGCGAGGTCAGGTTCGTTGATGAGAATGGCAACGAACTCGGCGCTGACCAGGAAGGTGAGCTGTGCGTCCGTGGGGACAGAGTCATGATGGGCTATCTCAACCTGCCTGAAGAAACTGCGCGGGTTATCGATGGGTACGGGTTCTTTCATACAGGCGACATCGGGTACATCAACGAAACCGGCCATATTTTCATCACCGACCGGATCAAGGAGCTGATAAAGTACAAGGGCCAGCAAGTATCTACGTCGGAGCTTGAGGGGTCCTCCTTATGCACAGTGCAGTCAAGGATGCTGCAGTCATTGGAATTGATGACCCGCAGCGCGGGACCGAGGTCCCCATGGCATACGTGGTGCTGGACGACATAGCCAATCGAACGGACAGGGGCAGGGCTGCTATGTTGTGTATGGAAGTTCAGGCGTTTGTTGCGGCCAGGGTTGCTGGACATAAACAGCTGCGCGGTGGTGTCACAACCATCAACGCTATTCCGCGCAATGCATCAGGCAAGATACTACGGCGCGAGCTGAAGACGCGGTATCTGGCAAGGACCAATGCGAAGCTGTAGGCCCATGAACCCAATTTCAAGTGCTGCAGCACTGGCAATCGTAGCTGATGTTGTGGTTTCAGCTTCCGAATATCCTTTGCTGTGTAGATCGCTACAGGGTCATTGGCCTGCATCATTCGATTACGGTGACACATGATTTGCATAGAATGTGGATGCGAATAAATTCAAGGCGCCATCGCTTGTCTTCATCTCTTCTCCCTCAACACAAGTCTTCCTCAGTTTCCTACACCTAGCTCCTACATTCATCTCCTGATAGCCTACATGTGGTCAGCTAGAGATCCAAGCGCGGCGATAGCGCGGTTTATGCAGCGTGCAGCTTTTTTAGCCGGTATTTTCATGCTGCTGCGGGCTATTTATACAATTGTATCTTTCTATTGCATTATAGCCTTCCCGTCGACACACATACCTTTACTTTATCCCGCTGCCAAGCTAGGAATGGTTCAGACCCAGTCTTCTAACAACGCATGGCTAGGCGCCGTTCGAGTATGAAGCCAAGGTATATGTGTCTGATCCGTGAGGATTGGTGGTACGAGACCTGAGTCATTCTTCCAGCCAGGCCACCGAGGTATGGCATATTGAACCGCGGACAGTAGAAAACAAGTACATGTCGTTGACCAAGCGCGTCACGGATCAAAGTCCCAGAATTCCTTGCGCGTAAAGTCTGCCACCGAGATGTACAAGACATTGATGGTGTCTCCGCAAGCAGGTAACCTGTACGTGCATATATTTGCGCAGGAGGCAGGCCAGTTCACGCCGGTATCCGAATATCAGCGACTCCCGCATGGCGAGCAGGTCATGCAGGACATCATGGGAATCACGATAGCCAACTTTCCATTCACCAACTTGACGGAGATGGAGGCTCGGAAGCGGATGGACTATGCCTGTCCAACTCTGATTACACGGAAAAAGGACTGTGTGGAAGCTGCACCTGGAGGACCATGGGTTTACAGATCGCGCATTCTTTCCCATCTGGGTTGGAAAGCCAAGTATGAGCGTTGCTGATAGTTTGCAAGAAATGACCGAAGGCAGGACAAACTTTACGTATGTGCCGCCAGCTTATACATGACGATACCATACGATTCCACAGACATGGTGACACCGCTTATCTGACGTGAATACGGCGACGAGAACAGAACCGATGCCTGTGTACCAGTCCAACATTCGATATTCGATCCTGGAAGCTACGCGGTGCATTGGTACAGGCTGGGAGAGTATGATTCACAAAGATAGCTGACGATCTGGAAGGACTATGCGGACCTCCTAGCATCAGGTAGACACAGGCAGGTTATAGACAGCCAGATATACTTTCCATCGGAACATCCCGTACACATCAAGGACATTACATTGCAACACTGTCTACTGGGTTAATTCTACTGCCGGTGAAGTCTGGGACTATGCGATGTTTCGACAGGCATTATCATACCGGAATTTATTCTGGCAGACCGGAGAGCACAGACGACATTGCCAACTGGGGTGTTATGAGGTTGATGCAAATATCGATAGCCCGAGGACAGTACCCGATATAAGCTATCCTGGACCCTACCGAAGATTCGACCAGATGTTGCTTAGATTTACTAGTTCAACGGTTTTTGGAATCTGGGGCTGCATTTTTGAAGGCATCGATTTCTTTCATGGCAGTCCAGGCCAGGAAGCTTTGGCGAGTTTGGAAAAAGCAGGAGAGGAGAGAGCCGATACTAGCTCTTCCGGGCTATGGATGACGGCAAAAACGTATGCCTATGCTGCTGCGGCATTACTCGTCGCCACTGCTCGCCTATGCAGCTGTTGCATCCGGACTCTGTGGGCGATTCTATCTGCACCAGAGCACTTTGTGCAGAAAGGGCTCGAGCTGGTCATCACGGGCTGGCTGCCAATGCTCATGACTGCCAGGTCGTATTTGAGCAGCGTAGCACCGGTGATGGAGCTTTCTGCCTGTCTTAGGTCCGTGTACAGGACCAAGTCAACAGAGTTCCTGTCGGCGAAATACCATATGCTCGTTGTAGTGGAGCTTGCCCTTGTGTGGACGCTGTGTCTGTATCAGATGCCGTTTGGTCTGGATCTCTCGGTTATATCCTGGCGCAGTATTGCAAAGGGCATCTGCAGCGCCATCCTGGTCATCCAGCATGTGGTGTACCGGAGCCAAGAGTGAGCGAACGTGCGTGGGACTGGGCGATCGGCAAGAAGCGTGCAAAGAACGTGCGGGTGGCCTGAGTGAACGTCAGCACAAAGCGAATGTGGGGGCCCAAGAATGATGCAGTTCCACACGTCGCCGTTGTTTTGCTTTTCCCTTTTCTGCTTTTGCTGAGCTGGAAATAAAATTTTTCTTCGCACTTTGGCTTTCAGACCTAATCACTCATCTATTCTACTTACATTCGACAATGAACAAGGCGGTTATTCTCGTTGGTGGGCCCTCGCGCGCGACGCGGTTCCGTCCGCTCAGCATGCACCTGCCGCAGCCGCTGTTCCCGGTGGGCGGGCGGCCGATTATCTGGCACCAGATCAAGGCGCTGTCGGCGGTCAAGGACCTGAAGGAGATCATCCTGCTCGGGTTCTTTGAGGACTTTGTGTTCCGGCCGTTCCTGGACAAGTGCCAGGAGGAGTTCCCTGAGATCACGTTCAAGTACCTGCGCGAGTACTCGCGTCTGGGGACGGCGGGCGGGTTCTTCCACTTCCGCGACCAGATCCAGCGGGGGTCGCCAAAGAACATCTTCATGCTGTACACGGACATCTGCTGCTCGTTCCCGCTGAACGACCTGCTGAAGCAGCACGAGCGGCACGGGCGGCTGGGCACAATCATGGTGACCAAGGTGGATCGGTCGCAGGCGAACAAGTACGGGTGCGTTGTGGTGGACAACGAGACGAAGCTGGCGGAGCACTACGTGGAGAAGCCCGAGACGTATGTGTCGGATCTGGCGTCGGCGGGTGTGTTTGTGTTTGACCACGAGATCTTCCGCTTCCTGGCGCAGGCGATGGACAGGCGCGCGTCCGAGTTCGAGCACGAGCGCGCCAAGGAGAACGCATATGGGCGTGCAGCCGACGACGAGGATGGCAGCCAGGACATCAACCGCCTGCGGCTTGAGCAGGATGTGCTGCGCCAGATGGCAGCCGAGAAGAAGCTCAGCGCCTTTGTCTGCCATGGCTTCTGGCGCCAGATCAAGTCGGCTGCATCAGCAGTGCCCGCCAATGCCTTGTATCTGCAGAAGGCGCTGAAGGAGACGCCTGCGCTGCTGGCCAAGCAGACCGACGGCGGTCCGGAGATCACCGGCGCGGTCTACATTCACCCGACGGCTCAGGTCCACCCGACGGCCCGCCTCGGCCCCAACGTCTCGATCCACGCGCGTGTGGTGGTTGGTCCGGGCGTGCGCATCAACGACGGCATTGTGCTGGACAATGTCCACATCAAGGAGAACGCAGCAGTGCTGCATGCGATCGTCGGCTGGGACTGCCGCATTGGCAAGTGGGGTCGTGTCGAGGGCTCGCCGGTGGCCAGCACCGACGATATCGACGAGCTGACGCACGCCGGCCGCAAGGTCAACAGCATCTGCATCCTGGGTGAGGACGTCCACGTCAAGGACGAGGTCTTCATCCGCAACTCCATTGTGCTGCCGCACAAGGATCTGGGCAGCAACCAGCACAACGAGATCATCATGTAATGCTCCATTCTCAGACTTTCCAATATACAGGATACCAGATGAGGCCAGTTTTGGCTCGCCATTAATGCTTTTTTTGGTTACGAATAGTACTCGTTGAAGAACTGCAGCCGCCGGTACACCTCGGCCGTGCTGCGCTTCTCGCGGATCTTGTGCATGTCGTCGATGTCGGTGCCCTGCAGCAGCAGCGAGTCCTCCTCGGCGGTCCATGCGCCATGCGGCCGCTGGCTACCGGCCAGGATCCAGCCGCGCGCCAGCCCCCAGTTGCCGCTGCACATGTAGAGCACCCTCAGGGCCTCGTCTGGCGAGCACTGGAGTGCCGACAATCAGGCCCTTGACATGCCGGCACATGAGCTCCTTGTCGGCCATCGACATCTCGACTTCGTTGTCGCCATACACCCGCATCGTCCCGCCGATCACCGTGGCCTGCGCCGGCGACGACGGCGGGGAGATGACCGAGCGCAAGTGCATAGGCACTGTGCGCCGGGGCGTGGCAGGCGACTGCGGCAGCGACTCGTTCACCCGGCTGCTGTTGGTCTGCTGCCGGTGGTCGAGCGAAAGCAGCACTTGCTCGCAGAACGACAGCTGGTGGTGCGACGAGATACGTCGGTGCTGGAGCCGGGTCTGCCTCGATGCGCTGGTGCGCCCAGGACTTTCCGCCGGCGCTGGCTGCTTCTGGATAGCTGCTGGTCCTGCATCCGTCAAGCTCGTCCAGCATTTCGGATGCCGGACGCCAGTTTTCGGTCTCGAGCGCATCAGTGTCGTTGGTGGCCAGGGTTCCTGGCGAGAACATGCCAGCAAGGCTCCGTGTGAGGGTGGGTGTATGCTCGCCGGACTCCTCTCCCTCGGATCCTGCCTCTTCTGCCCCTTCCCCGATGATAGCTGCTCAGGGCTGGCTGAGCTATCGCGACGCTCTGGCAGACACACCATTGCCCTGGACTTCCGGCTCCGATGTCCTCGACTCAGCATCGCTCGATGTGCTGCTACTACATAGCATCTGGCTCTGGGGCAAAGGCGCTGTACTGCTAACCTGCTTCTCATTGCCAGGTGCCTGCGCATTACCAGTAGCCGCTGCCGCTGGCTGGCTAAGAACAGCACTGTGTGACAGCGCCGAGTTCTTTGGTCTGCGCAGCGGGCCTTTGCCCCTGCGCGCAGTGTTTCGCATTGGCAGGCTGCGGCCGCGCTTCGACTGGCGGCCGCTCCCGGGGTTCTTTGCCTTGCCATTCTGCGACAGTGGTGAGGGCTGGGCGGGTTTCTGCAGTCCGCCCGACTCGGTGAGCTGCTCGCTCTTTTGTCGGAGCCTGGATGACCGGCGCACGGGGGTCACCGAGTCCCTGGCCCGCCGCTTTCTCGATGACCCAGACAACCGCGCATCCACCTCCTGGCTTTCCTCCTCTACATCAGAACTGTTCAGGATCGGCGACGTGTTGGTGTCTGATCCATCGCCAAGTTCAGGTTCCTCTGCTGCTTTGGACCTGGGCAATGAGCTTTTTGATGCTGGTCGCGAGCTTGCCAGTGCAGGCTCCAGTAGAGAACTGGATTTAGGGGGTATTCTGTCAGCTGAAATTGCCTCCTCATCTGCTGCATCAGCGCCTTCTCTATTCTGCTCGGCAGTCTCCAGAGCCATGTTCCCCTGCTTGGCACCTGCTGGCTCTCCGCTGTCTTGTAGCTCGACAGCAAGACTAGCCATCAGCGGCGAATCTGAGCTGCTCATGCGGATGCGCTTCGACGCCGAATACGGCGTATAGCTGCGCATGGCATCCGAGCGCCGCCGCTGCGGTGTCGTCTTTGCCCTGTCATCCAGTCCTGCCGGGGAGTGCGTTGGACTCGACAAGCTAGCACCCTCTGCGCCGGAATCCTCGTTAAGAACCACTGGCACTGCAGCCTGCCCGTAGTCCTCAGGAGCACTGCGCTGCTTGCGCCGCCGCTTGCCCAGCACCTTGACCATTGGCGGCGTATTGCTGACTAGCTCAGGACTCGCTGATCTGCTTTCCATTTCCTGTGCTGACTCGAAGGCTGCCGGCTCCTCGCCCTGCTCTTCGCTGGCAGCAGTCGTCGCTCGGTCCCTCAATAGCGACTCCGCGTCTGGGTACTCGCCATCGGACGAGTAGATACCAATCAAGTCGCCAGCATCTGGGTTTGTCGGCTGTGATTCTGGAACACCACCGGGTTGCTGATCCTCAGTAAGCATCGCCTGCCCATTGCCCGTATCAGTGCGCACAAACTCGTAGTTCTCGTCCATCGGCTCTAGCATATCGGGCATCGCTAGCTCAGGACTTGCCTGGTAGCTCTCTGAACTGAGAGCATCACTGGGAACATCGATATTCGATGTCGACGGCTGGGTAGGCAATTCGCGAAACGATTTCCAGTGCGCTCTGCCTGCGTGCTAGTGTGGGCTTTTGTCTCGAACTGCTGCGCCTGTCCACCACTGCTCGCCAGTCTGTGGCCTGCCTGGCTGCTGGTGGAGTTTTGCTTCTGGTCTGCGAGGCTGCTGATATTGAACCGGGGCTGCTCAGCAGCATGGACCGGCTGGGCGTTGTTGTCCGGCGCCGAGATGTGCTTGCAATAGTGCGCTCTCTTGGCTGTGGTGCCTGGAGCCTCTGGCTAGTCTTATCGCCAAGCTCTTGCGACTCTTGCAACTCTGTATGCAGCGCTGTTTTGCCATGCTCTGACTGCAGCTGATAAACATGCCCGGCAAAATTACCCGTACTAGACGACTCGCGTTCGCGGAGCTGCTCCAAGCTTTGTGCTTTGCTAGACAGTATAATGTCTGTGATCCGGTCCTCTGGGTCCAATTCCTCGTTTGTATAGCCGATGACTAGATCGCTGACACGCCGTTTCGCGCCGCCAGGAGCCTCCAGCAGCGGTCTTGTGTGTGCTTCATACATGCTAGTTCTGTCGGCTACACGCGTCCTTCCCAGACTGCTTGGCGGCTGCTTGTTTGCAGGGCTTACTCGGTATTTTGTAACATCGACTAGTTTGCCAGCTCGCAAACTGTCGGCTACGAGAGCCGGCAAGTATGTTCTGCGTGCATACGGGCGGTACGGTACGATGTCTAGAATCATGTCGGCCTGTGCCGCATCTCTAAAATCAAGCACTGCACCGCCATTGCTGGCTATAGCTGTGGACACCAAATCGCGGCTGGTAAACTCGCCAATGCTGATTTGGTATGGCTCGCCAGAGTCTTTGGTGAATATGCGGGTGCCAGTGGCGGCCAGCTGTCTTTGTAACTGCGACCGCCGCACGCCGACTGGCCACATTTCTCTGGGTGTGTGCGAATTTGTGCTCATTTTAGACGACTAGGTTGTAGCAAGAAAGACAGGGGCCGGAATAATCGAGCATATGGAGAGTTAAAGAGGCTTTCCATAGCCGTGTTGTGCTCGTCACCACATTGTTTGGTACCAGGGGCTGATCAACAGGGATTTATTGTGCGATCAGCAGCAGGAACAATACTCGTGCCATGTCAGTGCTAGCCAGAAGCTTAACTACTCGGCGTGTTTGTCAGACGCCCAGCTTTTCGAACTCACTGGACCATCAGTTGCGTGCGGAACTCACGCTTTGCTTCCTCAAACGCAATGCGGCGCTTGTCAGCTACCTTCCTCAGCGGCGCTGCTCTCATCAACGGCGAATTCGGCATGACAACAGCGACAAATGCCCTAGCAATTGGAGCCATCCGAAGCGCCATCTTCCTTAGCCCTGTCATATCTGTCCTTCGCCGAATCAGTCAGGGGCAGGATATTGTACTTTATCGAATATGGATGGTACTTCAACGGATCCTTGCGGACCATCGCTGCCATGAGTTCGACTACCTTCATTTCTGCGTTGAATTTGCAGTTGCCTGTCATATGTGAATCCGTTAGCCATCATGTGCTTTCCTGCGCGATCAACAAGCGAAATAACCGCTGCTGTCGGTGGAAGGTGGCTATGACGAGTGGCTAGGGGCTTCGGGACGACGGCATCATCCAAATGCAAGCCAACAACATCATATGGCTTCCTATAGCCAGCCCAGTGCAGAACCGAATAGTACAAAAGCCCCGACGACATAAGCCCAATTACATCCGACGCCTTGCTCGCCTTCAGCATCATGATATGGGGGTTCTTGTAGGCTTCCTCATTTTCGAAAACATAGTGGTTGCCAACAGTCCGGAGAACATATTCCGAGACCATAGGAATAAGCCATGCCGCCTTGCTGGCAGCAGAGGTCTGTGCCTTGATTTTGTCCACATCAGAATCGTAGATACGCTTCGCGTCAGGGTCTGGCTCGACATAGTCGGTTTCGTAGGAACCGTCGCCCCACCCAAGTTTAACAGCCTCGGCGCGAATGAGAGCAAATTCCACAGCATAGGCAGGGTCAGGGCAGAGCGGCTTGTTCAACGCGTATACCTGCATGTAGTAGTCGTCGTCGCATGCGCTGTTGGTATGCCCAGGCTTGCCTAACATAGAAGAGTCGACTGCAGGGAACTTGCGGTCGGCAGGCACCTTGAGATGGCGCTTCCACTGAGCATCTTTCTTTGCCTTTTTAGCTGGATTCCTTGGGTTGTTGCGTAGTTTTGAAATGAAGAGGTAGGACATGTTTGCGAAGAGGGCTGGCGAAATAGCGCTACAAGTAAAATTGTGCTCAATATATATGCAGCAAGCTGTGCGAGATATAGAGCTGGAGAACATGAGGAGGGCAGACAGAAGCGACAACGGATGGCACCAGCTGTTTTTATAGCACGTTCTGGGCGTGAAAATAAAATGCATCAAATGCTTATTGGCATCTTGCACTCGGCAATATAAATCACATAATGCCTGCCGGCAGTACGGCAGGAATCGCCCCGGATCAGCAGAGAACTAGCTGCTTTTTGCACCTGCTATATCAGGAGGTCGACGCAGCTCTAAATGGCAAGTGGTTTGCAGTGATCCATGACGTCTGCGGCATGATGCAATCGAGCGGCGCAGTCTGAGTGTATAGCCACATAGCTCAATAACCGCTCATAGTGAATGTCGACTACTGGGGCCAGACATTACTTTTTAAACTGGTGACTCTGCTCTCCATCTATATTTAAAGAATTGAACGAGTCTGTTTGTCGATTACATTCAATACAATAACTGCCACTAGCTCATATACAATAGAGCCATAGACATTGGATGGGTGACACCAGCTTGAAGATATCGCCTGCTAAATATAGTAATGCCTGGGTGTGCAGAAGACGGGTACCCATTGAGTTTAAACAAGCAATCACATCGCAGACAGATCCCATGTTCTATTGTGTAGGAGAAAAAATGGCAATACAACCATTAGTGCCAAGTGCTGATTCATTTACAAGTCTGCTGACGCATTATTTGCCAATGGTTCACCGTGCTAGCATCTTTTTTGCGCTTCATAGCCCATATGTGAGGGATCTGCATCAACGTCATCAGTGGAGAACACAGGCTGTTAAAGTCTCAGTCCGTTCTCTCCAGTTTCAGCCTATGTTTCGCTGCCTTCCTCGTACTGCATATATTTGGCCTCGACACACAGCAATTCGGAATTACTCTATTACTACCATGGTGCACTACAGCTCCTCTGTGAACGGGACTGCTGCGGATGCACGGCGTATTCGTGGCGTCGTATTCGACATGGATGGCACCCTCGTGACGCCAATGAACGGCTATCTGCAGCAGATGCGCCGCGAACTCTCCATCCCCAACGGTCACGGCATCGTCGCCTACGTCGAAGCGTTTATGCACGGCGAACAGCAGCAGAGGGCTCACCAGCGCATACCACGAGATTGAGCAAGGAGGCGCTGGCGCACATGCAGCTGTCGCCGGGCCTGGTCGACCTGCTAAGGTTCCTGAAAGCCAGCAATTTGCCGGTGGCAATAATTACCCGGAACAGCTTGGCCTCGGTGGAGCATTTTCTGGGCGATGTTGTCGATCGCTCGGTGCCAGTATCCGAGCGTTCGCTGTTTGCATTCCACCCAATCATCGACCGCAGCTTTAAGCCAACCAAGCCCAGCCCCGACAGTCTCCTCCATGTCGCCAGGGCGTGGGGCGTGGAGCCGAGTGAGCTGATGATGGTGGGCGACCATGTCGACGATTTGCTGTGTGGGAGCCAGGCGGGCGCGGTGGCGGCGCTGCTGCGCTACGAGGGGAACGGGCAGTTTGCAAGTGCCGCGCATGTTGTTGTGGATAGGATTGACGAGCTGGTGGGCAAACTCAGAGACGGGTTTGATGTCGACATGGAAGCTGGTCAGCAGCGTCGACCCGACCTGCTATTATGTGACGGCCTAGGTGTCTCTCCTGTGCCAGCTTCTCCCTCGTGCAGTGACTAATATATCCCATGCATTCAGAAAAGCCCGCCATACGTGGCCATTGGCCTGCCATATCTGTCTCAGGCTTTCTGGCATTTTACGGCGGCCCTCGGGTGTGTTCGGAGAGCACAAGTAGTTCACGATTCCAAGTTGTTTGAATAATGGCCTGCACAGCAGAATGGACGCTTCCGAGAGGGAAACCATCGCTGATTGGGCAGCTGAGTGGTTGAGCCAGACAGTATATGTAACGATTAAGTGCATGTATGCACGCCTCTTGCATATGCGAGCTCCATGAGTGGGCTCTGTGACCAGCGCAACAGGAAACCGCCGACATTCCACGCGAGTCTCTCGCCCCTCATCCTTCGAGGGAGGCCAATGCAGACACCAAAAGCGGAAGTATGCGCATGACTCGCGGCTTCATTTTTGCCAACTGCTTTTAGCACAATTGCTTGCAACCGAGGCTTATTGCCGCAATGGCGCTGCCATTTTACAATAGCACTCTGAAGCGCACGCTTGTCACAAAACCACGAAGGCGATCTCCATGATTTTTCAGCTTGAATGCTGATACCATTTTTTTAGGAAACAAAACTAGCCCATCCAAGCGCTAGCAAGCGCCTGAGAGCAATCCCTCTCCTTGAAAACCGATTGGCGGGTATATGAAAAAGACTGCATTTCTATAGCATGGTACAGAGAGATGACTGAAGATCTGGGTGCACCGTGTACCATCGTACAGCAGAAAGGGAGACATGCCCGCGGGATTTGTGAATGTAGCTCGCACTTGGCTTTGTGGACCCGTGCGTGCAAAGCACCCCATGGTTGGGTAAATGCACCATCTAGGAACCACATGTGGCAGAAAGGAGAGATTGCCGGCTTTGTGCTGCTGCCATCTACTAGCTTGCATGCACAGCTATTGTTAGGCATCCCTCACGGCCAAGCTAGCAAGGCTGTAGGCGATATACCGAGGGTAGCCTCGGCTCTCCCGCCCCAACGATATGCGGATGGGCACAGACAGACCGACAAACAGTAAACAAACGCACGGAGCTCTGCCTGGGCCTTGCCTGCTGGGATTGGTAAGGATCTGTCTGCCCTGGTATCTGTAAACAAATACACTGGTGCTGGTGTTCGTCGATCAGGTCTATCACGCAGCATTGCTGGTTCTCGAAGGGATGGAAGTGGTGTGGGTTTAATGATGTGGAGCGACATGAGGATACATCTGGATCATTGATTGTTGGCTGGCATCCCTTTTCAACTGCCAGGCACTGCCTTGCTGGCCGAGAAACAGGTATTTGGGCCGGATCGATATGAATGAGGATGATCTTGGCTTGGGCTGGTGTCAGAAAACAACTACAATGCCGTGGGTTCGCTTTTGCAAAAAGAGGATGCAACCCACGGGTCCGCTCTTTGGGCTAGCTCGCCTAGCTGATGCCTCTTTCTAGGGCACCCGGATGCCGACAGTGCCTTTTTGTCCCGGTGGCAGCGATTCCAAATGCGAACAGAGCCGGATACAGCGCCCATGTTCACGAAAGAGCTGCGGCGAATGGGGGCAGTAGACAGGGTTAAGTCGGTGCCGTGCATGGGCATGCTGAACCGGAGACAGCCCCCCTTGTCCGCGGCTGTTGCGCTGCGCAGAGGCTGGCGGCGAGTGCGAACACGAGAATCATGACGGATTTGCGTTCATTGCTTAGACCTCAACCCACCCCTTCAACCCACCCCTTTGAGGCTCCAGAGAGGGTATAGAGTACTCTTTTCAAACTCCGCAATTGGCACGGAGAGTCTGTTGTTTTCTCTTCGTCTCCGACTTGCCAAACCTTATTCCTTTTCTATTCTACTCGATACAGCAACGTCGCCAGGGTTTGTGCTGTTCCCAGTCTGCGCTATTTCCTAGCTGTTCAAGATTGGTGTGCGTTTTTACGTAGGGCAGCTGCATGTGACGGGGCAAGACGTTCCTACTTTTCTCAAAAAATAAAATAATTGTTCTGCGACATCCCGCTTGTCCCGCCTTGGCTATATATACCTCTATCCCCCGCCCGGCGCGGCCACTCTGCTCTTTCCCAGCAACTCGCCCTTCTCTTCCCTCTTTTTTATTTTCGCTGCACATCCCAAACAGAAAATCTCTCTTTTCCCCATTGCTTCCTCATCTCTGAAGCCATACCATTTTCTAAAAAAAGATATATACTCCTTCCCGCTCATGTCGCTCTACGGCACCATGGACCGGTCGTTCTATCCGACCAGCAGCAGCACAGGGTACCCCACGTACTGCACATGCGGTGGCTGCATGCCCAACTATATCTCACAGCGCACAGTAACCCGGGTAATGTACGGCGCACTCCAGGCCATGCACGATTTGCGGCGAGAGGCCGAGCGGCTTTCCCCAGGCCAAATCATCGACGACCCTGGGCTCCTCTGCAGCTACCCGTACAACTGGATTCCGCCGCACTCCACCGAGCCAACAACAGAGGCGCTTTTGGGCGCAGCCAGTATTCTGTGCGTCATCTACCTGATCCTGAACGAGGGCGGCGTGCCAAACCCCGAAAGCATCCGGAGCGTGTGCAATAAGGAGACGGTGCGGCTGCCCGGCACGCACGAGTATGTGCGGTGTGGCGGCTCGGTTATATACGTCTTGCAGGAGCTGACGCAGCAGGTGGAGAGCGATTTGGCCGGAGAAGCGCTGTATGTGGATCCGGACGACCTGATCGAGGCGCTGGCAGGCATTCCGCCATGTGCCACGGACGACGATTTGGATAACTGGCGGCGGCAGCTCAACATTGACTGAGCAAGCCACGCGCCCCATTGACCCGCTCTATTGGCGCAATAACCCCCTTTTGCCACATTCCTTCTCACTCTCTTGTCAATACCAATTAGTGCCTGTAATAAACAATTTTCTGGGGTTTTTGTGCCTCATTCGCACTTCCGCGCGTTGCAGTTGATGCGGTGGCGTGCCAGGTACTTGCTGAAATGCCGCCACTCGGGGTACTTTTCGGCACCTGCGTCGGTGCTGCCGGTACAGGGATCGGTTAGGTAATCTGGCGCCGAGTCAGCGATGACGCGGGGCACGCCATGGAATGCCATACGCGACTCGCCACACATGGCCAGAATATCGCCGCTGCGAAGCCGGATGGCCGACGGCTCGATGTCGCGTGTTCTGCCGCCGACCAGGTACACGCACTCGAGGCCAAGGCTGAGCGAAATCAGCGGCGCCTCCATGTTCTCCTCAGTCTTGTCGACATGGCCCGCCATCGAGTCTTTCTCGCCATAGAAGTTGACTATGCCCGCATGGCACGTGTATTGGCGGCCATCAAAGCCGTTGATAGCGTGGCCGCCGAGTGATGCGTCGGAAATGGCAATGGCGATGGCGCGCATCAGGGAGTCCAAGGCGGGGTCGAAGGCCGTGGAGCCAGAGTCGTAGAGCTTTGTTGTCCAGTTGTACTGCCTGCCCAGAGTGTACCAGCGCAGGCGCGGCAAAAGCGCTGCGGCGGGCTGGGCCTGCTGGTAGAACCTTTCCTTTGGCCTGGTCACAGCGCTTAGCGGACCGTCAAGCGACGAGGCATCCTGCGGGCTAATCAGCGAGCTGTCGTCTTGCATCCCAAACAGCGAGCGGTCCGGCAGGTCAAAGAACGGATCCAGGTTCGACCGATTCGGCGGCTTCGAGCAGTCTACCAGGCATTTGCGCGCCAGCCATCTCTGCGCTTCGGGCGTCAGGGCGTCGCGGATCAGCAGCAGTCCGGGGCGGTCGGGCAGCGCAAAGGCTGCTGGGTGCGGAGTGCGGAACACAGGGAAGCCAAAGCCGGGTAAAGCAAGCGTGTGGGCGAGCGTGGCCGGGATCAGCTCGCAGTCGGGCTCCTTGTGTGCATTGCGGAACGCCTTCTCTGCCTGGCGAAACGCCGTCTGCGGGCGTTTCCCCGAAGCGGCCGATCCGTCCATTCTGGCTTAGAAAGAATTGCAAACGCGCGGGTGGGTGCTAAACAAGGTGGGTCGTTTCTCGGAATATAGCCTGCGTATATTGCATACGCGTGTGCCCCTCCCCCAGCACAATCGATGTTCCTTAGGCGGCTTGCCTGACATTGTGGGGATATGTGGTCGGTCAATGTGAGACACTGCCCTTGTTTGCGATTCTGCGTCAATTGATTGGTGAGCTCAGCGCACGCCCTGATGGCTGTTAAAAATGGCGCCTGTCAACCAGGAACAGGACGAACCAGGATAGCAGAGGCTCTCGAGCTCTTTTTTCCTCGTCCACTTGTAATCTGCTCTAATTTATTTGACCCTGTCATTCCCGTACATTCCTGCTTGGTTCCACAGTGTTTAGCAAACAGAAAGCATCCCGGTGTGCACGCACTGCCCGTTTCTCGTACTCCCTATAAAACTCTCTTCACTGATACTTGTGCGCTCTCTTTACTCTGCCTTGCATATTACCGCTCTTTATTGCTTTCAGCACGCACCACCACATACAGTCTACAATGTCGCAGGGAGATACATTCGTAGCAGACGCCTGCCGACATAGCAGCAGCCTGTTCACTACCGTGGAAGCCAATTCGCGTCGCAATACTATTCACAAAGCAGCATCAGCAGAGGCAGCACCAGGCGTTCACGAGACAGCCGACAGCAGCCTGTGTTCGCCGCCCCACAGCCGTCGAGAGCGTGACCGTGCAGTGTCACGAGCATACAAGACCGTTTCCGCGCGCGATCTGCGCCGGCAAACCCTTCAGGGACACTACCAGGCGAGTCTCGACCAGCCGTCGCGCTCGAGCCTGGACGGCCATCGATCAGCGATCAATAAACAGATGAATCGCAAGTCGACTATGCGCGACCACCGTCTGGAACCGAGCCGGCCAAGACGGTACACCATGGAGCCGCACCACACGCGCAACATGTCGTGTCCAACACTGGATATCACTCGTATTATGCGGTCGATTGGTGGCAGCCCGGCGTCGCTAAGCTCGGCGCCTATGCGTGAGTCTGAAACAGCGTGGCCAGCGCGGCGCGCACGGTCAGCGCGGACGCCAACAAAACCTAATAGTGTGCCAGAATCCGCGCAGCGCTATTCCCTGGCCAGCCTCCGCTCAGTGACACCTAACGCAGATGTTTCAAGCGGTGTGGCTTCCGTACAGAGCCAGCTGGATTTATTGACGGCGTTGCTGGAAGATACCCCTGGAGCAGTTCCGTGCAGTAACGCCGAAACCTCGAATAGCCTCAAATTCAGCCAGTATGAGTTTGCTACTGCTGCCATGCCAAACCGCCCTCGGCACAGGCGAGGATCGTTGTCAGCCAACGATGGTGACTTTTTTAATGACGCCATTGGCCAGTCTCTGTTGATGGCCGACGGGCTGAGGCACCGCGCGTCTCTAAAGCACCGCGATGCGGCCACACCCGACGTGCATGTCACCCGCGGTGCTGTCGCCACCCCTCCGTCGCCGCCCTTGTCTGAAATCACTGACGCAATGTTTGCGTCGCCGCACGACTCGCCCCAGCAAAAGGTGCAGCGTGCAGCATCGGCACGCAGCAACGCGATCGAGCAGCAGCAGCAGCACGACAGTAAAGCGCTGGAGCACACTGTCAGGCGAGTCCTACGGAAATGGCCCATAAACGATACAGCTACAACCAAACTGCCTTGGCCGAGGGTCTGCAGGATGCGCTGGATGACACCATCCATACCGATTTGACACCTTCTCAACACTTCTGCGGACCAGCCGGAGGAAACCATGACTATTACTCTAAAGGGGCCGGGGAAGCAGGCCAGCGGCGAATTCGACGGCAGCGAGCAGAGCGCGTCTTTGCGCCCATCTGTAGACGACAGGCCGCTGCGACCATCACTCGATAGCATTGGAGATGCGGCAGTGCCGGCAGTGTACCTGAATGGCTCAGCGTCGCTGTGGGACCAGTATGTGGCTAGAGTTGACATCGGCGGAGTTTGACCAGAACATCCACCTGAAGCGGCAGCGCGTGTTCCAGCTTCTGCGTGTGCCGTGGGAGGCCGAAAAGCTGCTGTGGTTTGGGATTGCCATCTGCTTTGACGCGCTTCTCTACGTGTTTGCGATTCTACCGGTGCGCTTCCTTCGAGCCGCCTGCAGCCTTATTGCCGGCCGTGTTTACTGAGCTGCCGGTGATTCTCGAGACCCTGGCCAGCTCTGAGCCGGCAAAGCGTGCCGCAGCAGTGCTGCCTGAAACGTGGAAGACGAGGCTTGTGGGCGCTGGCAGCTCACTGGTCGGTGTAGTGGCAAGGATATCTGGCCGGCCGCGCAGCAATAGCGCTACACGGTGGCTGTCGCCGATCCAGCTGTTTGACTTTTACCGCGGCCTGCTTCTGATTGTCACCTGCGCAATGCTGTGCCGCATCGACGCCGCACAGATGTACCACAGTATCCGGGCGCAGAGCTCACTGAAGCTGTACTTTATCTTCAGCGCCCTGGATATCTTTGACCGCCTGCTGTCGTCGTACGGGCACGACGTACTAGATGCCCTGCAGTCGACCGTGACCGACCCGCGGTCGCAGCGTTGGCGCAGCGGGCTTGGCTACTACGCCCTGGCCCAGGGCTACATGTTCGTCCACACGCTGGTGCTGTTCTACCAGGTGATCACCCTGAATGTGGCCTGTCAATGCGTACAGCGACCAGCTCCTGTCTTTGCTGATCTCGAATCCAGTTTGTGGAGATCAAGAGCAACGTGTTCAAGAAGTGGGAGAAGGAGATGCTGTTCCAGGTGTCGTGCGCCTGACATCGTCGAGCGGTTCCAGCAAATCGTGTTTTTGCTCATCATTATTCTGCGCAACCTCGCTGAGCTCTCAGGCACGGGCTTTTCGGCGCTATTCACAAGCGACACGCAGCAGCCGCCAGTGCAGCCGCCGGTTGCGTTTGATGCGGCAACACCGTCGGCGTTTGGTCCGCTGCTGCCAGCATGGATGTCGGCGCCGATAATTAACCGGGTGGCGACGCCAGTGCTGATGGTCCTGGGGATCCGAGATTCTGATCGACTGGATCAAGCACACTTTCATCACCAAGCTCAACTGGATCCGGCCAGAAATCTACTCGCACTATATTGACGTTCTGTCGCGCGACCTGGCGTGTTCCAAGTCACAGCAGTCCTCATCCACTGCGTCTGTTCCGGGAGAGGCGCAGCCGGCGGTAGCGGCGGTAGCAGCAGCAGAGATCGCGTCACCGAGGCGGTCAGGCGAGTCTGGGCGGAATAGCAGCGCCAGCGATGGAGCATCGCGACCGGTTCCTCCTGCGTCGTCGGTGCTGACACATGCAGTTGGGAAGCTGTCGGCATGGGTCAAGGTGCATCTGGTGCCGGACTCTGACATCACTGTGATCGAGAGCGACTCTGATGGTCGATGATGAAGGCACTGTGCGGGCGAGCACCGAGCTGGGACGGGCCCACGGACACCGGCGCACCCGGTCGGTGACACGGCCGCAGCTGTTTGTCGAGCAGTCGTCGAAGGTCGCCCGGCGCCTGGGGCTGTCGCCAATGCCGCTTGCCATGCATGGTCACTTTGATGCTCCTCCAGGTCTTGCATATTCTGGCTGCGTCCTCGCGCAGCAATCTCCTGGCGCTGCAGCAGACGGTGGCAGACGAGGCCTTGAAGACTGCGCCGGGCTCGAGCTGGGTCTTTGCTATCCCGCTTGTCGGCCTGGTTCTGCGGGCACTCTCGATGGTCGTGCGGACTGCTGCCAGCATGCTGACTGCCGAGGGGCTGTCGTATTTCGGATATGTGCTGCTGCACCCGCACGCCATGGTGGCCTGGGTTCTTTGGCCGTTCACATCGCCGCGCAGGCGGACCCGTGGCAGGCGCGTTTCTTCGGCTGGGCCATTCTGGACATTGTCGGGTGGGCAGCCATGGTTCTGATTGTCTACGCACTAGTGGTGTGGATCAAGCTGATGGCGGGCACCCGCCTGGTGCAGTTTGCGTGGGTGCGGCACCGCGACTTTGAGCGCCGTACCAAGGAGAACAAGGGCACAAAGGCAGATACGAAGAACCTCAAGCAGTTTGACGACTCGACAAAGAAGCTTGACAACGACGCGTTCTTTGAGGTTGGCAAGCTGATCGGCAAGGAGAAGACCGAGGCTGAGTGGGAGAAGCAGAGACCGAAGTGGACTATGGACAACATTGAGCGGTACTCGCTGTTCAAGAGCCGCGTCCCGTAGAAATAAAATCGCTCCCCATATCTGTTGTTGGGGGAGGCCGTCTGACTGCGCTGTTTCCTGCAAAAAATGTTTTTTCTTCTACAAGCTAGGATTCTAGAACTACACTGTAAACTCATACTACATACACTATGTCTCGAGGAGGAGGACGCGGCCGCGGCCGCGGCACACGGCGCGAAATGAGCGCACTGCAGACTGAGTTGATCGGCAAATCCCTGTTCAGCAAGGTCGACGACGAGTCCAGCGTGTTCCCCGAGTACGACGTGTCGACCGGCAAACCGCCCTCCAGAGAGGAAACACACATCGCTCAGCTGCTCTCCTCCTACCGCCAGACCCTGGTAACCTCGATGTTCTACCTGCAGCCACCAGCGCCTCCCCGCGACATCGAGCGGTTCTCGGACCGCTTCTACACGACCGACGCCAACCGCAATCCCTCGCTGCGGACACTCAAAACCAGCCTCGATCTGTTCCCGGACGAGCTGCACAATGTTGTTTCTGTCCAAGAAGCGGTCCAAGAAGAGCAAGAGCAGCGGCGATGGCGGCGATGGACTGCTGGATGCGCTGAATGGCGCCAAGGACGACGACGACGAGGACGAGGACAGCGAGAAGAAGGAGGGCTGAGGAGGACGAGGAGATGGAGGAGATCGCCGAGGAGGACGAGGAGGAGGAGAACGACTACATGGACTCGTACTTTGACAACGGCGAGGCCGACGACATCGGACGGCATGGACGACGATGAGGGCGGCGGCGAGTACAGCTAGAAGGGCCGTCCAAGTGCGGATATTTCGTGTTTTCAAAAAATAAAAAATATTTGCCGCTGGGAACTGGATAATTCTCAGAGGGCATCTTTCCCATCCAGGCTGGCAGGGTGGAAGCGGGAGGATCCGTGTGAGCAAGCGAGAAATGCTTAAATTGAGCGGGTAGCGGGCGAGGGGCCTGGTCCAAGAACCGCTTTGCCACACCTCCCTCCTCCTTGTTGATCTTCTACTTTTCGCTGTGAGAATAAAGTCAGTGACGCATTAGTCAGCCCTACTCCTTATAATGTTCGCCCGCGCCGCCGCCAAGTCGTTCACCCGTTTCTCTTCTTCGCAGATCGCAATTCGCTCAATGTCTCGCAAGGTCGTCTCTACCACCAACGCGCCCGCCGCCCTGGGCCCCTACTCGCAGGCCATCGTCTCGGACAACACGGTGTACGTGTCGGGCCAGATCCCGATCAACCCGGCGTCGGGCGAGATCGAGGCCAAGGACATCACGGGCCAGACCGAGCAGGTCCTGAAGAACCTCGAGGCGGTGCTGGTTGCCTCGGGCAGCAGCATCGCCAACGTGGTCAAGACCACGTGCTTCCTCGATGACATCAACGAGTGGCCCGCCATGAACGACGTCTACGCCAAGGTGTTCCACACCAGCCCGCCCGCGCGCTCGGCGTTCGAAGTCGGCAAGCTGCCCAAGAACGCCAAGGTCGAGATTGAGGCCATCGCCAAGCTCAACTAAGAACACTCTTGTTTGAGGTTTTAAGGATATAAACACATTAGAAGCTGAAGTTGCTAGCATCGCCATGTGTGGATGCTAAATCCAGGCTACGGCCGAAATCCAGCGGCTCGAGCTCGGGCAGCGACAGGAGCTCGAGCTTCTTGATTGCGAGCTCTGGCGATGTGCTGTACCGCCTGGAGGTGATCTCGTCAAACTTGTGGCCACAAAGGCCCTCGGGTGTGCACACGATGGTCTCGCCCTCGCTCTGTGCTGACCCGCGCTTCTCAGCCACCGACATCTGTGACTCCTCGTAGTCTCTGCTGCTGGGCGATGACAGCGCGGACTGGAATGTGCCAGTGACTGACGGGTCGCGGAATTCTGACAGAGCCGGATCCTCGGCAGGGCTGTTCCGGCCCTTGGTCGCTGCCGACGACTCTGACCCTTCAAAGTCCATGCTGGAGCTGGCCGACAGGTGCTTGCTGGTGAGCGAGTCGCTGGTATATACGATTGCGTCCCTGGTTGACATGCACTCCGTGGATGCGTTGCTGTCGGTTGTAGCGTGGATCCGCAGCCCGTCGTCTAGACTGGGCGTCGTTGAAATGCACTTTTCAATGCTGACAGGACGCACCAGCTTTGGCGACACCGTGTCTGAAGGCGACGACTGGGACTCCTTATGCGTAGGCGTGCCCACAGGTGATGCAGGCACTGATTGCGCAGGCAGAGCCGGCATACTGTCGTCAGCCCAGGCGGCCGTGACAACCTCAGCAATGGTCGACTGGCGCTTCGACGGCCGCGTTGGAACCGGCGGCAAAGGCCGAACCAGAACTGGTCACCCGACGCAGGCGTGCTGATTGATGATACTGGTCGCGGGTCCCTGCTATCACCGAACGACTCTGCCTGTGGTGATAGCGGCGAGGCTGGCTGGTGGCTGGACACGGGTCGCTGCACAGGCGTGTATGGGCAGCTCGGTGGCGACATCGATACAGGCGTGAGTACTGGTGCTGGGGTGTCCTTCTGGCCAGCGTAATGTTCGAGGGATTTGGGTCTTGTTGCTCGCGAGTTCTCGCTGAGCAGGTACCCGTATGCCTCGTTGACTGCGCTGCCGTCGCTTTCGGTTGAGAGTGCCGACAGACGGTTATTGATTTCGACCTGCGACGCATGTCCGACATCGCCGAACTTTGAGGTAACCAAACGTAGCGGCACGTCCTTGCTGGCGTACTTTGTGTCGAATCCGCCGCTGACCGGCCGAGATGTCAAGCCAAAGGTAATACGCAGCACATGGCTGAACTGCAGATAGCAGCCTTCAGCCGTGCACACATCGCGGCGCGGCACACGGATGCGCAGATTCTGGACACCATTGAGGCCCCGCAATGGCTGGTCAGAGCTGCCCCAGTCCTGTGCGCAGCCGCCAGTCCTGTGTGTTGCCAGGGTCGATTTCCGAGACCTTGCGGTTGAGTGTGCGTTCGGCCAAGACCACTGCCGACCCCTGTTCGTACCGGGCCGTGGCCAGGAACCCCTTGATGGGCTCGACGGTCTGCGCGCCCGACGCATGCGTCTTCAGTGACACCTGTTCGATCACGGCTGCGCGAATGAATGTCAGCACACGGTCCTTCTGCAGCATCGTCGCATCGATGTCAACTAGAATTGCCTTCTCCTAGTGTGCAGCAGTGGTTTTTCACCTGCACGCAAATATTCATGGCTGTCTGTGCTGCTGCACGCCTGAAAATGCGCTTCACGGGCTCCGCCAGCATCACACCGTCGCGCATCACCAGGGGCTTCAGCCAGCCGACTCCTGACGGCAGTACCTTGGGCGCCAGTTGCACTGACACCGAATCGAATGCCAGCGGCATGATGTTATTCGCGCACTGTGTCACCGCCTCGTACGGGGTGTGCGGGGCATACCCGACAAGCGACCCGCTCATTGTATACGACACTTCGCAGATCGACGCGCGCATGGCCACAGGGAAGTTGATGTTGGGCATGGTGCAAGTAAAGTCGAAGATGTGTGTGCCAGAGATCGAGTCGATGGCGTCAGGTGTGCGCAGGAGGTCTACCGATGTCCGGAAGATTTGCTTGCGTGAGGCACCCAGCTTGGCGCCAAAATCTATGCGCTCCCAGCCTTCAAACATCAGGCGCAGCTGGCGCACTGCTATCGGCTCTCGCACCGAGACCTCTATGCGCCCATGGTATGTGCGCTGTGGTTTGAGCCCTGTCGCTGATGTGTTGAGCGGGAACTCCAGCTTGAAAACCTTTATACGAGGATCAAGCTCCATATTTAGATCGTCTGCAGCTAGCTGTGTACCCAGAAAGCAGTGCTGAACACGAAGTATATGCAAATGTGATGGAGATAAGATTAAAAAAAGCTGCTTGTTTGAGGGCAGTCGATGTGCTGAATAGTGAATAGAGTGGATATAAAAACTCTCTTTCAGAGACTTTGCAAAGAAAAAAGAAGTAGAGGAAAGGGAAGAAAAGATGGCGCCGAAAAAGCAAAGGTTACGTTTGTGCCTGTTTTCTTCTTGTCGCTTAACTGCACTATATCCTGGCCATTTATACCATTTTGCTGCCTGCGTCTGGTTATTTCCGGCTTTCTTTGGCTGGGCCAAGGCAAAACAAGCGTAAGGCAGTAGACCGCTATACGAGAGACTCTTTTTCCAGTTGACCCGTAAAATTTACCCAGCGAATTGCAAAATACGTCGCTCACAAAGCCAGATTGTTCGGAGAGAACTTTGGGCTTCGTTTTTATTTTCCGGCTTGTTCGTGGTGCTTTGCTTCATTTGGTGGTCTTGTGCCGAGCGAGACGCTCCTGAATATCTGACGCACCTTTTCTTCTACTGAAACACCCCCAAACAAACCGACAAAGGGGGCTCTGGGATGTCTGAATATTCGGGCTACAATTAGAGGGCAGAATCAGCATATGGGCGCGCAATATCATTATATCCGGAAAACGCCTCTCCCTCTCCTCCTCCTCGTCGTCCACGGACATCTGAAAACCAACTGACCCCAGTCTTGCCCAGCAGCATTCTACAAATTATCCAAATGCATTTGGCAGCAAGAGCCCCTTACGTTTAGTACGCAGCCACGGACTATTTGTATATAGTACCCTTTGGCCCAATGCGGCCAAGCTGACCCAAGCTCGCTTCGGCTATTGTGTCCGTGGCATGCATAGATGCACTGCCACTCTTTGCCTTGAAAGGCCGCGCTGTTATGCTGTTGCTGTTCCAAGAATTGCCCAATACAATGCAGGTACTGCGAGACAAAGGGCCAGAGCTCATTCTATCTCGTGGAGGCCAGAACATCGCACAAGTGTGCACATGTCTGTCCATACCATTATCTTTTAGCTTCCATTCTGTGTCTGCTTGTTTGGAGAGGAGAGGCTGTCTCCAGCCGTTTCTCCCTTGTTTGCCCACATCTCCGCAGATGCTGACAGCACAGTATGCACCATGGCCAAGCGATCACGTCTTGTCGCAGGATGCAAGGATGTGCGCCCCTGGAAGATGCGGGAGACAGGACTTGCAGATAAGCTCTTGGCAGTGCTGCGCGAAATACCCCATGCGCAGATTCTTGGGCAGGGCGGATTTGAGACAATAGAAGCTCATGTGTGTAGTGCAACATGTGTGCCCGACAGTTCCCATTCGTGTAGAGTCGAATTCGGGCACAGCCTTGCACAATAATACCACCTAGTCACCGAGACACCACCTGCTGCTGAATGCCGCTGTTCTCTCTTTTTCTCGACTCGGGGCGGGATGAGATAAGTTTAGAAATCGAGTCAGCCCAGCTGCTACCCATTCTGGGCAAACAAAATACCCCGGGAGAGGCGCTGCACCCTACATGACCCAACTGCACTCGGAGGTATTTATAGTACCATCTTGCTGTATTGTGCTCTTGCTATCTGCTGAAGGGGAAGGCGTCACAGTGAAAGCAGGAAAGGAACCATCTCCGAGTGCTGCTGCAGCATATGAGAGAATTGGCGCAGCCAGTAGGTCGCTCCCGCTTCAATCCAGTCCTGTCAAAGCGTGTATCTTATTGCAGCCTTTGCAGCTCGTACAGCAATTACGCAATGCAGGCTGCGCACAACCTGCAATTATGCACCAGGCCCAAAGTATATGCATGCTAGGTGGCGTCCTATTTCTGCAATAGCCCAGGTCTGTATTGTTATCGAAGGTGTAATCGACAAAGTCACACCATGTCAGTCAGCTGGTAGACATTTAACGCAATATGGAGCTTCCGCAATGGACTATATGCAACTAATCGGCCACTACAATAGCCAGAAGCCCATGCACTTGCTCCGTGGACCATGCGCTCTTCCCGTGTGTCCATATAAATGCAGACAGATGTAGCCAAGATGTAGGCGAATTCCTCAACATACTATTAGCTGTCTTTTTCCCCCACCGTCACGCATTCAGAAACATCATGAAACTTTCAAGACTGCAGATTATCGCTCTGGTTGTGCTCATTGCTTGTGCCTCGGCTGCGCCTGTCCCAAGCCCACAGTACATCACCGGAGCCCGGCCTGCCAATGCGCAGCCTGCTGATGTAAAGCCTGCTGATGCAAAGCCCCAGATTGCTCGGCTCACTATTCAGCAGTGGTTCCAGCTCTTTGTCTGGCTCCAGCAGAATGTCTAGGACCAGCCAGACACAGACCCTCTCTCAGCCCTAGCTAATATCTTCATCTTGTTTTATAGCCTGTACGAATAAAATCATGACCAACTGCCCACAGTCTGCTTCATCTGCCACGCTCCCGGCCTTCGGTTATCCGCCGTGCAGAGATGATCCGCCTTTGCTATCACACTTGCGGGTCAACAGTTGTCCTTTGCTCTCCCCCTTAGCCCCGGTTCGCACGCCCAGATATCCGATAGGTGCTTGGAAATCCCGCGTGCTGTTGTCTGCGGGAGGGACATGCGGCTGCTGCCAGGCAAAAGTATTTCCCGGGCCCTCCAGTGTCATCCTCCCGACCATTTAAAGCTGGCTCATGCTTCAGCAACTTCAGCAACTTCAGCTCCATCAGCTTTAGAATATTCCTGGTTATCTATTTTGGCAATGCTCATTTCTCTCGGTCGTCATTCGCATTCACTGCGCAAATTGCAGCCAGTAGTAGCACGGTCGCTTCCACCAGCCATGACCCCGGTCGTACTCGTCGCCTCCATCGTCTGAGGTCACAATGATCCAGCAGTGGGCCAAGGACGCCAAGCAGACGCGCTCCGAGGTGTGGGACCGCATGGACTCGCGACAGCTGACGCTGCTGGACCAAACGATTCGGCCGTACCTGCCATCGAGCTACCCGCCGCACCCGACAGACCCGCTGTTCGGCGATATTGCTGAAGGTACAGCTCTGCCACCCGCAGCACACCTGGTGTACTTCCCGTCGGCCAAGAGTGAGCAGTCTTTGTCGCCTGACGGCTACCATGCAGCCGGAACTCCGCCCGCCCCCTTCGTGCAGCGCATGTGGGCCTGGCGGTCTAATCGATTTCCGACCCGAGAACCCACTGCGAGTGGGCTCGGCAGCCCAGCTGGTTAGTTCTATCGAAGACATCTCTGTCAAAGAGCGGGCAGATGCGGACCCACTGGTGTTTGTCAAGTTCTTGCGCGAGACACGCAATGAGCTGGGCCTGAGCATGGTCGAGCGTCGCCAGCTCGTCTACATGAAGCCGGTCGAGGTCCAGCGCAAGATTGTCAAGCACAAGCGCCAGCCGGAGTTCAGCCACACGCTGACTCCCGACGGAGATTATGCTGTTCCGATACTCGGCGCTGACGTGGAACTCGCATCGCATCCACTACGACCACAACTACGCGTGCAATATTGAGAACCACCCAGGATTGCTGGTGCATGGGCCGCTGACGTGCACGCTGCTGTTGCAGCTGCTGCAGGCGAACATGCCAAAAGGATATGTGGCCAAGTCGTTCGAGTACCGGGCAATCAGCCCAATGTACTGTCAGCAGTCACTGACACTGAATGGCCGCTGGTCCCAGCGCAGCGAAGGCAGCGAGGCTGCTGATGGGTCGCGCATCTGCGAGCTGTGGTCTACAGACAACGAAGGCGGTATCACCATGAAGGGCACTGCTACTGTAGTTCCGGTTGCCGACAAGTGACGACGAAACAGGGCTTCCATATCTAAAACCATCTCATATCTAAAATCATCTGCCTAGCATGTGTTTATGTCTGCATTCAGAAATGTCAGGAAAGGAGCCAACTGTGCAAGGCGTGCTGCTGTTGCTTACTCCCTCACGGGCCGCTTGGACCTTTTGAAGTCTCTTTGGGGCATTACTGTCGGACGGCTTCTTGCCAAAGTCCCTCTTTTTCTTCTTGAAATCGCCCTCCTTGCCATCGCCATGCTCGCGCCGCGGCCGCTTCTTGTCGAAAGGCTTCTTGTCGAAAGGCTTTTGTCGAAAGGCTTTTTGTCGAAGGGTTCTTGTCAAGCTTCTTGTCAAACGACTTTCTCTTTGTCTCGCCCTTGTCCTTGTCTTCTGCCCCACTGCCCTCACCATCATCACTATCTGCAGTGCGGCTCTTGGACCGCCATTCAGTCTTTTTCTTACCGTGCTCCCGACGCTTTCCTCTAAACTCCTCGCGCTGCTTTACGAATTCTGCATGGCGCTGGCGCTTCTGTTTGCGCTCCAAGAATTTTTCATCGAATCCGCTGGCCATCTAGGATCCTCAGCGTCGGGACCATCTTCAAGATGCGCTCCCGGTATCCCTCCAGCTCGCACACGGGGTTGCCCTTAAGGTTCAGGTTGTCCAGGTGCATCAGCGACGATAGCGGCGCCACGGCCACCCAGTCCTTCAGCATATTGTTGCCGAGATCCAGCACTGTGAGACTGGCGCACAGGCGGATGTCCTCCGGCACGCCTGTCAGCTTATTGTCGTTGAGCCTCAGCTCCTTCAGCAGCGGGTAGCTGGTGAGATCAGGCACTGTGCGCAGTTGGTTGTGTGCTGCGCTGATCTTCTTCAGCTCTCCCAGCTTGGGCATTTTAGGGATGTCCTCAAGCTGGTTGTGCGAGACCACCAGGGTGTTGAGCTTGGCCAGCGCACCCACGTTCTCGATACGCTTGATTGTGTTGTGCGCCAGAACCAGGGCGCGCAGGTCTGTGCATTTTGCAACAGAGCGGGGGATTGTCGCCAGGCTGTTGTTGCTGATGTTCAAAACGTTGAGCTTGCTCATGTACTCGATCACGTCAATCGTCTCCAGCTGGTTGTTGTTAAGGTTCAGGTACACGAGGTCCTCGAGATGCCGGATCCCGCTCAGGGAGTCGTTTGACTTTATATGGTTGCCCGAGAGATCGAGGTTGCGCAGGTTGATGCATGCCGAGATGTCGTCCAGGTGCGTGATCTCTTTGTCCTTCAGACTCAGCACTGTCAGCTCAGACAGTGGCCGGTCGACAATCGTCGCCAGAACCGCCGGTGTTATCCTCATGACTGTGATGCGTATATGTGCAGGTGTCGACTGCTCTATGGAAGCGAAAAAGAAAGCCGAGAGAGACAGAAGAGTAAGAGCCCAACAAGGCAACGAAAACGCCAGCCGATTTTTTTCACCACTTTTTCACCTGGGATTTTCTGATTTGATTTTGGGCGGCCGATCTAAAGCGATCGGATCGGTCACGTGGATGTATTGCTAATAATTGCAAGCAAATGCGCAGCAAGGACAAACAAGCGCAAGTGCAGATATAGAGTAGGTGTGGAGGAGAGGTTAGGAGGATATGTACGTGATGAATAGAAGAGGAGCCTAGAGGAATATATAGCTATCCCTCTAGCTGGCTATTGGTGTTTTGAGGGGGCAATGCCAACGCGAGATTGGCCACGGTCAAATACTACATAGTTTGAACGGAGGAAGATGTCGCCGAGGATAATGAAGTTGGAGGCACCGCTAGTTACAGCCGAGAAGCACCAGCCGTCTAGGCCCTTGACCGGCTCGCGGATCAAGCTCTTAATCGGCACGTGGAAACTCGGCGCCTGCGATCGTGAAAGTCAGGTTTCCGGGTACGACCTGATCGGTGTTGCACGGCAGGATCCACCCGTAGATATCGCTGTTTTCGGCTGACGGAATGCCGCGGTGGAACTCTGGTTGCCTGTTCATCATTCATAACGATAAGCGTTGTGCCAGTGTCGAGAATTGCCGGGCCCTTGATGTCCATCTTTTCACTGCTGAGGCTCTGGACATTGAACGACACGCCGTCAACCAGGATTTGCCAGAACTTGGGCTGATACAATGGCACCCAGGTCAAGTCACCAATGAACTTGCTCTTGTCATAGCTGCCAAACAGGTATTCGCCAGCAAACCCGTCCTTGTCTTTCTCCGTAATATAGACAGAAAAGATCGGGTCTTTAAGAATGTTGTTCTCGTACATGTTGTCAAGGAACGTGGTAACGCCGGGAATGAACGCCACGCCGCTGTGTGCCAGCCCCAGGAGCCCATCGACAGTATCGACCTGGTACGCTCTGGACTCGTTAGTTGCGAGGCCAATGACTTGGTTGGGCACAGAAATTTTGCCGATGGATACAGTGTCGCGGATGGTGGTGCCGGCGGCAAACGACCCATCGCCATACGAAATGCCCCATTTGCGACCCTCATATCTGTGCGTTGATGAGCGATCGGGGTCGAATTTCTTGTGCCGTGAGCACACCCTACACTCTTGGCCCGCCAGCCAGATGTCACCGGAGCCCGTGTCCAAGTCCAGTTTGAACATCTGCTGAGGCGTGCCAACCCCTACTTCGGCGTAAGTACTCGATGCTGTTGCCGTACTCTTTGACTGGCAGGCTTTGTACCTCCTGCAGCCACTTGCCAGGCACTTGTAGCATGTGTTTTTGCAGTGTGCGAACGCGGGCCTGCATTGTCGACGCGCGGCTGGTTCCAGATCTGTGCGACATCACCGGGATGCGGAATGCGTTGTCGCTGATCAGAGATTGGTCAGTGGATGGCAGGCGCGGCTGCTGAAGCGGATGATGAAGGAGAGTTTGGGTCCTCGATACCGGCGATGAGGTTGGCAGGCGGCGCAGGCGGATCAGTGAACCCTGTTAGTCGATGAAGCAGCCTGTCGGATCGCTGTGAGCCTTGTGGAGCCGCCGCGGCACTTGATAACAGCAAAGCCTGGATTGCAAGCCCTGCTATTGTCAATTGTCTCCACATGGTCGTAGGTTAGAAATATAGAAAATAAGCGGATCTGCTAGGATAGATGTTGCTGGTGCTGCCGTGTGGAATTAAGAAGGTGGTGTGTAGGGCCGTGTAAAAGGAGAGATTTCAGAATGTTCCTCTGAATATACAGGTGGGTTTCTGTTGCTAGTTATAAGTGGACTCAGAGTAACGAATAGAACGTGCAGCGGCTGCACGAACACAGATGGTCACTGAATGAGGATATTTCCTAGGCCAGGATATAAAATAGCGAGTTTGTCAACGATTTGGTTTCGAATTCCACAGTCAAAAGTCTGGTATGAAACTATTCCAGTTAGACCCGCGTGACAGCGTTTGTCCGTAAGTGGATGTCTGAGGAGATGAACAATGAGCGATATTGTCAAAAAAACAGGACCAGGGTGAAATCTCTGCCAACACCAGGCGATCTGGTTTTAAAAACAAACAGCACGAAATGTGGAGTAAACACGGGGAAGAATGGCGGGGGAAGGGGTTTTTGTACAAGGAAAAATACGATCTTGGGTCGTCGCTGATATGGCATGGACGGACGAGGAAGCAACAGTTAAAAAATACAGGAATTAAACGAAAAATAACAAAGCACGAAAAGCGGAATGTCGACCATGCGCGTCAAATGTTTGAAATGGTTTCGGCGGATATCTGGCGATATTAATATCAGCAATTCAATATCATTCTTACCTAGGGAGCACAAATATTTCACACATGGCCATCATTTCATAAATAATGACATGTGCGAAATTAAAAAGCATGGGCAAACGCCTGTGCATTTTCCTAAGGGGAGCAAAAATACGCCCTGTAGTTCTCATGCATGTAATTAAGGCGTGAGATGTGAGCGCAATATTACTGTCGTCGATATTGGTTATTTCGCAGTGGGGGTTACTGGGATAAGGGGAGCTAGCAATCTGTGCGTCGTGTGAGCAGGCTGCTGACGTATGTGGTCATGGTGCACCATGTATGGTGCTAGAGCTGGCTCTAATGTACTGCAGAGCAATTCGAGATGTGTACCTGAGCCAAGGCGAGCTGCCTTCATAATCAGCTCGGTTCAGCTCGTCTGTTCTGGAAAGCGTGTGCATAGTTTTTTTAGTAGATCCAACGAATTTCCCGCCAGGATCAGTTTCAGCCTGTTTACGCGTTTTCAGCCTGACACTTCTTAGCCTCGCACCTCTTGTTTCGCTTTGTATTCCTTGAACTGCTATTAAACACGCATTTTCAAGAGTGTGCGCTTGCTCTATGTGTGCTGCTCGACAAAACTGCCTGTGCTTGACCTTTTTAAAACCAAAGCGTCTACTGCGCCTTCAGCCTTCTCCTCATTCCAGCATGGACAGCAGCGACTTTGAGTCAGACATGAGTGATACGCGCTGCATGCGGCCTGCATCGCCGAAGCGCAGAAGGATCCAGCAGCCATTGGCTTGGCGTACCAACAGTAGGTGATACCAGCAGCAATCACAAAACAGACTTTTGTGCATCTACCTCAGTCACATTGTTTTTTCGCATTTCTAGGTGGTGGTTCAGCAGCAGATCAGCCTGCGGGTTCAGCCCTTCTCGAAATGCCGCATCGGGTCTCGGAGAGCCAAGTAAGCAGCCTAAAGCCGATACTCCACACCCTCCACACCTCCACACATCGATAACTAATGATGGCCATTTATTGAAGTAGCGAAGAACATCCTAATCCAGGGTTCAGCAGAATCTGACCTGGATTCGAGCGATTTCGAGTTCCTTTCGAACCTCAGAAGCAAAAAAATCGCTGAACCGGAGAGAAAGCAAGCAGAAGTGCCAGCAGATGACAGGGAGTCAAGCGACGAGGGCATTGCTATCTCAAAATCAGACGGGGATGCAAGTGGCTGTGCTAGCTCTGAGGTGTCGCAGGGCATACGCCCTGTCGTGGCACCTGCAACAATACAGCAGGGGCTCTGTGGCAAGTGCCTCCAAATCCGCGACGACTTCCAGCCAGTCGCCAAGGCCGCCAGCCAGACAGCCACGGATGGCCAGATACAAGGAGCGCGAGAACGAGCCATTGGAGGAGCCTGGAATGGAGGTCCTGTTTGAGGTGTTGGCTGAGGATCCGGAGAAGGGCGATGTCGAGGACCTGCCATGCCGCACGCTTGACGATTTCGTGGTATTCGACCAGATGAACGGCAATATGGTGATGTCGCTTGAGGACATTGGCGAGGAAGGAACTGATATCACAATCGCCGGAGACGTGGCAGCATTGGCTGCTTCAGAGCTGGACGATTCGATCGAGGAGCCCGACGATGACGACGATGACGACGAAGACAATGAGCTCACCATGCACAGGAGGGCAGGCGGCCAGCCTCTGCGTCTGTCGGCAATCATGTACTATGAAGTGCATTTGACGCAGCGTGGTGAGTCAGAAATCTGGGTGCGTACCTGCTTCGCCTGGTATAAGCTTTTGAACCCGCACCCTGGATATGTTCATATGTACGCACCACTTTACAAGATCGTGTATATTGCACACCAGGCAGTTCTGCGTGCTGCCGAGACGCCCGATCTGACAATCAGCAAGTTCTCCAAGGAGGTGATGCAGGGCACTAGCGATATCCTGAGCCTGCTGCCGCCGGTTAGCATGAACGAATTCAACAAGAACCGTGACTTGATCATGGACGAAGTGCATGTATGCTGCGGGGCACTGGACCGCGAGCATCTGCTGGAAACACCGTTTTTGCGGGCGCTGTGCAGGGAGCCGGTCAAGGGCAGGGCTCCGAAGCGTGCGCCTGCAGCAAACCGTGGACGCAGCACAGCACAGTCAAAGACCACTGGTGAGCCCAAGAAGGAGAACCCGGCATGCATTACCCAGCTGGTGGCTGACATTGCCCGTGGTCTGTATGCTAAGCACCTTATCAACGTCACCGCCTACCAGACGGCTAGCCCCAAACAGCAGCAGACGGGTACTGATATGGATGGTGGCCTCGGTTCTGATGTGAAGAAGTGGGAGAAGAAATACTCGAGCCCCTGCCATGACCAGAACAACTGAGCTCAAGCGATCTCTGGACGACAAGGGGAAGCTGCTTGTGGAGGAGCTGAAGGCGCACAATGTGCCAATGAAGCTGTTCCGGGCAAACACTGTGCATTGGCCGCGGGAGTCTATCTTGCCAGCACCAGTGCCTGGCCGGCGCTACGCCAGTGAGGTACACATTGATGCAACAGTCCACAGTGACGACGGATCACGTACTAGCGGTGTGGTTCCGATCAAAATCGGCGATGTAGTCCTGGTCAAGGCCAGCGGACCCAAAAATGGCTTCACTATCGACTCAATCTGGGAAGATTTCCAGGCAAGCAACAGCCATGGCGCGGGCCTGTATGTCAGGGCGGTGGTGGTCGAGAGCATATACTCGAAGCGTGCTGGCAATGTGCAGATGATCCATGGACGCACGCTACTGCCTGGTCGCGACACAATCCTGGGTGAGGTGGCAGCTCCGCATGAGTGGTTCTTGGCGGATCGTTGTGGTACCTACTCAATCGACATGGATCTGCGTGGCAAGCTGTTTGTGTCTTTCATTCCCACTGAGATGGATGTGGACATGGAGGCTTTCGCAAAGGAAAAACATCATGTTCTGCAGATTCTGGTATGACTTCAGCCAAGGGATGTTTGAGGATGTCAATTTGCACAAGGTCCGCCTCCACTGGCTCCATCAAGATGTGGTGCTCGCTGTGCAAGAGCAAAAGAGGCGCGGCAATCAAGGTCAAGAAGCAGGTTGTGCCAGCAGCCAAGACCACAGATGAGAGTGGAAAGCAGCGGATCTCATCAGGGCTCATCTCTGCAATCGCCGTTGCGGGCGTGACATATCACGTGCATGATGTCGCATATATGCGCTCGCACACGCCCAACCATCCGTTTCGAGATTGGATACATCAAGTCCATTAAGAGCCATGGTGGGCTGGAGCCGCAGCTCAAGGTGGTAGTTCTCCGGCGGATGCGCGATGTGTCTTCAGCCCTGCAGCCCGTGGGCTCTGACCCGGACTATGTCGACGACCGGCACCTGTTCTGGACGCCCAAGGAGATGCTTATCAACAGCGAATTCTTGCGCGGCAAGTGCTGGGTGGCCCATCCCTCCGAGATCACTGGTAGTCTCAACGCCTACAAAGGACACAGACCCGAACGCATTCTATGCCAAATACCAGTCGATGCGATACACCCCCAAGAGCACCGATGACTGGCAGGAGCTGCAGCCACATGACGCCTTGGACGAGGATCTGATGCCAGCGCCCAGGTCTTGTATGATCTGTAAGCACGGCCGCATGAGGCGTGAGCAGCTTATGTCCAAGTTCATTCGCAATCCCACAGAGAGCAACGCGACTGGCGAGCCGGGCACCAAGCACTACAGCAGTTTTGCCTGCGGCAAGCATCCGCTACGGGCTTTGGATCTGTTTTCCGGATGCGGTGGAATCACGCAGGGCATGGACCAGTCCGGTGTGGTCAAGGACCAAGTGGGCAGTCGAATACTATGCCGTCGGCAGGTATGACGTTTGCACGCAATCATCCACACGCGCAGGTATATAGCCAGTGCTCGAACCTGCTTCTGGACTCTGCGATCAAGGCGCACCATGGAATCCAGACAGAGCCGCTGATCAACAAGTTCAACGACAAACCACTGCCGCCGATGCCACAGCCTGGCGACGTGGACTTTATCTACTGTGGGCCGCCGTGCCAGGGCTTCTCGCGCTGCAACCGATTCATCAAGGCAGATGACATAAAAACCTCGCTGATTGCCAATGCCCTGTCGTATGTCGACTTTTACCGCCCTACGTACTTTCTTGCTGGAGAACGTGCGTGGTCTCTTGGACTACAAGCTTGGCGGGAAGCAGGTCGGCACGGGTAGGGTTGAGGGAGGCATCAAGATGGGTGTGCTGAAGTTCATTCTGCGTACCCTTGACCACCATGGGATACCAGGCTCGATTCTACGTTTTGCAGGCTGGCAACTACGGGCTGGCAGCAGTCGCGGCGCAGGCTGTTTGTGTGGGCTGCTAAGCGTGGGTGCAAGCTGCCTGGAATCCCGACCCCCATCACAACCTTCGCCAAGTCGGGCCAGACGAATATTACCCTGCCGGATGGCATCCGGTTCATGCCCTTTGACCACCTCAACGGCAACGCGCCGCATCATGCAATCACCGTCAAGGACGCAATCGGCGACCTGCCAGAATTCGAGTACATCAATCCGGCGACGCTCTACCCAGACACAGACACCCGCGAAGACACCAGTCATATTCCCAAGTACACGGCCGTCAGCAGTATGCCATCGGATACGCCTGGCGACAGAGACGGTAGACGCACCTATGTTGGAGAAATGCATATGCGGTACAGCAGGCCGCCGTGCAGCGAGTTCCAGCGGCTGCGGCGTAGGGAGCACCAGATCATGGCGCCTGGAGTCGACAGCGACTGCGATGCACTTGTCAGCACGCTGCATAACCACGTGTCGCGCAAGTTCAACGACATCAATATCGAGCGTATCTGCAACATCGCGTTTGCCTTTGGTTCCGACCACCACTCACTACCCGAGAAGCTCAAGCCCTGGTGTCTCTCGAACAAGGACAGCGCAGCAGCACGCCACGGCGGCTGGAAGGGGCTGTACGGACGCCTGGACCCGGACGGTCTGTTTGGCACCCAGCTGACGGAGCTTGTCGCCGATGGGAAAGAGCGGCACGGTCATCTTGCCGAACCAGCGCAGAGTGCTGAGCGTCAGAGAGTGCGCTAGAGCACAGGGGTTCCCAGATACGTTCCAGTTCTATAGCATCGTCGAGAACGATATCAAGGATATGCATAGGCAGATTGGTAATGCAGGTGCCACCCCCTCTGGCATATGCGCTGTCGCAGAGACTAAGGGAGGCGCTGTTTAGCGACTACGTCGAGCGTCAGGACAGCGAGGAATACAGAATCGCAGAGGATGCACTGGCTGGCGACTTTTGCATAGATATCAAAGGCTCGCCGACCTTTGGGCTAAAGAAGGCCTCTGATTCAGTGTCAGATATTGCCGGTGACATCGAGGAGATGGCTATCGACAAGGAGAGCATGCTCAAAGACCCATTGGCGTAGACTAGTTGTTATGTTATTTCCATAAAGCTAAAACGCTGTGCTGCCGCATACTAGCACCTGAAATAGCGGTTGCTCGCTGCATGCTCTTTGAGGTAGTCGCCGCCAAACTCCATGTAGTCCTCGCGTGTAATGCAGCTCTGCTTGAACGTACTGGTCTCAGTCGTGCTCCACTTTGCAGCCCCACGCCAAGCATCCAGCACCGGGTCAGCAGCGCCCTTGACACTGACCTGCGTGCCAACCGGAACAATGCCCACGATGTCCCTGCGTAGCCGCTCCAGCAGCCCAGGCACCTTGGAGAACCCACCACCGGTGACAAACACATTCTTCACGAGCCCAGGGCCACGGACTGTTTGCCTCAGGACGCCGTCGATGGTCTCGAGCAGCCCAGCCTGGTCCAGCCCGACAAGGCTTGGTCTGAACAGCACCTCGGGCACACGGATCCGCTCCACATTCAGGTGCAGCTGGTACTCGCGCGCTGCCCTGGCAACAATCGCCGCATTATCAATAGTTTGCGGTGCGGCGGGCTTCTCCAAGATTGCCGGTAAGCAGCCCTCGGTGAACCGGTAAATTGTTGTATTCTCAATCTTGGCCCGAGCATCGCGGTCCAGCGCTTCCAGGTAGAACAGCGCATGCTGCTCCAGAACCTTGTTGTTTTTCTCGAGCTCCTCCAAATCCGCCTCCTCTTCTTCGTCGTCGTCCTCTTTGCTGATGTCCCTGTAGACGTTCCAATCATCGTCTTCGGCGCCGAAATCGTCGTCCTGATCGCCGCGCCGCCGACGCTTATTACCTGTGGCGGTGGATTCGTTGGCGGCAAGATCGGCGATTGACCGCATACGCTGCTGTGACGCGTGGACTCCGCCGGTCGTGCAGCTCTTTGCGTCGTGCGCGTCGTTCATCAATCCGGGACAGGATCTGGTTGCGCCTGGCGATCTTTGTCTTCCAGCCACTGGTCAAAGTGGTTGGTACGCAGCTCGTCGTCCTGGCGCTCAAGCTCCTCCTGCTCCATCCGCGCTTTTCTCGCGCTCAAGCCGCTCGCGCTCACGGCCATCGTACAGCGCCTTTTGCTGCTTCTGCTTCAGCTTCTCCTGTTTCTGCTCATCGGTGAGTTCCTCGTCGGGGATCTCTAGCAGCGGGAACGTCGGCGGCTGCCTGTCCTCAGGCTCAGGTGATGCCCATCTCTTTGTTGTGGGCGCGAGTGACAAAGTTCTGCGCGTCATCAATTGCAGCATCAAGCTCCTGCTCGTTGGCTAGCCCAGCATCCTTCAGCTGCATGACAAACTCGCCGGTCTCCAGTTCGGACTTGCTTTCGCGCAAAGCTGTTAGTGACTGCAACTCCTGCTCACGCTGCTCAACCTTCTCCTGGCGCTTACGTGCCAGGTTCTCCTGCATTTTCTTCATCTGTTGGCGTCGTTGCTCGCGCCGCAGCTCAATCTCCTCCGCAGTGCGCTCATCAAGCGCAGGAATCGGGAACGGGAACTGTACGATCTGATCGTGCTCTTTCAAAAAGTCGGGGGACAGGAAGCCGGCAAGCTCCCGGTCGTAGTCGTCAGCCACATAGGCAAACCTGTCAATGAGCTGGTGTGCCTGCCACTCGGTGATCTTCATCGGGAACGTCGGGTACTTTAGTTGCAGCAATTTGAGAAGGTGCTCGTCCATTGCCTGGCCGCCCAAGTTCAGGCGCTTCGTGTGGTTAGTGTGGATCCGCGCATCATAAAGCGGGATGACATGCGACGCAACATTGCCTGTGTCGATGATCAGCGCATCATCATTGAGTGTCCCAGCATTCTGGTAGTAGCTCCACGCTGCATCCACGCCATAGGTGACGCTCGGCACACTATAGCACTCAAACAACAGCTCTGACATGTGGCGTCTGGAGCTATATGGTGTGCATACGGTCTCGGTCATGACGATGGGCTGGGCTACGCGGTCGTCGGTGCAGCCCAGCAGAGTGAATATATAGTCGAGGACATTTTCCATGACGTCAAAGTTTGTCAGCACGCCGTTGTCGAATCCGCTGCGGATACTGGACTTGGCCATGGCATCAGTATGTACATCGTCGCCAACCAGGAGAAGCGCGCCTGAGCTTACTTTGCGGTTGCGGTATTTTGCTACAATGTTGTCGAATTCGAGGCGTGGCGAAGCCTCGCTGGCCCAGCCTGCACGGCACTTGCTAGGAGCCGTTGTCGATTACCAGGGGAACGCCCCCCTGCGACATGCTAGCGTAGTCAAAAAACGGCTTCTTGAGCTTGGCGTCCTGGCAGGTCCCTCGGGGATTTCGTACGTGCTATTGGATGCCATTTTTGTGAGAAAACTGAAGAGGTAAATGTGGAAATTACATTGTTTGCCCCTGCGGAGGGAGAAACCGTTGAGATTGACGCACAGGTCTTGCATAATTATGGAGTGTGTTTTTTTTTTTTCAATGTCCGAAGTCTGGTGATTGGATACCTGCTGTGTGTGCCTTAGACATGGTATGACTGTGAGAGTAGAGCAGATACCAACACCCGGTGCTTCACACTCGATAGAAGGCAATCCGCTGCAACTGTTCATTACGCAAATGGCCATGGATGAATAAATCGCCTCTGGTATCATCACCAGAGAAGTGATAGTTTGCTCGGCTCTTTGGCGTTTTCGGACATATCCGCAGCTTGGCCGTGTGACCTGAGCACATGCCCTATGCACCTTGCCAAGAACACAATGGCCAGAGAAGGAAAAATCAAGAGGGGAATGCCTGCTGGGCCAATTTCTGACAACCAGCATCTGTCCTCAATTGCCATGCTCTATTTGGGGAGCGGGATAGCTCCATTGCATTACTTGTCTCCAGGGTACACATTTGCCAATTGTAGCCTATTCCCTGTTTTCTTTTGCGATTACCCCAATTTCGGAGATACCAAGGAGCTGCATGCAAAACAGCTGCGCATACATGCTGGTGCCTGAATACCCCTTTTGTAGTACCTCCAATTGAATTCTCCCGCAATAAGATAATAGGCAAAGGGACTGGAGACGGAACTGCTGGGCCTGCAGCCGACCAGCAATTTGACCATATCAGGTCAATTCTCCTTGATCACTCCCCCTCGCTTTCTTTCCTGTAGCTCCCTGCTGCTTTCGCCTCTACCCTAACGAAGCTTTTTTGCTTTATTTTCCCTAACTTTTGCCGCTCATCTATTTTCAATCGCAGACTCAGCCTTACATAAATGGCTGTGCTTACCGAGCTTGAGTCCTAGCATTCATCATCAGCGCATATATCAAGCTAGGCGAGGTCCCTATGTGAGTTGCAGCGCAACACACCCGCTCAGCACAAATTATAAATACCGGCCATGACAGCATTACGGCCAGTTGCGGTTTGTCTTGCTGCTCTGGACACCTGTATTCACTGCCCTCTATCGCGCTTCCGTTTCTGGGCTTTTTTCTCTGCCCCGTTTTACCCTTATCGCTTTCACCCGATGTACATGGTTCCGGTCAGTGGTCAGACACCCGCCATCGTGACCACCAGGTATGGCGGCCATTCCCAAAACATCACGGCCTTATCTTCAGTGGTGATCGAGCCGGTCTACAGCCAGAATTGGGCCACATGCTGTGCTCTTGTGTAGAATGTGCTGCTGCAATCTGGCATAAACAGCCCTCACTTTACATTTCTCCACCTGTACTATTGCATGTAGTATTCCAGTCGCCGTCGATGCTGCTTTTGTAGTGCTGATATGCTTCTACATAGCATTTCGTGACGAAGTGCTCTTGGGACGCCTTGGAATGGCTGCTTTGGTAGGCAAACAGGAGCACGGGCAAAAAGCAATCGCTCTGTTTTCGCAAGGCTATCGTTCATTCATTGACAAATTGTTGATCATCTCTCCTGTGCCAATCCCTGTGTAGTTGCCAAATACTGCCGTGCTCGCTCTCAGTCTCTCGTTCCGCAGTGAGCCTGTCGGCAGATCATAGTGCTGTCCCTCTTCTCATTCAGCTTGTAAGTACCAAGCATCCGCCGATTTTCAGTGACCAAAAGAGTGTGCTGTAAAAGATTCCCTGAGCCAAACTCCCACTGGGTTTCTATTTCTTCGAGCCCAAGCTAAGAGGGGGTGGGATGAAGCCCAAAAATTTGCCAGGAACAAAAGGGAGGGAAAAATACTCCAGCCTGAGATCAATGTGCTCAAATCCATGCTCGCTAATCGTCTGGTTTCTCTCTCTTTCTCTTTCTCTCTGCGCTGTCTAGATAGCGATAGGCTTAGCCCGAGCAAGCGCACTGCCGCCATTCCTCTTCATAGCCTTCCATCTTTGCCGCATTATATGTACTCTTTGCACTGCAGTCTCGTCTGCCGGCGGCACCACCTATCTCCCACCGCTTCTTTCTCTGCTTGCATTCCACGCCCTCGAAATCTACGACGCGGCCAGCTCTCGTCGGACTTTCTGGCGCCAGCTGCTTTGTATGTTCAAAAGCAGCTTCATAGGCTGTCGGCCTGCAGCTGGACCGAGAGCCAGTCAAACCGGTGCTGACCTCAGAGGACATTGCCAGCATTGCCACGCGGTTCAGGCTCAAGGCAAAGCAAATGGTGATGCCGTTTGATGAGTCGCAGAGTACTTTTTGTGATCCGGGGACTGGTGGCTGCATACCTGGAAACCACTGGTTCAAGTGGCAATTGAGCAGGCAGCCCTTGGAATGTGCGATGTCTGGCAGACAGTGGCACTGGCGGAGATCTTTTCCCTAGCCGCGGGGGTTAACAGGCAGCAGCAACAGCAACAGCCAATCCAGCATATCCCATCTCCATCTTCGAGAAGGTAGCTGTGCTCATGCTGATGCGGGTGTTGCACATCCATCACTCGGCGTTCCGTCAGCGCGTCAAGGTGCAGGTCGGAAATGCGCTGCATCTTGCAGTGTGTCGTCGCTCTATACTGGAGACAGGGTCGACCCACACGCTACAGTCGCTACTTGATGAGCGCAAAGTCTTGCTCGATGCATATGTAGACAGCATATTCCTGCTGCTTAACAAGCTGGGGCCGACCATCCGGCTGATAGGCGACATTATGCTCACGTACTCGGTCGTTGGCTGGCGGATCGTTGTGCTGTTTGGCACCATCCTAGCACTGACTGCCGTATCCGAGGCCATATCGGGCGTGTACAAGCAGCGGCGGCTAGACCGCAAGCGACCACGGACACTTCATACGCGGATCACCGAGATGCTGCCTTCGATATTGGCTATCAAGCTAAACAGCTGGGAAAGCGCCTTCTTGTCGCTGTTGCCAGGTGACAACTATGACGACCGGGGCACAGGCTTTCTAAAGGTGTTAGCAGCAGCTGTCAGACGCATGACCAAGGAGGCGGCGGTGCTCCTTGCGCTATCGGTGTTTCCAATCCCAGCTATGCGGCTGAGCAACGCAGATATCATTCGGCTGATTATGTCATTGAAGTCAGCGGGCAGCTCATGTGGTGAGCTGTTTCAAAATGTATCGCAAATCGCCGAAATATTCCGGTTGGAGCGGCTTATTCAAGGGCGGCTTCGGCAAAAGAGGTCGGTGGCTACAACCGAAATATCTCGGTACCAGAAAGGAGGGCCGAGAGTGGTGATGAACAATGCGTCGTTCGCATGGTTTGGGCAGGCGGAGCCAGCGCTGCATATGTCAAGCATTTCCATCCAGGACGGCGAGCTTGTTGCAGTGACTGGCCAAGTTGGGTCAGGCAAGTCGGCGTTGCTGCTGGCGATTCTGGGCGAGATGCAGCTCGATGAGCGGAAGTAGCACGCGATTTGGGTCAGTTGCATACGTAGATCAGCAAGCATGGCTCATGAATGGAACGCTCCGCGATAATATACTGTTTGGACGGCCTTTTGACAAGCAGTACTATGACGAGGTCCTGAATGCCTGCGCACTGAGCAGCGATATAGAGCGGATGCCCAACGCCGACATGACCGAGATCACCAACCAGGGCACCAATTTGTCTGGCGGACAGCGCACACGGCTGTCGCTGGCAAGGGCCCTATACTCACAAGCAGACATTTACTTGTTTGACAGGTATCTTTGCAGCAGTTGATGCCAAGGTGGCCAAGCATATCTGGCAGAGCGTGCTATCGGAGAAAGGGTTGCTTCAGAGCCGAACCCGGATACTGGTTTCTGATACGGCAAACCAAGGAGCCTTATTGCTATGACAAGATCATCGAGGATCATTAATGGCACTGCGCTACTCAGGCGAGCCGATATACGGCAGTGGGCGAAGGCCGAGCTCCAGAATTTCGGTACTCCGAGCAGTGGTGAGCTGCGGGAGGCTGATAAGAAGCCGCTGTCCATTAGTCCAGGCACTAGCAATGCAGTCGACAAACGGGCGCAAATAAAGGTCAAGGAATCGAAGGACCTTATCGTCGAGTCTGGGCGTAGAGAGGCGATAGAATATTACATCCGAGAATTCGGGGTCGTTTGGACTCGTTTCGGCGGCTATATTTGGGCTTGTTCTCGTGTACTCAGAGCTTCTGATGCGCGAAAACTGGAGACAGTATCTACACAGCGAGGATCCAGACCAAGGGATGGACAAACTGATGCTGCTGGCGTTCATTGGGCTACAGCATGCGCTATATGCAAACATCTTGCAGGGGGTGCGGTTTGTGATTCGGGAGGGGCTGTACATACTACCACTGCGCACACGCATCCAGGCAAGCATCCTCAAGGGAATGGCTAAGGCTAAAGTGTCGGAGTACTGGAAGGGCAGCACCTACCGGTTCATTTCGATAACGCGTAGCTCCGAACGTGCAATTCCAGAGGGTATCCCTGGGGCTGTAGAGGACGATCGTGGTCTCCCTGGGCAGTGTGCTGTTCACGGCTGTTGGGGTATTCAGCATATCCCCATGGCGACAGCGATGGTCGTGTGCATTGGTGCAGTGGTTGCGTATACACAACTTCCCAAGAGGAACATCCTTCAGCCGCTAGGTACAGCTGCGTTTCAGATGAAGCAGGAGCAGGAGCGCCTGCTGCAGGAGGCAGTGTCGGGGTCTATAGCAGTGCGTGCGTCCGGGGCATTTGGTTTCTTTGAAGATCAGATTGTGCGTTGCTGCGTTCTCGAGCAGCAGGCGAAGCAGGCGGCAGATGCGGTGATTGGTGTGCGATCGTTGATTCAGGCATTTGCCGAGTATTCGGCTGTTTACATTCTGGCCGTTGGAATGCTATGGCGGTCGGCAAGTGGACAGCACGATTGAGCTGGGGGCGGGCGACCTCCAGTACCAGTATCTGACGCTCAAGGTAGTTATGCCGATTATCAGCAATCTGGCTGGGATAAGGCAGCTGTTCATCAACAACGTATATCCGATCCAGGAGGTTTACGACAAGGCGCATATGGAGGCTGAGGCACCGGCGCACGTCGAAAATAGCGAGCTGACAGCAGACTGGCCAGAGCACGGGCAGGTCGAGTTCCGCAACTACAGTATGCGGTTCACGGCGAAGCAGGACCGGGCACTGGCGGACGTTTCGCTTCAGATCAAGAGTGGGGAAAGGATTGGAGTGGTCGGGCGGACAGGGGCAGGCAAGACGTCGCTGTCGCTGGGGTTGTTCCGTGTGATCGAGGCAGAGTCAGGGTCAATATTGATCGACGGTGTGGATATTGCACAGGTTGGTCTGCATGATTTGCGGTCGCGGCTAGGAATTGTGTCCCAGGATCCGGCGCTGTTCCACGGGACATTGCGGTTCAACCTTGACCCGCTGCAGAGGCATTGTGACAGAGAGCTGTGGGAGGCAGTGGAGGCTGGCGGCATTGTAGAGATGGTAGAGTGTAGCCGCGGCAGGCATGATCCCGAGCGTGGGTGCTGCCTGGGTCGGTTTGTGGAGTGTGGGGGCAGAAACTTCAGTGCGGGTCAGCGTCAGTTAATCTGCCTATGCCGGTTGCTGGTCAGCAGGAGGCAAGTGATAGTGTTGGACGAAGCCACGGCTAATATCGACAGCGAGACCGATAGTCTGATCAGACGCGTGGTCCAGCGCGACTTTAGGCACAGCACCGTGATTACCATTGCGCACAGACTGGAGTCTGTGCTTGACAGTGACCGAATTGTGGTCATGGATAACGGGCGTGTAGTGGAGCTTGGGCCACCCAAAGAGCTGGCCAGCAATCACAACGGGCTGTTTTCCCAGCTGCTGGCAGCTCAAAAGCAACGGGAGAAGCATCAGCAGCAGTAAATGTTTTCATGTAGCTGTTTGTAAGGAATGCGGTAAGAAAAAGTGAGACAAAATATAGAACCATTTAATTAATCGTGGGAAGTAGGGGAAGGGATCATTGCTGCTCGGCCTTCTTGGTGGCAATGACTTGCGACAGCGCCTGGACGGTAACCATGAGCTGCTTCTCAAGCTCGTCGCGCTTGGCATCCTTTTCACCGATGGTGGTGTTGATGGTCTCGAGGGTGGTCTCGCTCTGCTTCAGCGCTTCCTCGGCGCGCACGACGCGCTCCTCCAACGAGCGGATGATTTCGGACTGCTGGGAGATGACCTCAGTGGCCTGGTCGAGCTTCTGCTCCATGCGCTCGATCTGGTCAGCGAGCTGGTGCATCTCACGCTGGCGCTTGCGGGCAGGGGTCTCGTAGGCAGAGCCGTTCGCCTGGGTCCAGGTGCGGGCATGGCCGGTCTGCGAGCCGTCGGGACCAGGCGAGCCGGACTCCCCGTGCATGTGGTAGGAGGAGATGTTCTCGGGCGGGAAGCGGTAGATGGACTCGATCTCGTTTGCGTAGGGGTAGCCCTGCAGGACAGAGGGGTCCTGAGAGTCGCTGGCAGGCGCGCTGCTGCTTGTAGACGCGCAGCAGATTGCGCCAGCGGATCATGCAGCCCTGGCCGTCGCGGACAAAGCCATGCTCGCGCAGCACATTGGCGGTCTGCTCGAACGTGGGGTGGGCGCGCAGCATGACCTCCCTCCTGTCCTCTGGGTTCTCGGCGACGATGCGCTCGAGCTCGTTGAGCAGAATCTTTGTCTCGTCGCGCGTCCAGTTGCGGGCTCTGTTGAATTTGGGCGTCAGCGGCTTCTGGTGGTAGACGTGCGTGGTGGTGTGAGGAGTGGCAACAGGACGAGGTTGCGGCCAGGGTCTGCAGGGCGCCGGGGTGGGGAGCGTACGCGTCGTCGTAGCGGTCCATGGCCTGCGAGACCTCGGCCGATATGGGCTGGGACTCGGCGGCCTGGAGCTCGCGCGCCGGGTGTGCGGCCAGCGTCTGGTCGTCCATCTGCTCGTGGGTCTCGTACTGCTGCTCGTACTGCTGCTCGTGCTGCTGGTCGTACTGCTGCTGGTCGTCCTGCGCGTACTGCTGCTGCTGGTCGTCGGGCGCGTACTGCTGCTCTTCGGCCTGGGCGGCAGCAGCGGCGGCGGCAGTGGCGACGGCGGCGGCATCGACAACTACCTGGTCGTCGTACGCCTGGTCCTGCTCGTATTCGGGCTGGGCCTGGGTCTCGTCGTAGGCCTCCTGTGGCGCGTCCTCGGCAGCCTCGTATTGCTGGTCGTACGACGCGTCATACTGCTGCTCGTATTGGTGCTGCTCGGCGTCCTGCTGCTGGTGGATGGTCGTCCAGCTGCTGGTGCTCTTCGAGAGGCTGCTCTTCCAGTGGCTGCTGGTGCTCCTCCAGTGCTGGTCCTCCAGTGGCTGCTCCTCCAGTGGCTGCTGGTGTTCCTCAACAGCTACCTCCTCGGCAGCAACCTCTCCGACGGGCACTTCCTCGACGACACTCTGCTGCTGTTGCTGCTCCTGCTCCTGCTGCTGCTCGACCTTGGGCTCCGACATATCAGCGTCCATCTCTGAAATACAAGGGCTTTGTGTGCGTCTATTCATGATGCCGAGGCAAATATTAGCACCATGATCACGAATATTATATCTGGCTCTGTCTCAAAATCACTTTGGTCTTGTTTTACCTTGGGCGCTCTAATATTTTGACAAAACAAAAAAGGTTATTAAAGCAGAATCAAAAGGAAAAAAGAAAGGGAGAAAATTCAAAACCCGGCGTGGAGGATTAAGGCGAATTGCGAGCGCTTGGATTTCATTTTTCTGTTCTCACCGCTCCTCCCTCTCCACCGACACGGCCAATCACTGTCGGGGCCAGCTCCAGCATTTTTTCCTCAAAAAAATCCAATCGGGCACCCCACGCCGTAATCAGCCAATCAAAAAAGGCAGAGACATGTATTCAGTATTCATAGACACCCTGGCCGGACCGCTGCTTGCCAGCCTTCTTCTTCTTGTGCTGCTTTTTGGCAGCATTGCCCTTGTATGCGGCGCCAGCAATCCTGGCCTGCTGGACGCCCGAGATGCTCAGGGCCTCGCCGCGGTCGTTGACGCTGGCGTGGGCGATAGCACCCATGTGCATCTGGGCGTAGCCGTCGCCCTGCTTGACCTGGTGCTGCATCGCGCGGCGCCTGGCGTTGGTGGCACCGGCGTTGCCGGTGCTGAAGAACTGGCGGTCCATGTGCTCGACCTTGACCGAGCCGCTGGTGGCAATGGCCTTTTTGACGTTGTTGCGGTCGCTGGCGGCGTGCTTGACGGCGTACGCGTGCGAGCCATCGGGCAGCGCAGTATCGACCAGATGGCGGGTCATCTTGGCGACGTTCTCGGGCAGATAGTGCTCCTTGTTGAAGTCGCTCGCGTCGGGGTGCGAGGGAGGTGAGGAGCAGAACACCAGCTTGCCGTTGACGTAGTCCTTGAGGATGACGCGGGCCGCTCGTGACTCGTCCGGGTTGCCCTCGCCACCCTTGAACATTCCGCGGGCGGCTGCGTAGGCCGAGAGTAGCTCCTCGCTGGTCGGGATTCCGTCGCCGCCCTCTTCCTCGTGCCTGGTCCTGATTTCAATACCGTAGACGGCCTCGAGGACGAGCTTCGGGATGCGGCGGGCGACAAGAGCGCTAGGGCCAGAGAACTCGCGGAGCTGGTCGATGGGCAGGACGCCGTTGCAGACCATGTCGGCGGCGGTGGTGGCGAAGGTGGGGAAGACGAGACCGGGGCAGTCGCAGAGAACGACGTCGCTGGTCAAATGGATGGTCTGGAAGTGCTTGGTCTTGCCCGGCATGGCGCCGACATTGACCTTTTTGGACCCGACCAGAGCGTTGATAGTCGAGGACTTGCCGACGTTCGGGTAGCCGACCAGGCCGATCATCAGCTTGCCGTGGGAGTGTTCGTCGGCCAGCGCCGGGCACTCGGCCATCAGCAGCGAGACCAACTCGGCGGCACCAGGACGCGCGTGCGCAGGTCCATCTGCGACAGGTCCACGTGCTTGATCTCGGTCTCAAACTCGTCGACCTCGTCGGTGGCCTCCTTTTTGTTGTACTTTTTGCGGCGGGACTCGGCACGCGCGCGCTCAATCGCCTCCATATCGCCCGCATCATCCTCGCCCAGGGTGTGCTGTGCCAGCTCGCGCGCCAGCTCTGCCGCCTCCTGCAGCTCGCGCTCCTTCTCGAGACTCTCGTTCGACTCCTTGGCGGAGAAGAAGACGTAGCGGATGCCGTGCTCTTCAAAGTAGTCGGCCCAGATTGTGCGCTGGCGGTCGGTCAGCATGTCCGCCTTGTTGATCAGCAGCAGCGTCTTTTTGCGCGGGTCCAGTTCACGCACATACATTTCGAGGTCCTGGCTGCGGAAGAGCAATGGATTGCGTGCGTCGACGATCTGAACGACCAGGTGGGAGCGCTCGAGCACGCGCCAGAGCTGCCGCCAAACCTCCAGGTTGCGCTCGAACGGAGTCAGCAGCAGCCCCTCGTCCTCCTGCATGTGTGCAAGCTCGCGGCGCCAGTCCATGAACCCCTGGCGCTCATTGCGGTGCAGCTCGGCCGGCGACGTGGTCTCGTCCCAGGCCGGGCGCCGCGGGATCCGGAGGCGGTTTGTGTTTTCCCGGTGCTTGGCCAGGGTGGCAGCCTCCTCGGCAGCAGTCAAAAGGAACGGGTTGTGGGCGGAGGTCAGGTTCTGGCTGGAGATGATCTTGACGTTCATGCGCTCGGCGGTGAATTCGGTGCCGGCCAGCTCGGCCGTGTGCAGGAACTCGTCTAGATCGCCTTGCTGGGTGATCGACTGCAGCTTTGTCCACGAGGGCCCGTCGTCGAGTTCGGTCGTGTGCAGCTCGGTGTCGTTGTCTGTTGGCCGGCGCTTGCCCTCGAAGCGCTTGCGGATAATCGACCTGCCTAGCGAAGAGCTGACCTTTGATCTTGGTGCCATGTCTGTGTATGCGCTTGGTAGTTGAACTAGAAATATAAAAGTGCAATTCAGGCCTAGTAGAGAAGAGCGAGTGAATTGGGAAGAGCCGTGGAGTTAGAAGGGGTTCAAGGGGATCAGGAAAAATAAAAAAGTTTTTGAAAGGCGTTGATTTCGTGATTAGCCTTGTGCTTACAAATGCGCAGTGATATCCCTCTGCTGCGGTTCTACATCCATTTGTCGTGGGAGAGATGCACTCTGGAGTGGCATTCAGTGTTCCGTCGGCCTGCCAGAGAGGGCTGGCAATGCGCATATGCGGAATGTGGTCTCACCACCGACTTCATGCAAACTGGATCAGCTCCTGATTGCCGATTATTGCAATCACTTCAGCTGGCTACTGATTCACCCTTCCAACCTCCGATCGCTGTCTCTCTTCTTCAGCACACATCGTCACTATTTTGCTCGCTCTATCATGATTTCTTGTTTGGCCAGCCGCAGCAGAGTGCATGTATCACGTGGCACAGCAGCAGCAGTGGCAGCAGCACCAGTAGTAACAGCTGGCTGATTCAGGCGTATATAAACGGCGAGCAGCATCGGTTGCGCCTCTGCTATTTACTCTAGGTTTATCTTCTCGCAATTATTCAAACATGTCAGCGAGCGAAATTCGGCGACGGTATCTAGAGTTTTTCGAGCGCAACGGGCACAAGCGACAGCCCTCCTCGGACATTGTGCCGAAGAACGACTCGACATTGCTATTCACAAACGCCGGGATGGTTCCGTTCAAGCAGTACTTTAAGCGTCCTGACACGGCGCCATTCAAGCAGGTCACGACAGTGCAAAAGTGCGTGCGAGCGGGCGGCAAGCATAACGACCTGGACCAGGTAGGGGCAGACGCCGCGTCACCACACGTTCTTTGAGATGCTGGGGAACTTTTCGTTCGGCGCCTACGGCAAGCGTGAGATCATCCACATGGCATGGCGGTTCATCACCGAGGAACTGCAGCTGCCGCAGGAGAAGCTGCGGGTGACAGTGCACACGACGGACCAGGAGGCGTACGCGATCTGGCGGGACGAGATAAAGCTTGACCCACTGCGGATTGTGCGGCTGGGCGACGAGGACAACTTCTGGAGCATGGGGGCGGGCGAGGGCCCGTGCGGTCTCAGCTCGGAGATCTTCTGGGACACGGGCAACCCGCGGTATACGGAGCACGACGAGGAGCGCTGGCTGGAGTTCTGGAACCTGGTGTTCATGGAGAACTACCGGGACGCCAATCGGCGGGCTAAGCAGGCTGGATGTGCCGTGTATTGATACGGGCATGGGGCTGGAGCGTGTTGCGTCGATCTTGCAGGGCAAGCACAACAACTTTGACACGGACGAGTTCCAGACGATCATCCGGTTCATTGGTCACGCTGCAGAAAGGTGAGACGGATCCCGTAACCACCGGCAACGATGGCAATCCGCAGCTGACACACAAGCGCGTCATTGCCGACCACCTGCGCACCAGCGCTTTCCTGATCTCTGAAGGTGTCTACCCGGGCAACACCGGCCGTGGCTACGTCCTGCGTCGCATTATCCGCCGCGCAGTGCGAGCTGGGCGGCTGCTGGGCATCACGGGGCCAATTCTACCAACCATCTACCCGAGTCTCGAGCAGGCCATGGGTGCTGCGTATCCGGAGCTGACCGAGCGGCGGCAGGCGATTCTCAACGTACTGGCGGCTGAGGAGAATGCATTCTTGGGCACACTGGGCAAAGGCATGGCGCTTCTAGAGGGCATTTTCACAGCCGACAGGTCCAACAAGACGGTGTCGGCGCGAGACACATTTGTGCTGTACGATACGCACGGGTTCCCGGCTGACTTGACCGAGATCATTGCGCGCGACCACGGGTGGGCGGTGGATGTGCGAGGGTTCGAGGAAATGCAGCGCGAGAGCCGCCAGCGCAACAAGGCATCATGGAAGCAGGGTGCTGCTGAGGGTGGGGAGGCGTCGGAGCTCGAGGCTGTGCGCATGGCGTGGCAGGAGGATGTGGGCGTGGCAAGTCGGTTTTCGGGCTACCGGTTTGACCCCGAGAGTGACATCATGGAGGAGACTGCAAAAGTCGTCACGTTCCGGGCGCTGGCCAACGGCGACGGCGTAGCGGTTATTGACCCATGCCCGTTCTATGCGGCGGGTGGTGGACAGGTGGCCGATTGGGGCTCTGTCACTGTGACCGATGCACAGGGCCGCACACACGAGTTCACTGTCAGCGACGCCCAGAGGCTGTCAGATGGCCGCGCAACCATCCTGTATCTGCCCAGCGCCGATGCTTCTTTGCTTAAGCCTGGTACTACAGTGACTGCATCAGTGGACACGGGCCGGCGGTTGGGCAGTGCAGTGCACCATACGGCCACGCACCTTTTGCATGCAGCACTACGGCAGGTTCTGGGCGCGTCAGTTCTGCAGGCGGGCTCGCAGGTGGAACCCGGGAGCCTGCGGTTCGATTTTTCCAGTGCACCAGTGACCCAGACGCAGTTGACCGAGATCGCCGATATTGTGAACCAGGCGGCGCTGAAAAACGCACTTGTGCGTGTCAAGGAGATGCCGCTGGCAGAGGCAAAGGCACACGGTGCACTGGCGATGTTCACAGAAAAGTACAATGAGAAGGCCGTGCGTGTGGTGGAGATTGCTGGGCATTCGCTGGAGCTGTGTGGTGGCACACATGTGCTTACCACCGGCAACGTGTTCCCGTTCCAAATCGTCTCGGAGGGCTCAGTGGGCACCGGCACACGACGTATCGAGGCCGTGGCAGGACATGCTGGTTCGCAGTGGCTGCAAAAGCAGCTCACGTATGCAACCGCGACTGCCGCCGTGCTGGGAGTGTCTGGCCTGAATAAGATGGAGGACAAGGCACAAAAGCTGCAGCTTGGGCAGCGCGCTGCAATTGCTGACGCTGAGCGCTGGCGGCAGATCGCTGCAGAAAACCTGCGGGCGTTCACGCGGACTGTGGATTTTGCTGGTACCCCGGTCGCCATTCATGTACTGCCGGATGTCGGGGAGCCGAAGGACGCAGGCGCGGCTGGTCAAGGCGCGTGTTGAGCATCTGTGCAATGCCGAGCCACCCTCGGTGCATTTGGCAGTGCTGGGAAGGGCGGTGTCCTTGGGCAATTGGTGGAATGTGCGAGGGGGTGCATGCTGGGCGGCTGCTGGCCGAGGTGTTCAAGGTGCTGCCGGGCAGGGGCGGCGGCCAGGGTGCGATCGCACAGGGGCAGTTTAGGGATCCTGTGGACGCTGAATGTCATACGTCGAATCGCAGAATAGTGCTTTTGTTTGAGTAGACATGTATGGCGCTTTTTTCTTCTTTTGCTGTTGGTCGGCAAACCCGCTCAAATAACATGACATTCCCTGGTTCGGGCAAACTGACTATCCCACCGATGCTGCGTTCACACATAGACTTGGGTTGCGGAATTACGAGAAGCCTCGCTTGCTTTCATTCTGGGCGGAATTTACTACCACACCACCCGATGTGAATAGATATTCCAACATCGGCTCTTTCATTTGGACATGGAAGGCAAAATGTGGTATGCTCGGCATGCCACTCAGCTGACCCCATTGTGCGCTATTTTGTTGACTTGATTTCGGTCATTCAGCCCAGGGCCACCAAAAAAAACTATTCTAATTTATGTCCGCTTGAAGGCAACATGTCAATGAACAAGAGCCCATTTGTATAAACAGGCCATCGCAGCCATGTACAAATACGCAGAGGACATTTCTCTTTTTCACTCCAACCCCCTCTCGAATAGCTGTGTCTGTCTGCATATATATTTTCTTGCAACCATACAATATGTACATTACATATATGCTATACATGATTGTTGCCACGTGTGTCTTTGCACGCCCCATGCCGCAAAATACGGCCAAAGGCGCGGCAAAATACCCTGGAGGATACCCGTGGGACATGGTCCAGCACCCAGTGCTCTGCGACCCGAGTGTGCAGCAGAGCAGCGGATACATCAGCGTCTCCAGCCGTACCAAACACCTATTCTACTGGTTCTTTGAATCACGCACACCCTCACACAGCAACACCCCGGTGATTCTCTGGCTGAACGGCGGGCCGGGATGCAGCTCCATGACTGGACTTTTGACAGGAATCGGGCCCTGCCGCGTTACTTCGGACGGACACAGCACGACTTGGAATCCGTTTGGGTGGAACAAGGACGCGCATTTGCTGTTTTTGGACCAGCCGGCGAACTCTGGATATTCGTATGGCGCCAATGTCACCAGCACGTGGGATGCGGCCAGCGATGTGGCAGAGTTCTTGCAGACCTTCTACCAAAAGTTTCCGCAGTACCGGGGCCCCTTGCATGTGATGGGCGAAAGCTACGCAGCCCACTACGTGCCGGCCAATCGCCGCCCAGCTGCTTCTGGACAGCAACACATACACGCCGTTGACGAGCATTGCGGTCGGCAATGGGCTGTTTGATATTGCCAGGCAGTTTGCGTTTTTGCCACAGATGGCCTGCAATTCCACCGTATGCGACACAGCTCTCGGACGCGCAGTGCCTACAGATGCAGGACGCAAACAAGTTGTTCATGAGCGTGCTAAAGACTCACCAGAATAGCCCAAATGTGAGCTCTGTAGAGGATGCAACACGCGCTGCGTATAATATATTGCAGCCGTACGAAGACGCTGGCGGGAATCCGTATGATGTCAGACGCAAGTGCGTCGGCGGGGCCTTGTGCGATCCGTACCTTGACGCTGTCGATACGTATGCAGACCAGCTGTGGGTGCGGTTGAATATCGGCATTCCGCCTAGCTAAGGAGTTTGAGGTATGCAATGCCGACATCAAGTCCGCGTTCATTGAGTCGGGCGACGAGCTGATCAATACGGCACGGCTGATTCCGGGACATTCTACGGGCTGGCGTGCGCGTGCTGAACTATGCAGGGCGACGCCGATCTCATATGCAATTGGTATGGGAAACAAAGGCTGTGATGGAGGAGGTCGAGTGGGAGGGCAGAGAGGGATTTAGGAGGACACCAGATGTTGTGTGGACGGTGGGCGGGGAGGCGGCAGGCGAAGCGAGATCGTTTGGCGGACTGACCTTCCTGCGGGTTTTTGAGGCCGGACATATGGTTGCGCTGGACAAGGCACAGGCGGCCCTGGCGATGGTTAGCGAGTGGCTGCAGTACGGGACAGTGGCGGTGGGCGCCAAGTGATATAGACTTTTTTTTCTGGAAATAGAGCATCTGACAACATCGCAGGAGTGGTGATTGGATTGATTGGAAAAGTAATCCGGGTGGCGGCGTTATCGTAATACATAATCAAGGACTCGCACTTTTAAGAGGGGCTCGATTTGCGATCTGTCTGCCCCAGCCCAGCTCTTGTTTTTTCCCCTCAAGACTATATCAATTCACATAGGTATTTTTACTCACAATGTACGGCGGCGGCTACGGACAACAGTCATACTTTGACCAGCAGATGCAGCGGATGATGGAGCAGAAGCAGCTCAAGGACTTTATGCGCATGTACTCGAATCTCGTGTCGCGGTGCTTCGACGACTGCGTGGTGGACTTTACGTCGAACAAGCTGAACGACAAGGAGCTGACGTGCGTCAACCGCTGCACGCTGAAGAACATGAAGCTGAACGAGCGGATCGGCCAGCGGTTCGCCGAGGAGAACGCCAAGCTGATGGAGGACCAGGCGCGTATGGGCCAGTGAAGGATTTTGAGTAGATAATGGCCAATTAAAAATCTGCGCTTTCAAAAATATCACATTTTCCACTACTTGAAGCCTTGCGGTGAGCATGCGGCATCTTATCTCCACTTTTCCCACTCCCACCACTTTTTTACTCCATACTCAAAGCAATGCCCGAGGCAGTTTCCACGACGAACTTTGACACAGACAGCTTCCCGCAGCTCAAGAACGACCTGTATTTGCGGGCAGCGCGCGGCGAGGCGACGGAGCGGGCGCCGGTGTGGTGCATGCGGCAGGCAGGGCGGTATCTGCCAGAGTTCCGCGCGATCCGCGTCGAGAACGAGTTCTTCAATGTGTGCCGCACGCCGGTCGCTGGCGACGGAGGTCACAGGTGCAGCCGCTGCGGCGGTACGCCGGGCTTTTGGACGCGGCGATTATCTTCTCTGACATCCTGGTGATTCCGCAGGCCATGGGCATGGAGGTGCAGATGGTGCCGGGCAAGGGCCCGCATTTCCCGTCCCCCCTGCGCTCGCCGGCGGACATGGTGCCGGCTGGTGGACCAGCAGGCGGATTTCTCGGTGGACCGCTCCCTGGACTACGTGTATAAGGCGATCACGAACACGCGCCATGCGCTGCAGGGGCAGTGTCCGCTGCTGGGCTTTGTGGGGGCGCCGTGGACGCTAATGGCGTATATGGTGGAGGGCGGCGGCTCGAAGACGTTTGCGCTGGCCAAGTCGTTTCTTCTGCAGCACCGCGAGTCGGCGCACGAGCTTCTGGGGCGGCTGGCGGACGTGGCGGCTCGGTTCCTGGTGGGCCAGGTGCGCGCGGGCGCGCAGGCATTGCAGGTCTTTGAGTCGTGGGCAGGCGAGCTGGGCCCGCAGGACTTTGACGAGTTCTCGCTGCCGTACCTGGAGGCGGATTGCCTGCGCATGTGAAGCAGCAGTGTCCCTGGAGTGCCCATGACGGTGTTTGCCAAGGGCGCGCACTTATGCGATCGAGGCGCTGGCGGCGGAGACGCTGTTTGATGTCATCTCGCTGGACTGGACGGTGGAGCCGGAAATCGCACGTGCAGAGCGTGAGGCGCGGGCTGGAGCGCAGCGGCGGCGGCCGGAGCGTGGTTTTGCAGGGCAACCTGGATCCGACGGTGCTGTTTGCTGAGCCCGAGGTGATCCGCGAGCGCACACGGAGAGATGTGCCGCAAGTTTGGCCCCGCCGGCCACTATTGCGAACCTGGGCCACGGCATGATGCCCACGCATGACCCGAACCATCTCCAGGTCTTCCTGGAAGCCGTCCACGAGTCAAGCCAGGCACTCAGAAACTGAGCCTGCCCAAAAAAGTTTCTTGCGGAGATCGCTATTTTCCATCAGCATGGGAGATGTTTATGCAGTTGAAGTGGCCGATCCCCCTCTTTTAGTGCGGCTCAGAAAATAGCGATGCCCGGCTTTTTTTATTTTGGCCAGCGTCCACACCACAGAATAAAACGAAACATTGCTCATTCAGCCTTTTGTTTCTCTAATTTTCATTCCTGCAATTATTCTTGCTCTTAATTCCTTTTTGGTCCCCCTTTCCTCTCTCTCATCTCGGCCAGGTACTTGTCGCCAATGCGCTCCTCCCAATTGAAGCCGCGCTATGACGCAACAGGGAGCCGCCCCCCGCAACCCGTTTGGCACTATTTGCGTGCATACGGTGGAGCACTAAAACCAGCCTTGTTTTCCTTGTAGCATACCAGCCTAGTTCGTAGAGGAGACACGCGCCCCCTTTCTAAAAAGTCAGATAGCCGAGAAACCGGGAACCAAACACAGCCATGGGAGGCAGTTTTTCAAAGATGCTGTCGAAGCTCTTCGGCAACAAGGAGATGCGCATACTGATGCTGGGCCTAGATGCGGCGGGCAAGACGACAATCCTGTACAAGCTGAAGCTGAACCAGTCGGTGACAACAATCCCGACAGTGGGGTTCAACGTGGAGACGGTGACATACAAGAACGTAAAGTTCAACGTGTGGGACGTGGGCGGCCAGGACAAGATCCGGCCGCTGTGGCGCCACTACTACACGGGCACGCAGGGCCTGATTTTCGTGGTGGACTCGGCCGACCGCGAGCGCATCGACGAGGCGCGCACCGAGCTGCACCGGATTGTCAGCGACCGGGAGATGAAGGACTGCCTTTTGCTGGTGTTTGCGAACAAGCAGGACCTGCCCTCGGCCATGACGCCGGCTGAGGTCACCGAGAAGCTGGGCTTGCATAGGATGCGCGACCGCCAGTGGTATGTCCACCCGAGCTGTGCCACTACGGGCGAGGGCCTGTTTGAGGGGTTGAGCTGGCTCAGCCAGAACATCAAGACGCCATGAAAAGGGTGGTTTGGGTGTGCCGCTGGAATCAAAATATTAGTGTCTCCCCCTTTCTTCCTTTTTTCTTCTATTCCCTCTGCGAGATGGAAACACATCCCCTCCCCCTCCTTTCTACTAATATCTTCTCTGTTGGCTTCCTGGAAGCCACGCAAGCCTATATCTTTTTGCATCTGTGTTTCTTTATCTCGTCTATTTTCCTTACAAGAAAGCCCTCATAAAAACATACCCGCCAACTTGGCCTTTGCCAATAGTCTGCCGAGAGGCCCTTGTGGATAGACACCGCCAGCGACATTTCCTGTTCTCGTTTGGCAGACCATGCGAGAAAATCATAACATCGGATTCGGTCCGCTGATCGCTACATCTAATACTTGATTCGTGATCAGTAATTCTAGGTAAGCCGTAGGCTCTCTCAGCTGGCGCCTATAGCCGTTCTATCTTTTTTTCGTAAATTTCGCACTCGCTTTTCATTTTATTCAGCGTAATTCACCGCGGGGCGAAGCAGAAAAAAAAAACTTCGTACAATGCTGTCAGCACTGCGCACACGTCTTTTCAAACCACAGCTGATGGCGCCTTTGCGGCAGGCGAGCAGCTCGGCGACGGGAGATTCGAAGGCGTCGCAAGTGAGCAAGATCGTAGCGCAGGCGGCGCAGACGCAGGATAAGAGCATGGAAAATGCCTCGCACACGCGGGTGTTTTTCGCCAAGGCCACGTATCACCCGCGGGAGCTGAACGAGGCGACGGCGCAGCGCGCGATGCGCGAGCGCATGCAGCAGCAGCAAAAGCGGGACGATCCGTTTGTGGCCATGGGCATTAACCCGCTGGTCGAGTACAAGAACACGTATTTGCTGAGCAACTTTGTCTCCGAGATGGGACGCATCCGGCCCCGCCACAAGACCGGGCTGACGGCAAAGTCGCAGCGCCGCGTCGCCAAGGCGATCAAGAGGGCCAGGGCCTTTGGTCTGATGCCCATTACCAGCAAGTTCAATCCGATGTATAATTACAAATCGCTTGGCCGTGGCAGCCGCTAGAGATTAGAAAAAAACACAGTATTCGGGCTCCGTTCAAAAGTAAACTTTAAACGCTTATTCATCACGGCGACATGAGATTGCGAAGACTCATGCTGTTTCTCACCGAGTCGTTCTGGTTCTCGGGATCACCGGCAGCTGCATACGGCTGCTGCTGTTGTTGATGCTGCTGCTGTGGCGGGGGCTGTGGCGGCGTAGAATGGCTCTGAAAGTACGGAGATATGCGGTTATGAACCTGCTCATCCAGCGACGTTGTTGTCGGCTGAGTCAGCCTATGAGCTGCTGGAACGAGCAGCGGCGTCTGCATGTGCGGCGAGTGCATTTGCTGCTGCTGCTGCGATCCGCTAGGCATGATCGGCGACGAGAATCGGTCATGGACTGATCCATGGCTATGCTGGTACGGCGACCCGTGCACCAAGCCTGCGTCCATGCTGCCACTTACCGACATTGGCACTGTGGTGTCCACATAAATGGACGTCGGCGGCAGCTGCGGCGACATATACTCGATTGGCCCCGGGACTTGCCGCGGCACTACCGGCGAGATGGCCGAATGCTGGCCGCTGTACGACGCCTGCGGCTCGGCAGCACTGGACATACACGGGCTCGGGTGTGCGATCCGCCATCGGCGCAGAGGAGACTGGCTGGCGACCCCGTTGCAGCCTGCTCGCTGGCTGACTGAGCCACCAGGCACGGCCACCGGCTCCAGCTTGCTGTGCTGCTGGATGCCGGCTGCAATGGCTCGTTCTTGCGCAGCTGCTTTTCCAGCAGCGACTTGCGGCTACTGTACGCCCTGCTGATTTCGTACGTCGACATGCTTGTGCCTGGCCACAGGCTGACCAGATGTGCATATGCGTCTTTCCGCGCCTGCTGCTCACGGTACCCGCCGCCATCCTTGCCGCTGCCGTTCTCGAGGCTGTTGCGCAGCTCGTTGATGTTGAGCGTCAGAACCATGTACTGGAACAGTATGTGCTTGCTCAGCGTCGTCCAGTGCCACCGCACCTGCGCGCCAGGAATCCTCTGCCGTGTCTTTGGGCACACGGGCACCTACTGGAATCCACCCAAGTCGCTTGTCAATCTGCTCGTCGATACGCGCCTTCAGACCTTCCTCTAGCTGCTTCAGCTGGCGCTCCTTCCAGACAAGCAGATCACGGCCCAGCAGCTTGCTGACAATCTTGCGCACTGTCGCACGGTTATACGGCAGAATGCTCGAGAGCCGGTGGTAGATGCCGGTGGTGAATCCAACCACATCCAGGGGAGTCGACCAGGCAAACACGCGGTTCTCCGAGGTGCTCAATGATAGGACCTCGCGGTCATGCTCCAGCGCCTGCGCCATCGACAGCTCGCATACCTGCCGCAGCGGAGGCTTCAGCGTTGACGGGAAACCGCTGGCGGTTCGAAAACGCCTCGCTCTGTGTGGCCTCAGCCAGCTCGGCCAATGCGCTTTCAATTTCGGCTGTCGGCAAATGTGCCTCCTCCTCTGCCTTAGTCACCCCCAATGACCACCGATGACACATTGCTGGCACCAGCTGCGGCACCGGGTGCTCCTGCAGCGCGTCCTGCTGGCTTGTTCAGTCTGTCGCTGCTGGTCGCGCTTGCAGTGTCGTCAGTGAGAAGGTTCGACAGATTGGCTGCGCTGGTGCCGTCACCCTCGGCATTGTCTGGCTTGAGCCTGTCACGCGCTGGAATCGGTGGTCCGCTTTGATTTTGGTGGTTCAGTACCTGCAACCTGGCCCTGGTTCCGATGCGTGGGACTTGTGATCAAGCTTCCTGCTGGTGCGCGGTCCTCCCTTACGCCCGTTGCTCGGAATCAGCTGCGTGCCTGCATCGCTGGTCGTGCCATTCGTGTGCGAATTCAGCTGCTTTTGATCCGCAGCCATGACCGCTCCCTGGCGTTTCTTGCTGGAGGCCATCTCCATGTCACTCTTTGAGCCGCCAGTTGATTTCCGCTTCGTCGCGCCATTTGTGGCCTTCTTCTCTGGCCGTTTCCGCTGCTTCTTAGTTGCTGTTGCTGCCGCAGCTGCCGCCGGCAGCCTCTGTTTCAAGGCTCTGCTCGTCCTCGTCTGCCTCGTTGAGCGGTCCGAAATACACGAAAAAGTCTTCTTCATCAAACCGATCGACCTCATCCATCTGCCGCGCTACGTCATCCGCATCGTCGATACTCATGCCCTCCGCGCTCGTGCCCTCGGCCTCGCTCTCGTTCTTTTTGCGCTTCTGCCGCTTCTGCCTTTTCGCATGCTGGTGTCCGTCCATAAACGTCAGTTCGCTGTCGTCAATAAACGGGTCATCCAGATCATACATATCATCAGCCGTATCCTTGGCCTTGCGTCTATTGGCTGCCCGCCGCTTAGCCTTCTTTGCCGAGCTGGCCTTTTCTGCTGCGTCCCGTAGCTCGGCGTTGCGCAACAGCCGTGCAAAGAACGGGTCGTTGGCGATGGCCGGTGGCAGCGCCGTCGTCCCGCTGGCGTATCCGCCGCCGCCTGCCTCCGAGTCCGAGTCGCTTGATGCGTCGTTGTTGGCCGAGTTGTCGTCAGAGTTTTGCTCAATGACGTCGCGTGTGCCCCGGTTTTGTCTTCGGTTACCGCACTCGTAGACCAGTCCACAACTGTGCACGCGCCAGGCTTCAGCGGGACTGTGAATTGCCATGTGAGTTGGCTAATTTCAGCCTCTGGCCGTCGAGGGAGATTCATTCCGAGGGTTCTGTTGCTGCTGGTGCTCGTCAAGGGGGTAGAGATAAATGGGTTAGTGTGGGTGTCAGGGAGAAAAAGAGTGCAAATTCGAAATTAACGTAATTTAATACCAAGAAAAAAAAGAAGCGGTAGAGGTGAAACTCAAAAATGCTCCATCGTCGCCGATGAACAAAGCGCGTCGATGGCCCGAACCCGTCCGCGCAGGCACGTGCTGCTGGCTCTCCAAACCCCTCGTGATCACGACGCGGATCAGCTCAAATCGGCCCGAAACACGAGCGCCACGCGAGGCCCATTCCGCAGCAGCCATACAAAAGACTCCGCTTTTTTTCTCTGGCACTCTGATTATTCTCTGCTTCTTTAAACTCCTCAGATTGTACTTTTTTTGCTTCAAATGAAGGTCGCTACTCAAACTTCTCCCGCCGTCACCACTGCTTCGCACAGCGCGCACTTTTCGCCTCTGGCCCGCAAGCCGCGCAGCGCTGCGCACATACGTCTCTTTGAGAACGCGGTCAAGCCCGATACCATCGACGACGATATCGACACCGTCATTGACTATCCTGAGACGCCAGCCGGACGCAAGGCATATATGTCAAGCAAGACTGGGCGGCCTGTCACTGAGTTCCAGTACAGGGTGTACGATCTCTGCAAGCAGGTGCCTCGCGGACACTTTACAACATACAAGGCGATGGCGGACCACATGGGGTCTGGCTCGCGGGCCGTGGGCAATGCCCTGGCCAAGAACCCATTCTGCCCGCTGCCGATTCCGTGCCACCGCGTCCTGACATCGGACTATTATATCGGCGGGTTCTCGGGCGACAAGAAGAGCAAGATCTTTTGGAAGAAGGCCAAACTCGAGAAGGAGGGGCTCAGGTTTGACGACTCTGGGTTTGTGGACGCCGGAATGCAGGGGGCCAGGTTCTTCAACAGCTTCAAATGAGAAATATTTATATTACATTAGCCTTTCAAAAAAGAGGTTTGAGTGCTGCGGTACTGGTCAGCGCACGACGCACGTCAATTTCGTCTACAGCCAGACGCACCGAGCGGTCATCTGCAGCGCCCGTGCTGGACATTACGCGACGTGCTCCTCTCCTGCCGCGCGCTGCCTCGATAGTTAGGACGCCCTGTGTCTCCATCATCGAGATCAGGTCCAGGAACTCTGAGCGCGTAACAGGAGCCGGGATCTGGAGCTGCGTGCAGATGGCCTGATATTCAGAGAACACGCCAGTGACTGCAATGCTGGCTGTCTGCTTCTTTGCCTGGTGAGTCGGTAGACGAACGCGTCAGAGAGATGAGCGAGCAGAGAACGAGCTTTTGCTGGAAGTTCAGGGCATTGAGCTTCTGCATGATCGGCGAGCCATTCAGATTTGTCAGCACCTTAGCAATGTGCATCAGCGTGACCTTTGGCAAACCGCCTCCTACCGCGATTTTCCTTATCGGCGCTCTTGCGCTTGCTCTCCGGTCTCGGCCTTCTCCATGGCCTGCCGGCAGACATCCAGCGCCTTGCGCAGGTCGCCGGACGTGGCAGCAACCTTGCGCGCGCACAACTCGAGCGCAGCCTTTTGGATGATCGGCTCGGCCTCCTGCCCCGAAACAGAGCTCAGGCCGGCTCTGCAGAATCTCGACGATGTCTTTCACCTTGGTACGGATTGAAGTTGAGCAGAACTGGCTCGCAGTTGCGGGCTTGCAGGCGCGGCAAAAACCGGTCGGTCAGGTCCAGCGCATTGGCGATTCCGAACCAGCGCCATATGCGAGTCTGGATGCTTTGCCAGCTCAAACAGCCGATACAAAACCTCCTGGCGAGCACCCAGCAGGCTGTCGACTTCATCCAAAACCACCATGAATGCACGCTTGTTGTGGAGCACGTGGTTCTCGAGTGCGCCAAGCGGGTCGCCAGGTGAACTTTACGTCCGAGCGCCTCTAGAATTGCCATGTACGCTTGGGTCGGGCGTGTCAGCGGCACGCAGTTGACGAGCACAGAGGTGAACTTGACCTTGCTCTGGCTCATAATAGACTGCAGGCAGGCAGTCTTGCCCGTCCCAGGGTTTCCGGAAATGTACAGGCTGCCCCCGCGGTTCTGCTCAACTGTATCGCGCAAGAACGCCCGAATCGACGACTGCTCGGCGCTGCGCCCGATAATCTGTGGTGCAGTGGTCGACCGGTGCATGACTTTTTTCATGGCCAGATACGAGGATTTTGCCGGTCGTTTTCGCTACAGGGAAGGAGTCTTTCAGCGAAGATGTCGCCTGCTGCTGCCGACTGACTGGTGCTTCGGCCAGTGCTGCGCGGCGCTGTGGTGTGCGAGTAGAGCGGGTGGCGGGCATGATAGAGTCAGGGGAATGAGGTGGTATGGAAATATGCTAGTGCCGGGCAGAGCTGGGAAGAATGAGAGCGAGCAAAGGAGCACCGTGAAAATTTGTATGCTCTTGATAATCCCCCAACGCGATTTAGCCGCGTTCAGTGAAGGCGGCACAGCAGACGCGTTGACGCGGAACACAATCAAGATCAGCTAATTAGCTGCTGATCACAAGTCTTGGAGGTAGCGTATACCGCCCACACACACGGCATCACTTCCTTTACATACACACTTGGAAGCCAACCCACTCGGGGCTGTCCATTATACGCATATCCTTTCGCTGGCAGACCCTGCTTTACACAAGCAGAATTCCTTACTATTGTTGCGTCTATCATCACTGGAACTGGCCCATTCGCTCACAATCTTTCACGGAGCAAGGCCTATTCCCATGTGCACAGTTGCATGTCATTTACACTTTAATGGCAGATGTTTGGTTAATCTAATAATATTACAATAATGGCATGAATAAAATTGTATGCTCAGCGGAACGTTGACGCGAACAGCCGACTAGCTGAACCACCCCACACTAGTGGATCCAGAAAACCTGAGCGTTGGCCGAAGCAACAGCGACAGCGGCGATGGCAAGGATAGTAGCGTAGGTGTTCATTGTGATTTGAGGTTGGCTGGTATTTGAGAGTGTTTGTTGAAGATAAAGGAACTGTAGAGGGCGGAACCTATGCCTTTTTATATGTGTCGAAAGCGGAATGAAGGACTCCAAACTACCATGTTGCACCATTGTGGAGGTCTGATTGTGTCAATTGCTCGCATCCTTGCAATGGTATTGATTGCAAGCAGCGCATATACAGCAGGGGAAGCATATCTACACTCGTGTTCGTTTCCAATAGCATAAATCTTGATTGCCACAATAGATACTGAACTCATTTTCCATTCCATATGCGATCACGTTTTTTGCCCGCACAATAAGAAAAAGCGCCTGACTAGCCCTTGTATCAGGGTACCCTGCCAATTGGCACAATTGGAAAACGCAAATGCGCGCGCAATATGCCGATCAAATTAATAGATAGACCGCTTCTATTTTGCCAATTGCGCAGGCTTAGGGAGCTATTGCACATTACGGCAGCGCTCGCTTTAATAAACATGGAGTGATCAAAATGAACGTCAATTATTAATCTCTTGACCTTGGTAATCATTGTGGTTTTATGCTCGGTTCCCAAGAATGCAGGTAGTCCAATACCCCATATCCACACAACAAAATACTTGACTGTCGGTATATTGTGGAGTGTCAGAAATAAATTGAGAGTGAAATGAAAAAGCAGGCTCCAAAAGCCTAGGTGCGGTCACGGCTCAAGTAGTCCGCAGGCTGAACGAAGGGACCCATCTCCACAAGGTGGGAGCGGAACAAGGTCACACAATTGGCAAAAAAACTTGGGAAAGAGAGGATGTTCGGGCACCGCAGCGCCAGAATGACTGCCAGCCTTACAGCCTGAAGCCACCCTGCACCCCGGTCTACGCGTAAGTGAAATTCCTTCAGAGTCAGGAGATAGAGGGAGAGCCCGAGGCACCGGCAATGGGACGAGTGTTCATATCCAGGTAAACACAGCCAAAGTGGGATTTGGCATCCCATGACACAGGCGCTCCTTATCGGCGAGCTCCATCAGTTCTGTATCATAATTGGCATCTCCCAGGTCGACTTTTGGCACAAGTCACATCAAGCTTGTGAATGAGTGGCAGAGATCCGATCAGTTCAAGGATCTCCATACGTGCACCTCACCCCAGGAATGTCCAGGACGCGGAGAGTTGGCGCAAAACTGTCAACACGCGACTGAAGAACAGAATAGTTGAAATTGAACCCATCGCTAAGGTCAATCACTGGCGTCCTGTGGAATGCCCCGAGTATACGCGAAACACGATTGCCATATACCTGGCTGGGCCATTCAAACAACTCCCCGAGTCTCGCGCACTGCAGCGCCTTGAACCGACCCTCGTCCAGAATGCCGGCTTCGATAAACATGTCGATGTCACTCTCCGACATACACATGTCCAGGAATTCCAGCGAATCTCCGGATCCGCGTAGCAAAGTGTCGTCGGAAAACGGATAGATGCCGTGGACAACCAAGGATTTCAGTGCGGGGAATGGCATGCCATCGAATGAAGGGCGCGATGCAGTGGTAGCGTCTTGTTCACAAGTCTTTAGGCGAAGCTTATGAAGTTCAGGATACGTGACAGTTGTGCCATCGCTGTTGGCTACGATGTGCTCAACGAGGTTAGGCGCACTGAGGTCAAGATCCAGCCGTTGTAGCGACTGCCAATTTCTGCGGATAAAGGTGAACACTTGCTTTGTTTTAGTGCTCCACACTGGTGACCAAACTTTGTAGCGGGGTCGAGCTTTGAGAGAATGGTAAGACTGCGTTCAAAACATATCCGGTGCAGTCAATGGCAGATCTTCCGGTTAGTAGGCGCTCCAATAGTTTGTGTGAATGAAAAGGAGACCAACTCTGCGAAGCTTCCTCGTCGCGTGTCACCTTAACGGAAGAAATATCAGGGAATATGTGCATGAACTCATCAGTGAATATGTGGATTGCTTGTAGCTTATCATCCTGCTTCAGTTTACCGAAGCTTTCCTAGTAAAGGTAAAGGAGAGGCACTTCAATATGTGGAAACAAAGTTTCAGCCGGCGTGCATTGCCTAAGCTGGATTAAAGCGGAGCCATTAAATATAGTCGCAGTTTTGAACATTACTATGACCTCCTTTGATTAAGGTCACAGGTGTCAAGCGCATGGGCTAACTTGAAGGGACGGTTTGAATTGAGTGCCCACATGTACGTAACGGAATGCATAACTAAGGAAAAACTGGCGCCATGAACGGCAAACGCGTGTTAGAGGTTTGCTGACATCATATATGGCTTCCTTATCATAATGAGTCATTGAGAAACTCAGGCAAAAGACAATGGATAATATGCTCGAGGATGAGCAAAGGAGGATGCTGGGCAATGGCCTCCATGGTACGAGAATGATAAAATACGAGGTTAGGGAATGAAAACTCCAAGTAAAATGGTAAGCTTGCACTATGATTCAATGTGGTGAAAGTAAAGTAAATAGAGTCGAAAACAAATGCTGTTTGGAAGAGTCCAGATAGTCTTGCCAGGTTCAACGGTCTTATAACCCCACCTGCTAGTGGCATTAGGAACAGGTGCATTTGTTCCTGTGGCAGCCTCTTGGGTAGCAGCTTCAGCATACTGCTTTTGCCAGTTCCGGGCCGGGCTGTGTGGTTTTGGACTTGGCCACTCTTGAGAGAGGTGATAGCGAGAGTGAGAGTGAGAGTGAGAGAAAGCTGCTTGTTTCAAATTCCCACATGGTGAGCTGCGTACCCCCTGTTGGGACACAGTCATGGCAAACAATGGCCATCATACCTTTTTATCAGAGCCAAATATATTGCTAAAACGACCTACATTCCAAATTTGTTAACATTTTGCTGCAGCGTATTTTGCTGCGCGATGTGTTGCCATTGTTCATGGCAGCTCCTAAATATATTTTTAGATTTTTTTCTTATCGCCTCAAGGCTTTGCCATGAGCTGTCCACAGCGAGTTCGCTGAGGGGCGGCTTGGCGACAAACTCATAGTGCAGCTTAGGTCCCATGTGAGCGAGGGGAAGCAGAGGAAAGAAACCCCCTTCCTGAATCATAAAAAGCAGGCCAGATTTCGCTCCCTCCAAAACCCTTCTTCTCCTCATCCCTCTATAATCTCACTACACATAATACTCCCTCTATTCACACACTCGCGCTTCTACTCCACCTCCCGCCGCCCTGTATAATTTTCTGGACAGGTAAGTACTCGATCATAGCCTGTCACTTCGTGTCCCGTACTAACCATCTTTTATCTCTGTTGTCTACTAGCACACCCTTGTCGAAATGAAAAGCTATATTTTTGATGTACTTGTAATTCGCAACACCGCTGTACTTTTGCACAGCATGTTTTGGGCTTGCCCTTGCAGGTCTCTAGTCGCTGTTTGGTCTCTCCTCTCTCTCGCCCTTTATCTTCTTTCTGACTCGCATGTTTGCCACAGTTTTTGTGTGGTGCTTGTACATAACCTGGCTATCCATTGTCATACACTCTTGCCTAGGTGAGCTCAGAGATACGCGGGTATAGGGTAGTTTTAGGGGGCAGGCTGCTCAAGAGGCGGATCGGCGAAGGGGTACTCGAAAGAGTTCCGCCTGACCTGAGAACGGAGTTCCGGACTGTACGCTGAGCAATACCTAGCGCAGGAGTCTGTAATGTGTTTGGCAAGTTTGGCAAGTCTTTCACTTTCACTCTGCTGAACATGCAAACGGGTTGGTACTGCATTTAGATTACTGAGGGTGAACAGGAGACTGGAGAGACAGTGGTGACTAGAGATCTGCAAGCGCTGGAGCAAAATATGCTGTACAATTGAAAGCGATTATGTTGTTACTTCTTCGGATTCAAGATATGAATTAATCACTTCAAGAGCCTACTAAAAACTGTAGACATTATCTGGTAGCGCTACTCAGCATACGGACCGGATGAAACAGTGAAGTTCAACATGACAATAGCTAGGGCCGGTGTATTTCAATAGTTTGTATTTGAATACACATTATCCTCTTTCAAAGGACATAGTAGAAGTCGGGTTGGTCGCGCTCCACGCCGTTTATCTCGTCTATCTCGTTCCCAATATACTGAGTGGATTAGCTTCTTTCTGCTTGTTTCCGCTGAACAGGAAAATATGTTTTCTAGGTGAATACCATCGCTATCCTCTTTTGTTGATACGAGATGGGCTGTGTCAGCGTTACATAGCGGTAGATATGAAAACTTATTCGACATTGCTTGTTAGTCAGTAAAAGGTGGCACATACTGCGCAACCTCTATTGCAATACTCCTGGTTCCTCATTTCCTTCGCTTTGGTCACCAGTTCATCTGTCTACATTAAACTAGCAAAGGATGCTTTGGCACATATTGACACAGTCCTCCTGTACAACCCACAGACAGTTCAATACAGCAGGAAAGCTGGGCTTGAGCGGCTTTGGAGAGCGCTTGCTAATAAAGCTTGCGCATCTGATTTGGTGGATCTCATGTATGCTTTTCGGTGATTGTACATCCAACGCTACTTCCCTTCGTCATAACATTGCACTTCATGCACTTCAATTAGAATATAGACTATCTGTTACATGTTGGAGTTCAGTGAGAGGTTCATGTGTAGCATAAAAGATGAAAAGTGGAAAGTGGAGAAGTGGAAAACAGCTAATAATTAGTTTAGCGAAAAGAATGACATGAAGGGCTGCAGCCGAGCATGTTGCATATTTATACACTAGGCTCCAGGTTGGGTACTCAAAAGGTGAGACCACCAGAACATCATACTCAACAACAATGGCACTGTATAGCATGGCTTCTTGACATTTCAATAGTGATATGCCACGTATCAATATGTGAGTATTCTATAACTCCGAGGCACTATCAGCAGTTTCCGTATCTGTTTTTGGGACTGATCCCTAGCTTTTTTTTGGCAGACTTGGGCTTACAAGAGCATTTGTTGTGGGATTCTTGTTTTGTCAGCCAGGTAATAAACGACTTGCTCAATATTATAGCCCCATCTATTTGCTATGCAGAATTGGGCGCCAACCACAAGACACTAAACCAGACTCCTAACTCCAAGTATCGAATATACACCAAAGCTGTGATTACTTGCATTGGGAGGTTTGAGGACTTCAAAGAGTTCCTGCCATTAGATCAAGTTGCTCTCAAAGGAGTTTGATAGCAAGGAAATCCGTGACAGTAGTGGAGGCCTGATCGTGAAGCTGTAGGTGGGGATGTGCTGACGAAGCCAGTGAAGCGAAAAGATGGAGGACGAGAGTCCTGAGGCTGCCAAGCGGTCATCTCTCTATGATGTCAGTGAGTAGTTTGCCATCAATGATGCTGCTGGTCTGGAGTAAAGCGCATATGAGTGTATGTGAGCATTGTATAGTGTATTGAGTAATAAAACAGTGAAACTTTAGCACTTGACAGTGGTAGCCTTGCCATCGTTGTCCAGAGCCTTGATCGAGTTGCTCCACTTGTACTGCTTCTGGGCGACCACGTACTGGTACGACTTGACCCGGGTGACACTCTCCGACCACTCCTTCTGCGTCTCCTTGTTGTGCGGGTTCTTCAGGTCATCCGTGCGCACCTGCAGGAACTTGGTCAGCCAGACGATCTCGTCGACATTGTGGCCGTTGATCTTGAGCGTGCTGCCCGACGAGCCCTTGGCATCGGCCTTGAACGACGCGCTGGTCTTCTTGATCAGTGCACCAACCGAGTCAGGATCCGAGCCATCGCCGTGCTGGATTGTCGTATCGTACAGCTGGGCGCGGGTTACGTCGAGCTGGGCACCAAGCGTATCAGCGAGCTTCTGCGACGGGTCAAAGTACATCTCGTCGCGGACCTTGTCCTGCGCGGCGCGGAACTTTGCGTCCGGACTTGCCCAGCTTGCCCCACACCGAGCAGTAGCCGTCCAGGCCGCTGGTCGAGCCGCTGCCCGACTTGTCCAGCTTCTTCATGACGGCGTCATACTTGCTGAACTCGTCCTTGCCGCCGGTCATCTTGTGGTACTCCTGCAGGACGACCCAGGCGTCCGGAAGGTACCAGTGCAGAAGCCAGCGATACCGGCAGTGAAGCCACGGCCATCGTGGATGTTCTCGCAGTAGTCGTAGTGGAAGGCGGTGTCGCCGTTCTCGTAGATGTTGGTCAGACCCAGAGCGATCTTCTTGGAGCAGGCAGACATGGCGGCGTTGGTCGTGGCGATGGTGGCGAGGAGGCCGAGAGCGGTGGCAGTGAACTTCATGGTTGATTGTCTTGGAGTGGAGTGGGTTTGTGAGGTGGTTGCTGATGTTGCTGATGTTGTTGGTGTGTTTTTTTTTTTGGACAGTGCGGTTCTGCCTTGACCTTTTATACCCGGTAGCGTGGTATTGCTTCCTGCACTTCGGCATATTGAAAACCTGCGTTATCGTGGCAACTGGCTTCCGATAGAAAGATTTGTAGCTGCTTTGTGGAAAACTGCTTCCAAGAAAACAAATCCCACACTTCATCCCAAGGCTATATCCTGTTGACCGCCAACGAGATGCATGGGCAAACAGGTTTTGTGGATCTCTCCTTTGGGAGATTGAGGAGATCCTTCCTTTCTATCGACTAAGAATAGGGTGATGCGCGCCAAGCCATCCCCACACCTCGCTTGGCGCATCTTGGCTATCCTAAAAATGAACATGTATCCTGCTTCAAGCAAACGTATCCTCGACAGTCAATGGATATTAGCCGCGCACTTCATCTGATGGCATGTTGATTTTGTACATCAGAATTAAGTGGGCAGCTTTTCAGCCTGCGCCGCTGTAGGTGCTTGAGCAACTTGACGGCATGCAAATGTAATGGTAGGATGAATAGAGAACTAGCTCCAAATGCAATTCAAAAAAAGCTGGAAAAACAGTGCATAGCTGTAGAAAACGCAGTGGCCTATTCTGCCTTAACTTTGGCATTGACCTTGGTATCGGCCTTGGCTTCATTCGCTTCAGGACCTTTTGGCTTATCGGACCGCCGCGGGAACTTGTACCACTGGTAGCAAAGCACAAAAAAGACCACGTCATCGCGCAAAGTCCCAATGCGCGATATCAGCGGCATTGGCACAACCATAGCGAACAGGTCGTCAGTGAATGTGACCAGGAAGCGATATAGGAAGGCAGTCAGCGGGAGCATGTCGACCGATTTCAGCTTGTGGTTGATCATCAGCTGCGGCCACATTTGGATAAACTCAAGGGCATACACAGTGGCGAGACTGACATGCAAGCCCCAGCTCACATACGATTTGTGTTCCTGGTACACCAGCGAGAACGCCGCATAGGCGGCCATGGCGGGAACGCACACCCGCTGCATGTACCAGAGCGTCTGCTGGTCAACTTGGCGTTGGACACGCGCGAATTCGTTTTCCTCGCTGGTCTTTGGCTTTGTAGTGCTGGCGCGGGTCGTTGGCTTGCGGGAAAACAGGCTGAGATTCCAGAGCCTTGTCAGCTTCCAACCCTCGACCACGGCACCGACGGCAGAGCCAATTAGCACAACCACGCTGGTCGTGCTGCGCTGGTCCCAGAGGTACAGCAAGCCGATCCAGGAGCTGACTACACCCATTAGGACCGACGACCGCGAGATACCCTGCCACTCGGACTCGCCCTCCTTGTTCCAGAACGACACGTCTTCCTTGTATGCCAGGAACTCAAACAGCATATGCAATGCCATGGCCGCCATGGTGATTGCAAGCATAAGCGGGTTGACCTCATATACCATCTCCTTCAGATTGTCGAGGTCAATCTCCGAGAACTTGAACACCGAGCTGGAGGACGCAAACTGCACGGTGGCCTGCTGCACAAAGTTGCAGAGACGGAACCACCCAAGGATGACGCCGGCCAGGCTGACATCGAATTCGACCGTCCGTGCATCCAGCGGGACATTTGCGCTGATCTCGGTCTGGTTCGTCAGCGCCTTCCAGTGCTCAATGCGTGCGGCCAGTGGATTCTCCCAGGCCAGCGGCATGTACGGACTGGCCTGCAGGCCAGACTGCCTGTCCACACGCAGGAACGGCGCAATATCCAACGGGAACTGCCACACAGGGAACTTCAGATCGTCCAGCACAATCTCCCAGTGAATGCGCGTCTTTGCGTGCGGCACCCAGGGCCCGCTTTCCAGCTCCGCAAGCCTGCGGTCGCGCTGCCTTGCCTCCTGCGCATTCCCAAGCAGCGCATGCGAATGGTCGATGCGGTGCGGCCTTGCGCTGGTCAGCTGTGCGCGCGCATACACCAGCTGCCTGCTGCTGAAGTCGGGGTGCGGGTTGGCCGGCTTTTCAGGCCCTCTGCATGAACAAGAATGCATACAGGACCGTGTCGTTAGCGGTCCGGAACTTGTCGGGCAGCACAAACTCCACGTGGTCAGTTAGGCGCGTATGCCTGTGCGCCAGGTCCTGCGGCTCGGTTCTCCACACCTGCGTTGCGGCGTCCAGAAAGTGCTGCGGGTACTGGGTCAGCGTTTCGAGCTCTGTTATGTACATGAATGCCTCGTATTTGAACGGCTCCTGCCAGGACAGCTGGTGGAAGGGCGTGCCTGGCGGGTGCTGCTGGGCGGGCTTCAGAACCGGGATATGCAAGGTGGGGTAGAATAGCGTCAGCGCCAGCCGCGTCATATTCCACATGTGCCAGCTGAACAGCCCGATGGCCGCCAGCGACACTGCCTTGCCGACGTAGCCCATGGTCTAATGTGAGAAATGCAAAACAATAAAGAGGCAGGAAAGGTCTGTTGGCTGGTGACAAAAGCTGGCAAGCAACAGGAAAAATCGCATAATACGGCTATTTAAAAAGGGCTGCTGGCAGCCAGTCCTTGCTCTCTTGGCACCGCTATTGCATTTTTTTAAACATACTCTTGCAGTTCGCAATGGACCTCAATTCGTTTAGACAGCAGGTCCTGGCAGACACGTCTGTTGAGGAGCGGGTCGAGGTGAACCAGCGGCACCTTATTGACAAGATCCTAGCGCGATACAGCACCGAATACACCTTCCACCGCGAGCTCCTGCAGAACTCGAACGATGCCGGCGCCAGTAAAGTCATCATCACATTCCACACAGCGCAGGCAGGCGCTACTGCAGGCACGTCGAATGGGAACGCAGCTACTGGGATGGCACCAGCGGCGGTGGATGACGGCAGTGATGGGGTTGAGGTAGTAGGGGCGTTCCCAGCAGCTGCTTTGCAGGCAGAGGCCTCGCAGAAGGCCAGGGCTAGCGAACTGCGCGCAAAATACCGCGGGCTGACGTTGGCAGAGCAGTGCACGTCGATTTCATTCAAGAACAACGGGCGGGCGTTCACAGCAGCCGACTGGGCGCGGCTGAAGTCAATAGCATCGGGCAATCCAGGACGAGAACAAGATCGGGTTCTTTGGCGTCGGCTTCTACAGCCTGTTTTCGGTGTGCGAGGAGCCCTTTGTGGTGTCGGGAAACGAGTGCATGGCGTTCTACTGGCGCGGCGACCAGCTGTTTACAAAGAAGACTGAGATGGCGGAGCCGGCGCGACGGTGCCGAGTGGACGACGTTCTTGATGCAGCTGCGGGACTGGCCCGTCGCAGATTCCGGATCCCGAGACCTTCGGCAGGTTCCTGGCCACGTCGCTTGGCGTTCACGGCGAACCTGATGGATGTGGAGGTCAGGATCGACGACGTGTCTGTGATCAGACTGTCCAAGCGGGTCTCAGGACCCAACACCGCTGACGTTGCGGACATCGTCGTCGGGGATTGTTTGGTGCTATCACAACCGACAAGTACCACCTGCGCACGCCCGAGGGAATCCTGTCGATTCAGTCGGTGGATACCAGAATCGTGCAGATGTCGTGCGACTACGTGCGCCGCAAGCCAAAGCCGCGCAATGTGGTCGTGGATGCCGTCAACGATGCCATTGGGAAGACTATTGAGACTGCGTCGGCAGTGGTGGGCAGCGGGCTGGGCAGTCTCCTGTCCGGGTGGGCCAGCTCATTCCGGCGCAAGGCGGCCAAAGCAGAGCCAGTCGAGTCGCCCAAGCCCGCCAGCACCCCGCGGCCAGAGGTCGCCGAGGAGATTGAGCTCGAGGAACGCTCCGAGTTCCTGTTCCTCAAGATCGCCGAAGCATCGACCAGCTCGCACGTCAGCGCGGCCATGAACAAGCAGATCGAGCGGGCGACCAAGAAGTTTGCACCCAAATCTACCGATATCCGCGTTATCTGGAACAGCCTGGCCGAGCATGAGGCTCTGGAGTCGTCATCGGATGGGCAGACCAGCTCAGTGTTCTCGCAGCTCATCTCGTTTCCCTCACAGGGTCGGGTGTTCATCGGGTTCCCGACGCACCAGACGACCGGCTGCTGTGCGCATCTGGCAGCGGCTCTGATTCCGACGGTCGAACGCGAGTCGATTGATTTCGTCGACCCGGCGCTTGCCACGTGGAACAAAGGAGATTCTGGCGGCCTTTGCCATCCTCTGCCGCGTCCTATACGACTACGAAGTGGCAGCATTGGCGCAGAACCCGCGCATTCTGGAAAACCCGGACTCCCTCAACCGGGCAGTGCGCTCGAATGCCCATGCCCTGCGGTTCTTCACTCCCGCACAGCACCACGCCCAGCCCGCATGTCGGTGGGCTGCTCCGCCAGATCTTCTTTGCCTGCGGCAAGCAGCCGTTGCAGCTGATGACCAGCGTCGGGCTGCGCGATGCTGACAGCGTGCGGTCGTCCAGCAGTTTGAGCATGGCCGGGATTCTGCGCATGACGCCGCTGCTGCCAGAGTCCATCGAGAAGGAGGCTGGCGAGATGATTGCCATACTGCGCCAGTTCGGGTACCTGAAGGCAGTGTCTATTGATGACGTTGTTGGGGATATTCGGGCACGCGGCGAGTTCACCGACGCAAAGGAGCTGGGCAACGTGCTGCGGTGGTGGATCGAATACCGCAACGGACTAAATATAGGATCGCGACGCATGGAGGAGCTGGGCAGGCGTCTGGCAGAGGTTCTGAAGATTCAGGTTCCAGTCGGCGACTTCCATGCGGCAAATGCAGGACGCTGAGGCAAAACTGGATCCAGCCACGGTCAGTGTCAGTCTGGCCGACGCGGCCTTTTTCATCAACCAGAAGATCACGCCGCTGAGCCAAGCCGATCCAGCGGAGCCTCAAAGCACCGGATTCCCGCCGCGCTGCCTGCCCCCGTCACTGTCGAAGCAGTTCACCCAGCCGCAACTCTATACCATGTTCCTGATCAACGGCCGGTCGATCTGGAGCGAGCTGCCGATGACCGAATGGCTGGTGGGCGCAGCCAAGCGCCCGCGGATTGCGACCGATGCGGAGTATGCAGAGTTTGTGCTGACGGCGGTGTCGCGGCACTGGCCCAAGCTCTCCGAGTCCGACCAGGCCATGGCAGCGTCAGGTTCTGAGCTCGCAGCCGTGCATGCGCACCAGCGATGGCCAAATGCTCAAGCCGCCGCAGACGTATTTCCGCAGCGCCAATCTGTTTGGAAACCTGACTGTGGTTGACGAGCGGCTCGAGCGGACATTGCGCGAGCCGTTCCTGACGGCAATTGGGGTGTGCAAGCACGTCGAGCTGCAGATGGTGTTTGACCGGCTCGGCAGCGAGCTTGACTGGGACTACGTGCAACTGCTAAAGTACCTGGTGTCGGTTAAAGTCCTCGTTGAGCAACCAGGACATGTCGAGGCTGCGCGACACGAAGCTGTTCCCAAGCATGGGCAATGCTGCTGTATATTATAGGGCACGCGATTTGCTTGCTCCGTCGGACGAGAACATAAAGCTCCAGCAGCCAGTGCTTCTGTGGCCGGGCAAGTTCCGCAATGGCAGCGACGAGTCCGTGTTTCTATTTGACCTGGGGCTTCGCAAGTACCCGGCCTGCCGCTTGCTGCTGCAGATTGCAGCGACCGCGCCTGTGGACCAGAATGCAGCAGATGGCGATGCAAAGGAGAACCTGCGAAGGGTTGCGCTTGAGTACTTTATCGAGTACTTTTCCACCGTGTATGTGGTCGAGTACATGGCGGCGCTGCGGCTGCAGGAGCAGGGATTTTTGCCGGCTCTCCAGTCAGATGCAGGCAAAAAACGCGTGCTCTGCATGCCCAACCAGTGCTATTCGAACCCGGGCTGCGCGGTGATGGGGTTTGCAGTTCTGGAGAAGCACTGGCGTCGCGAGAGCGAGCGGTTTGGAGTTGCCATGGATCCGCTGATCTCCATGTGCATTGACAAGCTGAGCAATGGGCCACCACAAACACATGCAGAGGCCACTCGGGTGTTTGCATATATGGCTAGTAGGCAGGGCGAGATTACCAGGAGCGAATTGCTTGCGCTGACCCGCCTGCCATTCATCCCGATCTTCGACAAGGACGGCCAGGTGGCGAGGCGAGTGCGGCCGGCCGAGTGCTACTTCAAGGGCAACTCGGCCGAGTACCAGGCAGCGTTCTTCAGCTTCATCGAATATGCGGGGCCGGCCGGCAGCTTCCTGCGCTCGTGCGGAGTGCGCGACGAGCCGTCGATTTCCGACATTGCTGTGATGCTGGCGGAGCGGCCGGAAAATGTCCTGCAGGTGTGCGGCGGCTGGGACCAGTACCTGGCGCTATTGCGCCAGATCGCAGTCAACGCCGACCAACTGCTGGGCAAGAAGGTGTGGAAGCAGATGCAGACCAGCAAGTGTCTGGTGGGCATGCGCGAGCAAAAGGGCGGGGAGGAGGGGCTGGACCGAGTATTCGCTGGTTGCCGCGCACCAGGTGTTCCTAGTCGACGACTCGGTGCTGGCGCGCAAGTTCTCGCCGTTCTGTGCGCCGACTGAGGACCTTCTGGAGACGTTCTATGCGTCGCTTGGGGCCAAGTGGATCAGCGAGATGGTCAGCAAAAAGACGCAGCCGCAGGGCACCCAGCGGGTGACCGAGGCGTCGCAGAAGCTGGAGCTGCTGATCCGAGACCGGGCCCCGCTTCTGCTGCACGAGTTTACGCCGATTAAAGCCAGGAAGGCGGCGGGCACGGCGCAACTGGTCAGGAGCTCCGAGTGGCTGGCAAAGCATCTCAGCGTCAGGCAGGCCGACGCGATCCATCTGTACCAGACATTTCGGCCCACGGGCCAGTCGGACCGGTCGCCGGCTACAGCCTGCGTTTTGCAAGCGCAGTCCCGAGACCAGCCGTCCGGGTGGATGCAGGCGGCGCTGAGTAAAGTGTCGGATTCGATGGAGATGGAAGACTGGGTGCTGGTGATTGCTCCGCTGGAGAATAGCCAGTGGGATCCGTTCGACGTGGCAAATGCGATCGGCCTCTTGGTGCTCGATATGTGCAGGGTCAAGGACACATTGCTTATTAGCACGCTGCTGACGTCGCCGCTGGACGGGCTGCGCAGGAAGGGGTTCCCGGTGGATCGGGTGATGCGGCCCAAGCAGCAGCCCAAGGCGCCGCCAGCACTGCCAGCCGACCAGCAGCCGCCCAGCTACGAGTCGCTGAAAAGGCAGCAGACGGCGGAAGAGACGGTTGCCGAGAAGCACATCAAGGAGATGTTCCCGCAGATGACCCCGCAGGAGGCCCAGGAGCGTGTACAAAGGGCTGCCAAGGAGTCAGGGGCAAACGCAACGCTTCAGGAAATCGTGAGTCGGGCGGCAAGCCAGCTCATGGAAAAAGGACAAGAAGAAGCAGGTGCCGAGTGGATCTGGGCCTAGCCGAGAGCCACCACAACAGAGCACCGGAACCAACGGGGCAGCAGGCCCGCCAGCGCCCACAATGCAGCCGACAACGGCGGTGACTCCGCAGCAGACGCAGATACTGCGGACGTCGCTGCAGCGGGCGGTGCAGTCGACGGTGCAGCAGGCGGGCGCGCGCAATGCACAAATTGATGTCAGCCTGCCGACGCCCGAGCCGGTGAAGCCGTTTGCGAGCTCGGGCGCATGTGCAGCGATTCCGGTGCAGCGGCTGCAGCTGGTGGGGCGGGTGGACAACATTGAGGTGTTTGTGGACATGCACACGCTGGGCAGCACCCCGCGTTTGCCCACCGAGTACCAGGCGACACTGCCCCTGTTCACCCAGGTCCTGCGGGTGCTGAGCGAGCGCGTGTTCCAGCTGGACACCCATGCTTTGCATGTGTTTGTGGACCGGGACTCGCCGATCATTGCCTTCAACCGCGCGCGCGCGCTGTTCTTCAACCTGCGGTTCTTTGTCGGGCTGGGCCACGCCGACGTGGTCCGTGGCGGGCCAGCAGCAGGGCTGACCCAGGCTGATGTCTATGCGTACTGGTTCATGACCTTCTGCCATGAGCTGGCGCACCATTTCGTGGCCGCGCATGATGCCGCCCATGGATTCTACATGGCGGCGTTTGCCGAGGAGTATATGTCAAAACTGATTAAGCTATTCCGCCAATAAACTGCTATGTCTTGCGGCTGATCATGCCCTGCAGCATGTCGAACGAGTTGCCGTCGGGCTGCAGGCTGTAGTGGGCGTTCGGGTTGTGGATGCTGCGGGTCAGCAGCAGGCCGGTGTCGGGGTCGACGCCGGTGATGCGCACGCGCTCGTGGCCCTGGTCCACCAGCGTGACGATCTGGTTCGAGTGCAGCCAGTTCTTGTAGTACATGTCCAGGAACGGCGCGAAGCCCATGACCAGGAACTTGCGGTAGAACTCCTCGAACTTGGCCGTGATCAGCGCCAATGCCAGCTCCATCGGGATGGCCGGCAGACTGGTTCCGTGGCTGTCGTTGTACTCGCGGATCAGCTTATTAATCGACGTCGTGGGCAGCGGGTTGGCCACATTGACGCCGCATCCCAAACAGCAGCGAGAACTCGCCGTTCTTGAACGACGAGCCGACCAGCACCCCGCCCAGCTTGACAAACTCGGGCGAGTCCGCATCCGAGTCATCCGAGTCCACCAGCGGCTCCTGGCGGCCGTACAGGTCATTCGGCCACTTGAGCCGCATAGGCAGGTCTTCATACCCGGGCCGCTGCTTGACTGCCTCGACAATGGCCAGGGACACCAGGTACTGCAGCAGCACAACCGGCGCCTTTTTCGAGCCCGGGTGCCGAAGCAGCATCGTGAACTGCAGGCAGCCGAGCGGCGCCACCCACGCATTGCGCCCGCGCCCGCGCCCCGCCAGCTGCACCGTCGCCACATTCACCGTCCCGTTCGGGAGCAGCGACTGCAGCCTAGTGTTGCTCTCCAGGAACGTCTGCGTCGACGACGTCGTGTCCGAGTACATCAGCCAGGAGCCGCATGTGTGCGCGCGGTGCTGCTGCATGTACGTGATCGCCAGCTGCATGTCGAACCGCGGCGTCTCGCGCGCATCCGGCACAGAGTCCGGCGTACACAATACCAGGATCGAGCCTTCGCGCTCGAGGCTCCGTCTCGCCGTCATCGGTTATGGGCCGCAGCTGCTTGGGCTTCAGGACCGTGGCTTGGTACTGCTGCGGGACGCGGCGCTGCGACACCCCGGGGGAGGCCGAAATCACGTGGATGTCCTCCTTCGCATCCCTCAGCACCGCATCGCCTGCCGTAGTCTTCTGGGCCGCGCTGGAAATCCCATACATGGCCTGCGAGATCTGCGCAACGCCCTGGGCGCGCGCAGGCGCCAGGAACGTCGGCGTGCGGGCCGGCAGACGCATCGAGTGGGCGTCGGCCTGCCACAGAGTCCCCGAGCGCATCCTCGTCGACGTGCATATTCAGGTGCGCGAAGATGGCGCCCAGCAGGCGGCGGCGGAACGCGTCGTGCGCGCGCAGATGCGCTATCAGCTGCCGGTTATACGGCATCGTGTAGCTGGAGGGGCTTAAAGAAGTCCCATGCGTACTCGGGGTGCAGTCCGGTCAGGATCGCTTGTCCGCGGCCCACCCGGCAGGCAATCAGCGCCGGAGCATTGGCCACGCGTTTGGAGCGGTCGTATGGATCCGTCACGTCATTCGCATACCGCACCAGCACCTCTACATCCTTGCTCGCCGGCTTTCCCAGGAAATCGTCGGTCAGAAAGTAGCCGCCGCCGTTATAGTATATGCGGACGTTCTTTGGGTCGTTGCGCCAGTAATTTTGGCCCACCCTGAACTTTTCCTGGTCTACTGTCACCTCGGCCGCCCGCGCCCCGTCCTCGGTCTTGTAGTGGTAGCCCGGGTAGGCCTGTGCCCAGACAGGTGCCCGGGAACAGCGCCAGCTCGCGCTCCCCCATCACTTCCATCGCAGTGTTTGGGCTCGAATTCGCACCGTCCGCTGCCATAGTAGCCGCCCGCACAGAAGCCCAGGTACCGGCCGCCCCGGGAGATCCAGTGCCGGATACGAGCGTTGATTTCACCTGACAGGCTGGCTACGTATGGCTGGTCGCGACCACCCGGCATCACCAGAAGTGCAGCCTTGCTCTCCCAGGGCTCTCCGACGTAGCGTCTCGGGGTCGACCGGGATCACCGCGTAGCGGTGCGAGAGGAACTGCCGGAGCGTGCGGAGCAGGTATGCGTGCGCATTGGGGCCGATGCCTGGGCCGCTGTAGACTAGGACATTGAGCGCGACCATTTGAAAAGGGCTAAAAAAATTTAGGAGATAAAGACAAGTGTGGGAAGCAATTGATCTGTGGTGCGCATATATCGGCTAGAAAAAAACCGCCACCTAATAAGATTCTTTCTTATTCTGCCGGATATTTGGCGGGCCTCAGGCACCGGTACCATTTGACGTAGCACTGCTTTGTGGTTTTGGTAGCCGACTGTGCGCGCAATCTGCTGCCAGTTAATACGCCCTTGGCTATTCCTAACTGCGCTGTCCAGCCTATCGACCTCCTCGGCCGTCCACCGGGCAACCCCGCAGGCCGCGGATTTGGCTCTTATTGCCTGGTATTTCGTCTGGCACATCGACACCGTAACGCCGCCGACCTTTTCGGCCACAGCTATGCCAGTCAATGTCTTTCTGCTCCTTGACGCAGTCCATTAATGTGCGGATCCGCCCAGCCGTCCACTTGCTGTACGTGTGGTAGCTGAGAGCGGCGCGCGCGCGGTGCAGCTCCCCGCGCAGGTCGTCTGGGGATTTGTCTGGGAACATCTGCGCCAAAATGGGCATCCACGCGGGTGTGTTTTGGCGTGGCCTCCAGAACCTCGACGAGCCGCCTGCGCTCCTTTTCTGACCATTTACCACTGGGCACCTTCTGCTGGCTGCGCCAAAACGTCCTGCACGAGTTCGGTGACCGGCTGCCCACCCGCTGTGCGACATTTGCCCAATCCCTTGGTGCCCAGGTCTTCTACCGCCTCATTGAGCCTTGATTGCTCAGAGCTGGTCCATCTTTTGTAGCCAGCCGCTGGCAAAACTGCCGGCATGGGCGGGTGGGCGTGTGTGCGGATTCTGGTAGAATGCGCAGAAGCATGCGGTTGGCGAGCGGCCCATTGTGCGCGCGATCTTGATCCAGTTCAGCGGCCGCCCCGTGTTAAAGTTCGCCTTGCACCAGGTCCTGCAGCTCTGTCAGCAGCTCGGCTGTCCATGGCTTCCGGTGGTTGGCCGACGCGTCCTTGAGGAGCTGCACCACTACGTCCCAGTTGCCCGGGACCGTGTTGCGGTATTTCGTGTTGATCATGCGGATTAGCCGGTCCTGGTCGCGCTGCGTCCAGGTCTCGCGCTGGTGGAGCGGCCGGGTGGTGAGATTCCGGGTGGACTTGGTATGTGAACCGCTGGATGGCATTAAGACACGGAAAACGCATGTCTATCTGCGCTGCACTAGATAACAAGGGGAGGGAGATATATGGAAACTAGCAGCATCTCCCAACGGGACTACGATCGGGATTTCCAGGCCTGATCAGAGGGGATATGGGGCTTGAGCTTGCTTCGCTCCCTTTCTCTTTTTTTCAGGCCAATTTCTCATTGCATTTGCACACTTTTTATTATTATGTCGCGATCGCGCTTGGGCTCGGACGCCGGACTGCTGGGCGACAACAGCACACAACCCATGCACGTGCTAGGCGCAGCACCTGCGGACACTGGAGCAGGTGCGCAAGGACGAAACCACGGCTGCTCGAGGACATTAACCACATGCACAAGGCGCTGGCAGAGACAGGTAACGCATTCAACATAGTTCTTCGACGGGGTCACACTTGCCAGTACAAAAGGGAGCCTAATATATTGTTCCCCCCGTAGGCAGCAAGGACGAGCCGGTGCGCAAGTACTCGGGCAGACTTGCGGACAACTACAAGCGCGGGCTGGCGCTGGCCGGGCAGGAGCGGCGGGCAGCCGAGGCCGCGCTCAAGCAGGTATCGGCGCTGCTGGCGACACACACCGAGGCAGAGCAGAAGGAGCACAGTAGTAAGCGGCGGCGCGTCGACTCGCCCAGCCCATCGATGCGGCGCGAGTCGCGCAGCCGCGACCGCAACACAGAGTCGAGCCGCTCGCGTGACAGCGGCGGGCGTCACCGCGAGCCGCTGGCGAAAGGCACGTATGTGGCGGCGCGGGTGCGGGCGTCATTGGAGCAGAACGAGGAGTGGATCCTGGCAACGGTGACGGGGTTCAATGCGGAGAAGGGCCGGTATACAGTGGAGGACTGCGATGACGAGAGCTCGGTTAGGCCGCGGTACTCGGTCAGCGCCCGGCTGGTGCTGTTTGTCACGGCGGTGCGCAATGGCCGCCGGCTGTGGGATCGCAGCAAGGTGCCCGAGATGCCGCGCCAGGCCCGCGTGCTGGCGCTGTATCCGGGCACCACTGTGTTTTACCAGGCGTCGGTGGTCACGCCGCCTATGCTCAATGAGACACCCAGCGCAGGCGTGCTGGGCGTGCTGGCACCCCCGCCCGCGGTGCCGCTGAGCCCCGGGGCCACATTCGTGCCTGACCCGGCACTTAACCCAATGTATAAGGTGCAGTTTGATGATGACGATAACAAGGAGATGGATGTGCCGGCCCATCTGGTTATTCCTATGCCGCGCGCTGACAAGACCCAGGCCCGCGCGCGCACCCACTGATCTTCTTGTCAGATGTCGCTGCAGCTAGCAGGGAAAAATAATGACGGACCTGCTGTCGATCGTCTGGCATCTTTCCTTTGGCTCGTGCCAGACTGCTTATATACTCTGGTGGGACTGCCCCTTGGCCCTCTGTTCCAAAAGCAATCTTTTGCCTCACCTATTCATACTCGTTCTTCTTCCATCGCCTCTGTTATATACACATCTCCCTCCCCAATGGACCCCAAACGGAGACACACTAATAGCCACTATCTGGCGTATCCGAAAGCAATACAACAAACCCATTCACCGGACGCTACGACCGCACCGATACGGCGGCGGCACTGCTGCTGCTAGTGGTGTCGGGGCTGACGCGGCTATGGGGCCTGGGCCGCAGCACAAATGTGACTTGGGACGAAGCGCATTTTGGGCGGTTCGGGGCCATGTACCTGAATCGCACATTCATCCATGACGTGCACCCGCCGCTGGCGAAGCTTCTGATAGCGCTCTCGCAGCACCTGGCCGGCCACAACGGCACTTTCGACTTTCCCGCCGGCACCCCGTACCCGGACTACGTGAACATCGCGTGGATGCGAGCCCAGATCGCCATATTCGGCTCCCTCTTGGCGCCACTGGCATACCTGACATGCCGTGCCTTGGATATGAGCCTGTGCAGGCAGCATTTTGGCCGCTGTGTTTGTCATCTTCGATAATGCGCTGTGTCTGATGAGCCGGCTGATGGTGCTGGACGGCCCACTGCTGCTTTTCACGGCGCTGGTACTGTTCTGCCTGGTGAAGTTCTCGAATGAATCGCGGTCGTTTGAGAAGATGTGGTGGGTGTGGCTGGCGAGTCCTGGGCGTGAGCCTGGGACTGGCATTGAGCGCCAAATGGGTGGGTGCGTTCTCAGTGGCATTAGTGGGCTGCTGGGTGGTTGGGGATCTGACCAGTAGGCTGCGCACGCACACGAGCTGGCCGCGCTACGCATGGCATTGGATGGCGCGTGCATTGGCGCTGATTGCACTGCCGCTCATGGTGTATATGCTGGCGTTTCGTATGCATTTCCATATGCAGACAGAGAAGGGCTACGGTGAGCATATGATGCCGGATCAGGTTCCAGGCAACACTGCGTGGGAACCGGTACAACACCCAGCCATATGATGTGCCATATGGTAGTATAGCGAAGGTCCAGTCGGCAAGCCGCGCATGGGAGTCCAGCGCCAATATCATCTCCAAGAAGCGCTTCCACGGTGACCCAGGCACCGCAGCCAGGTTCGGGCTGAATGCGTCGGATATTGGGTTTGACTGGTGGCGCATCAAGCATGCAGTTGGTGAGGGCGTGGATTACGACCACGGGCCGCTCGAGTACATACATGACCAGGACACGGTGACCCTAGGTGCATGACCACACGCATAAGCATTTGTTTGTCGATTCGCGCCATACCCCGTACCAGGTGCTTGCGGTGCAGGCCTGAGAATGCGACGTATGGGTATTCGTCGCGGGATGCGAACTGGGTCATTGAGATGGCCAGCCAGGCGCATATGGGCAGCAATGACTCGCATTTGCTGCATCCGCTGAACACCGAGTTCCGCCTGCGCCATGCCACCACCGGCTGCGTGCTGATCCCTCTCCGACCAGGCGCCTGGACAGACACAGAGGATGTCGGCCAGCTGATTGTCTGCGAGCCTGAAGCGTCGGCGCTGTGGCGGGTCGAGTTCAACGTGGATCTGCGCGTGGGCTTTGATGGCAACAGCGCGCAAAAGTTCTGCCCGCGAGAGTTTTTCGCCGACCTGATGCGCCTGAACTCGGTGATGGCACAGTCGAACAGCGCCCTGGTGCCGGACGCCGACAAGTACAACCACCTGGAGAGCGCGCCGTGGACCTGGCCACTGATGCTGTATCCCGATGCGGATTGGCGACTGGCAGAAGAGCGAGATGAAGCATTATGAGATCGGCAACCCCTTGCTATGGTGGACCGTGGCCCTGGTGTGTTTTGCGTACCCGGTGCAGGCGCTGTGGTGGGGCGCAGGCCATGCGTCGTGGGCATTTGGTGGAGCGGCGGATGGCTGCGCACGCGGTTCTTGTGGCTCGGGTGGGCGTGGCATTACCTGCCGTTCTTTGCCATGGGACGGGTTACCTATATCCATCATTATTTGCCAGGCGCTGTATTTTGGCCTGCTGCTAGTGGCCGAGCAGATCGATTGTGTGCTGGTGGTGGTGGCGTCGGGTCCAAGGCGGGTGGTGCTGGCTAGTGCAATTGCAGCGGCGGCTTGCTTAGCGTGTTTTATTTGTTTTCGCCGTTCACCTTTGGCTGGAGCTATCCGCCCAGGGATCTGGCGTACCTGCAGTGGTTGCCGACGTGGAATATCTTTGAGGACAAGTACGATATTGAGTAAACCACATAACCCCCCTTGGTGGCACGGCTTCTAGCTGTCTTGAAGTAGCTTTATGTCTATGAATGCAACGTGTTTTCATCTTGCCCAGGGTAGTGAGGCTTTATTCAAAAGCAGCCTGGGCTGATACAGATACACTGCATACAGCCAATTCTGCAATGCCACCTACGGTACAACGATCAAGATCGCACAAGAGCTGGCTTACATGTTGGGAACTATTTTGTGGTGGTAGACAAGTTCTCACAGCCTCAAATTCCATACACAATGCACATGGTGCCCTTTATTCACATAGAGCGCCTTGTGTGCCCAATGGTGTTCTCTATTCCCACTGGGTGTCGAGTGCAAGGCACTAGTCTGTGCATGCTCAACTTGGCTGTTTCCAATGCACCTTCTTTCTTCATCTTGTTGCTGCTCACTCAACGTTACTCCAAACACTTTTTTTGAAGACCATACACTCAATCATATTTCAACAATGACAATCGTTACAAGCATGCTTCGTATATCGCATAACGGTGTTCTTCTAAAGATCCCGACGCCTCTGACGCTCCTGGTACAGGCACAAGAGCTCGCCGAATCCTTCAGCCAACAGCATTCTGCCCGACACCGTCCTCTCAATTGAGCTGCACGCGCAGTTCCTGCAATTCTGCAGCTCGCGCAACCCCGCCCTCGCCCGTGTCGCATTTCGACGCCTTCGAGCACACATTCTGCCCCGACACCGACATACACGCCGCCATCAAGGACATGGCGCTCACCGAGCCGCAGGCACGCGTAGTCGTCCGCGGCTACTTCTCGGTCTGGGGAATTCTGCCCGGATCGCCTGCCAGGCGCCTTGCCTTGTTCACTGACCCTGGCGTCAAGCTGATGGCCACGTTTGGCGGCCAGGGCGGCATGGACAATTACATGGACGAGATCAGTTGGCTGGTCGACGTCTATCGCCCGCTTGTGTTTGAGTTTTTTGCAGCCATGGCTGAGTTTTTGCGCATCCGAGGCGATGGACACGAGGATCGCTGGGCTGTACAAGAGGGGGCTAGATGTAGCTAATTGGGTGGCGAGGCCCGAGACCCTGCCGGAGCTGCCATATATGCTGCATGTACCGGTGTCGATGCCGGTTGTCGGCCTGATCCATTTGATGCACCTGATGGATCTTATACAAGACGCTCAGGATGTCTCCCGGCGAGCTCGCACAGTCGTTCCACGGTAAGATGTTTTTGGATGCTTCATGTGTGAGTGACAGGAGATGTTTTGTTTCCTGCAACTCGTGTGAAATCCCTCACCGCGCCACACAAATATTGCGCCATATGCTGATATTTCTGGGATTACTGTTCTTTGTAGTTGCAACTGGGCACAGCCAGGGAATTTCCATTGCTGCTGCAATGTCCATGGTCACAGACGAAGAGTCGTTCTACGATGTGTCGCGGCGGGTGCTCGGAATCCTGCTGCTGGCGGGCGCAATGCCGCAGCTCTCGTACCCGTCGATTGTGGTCAATCCCGAGATCGAGGCTGACTCAATCGAGCATGAAGGCGTGCCCTTTCCCATGGCGTCGATTCAGGGCCTCCCGCGCAGCCAGCTGCGGGACCTGGTGGACGCATTTAACAGCAAGCAGCCGAGCCGCAAGAAATGGGTGTATCTGTCACTTATCAATACCAGCCAGAAAATCGATTATTTCAGGCGAGGTCACCATGGTGGTAGCCTTTGTGCGTACGCTGCGATGCATCTCAGGCGGCGCCAGGCGAGGACCAATCGCGGGTGCCATTCACACGCCGCAAGCCGCGCATCATTGTCAACTATATCAGCATGACAGCGCCCTACCACTGCGAATTGCTCAGAGACGCCACGACCAAGCAGCACATGTACGCGGTGGAAAAGGGCTTGGGTCCTGGATGCCGCCGATATGCGTGTACCGGTGCGCGCCGGCGACGACGCACACGACATCCGCGCTGAAGAGAACCTGACCAAGTACCTGTTTGAGAGCATCTGCGTGCTGCCGGTCAACTGGCCGGTGGCCATCACCAATACGGGCTCCACGCATATTGTTGATTTCGGGCCGGGCGGCGAAACGGGCTTTGCCTCGCTGACCTTCCGCAACGTCAAGGGCCGTGGCATTGCGGTCATCTGCGCTAGCTCACTGACAGCACGCCTTGGAGTCGCCCCTGGGCACCAAGGCCGACCTGTTCCGGGAAAACATCGGCCATGTCGTCGGCGCTGCCGACTGGGAACGCGACTTTTCGCCGCGCCTGGTACGCACCATGCACGACAACAAGGTGCATATTGATACGCGTATGAGCCGCGTGCTGGGATGCCCCACCAACATGGTTCCTGGAATGACGCCTGCAACAGCTGGCGCCGAGTTTGTCGCTGCCGTCGCCAATGCCGGCTACCACGTCGAGCTGGCAGGCGGCGGCATGCACAGTGAGCAGGAGATGCGTGAGCGGATTTCGCGGCTCACCAGTCTGAGCCCGTCCGGCACAGGCATCACCTTGAACTGCATCTACATTAACCAGCGGCCAGTGGTTGTTCCAGTTCCCGCTGCTTCTGCGCATGCGCCGTGAAGGCTATCCGATCTCCGGCCTGTGCATTGGCGGCGGCGTCCCGTCGCTAGGAGCAGGCCGACCAGGTCATCCACGGGCTGCGCGATGCGGGCATCCGTCACGTGGCATTCAAGCCCGGCAACCTGCAGACGATTCGCGCAGTAATCAGCATTGCCCGAGCCAACCCCGACTTCCCCGTCATTCTGCAGTGGACCGGCGGTCGCGCTGGCGGCCACCACTCGTACGAGGACTTCCACCAGCCGATTCTCAACTCCTACAGCACCATTCGTGCGCAGAGGAACATCGTGCTGGTGGCCGGCTCTGGATTTGGCGGCCATCAGGACTCGGTTCCGTATCTGACTGGCGAGTGGAGTCTGCAGTATGACGATGTCCGGAATGCCTTTTGATGGCATCCTGTTTGGCTCCCGCGTCATGACCTGCCAGGGAGGGCTCAGCTGCTGATGCCTGCAAGCAACTGATGGCAGCGGCCACTGGTGTCGACGACGAGGAGTGGGCAAACACGTACACCTGGCGTTGCTGGCGGACGTGACCTCGGTTGTTTCTGAATTCGGCGAGCACATTCATGTTCTGGACACGCGCTGCACGAGACTATGGAAGGAGTTGGATGCCACTGTGTTCTCGCAGCCGCGCACCAAGCGACTGGCGCTGCTGCAGGATCAGAAGCCGGATATCATTCAGAGGACTCAATGCTGATTACCTGCGACCCTGGTTTGGCAAAAAGTCTGATGGCAGCGTTGCCGATCTCGAGGATATGACGTATATGGAAGTCCTAGAGCGCCTGGCCGAGCTAATGTACATTAGACACCACAGCCGCTGGGTCCATCCCCACTGGAAGTCTCTGTTTGCTGAGTTTGCCCAGCGCACTATACAACGGCTTGGCACCGACAGAGACACAGAGCTGCCGTCACTTCTCCACCTCTCAGACCCGGCAAAGGCAGCTAGCGAGCTCAGGCTTGTCTGTCCACAGGCAGCCAACCACCTGCTTGCCTCAGAGGACATCCAGTGCTTTGTCTCCATGTGCAGGCAGCGCGGCCGTAAGCCTGTGCCGTTTATCCCTGTGCTTGACGATGACTTTGAAGTGTGGTTCAAGAAGGACGCGCTGTGGCAGGCCGAGGACATCGACGCTGTCGTTGGCCAGGACGTCCAGCGCACATTTATACTCTATGGTCCAGTCGCTGCGCGCTTCCCTGTCGTAGCCAACGAGCCTATCAAGGATCTGCTCGATGGCATATACCAGGGCCAGATCGCCGCGTTGCTCAACCAGTACTATGATGGCGACGAGTCGCGTATCCCTGTGGTCCCCTACCTTGGCTCCGATTGCACATGCACAGCCACTACCAACATCAGTTAGCGTAGCCACTGTGGATACAGATGTGGTGTACCGGCTGCCTGCAAACGTAACCGCCCTGCCAGATACCAGTTGCATGGCTTGCTGCGCTGAGTGGCTCGCAAAAGTCCTGGCTGAATGCGATTTTCTCCACAGCGGTCATTGTGCAGGGCACCAAGTATGTCGACAACTATGTGCGGCGCGTAATGCGTCCTCGACCTTGCCAGATCATCACTGTTTCGTACTGCAACGATGTCCCAGTTAGGGTCGAGATCATCAACAGCCATGGTGACAGAGAACTCGTGCTAGGTATTGACGACAGCCAGGTCATTTCACTGCTGGTGTTTGCCTCGAATGGATTCGAGCAGAGCGAGCTCTGTCTTCGGTTCCGGACACCATCCCGTCTATAGCAATGGCGCCTATTCATGAGATTCTAGACGAGCGTGATGAGCTCATTCGCAAGTTCTATCGTTCAGATGTGGAGTGCTGCAGGCGATTCCTCGCTGTCCGACTTGACCTTTGCGCAGAAAGGACTCACTGTGACGCAGGAGCATGTCTCGGAGTTCTGCCGTGTCATTGACAACCACTCACAGCACTACAAGGAAGACCATGGGTGCCAGCTAATCGCGCCAATGGATTTTTTGTTTGTCCTTGCGTGGCCCAGCATTCTGCGCAGCCTGACATCCGACAACATCCATTGCGGGCTGCTCAAAATTGTCCACCTCTCGAACAGCTTCAACTTCGTCGATGGTTCCGACCAAATTGCCGTCAGCGACACAGTTGATGCTGATGCCAAAGCCATCGAAGTAGTCAATACTGCGATTGGTAAGCGGGTCACCGTAGAGGCATCTATTTACCGCAACTCTGCTCGTATTGCCACTATCAACAGCGTGTTCCTGTACCGTGGGGTCGAGATTGACTTTGGGCTCACCTTCACCCGTCGTGACAATAACGTCGTGCAAGTGAGATTTGACACTATGGACGATATCGCTGTTTTGGAGTCGAAGGAGTGGATCTCGTGGCTAGAGTCCGACGGTCGCTGCCCCTTGTGCCCAGGCGACACGCTAGAGTTCTGCACCGATTCGCTCTATCAGTACATGACGCAAGGATATCTTCTCTAGCGTCAGCGTCAGTGGAAAGGTATACCTGTGTGTCTAACAGGTCTCAGTCGAAGGCGCATGTGGCTGATATCATGTATGAAAGCGGCGTGGCCCATGGCGATCCAGTTGCAAGCTATCTAGACCGCTTGCAGCGCAAACTCGACGTGCGTGAGAAGCTGTTCCCCGACAACGGATATGCAATTGTGCCCAAGAACCGTGACAATGGCATGTTTGTGCAGGCGCTCTCGTCAAACTGGGCGTACTCGTATATCTCGGGCGACTATAACCCAATCCACACGAATCCGTACATCTCCGATCTAGTCGGTCTACCTGGAACCATCACCCACGGCATGTGGACCAGTGCATCGACCCGCTCGCTTATTGAGCGCTATGTTGCTAACGACAATCCAGAGCGAGTCAGGGCATTCAAAGCACAGTTTGTCGGCATGGTCTTGCCTGGGGATAAGCTCGAAACCAAACTGCGACATGTCGGCATGAAGCACGGCCGCATGCTGATTGCAGGCGAGACATTCAATGCAGATGGAAAGAAGGTGCTTATCTGCACCGCAGAGGTCGACCAGGCACCAACTGCATACGTTTTCACTGGGCAAGGGTCCCAGCAGACCGGCATGGGCATGGACCTATATAAAACGTCAGCGGCGGCACAGGGGTGTCTGGGACCGTGCCGACAAGTACATGCTTAAGCAATACGGCGTGTCATTGCTTGACATCGTCCGCTCGAACCCAAAAGAGTACACTGTCCACTTTGGCGGAGCAAAGGGGGCTCAGATCCGCCAGAACTACATCGACCTGTTTAAGCGCGGTGCCAGCTCGAGCACAGCATCAGCTCTACCCAGTATCACATCCAGGACCCGCCGCTATACCCACCGGTCGCCCTATGGGGCTGCTTCATGCTACGCAGTTTACGCAACCGGCAATTATAATTTTTGAGCTGGCAACAGTCGCCGATCTTCGCTCTCGTGCACTCATCCACGAGGATGCTGTGTTTGCTGGCCATTCTCTTGGCGAGTACATCGCGCTTGCAGCAACCTCAAACGTGTTTACTATCGAGGACACGGTTGATATTACCTTCTACCGCGGCATGGTTATGCAGTCATCAGTCGAGCGCGACGAGTTTGGGACGTTCCCCCTACGGCATGGTTGCAGCCAACCCATCGCGTGTCCATCGCAGGTTTGGCGAAAAGGCCCTCAGTGCAGTTGTCGACCTTATTGGCACCCAGACATCTGAGCTGCTAGGAGATTGTCAACTACAATATTCCAGTCGCAGCAATACGTGGTGGCCGGACGGCTGACTAACCTTAACGTCCTGCAGCGCGTTCTGGACACACTCTTTGCCATCTACTCTCGTGACAGCACGCCGGTGGATTTGTCTGCTGTGAGCGAGGTTGTCAGTGGTATACTCTCGGACGGGACCTGATATGGCCCCGCCACAGCGTGGTCGGGCTACCATTCCACTGGCAGGAATTGACGTGCCATTCCACTCGAGCCTGCTGCTTAATGGCGTCGAGCCCTTCCGCCTGTGCGTCAAAAAGGCTGTCTTCGAGTCCAAGCTTGACTACCGCCGCCTGATCAACCGATACATCCCCAACCTGACATCGGTGCCGTTTGACTTGACCAGAGAGTACTTTGAGATGGTCTACCAAATCACAAACTCCATGGCCATCAACCACGAGCTGCAGGAATGGGGATCAGTTCAATCGTCTGAGGATGAGCGGGACCGTCTGGCTCGAGTCCTGCTGACTGAGCTGCTGGCGTACCAATTCGCATCGCCTGTGCGCTGGATCGAGACACAGAATCAAATCCTCTGCAACTTCTCCATCAGGCGCCTTATCGAAATTGGCCCAACAGCGACGCTATGCGGTATGGCACAGAAGACCTTGAGCTTGGTTGGTTCGGCCCATCCGCAGTCGATTGCCATTCTGCATTCTGAGAAGGATGAGCAGGACATCGGATATCTGTTTTCCGCAGAGGCGGACATGGACTCCGCATCTGACGACGCTGCTTCGCAGCCTGAGCCAACTGCTACTGCTGTAGCACCATCGGCTGCTCCACCCACACCAGCTCTATCCGAGACTCCAGCAACACCGGCTGAGGCAGTGCAAGACGCACCAATTGATCCTCGGGATGTTGTGCAGGTTCTAGTCGCCCAGAAGCTAAAGCGGTCGCTAGAGGATATAGAGGCCTAGCAGGACAATCAAAGACCTGACTGCTGGAAAATCTACTCTTCAGAACGAGATCGTTGGTGACTTGCAAAAAGAGCTAGGTAGCGGGGTGCCCGAAAAGCCTGAGGATTTGTCGCTGCACGATCTTGGCAACAGCATATCGTCCTTCTCAGGGACCCTGGGCAAGCACTCATCTTCTCAGATTGCTCGCCTGTTCAGCACCAAGATGCCTGGTGGATTCACCGTTTCTTCTGCCCGCAATCACCTGCACTCTCGCTTTGGGCTAGGAAGAGGGACGACAGGACTCTGTGCTGCTCTTAGCACTTGCCATGGAGCCAGCATCCCGCGTTGACAATGGGTCTGCGGCCACAATCTGGCTTGACTCCATTGCACAGCTGCATGCTAAGAGGGCCGGCATCTCACTAAGCACGGCCGTGGCCAATGGGCAAGGATCGCATGGATCAGGAGCGGTGGTCCCTGGTATCAGCAGCGCTGAATTTGAAAAGATGCAAAAGGAGCAGCGTGCGCTTATCATCCACCAGATACAAGCACTGGCACATCATGCCGGTATCGACCTTCGTGAAGGTAGCAAGGCTCGAGACGCTGCAGTATCTGCATCAGAAAAATATCAGCAGCGTCTTGACGGATTGGTTCATGAGCTGGGGGATGACTTTTTAGATGGCGTCGCTGGCATTTTCGATGCACGCAAGGCCCGAGTGTTCGACTCGTCGTGGAATTGGGCTCGGCAGGCACTGTATGAGCACATTCATAGTATCCTCACTGGTGCTGAAGGAGAGCAACCGCCAGAGCTCAGCCTAGCGCGCCAGCATTATCTGGTCAACTGTGCTAGTCGGCCACTGCTCGGCCATATCTCTGGAATCTCCGCCGTTCTCCAGGGGTCTGAGGATAGACGTGTCCAGTATGTCATTGAGCTATGTGCTTCATTGACAGAGGCATGCGAACGTGCGCTGCACCAGGACCCAGTATACAGAGAGTTCTCCTTCCCCACCTGCCCCCAGACACATATCGACGCCAAAGGAAGTGCCACTTACCGCGAGACACTACGGAGTACGGAACCATCGTTTTCCGAGTATATCGAGCACATGAAGGCAGAGGAAAATGGCCAGTCGCCGATGCTCCATCTCAAGGCTGTGCAGTCTTTTGGTAGATGGGAGTATTGCCAGCAGCAAACTGCTGAGTACTTTGCCTGCCTGGAGGACATCAACACGAGTGGGCTGTCATTCAGCGGTAAGACTGCACTTGTTACTGGCTGTGGGAAGGGATCAATCGGTGCCCAGGTTTTACGCAGAATGCTTGCCGGTGGAGCCCAGGTCGTTGCAACTACCTCGTCGTATAGTCGCAGGACACTGCAATTCTTTGAGGATATGTATCGCGAATGCGGTGCCAAGGGGTCGCAGCTTGTCGTCGTGCCATTCAACCAGGGGTCGGTTGATGATGTCACCGCTCTTGTTGGGTACATCTATAGCAAAAAGGGGCTGGGCTGGGATCTCGACTATGTTGTTCCGTTTGCAGCAATCTCAGAACTAGGCAGCGACATCTCGCAGATAACCTCGCGGTCAGAGCTGGCTCACCGGATTATGCTCACTAACCTGGTCCGTCTGCTTGGCGAAATTAGGCAGACTAAGGCACTATTGCATCTGGAAACCCGACCGACACTTGCTGTGTTGCCGCTTTCACCAAACCATGGTGTGTTTGGCGGCGACGGCCTCTATGGTGAGAGCAAAATCGCGCTAGAGACATTGGCCAATCGCTGGCACTCTGAGTCGTGGGCAGACTACCTGTCAATTGCAGGGGCGGTAATCGGGTGGACGCGAGGCACAGGGCTTATGGACGGCAACAACCTGGTGGCAGAAAAGATAGAGGCGCATGGTGTACGAACATTCTCGACTGTGGAGATGGCGTTCAATATCCTGGGTTTAATGCACGATGGCATCTGCGACTTGACACAGACCGCACCAGTCTGGGCGGATCTCAACGGCGGGTTTGACCGCATTGACGATCTCAAAAGTGCGGTGACTATGGCGCGTTCAGAGATTACGTCCGTTGGCAACAAGCGGAAGATGGTCAGCACCGACTCTGCATTGGACTACTACACTATTCATGGACCTAGCACAGCCAGGTCGCCTATCACATTACCAGCTGGCGCATTGGCCAACCATCAAGTCAGATTCCCAAAGGTCAGAACGACAACCCAGCTCGCACACCTCAAGTACATGGAGGGGATGATCAATTTAGACAAAGTTGTGGTTGTCACCGGATTTGGCGAGGTTGGTCCATATGGCAGCTCTGCCTGCCGCTGGGAGATGGAGGCGTACGGAGAATTTTCGCTCGAGGGCTGCATCGAGTTGGCATGGGTCATGGGCTATACTAAGCACTTTAATGGGCCCATGATGGCCACAGGCAAGCACTACACCGGATGGGTCGACTGTGCTACGGGAGAGCCGGTCCGCAATATGGATATTAAGGCAAAATACGAGAAGCGCATTCTAGAGCATACAGGAATCCGCTTTATTGAGCCCGAGCTGCACAACGGATACGACCCCAACAGAAAGACCATCATGTGTGAGCTTCAGATAGAGCACGATATGGAGCCATTCGAGGCGAGCAGTGAGGCTGCTAGGCAGTTCAAGCTAAAGAATGGAGACAGGGTCGACATCTGGGAGAACGCAGAGGGAGCCTGGATGGTGAAGTTCTTGAAGGGTGCTGTGATAGTTGTCCCAAAGTCCATGAGATTCAACCGGCTGGTTGCTGCTCAGATTCCGAGTGGCTGGGACCCGGTGCGCTATGGAATTCAAGAGGATCTGGTCAGACAGATCGACCCCATCACCTGCTATGCACTAGTTGCCACTGTGGAAGCCTTGCTGAGAGCTGGTGTCACTGATCCGTATGAGCTATACCAATACTTCCATGTGTCAGAGGTTGGCAGTACAGTTGGCTCAGGGCTTGGTGGCTGTAATTCGATACAAAATGTCTTCCACAACCGCTCGCTCGACAAGGACATGAACAGCGACGTCCTTCAAGAGACATTTATTAACGTCGCTGCTGCCTGGGTCAACATGCTTTTGCTATCGTCTGCCGGACCAGTTAAGCCTGTCGTTGGTGCATGTGCTACCTCTGTGCTGTCGATTGATGTGGCCGTTGAAACCATCCAGTCGGGCAAGGCCAGGGTCATGCTGGCTGGCGGCATTGACGACTTTGCCGAGGATCCGAGCTATGAGTTTGCAATGATGGGCGCAACATCGAATGCAGTTGATGAAATAGCTAATGGCCGTAGCCCTGGGGAGATGTCACGCCCATGCACTACGACCAGGAGCGGGTTTATGGAAGGCGAGGGCGCAGGTATAGCGCTGCTGATGTCTGCATCAGCAGCCATTGAAGCTGGTGCCCCGATATATGGAATTATTGCTATGGCGGGCACAGCGACAGACAAGCAAGGCCGTTCGGTGCCAGCGCCAGGCAAGGGTGTGCTCGTTTCGGCTAGGGAGGGGCTGGCCACCTGCAGGTCAAGGCTCCTGGACATGGGCTATCGTCGCAGGCAACTTAAGCGCCGCAAGTTGGAGATCGACAACTGGGTCGCTGAGGAGATGGCCATCGCAGAGGAAGATGCAGACGCGATTCAAGCCGAAGCAGATGCTCAGCGCAAGGAAGCCATGGACACTTGGGGAAATAGCTTCTGGTGCCGTAACCCGCAGATATCTCCGCTGCGCGGCTCGCTAGCTGTGTGGGGACTGACTGTCGACGACATTGGTGCTACTTCGTTCCACGGCACGTCAACCAAGGCCAATGACAAGAACGAGTCGGCACTCATCAACACGCAGCTGAAGCACCTTGGCCGTACCCCTGGACACGCAGTCCCTGCAGTATGCCAAAAGTGGCTCACCGGCCACCCTAAGGGCGCGGCGGCAGCCTGGATGCTGAATGGGGCACTACAGATTCTTGACACCGGCATTATCCCAGGCAACCGCAATGCTGACAACATCTCGTCCGAGCTTGAAGAGTATGACTTAATCTTCTACCCAAACAAGTCAATCAAGACGTCTGGAGTCAAAGCCGTTCTACTCAAGTCATTCGGCTTTGGGCAGGTCGGTGGGGAGGTCCTTGCTGTGCACCCTGACTACTTGCTTGCAGCGTTGCCTGACGCCGAACTAAGCGCATACCAGGCCAAAGTCCAGCAGCGCGCCCAGCAGGCAACACGGTACTGGCAGGACGTGCTTGTGGGGAACCACAGCTTCGTCCAAGCCAAGGATTCGCCGCCATTTTCCGGAGGACAAGAACAGCGGGTTTACCTTGATCCGCTCGCACGAACCAGCTACGATCCGGCATCGCGCAGATGGAAATTCTGACTAAAGCTCGCGGAAAACATTCCTTTTTGGAAACATGCTAATGACCGCAAAGCTCGTGTTGCCTAGGAGTAGGGCCTAGAGTGCACAAGTCTATTAGTCAGATTTGGGGGGGTTACAAACTGCTGGGTGAGACATAAAAGCCCCAGGCAGCTTCGGCAACAGGTATCCAGTTGTCTTCTCATTAGAAACAATAACTGTGTCTACGCCCCTTACACGATATTACACTATTCATTTCCCATGGTCCACCACATCAAGCTCAACAATGGCGTGGAAATCCCTGAGGTCGGCCTCGGGACGTGGGCTGCTCATAAAACTGGCATCGTTGCTGATACCCTCAAGACTGCAATCAACCTGGGCTACCGGCATATTGACTGCGCAACAATCTACGGCAACCAGGCGGAGATCGGTGAGGCGCTGAAGCAGCTGTCAGTTCCCCGCAAGGAGCTGTTCATCGTATCGAAGGTCTGGCAAACTTATCACCGGCCTGAGCTGGTGCCCAAGGCGCTCGACGAGATCCTGGAACAGCTCCAACTCGACTACATAGACCTCCTTTTGATCCACTGGCCTTACGCGATTAAGCCCGGGACTCCGGGCATGACCTTCACTGCGTCCGATATTGAGGATGTACCGATCATGGATACCTGGCGTGCAATGGAGGCACTGGCGGACACGGGCAAGGTCCGGGCAATTGGCGTGTCGAACTTTAACCAGGCGATTCTGGAAAAGATGATCCCGCAGTGCCGTATTGTCCCTGCCGTGAACCAGATCGAGCTCCATCCGTTCAACCAGCAGACAAAGCTAGTCAATTTCTGCAAGCAGCACAGCATCACCCCCACTGCCTACTGCCCGCTTGGTGGTTCGGATCTCAGTGTCATTGAGGATCCATTTTTCAAGCGCATGGCCGAGGCACATATGTGCACTCCGTCGCAGGCTGTTCTGTCATGGAACCTGGCGCGCGGCGTTGTAGTTATTCCCAAGTCGACCAACCCCCAGCGCCTGAAGCAAAATCTGCACAGGATCACCCCGACAAATGACGAAATGAGGCTGTCGGCAAAGTGTGATAAGCAGGAGCGCAGGTGCCATCCGCTGCCGGATGTAAAGGAACTCGAGTGGGTATTCCATGAAGATAAGGCCACATGCCCGCTTATCTGAGAAATCACTGAAGCCGGCTATGTGTCATGAATTCGTAGATTCTAAATACACACAGCTCAAGCTTGCGAATCACTCTGGTATGTATGTGGAAAACAGTGCTCGCTCAGGAAGTATAGCATCCCTGAGTAAACTATGCTCCGCTACCGAGTGGGGGTAGGTTCTTTGCATGGTTCTTTGCATTATCTGATCACTTCGGTCATCCGCAATCGTCGTGCCACAATACTCGTGAAACCTTGCTGGTATTTGTCATCCAAAGAGCTGAAGAAGAATGCTGTATTCATTTCACTCCCCATGGTGAATAATTTCCGTCAAAGATAAAGGGCGTGTATGCACATGGTGCGTGACATACTTGCGTCGGACCTAGGGCGATCATTTATTGCCAGGATGAACACTTTACCCACTCAGCGCTAGTCCTCTGCGTTCACCAGCCGAAATTGGAGCTACTACCCCCAAAAAGAAAAGCTCTCTCATAAATACACACTAGAGATCTCAGATCTCAGTTTGCTACCATCCTTGTTTATACTTCTCAATCGACTCCCAGCACTTACGCCAAAACATAATGCTGAACAACAAGCCGACCCAGGCTGAGCAGGCAGTACACACTGAAGCCGAGCAGCATAGTTGCGAACAGTACGTCGAATCCGATGCAGCGACCCTTGACCCACCTCCCAACGAGGGTGCGACTGACCCCGCAAAGGAATTCCCCGCGCACACACGGTATGCCGTTGTTGCCAGTTGCTTTATGATGCAAGCTCTTGCCTGCGGTACTATCCACGCGTGGGGCATTCAGCAGGAGTACCTGGCGGCACATAACTTTGCTGGCAATGAAAGCAAGATCAAGACACTGAGCTACATCGGCACGCTTATGTATTTCAGTCAGTACCTGTGGGGAATGCTCGCTGGCTGGATGGCCGACGTCTGGTCGTATCGCAAAGTGTGCTTCATCGGTGTTGTTTTTCTGGCCATAGGTCCGCTCGTAGCGTCATTCTGCAACCAGGTACGGAAATGGGCAGTGGCAATCCTCCCCAAAACCGCAGCAAGCGCACACGGTATTGGGGGAGCATGTTGTGTTAATGGACACGGTACTCACGATATTCCCACACCATTCACAACCGGTATTGTGCACTTTTGTAGCCTTGGCAGTACTGCCTGACGCAGGGAATCTTGTTTGGGCTCGGTGCCGGCCTGGTATTCAACCCAACATCGACAGCCCCGGCTCGGTGGTTCACTACGCGGCGCGGACTGGCGACTGGAATCACGGTTGCTGGAGTGGGCGTGGGCGGGCTGGTGATCGCCCCGCTCACTGAGTTCCTTGTGCAAAATGTCGGAGTACCTTGGAGCCAGCGAATTGCAGCAATCTACCTGTTCGTCCTCGGCTCTATTTCCTGCTATTTCGTGCGTGTGCCATTTCAGGACAAGACACGGACGCTCAATAACTTTGACTGGTCTGCGTTCCGTGATCGTCGTTTCGCAGTCCATGCGCTCATGGTGTCTTTTGTCACTGCTGCTTACCTGGTGCCCTATACGTATCTGCCTCAGTTTTGGACATCGAAGGGGATCAGCTCCAAGACCGCGTCAGTTTTGATTGCCATTGCCAATGTTTCATCGGCGGTTGGTCGTCTTGCCATGGGATTTTCTGCGGACAGCATTGGTGTTCTGAACTCGCTGGTCCTGAGCTTGGCAATCTCCACGGTTGCTGCGCTCCTGATTTGGCCGTTTGCTACGAGTATCGGCGCTGGACTTGTGATGGGCATCTTTTACGGATTTGCTGCCGGCGGATATTGGACACTGCTTCCTTTGGCTGCTGCAAAGCTCTTCGGTGTAGACAAGCTGGCAAGCTACACTGGAATTTTCTATAGCCTGTCAGCGGTCAGCGCTTGGCTAGGAAATCCGGTCGCCGGAGCAATTTTGGCAAATCCTGGGCACGGCACCAACTACATTGGGATGATTGTTTACATTGGTGTTCTGTGGGCGGTAGCGCTTGTCTTTGCGACAATCAACCGGCGCTCATACTCCCACAGGATCTTTGTCAAGGAATAGATACTAATAGCTATGTTTACTTCTAATAATTTACTGGTTTATCACGATTAAAGACGCCATCCATTAATGGATGGGTGAATCTATTTGTCCAGCATGGCGCGAGATATCCGGATGATGTTCACGAGGATCATGATCATTGTGATGCGGTCACGCAGCTTGGCCAGGTCCAAAATGTCCGAGCATTCGTGCATTTTCATGTCGTCGTATATGCACTCGAACAAGACACGTGTTCCCGCCGTTGCATAGCCAAACAAATACGCTAGTCTGCCATTTTTGCCGACCACACCAGGCAGCATCTTGTCGATGAGTTCACGAGCAATTGTGCGAACATCCCCGCGTTTCTTCTCCTCGCCCTTGAACACAAGCTGGCCATTAATTGAGCACAGATAGTCAGGGCGGTTAACTTGTTTGGTCATGCTAGCCTCTGAAGCATTCCGGTCGATAGCAACATCGACTGGCAAGTGGTCGCGTGCCGTTCCAATGACACCCATTAGAAACACATCGAGGCCATGCTGCTGCATCGACTCGGTGCCGCCATTGTCTACCTTGACCAGCAACGCGCTTTCCACACGAGGCGTCAGTGTAGGGCAGATGTTGCCGGTCTCTTCGACAATACAAAATGTTTGCTCCAATAGGCCTTCGTCGATGTTGTTGTCCCGGAGCATGTCGTAAACGAATTGGTGTATGGGTATATGCGACTCCACAGGCCGTATTAGCTCATTCTTGAGTTGGCAGTATTTGGGCACTTCCTCAAAAGGTGCAAAAAGAGTAGCACACACATCCTTCTCCTTGTATACAGCTACACGAGGTATAATCGTCGACGTAGCGGAATCGACGCTAGAGTTCAAGGGAGACTTGTGTGTAGTTGAGTCTGTGGCCAAGCTCCTAGTGTCAGGACCTGCCCCAAGAGACAAAGCGGAGAGTTTGCCATTAATTTCATGAAGCAGGTCAAAGTATTCCTCTGGGCTATGTGAAAGTGCCCTCTCTGATGCACTCTCTTCTTTGGACTCCTGCATCCCCTGTTTACTCGATGTCGATACCGCTTTCTGCCCAATACGACTGCCGCTCTTACGGCGTGTCCTGTTAATTGCAACTATAGGCTTGCTCTTTGTCGTCGCCCTCGTTGTCATAGTGCTAGGCTTTGTATCAGTCATAATTGGCAAATTGTTCTAAATAATTCAGTAAAAGATACTGTAGGAATGGTATTGTGGAAAGATGAATATCATTTTGTTGCAGGTGGGCATGGGTGACTAATATATAATCGGTGCGATACTGCCGGCAATATAGCAGCCGCACGGTGGGGTTTGTTCCTTCGAAGTGAGGGCTGCTCAGATATTCAGCGCGTTATTTGTATTCTCTATGATGGACATCACATACAGCCGTGGATGACTTGGCCTGACCATTGTGACCTACAGTGAGGTTTTGGACGTGATGATCACTATGCTATGCATGTGGCCTACACGTACGTGCCAAGCCGCTTACATTTAATGTCACATTATGCCTTTTGCGCAGCAAAACTTGCCCATATTTAGATAAATCACGCAGTCACTTGGACAAACCAGTATATGCAAATTGGCCACAAGAGCATACTCATGGCCATTTGATTTATGAGTGCGGTGATGCGGAATAAAGTAAATTAATGTACGGTGGATATAATTATGTAATTATATAATTATGTTGAAAGGTTACCTTACTGGGTAAGAATGCTATATGCTTACTATTTGGCATTAAATTAAGGATACTTGTACCAACCACAGAAAGTAATCATACCTTACAAGGACAGAGAATTCATCTAGTCTCCTCATATGCTTTCTTTATCCAGAATTTTTCAGGTTCAGACTTCCAGCTTAAGCTATAATACCAAAACCCAGCTCCACATGCAAATACAGCACTCAGTTTCAATGAGCTGATTCAAAGTTCACCAGTAGGTCTGTAGGTTAGTAAGATTCTTCCTAAATTCAAGTACAAGTCTCTTTTCATTCAGAGCAAAATTATAAATACCATTTTAAATGACTATCATTATCTTTATTTTTATCTTTATACCTATATATATAGGGCCAGGTTGCAAAATCTGAAAGGCCGCTGTGTATTCATTGATCCAGGTCAGGGCGATTTACTGTATATGATGCACGAAAATAGCAGTAATAGGAAAGAGGTTGAAAACTGCTCTACCGCTACACACGGCAGCAGCGTAATAAGGAGCTCAAGCTGCGCCACTATGACAGGATTCGTCAGACTACAAAGGATCAAATCCCAGAAGATGCTGTCCGCAGAGCAGAGGCAGAGCTTTCCAAGCACTGCTGCCGGACCCTTGGCCCAGCAAAATTCTGTGCCTACGCTACTGCCCGTGCATCTGTACAGTGTATCCTAGCACCGTTTTATGCCAGCACGATGACAGCGCGAAGGTTACCAGAGCAGCAGCCCACTAAATCGAACAAGCAGCACCAGAGGCGCTGGAAGGCCCATCCAGGTGTCAGTACCAGTCCCAAGGTGTACCCGCTTCACCGCAAGTTGCGCCTTGATTCATTCATGAACCAGGCCTGTGCAGACCACAGGCTTGCCGCGAAACTCCGGAGCAAGTTTGGTCCAGATCCAGTGCTGATCATGGGCAATTGGAGTGCGCCGATGGCCCGACACCATGCGCCGATCCGTGGCAAGGGATGGCGCGACAAGTTCAAGCACCATGGCTTTGAAGTCTATCTGATCGACGAATTCCGGACATCGTCGATGTGCCCGCTCTGCTGCGAAAAGTCGCTGCAGACATTCCGGTGTGTTCCCAACCCGCGGCCCTACCAGAGATCGAAGAACCCAACTGTGAAGTGCCATGGCCTTCTCCGCTGTACAAGCGAGTCATGTAAGCGGGCCATGGTACAATACAGGTGGGCCTATTCGTCTCGGCTCTTGAACCGCGATCTCGCAGCAGTTCTAAACTTCAGACTCATTTTCCAGTCATTCTGTGATTCAGGTAGTATTCCTGAACGGTTCCGTCGTTCTACGGCCATTGCTGCCAATGCTTCTGGCACCACTCCGGCAATAAAGAGGCCGCGCAAGAGGCGTGCAGCAGCAGCGAACCAGTGCTGAAGCGCCTGCGCTGAGTAGGCCATCAAGACAGAAGATGTCCAGGATCACCATTGCACCAACAACCATCCAACACGTTCAAATGACCGGTTCGCCGTGATGCTCTTACCGACGTGTCAACCCATGCTGACTAGCAGCCGAGCTCGAATCGCGAGCAGAGCAATTCTAGTATTATGTTTCTTTTCAACATGTTTTGCTTTCTGCATACATTGGTGGGCCCGCCATTATTGACTTGGGCCATCCAATACTGGACAGTTTCGTAGCACAAATGAATGGGAAGCTATGTCAGCCATCACCTTTGACTCTGGACTTGGTATATAGCAAATAAGCAGGTACTCATGGTGGCACATACTACAAAAGTGTACCATATATATGCCATTAAGCAAATCCACAAAACTCCTCAATCCAACTTCAATAGTATACTAAGGTACCACGCGCATTGAATAACAATAGTCAAGACTTGAGAATCCATCGTTGGTGAGTGCAGCTGTCAACATACAACCATTACGAAAATAGCACTCTTCAATAAACTGTAAATTGCAGGTTTATAGTACAGAACAAGTTGTTTTTCAGCCGGGGCGTGCGTGCATTGATGGTGCATATATTGGCAGCCAGTTGGTTTTGTTGTGGTGTTCTCATTATTGCAAGGTGGGATGTGTGCAGAAACCAGCTCAGGTTAATTTCGAGTGCAGCTGGCGCCCATTGTGTTGCAAGCCTGTTTTCCGCTGTGTGTTTCAGCCAGAACAAAGCAGGCTGGCATGTCCGTGTGCTCATTTCTCGGCACTTGGGCGCCATGCCTTTGCTGCTGTCATTCTCGGCACTGGCGGCGCTTTGTTCAGCGCGTTGGATAATTGCGTCAGATCCTCTGCGAGCATTCTGGAAGGCGAGGGCAGGGTTGCTCAGTGCCAGGCTGTTCTCAGTGCCAGGCTGTTCTCAGTGACTGCCAGCATGTGTGGGCAGGCGTGTGAGCTTTGCCATGGATGGTGGGGTACCTGGGACTTGTGCCGGATTGTCCCCCGAGGTTGCGCTCCCGCTGCCTGTGCTTGCACCTGAAGCAGCAGCAGTCAGCGGTCAGCAGCCCCAGCCAGAGTTCATGGTACCGTTGCAGGTATTGTCTTGTTGCTTCTTCCTGTTGCAAGGCTGCTGCTGAAACATTGTTTTGTTGGGCAGGCTTTCTCTTCCCCAGACGCACCCAAGACCCGTCGCCCCCACCGTCTCTCTCTCCCCCAGCTAGCCAGGCGGCCAGACAGGCGGCCGGCCAGACAGGCGGCCAGTCAGATAGCCAGTCAGCCAGCCAGATAGCCAGATTCGCCTGCAATAGTGGGTGTGGGTAGGCGCGGGACAGAGGTTGGGCCTGCCCAACAAAGCCTGCCACGCATATATCGCTGTTGCTGCTGGCGATTACCGATCGTCCTTTGGGCACACTACCTGTCTTTCCTCATCGTTGCCGCTCCTCGTCCACGCCTGCCTCTCCCTCCCCAATGCTTGGGGGAGGTGACGGCAGCAGAGGCTGCAGAAAACCGGGCGCAGTGTTGGGCAAAACAGGGCAGGCGTCTGGGCCGCGTGCATGCAGGACGACGGTAAACACGTCAGGTGGGAGCAATTAACACACGATGCCAGCGTGCGCGATGCACCTGGTAGAAAGGGAGCAAGGCGAGGCAAACAATGGCAGCATACGGAGGACACGCTACCCACTCGGCCACCAGCATGTTCTAAAAATACAGTGGTAAGCATTTCGTGTTATTATCTACAACAGGAATCGGTTCCAACAAACTACGAGCAGGTGGAGGGGTGTGTGGCCCGCGCCGAAGAAAGAAGCTCCTCCGTCCGAGAGGGCGAAATTAAATAAGGAATGCAGAACTAAAAGAACAAGGAGAGCGGCAGCTGCGATAGAGAGGGTTATATGTATAGTTTTATGCTGGTGCCTTGCTCTCGGCGGGCGTGGCTTCTTGGGGAGGGCTTGGGCTCTTTTGGGCAGGGCTTTGGCTCTTTTGGGGGGGGATGCTTAGACCGTCGACAGCAGGTGCGCCGACGGCAGCGATGTCGAGCGGCCGCGAATGCCGTCGAGCAGGCTGCTGCTGGGCCCGAAGCTGCTGGGCGACTGCACTGGGTACGCCGGTGTGTGGCACGGCAGCTTCGACGACAGGTCAAACGACGTCACTGGCTTCAGCGACGGCGACCGCGACTGCGGCGACCACATCGGCGAGCTCACCGGCGATGCACGCGGCGACGCCAGCGAGAAGTACTCGGTCGACGCGCTGGCGCTGGCGGGCACTGCCGCTCCGTCGCCGTGGCGGCACGTCTCGCTGCAGTACAGGGCGTCCTCGGCGCTGTCGATGTGCTTGCCGCAGAATACGCACCAGTTAGTGTCCATTGCTGTCTGTAGATCGCGTGTGCGTGTGCGTGTGTGTGTGCTGGGTGGGTCTCGGCGGTAAGAGAGAGAAGAAAGTGTGACCTTGGCTGAGCAGGCGAGCGAGCGAGCAGGCTTTGGGTGACTTTGTTCGTTGGCCGGGCAGGCGGGATGCTTCGGAGGCGTTGGAGCAGGGGCAGCAGACCGCACAAGGGAGCTGGACTGGCAGTGGTGGGTGGTGGTGGTTACAAAAGCAGAAATGGGAAGCGAGGGTTGCTGTGTGAAGAACAGAAAAATAACAGCGGCGACGGGTTCCGAAGCGCCAGGCTTTTATACCAAAAGTCTAATCACTCCCATCCGCCTGCGCTATGCCCCCGGCGCCTGTTGCTGCTCGCTCTCACAAAGCGCCCTTTTGCACAGGGAAAGCTGCCATCCACACAATATCCTGGCGCGCTGGTTGGCTGGCTGCGATAAATTATGCAAGCAGGCAAGCGAAGGCGACGAGGGGTGGGCTGATGCCGAGCGTCGCCGACCCCCCCTTTTCCCACTCCCGCCGCCCAATCGCCCAATCATCGGCCAATAAGGCGACATGGCTGCTCACGCCTGGCTGCCGATGTGAGTAATCTCGCGGGCTTGCTGTGTCAGCTAATGCTGTGCCGGCGGTTATTTTTGTCGTCCAAGCACCGGTACCCATCCTCTTCTAGACACCCCCCACTATTGCCTCATATCCTCAAAGCGGCTGCGCACCGCGCTCGGTCCGCCGGTCGCGTCTGGGCATCGTGACTCAGAGTCGGCAGCGCTGACCAAGCACCCCACCCCGCCATAGTACCGCAGCATTGCGCAAGCAGGTCGTGGAAGGGACTGTGCAGTCACCCGCCGACTATGTCGATTCGCAATTGCCAGGCCTATCGATGCAGTCGGAGACCGCTAGGTGGTTCTACCGCATTCTGCTGACTTTCTCCCCACTTCCCTGTGCCCAAAATGACGAGCGAGCGGCAAGGGCTCGGTTGGGTAGGCGGGGCTATCATTTTCTTTCCCCGTGTGGAATCTTCCGATGCTCTCTCTACCCTGCGTCAGCGCTGGATATGCGGGCGGCAGCGGCGGCGGGCAGTCAGACAGCGTGAGCGTGGGTTGTGGATCGTGGGTTGTGGATCGTGGGCTGTGGATCGTGGGCTGTAAGCGCAGGCCGTATGGACCACGGGCACAAGAGCCGCACTCTCGGCTTTTCTTGGCAAGGAAAAGCGTTGGCCCGCACTAGCTGTGTCCGCACCCTCTGACAAGCCTGCTATCGCCCACATGTCTCGCTGCTGCTGCTGCTGCTACACTATCAGCAACACCAACAATGCCTGCAAGCAGACCCTTTCCTTCGGACACGAGTCCTCTTCCTCGTCAGACACTGGAATCAGACCACACAGCTGATCGTCACAGAACCATGGCTGATTCCACCCGGGTCATGCACCCCACCCCTCTTTGCTACCGAGCGCCGCCAGCATTAGCTGCTGCTGGTAGCAGTGTGCTGGTGGTGGCGGCAGATGAGCAACGCTGAGTAAAAGCGTTCTAGACCACCTGATAGCCACGTGGATGATCCAGCGGTGATCCCGTCCAGAGCCAGGCACTGTTTATTGCAGCGCTGCAGCTGGCATATTCAACATACAGACACAGCGCAGCTCCGCTGCAATTGCGGCTGCAACTACTGCCGCCGTGCTGCCCACAGAGCGACGCAAACACAAGGCCACGCAACGGCGCAGGTGCATAGACTCCTCTCCCTCCCCCACTACCATCCAGTGGATAGCAATGATAACAAGCTTGCTCCCTGTCCCCGTTTGGAAAGTCAGCTAAGAAGCCTGCTGCATGAATTCCGAGGCAAAACATCTGCAACTAATACCGCGGCTGCAGATATTTATTTTCAGTCCCTTAGCGCTCAGTGGGAGACAATACGCCAGCTGCAGAAACCCGCTGCTTTTTACCTGTTGGCAAGAATAAAGCCAATGTGTGGCTAGTTTGAGCCCACAATGTTTGAATGCGTTCTAATTCGCATTCGCTATGTCTTTGTGTGTCCTATACCTTTTGTGAATTTTTTGTTTACCTTTGTTTTCCATCCAAGTCAAGCCAACTCTCGCCACCACGACTTCCCACTCACGTATACTCCTCGTAATGACGCAATGCGCGCAGTAGCAATGGGCTAGCTCTGCCCAACTCCTCACCCTTGTTCTCATCGGCTGCCCTCCCTCCCTACTTGCCCCCCAGCTTTTTGGTGTGATGTGGAAAACCAGTATTGCCAAGACATTTCCAGGGCCACAGATGTGGTCCAAACAGTGTCTAATATTTTTGTTTTGCCGCATATCTCCGTAATTGAATTGCGACTAGTGGCAACATATGGCTTTGGCGTATTTCTTCCCGGAAGGCAGGCCAAAAGCGCCCCTTGCTTATTTTTGCGCCTCGCCTCGCCTCGCCTCCCCCAAACACTTCCCTGACATTTCTCATCTAAAAATAAAGAAAAAGTTCACACTACAAGGTGTAACATTGGAGCACAGTCGATTGGACTGCCGGGTGTACGAATACCACTCGAAATTGCCAAGTGCCCGCTCAAAACGGCGGGTTTGGGTAACAATCTCCTGACGGTGAACTGTGAGAAAGAAACCAGACCTTTTTTTGTGCCATCTGGACCAAGCCATTGAGGGCATTGAAAGGAGCCAATTGAGCCAGATCTGTCCACCTGAGCACAAAATTCCAATATAATAAGAGGTTGCAGAGTACAAAACAGCAACTTTTCGACTTTTTCACTCCTCCTCCTTCGCTTCTCTTCACCTCTTTCCATTTGTAAAAAAGTTCTTCCGTTTTACATTTGAAACTACAATGAAGGCGATATACGCTTCTCTGCTTTTCCTTGCAGTGACTGCTGCACAGTCTAGCAACAACGAGGGTATGTTTATTGCAACTTCATAGTTTGGCGGCAGAGGATATCGCTTGATATCCTGAATCACCTGGTATGCATGGTCATTTTATTGCAGATCGCTAAACAATACGAGTAACTATTATTACGATAGGTAACCCCGGAGCCGTTGACACTGGCAGCGCGAAGCCTGCAGTCAATCTCGAGGCATCTAGTGCTGGCGCCATACTCTCCCTTCCAGGTATATTTCACCACTACCATACTCTGACACCCTTAAAGCAGCTCCAGCCACATTCCAGTTCACATGGTGCAGCGGCATCTGTATTATACACATCTTCACCTCACACACATGCATCACCACTCATCTCCCACACACCCACTCCACGTAAATCCTACCATGCCATAGATTCCGCCCCTGCTGCAGATGCTGCTTCAGCAGCCGCCGTGGCGTCCGCTCAGACCAGCGCCTCTCCTGAATCAGCCGCCCCGACCAGTGCGACGACCCCTGAGTCAGCCGCTCAGCCCGAGTCAGCCGCTCAGCCCGAGTCAGCCGCTCAGCCCGAATCGTCCGCCCAGCCTGAGTCGTCCGCTCAACCCGAGCAACCGCCTTCCGAATCACCCGACTTCTCGAAGCACTGCTCGAACAACGGTGAATCACTGTGTGCCTCAGACGCCGATAACAAGTTCTGGTCCTGCACCGACGGCAAATGGACACTGATGACTTGCAGCAACAACGATGTTTGCGGACAGTCGAGTGACAACAAGGCGGTATGCCACGACCCCAGTAAGCCGATCGAAAAGCCGGAGCAGCCGCAGAAGCTGGAGCCTTGCGATAATGTCGGCGACGGCAAGTGTGCTTCTGATGGCAAGAACAAGTACTACACATGCACGGACAAGGGATGGCAGCTGCTGACATGCGATGGAGACACCATTTGCGGCCAGTCTTCGGAAAATGCTGTTGTGTGCCACGACCCTAACAAGCCACTTGAGAAGCCGGAGCAACCGCAGAAGCTGGAGCCTTGCGATCATGTCGGCGACGGCAAGTGTGCTTCTGACGGCAAGAACAAGTACTACACATGCACAGACAAGGGATGGCAGCTGCTGACATGCGACGGAGACACCATTTGCGGCCAGTCTTCGGAAAATGCTGTTGTGTGCCACGACCCCAACAAGCCACTTGAGAAGCCGGAGCAACCGCAGAAGCTGGAGCCTTGCGACACTGTCAACGCTACCATGTGCGATAGCACCAACAAGTCCAAGTTCTTCAAGTGTGTGGACAACAAGTGGATGAACATGGCCTGCGACAAGGGCAATGTGTGCGCGATCCGCAACAGCAAGGTCCAGTGCATGGACCAGGCCACGGCCGACGCCCCTGTCGACTACTGCAAGACTGACAAGGCGACTCGTTGCGCAGCCGATAACAAGAAGGTTTTCCAGGTGTGCACTGACGGGTACTGGCAAAACTCGACTTGCAGCGACAACAACTACTGTCTGTTTAAGAACGACAAGGCCACTTGTGTTGACAAGGCAGCATCCGAGGCAGTCCAGGTGCCGTGCCGTACCGAGAACGCAACCCAGTGCTACGATGGGCAGAAGAATATGTACCAGGTATGCATCGACCACTACTGGACAAACTCTACCTGCGCCAAGGACACGTACTGCCTGTTCCGCAATGGAAAGACCACTTGCGTCGATAAAGCCACTGCTGAAGCCCCAGTTCAGCCGTGCACCACTGCCAATGCTACGCGCTGTGTCGACGACGACGACTCGATCTTCCAGATCTGCATCAGCGACTACTGGACCAACTCGACTTGTGACTCGGGCAACGTCTGCGGGATGAAGCAGGGTAAGGCTGTATGCCACGACCCAAGCGTACCCCTTGTAGATGTCCCCGACCAGCCGTGCAAGAAGGACAAGGCAACACAGTGTATCGATGGCAAGCCAAGCATGTACCAGATGTGCATCGACAAGCTGTGGCAGAACATGACTTGCACTTCGGGTAACGTTTGCCGCATCAAGGACGACAATGTTGTCTGCGTTGACAAGGATGCAGCAACTTCGGAAACCAATGTGTACTCGGGCGTAGACCAGTCCGCCTTCATCCCCAGCGCTGGATCAGCCGACGTGATCATGTCAGTTGCCCTGAGTGCCTTCCTGGCAATCAGCACCATTGCTTTTGTCGTTTAAGCAACACTGCTGGTTTTAAGTTATTAGACCTGTCTTTTAATGTCATGTATGGACAACATACAACGATCTAGTGTTATACAAACACACCTTTCATTGCTGGTTGTACATGGCTATCTGCATTTGCAACATGGTGTAGTAGTTTCGCTGATGATACCGGCCCATGGTAACACCCGGGTTTCGGCGCCGTTCTGTCAGTATGGAGCACTGCAATAAATACTAGGCTCTCGGTTGCAATCTGCGGACACTTTTGTCCAATGATGTGAGCGCCCTATATTACATTCACAGAATTCCGTCACTGAGCAAACCGTGTCGTGCGGAGAGCTGTGGGGTGCGAATACCCCAGAAACAATTAGTCAAAACAACACCTCCAAATGCTGCCTCACTATGACCTGGGGATAACCATTGATATCCCTGTACACCTTGCAGTTGTTCATGCCGGATACCCCACTCCTCACTCCACACTCCACACTCCACACTGAATTCTATGCTGTGGCAGATTCCCACTTCATTACAATTACTAGCTTCAAGTCTAGATTCGCGGCCGCAATGGCTTCACTTTACTGGACTCCAGTCCGGGGTATCTCTCCACGCTGATCATATGGTAGGTGTATCTAATAGCTTCAGAAAATCAGTCTGCATTACGACATAATCAGACGCAGATCATAGAATTGGCAACATTGGTGTAGATAGGCAGCATACATCTTTCGTGGAACCTTCGCATATTGGCTCTATAGACAAGGGTGACATTCGAATGATAGCAGCAGGTCATGGTTTGTTAATATCCTGAATGGTTGCGAAAAGTGCTTTGACAATTAGATAGCAGTTTTTGCCACAAACCACCCTTATAATCTCCGATGCATGCCCACTATTAAGCATTAACTGTCCATTTTCGATTCAGACTTGTTTATGAAAATATGTACGCATATCTATAGGCATGAGCAGACTGTTATTTAGCACAGCACTACGACAATTATACTAAAAATGAATATGCCCTTCATAAAAGATTATAACTCTAGAATACAATGGCCGCGTATATAAAGAGCGGTAGGTTAGGGTATATTCTTGGCTCATACTGAGTGACAGTAATAGCCGTAAAAGCATGTGTGAGAAAGGGCTAAAACATTCTGGTACTTTGGCTTTCTGCTAGCGTACAATATTGGCCGCACAACTGCTACTACTTTGGCATTAAATTACTAGTCTACTGCAGCCATTCGCCTATATGTGGCCAGCTCTCCGTATAGGCACATTGCATGGGCAACGCATTGTGGGGTTGCAAGCCGCTCATATTGCGAATAAGCTCAGATGATATGCCCTCAATGAACAAGATGCAATATATGCAAGCGACTGAAATCGCAACTAATATTTTTACGGACCAAAGCCACACCCTAGTGCCAGGGTGGCTTAGGACGCGCAGGTTGTAACTTGCAAGCTGGAAATATCAGCCCACACGCAGTATACCTCCGGTCCACTTATCCTTTGGCCATTGACGGAGTTTCAGGGCAATTGTCAATATGCATCAATTGGCCTCCTTGGCAAGAAACACATGCGATACCCGTGACAATAGTCAACAGACCGAAACAACAGGCACCGGAAGCTCTAGGCAGTTCACCAATGGACACCGAGTTTCGGTTATTTGCGGTGTCCCGGAATAGCAATCTGCCATATGGCAATTGTGGTTTCCATGTCCACCGTGCACTCCTACTTGCAGGCCAACGAGTGGCCTCAAGATGGGTGTCAAAATATCAGCTGGTTTGCCATTCCTGGGTTTATTATGATCAGCATAGGATAAAAAAACAAAACCAGCTGACGTGAGGGTTGCAGCCTCTCAACCTCGGAATTCATGCAGCAGGCTTCTTAGCTGACTTTCCAAACGGGGACAGGGAGCAAGCTTGTTATCATTGCTATCCACTGGATGGTAGTGGGGGAGGGAGAGGAGTCTATGCACCTGCGCCGTTGCGTGGCCTTGTGTTTGCGTCGCTCTGTGGGCAGCACGGCGGCAGTAGTTGCAGCCGCAATTGCAGCGGAGCTGCGCTGTGTCTGTATGTTGAATATGCCAGCTGCAGCGCTGCAATAAACAGTGCCTGGCTCTGGACGGGATCACCGCTGGATCATCCACGTGGCTATCAGGTGGTCTAGAACGCTTTTACTCAGCGTTGCTCATCTGCCGCCACCACCAGCACACTGCTACCAGCAGCAGCTAATGCTGGCGGCGCTCGGTAGCAAAGAGGGGTGGGGTGCATGACCCGGGTGGAATCAGCCATGGTTCTGTGACGATCAGCTGTGTGGTCTGATTCCAGTGTCTGACGAGGAAGAGGACTCGTGTCCGAAGGAAAGGGTCTGCTTGCAGGCATTGTTGGTGTTGCTGATAGTGTAGCAGCAGCAGCAGCAGCGAGACATGTGGGCGATAGCAGGCTTGTCAGAGGGTGCGGACACAGCTAGTGCGGGCCAACGCTTTTCCTTGCCAAGAAAAGCCGAGAGTGCGGCTCTTGTGCCCGTGGTCCATACGGCCTGCGCTTACAGCCCACGATCCACAGCCCACGATCCACAACCCACGATCCACAACCCACGCTCACGCTGTCTGACTGCCCGCCGCCGCTGCCGCCCGCATATCCAGCGCTGACGCAGGGTAGAGAGAGCATCGGAAGATTCCACACGGGGAAAGAAAATGATAGCCCCGCCTACCCAACCGAGCCCTTGCCGCTCGCTCGTCATTTTGGGCACAGGGAAGTGGGGAGAAAGTCAGCAGAATGCGGTAGAACCACCTAGCGGTCTCCGACTGCATCGATAGGCCTGGCAATTGCGAATCGACATAGTCGGCGGGTGACTGCACAGTCCCTTCCACGACCTGCTTGCGCAATGCTGCGGTACTATGGCGGGGTGGGGTGCTTGGTCAGCGCTGCCGACTCTGAGTCACGATGCCCAGACGCGACCGGCGGACCGAGCGCGGTGCGCAGCCGCTTTGAGGATATGAGGCAATAGTGGGGGGTGTCTAGAAGAGGATGGGTACCGGTGCTTGGACGACAAAAATAACCGCCGGCACAGCATTAGCTGACACAGCAAGCCCGCGAGATTACTCACATCGGCAGCCAGGCGTGAGCAGCCATGTCGCCTTATTGGCCGATGATTGGGCGATTGGGCGGCGGGAGTGGGAAAAGGGGGGGTCGGCGACGCTCGGCATCAGCCCACCCCTCGTCGCCTTCGCTTGCCTGCTTGCATAATTTATCGCAGCCAGCCAACCAGCGCGCCAGGATATTGTGTGGATGGCAGCTTTCCCTGTGCAAAAGGGCGCTTTGTGAGAGCGAGCAGCAACAGGCGCCGGGGGCATAGCGCAGGCGGATGGGAGTGATTAGACTTTTGGTATAAAAGCCTGGCGCTTCGGAACCCGTCGCCGCTGTTATTTTTCTGTTCTTCACACAGCAACCCTCGCTTCCCATTTCTGCTTTTGTAACCACCACCACCCACCACTGCCAGTCCAGCTCCCTTGTGCGGTCTGCTGCCCCTGCTCCAACGCCTCCGAAGCATCCCGCCTGCCCGGCCAACGAACAAAGTCACCCAAAGCCTGCTCGCTCGCTCGCCTGCTCAGCCAAGGTCACACTTTCTTCTCTCTCTTACCGCCGAGACCCACCCAGCACACACACACGCACACGCACACGCGATCTACAGACAGCAATGGACACTAACTGGTGCGTATTCTGCGGCAAGCACATCGACAGCGCCGAGGACGCCCTGTACTGCAGCGAGACGTGCCGCCACGGCGACGGAGCGGCAGTGCCCGCCAGCGCCAGCGCGTCGACCGAGTACTTCTCGCTGGCGTCGCCGCGTGCATCGCCGGTGAGCTCGCCGATGTGGTCGCCGCAGTCGCGGTCGCCGTCGCTGAAGCCAGTGACGTCGTTTGACCTGTCGTCGAAGCTGCCGTGCCACACACCGGCGTACCCAGTGCAGTCGCCCAGCAGCTTCGGGCCCAGCAGCAGCCTGCTCGACGGCATTCGCGGCCGCTCGACATCGCTGCCGTCGGCGCACCTGCTGTCGACGGTCTAAGCATCCCCCCCCAAAAGAGCCAAAGCCCTGCCCAAAAGAGCCCAAGCCCTCCCCAAGAAGCCACGCCCGCCGAGAGCAAGGCACCAGCATAAAACTATACATATAACCCTCTCTATCGCAGCTGCCGCTCTCCTTGTTCTTTTAGTTCTGCATTCCTTATTTAATTTCGCCCTCTCGGACGGAGGAGCTTCTTTCTTCGGCGCGGGCCACACACCCCTCCACCTGCTCGTAGTTTGTTGGAACCGATTCCTGTTGTAGATAATAACACGAAATGCTTACCACTGTATTTTTAGAACATGCTGGTGGCCGAGTGGGTAGCGTGTCCTCCGTATGCTGCCATTGTTTGCCTCGCCTTGCTCCCTTTCTACCAGGTGCATCGCGCACGCTGGCATCGTGTGTTAATTGCTCCCACCTGACGTGTTTACCGTCGTCCTGCATGCACGCGGCCCAGACGCCTGCCCTGTTTTGCCCAACACTGCGCCCGGTTTTCTGCAGCCTCTGCTGCCGTCACCTCCCCCAAGCATTGGGGAGGGAGAGGCAGGCGTGGACGAGGAGCGGCAACGATGAGGAAAGACAGGTAGTGTGCCCAAAGGACGATCGGTAATCGCCAGCAGCAACAGCGATATATGCGTAGCAGGCTTTGTTGGGCAGGCCCAAACCTCTGTCCCGCGCCTACCCACACCCACTATTGCAGGCGAATCTGGCTATCTGGCTGGCTGACTGGCTGACTGGCTATCTGACTGGCCGCCTGTCTGGCCGGCCGCCTGTCTGGCCGCCTGGCTAGCTGGGGGAGAGAGAGGCGGTGGGGGCGACGGGTCTTGGGTGCGTCTGGGGAAGAGAAAGCCTGCCCAACAAAACAATGTTTCAGCAGCAGCCAGCAGCCTTGCAACAGGAAGAAACAACAAGACAATACCTGCAACGGTACCATGAACTCTGGCTGGGGCTGCTGACCGCTGACTGCTGCTGCTTCAGGTGCAAGCACAGGCAGCGGGAGCGCAACCTCGGGGGACAATCCGGCACAAGTCCCAGGTACCCCACCATCCATGGCAAAGCTCACACGCCTGCCCACACATGCTGGCAGTCACTGAGAACAGCCTGGCACTGAGCAACCCTGCCCTCACCTTCCAGAATGCTCGCAGAGGATCTGACGCAATTATCCAACGCGCTGAACAAAGCGCCGCCAGTGCCGAGAATGACAGCAGCAAAGGCATGGCGCCCAAGTGCCGAGAAATGAGCACACGGACATGCCAGCCTGCTTTGTTCTGGCTGAAACACACAGCGGAAAACAGGCTTGCAACACAATGGGCGCCAGCTGCACTCGAAATTAACCTGAGCTGGTTTCTGCACACATCCCACCTTGCAATAATGAGAACACCACAACAAAACCAACTGGCTGCCAATATATGCACCATCAATGCACATACACTCCGGTTGATCACAATATGATCGACTGTATTAGATTACTGGATCATGATCTGCCTCTGCTTAGCCGTTTCCGCTTGGGCATGCTGCTGCCCGCTTTTCTCAAACTGGCGGCCCGGGTGCACTATGGTCGCCCTCTCTTCTGTCAAATTCTCAACATCAGGTATGTCGAATTAAACGAGTCGCGGATTGTGGATGCGCTGTGGCAGGCGATTATTTGGTGATGGATGCGGCGCGTTATGCGTAAAATCGGATGGGCAGATACTGTGGCGAATTGGCAATTGAGGGAATTTGCGAAGGCGAAATTTGCGCAGAGGGCTGAGCATTTGCCCCTGCAATCTTGGAATTCGGTCTGCACTCCGAATTGGACCGTTGTACTCCTTGCCTCGCCAGTACCTGTACCAGTGCTTCACCCGCCATGTAAAGCGACAGCCCACGCACAGCACTGCGAGAACGCCCTGCATTAGACGTCTCAGTAAAAAGGTGCGTTTTGCTAACTCCTCCCGACTTGACCTGTGGTATATAGTTAATTTGAAAAAATGGGTCGCCGTCCCGCTCGCTGCTACCGCTACTGCAAGAACAAGCCGTACCCCAAGTCGCGCTTCTGCCGTGGTGTCCCTGACCCCAAGATCCGCATCTTCGACCTGGGCCGCAAGAAGGCTAACGTCGACGAGTTCCCGCTGTGCATCCACCTGACCTCGGACGAGTACCAGCAGATCTCGAGCGAGGCTCTTGAGGCTGCCCGCATTAGCGCCAACAAGTACATCACCAAGGTGTCGGGCAAGGACTCGTTCCACATGCGTGTCCGTGTTCACCCGTTCCACGTCCTGCGTATCAACAAGATGCTTTCGTGCGCCGGTGCTGATCGTCTTCAGACCGGTATGCGTGGTGCCTACGGTAAGCCGTACGGTACTGCCGCTCGTGTCAACATTGGCCAGGTCCTGATCTCGGTCCGTACCAAGGACAACAACAAGGCTGTGGTCATTGAGGCTCTGCGTCGCTGCAAGTACAAGTTCCCGGGTCGCCAGAAGATCATCATCTCCAAGAAGTGGGGCTTCACCAAGCTGACCCGCGCCGAGTACGTTGAGGCCCGCCAGAACGGTCTGGTCAAGGCTGACGGCTGCTACGTCAAGTACCTGAACACCCGCGGTCCCCTGGAGGCTCACCTTAAGCACATCTCTGCCTAAGATGTTGGCATAACAGTTGACCATTTCTCACAATATAGGACGGGTGTTGTTCCCTCGTTTTTTACTTGTCACTCGGATGGTAAAATAAAGCGGGAAGAATGCCTTCCTTGTCGAAGAGGAAATGCAAACCGTCGCACAGATATAATGTAGATGTGTGTTTTTGCATTGGGCACTAGTGCTTGCCCTCGCTGTCATATTTGTCAGGTACCTGCTGCATATCTCTAACACCATCCGCACATGTGCGGGCAGTACATGGACTGCAACTGACACTGTGACTGCATTCCAACAAGAGCTCTGCATGTAGACCAGCAATGTGCACGATGGCTCTGCTGCTTTCACTATATAGTCGCAGTGCAGCATGCCTTACATAGGGTATATTGGATAAAAGCGCACATTTACATTGCTGGTATTTAAAGATATGACGCATGTTTACACAGCTCAAGTAGCTCAGCAGTTTTGACGCTGGGGGCATTTGACAGTTGGATTTTGATTATATGAGAAACAGAAAAAATGAAGGACAAGAGTGAAGGAGCCAGGAGCATGCCTGCTGTTGTAAGAATCCACCTAATTTGCCTGTAAGGTGTAGCTGCTGCTGTCGGAGCACTACTGGTGTGCCCCCTCCTAGTCATTATGACTACACCTCCGACCGCCTCTTTCCGATAAAAGAAAAGAAATGTATGGAGGCTAAGGATATAGATAAGAGATAAAAGTGGTGAAGAAGAGGGAACTAGAGCACAATGTTGGTTTTGTTGGTAACAATGGGCGAGGAGGGCGGAGGAAGAGGCAACCTTCCAACAACAGAAGCAGCAGGCAATATTGGAGGTGGATAGTGAATACAGAGAGGCCGCCCAAACAATACACGGGCCTATTTTTATCTTTCCTGAGAAAAACGGCCAAAACAGACAACCAGCGCATAGAAATACACGCCCGCCTATTGCAGGAACAGGTCGGTATCGGACTTGAGCTGCAGTTTGTACGGCGCAATGGAGAACTGCAGGGAGTCAGCGGCGGTCAGTCCAGGGCTGTCTGAGCCCGGTGTCGGTGTTGGTGATGAGGATCCGGGTTGCTGGTTAAAATACATCTGCTGGGAAGTCACCTTGGGCCGTGCATCCTGCTTATACGCAGCCGCTGGCAGCTCCGGTGAGGCTGTTGGTTTCGGAGCTCCCGGGCGTGCCATTGCCAGTGCTTTCTACTGGTGCGCTATTCTGCGTCATCGGAAAAACCTGTGGCGGGCTTTGGCACGTCGACAGATAGTCAATCAGCTGAAATAAGTCCTGCTGCGAGTACTGCTGTGTCGGGTCATCTACTGGGGGCTGATGCTGGTGGTGCTGGTGGTGCTGGTGCTGGTGTTGTTGTTGTGGCTGCTCCTCCATGAGCTGTGGGAAGGCGACGGGCTGGGTTGGTGTCGTTATCAGCGGGGGGAAAGCCAGCGGCTGAGACAAAAGCATCGGATTGAACGTAGGCATGGTGGGTGGCAGGATGTGGTGGTGGGCAGACATGGGTATTGACGGGAATGCTGACATGGGCGGCTCCGCGTCCTCCTGGATGGTTTCAAATGTCATGCCACGGCGACGCGCCGAGGGGGGCGCCGACAGGGTCGGGAACGGCTGGGTCAGCAGCGTTGGGCCCGAGTGCACAGGGCTGGCAAGTGCGGGGGTCATTGGCTGGGGCACCGGCGAGACGAGCAGAGGCGGCGGCGGCGCATAGACGTCCGAGTGGCGCAGGGACAGCGCCTGAGCGGCGTAGTTGGCAAAGTCGCGGAAGGCACGCGAGTGGAACACAGGTGCCTGGAATATCGGGTGGGCGTCCAGGATGGGCGCATACTGTGGGTCAGACATCAGCTGCGGCTGTGTCCTGCACCAGCACCACAGCCAGCTCGCGCATCATGCGAATGCTGGCGGACCGCTCGGCCCGGGCCACGTCGTCCGAGTTCTGTGCGCTCATGCTGTACGACCGCTGCCGCCCGCCCTGTGTGGGCGGCGATGGCAGCTGTGACAGCCAGTCGCAGAGCCATGGGAACACCTGCGTGACAAGGTGGTCTGGCACCTGGAGTCGTGTGCGTGACGGAGCCCTGAATGCATGCGGCGTGTCTGTGTGTGCTGGCGGCTGGATTCTGCCCGCCCAACACCAGTGTCAGGTCGAAGAACGTCTGTGCGCGTGTCACGCCGGTGCGCCGGTGGTGCACGACGCCATTTCTCCAGCCGCACGACCTGCGGAGCAGACAGGCCCAGCGCCTCAGCCATCATCTTGTCACGGCGGCGAATCACATGGGACTCTGCCGTAGCCCCGACCATTGCCGGTTGCGTGGGCCAGAATAGGCGCCAGCTCGTCCTGCACCATCTTGACGCGGGCATCGTCAGCCAGGAATACAAGCGAGTCGGCAGTGGACGCCAGGAACAGCGGCTGGCTGAGCCACGTCGTCGAGTCGTACAGCGAGGCGGCTGCCATGGCAGACGGCTGCGCCTGCCACTGCGAGAACACCAGCATGGCGACCGCATACCAGGGGCACACAAGCGGGTTGGTGTGGCGTGCCATAGTTACCTCGGCGAACCGGCCAGTAGGCGTCGTCGGGTCGGGGTTGACACGGAACTCCATGAACGGGATGGTCGTGTGCTCGACAAGCCGGGCATCCGTGCGCTGGGACATATGCAGGGCATCAAGCCGTAGGTGCAGGCGGCGTGCGCCAGGGAATCCAGGTGGCGGCGCCCAGACAGTAGTACGCCCACGCCTTGATACTCGTCTGCGGGTCGTACTCGGGGGACAGCAGTGTGCGGACTATGGTCTCTTCCTGGTCCTGGCTGACCGGCATCGCTGTAAAGTGCTTCTCGGGCGCGCTCTTGGGCGTTGACGAGCTGGTGGCCTCGCGGATGGCGTACTTGGTGCTCAGGTAGCTGAGTGCGTGCAGCGGGTTCTCCTCATCCGGCATCTTGTACCGCCGCCACAGCGCCAGGATCCCGCCTTCGACGTAGCGACGCGCTGACTGATATGACATCGAGCCACCGCTGCCGCTCTTGCACGGAAGGCGCGGGGTCTGCGTCGCCCACTTCAGGAACCCCGACAGCTTTTCCTCGTTCACCAGCGTGTAGTTGGGCTCTGGCAGCGTGCGGCAGTACCTGAACCAGGCGCAGACGTGGGTTACGTACGCCTTCACCGTCGTCACCGAGCACTGGTGGTCGGGGTCAATCAGCGTCTTGGCCATCATTACATCTTGAGAATGGCCCTCGTACAGGTCCTTGCTGCCGCCAGTGCGCGAGCGCTTGCGCGTCTTCGGCACATCTGAGATGCTGTTTGAGCGCTTGGGTGGATTTGTGTCAGCCACCATATGTGGAGTGAGGTTTCTGAGTGGGGAAAACAGGGTGACTATGCAAGAGGTAATCTGTTTGGGTTAATGCAGTCCTTAACCGCCAAACAGGAAAATGATGTAAAGGCGTGCAGTAATAAGAAGGGGAAAAACGAGCCAGACAGATGGACCTCCACAGCCAGCGGCAGTTAAAAAACAACTTGGGGTCGCCCTAAAGACACAGTGTTCGGTACAGGGGAGTAGTAAGGATAAACCAGGAGAAAAGAGACTCGAGTTCCCTATTCGATTGGCACAGGCGTTCTTAAAGCGGGCCGAGCAACAACCACTCGGGGAGCAGGAGAGCAAAAAAAAAAAAGAGAGTGGGGGCGAGCGACCAGCCAGTAAGAAAGCTGTTGGGAGCGGCTGAAAGGATGTCTCTTCGTTTCTAACCGAGCGGAGTATCAAAATGAGTTTCAGTTGCCGCTCACTAAGCAGTTTCGCCGGCAGAGAAATATTGGAACGTGTGCGTTTCACAAGCAATATAAAAAGATAGGTGATTGGAAAAAAGCCTCTGGCAAGGTAAGGGATATATAAGATGACAGTAAACGTTATACCTAAGTGGATAAAAGTGAATAAAATCAATAGCAAAAGAGAGAAGAGGAGGGAGGGAAAGGAGAAAGAAGTGAGAAAAAGAATGTGAACCGAGATGTTCGGCTTGGATTGGCCTTGCCTCACATACAAAATTGCGACAACAATAATAAAGAGGAATCTGAAAACGACAACAACAGGGGATGGCCAGCAGCCAAAAAATCAATTACCCAAAAAATAACCCAGAGGAACGAGGGAGGGCCGCCCGCCCACATTCGAGCCTGGCGCACACAGGCAGGTGCTTAACAACAGATCGCATGGTCTCCGCCATCAGCGGTCTCAATAACTTTTGAGCCGCAGAGGGCCTTTTTGTCTCCATTCTGCCCTCCAATTGTGTGGGCAGCACTACGAGGCCGCAGAAAAGCGCACAAAAACACGAAGCAAGGATGTGCCTTGTTTTTGTTTTGTCCCAATTGAGCGCCTCTGACCTCGCTGCTTAAAATAGGTCGGCATGCGTGCTAGCTCAGGGCCATTCATTTTTGGCTCGGCTGAAAATATGACTTGCCCGTAGACGAGCGCTCTGGTCTTAATTTGCCCACACCCTCTGCCCTGCCGCGCGTACTGGAGAGATTACGTTTCCTGAGATCATTTGCAACATGCAATCGAGGGGATTCGCGGTCTCGGCAGCTCCTTTTGTTCTTATTTTGCCTCGTTCGCGATGCTTTCTCGCGCCTGCAGCTGTCGCTCCCCCCATCATGCACGTCTACAGCTGCGAATACCTCCCTGCACATCAATCCGCTTTTGTTTACACATCCGCACTAACCGCGAATAATCAGTGGCAAAAGGACAAGCTCCAATGAATATCCCGCTCATTCACAGCTCGCTATTTTGCCAGAACAACCCGGTGGTGGAAGCAACAACAAACACGCACCGATGGCTCAGAAGCCCCAGCCCGGTAATGCTGTGGCTGGGACCACAGCCTGCATTAGCATTCTGGCTATCTGTGGCGCCCAATTGGCCAGACCGAATGTAATAAACTGTAGCATAAATTGCTGCACGCAAAAAAAAAAACGCAATTGGCTTCGCTCATACATCGCTGTGGTATCCTCAAAATGGTGCTTTTTTTATTCGATCTCGCTTAAAATGTCGGGGAATTCCTAGTTGTTCTTCTTGCTTGCCTTGCTGGCAGCAGCGACCTTCTTGGCGTCTCCGCCACGCAGAGCCCGGTTGAGGTAGTAGCCGCCGACGATCGACACGCAACCACCGACCAGGAACAACGACATGGTCAAAAAGAACATATCGGCAGGCGACATCTCTGTCTCCGTGCGATCGTCAAACTCGGGCCTGATCACTCCAAAGTGGTCAAAGATGTCAATGAATCCGGGGGTGCCGCTGGCCATCAGGCTCGACGCTGTCTCTACAACCTTGCTAACAACAGAGTCGCTCATTCTATATCTAAGAGCAAGCAGGTGTCTTAGTAGGCGTGCATTTATGCGGGGGGATGCAGCCCACGTTTGTTGATGTTTGTTTCTTCTCGCTCGGCTCTTTCACGTGCAACAGTGGCGGTGGTGGGGCGAGTGCCTTAGTGCGCTTTCCGCATTTCAGGTTCGCGTTCATTTGCGAAAGAAAAGCAGTATTCTCAACCGCAAAAACATACCTGCTTGTTGAACTTCGCTGGAGGGGTTTGGTAAAGATGGGAATTTGCAAAATGCACAGGCAAAGAAGAAGCAGAAGCAAAAGAGGGACAAAAGGGAAGCGTGTAATGTGGAGAGGGGCTATTCGTACAAAAGCAATTCGAGGTTTAGAGAAGAGAAAAGTGGCAAAAATTAATGGTCGCATACTGCGCCAGGCAGCTAATAGAAATCGTTGCCCCACCCGCGCCGTGCGCCTAATAATCGTAATCGTGAATCTAGAGTCTAATACGACTTCCAGATGTCCTAGTAACTGATTCATTAAAGCACGCAAGCAGCCATGTGTATGCCCACTGCATGGCCTACGCTCCATGTTGACAGGGCGAAGCTAGAGACAACATGGTTGAAGTTATATTACAAAGGAGTCGCCAATGTCTACTGCTCGTTTGAGTAATGGCTCGTCTTCGCTAGCTACCCAGCCCACCACGCTCGAGCTCCTCCTGCTCATACATCTCGCGGATCTGGAGCTGGCGCTCGCGCTCAAGCCACCTGCAATACATCTGATAGTTGGTCGGAACCATTGGGTTGTACTCCTCGCTCGGGTCAAAATCGGCGTCGCTAGCAATGCCGCCTGGCCGCCGTTTCTGCTTGGGCAGAGCCGGAAGGTAGTTGAGCAATGAAGAGGGCGGCTTGTCCTTGGCAGCATCCTCTGCTGCCGTGCATGGTGTCGCTGATTCGTTGTGTCGCGCATTCCACTGGTTTATCAGCGCCTGCGGGTCACTAGGCAAGGTGTGCGGGTGCCGCGGGTTCAGTGCCGGAATCGCTGCCTTTATAGGCCTGCTGCTGCGCTGGGCCGCCATGCTCACCTGCCGCGGCACCTCTGTCGTTGGCAGCGCTGCATCGTCTGGTGCGTCGTTGAAGGCAGCCAGCACCGCTGGGCTTTTGCCTAGCTTGGGTGCTCTTTGCCGCTTCAAATTGGGTGCGAATGCAGGCGTCGCCCAGCTCTTTCGTGCAACAGAGCCCTCGACCTTCTTCTCTTTCTCGTCATCCTTTGGCTCTTCCTCGGTCGACGGCGGTGGCAAATCTCCAAACAGCGACATTCTAATTAAGAAGGCGTTGAAAGTGCAAGAAGTGAAGACAAAAGAGGTTTACTGGGGTCCAGCAAAGTGCTCAGCGACCACGCGGCGCTGGATCTTGCCCGTGGCAGTGCGCGGCAGGCTATCGGCGACAAACACGCGCTTGGGCACCTTGAACTTGGCGACGTTCTCCGTCATGTACTTGCGCACATCCTCCTCGGTGACAATAGCACCCTCCTTGGGTACCACGGCGGCATTGACCTCCTGGCCATACATCTCATCAGCGACAGCAAAGCTCACGGCCTCGGTGACACCTGGGCACTTGAGCAGCACGGCATCGAGTTCCAGCGGCGAGATCTTTTCGCCACCGCGGTTGATCAGCTCCTTGATACGGCCCGTCAGCACCACGTAGCCGTCCTCGTCAATGTAGCCCTGGTCGCCGGTGCGGAACCAGTGCGACTCGGCCGTGAACGACTTGGCGTTGGCCTCGGGGTTGTTCAGATAGCCCTCGGTGACGTTCGGTCCGCGGATGCACACTTCGCCGAGCTTCGTCTCGTTGCCGTCATCGTCAAGGATGGTGAGCTCGACGCCCTGCGGCAGACCGACGCTTCCAGGCTTGTGCACAGCCGGCGGCAACGGGTTCGAGCACATCTGGTGCGATGCCTCGGTCATAGCGTATGCCTCAAGCACAGGCGCGCCGAGCTTCTCCTCCAGCTGGTGCAGCACGGTCGGAGCCAGCGCCGATGAGCACGACCGGATAAAGCGGATCTGGGGCATCGGGCTCGGCAGCTCATGGCGCAGCAGGATCTGGTGGATCGTGGGCACCGCCGAGTACCAGTTCGCCTTGGTTGCAATGAACTCGGGCCAGAAATGGCTGGCTGAGAAGCGCGGAGGCACAACAACGGAGCCGCCGGTGTAAAGAGTCGAAAGCGTGGCCCCGATCAAGCCGTGCACGTGGAACAGCGGCATGACAATGAACGACCGGTCAATGCTGGTCAGCTTGTACGTGTTGGAGATGTTGAGCATCGAGCGGGCAATGTTGGCATGCGTCAGTGGCACAGCCTTGGGCCGGCCCGTGGTGCCTGATGTGTGCAGCAGCAGCGCAACATCGTCCGCCTGCGGCTCAATGATCTGGTAGCTTCCCTCAATCTTAGCAGTCTCGCCATTGAGGACTGCGAGCCTAATTCCGGACCCTTGCTCCCAGCCCGCAGTCCACACCGCAACATTGAGCTTACGCGCCGCCTTGACTCCCTCGTTGTCCTCGCCGACGCCCTCCGGAATGATAAACACCTTGCTGGACGCATCCTCGAGGTAGAACTCAACCTCACTCTGCTTCATGGCAGGGTTGAGTGGGGCCGCCACGCAGCGCTGCAGCGTAGTAGCCAAAAACACAAGCAGACAGTTGAGGCCGATTTGGCAGATACGACGAGACCACGGTGCCCACGGGCAGCGGCCCACCAAACAGCGATTCGGCCTGCTGGTGGAAACGCACACACTGGGCCTTGAGGTCGGCATATGAGAGAGTCAGGTCCTTCGGAACCGACGAGGCAGTGGTAAGGATAGCAGGATCGCTTTCACCGTGGCTGAATACTGATGCAAGCGTGTTGGACATGGCTCAGAAGTGATGTTTGGTAGGTATAGGAAAAATAAAACAGTATGGCTGTGGAGAAGACGCAGCCGTCGGCCACTGTGCGCGTTTTTAATGCCTCCTCGCAGTGGCGACTGAGCTGAACCCTATTCCGACCTCCCGCAATGCACAACCTGCCCGATTGACGGACCAAGGCAGACTCGTCTTTCTGCGAAATTTGCCGCGCTTTTGCTCGCTCCGCTCCTGCCGGTTTATCCATTGCACCGAACACGCACGCCTTGGGCTCATGCCTGGGCAGCTGGTCTTGTCGGCAATGCACTATCGGGCTTGGTAAAGCAGCTAAAAATAATTGCATCATTGCTGGCAATTCTATCGCGATTGTGCAGGACCAACCCCTTGCTGCTCCTAACTTGCGGTAGTCCGCAACCCAGCACATCACGTTGCTGGCGCGGATCCTTTCTGGTGCGGATTGCAAAAAGATGAAAAATCGTGAAACTGAAGGTGCAAGAGTTGCACTGTAGATGGAGTGGCTAGATGGTTTTACTGCGCGACGCCGGCCCCGTCGCGGAGGGCTGCGGCAACCTTGCTCGCCATCAGCCAGATCCGATCTGCCTCGGCTGCAGGCGGCTCGCCACCGACAGTCGATTGGTCGCTGTCGCCGAGCACATCTCCTTCGTAGTCAGCCCCCTTGCCATGGCTGTTTGCCACAGGCGTCGTGGGAACGGTGATAAACGACGATGCCGAGGACGGTGCTGCTGTTGAGGTATATGAGGCGTGTGGTGGCCGCTGCTTGGCCAGATCCTCAATGGCGCTGACAATGGCTGAGTCTTCTCTGATGAGCCGGACCAGGTCCTTCGATCCGCTGGCCAACAGTGCCCGCACAGTCCACACCGCAATTGACTGCATATTGGCATATACGGGCAGGACGAGAGCCTCGGCTAGATATCCCTGCAGGCCGCCGCGCGGGGCCCTCCATGCCTGGATAAACGGTGCTGCCACACCTGTGCCCTTGCTAGCAAGCGTGCCGATAGTCAGACAAGCGTTTGATCTGGATCTGTGCGTGGCGCGAGCGCGTCATGGGGATCAGGATCTCAAGCATGTTGCCAGCCAGCACAAACGGCCACAGCTGGTCGCTAATGGCAAACACGTTGATGGCTGCTAGCATCTCGGCTACGACAGCGCTCTGCGTCTGCCGGTTTGCAAGGGCTACCTGGAAGCTCTCCATCATACCTGCCTCAATTAAGCACGTCTTATCTGAACCCGCATTTGCGGCAAGGTTGCGGAAGCACTGCGACTGCATGGCGCTGGATCTCGGGATCCTCGGCCTGTGGCACAAGGCTGGCGACGTTTGAAATAAGCCCAGTCTCTACAATCGGCGTCTCGTTGTCAGAGTGGATGGACAGGTTGCGTAGGCATGCAGCGGCCGCAGACACCAACCCGTTGCTTGTAGATTGCAAGAGCTGGCCAACCGGCACCAGCCCACCGCGCTGGACGATCTTGAGCTGGAACTCTCCATCTGACGCCAAATTACGCAGCGTCATCATGGCCTGTGCCTGCACGTCTGTGTTCTCAACCGCATTAGCCAGTATAACGAGCGAGTCAACCAGCATGTCACTGTCGGGTGCCAGCCACTGTCGGCCCTCAGCGTCGACGGCGATATTGCTCAGCGCTGCCGCCGCATAGTACTGGGTATCTTGATCGCTTACATCCAGTAGCTCCATCAGCACAGGAACAGCGCCGGTATTCGCCAGTTCGCGCCGGTGGTGTGCTGCGTGCGACATGTTGAGCAGTGCGCCGGTAGCGTTGCGGCGTACCTGCGTGTCTTGGGACCGTGCAAGCCGTGTCAGCGGCACCAACGCACCGCTAGCAATGATACGCCCCTTGTTCTCCTCGGCCATGGCCAAGTTTGTAATGCATCCAACAGCATTGATCTGCGAACCGACGCTGGGCGAAAACATCTGGCGTACCAACGCGTCGAGCCCGCTGTGCTTGACAATTAAATGCTGGTTGGCTAGCTCCACCGACAGATTGCCCAGCGCCGACGACGCGCTGTGCTGCACATCGTCATATGCTGAGTTTAGCATGTAGAGCAACATCTTGATGATTTCAGCGTCAACAGCGCGCACATCAAACTCGGAGACTTCGCTTAGGGCCGTGGCAGCGGTGTACTGGAGAGAGTGCGCGTCAGAGTATGCCAGCGTCGACAGTGCCAGCTGCGGCTCACCTTCGTAAAGGCACGCATTTGGGTTGCTTTCGAGAATTTGCATCAGAGACCCAATTGCCTGTCGCTCTTTTACAGCCAGCAGCGGCTCGTATTCGCGGCTGTCGCTGTCGTCTAAAGGTTGATCATATATATTCATTCATGCTCTCATATATCGGCATAAAGGTGGCTGGGTGTTGGTGTGTATCAGCGGTTTACCTACCTGCCGTAGCACAGCATCTTGGATACAGTCCCCCTGAGAGAGCAGAGCCCATGGTATGACTATCAGAAAGCGTGTGCGTGCTTTTTAGAGTGCAAAAATTCAGGAGCGGAAGGAAATAGAGGTTGGCATCGACAGCGAGACAAAGGTTTTGAAATTGGTTTGCAAAATACTGCAAGAGACGCGGGCAAAGCCACCTTCGTCCAAGAACAGAAAGACCCCTCCGGCAATTGTTCTCGGCTAACACACCTGGCCGGAGAGCAGCAGGAACATTCGGCGTACTATCAATTGAACTTTGTAATCTTGTTTAAAAGAATCAGGCAGAATATAATAGCCACAGCAGGCAGTCCACTTTATTGCTTTGATGCTGCCGGCATCTTGATACCCCCGTAGTACCGGTGGTTGACATCGAGCAGGCGCAGGCCACGGGCCTTGGCCAGATCGTTGGGCAGGCGCTGGGTTTGCAGGGCTTCGAAGGTAGCCTTGATCACGTTCATCGGGTTGCGCGACCCGTGGATCTTGCCGGCGATGTCCTGGATGCCAATGCACTCGCACACCTCGTGGATCATCGGGGCCACGCGGCAGCCGAATCCAGGCCGGCGTGCCCACAGCTGCAGCTTGGTTGCCTTGAACTTGTGCTCAATGTCGTGGTAGATGGTGCGGTCGTCGTACCGCGGGAACTGCTGCATGTTCTTGATCGCCTGACGAGTCGCCTTCAGCACCGCCTTGGAAACCTCGGCATTCTTGCCCTCGCCGTAGCCAGCCGCACCTTTGCCAGTTTCCAACCACCACCAGGGCGTACATGCTCGGGATCTTACCCTTGCGGGTCATCTGCACTGTGCGCTTGACCACCAGCGTCTTCTTCGTCAGCTGCTTGAACTGCTCATACGGGACCATCAGCTCCTCGGACCAGTACAGTTCTCCCTCAGTGCTAAAGATCTCAGACCGGTGCGGCGGCCGCTTGGGGAAGTTCACCGTGAAGTCATCCGGCGCATCGAACACGTTGTGCTCCTTGCGCACCTGTGCGTCAACGTTGCTCGATGCTGCCAGGTTGCCGCCTGCCTGCTCTGCCTTCTGCTGCTTCCACAGGTCAATGATCCGGCTGTTTTCCGTGATGTCGTCATAGATCGGATCGAACTTTGAAAAGTCGGGGAAGTTCTCAGCTTCGCTGAGCAACATTAGCCGGTCCCTGTTGATCTTTGCTGCCGGAACCGTGGTGGAGAGTGCGCGCAGGCCTAAAGAGATGGACATATATTTATAGCTTAGTATGTGTAGCGTGAAGAAGCAGGCTGCCAGATCGCCATGCTCAGCTTCCGGTACTTGCCTCCAGCCAACCTGATTCCGCGCACAAGTCGTGTAGCAATAGCCGACATTATCTTTCCAATTCAATAGGCTGGAGGAGTGCAGAATGTGTAGCGAGTCCTCAATGGATTCCGGGTGCGCGCAACCTCCTCGAGATAAAAGTATTGTGGTGGAATAAAAAGACGCAAATTGAGCTTACAGAAGCGAGCACACCTGGAGAAAACGATGCCCATGGCGCAAGGGCTTTGAAATTTTTAATCACATAGATATCAATACACGGCCTTGATTGAGCTGGATAATCAACAGATCAGATCCGGTGGTGGGATCAGTCTGGTGGGATCACAAATACTTTGCCGATTATGATAGCGCTTGCAGTTCTGCGCATCCACGCTTTGCTTTACTGAGACACCGAGGCTGGCTGTTGTTTTCTTCAATTCGCTGCTTTACATTGAGCTCTTTTCACACGCATTCCTTTTGAATTTCTACGGCCAGCGGAAGGCGCATACGACACATACATCAGTGCAAAACTATGGAAGCCTCTCGAAGCACGATCATCAAGTCCCTGCTGGCGCGCGAGGGGCCAAAGACGATGAACCAGCTGTTTGTTGCCCTACACAAGGGCTTCCCCCAGCAGTTCAAGGGTATGTCGCGGCACAAGTTCAAGCGGGTGTACCTGAGGAACCTGAAGGAGTTTAGCCATATCAAGATCAAGCCGGTGCGCGATCCGGAGGTGCTGCAGAAGCTGCGCGAGGATCCAGATAGCCGCGTGGGCATGGCAGGATAAGGATGCCTGGCTGTTTTCGATCGACGAGTCTCTGGCTGCAAAGTACCAGAGCGGCCAGGTTGACCTGGCTGTCGACCACAACCAGATCCTGGATCGGATCGGTGCTGAGCGCGCAAAGAGCAGGGACTTCTGGGAGGGAAATACTAACACGCCCCACGACTGGAAAGCTGCTCTGGAGGCAGCCGGCCACAAGACGAGCCTGTAATCGCCTATGGTGAAATATCGAAACTCGCATACAATACCAAAAACAATATATGACCAATGGAGAAGGTTGCGAGGACCGATATACTACATCATGATAGCCATGACGCACAGATGTGTCTGGTAATCGATATGGATGGACTGGTTGCCAATGTATGCCTTGGCCTGTGTTCAAGCAACACCATTAAACCACGCATTGGATTGTAGTGACTACTGCTGAATAGCAGTGAAAAGGCCAGAGTCGTGCCTGCTCTTTGTCGAGCACCAATGCCTCCAATAAATGCAAACACATGTACGGACATTGCGGGGCGGAGAGTGGGTACCAGCGATGTATGGGGCAGCATGCGGACAGATGGCCGGGTGACCAGGCAAGTGACCAACCAATATGCATGATGCATGTACATGCTTCAAATGCCAAGAGGCACATCCAAGCACTCCCTCTCCTTTGATCTCCCACTCTTTCTGCAATGTACGTCGTGCAGGCAACAAAGTGTCTCCTCCCCACTTTTTGTGCAAAGGAGAGGGTGTGCTGCAAGAAAAAAGATACTAGCAACGCATGACCTGGCTTGCTCTTGGCCGCTCTCTTGAGTGTAGTGGTGAGCACGACCTTGTCTTTCCTGCCGTTAGCAAATAAAAGATGCAGTTTATGCTTATGCAGCCAGTCTGCAGCTGCACAGCGGCCACATGGTCCACCATCTCCCCTCAAATAGTGCCCATTGGCCTTACATATGCTGTATCGCTCGTTTTCACGTCTCATGCTAGGCGGCTATTCGTCAACTATGAGCTAGAATCTGCCACGCTCACTATGCTAGTGCTTTAAACCTCTCTTTGCGGCTCACTGGCACACATGCTATGCAAATCTTGGGAAGTGCTTGTCCGCTTGGGATAATTCCCCCACTGGGAGAGCCGCATAGGCGGGTCTGAAGTGGGGAGTGATTGAATAAAGCGAAGGGCTTTGTGGGGGGGGGGGAAGCGCGGCTGAAGGAGAGGGACGTGGACGCGCTGGCGGACAGACGGATACTTTTGGACTACAAAATCCTAAATACTCGTCAATATCCGGTCTCTCCCCTTTTTCAAAGGATAATATACGCGGCATTGCTTCGCCAGCAGCCTGCACCGAGTCGCCCGCTGTTCCGTCTGCTCCGTCTATCTTGCCTAAAAATAGATGCAGTAGGCGAGCCCGTATGCACACCAGATGTAAAGATCGGCGAAAATGTGGGCGCTTCTAGCAAGAAACCTTCCTATTTGCTTGCGTACCACAATATACCGTCTATCACCCACCACCTGTATGTTGCCCAGTATCAAGTGCATGAGGATGCATCTTGCTGCTCCCGCTGCTGCGCACGATTGCTTTATTCGCGTCAAGCGGCAAGTGCGCCCGGGTGATAAACGTGCATTGTGCGGGGGATAGCAAATCGAGCTGCGTGCAGGCTGGGAGTTGGGATGTATAATGCATTTCTGGCACACTCGGTCCAATAAACCCGTTTGGGATGATGGGGGATATGTCTCGAGCAGGATGGTGGTGTCCTGGCCTGATTTTTCCTTCTTGAGTGGAAGTGTACTGCAGATGCAGCGAGGCTGGTGGAGGTATTTTTGTCCAGCCATGTCGTGTTCGACAGCGATAATTATGCAAAAGGAACCATGCAGGCTCGGCCAGAGAGGAAAACAAGGCGATTATCGTGTCTGCTGACCACGCCCTCATGTACATGCTCTTGCCACCCGTGTAATCCGCTTGGTTTTATTCGTCGGGATTGAGTGTGCGTTTCTGTGCGATGTGCGGGGCGCTGCAGCACAAAAAGAACGGACATGGTGATACAGAACCTCGAGAAACGCGTGCGTGGATATGGCAGCAGGTAAGTATTCGGCGAACAATGTCGGCGCAAATTAATGCACCGTGCATCACTTTTGTGCAAGTCACCAGCTATTTTTGTCACCAAAAAAGACTTTTTGCTTTTGAAACTCCGTTTCTCAAGTATCGTCTCTCGTTTAGCGCTTCGCTTCCCCCCTCTTCCCCGAAGAGGCTGCTCAGGGACAGAGCCGCTTGCAATTACATCGCCCCCTCGTCTGCGCTCAGCCAATGGGCCTCAGCAGGAATTCCCCTTCGAATTAGAATGCACCCTTCCTCGCCATGCAATGGCCCTTTTGTCCCTCTTTGAGCGGCGCACTCCCTTTCAGACTTGGGGAGGTGGAGGCGAGCGACAAGCAGCAGCGGGATTCTTGCCTGCCTGCGAAAATCGGATCGGTCGTTTTATTTCCCTCAACGTGTGGCGAGTGGGCAGCGGGTGCAAATCTACAGGCAGTGCGCATTTCATTTTTTGCGATGTGTCGCAGCACCAACCTCTCGCCGAGTCTGAGGACCTGCCACGTATGACCGACTGGGCAAATCCGAGCGGCGACTCGTTTCTCTCTGAAACCTATTTATGGCTCAGATGTGAGCATAGCGAAATAGGTTTTCGTTTTCGTTGGGAACCGTGAAGGATCTGCCACATGTCGTTCCTCCCAACCAAAACCGCTCATGGGCAGCTCTGGTTCTGGGAGCAATTAGAGTACGCAGCCTCATTATTAGGCGTTCAGAAAACAGAGAACAGAATGGCTCCCCCGATTGCGTGCCCTAGCCGGGGATTTACCTTGAAGGACTTGCGCTGCTTTGGCTCGAGAGGTGCGAACGGGAAGCGCCGCAGGACCTACAAGCAGTGCAAATCTGAAGACAAGAGGGAATGCGAGATGCTTGGCCCGGCTCATTCGCTTTGCCTCTAACGCAACTTTCCCTGGCAGAACAAGCAATGCCAGTGGTCAGCCACGCCCCCTATCATGCATTTCCCACTCTTCTGCGGTCCCGGCCAGACTGCGGTCCCAAACCAATCGTCTGCGCCGCGGAGGTGAGCGTGCCGGGGGTGAACGGGGACCGTATCTATGCAGAACAATGGCCAAGCCCGCCATGTCAATCACCTTTGTCGGGGACCATTCAGGTTCAGAGCAGATTACTCACCCTCTTCTCCCACCCCCAATTCCTTCTCCGCCTGTCTGGGCAATGTCAAAACCTGAGCCTTCAGCCATTGCCCCGATAAGGATAAAAATACCTGCGAGAGCCGGGCCTGATATTGTTATCTCCGCACGTCAAGAGTGCCCTGGGGATGTGACTTGTCCCGCCAGCAGTAGATTGGCCACAGCGATTTGTGTCCTACCTAGCGTTTCATCCGCCGGCACATCCTCCTTTCTCAACTGACGTCTTGTCGCCTCTTGGTTTAGCAAAAGAGAAGGGGTGGAAAGCGTAGACGATCGACAGGTCATCGGATGGACTGATTTCTGTTCACGAGGCTTTGCGCCTCGCCGAACCTTTCTCTGCTGGAAAAAGAGGCACATCCAACCCCCTCTTTGTAAGAGGCACCAAGGCTGTTGTGGTTGCGGATGACAGCAGGGCGTGTCGAATTCCACGTTCAAGGCTGAAATAATCGCTTGGCCAGCACGTAAAAAGTAAACATCCCGACGAATCTAGCAGCGCTGACGCAATTTGCCATCACCAGCCCCACCATGCTGCCGCTCCTCTCCAATGGAAATTTGGGACGCAAACGCAAGTTTTTGCAGGCGATCGTGGGTATCGTCGCTGTCGGGTTGTCTCTGCACCGCAGTCAAGAATGATCGTAGGAGCGTGGCTGCCCAGCCTCCTGCCGGGCAAGGCGGGGGAGATGCCATGGCTGGGCCGGTCGGATCTTCCTTTTTCAGAGGAATAGCGGACGTCTACGTCTGCGAAAAACGGGGGAGGGAGGGAGCCGTTAGCATGCGGCTGACCGCGCGGTCTTTGCGTATGATTGTGGAAAACTCAGACTCGCTCTTCCCGTGGTCACCACCCCTTGCTACCCACCCCCTGCCTCCTCTTGAACTGGGGCGGTATCTATGCGTGCATCTAATATTCCCCCTTTTGAAACAAATGAATTCCTTTTTTTCCTGTGGCGCGTATGCTGGCAAAGTCATAAACTTTCTCTGTTGTCGCTAGGAAATCGTGAGGGCAAGGGGTGGGTTCTCGAGGACCCCGGGGGTGGGGAGCTTCGTCGGGGACGGGAAATTTAGAAGGCGACACGGCAGCCGCTCCTTTTGGCGAGGACTTTATAAATACTATGGCCACCGTCCACCCATTTCTCAGTGTTTCTTTATTCCCAACCCATTTTGTCTATTTTACACTGCCAAGAGCCAGCTCCTTTCTCCTTCTCAGCCACGGGCAGCACCCCTTTTTGTAACATCAGCGACTTCATAAGTGCACTCTTCAGTCATGGCCAACATTACTCGCGCGACTGCTACCTGCGACTTCAAGATCACCAAGGCCCAGCTCCTGTGCCCCTACTGCATGGAGGACTTTTTGTTCCCGTCCGACCTGGTCGAGCACAAGCAGATCTGCGGCATTGGCAAGTGAGAGCACCAGGCTTCTCGGTCCCTCTCCAGTCCCCCTTTTACTTTCTCCTTTCCACACTTGCAAAACCCCCCACTTCCCCTGGCATCTGCACGCAATTCACAGTCGACCGTCCCTAACTTCACCGCCCCCTTTGTTGCTTCGCTCGTCGTCTTTCCTATTTAATTTTCTGTAAGAATATGCAATAATTAGAACAAGCAAAAGGCTACTTCCATACATGTTTTTGGTCCTTGCATCCGCCAGTTGAATGCAGGTGGTGGTCTTCTGTCCTAGAAACTATGTTTTTGTTTTTACGCCTGCACATCCTTGCACGTCAATTCACGCAGATTAACAAGTAGGAGGCTTGCTCACCCCACGACGCACACTCTTCTTCCATCGGCTAGTGATTTTTACGGGAGGAGGGGCTTCGGCCTGGACAAGTATGTTATACAGAATTTTATTTTGGAGGCGAATAAAAACGAAGGAATGTAAGGAATAATATACATTTTGAGTGCTAAGGATATATAGGGCAGGATGCCCCAAAGCGGGGGGCACCCCTTAGTCCTTTTTGGCGTGGCCGCCGCCGTGCTCAAGGTAGTCGTCGTAGTCACCGAAGGTTCCGGAGCACACATCACAGAAATACTGCGCCTTGCGCAGCACCAAAAATGACGACGACGGTCTGCTGCACATGTCTGGCTGTTATTTTTGGTGTTGAGATTAGGAGCGAGGAGACTGGATATCCTGGAGGGCCTGGGGAGGAATGTCAGCAATATTTTTTGACTTTTGTGCTGTGATCGTCACGTGAAAATTATCTTTTTCAAGAGATCGGATCAAGGCCTACGAACCCGGCGCTTTTGGAAAGACCAGTTTCTTGATTGTCAGTTGCAAGCACACCCAATAAGGCAGATGCGCACGGACAATGGGGCTGGAGGTGGTAGTGTGTGGATGGAGGCAAAGGGGAGGCGTGTAGTGCCTTTTTTCTTCTTGGATGCTTGGATCAGTGCAAATAAAGCCGAGGCGTGCAATTAATTTGTGCCAAACAAGAGCGAGTGTTCACTGAATGTGAATTTTGAATGTACCGGTGGTTGGGGGGGGATGATGAGGGAAGATTGACGAAAGGGGGAGCAACCGGCTCGATTTTAAGTAGTTCCTTGTTGTATGAAATGCAAAACTACGAAACTGTACTAACACGTAGAGACCTGACAGATCGGTGTGGAAGGAACAAGCAGTTTAATTAGAGATGCGAGCAATCAAAAAGAGAAAAGATGAGGGAAAGATACCGCAATGGGACCAGTATTATTTGAAATGGCAACGAGACGAATCGTGAGGAAGGGAGAGAATTGCGGATGGATCTAGTACGACGGATCGTAAATGTCCATTAGAATGTAGGCAAGAGCAGGAAAGAAAAGTAGAGAAAGAGAGAAAGAAAAATGTGTTTTGGAGCTGAATAGGACGCCAGCAAGGCCGAGGAAGGGGCCATGATATTTATGTGGTCCTCGGACATTGTCACCGGCGACAATTCTCCCCTGTGGTGTACAGGGGAGCAACCACCCCCCTTTGGATTTTTTCGAAAGTGATTTGCACACATCGTATATTATCTTCAATAAAACGGCTACATGTTGCTCCTACTGTCCCTTTCTGTCAAGGTTGCCATTTGAGTGTTTACATACAAAGAGAAGGTGGTGTAGAAGAAGCTCAGGGAAACACTGAGAAGGCATGCATTGTCAAGCAGCAGGGGTTTGCGGAGTGATTTTTTTTACCCACAGTCGAATTTGCCGGTACGTGAATGGCTGCGCTGACTTCGAATACAAGCTTGGGCCCGCAATGTAGCAGCGGGGTGGCATCCAAGTATCCGTGTAGATCAGCAATACTCCATCCACCCCATTCACAGCCTGCCCTCCATCCCTCATCTGCACATCCTTTCAGACATTCAGACATGGCACCTTATTGCCCCTCTGCCAGTTTTAGCCCCCTCCCCTTCTGTTCGTCGCGGAAGAATAGAACTGGCAGTGTGATTTCTACACAGCTATTGTGAGGGTAAAAAACCGGGCAGTGATCAATAGCTTCATGGTTGTCAATAACATTCATGTTTGCTCAAAGGGGGTGATAATATGCGCCTATTTTGTCAGAGGGGCATAGCTGGTGCACAATAAGTTTTGCGTCCTTTTTGCATAAAGCAATCTGCTCAGGACCATTTTTTGCCTCGTTATTCCTAGCTTTTTGTTCATAAAACACATGCGCTTGTGGAAAGGGAGGGCGAGCGTGAAATCCTTCATGCTGAGCTACACCTTGCCCTAAAAAAGAGCAACCAGAAGAGCATGGGTCTGATCCCTCATTTTTCTTGTGTAGATCACTAATAGCGACATTTCAGCAGAGGATTTCTGTTTATGTTAGTTCCAGAGCGGGAAAAGCGAGTACTCTGGGCAAAGTCCTCAAGTAAAAAAGGCACCAATAGTTGGCAGCCTAGTGTAGGAGCGAATTGGACAAGGCGTTCGAGTACGAGGAATGTAGCGGGGAAACCGCGAAGGGTATTGTTCTAAGGGAGGGTGCTTGCACATCCTCGGAAGGAGCAATTTATGCACAAAATCAATATGACCATTTATGGACTGAGGTGCAGAACATGCACAAGCTTTTTTATTCCAACACGGGGACTCTAAGCCGATCAGGCCATGCAACAAGAGCAAAAGCTGTTTTAGCACAGACATTTCCGCCCAAAGCGCACTAGTGGCTTGCAGAATCTAGAGGGAACTGTGGAAGGCGGGTATCCTTGATAATCCAGCGGACAGCCTGTGCTGTGCACGGGAGGAACACTAGAGCAGAAATGCGCGCGGGAGGGCGCAGCGACCTCATTTTTGCTGGGCATTGTGCGCAAAGAACAACAAAAAAGTCACGTACCGATACCAAGGAAACACAACCAATTCACTCATGACAATGCGAAGACATTTTGCATCCTTCAAGCAATTATTTGTGAACAGCTCAGCGAGGTTCGCGAATGCACCTGAGAGAGCGGCTTTTTTGTTTCGTGCGGTTGTATCTGCGATGGGAGCTAGGGAGCGGTGGTGTGTTTTGCGCTTCATCGATCCCTCCTTGTGAACAAGGATTGAGCTCGCTGCGAACATGATTTTTCTTTCCTGCGCAGAGCAGATCCCAAAGCCGTTTGGCATGCCTTGGAGAAAAATCACTAGGCGGTGGCCCCGAGTAGATGTGTATCCTGATGCATGAGAGGGCAACAATGTGGGCTGCAAAACACTGCTTTAATTTGCATATGTTGGCGCACACGGTGATTCGCCAAGGGTGTGCAGGCAAGTAAGACGTACCCGAGTAAACAAAAACTCGCCCATGCACAAAAAGAAAAAAAAAAGAAATCAAGCCGCAAACTGTAGCCATGCACGACACATACATGATGCATATCGGATGTACTGGTACACTAAAAATAGCCTATTCCGCCCTTTTGATGCAGAAGAAACCTTGTCTAGTTACTCCATCCCGGAAACATAGGCGGCGAGGGCGCGCATAACATGCTCCTTTGTCCATTCAAAGCTGCTCTCCACGCCCTGGGGGTCCGCGACCAGCTCGGCCAATGCAGCTTGCAGGCCGTCGTAGCGGCAGCTGCGCCGCTCAATGGCCTCAACCGCACACTCGACCTGGCGCACGAGCATGCCAAGGATGGCAATCAAGTGCGGCATAGTCATGGTTTCCGACAAAAACAATGGCACAGGCGGCTCGTTCATGGCCAATGCTGGGGCCACCGTGTCGCTATGCTTAGGCAACGCCACATCGTCCTCATCACTGACCTCCTCGATGGAGCAGATACTGGCGTGGGTGCTGAACAGAACGGGCGAGGCGACGCGTGGGCTCGGCGCGCCCGGTAACGGAGATGGTCGAGGCGCGGTGGATCCGCACCGGGGAGTTGTCTGGGTGCGCAAGGAAGTACTCGAATGAGGGCAGGACCGGCGAGCTCTGGCACGGACTCCGTAGCCAGAATACTCAAACGGTAGGACAATCCTGTAGAGAATCTCCAGATGCACAAAATCCACCATGGGCTCGCGCATTCCCGTGCGCACCAGTGAGCCGCGGGGACTGGCAATGACCTGGTTGCGCGAGCCGCGGTGCGACCACACGTCCTGCTCAGAACCCTGCAGGAGCGAGATCGAGCGGCGCGCGATCGGGGCAGAGATCAGAGAGCCGCTGTTGGAGGTGGGCACGTGACGCAGCCGACTGCGCACATCGGCCGCCGCCCCGCCTGCAATCTCCATCGACAGGTCGCGCAGATGCCGCCGCTGCTGCTTGTCCAGCGGACTGGAGCGGACTGAACGAGCCACGCGGCGTGCTTGACATTGAGGCTTGGTGGGCCGAGTCGAAGGGTGCTGTTGCCGGCGAGTCGTCGGGACGCAGGCTGGGCGATGACGCCAGAGACTGCGGCAAACTGGTGCCGTTCTGCTTGGTCTTCTTGGCAGCCAGCTGGCGCTGCTCCTCGCGCACCTGCATGTCGATGCGGCCGCGCAGGGCGGCTGGATAGATGAGCGAGACGAGCTCGGGGGATTCGAGGCCCTTGAGCTTGATTTCACCCACCTGCAAAGCGCAGAGTCCCAGGGTTTTCAGCGCCTGGACATCGCGGGCCTAGCGCCGGCTCGTCGATGAGCTGGCGCATGTCGGTGATGGCGCTCTGGTCGGCAGCCTCGAAAATGTCCATGATTGCGTAGACCTCGTCCATGACGTCGCGTGAAATGTAGATCTGGCCGCCGTCAGCAGCACCGCTAACACGCGATGCTCGATTGACCATGGGCCCAAAGTAGTCCATGCGGCGGGTGACCGGATCCTCCTCAGACACGGGGCTGCCAAAGTGCACACCCATGCGCACGCGCAGGCCGCGGTAGACGAGCTGGCGGTCCGATTCGCTGGCGTCGTCGGGCCAGTAGATCGGGCAGCCGTGGGGCGAGTCAAGGATCTCCTGCGGCCAGTCGGCGGAGAGGAATGTGAGCTGGACGGCCAGGCACCAGTGCAATGCGCTGGCAACCGTGGGGAAGCTGACCATGAAGGCGTCGCCCTCGGTCTTGACCTCGTAGCCGCCAATCGACCGCAGCATGCGACGCATGATGATGTTGTGGACCTTAATGGCGCTGCGCATGGCGACCTCGTTGGTCTCCCACTGGATGGTCGAGTTCTTGACATCCGTGAACACCAGCACAACCTCGCCCACGGGCGGCGGCACCTCGCGCTCGAGCCTGGCCAGGGTCGAGTCGCCGGGCCGTGCATTCGTCTCACGGTCACGCTGCCGCCGGGTGCGTGGCGCTGACAGTGACAGGAAATCGTCGACATCGTCGGGCATTTCATAGGCAGCCATCGGTGGCGACATTAATGCACCAGTGCCATGGTAGAGTGCTGGCAGGGGTTTGCCGTCGGGGCCGATGATCTGCGAGACGCTGGAGCGCGGGCCCAGTGCACCCATCAGCGTCGAGGGGCTGCGGGACATGCGGCGCGTCAGAGCGTACTTGGACCGATGGTCGCCCGAGACGCCCGGGTGGATGCTGTCGCGGACGCTGAAGCCGCGCGCTGGCCGCGCTGTCTGCTTGGAGAACATGGGAGCAAAGCCGATCACCATGACCATCAGGCTGGCGGTGACGCCATAGGCGGCCACGTGATCGCGCACTCTGGCAGCAGCCATACGTGGGATCGCGCCGGATGCTTGCGTGCAATGTCGACGGCAATCTGCGGAGTGATGGCATCCCACACAGGACGATTGGCGAGGATCAGGAACTCGTCTTCCTCGGTCAGGTCCAACGTGGTGATGGTCGGGTCGGCATTGACAAACGGCAGAAGGTGGAAGTATCCAAAGGCGCGCGAGATGCTGATCTGGCCCTGCACCTGGCCCTCCTGCGTGATGTAGCCGCCCATGGCGCGGATCCGCCGCATTTCACTCGGTTCGTACGGGTCGTGGCGAGTCGACAGAACCATGGCGTTGCCGCGCCGGCTCACCACGCCGAGAGCGTCGCCCACATTGCCCACATGCAGCCGCCGCCCGTGGATATACGCGACCACTGCGGTGGAGCCGCCCGGGTGCTCGCCGAGATTGGCCTTTTTGTCGGCAGCCAGCTCGGGCGGCGGCCGGTCCCTTGTCAGGCGGTAACTCGCGCGACGCGCCTATTCTCGACCCTGAGGGCGGCTTCGATGAGTTCGCGGCTGTGGAGTGCCCAGGTCCTTATTGAGCGTCAGGAACGTGCGGCGCATGGCAGGCCTGCACCTGATCGTTGGAGAGCTGCGTTGAGCGGTGGTCGGATTCCTGAGGGCGGCTCGGCGAAGTTCACGGTCTTTTTGCCATCAGCCTTTGGCGCCTCGTCCTGCGCCTGCTCGGTGACCTTGTCGAGCTCCTCACGGAATGCATATAAAAAGTGGTCGCACAGATACTTGCTGATGGCCGAGCTGGATGTGTCCGACTCGCGCGCATGGAACATGCCAAATAGGCACTCGTCATCGGCCATGCGGAACCGCGACGACGCCAGGTCCCACGCCGACACGCGCTCGTTCGGCCCCAGCGAGTCGGCCATGCCGTACTTGACCTGCTTGATCGGGTCGGTGGTACGCACGCGTCGGTTCGGCGTCTCGTCGGGCAGCGCTACCATAATCGTCAGCTGCAGCAGCCCCAGGATGCGCAGGTCCGTCAGCTGGTAAAAGTCCGAGACGCTGTCTGACTTGGGCTGCTCCTTGGCCACGTATGTGAATGTATCCCGTGGCGCCTGTCCGCCGCCGAGCAGCGCTGCGTGGTCATGGAACACCTTCGGGTGCAGGTGCGAGCCCTTGATTTCGAACCGCTCGTTGTACGAAAAGTTGAGGTACTTTAGGCTGGTGTTCCAGTTCCAGTTCCAGTCGTACGGCCAGTTGGTGATGTTGTACTTTAGCACATTGCTGCCCACATCAAGAATCGTCAGTCCGTGGATCTTGGCCAGCCACGACGGCAGCGTCTGCAGCTTGTTGCCGTTGATATTCAAGAGCCGCAGGCTGCGCCAGAACGCTGCATTCGGTTCCTCTTCGGGGATCGTGCTGATCTGCGTCCCCGACAGATACAGCTCTGTGACCTTGCGCATGTGTGCCATGGCCGACGGCGGCAGATCGTACAGCTCGTTGTACGACAGATTGAGCACCCGCAACTCTGGCAGAAACGCCATCACCGTGAACACCTCGTCGTCCAGGTTGTTGTCGCCGATCCGTAGCTCCCGCAGCGAATGTGATAGTGGTGGTGGGTCCGAGATCGAGTACCGCTTTAGCGGTGCCGGTGACATCGAGACACGCCCGGCATCCGCCGATTTGTTGCGTGCACGCTTTGTCAGCGACTGTGAACCGTCGAGTCGGTAGTCCAGCACTGAGTCAGGCATGACCTCCGAGGTTGCCCGGATCAGCGGGCTCGATTGCCGCGTCGCCGGCATCGACAGCGACGACATCTGCACGTTCTGCAGGGCACGGTTTGCCAGCGCCGGTCCATTGGCGTCCTTGGAGCCATTGCGTTGCGCTGCCGCTGCCGCCGCTGCCGCTGCCGCTGCCGCAACTGCCCGCACGCTGCTGGAACCGCCCTGCTGCCGCCGTATATTTTCCAGCATGCTCGGGTGCGGGAACTGCTCCAGCAGATTCGACGAGAGATTGAGGTTGGTCAGCTTGGGCATCAGCCAGATCTCCGGTGGCAACACCTTCAGGTTGTTGTTGTGCAGGTCGAGCGTGTTCAGATTCTCAAGCCGCGTCAGCTCCGCTGGGATCAGCGACAGGACGTTGTTCGTGCAGCTGAGCTTGATCAGATTGCGCAGGCTGCCCACAGACGCCGGAATGCTGACCAGGTGGTTGCTGTCCAGCACCAGGTGCTCCAGGTGCGGCAAATGCATGAATGTGTCCGAGGCGAGCTCCGTCAGCTGGTTGCGCGACAGGTCCAGAAACACCAGCGTGTGGGACGGATTCATGATCCGGAACTGGGTCAGCTTGTTGGCCTTGAAGCTCACGTGCGTTGCCGTCGCCAGCTCCATGTGCGCCCGCGTCACCATGTTCGTCTCCGTGTACAGCAGCTCGAGTGCTGGCAGCTCCGACGCAATCGTCAGGTTCTGCAGTTTGTTCTGCCGCACATCCAGCTCCCGCAGCTTCACCAGGTTGCCCAGCCCCTTTGGCAGCTTGCCCGTCAGCATATTGCCCATCACGTTGAGCTGCTCCAGGTTGCCCATGGCCGAAATCGCATTGGGGATCTCGGGGATCCGATTCATTGAAATGTCCAGGTTGACCAACGATGCCACGCGCGTGACAATCGTCGGGAACTCCTGGAAGTTGTTGTTCGATACATTCAGCGTCTTCAGCGCCTTGAGCTCCGCTAGCGACTCGGGCAGCTCCACCAGCCGGTTATTGCGCAGCATCAGCGTCGCCAGGTTCTGCAGCTTGTCCAGAGGCGCATGGCGCATGCGCTTGATGTCGTTGCCGGACAGATCCAGGTACGCCAAGAGCTCAAAGTACTGCAGACTGTTCGGGAACCGCGTGAATTGGCATGTGGCCAGCCGCAGCTCGCGCAGATTGCCGCACAGCTGCACAAAATCGGCTGGGAAGTTCAACCCCGGGTTCTTGGACATATTCAGCGATACAATCTTGTTTGCGTGCGCGTACAGGAACACCGGCACCGTCTGTAATTTGCGCGCGCGCAAGTCCACATAGTGGAACGAGCTGACCTCTACCTCCATGTTTGGCGATACCCGCGGAATCGCTGCCTTGAGCAGCGAGAACTTGCACAGATAGCTGTTGTCCTCGCGCCCCTGCAGCGTGATGTTGTCCTCGGGACGATACCCCATCTGCTCCAAGTAGCGCTTCAGGATGTCCGCTGGCCGCTCATTCGCCTTCAGCGTGCGATCCAGCCCGTTCGCCTTTTGCATGTACAGACAGTGCCGTGTGATATCCGGGATGAAGAACTTTTTCGCCGCCATCTGCATGAACTCCGCAGTGGTCGTGCTCAGCCGGCAGTGGAATGTGCCGAATGTCGAGTCCTCGCGGTAGATCCGCAACGAATACATGTTGATGTCGTTCTCCAGGTCGCTGTCGCTGCTGTTGCCGTCGCCCTCTGACTCTGCATCGTGTTGGTTGTTGAACAGTGACGATTCCTCCGCCCCGTCCAGCGACGTCGGCAGCACCGCCCACGATTCCGGCGGCGCCCATGGCTCTGATTTGCGTGGCGGGTACTCTATCCCAGGGATCCGCGGCTCGGCCGTCGCCTCAGTGCCTGGCTCCAGCGCTGGTGTCCAGCTGAACCGGCGCCTCTTCGCTGGCGCCCTGGGTATCGCCGGTGGTAGCATTTGACTGGGACTTGCGCATCAGCGCCAGCTGCTGCTCGCGGTCGGCCGCCCACGGATCCGTGAACTGCGCGGGCGAGAACGCCGATACCACGCTGAGCCGCCGCCCCCTGCTGCTCTGCTGCGCATCCGAGCTCTGCCGCACTGTGCCGGACTCTGACCACTGCTGCGACCATCGCCCTTTAAACTCGATGCCATCGACCGGGAATCCGACACCGACGCCTGCCGCACATGCGGGCTGCCCACCAGTGACCTTTTGCTGAGCACCGAACGGCTCCCCTTGGAGCTCTTTCGCCGATGCTGCTGCATCAGCAGCGACCCCGAATCTGTCTGGAACGACCCTCGCCGCTCGCTCTCATCGCGGTTGCCGCCTGCCACCGGCGGTACGCGGAACGCCGATTCCGCTGTGCTCAGCGACGAGGTCGCCGAGGGCCGCCGCACCTTGGTCATATCGACAAACTCGCCAATATCTGAGAAATTCATGTCCAGCTGGAACGGGTTCTCTGCTGTCCCCTCCTGCTTGCCCGAGCTGCCACGCCCGCGTGCCCGCCGGAACCACTTGCTGCCATTCGAGCTGGCCCCTGATCCCGTCCGCTCCATTCCCCATGCTGGACATGGACTGCTTTGAGCGCGTCGAGTGCAGCTGATTTGTCGATGCCTGGCGGACAACCCCTGTGTCCATGCTGGCCACGCTCTCGCGCGCTGATATCTGGTGCGAGAGCGGGCCGGACAGCGCATCTTTTACTGACAGCAGGTCCCGCTGCCGTGCCGAGCTATTCGACAGGCTGTGCTCATGCGTGGGCCGCGATGGCTTTAGCAGATAGGAGTAGTCGTTGCCTATAAATCCCAGTGAATTAAATATAAATAAAAATCCGTGGCGTCAACCTATCCCCTCTTATATCGCAGAGCAAACAAAGACTGCAACGGGGTCTCTGAGTATAAACAACAAAGGGAATGCCTCATGAGGCGCTTCTTCCACGCTTATCCCCACTTTTAGCCCAAAGAAAACCCACCCTTACCTGGCTGCTGTTGTTGTTGTGATGCGTTTGACCCCCGCCCACGGTGTGCTGGCAGCACGACATCTGGCGGCAGGCTAGGCACCGGGGGCGGTGGCGGCGATGGTGGCCGTCTGCCCGTAGGTGCTGCCCCCTGTGCCCCATGGCTCCGAACCAGGTCCCGCAGATGTGATGTGCTCGAGAATACCCGTAACTTGCCTACGGCAAAAAACAAAACACGCGGAAAAATCAGCTCGACAGCACATCCTCTGTAGCTCGTAGTGCTACTTTTAGCAAAACATAGCAGGCCAATGCTATAGCCCCGTATTGGCCGTGCATCCACTTACTCTTCAGGCCCTGCTTTTTGTGGTCGCTTCCAGTCATGGCTGATGTATCAATGCGCAAGTACAGCCCGTGTGTCTGCTATGTATATGAAAACGCGAAGCGGCGAAATTGACAACTAGTAGTGTTCTTTTTGTGTGGAATGCAGAATACCCGGGCTCAACCGCAGAAAGGGGATAGCGCGTGTCCAGACTGAGGAGGAATAGAGTGAGCAGTAGGGGGTGAAGAGAGTAAAACAGCTTCGCTCTTTGAAAAATAGAAATTCGGGTGAGGAGAAAAGGACAAAAGCAGAAGAAGCCAGTAAAAAAATATAAATTGGTTTCCCCGATTCTCTCACTCCAGGCATGGAGCCACTAAGCCTGTCCCCTTTGCTGGGCCCAAAACGATTCAAAGCGCGGATTGACGACGCTGTCATATTGGAGCCTGCTGATCCCCAGACGCCTCCTCCGCCTACAGGGCTATATGCTGGTGCACGCTGCAAGCTGTGTATACATGACAAAAATGGAGTAATGGTCGTATTGGAGGGAAGCATTAATTGTACAGAATATAATAAATTTTTTACTTGGACTTGGGCAAGGCAGCTGTTGACAGGCTGACTATTCCCACCGACGCCGGATGTGGCATGCTGAGGACCGCTAGTCGAGCTGCAGGAGCTATTAGGTGCTTGAGCTGCTGGTGCGTCGGGGAACGCGGACAATTGTGTTATAATGCCACACGTCTGAGTGGACAGACAGGCTGTGCTCGTCGGGGAAATGCAAAACGCAATGCGGGCACTTCATGGTAGCGAGTGTTTTTGGATATATAGAGAATGGAAGGAGTGGAGAGGGTGCTGTACGTCTGGGTGGAAGAGGAAATTCTCAGTGCCAGGCAGGCAGCGCCCTATTTATAGAGTGCTGGAGCAATCGGATGTGACTTGAGAGGAAAGCAGCAGACCCGCCAAAATTGACCCGCATCACCGCTCTTGGCCACCTAAAAAAGAAGGCAAGGCCGCCCGATTGGCCCGTGAGCTTGTGGGCACATAATGGCCCTATTGTTGAGTCTGCCAGGGAAAAGAACGCGGGGTTTTGCCTTCCCATCATTTTTAGCACTCTGTCCAACGCCCAACCACGCGGCCTTTCCTTCGGGCGATGCTTATTGAGATCAGCTCTTGTCGCCGTGCCCAACCGGCCGAAGACTGCGCACCGCTCCTGGTGTTGGCCCAACCTGCTGCTGCTAACTCACCAATGCCATAGATACTTTTGGTGCCGATCGACCGAGCCGACGACGGCGGCGGCGAGGGGGCGGCGGTGGCGGCAGCAGCCTTGCAGTGCTTTTGCTTGTCCCAGCCGCTTAGAAGGAAATGGCTGTACCACGCAGCGTGACTGAACACCACCACTCGAATGTCACTCACTGCAGAAGCGCCAGTGCCGGATGATTGTTGGCGCTACACGTGATATCTCCATTGTCGTCCACGCTTGGAAAAAGAGGGATGTGGTCCCTACCGCTGTCGCACAGCAGACTCAAGGCTGTTGGGCATCTGCTGGTCTTGCAATTCAAGACACAGATGCCCTAAAAGGCCTTGAGCTATGTGGGCGGCACTAGATGGCCTGGACGGCCCATACATGCCAGCCTGCCTTCGCAATAAGGTAAAATAGGACTGTCTGAGCGCCGAAAAAAGCAGTGGCGTGACGAGTATTTTTCTATCCGTATTTTAAGCCATTTATTTCCTTATCCAGCAAAGCGTTTGCACAACGTCAGCACCCCACCCGATCAGTCCACATCTGAATCCCTTTTTTCATGGCCAGTTCTGCCGAACCCAGCTCTACCGTGCCACCTCCAGATCTGCGCATATCGGATGACCGCTCCCGGCTCCTAGAGGAATCAGGCAACACGCCAGGCCCACTCCGCAGCAGCAGCAGCAGCAGCAGCGCCGCCTTTCGTACTACGTGTTTTTCAGTGTTGGCCTCGCTTCGCTGCTGCCTTGGAACCTGTTCATCTCCGCCAGTGAGTTCTACACGTACCAGTTCGCCGGCAGCCCGCACCAGGACACATTTCAGAACTCGTTCTCCGTGACCTACATGGTGGTTCAACCTGGGCTTCAACATCTATGCCATGCTGACCTGTGACCACATCCGACGCCAACAAGCGCATAATGTACGGGCTCATGGCGAAACCTCTTGGCGTACGTGACTGGCCTGTTCGTGCCGTTCATGACGGAACACCGCGGCACGCTGTCGTTTTACATTGTCATTACGCAGCTAGCCGTCACAGCTGCTGCCAGCGGGATCTTGACAAACTCTGTGTTTGCGCTGACTGCGCATTTTCCACCCGCGAATGCAGAGGGCGTGATGAGCGGCCAGGCAGTGGCTGGAATTATGGCGACCGCGGCACAGCTGGTGACTGCGTACTCGGTTGCAACCGGCGGTCTTCGTAGCGCAGAGGCCGGAGCAGACTCCCTGATACATCGCACTGTTGCGTACTTTGCATTTGCAGCCATCACGAACATCATCTTGACTGCTGCTTTCATCTACATTCAGCGAGACCCGTACTACACGGAGCGAAGCAAACTGGCCATTGCGGGTGCTACAGCCGGTGCAACAGTGCTCCCGGATCTGCGAGAGTTTGCAGCTACTTTCCGACAAATCTCCGGCTATGCCAATGTCATTATGCTTGTCTTTGCCGGTAACCCTCGCCGTGTTCCCTTCTGTAACGGCCCTGGTTACCTCCACCAGGGGCTTCAGGCTGCTGACAGAATGGCACTTTTTTGTGTTTAACGTCGGCGATTTTGTCGGCCGCCGCTTTGCGCCAAAGGATTCCCATCAACAGCATGTCGTCATTGACCTCGTTGGCTGTAGCAAGATTTTTGTTTATCCCCGTATTTTTCATGTGCCATGTCTCGTTCTCCTGTCTGGTTTAACTGGATCACCAGCGACTGGTGCTTCCTATTCTTGGTGCTTCTGCTCGGTGCTACCAATGGGCTGCTGTCGACACGCTCAGCCATGGCGGCGCCCTCGCTGGCCGACAAGCCCACTATTGCTGGCTCCATCGTTGCCATTTCCATCAGCACCGGGTTGGCCATCGGCTCGCTCTTGTCATGGCCCGTACGTGCTGCAGGATGTCTGTGCAATCCATTCTGAGGAACACGCTGCTTTTACAGCGTAGCGTGTATCAGTAGCAGCTTACTAGGTGCTCTTCCTTTAACTAGGTATTTATTTGTCATGTAGAGTTTTAGAGGGGCCTTCCTATTATAGAGTAAACCCATAGCTGGTGTTCTCGAACGACTCAAATGCACCGCAGTCGGAATGTATTTTATGTGTGGAGCTAGGGTTTCCCTACAAACACGTTGATTAAGGTGTAGCTGTGTTCTGGGAGTTTGAGAGGTAAAGTGCGGTTTTTGCTTTAGGAAAGAAATAAGAAAAGACAACGACTGCAGATTCCTGAGGCAGTGGTATATGTATCCATTATGACGCGAGTACCTTCTATTTGCGTGTAATCATGGTATCATGTAAAAGATGCCACTATCCTCATCAGAGGCTCAAGCCCTCATTGCTATTGTCTACACCAGGACTTGGGTACCCATCGTCATGCACCTGCCATGGGCAATGTGCTACACGGTGCCATCTTGATCATTGAACATAGCCGCATCATTATTGGACTTGAATGGTGGTAGTGTGATCACCACAGTATCATGCTGATATTTGATTCAGCCGATTACGGATGATGACACAGCTCCACTGCCTAGGACTGGTAGACCGTAAGCCGTAGTGCTCTATAAAGCAGGTGCCAGGCCCTTCTAGGAGTGACCCGGGTGGGACTCGCCTCTCTTCTTCACTAATATTAATTGCTCTTTTATTAGCTTAACCTGTGTACAGATATCCTGATGATGCTTGCTGTCCCTTAAACAGGGTCACGACAATAGATCCATCACCAGATGATATGTAATCCGGGGCTAGGGGAGGGCATGCAAAAGGATCTACACATCTAATAATAGGTGCATAAAGTGGCAAGTACTTGATAGGAGTAGAGCGACTTTTCCTTTTTGCTACACATTTCTCTCACAAATTTGCTCTTTTCAACCATGGCTTCCTATTCACAACATCTCAGACTCGATTTTAAAGAGAATACTGTCGCATATAGTAACTGACACACTTGACTATGACATCGTGGATAGACGTATCTACTTGAATGACTATTCACCGGCCCATGTTTGTCAGCAAATGGAGAAAATTGTCCTTACCGAAACTTTACTCAAACGCTTATATTAGCATAAGTATTAAACATAACCACGAGTATGACAACTCGCTTAGTATGGCCAATCTCCAGCATTGATTCCAACATCAAACTAATAGCAGAAAATGGCCTTATCCTATTCTGACGCCACATCTCCATATATTTTCTTTTTATTTCTTTTTACGCGAGATTGACCTTGTTGGTCTATTACGCGAACTGGGATTCGACAAAATAAGCTGGGGATCCACCCACACGCTCGTTTTTAATGACAACATTCAGTGCCAGTTACGATAGCAGACTATCATCCTTAGCAACATTAACGCAGTTGATTACGACTCCATGATCCGAATATTTTCATGACCCATTTGCCTGCTTTTAACAGATATAAACCTTTCACATCAGATGCGGTCGTCTATCCAACATGCCCGCTATCACCACTGATTCAACGCATTACTCCCCCGAATCACACGCCTCAGTGTTAGCAACTCTGTTGTTCAAATTGGATCACTTTTCTTTCTCTAGTAACCTTTCATATCTTAAGGATTGATCTAGGCAAACACCAACATATGGTTCCATATGTATTTGCCCCCGCTCTCCAATACTTGGCTTTGACCAATTGCACCTCCAGGGTTTTCATGGCAATTCTTTCATTCAGAAAACAAAAGCACACTAGGTTTTTTCAGAACTTAGAGAATTGGATATTCACTATACAAAGTGTAGCGGGGCTGATATATCGAGGCACTCTCATGTTGACAATTATTTCCCACCTAAAACATACACAAAGCAGCATTCAATTTCCCAAGCTAAAGCGACTGCGGCTTGGAGAACATGATACTTCCCTTTTCAGTTGCCGATTGCCCATTCAAACTTCCAAAACTAGATCACGCTGAACTTCATGGTACTTATGAAGCTCTTGAAAGGCATTAGTTGCTCAAAAATTGGACTCCAAATCCATAAATATCACAATAGAGATGAAAAAGGCATGTAAGCTCCTTTAACTTTCATAGATATGGTATTCCGCTCTTTAATCGCATATCAGAGGCAACATCCTGTAAAAATCAGCTGCTGCATTTCAATACCTCTGCCTTTTCAGATTGTCGAGCCAACCAATATTCGAATCCTAGAGTTAAACGTCTTTTATTACTCGATCTACATTTATTCACATATTGTCACATATTCCATCCTCTAATGCTACCTAAGGGTAAAGCATTTCATCTTGGAAGATTGGTCCGACCAGAATGATGAGCTTGCAGAAATCGACTTCATTGTGTTCAACAAGCCCCGATTTCAGCAAGCATTTAAAGATACTGGTAATTTTCCAATGATCCCACACGGCCCCAGAGACACGAAGTCATTGCGCTTTACAAAATCATCGTCTGCATCCCATCTCTTAAAGAGCTTCATGTTCCATACGATGTTTTCCAAGAAGTTATACAGCCGACTTTAGGAAATGCTAGCATGCAGAGCTTCCCCCATATACAGTCGCTACGAGTTTTAGGCTTTTCACTTTAGCAATTGTGCTGAGCATTGGCCTCCTAGTTCCATCCAGAATCCGCGCTATTGGTTATCTTATATTCCTTACCTTCATTACCTGCAATAAACAAACCGCCCATTATCCAGCAACCAATATAAAGTTATCTGCTACTATGGCTTCGGTGCACGTTTATTGTGGTAATTGGATGTCCAACTACCTACTTGCCATGTGTTCGATGTGTATCTCTTTTCAAAGAAATCAACCTTGCCTTTTGAAGAAAAAGTGGAGTGTACCAGCCCTCCACAATATTGGCACAGGTGCTGATTATTCATTGTACTACTCTGTAGGCCGTACAATCTAAACTGTAACCGACATGTACCGGCGGTTCATTGATATACTTGTTGGCTGGGTTGTTGTTAAAACATGAAAGCGTATTGAAGTTTAGTCCTTCTCTGCAATCCTGACGAGCTGGGCATCAATCTCCTCAGTGCTCAGGGCATGGAACTCTGGGCTCTCCTTTGTGACAATGGCAATCTCCTAGATCTGTAGCCTTGAAGTTGGCTGCCAGCACGGACGACAGCGTGGCAATCGCCAGCTCCACAGTATCGTCAACAGAGAGCCCCTCGTCGCCCTTCATCTTCTTCTCCAAGTAATTAAACGCCTCCTGGTGCTTTGCGCCGGCGGCAGGTCGCCCGGTATCCAGCAAAGTAGCCCGCAGGGTCCGTCTTGTACAGCTGCGGTCCACGCTCATTGTCCCACCCAATAAGGATCATTGACACGCCGAGCGGGCGCATAAAGGCTTTCTGCGTGTACACCTGGTTGATGTTGGCCATGCGCTTTGCCAGCATGTCGGGAGTGATCTCATATCCGTACTTGTATTTGAACTCAGGCCGCCTCCTGCCGCGCACGCATCACCTGGCTACGGCCGTCCGGGTCCAAGGCCAGTCATCACACAGCCAATATAGGGTGTTAGCTGGAATACGTGCGTCGCCGTCGAGGCATCGATGAGCTTATCCGGGACCTTCTTCTGCGTCGCGATCACTACGCTGTCCTTTCCACGCACACCGACCGAGGTGACTCCAGTGTTCGAGATTGCCTTGAAGGCATACTCTACAAATTAAAGGGGGGTTCAGCTGGGTAAAGGTGTGTGGCCTATAAGTCTCGCTTGCTATTGCATTGGCAGCAGCACTTACCAACTTGGAACAGGCGTCCCTCGGGCGAAAAGATGGTAATGTGCCGGTCGTATCCGGCATTGGCGCTACGTGAGCTCATTTTGAATAAAGGTGCCTAGTAAAGAAAGGTTGGAGAACAGTGCAGAGAGCAGCGAATTGCGCAACTGCTGACGCTGCCCTCAGCTTCCCCAAGGCGTGCGTATTTGCGAAAGAGCGCGCCGCGTCAGCCCTCCAGACAGATTAGATCTCAAGAGCTAATCCACGATTTCATCTAATATTAGATCTCCAAATCAATATCCTGCTCGGTGGAAGCGGAGCAACTATGTGCCTTCCAAATATGATTGCGAAAGTCTTCATATGGCTGCATGTAGCACGCATATGAAAGCCCAAAGCCAACAGCATTTGAATTCAATAACATTGCCAATAGAGAGATGCTGGGCACTACACGCCTTGTATAGGAGCGATTCAAACCCCCACCGCTAGCAAGCGCCTATTTGAAGGAGTGCCATATTTAATTGCACATTAGCCTCCCATGTTTCCAATCAGGATGCAGTCTCTATCCCAAACACGCACTCGATTACATATTTGGTTGAGCAAGAACGAAGGAATTTGCTCGGAGGGTTATGCCTGTTTTGTGAATGACTGGAGCCGTGTTTGTTTCTTTGAAGAACATTTTAAGCCCAAGCTCCCCCAAAAATGCTACTACATAATCCGGGTTGCCAGGGGTGTTTAGCCCCCGGCGGGTGAACCTGCTGCCGAAACATAATGGCACACAGCTAGTTCGTTGAGTGTGCTGTTGTGGCCTAGTGTGTATGTGCAGTCCGCGATGTTTTTTAGCCCCGAGTTCGGCAGGTTGGTAGGCAAATCGCCCACCAATCGCCCACCCAGTCTAGCGACAAAAGGGTGAGATGCAGGCGATCTCGGATGCGAACTGGCCGAAGAGCGAGCACAGACCAAAACGGGACTGGCGGAATCTACAGCAGCAATGCCGTGTTGATCGCTGGCGAGCGCGGGAAACACGGTGGAGATGTATGGAGATACGACGAAAAAATGCTGATGGCCAAAGGCTGTAATAAAAAAAAGCTGACTAGTCTGGGAACAATGCCTTTCTGGCGCATTCCCGCATTGCCGATTCTTGCAGTCCAAAAATTATCATTACAGCTGCGCCATTTTTCTCTTTAATCTCTACTAGATTTTTTATTTGTCTATCAGCTACAGCGGCGAAAAAGCAGTGTGCTCTCCCTTTCTCTCCTCCCTTAAACTTTTTTCCTAACAATCATTTTTGAAAAGAATGCCTACTAGCGGATCATCGTCACCTACGCGCAACACCCGGTGTTCTCCCGATCTCGTACCCAAGCGTGCTGGCGCTACCAGCAGGCTAGTGACGCTGATCCCGCCTGACGAGCGGCAAGATGCAGCTATGGCGCATCTCCTCTCTGACCATGAGACCATGAAATACCTGAAATTCATGATGCGGCCCAACGGCTACACGGTGGAGCACGCGAGCTGGCGTCGCCGGGCGCGGGACGAGGGCCAGCTGCGCAAGGAGCTGGTGAACTATACGATTGTAATTAAAAAGTCGCAGCTGCCCAGTGAGCTCGTCGGCAAAATCCATGCTGACGAGTACTTGGCGCCCGAGACAGTGCCTGTGGACAATGGTGTGATAGAGATCGATGAGCCGTACCTGGTTGTTGGGTGCTGCGGGATGAGCGAGATTGACGCATCTAACCATTGCGCAAAGGCAGGGATTATTGTCGATTCGCGATTCTGGCGTCACAAGGTCAGCTCAGCAGCCTTGTACCTGACGCTCAAATTCGGATTCGAGACGCTAAATATGCACCGGATCGCGCTCGAGACGACAGAGAACAACCTGGGCATGCGCGGGTGGATGGAGAATGTCGTCGGTGTCAAGGTCGAGTGTGTGCGGAAGGAGGTGCTGTACACCGAGGGGATAGGGTACCAGGACTCGTGGGATTTCGCAGTATTTGACCACCAGTGGTTCGGCGGTTTGGAGAAGAAGCTTCGGGTCCGACTTAGCCAATGAGCTACAAAAATGTATTGAGCCTGAATAAAAAATCGACCCACAGCTGATCAGTGAGAATGTGCTCAGTCGTCGGTGTCCATGTCGCATTCACCGTCCTCGAGCTCGCCGTCACTGGGCGCTTGCTCCGTTGTGGACTGCTGGTTCTGAGTGGCCCGATCTCGGGTTGGGATGCCCGTCAGTGGGTGCTCTTCCGATGCCAGTCTAGAGATCCCAGGCTGGTCTCTGGGATCCACTGGTGGCGGGGGAGGGGGCGGCAGATCGGCAGGAGGGGGCGGCGGCTGTGCAATTGGCTGCCCATATGGCATCGGTTGTTGCCAGTATTGCAGTGGCTGGGGATTGTATATGTCTGCCTGCCGGTAGTAGCTGTTCAGCATGCCGCTCCAGTCGTCCTCGCCGTACTGGTAACCGGCATTGTTGTGGTTATAATAATCAGGCATCTGCGATTGTCGCTGCGGTTTGGGCTTGCCCATGTGGTCAAAGTCCAGCATGCTGAGATCTAGCCCTTGGTAGTGCACCAGGGGGATGTTCCGTGGTGGCTGTGGGACTGAAGGCTGGGTCCTGTCGTCTGCATCATCGATGGCTCCCTCTTCCTCGTCGTCACTAATGGCTCCCTCTTCCTCATCGTCTGTAATTACATCTTTCTCGCCGCCGCCTGTCGCCGAGTTATGATCTGGATCGTGCAGCTTAATTGCTGCCGCTTGATCCAGCTCGCTCGAGTGGTCTTCGATGCCGTCATACACCTTGAGGGCTGGAGTCGGCGGTGGCACTTCTCTGGGTCGCGCCTCCATCGGATCCTGGCCCTCAAAGCTCCCCAAATAGGCAGGCGGGTATCCTGCGTACCGCATGCTCACAACGAATGACGCAACCTCGTCCTCCCCCAGCCCCAGCGCCTCACGCAGCCTCTCTGACATCTGGCCAGGCCTGAACCGCTGCCGCATCCCATCAAGCCGCCTCCCTTCCTCCACAGCCAAATAAAGCCGGCTGTCAAATGCTCCGATGCCCTTTTTGTCTTTGAATTCCAGCCGGCTAGCCTCAATCCTGTCGTTATCGAGCGGCCATGGGCAATCGCGCAGCTCATGGCCTGGGATCGAGCAATTGAAGCATGGGTTTCCCAGCCCACCGGCACTGGCACCGAGAACCGACGTCACACCGTGCGTATAATCAAGAGGGGTGTCCAGTACATCGGTGGTCGTGTCGAGTGTGAACCCGGCATTTTGATCGTACACCACCAGCGTCGAGGAGCCATTGCTCTGCGCTATCTGTCTATATCCGTTGGCTGTGCGCTGGCGCTTCCGTCTATTGTAGTTGCTGTAGTCGCTGTACTCGGAATCGTAGCTGTAGTCGTAGTCATAGTCATACCGACTGCGTTTTCGCGAGCTGGGCTGCTGCCGTGGGTATATGACGGCGTTGATGTATTGTTCGATCTTCTGCCGCTTACTGGCACTTAGCGCAGAGCCGAATTGCACAAACAGCAGGAAATTCGGGTCTACCGCCTTTGTCTCGCATAATTTACATGCCGAGGCCGAGCCAGCATCAGGCGTGGTGCAAATCATTAAAAAAAAAAAAAAAAGAGAAAAAGTAGAAATTAGGCGATGTTTTTAGTTGCAGAGAAAAGAGTGTCGAGCGTAAATTTCCCCGAGTTTTATCCATGCGCTTTGTGGGCCAGAAGCCTAAAAACCATGTATTTCAGCTGGTGTGGCCATTCTCACGTCGCTTCTCTCCTCTTCAGCTTTCCGCTGTGTTCTTTTGTTTATTCTTTCTGTGTACTATTCAACCTTTTGAAATGTCGGGAATTGGCCAACTCATATTCATATACCTGCTGGGACTGCTGACGCTGCCTCTCCTGCTCGCAGCCGCTGTTTTGGGGCTGGCTCTGTGGGCCATGGTACCGGACCCTGAGAAGAGCAACCGGCAGACATCTCTGCTTGATGCCAAGGCTGCTGCACTACGTGAGCCCTCTGGCGACAACATAGCATCTCCGACGTCCCCGTATGGCACTCGCCGGACCGGGTGGCTGCGAATTTCTCGCTGTGCGTCTGGAGCGTCGCCCGCGCACGGGCCGAGCGAATCGGCAGCCCGTCTCAGCGACCTTGTGGCGCGCGGGATCAACAAGTGGATCCACAACAAGCGTGGCAAGCCCGAAGACCCGCCACCAGTAGCCACAAACATGAATTATGCAGTGCTGGAAAACGGAACGCTGGCAATGTACGAGAGCGAGAAAATGGCCGAGGGCCATGGCGTCATTGTTCTGAGCCATTACCAGGTCACGCTGCATCACTCTGAGGGCGCTTCTGAGTCGCAGATGTACTCGCGGCGCACGCCCATTAGGCTGGCTCCGCTGGCGGCAGCGGTGGGCGCCGATGTGCGGCAGAGGAAGGACTACTATTTGTTTGCCGATCGGGCTGTCGACAAGGAGGACTGGTATTATGCGTTACTGTGGAATTCGCTGATGGACATTGAGGATGGCGAGGGCGAGGCGGAGGAGCAGCCAGCGCTGAGAAAGCAGGATGTCACGAGAACAGAGCCGAGCGAGGATCATGTGCCTGAGAGTACAGGCCAAGAGATCGACGGTGCGGAGGCTGTGGTGTCGCCCCAGCCGATGACTAAGGAGCAAATGGAGAGATTGCGGACTCAAGATGCGTCGCAGCTGCATGGAGCCGGATATGTCTGGAATCCACTCTATCTTAGGCAACGTCGCAGCACGTAATGGCACGGGCGTGCGCTCAGACGAATGGCTCAATGCTATATTTGGCCGCATATTCATCGGCCTGTACCGCACAGAGTGGGCTCGCGAGCATTTCACAAAGAAGCTACAGTCAAAGTTCCAGCGCATCCAGCGGCCGGCGTTCCTCGACGAGATTATCGTCAGCGATCTAGAAATCGGCGGCAACGTTCCAGTCATTACGAACACCAAGCTTGAGTCGTTTGATAAGGATGGACAGGTGGATGTCAGTATGTTTGTGCATTATCTGGGCGGATTTCGCATGGTACTGACGACCGGCGTCAAGATTGGCTCGATTCGTATGTCGATTGCGCTGAGGGTGGTGCTAGAGAGCTTGGCAGGCAAGATGCTGCTGCGGTTCCGGCCGGCTCCATCGAACCGCTTTTGGCTCGGCTTTTACGAAATGCCACAGCTACGGTTGTCGCTGGAGCCCGTGTTCATGCAGAAGCAAGTGCGGTATAACCGCATTTCGCAGGCAATTGAGAAGCAGATTTACGACATTTTGCAGCTCTCCATGGTCCTGCCCAACATGGACGACACGGCATTCTTCCCGAACGGTGCTGAGGGCGGTATCTTCGAGGATGCAATGAAGGAGTTCCACGATCTGGGTCTTGAGACTGACAGGCCGGAGGAGATGATGCTTGACGAGTCGCCGTCACTGGAAAATATGGCTGCGCCGCCAATTCACCAGCACGACAGCGTGTTATCAGAGGAAGAAGAGGAGGACGGGTTTGTCAGCAAGGCGGATAACTCGGAGCTGAAGAAGCGTGCATCGTACGCGTCACTGCAGGCAGCATCAACGCTGGCTGGTGATGAGGGCTTAGTAGGAAGTAAAGAGCTACCCATGACAAGTACGCACCAGCGCACCAGATCCACAGCAGACGCATCCAAGTCGGACCTGCGGCGGTCGCCGTCGCCAGCGCCGTCAGCGCAGTCCCACAATATCCATACCCAAGGCAGCATCGATAAAGTCGGTGATCTCGACATCGGCCGTGCAGCTTTTCAAGCGCGCTAAGGATAGCAATGCAGCCAAGTCGGCTGAGCTGTGGTGGCAGAACCTCCAGAGCCAGCAGCATGAGCAGCAGCATGCACCGGTGACCTGATGAGCACCACTTGCAGGCAGACGAGCCTGGGGAGCGGCAGACGATGCGGCGCGGTTTGGGCACAGGTACAGTGCGGCATAGCAGCGGTACGTCGGATCGGGTATGAGTTGCCGCTATCGTCGGCGGCAGCATCGCTGACTACCGAGAGCAAGAGCGGGCTGCGGTTCCCGAATATGGAGGTCGATGGTATGAGAAGGCGGGCCAATAATGCTGCTGAGCAGGTCGAGCTGCCCATTCGTCGCCGGTACTCCAAGAGCCAGGCCGACCACTAATGTCAAACATACATGTAAACGCTTATTTAAAATGAATAGTATGATTTAGAAGGGTGGAGAATTTAAAACATTGGTCCGATCGCCCGGTACGCTGGCCGCATCGGGGGCGGGGGCGGGACATGCATAGGCATACAGACTGCGGGCCGACGACCTCTGACAGTATCGGTATACCCGACGACCAATTGGTTGAATAGCGAGGAGCGAGGCGGCATCGGTAGGGGAGGCGGCGGGACAACCTCGGGAGCCACATGAGGAGGTGGGAGGATCGGCGGCGGAGGGACCGCAATATATGGAGCGACTGGCGGCGGAGGGACGACCGGAGGCATGGGAGGTGGAGGGACGACCGGAGGCATGGGAGGCGGAGGCGGGGGGATGACCGGGGGGGGCATGGGAGGTGGAGGTGGAGGTGGAGGGACAACTGGGGGCATGGGAGGTGGAGGCGGGGGGACAACCTCAGGAGCGATGGGAGGCGGCGGTGGCGGCGGTGGCAATTCGCTGTAGGGAGCAGCTGCGGGTGGCGGAGGGACGATTTCTGGTCCAGGGACTGGAGGCAGTGGGGGCGCAGGAATGGGCGGTGGAATGACTGGCGGAGGGGGCGGCGGCGGGACAGCCTCTGGCGCAGCAGGTGGTGGTACGGCTGGTGGAGGAGGCATTTCATTGTAGGGAGCGGCCGGCGGAGGCGGAATGACCTCCGGTCCAGGGACGAGTGGTGGCACAACTGGGGGTACTGGAGGAGGAACTTCGCATTCTTCTTCAACCGGGCCAGGGACTGGAGGCATGGGAGGTGGAATGGCCGGCGGAGGAGGCGGGATCTCTGGACCTACAGGGGGCGGGACAATTGGCCGGGCCATGTAGGGGGCCCCAAACCCGCGCTTGCTCACTGAACTCTTGCCTGAAACGTCGACCAGCCGGGGAGCAGGGACAAGCCGGTGCCCTTCAGGGAGGTTTCTCCATGAACGGCGCAAAAAAGGTGGCGGCATTCCGCTGTATGGTGGAGGCAAGTGAGGACCGACTGGAGGAGGCAGGAGAGGACCGACTGGAGGAGGCAGGAGAGGACCGACTGGAGGAGGCAGGAGAGGACCACCTGGGGGAGGCAAAGGGAGACCGACCGGAGGAGGAACGGGAGCGATTGGAGGCGGTGGAGGCGGAGCAATGGGCGGTGGAGCAAGTGCACGGTAATGAGGACCGATAGCAGGGAGGCAGCACTGGTGGAGGCAGCACCTGGTGGAGGCAGCACTGGTGGACCAATTGGGCCAACAGGCGGTAGAGGCAGTACCGGCGGCACATAGCCAGGGCACGCAGGATAGAGGCTCTGCGGGCCATCTCCCAGCTTGAGATCCAGGCACAAATCGAGATTCAATGCATTCGGTCCCAGAAGAAGCTCCAGAAGACCGCCAACTAGGCCTTTGCTCCGGTGCAGGATAGGCGGTGGGGGTAGCGGAGCCTGCGGGTCGCGCTTGAACAGAGGGTAGGGAGGCGGGCCGATCGGTGTCACGTAGTTGGGACAGGATGGATACAGACTCTGAGGACCGTCGCCCAGCTTGAGATTGAGACAGACGTCAGCATTCAGCGCATTAGGGCCGAGAAGAGCGTCGACAAGGCTGTTGACAACACCTAAACCACGTTCAGTGAGCTTGTGGGTCTCACCATCGCGCTTGAACATGGGTGGGTAGGGAGGAGGGGGCGGCAAGACTGGAGCCACGTAATTGGGGCATGACGGATACAGGCTCTGGGGACCATCGCCTAGCTTGAGATCAAGACAGAGGTCGACATTGAGGGCATTGGGGCCAAGCAAGGCGTCGACCAGACTGTTGACCAGGCCGCGGTTCATCGGACCGAGGAGCTGCGGATCGGCGACCGGGTGAGCAGAAGCAAGCTGAGCCAGCACCGCAAAAGTGAAGACGTGGACGCGCATAGAGAATGTGGGCTATAATACTAAAACTACTATTAAATGTGGAGGTAATAACTATCGTTCAATTGGGAAATTCCGTCAAGGAACCGAAACGCTGGGGATATTAGATAGTGGAGATATTGCTGTGAGGGGCTGATACTGACTGAATGTCGGTTGGTCAAGGATCGCGGGCAGGCGTTTTATACCAGGCCCTCGATCCCCGTAGCTTGCCCACTGTCGCTCTGCAAGCCTACTGGTGAAAAGGGGTGGGGCTGATACTGCTGGCTTACGAAGGACATTTACCTACAGACCGTAGCATGTACAACGGCGCCATCGTCCGCTCCGCATATGCTCCCCGGATTACTTTCATTTCGACTTGCCAAGCGCAGTGAAATTGCTTGCCATTTAGCCGCCTGCAGCATGATTAATTAGCAAGTTTTTGCTGCCGAACAATGACCCAACCAAACCGCCCACTGCCCCTCCTCCGACTCGCAGCCCATCCTACTGCCATTTTGGCATTAAGCCACAGCGCTAGCCCATGAAAAAAAAATAAAGCCGTAGATGTCCGCCTTCAAGAGCTGGGAGCTGATTTATACTGCTCCCCACCTCGGACTTTGTGGATGGCTCGGTGTCTGGCTCGCTGCAATGGGAGCCTGCGTGAAGCGAAGCGCCATTTGGGGGCGCCTGGGGAGCCGCGTGCCGATTAGACAGCCAAAAAAAAAAAAAGCGAAATGGATTCGATGGTCCAAAGTGGATCTGCACTGACATCATTCTGCGTGCGTAGCTCCTCTGAGCTGGCAGGCGATCTGTGTGCTCTGGGGCTGTGCCTGGTGTAGCCAAAGGGGATGCGCTTCTTGTTTGTTTCTGTGCCGTTTCCCAGACACACTGCGCATGGCACAAGGGGAGGTGATTTGCGTCAAAGGGAAACTGAAGTCTCATGCAACACGCCAGCGCTCGCACAAAGGCACACTTGGTTGTGCCAGAGACGCGGTCTAGACATCTCGCTCAGGCCATTTTTTTCTTCCCACTTGTCGACAATAATGAACTCGGTCTAATTTTAGGCTGTGCGGGAGAGGGCGAAAGAGCGGGGGCAACTGATTGGCCTCTGTGGGAGGGTTGGCAAGGAAATCTTGGCTGACTTTCATGGTGCAAGGCTGTAAAAAGCTCAAAAATATTCCTGGGTTTCAGAGCACAACAGAGCATACTCCTTCGTCTCTTGCCACGGTCGCATTTTTAATACTTCTCTTTCCCCTTTTGCGCTATATTCCTTTTTACTACTTGCTTCTCGTTCCCATTGCTCGACTATTAAAATTCCACACATAATCTCGCACGCTTTTCTACCAGGAGATACACCAACCCAAGCATGGGACCAAAGCCAAACTACTACGGGTATGGAGGCGACGACACAACAGATGAGCATTTGACGCTCAACACCAATGTCGAGGATTCACGGCACTCATACCTGCATTCGCCGCTGGTCGAGGACGACTCGATCTCGGTCCACCAGCCTCAGTCGCGCCGGCCCGCGCAGAAGCTCAGCGTGCGGCGGGCAGTGGAGCGGGAAGAGCGCGCACGGCGCGAGCAGGAGCAGCCCGAGAGTTACTACGGCGTGTACAGCGACTACACAGACAATGGAGATACCAATGACTACGAGTACAATGGCATGACATCAATGTCCAAGCCATACGGGCGCAGCGTGCGCGACTCGGACGCGTCGGAGCTGATGGTGGAGCTGGACGATGCGCACCGGGACAAGGAGCACGTATCACGGCCGTCGCGTGGCCCATCGATGTACCAGCGCATGCAGTTTAATGAGGAGGTGGAGGACGAGAACACGACGGCGCTGGGCAAGGCGTCGATTATGCTGCGGCGCCAGCTGAGCAGCCGGAGATCACGGGCGCAGAGCGCATCGCTGCGCCGGTCGCTGCTTGTGTCGCAGTACGCGCAGAATCAGGACCACGCCGAGTCTGCAATTCCGCTGCAGCCGATCGGCGAAGAACCCGCGGGTATGGACAGTGGCGGATTCGGAGACGGCTCGGGCGGCAATGGCTTGACAGGCGACGACTTCCGCGTGGTCCACATTGGCAATCGCGAGAACAACGCGCAGTACAAGTACAAGCACAATCGTGTGTCGACTGCAAAGTACAATGTGCTGACATTCCTGCCAAAGTTTCTGTTTGAGCAGTTCTCCAAATACGCCAACGTGTTTTTCCTGTTCACGGCCTGCATCCAGCAGATTCCGGGTGTGTCGCCGACATCACGCTGGACTACGCTGGTTCCTCTGGTTGTCGTGCTGGCAGCTACTGCGGGTAAGGAGCTAGCTGAGGATCTGAAGCGACACAAGTCGGATTCGGAAATGAACAAAAGCATGGCGCGGGTGCTGTTTGGCAACGTGTTTGAGGACAAGGCTTGGCGTGATGTCGAGGTCGGTGATATTGTGCGTGTCGAGAACAAGGAGGCAATTCCGGCTGATCTGGTGGTGCTGAGCAGCTCCGAGCCTGAAGGCATGTGCTATATCGAGACCAGCAACCTGGACGGCGAGACTAATTTGAAGGTGAAGCAGGCTCTTCCCGAGACCGCGAAGCTTCTGACTCCGGCCCAGGTGGCCGCCCTTCAGGGGCACTTGAAAACCGAGCTCCCGAACGACAGTCCTGTACACATTCGAGGGAACGCTTGTGTCGGAGGGCGGGCCGATCGGCCGCAAAGACTTTCCGTTGGATCCGACCCAGGTGCTTCTGCGTGGAGCAATCCTTCGTAATACTGACTGGATCTATGCCGTGGTTGTGTTCACGGGCCACGAAACAAAGCTGATGCGCAACGCAACGGCTGCACCGATCAAGCAGACCAACGTCGAGAAGACCACCAACCGGCAGATCATTTTCCTGTTCTTCATTCTGGTACTGCTGGCGGTAATGAGCGCGCTGGGCAGCCAGGTGCTGACGTCGCGCAACAGGGACCAGCTGTACTACTTGTACCTGTTGGATGATGGCGGCGCGAAGCAGTTTGTCAAGAACATCCTGACCTTCATCATCCTCTACAACAACCTGATTCCGATCTCGCTGATGGTGACCATGGAAGTCGTCAAGTTCCAGCAGGCGCAGCTGATCAACTCGGATATGGACATGTACGACGAGACATCCGATACACCGGCGCTGGCACGCACGTCGTCGCTGGTTGAGGAGCTGGGCCAGGTCGAGTACATTTTCAGCGACAAGACTGGCACGCTGACATGCAATATCATGGAGTTCCGGCAGTGCAGCATTGGCGGCGTCATGTATTCTGACATTGTCGAGGCCAGCAAACGTGCGCGAATCATCGAGGGAAGCATTGTTGGCCAGTATGACTTTTCCCAGCTCAAAGAACATCTCCGCAGCAGCGAGCGCAGCGCCGAGCTCTTTGAGTTCTTCCAGCTGCTCGCCACCTGCCACACGGTGATTCCCGAGGAGCAGAGCGACGGCTCCATTGAGTACCAGGCGTCGTCGCCCGACGAGGCTGCATTGGTCAAGGGCGCTTCGCTGATTGACTACAACTTCCACACGCGCAAGCCAAGGTCGATCATCGTGTCTGTCATGGGCGAGGACCGCGAGTACGAGGTGCTGAATATCAACGAGTTCAATTCGACTCGTAAGCGCATGTCGGCAGTGCTGCGGTGCCCCGATGGCTCGATCAAGCTGTACTGCAAGGGCGCTGATACCGTGATTCTGGAGCGTCTCAATGTCGACAGCAACGGCAGCGATCCACTGGTTACCACTACTTTGCGCCACCTCGAGGAGTATGCGACTGAGGGTCTGCGCACGCTCTGCATTGCTATGCGCGATATCAGTCCATGACGAGTATTCAAAGTGGAGCACGATGCACGCCAAGGCGTCGACATCGATGACAAACCGCCAGCAGGAGTTGGATCGTGTTGCAGAGCTGATTGAGCGCGACATGCAGCTGCTTGGCGCCACTGCCATCGAGGACAAGCTGCAGGACGGCGTGCCGCAGACTATCTTCACGCTGGCCCAGGCTGGCATCAAGATCTGGGTTCTGACTGGTGACCGGCAGGAGACAGCCATCAACATCGGCTACAGTTGCAAGCTGATCCAGGAGGACTTTTCGCTAATCATCTGTAACGAGACCACGCACTGGGAGACCAAGGAGTTCCTGGGCAAGAAGCTCGAGTCGATCCGCGAGGGCCAAGGATCCAACATCGACTTTGACAGCCTGGCGCTTATCATCGATGGACGCAGTCTAGATTTTGCGCTGGAGAAGGACATTGAGGGCATCTTTTTGGAACTGGCCACGCTGTGCAAGGCGGTTATTTGCTGCCGTGTGTCGCCGCTGCAGAAGGCCCTGGTGGTCAAGCTGGTCAAGCGCAAGAAGAAGGCGATTCTTTTGGCTATCGGCGACGGCGCCAACGACGTCAGCATGATCCAGGCCGCACACGTCGGCGTCGGTATCAGTGGGCAGGAAGGTCTGCAGGCAGCCCGGTCGGCTGATTTCGCCATTGCGCAGTTCCGCTACCTGCGCAAGCTGCTGCTGGTGCACGGTGCCTGGAGCTACCACCGCCTCAGCAAGATGATCCTGTTTTCGTTCTACAAGAACATCACGCTGTACATCACGCAGTTCTGGTATGCCCTGTTCAACGTGTTTTCGGGCCAAACCGTCTACGAGTCGTGGTCGATCACCTTTTACACGGTCTTCTTCACGGTGATGCCGCCGTTTGCCATTGGCGTGTTTGACCAATTCCTGAATGCCCGCAGCCTGGACCGCTATCCCGAGATGTACCGCATGGGCCAGCAGCGCGTGTTCTTCAACGCCCGGTCGTTCTGGGGCTGGACCATCAACGCCTTTTACCACTCGGTCATTCTATTCTTCTTGGGCACTGCACTCCTGTTCCCCGACAACGAGCACAGCGGTGTGGTCGGCGGCCACTGGGTGTACGGTGTCATTATCTATACTGCTGTGCTGATCACGGTGCTGCTGAAGGCAGCGCTGATCACCAACCTGTGGACCAAGTGGACCTGTGGTCGCTATTCCCGGGATCGCTGATTCTGTGGCTGGGATTCCTGCCTCTGTACGCATGGGCTGCACCCAAGCTGCGCACGTCGATCCGAGTTCCAGGGAATCGTGCCGCACGTGTACGGCAACCCGATGTTCTGGTTTACGATCATCCTTCTGCCAGTCCTGTGCATGATGCGTGACTACGGGTGGAAGTACTTGAAGCGCATGTACTACACCCGCGGCTACCATGTGGTGCAGGAGATCCAAAAGTTCAACATTCCGGACTACCGCCCGCGCATGGAGCGGTTCAAGAAGGCTGTGCACAAGGTGCGTTTGCTGCAGCGCCTGAAGACGTACCCGCGGATATGCATTCTCGCAGAACGAGGGCGGACAGGAGAAGATCATTCGTGCGTACGATACCACGATCCAGAAGCCCTCGGGATACTGAACACAGACTTTTTCATCAAATGTATACATTTATTTGCTTTTTTCTTCTTCAACGTTTTCAATTCCATACATCACTTAGCGCACCGTGTGTATCAAGTATACGATGATTATATGAGAGCGGGTTATGTAAAATGCATTGACTAAATATACAAACTCTTGAGATCAAAGGAGGTAAGAGGGTAGAACTGGTCTTGTCGACTACCGAAGGAGACCCGGAAACGAATGATATTCAACGAAGCTCTCATATAACTCAGCCTTGTTGGACATTCGGGGTCCGGAGTCCCCCTGCGCCACCATAGATAATGCTGAAACGCATGCGTACAAAGGCCCAGACAAACGACCAGCCTTCCTTCTTCCCGTCAGTCACTTTGAGAAGTTATTTTTTCCATATATTCGATAACCATCATTCCCAAGTTAACAAAGAGATGAAAACGAGTATAGAGTTTTGATGAAGTGTGTGTTATTACAGTATAAAATTATTCTGAAAAAAAAGAAAAACTGACCATGCCTTACTCATGTCATCTCACTCTATACAGCCGAATCGCCATTGTGTTTGCAACGTAGATCACCAAGCACTATCTTGTTGTCCGTACATGGTAAGTCTATATAAACAAGTAGTCGAATTAGTCAGTGACTGTCAAAGCTCCAGCACAACTGGTCAGGCAGTTAGCCTGTGCCATTGGGCCGAGATGCAATCATGAGTGGTGTGCTGCACAGTACAGCTTCCATTGTGTGAATACAATATCTATTTGGAATCTTGTATCTAGATAACTCCGTGTATGTATAAATAGTTCCATACAGTAGGCTATAAATAACCGTGTATCGGATGACTGCCATCTGTTAAAATCCAGAATGACGTCATGGATTTTGACTCCCGTACATCTGCTGCTCAGTGCGCTTCATGCATGTTGTCTTGAGAAATTGGAATACCCGCTGCCAGAATCGAAAACTGTGGGGGCTACGGACTACAAACAGTGTTTCTAGTCGTCTTCTAGGTGATAGCATATAAGCTATATCTCATTAACCTTCCGGGATCAGGACTCTTGAGCTGGCTTTCCATCATCACTCCTCCATAGTGGAATTGGCAGAGATGCAAAATGAACTTTGGACTTAAACCTAGCCTTGTAAACTTCCATTTCAGCAGTATAGGAAATGCATTTGGTTTCTTTCAGCGCAAAGGGGCTAGTGGGATAACTGAATGGAGTCCATAAACATACATATCGATGCCATGACGTATCGGGTACAATGGGACAACCCTAGCAGAATGACAGGCTTCTGCTGCTCTGCGACCAAATTAAGGCGTTGGGTCCAGATATCTGCTGGAGCAGAGACCTGTCTACAGGTTGCTGCAACAAATATACTGTAAATGCAGGCAGATAGCACTGATACACATTCAAGTACGATCTGGAATTGGTATTGACTTTAACAACATTCACCAAAGTCAGTAATGAAAAACAGCGGCGCTTTACATCGTAATCAGACTTGCTCGTCGGCCTTGATCGGGTACCTTCTCGTTTGCAAACTCCGCCTTGGTCTCAGCCTACGCTACCCTCTGCCGAAAATTCCTCTGTAAGGCGCCTCTGGATATCTTTGTTTTTCATATGGATTATGTAGCCGAGGGAAACTAGCCAAATAAAAGAGGATACACTAACGGTATAGGTATTGATTTCACCAGTCAAAGCCTCATCTTTCACTGGTATTGCCATCGACACGTTAAACAAAATACCGAAACCAAGTGTTCCAAGTGCATCAAAAAAGTGCAAGACCCCCAAGACAGATATGGCGGAAGGACTTTGCTTTTGACCTTTTCTTCAATAGTCCAGTTGGCGGGAGCGGTATGCCTTTGCATCCTAGAGAAACGGCATTATCGCCATAGACCAGCCAAAAGATTGGGTTAATGAAGAACATAAAAGGACCAGGTAACGAAAGATGATAAAAACAAAAGCGAGCAATATCTCACTTTTGGATGGAGGATAAAGTATGAAGTATAGAGCGCGATGGCTCCTAGATAGACAAAGTGGCTGATCTTTGCCAGACGGGTGAACTGTCGTTCCTTGTCCGAAGACAGACTCAGGGTTAGAAATGCAACCACCGTCGGTATCCAGCCAACATATTTCAGTCGCTGAGCGACAAAGTCAACAATAGTGAACGCAGACTCGCTAAAGAAGGGCATCATAAAAGCAACAAATGTGAGGAGCGGAGCAGAAAGGTATTTGGCAAGAAAAGTGACAACGGAAATTGGTCTCATTTGTGCGATTCCCGCTTATTTCAGGTTTCCTTGATTCCCGAACATTCTAATGGGAAATTCGGATATCGGTGATGAAGTCCTTGTTTATTGCTAAACCATTTCTCATGGTGAGAATGATGTTGGACAAGTAGACTGGTGAGGTCTTTGGCGGCGTGTAGTGCCATCTGGCCTGAAGCAATGCAGACTTTGATAGAACAGCGACTGTCATTCCAGCGCTCCGTTGCGGAGCTTGTGAGCTACCTGCTAGCACGGCTTCATCAGCAATATCAGGCTCATGTCCCAGATCCACCAGGATACCTGGTTCGCTAGGTCTACTATGCTCGGTCTACCCCCTCTACTTTCCGTTCCACTCAGCCCATTCCTCACTACAACTCTCAGTTTCACTCCCAGTATCGTTGTAGCTGTTGTGTCTCGGTACGATACACTTAGATAGACAGCCTCCTGCACTGTCTAGACACGTTTACCTCCAAGCACCTTTCCACGACGTATATTGAACGTATGAAATATGCTGTATGAAAGAAGGAAGAAGAATCGCAGGTAAAAGGCAGGTGCCGTCTAATAGTGGCCGGTCGCTCAGATAGTATGCCGGCCATTGTGGCTAAAGGTCTTGATCCATGGTTCCTAAGATCATAAGGATTTGAACCACAGTAGCATCCTCTTTGTCTATGTGGTATTCACATCGTTCTTTCCAGTGTGCAAACACTGCCGCTGGCAAAAGCCGCCAGGCGCTCCGAGAGGGGTCTTGAAGAGGCTTCGATTCTAGTTTGTGAAAGTGGCTTGAACATATAGCTTGTTTGTAGGATAGCTTCTTTTAGCAGCCCTCATGTTGGTCCGTATGAATAATAGAATAAACGGTACGTGCCTAAAAGATCTCGGTCTAGATGCCTGGGAAATGTGCTAGGTAGCATGTTCTACTACTAGTAGAACTATGCATGTGATGATGAAACCAATCTTAAATGCTCACAAAATTGTGTTGGAACCCCAGAAGGAATTCCTGCTGCTAGTTGCTATTAGGGAGATATTTAAGCAAACACCGAGTGCGCATACGGAGCCCTTAGCTAAGTCCGTGCACGGCCCATGGACAAATCTTTCATCGCTCTCAGTAAGTGAAGCCGCATTGGGTACTACAGAACAACCCTAGCGGCATGGTATATGGTCTAGTTTTTAGTTCGAAACAATAAAGCCAAATCATCTACGCTACATTCGTTGAATTTGGATACGCTATGTATCAGTAGACATGCTAATCCTCAGAGCTAACCCTCGCATACGATATTCAAAGTATCTATAACCATGGTCAGGAGTTGACATATGATTACCGATTCACTTGTGGTTTGAGAAATGTTGATATTGGAGATGAAAGGAAGAAAAGATAATTACATAGATATTTTTTGCTCACGAGCAGTTGGGGTAGGCTTGGGCGTTGGTAGGAGTTTGGGCAAGCTTGACCTCGGCGTTGCGACGGCGCGTCAGGCCAGACAGAACACGGCCACCAGCCTTGTTCCACTTGGGCAGCTCACCGGCAATCACCGGTGTTCGGGTTCTCACCAGCATTCAGACGCTTGACCAAGGTTCGATGACTTGGCTCCACCGCAGCCAACGTTGAACACCCACGACACCAGCGCACCCCACTGGTAGTCATTGAGCTTGACATTGCCGTTCAGGTAGTTGCCTAGGCACGGTGTACTTGGGGATATCATCCTTGAGCAGAGCCTCAGCGGTGGTTTGGGTCAGCGGGAAGCCGTACTTGACCTCCTTGCAGCCCTTGGTCTGGCACAGGTGGCCGTAGCCGACAGTGGGCAGACCGATGGGATCGGGAGCCGGGCTCTTGACGAAGCCCTCGAAACTCCTTGATCATGGTTGAGCGAGGCGGCGTTGACGCTCTTGCAGTATCCGTTCGAAGAGCTGCCACCAGTAGAGCCACCGCCGCCGGTGGATCCGCCACCAGTGGAATCGCACTTCGTGGTGACGTAGCCGCTGGTGCCAGTCTTGACGTAGTAGTCGGCGACATAGCAAGCCGTGCTGGGTCTTGTCCCAGAGGGAGTCACCCTTGATGGTCTCGCCGGAAGTTTGGCACGAGAGAGTGACGTCGTCGCTGCTGCTGTATGAGCGGACGACGCCGTAGCTGGTGCCAGGTCCAGAGCGGCAGTTGACACCGTCGCTCTTGATGGCGTAACCAGAAGCGAGCTGCGAGGTGGCAGCAAGAGCGAAGAGCGGTGGCTGTGAAGAGCTTCATCTTTTCGATGTTTGTATGTGTAGTTAGGAGAAAGAGTGGAAGGTTGTTAGTTGTTGCTGTTGATGATGGGTCGATGGAAGCAGGCTGCAGCATGTCCTTTATATATGACGAGAGATTTCGAGATGCAGGCGTGACATATCCATTCATGGCTTTACCTTTGCGTGGCAGAACATTCTAAAATTAGCACATGGGTATTTGCACCGTCTGTTTACTGTTCGGCATGCGTTGCTGAAAGGTGTAGTCACCATAGAGCAGGAATCCAATGCACCACATATGTATGCTGCTGCAAAAAAACGACTGGTTGCTAGCAGCTGTTCGCTAGCTGCTAAAATAGACGACAGTCTGGAGACTGCCGCTAACTTGCATATAAAAACCTGGCTTACCCAAGGAACCACCGGTTTGAGCTAGTATCTAAAAATAAACTGATATGGCAGAAATCACAGGAGCATATTTCAGGCCGATCGTATGTAAGCGTGCATGGCTATGCAGATACATAGCATCTAAAAATAGATTGCATCACTTGGGTATTGATGTAGTGGTAAAGCGAAGCGGTTCATATATAAGCAGGCATGGATATGTTGGATTGCATGACCTAAAAATATAGCAAAACCGGCTAAACTATTCGATAGGCTTGAAAAAAAAAACATGTCTGGCATACGTTAGCGCTTCTATCAAAATGGGATGCACTCCAAATTCTCATGAAATTGCATTATCCTTTGTAATAGCCTTGGTAGCATTAATCTAGAAAGAACTGCTAGTGCGATTTCTGGAATAGGCTACATATCGACAGCAACAATTGCGCTGTGTGCTTGTTTTCTATACGAGCTATTGCTGCTAACAAGAATTTCACTGACATCTGGCTAGTAAAGTATAGGTTGGAGATTTGTATATAAACTCGCCAGGTGTCCTATTCACGCCTTATCACAACCAGAAGACCAGAAGACCAAATATATATATTCTTATAAATGAAGCTCATCTCAGTCGCCGCTCTTCTACTCACCACTGCCTTGCAGCTCGTCTCTGGCTACGCCATCAAGGGCAGTGTTGTCAGCTGCCGCCTGGATCCGGGGACCTCACATAAGGTAATCATCATGTACAAGAAAGGAGCCCTAAGTGATGCTCTATTGTCAAGCCTCGGGCACAAATGTCAGAGGTAGCAATCTTTAGGACAAGGCCCAGCACGGCTGCTACGTGAGCGACTATTATGTAGACACGAGCAACGGCTATGTGGCTAAGAGGTGCTCCAAGGCTGATGACAAACCCAAGCCCAAGGCTGATGACAAGCCCAAGCCAGGTGACAAGCCCAGCACTGGTGCGGGCCCGATGAAGGACAATTATCCGTACAAGGGTAGCAGCTGCAGCGGCGTCGACAAGTGGAGCTATTACAAGTGCCAGTGTGTCAGCTTCGTCGCCTGGCGGATCAACTCACGTCTGGGCATCGACTTCAACAATCACTACAAGGGAAAGAAATGGGGTAATGCCAACAGAATGGGACGACGCCGCGCATGCCTCGGGCGTCACTGTGAGCAACACACCGAAGACCGGAAGTCTGTGGGCCAGACCGACCAAGGCAGCAGGTACAGGCATGTGGTGTGGGTGGCCAAGGTCTCGGGCAACAGCGCCACGATTGAGGAGTACAACCACAAGCGCCACAGGTACGGCACGCGGACTGTTCCCAAGAGCTCATTCAGGTACATGCCACCTCTAAGAAGTACAAGCAGGAAAGTGACGAAATTAGTATTCCATGTAGCATATCTCAATGAAGCAGAATACCAAAACGACTATAAGCAGAGCACATGGATATGAGTGATGAATGTAGCATATGCCAGGAACCACCCGTTGACACTTGCTTTTTTTTTTTGGTAATTCAATACGATATGTCACTTGTCACTATATTTCCAGGGCCGCCAGTATAGAGGCAAAATCGGAGTGGCTGGCCAGTGTGCATCTCAGTCAGCAGGTGCCACTTGGAAGGCCTAGGGCAGCCCTCCTTAGTATCGCCCACCTGGGATAGATGCATGCCAGGTGTACTCGGACCTCCAACCATCTAGCTAGTGGACGTGTTTGTTGCAACACGACGACGGGGGGAATACAGTAAGTGTCCAAAACTGCATCATATCGATGATCCGATTAGTCCCTGATCAAATTCATCCAGGCTATATTTTTCTGCGTACTATATTTTTTTCCAAAGCTTCTGCAGCAGCTAGCATCTTGTCTCCTTCAACCTCTCCTCTTCCAGTAGTATTTCCCCCTAAGCATATAATACAAATGGCACTTCAATCAGCTGACGCACTGGACGACGGATTCCTGCTCGACACCGATCTGGTAGCCGATGTGGGCAGCGAGCCCGAAGAGCCCGAGCAGATCAAGCCAGCAAAGAATGAAAAGAAGCGCGCGCACGATGCCGACCAGCCGAGCAAGAAAAAGAAGAAGCGCAAGAATGGCGTGGAGCCGGTGAAATTCGCCGTGCCCGCCTTGCTGGACGAGCAGGCGGCCATGTTCAACAAGTACATGGGCAAGGCCTACCGGGGGCTGAGCGATCTGGAAATGTCCGACATTGGCGTGCAGGAGTCTCACATGTACACGACGGAAGAAGAGGCTGCGTCGTTGGAGGACCTGGCAAAGACAGCGCTGTCGACGGGCAAAGGGAAGAACAAGATCACGGTGGGGGCGCCGCAGGTTCTGGTTCTGTGCAGCTCAGGCGCTGCGGGTTTTGGATGTGGTCAATCGGATGCGGCCGCTGACCAAGCGCCGGGTGCTGAAGCTGTTCAGCAGGCATATCAAGATTGGCGCGCACAAGGAGATGCTGGCCAAGGATCCGGTGGATATTGCGGCAGGCACGCCGAACCGCGTGCGCAAACTGCTGGAGGACGGCGATCTGAAGCTCAACCGGCTGCGGCTAGTGGTGGTCGATTGCTGGCAGGACGACAAGATGCGGGTCATCATTGATATGGACGACACGAGGGCGGATCTGTTTGCGATCTGGCGCGATCTGCTGCTGCCGGCGTCCAAGAACCCGGACTACAACTTTAAGCTTCGCCTTTTGTAATACGAGGGTCAGTTTTGAATGTAATTTTTTGAGGGCATATATCCGCCCCAGACGGAAAAAGAAGCTAGCTGCCCAAGTCCTTCGCCCGGTCGTGGAGGGAAATGCGGGGTGAAATAGTCTGGTGTTGCTGCTTTGGTCATGTAACCCATGAACCCCTGGCGACAGGTGGAAGGGGGACTTAGAGCGACGGGAAGGCGCGCTGGTCGTTGACGTCGACGCGGCCCTGGCGGGGACCACGGCGGTCACCGCCCCGCTGGCCACCACGGCCGCCGCGGAAGGCACCGCGCCTCTGCTCATCGACAAAGCGCTGCTCGATGTCAACAAAGACCTTCTCCTTCTGGTTCTTGGACTTCCGGGACTTCTGGGTGGCAACGGGGGCAAAGAAGACGTCCTCCTCGCGGGAGAACTGCACGGCCTCCTTGAGCTGCTTCTTGTCAACGCCGGCCTCGTTGGCCTTGCGGATCTCGCGGTCGGTGTCGACCGAGACGGTGGCGCGCTCCTTCAGGTAGTCCTCCAGGGTCTTGACGTCCTCCTCGACCTCCTCGGGCGCCGGAGTGGCGGTCTCCTGGCCGTCCTTCTTGGCCTGCTCGGCAGCCTTCTCGCCATCCTCAACCGTGGCCTTGTCGTCGCCCAGCCAGCCCTGCTTCTCCTTCTTCTCGGAGTCGACCAGACCGGTGCCGCTGTGGCGGTCGAACTGGCGACGGGCGGGGCGGCCTCCCTCGGGGCGGCCGCCACGGGGTCCACGGGCCGACTGGCGCGAGCGGCTCTTGTCGTGGGTCGGGTAGGCGGCGGTCTCCTCCGAGGCTCCGGCGTTGCGGCCGACAGTGCGGCGGTGGCCACCGCGGGTCGGGTAGTCGCGCTTCAGCGAGCGCTCGGCGGGCTGCGCGCGCTCGGCGGCAGGGGTGGCGGCAGCGGTCTTGGCGGCAGCCTTCTTGGCGCTCTTAACGACCTGGACCGACACGTCGGTGTCGACGGCGTTGTCGGGGAGGAGAGCGAACGGGTTAGACGAAGCAACAGACATCGGGGAACTATTGGAGATAAGGGCGCTTAGTTGTGCAGTAATGAACGCAGATAGGAGGGTGGCAATGGGCACCCACTAGCATGGGGAGGCTATCGAGCAGTTAGGAGGCAGTTAGACTGCTGGGCTGTATAGCACGTAGCATGCCGGCTCTTTGCGTGTTTGTTTGCTGCAAAGCTCAGCAAGAGCCCAATACCCTCTGGGCTATCTGCACGGCTCAAGGAAACACCCCAGTGTCCACGTTCCATAGGCCCACGCTGGCTACCCTGTAGGGCTTCCTCTGCTAGTCCGGCTCTTTCACCTTTGTCCAAAAAAGGAGGCGAATTGGGCTCAGATCCGCCAGCAGAATGTGCGAATTTCGCAAAACCCAGATTTGCCCCTCTGCCCGAAGCTCCTTGGCGCGTTCTGGCTCAACAAAAAGCGCTGCCAGATCAAGAGCCGCTTAAAACCCTCCCCTCGAACACGGCACGTCGTCGCAGTGATCATATCGGCAACGTCGGATCCATCGCGAAAATACAGACACTTACGATTTGATGCGGTTTATTTATCGAAAAGAAAAAATAATGGTCAAAAAGGGGGGGAAAGCGGGCACCCGCCTTTCCCTGCGTCTGGCCGCGACTCCACTCTGGCGTGCGCTTTCGCAGACACGTCAGCCTTTGGGCGGGGCTATTCACGCTGGGTTTCGCTGAAACCTGCCCCTTATCCCAAAGGACCTTGCTGGCACTGCGCGTGCATGCATGCCCTGGTGCTTGATCCCGGAAGGGCCGACATCAAATCAACGGGGCGCTGGGGTGGCGCAAGCTGCCTCTGGCTTTGTCTTTAGAGGCCGGCGGGGGGAACCGGCGAGTGCGCAGCAGCGGGGTCTCCTCCCGGTGCTTAGTAATAAACCTCGGCAGGTCACTAGCCCATTCCAGAAAAAGCAGTGTTATTTGAAAAATCCTCTTGGCGCCGTCTTGCGCGTGCCGCTTTGGTGACGTATGGCGGGACTGGCCATTCTCCAATCCGCCCAGGGCGTCATTTTCCCCTAGTATAAAAGGGCTGTATTGGGAGATCCTGTCTGCTTCTGGGAAACTGGTTGGTTTTGTTTTTCATTTCTCTACCCTTGTTTTTTTTGTAACACTACTATTTCGTCGACAAAATGGAGTTTCCGGACCTAGGCAAGAACTGTGCGCTCAAGGGGTGCAACCAGCTGGACTTTCTGCCGTTCAAATGCCAATACTGCAAGCAGTATTTCTGCGAGTCGCACTGGAAAGTGGACACGCATACGTGCGCGCAAAAGCACCTGGTGCAAGACTACGTGGTTCCAGACTGCCCGCTGTGCGGCCAGGTGGTGTCGATTCGGCGCGGTGAGGACCCGAATATCGCCGTGGACCGGCACATCCAGGGCGGGTGCAAAAAACGGACAATGGGCGCGCCGGCGTACAAGAAGGGGTGTCAGTTCCGCCGCTGCAACGATAAGGTTCTGGTATTGACGACGTGCCAATACTGCAGAAAGGAGTTTTGCCTGAAGCATCGGTTTGAGTCGGATCACCAGTGTACGGGCGGGAGAGCGCAGTCGGCGCCGCCCAACAGCGCAAAGTCGGGGATCATGAAGGGCCTGGGGCTGGGGAAGAAAGCGGTGTCGACGAAGCCCAGTCCGGTACGAACCGGGGCACCGAGGAAGCAGCAGCAACAGCAGAAGGCAGGAGGCAAAGACACAGGATGCATTATTGCGTAGGCAGTGCAAGGGGCCCGCAGACCACATAGAAAGGGAGGGTCACCCCTTTGGTAACCATCACCCAGGGTATATTCACATTCCAGCGACCATGGCTGGCCGTGTTTTTGATATTGCCAGGTTTGTGATGTGCTCAAGTCGGTTACTCTCACCCCCATATTTGCTACATTTTCACTGGTTTCGTTTTATTTTGTCCAAGCTACTAATACAATACACAATTTTCCCGCCCTGAATGCCTCCACCAAACCTCCAACAACGCCATGCCTAATATCTGCGTCACTCCGTTCTGCCCACACGAAAAGTACCATCTCTTTCTCTGCGAGCTGGATGACACAACATTCATCGTGGACGCTGGCTGGCAGATCGAGCCCCTAGACACGCCACAGTCTGCAAATGACAAAGCCGCACGCACCAGCCAGCGCTTGGACCCGGTGTCGACGCTCAGCACAGTGAACTGGGCCCTCATCGACTTTATCCTTATCTCCAACTACGAGCAAATGGCGCTCCTCCCGTACATCACCGAATACACTGAGTTCTCGGGCCCTGTCTACGCCACAGAGCCGACCAAAAGCTACGGCCGCTGCGTGCTAGAAGAGCAGATGCAATTCGCCTATACCACGAGTTCCTCGGCCAGCCAGAAGTATTTGTACTCGCAGCGAGATATTATCGCGGCAATGGAGAAGATCACCGACGTGCGGCACAATGAGATAGTCAGCCCGATGCCGTTTGTGCAGGCATATACTAGGAGCTCTGGGTACTGCATTGGCGGCGGGAACTGGACGGTCGAGTATAAGGGCCATCGGACGGCATTCGTGAGCACTTCGGCATTGGCATGCTTGCATCCGCAGGAGTACGATCCGAGCTGCATCGCCGAAGCTCAGGCGATTGTCTACTGCGATGTAAGCGATCCCCAAATGCAAGGCAACATGGACGGCGAGAATATACAGGTGACGCAGCGGCTCAACCAGCTGTGCTCGACGGCCATTGCGACATTGAAGCAGCGCGGGCGGGTGATGCTGGTGGGCGAGCCGTACGGCGTCACGCAGGACATCCTGCAAGCGGTGATTGAGAACAGCATATCACTGAATCTCCCCTTGCCGCAGGTTGTGGTGGTGTCGCCGGTGGGCGAGCGCGCTCTGCAGTACGGCAATATCATGGGCGAGTGGCTGTGTGAAAGCAAGCAGGCCCTTCTGTACCTGCCCGAGTACCCGTTTCTGGACAAGGAGCTCAGGCAGAAGGGACATTTGCACTTCGTCGAGTCGCTGGGCGACCTGGCACGGCGCCATATCCCCCAGGGCACATGGTTTGTGATCGCATCGCCACGGGACACCAGGACTATCGAGCATTTCATCCGCCAGTGGCGTCTGGACGCCCAGACATGCAGCAGCGCCGATATGGCGGCCAGCACGGGCATGGCCAGGTTCTCCATATTAATGCATGACGACGATGTTGTGGCAGCGCAGGCGCTTGTGGACCGACTGGCTGCGACTGCCGAGATGACGTACTGCCCGGTGCCGCGGCGGTTCACTGCGCAAACGGTTGAGCAGACGCTGCGTGGCGCCGGCCGCGCGCAGCATGTGCTGGTTCCGAGCCACGTATACGCGCGGCTAAGCACCAGCCACTGGGAGTTCGCATTGTGCGAGTTTTCGCACTTGAACGCGACCCTGGTGAGTCTGGATACGGACCGGCATTTGCCGCTCAATATCCAGCGGGAGCTGGCCGACAGCATGCGGGCGCAGCACCGCCAGCACTCGTTGGTGACAGGCGTTTTGGCGCTGGCTGCCGGCAACATTCGGCTGGAGTGCGAGCAGCTGGTGAAGCCCCCCAAGGCCGAGGTGGTGGTTGATGTGGCAAAGTGGACGCCCGAGGCGTTGGCTGAGGAGCTCACCGCAAATGGGCTGGATGCGGCGGCGGACCACCCGAATGTGCGGGTCGCGGTCCCGGGCGGCACGGCGGTTATTCGCATGGACAGCGAGCAATGGCAGGTGGACTGCACGTCGGCCAGCGCCCAGTGGGTGGTGTTTGACACGCTCAAGCGCGTGCTGGAAAGCTAAATTGGACGCTTGGGCCAAGCAATTGGCGCCACTAATCGCTCATATCGGACAAAATAAATCCCGGCATCCAGCTGCTAACCATCCTCCAGCCTGCGGTGAACCTTTTCCCTTCTCCATCCTTTTTTTTTTGCCATTCGTTGTCTCTCTTTTTCCACCCAGTTAATGTCTGCCGACCCCGCACTGCGATACGTCTACTGGCGCTTTGTCGTGCTTGGCATGGCCACGCTGATGGCCTGGAACGTCTATATAACGGCCTCGGGCTTTTTCCGGCACGTATTCCGCAACACCCCTTTGCGGGACAGCTTCGAGAGCGTGTTCTCGATATTCTCCAACACCATCAACCTCATAGCGCTCAGCTACGCGCTGTACACGCAGCCCTCGGCCAACAATGACCGGCGGATCCAAGCCGGGCTTTTGTCGACCGTCTGCGTGTTTCTGGCGCTTTTGCTTCTGCCACTACTCAATATTGACGGGTGGTTGGCATTGGTAATTGCGCTGCTGGCGCTGTGTGTGGCCGCAGTGGCAGCGGCATTTGTGCAGTGCTCGATTTTTGGCATTGCCGCGCCATTGCATGCGTGCTGTGCCGAGGCATATATGGGCGGGCAGGCGATTGCCGGGACCGTGGCCAGCGCATTGCAGCTATTTACAGTGTACGGTGCCGAAGATGATGGCCGGGTGAGGGTGCGCGCGGGCGTGTACTTTGGCATTGCTGCGGTGTTTCTTGCTCTGTCGATGACGGCGTGGTCGCAGCTGAGCCGCCATGAGATGATTGCGCAGAATGCGTACCGTGCATTGGACGGGCCGGACGCTGGCATGGGGAGGATGCAGCACGGGTCGCCGCGGCTGACACGCGATCCGGAGGGCCCTGTAGAGTATGCGGTGGAGACGGTCGAGCTGGAGCAGGTGGTAGAGCAGAATGGGTTGCCCAAGTGGCTGGGCGCGCTGGGCCTGGATAACATGAGAGTGCTGTGTCTGGCGTTCGGCGAGATCGCACCGTTCGCGTATATCTGCGGATCCGCCATGTGCCTGACATTGGCGCTGTTCCCGCCTCTGACAGAGGCCATTGTGAGCTCGCCCAAGAGCTCGCCACAAATCGCCAATCTGACTGCCTGGCACTTCCTGCTGTTCAATGTCGGGGATTACCTGGGCCGTCTGTCGACGCAGTGGATCAGATGCGAGTCGGTGAGGGTGCTGAATTGGATTGGTGCCGCGCGCCTGCTGTTTGTCCCGGCGTTCCTTATGTTTCCGACTGTGGCAACGGCGCCCGGCGATGCGCTGGTTGTTCATTCGGATTTGCTGTTCCTTTTGCTGGTGGCCATGCTGGGATGGTCGAATGGCTGGGTTGCCACTATGACGCTGGTACGGGCCCCCAGAGATGCTACCAACAAGGCGTTGGCTGGCTCCGTGCTGAGCTTTGCACTGTGCGTCGGCTTGATGGTCGGTGCCCTCCTGTCGTATCCAATCCTGCTTATTGCTGGCATATTGTAGTGGAAGAGAGGTACGCTTTTTTATTTTAGAGATAGGGTGTCTATACACAAGCATAGAGAGGGGTTTAGGTAAAAAGAAAAAAAAAACAAAGTGCGAGAGCTAAAAAGGACCTAGAAACATTTTTTGTTCGGAGCGCGAGCAGCTTACTTCCTGCCACCGAAGAAGTCGATCAGCCTGTTGACGAGGCCCTTGCGCGGCGGCTTGTCGCCGTGTCCCGTCCTCTTGTGCGGCTCCTCCTTCACGGGTTCCTTGGCCTTTGCTGGCTCCTCAGCCTTGGGTTCTTCCACCTTGGCGGGCTCAGCCTTCACAGACTCCTCGGCAGCAGGGACAGGCTCCTTGGCCACGGGCTCGACGGCAGCGGGCTCTTCCACCTTAGCGGGCTCCTCAACCTTAGTAGGCTCCTCAACCTTAGCAGGCTCCTCAACAGCAGAGGCAGCGACCTCCTCGACCTTAGCGGGCTCCTCAGCCTTCACGGGCTCCTCAGCAGCAGGGACAGGCTCCTCAACCACGGGCTCGACGGCAGCGGGCTCTTCGACCTTAGCAGGCTCCTCGACCTTAGTGGGCTCCTCAACCTTAGCGGGCTCCTCAACAACAGGGGCAGCGACCTCCTCGACCTTAGCGGGCTCCTCAACAGCAGGAGCAGCGACTTCTTCCTCGACCTTAACAGGCTCCTCAGCCTTCACGGGCTCCTCGACAGCAAGGACAGGCTCCTCAACCTTGGCAGGCTCCTTGGCCTTAACCTCTTCGGCCTTAGGCTCCGAGCGGTCGATCGGCATGGGAGCGGGGGCACCGGCGGCGACGATCGCCTCCACATTACCCAGTGACGGGATCTCAAAGGCGGGCTCCTCGACCTTGGTGGGCTCCTCGGCCTTGGCGGGCTCCTCGACCTTGGTGGGCTCCTCGGCCTTGGCGGGCTCCTCGACCTTGGTGGGCTCCTCGGCCTTGGTGGGCTCCTCAACCTTAGCGGACTCCTCGGCCATGACGGGCTCCTCAGCCTCAGCAGGCTCCTCAACCTCAGCAGGCTCCTCAGCGGCAGGAGCAGCAGCCTCTTCCTTCGATTCCTCGGTAGGGGCAGTCTCCTCGGCAGTCTCCTCGACAGTCTCCTCGACCTTCGGCTCCTCAGCAACAGCCTCCTCAACCTGCAGCTCCTGCTGCTTCACCTCCTCAGCAACCACAGGTGCTACCTCGGGCTTCGGCGCTGCAGGCTTGCTGTTTCCTCCCTTCTTTGACTTTCCAGACTTTCCCTTCTTGGCCATGATGTTAATAAAAGCTACAGAAACAATAATGTCGTTGAGTTGGGATGGATTGTAGACGGGAAGAATGGACAGGGGAGCGCGGAATGTTTGTTCACGTATTATAGCCCAGGACCAAACAGAGTATGCCCAGTCATGTTTATTTGCATTAGAGGCTCCTTTTGGCATTATCAAATTGATGGGCATCCGGATTTTGCAAAAGCAGAAAGCAGCCACTTCTGCTATAGCCCGACAATTCTCGGAATCGCCAAAAGGGCTGGGAAGAAAATGGCTTCAGCGTATGCTGCACTCTGCACGGCAGAGGCGCGTGAGGCGCGTGATGAAAGAGCCGTCTGAGCGCAGGCAAACAATCACAGTAGACCATGCACGCTAATGTGCAGCCAGAAGCTGTCCTTGGAGGGGACGCAGACTACTTACCTCTAAAAAACGCACTAATAAATAGTAGAAAAACTACGTCAAAAAACTAGAGAACAGAAAGAGATATTACGTTGGTTCTTTTGCGCTTTCCAGCCAAAAGGAATCGGGTTTAAAAGTCAGAAAAATTGGGGGAGGGGTGGTTTGGTGAGCCGACATTGACTAAAGAGCACCCTTCTTGTCACATCTTCCCTTTTTTTTCAAAGCGCACAAGCATGCACAACACTGAAGCAAAGCGAGAAATTGTAACCCAGAACCTCCCCTCCCCGACGGGAGAAGGGGAGTGGATCTCGGTTTTTCGTTATCAGCGCCATAATGGCAATGGGCATTAATGGACGAAATCTCCCTCGTCCCCCTATTTATAGTGGCAGTGACGAGATTGCGCCTGCAGTCTGGCCCAGGCGTGTTCTGGGCCAGCGATTCCCGCTGCATCAGTGGGAAAATGGGATTGGCGAATCAGAGATTTGATTACTTTCCAAACCGGAGGCTGGCGGATTTCCATGTGAAAGGAAATTCGCCGCGCCTAGCAAGCCTGGCTATTTCATGTGCGCCGTATCGTCCGGGTTTCTTCACTTTGGCTCCGGCGGGAGGAATTGGATGCGCCAGTTTTTACCTCCGCGGAGGGGAATCAAAGTAGAGTGCCCGGGGGTGGGCGGTCCGTTCTAATGCTCCGTTGGCGAAAGGAGCCGGCCCGGGCTCTACAATCGCATTCATTTTGTGGGCCACAAGTGAAGATAGCAGCTTCGTCTCTCTTCTTTCCTGAGCCTCTACTTCTTTACTTTTGCGCCACATCTGTATTTTTAACTGTTCGCACTCATAGACTATAGGAAAAGACAAACTATGCCCAGCTTTTGGACAGCAGACGCGCCGCTAGCGCAATTCCCGGTGCGCATTCAGCCCGACAGCAGCGGGTCAGAGGACCCGGGGCTGCAGGTGGAGGTATCGCCGACGACGTTCGAGAAGCTTGCGCGCGCAGCCGAACACCATGCACGACTCTCAACAAAAGATACCAGCGCACTGGTCAGCAGCAGTAAGTAGCTTTCTACATACCATCAGATCAACCACAAACCATCATGGGCTGAAAAAGAACACCTTGCATAGGAATCTACGTCAGTATCAGGACGGCAAACGGCGGCTGTGTGGCGGCGGTGGCCAAGAGCTATCTGGCCAGTGCCCCGGGTGACGTAGCCGTGTGCCAGGTCGGGAGCAGCGTCTGGGCGGCGATGGGTGGACGCGATGCATGGGAGTCGGCGACACTGGAGGTTGTGGATCCGGTTGAGCTCACGGAGCTGGTGCTGGGCGTGGACGCTGCGCAGTACGCAGACGCCATAACGATGCAAAAGGAGATTGCTGAGCACGTGCAGGCAAAGCTGTTCCGGCACAATCGCGAGGTAAGGGTCGGCGGGCTGACGCTGCGTTGCCTAATGTGCCAGCCCGTAGCCCAGGGCATTGTGCGGCCGGGCAGCGACCCGAAAATCGTCATTGTCAAGGACACACGGCGTGCGGAAATGCCCGTGGGCGATACAGTAGGCGAGGAATGGGAGGATCTAGGGTGCCGAGTGGTTTATTTTGGACGGCGCCGGTGATACCTCTGCTGGCAGGCCGCTGGATCCGCACGGCGTGGAGATCGAAGGCTGCGGCATTGCTGGCACCGGTCGACCATGCGAAGATTGCACCAGGTCGAGGATGGCGAGGACACAGGGAACCGCGGGTACGCAGAACTGGCGACGCTGGCCAAGCTGGGCGTGGTCAGTGGCAGCTGGGTGGCTGTGACCAGTGCGCACAGTGACTCGGCCGAGCGCCGTGCGATCCGCGTGTTTGGCTGCGATGGCATCACTACAACTGACACGCTTGCGCTGCCGCCGCTGCTCTTTCCACAGGCCTGCAGGCATCGGGCATACCGTCGACTGAAAGCATTCCGGTGACGGCAGTGCCGCTCGGCGTGCCACCCAGCACCCCCAGCCCAGCGTTCCTTGAGAAAGAGCCCACGCAAAAGTTCCAGCCGGCTCTGGAGGTCGCGCGCAAAGGTAGTGATTGCCAGAATCATCTCGCCGCTGGCAGAACGGCGCGATTTGGAAGCGCATGCGCTGGCGGCGCTGCAGGCGGTGGCTGAAGCCCGAGGATGGCGCATTGCGCGTGGTACGTACAGGCGATGTGATTGCTGGTGCGGGTCTGCCTGGCCGACGCTATGGTGCGCACCAAGGTTGCAGTGGCGGCGGGCAATGATGCGGCAGCACGGATTCGCAGTGGCGAGAGCGACATGGATCCATCTGTCGTAGGACGTGGATCCGGTCAATGACCTCGTGTTTGACACGCCGGTTATTGGAGATTCAGGCAGAGTGGATGCCAACGAGCTCGTGTTCTACAAGATCGTCAGTGCCGAAGGGTTCCGGAACCGCTGGGCGTCGTCATACGACAGTGAAAGCGAGGAGGACAGCGAGTACGAATACGTAAGTGACTACGACGAAGAGGACGACGGAGAGGAAGACGTGGATGCGATTGCGGACCCGCTGGACCGGCAATGGGCACAGTGGTACCGGCGGGTACGCGGTCTGGGTCTGGTGGTCCAACCCGACACCACAATGGTGGCGCAGGCGGGCTCAGGTCCACGCCCACGCGCCATACCAGGCCATCCGTGCCTTCCAGGACACCCTGGGTGCACCATCATCGGGTGCCGAGCCGATACGCAAATGTGCGTGGCCAGCTGCTACGCCTGGCGCGTGCAGCACTGCATCCCACTGGCGGCACGGCGGCGGCTCGTGTGTGCAGCGCTGCTCAAGGGAAACGCAGGCACGGGCAAGCGTCACGTGGTGCGGTCCCTGGCCAGCACCCTGGGGGTCCATTTGTACGAGCTCAGCAGCTACGACATTCTGGGCGACTCTGCCGACAAGACCGCGCAGGCCCTGCAGCTGTACTTCCAGAACGCCATACGCTACACGCCATGCATTCTGCATCTGCGGCAGGTCGAGGCACTGGCACAGAACGCAGCACCCGGCGAGGAGAACGACGATCTGCCGATTGCGCGCGTCCTCAAGGCCTGCCTGGACGACCTCACCCGGGCGCACCGCGAGTCGGGCTTCCCGGTGCTAGTGGTGGCGACCAGCAGCATGGCTGACAAGATCCCGAGCGCTCTGGCGGCTGCCTTCCGCCACGAGCTCGAGCTGCCGGTGCCCGACGAGACCACCAGAGCGGCGCTGCTTGCGCGGATGTCTCAGGGACTGACGCTGGCGCCTGACGCCGACCTTGCATTTGTTGCGCAGCAGACAGCGTCGTTTGTCGCACGTGATCTCGCCATGCTCTTCAAGCGCGCTGCGAACCGCGCGTGGCGACGTGCGCGTCCCCAGGCCACGACGCCCCTGCAGACGCGGTCCCTGGCTCTGTCGCAGCAGATCATCACAAACGACGACCTGGTGGGTGCGCTGGGCGATGCGCGTGCGTCGATGTCGGACACCCTGGGAGTGCCAAAGATTCCGAACGTCAAGTGGGACGACGTGGGCGGACTGGCAGACGCCAAGAAGGACATCCTGGATACGATCCGGCTGCCGCTGGAGCAGCCGCACCTGTTTGCGTCCGGACTGAGCACGCGCTCCGGCCTGCTGTTCTACGGGCCGCCGGGCACCGGCAAGACGTTGCTGGCAAAGGCCATTGCGACCGAGTGCGGGCTAAACTTCTTCAGCTGCAAGGGACCGGAGCTGATCAGCCCGTATATTGGCGAGAGCGAGGCCAACGTGCGCAAGATCTTCCAGCGCGCGCGCGAAGCCAGCCCGTGCGTAATCTTCTTCGACGAGCTCGACTCGCTGGCGCCCAAGCGCGGGCAGCAGGGAGACTCGGGCGGCGTCATGGACCGCATTGTCAGCCAGCTGCTGGCCGAGCTCGACGGTATGAGCGGCGGCGGCAGCGAGGGATGGCGACAAGGCTGCCGCTGCCCCGCAGGTGTTTGCCATTGGCGCGACCAACCGCCCGGATCTGCTCGACCCAGCGCTGCTGCGCCCAGGGCGCTTCGACAAGCTGGTGTATCTGGGCGTCAGCGAGACCCATGCAGCCCAGCTCAACATCATCCAGGCGCTGACGCGCAAGTTCCACCTCCACCGCGACCTCGACCTGGCCATGGTCGCCGAGCAGTGCCCGTTCCACTACACCGGCGCCGACTTTTACGCGCTGTGCTCCGACGCGCTCCTCAAGGCCATGCTGCGCACTGTCGACGAAGTGGACGTGCTGGTAAACGACTGGAATAGCGGCAATGCTGGCCCTGGCGCCCACTACCCGGTGCCCATGACGCCGCAGTACTACTTGGACCATATTGCGCCTGATCACGTCAAGCAGGTCACCTGTGACCATGGCTGATTTTGAGCGCGCCCTGGACGAGCTGATCCCGTCGGTGTCTGCCTGACGAGCTGGTGCGGTACCAGAAACTGCGCCGACAGTTCGATTCGACGCTGAAGAATGCGCAGAAGGAGGCCGAGGAGGAGCCGGCAGCAATGCCGCCGCGCAATAAGGGCAAGCAGATTGCCTGTCGAGGACGGCGAGGAGCTGGTTTCGCCAGAGGATCTTCTCAGACGCCTCCAGCAGATGCTGCCCGACATGACCGTTGCGTCGGCTCCGCCCGCAGATACTGTGCTTGCTGCCGGGGAGGTCGATCCGGTGGAGCAGCCACGGCGATTTCCTGTCGCAGCTATCATCTGACAGCAGTAATTGGTGCCCAGCCCGAGTCTGTCTCTCCTTCAGAACTCGATCCTCCTTTAGAGACAGCCCCTGCCGCTGCTTCATCTGATCCACTGTGGCAGCAAGGAAACAGGCACGGACCGTCAGTTGCGCAGTCTGAGTCTGACCCGCCTCTGCTCTCCCCTGGCGCCACCTCCGCATCGTTCTCCACCTCCTCTGATATCATTGCCGGCAGTGGCAGTTCGTTTCGGCCGCCTGCTGAAGCGCCGCCAGTCGTTTGCGTGGATCCGCCGCAGCCCAGTGCTGGTCCCGCCGCCGCTCCCGCCGCACACACCGGAGCAGGACCTGCTGGCCGCACAAAGGGGAAAGGGAAAGGGCAAGGGCCGGCGCTGAGCCGATCCGGAGCAAACTCAAGCGCCGCGTCTCGCAGGTATTCAGCAAACCCGGACGCATCCTGCGGCGCAACTCCAGCATAGACTAAGGCTTACAAAACTCTATAGCAATTGCAAACTAGTACGATTAAAGAATTTTTTTGCGAGAAGTCCTCTACTCTGCCGCTGGCGGCGGGCCCAGCATCGGCGGCTGCGGGGCAAATGCCCGGCCCATGACAATGCCGACACCCTCGATCAGACCAAGCAGCACACCGCCAAAGACCGCCGAGACCGCAGCCGCACGCCAGCCGCCACGCGCCGCCAGCAGACCGCCGGTGATGGCGCCCGAGCCAATCGAGTTCCACGGATCCTCCTTGTGCCGAATGCCCTTCAGCACACAGTCGAACGTCGAGAACATCCCTCCCCACACCGCAAAGTTGCCGCCGGTAATCGGCCCCCGCGCCCGCATCGCATTCAGCCCGCCGCGGAACCGCTCCCCGTACGGCGAATTCCGCGTCCCCTTGAAGAAATGCCACACGCCGCCGCCAATCGCTCCCATGGCGAACGCTCCGCCGGCATCGTTGAGAATCACCCACGGGCTATTCCAAGAGTGGATTAGCATAATGCCCTTGGGCCGGTTTTTGGGGTGGTGGTGGCGAATTTCGCTTCAAAACTTACCAAGGATCTCTGCTAACGTCTGAACCACGCATTGCTATGTGTTTGGGGTTGTGAGGGAAATCGAGTGTGTTTTGTGTGCTTGCTCTACTGGAAGGCGAGAAGGAGTCGTTCTTGCTACGCTCTTTTGCTGACAAAAGAAAAAGGGTCTGGGATGGCTAGGCTGATAAAGTTATAACCGTCAAGTGTGCTGCAGAGTCTGGTTGGAGGGTTCTCCCTTGGTTCTTTTTCTTCCTTCGACCTGCGCTGCTCAAAAACAAGTACAACAAAAGGACGCGCACAAGAGAAAGATAGAGAAAGCTATTTTATGTAAGACGAACGAAGAAGAAAGCCAAAGATAGTAGGTATTGCGATCCCAGAGCATTGATCCCGCTTGGGAAACGCACGATCTCACTGTCAGAAACGCTAGATCAGATCGCGTGATCACTCCGGCTTCCTGAACTTGCACTGCATCCACACGCGGTACATCTTGAGCTCGCGCTTCCTGTTGACAATCAGCCTTCTATCGACAGCGTTCTGCTCGACGACAAACCTGCGGCCAAAGACCTCGGCCAACTCCTCGTTGGTGAAGAAGTACACGCGCGTGCCGTCCCCGCGTATATACAGGTTGTCCTCCAGGAGCCGCGACTTCTTGAACCGCAGCTGCGCCAGATCATGCCGCCCGTAGTCGCGGAACAGCAGCACGCCGCCGGGCCGCAGCAGCTGGTACGCATTATCCACCGCCTGCTGCCACTGACTGGGGTGCAGGGCCGAGAACACAAAGATCATCAGCATCACGTCGACGCTGCCCGGCGTGACATCGGCGGGCAACGAGCTGCTGGCGAGGTCCCACACAAAGCTCTTGCACCGCGACTCGTTGTATGCTTCGTTTGCCTACGCAAATAACGCCATTAGCGATAGCCGTTCTTGGCGTGCTCTTGTAATGGCTCGGGGCCAGCGCTGACTTACCTTGACCACGCTGACAGCTGTGCTGGAGTAATCGCACGCATACACGAATAGCCGCGGATCGTATACGTCCGCCAGCAACGGGAACACTGCGTTACCAGCGCCGCATCCGACCTCCATGATTCGGAACTTCTCCGCATCCCCGCTGTCCTCCCTGGCCGGCTGCTGGTCGTCCGCATTCTCCGCCTGCTCGCCCTCCTGGGCAGACACACGCTTATCTGTCCACTTGAACAGCTCCGGGAACTCCAGCCCCAGCCAATGCCTGTCCTTGAAGAACTTGTTCGTGTTGTTCTGGTAAAAGTCGTTCCAGAACTGCTCCGGGTTCGTATTGTACTTCTCCCGCTCCTCTTCAGGCACCGGATGCTCGCGGTGCATTTTGATCTGCCCCGAAGCATACTCTTCGTGGTCGCTGTCGGGCTCCACATTATCCCTAAATATATGGGATGTTTTAGCTTTGTGCGCTATGCTGCACAATTATAACGTCAAACACGTACCATGCATTGTGCTCGAATACGTCGCGGCCGGACGACAGCGTGCGAGTGCCGAATTTTCCGCCATCATTGCTGGATTTGCTGTCCTGCTTGATCTCCACAACCGACGATGCCTGCTTCTTTTGCTGGTGCTTGGCGGCATCTGCTGGCGGCTCCTGCGACTGGCGTTTCTCGCTCATTGGATGGAGATGTTTGGCGGGGGGAGGGAATTCTAAATGCTGCAGTGTATGGTGTTTTGGATACACGGTGTCAAAAGGAGCCATATGAACATTTGCAGCCCAAAACTCCACTGGGGCCTATTTTTAGGGAGCCCCTTGAACGTCATTATGGATTGGCCCATGCCCACTTTGTTGGCTGAGCAGCTCTTCAGCCAAGCAGTGGAATGGCTGTGCTTGTTTTTTTTTTTGCACGTCGTGCTCGGACATGTATCTTCCTACTATGCTGTATAAGAAATCAGGTCGGACAAGCCCAAAAATATTTGTCGGTGCCCAAGTCATTGTTCAAAAGTAAAAATATCATGCATGTCCTGGGTCCCGTGTAGATTCACCAAGAAATACTGTTACCCCCGCATGATTGCCCCCCGTATTTTGCGCAGGAAACAGGCAAACGACAGATACTGGCCACCCTTTTTCCACCAGTCAATCGATGACCATATGACATAACAGACGACGGAGCACGACATTGTCAGGAGCTCCCATGGGAAAGGTGCACTGTGGAGGAGGTTTGAGAATAGATCGCATCGGGCGGAAAACACGACACCCATGGCTTTGTCAAGAAAATGTGTCTGCGTTCGTGGCGCCTGTCACTTGGAGTGGATCTGCCATATTCAGTTGGGTGAATTGGCAATGTCCGCCACCTGTGCCTTGATTGCAACACAGCGACATTCCGCAGTGAAGGGGCCCGTCCTAAAATTGGTGATGCAATTATAGAGCGGGCCATTTTCTTCTTCTACTCGCACTTGTAATGTGTTTTCGCCCATGAGACATGCCACCTTGCCGACAAGAAAAAGAGGTCAGAATAATACTATGTAATGTTTAGGCCCAGAACTCCGTATATAAGCTGAGACATTTCCTAGCCTTCAACAAAAAAGCTTTACTCACCAGATCTTCACCCCCCCACACGGACTACTCCAGATATAAAGCACCCAAGCAGCAGCTCGAGCTCAAACAACTCAGCCTCCGCTAAACACAACCTCTCTCAAGAAACAAATAATGGCTCGCCTTTCCTTCGCTACCCTCCTTCTCCTGGCCGCGCCCCTGGCCAATGCCGCCCAGTGCACCGGCAACCAGTCCATGTGCCCGAACGGCACCGACGGCGTCTCCCCCACCTACCTGCAGTGCGACAGCTGGAGCGGCACCTGGCAGACCCAGTCGTGCGAGGCCGGCCAGGTCTGCTACGCAAACCCGAACAAGCCCGGCACCGCCATGTGCGGCCTGCCTGGCACCGGCGGCCAGGGCCAGTGCACTGGAAACTCTGCAAAGTGCGTTTCTCCCGGTCAGACCGGCGCCTATCTGCAGTGCAATGCCTGGAGCGGCCAGTACCAGTCGGCGTCGTGCCCTTCCGGACTCAAGTGCTACACGGGCGCTAACGGGTCGTCGGTGTTCTGCAACTAAGGCTAATCGCTGGCAGACTGTTCATCCCCAATGCCCTCTCTTCTCTTCTTCATTAGACTCTACCACCACCACCCTTGTTCGAGCTGGCCAGTTCCTTATGTAACTCCTAGTTTTCTGCCTCTTTCTGCTCTTAATGCCCTTGTCAAGGTAACTCTCGATACTTGCTCTAGTCTAGGTGACCATTTCAAATAAATCAAACATCGAGCATACGCTAATTAATATGCAGCTATGTGCATTGGCCATATAATCAAGCATGGCGTACATGATCGAAGGGAAAAAAACCGATGCTTTTTGCAATGCTAACCAAATGAGCGAAATACCAGCTGCCAAGAAAAAAAAGCGCGTCAAAAGATCAAATAACACTGTTTTAGCTGATGCTCTTGCGAGCCAGGCCCTTTGTGCAAAGCAAGGCAAAATTCCATATTGTTTTTTGTTTGCATAAAAAACGCAGGCTATTTAGTTGGTGCAGTCACGCGAGATGTGGCCGGTCTGACCGCAGTTGTAGCACGACTTGTTGCTCTCCTTGGTGCACTGAGTCGACTGGTGGCCGAACTCGCCGCAGTTGTAGCACTTGGTGCCGTTAGGGCAGTCGCGCGACATGTGGCCGGGCTCGCCACAGCTGTGGCAAGTGCGGGCACGCTGCTGCTGGCAGTCGCGCGCGTAGTGGCCGCGGGAGCCGCAGTTGTAGCACGCCGGGCCGGGGCCGGTGCGCTGGCGCGGGGCGCTCTCGCTGCGGGGCTCGGGGCACTCGCGAGACTAAAACGACAAAAAAAAACATGCTTTAGTAGATATGATTGAGACTGTTGCGTAGACAGAACAGATCGGTGTATAATGAATGCAGGGATGGTGGTTATAAGCGGAGCAATGCGGTCCCTTTGTTGCCTATGCGTTGCACTCTGCCATCAACCTTCAGCTGCACCCATTCCCCACCACCTGGCAACACCTTCCCTATATACAGGCACGCACTCCCCTTCTTCGCCTATGCATATGCACGTCCCAGATCGCAGCATGTACACCCCATGCCGTCGATCGGGACATACCATATACAGCAGGCTTGAAAGGGTGCCCGATTGCAACATCGCTAGATAAGAGAAATTCGACAGTGTCTGGAACTTACCAGGTGACCGGACTTGTTGCAGTTGAAGCAGGTCTTCTCGGCGCGCTCGTTGGTGCAGTCGGCGGCACGGTGGCCGGTCTGCTGGCAGTTGTAGCACTTCACAGCAGAAGAGCCCAGGGGGCACTCACGGGCGATATGGCCAGTCTCGTTACAGTTGTAGCACGGACGCTGCGACATTGTTCTTGAATCTTTTGAATCTTGGTAGACGATGAAGAAAAAAGGATAGAAATTGTAAGGAGAGCCGCGTTTGCACAGCTTGCGCGCTTCTGAAGCGCCAGCCCAATTGCCCTTGCCGACAGAAAATTTTTCCAGCCTTCGCGTTGATTGGCCGATTGCCCCAAGCAGCCCACGTTGGCTGGATGCTGGTTTGGCCCGCATCCGGGCTTGACGCTCCTCCCCCGCAGACGATCAAGCCTGGCTTGCTGCCTCTCCCCTTTCCCTATTCTCTGAGGCGGAGGCGAAGTTCCCCCAGGCAAGCGAGTAGCGGTCTGGATACCCCGGTCGACGATGCGCGCCCATCGCAGCTGATGGGACCGGGACTGCGGCGTGGGAGGCCCAGCGGATCATTAAAAAAAACAGCCGCAGGTCCTCCCACCCAGCAGCGTTTGGAGACAAGCGCTGCAATCGCCAGGCGTGGGTGTGTGATGCAGGCAGGCCCAATAGGCGATGTTTCTGGTACGCGCTTCTTGCCTGCCTACTTACGCTCTGTACATATTGATACTTTCAGCACTAGCTACTCTTATTACATAACGGAAAATAGAAGCAACCTTGGGCCAATGAACAGAATTCCGCTGGAAGCGCTGGAGGAGTTCCTCACGCGAATGAGCCGGTACGAATACGAAAGCACCGAGGACGCACACACGCAGATAATGGATGTAAGTGCCGCTTGTAGACACACCGCCAGGAGGCCTGCGAATTTCGACGGCTCTTGCTGAAACAACACACTCCTCCTTGTAGGTATTCATACCGCTGGGCGTGCTTCTATTCAAGCTGCGCACAGCCGAAGAAAAATACACATCGATGGAGTACCTGTCGCCATCAAACTTTAAGCGGGGCAACGACTACATGCACTCACAGTATTCGCCCCTTGTCGGCCAGCTGCGCAAGGCGATACGCAAAATCTCGCAAAAGTACGAGCGCGAGTGCGAGCGTCTGCTGGACCTGACGGTGCCCAAGCCAGAGTTCGGTCGCGGCGCCGCAGCTGGCAACCCTGGCAACCCTGGCAGCAGCCAGCAGGGGGGCCCGCCGTTTCTCGCTAGCACGCGCAATGAGAACGATACGCCCTCATCGCACCTCTACTATGCACCAGCCAGCCACAATTGCGGGGCGAGTAGTCGCGCAGAAGCACAAACAAATTACGGCAGTAGAGCCAGCGGATACGAGAAATTCCAGACTCCCGGTAGGCAGCGCGTCGAGCCGCGGCCGACCAGCATGGCTCACCCGCCGGTTGCTGGGGGGCTGGGCCCGATCGACTCGCCGGTCATCGGCAGTGAGCAGAATACACCGACAGTGATCACTCACTCGAGGCAAGGCACGCTGTCGACGTTTGACGCAAACAGATACAGCGAGGCACAGGACGAGGCACAGCAGCTGTCGGTCGACTTGGCGGCGATAAAGTCGCTGACGGATTTCCTGCATGTGTTTATCAAGGTGCGCAAGATCCTGGTCGTGTTCTATCGTCTGGTGGCCACGACTGGACCGGTGCTCGAGAGTGAGGATATGGCAGCACTACTGGGTAAATGCGAGTGCGCACTGGATGCCATCACACCACAGGCAATGTATCGCCAACTATACGACAACATCCGCTACGAGGTCGGCATTATGCGGTGCATCGTGTCGTGGGACGAGAGCATTGCGCAGTACAACTTTCTGAAAGCTGTCACAGCAATGAGCCGCGCCAAAACACAGCTCAGGGCATGGGGCGACAGCCTGCCACCAATTGGACAGCCGCGAGAGCCACCGGCAGCGAACAAGACGCCCAATAGCAGTATAGGCCGAGGCAGCATCTATGACAGCATCAGCGGAGCACTGAGCAAAGGCAGCTGGGAGCACCCGGATAAGGAGGCCTCGGCGGGCGCCAATAACCCAAAAAAGTTTCTTCTCTCTGCGTTTGCAAAGTCGACGCGCATGGTGCAGAGTCTGATTTGGGGGAGCGACGGATCCGGATCTGGCATGTCCGAAGAGGACATTAGAGTGCGGCGGATGCGGTTCGTATACACGTGGATCAGCAGCTGGACCGAGCACCTGGCCATCAAGACCACGGTCTACTTTCAGCAGATCATTGGGCCGCATCGATCACTATACCATGACGATCTATCGCCGCACGCCCGGCACAGCGCCATCATGGAGGACATCTGGTCGCGACCCAGCATGGCCAAATTCAACCTGAATGACCTGGCCACCACCTTTCTGCATGCCAACGACGGACTGTTCGTGGTTCTCTTGCTCGAGTCGTCCAAGGAGCGGCCATTCTGCAGTGACGGATTCGCCATGGCCGGGACTAACATCAAGGTGCCGGAGACGTTTGTACAGTCCTATGCCATGCTGTTTTGCATCACGAACCAGCCGCTTATGCGCTCACATGGATACCACTTGCGAGACTCGCTGTCGCAGGATATCCACACATCTGCACCCGATCCCGACGAGTCGCTGCAGACCTTGGACGGGCGCCAATTGGATGCTGAGTGGTTCAGGCGCAAATGTCTTCCGGATTTTGTCAGTATTCTCGAGGGCGACGCCGAGCCGCTCGATACAGAGCTGCTGAGGGCGAACCCAATGGTCACGGCTATGGGCAATGACGCCGAGCGGCTACTCGCCGAGCTCGACTCTTCGATAGACGAGATATGTGCTGCCCCACATGCTGTCGATGATGAAAGCGGCATGGAGATTGCAGGTGGCAAGCACGAGGCAGAGTCGCCAGTGATGCAGCCCATGCAGTCAGCCATCTCTGAAACCATCGAACCCATAGCGACCAATGCTCGGCAGAGTGCTGCCAACGACCCGACACGGCAGAGGGCTGAGTCGGATCCACAGAGTAAAACTGCTGCTGGTGCTGTCAATCGCCATGCCACGCCCATTGTGCACCTGAACGATGAAGCCGAGGACATTGCGCGACCAGGAAGTTCCTTTGAGGGGGCTGAATCAGCTGGAGAAAATGGACACTATCAGCTTGTCGGGCTGGAGCATGAGGACGGGTACGAGTTTATAGGCGACCCCAGCGATGAGCATATTGAGGGCCACAGCCTGTACTCGACATATCTGCTAAAGTCACACCTGCGAAACAACCAGGTCGCCACTGCACAGAGCAAGCAGGGGCGTGGCAGGCGGCTTGTTGAGCGCAAGACAAGCAAGGGCTCGCGGTTCGCAGACACACAGCCCCAGCAATCCGGCATGCAGTACCAGCGGTGCACTAGTCTGGCTCTCAACAGTGAGACCGTCAGTGGGCCGGCAGAGCATTCACAGCTCGAACACTGCTTTGGGAATGCCGTTAGTGTCCCTGCCGGCCAGGTGTCGCAGGCCATGCAGATCAAATATGCGACCGTGGGCAGTCGCGATTCTAAGCCAGGGAGACCTCGGGAGCCCCATCGCTGTGGGTCAGGCGGGTTCTCGCTGTCAGAGCTAGCAAACGAGATCCAGAAATCTGGCAGCGCATCCGAAGCAGTGCCACTTGGGAGCTGCAGTACTGCCAGAACCCAGGCAGTAGCGTCGATGGCCAATGCCACAGCATCCGATGCCGGCTCGATGCGACGCATCCGAAGCGGGGGCCGACTACGTGAAATGGCTGCTCCCCTGAAGCTGACGCTTGACAATGCCTCACGCACGTACTCGCCTCAGAAGCGGCACACCGACGCCTCCTCAATCCACTCGTTAACACTCAGCACACCAACACGGGCCAGCTTTGGTGCCAAGTCTGGGCGTGCGGCAATGACCGCTATGGTGGCCGAGTCCAAGGGTGTCTATGCACGCAGATTGACGCGTGCGGATATCCCGCATGGCGCAATGACATCACTTGATGCGACTGCTGCCGCTGGCAGCCATGCAGGCAGCACTGGTCTTGGCGGCAGGACTGAGGCGCTGCTGCACGCACTGCCGGGGGCGGCGGCTAGCGGTAGTGTCAGTGTGCGGGGGAGGTCATTTGCCAAGGCAAATCCGCCACCGCTGTCGCCACAGCAGAGCAGCAATATGCTGAAGCAGCCGCCGCTCCAACACCAGGCGCCACCACATACCGCGAGCAAGGCCGAGGAGCACACATATCTGTACTCACGCGTTGGCCCGGCCATCACACTGGTGTCGATCCTTGTCGAGACCGACAAGAGCAAGAACCGCCGTGCTGAGGCAAACCGCTCTTGGCTGGAGATGGTTGACAAACTCCGCGGAACACCGCTGTTTCAGCGCCTTATGTCGCTGCCAGCCTGATGCCACCACCATCACTGGCCTTTATGTCTAAACCCCTTTTCCAGGACATGGTGCTCTGAACTTCCCCGCATTCCAAAAATAGCTGATCGGTTGTCAAAAAGGGAAAGCGGGCATGCCTGCTTTTGCCAATGTTGGGGAAGGGAGCAGACATTTCCTCATCTTGATTTCCTCGTCCTTCCCGTATTCACAAGCGCTGGCATGCGCGCTCCAGTTGGTTGCCAGCAGGCGCTGTCCCTCATCTGTTCTGAGGATTGTCCACAGCTCTTGTGAGGAATATTCTATTCCTGTCAGTCCTGATTTTTTGCCCTTGCAAAACGATGCTTGCCGCTGCCAAGCACCGCCTGCATAAAGCAGGCAAAAAAAAAAGTATGTCCATCGCTGACCATACAGAGCCATGTTAAAAATAGAATCACAATCGGCCTGTGGTTGATTTTTTTTTTGCAACTTACTTTTACACTTTATTTAGCAAGGCAAGCACTCTTTAGCGTCATGTTATTCCAGCAGGCAGCGGGCTATTTCTAGCACCAAGGTCCAGACGAGTATATATTACCGGGGGCCGGGAGTGGGGCGAAGCAGACATATCCCAGACACACACATCCACATTCTCTGATTCTCTATTTCATTTAACGACAGATTGACTGGCCGCATTGTAAACACAGCGACTTTTCCTCTCTCTTTTCATACATCGCCTTGCATCACTTGCATTCCTTTACTTGCACCCCGCAATTGCCTCTACGTACGATCCACCACGGTTGTCAACACACACTCCAAGCAGCCTCGGCGCACATTACAAAAACCAACCCTAACCACACACCAAGCTACCTTAAATCCGCATCCAGTGCCAGTCACTATCCACCGCAATCCCAGCCCAGCAGTTTTGGAAAAACGAAGAATGCCTAGCACTGTTATGCCACCCCCAAGCCAGACGTACCTGTGCAAGCTGTGCTACACAGGCCACAGCAACATCCACTCGGCACGTAACCACTTGTATGATAGTCACGACCTCAACCTATGCACTGATGATACTTGGGACTACGTGAACGTCATTAGCTCATCATGAGCAATTGCACAGATTCTGATTTCCTTGAATGACTCCTGTTTCTCCTGCATACATGTTTGCATAAGCTTCTGCACCTCATCGATAGATTTTTCTTTCACCATGTCTATACTACACAATACTTTCGCCATTCAAATAAACAATACTTTTTTTCAATATCGCACGTGCATCTTTAGCCATTTCTTTTATTCATGGCATTGGTAGGTTTCCGGTATTTGTCTTTAGGGTAGCACGCGCCAGTTTGCAGATTTTTCTACTATGCCACTCCCAATCTTGAACGCAGTGAAAGCTGGGTGAAATAGCAGTTGCGTCCATGCATTTCCCACACTTCCCTGACGCCCAGTGTCAGACACGCTGAGGCAGACGAGTTCCACTCGCACAAAAGGTAGTAATGCAATGGCTGCCCTGTTGAAACAAAAACATCGCTAGCCCACCTCCCCCTCAGCTTTCTGATAGAAAGAAGAGACAAAAAGGCACTGGCTGGCCGAGTCCACTCTGACGATGTGAACGATGTTAAACAATATAGAGACTCGAGTGGGGGAGGTGACGCCGTTGGCGGGCCTCGATACTACGGTGCTGTCCCTTTCGCACCCCTTCCCCGAGCGCTGCCCTACCAGGAAAGGGGCAATATGTCGGTAATCGGATGCGCCTGAGCATTTTAAACAAAACGCGCCTGATCTGGCGACCATTTTGTGAAGTGGGAAAAGGTGGATTGCTCTGGGTTCCTTTTTTCCTCACCCCAAGTTTTACTCTTTTTGCAAGCGTCGAAGCACGCCTTTCCTTGTTCTTGTCACTCATTTGCGACAGTACTGTAGTCAAATACCAGGAAGGCGAACCGCTTCCAGCTTTCCCTTACTCTATTGCAGACGCTCGTTGCTGTGCTCCTGGACCGTATCTCGGAGGCATCAGTCACCGCTACATCTGCACTATTCAAGCGGAAGGTGGCCATTGTTTGATAACGTACCCTATTGTCCACAACCCCCAAGGAACCCTTAGCCACTCTCCACCTTGTCGCCCAAGTAATTTCCAAACCTGGGCATACTTCCTATTGCGGCCCAACAAGGAGCACAAATTCAGCCGCTTCTCACACCCACAGCGCATTTGCAGAAATAAGCGCCCGTACCTGCCACAGAGGCAGTGGTAGCGTCGCCATTTCGCAGCGAAAAGGTAAGCCGCTCATTATTACCAAGCATGCGCAGTCTGTAAATCCTGTTTGAAGCTGCACCTGTCTGGTTGTCTCCCTCAGCAGTGGCATATTGCGTATATTGTACCTGCTAACTGTACGCCATCGTGGGCCCTAGACATCAGCAGGAATCTGAGGCTCTGGAGCATATCCTGCCGCCTATCCGTCTACTACTACTATTGTTTTTGTCGCCTACTCGGAAAAAAGGTAAACAATCGCTATCGAGCCACTGCGCCCCTCGCAACAACAGGGATGCGACAGCCCAGGCTTTCTCGTCACAAAACGTGCTCCATGCTGTTTACGTTTTGTGCTGCTCCCTGCTGCTCCCTCACTGGGTCCACTCCACAAATTGGCGCAGTCATCATCAATAACCTGGAAAATTAAAATAGTGCCCACTGTACTTGGATCCCACCCTGGCAGGACGAAACATAACTTGTCCCTATTATTGTCCCTTTGTTTACCATTCTCAACATATGGATATAACAGGAAGCTGTGTATTTGCGGTGAGCGGCGGTGGCATCTCCTAGTGGCATCGTTTGCTGCTCCAGATATTCACTTGCTCCAGCCAGCCTGGCCTTCTGTCTTGCCGTATTGCGAGTGTAATTGGGGCTGAGATCCAAACCAGAACAGTCGGTTTTCGTCTCCTTAGTTCTCTTCGCATCTGCGGCACCTTTTTCCGAGCAGCCATCTTTCCGATATCCTTAGTTTAAAAGCCCTGGGTCATCAAGGGTCCACTGCAGCTGTCCGACCACTCCACCTTCCTAGACACACCCGCTCAATTGCTTTGTATACAGCATCCACTTCTCCACTCGTTTCTGGCGCACTTGCATCTATTGCCAGTGACTCTCTCCTGACCAATTCGCTGTTCATGAGGCATTCACACGACAAACTGCCAAAACACCAACAATAGGAACTCGCTGAACGACCCATTCGGCACGCATCCCAGTCGCCGCCGCCTATTCACTACTGGCCAGCCCAACGACGTGCAACAACACCGTCATAGAGCCGATTATTCGACGTGGTAAGTGCATTCCTCCTTCCCCAACGCCATTATCTGCACCTGCTGCGTCTGCCTCTCGTGTGTGTGGGATTGGTGCGGTGGAAATGCTGGGTGAGTGATTGGCGCTGGCAAAGATTCTGGATGAGTAATTGAGCGCTGCAGGGTATGGTCGGACAAAATTGTGGGTTGCCAGCAGCGAGCAACGCTGGCATGTATGAGTTGCATGTGGCGATTGTCTATGGATAGGAGTCGAGTCTATATCAGACCTTCCCACTTGCTTGACGTATGCATGCATGCGGGCTCCTTTGTCGGCCTGCATTCTGGAGGCTTGCATGCTTCACATTGTTGGTCAACCGTCATTCAAATACACCCAAGAAATTTTCGAGGCGTATCCTTTATTCCTTGCCTTTTGGCTGTCCCTGAGTTGCCTCCCGTCTATGGCATAATCCTCGCTTGTCCAAGCTCACGCTCAAAGTTGCTGCAAAACCTGCACACCAGGCTCGTTCTGCCGACAATGTGGAGGCTAGGGCGGCATGTACAAAACCATGATTTCTCTGCACACAATGCGCAACCGCCATACTCATAGTGCACTCCCCACTCCTCCACCCCACTACTCCTCTCCGTTTCGCGTTTTGCATGTTGTCAGATGCTCGAATAATGGCATCTGAAAGGTGCTTCAGCGCTGGTGAGGGCAAACGTTTGGGGAGGGGACAAGCAAAATCTGTTGCACATCTGCTCCTTGCTGCGCGCCATTATTTCTTGCTGCGAGACGCGTAGTGCGCAACGCCCTATTGTTCTGGATGGCACTTGAGCGAAGCGCACACGGCCCACACGACCAATTCAAACAAACATTGCCTAAAAACACATGTACTATTCTGATATTTCTTCTTGTAGAAGTCAAACGAACCCAGTCACCTGCCCCCGTGCGGAGCACATTTCAACAGCATATTCACCGATTGACCTCGCGACGTCCGAAAGGTATAGTATCTCTGGCTATTTCTCCAACATGCCGGCTATGCTGTGCTCGCTTTTGTGTGCCATGTCTGCTCTGAAGAAGACAGCTCATGTTCCACTGAGCCAGCTCAGCGGTTGGGTATGGCCGCACTTATTACATCACTTGGCGATTTGAGACGGACAAAGACCCGGGAATTTGTATGTGGGCTATGTGCGAACGCTGAGACAGCCGAGAGGCTACAATTAGAAAGGGCCGAGCTTGCATTGCGCTTTCTTTTTTGGGCAAGCGAGCGAGATTGAGCGCCTCGCAATTTCCCTCCACCGCCTGGTTATTGTCGCCTATTGACCTCAGGAACTCACGCAATTTGCCTCTACATGGTTTTCTCTAATTTACCACTGGAGCTCCCTACTCCATTTCGCCAGAGGGCGTATAGTGTCTGGCTTGCTTGTCCGCCATTTCCATCCCCCATTTTGACTCAGCCGTGCATTGTCGTGCATATACAATCCACCTTGTGATTCTTTGTGCCAGCCTCTCCTCCAGCCTTGACGCTCTCTCATCCATCGCATGCTGCGGCTGCTACCGTCTGGCCCACGTTCATCACCACTGGCGCCAAGTAGTAGTCGCTGCCCGAGGCCAAATTGGATCCGCATTTGCCAGTGCTGCTGAAGCAGCTTCCATTGGCGATTATTTCTGCGATACGTCGTGGCCCACATATGTGCCTACATTTGAGGATGGACGGTGGAGATCATAATTGCTGCATGTTGAGGGCAGGCAGCCAATGTTGTTAGACTAGATGGTCTCGGCAGCGCGGTCAGATTCTGCTCCCTCAATTCCACCACTCGCTTTGCACGATCTTGCCTGTGGTGGACAGACTGCCGATGCAAGCCGGCGGGATCGGCGTCCCTCTTTTTTCGCCCTTCATGCGTGCTTACCAGCCCAACCCCGCAATCTGAATAATTGTGCATGTATTTTTGGAGTCTTGGTGTGCTGAATATGGTGATATCGGCGGGTTCTCGGGGATGGAGATCATTAGAGCCAAGTGATGTACGCTTCTCGAGATCTCCTTGTAATTCCTCTTTGTACCTGTCAGTCTTTTGATTCCCCGCAGCTTTGCCGCAACAGGCAACTGACGACATCCTCCAGCTTTGCACACAACGTCCTCTATCGCTGCCACTTGCCCAGTACATGTACAAATCCTGTCAGGGCTGGGAGGGAGTTGCTGCTGCCTTCCTGTCCATTCGGTGGGCGCATAGCACAGGTGCAAGCTTCCACCTGCTGTCAGCTGATGGCCTTCTGCCTCCTATCCCTTTGTCTGTCCTGCACTTTTCCTCGACATGTCGCTCCTGCTCGCCAGCTATATGGTGTTTCTCGAGTCAACTTTTCTCCCCATTCCGCCTTGCCTTCGTGCTTGCATGGAGTTTGGTTGGGCGAGATGCCTTCCGCCCCGATGCAGCTGGTTGCAGGCTCGCTGTCGTATCGTGCCTATGCATGTCGCTGATTACACTTTTTGGCGGTTTCCGCTTTGCTAACTATTTATTGTCTGCTACTTGGAGAGGGGCGGGCGATCGGCTGGTTCGGTGCCGACCTCCAACATCTCGGTGTTTCTATTTGTGTCCGCGCATCACCTATTTCCCCGCGCACTGTGTCCCTGAAATCAGCGATGTTATTACATGAACATCGCTTGCGACATCTCCCCTTACTCTGGTCATTGATTTTCGACTTACACGCTAGCTGCTGAGAAACACCGCACATGGTTTACTCCTAGTTCGCCACAGTAGTCCCTGTGGATCGAGGCGCATGCGGTAGACATGCACTCACACCATTCCCCCCGTCTCTCCCGAAATATCAGAATGTCGCGGTGCTAGCTCGCTTTTTGCCCATCCGGCCCCTTCATACATATTGGGTCATTCTTATTATCGATGCAGTCCAATTCTCGGCTGCCCAGTTGGCCTGCGTTTTTTCTCGCCGGCAGGGTAGAGGCGAAATAGCCTACCTTCACACTACATTGTTCCGCTCTGTTAAGAAAGGTCGTGTTCAGCTCGGGTCCTGCTCTCCTCCCCTTCGACCCTCCCCTTAGGCCCACCCCTTTTGTAAAACACCCTTTTGTGTGTGCTGTCTGTGCATTGCCAGCTCCTTGCCCTCCGGGTCTTGTCCACCCCCTTGACTCCCCGCTGCCTAGACGTCAGCCGCACTATATGATTTTTTTGCTCCTTTGTCACTCATCTGTAAGAAAAAAAGAAGAGTGTCTGTCCTTGGCAGACCGCCAAGGATAGCGTTTTTCCGTTTTTGCAAACCGTATATATATGTGCTCATGCCCTCTTGCCTTTGTGCTGTCGGATATCCAGCGTCATTCTATTTCCTGTACTTTTCACTTATGTGTATCATCTCAGCATTCCTTACTCTGTAGACACTTTGGCCAGCCAGCACAATCAAGCCTTTCCCGCCATACGTTTTATTTTAAAGGTCAGTACCCTGTCTTGCCAACCTTGCTCTGTCGCTAGGGATTCTGGCCAGCCAGATTGCTCGCGACGCAGTGCTCGCTGACTATCGCGTGCCACTCCGTGTGTGCGCACACAAGATCGGAGGCGGCCAAGTCACAGTGATTTGCGCTGCACCCGATTCAACAGACCCTTCTCTGTCTTCTTTCCTCTTGCCTCTACTCTATTTGCTTGTTGCATTCCTGACATCACAGCCCTTTTCGCCAGAAACGATATCCTGTATATCGCAAAGCACGTTTCCCTTTTTCGCCTTTGCAACCTTTTAGTATTGTCTAAATTCCGTCTCCAACCCTGAATTTGTACTTTTAGCTCTCCTACTATTTCGCTCGGCTCCACCGCAACCCACCAGCAGCAGACCCATCTCCACCACAAACATCGACTCGGGCGTCTGCTATACATATATATCCTAGCCATCAGCACTGACTCTGCGACTCGTTTTATTTTCGCTCAGCATACTCAGTTACGCTCGGCCAACACACGCAAGGTAAGATATGCTATAATTCAAGCGACGTGACGTTTGTTCCGATATCTGTTCCAGCCCTGGTTCACAGCATCATCATGCGCTCTTTGTGCTGGGAACAAAGGCGAGCAACGTGGAGGAGGAGGAGCACCATCCGGCCAAGGCTTCATGGTGTACGACCAAAACCGCGGGCGCCGATTATCTGTGGCCGTGTATCGGCTGTTGCTGTGTCTGTGCTGCGGACACGACGGCCTCGCATCGCCCACACAACTCCCCTGAATCATACTGTCGACACCAGTTGCGCTGCCCTTGCTCCTTGCGCCCTCTAACTCCAGGACCCTTTTTCAGGCAGGCGCCTGTCACGGGCTCCATGGTGTTTTTTGCGAGTGACCATCTGTCTCGGGCGCTTGTTCCACTGCGGGCGTGACGGGACAGGCGCTCACCGAAAATCCGTCTGGCGCCCTTGACACTCGCAGAGAACATGTGCGGATCCGCGCTCACTCTTTCATGCAGCCGGCCATTGTGCTGTTTCAGTCTGGTCTGCCCGGCTACAGCGATATCGCTGGGCTGTGGAGGACGAAGACAAAGCTGACTGCTGCAATGGCCTGTCTCGGCTGCTTTCCTGGGCTCCGTCTGCGCCCAGAATAGCAAAGGGGGCTGCTGCTGTATATGTAAATTATCCGCTTGCCCACATGCTTCGCACGACTGGCGCAGTCGTCTATTTTCGCCCCCTATCCCACGCCAATAGCGTCGGTGTCCTTGGATTTCACCACCCTTGTCATGCATTCCATGCACTAGTGCATGTATTCCTTCCTTTGGGGGGTAGTTGGTGGAGATTACCTGCATGTTTTTCCTCCTCCCTCTCACCCGCATCCACCTTTTGTGTGCCAGTCGAGTACCGAGACATAGAGTGCGCTACTGAATTGCAGGTGCTGGATGAATTGTGCTGCCACATCCATCGCGCCCTCTGGTTATGCAGCAATATATGTGGGCAGCAGGGAGTGGTGGCGTAATCTCGATTATTTGCACCAACCATTGTGGATCGGCTCGTTGAGTGGGCGTATTCTTCGCTGCCTGTGCTCCCCTGCAAGCCCTCGGCAGATGGCAGCTTACATGGTTGGTCATATCCTCCCTCTTTTTTGTCTCTGCCGCTCTCTTGACTCAGTGGCCATTCACGCCACAGTGATCTGCTGCTTGACGCACAGGCTGATTGGTGCCGTGGGTTCTCAACTGTCTTGTTTCTTTTCCCTTCACGCGCTGTAGATTGTAGCAGAACAACCAGCACCTGCTTGCTTATTTTCGAAGAACCAGACCTTCGCTTGCTACCACTCGCTCAAGTCGCCAGGACAAAAGGTAAGAGTTATGCTTAGATGGCATCCCGCTGGCTCGCTCTGGGTTTGCGATGATACGCTACCGCTATCTGCGAGCTGCTATTGTTCCCGGCTGCATAGCACCCATCAGCGGCCACGCCTGCACAGCAAGCTGGTGCCAGTGTAGTGCGACGTGCCGTGCCTCCCAGCCTGTGCTGCCTTAAAAGGCTACACCAGTCAGCCCCTCTCCGGATCCCGTGCGGGCATTTCGGTGCTAATTCTCTCCTCTGCCTGCGCTCGCATTCTAGAAAACTTTCGGTGCTACGACAGTCCTGATCGCAGTCCGACTACTGCCATTATTACTACATCTACACGGTAAGTCCAAAATGCGTGTGCCTCACTTCTATTTCGAGAGCGGTACTTGCGGCGGGCTTCTTTGTGCTCCCAGTTTGCAATGCGGGTACTGTGGCATGGTGCGATGCGCGTGACTGGCCATACGCCGCTGGTGATGCACATTTCTCCCCCGGGCCACATCATTCTCCTACATGTTCCGCACAGACCTGTTTTTCTCTGGGTGCAATTATCGCGTATTTGCCACCGACACCCGCCCCGATTTGCCTGCAGTCACGCTTTTCGCTTGCTACTTGCCCACGCTCGGTGAAAAGGGATTGGCAGCTGGCCATTTGGCGAAGCGCTTGCATGGGTGAATAACATCCCCGGTCAGCCTGAGCACTGACCATCTGCTTTTCCACCTTGGCAGCATCCCACCATAATTGCCTCTTTTGTCAATGTCCCGCGGGCTAGACTTTGCGCTGTGCGCTGTGCCTGTGGCTGTGCTGTGCTTTGTGCTTTGCCCGCACACCACCCACTCTGGCCGTTCCGTCTGCCTGCCCGCCTGCTGGCAATCCTTTCTCCATTCGGAGATGTGGAGTTTTGGCAGTGGAGCGAGGGCGAATCTTGGATTCGCTGTGCTTGGCAGCGGGTCGTGCTGCCGGAAAGTTTTATCTCTCCACTGGCACGGTGGTGTGGCCGCAATTGGATGGTGCTCTGCTGCCCATCTCGTCTTCATGGAGCGTCCTCTCTGGCGCTACTCTCTTCCGAGCGGCCCGATGTGGGATGGCCAATTTGTTTATCTGCATTTGCCTGTGTCTGGGTGGCGACAGACATGGCGCTCTCTAGGCGGGCCGTCTGACTACAGGATGCCCTCCCTCTTGTCGCAAAAATAGCCTGTTCATCTCATCGCCAGCGTTGTTTGCTGCTGCTGCTCCAAAAACTACGCAATGGACGCGGCCGGATTTTCCGCCATGCTTAATTTTCTCTCCGAGTTGTTCCTTTGCATGCTGGGCTGTGGGGACTATCTGGCCCGTATTGGCTGCGGCCCTCCTGCTCGCCACCTCCATGTCCCCACATGCCGGCACTGCGGCTCATATCTATCTTGCTATCGATGCATCTGCAAATTATCCCTCCCCTGTTCATTTCCTGTGCAACCCGGTGCCTGTATTGCGTTCTCGCATTGCCTGGAAAGGCACTCCTTTTTATGCCTTGTGGTGGGATGCAACACACATATTACAAAACAGCAAGGGCTGGCGATCCCCTGCTCCCGGTTGGCTGAGCGCTCGCCCTACTAGGAAAGTCGCACTCCGGCATATTTTCTCTGTTGCAGCAAGTCACGCTTTGGAAAAACTGATCCTCGCCGATTTTTGCGTACTATTATGCCGCCTCCACTTTTTGCTCGCCTCGCAGTGCGGCCATGACAAAGATGACGGCCTCGAGACGATGATCGCCCTATCTCGCCACCTTGCACGCTTGCGCATAACCGCTGTCTTTTGTCTGCTGATTTCCAGTCTGTCGCCTTTGGCCTGGGCGCCAGCTTCTTCTGAGAATTGCACGCGAAGCGTGGGACATTTCGGCTGTCCTGGGCTTCGGGGCGGCCAGCTGGGCGCCCCCACTGCACAAAAGGTCTTACACATCCCCTTTCTCCCCAGCTCTCTGCCGCCTTCCCTTTCTCGTTTCTACTTGCCAATATTTTCCCACCTTGCTGCCACATATTTTCTCAGGAACCCCTCCACCAGTGACCATTTTCTGCTGCCTTGCCATTTTAAGCATACCTCCCTCCCTCACCCACCCACCCTAAACACCCCCCACCCCCGCTAAACCCTATATAAAGGATGTGCCCTGCTCCTCTCTATAGCTACTTTGACGCGCAGCTCCTGGCCGACTTCATCATGACCAGTCAGTTCCAGGAATTTGACACGCAGAACAGCGCCACATCTGGCAACGCCAACCAGCACTATGACCAGCTGAGTGCCGCAGCCGCCAGCCTTTCTTCGGGCTACAGCGACTACGACGCGCAGGACAACGCTCGTCTGCGCAAGCGTCCGGATGACTGTCACTGACGATCGGCGCAGCAGCAACGCCCACGAGTACAGCTTTGCCAACGGCCGCGACACAGGCCTGTTCCACATGGGCGACGGCACCCAGGGGAGCAGCGCGCAGTACTACCACAGCCCTGGGTACAGCCAGTCGCTGACACACTCGGCCATGTCGTCGCTGCCGATTCCGCCGTCGTCGGCTGCCGCTGACAGTCCAGACCATCGCTGATGCGATCACCGAGGGCATGACCCTGGGCGATCTGGGGTTCTCGGGATCGCAGCAGTACCGGTGTGGCGAGTACGACGACAGCTCTCAGCACAGCAACATCATGGGCAGCTCCTCCTCGGGCAGCCGCTACAGCTCGCGCCGGCCCCAGTCGCTGCGGGTTGCTGTCACACGCTCGCAGAACGAGTAAGTAGAAGAACAATCCGGTCATGTTGTTGTAGCACGTCACATGGCTCGCATACTACTGCATAGCGCTTGTCCGCTGCAGCCTTTTTGCGGACCTACAAACTGCCCGGCCCCTGCGCTAACGAGCCATACTCCCCTTGCTGTCTTTAGGTCGACTGACCCGACTCTGGCCACGCCCAACATGTTTTCGCCATCGTTCATGGAGGCCATGGACACCGGGTCCGCTGTTGGCAGCGGCATGACCATCACCTCGCCATCTATGTTCTACAACCAGGCCACCTCCCCCTACATCTCCCACGAGCAGCCGCAGCACCAGAGCATCTACGGCCACCACCACCAGCACAGCAGCAGTATTAGCAGCACCAGTGGCCACGGGTATAGCCACGGCTCGCAAATGGGCAGTGGAATCTTCAGCAACCCGTCAAACACCCTAGGCAGCGCTGCCGACGACCATCCTCGGTGGGCTGCAAATCACAATGAACCCAATGAACATAGCGGCTGCCAACCCCGGCTCGTCTGCATTCTCACGTGTCAACAACGGCAGCGATGTGGCTAGCCAGCAGGCATCTGACCTGGGCCTGGATATCAACACCACATTAACATCATTTACCGGCATTACTGGCATGGACGGCTTCCAGGCAACCGCCACCGACAGCCCCTATGTGCACACTAGCAGCAGCAACACTGCCTTTGGCACGCTGTCCTCAGAGCCGTCGTTCTTCAACCCGATGGGCCAAGGGGTGCCAATCTCTGGCATGAACCCAATGGCATCGCCAATCATGTCCCATCAACAGCCCGCCTGCCACTGCCTCCATTATGCCTGCCCAGCAGCGGTCGCGCAAGCGCGCAGCCACTGCCAGCAGCACCCAGCTTGACCACTACCACACGCAGCAGATGGGCAGCCTGCAGCAACCGCCAAAACACGCTTGTGAGCATGGCACCGCCGGCGTACTCGCACGAGATGCCCGCCTACAACCCGCTGGCGCTGAACAGCCAGGCAGAGGTGATGGGCAGTGGCGAGAAGGTCATCATGATTCTGACATCGAAGGTTGCGCAAAAGTCGTATGGTACCGAGAAGCGCTTCCTGTGCCCACCGCCAACCATCATGCTGTTTGGCGACGACTGGCAGCTGCCGGTCTCGCTGTCTGCTGATAACGGACTGCTCGATCCTCGGCAGGCCCGCAGCAGCTGGCAGCGTCTGGCAAACCGCGCATCACTGTGACTGTGCCATCTAATGAAAGCACAGCGTCGAGTGACAACGACGATGCCAACTTCACTTCCTCCTCAGGCGAGATCCGCGCTGCACAGATCGAATGGCTCGGGCGGCCTGACCCGAACCCCAAGGCCGTGTCGCGTAGCATTCCTGAAACAGTTGCGGATATCAGCCCGCCGCGTGAGGGCGAGCCGGTTACTGGACGCTATGTGGCCAAGCAGCTGTTCATCAACGATGTCGACGAGAAGCGCAAGAAGGTAGCGGTCAAGGTGCGCCTGCACGACCAGACTGGGCAGGTGGTTCTGGGCAGCTTCGACTCGAAGCCCATCAAGGTCATCAGCAAGCCATCCAAGAAGCGCCAGAGCTCCAAGAACACCGACCTGTGCATCCACCATGGGTCAACCATCTCGCTGTTCAACCGCCTGCGCTCGCAGACCGTGTCGACCAAGTACCTGGGTGTCAGCGGCTCAATGTCGGCTGGTGGCGCCAGGCCGTTCTGGTTCCCCACCGGTGGCTCTGAGGATGGCCCCCTGGCGCCGAACTCTGGCCAGCGCATTGGTGGCCCGGCCCGCTCGCCTACCTTTGTTGCACGCACTGCCGTGTGGGACCCGTTCATCATCTGGATCGCCAACACCAACCTGACGCAGGAGCAGATTGATGAGTTCAATGCAAACATCCACACAAACCCGACGCCGATCCCCGGCTACCCGACTCCGCCCAGCCAAGCCATGCTACCACACTGCCCACCGATGTTTGACGACAACGTCAGCCTGGGCGACGACAGGAATGCCATGGGCGGTCGCTCTAACGAGTCACCTATGGCCATCCACTACAACCAGAGCGTCATCCTTCAGTGCGTTAGCACCGGCATGGTCTCGCCCGTCCTGACACTGCGCAAGGTCGAGAAGGGCAGCGTTGCTGTCGGTGCTCACCACACCAACGACTGCTTCAGCGAGGTCCATGGCGACCCGGTGTCGCAGCTGCACAAGGTCGCCTTTGAGGTGAACATGAGATGCAACAACGACTTCCCGCCCTGCGTGATGGCGCAGGACAACCTCGACAACTTTATCGGCACATATCTGACCTGCTTGTCCGATGTCGGTTGGCCTCAACAAGACCTCTGATGGCCGGCAGCCCTTGAACGAGGTCTCCCCATCTGGCAACAGCCGCAAGCAGTCCAAGGAGACCGCTGCCCCCTGCAGGCACAACCCAGTGGGCCGAGGATGTGGGCGATTCAGCGGTCTGGACCATCGTTGGTACCGACTGCGCCATCCACCGCTTTGACTATCCGTCAACTACTGAGATCCTGGAGCGTGCGCGCAACGCACCTATGGCTCCGGCTAGCCTGTCCCATTCGCAGCAGCAACAGCAGCAGCAGCAGCAGCGCCAGACTGTGGCACCATCGACAACCCGCAGCCGGCGCCATAGCCACCAGCGGCAGTCGGCATCACGCCAGTACCAGGCCCAGCACTACTACCCACAGCAGCAACTGCAGCAACAACAGCATCACCAGCAGCAGCTCTTGCACCAGCCTATGAGCCTGGATATGCTTGTTGGTGATTCAACCTTCACTGCCGCCGCCGCTGCTGCTGCCGCCGCCGCTATAGGTGGCAGTGACTTTGGGTCAAACTCGATGGACTCCACATTCGCTGCAGCCATGTACGGCATGGGTCTCGCTGGTATCCCCGACACTTTGTCGAGCCAGCTACTGTCGCCGCAGACCATGTCGCCCAGCTCTGCGACTGGCTCAATTGCACATGCTACAGACCACAGCAGTCGCCGCAACACCATCAACATTGGCCAGCTGAGTGCCTCGCATGGCACTGCAGAGAACACGCACATCCCCGTCGTGTTCAAGATGTCGGTGCAGCACCCGCCAACCATCAGCCCGAGTGCACTTGAGCACGGCAATGGGGGGTCTGCCGAGCGGTCGCTGGTGAACCTGCATGGGCAGAATTTTTCGCCCGACATGACCGTCTTGTTTGACGGCCAGCAGAGCGTGTTTACTGAGTTCAAGTCGTCTGAGCACATTGTGTGCTTTGGCCCGCTGAGCACTGACTTTACCAGCAGCCCGCAGCGCACCTCCACCTCAGCCACCGATGATGAGGGGTTCGAGGACATGTACACCCGCGGCGAGAAGCGCCAGTCGCCAGACTCGGACTGCCTGCCGCCGTCTGCGGCACGCTCAATGACCACAGACACCCTGCAGACGCTGCTATCATCGTCTGACAGTGACCTGCTGCGTGCCCGCCGTGCATCGTCGGCCGAGTCGACTGCATCATCGGCAACGGCAACCAACTCGAGTGGCGATCGCCAGTCGAATGGCAAGAGCGATTCGCTGGCGCGGTTTGCGGACCAAGAATGCTGGCAGCCAGTCAGCAGCGATGAAGATTCCGATCTACCTCTCGTGCAGCAGCGGAGCTGGCCCAACGTACAAGACCGGCCAGTTCTACACACTACACTGCTAAGTTATTCGAGCAACGCCTTCTAAATCTCTGCCGTGCGAGACCGAAACCGCGGGGCAGAGGCCAGCTTTCCATCACTCTCTTTATCATCTTATCCCAAGGAAAAAAAACCCAAACAAGCGCACTTTTACTTATCTCTAGGCATTTCTTCTTGCACGTCTTTTATTTCTACGTTTTCAAATCAATCCTCGCACATCATGTTGCTGTGTTCATGCTGATCGACCTTTGCGGACATCAAAAAGAGTGGCCATGTTACTCGCCCGCCCCAACATATGCCACGCACCACCACTAACACCACCCCCGAGCCGGATGTTGCTTGGTCTGTGGGGGAGGATGGACAGAGCAGCGCGCGCCGAGTGGCTTCCTAAACATGCAGCTCGTTTTGGCCTTTTGGTGAAATGGACCGCATATCTGTGGCCAGCCAGGCTGGGCGTGTCAATAGTCTGGGACAATAGTTGGTGCTTAGTACGAAACCAACCCCTGGCGTTGTTTTGACTTTCGCCTGGCGCACAATTGCCGTGCCCAAGAATCGCCTTGTCCCACCTGCCCAATCTATGAACAGCGCAGCTTCTTGCCTCCAGCGAGCCACGGCAGAATGCCATTGCTAGCCCAAGCCCCTCGCCTCCTGAATGCGCTTCTGGTTGGGCTCTGGGTTGTATACGGCTGCGAATACTCCCCCTGTTGGCGGCTGCTTAGAAGGGGGGCGCTGGCACGAGGCTAAAGCTGCCGTTTATTGGCAGATTCAGCCTGGCCTTGCTCACACCTGCACTCAACCAACCCACCCACCAACAACAAAAACCTCGAAGGAAAATTTTCCCGCACATATGCAGCCTATGTGGAGACGAGAGACTTGTCTAAAAGCCAGTCAGACTGCTCTCCTTCCTTTTTCGCTCCAAATAAGAAACCGCCCCTCCCCTCCCTCTCTCTTCTTTGCACGCATCCTTTTTATCTTTTTACCCACATACACCTCACTTCCCCATCTTCCATTCTATTCCATCGTTCATGTCTTGGCAGCCAAGCAGCGATACTGTGCATTAAAATAGCATCATAAAGCATCCGCATTCCTCGCTCCCCTCCGACGACAAGGAGACACCCAGCATCACCACAGCCGCCTTTCCTACTGCATATACGTACACATCGGCCTTCTCGGACAGGCCTCCTCTGTTGCATCCTAGATATACCGTTTTTACACCTTTGTCCTGTAATTTATTCTACACTACCCCATGTCTGCCCTGAGCATTTTCCCAGAGTCATTCCAGCGGATTGGGTTCCGCCGCAGCCTGATGCGCATCTTTCGCCGGACGAGCATGCGACGCAGAACCGGCAAGGCTGCGAGCAACGGACTGGGTCAGCACTGCCCAAACTGCGGGGCCCACTTTTTGCTCGATGTGACGTTTTCTCGCCACCTGTACGAGTGCCTCGGGTAAATCTCAAAATACGAGCCTTTTTTGCAACTAGCCAGCCTGTAGACTAAAAAAATTCCCAAGAAATTTTGAAGAGTGCATCTGAAAGCATGCTTTTAAGGGCCAACTTTTTTTCTTTTGCAGTCAAAGCGCTACGGTTTGAAGCAGGCTAGTTTGGATTCTCCTGGCCTAGGTCGGGCCATGGTGTGCGCTATTGCTCGTGCAAAGGAATAGGCAGCAAGCTGAGTCTTTGACGCGAATGCCTTTTGCGCAGGAGCCGCCTGCGAGTAAAGCTGGATGCTGTCTGCGAGCAAGGCCATGTGAGCGACATTTCGTCAGATGGCTCATCTAATGGCCCTCTTTCTGCTGCCCTGAGTCATGCCCCACGATCTACAGCCTGTTTGTCCCACTAATAGCTGGGAGATGGTGCTCTGCATCATAGTCGCCTATAGCGCTGTTCCATCTTCCACTGTGACTAGAGAAAAGGGAGCGAATTCCGTAGTCTGTGCATATTCATCGACAATTTGCCTGTCCGTGCCGCTGCCTCTGTTGCCTGCAATGGCACCCGCTGCTTGTCAGCCGAGAAGCAACAGACGCCGAACACCGACATTTTGCTATAGTACCAGTAGGAGGGATTACCTACAAGTTCACATGAGCTGTGCGCCTCTCGATGATCTCTTTTGGTGTCAGACACGCCAGCCTGTGTCCGCTGCCTGCCTGGATGCAGGCAGGTCAGTGTACTGCTGCTTTTTGAACGAGTATCAAGTGGTGTCGGTAAGAAAGATCGTATAAAGGGTGCTGCTGCTGGAATCCCTCTTTCGCTAGGGCTTCACTACCGCTATTCCGTCTCCCCAGATACCTCTACCTAATATTATCCTCACAGTATACCAGTCTGCTATAGGCCACGATATAGTCAATCTCGCTAATGTCAAAAACCAACGACTCTGTCGCCATCGAGGAGGGCGAGATCGTCGTTCCTCAATACGGCCCTGAGCGCGATGCCATTACCAGGCGTCTCCTGCGCAAGCTCGACATCCGTCTTGTTCCGTACATGGCACTCCTGTACATGTTCAACGCCCTGGATCGCGGCAACATCGGTAACGCGCGCCTCGGTGGCCTCGAGGAGGGCACGCACCTCACCGGCAACGACTTTTACAACGCGCTCTCCTTCTTCTACTTTGGCTACTGCATCTCGCAGGTACCCAACATGTTTTTGCTCAAGAAAGTCAGCCCGTCGGTGCTGATCGGCGTGACCATGGTGCTGTGGGGCGTCTGCTCGACGTCTATGGCCGCATGCAAAAGCTATTCTGGTTTAGTTGCTGCGCGCTTCTTCATGGGCATATTCGAAGCCGGCATTGGGCCTGGAGCACCTATCATTCTGTCGTTCTTTTACCTGCGCAACGAACTCGCATGGCGCACGGCCATGTTCTACGGCAGCTCAACTATTGCTGGCGCCTTTGGCGGAGCGATTGCCTACGGCGTGGCCAAGAACCTGGCGCACGAGAAGCTAGCACCCTGGCAGTTGCTGTTCATTATTGAGGGTATTCCGACGATTGCGCTGGGCTTGGTCACTATCTTCTTCTTGCCCAACTCTCCCCACAAGCTCGAGAAGTGGTTCGTGACGCCCGAGGAGAAGCAGGTGGCCATTGAGCGTGGACGCTCGGGGCTCAACACCGACAACACTGTCTTGGACAAGCGCCAGCTGATTGCTGCCTTCAAGGACTACAAGAACCTCTTCACATGTCTGATCTATATCGGCCTGAACATCCCGCTAGCCTCGTACACGTCGTTCTTGCCCACGATTGTCAAGAACATGGGGTACTCGGATGCCAAGGCCCAGCTGATGACTGTTCCGCCATATGCGTGCGCGCTGGTTACTGTGCTGCTGTTTGCATGGAACTCCGACCGTACTCAGCGCCGTGGCTACCATGTTGCTGGCGCTGCTTCGATCACCTGCCTTGGCTATATCCTGCTGATCTCGTCGGGCAACCTGCACGCCAACTACGCCGGTGCCTGCTTTGTTGCCATGGGTCTGTACCCGATCGTGCCGCTGATGCTGTCATGGGTAGCCAACAACAATGTTGGACACACGAAGCGCGCTATTAGTGTTGCCTTGCTTAACACGTTTGGCCAGTGCTTCGCAACCGTAGGCACGCAGATTTACAAGACCAAAACAGCACCGCGCTTCTTCATGGGCTACGGGGTGTGCCTGGCGTTCAGCTTCCTGATGATCGTCGTGGCGCTGTCTCTGTCGCATGTTCTTCGGCGCGAGAACGCTCGCAGAGACGCCGAGTTTGGCGAGCCCAAACCGCTGTCCCCAGAGGAGCAGGCCGAGGCCGGTTCAGAATGGAATCTACGACGACCACCCGAGCTTCCGGTTCTACATCTAATATGAATTCCAATAGTGCGACATCTAGTAAAGAGCCTCCTGTTCAGCTTAACCCCGGTTGCCCCCGCGGTTACCCATTCCCTTTGGGTTGTTGTCCTTGAAATCGTCCCACTCGCGCTGCTTCATAGTCTCGGCGTCTTGGGCATCGTAGTCGTTGTCATCAATTTCTGGCTTTGCGTCTGGCTCCTTGCCACCACCGCTGATGATATTGCCGCGCTCCTGCTCTTGCTGCAGGTACTGGTCAACTGTCATAGTCGGCAGAGCCCACCCTGGCCTGAACACGCTGTCCTTGATATGCTGGCGGTTGTTGGTAAGCACAAACGGCTGCATGGGCTGCCCCTTGTCATTGAACACTGGGCGGCCGGGCTGGCCAGTGGCGGGGTTAACACGATACGACTGCGGGTCGAGCCGCCACTCCTTGCTGCGCTCTTCTTCGTTCTGTCGCCGGTCGGGGTCAGTGCGACGCTGCTCCATCTGCTTAGCCATGTCCAGCTCGCTCTCGAGCATGCTCAGGTCATCAAGCACCTGCTGTATCCTGAGGCGGACCAGCTTGACCGCGTACTCGCGCTCGACTTCATCCATATCCTCGGCATCGTCCTTGGAGCTGTTTTCAGAGAGGCGCAATTCTAGTGTAGCGATTTCCTGCTTCATAGCGCGGATAGTCTTGAATCGCTCGATCTTTTGCATGCGACTGGTGCCCGGGTCTGCTGCCATGGGCTTGTGCGCCTTGACAAGCTCGAGAATTTTACGCTCAGCCGGCTGCAGAATGCCGAGGTTTTGGCACAGCGACAGGAATTGGTCGTAGTGCGCGCGCGACTTTTCCAGGATGCTAAGCCGGGTGACTTGTGCGCTGCTGTTCAGTTTCTGCAACGCCTCACCCATATACGCATCGGTCAGAATCAGCTTGAGTTCGCCGGTGGAGTAGTCGTCAGGCGTTTCGTTGCTGCTGAATAGATCGAGGTCCTTTATCTGATGAAGGCACACCGTTAACAGGTCCACAAGACTCTGGGCCTGCTTCTGGTACTCGGACCCGCTGCTGGGCAACGGCGAGTCGTTGAGCAGCTCCAGCTGCTTCTGTGCGCGGCGAAGGTTTGCACCAAGTGGGCGCTGCTGGCTGGCGTTGTCCTCGTTGTCCATAGTATAAAACTGAAAATTGCAAGGATAGAGGGTGTGTGTGTGTGGCGCATATTGCTCAATCGCCCTTGGAGCCCTTCATGTATACATAAGGGCCGAGCGTTTCCTAGTATGGAAACATCATCAATTAAGCCAGTTTCTCCCCATCGTTTTCCCCTTTCCATTTGTTTCTAGGTTACCAGGTATTTACGTGTTGATTCCATGAACGCTTTATTCAGTACAACATTGGCAGTTGCAACTGTGGTTGCTCTGGCATCGGGGCTAGAATGGAGAAGCATGAACACACTGAGGTGTGCAAAGTTCAACTGGCATACGATAAAGACTCGCTCCGACTCGCTTCTGCCCATGGCAAGGTTCTTTTTGCCGGGCGAAAATGCAGCGCTTTTGAACAAATTGCTTGACGGCAAGAGCAAGCTTCCTGACACACCCAGTGACTCGTTCATCAAGGCACTGCCGGATGCAATTCCCGAGACGCTGCTGAACACGATTGCCGGAGATGTGATCGGCGCGTGCCTGTCCGGCGAGATGCGGGTTCAGCAGGAGCCATGAGATAGGAAGAAGAGTACGAACTGTGCTTTTGGTTTGTAGCTGAAGGACACCCCCCCGCATATTCAGCCTATGTGCGGGGTGGCACATGCTCGAGCATTTTTGACAACAGGACAGGATGGAAGCTGCAATAAATTAATAAACACGGTGGTCCAAAGAGAGAATGTGGAAAGGGTTAAGAAAGGATGCTAGATGGCAGCAAACCTCCTCCGTGGCGCGAACATGCCGCTGACCTTGCGGTACAGCCTAGTGACAGAATGTCTGCGGCCATGGAGGGTGCGCTTGTTCGACTCGAAGGGGCCGGTGCTGTCTAGTAGTCCAGCTCTGTCGCCAGGAATATACTGGAACGGAGCGCCAATCTGCTGCTCGTTCATCTCATTCACACCGTTGTCAGAGATCGACTCCCTCGTGTTCTGGCGGCGAAGATATGTGGGCACCAGATAGTGGAAGTCATCGGTTGAGTAGTTCACCTGCTGTGTGTATTCCTCGGGGCTATACTCGAAAATGTCGCTGAGGTTATTGATCTTTTCGTACTTCATGGCTATGCGTGTGCTGGAAAGAGACAGAGTAAGTGGATTTAGAGAAAAGGAGGCTTTCGGATGAATGTAGAGCGTTTCCTGGTGGGAACGGGAGACGACTGCAATATTTATACCTGGAAACCGTTCACTGCACGACAAAATGGCACTGTGAAAAAGGTAGGCATGGTGCAGTTTGTCCCCCATGTGTCCCTATTGCAAGAATAGAGGATAGTTGGCTGGGAGCACCAATTCATTTGGAGGATCTTCCAAACTCCTGGTCATGCTCACTGACAATGGCGGTATCCCAACCCCGGGACTCTGACTTTTTACCTTGGTTGGCACGGCCAAGACAGCCGGCATGGATATTTTTCTGCCTAAAAGTCCTTTGGCGCGGAAAGAGCTTTTTGCACTAATTTTAGAGCCAAGTCTGGGCGCCAAAATGAAAGCCTGTACGCGTTCCGATTTAGATGTGTTCACAAAGAGACAGAAATAGCAGAGCGGCTACGTGGGGGATGGTGTCTAGGAAAAGTAGCTGCCCTATTGTCGTTAACCGCGATTGTGTGCCATCTTTTACCATCGTTCTGAGCACTGGCAGTCAAGCGTGTCCGCTTTGCACTTTTGCTGTTGGGCTGTGTTTCAGAGCAGTAGGCGGCTGGGGGCGCAGAGCATGCCTTCATAATGGAAGACCGCGTGAAAAAGCGCATGTATTGACAGTTGCCATTGGAATCATGTGTGCTTCGTCTACACAGACTCTGTGGCCAGCACAGGTCCAGCATGCTGCTGTGTAAATCCAGCCTGGAGCAGAAATGATGCCCTTTTGTTCGGTTGAAGCGCAGCAGGAAATGTGGCAGATCTAGAGCGATTATCTGTCAGCCTCCAACGAAGCAGCTTGCTGGGCGGTGAGCTTTGGCGCAAGGGCGGAGGGCGCCATGTGGCGAGGGGACATGTATGACAGATGCGGCTGGCTGCATCAACAGGGTGCTTTTCTGGGCAAATGGGCGAGGAAATGCCACCCAGCTTGGATCACGTTAGCCCCTTTGCTTACCCGGGTCAGCCCCTCCCCTCCGTCCCTCCAGTGCAAACATAGGGCAATGTCCTACCTGTTGCCATCAAGCGGATATGCCGAAAACACGATGATCATGCCCCCCGCACCTCCTTATTCCGGCCACACATGGCGGTATGACGCGGCCGCTCCTGAGCCCAAACAAGCAGGAGGGAGCGTGTGAAAGTGCTTCGCCGCTGCAGCTGCCCAGAAAACTACCACTGGAACCAAAAAGCTGTGCCAAAATGGAAGCCCCACTAGATGATCTCCTTGTAATTCCCGCGCCCAAGGGTAAATGGAAGCGCCTTGCACACCCCTTCGGAGCTGGCTTCTGCCAGGCAAATCACGTATATAAGTCATCCTGGAGCCGGCACGATGGGATTGAAAGCCCACTTTGTTTCACATTCTTATTGGCATCTAATTCCTTGTTATCGCTCAACTCTTGCTCACAGGTAGGCTGTTCTAGGTCCGCTCCCCACACCTCGTTATGCGCAGGCTTTCAGGCCAAGGGGCTAGCTTCAGTGATCCAAGAAAATTTCTAAAACCAGCACACAGCAAATGACGTTTATTTTCTTTTTCAGTGGGCCGTGGTCAATCGATTGTTGGGTCTGAGGGCGCCCGAGAAAACTCTTGTCCCAGGTCCGACCGCAAACCACGCCCCTTCTCTGCTCTGCTTTACTCACTGCACCATTTTTAGACTATCTCTATTATCACCCACCCGCGCATAGCCGATATCTACCATATCTCCATTACTTGTAGTTACTAGTCCTATTCGCTGATAATGAAGAAGTGTCAGGGAATTCCGTGGGTAAGTGCTAACTGCAATAGCTGGTCGACTGCTTCGGCGAACAGAACAGTAAGGTCCGTGGGCCCTAATAACTCCTGCTTCTGTAGAACCACCCATGGAAGCGTGATGATTTCGATCAGTGCTTTCGCAGTCTGTTTATCGAGAAGCTTCTGCCAGCCAGCATAGTGGTGCTGTCGGTGCTGGTCCTGGTGATCCGTCTTGTGAGCAATCGCCGAGCACAGCGCTACGGCCAGGGTGGCGCATCCGAAGGATACCTGCCACTATTGGACGGCACCAGGCGTGGAAGTGCTGCCTCACGATCCAGAAACCGATATGGCGCCACTGCTGATAGCGGCGCCGCGGCCGCAGCCCCAAATCCGATGGGTGCCTTCGATGACGAGGAGCTGCTGAGTGACAGCGACGATGAAGCGCATGCCCGCGTGCAGGCTGCCGACGAGGCGCTTCAGCAGCACGGCCGGAACCCGTCGCGACGCGATGTGGTGATTACGTTCTTGGCCATCATCCAAATTGTGCTTGCGTACACGGTATATGACGACGAGCCAGCGGGCCACACCACCTTGGCCGAGGTCATGCTGTGGTCGTGGTCGATCATGCTGTGCGTGTACATGTACTTCCGCTCCAGCACACGCACGCCCTCGCCCTCGCCGCACCTGCGGCTGCTGTTTACGGTTGGGTTCTTTATTGACTTTGTCAAGACACGGTCGGCCATTCTGGACTATGTCGAGCGCAAGCACACAAAACACCCCGTGCGGTTCCCGGCGGTCGAAATGGTGATGGCGGCAATCTCGCTTGTTCTGTTCCTGGCCAGCTTCACAGCGCAGCGTCGGCGCCACGGCCTGCCGGCCAATGCGCCCGTCGGTGCATCACAGAAGCATCCGGAGGCGCCCGAGAAGACTGCGTCGATTATGCAGCTGATGTTTTTCTCGTGGATGGACCCGATGATCTGGCTTGGGTACAACCGGCCCCTGGAGCCCAATGATGTGTATGACCTGATGCCCGAGGACCGGTCGATGCGCGTGTGTGCCGAATGGTACAGGGATTCGCGCGACTACGCCCGCAAGCACGGGTCTGATGACCGCTCATTGACGGTGCGCTTGCTGTGGTTCTTCCGGTACCGCCTGCTGACCCAGAGTCTGTGGACGCTGGTCTGCACTGTGTTCCTCTTCACTGGTCCTTTCCTGCTCAAGCGTATTCTGCGGTACATCGAGGACCCGTCTATCTACACGCGTGAGCAGGCGTACTGGTGTGTCAGCGGATTGATGGCTGGTGGCACTGTTGCAACTGTGTGCCAGAGCCAGGCGCTGTGGATTGGCCGCAAAATCGGAATTCAGATGAAGTCGATCATCATCGGCGAGGTCTACGCCAAGAGCCTGCGCCGTCGTGACGCAGCTACATCGGCAGAGAAGGCAGGCAGCGAGCAAGAATCGGGTGCTACTGACAAGAAGGGACCGAGCCAGGACGACGGTAGCGATGATGAGGACGATGCGTCGTCGCTGGGAAAGATCACCAACCTGATGGCGGTAGATGCACACAAGATCTCCGAGGTCGCATCGTACATGCACTTCCTGTACCAGCTGCCCGCACAGATCATTATCACGGTGGTGATGCTGTACCAGCTGCTGGGGATGGCATCGATTGCAGGCTTGGGCGCGATTTTGCTCCTGGCACCGATCCAGTACAGACTTGTGTCTGTGTGGGGCGTGATCCAGAACCAGCTCATGAAGGTCAGCGACCGTCGTATGAGCCTGATGAACGAGATCCTGCAGGGTGTGCGCATCATCAAGTTCTTTGCCTGGGAGCGCCAGTTCGAGTCAGAGATCGCCAGTGTGCGTGCCAACGAGCTGCGCGTCCTGCGTTCGCGCTACCTGCAGCTGACATACTCGATTCTGGTGTTCTTTATGGCGCCCGTGTTTGTCACTCTGGCCACATTCGGTGTCTACACTAAGGTCATGGGCTACCAGCTGACGGCATCGACGGCATTCACTGCGCTGGCGCTGTTCAAGACGCTGCGGGGGCCAATCGACCAGCTGCCCGACTTCTTCTCGTTCTGCCTGCAGGCCAAAGTGTCACTGGACCGCGTTGCCAAGTTTATGTCCGAAGAGGAAACTCCCAAATATCTGCTTCAGACCGAATCCCGCAAGCACCATGACGAGTACACGGCTGCTGGTCTTCCCCATGGCAAGCGGCCGAGCTACGCTGATATTGCTGGGTCGACCGACATTGGGTTCATTGGCGCGTCGTTCAGCTGGAGGTCCGTGCCGCGCGAGGATATGCTGCCCAGGCTGGCCCACCCGAATGCGCCAGGAACCCAGCTGCCTATCCCGGCCATCGTTGAACCGGAGAATCGCGTTGCGGGCGATCTCCACGCCTCTGAGAGCAGCCAGATTCTGACGGCCGTGCATTCGACCGCCGACACGTCTTCCGAATCCGACTCGGCTGGATTTGAACTGCGCGATATCACTGTCAACTTCCCAGTAGGCAAGCTCAGCATTATTGCCGGGCCGACTGGCTGCGGAAAGACATCGCTTCTGATGGCGCTGCTTGGCGAGATGCGTCTTACTGGCGGCAAGCTCCTGGTTCCTGGCTCCGTCTACCGCCCAGTGCTTGCGCCCAGCGACGATCCGTTTGCAATCCAGGAGTCGGTCGCATATGTCGCCCAACAAGCGTGGCTTCTGAACGATACCATCCGCGGCAACATCACATTTGGTCTGCCGTTCGATGAGGCCCGCTACAACCATGTGGTGCGCATGTGTGCGCTGGCCCGCGACTTTGAGATTTTTGACGCAGGCGACATGACCGAGGTTGGCGAGCGCGGTGTTGCGCTGTCTGGCGGACAGAAGCAGCGTATCAGCCTGGCGCGTGCTGTGTACTCGCCAGCGCGGCATGTTGTCATGGACGACTGTCTCTCCGCAGTCGATGCCCATACGGCCAAGCACATCTACGAGCAGTGCCTGATGGCGCCGGCCATGATGGACCGCACCCGTATTCTGGTAACCCATGCCGTTGGTCTGACAATCAAGGGCGCATCGATGGTTGTTGTCATGCAGGATGGTCGTGTGGCGGCTGCAGGTTCACCGGTCGAGGTCCTGCGCAGTGGCAAGCTGAGCGAGGAGACACTGCGTGAAGCTGATGAGGAGCAGCAGAACGCAGCATCGAAGCGCGAGAATGCAGCGGGCAAGGAGCCCGAGGGCGGTAACGACAAGCGGTTTGACGGAGATGAGGGTACTAGCAAGGGGAGCAAGTCCAAGGACAGCGATGGAGACAAGGACAAGGACAAGGGCAAGCTGACTACCGAGGAGGGCTGGTCCCAGGGCCATGTCCAGTGGCGAGTCTACACCCAGTACCTGAAGGCCAGTGGCGGGTATGTGTTCTGGATCATCCTGACTCTAGGATTCATCATAACGCAGCTGACACAGGTCGCCCAGGACTACTGGCTGCGCGAGTGGGCTGCTGCATACAGTGCCCCTGCGGCTAATACCGACACGCTGGCTGAGAATGTCGTAGCATCCAGCGGACCGACGGCCTTCTTGCTGGCGCCTGTGCAGAACATGGTAGCCAACTATGCGCCTAATGTCGACCTGGGCTACTACATTGGTGTGTATGTGCTGATTGCCGTATCCAGCATCTTCTGCATTCTGCTCCGCTCGCTGCTGCAGTTCTGGGGCTCGCTCAAGGCGTCGAAGGAGCTGCACGAGGACCTGCTGCACACCGTGCTGCGTGCGCCGGTGCGGTTCTTTGACGTTACTCCTGTGGGCCGACTGATCAACCGATTCTCAAAGGACATGGAGACCATCGACCAGTCACTGATCTCGTCGCTGGCCATTTTCATCACCGAGCTTGTATCTTCGCTGGCTATTCTGGTTGTCATTGCTGTCATCACGCCAGCGTTCATCGGTGGGGCGTTTGTGATTTCGGTGATCTACTGGATCATCGGCGTTCTGTACCTGTCGGCATCGCGTGAGATTAAGCGGTTCGAGAGCGTGACAAAGTCGCCGATCTACACGCAGTTTGGCGAGACTCTGAATGGCGTATCGACAATCCGTGCCTACGGCCAGGAGAAGCGGTTCATGCGGTCCAACTATACAAAGATCGACGACAACATCCGGCCCTTTATCTACATGTGGGGTGCCAACCGCTGGCTCAGCATCCGCGTTGATCTGGCCGGTGCCCTGGTGTCGTTCCTGGCTGGACTGTTTGCGCTGCTGGCAACTGGCCGTATGGACGCCGGGCTGGCTGGCCTGTCGCTGTCGTATGCGCTCAACTTCACCGAGCACATCCTGTGGGTGGTGCGGTTCTACTCGTACAATGAGATGAACCTGAACTCTGTCGAGCGCGTCATTGAGTACCTTGATGTCGAGCCCGAGGCGCCGGTTACCATCCCGGATCGCGTGCCTGAGCCGCAGTGGCCGACAGCAGGCGAGATCAGCGTTGAGAACTTGGTGCTCAAGTACGCCGAGAACCTGCCGCCAGTGATCCGCGGGATCTCGTTCCACGTCAATCCGCGCGAGAAGGTTGGAATTGTGGGCCGCACCGGCGCTGGCAAGTCGACGCTGACGCTGGCTATGTTCCGGTTCATGGAGGCTAGTGCTGGACGGATCGTGGTTGATGGCATCGACATCTCGCAGATCGGCGTAGGCGATTTGCGCTCCAGACTGACGATCATCCCGCAGGACCCGGTTCTGTTCACAGGCACGATCCGCACTAACCTGGACCCATTCAATGAGCATGGCGATGATGAGCTGTGGCTTGCCTTGCGCCGGGCTCATCTTTTGGGTGACAGCGACGACAGCCACGCCCACGCCGAGATCGCAAACACCGCTGCTGTTGCTGGCGGAGGTGTTGGATCGAGCCGTGCTAGCACCGTCGACGACGGCGATGAGGGGGTGGTGACGCTGGGCCGAACCATCACTAATCTGGACATGGCAGTGATGGAGAACGGGTCCAACTTCTCGCAGGGACAACGCCAGCTGATTGCGCTGGCCCGTGCCCTGGTCAAGCGCACGCGGGTCATCATTCTAGATGAGGCGACCGCGTCAGTTGATTTCGACACTGACGCCAAGATCCAGAACACGATCCGTAACGAGTTCACCGAGTCAACACTGCTGTGCATTGCCCACCGACTGAGAACCATCGTCGATTACGACAAGGTGCTGGTGCTGGACCAGGGGCAGGTGGTCGAGTATGACACCCCGTATAGCCTGCTGAAGAAGGAGGACGGCCTGTTCCGCCACATGTGTCTCAAGTCGGGCGAGTACGACTACCTGTTTGCAGCTGCCGAGCGCAAGCACCAGTCGGAGCACTAGATGGCTTATTTTGCTGCTAGATATACACTCGTGCCAGCATTCACCCAAAAGAAACTCGGCATAATCCATGTGGATAATGGTAACGGGCAGAAAAATAACTAGACATGGGGCTGGGTAGGTAGTTAGAAATTGGTTCCTCTTGTACGCATATCTCTTTCTTTTTTTCACACTACCCCAATATCGGATACCGGTAAAACAATAAAACTCCAGGGAACAATGGCGCTAAGACTGGTGGACTACTCCAGTGACGATAGCAGTAGCAGCAGAAATAGCAATGGCAGCGGTGGCAGCGGTGGCAGCGGTAGCGGGGGCAGTAGGGTGTACTGCCCGCCATTTGCAGGTAAAATTCTGCCTCCCTCCCCCAGCAGGCATGGAGCAAGGAAAGCAAAACATGTACAAAAGCCCAGCATACATTACAATGGCCCAGAACAAGCATACTGATTGTGCTAAACATAGATCACGGCCACGTCAAGGGCGGTTGGGCGGGTCATGTTTATCTGCAGCTTCGGCCAATACCAGCGCTGGACCTTGTCGTCGAGAGCTGCCGCTCCACTGTGCCCAACTCGCATGCCATCACCAGCCTGCACATCTCGCTGACCCGGCCGTTTTATCTGCAGGAGCATCAAATCGCCAGCTTCGTCTCAGCGCTGCAGCGCCAGATGGCGACGCTCGATACCTCATCACTTGTGGTGGCGTTTGGCGGAGCTTCAATCTACCAGAACGAAAAGCAGTCTCGAAGCTTTGTAGCCTTGGATGTCGATTTGGGCGCAGACCGCATACGCAGGCTGCTTGAGCTTGTTGACGCCGTCATGGTCCGGTTCAGCAAGCCCACGTTCTACGCAGACCCCCGGTTCCATGCCAGCATCGTGTGGGCCGACAGGGATGCTGCTGATGGGGTGCCCGCTGACACGGGTCGGCTCGGGGACATGGCGAGGGAGCTTCCGGGGATCCAGGTCGACCGACTGGTCTGCGTGGTGGGCGATAAGGAGTATGCGATCGCCTAGCTTACGAAGAAAAATGCGCGCCCTCCACTTCTGCGTAGATCTTGTGTGCGAGCGTTGCCAAAAGAGAAACAGGGAGCTCAACAATGACTGTTTTCTATCAAGTTCTTTTTGCCGTGTGTTTTGGCCTGGCCATGTTGGGGCTGTATGTCCTGAATCATATCCGACGCTGGACCAGTGTGAAAGGAGGCTGCTGTTTTCAACGCGTGTGCTGTATGTGGGATTATCTTGGCAACACCAAACAGCATTCGCGATTCACCCGTACATCATGGATTGGGAGCTGCGCAAAGGACTGGGCTTGCGCAAAAATAGCAGCTTCAAGCGGATCTGCGGAGTGTCATGTTTTTGGCTCATTTGCTTTGATGACGGGGGAGGGGTAGACAACACCCCTCTCCACCCTGGCCCGTCGCGAAAAAAGAAGAGCTTTGTTTGTGAGGCAGAATCGAGGGAACTCTTGAAGGCCCGGAATTGGCAGTGGCGCTGTTCTTGCTTGCCTTTGATATTATTCGCGAACCGCGGCCAACACCGACGCTCGGTGAGGGCGTGGAGAGGGGAGGACGCTGCGAAAATAGTAGAAAGGGCCCCAGCTCCAACAAAGCGAGTGCAGTACTGTCTGTTTTGAGAGAAAACACAAACAATGAGTTTTGCGATTCAAAGCGACAGCAGAAAGAACAGCGAAAACAGGCCGCTCATCACGCATATAAATACATAACTTTTTTTATCGCAGCTTTTCTTCTTTTGGCGGGAGACACGCACATCAAAGCTGAGTTTTTTTTTTTTTTTTTTTCGCAAAAGGCGGCTGAAAAATTGTGTTCCTTTAAATTTGGTCTCGCGCCAGACACAGCACACGGAAACCAGATTTTTCAAACATACATTCTGTGGTTCTCTGGCATCCTTTCTTTCTCTCTTCTTCACTTGTCATTTCTTTCTTTTTTGCTGAGCAAAAATAGTAACACGCTATAATCTTATATTTTGCTTGATACATCTCATCGTACTTTTACCCACCCCACCTTACCCCTCATCACTTATAATTTTGCAAAATGTCTGACGCAAAGGTTGTTGCTGCCGCTCCCGCTGTCGAGGAGCCCGTTGCTGCCGCTCCGGCTGCCGAGGCCACCGAGGCCGCTGCTGCTGCCGAAGTCGAGGCCCCCAAGGCGGAGGAGGAGGCTGCCCCTGCCGCTGCCACCGAGGAGGCTAAGGCTGAAGAGACGAAGGCTGAGGAGACTGCCGCCAAGGAGGAGGATGCCCCTGCTGCCGCTGAGGAGGCCGCCGCCGCCGAGGAGACCCCTGCCGAGCCCAAGGCCTCGGTTGCCTCCAAGGTCAAGCGCCGCTCGACGCTGGTCCGGAACAAGGTTGGCGGATTCTTCTCGAGCCTCAGGTCGCTGCTGCCCAAGCCCAAGCCCAAGAAGGAGGCTGCCCCTGCTGCCGAGGAGACCACCGCTGAGGAGGCCCCTGCTGCTGCTGAGGAGACCCCTGCCAAGGAGGAGGCCGAGGCTCCCAAGGCCGAGGAGGAGGCTGCCGCTGCCGCCCCTGCTGCCGAGGAGTCGACGGATTCGGCTGTTGCCGTGAAGGAGGAGAAGGTCGAGGAGGCCGCGAAGCCCGCTGCCGAGCCCGCTGCGGCTCCTGTGGCCACGGCTTCTGCCTAAGGCACTGAGCTAAAGAAGACACAAGGGCAAATGCCGCTCACGAGAACACTAAATGTCGGCAGGATCGCAGCCTGGCACGTCTGTCGGTAATTGGCAGCTGACCTTGTTCCCTTCTGCCACGAAATCCCCGTGTATTCTTTTCTGCTGCGAGTTCCGCCCTGCCCCACCCGCGGAGCTCCCAATGCTGCCTGTCCATGTGTGTGCTCCATATGTGCTGTATCTATCCACCATCACCACCATCTTGTGCAAACGTCGAGGATATCCACTTTCTATATTTCTTTTTTTTTTTTTCTTTTCTCAGTTCCACACTTGCTCGTAATTCTTCCTAATACTAATACTTTTTTCTCAACTAAATGCGGTTTGGGTTGCAAAAATTCTGCTTTCACGTTCGGATTGTCGGGGTTAAAGCTGCATTCTACCAGCTGCAAAACAAACAAGGCGTCTGCGGCCGTGATGGGGTTGTGCCTGCCAGGCTTTGGGGTTGGTGATAGCAAGATCGACATGTCCTCAATAACAAAACGCTCACTCTATGACGCTCTTGGCTGCCATGCACCAATGCAGACTGTGGACTGATGTTGCTGTGGGCTGATGTTGTGGGCGGACTTTCTTTGCTTACAGCACTTTGCGCCATCGCCAAAACGCCAGTGTTGTGATTGTATACACAGCCATGCACGCCATCACAATAAAGAAGTTGAGCGTGTCGTCTCTGTCCTGGCCCGGGATTTTCAAATTGACGCCGAGAAAGCTTGTGACGATATTGATCGGCACGACGATCGTCCCCAGCATCGTCCAGCGCTCGGTAGTTGCATTCGAGTTGAACGTCGCCCGCGACAGCTCCAGCGAAATCTTGGCCAGGTAGTTCGAGTGCGCCCGCGCCAAAACAGTCTCGGCATGCGAGCATGTGTTGAGAATTGCCATTAGGTGGTCGCTGACATCGCCCAGGTACTGTGCAACCTCGTCGCCGAGCTGCGGCAGAACCGAGTCGGACTGGATCACACGAACCAAGGTATGGATGATCTCGGGCTTAGCCTGTACGAGTCGCCACATGCACAGAATCTGCCGCCGCCGTTCCCCAATACGTCGCAGCATGTCTTCTTGCTCGGTTTGCGTCAGCAGCAGGACTAGCTCGTCGATGGCATCCACCTGCCGCTCGATCTCAACGATGCGCGGCGACATGTGGTCCGTGATTTCATCGATGATTGCATACGCAACGTATGGCGGAAACACAGTGAGCCCTGCCAACACAGAGCTGTCGCCAGCGACTGCGTTGTGTATTGCAACCAGCCGACTGATGACTGGATATGTGTGTTGCCGTCTGGCATCGTGGTGGATTGTGATGATGGCATTTTCGCGTAAAAGGATGGCGAAATGATCGCTTGCGATTGCGCAAGCATCATCCCCCACACTGCCGGCAGTCAGCATCTCTGATTCGGACATGCCATATGTCGACCTGATGGCGCGATACACGATGTATATGTAATCGTCGAACACATCGATCTTGTCGCGGTCGCTTTCATTGACAATATCTTCGACCGTCAGCGCATGCAATTGGAATGCCTCTCCCAGGTCCAGCAGCTCTTGGGTCGTCGGGTTGGCTATATCTATCCAGCAGAAATCCAGGTCAAGGCATATATCTTCGCATTCCGTGACACTGTCCACCAGCTGCACACCAGCTGCATGTGAAAACACCATATATCTGCTGACCACCCCATCCGCATGCTTCATGGCCGGCTGACATGCCATTGATGCTGCGGGCGACGTCCACCACGCGCACTCTCCCTCCCCTCCCACGACCCTGCTTGCCCTGCCCGTTGCCGCGATGTTTTGTGCCAGGCTGTTCCGCACCTCACGTGCACGGTACAATCTCGAGTCACTTGAGCCAGACCCGCTTGTGCTAAGCCTGCCCACGAGGCTAGTCGATGGCGACGCCCGCCATCCCGGGTTTCGCCGGCCTGCCATGTATTGCAAAGTTCTGTCAGTGAAGGTGCATGGAATGCTGGGGGTGATGCACCGGGGGTGATGGAAGCTGTCGCTGATCTCAGATACTGATGTGCTTTGTCTATATTGCGAATTGCGCATCTCTTGTTGCCGCGGAAATTGTGTGGATGCCAAGATGATGCAGGAAGCTAAAAAGCCGCTGTAGTCCCACTTGTCAATGCGACGTATTTGCCTGATTTGGTAACTGCACGCCCACATTACTAATTTTTTTGCCAGGGAATACGTAGCGAAACTGCCCCATCCCCACTCCATTTACTGCACCTACGTCTGTGCCGAGCATTTGCCAAACATGTGCATTTACTGAAGCTCAAATGTGTGGCACAATGAGTCCCGATGGCTTCTGGCTGCCTTCCATTTTCTGTTTTGCGAATAAGGCGCTCCCCCCATTTCAGCTTTTCGAATGTCGCAAATACCAGACTACTGTGGCTTTCCCCTCCCTTTTCCAGCCAGAGCTCGCTGTCGTGTGATGGGCAGATCACTTTCCCTGTAGCTGGACCCGACGATTGTATATTTTTTGTTTACCATGTATACCCACGAGTTGTCTAAGGAATAGTGCGGCTCAGGCAATGCTTTGGCTGCACACGTCGCTGCTCGACTTCCTTCTCTCCCATTATTCATGCTTCCATTCCTCCTTTTCGCCAAAGCATTTTCAGCGTGCTGCGATTGCGTCGCCATCGTCTCACATGGCCTGGAACATGGTCCGGAACCGCTGTCCAGGGCTCATAACCTGTTTGATACTACCCAAGGTTATGGGCCCTGAACAATGCCTTTGCACCGTGTTTTACGTATGTGAGGGTGGGTAAAAAGCAGCGGCGATGTAGTTCGGCCAAGCAATCCGGCGGCACAGTCTAGTTGTGCCAATTAGTCCCAATAAAAGCGGTGCTCTGGTGTAGAGCTGACGCATGCCTCTTACCGGCATCGAGTTGCAGCTGTCCCGAGCCAGTGCCCCGTCAGCTCGTGTAGGTTGTTATGTGGAGCAAAAATGGGTGCTTCAGGCGTCTCTCATCCGGTGACCTCGAGGCATGACATGTAGATTGGAATTGGGGAGGCTGCCATTGCAGAAAGGAGCCTTCTTTTCCTCGCAAGTCCCAGCACAATATCGGCCCTATTCGACATTGAAACACCACGCCGCCAACCCATGATGTCAGCCCTTCGAATTTGCTACCTTTTCTGCCACTGGTAGGGCATTATCATCATCTACACATGATAGGTGCTGCAATTCATGCTCTTGCTTGTCCCTCTGGTGCAAAGGGGCCATTCTTTTATCCCCTTTTGTTGCATTTGTTTGCAGCAGCAGCAACTTAAAACCCACGCATTGCACTGGCACCAGCTGGTCCCAATACCACCTATAAAAGACTGCATTCGTTTGCTGTCGCCATCGCGCAAAACTTTACTTTTAAAAGCCGCAATAACTTCCAGTACCTTTTCCCTAGCGACACTCCTGCCTCGAAGCTGCCAAGCAACGTATAGCAAGCAATTCTCTGCACCTCCGGGCCATATAATCTCTCTGCACTCCTAAGCATGTGTTCCTCCGCTTCCTCATTGACGCAGGGTTCCCCGTTCCGCCTCCACGTTGCCAAGGTTGGCGAGATCTGCCCGTATTGCGACGTTATGATGGTTGGCTTTGAATCCCTCGAGACCCACGAGTGCCTTCTGTTTCCTTTCACCTGGGACTAAACCGACGCAAAACATTATTCTATGTAGCCGCTTTCTTGATGTACAAAAATACCAACGCTTCCCTTTTGCAGCCATGCCAATATTCGTATGTACGTGCGTGTGTGACAAAGACTGGCACCATGCCACCCGGTTTACTGCACTGGGTGGTGGAGCGGCATCTGAAAGCCGGCCACTGACCGCCTCGACGGTTACCCCACAAACCAAAGCCAGGACCTGAAGGGAGGCCCTCCCCCTGTTTTTCCGGTCCAGCCCTCCCTGCATCCCGTGCTCACATGTATATACGCGCTTTCTCTTCCGCTATTTTTCTTTTATTGAATTGTCGAATTTGCGCCTGGCCATGATTTACATTCCGTTCTTTAGCAGACTGAGCCTGGCCGAGTACCAGGGCATGCTTATTGCTGCGCTGTTCTTTATAGTCGAGAAGCTGCTGCGTGTGCTCTTGCTTGTGTTCCCCATCGGCTACGTGGTCGACTATATACCCCCATGGCTGCTTGGCGGGCGCAGCAGCGACAAGGGCGAGTTCTTTCTAGATGACTTCAACTCGTTTGCAGAGATAATGGAATTCTGGGGCTACCCGTACGAGGACCATTTGGTGGAGACAAGAGACGGGTTCTTGCTTGGCACACATCGGATCACTGGTCCCCGTGGCGGACCCGTACAGCAGCACCAGCAGCACCAGCAGCACCAGCAGCACCAGCAGCCGCCGCAGTCATCGGGAGGAAAACCTGTAGTTTTGTTCTGGCACGGATTCATGCTCAACTCTGAGTGCTTTGTATGCCATCCCGACTGGATCAACATCCTGCCTCTGCGTCTGGCGGAGGCCGGCTACGATGTCTGGCTTGGAAACTCGCGCGGCAACAAGTACTCGTACAAACACATGAAATACACGCCTGATCAGAAGCGGTTCTGGAACTTTTCGATCGACGAGATTGCCAACATCGATGTACCCACGACTGTTGACTATATTCTCAAGGAAACGGGCGCAAAGACATTGACATATATCGGCTTCAGCCAGGGATCGGCACAGATGTTCATGACGCTGTCACGCAACAAGGAGCTGAATTACAAGGTCGAACATTTTATTGCACTGGCACCAGCGTCCACTCCGCGCGGCTTCCACAACAGGGTTGTTGACTACTTCATCAGGGCCACGCCGCACATGCTCTACTTGCTGTTTGGCCGCCGCCGTGCCATGAAGCTGGTATATTTCTGGGTCAACATACTTCCGCGCGACATTTACGTGGCTGCACTCGATTTTTGTGTTAACCTTCTCTTTGGCTGGCGCACCCGCAACATGTCGCAGGAAACAAAACACATCGTCTACTGGCATCTGTACTCGTACACTAGCGTCAAGGCGATCGTGCACTGGATGCAAATTATACGCTGCGGTGAGCTGCAGATGTACGACGAGGACCCGCCTGCCTACCCAGTCTGGTCGTCCAGTGGCGCCAACCAGCCACAGTTTTTTCAGCAGCGCCCCGTGATCCGCAGCGCACCCAACGGTATTGGTCCCAAACCACCTACGGTGTCGCGCCCGGCCAGCATCCCGCTGGCTGCTCCATACCTGAGAGAGCAAGGGTACACAATGGGTCCGCTGACCCACTGGAACAACACCTATCCGCTAAAGAGGATCAACACCCGACTGTCCCTGTTCTATGGCGGATCAGACTCGCTAGCCTCTGTCGACACGCTAGTTGAAGAACTCTCTATCGTGCCCGAGGAATGCATGCGGTTCTCACACTACGAGCACCTCGACTTTTTGTGGGCTGATGATGTCGGCACCCTGGTGTACCCCAAGGTCCTGGCTCTGCTAGGAGTTCACGAAACAGCAACACAGAACAAGGCACTACCGCCGCTGTCACTCTCCTCAGAGCCGTCGTTGTTGGACGGGTCGATGGCCGAGGATGAGGCCTCATTCAGCGAGGATGAGCATGGCGAGACAGACGGCCCTGCTGCTGAGGCAATGGCTAATCACCGCCGGAACTTGTCGAATCGGTCACTGGCACCCCATGGAATCCGTCCACGGATTCTGACTCGCCGTCGTTCGTCGTCATCGTTTTCAGCAGCATCGGCCGGTCTCAGTCTCTAAAATGTGTCCCAAAATTAGGCAGTTGAGCAACTCAGGATCCGCTCAAAAAAAAATTTTTTTTTTTCAGCATTTCCCTCGTTTTGTGTTTGCGTCTTTCAAGAAACTCACTTCCTCACAAGCATTCATATCACCTAGCCATGACCTTTGATACCTTGAGAGGACAAAAAGTAGATCGCAATGAGCTGTTTGGCGACAACACTAGCGACAACGGCGACGGTGTATCAGACCTTGACGATCAGGACTTTGCCGCCTTTGAAAAGATGATGGACGCCCGTGTCAAGGCTGAGGTGATCGAGGCTGTTGCTGACGAAGCAGAGGTTGATGGCAGCAGCGACAGGGAAGAGGAATCAGCGGATGTGCCCGTATTCCAGCTCTTTGCCGGAGCTGGACCAGCCAAGGTCGAGATTGAGGCCAAGGAGCCGGAGTATGTCATGCCCGAGCGGCCCGAGCCGGTTATGGAAGAGTCGGATTCAGAGGAGCACTGGCAGGCGCTGCAGTCGGCTGTCATTGATGCAGAGCAGATAAAGAAGCTGGCAGCGACTCCACTCCCTGCCATGCGTTACTTGCATCGGGTCGTCCATATTCCGCTTGAAGAAAAGACAGAGCCAAAGAGGACAAGGAGGCGTCGGTCACACCACGCAAAGAAAGCCTCGAGGAAGACCTTTGAGCCATACTACAAAGAGCTGTCGCCATATAACGGCGGTGTGGTGCGCGGAGCTCATCTGAGTGATGTTGTTAGTCAGGGCGCAGCCTCAGGCTCTGGGCCCTGGACAAATAGTGGTCGTGGCGGTCGTGGTGGTGCACAGGGCGGGCGCGGTCGTGGTCGTGGTCGTGGCCGTGGCCACTAAGGCGATCTTATACAGTGTATTTTGACAATCTTTTACCTATATGTAAGATTTTATAGTCCAAAAAGTGTCCGACCGTCCGCTAGAAATTATTTAATGGGTTAAAAAAGATAAAACTCTTAAGCTTCAACACGAGTTTGGGTGGCTTGCTCCGTAAACTCCTTTTTGATCCTGTGCAGCATCTGACCTCATCGGTGAAACCAGGGTGACAAGTTGTTATTGTAGTGGTCACAGGTCTCCACTAGATATCTCCATTGGTTCAGCGCAAGAGCTGCTCTCATTGTCGGTCGGCCTGATAACTTCCATGGCGTCATCATGGTGGTCATCACCGACTGCGCAACACTCTTAGGATATTTATTTATGAGCACCTATTGAATAAGGCCATATAGCTCTTCTAGCGGTCATGCAATAAAGCAAAACTGAACAGCATCATTTCTCTTCTTACTTTGCCTATTGAATTTCTCAAATGAATATTACCCACAGCACTACTGTCATAAAGACATCACTTGGTGGTATTGGCTTCCGTGATTCTATGTTGCCCCGCCTAGAGCAGTTTGTACACAGCGTCAATATCATCAAAGAGCATACATACATGCTTGTACGATGGATATTACTCCATCAACTAGCTGATGATGATGCTTTTTACCCTTCAATATTTGTGAAAAAGGGATTCTTTCGTTCCATATAGTTATTTATATATCACAGTCTGAAGGCGAAGATGGCCATGTCTGCCGAGGATTTCGTCAACCGGAAGGACAGGTCAGAACTGTCGAGTGCAGATTTCAGTGATGTAGTTAGATACCATATTTATGATTATCTATTACATAATGGCGATATCGAGCTACATGGCGTATGCGACATGAATCAGGTAGCGACATACGTGGATACCGAGCTGATGACAGCATACAAGAATAACATTGTGTTGCGCTATGGCACTTGCCTACAGCGGATTCTGGCCAAATTGATTGATATTCGCAGCCGCAAAAACACACTGCACAGTACAATGGGCAATGTGTCCAAGGCTGAGTTCAATGACGCATGTCAAGTGTGTATTTGTACACCTGCACAGAAGCTCTGCTAGGCAGTTGCCTCTAGGCGCCCTGATCTCAGTGTGCTCATACCATCGATGCTTGCAATCTACAACAAGCTGGCACCAGTCCTTAGTGCCTATGATGCCAAGTACAAATTCGCCAAAGACAGCCGATACTATGATGCCAAGGTAAACCCACTTAAGCATCTGCGTGCATACATTCGCCTATGCCAGCTTATCAAGAATGAGCAGCTTGGCAAGTCTCCCCCTCAATGCTTGCCTCTGCGGACATCATGGATCCCAGGCCATGTGCGCTTAGACAAGCAAGTAATCAAGCAGGTGTTTATTTCGAAAACACGCGAGCAGGTTACCAAGATCAACGCAGCAAAGAGGGCAGCAACAGAGGCAAGGAAAGCAGCAGAAAGGGGCAAAAAATTGGCCAAGAAGGCTGCACGCGAAGCAGCGAAGATGCCATCGGATGAAACAGAGGCCACTGCAGCAACTGCAGCACTAGCGGCTGATTCACTTGCTGCTGTATCGGCGGCAGCAGCAGACATTCCGGCATGTTCCCAACCTGCGGCCCTACCAGAGATCGAAGAACCCAACTATGAAGTGCCATGGCCTTCTCCGCTGTACAAGCGAGTCATGTAAGCGGGCCATGGCACAATACAGGCGGGCCTATTCGTCTCGGCTCTTGAACCGCGACCTCGCAGCAGTTCTAAACTTCAGACTCATTTTCCAGTCACTCTGTGATTCAGGCAGTATTCCTGAACGGTTCCGTCGCTTTACAGCCATTGCTGCCGATGCTTCTGGCACCACTCCAGCAACAAGGAGGCTGCGCAAGAGGCGTGCAGCAGCAGCGAACCAGCGCTGAAGCGCCTGCGCTGAGCAGGCCATCAAGGTGAGAGATGTCCATGACCGCCATTGCACCAACAACCATCCGACACGTTCAAATGATCGGTTCGCCGTGATGCTCTTATCGACGTGTCAACTCATGCTGACTAGAAGCCGAGCTCGCATCGCGAGCAGAGGAATTCTAGTATGAAGCTGCTAGAGACACGAGGCAGCACCAGGGACATTCTTGGCATCATAGTTGTGGGTGTGCTGCCGACCAGCACGGATGCCGATCTGGGTCACCAGTATTGCTCTATGCCAGCGTGCTACAGCGGGACTAGCAGACGGATCGTGCCTTTGTGGGCTGGTAGACCTGTTAACTACTGGAGTGTGTTCCGGGCACTCTTCGACAGTTTCGGCATTTAGATCAGTGGCGCGCTGGGGCAGCATCGGCTGCCTTGGGCTTGGACGGTCTAGCTGGCTGATGCTGCTGATAACATCGTTGATGAGCACGGGCTTCATTGGTGGAGCAGATCCTGCCTGCGACGCCGAACATGTCTCGGATTCTACTCCACAGCAGCTATAGTCATTCAAGATACGTCTGGCTCTCTTGAGCGGGGCTGGAGCAAGGGGCAGATTGTTTTCCTGTTCAGCAAACTCCGAATTGTAGGGATCGTCGGTATTGTCCACACGGCGCTTGAGACGGCCAGCCATCTCGAACAGCATCAGCAAGAACGCTACAATAGCCACAATTAGCGGAATGTACATTCGCTTGTCCAAACGTGTGTGGCCGAGCCCAAGCAAGCAAATCATTGTCCCGACAACGATCCGGACGCCTAGCCTAACTGGCTTGGAGACATATGTGTAGTGGATTTCATCGAGACTACGGTGAGTGAACCCCAGAAGCGCCAAGGTAATGTATGCGCCGCCCATGCCTCCACAGAACGCCCACGCGACAGCAGCTGGATTCTCGCCTTCTTCATCCTCTTTGACAAGGCGCGACAGTGAGGAGCATCCAATTACAAGCAGGCTGCCCAGCAGCGGGTGCAAGAGCAGCCATGCTGTGCTTGTCACCCATGACCGGGTCAATGCATGTTGACTCAAGCGTGATCCTTCGCTGTGGAAGTAGGTCCAGTGCAGACACGAGACAACAATCATTCCCAGCGCAGCGCGGCCCAGACGACTATCCATATCGCCATTCCCACGGATAAAGCTATTGAGTACATATTCGCCGAGGGTGAGCATTATGAACTCGCCGAATCGCTTGGAGGTCCGGTTAACATCCATGGCCAGGTGGTAACGCCAGCTGAGATTAAAGTGGCTAACAAGTCTGCGGATGGAAAGCATACCAAGGCTGAAGAAGAGCTCTGCTATTGAGGCAGCCAGATAGAAAGCCCATTGGCGTTCAACGCGTGCCCAAATACTCCCAAACCAGATGATGATTGGGATGGTCTGCACCACGATATTCAGGAGCAGATCTCTGCGGAACATTGGCAGGTAGAGCATAGACATGGCAAAAAGCAGCACAATTGTCAAGCGCGCAAGACAGAAGCAGCCTACGAAAACAGTATTGTTGACTCTGTACAGGACATCTAGCTCCGAGCCCATGCCAACAACAAGACACATCTCCCAGACGATGATGAGACGATGAAGTATGTCGTTGGCACCAAATATCTGCGACCAGCGCTCGATAATGACCCATGTCTTCCACATCAGGAAGTATATAATCATGTAGTATCCGAGGGACACGCCAGTAATGCTGAGTGTGTATTTGGCTGCAGAACCTTCATTGCCACCAGACTCCACAAACAGGACATGCGAGGTTCGTTGGATTGCACCGACAAACACCAGGTCCCAGAACAGATTCAGAGAATCGGAATGGCTGGCAAAGAACGACTGTCGCAGCGTGCCATCCACGATAAACTGCCGCGGATACGGGAGATGAATTATCGCCTCGCCGCTGACCTGCTGTTTTGACTGTGCCTTCTGCTCCCACTTACCGACATGCCCGATCCAGGTCATTGATTGATTGAGTCTCTTCGGGCAGGTATCGTCGAAATCCCCGGCGCGCTGGCCAAAAATTGCTGGACAGGAGCCGCCTGGCCCACTCTGCGGGTTTTCAGAGTACATATTATACAGAAAATGGAAGGCAGCTGAGGCAAGAACAAGGCAAGGCGCTTGTGGAATGATAGAATATCAATGAATTTCTTTTCTAGAAGCGCAAAATCAATCACCGGTAATAATATGCTGGTGTCTCGCCCCTGCATCTCTCCGCCCACATGCTTGGGTCTACAAAAGTAAATCGGCATGGTCTACTCTGCATTATATACAGACCGTAGGTATATTGCAATGGATGTGATAGCTGGCGGGTTTATCGTTAAAAATATGCATCAAAATATGTGAGAAGGAAAGAGTAGCATTAAAGGTACGAGGCAGCACCAGGGACATCCGATACTTTATATTCGCGGTCATACCGGCGACTGGCACGGATACCGATTTGGGTCACCAACATTGCCCTCTGCCAGCGCGCAGCAGCTGGTGTAGCTACACCTGGCCGTAGTGCGGTAGTCGAGCCGGTAGCAGCCGGTGTGGGTGTAGGGGTTTCTTCGGCAATTTCAACCTGCACACCATCGCCAGGGGATAGCTGTAACGTTGGCCTCTGCCGCAGTGATCCAGGGTGAAGGCTAATGTCAGTGCTGGTGTCTCCGCCGGCCGAGAGCTTGTCTGCTGTGGGATCTGCGGGATGCGATCTGACGTTTTTCTCGTTATCGCTATCGTTGTCGGCAGCATCATAGACCCTTGATTTGTGTGTATGTGACCGGGTGATATTCTCAGTCTCCTCTAGGACTGGGTCGCAGCTATCCTCCACATCGTCCACATGGCGCTTGAGGCGGCCGCACATCTCGAACAGCATCAGCAAGAACGTTACAATAGCCACAATCAGTGGGAGGTATATGCGCTTTGCCAAATGCTTGTGTGCAAGCCCCAGCAATACAATCCCCGCGCCAGCGAGAGCACGCACTACAAGTCGTAGTGGCTTGGAGACATATGTGTAGTGGATCTCATCAAGGCTGCGGTGAGTGAACCCCAGAAGCGCCAAGGTAATGTATGCGCCGCCAATGCCTCCGCAGAACGCCCACGCGACAGAAGTTGGGTCTTCGCCTTCCTCATCCTCTTTGACAAGGCGCGACAGTGAGGAGCACCCGGTCACAAGCAACCCACCGAGGAAAGGATGAAGCAGTGACCACACCGAGCTGGTGAACTGCGACCGCACCAGTGCATGCTGACTCAGACGCGACCCTTCGCTATGGAAGTACGTCCAATGCAGGCAAGAGACGATGATCATTCCCAGCGCGGCGCGACCCAGACGGCTGTCTAGTCCTCCATCACCACGGATAAAGCTATTGAGTACATATTCGCCGAGGGTGAGCATTATGAACTCGCCGAAACGCTTGGCTGTGCGGTTGACATCCATGGCCAGGTGGTAACGCCATTCGATATGGAGGCGTTTTGCGATGGGAATGATTAACGGGACCCCGATACTGAAAGCCAGCTCGAAAAGCGATGAGGCAAGATAAAAGTACCACTGAAATTCAAGGGGTGCCCAGACACTGGCAAACCAGATGATGATCGGGATGGTCTGGAACACGATAGTCAGGAGCAGGTCGCCGCGGAACATCGGCAGGTAAAACATCGATGCCGCGTAGAGCAGCACAATGGTAAGGCGTGCCAAGCAGAAGCAGCCTACAAAGACATTGTCGTCAAAGTAGTAGAGAACATGCAGCTCGGACCCCATGCCTACGACCAGTACCATCTCCCAAACGATGATGAGTCGGTGGAGTATGTCGTTGGCACCGAACACTTGCGACCAGCGCTCAATAAGGATCCATGTCTTCCACATCACGAAGTAGATGATAACAAAATAGCCGAGCGACGAACCAGTGATCCGAAGGGCATATTTGTTTTCTGGATCAGGCTCGTCAAAATCGTCTGCCTCCTCGAACAGAACGTGCGATGTCTGCTGTATCGCGCCGACGAATGCCAGGTCCCAGAACAGATTCAAAGATTCAGAGTGACTGGAAAATGACGACTGGCGCAACGTTCCATCAACGATAAACTGACGCGGATAAGGAAGCTGAAATATCGGTTCTCCGCCGACCTGCTGTTTTGACTGTGCCTTCCGCTCCCACTTGTCGACATGCCCGACCCAGGTGGTTGATCTATGTGGCCGATTTGGTTGCATATCGTCGATGGCAACGGTGGGATGACCAAACCTCTCGGGGCTGGTGCGGGGGGGTTTGCTTGCAGAAGTATTGTTGGAATGCATAGATGGTATTGTGGATGTAGAGAGGAAAAGTGTGTCGGGCGAAGCGATCTAGGAAGAAGGCCGCTTTTAAGGGCCACAGTGCTGATACCTAAATTTAGAATTGTTTGTGGCCGCATCTTTTGTTTCCTTTCAGTTTAACCCTTGTGTCCACAACAGATTTGTTTCCTTGTATCTGCTGCTCTTCCACCGCCAAACTACTCGCCTGTCCGAGATGAGAAGAAATCAAGGGAGCCGGCGCCAAGGCCTGGTGTAACCTGACTCAGGTGGCAGATCGGCGTAATATTCGAAAGTTCGCCTAAAGGAAGCAGCGAAAACGAAGGTTTGTATGGTAAATCTACACTCCGAGTAGAAGAAATCAGCTCCGCTCGCGGTGCCACCTGGGGTTATTACGACTTTTGAGAGGGGCCGGGCAACAACGCAGCAATCATACCAGAGCCGCACAATGCACTGGGTGTGACAATGGCAGCGGAACTCATAATCGATATTGCTAATAATTAGCCAATTTGATTCCGATGTTGCAGCGTTGCGATGTTGCAGCGAGATGTACAAAGGCTTGAGCGGCAATATCAGACAGCACATTCCAAGCAAGCACTGGCAACATACATCGCATAGGTCTGTTGCCACCCAAGCCCAGGTCAGGTTGCTGGCAGTATGCAATGGAAAGCATATATATAGCCTGCCCCGTTGTTTCCGAGAACTGCGAAACATTCAAGAACCTTCCACGCTCCAGGTCACAGCAGGTCGTGGAAGTGCGGTCACCAGGATCCTGCATCGCAGATTAGTGCCTGCTGCGGCTCTGGCCTTGGCACATGTTTGGGGAGGGCAAAGCCATACCCTGATGTCCTAGCGCACAACAATGGGTCAACGGAACTGACAATAGCACGCGCATCAACGACGTCCTGTTTCCGACATCCAGCGCCAGCAATCCTGTCTCTTGGGAAATTTATTCAAAGGCACCGCCCATGGCCACACCCCCGCTCGCCCCACTGAGTCTCGGACCACTAGCAAAGGCAGGTGGGCAGAGAGAAAATGGGGCAGACGGAGAGCAATGCCTGGGTGGAAAAAAACAAAACTAAAAACAGAGGGTTTGAACGAGTAATTTAGAGGTCGTCGTCCTCCTCGGGCAGAGGCTGGGCGGCAGCGGCGTCAAGCTCGGCATTGTACTGCTGCATGAGGTTGGCGTCGACGTGGACCTCGGGCGGGGCCAGGGCCGGAGCCTGGACGAACTCCAGGTTGTTATCTCCGACAAGCTTACGAGCAAGCCACAGGAAGGGCTTCTCGAAGTTATAGTTGGACTTGGCCGAGATATCGTAGTACTGCAGGTTCTTCTTCCGGTGGAAGGTGATGGTCTTGGCCTTAACCTTCCGCTCCTTGATATCGACCTTGTTACCGCACAGAACAATGGGGATGTTCTCGCAGACACGGACGAGATCGCGGTGCCAGTTGGGAACGTTCTTATAGGTGATACGCGAGGTGACGTCGAACATGATAATGGCGCACTGGCCCTGGATGTAGTAGCCGTCGCGCAGACCACCGAACTTCTCCTGGCCGGCAGTATCCCAAGTGTTGAAGATGAGCTCACCCTTGTTGGTAGTGAACTTCAGGGGGTGGACCTCGACGCCAATGGTAGCTATATGCCGCCAAACAGAGCAGCAATAAAGGACAGTCGTGTTGAGTATAAGCGATTCTGTCTACTGCCAACCGACACACATACAACAAACATGCACGCGCAGCACTGCCGCTCGCCTGGATGGCCAGAATGCTACTTACCGATGTACTTCTTCTCAAACTCACCGGACAGGTGGCGCTTGACGAAGGTGGTCTTTCCCGTGCCGCCGTCACCGACGAGAACAAGCTTGAAAGTGGGAACCTGAGCCATTTTTGAATTACTACATAACGGGGAAGGGGGCGATTTCGCACACACGCTTATTTAGACACCAGATTGCGGTTCTGAATAAAAAGGCTTGGGCTTAGAGCAGAAAACAGCCCACAGACCCACGTGGCGGGCACAAAAACGCAGACCGCGTGCGACCGTCGTCGTCCTTTTTCCCTCACCGCCGATTAGCGATGGGCACTTCAAGCACACTTACCTTCTAGGTTAATAAATTGAAGAGAAGACAACAAGTGGAAACTAGAATAAAAAGGCGCCTGGCTATGTCGTTGCGCGTTTAGCTCGACTTTTGTGTCAAACAAAATTTTTTCTAGCGATTTTTGGGGGTAAGGGCGAGTTGCGAATTGAGACTTCAAAAATAGTGGTCTTGAGCCGGCGAGCCGACGAGCCGCCCCATGGCGCCTGATCAGCCAATCGAATTGGAATCTAGCCGCTGGGCAGCTCGCGGGCAGTGGTGGCGTGACAGTGGGGATTCAGGTGCCAGGGCAGTATAAGTAAATTATTGGCAGCCGCCGCTGGCGTCACACGTGTATATTGCGCCATGCCACATAGCCAGGGTACACCTAAGGAAGCCAGCAGGTGGGTAATGCCCAGGCTGCTGCTGTGTGCCCCTGCTCTTCCCTACTTTTTGATATACCATGGACGTCAACAACTTGCAGGGCACTGGATTTGGTACGCCGTACCCAGCGGCAACAGACATTGCCAAGGAGCAGGGAAAGACTGTGTTTGGAGGAGTAGAGCTGATCAGCGATCCAGCCAACCCCTTCTACATCGGACACGGCATTGGCCACCGCGACCCAAAGACTGGGGCCATGGTTGATCCGTCGGTGCACATTCCTGCGCGCGGCGAGACCCACCCAGGCGAGTTCCAGGCAGTCAGGATGGTTGAAGATAAAGAGACCACAAATGCACAGCTGCTGGAGAGCAGGTACGGCATCACGACCCCAAACAAGTATCACGCAGGCTGGTACCGCTTCAAGAGCCGGCTGTCAGCAGCCGCTGCCATGGCCACCAAGTCGCAAAAGTGGTTTGAGACTTCGGCACACCAGAAGGCGCTGGCGGATCTCGAGGCCAACGCGTACAACGACAAGTATGGAGGCTATACATTTTCAAAGGGATGACCTTAATAAATGTCTCTTCACTGGCCACCGCCAGAGTTTGCAGCAGCATGCTCTGCCTTCTTTACTGAAGTGTGGACGATCTTGTTTGTAAGCAGAATGACTGCGAGGAACTCTTGCGAGACGGGCTTTATAATGGTAAGGCGGCCTATCATATGCATTTTCCACTTGGTCCGGTCAAAGGTCGCGACGATTTTCTTGTTCATGTCGTAGAGCTCCCACGAGCACTTTGAAAAGCTCCCAACCTTCCACTTGTACTCGTTGCCGTCAAAGTCGTGGATTGTCCACCCCTGTCTAAAAGCCGTAGTTTTTTCGATGACTGCAATTGCATGCGACCCGTACACCTTCCCCCGCCGCTTTGTAAGACCCTCAAGCCGACCAGTAATGATTGGCTTTTCACCCGATGCTGCCGATGTTACGCCCAGTTCATGACCACGGATAGTTATTTCGTACGTTGGCTGCATGCCCTCGACCTCCGAGCTAGACGAGAACGATCCCTGGTAGACGTTTGCACATTTTGTGAAAGCGCCGCTTCTAATAAATGTAAAGACGTTGGACATGGCGATTTCTGTTAACAGTTTTGGTATGCAAGAGATTGTGAGAAGAACAAGCAGCTGGCACCAAGAAGGCATGCTCTTATACGTCACACTTATAGGTCCAGCCGCCATTAACCAACACCCACTGGTGATGATTGCCTGAAGCTGTGGCATGATTGCTGGGCCATCTGGTCTCATGATGTCTTGGCAGCAGCCGCTCACATTGTTTGTTTGCTGCCAAGAAATAGTGTTGAGTTTAAACCAGTGATTTTGGATGCAGTCGCTAACGGCTGCTGAAGGCTTATAACACAGGCTGTTCAGATTAACAAGTGGTCCAGTTTCCAGTGCACACATACATAGTACAGCTATACTTTTTTGACGTTGCAATATGCATTCAACTAGTCTCTCCTGGATTTGGCTATGGCTACAGACCGTAGAAACAACATACTGGTCAGAAGGATTATATGGAGGAAGTCATCCGAGATAGGCTGCGCGACTGATATTTGTCCGAGAATACGCTGGCTGAATGTGGATATTGCAAAGATGGCAAAAACATTGTTGTGCATATCCACTAGCACCCATGGGCCATCCGACAGCCGTCCACTGATCCTCCAATAGTACGGATTGCCCGTAGGGTCATGGATTGTCAGCTCAGGAGTATAGTAGCCGGCCTTTTCTATGTGTACACTACCATGCGGCCCATGTATCTTCCCTCGGCGTGCCGAGCACCCCTCTAGTTTTCCTGTGAGCATAGCATTCCCACTGGCGGTTGCTGATGACATGGCGAAGCTGGTACTGCGAATGTGGATATCAAACGCTGGCTGTAGGCCGGAAACCTGTGATTTGGAAGTAAAAAAGCCCTGATAGACATGAGTGTGTCTTGAAAAGAGACTAGCTCTTTTGAAGGTATAAACGTTGGCCATTTTTATAAGTTGTAGTTTCTCAGTAAAACAGGGGTGTGCAGAATAATCAGTGTCAACTGTTTGGGGTTACAGGCTATCGAGTTGGGTCGGACTGTAGCACCCAAGTAAAAGCTATATATTGGGAAAGTACAGGCCAAAGCAGCCTTATGAGAATGAGATAGCAAGCGTGAAGAAAAGAGCAGAGAGAAAAGTCTGGTGGCTGGACCGATTTGAGATTAAAAGAAGCTGGTGAACAAGAATAGGAAGGAGAGAAACACTTTAATTCTCTGATATCGGCAACAGCGTATTTATGCCATTTTGCCAGCAGCCTTGTGTCATCACTGTCCAGAATATATGGCGGAAGTGAGGTGCCATGTCTTGATTTCTTGGCAGATAAGCTTGTCGAAACTTCTGTGGAATCATGTCAAAAAAAACTATATGCACCAAACACTTTAGTTGGCAGCAGCAGAAGCGGCGGCGGCGGCGGCAGCTTCGCTATCCTGTACTGTGTTATGAACCAGTCGGCTTGTAAGCAGGATGATTAGCAGGAAGTCCTTGGATACTGGCTTTGTAATAGTCAGACGTCCGGCGACATGCATTCTCCACCCAGATCTGTCAAAGGTCGCAAAAGTATTCTTGTTCTCATCAAGCAGTGTCCAGTCTGGACCACGAAATGATTTGACCTTCCACTTGTACCGGTTGCCCTCAAAGTCGTGAATTATCCAGTTATCTTTCATACAGCTTTCCATGTTTATAGGTGCAATTGTGTTCGGCCCGTACAGTTTTCCTCGGCGCCGTCTGAACCCTTCCAGGCGACAGGTAATGATTGGTGTTTCGTTGGAATCAGCCAAAGCAATGTCTAGCACACGTCCTTTGTGATAGACCCGGTAGACTGGTTGCATAGCCTCGACCTCGGAGCTCGCAGTGAATGACCCTTGGTATATCTCTGTGCGGGACCTGAACACTGACGGGTTCACAAATGTAAAGACGTTGGACATGGTGTGCAATAGTGAGTAGAAGGAACCGATAGCGAGTAGAAGGAATATTGGTATGTATGGGAATGGGGCAGTCAAGTCCGAGGCAAGAGGTGCTGTATTTATAACGATTGCTTACCAAGCAGCAGTGGTGGAGTGTCTTTTATAGTTGGCGGGTGTCTGCAAGCATATATTGATTTCTTGGCCAATTGACCTTGTGAGACACTTAAAGAGAACTGCATATTTGTATATTATTCCTTTAGAAATGCCAAGCCTAATGCCATTCTTGAGAGTCCTCAGAGATCCCCAAATGAACACCTGATTTCTATATGGACTCCAGCCTCAGATGGCTATGATTTTTCAGTATAGCAATGCGCAGTGTCCTGGGTTAGAATGTAGGATATGCAAAATACATATTTTGATAACGCACTGCAGCTGGATTAATATCCTGATCTTAGGTTTGTTATGGATAGCCAAGAAAAATGTATCTCGTGTTCAAAATGCTAAGGGGAACGGTGTCCTATACTGTTCGAGTATGTTTACTCTGAGGTAATTTTCCACAACGTATTATTGATTTTATGATAATGTGTAATATGAAAGAAGGAAGGAGGAATCATAAGCTGGAGGGGCTGGCGCCTGCTTGTATATGGCACCTGCTGCTCAAAATGACGATAAGGCCATTGTGGCCCAAGGATTGAGAGCCATGAGTTCCCGAGGTCCCGTGACTGGTCAAGTTGGAAACCGCACTGGACTGGAAGTAAAAAAAAGCCCTGCTGGACATGGATGCTCCTAGAACAGAAAGCAGCTTTTTTTTGAAGATAAAAGCGCTGGCCATCTTTATAAATTGCGATTCCTCGAAGGCGCAGTAGAGTGCAGAAAACTCGGTGTCAACAACAGGATGTATTCATGTTGTTTTACCAAAAGCCACTGTATTTTCACTGTTCAGTGCGTAGAGTGGAAGTAGGGTGTCATGTCTTGATTTCTTGGCAGATGAACACATCGAAAATTCTGCGGAATTGTAATGCCGAAGCAATAACAAACTATATGCACCATATGCCTTAGGTGGCAACAGCGGCGGACGCAGCGGTTTCCTTATCCTGTACTGTTCTGAGAACCAGACGATTTGTAAGCAGGATGATTAGCAGGAAGTCCTTGGATACTGGCTTTGTAATAGTCAGACGTCCGTTGACATGCCTTCTCCATGCAGATCTGTCGAAGGACGCAATGATATTCTCGTTCTCATCGAGCAATACCCATGCTGGACCGCGAAACGACTTGATCTTCCATTTGTACTGGTTACCCTCAAAGTCGTGAATTATCCAATTGTCCTTGATGCGGCCTTCCATGTTTATAGGTGCAATTGTGTTCGATCCGTACAGTTTTCCTCGGCGCCGTCTGAACCCTTCCAGGCGACAGGTGATAATCGGTGTTTCGTTGGAGTCGGCCGGAGCAATGTCTAGCACACGTCCTTTGTGATAGACCCGGTAGACTGGTTGCATAGCCTCGACCTCAGAGCTCGCAGTGAATGACCCTTGGTATATCTCTGTGCGGGGTTTGAATGCGGATGGTTTAACAAATGTAAAGACGTTGGACATGGTGTGCAATAGTGAGTAGAAGGAGCTGAGAGTGAGTAGAAGGAATATTTGTATGTATGGACATGGAGCAGCCAAATCAGAAGCAGGAGATGCGGTTTTTAAACCTTTGCTTACCAAGCAGCAGTGGAGGTTTCTTCTATGGGTGGCAGTGTCTGCAGGTACGTAATGCTTTCTTGGCCAATCGGCTTCGTGGAACGCTTGCAAGGAAAGCTGCATGTTTACATATTACTCCTTTGGAAATGCCAAGCGTGTTGCCATTTTTGAGTTCACACTGAAATCAAGCGTGGATCTGGTGATCTCTGCGGACTCCAGCACTAGATGGCCATGGTTTTTTCAGTATAGCAATGCGCAGTGTCCTGGATTAAAGCGCAGGGAATGCAAGATGGGTATACTGAGGGCACGCTGCAGTTGGATTAATATCCCTTTCTTGGGGTTACTATGGTTAGCCAAGAAGCTGTCAGAAGATTACGGGGTATACGAATGTAGTGTGACGTGTTTGTATTTTGAGTAAAAGAATAAACCTGTGGAAACAATCTGTATCTCTGTCGTATACGGCCTTTTATCTATGCGTCCTGGGGGTGTGCTTTGTTCCCTCGTGGCTAGTCTCACGTGCCCGTGCACTACAATTATGTCAGTACACCTGGAACAAACCGAAAGATAATCAGGTATGCTGGTGTGGCTACATATCTGCTGGATTTGTACGCTTGTCCACACTTAGGGCAAAACATCGCTTTGAGCATAGCGACTTGCCAACATTTATTACCATGTCACATCTGATTACTATCATATAATTACTTTATAGAAATGTGCACGATTCGGGTAGAAAGGATAATTATCGCGAGAAATTCCTCAGAGACCGGCTGCAAGATTGAAAGGCGGCCGATAAGAATCATGTTCAGCATGGCCCGGTCGAACACAGCAATGACTTTCTTGTTTTAATCTTTCAGCTCCCACACCACCTTCGTAAACCCGACCTTCCAGGTGTATCGCCTTCCTTGAAAGTCGTGAATGGTCCAGCCCTCAAAGAACGGGTCCGTCCTCTCAAGTTGTGCAGCCTTGTTCGACCAGTGCACAACTGCTCTGCGTCGTGTAAAGCCTTTATAATGACCAGCGATTATTGTGCGAGCAGAGGCTACAGACTTGACGCTGATGTCGCTGTGGCTATGGCTGATGTTAGCTTCGTAGGCTGGCTGCATCCTAGATGTCTGGGAGCTTGAAGTGAATGACCCTCGATAGACATGCGCAGATCTGGAGAACGGTCCGGCAGTGACAAAAGTATATACGTCTGGCATGGTTGGCTTGAGGTAGGCTTGGGGTTATGAGCATAGTGTGCCGAAGGAAGGTGAAGCAAAGGCACTCAGTTTATAAGGGGTTGGCATCGGTGGGTGTCTGGCACGTTTGGCTGCTCGGCACTGAAATGACATGACGGGATAATCCCTGGATTCTCGAGAGAATTAGGCAGTCGTGTAGCACTGCGATGTGTAATTGGTGGTGATGGTAGAACTTTGAGAATTCTGCGAGTCCACATTGATAGTGATATCAGGTTAGAAGGCGGGCTCTACCGCTGGTTTGGGATAGCGCGGAGTTCCTTTCCATCGCTTTGAAGAATGGTCTACTGGCTGCGCAGCTTGGCTCCATGAGATAACAGCTATAATTGAGGGCAAATCTCATGTCAGAAATCAGGCCAAATCACGTGCCAGTGAGGGTGCAGCAATAGTGCATTTTGACATTCCCTAGTCTGACAAGGCTTTTCTTCCTCACACAGCATTTTTTATACCAATGACGCTCGCCAGTATCAGTCAGCTGTCTTTCTGGAAAGGTATTTTTGACATTCTAAGCAGCGTAGGCATCGCCAGGCTTGGAGCCACGATTGCTGGAGCGTACGCAGGCTACAGAGTCGTATACGAACTGTTTCTATCGCCACTACGTCATGTTCCTGGTCCGTTCCTGGCCCGACTGACCCCTATGCGTAGGCAGTATCTGAGCGCTCTAGGCCAAACGGCCCAGATGGCAATTAAAGAGTATGAAAAGTACGGTGATATCTATGTGCAAGGACCGAACGCGGTGTCAATATCAAGTCCGTCGGATATCAGGACCGTGCTTGCATCGCACGCCTTTGTCAAGGCTAACTTTTATGCCGCGCTAGATCTGTTTGGCATTGAGAATACGGTCAGCGCTAGAGACCCTGCGGTGGCATCGCTGCGCAAGCGTCAGCTCGGCCCGTATCTAAACCCAGCGTATGTTGCAGAAATGCAGACAGCAATTCTAAAGCATGGGTTCCTTGCATTGCAGCAAAAGTGGGAGGGACAGCTAGCGCAGAGCACCAGCAGTAGCATCGAAGTTAACTACAGCGATGATTTTACACTAGCCACACTCGACACTGTTTGTGCATTGGCGTTTGGCAGGGAGTTGGGGTGCTTAGAGCGGAGCGATGCGACGGTTGCGCACTGGGCTGAGGCGACAGTTAAGGTCCATGGGATGCGTGCTATGGTGCCTTTGCTTGGGCTCTATCCGTTTTCACTGGCTATCAAAGGCTTAGATACGCAGTTCCAGAGACTAACAGCGTTTTGCAGGGACTCCATTTCCAGACGACGGGAGCTTCTGGAAACCGGTGGTGAGAAACCGGTGGACCTGCTGCAGGCGTTCCTTGATGCGCAGGATCCAGAATCAAAAATCTCGATGAGCGAAACCCAACTCCAGGCAGAAACAATCGTGGTTCTTTTGGCTGGAACCGACACATCGTCTAACACGATGCAGTGGCTTGTGCATCTGCTACTGCTGCACCCAGAGATATACGCACAGGCTGTTTCCGAGGTACGAGGGAAATTTGCTGCCGACCATGTAATCACATACACTGAGGCCAAGAAACACCTGCCCTTTGTCAACGCATGTATATATGAGGCCTTGCGTCTCTATCCTCTGGGCGGTGGTTATGTCCCTCGCATATCACCAGCTGGTGGAATCACGCTGCAAGGGTACTTCATCCCAGAAGGAACAGAAATCAACGCCAACTTCTACGGAGCGAGTATCCACAAGGGCGCTTGGGCTGAGCCATTGAGATATGACCCAACTCGGTTTCTGGCCAACGAGGAGGCGCGGCTCAACTTCTTTGCCTTCAGCCCTGGTGTCCGGATCTGTCCAGGGCGCCATTTGGCATGGGCTGAAATGTCGACTATTATTGCAAACATGCTGAAAGATTACGACTGGTCACTTCCGAAGGATCTTACACACCTGGGACCAGATGTTCTGGACAAGCATGGCTACCCGTGTAGAATGGAGTCTGCGCACTTCCTGGTCACAGCACCCGTCAACCCAAGGCGGGACTGCCGCCTGGTGCTGTCAAAGCACCCGTAGCCCATGAATGCCTTTGGGTATTCTAAGAGTCGATAATTATTCGCGCACGATGAATGAGGAGACTGATCCTGCGACTCAATAATCGACCTGTGACTGCCATTTTTCCGAGCCGCGGCTCATTCTGCGGCTCCTTATCTGAGACATAAACTCGAGTGGAAGGCAGTCGCTCTAGACGCGAGGCTCTTTGTCTCTTCTAGTCCTCTCAAACCCCAGCTTTCCTCCTACCTTTCATTCTCAATTACCATGTTCGCTCGTACCGCCACCGCTGCTCTCCGCCAGGCTGCCCGCCGCCAGGGTGCCATCGCTGCCCGCGCCTTCTCGACCTCGTCGTCGCAGACCGCCCGCTCCCTCGGTGCCCGCTTCGGCACTGCTGCTGCCGCTGCCGCCATCGCCACTGCCGGCTACACCATCTACTCTGCCCAGACGCCGATCCAGGCAGACAACGCTCTGCCGGTCTACGGTGCCCCCGGCACCAGCAAGGAGCGCACCTTCATTGCGGTCAAGCCCGACGGAGTGCAGCGCAACCTTGTCGGCGAGATCATCTCGCGTTTCGAGCGCCGCGGCTACAAGCTGGTTGGCCTGAAGCTGCTGGTGCCGCCTGTCGAGCTGGCCAAGGAGCACTATGCGGATCTGTCGTCGAAGCCGTTCTTTGCTGGCCTTGTTGACTACATGACCAACGGCCGCGCGCCGGTTGTCGGCATGGTCTGGGAGGGCCCCTCGGTCATCAAGCAGGGCCGCATCATGCTTGGCGCTACTGACCCGAAGAACTCGGGTACCGGCACCATCCGCGGTGACTTCTGCCTGAGCATTGGCCGCAACATCGTCCACGGTAGTGACAGCGCCGAGAGCGCCGAGAAGGAGATCTCGCTGTGGTTCGGCGGCAAGGGTGAGGTCGTTAACTGGACCTCGAACAACGAGGAGTGGGTTATCTCTGAGAACTAAACATTCTTTTGTTTTCTTGGGAACTACTTTGCAAATATATGGAACCCCGATTGTGTTCATTTATTTCAGACGTTGAGTGCGGCAAAGAATGCGGCATCGGTAGGGTCACGGCCCAGGAAAGCGCGGAGCGAGTCGGCAGCATCGCGGGTGGCACCAGGCTCAAGGATCTCACGACGGTAGTCCCTGCCGGTCTGCGGGCTGTTGATTCCTTCTTTGGCAAAGCGCGCAGCAAACATGTCGGCAGAGAACACCATGCCCCACATGTATACATAGAACCTGGCGTCGTATCCGCCCATCATGTGACTAAAGATGCCGGCTGCTGGGAGAACAAGGTCGCCGGTATCGAGTCTGCCAATGTCGCGACGCAGATCCGAGTACAGCTGGGTGATATCAACCGACTCCACATCGGTGGTGTTGTGGATGGTCTGGTCAAACCGGCTCTGGTACATGCGGCGTAGGCCATCAATGGGGACACCGACGTTCTTGGCGGCAATGATGGCATCGCAGAGACTGCCAGGCAAAGACTCGCCGGTCTGATAGTGCCTGGAGAAGCGCTTCAAGATCTCGGGCTGCCACACCCAGTTCTCAAGCATTTGTGACGGCGCCTCGAGGAAGTCAAACTCAATCGACATGAGCCAGAACATGTCGTACTTGGATCTCAGGCAGATGACATGGAAAACATGGCCAAGCTCGTGCAGAACAATTCTCAAGTCCTCGTGGGACATTAGCGATGGCTGCGAGTCCAGAGCCCTTGGACAGATTGGTGATCAGGATGGCTGCCGGGAAATGGCGAGTACCGTCGGCATTCACAAATCCAGAGCGCATCGGAATGGTGCACGGGTGGTTCTCCTTGTCCGGGCGCGGATAGGCGTCAATGTAGATATGGCCCAGGAATCCGTATTCGTCGTCAGTCACCTCGTAGGCGTCGACTGATGGGTGCCAGACGGAAATGTCTGCCTTTTGCACATGCACATGCAGCAGCTTTTCGTAAAAGTCCAGCACCTGGCGGATAATGTGTGCCGTAGGGAGGTACTGGCGGACCTTGTTCTCATCGACGTTGTAGCGGGTCTCCTTGAGCTTGTTGAGATAGTAGGGGACGTCCCAGGCAAGCACCTTGGGGCTATCAGGCGAGTCCTGGCGCTTGAGCTCAGCGATATCCTCCATTTCCTTGTCGCCAGCCGTGCTCAGACGGCTGAGCAGGCCAGCCTCAAACTCGGCGACGCGGGCAGGCGTCTTGGCCATGCAGATCTCATGGGCATACTCGGCATTGGTCTTGTATCCAAGCAGCTTTGCGGCCTCAATGCGGAGCCTAGCAGCGTCCTTGATCAGTGGGATGTTTGCCGCGCCGCGCTCGTCGTTGGTGACAAAAATGCGACGGCGGGTCTCGGCAGAATGCGCCTTTTGCAGCACGGGCTCCACATCAGGGTACTTTGTCGTGACGACAAACTTGTCGACTCCGCCCTCGGTCTTGGTCTCGCGGCCGGCGAAAAAGTCCTCTGGCAAGCCAGCGAGCTCCTCGCGAGTGAACAGTTTCCTGGCCCTCGAGCTCATTGAAGTTCTTGGCAAACTGCATGCTCAATTCGGTAAGCTTGCTCTTGACTGCCGCCAGCTTCCCCTGGTCCTCAGGGGACAGCGCCAGGCCGTTGCGGCGGAATCTGCGGACGATGTGCTCGACCAGGCGCGCGTCCTCGGCATCGAGCTGGGACATCTCTGCCTTATTTTCAAAGACGGTGTTGATGGCAGCGAAGACGTCGGCACGCATGCCGGACTTGGTCTTGAAATCTTCCAGCAGCTGGTCGGCGTCGTTGCTAGCCTGGCGCACGGCAGCATCAGGCGAGATTGCCCTGAGGTTGGAGGCAGCCATTCTTGTGCTGACCTGGTTTTCGAACTGCGCGAGTGGCACGACCACAGTGGCAAAGGTGGGGTTGGGTTCGGCGGCTATGGCATCATAGACTTGCTCGCCCTTTGCAATCAGGGACTTGGTTCCGTCAATGATAGCCTCAGGCGTGTAGGCTGCAAAGTCGATGGCAGTAGTGGCCATTATTGGTAGTAGCGAAGGGAGCTGGATAATTGGGATGAAGGCTAAGGGAAAGAGGCGTGGGTAAACAGTTGACGAAGCTGTGATTTTTGTATGGGCTAGTTTATTGCGGATGCCCCTCTTTTCATGCATGGGCTGCTTCTTGCTTAGATCCGGTTCTTCCAGCTGGCACATTAGCGCATTAGCGCTTCGACAGTTTTGCAGATCGAGTGACCGCAGTCAGGTGGGTTTATTCCTAGGCAAAAGGCATATGCTCCGAAGGCATTAGTGGCGATATGTTGCTGTTTTGCCACGACGTTTGCAGAGCGCGTGTAAAAACATAATAATAGCAGGGCTTGCCATATGTCCCCTAGCGTCTAATGTACAAATGGTTTCAGAGCCAGTGGGTTAACCGTGTATTGTATCAAGCTAAAAGTGCGGTCTAGAGGGGGTTGATGATGCGGCCCTCCATGCCAGCATTGACGTCCATGACATGCCCAGTGATATTACCCGACGCCTTCTCGCTGGCCAGGTACAGGATAGCATTAGCGATATCCTGCGGCTCCGAGATCTTGTTCAGCGGCGACGTGGCAAACGCCTTCTTCACAACATCCTGATCCTTGAGCGCCGGCTCGGCCATCGCCGTGCGGATCCACCCCGGGGCCACCGAATTAACACGTCCCTTGGGGCAAATCTGCACAATCTCGTTCTTCAAGCTAAGCGTCAGCCCGTACATCATAGCGGACTTGGACGCGGAGTAGTCTGCATGGTACCATTCGCCAAACTTGCCGGCAGTCGAGCCCACCATCACGACGGCGACGTTATCCTGGACATTGTGCTTTTCCAGCTGCTGCATGAAGTGGCGGATGGCCAGGAAGCTGCCAGTGAGGTTGACGTTAATGGTGTTGTTCCAGTGCTCCAAAGACATGTCCTTTACCAGTAGTGGCTGGGTGGGCCAGATGCCGTGGTTGACGATCAGGACTTGGACAGGGCCAAAACTTGGAAATTGCCGACTCGAATGCCTGCGAGACAGAGGATTCGTCGGTGATGCGGGCCTGGACAGCGAATGCACGGTCGGGGAACTCGTGGAGGAGTGGGTCCAGTGTCGTACTGTTGGAGTTGTAGTGCAGCGTGACAAAAGCGCCTTGGTCGAGGAATGCACGGGATGTGGCGAGGCCCACGCCGCCAGAGGCGCCAGTGACAAACACATGGACGTTCTTTAAGCCGAGGAAGTCTGCCATTAGTGGAAAAAAGTAGTGATGGAAGATGGAGCTGAGGCAAAGCAGCAGACGGTCTGGTCGTGGGAAATTTGACAGTATTTATTTCATCTGGAGGAGGGTCTGGTCTACAACAGGTGAGTCATCCGCTGTTGGTATGTAATAGCGATGCGGCCAGTATGGGCAGTGTCGGCGAGAAGAACGTCGCCGTGTTGACCTTTTGCTCGCGCATGATATGCGTGATAACATGGTCAGGCGGGAACGGGTTCGTCAGATCCTCCTCCTCGGGCGATGACGGCGCATTGGACAGTGACGCTGGGTTATCGCCATGATGATGGTCATTGAACTCGTACCGCTTCTCGTCGCCGCGGATGTCGCCGACGCAGCTCTTGCGCTTATTCGCGGCAGCGGGCTCCCCGGCAACCAGCCCTTGGTCATCATAGCACAGGCTATCGGCAGAGGAGTCAACCGAGGGCGACCTTACCGGGAACGTGGACCGGCTGGTCTCGACTGCAAGCTCCTGGCGCGTCTGCGGGCTGGGCACCTGAAGCAGCAGCTCGGGCCGGCCCAGGGCTTTCAGGATGTTGGTGAAAATATACAAGGCCGGGCCCCAGCGGTCCAGCGAGCGGATCATGGCCAGGATCCGAGCCAAACGCAGCATTGCGCACCAGGCCAGACGCGGCGAGCTCGACTGCACACGACCCACATACACCAGAGCGAGCTGGAACAGAGCGCCGATGATCACGGTGGTGAACGCATGCAGGTCGACACCGAACTGGTACGTGAATTTGAGCATGCTGTAGACATGCGTGGCGGCCTCGGCCGACGCCTGCACTGACAGTTTGAAGGCCTCGGCATCATCCTCGTATGTGTTCAGAATCGGCGTGGTGCCGGCCAGACGCGGCAGCTCCTGCACCGAGAACGCCTTGGAGTACTGGAAGTTGCGTACCATGTCGAGGTCCTCATGCAGCAGAATCATCAGTGCAATGCGGTGGGCCCTGATCCGCGCCTGGTCGAACATGATGTGCACGTACAGGATCTCCATGGTGCGGCCCACGCCCTGATTCCACTCTTGGCGCTTCTGCCACATCTCGTTCTCGCTCAGACCCTCCAGGTTCATGCGCCGCCGCCGCATATCCAGGGTCTGAGTGTGGCGCGCAAGCTCGGGCAAATCGCCACGCAGATATGGCGGCAGAGACTCGCGCCACTCGACCATCTGGCGGTCCCACTCGCGCAAGTATCCGATGTACGACCGGGTGGTCTTTTCCCCACGCAAAACCTTGTTGAAGCGGTTCGAGATCTTGTACTGCTTGATGAACAGTTCGCACAGGATCGCCAGGATGTCGCCCATGGGCGTGGTGGAGATCGGATATGGCGGTGCGGCGATGCGGAAGCCAAACTCCTGCGTCGCGTCAGGCACGAAAATGTGCTCGGCGAAGAAATCGTCGTGGTGCGGCAGGTCCGGCATGAAGTCGCGGTCCTCGGGCGCGTCGATGCGGAAGATCTCGGTCGAGAAGTACAGCGTTATGTACAGCCGCCAGTACGACCGGATCAGAAGCTGGTAGTTCCAGTCCATGCCGTTGGCGTCGGGTGTTTTGCGCACCCCGCGCCACGGGTACGGAGCGCCGCGGAACTTGACCGCCGTGATGATCTTGAACGCCATGCAGTGGTGCTCCAGCATAGGCGCAAACCGCGCTGACTTGAACTCATACGAGGACAGCATCAGCAAGGCCTGCACGCTGATCATGCTCGGGTTACGCGAGTCCGTCGGCGCGTCCTTGACTGCCAATGCATAGCAGACTTCGTCCAGGTTCGGTGGCAATGCGTCACGCAGTGACTCTGGCAGTGTCCACGACCGACATGCATCAGCAATGGTCGCCAGCAGATGGTACTTTGGCACATCGTAGCCCTTGACGCGCATCCAGAACAGCCGCGTGCTGTAGATGCCGATGCGCGAGCAGTCGTGGACCACATGTGTGATCAGCAGGTTGTACAGGAGCTCGGCGCTACCCAGCTCTGGATACTCTGTGACAATGTCGCGTAGAATCACCGGGATTGTGTCGTTGTTCAGTTGCGACACTGTGCTGGTAATCGACGCGTCGCGGCCGCGCCCGCCAATACTGCCATTCAGGTGCACCGACCGGTCCATGTATGGGTTGTCGGCCAGTGGCTCGCTGGTAGCATGCATGTCGAAATCGCAGATCGGAATTCTCTGCTGCTGGATGCTGGAGCTGCTGTCTGACTGTGCAAGGCCGCTGGATCCCGCCGGAGCTTGCGTTGTTGACACGCGCCGGCTGCTGGCCAATGAATTGCTGGTGGCCAATGAATTGCTGCTGGCCAATGAGTTGTTGCTGGCCAATGAGTTGTTGCTGGTATTGGAGATTGCATCGCTCTGCATGTGAGCTGCAAGCACAGGTGAATTATTGACAAAGTGCTTGGCAAACGCCGAAGAAACACCATGGCTCAGGATCCCGGTGGTCGCGTTCGGCGTCACAAACGGCGTCCGGGGCTTCGTCGGCCATGTTCCCTCTACCAGATTGTTAGCGGTAGGCGCTGATTGGACCCTGTTCATAGTTTGCTGCTGGCTAGGAACAATCGCTGCACCTGACGCATATGGACCTGGCACGGGATGCTTGGGCTGCTGCATATTTCCCACAGCAAGCAGCTGGCTGTTGAGCGTGCCTGACATAATGTTGCTGCTAGTGGTGGGCGAGTTGACTAGATTCAGCGATGCCAGTGCGTCTGTGGTGAATGGCAGCAGCCGATTATTGTCTGTCTGCAGTAGCAGATTGGGCGATGCCGACGTGTACAGCAGCGGCGACTGCACCCCACCCGAAATATTTTGCTCCGAGGGCGTTGCGCTACTATTGCCAGCCGCCGGCACCTGGTGCAGCTGCTGCAGAAAGTCCGGCGACAGCGCAAACAGATTCGACGCCTGCAGATCACTGGAGAAACGGCGTTACATTGCTTTGTATGCCCGGTGCCTGCGGGCTCACTGGCGTTGCCAGATTCGGCAGTCCCAGGGCCACATCCATCGGTACTAGGTTGGCTAGGCTGTTGTTCATATTGCCTGGTCCAAGCGTATTTATATTGCTCGCAATTGGGTATTGTGGAGCCGAGATCGGCGGCGGCAGTGGCGGCTGTTGCACTGGGTTGTTTCCAGGTGCTGTGGCCACCGTGGGTGATGCTGTCAGCAGCGAGTCGTTCATCCAGAAGTTCATGCTCTGCAGAATCGACGGCGGCAGAATATCCGACTCATTAATAAGCGACGTGCCAAACAGTGCTGACAGCGGCAGGCTATCGTCCACTGTCGCTGCTTCGCCTGTTGCTATTGGTGCCGGCTCCATGGTTGACGCCAGAGTGGCTGTCGCCACTGCCGCTTCTGTCTGTTGCTGCTGCTGCTGCTGCTGCTGCGGGACATCTGACGACGCATTCTGCGGTGCCTCAGTCAGCTTCTTTGCTGACTTGTCGTCCTTTGCTGCTGCGCCGCCTGGATTGAGCCGTCGTTTGTATCGCGCTGACCGCCGATAAATACATGGCTGGTGCCGCCGGGCACAGTGTGCGCAGGTCGGCTTATCGCCCGAGCACTTTATCTTTCGCTGTCTGCAACCTACAGCACAGAATAATTAAACTCGTCGAGCTATTTAATATATTTGGTGTTCACATTTGCTGCATCGCTCAAAGCCAATTCAACAACTGCCCAACTTACTCTCGCACGACTTTAGCAAGGGAATAGTAACCAGCGGGCCCTGTGCTTGCTGCGCTTGCTGCGCTGGCTGCGCTTGCTGCGTACTGTCCATTAATATTAGAGGAACCCCTCGTCCAAGTAGTAAAGCGGAGAGAAAAAAAAGGTGGAAAAGCTGTAAATAATTAGGTGATAAAAAGTGCAAATGCAGCTTCTGTGGAGAAAGGTGTGCTCTCCAGCGCCTGGCCCATTTGCTCTTTTCTGTGTTTGCGAGGTTTTTGAGCCTGTCTCGCGCTGGAAATGCCGCACCATGAGCGTGCCGTTTCGTAAAAACGAGAGCTGAGTAATCTGTGTTGACTAAACAAGGGATGATTGGCACAGTCTGCGCTGGAAAATTTTTTTTTTTGCTGTGGCCGGTTTCCATATAGGGCCCCGGCGACTAGGCATGGAGAAATAGCTTTTCTTTTGCTTGGGATGATTGCACAGGGTCATGGCATATCTTGCCAGTGCGCTCTGTATATCCCCATACGTAACTGGACTGAGTTGATTAGTGGCCAAGAAAAACCCAGTATAAACCAGTTTTTTGCAAGTTGAGCTGGCTGATGGCCCCACTCTTGCCCTGCCCTGCCCTGCCCTCTCTCCCGGTGTCGAGTGGAGAGCACAGATGCAAGGAGATATGGCCATTCTTTTGTGCTCACAATTCAGATTGCTGCTCATCCCCCAGGCACCTGCTGCTGCGGCAGCGTCCAGGTGCGGGGGAATAAATGAAACAAGGCCAATTGTGTCACTTGTGCGATGCTGCTTTTGGGCCAGCGATTTCTCCTTTTGTTGGCACCCACCAGTCGGCAAAACCAAATAGGCGGTACAGGATCTGATCACCCACGCGATCAACAAATTAGAGTCGCCCATCTCCCTTGCCCCCAAAAAAAACTGCAGCCCGTCGTCAGCCACCACCGGTACACACCAGTTCCTAATGCTCCGGCCGCATTAATTTTCTCCCTTGTCTCTGCAAAATTTGTCTTTCCCCCTTGTATTCTGTTCTCCACACGTTGCTGCCTCTACTCTCCACACTCCCAACTCGCCGTATCCACTGGTCTTTTGCCAAGCGATTCATGACGATCAGCAGCTTCGACAGCCTGACGCCTATCGAGACGTCGACGAGCCCGGCGCTCAAGTTTGAGGTCTTGGCCAAGTGCTCCACCACCAAGGCCCGCGCCTCAAAGATGACCCTGCCGCACTACACCGCGCACACACCCATGTTCATGCCAGTCGGCACAATGGGCACGATGAAGGGCGTCACGACCAAGCAGCTCGAGGCCCTCGACTGCCATGTTATCCTCGGAAACACCTACCATCTGGGATCGCGGCCCGGTGCCGAGCTGCTGGACAAGGCTGGCGGCCTACACAAGTTTATGAACTGGAACCGCGGGCTGCTGACTGATAGCGGCGGTTTCCAGATGGTCTCGCTGCTGAAGCTGGCGAATATCACCGAAGAGGGCGTCGAGTTTGAGAACCCGCATGATGGCAAAAAGATGATGCTGACACCTGAAATGTCCATTGGCTTGCAGAACTCGATCGGTGCCGACATCATGATGCAGCTGGATGACGTCGTTTCGTCGCTGACCACCGGCGCCCGCGTCGAGGAGGCAATGTGGCGGTCGATTCGCTGGCTCGATCGAGGCATGGCCGCGCACAAGCGCCCGAACGAGCAGAATCTGTTCCCAATCGTCCAGGGCGGACTCGATCCGAACCTGCGCACAATATCCGCCCAGGAGCTGTCCAAGCGCGACGCTCCCGGCTATGCGATTGGCGGACTCAGCGGTGGCGAGGCCAAGGATTCGTTCTGGCGCATGGTGACCTTGTCCACCGATGTCTTGCCCACCTGCAAGCCGCGGTACTGCATGGGCGTTGGATATGCGGAGGATCTGGTCGTATGCTCGGCGCTAGGCGTCGACATGTACGACTGTGTGTTCCCCACCCGGACTGCTCGCTTTGGTAACGCGCTGGTGCGCACCGGATCCATGTCGCTTCGCCAAGGAAAGTACAGCGACGACTTCCGGCCCATTGACGAGGACTGCGACTGCCCAACGTGCAAAAACTACACGCGCGCCTACATCCACACAGTGGCAACCAAGGAAACCACTGGCTGTCATCTGATCACAATCCACAACATCGCCTTCCAGATGCGCCTGATGCGCGATATCCGCCAGGCCATCGTCGATGACCGGTACCCGCAGTTTGTCCGCAGCTTCATACGCCGGCGCTTTGGCAAGACAGTGCCGGCCTGGGTCGTCAACGCGCTAAAGTCTGTCAATATCGATTTGACTGTCGCTGACGAGGACGGGTATTCGGCAAAACCCATCAGCGAGGACTTCCAGAGGGAGCCCAACAACTAGAGATCACTATTGTTAGAAGAATCAAAACGGTCCTGTTGAAAACACTAGGCCTGCCGTCTGTTGCAGCCATTCAAGGTGTGGAAGGATGTGTGTGTTTAGGCTGAAGCTGCCGGATTCGCCGCAGGTTGCCTCGCCTCTGGTGTTGGTGCCGAAACTAACCAGCCCAGCGACATATGCTGTTCCATTGTAGCTGACCGTTATGCCAGACCCCGAATCACCTATGACAGAAGTGTTAGCTATGTGCCTTTTGTCTGCAGTCAGTGGCACGGACATATAAGCTATGTTTCACAATTACCTTGGCACGAGCCGACACCTGGATTGAGGTCGTGGTTGATGCAAAATTGTAGACCGTTGTTGCTGGAAAAGTTTGGTGCCACCTGCCTGCAGTCGTCTGGAGATCCCAGGTATGCTGTTCCGGTCATCAGTGACATTGCGTTTGATCTGGTCGCTGTTTGGGTATTGCCCCATCCGTAGAGTGTTACCTGCTGCTGTGGATTGAGTGGGCCATTGTATATGGAAATGGCCTCCACATGATGGCTGTCCAACTTTAATAGCGGTGTTGTTATCACTGCTATGTCGTTTATAATTATCGCCCCTCGTCCTTCGGGTCCTAGACTGGCCGAGAAACCAGGGTGACTGACTACATCAACAGCCTGTAAGTACTTTTGGTTGCTTTCGAGGTTCGAGCCATAGTTCACGTATATGCTTGAAGGTGGGTGTGGGATGCCAGTAGCCAGATCCACTACGCAATGTGCTGCGGTAATCACCGTCGTGCTGCCTATTATTACACCACCGCAAGCTGAGTAGCGTGGTGGATGGGTTGGTATCAGGATATGTGCTAGAAATGGTGCACGGCCTTCTGGTGCAACCGTACCATTCGTGATCCTTGAAACGTCTCTTGCATTAAAAACTGGTGATGAAACCGCTACCCGTAGGTACGCAATTGCAGTAGGTATGATAAGCATAGCAGAAGCAGATATAAATGACTGGATATTGTTTCAAGGCAGCAATTAATGAGAAGGAGAGTGGCTGTCAGGACTGATGTGCCAAGAGCAAGGATGATCGTTTATGCCTATTCGTTGTATATAGCCACCCTGCTCTATCGTTCCCGATGGCTTGGCTTGCGACTGGCACAAAGAAGCCAAACGAATAACGAGATGAGATGGTATCCATATATTCAATTTATTAATCCAATATATTAATCTGCAATAACACTTGCAGGTATAGTTGGCCAAAGGGGACATTGCTCTATAATCAACCAAAATTGCATTGGCAAAATAGGGCACATCTCAATGTGTGGCAAATATGAATGAGATTGATACTTATTCCCCAGTCACTGAGTGCCTATGATTCTGATTGCTGCCACCGCTTTTATTCCAACGACATTATTTGGAGTTGGTGCCAATGTGACGCATGTTTATTTGTTCTTCTAGTTTTATTTTCGGTGCATGTTTAGTACTATGAAAACTATGCGTTTACTTGCCGCATTATTTCTTATGTTCCCTTTTCTCCATGGGACAACCGCCGAATCGCATTATGGCAATGCACGGGTTACTAATGGGACACTGGTGGCAAGCGGCGAAGCACCGTACTTTGTTCGCTTGAAAATAATAACCTCCCCATTTGCTAAACGCCTATGCGGTGGTACACTAGTGAACAACTCGACCGTAATTACTGCAGCCCATTGCATCCGCAACTCTGATGACACTGCTGTGGCAACTACACTCACCACATTTATATACTATGGTAACAATGATAGCGCCAAGCAGTATGTAACAAGGGCAACCTCTATTCACGTTCCACCTAGCTATGACTCTGTTGAGGTTAGGCATGATATTGCGGTCATCAAAATTCCGCCACTGGAGTTTGTGAAAGGCAAAGTAGAGTTCTTGAGCATTTACAATGGCGATATTCCACCCCACAGTGAAATGAGGGTATTTGGTTGGGGATTAACCACGACTCACGGATCAAGCAGAGATATCGCCTCATCATTGTTGACAAACTATGTGTATATCTCAGAACCAAAGGAGTGCCAATGGGTTGAGTCCAGGTACACTGACGCTAATGGTCCGCTGATATGCGCAAACAACCACTACCACATCGGTGCTGATGTTTGTTCTGGCGACTCTGGGGTGGGGACTATAATCTACGTTGAAGGAGCTCCATATATGGCTGGTATCGTTAGCTACGGGTCCAGCATAAGCGGTGAATTGACCTGTGGTGAAGATGGCGGATTTGGTCTCTATACCCACATTTATCAGTACATCAATTGGATAGCGTCAATCAATGATACTGCTCTAATCATTGGCCCAGAGCAGCCAGCGCCATATAAACCACTGGCCCTAGAAATCCTTCAAAAACCCGCTCCACGGCATTTTTGTATTTTTATGCTGTGCATTTAAATAAACGACTACGTGTTAGTTCTGCCGAGATCCAGGACACACAAATCACCGTCCGAACGCGTATCAAGGGCTTAGCACATAATTTGGTCGCTTTTCTTTATGTTTAAGCAGACAGCATAAGGAGCAGACATCTGGATAAAACACGTGTTGACCAGAACCCTGCCGCCACACGTGATTTATGCAAAAGCAATAGCCTTGGAGGTAAATTAGAAATAAGAGAAGCATGAGAAATATACATGGCGCGGTTACCGGTGGATGACTGATATTGAATGATGTTTGCAATAGTACATCTGAATGTTGCTGTCACACTCATCATCATGCTTCAAATAAAGATAGTATTCAGTGTCTCATTCATCTATTAGTATTCGAATTTCGGAATATCGCCTGGCATTAGCGTACAATGTCTGTGCAATTGCATGCTGAAGAATTCGACGTGCCTGATACCTGGACAGAGCTGAGTGAACATTACTGTAGCCCTGCAAAGCTCAATAAAGTTGAAATGCTCGACGCGTTCAAACCGCAGATTCACGAGCTTTAGACTAATCGATGGGAACCGTGCCTGGAGTTCTGCGAGCGAGCCAAGATCAGCGCATATCGGGCCCATATGTGACTGGAGAAAATCGACATGCGAGTTTTCTGTCTCGATGACAAGTTTCCGAGTATCATGCAGCAAATCGTCGGATGCGCTTTCATCTTCGTTGATATCGGAATCCGTCTCATCACACTTGCCAACACAATACGAGTGCAGATTATCTGTGTGGCAAAGCTCAGCATTCCGTTCCAGCGAAATAGACAGCCGATGGAGCTGTGGCAGCGTTATTAGGACACCGACTGTCTGTGGAACCGTAAACTTGACTGATCCCAAGTTAAGGATGCGCATGTTTTGACTAAGGTCGCCTGGAGTGAACTGAAGATCGCCGAACCGAGCTGTGTGTCTGGGATTGAATCTTAATACCGATGCCTTTCGTCCAATCGCAAGCACAATCTGAATATAACGGCTGAGAAGTCCTTCGGGGAAATAGTAATCATCAAGGAAATCAACGTAGTCCAAAGCTGGATACCTGCCGACGATATGCATGCCACTGCTTTCAAGGACCCTGAAAAGGTTTTCGTCAATGCACATGGAAGTCTCCCGAAGTGTCCGTTCATTTCCTCGGAAGACGATGGCGTCCGAGTAAGGGTACTCGCCATTGCAAACAAATTTTTCCAGAATTGGAAACAGAGTAGTACCCGCGCACGCACCTGTGTTAATAGTATCCGTCGATGCAAAATAGCGTGCAAAGATCTTCAAAACACGGACTCGGGGGTATACAACCACATCGCCAGACTCCTTAAGGGCCATTAACCGAAATGGTTCAATTGTCCAGGATGTCAAGGAAATATTCTCCAGTGTCTCAGAATGGCACTGAATCAGTTCTCCAACAGAGGTGGTTCCATTGGTGTTGTAGATACTGATACTTTTGAGCGGAACAGGGCATGTAGCTGCGATTGAAATCCCGTTGCACGACATTAGTTCTGCTGATACACCCGAAACCTTGGAGGATAATCTGTTGAAAAGAAATGCGAAAGGCTGGTGATTCGGTAGGGGCCAACGGGGGTCCATGCAAACCAACTCGAGTAACCTTGCATTGGGAAGGAGTCTATCGAGTCGGCTGCAGAACACGCCAATATTGTTGTAGCTAATCTTTTGAGCAGGAGTAGGGTTGTTGCTAACAATGGATAAGCTTAACGTCAGGCGTTTGACATTGGGTAGGATCATGTCGTCAGAAACAACAGCCCCGAACTGTGCAAGTGCCTTCCCATCAAAAATGTCAGCCGATTGTATATGGAAGTTCAGCGATTTTATGTGGTCACCTAAACCCAAGCCTAGTGCATTTTCAAAAACACGTGGCATGGAACGACGACAGCATGAGCACTTTAAGCAGCGAAGGCAACCTGTCTGACACCACGTCACGTCCTGGTACAAATCAGCCAAGATTGCATAGCGCCAGCTGCGACAAATACCAGCTAGTGGAAGCACAAGCATGAGCCCTGAGCAGCTCAGCTTCTGCATAGGATTGTATTTGTCTGCATCGTAAACTGCTGAATACCGGCTGATCAGTTCGATGACAATGTGCGGCAGATTTTGTGCTAGAGGAGCCATTAGTGATATAGAGACAGTAGAAATAATGATAAAACTGTATATTTCTAAGCAAGGTGGTAGGAAGAAGGAAAGTGGAAAGGGTCTGTATCCAACTAGTGGTACATAAGAGCCAACCTGTTGTGCTGTGATCTGAGATCAGCAGCCATTTGCTGCGGCCACAGCAATTTTTAAACTGGCAGATGCTGATTTTGTTAGAATCTCGAGGTCCAATTACTGTTGTTGCGGTAACAAGGGGATAAAGCATGAATATCAAAACTAAAGAAAAAAGGAAAGGAGAAAGGAAACCTACTAATGCCAAGCACTGGCCTTTATGAAGATTTTGCTGCTGTGCGGCATCTGACCTCCTCAGTGAGACCAGGGCGACAAGCTGTGATTGTAGTGATCACAGGTCTCCACTGGATATCTCCATTGGTTTGGCATGGGGGCTGCTCTTATTGTTGGTCGACCTGATAACTTCCATAGTGTCATCATGTAAAGTAAACTGGGGCGTTATACGTGACGTTTTAGAAATACGAAATGAGAAAATACTAAGCGGCTAAACCGATAAAGAAGCGAAAAAGAAAAAAGGAAAAGTTCTTTCGGAGAGAGGCTCAGCATCACATAGGTGGTGGCCTAACACAGTGACTAGTCGATTTAGGGCTAACCATGTAGTCCATCAACTAGTGTCCAACATCCTCCGTAGTCGATGATGTTTGTGTGTTTCTTCCCAATATGAATGTGACATGCTTCTCATGAGTGGCCTTTGGTAGAGACTTTGTAAACACATCCGCTGGCATCTCAGAGCCAGCTAAGTGCGAGATTTGGAAAAGCCCATCGTCATACGCTTCAGTAAGCAAGTGCCAGATGACCCTAACATGTTTGGTACGCCGATAGTTTGATGGATATTTCACCAGAGCAACTGCTGTTGTAGGCCTAGCGTGCACGGTAGGTGATGTAAGGCAAAAAAAGAGAACAGATAACGTGTAGCAAAAAGTACCTGATGTATGAATGTGTGTATTTTTCATGTAGCGCAGATTCTGAATAAGCTATTAAACGATGATATCGCAATCCAGAAATGTGCAAGTATTATGAGTGTATCAACAACAGACAGTGACAGACTCAAAGATCATGTATTGATGAGGAAAACTAAAGAGAAAAAGAAAAAGAGAGGCGAGCGCAAGGGTCTTATACCATTGCTCAGGTGGGACAGTTAAAAACAAAAAAGAAATAACAACAGGATGGAAAAACCACGTGTGGTTCAGAGTAATCGGATAGAAATTCTAACAGTATAATTACTTCAAAAGTGGGAGAGCTGCTGGCAGGGTAGGAGCTTTTTCTCTATTTCGCAACCCCATACATTTATGAAACCTGTTCTCCATGGATATGAAGTTTAACTATCATTAAAGTGGATGCGGCGTAGCTGCATGCTGCAAGCACCTGCTACTCGGCATCTACCTCCATCCAAAATATATTGTATTTTGTGGATCCTCTGCTTACAAACAACTAGTCTGCCATGATAATGCCACTCACTTCTTGCCACACATCATTGGAATACGGAATAGGTACGTATATATTAGTAAATCAGCTCACTAAACTCGCTCCAGAATTCGTTCTTCATCACACTGTCCATAACCGAAGACGCATCAAAGTAATTGATAAGAATGTCCTTGCTTGGGGGAGGCGATGGAAGAATCATAAATGACCCCATGTTGAGCTCAGGAGGTACTGTTGAAAATGCTTGAACACCACTGCCAAAATCCGCAATGTACATCTTGAGAGAAGCAATATTAGAAGCACCAGTCAAAACCTTGTAGTTCATGGCAATGGCAAGGAAATTACCGGTACTCGTGTCCCCAGATTCAAGAATGTCAACAGTTTGTCCGATACGCGGGCTAGTTACGGCCGATACCCGTGACCGAATCTGACTAGCAACCATGGCAATAGTCTTGGGAGTAATCGGCAGATGTGCCTGGTGCATTGGGGTGAGAAAATATTCGGCCAATGCTGGGTTGCCCATGAAGTTCAACTCTGCCATTCCAAGATGATGGCGATAGTTGACGACAACTACAGTACAGTGTTCGCCTGCAGCTCCATTCTTCCGATCAGTGAGTTTTTTCAGCCATCCTCGATGCTTCCTTATCACAGCTTGTTCGTGGACCCTGTGTGCAACGGCAGAAATAATGTCGTTAGTGGACAGGCGTGTCCCGTGTGGCAGATGCTCGAGTACTTGACTGCGAAGCCCGTCAATCTTGGCACGTGAAATCCGGAATAGATGACCACGCGGCGAAGCAGAGTTGACCAAATAGCTCATCAGCCTTCTGCGCTTGTTGGGTGACAGCCACATGATGAAATCTGCCACACGGGACTTTACAGAAAGCACTTTGCTGGACGCTTCGCTAAGGGGTGCGCGCTCGCTCGGCAGGTGTTTCTTGATGATATCGGCACCAAAGCAATAGGTCACTTCCGCCACGGGTACGCCAGTTACTAGCGCACGTGTCTCATCCGCCCAGCGGTTGACGAATGTCATAATGGAGTTAGAATCTGCCACACCATGGTTGAAATTGACTGAAATTGCCATCCCGCTGTTGTCCTTTAGCCGCACAATGTGAACGTGCAGCAATTTGATCCTTCCAGTAGCCTTGTCGGGACATGGAACTAGCCCAACAGGAACCACATCATCGGGCCAGGTCGCAGGACTGAACCCAGATGACTGAATCTTGCTAAAATGCACCGATGACGCCGATTCACGGTAATCAGGCATGTTCAGATTGTCCTTGTCAACGATGACCTCCATTCCGCCGCCAGATGTCTGTTTAATATCACCAGCAAACCAAGGACAGAGGGTAAGAGTCCGATAGAACCCTTCCTTGAGCGTGTTGCCTGGCATGAAGTCCCCGGCCCCAGTGGCGTTGGCATAAAAGAAAAGAAACCGTAAGGCTATTTCCGAGAGCAGCATATCTAACCGACTGCAGATATACCTCTTTGATTCGACGCTGTTTACAAAGTGGTCCATAGTAAAGTGGCTAGGTAACATGAATTTGCAAGGAAGAGCTGAAGAAGAAATTTACTAGTGTCTTGCTTCTAGTATTTATACTGGAAGTATCACCTGTGTGAGAGCAAGTTTACTGGTGAGAATCAACCATGGGATAGAGTCAGAATCATAACAATTAGCCAATAAATTACCTGAAATAGTGCATTGTTAAGCATGGCCACTATACCCTTCAACCATTTGTATATATGGGAGTTGTTTATACACCAAAGTACATGCATACATTACTTTCTGTCATGGCTCAGCTCGGCTCGTCGTCACCGCTATATGTCTGCTCTGCCCACTGATAGGAAATCGGCATCCACGGTGGGAGTTGGCCGTAAATCATGGGATCCGCCACTGGTGGTTTGAATTCATGACTGACTACCTTCTTAGCACGGATTGCCACTTGGAACTGGGTCTGGCCTAGCCTAAGCCTCTTGATATCTGAGAACTTTACAAAGTGCTCAGGCACACATCTCCTCTTGACAATATATTTCACTTTTTATACACAATAACCGCTATACCATGGAAACACTATTAGAATCTCAAGATCCGATTACTGTGAACTACATAGTTTTTCATCCTGTTGTTCTTTTTTCATCCTCTTTTTAGCTGTGCGACCAGAGCGATGGTATAGAAACTTTTCGCTCGCCTCTCCCTTCCTACTTCTCTTTAGCATTCTTCATCAATATATATTCCTTGACTCTGTCACTTTCTATTGCTGATACACTCACAATACTCGCATATTTCTGGATTAAGATACTATCGCTTGACAGCTTATTCAGAATCAGCGCTACATGAAAGTTACACATACTCATATATAAAGTATCCTTCGCTACTTGTTTCTTATTTCCTTTTTCTTGCCCTACTACACACACTGTGTGCTCTGGACTTACAAAAACTTGTATTGGCAGTCCTTCTACTGAGGGCTGCTGGCAAAAAGCAGGCGAAAGGTTTGTGGCAGTAGAAATGCCACAGGTTTAAGGGTACAGATTCCCACATTCGCTTCAAGGAGTAGGAATCATACAGATTTCTGCACTTTGTCCGCTCCACCCCCTTATGCTTTGTTTGCAAGGCGCTGCTGTTTTCAGCTGTTGCTGCAGCATGAGTGCTGCAGTCAACGAACAATAAACCTAGCAATGGTTCCGCACAGCCTAGCCTCCTTTGCATGCATGCTATAAAAATAGTCAAGTTCCTTACGAGGCAACTCTTTCCTCTTTCAAATAACTCTACACCCTTTTTTGAAAAATACACTTTCATCAACATCTGTTTCTCAAGGGTCAGTAGACAACATATTCTGGAGTTGCGCAATGTTATCGCAAGTGGCACGAACTGATTCTGGCTTGACTTCCATGTTTCTAGAAGCACTTTTTCTCGACGTATGCCCCCTTTCGGTCCCCCACTTGGCCGAAAACCGTTAACCCTCGCCGCTGCAGGGCTCGCTGCAATTTCGCTGGGACAGCTCGCATCCCTTGCATCAACTGCTACACATGATCGCGATAGACTGTGCAATGGCAAAACCTGGTCCTAGTCTCTGCGCAGCAACTGCTTCCGGTTTGGAGTCTTTCTCCCTTTGATTGTTCTGTCAGGTACATCAGCTGGATCAGTTATGGCTATTATCAAACTATTTCCGGATGGCCACCTGTGGCTGCTGGATTCAAAGCCAGTTCGCCGCCCACCAGGCAACACCCGTCTGGATCGACAACCGTGTCGCGATCGGTGCGGCCAGTACCCTGCTGTCGATTCTTTTGGCCGGACTCTCGCTCGGATGGCAGTTTTCTGCCAAAGCAACACCCGAGAGGCTATTTTCTGGCAGGCCTTGTACTAGCCATGCTGGCAATCGCAGTAGCATCGGTATTCTACTACACGGCTTTCATGCGCGCTGCCGATCGCATCTCGTACAGAGGGCTGTTTCCGCCATTTTTGACCGGGGCTATTGGTATTCTACTTGCCCTGGACTTGCTTGAGGTCTACTTCTCGTTCTTCACACCCGAGAACAGTGACACTCCGTTCTGGTTTGGTGCCTCGCAGCGTTCGCGCTACTTGCTCTTGATTACAGTCACCAACGCTGTCTTGTTTTTCCTCCATGGAGCCGCGCAGCACCGTGCAATTTTCCTCCGCCCACACCAACCCTGCACCGATGAGACCGAGGATTATGTGGATGCTGAGTCGGACAGAGACTTTGTCGAAACGCCGTTGGCACAAACACGTGGAAAGAATGGCTCTCCTTCCCTGGTCGATACACCCGAGTACAGTGGTTCGTGGTTCGATACATTCACATTCTCGTGGGTCAACGACATATTCTACAAGGGCTCTCGTCGTCAGCTCGACTATGCGGATCTTTATAAACTGGATACGAGTGACATGGCGATTCCAAACTGGAGCCGCTATGCAAAGCACCGCAAACCAGGTCGGTCTCTGCTATTGTCGCTAATCCTGACGTTTGCCCCTCAGCTCCTCGCTCAGCTGCTGCTTTCTGTGGCTGTCGCAGTATTAAACTACTCTGGTCCGTTCTTCTTGCAGCGCATTCTGCAGTCGATCGAGATTATTGGCAATACTGCCGTGGGTGGTACTCCAGCAAAATCGATCCGTAGTGCATATCTGGATGCATTCGGGCTGTTCGTCTTCACACTCCTAAATATGCAGCTTGTTGACCAAGCGATGTGGATTGGCCGTCATATGGATTTCCGCATGAAGGGTCTCTTGGCTGGCGAGCTGTCTACCAAGACCTTGAACCGTCGCGCAAAGGGATCACTTGAGGGTGTCACAGGCGATGACGATGAGGATAGCAGCGACAATGGGTTAGAGTCGGCGCAGGAAGCGACAAACGGCAAAATAATGAATCTGCTCACCACAGATCTCAACCGTGTCACCAAGATCGTCGCCTACCTGGATGACCTGTACACGCTGCCTCTGTCAGCAGTCATTGGTGTCATTTACATGTTCAAGCTGCTGGGATGGTCATCGCTCATCGGATTCTCGATCGTGATTCCGTACTACCCACTGACAAGGAAACTATTCCGCTATCTGTCGGATCTTGAGGAGAAAACTTCGGAGCTGAGCGACGAGCGTGTGGAAGCGATTACAGAGCTTCTGCAAGGAATCAAGGCTGTCAAGCTCTATGGCTGGGAGTCCCAGTTCCTCAAAAAGATCGATGCGCACCACGAAAAGCAGCTGGGTTCGATGTGGAGATGGCTACTCGGCTGGGCCTATGCATCCATCGTCACGTCTCTGTCACCGATGATCGTCATGGTACTGATACTTGCGTCGTATACCGGCATATTCGGACACCAAATCAATGCCGAGATTGCATTTACAACGATCTCGGTGTTCCAGCTTCTGCGAATTTCACTGGAGCATTTCCCCGACTTTTTGAGCTGGGTCATTTCGGGCTATGTGTCGCTGAAACGTATCGATTCATACCTTGCGATGCCTCAGGCCCAGGACCTCGAAGAGCGGATCTGTCGAGTAGATGGCAGTAGTGATGTGCTAGGATTTGTCAAGGCTAGTCTAGTCTGGGACACACATGGGAAAGACAGCTCGACTAATTCAGCCGATGATACTGGGTATATGGCGAAGGTCGACGAGAACACACCACTGATATCAGACGCTTCGACCCGTTCAGATGCTTCATTGGACAGCCAGCAGGAACAGCCAGATAAGGTTGCATTCAGGCTCAAGGACATCGATATTCGCTTCCCTGCTAACGGGCTATCGGTCATTGCTGGTCCGAACGGGCAGTGGCAAGTCATCGATTGCTGTCAGCGCTCATTGGCGAGATGACATTGATCAGCGGGTCTATTCAGCTGCCAACTGTCAATGCCGATCCAGAGCATCGCTTCGAACCAGGGCTATCAAGACGTTATTGAGCTGTCATGCGAACAGATGGCAATTCGCGATATTGCCTATGTTGCGCAGGAGGCATGGCTGCGCAATGCCACCATCCGCGAGAACATCCTGTTCGGCGAGCCGTATGATCAGCAGCGCTATGAGGAGGTGCTGCGTGTCTGTGCACTGAAGCCCGATCTGCGGATCCTGACTGCTGGCGACCAGACCGAGATTGGCGAGCGCGGTGTGACGCTGTCGGGTGGCCAGAAGCAGCGTGTTGCATTGGCGCGTGCTGTGTACTCGGACCGCAAGATCCTGCTTATTGACGACTGTCTGTCAGCTGTCGATGCACACACTGCCAAGCACATCTTGATGGAATGCCTGCTGAACAAGTCATCGCTGATGCATGGCCGCACTCGTGTCCTCGTCACCCACCACGTGTCGATGTGCCTTCCGTATGCGCAGTACATCGCGGTGATGCGTGAGGGCGAGATTGCGCTCAAGGGCAATCCACAGGAACTGCAAGCCCTGGGCAGGTTCTCTGCCACACTTGCTGAGCTCGACACTAAGGAAGACACCAATTCTGATGATGGATCGAAGGGCAAGGAAGTTGATGACATCGAAGATGATGGCAATGCCGAGCGGGCCAAGGCTGTCAATGATCCGACATCGGAAGACGAGTACAACAGCAAGAGACTGGACAAACTGGTCGTTGATGGGGGCTTGGGTGACAGATATCAACCCGGCAAACCTTGAAGGAACTTTGGTTGAGGACGAGGAGCGTGAGACTGGGCGGTCAAAATGGATGTTTGGCATATATTCCTCTCAGCATGCGGTGGCTACTGGTACTGGTTTGCTGTTCTTTTGTTAAACTCCCTGACCAAAGTGGTTGCGATTGTTCAAGACTACTGGATCCGCATCTGGGTAGCAGCAAATGACACGGCAATTCCACACATGGTTCTACGCGATTCTATCGACACAGTGTCACCAACAGCAAACACCAAGCATAGTCGGCCAGCATACAGTATCGTTTTGGATCGGTATTTACCTGGCAATCGGTGTCATCGAAGTTTTTGCGCTGTTTATCAAGCTTGCCTATGCATATTCTGGAGTCTGATCAAAGCTGCCAGAAATGTGCATGCAAAGCTGATCAGGTCAGTTGTCCATGCCACACCACGCTTCTTTGATTCGACACCATTCGGTCCGGATCATTAACCGGTTCTCCCGCGACATGGAATCGATTGGCACGAACACCATGGATTCCTTCATTTGGATGTTTGCAGACTTCACCTCTGCATTGGGCGTTATCATCATCATCACTGCAGTTACGCCGCCGTTCATTTTTGTTGCTGTTGTCATCACAGTTCGCATATGTGGTGATTGCCAAGCGTTATTTGGATTCAACCCGCGAACTGAAGCGACTCGAGTCAAATGCCTTCAGCGCCGCTGCTGTCGACTGTTTGGCGAGCTGATACAGGGTGTATCGTCGATCCGCGCATTTGGTCTCAAAAAGTACTACATCATGGAGGCCATTAACAGATCAGATGAGCTGAATCGCCCGTTCTACCTAACAATGGTGTCGAGCCGCTGGATGTCTGTCCGACTTGATGCCGCAGGTGCAACAGTGTCGTTCTTCTGCGCCTTCTTCATCTTGTGGAATGTCCACAGCTTCGACGCCGGTCTTGCTGGGTTTGCGTTGGTACATGCACTGCAGTTTAAAGACTATATGCTGTTTGCCATCCGGAACTATGGCGACAATGAGCTGAACATGAACGGTGTTGAGCGGGTTAGCCAGTATCTAAAGCTTGACCAGGAGGCCAGCGCTCAGTCGACGCCCGAGAACAAGCCCATCAGCAACTGGCCCAGGACTGGTGATCTTGAGATTGAGGACCTGGTCGTCGAGTACGTGCCTAATGTCCCAGTGTTGCATGGCCTGAGCTATGTCGATCAAGCATGGTGAGAAGATTGGTGTGGTTGGTCGCACCGGTGCTGGCAAGTCGACGCTGTCGCTGGCGTTCCTGTGGTTCATCGAGGCAGCCAAGGGCCGGATCATGCTTGACGGGGTCGACATCTCGAAGATTGGCCTGGAGGATCTCCGTCGCAATGTCACTATCATCCCGCAGGATCCGGTGCTGTTCAACGGCACTATTCGACTTCAACCTTGACCCGTTCAGCGAGTACCCCGATGAGATTGTGTGGGATGCGCTGCACCGTGCGCATCTGGTGCGCGAGCGTGGCAGCCAGACCGCCAGCACCGCAATCAGCATGTTTGAAGGCAATGCCATCGACAGCTCGCTGGAGCGCATGTCGGGCATATTCACTAGCCTGGAGGCCGAGATCAAGGAGAATGGCCAGAACCTGTCACTGGGTCAGCGTCAGCTGGTGGCGCTGGCTCGCGCTCTGGTCCGCCGGTCCGTAACTGATTGTCATGGATGAGGCAACGGCGTCGGTCGATTTCGATACCTGATGACCGTATCCAGCGCATGATCCTGTGGCTCCGAGTTTGCTGACTCGACCCTGTTCTGTATTGCTCACCGGCTGCGCACCATCATCGATTATGACCATGTGCTAGTACTGGACAAGGGCAAGGTTGCCGAGTTTAACACTCCTGGCCATCTTGCTCAACAGACAAGGCAGTATCTTCCAGGAGCATATGTGAAAAGTCCGGCGAGTTTGAATATCTTGCCGATGCTGCCAAGCAAGCCCAAGATGCCAAGCAGTTTTCTTAAAATTAGCACGATTCAATACAGAGCCACAATTGCAGCTAGGGCTGCTCTCAGCACTATCCCTGTTTGTCGTCGGTTCTTCAAGGTTTACTTGTTCACCTGTCACGTTCGTACGTCGCCGACAGACTTGCATATCCTGGAACTTTGTTGATACCATACTCGTCCAGCATACTAATACCTGGGGAGATGTTGGGATGACCCTCGAGTATTGAGTCAGGTTCAGCAATGGGATCAACTGTAAGTCCACAATCTGTTTGGCCTTCACGAACCCATCTGTAAATGTCCCGATGTCGATCTGGGTTATAATCTGGGGGCATGATTGTTTCGTGAGACAATGACCGTGTTACTGGTCTATGGCGCTCCATTTCGGTCAATGCATTCAGGTCTTGAGTGTGCAGAATAATGCTCAGCCTCAATGTTAGGCACTTCTTGGCTATTCAGTGCGCTATCTATTGGTTCAGACATTTTGGCTGTCACTGGTACTATTGCTTCTGCCTACATGTCATCCAAATTCATCATCTCATTTGCAGCTAGCACATGATGTGTTGGCGTCCAGTGAGTCAGGTCTTGACTGCTTAGTCTCAATCCCTGATCTACTGTCTGCTAGGCGAACTAGGTGGCCCTCTTCTTGATCTGGATGATCCAAAGGAGCTACTGGGTCCTCCTGGTCCTCCTGGTGCTCCTGGTGATCCAGGGTCTGCTTGACATATTGGTCTGTCACCATTCACCATCGTCGTCTTCCCAGTATCACATCAAGTCAGCACCAGCAAAGTTCTTTGTAAGCACGTTTTCATGCCTGTCACAGAGCATATAGATCATGCCTATTCTCTGGACTACTTTGTATGGACTGCGTCAGCATTCTGGTGCTTGAGCAATGTTGTGTGCAATTGGGTGAGCATGGGTGGTTACCAGCTCACTGGGTAAGAAATAGTGCAGTGCTACAATGGCATTCGCATACAGTCTTGCTTGTTACCATATGTGCTGTTGCTGCTGACATGCTTGCTGGTAAGGATTATCAACCAGCTCATTAATCATGTGCTGATTTCATTCACCAAAGAACAGCTCAGCTGGAGTACATCTAATTGTACTGTTAGGGGTGACAGCATTCACAGCTACAATTTGTGCTGTATAATGCATACATGAATTCTTATGCAGATGCTGCAGCAAGAGCAGCCTCAGGGCATTTTTGAAGCATTTTACTACAGTTTCAGCAAGATTGGCTTGTGGATGGTATATCAATGATGGGTTCCATACAATGTCATTACTCTGCAAGAAGTTGCAGAATTCAACACAGTTGAACTGGGGCCTATGATCTGAGGTCAAAATCTAGGGTCAGCCATATGCCTGGAACCAATTCATAATGAGCACATCAATGACATCACCTGCAGTAGTATTTGTCATCATATAGACTTTAAAATACATACTTGCAGCATCAAAAATGACCAATGCTTCATGTTCAGGGTTGTCAGTTGGACCAACTGTAAGAAGATAGGGGGTTATACAGAGATACTTATCTGCCCATTAACTATTTATGCATGCTGGAACTATTAGCAATTTCAGTGAAATAAAAATTTCACCCAAACCGCCATCAGCATCTTGGAAAAGTTTCAGTGAATATAATTTCAACCAGAAAGAAAAAACTTTGCATATTTGGGGTTAATTATCATTGGGCAACAAAAGTCAATATCTCAATAGATGTGGCTAAGCAACCACAAGGAAATTATGTTCACTGAAACTTTTCCAAGATGCCGATGGCAGTTTGGGTGAAATGGCAAAAAAAATATTTGTATTTTTAAAATCAATTATACACACAAAAACATTCTGGACACAATAACAAATAATAACTATAGAAAAAATAATTAGTAGCAAAAAATAGTTCTGAAAATGATTATTCAAATATCTATCTAACAAAATTGCAAATAACTAAAATTTACAAGTCCAGGAATGACCCCCATAGATGTAGACTTGTTCCCATAGAGTTGGCATCTGTGAAGGCACCATTATGATACTAGGCTGTTGCTGAATCGCTGTCATCTGGCATTCAGTACAGCATTTGGTTATATCATTGACCAATTTGGATAACTGGTGGTACTATATCCATTGGTGTACAAACCCATAGAGTTGCTTATACCATGGATATGCCAATGCCATATATGCCATGGCTATGTACTCATGAGCTGCAGATTTTGTAAGTACTGGCACCCATAGATTGGTACCATGTAGACTTCTGAGCTCAACAAAATGGACAAGTACTCCATTTTGGAGTTCGTAATCAGCTGCTTCATCCAAATGTGGCTGGTCTGCATCCACACCTACTTGTGTTCACTCTTCACATATACGCCAGATCATAAGGAGGAAATTGTCAGTGTGCTGGCACTTGAGATATTCTGATGGATATAGCAGATCAGGAAGTGCCATATACATGTGCTCCATTCTGGTACCAAGCTCTTCTTCATCCAGTTGTGCACTTATAGTATGCTGCACATTGTCATCATCATCATTGTTGTTATTGTCATTGTCGTTGTCCTGCTGCATGCTTTGTATGTTGGCTTGTGGCATGTTCCTGCTGTCATTGTCAGACATCTCATTGTCATAGTCATCAACTGAGAATTCGACATTATGAACCTCACCATCTGAACTTGACTCTTCATCATCAATGTCTGTTTGAATGGTGCCAAAGATATAGTGAACTGGCTCAGTAATTTTCTGGTTATTTTTGCCAACCAAAGGTGTAATAGTATATGACAGCCAATCTGCTGTTTATTGCTTGATACCTGGCTGATGCTCCATCATTCAGTTTGTACTGCCCTTATTGGACAGCCCTATCCTGAAGTTTGAGAGATTGTCTGCATCACTCTCTATCTTGTGTCAGAATATGGCATGTGCAGTAGTAGTATCTGTCTGAATCCACAGGTTGGCTCATCCATTAAGATATAGGAGGTCATTCAGAGCTAGTTATCTGCATAACAACTATTTGTACATGTTAAAACTATTGGCAATTTCAGTGAAATAAAAATTTCACCCAAACCGCCATCGGCATCTTGGAAAAGTTTCAGTGAACATAATTTCAACCAGAAAGAAAAACCTTTGCATATTTGGGGTTAATTATCATTGGGCAACAAAAGTCAATATCTCAATAGATGTGGCTAAGCAACCACAAGGAAATTATGTTCACTGAAACTTTTCCAAGATGCCGATGGCGGTTTGGGTGAAATGGCAAAAAAAAAATATTTGTATTTTTAAAATCAATTATACACACAAAAACATTCTGGACACAACAATTATAGTTATCTGTTCCAAAAATATCTAGTAGCTAAAAATAGTTCTGAAAACGATTATTCAAATAACTATCTAACTAAATTACAAATAACTAAAATTTATAAGTCCAGGAATGACCCCCTTCCAAAGTGAACTAAGAGCATTGCTAACAAGAGTGCTGTCAGAAAGAAGAAATATGCCTGATGTTGCTGATGCCAGGTATACTGCTAGAGGTGTAGAGCAACTTGGATTTGAGCATTCTTCTGAAATATTTGTTGACTCATTCATTGTTGAGGTTGTTGTTGAGAAATGCAGTGAATCAGATATAAAGGTGAAGCAGAAGTCAGCAAGTGTTAGATTGCATAAAGTATTTGGAGAAGGTTTTGGCTATAAGTATGTTAGAAGTAAGATTAGTGAGCAATATGGACCAGTTGCTATTTACAAAGTATCTACACCAAATATTGCAATAGCTAGTTCTTTGTTAACAGTGAAGTTTGCTGCTATGGCTGATTACAAAATATATCTACAAAATTATGATATCACAATGGATTGTAAGAATGTGTCATCTAGAAATATTATATATAAATACCTTTTAGAAAGAGGAGTTGAAAAGAAAGATGTTGTAGATGATTTACGCAAGTCTGGCTCTAACTGCATTAGCTGGTTTACAAAGAAAGGAGATGTTAAAGTTAAGAACAAAATTTATAACAAGTTTATTCAGCTTCTTGAGAGTGGTGAAGTTCGTAACCCTCTTAGTTCAAAACTTTCTGAATTTGTAATGCCAACTTTACATAACTTTGGAGAAACATTATATGCTTGCAGAAACTCTGGTTTGACTAGGATAGAACTAACTGTACATTCTTCTCAGATGCAAACATTTGAATGGAATAGCAACTTGCTTCTTAACACAGTTCAGTTTATGAATGAATGCAGAACATTTGCAACTTCTTATGAAAAGCAGTGGATGGCACTTGTTGATAAAGTTAGTAGTTGTTATACTGTTTGTATTTATGTGAGACAACAGCATACTCTAGCATATTGTCATTGGTTTAACTCTATCACATCAAAGAAGCAAGGAATTATTAAGAAACTAAACAAGAATGATGATCCAATGGTAGTTGTTGCTAATCTCTCATTCAACAACAGACCTACTCTTTATCAAATATATGATTCACTAGAGAGTGGTCTTGAAACAGAAAAAGTTCTTAGAAGAGTTGATGAGAATATAACTATTGTTCCAAGTCAGAGAAACTCCTTCTGGTCTACTTATCCTACAACTAAGCAGTATCACACTTTTGAAGAGATGGGATTAGTTAACTACAAAGGGGGTCATTCCTGGACTTGTAAATTTTAGTAAATTACAATTTTGTTAGATAGTTATTTGAATAATCGTTTTCAGAACTATTTTTTGCTACTAGATATTTTTGTAACAGATATTTATAATTGTTGTGTCCAGAATGTTTTTGTGTGTATAATTGATTTTAAAAATACAAATATTTTTTTTGCCATTTCACCCAAACCGCCATCGGCATCTTGGAAAAGTTTCAGTGAACATAATTTCCTTGTGGTTGCTTAGCCACATCTATTGAGATATTGACTTTTGTTGCCCAATGATAATTAACCCCAAATATGCAAAGGTTTTTCTTTCTGGTTGAAATTATGTTCACTGAAACTTTTCCAAGATGCCGATGGCGGTTTGGGTGAAATTTTTATTTCACTGAAATTGCCAATAGTTTAAACATGTATAAATAGTTGTTATGCAGATAACTAGCT